AGAGTAATCTTTAACTAGATAATAAAGAGTAATACTAGATTAACTAACGTGTTTCACTAGTAAGTCGCTACTACTAATAAGTCGCTACCCTATCAAAAAACGCGTCCCTATCTTCTACCTACTACCTTCTACCACCTACTATGCCACCAAAACGTTCCTAAAAGCGCTCTAAATCGCTAGATAGGGAGGGTAGGATACTACTCGCTATCAAAGCTATTCAAAATAGCTTAGTAAGCTCAACTACGCAAGCCGTAGCGCTATATAGCGTGCCTCGGTCAACACTACGCGATAGGCTTGCTAGCAAGCTTTATCGCCAGGATACACGATCACTACGTCTTAAACTAACATAAGAAGAAGAGGATTCGCTTTGCTAGTGGATCCTATCGCTTAATACGCGTGGTGCTTCCCCTAGGCCTTCGCATATTAAAGATATAGTAAATCTTCTACTAGTAGCGCGTAGTAATATCTTCCCTCCTCTCCTACCTCCTAATATAGGTGTTAACTAGGTAACACGCTATATTAAACGTCGACTAGAGCTTTACACACGCTTCTCTAGACGCTACGACTATCAACGTACGCAAAACGAAGATCCTACTAGTCTACGCGCGTAGTTTAGACTAGTAGAGCGTATAATTAATGAAAACGGGATCCTTCCTAACGATATCTATAACTTTGATAAAATAGGCTTTGCAATAGGCTTGATATCTACTACTAGAATCGTTACACGGAAGGATCTATACGGTCGGAAGCCTCTACTACAACCTAGAAATCGGGAGTAGGTAACAGCAATTGAATCTATATCAGCAACTAGCTACTCGCTTCCGCCGTGTATAGTATTCAAAGGGAAGGTTTATATTGCTAGCTAGTTTAATAACCTACCGAAAGACTAGCGAATCGAAGTATCACCGAACGGTTAGACTACCGACGATATAGGCCTACGCTAGCTAGAAAAGCTCTTTATTCTAGCGACTACTAGTCGTACGTAAGGTAAATATCGGTTATTAATATTAGACGGTCATAGAAGCTATCTAACACTATAATTCGACTAAATCTGCTAGCAAAATAACGTTATACTACTCTGTATGCCGCTGTATTCGTTATATCTTCTATAGCTGCTAGATATAGGATGTTTTGCTATCCTAAAGCGCTTATACGGTCGCTTAATCGAGGCCTAAGCTCGCCTAGGATATAACTATATCGACAAGCTCGACTTCCTAGAATCCTATACCCTAGCACGCTAGGAAGCCTTCCTACCTAGCACTATACAATCAAGCTTCGCTAGCGCCAGCCTAGTTCCGCTAGATGCCGACCGAGTCCTATCGAAGCTTAATATATCGCTTCGAACACCTACACCTACTACTAGTAGGCCTAGTAGTAGGAGTAGCGCTTTCGTGCCTACTACGCTATATACGATTAAGCAGCTTAACAAGCAAGCTTTATCTATCAAAGCTCTACTATATAGGCGCTCATAGTCGCTAGGAAGCCCTACAGAGAGAGCGCTAGATCAATTAATTAAAGGTGCTGAACTAGCGTTTCATAACACTGTTTTACAAGCGGAGGAGATTCGGCAACTATATAGATTCAACGAGAAGAAGCGTTAAAAACGCACATAGTCTAATCGCTAGATATCTAGGCAGCAAGATCCTACGGTCGGCGAATCTATATCTCTAGATTCAACGTTGCGAGCAAGCGTTGAAGCTATTCAAAACGATGATGCAGAGCTTCCTTAGCAGCCTACTAAGGTCTCTAGGCCTACTACTAAGCGTGTATTTCAATGTTCTGGATGTGGGAATATAGGGCATAAGATTACTCGGTGCCCTAGTAAATAGTTGAATTAAATATATAGTGTTTTGGTAGAAAAATAGTATTTTCAAAAAGTAGTAGGTAGTAAGGGTAGCGACTCACTAGTGGTAGCGACTCACTAGTGAAACACGTTATCTTCTTTAGATTATCTAATCTTTCTATAAGTTTACTACTAAGCTTTTAAAGACTAAGAATATAACTTTATACTATATCTTTAGAATCTATAATCTTCTCTTTATCTTAAATAGTTAATCTCTTAGTTAGTAAGAAAGAAGATATTATAGAAGAAAACTATACTTAAAGTACTATATATTAGTAGGAGAAGCTAGACTCCTACTACTCTATAATAGATAATATTTATAGTAATCTCTATATAGTATATACTATACTAGTACTAGGAAATAAGTTAAAGTTCTTCTAAATAAAGGATTAGGATAATAAGTAGTATATATAATACTAATAAAGCTTTAAGAGCTTCCTAAGACTATATTAAGACTATCTAATAGCTTAATAATATTCCTTACCTACCTCTTAGAGGTCTCTTAGAATAAGCTTATATCTTAATATCTTACTTAATAAGTAGAAGCCTTAGTTAACTAAACTAAAAGATAAAGTTATAGAATATCTTAACTCTAGTATATTATTAATTCTCTACTATATAGATAGAGTACTAATAGCTTCTATAGATCTTCTAGATTTCTTACTATTTAACTTCTAGAAAGCTTACTAGTAAAAATACCTAGTAATTACTATCCTTATAAGATATATACTTTTAGTCCCTATAATAGATACTAGTATTAAATAACTATTTAATACTACCTAAGATATCTACTATTATTATTAAGGTAGATTAAATATAGTAATAATCTAAGAGCTTATAATATTCCTCTATATATCGAAATTCGATATAGATATATAATAGTAATTACTTCTTTCTAATTTATTCTCTTAGAATAAAATTAAAGTAATAAAAGAGGAAAGAGAAAAGATAATAGACTAGATTAAACCTAATCTAATTAGTAATAAGAAGAGTAGTTTAGAAGAAGAAGAGATAGAGAGAGAGATAAGTAATCTTACTAAAGAATATAAGGATAAAGTTCTTCCTCTACTAGTCTCTATAGAGGGAAGTACTTAAATATATTAGTTAGTTCGATTATAGAAGCGCGCTTAATAAAAGGATAATTAATAGGTATATTATTAGTACTTTCTATAACTAATATATTACTTTTCTAACTATAGTTAGAATTATCTCCTAGTATATAAGGACTCTTCCTAAAACTAAATATACCTCTTTTCTAACTATAGTTAGAATTTAGCTATATTATATCCTTCTAGTATATAAGGGCTCTTCCTATAACTAAATACGCCCCTTTTCTAACCGCTATTAGAATTTAGCTATATTATACCTTCTAATCCCTAAGAGCTTTCCTTTCCTATCACTAAATATACCTTTTAGTTAGCCTAATATATAGATATCTTTAAATTTAGGCCTTTATTAGGAAGTAAAGTAAAGGAAATACGTAAAAATATAAGCGAAATCTATATATTTTATATAGTTCTAAGATACTACTATATTTACTTTTTCTAGAGCCTATAGAAAGCCTATAGGCCTACTATAGACCTAAAGGCTAAGCCTATAGCCTACTATAGGCCTAAGGACCGGGCCTAAAGCCTAACCTATTCGTGGGTTAGATTAGGTTAGGCTCGGGCCCGTTAGTAGCAATATCTATATATAATAGAGGTAAGTAAAGGCTATAGGAAGGAGAGGTTTACAAATCCCTAATAGAAAGGCACCAAACCCTTAGGGCCTTATAGGTTATATATCTATATTAGGGAGAAGTAGGGCTATTATAACGAAGCCTAACCGATAAGGTATCGAACTAACACCTAAGGCGTGAAGTTAGGAATAGCCTTATGTTGCAATATTATATAGCAATAACACCAAGCCTATTACTGCTTAAGGACCCGTTACCACCGAGGGCCCTATCATTATAGATAATAAAGATATCGCTGTCCTTAATATCGCTGTCGACGAAGCCGCCGGTAGAACTATAATCACGGAACCGGGCTAGGCCGAAAATATAGTCGACGAGGCGGTAGCCGAAGCCGAAGAGGCTATTGAGTTAGACAGCCCGAAAACCCTACAGCTGAACTCATCAGCTTATAGTGCCTTTTATTTTCTATCCCCGTATTCATTCTCATTTTCCTAGCTTATCAGTGTTATCGTGACAACAGCGGGACGCTGTTTTCTCGAAGAAGGGCCTTATGTTACCACGTGACGATATCGTCATAACTATCTTACCATAAATTCACTTATAAGAATGGACTTCACCTTTAAAACTCCTATAAACTAAGCTTCTTGTTACCGAGCTTCTCTGATTGTGATAGAAGCTGTATGTTCTATAATATCACGATATCTCAGTATACGTTCCCCCTAAATATTCAAAAAGAAAAAGTAGTGCATTTCATGCTCACTAGGAAGCCAGAGAGCCTAATACCAGTTTGGAATTCAGAATCTGGCCCGTAGGAGGAGCTCTATAGGCCCTGATATTTCACAAAAAAGGTCTTCAGGGTATAAATATAATTCCGTAAAGGGTCCCGGCATGGAGTACGCTACCTAGAGGCTGAAATTACCCCTAGAGATCTATCATTATTTTCTGTATGATTTGCAAGCGATTCATCTATATCCCGAGGCCAGATCTACACGCTGAATATCCTCAAGCTTCAGTCTACTACCAACACGGGCTACTGTACTTTCATTCTAATTCATTGTCGATTCCTCACCTAAACGACGGTTCACCAAGCTTATAATATAAGTTTCAGTTTGAAAAAGATAATGAGGTGTTCAGCTGGCTAGAACTATCCGTTTATCAGGGAGTTATGCTTTGCTATTTTCTAGATAGTCTACATGGGTAATACGTACTATCATCGGTTGATAATGGTGGTTTGTGATTTAAGCGCCTTCAAAAACTTTTAAATCGATCTTTTTCTATATCATAGGTTCCTTGTGTCTTATAAAGTACAAGTGTATATTATAATTTGATGAAAGAGGGCACTCATAGCTTGAGTAAATATGAATTTCAAACTCATATGCCATGATGACGTATCGCAACACGTGCCGACTATCAGGGTTGTTATCGGGATTGTTATCACCCGCCCGTCATCATCCTCACCATCCTTGCCGAACCTACCTGAACATGAGGGTGTTCCTTGCCCGCTTTTGTCTTCTGCGTGGGGGTTCGCGCCTCTCAAGATACACAGCCAGACAAATATGGCGACCGCTCATCCAACACTTGCCAAAGCGAGGGCCAGTGATTGGCGGGGTGCTCATGGCCGCGCTCACACCCGGCGCATTTCTCAAGCTGGCGGAGGATTCGGATAGCCATGAAAAGACCGGGGAGATGCAGATGCTCGAGGCTTCACGTGAAGAAATTCGGAAAAAGGTACCATCAAACGCGCAAGGCCTCACAAGGGCCTGCCAGTCACTCTGGCTTTTCTGGTACTGCTATGTCTATGATCCCATCGCGACCGGATTACGTTTTCTCCACCTTGCTGTTATTTTTATTCCAGTTGTTGCCACAGTTCCTATCATTTGGTTAGGGCCAAAGGTTGAATGCTCTAGTAATACGCGCAAAGGGACGCTATGGTGGTATAAATTCCTCGTGAGGTCGATGGAGCACGCTGGGCCAGCTTTTATCAAGGTGCGGTGTTGGCAACACAACACAAGTGTCTTCTCTTCCCCGACAGATCTACTAACTCGGTAATATTATCATCCAGCTTGGCCAATGGGCTGCTTCGCGTACCGATATCTTCCCCCCGGAGATGTGCGCAATTATGTCTTCGCTCCATTCAAATGCACCTGCTCACTCACTTCAATCAACGAAACAAACAATTGAGAAGGCGTTCAATGGTAAACCATTCGAAGAAATATTTGAGGAGTTCCAAGAAGAACCCCTCGGGGTTGGAGCCATTGCACAAGTGTATAAAGCGAAGCTGAGACCAAGCTTAGCAACTATTGATCAGGAGTCGAGTCAAGAGCTGATCTCACTAAAAGAAAAAGTGAGGAGGAATGTTGATGTTCTGGTAAAGAGCTCTCCACAGAGAGTACCTTCATCCTATGTGGCCATCAAAGTCTTGCATCCCAAAGTCGAAAAAATGATTCACCGCGACCTGCGGATAATGTTATTTTTTGCATCATTGATCAACGCTATTCCCTCTATGCACTGGCTTTCCTTTCCCGACGAAGTCCAGCAGTTTGGTGAAATGATGAAACTTCAACTTGATTTGCGCATCGAGGCTACAAACCTTGTCATCTTCCGCGAAAAATTCAAGACTCGCACAACAGCTTGGTTTCCGTACCCGTATATGGATTACACCACACGTGAGGTGCTGGTCGAGGAATTTGCGCAGGGTATTCCTCTAGCTACATTCCTTGACATCGGAGGCGGGGTTTACCAGCATGAGATTGCCAACGAGGGCTTGGATGCTTTCTTGCATATGCTTTTGATCGACAATTTTGTGCATGCCGATCTTCATCCTGGGAACATTATGGTTCGTTTTTACAAGCCCAGCGAACTTGACCTATCTCTTCAGAGGCATTCGCGTGCTACAGAAGCCCCCACCCGCGCAGATGTCGACGTTACGGAAGCAGTCCTCGCACGATTACGTCCACATCTCGCAAGGAAACAAGACTGGGAGTCTGCGCTTACCAGACTCAATGATGAAGGCTATCGTCCACAACTAATATTCATCGACACTGGCCTCGTCACACAATTGAATGATACCAATCGTGGAAATTTTCTTGACCTATTCCGGGCCATTGCCGAATTCGATGGCTACCAGGCGGGCCGTCTGATGGTCGAGCGTTGTCGCACCCCTGAGGACGTCCTTGATCCCGATATTTTTGCCTTGAAAATGCAGCATCTCGTTTTGAGCATTAAATCTCGTACATTTGCGCTTGGTAACATCAAGATTGGGGATGTTCTGAGTGAGGTCCTAACGATGGTTCGTGGCCACCATGTTCGATTTGAAGGCGACTTTGTGAACGTGGTTATCTCTTGTCTCCTCCTCGAGGGTATTGGACGGAGCCTCAACCCAAATCTGGACCTTTTCAAGAGGTAAGTGGGTATTGCTTTGCACTTAAACCTGCCGTGTTATCCCTGATTAAACCATCATTGTCCCGCCGTGATGCTTACTTTACCATTTGTAAAGTGCGCTTCCCATTCTTCGACAACTTGGATCTGGCTCCAACTTCCTGCAAACCGTCCGCTCAGGCGACACCTCTATGCTCCGGGTATGGGTAGGTCTAGAAGCCCGTGGGTTGCTACAGGCCAGTATTGAAAGCGTGGAGCGATGTGTCAAGTATGATCTACTGTCCCCAAACATCTAGCCCCGAGGATCTTTACTCATTATATAATATTTCCCCTCGAATCCCCTTAAGCGTTAGTCAAGATAAATGATGATGAATTCCATTGTATACTCATTCTGAAACCCCGATATAGAGATTCAGGAACATCACTCGGACAGAATTTCCTAGACTCGAACTCTCTATACCAAAGAAGAAGCAAAAAAAGCACGAGAACAGAATGGCGTGTCAAATCCATACGGACTACCCATCGCTTCCATTCCATTATCATCCGCTAGTGTACATGAGTTGTCGGCAAAAAAGTGTATAATAATGTAAGACAAGAAATGTGAAAAGAAAAATTCAGATATCATGAAAGGATCGCGGAACGCCAAGGCCATGTCTGTGAAACATACAAGTGGAGAGTGGAGAGGCAGCGAGCTCCAAATTCAACATCAATGTAATTAGGGGTGGCCGTGACCAGGCTCACGAGCAGCGCCTCCGCTGGCCTTCCACCAAACATTACCCCCCATCTCATCAGTCGCTCTATGGCAGCCGTTGGGGTGTCGAGGGCGGGACGGATGTCTAGGAAGAAAACAGGCTCACCATTGGGTTCGGGGTCTCCAGAGTAGTAATCGATCACGTAACGAACTTCCTTGGGACCTGTTGGTGTTTGACGCTGAACAAACCAGTCGTGCCGGTCAAAAGGTGGAGTGGTGCTGGAGTTCAAAGTCAGTATATACTTGATATTGGTGCTTGCATGATCGACTTACTCGAACCCGGCCGGGTATACCCAGCCAAGTGCTTGGAAGATGCGGGCCTTGGGAGTCAACTCCCTCGGCCGGCCTTGAAACCGGATCAGACGGGGCTCAGTCGTCGGGTCCACGGCACCGGTCATCTCATCCTTCGCTAGCTGAAAGCTCAGGTTCTCCTCGCCACGACGACATTTCTCCCAGCCGACTCCCAGGCCCCCGGCAAATGTACGCTCCCAACCAACAATTTCAGTCCATGCACCCTCATTGAGAAAGTTGTGCACGGCAACCATGGACTCCACCGCGTCTTGGGGAGTATCGGTGTATCCTTTCCGTAACATTGCGTTGTACATTTGCTGGGCGGATGGGTATTCCCAATTACCCTCCATATCCCCTCTAGGAATGGAAGAAGCTTCACGTTCCACCGAGAGATCCACAGTCTGATTCGGAGCACGATCCTGAGAAATGGACGCAAACATGTAGTTCAGCGGGTTCAGTTTGGATAGGGCTGATGATTTTGGTGCCGATGGTGCCGAACTGTCTGCTTTTGGGGACTGGGGGGCAACATAAAAGGGAGAATCGGTAGAACGGGACATGGGACAATTGCTAGTAGGATTGGCGCTTTCCGGTGTCGTAGATGGTGCTGGCTGCGACTCATGCATAGGACATCCGGGCTGTTGATAAGGGTCAGTCCCGAATCAATACAGAACGAATTTCAAGAATACGCACAGGAGGAGCACCACTGGGATTTGCTGAGTGTGGTGCAACAGGCACCTTCGCCTGTGAGTCTGCCCAGAACCAACCCATTGTGCTTAAATGGGTTCAAGTGTGTGGTGGACGAAATGACTGAGGTTAGAAAAATCGCCTCGCGCGATAAAAGGATCGGGGAAGAAAATCGCCGCGATGACATAATACACACCTAATCACGTGAATGACACTGTCTGTCTTGAGGCAGAAACGCTTCCATGACTTGACCTCTCGTGAATGTTTCGTTATATTTTTGCGTAGAATTGGAAGCCATGAACGATATATGAAGGCAATTGAAAACAAGACGGGCCTGATGATGAGCATATACTGGACTCACAGCATAAGGAAGAGTCGTGAACGACGGTGTACAGTCGAACTGATCAAGATGTAAGACAGGTTACATAACTTGTCTTTCCAGCATTTCATTGGCTCCGACTTTTCCCGACTGTAACGACCAAAGCAATATCAGATATCGAACTCGATGAGAGATACCCCATCTATGCGAGTACATACCGCAATTGGCCATCTAAAGTAGAGACTCGAAAAATAGCATATTCAAGGGAATAAGGGAAATAGTGAGAAGAATGAAAAAGGGAAGGCACTTAAGCCTGGCCAGGCATCATCATCTAATATTATGCTTCACCTTCCGATAGTACAAAGATCGACAGTAAGCCTCTGAGAAATCATTAAACTTAGAATCGCCAGGACTGCCCTTTCATGGGTGTTCCAGTGAAGATACAAATCCTGCCATTGCTTCATCCCAGATAGATCTCCACTCTATCTCGTGGATAGCCGGGATGAAGAAATAGTCTGATAAGATCCTGGAGACCTGCTCCCAGGTTTGCCATTCACAGATGATTGCGATGCGAGCCAGCCGCTCCATAAACCAGGGTCTCTCAGCCTGACCCAGAGCCCCATGGGCGCCAATAAACAAAGCCCATGCAAAACATCCAAAGTTCTCCTTCGACATAGTGAAAAGAAGGCATAGCGTACAGTTGCTCATCGCGGCCCTCAGATGATTCGTGAGGGCTCGACCAAGGCCCGACGATGGAGGAGAGACTATCAGAAAATTATTCAGGAATGATATAGCTGCCACACGCGTGACTGCTTCGATGGGGTGAATCTCAAAGGGCAAGCCCAGGTGATCCACAGTCGGTGAACTGTTTGTATAGACATAACTGAGGAGTTGATGCTCTGCCTCACAGTTCAACACACGAAAGAAATGATGATCGTCTGGCTGAATGACTGCCGGTACAGTTTGCACAGTGAGGCTATAATAAATGATGTCGCGAATGACATGTAGGATACGAATCAAGGGTGAGCTAAGCAGCATATTCGAAAAGAATCCAGAACCGAGTTGATAAGCCGGCGACGACGTAGGTGGTTGAATTCGCTGCTGAATCACCTGGGGCACTGGCTGGGAATCCCAAGTGAGTGGGAAAACAGGCTTGACCAATAAACCCGAAGCAGCCTTCACATCGGTCCTAGAGGGAATATTAACTTCTGACTCAGCCCAGGGCCCGAAGTACACACGTAATGATTGCAGATAGCATTGACGCGGAGCGAATGCTCTCATCCGTGATCCCTCCTCGTAGTTCTACCATACGTCGAAGGCCGGTGAGATGAATTCGAGCTTCGTCAAAAAGACCGGCAATCAACTATCATCAGTTAGCAATAGACTCCGATGCATGTTTCTCGGATCCCAAAAAAAGAGTTTTTACCGAGCCAGTCAGGAGGTTGACAATCGTATCGAACGCCTCATCACTCAGAGCACGTTGAGAATCGCGCATTTTGGCATTCATTTCTCGAATTGACTTTGCCTTCATGATACAATAATCCGGATCATTGACAATCCGGTTATGGAGTTCGGAATTCAATGTGCCAAACCGATCCACTGCTAGAACCGCTCGATGTGCAGCACACATGCTCATCAAGCCAAAGAAGCTCCCTGGGTCCGAGAAGGAGGATCGGACCATTAATTCTACTTCTTGTGATTCTCGGCCTTTGAGTTCGCTGGGAAAAGTCATAGGAACAAAGACAGATTTCCCTTTTTCAGGAAGAGTCAGATTGAGGGTCAGGAAAATAGACCATAGAGAAAGGTAGCGAGACGTTCGGAGGAGGGGAGGGGGTGAAGAAGAGAATCAGGTTCCCATAGCTCGCTCTCTTGATCTCATATACCACTCACAATAATAGACTAAATGTGCAACCATCGACGGAAGTTCACTGGTTCCTGGTAATGAGCAGAAAGGATCAAAGAACCATGAGGTTGGCAGGGATCGGGGGCTGGGAGTTAGCTGGGTTACCAACGGGTAGCCAGCACTCCATTTCGATGGACGGTCTCGTCGATGTTTAGAATAGAGAAACTTGTCATCGGTCTCCGTCTTGATAAGAGACGATGGAGATGATTGAGAGGCTGCTCTGAGGACAAGTCTTTGGTCCTCGGACTCTGACTGCTTGCCCGGTGATGATGTCGGAGCAGCTTCGCCTCGGTTCTCACGCCGCGAGGTTCGCTTGAGACCCGCCAGCCTCTCCCGTCGGCGTACATCGCGCATGACATGGGAGCGAATAGCCTTGCGGGCATTGACATCCTTGATTCTTTTCAACGTCAGGTCGTCATCGTGACCAATAAAGGTGAATGAAGGTCGATCTAGCGGTGTAGGCTTTGGAGTTGAATCTAGAGGGTAGATTCAGCACATATTCCATTCAGAACGAGGAGCATATTCTTCAATTGCGCAGGCGCCAGAGTTCCGAAAGTACTGATTTGCTCTCGGATACTCTGACAGGCCGATAGAAGACTTGGTCGCGATCCACGTTGACCTCCACGAAAATCTTTTGGCCAGCCCTCAGCGACCGTAACGTGCATTATCCAGCTGAAGATAATGCTAGTTTTTATACAACCCAGAAGAAGGATTTGTCGATAGGTGTCTGGTTTCATGGGCATCGCGCGGAAAGAATAACTGAGCCAGAAGAAACAGAATCCAAAAGTAAAATAACACGAACCTGAATGCGAGGATCCAGCACTCGCCATAAAGGTGTAAGGCTGGAGCTCATCCATCGTGGGGGCCCGAAGGCCAGGGCGAGATTCGAGGGTTGAGAAAGTTAAGATGACCAGTCAAGCTATGGTAAAATTTAAAACAGGCCAATGAAGAAGAGGATTGAGGCCTGAGCCGGGGGGAGGTGGGAGGGTTTAGTAGAGAAAAGGAGTTGTTACGTCGATGCGGGGGGGGCGAGCGCCAGCCTGATTGAGCGCCCCCAACGGGCGAGATCCGGTGATGACCGGTGTAACGGGCAATCCTGGTTTACGGTAAGGAGAGGATGCGGTACAAGCCCAAACATATTGGAATCAAAAGTTCCGGATGGGGGAGTGGAAAAGGATCGAAGAGGCGGGGAGAGATATAGAGTGTAATAGAGATATCAAAAGGCATGATATGGAAAGCAAAAACGTCGCAAGTCCAAGCACCGTCGAAACGCCATCCAATTCATTAAATTCCCTCTTTCTCTTCTTTCAGTAATGCGCCGGACATGCTTAGAAATGGAAACCCGCTGAGCGATGGGGAAAGCGATCGACAAAAGAAAAGAACAAAAACAAAAAACAGAACAAGTCAAGACACGCCAAATATAACTGTGAAGTAGCCAAGCTCGAATACCCCAACCACCAACGGATTCTCGCAAAGATTCCCTCATCCCTGGATATCACTGACAAGCCGCGATAGCAACGCATAGCCAAACAACACGGCTAGTCCAATCCACAGACGGTGCCGCCAAGCCCAGCCTTGTCCCGCCTCTCGAGCCACATGCCCACCCTCCATCACGGCGCCAATTCCAGCAGCACTGCCGGTAGGTCGTCGACGTAAAGCACTGGTCTCCGGGGAGCACTTGGTGGGGGCGTTGGGATCTGGAAGGATCTGTCCTGTGCTTGTGTCGATCCGGTGTTCCTTCATCCATGTCCAGTTCTCCTGGTCCAGCTCGGGCCACTCGGTGCGGAACTTCACCCCTCCGTCGCCTGCCTTGACGTTATTGATTCCTTTGGCGGTTCGGGTTACTCCGGGGGTGGTGCTGGTGTGGGAGCCTCCTCCGGTGGAATTCCACCACCGTGATCGGGCGGCCAGAACCCGTCGCTCCCCTTCGGAAGCGCTTACACTGCCGGTCGTCATCTCTTCACTGGTCATGAAGGACAAAAGTCCGATCAGAATGGTGGAAACTTCCCAGGCGGGGTTGAAGGATTTGGGGTGAAAGTCGCTAATGCTCAAACAAAGACGGGTAGACGGTTGGAATCGGCCACTCGGCGTGTGCATGCGGATCGCAGGAGGAGCAAACGGGTACTCGGGAGGGAACATCAAGGTGCCCCAGTATTGTCCATTCTCGTAAGGGGTCCCAGGTGGTCCCGTCAAGATATAGTGCCACCTAAAACCAACGTCAGCATGGAACATCCAGAGAAACCCATGGGATGGGCACGCCACTGGGTCGACTCACTCTAGAATATTGGTCTCAGATGGATGTGCAACAATATAGGGCGGTGGAGTTTTTTGAATATTTTGATATTCTCGTGTGAGCTGCATAGAAAGATCGTTAGACCGATAAGAATGAAAACTGGGTTCGTCGCCTAGTCTGAGTATCGGAATCGGAGGGTCACGCACTCGTTTAAAGGCCGCCTTGGTAGCCATTTTTCAAGGCAGGTGGTATCGATGTAAAGGAAGGGAATGAATGTAGAATAGCAGGTAAAAAAAAATTGAAAGAAGACCGTGCGTAAATGACGAAATGATAGATAGACTGTCAAGGACTGGAAAGTGGTCGTTGTTGCGCGCTGAGTGCACCGATCGCCGACGGGGGTGTCACGTGCGGATCATTTCCCCATGAGATTCAATATTCTCAAACCCAAAGAGGTGCAAAGCCCTGGCCATTGTCGCCGCCACAATGTCCTCCCCCTTGTCGGCCGATGATGAAGATGTAAAGATGCCCTCGATCCAGCTCAGTCAACGCTTTTTACAACCTGGTACTCAGTACTAACTGGCGCGGTAGATCTTCGAGCGCCTACAACAGCGCAAGGACCCGAAGCTTTTGGAAGAGCAGAAACAAGCTGTGAATGAGCGGACACAGGCCATTCTTCAGAAGGCTCAGGCTCGCCTCTCGGAATTGGTACAATTTGATCCCTTTAAAATCATGCATTGGCAAACACAGATTCCTGCAAAGCGGAGACGCTTCCTGCTAACTAAAACTGTTGTGATCAGCTTGACCAAAACTCGACTCTCCCATGCACGATCTCCTCGGTCCAGGTGTTGAGCGCACCACACACCCGTCGAAGCTTCCTAGAGAACATCTTCAAACCTCTCCTTCGCGAAAACAAGGATCGACCGTATACTTTGTCCGAGACTTTGCGGGAAGTTTCGGCAACGGCTGACAAGCTGGGCCGATTCGGTTCGTAGCTCCGAAGGCGAAGTGAACAATTGACACAGGAGCTCTAACATCCATCTAGACTTGTTCCAGCAACCAATTACCGTTCACCTGGACGAATCCAGAAGGGGTGGCAAGACTGGACTCCGCAATCTCGATGTGATCTTGAATGTGCGGGAGAAGTCGCGTGTGCTTTTGAAGACTGGCACTGACCTTGGAAACACCGAGGGCTCGGCGTACGGTAATCTTTTGTGGCGCAATGTGTTTGGTGGCGCTGAAACCCTGAATTTGAACGCCTCGTTGGGTACCCGGACTCGATCTGCTTACCAGGCCGCATTTGAGACTCCGCTCTTCTGTGACCCGGATTTCCGCCTGGAGATTGGCGGGATTGCCAGCTCGACCCAAAAATCGTGGGCGAGTCACGAGGAAGTGCTCAAAGGTGGTTGGAGCAAGCTAAGATGGCTATCTTCGTCCGGACATCGCCATGAGCTCGGCTATAACGGTTTCTGGAGACAGCTCACTGGACTTGCCGAGAATGCGTCACCAACAGTTCGTTCCGATGCCGGCGACAGTGTGAAGAGTAGCATCTTCCACAGCTGGGTCAACGATCAGCGGGACAATGCTATGTTACCCTCTCGTGGATACTACGCGAAGATTTTCAATGAAGTAGCCGGTTGGGGTCCCTTAAGGGGAGATGTGTCTTTCTGGAAGTCAGAGATCGAGGCTCAGGGTGCCGTTCCTATTGCGATTCCGGGAATCAAAGGAGACAGCGGCATTAGCCTCACCACTGGATTCCGGGCCGGCTTGCTCGTCCCCCTGGGGCTGAATCCGGACTCTCGTCCTCAGCTCTCTCGGATCAACGATCGTTTCTTCCTGGGAGGGCCGACTGATGTCCGTGGATTCCGCCTGTGCGGCATCGGACCCCGCGAGGGAACTGATGCTCTTGGGGGGGATCTTTACGCGGCCGGAAGTGCGAACCTGCTCTTCCCTCTTCCCCGTGTGGGGGCTGACAAGCCTCTGCGGATGCAAGTCTTCATGAACGGAGGCCGGCTGCTACCCCTGCGGACTTCGCAAAAGGTTAGTCCCACCAACAGTGGCGAGGTACAGGATGCAGTGATCTCCACCATCTCAGATCTTCAAACAAACCTGCCCAGCATTGCTGCTGGTGTTGGTATTGTATACGCCCATCCAGTGGCGCGGTTCGAGCTGAACTTCTCCCTTCCCCTGGTCCTACGGAAAGGTGAGGAGGGCCGGAAGGGCCTGCAGCTGGGAATTGGTATCAACTTTTTGTAGAAACAACTCTTCCTGATTCGAGCTTAGCGGAGTCAATTGAATTTATCTTCTGAATTTCATTGTCCTTCCAAATCTTATTTGGAGCATCACAGAACATACTCATTCTACATAGTATTCTCTGTATCCCACCCCATGATTACGCCCAGCCAGGCCTGCCGTGTCCTACTTGTCAGTTGTCAGATGTCAAACACTGGGCGAGGGAAACAATTCGATGGTCTACACATTCTGGAGGTGACCAGATTTTTATAGCAACCATACCATATTTGAGCTTTTTTTTTTTTTTTTTCTCCCAACGGGGGTTGACGTTATAGAATTCAGGACGATACAAGCACAATGATTTGCGGAACAGCCATCATCGCAGCGATTTAACTTGACAAACATTCAAAGACAGAAATGCTGTTTCATTCGTGTAAGACTCTAAATTAGCCCCATTGAATTTTCATCGCAAAATTAGATACATTAAAACATTGATGATCTACTACTGGAGAGTTTGCTCGGACCAAAAAATGCGCCATGTTTCCCTTGAATAGAAAAAAGAGAAGAGCAAAGGAAACATCATCACTCTCTATAGAGGTATCGGAAAGATGAGAAGAGAATCACACATAAGAATGCATGCTAGGCGTGGACATCGCCCTTAAAAAAGGTAGGAATTCACAGGTAGAAGAAGATCGTCATGCCAGACCCCGATTTACTGGGCCTTCTTCGTAGACACCTTGTTCTCCCTCCGGCGCTTCAGGGCATCAGGGGTATACTCGGTGTCAAGAAGGTAGTCCCACCACCGGAAGCTGCTGGAGTAGTTGCCGATGAACTTTTCATGGTGGAGATCATGGTGGTCGGCACCGGCCCAGAAGGGAAGAAAATGATGCAGACTCCAGGGGAATTCATAGCCGCTGTGGGCATCTATAGCCTGAAACAAGCGCAGCACGATCCAGATGTACATGGTGAGGATGTGCAAATCACCGGTGAAGGCACACCAGAGGATCGGGCAACCCACGGTACCAAATCCCAGGATCATGACCTCAATCGGAGAGGCATACTCGGCCGCCAGACCAAACGGAGCCGAGTACTGGTGGTGAATCTTGTGAATTGCCTTGTAGAGGGGACCCCAGTGGAGGGCACGGTGCGAGAAGTAGTGCCATGTGTCCTCCATCACAAAGAAGATCGCAATCTGGTAGGCCATGGTCCAAAGAGAAGGGAATGGGATCGAAGTGGAAAGACCGAAGAACTGGGCCATCGGGTGGAAGAGCCTGGCGAGTGCACGAATGTTAGTTTTCCTGGTGCTTGACGAACAATTTGTGGTTATTTCCCAATCCCATATATGGGTCCCATCAAAGACTCAACACGGGTGCGGGACTGGAAAAAAAAGGGGGGGGGGGGGGGGGTGTACCAAATCTGGGGCAGCTCGACGGTGAAATGACTGAGTAGGACGAACTTGGCGCAGTCCCATTGTTCTCGCAAGGATGGGATTTTGCTCTAAGGTCACGGATTAGTATTCTCTTTCTCCCCGAGGGCTGTGGCGGGTGGTCCGGTCTGTCATCGCCAACGCCAACGCCATCACTACCACTCACACTCTGAATTTTGTAGGGCTTGAAAAGGCCGAGACTATCGATAAAGATCCATGGCAGCGAGCGGCCGAAGTAGACAAGCTCGTGCATGGCAAATGACATGATGCCGGTGGCTAGGACATCATTCTGCATCCAGGCATACCATGCGGCCCATAGTTTCTCGGCGACGTTGAGGTTGGCATTGTACTTGCCAATCTCCTCGAATTGGCCCCAATAGGTGCCCGAGGACAACACGGTAGAATTCCTATTAGTAGGAAACACGAATCAGTCACCCGGTACGCTATACTTTTTTGATCGTGGTGTATGTAATATATATATTTTTCATTTCGTCTCCGATCTGTTCTTTCGTCCCAAAGGAGGAGGGGAGACAGGGGAGAATGAGGAAGGAGGGCAATGAGGGGAGAGAGTAGAAAGACACATACATTGTTTAGTTTTCTTTCCCAAAGCCGAGGGTCGTTCAGGAAAAAAGGAGGGCGTGGGGAAGGGGGAGGAGAGAAGGGGAGGAGCCGGATTAAAAGTGTTGGCGCTGCTGTGATTTTCCCTGGACAAGCCATTCCCGACGTGGCGAGACCCGGGTTAGTCAGCGTCAACCCACCGGCTGAGCCCACCACCGAGAGACTTCGAGAGGCTCCACTGGGGGAGAAAGGGGAAAAAGGGGGGGAGAACTTCGGCGGGCCACGCCCGGACAGGTGCAAACCCAGGCAGCCGGGTAAGGCCACTGTGAGCCGATCATCATCCGGGCCCCACCGTGCATAATGCGGTATTCCGGCCCTCTGTTTGGCTGATTTCCAGGGTCAGGCCACAGATTCTTCTGATCCTTCCGCACGACACACGATCGCTCTCACTGGAGATGCGCGGAGAAGAAAAGGAAGAAACGGTGCCCGGCCCACTCCCGTAACCTCTGAGGCCCGATGCATAGTAAGCGCTTTATGCGCGGAGATTCCAAGTATCGAGGGCGACGTACGGAGGATAATGATGTGGTAGAACGTAGACATACATACGTGACGCGAAGAAAGAGAGAGAGAGAGAAAGAGAGAATACATAAACACACATAGACTACATAGATCTTTACCCGTTCTATTCGGTTTCTGGACACTACCGAGTCAAAGATCTACACGCGTAAGCTCTACGCACTGATTGGGATTGCCTCTGCTCATCCCCATCCTCGTGGCATCGGAGCTCACCGCCTACAGGTAAGCGCCAGGTGGCGGTCGAGGTTGAGCTTATTCTGCCGGGGTTGCGGTTCCATTTGCACCATGACGCCATGTCCGAGCCCGCGGCCCTTCCCCTCGGTCTCATCCAATCCTTGATGCGCCCACGCTGCAACATCCGACCCTAATGGTCTGTTAGGAGCCATGTCAATTGTTCAGGAGTAGGTCTTATGATCCCCCTCCTCTCCTTTGGTCTTTTTGATTTTTTTGGCCCCTTTCTCCCCGCCCGACTTGAGCTGATCCCCCGGAAAACTCGTGTTCCAGAAATGCCTGCGCCGTCAACACTCAGCTGGATCGTGTCCAGCAGCAGTTCGCCGGTGCTGAAGAGCCCCTGGCAACTCAGAACGGACCGAGCCCGAATATACCGAGCCCACTTATTCCTTGCCTGCAGACTGTCATTGGGGCTATTTCTCTGACCTCCAAGAACCAGCCCTTCTTGTCCCCCACGCGACTCGCCGACTTGCTCGCGGACCCAGTCTGGACACAACACATCGTGCCCCAGGCCGAGACTAAGCCCGACGATGAAGAGGAGTTGTCCATCCATTTATGGCTAGTAGCAGCGAAAGCGGCCATCCAAGCTTCCGGTCTGGTCATGCACACCTTACTGGACCAGACCTTACAACTTCACGAGGCGACCGACTACTGGAATGAAGTCTTAGGTTCAGTCTGGAACTGCGGCCTGTATGCGGCCCAGACTGCTCCGACTCGGCTGTGGCATTGGTCGACAGGCATTTCATCTGTTCGACTCCGCCCTGGAACACTCGCAGCACCGCCATTGAGCTCGATCGCGGCTCGATGGGCCCACTTTTACCAGATTGCCCGCCAATGTATCTCCGACTACCCATCCCGAGTTGACTGGTCGGCTCCAATTAGATCATATCGATCGGAGATCCGGAAGAAGCGAGATTGCTTGGTCGCCATGAAAGACATTCACACGAGCAGCCTCGGACTGATCATGGAAGGATGGCATGCGTTTCAGACGGAGAAATTGACGACGAATGATGCGCCTGCCTCTCTTGAGCAATGGCAGGATGCTGTATCCAGAGTTGTGCTTCTCACTGGAGCGATTGTCCACCAGGGAGCCCGTGGGTCGAATGCTTGGGAATTTCCACAACAAGTGCTGTCGACCATCGAGAATGATATGACGTCCCTGCAGATGCCAGAAAGCAAGCGTGGTTCCACTCAACAGCCTATCCACTTGATCCAACGCTTGGTGCACCTCCTGCGTGTACAACTACCAACCCATACTGCCTCCGTGTCGGCATTCATTGACCGCCACGGGCGGCCTTCGCGCATTACCCGCTGGTGGTTACCTTTCTCTGCAGTGGTCCTTTCAGGTAGCATCTCGCTCAGGATTTTGGTACATCGCCAAGCTGAAATCATGCAATGGATCATGGATATTGGCTCTACGGTACTCGACTTCGGGAGCAACTGGGTTGTGGAGCCCATCCGAAAGCTCATCGGCACAATCCGACACGATGAAAAAAGTGAGATCGCGATCATGAGCAAGAGTAGCCTTGTGGCTGATCGCGCAAGTCTCGAGCGCATGGTGATCGACTTTGTCCGAGATCGTCCGGATTCCCATAAAGGAGGGTCAGCCATGGAGGACACGGCGGCAATTGCCAACGCCGTGAAAGAAGGGGACTTGACGCCAGTGCTCCGAGCTTACGAGCGAGACTTGCGCTCACCCTTGGTCGGCACCGTCCGAGGCGACTTAGTTCGGGCTCTCTTAATCCAGATCCAGAAGACCAAAGTGGATGTCGAAATTGCGATTAGTGGTATTAATGCTCTCCTGAAAAGCCAGGAACTCGTCTTTGGGTAGGTGTCTCTAGCATGTTTTCTTTCATATTGGTCCTTCTGCCGGGGTTGCCTCCTTTTTGGTCCGGTGTCTATCTATATCCCTGCCTTCTAACATGCTCCAGTTTTGTTGGGCTTACCCCCGGAATCTTGGTCTCGTATTCCGCTCTTCGATGGCTGATCGGGCTCTCTGGTAGCCGACGAGGCTTGCGAAAAGGAAAACAGCAACACGAACTACGTCGTGGACTTCGGTAAGATATTTCCTTCCTGATAATTAACAGAACAGGTTCAAGGCTGATGGATCAGAAACGTCTCTCGAATTCTCACGTCTGCCCCCCTATCCGACGGAATCATTCCATACAAAGACTCCGGGCAACTTATTTGCGAAGCGGAAGCGCTACTACAAAAGGTCAAGGGTGTTCTTGGTGGAGTGCAATATCGGGAGTTCCGAGAGGATATCCAAGATCTGCTCGATGTCCAGAGCGGCGTGGACAGGCAGCTTCAGACTGTGGAGAGGATGCGATGGGCGTACTTTCATTAGAATCAAGATTCAAAGCTGATAGAAACCTACCCAAAGAACACACTAGTTGCATCCCGAAACCCTCCATTTAGAGCTCCATCCTGTATTCGTGTGTTGTGCTGGCTCGCCCGCGCCGAGTTGACGATGCTTACATAACCAGGCATGGATCGCAACACCGGAGCACCGTCATCACTCCACCTGATGTTGACCACTCTCCCATCCCCTCCCATCCCTTTCTCTTTTCTTGGCTGGCGGACTTTGTTTGATGCTGGATTCTGTCGCCTTGCTTATCCCTGAGACTATCTGCTTGACTTCAACGGTCTCCCTCTTCGTTCTGGTTGGCCCTTTGCACCTGTGACCCGCTGTGCTCCTGATAAAGATCCCTGGAGGCACCAAATCTCGTTGCAACTACACCAGGTAAACACGATACGCCTTTGTGTAAACCGCCTCTGCTCCCGACGGGAATCGAGCCTTCACCTCTCCCGACACACGAATCTTTCCTTCTATCCATCCGTTAAGATCTGCCACCGATCTTTCTTGTCTCCTGCCTTGAACTATCAACCCCGTGGATCCTAGAAATCGTTGAAATACTCCAATATGGCCGGCACAAGGAATTATGACTTCTTGGTGAGCATTTTTGGCGATGATATTGCCGGATGACCGTTGACCTAGAACAATCTGTTGTAGATCAAGTTGCTCTTGATCGGAGATTCCGGCGTCGGAAAGTCCTGCTGTTTGCTGCGGTTCAGCGAGGACTCATTCACTCCTTCCTTCATCACAACCATTGGGATTGATTTTAAAATCCGTACGATTGAGCTGGACGGAAAGAGAGTGAAACTGCAGATTTGGGATACGGCTGGCCAAGAGCGCTTCCGTACCATCACTACCGCCTACTACCGCGGCGCAATGGGCATTCTTCTGGTCTACGACGTGACTGATGAACGATCTTTCCACAGTAAATAACCCCCCTCCTTCTCGCCCGACAAGATTTTGTGCTTTGGGCTGACCTCCACCAACAGACATTCGAACCTGGTTCTCAAACGTCGAGCAACACGCCAGCGAAGGGGTGCACAAGATCCTGATCGGAAACAAATGTGACTGGGAGGAGAAGAGAACCGTCTCGACTGAGCAAGGTCAGCAGTTAGCCGATGAGCTTGGAATTCCCTTCCTGGAGGTCTCCGCGAAAAACAACATCAACATCGAGAAGGCCTTCTATAACCTCGCATCGGATATCAAGAAGGGCATGGATACTTCGAAAACCGAGCAAACCGGTGGCTCGGGAGTCCCTATAGACCAGGGCTCAGGCTTGAATGGTAGCACTGGAGGGAAGTGTTGCTAAACCCTGTAACACTATCTTTTCCTTTCCTTCTTTCCTCTCCGCTTTCCTTTTTCCCTGTTCCATGCCCCCCCCTCTTCCTCTCTTCCTTCCTGCCCGTGTGTCTTTCTGGTCTGTTTCTCGTTGCAATTGGTCGTTTCCTGCGCAGCTGCCACATATCCTCTTGCCCGCAATTTCTCGCGCTAAGATCTGAATGACCAGTCTCTATGAAGAGTTGGCGCCCGTTACACTCGAGTATCATACATGTCTGTCCATAGCCTGTGGCAAATTGTCCCTTTTTATTTCCCCGTCTCCCCTTTCCGTCATTCCATGCCGAGTAGTTATGATCCTGATGCCTCCTTGTGGAGGGGGACAGTTGTTTATAATTTCCCATTTCCTCCTGATACATCCTTTATACAACCCACTATTGAATGAGAGCCTCTTTCATGCTACCACACTGGCAGAAGTAATTGAGTTAGGCAGCCTCGTAATGCAGTAGGTTTCTTTGCTGGTCACGATCTCCCAATCTCCCATTGGTTGCCTCACATCAGCTGAAAATCTAGGAATGGGCCCCGAAAGGTACTACTACTTCAAATGTACTCGAACGAATGTCCAATATACTTGAATTATCCACATCGACAGGATCGGTACTTGTGTCACTCCAATCCACCAGGCGTCCTCCGGCCCACTTTTATTTTTTTTAGGGTGCATTATCAACCCGCCGATAAGATCCACACTGTCGTCGAAATGCGATCGGTTTCTGTGCTTTCCCCCACTCCGAATTCTTCCTACTCGTGGAAGGATCGATGAACTTCTTTTGCCTTGACTGTTTAATATTGTGGACGTCCAAGAACGCTTTTTTCTCCCGCGTGCTTCTGTGACCCTGCAAGCACTCTACTCGAGCCTTGCGCTTCGGGACCTGCAGCCTCCCCCGCTGAACGACCACCTCGAGACAAACCGGCACGAATCGACTTTGGCAACCACAATCCATGGCGCTTTGAACTAGAAGCCCGGAAAAATATTTCAACCCACAGCTCGTGCCATCTTGTCCCCTATACGTGAAACACTTCCTGCTTCGCTCAACCGGATTCACACCATGGCCGACGTTCGCAGTTTTACCGTTCGACCGTTGTCCAAACAGGCTCGAAGTGATTTCAAGGATGCTTTTCGTGTCTATCTCTCATCGTCTTCCTTGGCTGCCTTGCGACTCCGAGCCGATGATTTGTGCACCCTGAGTTCGGCAGAAGGAGCCCCGAAGACAGCGATTGCCTGGACTGCGGTGGAAAATATACAGAATACGGTCGTGCAAACCTCGAGAGCCCTTCAAGACTGCTATGGAATCAAGGTTGGCGAGAAAGTCGCCATCACCAAAATCGACGGTGCTTTGGACGACATCACATCCATCACTTTAGTTGATTGTTCAGACCCAGAGAAGATCACGAAACATGGTCCGATAGCTGCGGAAGACCGATGCCATTGGGAATGGGCTCTGGAATTCCAATTTTTGAGATGCGAGGTTCTCGCAGTGGGCTTGGTTTTCGAGCTAGATCTCAAGGGTCAGCGTCGAAGTTTTCGGGTGGCCAATATACTCGCGCAAGGCTCGAGCGTAAGTCGTACGGTTTTTCGGTTCACCACTGCTAGCAAGATATCCATTGGAACAGAAACGGCAGAGGTCGAGGAGCCTTCTTCTCGCATCTTCGTCCAGCCTGTAGGCCTTGGTGGTCTCTCGCGGCAGGTTGATGATATCAACGAAAGCCTGTCCGACTTCAACACCGATGGACGGAAACCAGTGATGCCATCGTTCTATGAGCATAATCGGGGAATTCTTCTCTACGGCCCCAAGGGGACGGGTAAGACGACATTATTGCAACAAATTGAGAAAGCTGGCTGGAGACAAGTCTTCAAAATTGGTACATCGTCTCTCGGTCGAAGCATCAGCGAGGGCGAAGTCAAGCTTCGTAATATCTTCCAAGAGGCGGCTCGGGCCAAACCCAGTGTTATTTTAATCGATCAATTGGAATTTATCGCCCCGAAAAGATCTTCTATCGAATCTCAGTCACTTGCATCTATTTTATGCGAAAATCTCGATGCGCTTCGAAGCGCCTCGGTTCTGGTCGTGGCGGCAACTCGGCATCCGAACCACGTTGACGATGCACTCCGAACACCTCATCGTTTCGGAACCGAAATCGAGCTTCAGGTTCCGACTGCCCAGGATCGTGCAGAGATTCTCCGAGCGATTCGCGGTCCGGTGTCTGCCGGATTAAGCGATGAACTCATCGATCTACTTGCAGAAAAGACCCACGGCTATGTCGGAGCCGACCTCTTCGCTTTACTTCAACTCATCTGCCGAAAGGCTCGGCAGCGGCATTTACTTGAGCATGAATCCACGAGCCTACCAGATCAGCTATCGTCCCTTGTTTTGAACCCGCCTCCGGACAGCAATGACACAGATAGGGAGATTCGAGTCAATCTACTCATCCGTGAAGCCGACATCTGGGCTTCCTTGCAGGAAATCCGCCCTACCGCTATGCGTGAAGTCTTCCTAGAGACACCAAAGGTCCGGTGGTCGGACATTGGAGGACAACATGACATCAAAAAGCGCTTGCAGCAGGCGGTAGAGCGACCCCTGAAGGTACGGCGCCCTATTCAGATTGTGCCTTGTTCGCTCTCTTCACAAATACTCCCCCTGTCTCCTTTTCTTTCTTTCTTTCTTTCTTTGATGAGAAAATTTGAAGATATACTAAGTAACTTTCATAGCACCCCGAACGAATGCGCCGACTCAATGTGAAAAGCAAAAAGGGAGTTCTCCTTTATGGACCCCCGGGTTGCTCTAAGACACTTACCGTCAAAGCATTGGCTACGGAGGCTGGGTTGAACTTCTTAGCTGTTAAAGGCGCCGAAATTCTGAGCATGTACGTTGGTGAATCCGAGCGCTCGCTGAGAGAGATCTTCCGCAAGGCTCGAGCGGCCCGGCCCAGCATCATATTTTTCGACGAGATCGACGCCATTGCTGCACGACGCAGTAGCAATGCGCAGGGAGGCGTCAACGTGCTGACCACACTACTAAATGAGATGGATGGTATCGAAGAGCTGCGCAATGTTTTGGTTGTTGCAGCAACTAATAAGCCGGACGTGCTGGACCCAGCCCTCATGCGTCCTGGCCGTTTGGACAACATTTTGTATATTGGCCCACCTGACTTTGAAGCTCGGAAAGAAATTCTACGAATCTGGGCAAGTAAGTCGGTGCTTCACCCAGATGTCGACCTGGACGAATTGGCTTTACGCACCGAAGGTTATTCTGGAGCGGAAATTGTCAGCATCTGTGAAACTGCTGGCGATGCCGCTTTGGACGAAGAAGAGGATACACAACAGGAGCTTGATGTGCAATGGAGGCACTTTGAATACGCCTTGGGCCAAGTTCGCCGGCAGATCACTCCTGCTGTCATCCAGGAATATGAGGAATGGCGTGACGCGCAGAAATAAAGAGCTGAACGAGGTAAAAGATGACTTACGGCCCCGGATATATACCCTATACACCGATATATAGATAGACAGACCAACAATGCCATAAGTAGACCATGACAGGATCACCTATCCCTGATGTGATGCAAGAAGAAGGCAGAAGTAGGCACCAAAAACAGTCGATCGAAATCCGCTCCTTCAACTGGCCCCTTCCCACGTGACTATATGAAAGGTGATTACCAAATGCGGCTAGTGCGTCCCAACTGTGGTGCCCTTGATGGATCGTTCATCTTCGTTGTTCGAACCGACTTTCTCCAACCCATTCACATTCATTCCCCAAAGCTCCAGATACCTTTCTTCCGCGCGTTCACACTACCTGTCAATGATCAGTCGCTCAATATCCTCTTCTATCTGCCTCCGCAGCCACTTTGGGTCTCTCTAAACTAGACCTTCATTTCTACCCTCTTCGAATATTATCAGGCTTCTTCGATCAACCTTGTTACAATCCCGGTCAATTCGCAATCTCCCCCGCAAACTTTCTACCCTTCGTGTACACCATGTCTCTGGCATCTCCCCGGGGTCATTCGCCCATCAATTCACCAGATCGCAGCAGAAGGCGATCCCGTTCAATACGTCGCTCCAGATCCCCCAGGGAAGATTCCCACCCGCGAAGTGTCACAAAAAGCCCGCTAGCCACTCGGGAATCAGAACGTCATGGCCATCGAACCAGAAGCAAGACCAGATCGTTTTCTCGTGGTCGATCCCGCTCTCCTAGTCGCTCCAGAGGAGGGCGACGTTACCGCAGTACAAGCTATAGCCGGTCCCCTAGTCCCCATAAGAATCTGCCACGGAGTGCAAAGGTGAGTGTATAACACAAACTCAACCCGAAGACCTGAAATGATCAAATAGACTGATCTCCAGTCGCCTTGAAAGATCGTGGTAGAAAAACTAACGAGGAACGTCACGGAAAACCACCTGCGTGAGATATTTGGTAGCTTTGGGGACATTGAATACCTTGATCTCCCCATGAATCGCGCTTGTAAGAGGCTCCTTTCCCCCAAATTTGGATACCATCGGAGTCCCATACACGCATCGATTTGCCTCAACTAACGTATTCTAGTCATGACAAACCGAGGCACTGCTTATATCCTGTATTACGACCCTGCAGACGCGGAAGCAGCTATTTCTCACATGCACGAAGCCCAACTGGATGGCGCTATCCTAAATGTTTCAATTGTTTTACCTCGGCGAAACTTTTCTCGATCCCCTCCTCCGGCATCTCACAGGGGCAATGGTGGCCGAACCCGGTTTGGAAGGGGATCGTATGCGAATTCACCACCGAGGAGACACGGCCGCGTACGACCTGCCGAACGCCATGATGATGTATACCGACCTCAATCAATCTCACGATCTCGATCGCGATCGCCTGTCCGTCCTCGATCGTACTCTCGTTCCCGATCCCCACTCCGGAGAGGCAGTCATCGTCCGGAGAATCCGAGGCAGCGTCGGCGACGGAGTCCGAGCTATAGTAGCTATAGCACTCGCAGTGAGAGGAGTCGGAGTCGGAGCAGGAGCCGAAATCGACAACACTGAAATCCACGGGAATTCGCTTGTCTTTGAACATCCGACTCCTCACACGATATCTTAATCATCTGAACGTGAAAAATAAGTTATGCTCTATTCAAGATGTTTCCTCATGAATCTAAAGACATATATCTCATCAAGTCTGTTTCTGTGCAGAGATTCAATTTAGTTAATGATTTCGTATCGCCTTAAAAAAAAGGCCAAGTAATTTCAAATGTCTTTACTAGTCCCATCCTAATATTGTGATAACCCATTTGGCAACGCCCAGTAAGCCTGGGGCGATTAGTTCTTTGTTGTAAATAAGAAACTAATGGTTTTTCCAGGACAAGCAAATTGGCGAGCCGCTTCGGCATTGACAAGAGAGTTCTTTAAGTTGTGTATTTGACGGGGAAAGTGTGAGTGTTATCTCAATAAAGAGCTGTTGTTTCCTATATTCTGCCTAAAAGAACGCGCACCACCCTATATACATCGAAGCAAGGTTTTTCTTGTCGGTTGCCTGCATAATAAGTTCATCGACCTGCCCATCCACGGAAAGTGGAATAGGCTGTTTTGACATGAAACCACGAAGCTTGTTCCGGACATCCTCGAGTACGCCCGCTGGAGTATCAGGGAAATTACTGTGATTCCGACGCTGGAAATTTAGAAACCAACGTTAGCCGACTATTCTAACTTTCGTGAGAAGCCATTGATCAAACTCACTCGTTTCCCAATGAAGTCTGTGGTGGGGTCATGCAAGAAAGTCTCAAGAACGGTCATCAACGCATCTTCGTTCTGTCGTAGGAGGCCAAGGGTGATTTCACAGGTCCTCCGGAAGGGCCCTACGCAATGAATTAGCATAAAGTCTACCAAATAGAATATCGCTGAAAGCCTACCGTTGTATCCGTAGGAACCAAATGCATCAATCATGTTATGTGTTAGGCGGAATGGAACAACCTCTGGTTTCTCAAATGTTTGTCCCTATTGAGATGAGTATGGGATGATTAGGTGCTAGGGCTCATGACTTACCTTGTCGAATAGACAGTTGAAATCGACATGCAAAATGCCACCTGTTCCTTCTTCAAACAGCAGGTTCTCGCCATGTCGGTCGCCCAGACTATCGCAGAAGGTTATAAGCACAATAAATTCCTAGTGAATCAAATAGGCAGACCAAAAATGATAAGAGAAAAGGAATAGAGGATCTATCCTGATACATGCAACATACCCTAGGACATATCCAACCATTGACATTACGGCCGAAGATCGCGTATAGCGTAGCCTTGCTGTGAACCAGGATTCGGTCTCAGGAAACATCTCGATGAACCATTCATGAAGAACAGCAGGGAGTCTAGCTGATCGTTAGCAAGGGCCACCTGGAATTAACGTAGACAGAGAGCCTCACTTTGCTAGGACCTTTGTGGTAAATAGAGAAAGCTTGGAAAATGACCGATCTGCACAAATATCATTCAAATGATGCCTGATCTCGTTGTACTGTTCCGCTCAAAAACATATTAGTCCGACTAGACCTTGCGATCACATAGATTATCATGCGTACATTCGGCGAGACTCCTCTTTCACGCAGCAATTTGATGATGATATCCCTCAGTGTTCTGAGATTGTCGACCCATTCGATGAGACCACATTCCTCGTTCAAAGGAGTTACCGCATAAGTTTTGATGTCTATTGTCGATTAGATTTAACGGGCCTGGAAGACAGATGCACCACTACTCACACATGCGTCGCTTGCTTGACTCGACATCTCGTTTCAAGAACCGATTAATCATATTGTTGAACTCCATGAGACGTTGGTCCTTCCGTAAATCATCCTTAGGTTTACAAAGTGCGTTATAAATTTTTCCGTCCGATCCCCGGATGCTGATCTTGCGAGGTTTTTGAAGGGAGTTCAAGATCTGCGCTTCGTCCAAGACAGCTGAGTACAATTAGTATGGTTTTATGAAGAAGTAATACGTTCGACTTACCCTCTATTGTGGTTGGGTCTCGTGGGAAGGGCCGAAACCCTTTCAAGTATTCAGAGTCATGACTGGCAGGGAGACTAGGTATCAACATTGCCTGGAATGGCACGACCAGGCGACATGGGGCAACTTTATGGTTGAATCCTAAACTGCGAGCGAGATTTACTCGCGAAACCCTGTCCTCAACACGTGCCAGGCACAACTGCAACAACTCGTCTGAGAATCTCTGACCTTGATGGACCATACGGCGGATGTCTAGATGTTTCGAGTCGGTCTTGTGCCTGCTGCTGTATTCTTGGATTTTGGTGAGACAAATTTGACCCTTGAGGGCTCGGTCTTTGTTAGAAGACTTGACGACCGCAAGGACTGTCCAAAGGCCTTGCTGCGGGAAGTTATGGACGGCTTTAATCACAATTCGCGTCAGTAAATCGTACACAGTGCTGTTTGGGTGGCAAATTCGAGCCACCACCTGAGGTAATATCGTGAACAGCTATTATCATCAGTATATGGCTCCAGGATGTAAATTAAGTGTCAAAGTCGACTTACTAGAGCAGGTTGCAGGCGAGAAGAAATGTATTTTTTGAGTTGAGAATGCATTTCATCCAAGCTCTTTTGTCGCTGGGCTTTGGTGTGTCGTTGAAATTCTCTAGTTGTGTTTGGATTTAAATATTAGCATGAGTCTATAGAATTGGAAGCGATGGATGGATAGCTTACTCATTGTCCCCTCGTTTTGGATCAATTGGCTGGTCCACGATAGAGGCATGTTCTAGCCAAAGGGTCAAAAGTTTTGGCAGCGTCTGAAATACATATTTGCTTCCATAGGTTAACGAACGAAGATAGTTGTCAATCACAAGCTTTGTGGCCTCTCCACTCAGACTGTAACACGTTAGCGATATATCATCAGTAGATGGTTATCGATGCATACTAGATTTGAGCTTCTTTGCCCATTGGTTTGGATTTTTCAGAGTCAAGGATCTTGTTGTAGTGTTTTCCCAAATAGTAGTGCGCCTTTTCCCACCTACATTTATAATTAGTTCGTCGTCAAAACAATGAGATTTGTCAAGTGAGACCAACCTCGGATACAGTTTGATAGCTTCGCGATATCGTTGAACGATTGCTTGGGAATGGGTTTGACCTGCTCTGTCTGTCCATTTTGCCAACAAGAGGTGTGCCTAACCATCTATATTAGTGGACGGCTGATTGTCTCAGCATATGATGGATGAGACATACCCGAGCAGCGGTTTCGTTTTGATGTTGCCCACGACCTGAAAGGAACGAGACCGACTCAGAATCGACTGCACCAGATGTGGTTGAGTTCAATTCATTGGCAGATATTGCGCCTTCCAAGGTTTGAATGGCTTTTCGGTGGTGTCCATCTTTCCAAAGAAGTCTGGCGTGCTCAATCGTAGCTTCCCGATCTTTCAACCGAGCTGCATTAAGCATCGAGTGATAAGCTTGATAAGTAAAATTGCCCTTTCGCGATAAGCGAGTACTAGTGATCCAGGCAGCCGAAATTTCAGAGTGGCCAAAATCGCCCCTAAAGAATCTGTCAATAAGCAATCTAGAATTCGTAAGGCAATTCCACCCACGCTAGTTCCATTGCAGCTCGTCTAAGTCCCAAAAGGTACTGCTTATCGGAAAGATAACCGCCTAACACATCTAAACGTCGATCCAAGGCATCCAAAAGGGTTGAAGGTAACTGAGAATTGGGACCTCGTGCCTTGGCTATCGCTTCCATATCCGCCAATGCATGTAGCCGGAGCATATCGTCATGGCACGACTGTAAAGAGCCCGCGGAATTAACTGTCAATGACTTTGCTATGCTGAGCCTGAGCTTGCTGATGATTTCTGCGAATTTTTCGGAATCGTTTTGTCGAAGGCAATTGAGAGCCGATCCGATACCAACATTGAAGTCGCCGGCCGCTTGCTCCGCGCATGACTCTAGATATTCTTGTAGCTTGCCCCATCTGCCGGTTATCCATGATGCTTCTACTGCAAATGGCAAAAATCGAGTAGCAGCGGACTTGTTACACTTAAGGACCTCAAAACGAGTCAAGATTGCATCTGTGAGTCATCAGCAAAAGTCCGTGGGCGCTAAGCCTGGTAATTGGTTAGTTACCTTGTTGGCCGGATTCTTTTAGGCAAGTTACAAGATTCCACTGAGCGTCACCATTGTCTGGTTCCTTCTCAAGCTGCAATTCATACCAACTTTGAGCAGTTGCCCATCTTCCGGCCTTCCGGTGCTCCAAGACCTGCTGGTCAATATTAAGCGCGGGCAAGTGGCTTGAAATGCCTTCAATTCCATCCGGTTCATCAATTTGGCTGTAGATATCCTGCAGCCTTTGGTACAGTCCCTCAGTGCTGGAAAGCTCACTTGTAGTCACTTGTGATCTGCATTTGCGGATGTATTGCTCCCAGTGGAAAAGAGCCCTGGAAAATGATTTGCATTCTACAGCTCGTTTTGAAATGACTTCAGGCGGAATTGAAGCAAGTAGGGTTTCCACAGATTTGATTTGAGATGCGTATTTTTCTTGCAAAGGATCTCGGCCTGGTTCTTTGTGGGATCGGCTTGAGTGATATGACTGATTATTTGGGCTATTCAATTCCTTCTTTTTACCCTGAAGCCACCGCGAAAGGTAGTCCAGGACCGCAAAGACACTCTGTACACGATATGGTAGATCAGTATCAATAAAAATAGATGGTCCCCCCCCATTCCCAAGACAAACATACCTGACTGCAGCTGATGATCGTTTCCCGGACATGATTGTTCGTTTCGGGAAGTGGATGAGAAAGAACATTCATCAATTCCTGTTGGAGATTCTGTAGCTCCTGCTCGGTACCCCCAACGATACGGTTCAAAACTGCAAAAGGTAGAAGAAATGAGGAAATGGAGATGTCTTGGCCTTTGACGACACGACTGCATACTGCGAATACAAGCTTTGCGTTGTCGCCGTTGCCTGTTTGAAGTAGATCTTGCACTAGACTTCGAAGCCACTCGCTATGTGTGACTTGGGGGGATAGCAAGGGGTACTTCGCTTTCGAGCTATTTGCAACAACAGTAACTGTGTATGTTGAAGTGAGGAATGGCGTGAGTGTATTGCGAACACTTTCCGGAAGCTCCATCCATCGTTGATACTTTTCATCTCCTTGAATATCGCGAGTCCGTTGGGTGGCAACCACGTTGAGTTTGCAGATTTTGAGAAGACCCTGCATGGCGTATGCCAAAAACCCCTGTGCTCGTGTGTTAGACGCAGATAAGAAGGCTTCAACAAGTACATTCTGGAGAAAGAAAAGAATGAATTCCACAGTTTCTTCCATTCGGTCGAAATTAGACAACACAAGGATATCCATTTTCTCCTTGATAGTTTCCACTCGATTTGGATCCAGACAGCCAATGAGACCTAAACACTGGGCTGAAAGCAGAGTAATGCAGTCGGAACTAGTGTTGAATTTGACGCAGCAGTCTAGTAGTGCTCTCGTCAACTGAGCAATTACAGGATCAGGCTGTTCGCTGAGGACAGAAATATGAAGAAAATCCTCATTCTCCGACAGGAAAGGGATCAATTCTGTGAGAGTCTGTTCAACGACGGTGGCATTCTCGCTTTGACAGCGGCGAATGAGCGCTAGAAATTGACTTCGGACGTCCATTTGGGCCCGTAAATCGTTGATCTTGTGATCCAAAACCGCCATTTCAGGGATGGACGCCAGTGAGGGCATGGTGTTAAATGTATCACGTACAAGGCTTGGGTGATTCGTTAAAATATGGTCAATGAGCTGATAAGCATGTTTCTTGCTTTCCTCCATTAGTCGTTCCCAGTATCTGATCACGATTGCCCAGGTTTGATCAATCAGGGGTTCAATATCTTCCTCGTTGAGAGAACTAATTAATGTCTTCCAGGCCGAGAATGCATGGTCGCACAATTCTTCAATTTCAAGTGCAGACCGTAGACAGGCGCAGACCTGAGGTAAAGCATTACTGACATGACCTTGCGCAATATTGATCATTTCTTCAATGGCCTTCAAGTTTCTTCGTTTTTCAGCCAAAGTTTGTCTAACTTGAAAGTCATTGATTGCATTGGCAAATTGGGTGATTATTCCCAAAACATGCTCCTCAATGAAATGACTCAACAGATCTGATTTTTTCAAGGAACTGCCATGCGAAAATTTTCGCGGCACAAAGATCGCCAGACGTTGAAGCGCTTGATGGAACTGATTTGACTTTTATCAGACTTGCTCGCGATTTGTTGAGTGGGAAAGAGAGGCCAAGGAGAACGGGACTTGGAGATGCGAAGAAGACAGCGAACACTTACTCTCTCTTTATTTTGGTCACCGGCATCACCGAGACTCTTGAGCAAATCACAAGCAATGAGAATTGGTTCAATCCGCACTAATTCAGCCAGTGTTCGGCCTCTGAATGCAGGATCGATATCTGCAAGAAGGGACATGATCATGGCTTCGGGGTTATCAGATTGCTGGGCTAGGAGGAAAGCAAGAATTGCTGCAAGATTATTCTTTTCAGAACAGACGTCAAATGGAGATTCGCCTTCATTACGGGTTGCTCCAATTCTGGAGATGATGTCCCGTTTTCTGGTCAAGACAAGATATGGGAGAACATAGACTTCTGTCAACCGTAGGAAGCCATCGACCTTCATACCAAGAAGATCACAAAGCTGCTCAGCCATATGTGGGCGCGACTGGAGATTTTTGACAACTGCCACGGAAAGGGTTCTCCAGTAAGGTCGAAATAATCCAGCGGGTGTCAAGGCAAAATATTGTGCAAGTTTATATAGCTATGGTAGGTAAATATGACTCAGTAATCCAGCATTTCAAGATATAGTGTATATGTTGAGAGGAGGCTTCATGGTAATAAATTTGACACTGTATAGTTCTTAATTACTCACCTCGTTGTATGCTGTCGCACAGACATAAGGGTTTGGATGACCCAGGTACTCTATGAGACGTAGCAGGATGATATTTTTCTCATCATCATCCGACATCCTAAAATAGGTGCTTCCCTCAGTTGAGGCTCAAAAAGATCTAGATAGGAGTTTATCAACGAACCTTGCAAGCCGACTCAGTGACAGAACACATGTCTCCTGTAAAGGCATTTCATCTTTTTCAGCAAGATTTTTAAGCCATTCCAGAAGGATCACAAAATTTGCTCGACGGACTTCCAAAGGAAAGTTTCGACGCACGAAGGCCACCACCGTGTACCTTGAATTGAAATTTAGCCATATGATTAAAAGCCGGAAAGCTATACTCGGACCTACGCTGTTGCAACTCGAAGCTCTCGAATGGAACTGCGAAGGGAATGCAGACAAAATTCCCCACAAGGAGAAGACGAAAGATGTGTCTGGTCTAAACTAGGCGAATGCATCAAAATTCGCCTGAGAGCAATCATGGCAGCCACTCGTGGACCAGGGGTGCGTGTGAGCTTTGGTAAGACCAAATCAAATATATTCCACACGTTCTCATAGTCAAAGAGACTATTGTCCGGCGCGATTTCGAGTCGATTCTGTTCATCATCACATACATGGCAAGAATAATTGCCATGGGCGATGAGGTTTGATGGTTTTTGTATCGAGGCGCCTGCCATGAGACAGGGAAGTTTGCCGAAAGCTTCCCAAAAATCAGCCTTTTGGGGCTCGGGAAGCCCACTATATGAATGTCTGTTATTGATTAGAAGTGTTGGTTTGAAGTCCAAACAATTCTTCAATCAAGCATTTGCACTCACCCCATAGCAGCGTATAGACCACCTAAATTCTGTACCTTATCGCAACCTAACAAAAAGGAAAGCCGTTCTAGAAGCAATTGAGTCAGGCTGTGGACGGACGGTTCAGCAGGCAGACATAATCGTTTGGGTGCTCGTATTTCTGGATCTGGCTCCAGACTTTGGTCCATGGGACCAGGTCGTTGACTAGCTGTAGATGGGTCGACCTCTATAGGCGCCGAGGCAGTACCAGAAAGAGGGTGGGTTGATTTCGCTACAGTCAGAAGGTCGGATTGCAGAGCATTGACAGAATTCTATCTTACAATTAGTAACGTTTCGGTGCCTCGGGATGCAAAGTGATCATTACCCAGAAACAATTCTCAATAGACCGGGAGTTTGAGTCTTTGCCCTGGACATCAGTCAGAGCAGGAAGAAGCAGTTCTTTCAATTGCTGTGCAAATATCGCAGATGACTTTATCGTTACTGCTGTCTCATCCAAAATCTGGCTAATATCGATCTGGAGAGCCGAGAGCCGGTGGGTTACACTGAGGAACATGAATTCGCTCAGACACTGAGACCAGGTGAAGGATAAATTCATATCGGCCATCATGGAATTTGAAGGTGACTTGGAAACACATAGACGGTGTGTCAAGGCCAGGAATTGCATGAAGACATGCTCTTCGGCCAGAGCAACCTCCACCCCCGAGTTTTGTATCCATCTGACAAGGACCTTTCGTAGACGGGTTACCCCATTCATCGCCCACGGGAGGTTCTGATGGAGTGCGAAATTGGGACGCTTTGTAGCACTCTGATCCATTGTGTTGGGGCTAACGGAATTCAAAAGACTCAAAGCCAGAGAAGCTGCTTGAGAAAACGACCCAAGCGCGATATGTTTCTTCAACAACGCACGGGGGACATTCAAGGTATCTAAATCCAACAGAATAGACCCAGTGGCCGCCGGCATGGTTAGTTTAAGAGAACGAAGATTTCGTAAATAACCACCATCCTGGAAGGCTTCCAGCGAACACAATATGTCTGTCACTCATTAGCTCGATTCATGTACTTTCAGGAAAGGACAGGAAAAAGAAACAAAACTTATAGCCGTACCTGACATGCAAGCTCGAAGAAAGGCCGAAATGGCATTATGTGATGGTGATGGCCGGGATTGTCTGTATTGATGGCATGCCATGCTATTCAAGACCATGTGAATCTTTTGCTGGATTCCTCTGGAACTCCACATGCCGGCTAATCTGATCAGGCGCAGAATGAGCCATGCGAACAGAGGTGCATGAACATCCTCGCCTAAGATGAGAGGGTCAGAGGTATCCCAGAGAGCCTGCGGAGCCTTCTCAATGCTGGCGAGGATGATATCCAGGCAATCCTGGACTTGTCCTTCCAGGTCCTCTTCGGGGGTGCTATCGGCAGGACTTGCTTCGAGGCCCGCCTTGAGCACGATGCATACTAATTTGTTAATATCGGTGATACCCTCATCCACGCGTACTTGGCTGTGTCTTTCTCCCAATAGTTCTTCACGAAGTTGTGAGAATGCTTCTCGGGATAGTCGGTGTGCTTCATGCCCTTGCCCTTGGGATGCTAGGCGCGGGGCGAGGTGTGTCGCCAGGATAGACGAAGCCGGCTCAGCAGCTCTCGATCCATAGCCCAACACAGGACCCGGAGGATTATTCCCAGCTGCCATAGGGAGCGGACATGACCACTTGGTACCGAATCCAGGGAGCAGTATGGTAGCGACAAGGTGCTGCAGAAACGCGGCGTGGATGGTAGGTCGCGGACACCTGAGGCACCACTTGGTCCCCCACCGAAAATTGGGAACGACTCGGAGAGCCGGAAGAGATTTACGAAGAAACTCTCAAAGAGGAAATCAGAGGAAAGCGAAGAAGTTCTTGTTGAATCAAAGATGGTATGGAGCAGCCCGGTCTGTTCGGGTGAAAGTCGGTAGCATTGGTGGTTTTGTAGTTGATAGTTCGTAGTAGCGTCGGAGGCCGTCGACTCTTCTATGGAGCTCGCACCTCCTATTCGAGCATGTATGTCCAACATCCCGCAAAACAGCGATTAAGGAACCAAGAAACACATTTCTATTTCTTTCAGAAGACCAGCTAAACACCCAAGTTATCACAAAGTAGTAATAACTGGGACTCATTGAGGAAAAACAACCCTGGAACGGTAAGAGCTGATTGTCAGGTCCTGGCGCACGATTGAAATTTCCAGCTTTTGCGCTTCACCACTTCTTCTCTTTATCTCGCCTCAACTCCTTCTTTCCCGCGCTCACGGAGTACAAGCGCCATAATTTTTGCTCTTGTCGTCGTTTTTCAGCCGGAGACCAAGACCTCTGCCCCTCCTTCGCAGAGCAAGAGAAAGATGGATCAATCGATCACAGAACGTGAAATCATCCCTGCCGTGGGAGAGGACTCCAAGCATGCCCACTTCATGAAACAAGCGCTGTTGATGGTAAAATTCCCGCGTCTATGAAGACTCTTCCAGCTACTGACCACAGAAAACTTCAGGGAGAGAAAGCTCTGGAATGCGGAGAAACACCCGTTGGATGTGTACTCGTCTACAACGACCAGGTTGTGGGATCGGGAATGAACGATACTAACCGATCTATGAATGTTGGTATCCTTTAAACAGGCTGTTTGTGTTTATGGGAATTAGAGATACCATACTGATGAGCAAGCTGCAGGGAACCCGCCATGCTGAATTCATCGCCATCGCCGAACTCCTTCAGAGCTATCCCAAGTCTATTCTCCAGCAAACTGATCTCTACGTGACAGTGGAGCCTTGCGTAATGTGTGCATCTGCCCTTAAGCAATACCAAATTCGAAGTGTCTACTTTGGCTGCGCCAATGATCGGTTTGGTGGCACAGGGGGCGTCCTATCACTTCATTCTGAGTCCGTCCTTCCTTCCCCACCCCCCAAGCCAGTTTGAATACTCACTAAGATGCAGCGCATCGATTGATCCCCCCTACCCGGTGTATGGAGGCTTATTCCAGAAAGAAGCCATAATGCTACTCCGTCGTTTCTACATTCAAGAAAATGAGAAAGGTTGGTCTGGACGGACGTGAACTCATGTCAATGAAATATGACTTGCTAATCTCTTGGACAGCCCCCAACCCTCGACCGAAGAAGAATCGCGAGCTGAACACAACTTTCGACGACACAGAGGATCTTGCGGCAACATCGTGAAGGAGCATCAATTCGATTGTGCTAGCGTCCCTAGCCTTAAGTCCACATGAGTATCTTACTTGGCGTTGAACGGTGATTTTTTTACTTGGGCATATGGGCTTCTTAATCAGAACAAAAAAAGCGTTTTTTTAATGAAAACTGCGCCTTAGGATAGAGAAAAAAAACACAACTAGGATATGTGTACAAAAAAAGAGAGGCGTGCAACCCCTTGCCCAACTTTCATGGACAAGGACGCGGGGGATAGAAACAGTCAAATCTTGAGAGGGATCATGCGGAGCCAGCTTTGCCCAATCTCTCTGTTTCCAATTCGCGCTCCGCTTGTTGGTAATATTTAGCAGTGTCAATTCCGTGCTGAGAGAAAGAGTTAGCACCACACAATTCTGAAGATAAGGGAAGGAAAATTTACCTGGTCGTGGTTGACGACATTGAACCACGGCAGAACGTGGATGAACAACTCGGAGTACCGAGAGTTCCGGGCAGCAACACCCTGAAGGTATGAAGACACCTGGGAGGTGCCATACAAGGGCTCGCCCTTCTTTACCTTGTCGACCATCTCCCGCATATCCATCTCAACCTCTCTGGTGTTCTCGGTGAATCCGTAGAAGCGTTCTAGGGAAGAGTTAGCACCTCAATCTGGGGATATGGGAGGACGAACATACGGCAAGACCGCTGGTACATGATATGGAGGCCACCGAGGAAACCGACAGCGGTTGCGAGGCGCATCACGGGGGCAAAGCCACCCCGGCCCACATGCGACGGGCTCACTCGCTCCATGACCCAGAAGGCAATGGGAGAGACTGAAGCCATACCACCAGCCACAGCGTAATCAGAAGGTCGGGCATACCCAAACACTCGTCGCAGGTGCCTGATAAAATTAGAAAAATGTGAGTTTCAATTCAAGGATATGTCAGGATCGGCTTGGTCGGATTCATACGGGTCGGAGTCGATCAGCTAGTAACGGTCAGTCAGACAGGCCCTGACAAGTAATTCGAAGGGTCAATGCATACCGGGTAGTCAGTCACCGCCCGCTTGGGGGGTACAATGGCCGTGCTGTGATCGGAAGCCATGATGCAGTTGGTGGGGATTGTTGTGCAGAGTCGACGTTCGAAGTTCGGAAGTTGGAGGGAGTATGCCACTAACCCGCTTTAGACTTAGCGCTGTCCGGGCGGACAGCGCCCCCACGGCCAATCACATGGCTGATTACTCGGCGCGTCTCAAAGCGGTCGACGCGCTTGAACTGCATGGACTGCTCAAGCTGATCGAGCGACTCTACCTTAGGACGAGACTCAGTATCTCAAAAGCAGCATTCGTCTATCTTTCCAATCGACGTAAAGGGACCCTTTGAAGTTGTGCTTTTTATTGAAATATACAGATTTTCTCAGCTCTCACAATGGACACCACTCTGGACCAGACGAGGTCTCCCGATAATGTGAACGACCTTTTTGACTACGATGTGGGATTGGATGAGATTTTCCAAGCAAAGGCCGTTTCCAATGCCGATTCCTCTAAACCCACAACTGGCAATTCTGCCGCACTGGGGCTGGGTCTGGATGAAGAAGTTAAAGTGACGAAGAAACGGCAACCAATCGCGAAATTGGATGAAGAACGGTAGGCAGCTGACGGGATCTTTATAAGATAGAATGCATACTAACAACCTGCTAGTCTTCTATCACAGTCGGGGATTCCGAAATTACGGCACATCGCGAAGCAAAAGCTCAGGTTCAAGGGCAAAGGGCACGAGGTAGGTCAATGGCCTGACGGTATGGGCAAGGCAAAGATGACTGACCAGATTCTTGCTTCTTCAATAGTTTTCGGATGCGGCACGGCTTCTGAGCTTCTACCAGCTCTGGCTTGACGACTTGTTTCCACGCGCAAAGTTCGCAGATGGGTTGACTATGATAGAGAAGCTGGGACATACGAAGCGTATCCAAACAATGCGCCGGGAATGGATCGAAGAAGAGAAGCCAAGGCGATTGGGTGATCATGAACCCTTACATTACTTGTCAGATGGAAAGGCTCTCCCAATCAAGGCTTCTTCGGATTACCCTAGTGCCGGACATGCAGAGCCCCAGGATCAACCCTCAGAAAGACGACCGCAACACACAACAAGCACGCCAGGGATAGCAGACCAAGATCTCTTCATGCCGGATCCGGAGGGACAAGCAAGACCACTCATCAGTCATCCTGAATCAGATTATGATGATCTTGATGATCTTCTTCGGGAGCAAGATGATTACATGTCTGGGGAACCTGATCCAGTCGGAAACGCACCCAACACAGATGCCGATAGTTTTGATGCTGAATACGAAGCTATGCAGGAATTTGGGATGTAAAATAGCCATTATTCTTTGCAAAGTTTTCTTTTAATGACAATCATGATACTCTTGATGGACTGAAACACTCTTCTTACTTCTTGGAAGTGGAAGAACTGGTTGAATAAAATTGCAGAAAAGACGAACCATATTATTTTAACATGTCTGGCGATATTGAAAGGGTAGAGTAAAGTTGATAAGGGTACGCCGAGCATTGAGAAAAAATCTGCAGAAAATAAAAAGAAGCCCTCTCAACTATATCACACATGTAATACCAAAATAAGGTTGGCCAACAGGATCGGAAGCGAAAATCAAATTCATGCGTTGAAGGCATCGGTGAACACGGAGAACTGGCCACCGGCTCCAGCCCAAATAAGCTTTCGTCCACGAACAGCGGTATTGTCAATGATCGTGGCCACCTCAATATCATCCTGGGTGCCTTGGCCGGTCTGGTATGTAGCTGAGAAACCCCAAGACCAAGCGCGACCCTCAGCATCAATCGCAAGCGAGTGATCCGAGGCGGCCGCAACAGCGGTGGCATTAATGCCAGGAACGGCAGTGGGCTCAATCAAGATGCGAGGGCGACCACGCTCATCCTTGATGATTGACTCCTCTGGGAGAGACTCCACCTTGAGACCGCTCTGGAAACCATCCACACGACCCCATACCAAGCATTGGCCATCAGCAGTGCGGCCAATCGAATGGTGAGCACCACCGCAGAGCTGAACGATGTTGTGACCAGAGAGCGATTCCACTTCGACGGGGTGCGCAATGGCAGCTTCGTCGTCGCCAGCACCCTCCCGCACAGCAGTGGCGCCAAAGCTGTTCAAACCCCAGGCGTAAACTTTGCCGGATGTGTGAACCGCGAAGGAGTGGTAAGAACCAGAGCCAATGTGAACGATGTTGCGACGCAGTCCGAACTCGCGGGGTTGCAATCCGTGCAGCTTGTTGCGCTCGACGATTCGGCGACCGAGCTGGTTCTGTTGGCCAGAGCCCCAGGAGAAGACATTTCCTTTGTCATTAAGCGCGAGGACATGGTTCGCACCACAAGCCAGCTGCTTGATCTTTTTAAGGGCCGGAATGAGAATGGGGGTGTTCTGCACGCGATGCTCGGGGTCGAAGCCCAGAATTCCATCATTGCTCTAGTAGCACTTGTTAGCCAAAAAAAGAGACAAGCCATGGATGGGGATTCGGGATATTCAATCTTACTCGGAAGGTTCCCCAGCCATAAACCAGACCATCGTCGGTCAGGGCAAAGCTCGCGCTGTCCGCGGCGGCGACGGCAGCAAAGACGGTTCCTTCAGGGAAAGCGTTGGCTGGAATAGCCGTCGGTGTAGCTTCACGGGGACTGAGGCCGCTGTCATCATCGTCCGAGTCCGAATCGCTGTTGTCATCCACATCCTTGTACCCCCCATCCCAGGTGGTGTCTCGTCCCAATGCGCCTTGGTCATTGACACCCCAGGTGAAGATCTGGTTGTCGTGGGTCAGGGCCACACAGTGCATTCCCCCTACGGCGACCTGGACGACGCCGACCGTCTCGGCATCGAGGAGTTTGTTCAGACGGGGTCGCTTCACATCGATGACATTCCTGGCGGTGCCCAAGCCAAGCTCACCCGAGCTACCTTCACCGCAGACGAACACGTTGAGGCGAGTTGTGGGCACCTCGTTGATGATGACCTTTGGAGGAGCGGGTTTCGACTTGACCACCTTGGGCTTCACAGCCTTGGGCTTAATTTCACGAGGCTGTGTGACGCGAGCCTTCTTGGGTTCGCGCGGCTTCTCCTCCTCGTCATCGGCCTTGCGCTTCTTGGACGCAGTTGTGGTTGTGGAGGTCTTGGCCGGGGCTTTTGCCTTTGAAGCCTTCTCCGACTTCACCGAGGTCTTTGTCACAGTTTGAGTTTCCGCAACAGAGTCCATCTTCTTCGGACGACCTCGGGGGTCTTCGCGGGCTTGGTCTCGGGTTTGGCAGTCTTGGTGGTCTTTTCGGTCTTCGCGGTTTTGGCCGCAGGCTTGGGTGCAGTCTTGGGCGCCGCCTTGGGCGCAGCAGTAGCATTCTTTTTCGGAGGCATGATGCTCTGGAATGTAAGAAAAGGTTTGGGAAGGAAGAAGGGGTGGGTGGAAGAAGAAAGGTGGAAGAAAAAGACGCGACAAAGAAGGAAAAAAAAACAGGCACCAAGGCACGAGGGAAAAACGTAAATAATGCGGCATTCCCCCCGGCCTCCCGGAAGCCGCCAGCCAGGCACGCTCTCCTCAGTCCTGACCGACTTCTACTGCCCTAATGCTAAATTACTACAGTCAAACCAATTCACTAACTAACCAACAGGCAATTCTGGCAATACTACTAGTCCTCACTTCGCATCCAACCGCGCAATTCGAAGCGGGCAGAACGGAGGTCATTCAGGCTATAGTAAGCGCCCGATGAATAGGCCTCCTCTCTCTTTCTCCAACTGTCTGCCTCTTTGTCTACCTAGTCGCGTCAGATAATTTCTGCCTATTCTCTCTGCGTTGACTTCCATTCAGCGAATCCGAAACAATCGCGGATCACGGTAGCAGAGTTGCCGTCCTTGAAATCGTCCCTCGAGGATTTGGGTCTACCGGAGCAAATTGTTACACCAACATAAGACACCGACCCCATTGAAGGTTACCAGAACGGATTGCATGCTTTCGGTGATGTTAGAATCAGTATCTTGCCAGGAATATAATAGTCTGATTGAAATTGTTCGGGATCGAATACAATAAGCAAAGGAGACAACAAGGAGACACGGAGTAGAAGTAAGATCGAGCGTGATCTTCATTATCATGGTCATCGTCATAGTACTAATTATAGTGATATATATTCATCATCATCATCTTCAATACTGGAGGCACTTGTTAGACAGGCTAGTGCGCCCGCTCTTTTTAAGACTGCTTCCCCTGTTCACTATCTCAAATGATTTTCTGTCTCATGGAGGAGGATTCTCCGGTCGCTCAGCCTCTTGCGGGCGGATATTACCACACATGATGACATTCTGGCCAAGCGGCGTCCATTTGACGTCGCGGGGATTCAATGCAGCATTAGGATTGCCTTCCTGGTCCAACTTGGAGTCCGGGCTGACGCTCACGCCGCCACGCCCTAGATACGTGGGTGCCACCGTGACGATGATCGAGTCGATGAAGTTGGCATACTCCGGGTTCAACAGCTCACTTAGAACGGTCGCGCCGCCCTCAATAATGACACTTTTGATGCCTTCTGATGCAAGAGATCGGAGAATGGCCTCCCACCGGAGTCGCCAGTTCTGGTTGTATTCCACAATCCGGAGAAAGTCGCCCCCGTAGCCCTTCAACATCATCAGCCTCTGAGGGTTGATTTGAGCCCCAGGTGAGACGACGACCCACGGTGCCTTGCCTTTGCCTTCCACAGCAGTTCGTAACATTCGACATTCGGGATGGATAGGCCACCGTCCCATCGGATCGATGACCACTGGGCGAGGCTGCCACATCCGCCCGAGTCCTCCAAAGCCGCCGGCCCCCTCAAGGCGGCAATTCAGCCCCGGATTGTCGGCAAGAACGGTACCTACTCCAATCAGGATTGCATCGTGTCGGGAACGCAAGTAGTGGGTCATAAGTTTGGCCTCTGGCCCTGATAGCACGGTCTGCATACCTGCCCGAAGAGATATTTTGGAGTCCATGGACGAGGCGTAGGATAAGGTGACATGGGGCAGCTCCCGTCGCTCCAGGTGGTTCGGTAGGTAAGGCTGTAGAAATTCCAGGGAAAACCGTGGGAAAGACAGAGTATCTGGTGGCAGGTGAGGGGAGGAGGTTGACGTGGACGGCGTCGGCTGCACTGTTGGCTCAACGACCCCATCGACGGCAGATTGCTGGGATTTGACGATTCCATGACCCTTGACCAGCTCGTAACCCTTGTGGGGAATAAGCTGCACTTCTGGATTCTGGATCCGCCACTTCGCCGAGACATTGCGCACATCGGTCACGGTGAGAAACCGCCCGCCGGCTTCATCGAGTGCTTTCGGCTCTTCCTGGAACTTGGTGTAAATTGAAGATGGTAGATACCCCTTTGCGCATTCTTTTCGCGCCGATTCCATGAGCCCCGAGTTACGTTTTACTCGATCAATAAAATCTAGGTCATGGGAATGGACGCTACTGCTTCCCGGCGTTCTTGCAATCGTGACGGTTGAGAAAGCGCCCTCGAACCGGACCACCTTGATCTGAAAATTGCAGAGGCCTCCTTCCCGCACCCGTTTCTTCCGGGGTCTTTTACCCTCAGGTAACGGACGCGTCTCCGAGGTGCGATGTGTTGGGCGCCGTAGTCGGCACATATAATAATCCGTAGTACAATGGCCTTCCTTGCTGGCATTAGATCTCTGCTTGACCCAGACGTTATCAATGAAAGGCCAGTAGGTCTCGAATTCCTCCAGTGTGATTTCGATGGGATCTTTGCATTCAAACAAAACCCGGCGAATTCTGGCGAGATTTGGAGGGTTGTTGAACAGGCTTTGTGCAGGTTGCATACCTGCAGCCCTTGAGGCTGCTCCGCTCGATGAAACTATTGCGCTATGCGGGAGGAAATCATTGGCGTTTGCTTGTTGCGCCTGCTTCTCCAAAGCACCGGACAGGTTCATGGGGGCCGCGGGGTACTCGTCAGGTTCTAGAGAGTCCTCCTCCATCGGAACCTCCCGTGAGAGGTCTGATATTGACTGGGAGTTTGCGCCTGTCTTTTGCGCCTCCGCTCTAGCTTGTCCATCCTGGTTGTGTGGAGATTCCGGGCTGCCTTCCGATGTTCTCGCAACTGGGGTCGACTCCGATGCGCGGGGGAAGGCATGGTCCATGGTGTGCTGGGACCAGACAGCGGTGTGCAGGGGTGAGCTAGTGGAATCCCGGTCGATTGTGGCGGTGATACATTTGGGCGAGGACGAGTGTCTCCATTAGCGGTGTCAACACTGAGGTGGGACTTTTTTTCGGACGGTGGTTGTCATGTTGCAACAAGTCCCCCAGAGGCTTGGCGCTCAAAAGCGGATCCGATCCGCATTGCGCGCGGTTACCTGCGTCGAGCCGGGCGTCTGAGCCGTCATCCTACGTCGAGTTAATCGTCGGAGATTGTTCATTCGCCTATACATTCGTTTACATACAAGTGGATTCTATCAAATTGTCGACCACAGGCCGGCGCTTTCGACGACTGAGCCCGCAGGCCCATCGATAGTCATTCGAAGGCGCGTTTGAATGCTTCTCACTACGGAGTAAATATAGCTGTGCAAAGGCAATAGAACACCGTCTACTACAAGGTAAAACAATCATCATACACCCACTTGGTAATCGACAACAATACTATTGACGGAAATACAGGAAGCTGAAGATAGTGAATGAGAGATGCTCAATATGCCCCAATCTCTGCCCCAGCGCGAGCCAAGGCCTCATACACTTTCGGTGGCAGCTTATACTTCACCATGCCAGAGAAGACCATCAGATCCTTGGCCATGACCAGAAGCTGATCCGCAAATCCCTGATGCATATTGGTCTCATACGGCCCGGAGATTTGTCGATGGCGTTCATTGCCAATACAAGCAATGCTCCACATAATGACATGCCCGATGTTACGGGTGATGATCTCGGGAAGGGCCGAGAACGCTTGGGCGGTGCTACGAATGTTTTGCACAACACCATGGGCCTGTAATGGAAGAACTCCCAATGAATTGATACACTGTATGCCAGGTTAGTCGTCAAAAGAACAAAACAGAAGAAAAGGTTGGATCCGGACTGGACATACATCAAGTGCAGGCGCCCATCTGCCAGCTTCGACCTCGGCCTTCGCCGTAGTCATGCGAAGGAGGAGTCCACATGCATCGCGGTTTATTTGGCGGATGTTGTTGTAATACATTGGCTTTGAGTTGTAGAGGCTGATCATGGTCTTTCCCAACTCAACGGGGTCATCCACAGCCGTCAGGCTAAGACTACTTGCAGGATCCACAGCGTCTGCCTGGCCTTGATCAACGCGTGGGCGCAGGGGCTGTAGCTTGAGCATAGTCCCTCCAAGTTCAACCGCGATCGCATCGGACAGGGCTCGGTTGATGATATCAATGACCCGATCGTAATTCTCCGCCAGATGGTACAACAGCACTGCGTCAGTGATTAGTCCCTTGTCGTCGGCAACACCGGCGGCTTGAAGAGTGATGTTCTTGAGGAAGTCCTGCTGGTCCGCCAGCTTGATCAAGTCCAGACGTTGCTCAATGACACCCTTGATTCTTGTACCATCCTCACGCATATCACCTAGCAATTTGGCAAAGTCCCTAGTCTCCAGGATAAACTCCCGAAGAGCCTCGTGGCACACTGACGATTGAGACTTGCCCAGATGTCCTGGAAGATCAGCATTCAGACAGATCAGGGTAAAGTAATCGATTGCAGCCTCCACGTATCCAGTGCGGAATTCTCGAGTGTACTGTGTGATGAGGTATCCAAAGTTGATTTGAGGATATTGTTTCACTGTGAAAGATACTGCATGTCATGGAAAATTTCAAGATCAGCGAGACTGCGCATGATCTCGTTAGGGATAGCGACGAGGGGCTCTTACAAATCTCTTCTCCGGAAACATAAAAATCAGACACACGCAGCAAACCGTAGTATGCCAATGCAATGGCAAAATGAACTGCAGTAACAGGCGCATAACTGCCTAGGTAGGAAATTGCTTGTTCAAACATTCCTCCTAGTATCTGGAGAAGGAAGAAAGTTCCATAGCCACCTGGTCCCTCCTGGCCCTTGACAAACACTCTCTGTCCAATCTCAGTGATATCGGTCTGGATGTCCTCAAGGCCAAAGACATCTCCGGCGACTTCCTCGGCACGATCATCCTCCCTGGCTAGGCTAAACTGCAGCCACATCCAATCTTCAACACTTTGGTTAACACCGTCCAAGCGACGGCGGGACAGGTCACAGCGGCCAATCACTTTGTAACAAGCCATCCGATACGGATCAACGGTATTATCAGGAGCATTTCGCGAGCGTTGTTGGTACTCGCCGTTGATCTTTTGTTGCAAATCTCGGGGAAGGCGTCTGTTCTGCGCATAGGTTGTCATGTATGTGACAAATTTGTGATCCAAGGAACGGAATCCGGGATCTTGGCTGACATACTCGGCGGCTTCAGTGACAAATCCGCATCGAAGCAGATAGAAGATGAGAATCCAGCAATAATCGTCACCGACCATCTGCAGTTCAGTTCCATCTGGAGCCAAGTCTTTTCTCGTCGCTCGAAGACGAATATATGCCCGAATCTTGTTGATTACACTGGGAATACCACCCAACTGTGCCTCACGCGGGTTTTTGGCAACTACAGCTTCCACCTCGTTATAAAATAACTGCTCTAAGAAGCCCCTTGAGCCTTCAAGGATCTGTTTCTTGAGTTTAGTTGCCTCACGAGAGTTGGATGACTCCTCCAGATAATCCTGAGCATATTGACGCTCTCGCACAGCACCAGGGTCTGAAGCGCCGGAAATGACAGGTTTCTCATGGACAATTCGTGCCAACGCTTGGTACGCATCAAAAAGTTGACGTGGAGCCTATATATGTAAGTGAGATTCACATAAATGAGCGAGTGAGAGACACTTACATCGCCACCAGTTTGCGCCTCCACCTCTGAGAACTGGTGAAGTACAGGATAGGTCTGTCTTTGTAGACGGGTTGTATTCAGTTGCTGAACTTTTTCGGCATAATGTCCCATCTTTTCTCGCAAGAAACGAAGATCCGGAGAAGAAGCGGCAAGTCCTTCGCCCCGTTCTGCCGGGTCGTCAAAAAGCTGGCGACTTGCAAGACCAGTTCCAGGAGTTCCGATGACGGATTTATCAAGTCCTGAACGCCCAAATACACTTCGACGAGACATAGCTGCAGGGCCCTGGTTAGAGTTTGCGCCTTGCTGCCTGGATTGTCGAGCAGATCGACCAAAGGCTCCGCGTGTGGTTGACTTGAAGTCTGCACTGTTAGAGCCCTCCTTCTGGGCAAGTCCGAAATGCTGGAAGATCTTTCGACGTTGGTCCTCCCAGTCCATATCCACCTTCTCTTCCAGGAATGTATCAAAATCCCTTTGAGCCCGAGATAGACTCTCTGCAATCATTACCTGCCGACCACGTTGTTGGATATTTCTTAGGAACCTTTGGTTGTCTGGATCAAAGCTGTCAACCTCTCTGACCGTAGCCAGAGAGACCTGCGGATCTAGAGACCTAAGGTCTCGCAGCGCCCGGCCGGGGGAAACACCAGATGAGGCGAGGAGATAGTGCCTATTTGTCAACATTAGCTCAAAGCACTCTTAAGACAATGCCCTTACTCAGAGATCTTGACTTACGCCTTGCTTGACGTGCCAGTCTGCTGAGAATCTTTGCTTCCCGATGAGCCCAACTCTCTTGCTTTTCTTCGGATATCATCCAAGCCCAGTTGAAGGCTGGGAACATCTTCGAAGTTACCATTTTGTCCACCTGTAGCAGCCAAAGGCCGCTTTTTGCCACGTTCGAGAAGACTGTTGAAAAAGGCAGGTTGAGTTGCTTGGTTGGAGGTCAGCCCTTGTGCCTGTGTAGTGGTGATTGCTGGCTGGGTTTGTCCGAGAATCGATGGCTGGGCGGGCTGCTGTTGCTGCGTCTGGGTCTGACCAAACAGAGAAGAGCTTTGTGTAGCTTGCGCAGGTCCAGTTGAGGTATTGCCAAAGGCGCTTGGTGCGGCAGTCGAGCCAAAAAGGCTATTCGCTTGTGGGGTTGTTGTGGTTCCAAGGCCGCCCCCTCCGAAGAGAGAGCCAGTATTGGAGTTCATGGCGAGGCAACACGAGATGTCTGTAGCTGTAAAAGGGGCTCAAAACAGATAGATTATCGGGCTCGAGAGGTTTGTAGGTTCCGCGTCGTGTACTTGCGCCGGGTCTTCTCAAGTAGCAGAGAAAATCCGAGGTTGCGCGAGGCCTTGAAGCTGTGTCCAAAATCAAAAGGTCTCTGATCAAACAGGGGTGCCGCCCCACGATTCAATTGGCAAAGTGACGTTGGATGATTCTGCTCTTGCGCCTGTAAGAACCCAAGAACCCAAGGTCAGAGGAAGTCCGCTCTAGAGAAGCTTGTGCAGCTATGCTGAGCCCAAACAATTCGTTCGGGTCGGCCAATCAATGATCCGTGGGAATTTGAGCAGTCATCCATCAACGGTTGCACCCGTCGCTTCTCGTGCTTCTAGAGGCTAATATTGTTCTACCTTTTTTTCGAAACTGTTTTTCTCCCTTCAATATTTGGGACAATTCTGTGACAATGCCTACATTCCAATCTAAAACCTTTCGCCGAGCGACCACCGCCTCATCCTCGCTCGGAGAACGGCTTGGCGCTCTGTACCGGGCTCGACTATCTCGACACCCTTTTCTTCTTTTCGGCCTTCCCTTTATTGCCGTCATTGTGGCCGGCTCATTTGCTTTGACACCTGCTGCGGCTCTGCGATACGAAAGATATGACCGAAAAGTCCAACAAGTCAGCAAGGAGGAGGCTTTCGATCTTGGCCTTAAGGGACCCGATGGAGAGGAGGGCATTAAGCGGAATCCACGGCGCAGAATCATTGGTGATGAGCGGGAAGAGTACTATGTAAGGCCCTTTTTCTGTCGGCTTAAAATGAGACCAGAGCCCACTGACAATACCTCCAGAGATTGATGGCCAAAGACTTGGATGACTGGGAACAGAAACGCGTTCAGAGATTCAAAGGTGAACCAGATGGGCGGATATAAAGCGGAATTTAAGACCGCAATAGCTCTATGAGTTAATTTGGTCCCTCCTCATCACACCGCGGTCTTGTCGCCAATGGAATGGTAGTTCTTCGCTATTCATCAGGCGTCACGCAGGCGGTTCTTTGTTCTAGAGTCGGCTTGGAAACAAGATCATGTCGATTCATCACTCTCGTTGGGAGTTTATGTCTGCTCCCATCCCTCCCAATGGTGGATGAGGTACGACGAGTCGTCCAGCGGTCGGTCCTATGTTCGGCTCGTCCGAGTTGGTTGACAAGCCTGAATATTCCTAGACGATTGAAGGGGCTCAGAAGGTCACCATACAATGACAGTCAAATCATGGAAAATGGGAAAGGGCATTCTTTCTCGGGATTCCTTGTGTGTCCCAGAGACTTGACATCCAGACTGGCCCTTCATGCTCTACCAAGTGGAAATCAGAGAGCCTGCAAGCAAACCGTTCATCAATCTTTGATTGGTCACCTGCATTTGAGTCTGAGTTGTGACCTAGTTCTCTCTCGGAGACTTTGTATAGTATTGTATTATAGTATATGTTGTATAGTGCGGGGGATCAACAGCGTTAGAAATTATTGAGCATTTTGATCACTGGTCTTCTATCTTTGCTTCCTGGTGACTTGTGAGCATTTTTATGATCATGGATTCAAACAATCCGGCGATAGTGTATAAATACTATAGTCAACCCAATTTTGACCACTATTTTTGCTTCTCATTAACAAGGATGGGAACCGGCGCCTTGCATCCAAGGCATATATAGTGAGACACCGGTACCCGCAGGTTCTAGCCCGAACCGAGGGTTGCCCGAACCCGTGCTCCCCACACAATAACGTCATACCTATTTTCTCGAAGCCACCTGCTGCTCACTGCCTTGAACCCACACCCCAACCCCCCGTCTTATTAATCATGGAATGAACCCGATTCTTCCAATATCACCGACCGTCCTCTCTTCTCCATTGGTCTGTCCATACCAGGCGTCCTGGCTGGACCCTTTTCGCCCACTGCCCCTCCAATCCTTCCCTTGCCTTACGTCAGTCTCTCACCGAACCCTGCGGTGGATGGAATCGTGACGCTCTTGCTCAACCTCTATTATTCAGAGATCGGACAGATGCTGTCTTGATTGAATCTCTGTTGCTGTGACCCAGGATCCTCGGGATCTCACCCGTTGAAAGAAAAGTCGAGAGACCATGACGGGTCCGGGGCGATCACCCTCATCATCATGGGCACAGAGTGCGCCAGGATGTGTGGTCGATGGCAGGGTTACCCAGCCATTCCATCCCGCTCTATCTCCCTCGCATATGGGAGTGCAGTCCAGCAACTCCCTCTCGGAGCGGCCCAGTCCTAACTATTTTGGTATCACCGTAGAGAGCTCCAGCAATCCACCAAACTCGAATCCAGGACCACACACCCAGAAGAACTGGGGCTCTTCATGCACACAATCATCTCTTCCGAGTCCAAAGCTGCACCTCTATTCCCAAGAATCGATATCAGAGGGACTGGTGACTCTCTTAAGGTCCGAATCGGAAATTGATAAAGGGAGGCGTGAATCCTTCCTTCAGGGGCTTCCCTCTAATGGTGAAGTATCCGGCAGCAGATCATCAAAGCCACCCAATCTTTATCCAAGGAATGGCGAATCAAACAACCGATCTCAGAGATCCCCAGGTGGTCAAGGCACCACCTCTCAACAGCCCACTGGATCAGTACCTAGCCAAAGTAAGCTTGCCTCCTTCACCCATTCTCATACTTTAAAAGATAACCGTATCGTATACTAATATACTGCCCATATCAGATACAACGGTCGGATCATTACGATGGATTTCTGCTGAACGCTGTGCTGAAATACTGCAATCCTCATCACAACAAGTATTACTTTTGGATGTTCGTCCCTATGCCCACTTCTCACAATCCAGTGTTCAGGGGTCTTTAAACCTATGTATCCCCACCACCCTTCTTAAACGTCGTTCGTTTGGTACCCAGAAATTGGAAAGCACTTTCACCAAAGACTCGGATAAACGGAATTTTGCTCGATGGCCAGAATGTGCTATGATTATTGTCTACGACTCTGCCACCGCCGATACGAAAGACGTGATGCCCCTTCTTAACGTCATTAACAAATTTCAAGTGGAAGGTTGGCAAGGAGAGGGGGTCATTCTCCAACATGGTTTCAAGGGCTTTGCCAACCGGTTTCCGGAATTGGTTCATCAATCACAGCCCCAGGCGGCAGGGCCGTCTGTGAAAGAACGTACTCCGATGAGTATTAATTTAGATTCTGTGGCTCCTGTGGTTGGAGGATGCGCTCTTCCTGAATCATCATCCGCAGTCAATCCATTTTTCGCCAACATTCGGCAAAATATGGATTTAATGGGAGGAGTTGGTCAAATTCCTTTGAAGTTACCGGCTGGGTTAACGGAATCGAAACGGCAGGAACTCCCTTCATGGCTTCGAGATGTCTCTGATACGAAGGATCAAGGACATGCCGTCTCCGAGAATTTTCTGAACCTTGAAAAGAAAGAACTGGAACGCATGAAACAAGCATTGACATATGAAGGCTCATCGGCCTCAGCTGGTGGGATCTCCAAAAAGTACCGGGTTGCGGGTATTGAGAAAGGGACGAAGAACCGTTATAACGACATTTATCCATTTGATCATACTCGGGTTCGTCTTGAAGGGATTCCGTCAGGAGGCTGTGACTATGTGAATGCAAACCACATTCAGGCTGAGCTCAGCAATCGGCGTTATATTGCCACACAAGCCCCTGTTCCGGATACGTTTAATGTTGGTCTTTTCCCAAGGGTGCGCCTAGTTACCATTGCTGATGTTTTTTTTTCGTTTAGGACTTCTGGCGTGTCGTTTGGGAGCAAGACGTTCGACTGCTCGTTTCTTTGACGGCTGAGATTGAGCGAGGTCAGGTGAAATGTCATCCATACTGGAAATCAGGAGACTACGGGCCATTCAAGGTCAAGGCCTATTCGGAACGATTCATTCATATTGAGTCCAACGGCCGATCAATTGATCCCATGTCAAAAAACCCCTCGGGGTTTGTTGCCGAAGTGAAAAGCGCCGACGAGTCAAATGAGAACCCAGTCATTATTGTCCGGCATTTCAGTCTCTACCATACTGCCTTTCCATTCCAGCCTCTCCGGGATATTACGCAACTTCAATATCCTTACTGGCCCGACTTTGGAACCACTTCGCAGCCGGCGCACCTGCTTAACCTGGTCGAGCAATGTAACAAAGTGATTCGCGCCACCAGTAGTGCTGGGTTCGGTAGCCAGGACGCTGAACCACCCGGCCAGCGACCAATACTTGTACACTGCAGTGCGGGTTGTGGACGGACAGGGACGTTTTGTACTGTCGACACTGTGCTCGACATACTCAAGCGGCAACATATATGGACGGCGAAGCCTGATGCTGGAAATTCGCTCCTGAATTCTTCTGAATGGACTCAGAATCCGAGATTGGATCTGATCATGAAAACGGTGGAAGACTTTCGCACTCAGCGTCCTAGCATGGTGCAGAATCTGAGTCAGTTTGTACTTTGTTACGAAAGCGTGCTCGAGTGGCTTGTCACTCAGATGGATCAGGCTTCATCATGACCCTACATTGCTTGATTGCCGATGGTCAGTTTCGGGCTCTCCGTTATCCACTAAATTTGCATTTCTGGGCGTTTGTTACCCGATTGGCGGTTGGCTGGCTATTTAACATCAAAGCAAAGATATCTCTTCGCTGTTTCTCACTCTTATTCTCTCGCTTTTGGGTTGACCTGCCAATTGTATATATCGCTAAACAGGATTCCCATAGATACACGAACTGTCGGCTTCTCACTGCTTCTGCAGTCAAGACAATTGCTTCTGCAGTCAAGACAATAAGAGCATTCGATCAGATCGCATCGACTAGCTCGATAGAACCTTTCCCAAAAGCCTCATCAGAATAGCTTAATATGTAAGCATATATGATGGAACGAGGATCTCCAAATTGTGTAATGAGAAAGGGAACCTAAGGAAACAAACTCAATTCTTGCTGTAGTCCGTGCTCACGTAGGGAACTTCAACAACTCAGGAAGTGAGTCCCTGCCGTTGTACACGCTAAACATTACCCGCGCGCGCTAAGCCGCTAAGCATGGCTCTGCCTGGCGGCGGCCTGAAATCTGCAGGCAACAAAGCGCCCAAAGCGCCCAAACATCGCAGCCGCAACTGTATAAAAATCGTCTAAACGCTTATGGACCCTTTCCCCGTCTTTTCACTTTACTTCCTTCGTGCCCCACTCAGCCTTCAACTCATTTTGATGCGCAGTAAAGCCAAGCCCCGACAAGATGATTCTGAGTCTACCTGCAGAGCTGGTGCAGCTCATCCTGAGAAGTTGTGATGGCCCGACTTACCTACAACTTGCATTCTGCTGCCACACTTTGCTCGATATCGCATCAAGTAGCCGAGAGCTGATGTTGCATCAATTATGCAATACACCTGGTGACACTAAAGATATTGATGCTTGTTCAACAACGGCCCTGTTTCGACTCCTCTTGCAACGTTCCTACCGACATCTATATGGCACCGAATTCTACACGAAGCGTAAGCTCTTTGATTTCCAGGATAAGGTGATTGATGTCCGCGCATCGACTCTGCAAACTTCTGCATTCCAAAATCGAGCTGTCCTCGCCTTCGAGGGCCATGAAGCGGTCTATCTCGCGGACATCCGAAATGGACAATTGGCTTTCCGGTGCTGCTTTCATTCCCCCGCAAGGCGTTTTGGAACAACCGAAGTTCTTCACACTGCATTTGATGAAAATGGAGTGTACGTGCTCCATAGATTCCAGCCATTCCCAGATAAAGAGTTGGACCCCAGCCACCCTTTTGTGAAGCAAGCGCTGCAAGCCAATCTGAACGGTAAGATATTTCTAGCCTATCACGAGCTAGGATCCCTCGGTAACCCTGTTCGACTGTATGGCTTTAACGAGGAGAGCGAATATGAACCTTTGGCTTTCGCAGCTCATGGTGAGAGGTTTGCAATCTCCTGGCAACACCAACAGTATTCTCCAGACCACCAGGTGGTTCTTTACACCATCGCAGATAGCGCAGATGGTGAGGGCACAGATGATTCTGAGGTTGGCTCGGAAGAAAGCGAGTTCGATGAGCTTGAAGATGAAGATGCAGCATCCACCCGAAAGAGATACGAGAGCCCCCGGATCATCGGTATGTCTCCTATGAGATATTTCCAGAATGCCACAGGCCAAAGGCACGCATACTGACACGAGTAGATTCTAAATATGCTTCTTTTGTCCTTACAGACACAAACGAGAAAGGATCCAGTGACCCGGCGCTGGAAGGAAGAGGGCCAACCATGAAATTGGTCTTCAATGACCGTGGACTCCAATTGCTGCATCATTACAAAGCTCACACGCTCTACAGCTCATTTCAGCGGATGCAATTTCTCCACGAAAGAAGTCAGCCCCGTCCACCTGTCAAGGAGAATGCTTGTGTGGTGGAATACACAGATTCGCTTTCGCTCCAATTCTCGATTGGGATCCCATTCTTTCTTTCCCACCGTACCGGGGATGAGTCTCCGGTACCAGGCAGCTGTCACTGGCAATATTTAGCAGTAGGAATTGCGACCCACCGGGTAGAGCATTGGACTGTGGCCTGTCTGTTGGAGTCAGAAGCCTACTGCCAGTCTCGGCGATGTTCACATGCCATGAACCTCGAGCGCGGAAGGCGGTTTGATAACTGGGTAATCAAGGCGCAACTGGGAGGGTTCCAAGAATCAAGTACCTCACACGGCTCTATCATTGCTGCATCGCATCGAGGATCTCGAGTTGCCATTGCCAACTGGAAAACAGTGACGGTCTGGGCCTTGGAGCCGGAAAAGCTGATTGACGACGAAGAGAATGGCTACTACCCTGAGTCGTGGAGACTGGCTGCCAATGGAACGACGGAGTTACGACCTGCCACGATCCACCTGGATGCTGTCTGTTGGCAGCTACGGTTTACTGACCGGGAAGACGAAAATGAACTGGTTGTGATCACCGACCGAGGGCTGTTGTTCCTAGATCTGAGGCCCGACGGTCGAGGGGGGCAGGTGGTGGAAAAACAAAAGAGCCGGGGAAATCGGGTTCCGAGTCCATGAAGTCTGCGGGCCCTGCCCATATCGATACCAATTGCATAGCATTAACCGGAGTTTCTCCTCTTGTTACCAGTGATTCCATATGGCAATACAATACAAGATGCACGACTAATCGCTACAAATTCCTGTGTACGCAAAGCAGATATAGTCTGGTCGCAATCCATGAAGCACCGAGAGCTTGGGGATTCGATATGTGTCATTGATCGTAGTTTCTAACGCGGTTTTTATTGTCCTTCGCCGCCACCCGACATGGTCAAGAACATCAAAATCAATAGCACCCACCAGTACCTGGGGAAGGGGAGAGAAATCATGGGTCAGTCAAGTCAAGATACAATGTCAATGTTATCAGTCTTTAGAGTAACTCACTTCTGGAAGAGGCTCTTTTCCTCCACCTGCTCCGGGTTTTGCCCATCAGGGCCGACCACGACAGGTCGGTTGAGATGTGGTTGTGTACCCGGCACACTCGTCACCAGCTCTATCAGAGGACCGGCCTTCTGTGCTGTAGCAATGGCTGATGATTCTGCCATAGAGACATGATAGATCTCGTTTGAGGGACCGAGATGAAGGCGGAATGTGGGCCGGAGCTCCGCGCCGGTCAAGGAGGATTGGGAGATGAGGCTACCGATCCATTGCTTTGGGTTGGTGGTGGTGCTGGTATAGAGACCAATGCGAGCCAGGCCATCGGATCGGTCGGTCTGCGGGGGGTGGTATGAAATCACATCCGATTTCAATGAAGCCGGGTCATACGCAACGCGTGCGAGTACGGAGGGTTTGGTGGCTCCGACGGGCCAGTAGTAGAGATCTGAAGAGAATGGAAGGGAATCGGCCACGACAGAGGCGACCAGGAGCGAAATCGCCCCTAGAAGAGCCAGGAGGTGCATGCTTTGGCCGTCGGGGAGGAATCTGGAATGGTGAGGGAGTCGAGGTGGGAGCACGGGTTGTCGTTCAGGCGGTTGGCGGTTGGTGTTCAGCCGGTTTTCTGCCGCGAGTTTCCACTGTCGGTTCTAGCGGTTCTAGCGGTTGCTCGAACAATACTAGATAGAAGAAAGGACCGAAAGAGATATATTTCTTTTCACAACGAGTTGACATGTTAGGTGACGCAAGAGGAGCTAATCACTGAGCCTATGGCCTATTACGCTCGGCTAGGGGAAGGCCCGATTGAAATGAGCATTTTAATTATTATGGGTAAAATGTATAGTTCGCCAGCTACTAACCTAAAAACCATCAGCTCTAGCTCTATACACCCGTAGTCCGTACTCAGAGCCTTCTATACGGCCACTGAGGTCATACACCAAAGATCTTTAGGGATCATCCTCTGTCTGCATTTGCCACTTATCTGTGATCTGTCGGCCCGCCATGACCTTTCCCTGCAACTGACCAAGTACTTGATTTAGGTCACCGGTCGGACGAGCCCCGGACTTTCTCCCCATGCTTCATTTCGCCTCAATTTTTCGTATTTAATACATCCTAGCGCGCACGCCGGTTGACCATTGCCTCTGAACGTCTCCACCTCTCTACTTGCCTCCACTTTTGGTCTCCCTCTATCCTCGATCTTTCGATCTCCAGGTCAGTTTCCCTCGTACTTGTCATCTCGGTTCCTTATCTTATCGAGTCTCCTTGATCCTCAAAAGCTTCCCCGCATTTTCCAATTTCAAGCATCCCTTCGCAACGTCACAATGGCTGCGTTGCCCTACCGTCGTCCTTCTCGCCAGAGCTCCCGCCAGGCATCGAGTGATCCTCGAGAGGATCTGCAGGTCCACCTAGATCACTTCATCGGGATTGATGTCGGAACCGGCAGTGCCCGTGCGTGTATCATCGACGCGAAGGGTGACATTGTGGGCCTCGCCTCCGAGAACATTGGCCTCTGGCAGCCAGAGCACGGGTACTATGTAGGCCATCTGGCATCTGTACAGCCTAAGGAAGCAGGTTTTGACTGACTTCCGGAATCCAGGAACAATCCACCTCTGACATCTGGCGGTGCATCTGCGCGGCAGTCCAGCGAGCGATCAGCCAGCACAATATCAGCCCCGAGACAGTCCGTGGGATTGGCTTCGACGCCACCTGCTCCCTGTCCGTCTTCAACCATGAGACCGACGAGCCTGTTTCGGTAACAGGGCCCAACTTCGACTCTGATCGCAACGTCATTCTCTGGCTCGACCACCGACCGGTCGACGAAGCCGCCAAAATTAACGCCACCAACCACAATCTTCTCCGCTACGTCGGAGGCAAGATGTCTATTGAGATGGAAGTCCCCAAGGTGTTATGGCTGAAAAACAACATGCCCCAGGAGTTGTTTGATAAGTGCAAGTTTTATGACCTGAGCGACGCGCTCACCCACATTGCAACCGGCAATGAGAAGCGAAGCTTCTGTAGTGTAGTCTGCAAGCAAGGCTATGTACCAGTCGGTGTGGATGGAAGTGTGAAGGGTTGGCAGGAGGATTTCCTCAAGGAAATTGGACTGGGTGATCTGACGGAGGATAATTTCAAGCGCATGGGTGGAGTCAACGGGGTGGTGAGCCTTTTTTCCGAGAAGATCAAGGACAAATTTGTTTGGGCTAACCTTCAATTGTGATACCAAATAGAATGGGGACTACCTCAGTGCTGGAGAACTCGTCGGTCACCTGTGTGAGAAGGCCGCCGCCGAACTGGGTCTGCCCGCCGGCATTGCCATCGGCAGCGGTGTGATTGACGCCTATGCTGGTTGGATTGGTACTGTTGGTGCTAAGGTCAACCTAGGTGCTGGACAACTGAGTGCCGATGCGGCCAAGAACGATAAATCGCAGGCTTTCTCCCGGCTGGCCGCGGTCGCAGGAACCTCGACATGTCACCTGGCGATGTCACCGGATCCTGTTTTTGTGGATGGCGTCTGGGGCCCGTATAAAGACACCATTATCTCCGGCTACTGGATGGCTGAGGGTGGCCAGTCCGCGACGGGAGAACTGTTGAAGCATGTTATTGAAACACACCCGGCCTTCAACCAAGCCCATTCGATTGCCGAGTCATATCATGCCAATATCTATGAATATCTGAATGAGCATCTCAAAGAAATGGTTCAGGATCAACAAGCGCCATGCGTGCCCTACCTAGGACGCCACTTCTTTTTCTACGGAGACCTCTGGGGCAATCGATCTCCTATTGCCGATCCCAACATGACTGGTTCTATTTTCGGCCTCACCAGCGACAAGAGCGTGGATGGACTTGCCATCTACTATTACGGCACACTGGAGTTTATTGCACTGCAGACGAAGCAAATTGTTGACACCATGAACAAGGCAGGCCACAATATCACTTCGATTTTCATGTCGGGCTCGCAGTGCCAGAATGACATCCTGGTGCGACTGATAGCGTCGGCCTGTGACATGCCGGTTGTGATTCCTCGATACATCCATGCGGCTGTCTGCCATGGTGCCGCCATGTTAGGCGCAAAAGCTGCTAGCTCCGATTCCCAGGGTAATACCGAGGATTTGTGGGATATCATGGATCGCATGAGCAAGCCAGGCAAGAAAGTGATGCCAACTGACGATCCCAAGGAGAAGGCTCTACTGCAGGCTAAGTACGAGGTTTTCCTGGAGCAGTGTTATAGGCAGCAAAAGTACCGCCAACTGGTTGATGAGGCTGTAGGTGAATGGACCTCGGCCTAATTTTCTACCGTTGCGACGATGTCCGTGAGGGGAAATCTTATGAACCGTACACGATCTACATAATGAGAGGGAGATATTTTAGGATCATAACGGTCATTACCGTCATCGGGGTTACAGCTGAATAAAAGAGTTTTTGGATCTAGCAATTGTGCAATGTTCAGTATGATAATCGTAGCGCCTCAAATGGCAGCCTTGAGATATGATGGATGCAAGGAGGCGCGTCTCTCCCCCAGCAAGGAGCTATGATGGATTCAACAAGAACCAAAGAGGGCGAAGAACAGGGAGTATCGGAGGGTCATAAATGTAAACTTTGAATGCGCTATGCAAAAGAAAATAGGTGAATGTACGGGATTTTGACAAGGTAATCGTAACTGCCGATGTGTAAGGACGCTCATTTTAATAAGCGACTCCCCCACGGGTTCGGCCGATGGTGTAGAACTTCTCAGAATGGGTGCCGAGGGCGAGCGTGTCAAACCGATCCACTCCCAGAGTGTCCATGTTACTGTAGCCTGACAAGTAAAAGCCAAGGACAACGACCAGATATGTCAAGACCAGAACTGATCCCTTGAAGTAGTTACTCTTGCCTTCGCCGTAAACGTACGACAATAAGAAAACACAGAGGATGACAGTGATCATGTCCCACTGGGGGAAAATCAGACTGTTTAGGTTCATGTCAGTATGAAGGGATATTTTACGAATCGAGATAATAAACATACTTGAACGAGTGGCTGGAGAGCTCAGCAGGGTCGATTGACTGAGTGTAAAGGGCGCTGAAAAGAACCAGAGCGGGCACTTGCAACAGACAGACTTGCAACGCATATGCCGAGCCGATTTCCATCGACAAGGCGATGTTGCCATTCATTGCGAAAGAAATGGCGTTCTATCAAGGAAAACAGTCAGCATCACAATTCATTTCGACTGCGGGGAACGTCAGGACAAAATCGAGCCTACCAGAAACTCGGTTGTATTGGGAACCAAAGCAAATAGAGTGATGCCAAGGAACTTTTCATCGATATCAACGCTCTCCAGAACCACGTCAACCGTGTTAACAAGAATCTCTGCGACAATCGCATAGAGAACAGTCGCACCCAGAAGAATGATGGAGCTCTTCGCCTTGCTCCAGTTGGGGGCATCGTGACCGCCGCCAGCATGTGCCGGCTCAACGGTAATACCCATGTCCTCGGGCTCTTCGCCAGGAGATTTACCCTGCTCTACAGGAGTGCGAGCGGGTTGACGGCTCGAAGCGGATGGTACCATCAACTTGCGGTTTCGAGTAGCATCGCGAGCAGCAACCGCGGCTGCAGTTGCAGCGACCTCGGTGACCTGTCGGACAAGGCGTTCATTATCCTCCCCTGTGAGGCCGCGGATAGCCTTTGGGGTATGATGACTTTGTTCGCCGCCAGATCGGGGAGGGACTAAATGAGGGGTATTTCCCCGGCTCTCTGCCGTCGATATATTCTCAGACTGTTCCCAGTTCCCTGCGCTATTATCGTCCAAACCAACATGCCTCAACGACTGGCCCAAAATTCGTTTGTAAAGGTGAGAATCGCGAATTGAGTCTCTGTGGCTGGCAACAGCACCTGATGCTTCGGGGCCCCCACTCGGGAAAAGTAAATTTCTTGGTTCGTAGGTGAATGATGACTCTTGGGCTTGTTGAGCAGCCTTTTTCTCCTCGTTTTCGGTGGCCCAAATCAAAGCAGCATGGGTTCTGAGGGTGAACCAAAGACCGATTACATATGACAGGAACAAGAAGACTGCAGAAAACCATGCATAGGGTTGAACCGCTTTCTCAAAGAATGCATCCTGAACAGCTGCAGTTTGCGAGAAATAACATTGTCGGCAGTCATTTTCTTCTGCTGAAATGGAACGAACACACGAATGACAGTTGAGTTCATGCTATGATACAAGGTCAGCTTACGAGACAAGAAGATGTTGAGTTGAAAGGGAGGACTGACACTGCCAAAAACCTGGTAGAAAAGAGTGGGCCCAAAGGCTGCAATCATAGCAAACAGAAGCATTGTCGAGGTCACGCCTGCAGACTTCACGTTAAACCGTTGGGTTTTGCGTTTTATGGCACCAAAGCACATGGACAAGCCAGGCAGGAACAGAATACCGGCGAAAATACTGCCAATGATACTGCCCTCGACAAGCTGGGCTTTGCCCTCAGTTAAAGCAACACAATAGAGATAAACCTCGACAATGGTGGAGAAGAATGCGTTGATAGCGGCACCTAAACCCATGGATGACTGGGCTGAGATCGAAGCCACAGCCTGGCCAATGAAATAAGCCAAAGGAATGATGGAGAAAAGCGCCAGGGTGAAGATGAGACCGGGGTGCGTCAACCAGGAGTTCACGCCCAAAAACCCAGCCAGGACATGATAGTCGACAATGACAAAAACGACAACACTAAGCAAGTTGATAAAGAAGATATTCGTTCCATCGATGGTGTATTTCCAGTATCTTGTCCCGGCAGCTCGATAAGTGCATAGGAGAATGGAGGAAGACGACGAGGAGCCTGTACTGAGTCGTGCATAGGTTGTGTCGGAATGAAATGACAAGGCAAGTGGATGACGCCGAAGATGGCTCACTAGGATAGTCGTGACACGGCCCATGGGGATCCAGAAAACAAGAAGCCAGCAAACCACGGACACCATGAGCATCAAGGGACCGACCAGGAAATAGAAAAACGCAAAGAACACCACGCGGCCGAGGGTCCATTCACCGCGGCCAAAGAGGCGACGCTTGGATTGCGGAAATTGTGAATCCTGGCCCTGTCCTCGCTGGGGCCGGCCTAGTAGGCTGTCTCGTTCGCCCGCGGAGTCTACGCTGTTGCGTCGCCGTCCAACAAGAGATCGATCCCTGCGAGGTCCGAAGAAGAGCCGTCCATGCTCCAGGTCCCCGTTTTGCCACTGCTCATACTCGCTAATACTGCGTCCCTCTCCCTCATCTTCTTCCGCGTAATGATCATCGGTCTCTAGAAGAACGAAGGATCCAAACGGGTAAAAGAGGTAGCGAGAGAGTCCTGAAAAGACTCGCCCATAGGCTACGGCGCTGGATGAGTAGGCGAAAAAGAAGCACGCCATCGCAGCCAGTAAAGCAGCGAGCGCAAGCCACCATCCGAAGAGCAGAGACCAGAGGAGATTCGTCAAAAATAAGATAGGGCTGACACGTCCGCCAGGTGATGAATGAATATCTCCCTCAGCAGTCTTTTCCACCGAGCGACTCTTCTTGTACAATGCCGGCTTCCAGATCCTGATACCGAACGGGTGTGTTTCGTTGATGGCTTGCTGCCGGTCTTTGAGCGTAAAGCTCTCCGCGTCACTTGCTGCACCCTCATCCTCGGTGTGTTGGGACTCATCGCCACTTTCACCTCCACTAGCTCCATCATCCTGCCGTAGAGAAGGCGTCTTGACTGTTATAGGCTCCAAAGGGGGGTCCAGCAAGCCCTCGTCGATACTTAAGTTGTCGGACTCGCCTCTGGTGAGCGGACTGGGGCGGGCGCTAGGACGTCGTCTTAGGGTCGAGCTCTGCACACGCAAGGGACGCATCCTCGGCGATGGAAGGGTGGTCGACGCTTGCTGCAGGGCAATATCCTGCTCAACCTCCTTGACATCATCGTCGGTTGAGAACTCCTGACCCTTGTGGGGCACTTGACGCTTCGAAGACATACGACGAGTCACGGAAGGTTTTCTGGGCCGTTCAGTGGCCGTCGACGAGGTAAAAGCGTGGCTTGAAAAATCTTCCTGAGTTTCTTCTTCATGCACTTCGGATGGTGCATCGGGAGGGTATACATCCAGGGTCCCTGGGGCGAGGTAGTCAGCAACCGCGAACGTTACGCTTCCCCCATCAGCGTTACACAAAGTCTCGGGTCTCACCATAGCCTCTCCGGACCGGAGCTGTTGATCGCAGTCCCGGTATCGATGAACCGGATGCGTAGTCGCTGTCTGCAGTACCGGACACCTGGGCTGGCTCGGTGTTGTCGATATCTCGTTTGTCGGCCGCCATCTCGGATGATCCGCAAAGCGAACCAAATATCGGAGAGAAGGAAGGAGAAAAAGAAAAAAAACCAAAAGCACCCCAGCTGGAAATATTCGGAAATTAAAAAAGCTCCGAGAATCCCACTTGCCTTAACGAGGCTCTACTGAAACAAAGACAAGCCCTCCTGTCGTTCCATCTGCTGAGAGTCGAAGAATCGGGGATCGAACAGGCGCTGTGAGTCCAGGTAGCACACGCCCGCGTGGAGAGCTTCCAGATGACCCGTTGATGAACGGGCCAATGAGCGGTGCGCGTGAATCAGCGTGACTCAGCACAGTGGGGAGCTGCCGTGTTGGTTTGTCCTGTTTGTCTCGCATTGGCAGCCATACTTACCAGGTGTCTAGGTCATGTGCTCTCCCGCAGCTTGAAGCTGGACCAGCTCTCTGTCGGCCTCATCACAAACACCGTCATCGCTCTTGATATCATTCTCTTTCCTCCGCCTCCCTCTCGCCCGCTTTGACACCTACCCCGGGCTGTCTACGTGGTGTTACTGTTCACCGAACATTTTATTTCGCCAATAACCCGCCTTTTGACGTCGCTCCACTGATAGGGTCAGCCCTGTCTGTCTTCGCCATGGCGTTGGATAACTACTATCGCAACAAGATTGAGGGGATGAAGCTGGAGATCATTCAGGGCCAGGCAGTCCTTCGGCGGTTAGAAGCACAGCGCAATGACTACAACTCGCGGGTGCGTCTGCTGCGGGAGGAGCTGGGTCTGCTTCAACAACCAGGCTCGTACGTTGGAGAGGTGGTGAAGGTGATGAGCACTAAGAAGGTGCTTGTGAAGGTGCACCCGGAAGGCAAATATGGTACCGTCATCCCTCTTTTCCTTACTGTGAGAAGTTTTTACGGTCTTTGGCATCGTTCTTCTCTCCTTCATTGTCCTAGTTCGGAATGCGATGTGTACTAATTCTCTGCCTCGCATCGACAGTGGTTGATATCGCCGATGGCGTGGATATTGCGAAGCTTACCGTGGGCAAACGGGTGGCTCTACTCTCAGACTCGTACAAGTTGGAAAAGATGCTGCCATCATCGGTTGATCCACTTGTATCACTGATGATGGTGGAGAAGGTGCCGGATAGTACATATGACATGATTGGTGGTCTGGATCAACAGATCAAGGAAATCAAGGAAGTGATCGAACTCGGTCTTAAGCACCCGGAGCTGTTCGAGTCGCTGGGTATCGCACAGCCAAAGGGTGTCCTGTTGTACGGGCCTCCTGGTACTGGCAAGACCCTCCTGGCCAGAGCGGTGGCCCATCATACCGACTGCCGTTTCATTCGTGTGAGCGGCTCGGAGTTAGTCCAGAAATATATCGGCGAGGGCAGTCGTATGGTACGAGAGCTGTTCGTGATGGCCCGAGAGCACGCCCCGAGTATCATCTTCATGGATGAGATCGATAGCATTGGCTCCAGCCGGATAGACTCGGCCGGATCTGGAGATTCGGAAGTGCAACGAACGATGTTGGAACTGCTAAACCAACTGGATGGCTTCGAGCCGACGAAGAATATCAAGATCATCATGGCCACGAATCGACTGGATATTCTGGATCCGGCACTGCTGCGACCTGGACGTATTGACCGGAAGATTGAGTTCCCCCCACCCTCGTGAGTGTCTCTCCCCCTCGTTTCCTCTTATCACTTGTTTGTTCCCTTGCTCTTGCGTGCTCGGAGCTTGTCCCCCCTTCCTTCTTCATCCCACTTCTGACATAGACACTGTCCATGGGATATACATTGGCTAACCCCTATATTTTTTTTCCTTTATACTGCAGCGTTGAAGCTCGTGCCGATATTCTACGGATCCACTCCCGCTCAATGAACTTGACCCGCGGCATCAATTTGACAAAGATTGCCGAGAAGATGAACGGCTGCTCTGGAGCCGAGTTGAAGGGTGTCTGCACCGAGGCGGGCATGTACGCGTTGCGCGAGCGACGGGTGCATGTTACGCAGGAGGACTTTGACTTGGCGACCGCCAAGATCCTCAACAAGCATGACGATAAGGAAGTGGCGGTCTCCAAGCTGTGGAAGTAAGCCCAGTCGGTCCTTAATGTGGCCTAAGCTGGCGGCGGACGGGAGGTTTAGATGACGATACTCGCTTTCCTCGGAAACATGGAATGATCGACGACTTGTACCACTAGTTCTAATCCTACCTTCAACCATTTTCTCCCGAATTGATATGAGATGCATTTTTTGGGGTGCCACGACGTTGTCCACGGGGGAGTGAGAAGTCTTGAATTGTTGAGCGTTGCGTCCGTACTTTTAGGCCGATGCCGCATCGGCGCCAGGAATTACCCGACTAGGACGATGAATGCAATGCAATTTCGTTAACGTGAATATGCCCGGAATAACTAATTAGTAACTAGTACATACTCACCAACTAGTTTGTTTCGGCTATTCTCTCCACTTACGATTTGTGATACCGGTGTGGGATTCTCTGGATCGCGAATCGTCTCTTGAATGCTCCGAATACCCCGGACCCCCAACCGCTCGCTGGTCTCACCGGGGCGCTGGAGTGGGACTAGCGCTGGTCCGATGCCGCCGCCATGGCGTCGACACATCTCTGGGTCCCCTCTATGACCCCCATGCAAGCCCGAGCCAATAGCCTAATAGGCCCCTTTCGTCTTGGCCACTGGGTGGGTTTGGGAGGAAGAGAGGGGGAGTGGGTGAATTCTGCGACATGGTTGCGCTGGAATGCTGAAAGAGCAATGCATTATCGTGTGGAGTATAGGCGCAGGTATTGGTACATGCTGGGGTTGCGTTGGGGAGATGGGGCCAGACGCCTGGGACGAGAGCTGAGGTAATCCGAATATCCGAATGTTTACTCGTACCTAGTAGCTACTATTACTAGGAGTAGTTGTAGGAGTAATATTAGAAGGAGTATGAGTAGTAGTGACTGTATACTACGGAATCACTCCGGAACTCACGATATGGGCTCGGGGCCTTTAGAGCGTCAGGACTACCTGGAGTCGCAGCGAACATAGGAATCCCATAGAGGAAGACTTGAACTAATTCCAACCACGTCCACCATTCTCTCCCCCCGGTTCATCAGTCGCATTAGGATATGCGGCTGTGGTCAATACAGACGGCACACTGTCTCTTCCAAGACCTTGGCGCCCTCAACACCCACAGGCTATTGCCATCGATAGGTGCCTATCCCGGACATACAGAAGATCCTAAATCAATGACTGCGCAGCGGTCCTCCCTCCCCTGGAGTCTCAAATTTAGAGCCCATGATCGACCGCAAACGCCATCATTGGGCTTGGCGTGGATCTCCCCAGCGTCGGCGGTCGCATTATCCTCGCCAGCTATGATCTTGGCAGGATTGGCATTTGGGGTCGGGCCGACGATCCTGTGGTCTTCACAACCGCATCCGGACGGGGACGAGTCGTACGGAGTCCATCCAGGCCGCCTGAGTGACGCGACTGCAGTGAGCCAGTCGAGTGCCAAGCGCCGAGGATTTTGTGTGAGAGAGGGGGAGCGGGGGCTCAGCCTCACCATTTGGCATCGAGATCTTCAGACAAAAGGGAGGTCGTTACATAGCAAGGGTCTGTCGAGCGACCGTCGATGCCGTGATCCTGCACACCAACCCCTCTGATGGTGCTGATGGGCGGAGGGGGACGACACTGATTGGAAGAACGGTCGTATCGCATGCCGGAGACCGGACCATGGCCGGTCGCTCATGGATTGAACGGGTTCTTTCTCAGGTTCAATCGGGAGATATGGGAGACATGGAGACATCCGCAGGGGGAGTGATCTTGAAGGACACAGCTATTTTGGGTTATCGGCATACTTCCGGGGGTTCATCTTTCATACTTTCCATATGTTCATACTTCATCCTTCATCCTTAAGGGTCCGCACCACAGCCCCACGCCCCAAAGCCATTGGCCCACGACTTCAGACCCCTGGTCTCGCCACTTCTACTTCGAGAAGGAAAAGAAGCAAGTGGGGTATTGGCTCTGACGCGGCCCTAAAAAACCCAGCCCGCGTGACCGGCGGATCAGTGGAGACGCTGGACGACCCTCGACAGGTTGGGGGTTGGACCCGGCTTTTGATCCGGGTCCTGGAAGGTGACAGGAATTCAAGAGGAGGAAAGACGAGGAGAGACGAGGAGGCTGGTGGAAACGGACGTTGGGAAGGCATACAGAGGAGGAAACCCCGGGACAGCCAACGTGCCGGAGTCCTGCCTACCAAAGAGGTACAACTTCCTTTGCGAGGCCTGGAAGTCACGGTGCCCCCTGTCGAAGGGTAGCCAAGTCACTTTCGCGTACTCGGTACTTGGCAGGCCCCCCCCCCCAACTTGGCCCCCCCTGCCCCTTGCCGACCGCTCCATCTCCGTCCCGCACCCTCGCCGTCGACTAGTAAGCCGGTCTGGCTTACTTGGTATTCTGCACACGCCGTCTGGGCGCAGTGTATTTCCGTGGCCCGATCCAAGAATGCCAGCGTGGACTCGAATCGGCCCACTGATCGGCCTCAACGAGATAGTGCTGTTTTGGTTCTTTTGTTCCTTTTGTTCCTTTTTTCCTTTTTTTTTTTTTTTTTTTTTCCCTTCCTCATCTTAGGATGATGCCTCTCTCTTGGCGTAGCATAATGCATGGACAGAGGAGAAGGGGTATCTGTGGCCTACGAGGATCCCTGGTCGAAGAACACGATCTCTTGAAGTATATAAAGTCGACCATCAGCCCCGGACTTGCTGCATTCGGCCCTTCCGCCATCGCCACGTCTTTTGACCGACAGTTAAAGGACCACTGAAGAACACGGAACACGAAGTACCGGTACTTCTGATCGGATTTCTCTTCTTTCCTTCTGCCCTTCTCCCATTTGAGTAACTCTTATCATTACTCAATTGAATGATCCAATCCGTCCGCGGCGCCGACTCCACCCCGGATCTCAATTTCCGTCTCCACCGGAGCTTCGTTGGGGGTTCATCGCGCTCATTGCGGAGATAATTCGCCTGTGGCCTGACTCTGACGTTCACCCTCAACCCGAGTCCCTCGAGTCCCTCTTTAAACCCTGGCCGCCATCCATGATTCTGTGATCGTCCCTTTGTTGGCATTTGATTCCTCTTCCCTTTCCAACCCCCTCCCCCCAAAAGTGGATCTGCCCCGATTCCTACCCTCCGAAACTATATAAAACTATACAAAACCCACGTTCCTTCCCTTCCCCCCGGACTATGTCCGACGACTTGTGGCTTTCTTTGGTTTCTGCAATTAGTCCCTCCGTCGACGCTATGCCGGCTGTTCTCCAATCCACGATCCACCTGCTCGAATCCGAGCTGGTTAAGGCGCGCGCTGCCCTCCAAGAAATTCAACCCCATACGCCGCTCTTGCGAATTGGCGATGAGGTCGCCGTCGGCGCGATGGCCGCCTACCGTCAGAACCTGATCGGCCGCGCCCCCGACTTCTACGGCTCTCGTCGCTTGACCGCGAAGGAACTGGGCCTGGAACCCATTCGTCAGGAGTGCTACCAGCAGCCCGTGCCAGAGCCCATTCCCGAGCCTGCGCCCATAGCCGCACCCGCACGACGGACACCACTCGAAGAGATGCTCACCAATAGCTTGATCCTCGACCATATGGCCCCTTATCTTTCCATTCCCTCCTTGGTCGCGTTAGCTTCCACATCGCGCTTGCTCTATAACATGATCACCACAACCCCATATGTATTCCGCCACGTCGATCTGACCCGGTGCGCAGGCGCCCAGCTGCCGAAGAAACGGTCCAAGGAAGACGATCTGCGAACCGAAGATGAAATTTACTCTGCTCCCGTTCGACGGATCTTTTCGAGCCTGGAAAAGCGATGCATTCTACAAGATGTGCGCACGTTGGTACTGGATGGCCTGTCCGTTCCCGCCGACTTGGTCGCCGATATCATCCTGTCGGACCGATTCAATGTCAACATTCTATCTATTCGCGAGTGCAAGCACCTCAACGAGCGTAAACTGATGCAGGTCATTCAACACGCCGTGCGACCCACCCGCCCCAAGGGGACCCCAAAAATCAAAGGCATCTATCACTTCTCGCCCATTCAAGCTCCTTCCCGAGCTGCCGTGCGGCGACGCTATCGCGACTGGTGGGGCTCTCGACTGGGTACGCAGTCTCGAAGCCTGAGCCAGAGCTCCTCTGCCAGCTCCTCTGATAACGAAGACGAGGGACCGACTGTTTCATCCAGACGTCAGCAAAATGAATGGTATCGCCCATCGGGCAAGCTTGTGAAACATAGTGTGGAAGAGGGTTGGGCGCAAACTCTACAGAAGTGCGAAGGTATCATAGCCTTTGACGCTGTGCTGTGCCGTGGGCCACGGCACGATATTAACCTATATTCCGCCAACGAGAATCATCCTGCTCCAGAGGCTTCTTTCCTGGGCCCTGCCGTGGCTACTGTAGCCCTCGGACCCCGTGGCTGTGATGGATGTCACAGTTCCCCCGAAGGCCCAGCCATCTGGGGCCAGTCTGCAGACGTGGAGTTCCCCTTGCTCGGACCCGTGCCTCTGCACGTATCGAACACTGTGGCGGCCAAGCGCCCCGAGTTGATTCCAGGAAAACACCCGGTTTTGATTGCCCGATGCACGGACTGCCTGACTGATCGCTGGTGCCACCGGTGCAACAAGTGGTTCTGCGACAACTGTCTACCGAACCCACAGCATGTGCAGGTCAATTTATCTCCGCATCAGACCGCTGTCCGTCCGCCTCAGAGCCAACTCCATGATGCGATACCCAATGATCGAGAGGTACGTCAAAAAAAGGCTTGTGTATATTTTCTTTTTCTTGGTATTGACATATTAACCAGGCGCTTGAACGAGGGGTCAGCAAAGACTGCTGGGAGTGTGGCCCAACTGTAAATGACCCTAGCTTTGATATCCAATAACTCTCCATCTTTTGTTTTCTAACATATTCATCTCTAGTGCGCCTCATGCAAACGAGACTGTCAACACACCTGCCAGAGCTGCCAGGGCGATTATTGCATCGAACATAATGAAGGGTGCTCCGCAACCATGGTAAGCTAATTCTACTCCTCGTTCATCGAGGTCACTCACCTCTTGGGGAAAGAGGCTTCCGTGGCTAATCAGGGATCCTTGTATAGTGTGACTGGTGTAACACCAGTTCTCGCCACCGGATGCGGAGTTTCCACTAGTGCTTAATGCGCTGTCGAGCAAAGGCTTCCTGTGTTTCAAAGCCAAGCATTTTTTCCTCGGTCTTCTGCTTTTGCTGCTTTACTTTTGTTTATACCCGTACCTCTCTACTCCACGTCTCCCAGTGCTTGGGTGGTTTTGTTCTGTTTTGATTTTCTTGATTTCCGATACCATCTGCGTTGAAACTGGTGCGACTATTCAAGCACACATCTGATTGGGCAAAATGCTGAAGAAAACTACACTGTTCTGGTTGATTATGGACGCATGAGTATCCACATCACTCATCATCAAGTATACATCCCGGTCCTCCGCCTCTTTACTAGTTTTCTAGTCCTTTGGTACGTGATGACGTAGATCCTAACTGTCAAAAGTAGCAAATGAGAGAACGAAACTTCAACCCAAGACAATCCAAAATTGGTCAGCTAAATAAAATCCATCTATCCGAAAACACTGAAAATATGCAATATGACTTCGAATCCAAACCATGGATGGCATCTTGGTGGGTTTCAGGCGATGTACCGGTTGAGGGCTAGTAGCTTAGAAATGGCCAAGGCGCGTGTGGGGTCGCGGGGAGTCTTCCAGAACTTCCGAAGAGCTTCCCGCTCCACCTATAAATCTCCAACCGCCATGTTCTGTGCCCGACTCCTTCGATCTCCACCATGGCGGAGAATACCTTGAGCTGGTCTGCCCAGCTGATAGTCGCCGCGCCGCAGCGCGGTCCTCGACTGCCAGGGGACAAAATTATCCTGCCGCAATCCGCGCTCGAGCAGCTGTTGGCAGCGGCGCCTATGCAAGCGATATCCGCAAACCCTCGCGTGCACACTTCCAGCTTCGACCCCTTCAACCCGCACACCTTCGCCGCCGAATCTCGGGCACGCCAGCAGATCGAGGAGCGCCAACAGCAGCTCCCCCACCCCCTTACCTTCCGGATCGTGAACCCCGCAAACGATCGGTTCGTCTATGCGGGCATCCGCGAGTTCTCCGCCGCAGAGAGCGAGGTGGCACTGAGCACGATTCTGCGGGAATCGCTGGGAATTTCGGAGGAGGATTTCGCACCACATGAAAATGGCGAAAACCCGAATATGCAGATCGATGGCGAAGGAGAGGCGCCTAGGACTAGGGCCGGGCCTGTAGTCACCGTACATGCGAAACAGCTACCGAAAGGCACGTACGTTCGACTCCGACCGCTTGAGGCAGGCTATGACCCGGAGGATTGGAAGGCGCTTCTAGAGCGACATTTGCGAGACAATTTCACGACGCTGACAATGGGCGAGATTCTGACCGTCCCCGGGACTCGGAGCGAATCGTTCCGCTTTCTGCTGGACAAGGTGTATCCGGAGGGAGACGGAATTTGCGTGGTGGACACTGATCTGGAGGTTGACATTGTGGCTTTGTCCGAGGAACAGGCGCGAGAAACCTTACAGAAACGATTAGAACGCGCAGCGCGAGCGCCGGGAACGTCGAGCGGCAGCTCGGTGGGCGGAGTGATTGCTCTAGGAGAAGAAGTGGTAGCCCAAGTGCTCCCAGGAGAATATGTGGACTATGAACTTCGAGAGTGGGACCGTGACAAGACTGTCCAGGTTGAGCTCTCGACGGACGATGATTCGGCGTGTCTTTTTGCCAGTCCATTTGGGGCTCGTCAAAGAGGGCATCCACGGCGGGACGTCTATGTGTGGGGGAATTTCTCTACCCAATTCCCCAAGCGATTGTCGATTCGACCCACCAATGTGGCTCTTGAGGGCGCAGAATCCCTCTATATCACAGTTCACGCCAACCAACGAGCCTCAACCCCCGAGAATTCGGCTTCACAATCACCAGCAAAGTACCACCTGCAAGTCATCACTCGTGAGTCCGATATCGAAGAAACGCAGGTGGAAGAAGAAGGAACACATGAGCCGGGCGATGTCCAATGTCAGAACTGCCAGCAGTGGGTGCCCGAGCGGACCCTCGTTCTTCATGAGAACTTTTGTCTTCGGAACAACGTGGTCTGTCCGCAGTGTCGTAATGTCTTTCAGAAGCGCTCGCCCGAGTGGCAGAATCACTGGCACTGCCCGTCTGATTCCTCCTTTGGCAACGACGCCGATAGCAAAGCCAGCCATGATTTGATCTTCCATGCCTCTCTTGACTGTCCGGATTGCCCAGCTCAGTTCGAGGGCCTTCCCGCTCTTGCTCAGCACCGAACGACCGACTGTCCAGGGAAGCTGATCCTCTGCCAATTCTGCCATTTGCTTGTACCGCAACAAGGCGATTCGGATCCAGACATCCATGATCCTGAAGTCATAGTCTCTGGGCTAACACCCCATGAAATTTCAGACGGAGGACGCACCACAGAGTGCCATCTCTGTGGCAAGATCGTTCGCCTCCGAGACATGAACACCCATCTACGGCATCACGATCTCAAGCGTGTTTCACGCCCACTGCCACGAATCTGCCTGAACCAAAACTGCGGCCGCACCCTCGTCAGTGGCGCCAACCAGTCCCTAGGCCTGTGCAATATCTGCTTTGGGCCCCTGTATGTGGACACATATGACCCAGAGGGCAAGGCGCTGCGACGACGTATCGAACGACGATATCTGTCGCAGCTGATGACCGGCTGCGGCAAGCCATGGTGCCAGAACCAGTACTGCAAGACGGGCAAGACGAAGACCCAATCCAGTGCGCCCGCGCCAATGGGCGTGGCTGATATCATGAGAGTAACGCGGCCGCTAATCGATGCGATCAATGTCAGCCCAGACGTCGCCAATACGGCACCGTTCTACCTCTGCACCGACGAAGCAGGACAACAGCGCCGCACGCTGGCCGAGATGATTTCGGCGCAGGGCGCGACGGGCGAGGAGAAAGCGTATGATCTGGCATGGTGTGTGGCCGGCGCCGAGGCCGCTGGAGGCGATTTTGAGAAGACACGAGAATGGTTGGCTAAGTGGGCTCCGGTCCAGGGTGAAGTAGTCGGATGATGGTATTTGCAAATAGAATATACAGGGCCGTTGTGTTTTGGAGGCCTGGGGGTCCATAGGGATAGGGAGAGGTGAGGGGGAGTGTTGGATTATACAAGAGAGTGATTATCGTTTACGGGATAGAGCAGCGCCCACGAGTCTAATAATGAATGCATGATGTGATGACATATATAACACAGGTCGAGTCTCGTAATATTCATGATCAGATGCAACGCACTGCTAGGAGCAAAGTTTCCTAAGTAGTCTGCCGCAGCCGGGAACAAAGGAGTTAAAAAAGGGAGTAACAGAAGTGGATTGTAAACCACGCCATCTGCAACAAAAGTAAAATGCAGGAGGCTACGCTGTAAAAGAAGAGGAAAAATTAAGAGCTGCCGGGAGGAGGCTTTATTGATTTCCCTTAGGCAGCACCCGTCTTCGCGGCCAGCGTTCCGGTGCCCCGCGAGGAGAAAATGCCCATGATGCCGAAGACGACGTAGAACAAGGCCAGCGGATAAGCCACCAACCCCCTCATCCCGCTCATGCGTGCCACGGCGCAGAACATGCCTGAGGAGCTGTAGGTGCACCAACCAACAGCAGCCGTAGTCAAGAGGTAACCAAACATGGTGTCCATGGGGATGAGAATGCCGATGAGCGCCGTGAGAACCAGTGGCAGGAAGCAGTAGCCCAGGACACTGGCAGAACGGGGGAAAGTCAAAGTCGCTGAGAAATGGCCAGCTGCGGAGGCGCCGGACAAGGAGGGCTTGTGGTGAGGGTTGTAGTTTGTGGGATCGGCAGCGTTCGGGGTAGGAGCGGTATCGAGGGCGGGTGACATCAAGCTCAGAATGAGATGGAGGGCGACGGTACCGAAAACGGCTACACCGTAGATGTAGCCATAGAAAACTTTGCCGGAGAGGAGGAGGAAGGTACCGTACAGAATGATGTAGAGGAGGGCGCCGTAGAGGTCGCTGTCGTCCATGAGGTGATTGTCGATCGAGGCGAATGGGTTCAGGACGGTTAGAGTCTGGATGAGGATGAAACCGTTAGCTTTGAGATATTATAATTTAACTTGTCTGCCAGGGTGTATCAAATTGCACTAGGTCATAGATGCTCGTGGTATCTCCAGCCTAATTCAAGTATAGTACCTGGATGGCCACACATCATGGCCTCTCACCCTGGACACTAGACTTCTTTTTCATCCATTGCCCCACTCACCTTTGTCCGAATATGCTCAAAGTTGACGCCGAGCTCCTCCAATAACGGAGGCTCGCCATCATATCCCTCCGTTCCAAAGGCGGCCAGCCAGCCTGTCCGCAATCCGCCCTGTTCACCCATCCTGCCGCTCACACCCGCTGCTGGAGATCCAAAGCCTCCATATCCACCACCAACAGGATATGCCTGCGTAGAGGGGTTTGGCGCGCTACCATAGCCAGCGCCATAAGAGGCTTGTGACGGGGTTGTGTGGCCGGAGACGGAGGAGTAGGACGAGGGGAAGAACTGGAGGTTTTGTGCGTTGCCTTGGGGTGCGTAACCCTGCTGCTGTTGTTGAGGGTAGTATTGAGCCATTGCCAGACGGTGGCGCGCGCAGGCCTATGATTCTTTGTGGTTGTAGCAGCAAAAAAAGTCCTTGCGAGAAAAGTAGGAGGGACGTGGGATGTGAGAGCTGTAGCTCGATCTGTCCAACTGGCGCCCCGAGGCTTGCTGACTCAGAACTGTCCCGGTCGTCTGGCACTCTATGGGGACGTCAACAAACACGGAAAATTACTACTATCTTGCCAATAGTTATAGTTTATTGGTTTTTTTTTAATAATTTATGGTGATGCATCTATGGGATACAACGCTCACACTGAGGAGAGAACATCGTTCATAGTAATATAACCTCGAGCAGAACACAGAATTAGACCCCTGCTAGGACCGCAGGGCTGGGAGTTTTATAGAACCGCGATCAAATTTCCAGTATCAGTCTTCCCCCCATGGAACCAAGCTTGGGATAGAGTTGAAAATATTGATAGTCCTCATACTATATTAATGGCTCTATCCTTCAAAATCAGGTTCAAATTGTCATACACTTCCTTGCAGTATGATCTCATCCTCTTGATGTTTCTCACATCTGTGGAATCATTATTTACTGGCGTTTCCTCTTCCCAAAATATCGAGAAGTATCACCAAGAGGAAGATGCAATATAGAATCTTTCAACAATAGATGAAAGACAATATACCATCCCACCAGCCCAGCGAGGAAGCAGAAGATGCCACCCGACTTCTTGAGTGCCAATGACGATGCGGAATGGCCATCCGCCTCGGCAAAATAACTGGCAGCAACAGTAAGGAAGCCAAGATCGACCAAAAAGAATACTAGGATGTAAGCAATATTGCTGGGGAGCGATGCGATAAGAAAGGTGAATACAAAAACGGTCCACAAGATCATGAAGAACCCCACCGCGTTGTTATACTGAGCCACATCATCCCCGTATGCCTGGGCCACCCCAAAAGCAGGGGTCAACAATGCCCCATAGCCAGCATAGAAAAGGCCTGGAGATAAAGAGGGTCAGAATAGTGTTTATTTTCTTGGAGCTTGAAGTATGAACTGCTCGTATTGGGACTAACCGAAGGCACTGAAAACAGTGTAGGCGAATCCGTTTCCGATCGAGAGCTCCCACTGGGCAGTAACCACCAAGCCAAAGGCAGCGATGAAGAAGAAGTTTGCAACAAATACATTGGTCGTCGTGACTCCGCGCCATTCCATCAGACTTAGTGAAAGAGTCGTCAAAGTTGTTCCGAATGCACCCAGGGCAAGTGCCGACTATAATTGAATATGAGTGGTTGTCTTGACCTTCTTGGCCTCGGTCTGCTTTTAGAAGCAATCACTTACCCCGGCACCCAAGGATTTAGGAGTCTCCGTGTGGACAGGAAGTGCGCTGCCTTGATGCTCAATGTCTATTACATCGCCGTCTTTTTGACTGCTAGGAGTACCACTAATGGCATCGTGGGACTTTTTGCTGGTCATTGTTGAGTTGAGCGGACACTGCGTCGTAAACACTCCGGATCAAGGATGATTAGAACCTGAAAAAGAATCTTATTTTAACCATATGGTATTTCTTCTTGTATAAGAGCTTCCAAAAATACTGCGATCATCTAAATAGTCTCTATCACATCATCGCCCGTCCAGATGATGAGAGGATCGTTTATCGCAGCCGATCATTGATTTACAGAAACTGGGGGGGGGGTAAATGGAACGAACATCAATTTATGAGACCATTATCGGTTTACAAATCCCATGGTTTGGGTGGACCATGCATGGCATAATCAAGCTTCTAATGACCTGCTCACCCAAGACACTTTCTGGTCCTCTAGTTCATTGCCTGGAAATACTGTGTAGCGTACTTCTCGGCCGACTCCTGTAGCCATGTCGCTCTGCCCTATAATCCCCCAGTAAATCATCTCGCTTTTGAGGTAAAGCTCGCGATATTTGACCAAAGATATGTCGTCTTGGCTGTGTAGATCAATTTTAGTGAAATAAAGGCGAATGAAGCCTAAAATATTATGACTGTTTACTACTATAGCCATTCTCTTTTCTTCTTTTACCCACCTGTATTCACATCATTGCTGCCATACTCTAAACAATGACATCCATGGAGACTATCAGCAGTCAAAGTCTTGACAATGAGATCAAGCATCTCGCTCGACTAGGCCGCTTTTCTAAACTCTAGTTTGAGCTCTGCCTTTCGGCATGGCCTGGTATGGGGGCAGCGGCTACTCTTCGGAGGAAATTCGGATCAGACTCTAGCGCCTGGTCACAATCCATCATTGGCTTGGGCTTTGCGAACACGAAAATCCCGAGATTCACAACTCTCTGTAAATCTCCCGGAGAGGTCTGGGGCCATCAGGGATGCCCTCCCCACTAAACCCAATCAGTAGCCTCTCAAAGCCTATGCGGATTGGGACTATGTGCGACTCTGTGCGTGTGGGGGACGGGACTGCCTCGATATTTCTCTTGTCTCACATGCTTTTTCTGCTCTAAAAATGCGGCAGTGGAGTCAGAGTCGAGCTAGAGTTCGCACTAAATCGAAGTTGAATTGATTTGAGGAGAATAAAGTTGAGTTGAGTTGGGCTCGTCTCCGATAACGACATGCTCAGCCAACGTGACGACACCCTATCACCTCATTATTCGGCCGACAACACGACAACTAGAACTGGCCATCACATCATTTAGCATGAGCAGCATGTCATTGAGCTATGAATTGCTCATTTGCTTGTTGGCCGATTGCCATCTTTTCTTCAAGACGTCGAGGACCCGTTATATAGTGGGATACCAGTGACCGCTCCTCCCATGTTTCCCAACAACTCAATCGTTGCTCTTTGATAGCACCATTTCACACTCAATTTCCATCGATTAAGTCCCAAAGATGGCCCAAGTCGATATTCCCGCCTCAGACCCCGCGGTCTATGCTCAATATCAGGATAAATGGGCTGCTCTGCCAGAGACGGCCGAGGCATGGCTGGCCAGAGCTCGCGCGGTGGCCGAAGTTCTGGCCCAGGATGCCGCACAGAGAGACCAAGATAACAAGTCACCTCGCGCAGAGATCTCACTGCTCAAGCATTCGGGGCTCCTCAAGTTGCTCGGGCCGAAGAAGTACGGGGGTGGAGAGCAGCCCTGGAGCGTGGGATATCAAGCAATTCGGGAAGTTGCCAAAGCAGATGGGTATGTCAAACTATGAACCTAACGCAGGGCCATCATATTACGCCGCGAGGACTGTATTTCTCACTCAGGATATTCTGGACAGGTCAATTGGCATGCTGCTCGGCTATCATCTGCTCTGGTCGACCACCGCCAATATTGTGGGCACACCAGAACAGGCCGAACGTACCCAGCAGTTAATCATCGCAAATAACTACTTTGTCGGAGGTGCCGTCAACCCTCGTGACAATGACCTCCAAATCACCTCGGATGGGGATCATCTAGTCTTCAATGGTGCCAAGCACTTCAACACCGGCGGCGTGGTTTCCGATCTGACCGTGCTGGAAGGCGTGCTGGACGGTACCGACGGCCATATCTTTGCGCTGGTGCCCACCACGCAGCCGGGAATTGAATTCGCCCATAACTGGCACAATATCGGTCTCCGCTTGACGGAATCCGGGGGCGTGAAGATAAATAATATCCGGGTGCCCTGGCAAGATGCACTAGGCTGGGATGAAGCCTTCAAGAAGCCCCGCGAGGACATTCTATTGATTCCGTTTGCCAGTCTACTTTTGCCGACGTAAGAGCTCTCATATTCTCCCTTTTCCCCATCCGTCATGTCCTTAGCATATTGAGTGCCGTCCTAATAACCCACCTTGCGTCGCTAGTATCCAATTGGTCTTTAGCAACTTTTACCTAGGAATTGCCATTGGCGCCTTGGAGTTTGCATCCAAATATACGGCATCTTCCACTCGCGCATGGCCCTTTGGAGGCGATACTAAGGATTCTGCGACCGACGAGTTCTACATCCTGGAGCGATACGGGAACTTCTTCGCTCATCTCCGGGCGGCCGAAGCCCTGGCAGATCGGGCAGGTGATCAGCTCTCAGCCCTCTATGCTCGCTACTCGACGGATCGAGCCACTCTCACCGCAGATGAGCGAGGGGAAGTTGCTGAGTGGGTTGCCAGCGTCAAAGTGGTCACCACCGATGTCGGGCTGCGCGTTTCGTCGGGAGTATTCGAGGTAACTGGGGCTCGCGCCACGGCCCTTAAGGTCGGTCTTGACCGGTTCTGGCGTGATATTAGGACGCACTCGCTACATGACCCTGTAGCGTACAAAAATCGAGAACTCGGGCGGTTTGTGCTCTTGCAGGAGTACCCCGCGCCCACTTGGTACACCTAAGTCGTAGATTCAGCTTGGAAAGCGAACTCAACCGGTTCACTAAGGCGCGAAAAAAAGCTGGGATCGTGAAATAATGAGATGAGAGCTCAATAATGCCTATGATATGATTTTTCTTGGAATACTACATCTCTTGGTTTTATTGTTCGTAATCACCTTGTTAATCGTATTTCGTATTTGTCTACTTTTGCATCTTCAAGTCTCGCCCTTTGTAGATTCTAATTTAATTTTATTTGTCGAGTGTCCAAAGTGATATTTCTATAAAAGTCTCCTTCTGAAACTCATAAAATGAGGCTTAAAATAACCTTGAATGATACTTGACTATTTAAAGGGTAATAATAGCTGATGCTACGGCGTGAACCAGAATTCTTGGTTTTGATCTAGCAGTACAGACCATGTCTAGAAAATGACTTCTCCTTATACTACTAATTCCAATCGGCTCGATAGAATAGGGCATGAACAGCCTGTAAAGATGAAATCAGTTCAAAGCATGGTCGAAGTATAAGAAGCCGAGCATGTGCCCGCAGGTGTCAGAAAAGCGGCCCCCCACGGAGATAAGCCGCCCCCCGCGCACACGATAAAGATGCCGATCCGAAATTTTCTTCGGTTTTCTTGTGGGCTCGGCCTTTACTTCCTCTGCACCTCGTCTTCGGCTTGCCTATAAGATCCTCGGGCTCTTCCTCTCAATCCCGTCACCTCTTCATCTTTATTCCAGGTCATTCTCTAGCCGCCAAGATGCCGCAGAAGGTCTATGTCACCTACAACCAGGTACGTTCGGGATCTTCTTGTTTGCCTCCTAATCTATAATCACACCACCTTGTAGCTGGATGCGCTGCTACAGGGATTTGGTGCGATGCAGATTGGCTCCACAATTTCCAAAGAGACTGGGCGAGGCTGATCAGCTCGGGGAATCTAGGTGCACAAGCTGTGCCAGCAGTCTGCAGACACTATCCTGAAGGAGTTTCACCCCAACCTGATGATTGCCATTGGCGGTGGTGGCTACGTCCCTGCTCGCATTCTCCGGTATTTCTTCACCAAACCCAAGTCGCGCACATATTGCATGAGCCCAGAAATCCATTTCTAACGGCTGCCCCGCTCTATAGATCTTTCCTCAAGCGCCCTGGTGACCCCAACATCCCCATCCAGGCCATCGGCCTCTCTCTCTACGAGGATCTTGGCCGTGGTGACCCCGAGGAGGTCCCTGGCACCAAGGTCACCCGCACCCAATGGCTGGACCTGAGCTCCCTCGAGATGGCCAACCTGATTGGCAAGAACATCCTCATCGTCGACGAGGTCGATGACACCCGCACCACTCTGGAATATGCCGTGCGGGAGCTTGAGAAGGACGTGGAGCTGGCCCAGAAGCAGCTTGGCCGTGAGGGCGAGAAGACCAACTTCTTCGTCTACGTTTTGCACGTACGTTATTTTGCCTCACGACAAAAGACCTTCCCTTATATGGCACTGATATTAACTGTCTTACTCGGAACAGAACAAGAACAAGCCCAAGAAGGGTGTCCTGCCCACCGACATGATGGACAGCGGCCGCTACCATGCTTCCGTCACCACCGACGATGTGTGGATCTGCTACCCTTGGGAGGCCAAGTAAGTTGCGCCGTGATGCTGAACCCTGAGGTCTCACCGCCACTAACACATCAATCTTCGCTTAGGGACATTGATGAGCACGACGCTTTGTCCAAGGAGAACCCGCTCATCTAAGAAGCACTTTATTAGCATCGGCGATCAGCATTTCCATTCTGCGCGGCACTCTGATACTAAAGGCGGCTTTGGGGGCCTCGATTTGGCTGCCCGTTCCCGGCGCGGAGGTAGACCTGGGCAGGTTAATTTTTTTTTACGATATCCTTCATGAATTCAAAAAATGTTTCGTTCTTGAACCTTAAATTTATCGAATCCATACTTGAGTCCTGCATGGTGGGGGGAGGGTAGCCTTGCGTATCCCGCACGCGCCCCGTTACATAGAAATCGGTTGGTGAAGGGTATCAAAAGCATGTGTATTGATGGCAAAGATAGCGATTAAGAAGCACCGTGATTTGTAATGCCGTGCCAACCCCCCTTCTCTTTCGTCACGTAACTAGATCTCGAGGCCCCGAATTCCAGGACTGCGGGGATCTGCCTCGAAAGAGGGCCACAGCCTTATTATTGTCCGCCGGGACTCATTGCCGTGGATACAAGATTTAGTCAACCTCGACCTTACCCTGACGCAACTCGATCTTGGCCTGTTCGATCTCCTTCTGCAGCTCCGCGTGGGCTTCGGGAACGTCGTTAAAGGTGAAGATGGCGAGGCCGAGTCGGCCGAGAAGGTAACATCCAAAGACGATGAGGGCCCAAAAAGGAAGCTAGAGAGTTTTCCGGAGAGGCGTGCATTAGTGTGGATTCGTTGGTTTTATGGAGACAAGGAGAGAGATGTGCAAAGTTGTCGCGACGTACCACAGGAATGATTTCAACCTGGACAGTCTCGTTCAGGGGAATGAGGCCAAGGTAAAGAGAGAGATAGAGCTATGAACACGGTCAGCGACCCTGATCGTTGGAATTTCGAAAAGTCTTCGAGATTCACTGGACTTGCGACGTACAGAGGAGACGAGGAGGAGCACGGAGATGGTCTGCTGGGCGCGCGTCATGGTGAAAGGTGAAAGCGGACTGGGGAAATTAGGTCCGAGAGGAGGATGACGAAAGAAAAGAATGGATCTCGGGGTCAGATACCAGATCCAATTGACCACAGAGGATAAAGGAGAGACGGGGGTCGAGCGAGGGCGGAGTTGGAAGGCAGAGGCCAGCTTGAGGAAGATGGAAATCCCCTGGCCCGCCGCAACCAACCAACATGTACTCCGGACATGCCTCCTACTGTTACCTAACTACCTGCAACAACCGGGAGCTATCTGGGTCATCGGAACTACAACTAGACTCGGTATTTCTATTTCATACTGTATCAAAAGGCGTATTTGCACTATCCTTGTTTTTTTCTTCTTTTTTTAAACATATTCTTTGACTCGGGTTTCCTCCATTTGCGCCATGTTCGCTCATTCTCCACATCTTACCTAAACAGGGTGGGTGCCTGAATCCACCTCAGGCAGCACTGGCCTCGATTGGCACGCTTTCAACCGTGCTTTAGCTTCTTTAGCTCGTGGGTCTCGCTTCGTGAACATCCTCAACCCCCGCCAGTCCGCAGGATTCGATGTCACCTGAGTGCCATTGTCATTGCTCTGGGTTCAATCATCTAGGCTCCCCTTGCCGCTAGTTGGGAGTTTATACCCGTCTGGGTGAAGAGCCGCACGCTCAAGTCAGTTGCAAATCAGTCTTTCAAGGCAGCTATTAGCAAACTGGAGAAACAAAATCATCCGAGATGTCTTCAACAGCTGCTATATCTACTGCGAAGGTAGCCGGAGCAGAGGCTGCTCGTCAGACCTCTATTCCAGCTAAAGGCTTCGATTTGCCTTCTACTAAGCAGGTCTTCTCGGATCTACCTGGATCGTCTTCGTCTTTGACAGCTCAAGATACCGAGACCTTGAAGGTGGGTGATCAGAAGAAGATGTTTCATGCTCTGAAAGCCATCATCGAAAGAACCGAGGAGACCGGTGAAGCTGGGAATAGCTTTGATCTCAAGGAGCTTCATGCTTCTCTAGAACTGGCCGATACACATTCACGACGGGGTCGACGAGACGCCGAGTCTCTACAGAGCGTGCTTACGATGGTAGAGCATCTCTGGGCTAGTAAATCTGAATTTCTGACTCACGCGGCGGAAGTACTGGCCAACGGGAGTCGAGAACGTAAGTGATTTGTGGTATTCTTTTCCACTTTTGCTAGATATATCAAAATATATTAACTCTTTCCAGCGTCGTGGCGGGTTCCCATCGGCCAGTCTGGCATTTTAAAATTCTTCTTGGAGATCATTTCCTCAAAAAACGACGTCGAAGCCGGATTGTTGTTGCACTCGTTGCGCTTGGTTGGCAATTCTTGTGCTGACACGGGTATGTTGGAGTCCCTTTGGGTTTTATAACAGCATGTGTCCGTCTCTGACAGTCTTGCAGATGAAAACAGAGAGGTTGTCATTAACGGAAACTATACTCTGGCTATTATTCGGCAGTTTCTCAACCCAGACCTGGTTCATGTCGCAATTCCAGTGATCTATAATATCTGCATGGACTACGGTAAGAACCCTACCCATCCCATTGGACTAATCCATGTAGAATCTACATGAAGTATTGACCAGATTATTCATAGAGCCTGCCCACGTTCAAATGGCTGCGAATAGAACAGCGTACATCATCTTGAAGTTACTCAAAGAAGGTGCCATTCAAAACAACAGCGCATTGCTAAGCTTCTCTTATGACCTTATTGAATTGGCCTCTGAGCAGGGTATGGTGCATTTCAATTCATCTTTTGTTGAAAAAATATCAAGCTAACTAGCATGACAATGAGAACAGCTCAGGGAATCGAGAACTCCCCAGATGGAACCATTTGGCTCCTGACGACCCTCGCTCTAGATGAGGACATTCTGTTCGAACATTACTCATCCCTGGTGAATTCTCTCTCCATGTATTTGGAAAAGGAACGTTTCCAGAATGCTTGTATCTCAAACAGTATGGTGGAAGGGGTATTGTCTGTTCTCCGACGATCTTTCTCCATCGAAGTTGATGAATCCTCGAAAGAAGATATCCAAACTCTTGCTCAGGTTCGTATCAAGATCAACCAGGCCTTAGCAGAGATCTCGGCTTCCCCATCGTTTGCCGAGCATTACCCGCTTGACTCTGCCCTTGCACATGCCCTCAAGTCCTGGGTTATCGCAAAAGAGGACCAGCTTCAAATATGTGCATGCGTTATGCTTGGAAATTTGGCTCGATCTGACCAAGTCTGTCAAGTTATGGTCCGGGATCTTAAAATTCACGAGGAATTGATCTCAGTTCTCAAAAGTGATGCCCGCGGTGCCGTTCTTCATTCGGTCCTCGGATTCTTGAAAAACCTGGCAATCGCCAGTGATAACCGCCCCATTCTTGGTGAAGCTGGGATAATTCCTGCCGTTTCTACCTTGTGGGCATTCGAGTCCGTTCCACAGGTTCAGTTTTCGGCTGCAACGATTGCTCGCCAGGTGACCATTTCCTCCATGGAAAATATCGCGCGGCTGCTGGCTCCGCTCTCGGAAGACCCAGATTCTCCTGCAAATAGGCGAACGTACCTCTCCCTTCTTCTATCGCTTTTTGAAAAGACAGATAACTCGCCCATCAAGATCGAAATTGGCCGTACTGTGGCTTCTATCTGTCGAACAGTCAGCCCTCAAGCTCAAGAGGGTGGAGAAGTAGCGGCTTCTCTACTGAATAAGCTATACGGGTTGCATGAGGGTGTTGCCCGTCCGATTGGGGCTATGATCACTCAATCCCAGTGGCCCGTCGTTCGAAGTGAAGGGTGGTTTGCTTTGGCTCTGATGGCAAGCAGCCAGGCAGGATGTGCTGCTGTTGTGGACTGCTTGCAGAATGAGGAGATAATGAACCTCCTCAAAACAACTTTGAGTGGCGGGGCTTCGGAGTCGGACCAAACTGGGGAAATAAACGTTTCTCAGGTGGCTAAAGACCGTGATAATACGTTTGTGTTGGTCCAGGAGCTGTTAAAGAATGGGGTGAGTTTTCTGCTGATTTGGCTGTTTTATTTTCGGGGCAAAAAGCATAATATACTAATTCACCATCAATGGTCAATAGTCCGGCGCACTTCCCGAAGGTTATCGAGGGACATTAGAAGATTTGGTGAATGATAATGCTTCACAGCATTTGAAAAGGATCCAGAATGCTTAGACTAACGGAACACAAACTTTTTTATAGAAGAAATTAACGAAGATGATGTGACAATGTTCTTGTGAAATTGCCCCTGTATCAAGTCACTTAACCAATGATATGTACAAAATTTATGAGTAAAATTTACAAATTCTTAGTGCTAAGTTTAATTCGAACCTGAAGCCAGATCAGAATGTCGGCCGGCAAACTTTCTCCTCCGCATATGCTCTGTATCTCTCCAAGAGGTCTGTTGAGTCAAGACCGCTTACCCCAAGACTGGCTGAATAATGCGAAACAAGACCTTTCCCATCAATGCTAACATGTGGACGAGTACCGTCTGGCGCAATCCATGACTTCGAAAAGTCCTCATCAGAACTGTGCATGAAGAGTTTTCGCAGAGTCTCGGCATCATTTCCCCAGAAGCATCCAAAATTCTGGCTGATGGGCTCGGTCGGTTCAACCCACAATGGAAACTTATACTTCTCCAGAGTATTTGATTCGAGATGGTCTAAAAAGGAATAGTGTTGCTGGGCACTCACGGTCCAATCCTTCAACGTTGGACCAGTTTCGGTATATACCGATGCCGCAATAGGATCTCGGTCCGATCCTGACTCTATTGGAAGTAGCCATCGATGACCTTGAAAAGGCGGCTTGAAGCCCTTTCGAACTCGAAAGCTGGCAGGACCTTGCCACCGAGGAAGGCTGGAGGCACGCCAATCGTGACTCAGTTGGGACTTAGATCGGGCGGGTTGTTTGACATGCTGCAGCTCTGGAAGGTATGGGAACGCAACGCCGGGATGACTGTGAAGAGAAGAAAGAGCAGCTTCATTCACAACATTTGCTGAGACCATGATGGAGTTGGGGTTTTCTAGTTTTGTCTTGACAATCGTAGGAATGGTGTGGTCTTCCAGGAAAACGACATCTCCATCGATGCGGATGTACATAACATTGTCTTGAGCAATCTTCCAGTCCATGTCCTGGCCAGGCGGAGATATCGCATATTCAGGTGTTTGTCGAATCAACGAATTGAGCCATTCCAGGCTGACTGGGTCTTCAGTTTGAGGAATAAAGACAACCTGATCCAGGAAGCCATGATTGTGGACCAGGTTTTTCTGCGAAGTTGTTAGATGAGATTATTCAAAATCATAAGCAAGAGTACGGAGATACTCAGATCTTACTTGAAGATAGCAATCCAGGATTTCAGTCCGCTCGTGATAGTTGAATGGCACTAGGGCGACAATCTTCAGGCCCCGTGGCTTCGGGAAGTGTCCCGAACCACGCGAAAAGGCAAAGAATGGAGAGATATCCTTATTGAATACCAACGATGTCGGATCAATCGGTAGAAGAGATGGGTTAAAATAGCCGATGACCATCAATATGATACTTAGGTAGCCCAACACACTCCATGTCAGCACTGCAGCCCATTCACGCCAAGTATAAGATACGTCTTCCTTGTGATTGCTCTCGACATCGCGAGGGCTCCGCGGGCGACCCATAATGAACAAACCAGGGCGTTAGCTAGTCAAATTTGGACCATCAAAGAGGGAAACTCCATTGCTAGCTCTATGAGGCCCGGTCTGTATTTAATTGCCACCCGAGGACTGACCCAGAGCTCAAGACTGGCTCTTTGTCCCGTTTTCGGGGCATCACCGTTATCATCAGTGTTTGAAACTGCTGCAAACCTTCATGATCAGCAAATCTTCGCTCGTCTTCTTTCGGATCAATGGACCGGCGGTGGTTCTGTGGTTCCCGGAATAGGCCAGGGCTGGCGGGAAACGGACAAAGGAGCGATCGAGGAATGTAGATTGGAATGTGGAGACCACCATCCTAGAATATAGCGATTTGCGGCAGAGATCCTTTTTTCAAGCTCCGTATTTTATTTTATTTTTTTTTTCCTAAAAAATAAAACAAACTGAATTAAAATTGCCCCTGTTTCTCTTGGAGAAGGTAAGGTCTGACTTAGCTCGAAAGGCGTTGTAAGGTTATCAGATGATCAAGTTCTACACATCGGATCAAACGAAATTTGATGATAAAGCTACTTTCTTCATAATGAAACTTCAATCTAACTCTTTGGATTCCCTTTTGTTTCCAAATTAAATATATGGTCCGTAACGTAGTTGATGGTTCCATTCTCTCTTTTCCTGAAGTAACCGTTATTCGGCAGGATTGCTAGGCCGCTCTGCACAAAATCCCTCTAGCTAATTATTGACCCCACATATTGAGGTCTAAAATTTTGTCCCAAATTATTGATTTCTGTATCAACTACTTATTTGAATGGCTATCCGGTGGACCTTAGTGCATATCGACAAGTAAACAATAAAACCTCATGCGATGGGACAATTGCAGCGAGTGAATGACTGAAGAGACAGACGGCTGTAACGCAGAAAACCGGGTTGTGTAGATTGTGTGGAATGGAACATAGAACTTCGTGCTCAGATATATCAAACACAAGATTCATTTTATATTCTCCATTTTTGTTATTCAATCCATTTGGTACATAACTGGCGGCCCCGGCAATTGATATCACGTTTGAGGCAGTCAACTCCGTGCGAACCTGGGGCCAGTATGCTTTTCTCCACGTGTTACCTCAGAGAATTTGAAGATGAACATGGGCAGCAAGTACAAGTTTAGATTTATCTACTTGTATGTTTACGTGAAGCGTAGTTCATTGTACGAGTCAAGCCACTTGACTGAACAGAATGCCATCTCTTGCCTCTTTGGCACCTTCTTTTCTTCTCTTCACAGAGAATAGGTCCAGATCTTCTCTCACATCTTCACTAACATCCTGTCTTGTCTTACAGTCGAATATATCAGCAAATCTCCTCTGTGCCAGTCAACCTTAGCTCTCATCTCATCCTACCTCTCTTCAGTTATCTCTCTACCTCATGCCCACTCTGATAACCCCCGGGATCACATACTTAAATCTGTCTTCAATTTCATCACTATGCCGCTCGTGAATCCAGATGAATTATCTAGAGGCGCTGGCGGAGACGAACCCAAGAAAGTCAAGCAAGTGCGGTTTGAGTGTTACAAGCTGCAACTTGAAGCCGCTGCAGCCATGCAGCCAGCCTGGAGAGATCAACTCTGGCAAGCCAGAGCAAGTGAGTCTGACAACTTTATTCCCGGCTTTATTATTCAGCTCCTCCCTGAAAGCTGTCAAATCAGACTGGGGACCGGGGATCGGACCCATGGCCAAGAATATGTATTTGAACCGGAGCTTCCACAATGGACTCCGGTTTCAGGTCTCTTTCGACTCGCTGGTACATTGAAGACTCACGACTCTTCAGACCTGATGACTGTCCAGGGCCAAGGACCTATCAATCAGGTTCCAGATGGACAGAAGATTTACATCCAGCCTACGACCAAGGAGCCATTCTACGAATTTGCTGTGGAGGGGCAGCTGGTAGACAAGCCTCATGTCTGGCTGAGTACCAGCTTTGATAATGAGATGGCCCTTTTCCAGCTTGTGTTAGAAATGGCAGAAGAGCGACAGATGCTCCACGACCTCCGGATTTCAACCTTCAAATTGCAGACAACACGCTGGCGTTGCCTAAGACGGGAATGGGAATTCAATCTGGTTCAAAACATCTGGCTCTACGGAGATCTACATATGCTTCGGGGAGGATTAGGTATTTCCAACCTGCTTGCGGCTTGGGACTTTGTGTGGGAAGAAAATGAAAGAGATCGAAGGGGACAAATTCCAACCTGGAGCAATATAATGACTCAATATCAGTACGATGAAAAGGTCACTCAAGAAAAAAACGACATTACGCAGGCAATTACGAGATTGAAGCAGCACATCAATGACTTGGACGCACGTTGTGAGCAAAACCGCAAGCGCTCCGTGGGTAACAAATTGATGACTCCGCAACACAAGCCCGCGCTTCGTGATATTACAGAGACCTCAGCCCTCGGCGGTTTGAACACTTCGAGTCCCCCTAATGAAATTGATATCAAGAATCTTATTCAATGGCAAGCGGAAAGACACGATGTCTGGGCAGGACCCATTAGGCCATGGTCTAATGAAGAAGAGTTCTTCTCAATGCTGGATATTCGAAACGCGGAAGAAATCCAAAATGGAATTGCTCCCGGCAGAGGAAACCTTGGGCTTCTTTCCAACTTTTGCCATGTTCATCCTGGCCACCATGCATGGGGGAAACCTGCAGAAGCATTGATAAACTACGCCGCCACTGTATTCAATGATGTCCATCAGTGGAAGACTAGGAAATCGGCTCGTGCTCTCTTAGTTACATTAGAGAGGTGGTATTTTGATCAACCTGCGGAGAAGCGGGAGGAACTTTCCCTCAGTGCCAGTGGATGGGAATCATCTTCTTTGGACATTACATGCAAATGGTTCACAGCTTTTCATCCCGATGGAAAATCTCACGATGTCGATGTGGACCACCGGGATACTCTATGATGTTCTTAACGTCTGCCCAAAGCAGTGACATTCTTTCATGTATCAGGATGATTTTAATGGAGGACAGGTGGGCTTTGTACCTGCATTGGATATCACGCTCCTTGCAGTATGTGGATTGTCTCAAACATCCTTACTTGGGTTTTGTCAAATTGATGCCACGGATCTGCTAAAAAGGTACAAGATGGAGCACGAGTTTTCAAAAAGTAATACACTTTACCAGAAATACCACTTGATCAACTTCAATTCTCAGGGTACAAGAATATCTCGCATGAAGATGGGGTATAGTCGCACATTCTTGGGACGCAGAAGGTATTTTTAAGAGCGCTCAGGGTATCAAATGAAAGAATCAAACAGCTATGTTGTCCTCCGAAATTTCCGCGTCGGGTCGGATGTGATGAATCTCAAACCCTCCTTCATCCCTATCCTCACCCTTTTGGGGCCATAGAATTTGATGCGTTATGACAGCTCGAATCATCATATAGCAAACAAAGAAATACATGAGAAGAAGTGGAAAGACAGCCACACATCCAATTATGTTGATAGCCTTGCAGGAAAAGGCCTTGCCGATGGCGAAGGTAGCCGTGATCAAGGCAGTATTCGGGAAGACAAATGAAAACCAAGTCATGGAAAAGAGCATCCGACCGTGCCCGATGGCAGACCAATGAGCGGCACTCGCAATGATGAAGAAGAATATTGCCAATCTATCGAAACAATGTCAGTATTGGTCATTATTACGGGAAGTTGTTGGCTATCGATACCCCCAAAGCCAGAGAGCAGCGAAATCAACCACCACCCTCAAGACATCTGCGGCCAATTCCCCGTTGCCCATGAAATCTGAGGGAAAGGAGCGTTTGGCTTCCGATGCCATGTTCACAATTCCAGCGACTGTGAAGCCACTGGGTCCCACTGAAACGAACATGCCGGGTCGAATGTTTTCTTTGGGGAGTTTCTGGGTCATAAGCCGATAGATAAAGGCCGAGTACACCATCAAGGACACCAGAAACCCTACTCCTTGAATGGTGGTCCCTCCGATAATGATGCGTAAGCAACGGGCAGGTTCTAGTTTTGCACTCAATATACCAGCATGGGGCCCAATTATGAGCATTGGGTACGCAGGGAAAATCCAGATTGGTGTCATTTGGGCAATGGTGAAAGTCTGAGTTGACCATCTAACAACAAGTCAGTGTCCGGTTTTGATACCCATGGAAGCGACTATTTCTTACAAGAGGAGGTAGATTCCAGCTGAAAATAAGATGGCAAGAACACAATCGATCCAGAACAGGATCCCAACAGCCTCCATCAGCCATGGACCAGTGTTTCCCGGGCCATATTGAGAGATATTGATTAGTATTGTGCCGAAAGAGACGACTGATGCAGGGACAAATAGGGACTCTGTAGGATGCAAAAACGACGCTTTAAAGGTATAGGGATAATGATAGAATCGTGCAAGTAGTAGTCCCCAGATGAACAGATAAAGGACGATGTTGATCAAGAAGACGACCGTGCCGATCGTATCCAATCCTCGGAATCGATATGGAACTAAAAGATGTGAATGAATGTCAAAGACTTGCATTTCGAGCCATGTACTGACTGACCTTCATATAGGACATTGGCCAACCCGCCGGTGGCCATGGTGAGTGTAAAGTATGCCCACGTAACATGACGAATTCGCTTTTTCCAGCTTAAAGTTGAAGCGGAGGTATCGGTGACTCTTCGAGCCATGGCCGCACCGTCATAATCCATACAGTGACTGTACTTCTTCTCGAGCGACCCGTCTCGTGGTCGCGACGAGACATGATGTAGATTAGCGTCCAATGCGGAAGTGTGGACCTTACGAGCATTACCGCTGGGACTGCCCGTGGCGCCGAGAAATGCGAAGGTCCGCTCCGCATCTTCAATGGTTGGCGTTCGATACCCATCGTCGCCAGGACTTCTCATATGTCTCGGAACCTCGAGTGTAGAGGACATGGTGGTATACTTGCAGGGCACCGTGATGGTCACAATGATCAGGATCACGCCGAGCCCAAACGCGAATACCCCGGGTTTCCCTCTTGCCCACAGCGATTCTATACAAGGTACCCGTAGGGGAAAGGACGATCAATAGAAAGCTAATAAAAATTATGGATGTGCGCGAGTCATCTCATAAAAAGAACGATTTGAATTTCGTCAAGCGCACAGAAGAGAACAGGGAAAAGGACCTCCAATGACGTTTCGGGCAGGGGAGCGGCGGCTCGAGCATATACAAGCCCGACCAACCACGTTCGCGGGTCTCCTGATTTGGATCACTGGAGATCGACAAAATGCCATGTAATGAAAAGTGTCGAAAGCCAGAAGCCAGTGTCTTTTCAGCCTGTGTTTGCGACAGATCAGTGCTGCCAGTGGCGTTGGTCTATTTGCAATCGGCTCATCGGCGGTTCGATTGACGCTGGGTCTTCCCCTCGGGAATCGGCACTCGAGACGGGATGAGCCAGTTACCCGCTGCTCCTGTTGGTTCCAGCCGTTGGTTCCGACGGGGGCCAGTGGGGTTCGACCCGAAAGCGCCACTTGTGAAGGTACTCTGGGAGGCCCGAGAGCAGGTGAAGGAAACGACTGGAGAGGATAAACATTTACGCGTTTTGAGCAGTCAGATAAAGATTAGATATCCTGATCGTCAACCGATTTTCAAAGATGAATTGAGGTGCTCCTTTAATTCACACTGGTGAAGGTTAGTGGGAAATCATGGTGGGTCGAAGGATGTAGAGGGATTTGATTTCTGTAAGACTTGACAAAGCTGAGTCCAATCTCCAATCGAAGTATGTGATGCATAAGTTCGGGATGTTTCCATAATGGGGAGAGTATTTGGTATGGATGAGATGAAAGAAGTGGCTGGTAGGAATATGACTTTCCATATCAGATGGAAGTTAAACAACAGTTTGTTCCCGAAGAAGCAATAGGGCTTAGGGTTTCCGAGCTTCCTGTGACAAGCCGAGGCATCTCGATATCATCGTGTAACTCCAAACAACCTATTTGTCTGTTCTAGCATACAGTATATTACATCTAGATCTATCCTCCTCCCTCCTTCTTTTCCCCGAATCCGCGGATAAGTGATCGGCCATGCCTGAGGCCTCCGATACCCGCAAGTCCGTGCTGATCACCGGGTGAGTAGCAATTTGTACCTCACGTCATGACTCTCCCAGGATCCTAGGACTGACGGTGACAGGTGTTCTCCCGGTGGTATTGGGAACTCATTAGCGCGTGAATTTCATCGACATGGACTACGCGTGCTGGCCACAGCCCGAAAGACTGAGAATATCGCGGACTTGGCGGGACTCGGCATTGAGACCCTGAGTCTGGTCGTAGATGACCCAGAGAGTGTCCGAGCATGCTTTACCGACATCGAAGCTCGGCTAGGAGAGAAAGGCCTGGACTATCTGGTGAACAACGCGTAAGTCTCGTTGAGTGAAGTTGACATGCACTCTACAATCCGCGATAGCTAATGGAAAAATAACAGAGGACGAAGTATGTCTCCCATCGCATGATACCTCATGAAACTCTACACGAGTGCGATGTCACTTAAGCTCATATATTGCAGATTATACGGTTCCTGCCATGGAAGTTGATCTGGCCGAGGCTCGCCTCACGTTCGAAACCAATCTGTTCGCTGTCATCACCATGTGCCAAACATTTGTGCCGCTTCTCATCAAAGCTCAGGGCACCATTGTTCAAATTGGATCGATCGCCGGAGTACGTCCCCCCTCCTCTCTTTTCTTCCCCGGGAGTTTGCCTATCAACCTTTGAAGTCCCGTGCATTAACTAGAATATCCTTCTAGATCATCCCTTATGTGTTTGGATCAGTCTACAATGCCTCCAAGGCAGCCCTCCACTCGTTTAGTGATACCCTCCGGGTCGAGCTCGCACCATATGGGTAAATTATATTCCCCTTCTTTGTATTGTAGTCTCTTCTAATCGATGGCCATAGTGTCAAGGTGACCACGGTAGTCACGGGAGGAGTACAGTCCCGCATTGCGCGGACTGAACGCACCTTGAAGCCGAATTCGCTCTACACGCCAATTGAGGAGGAATATACTCGGCGGGTCACCCATAGTCAGCATAATGCGATGCCTCATGAGGCCTACGCTTCGAGCGTGGTGAAGCAAGTGCTCTATGGGTCGGCTCCATGGCGCTGGCTCTGGCCCTGGGCCCATGGCCGCAAAACTTGGATCTGGGAAGGCCACCGCAGCTGGTTGATCTGGTTCCTATCCGCAGGATGGGCGTGGAATGGGCTATTTGGTTCAGCCCTGGCGAGAATGTTCAAGCTTTGGAAAATCAAGGCGGCATTGAAGAATCATTCGAGCCAGCAGATCCAGAACGACCCAGAGCAAAGAAACCGAGGGCAACCGCAGGATATACAGTAAATAATACCGATTTAAATACCTCGGCGTTTTCCATTCACCTTGCCGAATCCCACGATTTAACATGCAATTCATGATCCTGAGACATATAACTCTGGGCTTGTAATTTCATTTCAGAGGCGTCTCCAAGTCGTCCAGAATTAACCTCATTACCGATTCTCGAAACCGAGAAACCGAGTGCACTTGTTCCGTGATATTCGCGTCTGCGCCCGAGGCGGACGCTGAGTCAGCCAGGGACCGGGCGCTGGTTGGCTGCATCACCCGGTTTTACCGCGACGCAATGTCATCCCGAGAAAAAGAAAGCTGTTCTCCCCGAACCGACATTCCAACTCCCTGACGGGTTCTTGTTATCAAATACCTCCTCTGAGCCCTCTCCTCTCTCTCTCTCCCCTCTATCTCACTCATCCTTCATCATGTTCAAGCTCGCCCGCGGTCGCCCAATTGCTGCCGCTCTCAGAGCTGCGACGGTGAGATCGTTCCCCGATTGCCGTGCTATCGGGCCGTGCCCGGTTTTCATGTCGAACGCTGCTAACGCGAGGTTGAATCGATCATAGGAGTCGCCTATCTCCGCCCGCCTGGCTCAGCAGCAGAAGCGGAACCTGTCTATCCACGAGTACCTGTCTGCCCGTCTCCTGAAGCAGGTATGTCAAGAGCGTTCAGATTCTTCAGTTCTTCCGGCCTCCAATCCGTCTTGTCGCGGAAGGGCGCCCCGTTTCTGTTTTTTATTTTTTTTGGCTACACCGGGACCAGCTTGCTGATATTTGAAATAAGTACGGTGTCGGTGTGCCCAAGGGCGAGGTTGCTACTACTCCTGAGGAGGCCGAGGCTGTCGCCAAGTCGATCGGTATATTCTGCCTTCTTCCATCCTGCCCCCTTGAGGCTCCACCTAACACAACAATCCGCAGGTAACGATGATATGGTTATCAAGGCCCAGGTTCTGGCCGGTGGTCGTGGCAAGGGTACTTTTGATAACGGTCTGAAGGGTGGTGTCCGGGTGATCTACTCGTAAGTTGAGACTTCAAAATCTGCGGTTGGGCGAGTTTTCACCCGAGGTTATTCGTTGAGACTAACATATCGGCTTTCGTTTGCTTGCACAGCCCTACTGAGGCCAAGATGTTCGCCGACCAGATGATCGGTCACAAGCTTGTCACCAAGCAGACTGGTGCCCAGGGCCGTGCCTGTAACTCCGTCTACATTTGCGAGCGCAAGTTCGCCCGCCGCGAGTTCTACCTCGCCGTCCTGATGGACCGTGGTACCCAGAGTCCCGTCATTGTCGCCTCCTCCCAGGGTGGTATGGATATCGAGACTGTTGCCAAGGAGAACCCCGAGGCCATCATCACCACCCCCATCGACATCAACACTGGTGTCACCGACGAGATCGCCCGCACCATCGCGACCGACCTCGGTTTCTCCGAGCAGTGCATCGAGGAGGCCAAGACCACCATCCAGAACCTCTACAAGGTCTTCATGGAGAAGGATGCCACCCAGATTGAGATTAACCCCCTGTCCGAGACCTCCGACCACCAGGTTCTGGCCATGGACGCCAAGCTCGGCTTCGACGACAACGCCGAGTTCCGCCAGAAGGACGTCTTCTCGTGGCGCGATACCACCCAGGAGGATGCCGATGAGGTCAAGGCTGCTGAGCACGGCCTCAACTTCATCAAGTTGGACGGTGACATTGGCTGCCTGGTCAACGGTGCCGGTCTGGCCATGGCTACCATGGATATCATCAAGCTGAACGGCGGCAACCCTGCCAACTTCCTTGACGTCGGCGGTGGTGCCACCCCCGCTGCCATCAAGAGCGCCTTCGAGCTGATTACCAGCGATCCCAAGGTGTCTGCCGTCTTCGTCAACATCTTCGGTGGTATCGTCCGATGCGACGCCATCGCTCAGGGTCTGATCAACGTCGTCAATGAGATGGGTCTGCGCACTCCCATCATTGCCCGTCTGCAGGGTACCAACATGGAGCAGGCTCACAAGCTGGTATGGCCCCATAGCTTCCCCCCCCCTCCCTCTCCCTTCACCATTATGAAAGCGTACTGATCCCCACCCGCTACAGATCAACGAGTCTGGCCTCAAGATCTTCTCCATCGAGGACCTCCAGAGCGCTGCCGAGAAGTCGGTGCAGTTCTCCAAGGTCGTCAAGCTTGCCCGTGAGATTGACGTTGGCGTTGAGTTCACCTTGGGCATCTAAACAATCCTCGGCGGAGAGCATGCATTTAGGCCCGCGGGACCGGTTCACAGTGACATTTACCTAGAGAACACTCTGTGAGAGGGCTGCGGCGCCTGTTCCTGTGTCATTTATCTTTTCTTTTGTCACTGTATTCCTGAGTGTTTCTATGATCCTTCTATATCAGTTCCTAATTGGAAGGGGATGTGAGAGTTAAACTGCCCTGTTTACCTTGAGATGGTTGATTTTTCCTTCGAGTTTGTAGTGTCTTAATGGTTCGATATAGATACTCCTGTATCCTGGATCCTTGTTGGAGATCGATCATAGACCGGCTTTTCCTAGCCCATATCCGTCATCCAAGAGTATTTCAAACCGAAGCAATGAAGAGGAGCAAAATATTTCCCCAATGCGTGTTGCGACCAATTGGGTTTGCCCCGCTGGCAACTCCTCACCATCATTTTTTGAGCTCTATATAATTCTTAGAAGAGGGTCGCTCAAACAAGAAAAAAGTATCTCAAACAAGTGATTCGTGTCTCATTAAATGGAACTATTCAAGCCGTATGCTCATCTCACCAGAAGTCATTATCATCATCCTCAACATCATTCCCATGCCCCAACCGCCCCATCAGGCTTACAGCCTTGCTCAGGTAGGCTTCATTCATAGCCCAAATTTCCAGATCATCATAAAAGAGGAAGAGAATAAACTCACCATCGCCAAAGACCCATGAGCACGGTTCGAGGTCTTTTACATCCACGATGGGATGTTGATACCACAGACAGGAATGGGAGGTCGGCGGCGTAGCCTGAAGTTTCGTCTCCAGGATGGCATATTGCTCACGATTCTTGGCAAGAGCATATAGGATGCCTTTCTCGGGGCAGATCATGCTTCCTATCTTATTGAATTGTGCTGGTAGCGTATGAATTGCCACCTCACTCTGGTCACCTTCGAGGGACAGGTAAAGGTTAGAACGTTCCTGATCCGCTCCTCCGCCGTCCCAATTTTCTAGGAAGGCGCAGCTCTGGCCACGATATATTTCCTGCTCGAACCAAGTCGCCTTTATCCATTCTTTACAAATCTCTGGGCCTGGGAAAGGTTGATCGAGGGAGAAAATAGAGCGGAACTTGCTGCGGTCGTGATCTAGGGAATATTTTTCTGTATGCAGCTGGCACATATCAATAGACAGGGCACCGTCCAGGGAGTCCATGTCGGCAGTAGTGGCGGTGGTAGCAGTGTTGCTGTCCCCTGTTATGATGTTCTTCGACAAGCGAACCACGGTAAACTGATCTTCTCTGGGATGCAACGCCAGTACCACAATGGCGCTCCCAGTTTTGACGGTGTGAGCAACTGTTGATCTGAAACTCCAGTGGACAACGTAGTCCCGATAGCTCAGGGCAACCTTGGATCCGTTCACCAAGAAGTGTCTGTAATGAGCAGAGGGAATTCGGAAGGAAGCAGATTCCTTTGTGTCCAGGTTCCAGACATGACAGTATGCCCTGGTCGAGACTGCCGCGATGGTTGGCGCTGAAAACCGGAGTTCCACCAGTTGCTCTCTGTTATCAGTGGTCAGGCGAGTTGATTCCCCCGTCGACAGGTCCAAAAGAGAGATGGATGTCCGGCCATCCTCTCCTTCTATCCAGGCACAAATGCTACTGGAATAACCCACCCCCGGGCGTACAAGGACGGATCAAACTCCGAATTTAAGGGCGATGGCATTCCGATAATCCGGACGGGCTCTCCCTGCTCCAACCGACGTCTTTGTTGGACCAAAGCCGTGAAAGAAGCCGGAGAGTATGAATGGGCATCCTTCGGACCAGCCGTCAAGCCACTCGAAACCTCAGCGGCCGCATGAGAGCTCAGCGGCGGATCTCGCGTCCAAGGATCTCTCCCCAAGGTTGATCGAACGACAGCTCGACGCACTACGGAAGATGAAAGGATTTCCTGCCATCGACGCGAAACCTGTTGATGGACCAAAAAAAGCCACATCAGGGATACCATAATTAGTCCAGCACCGTCATCACTTTCACAGTTTCGTGAGAGTCCAAGGGGGGTGTTCGTGGCATATCATACCCTCTGGAGGCGGACGAGATCGATGAGTGACAGCTGCTGAACAACCAGAACCGCGATCTCGGGAGGCAGCTTGTCCAAGAAATCACACTGGAAGGTAATGCGATCGGCATGGGCTTTGACTTGCCGCCATTCCTCCGGGCGCAGCCTTTCTAGGATACCCCGATACCTGCGGCCTGATTTCAGCTTTGCTCCTGATGATCCTGGGGCACGATGCGCCGATCAGGCAAGATGAAATGCATATGATACATACACCGCTTGGCGGGGTTGTTTCGGAAAGGCCTGGAATCGATTCAGAATGGACTGTACTGCAGGATCAGCATCGGGGTCCATCGTCAACGTAAGAATCTGAGATCCGATTCATCGGGGAGGGGAAGTCTGTTGGTTGGGAGTGAGATGGAGGAGAAGGAGTGTTGAGGGGGGGGGAAGAAGGTTGAGGAGGCTCGATCGAGATAAGTGAGATACTCTCTTTCTCTCTCTTTCTCTCTCTATTGTGCGGGTGACAGCCTTTCGCCCGCGCCTGGTACCACTTCTCACCCTATAATTACTTGATTAAGGTTAACAATCTAATCAAATAAGAACAAGCAGGAGAGGGCGGGTGGGCGGAGTATATAGTTCTTATCTGCTGGATCTTTTGCATGGGGAAGGGGGGTTTGCTGCTAGGTTCCTCCCTTGATTTGCTTGGATTGGATCCTTTCAGTCTAGACACATGGTACCGTTCATGGTCTCGCTTTCTATAGTTTTCCTATCTTCGGGGCCATCTATCTCGCGTACACATATCGTGATAATTCCTGTGATAGAGGCCATGTGGCCCGGGATGTTCACCTTGGATGGAAGGTTTCGCCGGCTCCCAAAACTCCCAAAGCTCCCAAAGCTCCCAAAGCTTCCAAAGCTTCCAAAGCTTCTAGCGGATGGCGGGTGGGGTTTCCTTTGTTTTTCCCTCTTCCTTCGATCGGCTGCTTCTAGACTGCGGGAAATCCTTCAGGTCGGGAAATGAGACAAGCAGTTCAATTGGCCGGCTGGTGAGCTAGTTTAGTTCGCGACCTAGTGAATCCCTAGCTAATCTCCTAGTGATTCAAGACCACACAACTAGCAAATTAGTCGGATACCTTCAGGAGCCAAGGACTTTATCGGAATTGCCAGGACTTCGGAGATGAAGTCATTTGCAGGCTGGCTGTTTAGGAAACACCAGTAGGTAGCAGTCGACCCTGTGGAAGTATACAGCGAGACCGGGCCAGAATCAGGATGGGACAGCTTTCGCGGCCGATCTCAGTTCTGCATCCTCCGTACAGGATACGGAACCGAGCTTTGAGATATGAACGCGTCCATTGCGCGCTCTCTCTTGCTCTCTTTCTCGTTCTGGCTCCCGGACGAGCTTCAAACGAGCTTCAAACCCTCCCTTGATACCTCAACCCTCAAGCCCATCACCTATCAACTCCCTTCTCTGAGCCTATCATGTTCATGTTTCCGTGAGCCAACAGCCTACCAGGGGCGCCTAGAATCTAGAATGGAGGAGCCTCTGGCCCTCTGGCCCTCGAGCACTCTGAAGGCTCGATCCCGAGAAGTTGATACGTTTACAAGTCTTATACGTCTGGACGCCTAGAAGCCTCGAAACCTATATAAACCTAATAAGCCCATCAGCCCATATGCCCACATGTCCATACGCCCATACGCCCATAAGCCTCTGAACCTCCTAGTGAATAAGCCTACCAAGCCCCCGTCACTGCTTCGGTGGAGCAAGCAAAAAGGTCTCATTCCTGAACTCAAACCCCCTTTTCTGCTCCACCTCACCATCTTTCTCCCCCTCTCTTTCGCTTCTCAGCCGCATCGCTGGTGTACCACGTCCTCTGCGTCGTATCCTGGGCTGTTCCCTGTTCCTTGTTCAGTTCCCGATCGTTGCGCCTGTTCGGGACGGAACCCCCTCCCATTCCCCGCAGCTTCGAACCTCGCGCAAACTTTCTCTCCAACCTTCCCACCCGTCCACCACTTCCACTTCTTCCAACCACTTTCAACCACTTCACCTCAACGATCCTCCCCCGCCGGACTCTTTCATCCCTGGAAATCTACTGGCGCAATGGTTGACCAGATGCTGCTGCTTGGTTGATCTGCGCCTCCCTGGCCCTCCGCGACTATCACCTGCACCACGTTTTGCCCGCCACGAGCATCTCAACGGTCGAACCCCCCCTCCCCGATCGCGTCCGAATTACACCCAACCACCTCTCTCCATCTCACTGGGCCTCGCTCGTTCTTCCTTTGACCTTTCGACCGATCGATCAAGACTGGCGAAGTCAAATCGAATCGCAGAGTTTCGCTCCTGTGGCCGATCCCCCTCGCCCCATCCGCCATGAGTGGTCTCGCCGATCCTCCCTCTGCCAGGAACACATTCGCTGGGCCTGCAGATGCGCCCGGCAAGACTCGAAACCTCCCTGTTCTCTCGCAGTCGGCTCAACACTCCCCTGTGGCGATGGAGCTCACTCCTCCTTCCTCCGCCGCCCCGGGCGGGGGCCATATCCATAGCAGCCCCGATGGCGACCGCACCGGCACGATCAACGTCAATGGCTCCGATGCTGGGACCACAAGCAATCCCCCCAACCCAGCCGTTGGCGCTGCGGCCGCAGCTCAGCAACCCAAGGTGGTGCAGACGGCATTCATTCACAAACTATACAAGTGGGTTCTCGATGGGCTTCGGGTTCCTCTCAGCGGCTAAAACTCCAGATCGCTAATCGACCGAACAGCATGCTAGAAGATAACACAATCCAGCACCTGATATCCTGGTCCAGTACCAATGATAGCTTTGTCATGTCTCCCACCTCGGAATTCTCGAAGGTCCTAGCGTGAGTCTCGACGAAAGATAACTCGCGAAGACGACGGTTGCGGTCGCTGATAATGTGTCCTACAGCCAGTACTTCAAACACACCAATATATCGTCATTTGTTCGACAGCTGAATATGTACGGATTTCACAAAGGTGCGTTGTGTCTCCTGAAAATTGGATCATTTGAGGAATAGCGGTGACTGACCCAAACTGATAGTGAGCGATGTGTTTCACACGGGGTCTCCCGACTCAGCGCTGTGGGAGTTTAAACATGGAAACGGAAACTTCAAGCGAGGCGATTTAATCGGCCTTCGAGAGATCAAACGGCGGGCATCGCGACATGCTCTGATCCACCGTGACTCCTTCCCAAGTCATAAAGCCGCGGTGTCGCATCCAGGAACCCCTGCTGAACCAGTTCCAGATGCGACAGAAGCCAGATTGATGAATCTGGAGCACTCACTTTATGACATGCATGCTCGCCTGGCTCGTGCCGAGGAGGGCAACGTAGCTCTGAGTTCGAGGTGTCAGAGCATGGCCGAGGGCTTGAACAAATGCTATCAAGTATGTCCTCGCCCTTTCTCCGCGCTCAGCGAGTACTTTCGCTAAACGATACTTCAGTGGTCCTATTCGATTTCTCGTTTCCTTCAGGCGGTTGTTCCTGACCGGGACAGCCCTCTTTATCGTGACGGTAAGGATTTGTTTCCTTTTATTTCCATTCTTTCCTTTCTTCTAGAGTTGGGAATGACGATTGTCTAGTTTCGAGCATGCAACGCGAACTTGAAAAACACATCGAAGCAACCCGCGCCATGGAGACTTCGCATGACACTCTCATGCCACCTCGTCAACCATTCTTTGGAAATTTGCCAATTGAATCCGGCCCTCCCCTGTCTCCGCGTCAGCTACCACAGGACGATAGTCGACGCCAGTCCATGATTCGACCTCCCGTCCCCCCGCATCTTGCCGTTTCTCCTCGCCGCTACGGCTCCATCGGAGGCGCCAATGCCGCCGTACCTAATTATAATCGAATGCACAATCCTTCCGGCGCTGCTGCGGCGCCGCCGCCACCTCCGCCACCACCACCCCAACAACAGCCCGCGCCGCATCCTCTATCTATATCCACACCACCTGGACCTAATCTTGGCCGTCGCCATACCTTTGCCGACATTCGGCAAGCCGACTGGCCTCCCACCGGCACGTCTCCCTTCCCGCCTAACCACACCACTGGTAGTGGCAGTGGTCCCTGGCCTTCCTCCCCGCATCGCCTACCCACCAGTAGTGAGCAACAAGTACGTGATGTTCTCGCTCAATACGAAATGGGCGCCCCTCGACGCCTTCAAGATCAATCCCGCCATGCGACCCCGCCAGCCCCGGCCGAGCCATCCCCCTCGATGCTGAGTGCGGATAGTGGCTGGACTCTGGGCGGCTCCAGGTTCCCTCGTCAAGAATCCTCCCTCCCAGCAACCCGCCGCTCCAGTATGGCCAGCAATGTCCATTCTTTGCTCAACCCTGCCGATACTGCGGAACGACCAGATGAGGATCAACAAGAGGATCGTAAGCGAAAACGTTTGGAGTGAATGCCATTGCATCTTTTGGCCCCTTTCTCTTCTTGGTGAAAACGTGTGTCGGCGGGTTGACCAACCTCGTTAATATACCCTTGGCTATGGTCATTGGCATTTGACTAGAACGAATTGTGATTTGGCATTGTTATCTGACCGACCAATATACCCTCGACGACAGACCTTGGCAACCCGCTACTTTTTTTTTGATTTCCTTGGACAGCATCTGTATAACCTGCAAAACACACACAACCCCACAGCCACATTCCCCATGTCTCTTTGTCTGCGCAGATGGAGACATTGACAGCAGCCACGAGCATCTATTTCCTATATTGTGTCTGTAGATTCCTCAATTCTTTCTTTGCCCTCCCCATTCCCTTTTATCTCCCTTTCTTTCCTTCCACTTCTTTCCTTGAATTCCCCTTCGGATATTCCAGGCGAACACACACTATCGGTGTCGGGGGACGAGGAGCGCTATAGGCTCATACCTCATTCTCACAACATAATTTTATATACCCTGGGGTCGAAGCGACCCAAAATCATCATGGTGACATCTAGAAGGAGACTGGAATGGAATATTGTATTCTATACCTGCGCCCACCTAATCTGAATCGAGAAATTTTCCTCTTAATTTTAAGTACATCATGAATTTCTGCCGAGTGCTGCTCTCGCACTTCTCTGGTTCAGCGGCATAGTTCAACTTTATGTTACATCCTGGCATGGAACTGGGATTGCTGGCGGCTGACAGCCAGCGCCTGGGCGACCGATAGTAGATTGCTGGCCAGGTCGGGATGGCACGCCAGGAACTTGTTGACCCATCCCCCATAGCGTAAGTATCCAGGTAGTTGGTCATGCCCGGCGATTCAAGCCACACTCCTGGGGAGCAACGTTCCTCATAGTGAGCTAGTAAGCTTCTTCCATGTCAAACCGACACAGTGAGAAAAACAAGAAGAGTAGGAAAATATTAGCTTGTCGTGAACTTCCATTTTCACCGCTTCTTTCTCTTCTTCGACCGCTCCGCCAGGAGTTCATCCAGGTAACTGGTGGCCTTTTTCCTCCCCTTTGACGGAGCTGGTTTCGCATGCACTTCGGATGGTGCTGCGCCATTCTCAGCATTGTCGCTCTGGTCCGTTGGTGTAGTAGGTTGAGGCTGCGTCTGCTTAGTTTTCCGTTTCTTCTGGCCAACCATTGAAGTCCGGCCTTCATCCTCGTCGTCGTCCCCGTCGTCATCGTGACTATTAACCAGTGTAGAAGCTGGTTTGCCCGGCTGTGCGGCGGTCGTTTGGGTAGATTTCGCCGCTGCTTTCGCCTTCATGATCTTGTCGTAGTTTCTGCCGAGAAGCTGTTTCCGTAGCTGATCGTTCGAGCTCAGTTCTGTGCGATTCCAGCTCCCGTCGGCGGCTTTTTCGGGGAGAGGGGCGCCGACGCCGAGTCTGCGGAAACTGAAATATTAGCAATCCAGCTTATTGTGAAGCTTAGGTAACAGAGCTGCATTCAGAATTGAGAGCATAGAGCGACTTACGTCTCGGGGACGGCGGTGAAAATCTCGTCTTCCTCGCGCTGCAGCTCCTCTTCTGACTTGGCGTTGGCCAGCTCATCGGCAGACGGTTCGGGGAGCCAGGAGGCGACCAGGCGCTGGCTGCGAGCAAGAGCGACATTGGCCCTATTCAGGATAATGTCTGACTCTTTTTTGTGGCGGCCATCATGGACTTGGAGTGGGGAGAAAGGAAGAGCAGTTGAGGCCTCAGGACGAGGAGAAGAGCAGTGCATAACTTTTTGGCGATAAGATTTACAATGTTGAATCTTGTTACAGGAATGAGGTATGAATTAAAGGGACATAGTGTTGACTTTGGCAGTTTCTTCCATCAAGCAGTTAGCGTGACCGAGTGGTTAAGGTGGCAGCCTAGAAAGCTGTTGGGTTCGCCCGCACAGGTTCGAATCCTGTCGCTAACGGATTTCTTTTTGTCTTCCCCCCCCCCCCCCCCCCATGGGAGGGAAGCTTAACAACTAAAACTTTGGCGATGATATCGTGTATGGTTTTTTTTAATTACTTTTTTTACTATTGAATTTGTCGTCGAACTGGTATAGTCATTTGTTATCTTCTTCTCAACTTGAGTTCATCACGTAATAGTGTGTTGTGGTTGGGGCTGTTATGAGTACTGTGCAAAATATATATGGTCCGATAGGTAGGTAGTTTGTCACCCAATCCCCTGGACATTCAAGGCCTACAAGAAAATAGTCTATAATAATACAGATTAGGGCATCATTTCCATGACTACTGCACATGTTCACCCTCGGCCTCCCTATCTTCAGCCACATGCTCAACGCTGGTTTTAGTGTCTGTATATTTCTCCAAATCATGCTCGTTCCATCGAGTTGGTGCAGAAGCATTGAGAGAAACCACACGGTCTAGGTCACGGTCCAAAATGCCCTTGACAACTCGCTGCAAGGTCAACTGCATGTTGCGCTGTGCTTGGAAGTAGTCTTTGACTCTCCTATCCTTGGGAGACAGTCGTGCACCAATGGAGTTACAGGCGGAAAGCAAGGCCTAGAAATTTCAAGTTAGCAATGAACCAAAGCGATCGCACAAAGCAGAGACAGAAAAAAAGACAAAAAGACAGAAAGTGTTAGATGGCGTTTACCTTGTCTAGAGCCCAGTTCAATCCAACTAGGTCGTCCAAGACCTCCGCCTCAGCCATCGAGTCATCGCTCATGCTGACACCAATACCAAGCCAAGAATCTACAACCACACCCGATGATTTCGATGCCAAATTCTTACCGAAGAGACTTGCAGCGAGAGGAGAAATCCGAGAAGCGTCTTTGAGAAACAGAGTACTTGCGAAGTCGACCTTTCGGCTGTAGGCAAGAAGAGACCGAGGTGGCCTCTTGCCATCCATGGCCATGCTCCTCGAGAATAGCAAAGCACGATTCTGGTTCTGCGTGATGAAATACTTGTTCAACGCGAGTCCCGGAGCGGCGAGGCGCGGGTACAGACAAGACTGTAATAGTGCATTTACCAAAGGCATATGATGGGAGTTCGTATTGAGCTTTGCACCGCCGAATTGAAGGTCTTCTTCATCTCCATCATCTTCTACCCGACGGGTTGAAATGGCCCGAGCATCCCTTAGTTGCCGAAGTACCTGGCTAGCGGTGATAAAAGCTTCACGATAGGCGGGAATGTAGATGTCATGTTCAAAACAGTAATTCCAGGCCTGTCGCATGCCTTCCTCGCGCCATGTCTTCCTAACAGCCTTGAAGGCGTTTATATGGGAGACATGGTCACTGCAAGACTGGCCTGCAAAGCTGACCTGGTGAAGCCACACTCGCTTACGCAACTCATGGTTGAGAGGCTGGTAAAAGAGCCGTGGCTCTTCGCCCAAAGCTGCCAGAATAAGCAGCGGGTCCAAACAGCGGAAAATGACACCCAGAATGACTAGCCTGGCAAAGGCGGGGGAAATGACGGTTAATTTGGCCATAAGAAAGCCGAGGTTTGTGAGCCTCTCCTTATGGTTCAATGCCTGGAGTTGCTTCAGAGAATCGACAGCTGCAGACACTTCATCGTTATCAGGGGGCTCGATCGCCCTTTGTAGAAAACCTGTGATGGGGGCGTCCGAGTCGGCCATCCGTGAGCGCAAACATGTTGCTTGCAGGTCGCTCCGAAGAATCTCTGCAGATTTGGTAATGCGCAGCGAATCGTAGCGTTTCTTCGTCCCCAAGAAGAAATAGGATCCTTCCTGGACTCTGCCAGCCCGTCCTGATCGCTGAACCGAGCTAGATTGACTAGCCCAGCAACAAGCTGTGCGATGGGAACCCGATGTAGAGTCATATATGACCTGATGTACCTTGCCGGAGTCGATCACATATTTCACATCTGGAATGGTGAGGGATGCCTCAGCAACCTCGGTTGCAAGTATAACCCGCCGACACCCGCTGGGTATTTCATCAGATAATTTGGCCATTTCCTCTGGGAGGCTCGAGTGTAGCTTCAAGATACGGAATTGATCATCGTCGGCAAAACTGAAACCAAGTGGAAGTCCGAAGTTTTGGAGGTGGGATTCCACACCAAGTATGTGGGAAAGCCCTGGTAGAAAAACTAGCACGGAGCCATTTTCTGTCGTTGATACGATGTTTAGAATGGTGGCACAGATAAGTCCAAATGGCATGAGCGGATCTTCGTCGAATGGCAATGGCCGTGGAGTGGTTTGAGGAGAGATGGTTTCCTTGCTTGGCTTCTCGATAAAAGAAGCGGGCGTTCCAGTAGTGTCCTTTTTGGTTTCGCCAAACTTCTCCTGGTGCTGCAACAGATATTTTGCTGTCATTGGCTCTCCTAGAAGCTTAGAAAGATCCTGTTCCGAGAATGAGGTAGACAGAGTTTCAAGCAGTTCGTCCAGATAAGTCGATTTAACATGATGTTGACGCCCGGGGATGGTGATATGTGGAGCGGGTTCAAGTGTTCCATCTGCGCATGTGTTCTTGAAGTAAGATGAAAAGAGATTGACGTCCACCGTGGCGCTCATTACGACAATCTTAGGTGCAGGGGTGTCAGATTTCAGGCACTTAGTAATGTGATCCTTGACTAGGAGCATCACAAAGTCGATATCAATATCTCGGACATGAACTTCATCCAGGATGATGTGTGAGAAGGAATTGAGAAGCTCAGGTGATTTCTGCAAGAGGCTCAAAGCCAGGCCGGTGGTGCAGTAGGTGATTGCGCCGCCCTTTGCTGGCCGTTGAAGGTCGAATCGAATCATGTAGCCAACACTCTGTCCAATCCTCTCTTTTCTCTCGTTGGCGACTCGCTGAGCCAGCATTCGGGCTGCGACTCGGCGTGGTTGGATGCAAAGCACATTGCACTCGCCTCCACAATTTTGCTCTATGGCATCATTGAGAATGAGTTGGGGAACCTGCGTAGATTTTCCAGAGCCAGTCTCGCCCACAATAAGACTGTACGTATTGTTCTTGATAAGATTCAAGACTTGCTCTCTGTGTTCATTTACTGGCAAGCGGCTCGTCGCAGACCGAAGAGCAACGACTGTCGGGTCTGTAGAATGGCGGAGATCGCTTAGAGCTTTGGAAAGATGCTCCGATCTTTCCGTCCGATACTTGTGATCTACCTGATCATCAGTCTGATTTCGTCGCCGGGCTTGGTTTGGCTGTAAAATCTTGAAGTCCTTGAAAAGAGACCTGGCATGAAGCAAGTCATTCTTCCCAGAGCGAACCATATAAGCCAAGTCACTATCCATGGTAAGATTAGCTTGATTGCCATCACTGTCTCCAACAAGCAACTTCCAAATATTAGCCTGTTTGAGATTTGAGATGAGAAGCAGGAAAGCACTCTTCTTTGCATTACGCTGTGGATCATCGGTGGTTAATCAATGTATGTGTGACCAAGAGAAATTTGAAGAGAGGATCGAAAGTCGTACCCTGGATTTGCCATCTTCAACAACCTGCATCTCCCCTGTACCATCGGGCATGGCGAAGATGACATAGCAGGTAACACCTTGAACCTTATTTCCTGAGAATTCAATATCTAGCTCGAACTTATCCTCATGCCATAATTTATGGAAGAGATCGAGATCTTTCTCAGTGGGCATTTCAGACGATGGCGCTTCATTTGCAGATGTTCCTGATATGGGTGCATCTGATGCAGGCGCTTCAGACGCAGACAAGGTGGTTGTGGCTTTAGACATCAATTCATCCCAGATACCATGTTCTCGCATTTTTGCAGCCAGTATTATATACATCTCGTGCTTTGCGGATTGCTAGTTGTCAGAATGTTAGATCACTATATGAAAATCAAAGGAATAGAGGCCTTACCCTTGTAGGATGGAGCCCCCCCTGAGCTGTTAGGGTTTCCGTTCTGCCTGGCACAGAAAGTACGGCATGTGGAGTAATTTGGCCATCCTTTGGCTGATACTCCATCTTGATTTCAATGAGACGTTGTCTAAGTAGATCAATGACGAGACTGGAAGCCTTCTTGGTACGCAAATTACCGGGAAGAGATGCCTGAGCACTGATATCTACTTTGACAAGAGGTTTCCAAACACCAGCACTCTGTAATTGAGAAATAAGGCTTAAACGGGCCCGGCGACTCGCCCCTTTCTGTTTTCATGATGGGAGTTAGATGATGATGACGATGATTTTTTGCGGTTGCTATGGGTATGGAATGGAAGCCAAACACACCTTGCCATGGCCTTCTGCTTGGGCTGATAAGGTGCCCTCCATTCCCGGCACAGAGATGGACAATGTGCAAGTTACCGGGTTGTGTCCGGTGCCTTCATACTGTTCTTTGAGCGTGAACACACCTCGGTGTAGGAGGGTAGTAAAATACTTGAGCTGTTCCTTGTCCTTATTCACCATGCCTGGCTGATTATTTTCAGGCTTGATTGTACAAGAGGAGCCTTGCATATCTTCTGGCAAACTTTGTTCATGTTGACTGGTCTCTGATGGAACATCGGCTAATGCTGAACCGCGTGTACTGAGGAACCTGCGAGGACCGCCGTGAAGGCTTGGAGTTGAGTTCCAGATGCAAATTGGTGATTTCCATTGTTGAGACAGGAGACCGTCCTTACTAGCCACCAATGAGGTTGGCACTGGCAGATTCTGAGGCGCCGAGGCAATGCAGGCAGCATGTAGGTTTAGTCCAGGCTGCGAGAACGCAATGGGGCGGTTGGGTCTCCAGCGGCGAAGGCTGGCGCACGAGTCATGTTGAGGGGGAATTATCCCTCGTTTTAGACGTCGCATGCGAGTGCATGCGCTCGTACTTATTGCCATTCCGCGGCGTTAAAGAGATGGTTCACGGCGTGACACGAAGTTGACATTCGCGCATAGTTAACGATGGCTGGGCTGTCACCGCACATATGGCGCAAGAGCAACCTGAATCGCTTACAGCGTTTAAATAAGCCACAATCAGTCCATGAGGGGCGAGGGCAATTTGAGAGGCGCGAAGAAGTCTGGTCGCATGGGATCAATCATGACGGCAAAACCGAAATTGCGGCGCACGGGCGGTGTCTGAAAGTCCGGGGGCGGGCTGCGGATCTAGACTCTAGGGAGTTGTCTCGACGAACTCGGAGGAAAATTCATTGAAGACAAATGGGTTTCTGATGGGATTATCGAATAGAATGAGAATCAAGTGCTTTTCTTGAATATTCAAGACAGTTCAATGGAAAATAGCATTCGTCTCGTCATTGAAATTTCTATATACAGTCTATCTATATACCATCTATAAAATGGTAATATTTCCATGGGGCTTGTTCCCAAGCCACTTTTCCCCAATCTGATAGGTCAAAGGGTATCAAAAGAAGATGGAAAATAAATGACAAAGAAGGCAGAGATACCGCACGATGACCCACCAAGAGAAGTCTATACCATGGCTTCTTGTTGATGCTTCACCCGCAACTTCTTTTCTGTCTTCATGAACTCCCGAATACCAACTGGAATATCGGCAAACAAGTCATCCCCTTGGCTTGGAGCAGCCCAATTTGTCTCACTCCCACCACCATCATCATCCATGCTGAGGCTGGCCGAGTTGATCTGAGCTGCTTTAGGAGCGGTGCGCATGTCTGTTGGTTGTTTCTTGGGTCCGCCTTTTGCCTTGGCGTTCGCAATAGTCGCAGCCCATTCCTCCATTTCGTCCCGGAAGCCATCCCAGACACAATTCACACAACCACTCATGCAGCAGTTTTCTGGTTCTTCCGGGCGAGGTGGAATCGGTACACCGTTGATTGTTTTCCACGTTGACATCGGTGGTGCTTCGCCAGGATTGTAGCGTGACTGGCGTCCGGGGCCTGCGAGGCGGGTGCCAAACACGATTGCCATCCGTTCCTGGGGTGTAGGCACGCTCTCGGCGGTTGGTGTAGGCATCGACTCCGAGCCACTTTCGGCTTGGAAGGTAGTCGATTGCACAGGAGCTGGACGGTCATGGTACGGCGAATCAGAGTTTAAAATAACAGAGTAGTATCCTGATAAAGGGTATGCTTGGGACGAGTCGGACATTTCTTGTAATAAATGACGGTTATCATGTGCAACGGATGGAGGGATAGCGGCCATGCGCCGAGCAGTTGAGGTCAAGGCATATCGACGGGATGAGGAGGTCAAAAAGAGAGGCCGATGTGCACAGGACCAAGAACAGACTCTGGTCCTCCTGAGCGAGTTTCTACCCACTGCAAGACCCTCCATATCGTGTGCGGTCGGAAAGGAAGTTGGCTTCTTCGGGCCTGCGGGCCTGCAAGATTAAGTCATAGGTGCAAACATTGCAAACGGGATTGTTTATCAAACCTCCCGCCGCGGCGGCCGCGGTTGGTCGCGCAGCGAAGATGATACATTACATGATCAAAAATGGATTCGCCTCCGAAGCGCCGCAAAACTGGGGCGACAGCTAGAGTTGATGCTGGACAATCAGTCTCTCTCGGGCGCTCTCCCAGTCGACCCTCTTTTGAATCCCCCACAAGATCAAGTCTAGCCAAATCGCATCCCGACATCCTCGAACGCGCACTTAGCAGATCCCCCGTTCGACAAAACAGAGATCAAGGCAGTGAAACTGACCGTCGTCATGATACAGACGTCGGGGCAGCTGATGCAAAGTCAAGGGTTGTCGGCCTCCGAGGTCGTAAAGCCCTCCGACCTTCATTGAATCCGTCTAGTCCCCTCAAAGCGCCGAGGGTGTCCGATACAGCTCCAATACTTTCGCCCAGCCGACGCGCAAGCGGTGTTGAAGCATTTTCGAAGCGACCTCGCAGATTTTCTAAGAGAATATCTGCGACAGACTTCTTTTTAGGATCGCCAGTCCGCAAGAAGACTCAGCCGCCAGAGGATTTCTCGAATACGCCCGAGGGTCAACTCGCTTTAGAGCTGGGCAGCGCAACGAAAGATGCGGTGGATAACCTCGATATGGATGATAATATAGGCACTGGATTTGTGGATGACGATGCCTTGGAGCCGGACCTTCCACCTACTCCTACACAACTAGGCCTCGAGAAGGCACCAGAACGACCTAGAGGTCTGCTCAGTAGTAGCCCCAGCGCAAGACATGAGAAGCGAGCCAAAAGAAGAGCCGCGGATGTGCTTCATGGGAGCCCATTGAAGTCGCTGAAGTTCCAACAATCTCCTGAGGCTGTCATGGATGAGGGCATAGATGTTGATATGGACCGGGACCGCGTCTCCGAAGCTGCATTGAATCGACAGAAAGAGCGCAAAAGTCTTGCTGCTGAATTAAGACAACTCAAGGATGATGTGGCTGAGCTCACAAAATGGACAGAAAGAGTTGACTCTGGCGCAAATCTGACGGGCGATATAAAAGAGCTCAACAATCTCTTAAGTTTGCTGGCTGAAGAGTCATCGCACCTTGATCAACCAATGCATCGAAAACCCCGAGCTCCAATATCCGCACTGCTTTCGACACTTCTCCCATTTTCCTCCAATATCCCTCGCCCACCAGCTCAAGAGCTCCCATTGCCAACTAATCCATACGCCTTGAAAGACGATTCGCAACAACCGTCATATCTCTCTGCGTTTGCACCGTTAGCACTTCGTACCCATACAACCCGCACCTCGTCCTTTACAAATTCTCTTTTCGAGACTCATACTTTGGTTTTCACACCACCGTCTCCATTCCCTGCCTCGTTATACAATGTCTCTGTTGTATATGAGACAAACCCAGAAACTCAATTTGTGACATCTATTTCTGTACCTGCAGATGGAGACACCAAGAAGCGCAAAGTGCCTAATGCACTCCGCCAATGGATTGACTCTCGACTAGCGAATCCTCTGCTCAGGCTAGATGTTGCGACTATATGCTGGGGCATTAATCGCTACTGGGAAGCCTCCGTCTCACGTGCCCAGCTATGGGCACGGATTGAGCACAAATATAATCAAAGCACATCTAAACGAGGCGGCGCTATTCCCCAGTCTCAAGATGGCACAATTACACTCGCTGAGGTCCGACAGCTGGTCCCACATCTTGAGCGGAGTATGATGGTTGTCAAATCTACGAGATCCAAAATCAGCCCTCAGGTCCTCCTGTCAAATGAATTGGTAATGGATGAATGGACTGGCGAACCTCAAATTCATCCAGGGTTGAGCGTTTCTTTCTCAAGTCGCGTTGGTGGGTCAAGCAAAAAGATCGACCAGGAGGCCAAGAAACTCTTTAATGGCTTGCTACATGAGGAAATGCCTTCAAAGAGCTCAGCTGGGGGAATACCCGTGGATGTAATTCTACAAGCAACTGAAGGCGCTCTTGGAGTTTTGTTGAATGATGCCTGATGTTTTTTTTTCTCTCGATATTCAACGTACTTTTGTGATTTGGCGTGGCGTCAAGGATGGGATTTTAACGCTGGGAATAGGATACCACAAATTTGCTCTTATCATGAGACTTCAGAATCCAAGGCTGATTTTAGATGAAAGTATTCCAAACCACAAGGTCTTTTAGTGCGTAGGCGATTGTTTATCAGTGCCTCAGGCTAGTGTGTCTCCACTTGAGAGAAGGAAGTTAAGAGGGAATATGAAAGGTGATGGATGTCCTTTAAAGGATACCCATGTATATACGACGTTTAAATATTGACGTATTCGAGTGAACCGCACGAGAAGCTAGATTAAGCTACGAATTGACGCTGTCCAGTCATGCAACTTTTGAAGTCTCTTGTCATTGCGAGACTATCTGAAATGCTCTTGCGAGCCCATAGCGTATAGCACTCAAATCATCATCTCCTTGGGCCTAGCAGTTCCACACCTCCTAACCCCAAGAGCCTCGTCGGAAGACATCGACTCTGCTTTTCCATGAATGCAAAATGGAGCCATCAAAAACACCAATACCAAAAGGGGATTGCGGCAGAAATTGAGAAAAATTGGGCGGTTTGCATTTCGAGAGGATCTTCCGAGTTCTTTCTTTTAGAGACAAAAAAGGGTAAAAAAGGGGAAAGGAGGAGGGGAAGAGAGAGGGATTCAGTTTTAAAGGAGAAAAGGAAGAGGCGCCACGCCATGCCACAGTACACTCATCCCCGATCCGTAAACCGACCCGATCATCATCATCAGCACGAGCAGAAAATTAACACATTTATTTCTTGGCGGCGGCCTCCTCATCAGCCTTGGCGCGGGCACGCTTCTCACGCTGGCCGGCGTAGCGAGCCTCAGCGCGGGCCTCACGCAGACGGCGGTAAGCAGCCTTCTCACCCTCGGGAAGGGCGTCACGCTTGACCTCGGAGATGGCGGCCTCAACAGCGGGGTTGACGATGGGGAAGGAGGCACCGACGCGGGTGGCGATACCCTCACCAGCCTTGGCGGCCTTGACGTCCTCGGCGGAGGAGTCGAGCTTCTTGAACTGACCGCTCTTGCGGGGGAAGAGGATCAGGCGGGCCTTGTAGTCCTTCAGGCGGGCGACGTTGGCGACCAGGGACTCCTTAGAGTAGTTGGTGCGGCGGTGGTCGACCGAGATACCGACGGTACCGGCGAGCTTCTTGGGGATGCCGGCCTCCTTCAGCTCAGCAAGGGTGAAGCCACGGCCAGCACGAACACGGCGGTTGTACTTGATGGTAGGGCAGCGGACGACGGGACGCAGCTTGTCGACAGGGCGAGGAGCAACGGTGGCAGCCTTGGCGATACGGGTCTCACGACGACGGTGCTTCCGGCCGGGCTATGAGATCGAAGCAAAAGTGCATGTTAGTTGACCAAATTCTTCCGAAACAATATCTTCTTTTTTCAATGCCGGTTGGTCGCATTGCAGATTGGCGTAAAAAAGAAGGGGGAAATTTCAGGGTGTTGGTCGAGGTCGTACCTGGTCGAAGTGCACGCGCACACGCTTCTGCCAGTCCTTGCGGAAGTCTATTGAAAATTTGTTAGCACACCACAATTTCAAGATCGCAAACAGACATTGTCGCTCATGACATCGAGAAAAGAGCGCAAAAACGTCGAGGCCGCAGGGGGTCACTCACGGTTCTTCTGAATCTGGTTGTTGTGCTTGATCGCCTATAACTCCCACACAGTTCCAATCAGCCATCATGAACTTTCAAACATTCAACATCCACACAACCCGCCCTCCAGTGATCGGTTGACGGTAATGGTGTATGATTTTATTCCACAGAATCTTCGTATTCAGGAATTCGAGGGGTACGCACCATGGTGACGGATGGGGATCGAGCCGGGTGGTGGTCGTCGGAGGGTTGCTGGTCAAATCTCCCTTCACGGCAGAAACTGAAGTTCCCATTTTTCGTGTGGCCGCTTTCCACGATTCACCGCCTCGCTTAGCGAGCCCTAACTAGTCTTGTTCGGGCAATCTGCCAATGATGCTGACTCATCAACATTGGACCGGAAACTTCAATTTAATGCCTCAGGCGAGAACGTGATTCCGGGTCTATACTTCAACCATTCCCCAGTCAATGATTCGTCATTGGATTTTGAAAGTGTGCTGAGTATGTAGGCCTGCAATCTACAAAGCTAGAGTGTTACTACAGTTTAGTTGTAAGGCTTGTTTTTCCAGTTCAATTTGCTCGTCATTGGTTCTATTCCTATCATACAGTCATGCAATGTGATGCAGTCTGAAGCCAATACCGATTCCGCTGAATCATCTGAAGACCAGATTGTTTCGTGAGAATAAGTCCTCCAACAAATACAACTAAAAAAAAACCCAATTTTCAACGCCTGTCCAGTGAAATGGAGCCATTCAGAATCATGGTACCCACTAGGACCCTGCACAACAGGAAGAGCAGGAAATAAAACCAAACCAATCGCTGCCGAGGAGAAAAAAAAATGTTTGCTATGAAAATGTCATCATTCATAGTTCCTCAGAGGAAGCAAGTCGTAACAAGTGAATGCCAAAAGGCAAAAGAGGTAGCGCTAGATCATAAAATCGTATTCCGTGAGAGTTGAGACTGCATGAGTCCACCTAGGCACTCGCGTGGCCTAGCGTGGGGGGTCAAGCCTTAGGTTTCGATGCCTAGACCCACTCCAGCGTTGGTCCTAGATCTCTTTGTGGCTGGAGTGCTCTCACTAGAATTGGCTTTGCGCTTGGTGGTTTGAACTCGATCCACACCAGGCTTTTTCACTTGACCGAACAGCTTCGTCTGCAGTAGAGTGCTGGTCTTCGGGACAGTGGTTCGCATGTGGGGGTGATGGGCTCCCAGCTCTTCGTCCTCGGACTCGGGAGCTGAGAGAGAGACCGTACTATCAGTGTCATATTGGTCACGCGCATTGCGAGCGGGAGTCAGATAGGAACGATCCTGGCCTGCGGAGCGCGGCTGATTGGGAGTCACAGGGAGTGAAGAGTGCGTGCCATAGGAACTGTGAGATTCATGGATGCGGTTGGTAAACTTGTCAGCGAAGAGAAGCGCCGCAAGACCATCGGTATGTTCGCCTCGACAGATCGTGTGCAGCTCATTCTGCATGTTTGGTGAGAAACAACCGTTGTTGTAGATCTGAGAAAAATGAATGCGATTGTCTGCAATACGTCTCTTCAGCATGTCATTCTGCTCTGTCAACTCGAATGATCTGGCTGTCGCATCGTCAATGGCTCGCTTCGCGTGGCGAAGTCGTCGATCCAAGACAGCATTCACACTCTCCAGCTCTTGCAAGCGGTGGACCGTAGTCAGGTAATCCTCAGTCGAGACTGACTGGGAATGTCGAGGCGTCATGGGTTCAGCGGGGCGCGAGCGACTGCGGTATTCTGCACTCTGTAGGATCTCAACCTCGCGCTTGGCGAGCTGGTGTTCGACCTCCGCGCGCTTGACTGCTTCATTGCTGGCAAACGAAACCAGACTGTTTTGGAGCTTGAAGTGCAGTGCAGACATACGAGCCTCTTGAGCCACGGCCAGCAGATCTTTGGCCATGGAACGCAGTTGAGCCTCGGTAGCGTTGTCGATCTGTTCGAGAGTTGGGAGGTTTTCAGACGCCCCATAGGCGTCGCAAAGGGACTTGTCCAGGTTGGCTGGTGTGATAAGGGAGGGGCTGAGAGAGCGCGAGTGAGACCGGCGTAGCGGTGCCCCGGGAATCTGAGTTGAAGGCGGCGGAGTCATGTCGGAGGAAGACAGAGGGGGTGGAGACAGGAACTTCTTGTCTGACTGGGAGGAACGGTCCTTGACAGCAGCGCTGAGATCTGGTGACGGAGACAAAGTCGCCCGACGGATTGGGGTTGCTGGGGCAAGGATCTCAGCCGGGGCAGCGAGGGGACTTTGAGACCGGACAGTGTGTTGAGACATGTTTGATAAGTCGAGGATAGAGGAGAGAAGGTGATAGGGTAGCAAGGGGTGTGTTTATCAACCGTGGGGAACGTGGTCCTCGCACTGGAATTCAAGTCAGTTTATCGCGATAATCGCTATCTGACAGGCGGGTCAAGCGCATACCGGAGATGGGGAGATTGGGAAGATCAAGAAGCGCCGACAATACTCAGCACTGGCAGGAGACCAGATTGGACGTAGGGGTGAAGTGCAAGTGTGCAGGTGGAACAAAAGAGAGCGGATGAAGGGAGGAAGGAAGGAGAACAGGGTTGTAAAGGTTGTGGGAAACCAGGAACGGTGGTGGGACGGTTTTAGGTTGATATCGTGGAGGAGGGGGCTGGGAGGCTGGGAACGGCCATTGCAAAGTGCGGCTGGGCGCAGTCACTGGGTCGTGCCAGCCTCAAGCAGAAATACAGCCAATAAGGTGTCCCATAGATGACCCATCCATCCTGAATAGGACTAGACCGCCGATCACGGGACGCTCAGGACAAGTAAACAGCCGTGAACAGCGGGAACTGGCCAGGTTGGACTGGCAACCGATTCCCCCAAACTAGATATTTTTAGGTGGGCTTTCAGGCACAACCTGGCTAGTGGGATCTATGAGCGCCTAATGAAACAGACCTCACTTGTCTGATCACAAAAAAATTCCCATTAAAAGCTGATAAAAAGGAGATCAGGAAAATAGAGGGCCCACCACAGAGATTATCCCAGAAGGAAGGGGTAAAAAGGAATGTATGGGCTGTGAAAGTCTTTGGGGGGGCTGGATGACCCGACAATTGTTTGATGACGTCGTTCGAAAGTGCTTCAATGGGTAGGCACATATGTGCAGTGTATTTGGTCCTCATGGTGTAAATATTAGTATTATAGACTCAATTGAGAACTTGCATTTGATGCAAGATGGCGGGAACTGGCTACAGGAGCGTATAAACAAAATCGCTTTACCTTTTAGTCTGATTATTCCAGAAGGGGCTGAATTTGGCTTCACAAGATAGGTTATTTGTAACATATTCCCTTCATAGGGCAAGTACACGCCCATATTCTTGCAATGAAAGGTCGGTGAAGGCCTAGGATAATCTAGAACACTAGTGGAGTAGCAGCTACATTCCGCCACCACTCTTCATGGTGGTCGAGAACAGCCCTCAATGCATTCACACTAGTCTCAAATACTGTATCCAGACTCTAAATGGCTTTATTAGAAGCAAGATTTCCAGTATTGGCCTGTTTTGGTTCCAGGTTCCAAAGCCCACTCCTCATCACCCAGGCTACAGAGCCATATCTGGAATAGACATTGACCTTATAACATTCAAGGAGCGCCCATTGGCAGGCTATACTTTGAACTAGGTTTCCATGAAAAGCATATTGGTTTGTGTTCATCACATGGATCACTTAACTAGTTGACACTCATATTCGGACAGAATACCTGGTAGGGCTAAATAAGTCTTGGGTGTGTCTACTAACTAGTTGGTAGTTAACTATCCGCACCCAATTTGAAATTGTAAACGGAGGGACTATTAAACCCCCCATAAGATGATCCGATTCTAGAAAGACTTACTAGTAACCAGGCCATGGGTTGGAGTCTTTTTTGAGCGAAAAAAAAATCATGAAATCACTCCAAGAACTAAAAGAGGTGCAGGAGTTCCCAACCCTGCAAGGCATGGGACGGTAGACCGATAAATAACTGGCTTTGAACTACCGGACTGATAGTGCCTCAGGCCACAATCTATGGATCGCCAAATGTAAACAACATTTTAGCTTCGATCTATTTCCCCTCAATCGGCACCCCAGGGGTTCCTACTCTCTAAATATCCAAGGCTCCGATGCTAGAAGAGTGGGCAAACGCGTGTATTGCTCCGAACTGACTAGTCCTCCAAACCCCACCTGCCACATTCCTTGTTCTGCCTCCTTTTTTCCTTGACGGCGGGACCACCCTCAAAATTGAGGTTCAGGTCGTGAAGACGCCAGCATGGAGGGCCAGCCAAGAACCACTACGCGACCGTCGAGTGGGATTCCTCGACTAGCAGCTTCGCGTCTACCCCTGCCAACTTCCACAGCTTCGAAATCCCTTCGCCCCTCCCCTTCCCGTGATCGCCTACAGGCCGACCCTGGTCTAGATCATAACCGTCTACGAAGACCTTCCCGCGAGTCGCTCCTCAAACAGCCAAGCCCACGATACTCCAACTCCCCCAGCGTGACTCCTTCGATATTAGATGAACCAGAGCGTGGCTTGGATGATATACAAGTACCAGAGGAAGAGAGCGTGGCCGGTGGGGATGATGAATCTGGAGCAACAACTGAACCTCGCGGCCGGCTACGAGAAGTGCAGCCGTCGTTGTCGGAGCGAACAATCGAAACAATTGCCCACATCCCGCCGTCCCCGGCGTCTGTGAAACGGCAATCAAGCTTCTTCAACGGAGCCAGTCCAATCCGGTCTCCTTCACGAACGCCATCCAACGTGTCCGGCTATTCCAGATCACCGTCCCGATCTTCCTCCGGCCAGGCCAGTGGCAATGATCTTGTATCTCAACCCGTATCTAAACTTCGTCTTCCATCTCGTTCTCGCATGTCTATGACTTCTTCAGCTTCATTATCGACCGGCAAGGTTTCAGATACCAACGATAGTCCTTCAAAGATGAGATTGCCGTCTGCAAGGCAAAGCCTTGCAGGAACCAGCGCGGTGACTGAGGCAAACACGCCGCTGAGAAAGACAATGCCAGGAAAAATCAATACTCTAGGAGTCACGGCCACTAAAGGGCCGGTGACCCGCCCTTCGCTGGCCAAGAAGCCCTCCAAATCTACCTTCTCAGAGATGGGCCCACCAGAGCGACCTCTGCAAGTCCGGAAGACGAGGAAGCCTCAAACTGACTCCCCTTCGGCAAGCCCTTCGGGAACGAGATCACCTTCTACTGCGTCACGATACGTGTCCGCTGCTTCCACCCTACAGGATGAACTCACACCGGAGCAACAGGCAGAGAGTGAAGCTCGCAAAGCCTCCAAGTCATCCAGTGCTCTACGAGAGAGTATTGCGAAAGCCAAAGCGGCTAGAAAAGCGGCGGCATGTAACAAAGAGAAATCTGCTCCAACAGTGAACGCGGCTGCTACTTGGAATAGCATTGATGTTGTTGAAGACCCATTCAATCAGTTACCCAAGGGCTCAAGTAATGCTGTACTTCAGAAACGCATTGAAGGAGCCCGTGCATCGGGTACTCTGAATATTGCGGCTTTGTCTCTGACTGAAATCCCGAAAGTGGTGATTGATATGTATGAATACGATCCCGACCACCCATGGTTTGAGAGTGTCGACTTGATCAAATTCATTGCTGCAGATAACGATTTGACGGAGGTGTCAGATGCGACCTTCCCAGACATCGACCCAGAACAGTTTGATCCGGATAGCGAGGAGCGAGGGCTTCAATTTGGTGGCGTGGAAACATTGGATCTTCATGGAAATCGACTTCAGAGTCTTCCCATTGGGCTTCGGCGTCTGCATAACCTGCGCTTTCTCAACCTGTCAAACAACGATTTTACCATGGAGAGGCTTGAGATAATTTTTGAGATCCCATCTTTGGTGGATTTGAAACTTGCAAACAATAATTTGAAAGGAGCGCTAACTTCAGAAATTGGCCGCCTTCGTCAATTGGAAGGGCTAGATCTACGTGGTAATGCCCTGACAGTGTTGCCCCAAGAGATCGCGGAATTGACGTCCCTCAAAGTTTTGGAGATTGGCGAGAACCACTTGGCATCCCTACCGTTCGAGATTCTGAGCAAGCTTCCTCTGAAAACTTTACATGCCCCTAAGAACAAGCTAGAAGGCACGCTGATCCCAGAATCCGTCGACCGTTTTGAAGATCTGCAGTCTCTCAACATTGCAAATAACTTCGTGGATGTTTTCGCGGCCAACCCCATGCTTTATCTACCTAGTCTTCGCAGCTTGTTTATCGGTGTTAACCGTATAAAGCAGCTACCCTCTGTATCTTCATGGCAATCTCTATCGGTTCTATCTGCTGAGGACAACAGTCTCACAGATATCCCAGCTGGATTCGTGGAACTCAAGAATCTGAAGAACGTTGATTTCACTGGAAACAACCTGACTCGTCTTGATGACAAGATTGGGATCATGGAGAATCTTTCCTCATTCCGAGTCGCGAACAATCCGCTTCGTGAGCGCAAGTTTTTGAGCATGGGTTCGGAAGAGATCATCCAGGACCTGCGAAACCGATGCGAGCCTGATCAGGCCCAAGAGACGGATGATGAAGGATCAGTGGCGACTCAATTTACGCTTGCCCCCGAGGCGCCCGAGCCAGAGAATACCTGGCGTGTCAAGCCTGGTGGAGTCGTCGACAGGTCATACTCGGATCTGACAGATCTGGAACCGAGCAACCTGGAGTTGATCCAAAGCGAGGACGTTCGGTGTTTGTACCTACAGCACAATGACTTACGCTCGTTCCCGGTTCCAGCAATCTCATTTTTCTCGCAATCTTTGGTCGAACTTGACCTCTCTCACAACCCCCTCGACAGCTCGGTCCTTATTTCTGCTTCTTTTGAAATGCCAAAACTGCAAACCCTGAACTTGATTGCTGCGAGTTTGACTTCTCTAGAACCCCTGTTGACGAACCTGCAAGCTCCTTCGCTAAACTTCCTCGATGTTTCTAATAATCGTTTGACCGGAACTCTTCCTCACATTCGTCAGACATATCCGGATCTTAAAACCTTCATCGCCTCAGATAATCAGTTCGCCAGCTTGGAATTCGAGGCCGTCCAAGGCCTGCAGGTCCTGGATGTTAGCAATAACGATATCGACTATCTGCCGCCCAAAATCGGGCTCTTGGGTGCTGAGCGCTCACCGCAAAACTGGGGAACGGGGTCTTCCCTACGACGCTTCGAAGTTGCTGGCAATCGCTTCCGCGTTCCCAGGTGGCAAGTTGTTGCCAAAGGCACCGAGTCGATCCTAGAGTTCTTGAAGGAACATATCCCTGCTCAAGACCTTCCGGTGTGGGAGCATGAAGATGCGGCCCCTGTTGATGAATACTGAATAAAATCAGTCACCCTGAGGCTCTCAAGCTGCTCAATGGCGATTCAGGTCGATATTTCTCAATGATCTTGAGTGCAGGACGTTACCGAGAGAGCGATAAACACAGAGGACCGTTTGTATATTATGATTCCCTTCGTTTCTCCCCATGTAGATATAGATATTAAATTTTCTATGCTTTTTCCAAATCCATTAAAATTCTTTACGTCATCATTGGAGTGTCTTATAATCATGACTTCGATCTGTTTTACACCTGTCTATTATGTACATGGACTGGTATCTTCGAGATGTGAGGTTATTCAGTTGTAGTCGCATCAATCGACTTGCCGACTTCCTCCATGACCTTGAGCCACGTCTTGGACCAGACTGTGAATTTGTCTTTCGGCTGCTGATCATCGTCGGCACTCTGGTTTCCTTTCCAGGGTAGAGTCACCAAGGTCACAGCTTGTGTAGCGTGTTTCTGCGTCTGCTGTAAGTGCTTGATGGACTTCTTTAGGTTGTTCTCGTACAGAGACCCAGCCGCTTCATCCACTTGATCTGGTATGCCCTGCAGATTCAACATCAAGGACTCCAGTTTCACGACTCCATCAGCACCAGACAGCGGCGCATCGCCGATATTCTTGAGGCGGTAGTTGATGATTGCCGGGTAGACCTGCGCAATGGGTTTGAGGAAGCGAAGCGTTGATTTCTTCTGCTCATGCAGAGCGGCCGAGTCCTCCTCATCGTCAGAATCGTCGTCAGCTTCCGCGTCCTCGTCGTTGTCCATTAGATCATCAAAGAGCTCGTCACCATCTTCCTCCGGGTCCCAATCTTCCAGCTCTTCGACCGCATCTCGGACGAGATCGCGCCATTGCTCAACGCGGCGCATGACGAATCCGACAACTCCCTTCTGCGCGATCTCATTCACTGCATCGCAGGCATCCCAGACACGACCCACCGCAAGTGTAACGGCGTTTTTCTCAGCCCCGCTGACCTCGGCCTCTTTCTTTTTCGGATCAGCCTTCTTGTCCTGTTGCTTGTGCTCGGCAATATTATTGACCTCCTGGATAAGCGTGGCAAATTCCAACAAAGCCGTCTTGGCCAGATGCAAGATCTCCAAGTGGAACGCCTTGGTATATCCAGTGGGTGTGACGAGCAAGGCAGCAGTAACAACCGAGGGAAGGACGGAATCATTGCAGGCCCGGAGCACATTATTGACCGCTGAGTGGGTGAACGGCGAATTGAGCGCTAGTAGCGATAACTTGGTGACCTGGGCCTTCAGTGTGGCGGAGGAGTCCGCGAGGAGGGGCAGGGCTGGAGGCACATCTTCTGGGCGGGTCGGCGAGGATTGGGCGGCGGCCAAGGGCGATGAGAGTGTGGCCTGGAATTGTTGAAGGAGGGCGAGCGTAGTCGCGGAGACGGTTTCAAATTCTTCGGCCATTTCTGAGAGAACGTGGATGTACCACTGCCGGCGGAGAGGGTTGGGGGAGGAAGTTGATGATGCTTGGAGAATTTTTGGGGCGACTCAAATGTCCGCGGGGCTCTCTTCTTAGGGTTCTGCGGGGCCACAGCGAAGAGGCTTTGTGTTGGTCTGGCAGGCAAGCCGCAGTTTGGGCAGATACTTGGACTTTGGACTCGGTGGACTAGAATTATATGTCACGAAATTATTTCTATTTAAAACTATATTGTAATTGACGATTCAGAAGCTTCGGCAACCAAACCATACTAACTTCGACTTCATTCTATCCATGGATCTACCACCTAAATTCGCGAGAGCGCGCACTAACTCATAGTGTCAAATCTCGGCCCACAAAAATAACTAAGGCAAGATGGCCGAGTTGGTCCAAGGCGTCAGGTTAAGGTCATACCTTAGCATAATTTCCTGATCTCGATTTCGGGGCGTGGGTTCGAATCCCACTCTTGTCATTTTTTTGCTTCAAAGCTTCATTTTTGCATCTTATTGCATCTTTTTTGCATGACAGGAGAAATGAAAATTATTGCCGCGCTTCTTGTAGGACAAACCCGATACAACAACACCCTATGGTAAACCCAAGCTTTTCATCCCGTTGCTTTAAAAAGAACAGCAACTTCGTTGGGAGCTGTGTCTGATTGGAAACCTTGCATGTACAGGAGACGCGAAGTTTCTTGGTAGTGTATGTAGTTCATAAAATCTCGATCAAAAACTAACTGCCTGATGTCCTTATTCATCATCAAGGGGCGAGTCCTGGAATGTACCATCTTCTCGGGGAATTGGGGGCACCTTGGATATCCGAGTGTAGATTACCACATTCGACCATGTCTCTTCGTCTCCAAATTCTAGCAACTTATAACCTGTCATCATTTTCCGAACGCGGGGCGAGTCTGGGTCAGTCCTAACAAGGATGTCAGTATCGAAACCGAGAATGCAAGAGCCACCCGTACAACCCCCCGTAACACTTACGAGTCCTTATCATCATTTTCAACCCGATTCCATATTACAACGGCGGGCCTAGCGGTGTCCGCAATGATTTCCTTGACAGGTACATTTGGGGCCACCGAAAGCACGACTGATCGCTCGTCGATCTCAAGCCAGCCGCGTGGATCGTCAATCATCTCGAACCCGATATCTGCGAGAACTTCCCGGTCCACAGAGGTGTTCATTGGGTCCTGGATATAAGAGGAGATACCATCGGTCTGGTCTCGTTCTTTCAGCCACTCCCTCACAGTGCATAGTAACGCAGTTTGTTCCGCAGCTTTTTCGTTATTTGGTAAGGCAAGGCTACCACAAGCTAGCCCAACGATCTTATTGATATCGTGGCTGCTGACCTCTGAAGCCAAAATCAATTTAAGGCGCTGGCACGCCTCACTTTCTTCCCACACCAGTCTCTTCTCTCTAAAATCCTTGGCCACCATGTCACGGTCTGGTATCTCCTCATCAGGAATAATACTCTTAGCCTCACTACTGGGGTCAATTTGGAGTATCCGGTACATCAAACACAGGGGCTCGTAAGCCGAGTCCTCAGCACCAAACCAGTGTAACGAGCTTTTAAGGGACGCTCTGGATCTGTACCCTACCCCGGACTCTTTGCTGGGTGGTGTTAGCTGCAAATTGCATTGAAAACGCATCCGAAGCATCAACTTTGGGCGAAAATCTTACTAGACACATTCTTTCTCCTGGTCCTCGCCGAATATGAGGTTGATAGACTTTCCAAGTTTTACTGTCCATGCAATTCTGGCACCGGTCAGGTCTCTCGTGATAATTTTATCTCCGGGGTCAGTTTGAGTCTTAAGCTGGTCCCAGAGCGCACGGATTGCGCGCTTGGTAAAAAAGGGGGTACCGGACTCGTAGATTGCATCTATATGGGCGATTGCCTGTTCCTTGGTTCCTGTTTCACGTGGATCAATCAAGGTGCCCTTAATGACTGCCCAGGTTGTGTAAGACTGTTGTGACGTCGAGCTCATGATAGCCTCGTAGTCTTCGTCCATGTCGTCACTCATGTTGGTGAGGATAGATTTCAGAAGCTGAGAATCGAATAATTTTGTGGAATTGACAAAATATGAAGAACGGAAATCTCCTAAGATATGGTTGTACACGCCCGTGCGGTTGGGCCCAAATTTATTGCCAGCACATCATAATCCCCGTCAACGTACAGGTGACACCCAGTCAATGGAATTCACCCGCTTATACAGTATGTCCTTCTCCCCGCCTCGACACTATCCCATAGCACTCCAATTTTCGGTCTTCAAAGGCTTCAATAGTGCACTCTGAATATTGTGTTGTTTTCCCCTTGGTTCACGACCTCCTTAGATATTCTGCGATTTGCCCCTCGGCAGTGATCATAGCAAGATGCGTTCAAACAGCGGAAGTCTTTATGAAGATGGTTTCAGAATCCATTGAAGGAATTAAAGCACAAAAAACATCGAGAGAAATATATTTAAACAGTTTTTCCAATCATCAGTCTGATTTTTGACACTATATTATATATCACTCCAGACAGAGTATATCTGAAAATTGCCGACATTTGATTTCGCCCAACGATGGAAACTCTACGGTTCAATTAGTGTTACTGGAAAAGCTGTAGAATGGTCAAGGTGCTCCTGTGGCTAGGAGATTACGTACTAACTAACCAGCGCGTCCCAGTGAGCGTTCAATAGGAACCTACTGAGCCGTAGTCACACCTCCAAGGCAGGTGAGTTTACACTGATGCCTCAGGCCAAAGTCCAAATCCAGCGGCGGGCGGGCACCCGACAACCAAACGCGACAAACACGTCTCCCGCGGAGGATCGGGTTCGTCTGCCCAAGCATCCGCTTCTCAGGATTGTACTTGAACCTTGACTTGCTCTTTTCGCGACTATGGGAACTACCAGGGCTCGTGCGCCGGCAAAGCCAGCAAAGGTCACGCCTGAGGTTCCTGCTCGACATCTGCCGAACAAGACCTTCGTAATCGACAATGGAGCTTATACAATGAAGGCGGGATACGCCTCTGACCCTTCTTCCGCCGAGGACGCCTTGTCTGCCTGTACACCAATTCCTAATACGCTAGTCAAGACCCGCGACAATAGGGTTCTGATCGGTACTCAGCTTGCAACCCATGTCACTGACTGGAATGAGGCGATGTTCCGGCGGCCGGTGGAGAAAGGGTATATCGTGAATTGGGAAGCGGAGAGGGAAATCTGGGACCAGACATTCTTTGAAGAGAAAGCCAACGCGCGAAACAAGAATCTTCGAATCAGTGCCCCGGAAGATACGACTTTAGTACTGACCGAGGCTCCGAATGCCATTCCGGTGCTGCAGCGGAATACAGATGAGATGGTGATGGAAGAATGGGGGTTCGGAGGCTATGTGAGGTGCCTGGGTATGATCACTCGGCTCCTTGAGACTGTTTTCTTCATCTCTAGACCATGACTGATATGTGTGATTATATCCGTAGGCCCTACGCTGAACGCATGGAATGAAATACATTCATTATTCGGAGACCCTCTCGCCAAAGTCGATGGCGACATTCTACCGATGGACTGTCTCCTCGTCGTCGACTCGGGCTATTCTCACACCACTGTGACACCAGTGTACAAAGGACAGGCTATTCAACGTGCAATTCGTCGCCTTGATGTTGGCGGCAAACTTCTCACAAATTACCTGAAAGAAATTGTATCAATGAGGCAGTACAACATGGTGGATGAAACATACATTATGAACGAGGTCAAGGAGGCTGTTTGCTTCGTGAGCAATGATTTTACAGGGGACATGGAACGGACATGGAAAGCCAACCGCAAGCGCCAAGAGGAGAATGGTGTTGTAGTGGACTATGTACTTCCTGACCCCAACGCAGGCAAGAAGGGACTCATGCGGCCACATGATCCTCTTCTATACGCAAAGAAGAAGAAGGGCGCTCTTTCCGGTCTCAGTGCCGAAGTGCTATCTGAAGATGTGTTGGTCTTGGGCAGTGAACGATTCGCCGTCCCGGAGCTTCTATTCAATCCGGGCGACATTGGAATGAAACAGGCCGGTGTCCCAGACATGATTATTCAAAGCGTGTCTGTCCTTCCTCCCGGGTTACATGCTGCCTTTTTGGCTAATGTGCTCGTGGTCGGTGGCAATGCTGCCTTGCCAGGATTCATGGAGAGACTGTAAGTTATGCCAGCCACTCTTGTCGGTTTAAACAAGACAACCATACTAACTCTGCTGATGCCTTCGCTAGGGAGAAAGAGCTGCGCCAGATTGCCTCAGCGGACTGTGTGGTCAGAGTGCGGCGAGCTGAAGAGTGAGTTTCTATCTAGATACCGAAGTGACCGACTTGAACAGTACCCGCAACCTCTACTAACGCAAAACCACAGCCCCATTCGATCAACCTGGTTGGGAGGATCTCGCTTTGCTAGTAATCGCGAGGAGCTAGGCAAGGTGGCCATCACGCGCCAAGAATATCAAGAATATGGATCTGGATGGGCTGGCCGACGGTTCGCAGGCATAATATGATTGTCGATACTGTCAACCATTTCGATGAGATGAGTCATTTTTAGGAGTTTCTGGGAGCTTGATTCTTGTTCTTGCCTGGTGGGATGGCGGCACTATTTCTATGCATCATGATACCCTTGTCCCTTAAGTAATGCTGGTTGGGTTAAAGCCGCCAAACCTATACAATTTCACATCAAATAAACAGGAAACCTTGAGTCTATTGGTAGAAGAAAGAAGCAGTTAATACGCGGAGGGAAGATAATAAAAGAAAATAGATTATCAAAAATACAGCGGACAATACTCTGATCTTTCTCTGTCCCCTTTGGACTTTTGGTGCGAATGCATAATCACTTCTCATCTCGATGACGCTGCCGTGAGTCGTTCTCGTTATACAGCACCCACCTCATCTAGCCATCTAGATTCCTCAACCACGGTTCTACAGGACTCGGGTGGGAAAAAAAATATATTTCTAGTAGCTTGTGCTTCATGCGTTCAGTCTGACGGTCATACTACGGTAACCTGGAGCACGGTATCCTGAATGCCACCACGGCTGGACTCTGTGTCAACCATAGACATGGCCTAATATCGAATAATTGCTCTCAGGAACTGAAAATAAGTTTCTCAGTCATACAAGGTCACGTTTGGTCGGACAGAAGGGGTGGTTGATGAACATAAAAGAGTCAAACAAAGTTATCTTTTCCACGTCTACAATCTCTCCCCCTCCTGCAACGAACCCCCTGTCAAACGCAGCCTGCAGACCCCTCAGCGATTGGTTTCCATTAATTCACTTGTTCCTGACAGTCAGATATTTTGCAAGTGGAGGACTCTTTTCAAAAGGGTCTTCCAGGGTCTCTGTCAATCTCATGGTGAAGATAGGGCCGCCTCGAGGCTACGAAACTACCATGCACCACCTCCAGCCTCCCAGCCCACCCGTTCACAAGAAACATACTCTTGGTGCCATAATATCGAATGCAACTGGGGGCTGTCAATCTCCAGTTGTGGAGCAGCGAGGGGAAGAGAAAGTGATGGGATTCGCAGAGAGGCTGAAGTTTCTCTTCACAACTGCAGTGTTACGAAAGGAGTCAGTCGCAAGTTTTGCTTGCACCTCTGGAGCATTTCCGCTGACAAAGTCTCGGCATATAGTAAATGTGTTTCATGTCTCAAGCAGATTCGAATCTCCCAACTCATTGTAGTGCCTTGCGAACACAAGTACTGCCGACATTGCCTTCGTGAAATGGCATATCTCTCTCTCAAAGACAAGAATCTTTTCCCAGTTCGATGCTGCTCACAAGAAATTCCCCCAAAGTCAGTGGCCCTTGCAATGTCCAACCGAGGTAGAAGGCTCTATATCTCGCGAGCAGAGGAGCATGCGATCCCGCCAACTGAGAGGTGGTATTGCCCACAGGCCAGCTGTCGGAGATGGATTGCTCCAAGACAATTGAAAGCAAGAGGCATACAGAGATGTCCCCATTGTCGGACCTTGATTTGCAAAAACTGTCGAGATCTTGCCCATGATGACCGGGAATGCTCGAATGATCCCGGCCTAGGGGAGATTTTGGAAGTGGCACGTCGCCGCCACTGGCAGAGATGCTATAATTGCCACGCCATGGTAGAGAAGAACGGTGGATGCACTCACATCAGATGTGTATGCTCGGCAGATTTCTGGTAGGCCTTTTACCAAACAAAAATATCCCATCCCTATCTCGAATGAGTACTCATGGAGGCTAGTTACCTATGTGGTCAGCCGTACCCGGGATGTGGTTGCAAGGCAACCGCAGACTTTTTGCACGATGCCCCTCTGGAAGCGGATGGCGATCTTGATATGGCAATTGTAATTGCTGCCATGGAGCAGGCCGAGAGAGAAGAAGCCATCGAAGCTGTGCGAGTGGCATTTGCCCGAGAGACAGCCAGACGAGAGATAGCCAGACGAGAGACAATTGCCCGAGTAGTTGCAGCACCAGTGATAACGACCTATCCATGTTCAGGATAGAAGTGGGACCTAGCAGATCGCCAAAAGACAACCATCAAGCTATTTTAAAGCTCAAAAAGATAACAGGCAGACCGATTGAATTGCACGAAACATGATAGCCATAAAGGCGAACAGTGCTTTTATACTTACTATTGATTATCTATCCATAGCAGCTATCTGAATTATATTGAAAAAATGAGTCCCCTATTTGTCAATTCACATTGAAAGAATATAATCTAAGATGGTAGCATACAGAAGGTATATCGCAGTGGAAAACATCAAATTTGCCTCATCAGTATCATACCCGGTGGCACGGCGAATCAGTAATCGTAGAAGCCTTTGCCTGACTTCTTACCCATCCAGCCTGCATCAACCATCCGACGAAGAAGACCGGAAGGCCTGTACTTGCTATCGCCGGTCTCCTGATGAAGAACGTTCATAATAGCCAGACAGGTATCAAGACCGATGAAATCCGCCAAGGTCAGGGGCCCCATAGGGACGTTGGTACCGTTCTTCATGATGTTGTCAATACCTTCACGGCTACCAACTCCAGTTTCCAGACAGATCACAGCTTCATTGATGTAAGGCATGAGGATACGATTGGCCAGGAAGCCGGGAGAGTCGGCCGACACGGAGGCCACCTTGCCCATGCGCTGGACAAAGGCAATCGCGGTATCCATAGTTTCCTGCGAGGTTTGCAGGCCACGAATGATCTCCACGCCCTTCTGGATAGGAACCGGGTTCATGAAGTGGGTCGAAATGACGCGGGATGGGGCCTGTAGGTTAGTCGGATCGGTAGTGGTGGCAGCGGCGATCTTAGTAATGGAGATGGACGATGTGTTGGTGGCTAGAATAGCATGTTTGGGAGCAATCTGGGCAAGGTTCTTGAAAATGGCTTGCTTGAGATCAGGGATCTCGGGAATTGCCTCAATGACAAAGTCCACCGAGGAGAGGTCGTCCATCTTCAAGGTCGGCGTGAGGAGAGCGCGGGCCGCATCAGCGGCTTCACGAGTAATACGCTGCTTAGAAACATCCTTCTCCAGTAGCTTGTCTGGTCCATTATACTGTCATTAGCGGTCAAGGACGTGACAATGCTTAGATCAAAGATCCGGGAAAAGACCGAAGACTGCACAGTCCGAGGCTGAGAGAACAAGGGGGAAGGGGCCAAACAGCGGGGATCAAGTACCGGCAAACTTGAGGCCCTTATCTAAGGAAGCTTGAGAGGTGTCAACCAAAGTTACAGGAACCTGGGCCTTCTGTGCAGCAACAAGTGCAATTCCCAGACCCTAAAATGAATTAGAGACCGAACAGAGATTTTGCAAATGCATGCGACTGACCATCTGCCCGGCACCGATCACACCCAGCGATTTAACCTCGGCAGCGCTCGTAGCGGCAGTGGAGCTGAATTTGCGGGCCGCCACGGGGCCATTACGACACACAGAGCGAAGAGACGAGGCGAACATGGCTGTGCTTGAATCTTTCGCAGAAGTTGCAGGAGAAAAGAGACGCGGAGGTGTGGCCGGGGTATAGATCTTCACGTGTTTGGCGGTTGGCCCGACGTCATCGGCTATCTTCGGCAGTGGGCGGCGCTCTCAGTTTCTCCGAATCGCCGAGGCCCAACGCGTCAAGACGCGTTTCCCTTTCGAGTTACATTTGCTTCCCGTTCATCGACCATCCCACCATGGACCAGGAGGCGGTTGCTGTGGGCCACGATGTCCAGGTGGTCGACCCGGACGTGCGCGGCTATGTCTACAGTCTGGTCACCGCGGTAAGTCTGTCGAAATTTGCGCTGCTGGGAGGGATCCCGATTGTCTGACGCGACATGCTTCATAGCTGGGTGGTTTTAATGGTGAAGATGCCGATCGATATATGCTCGGTGATGATGCCCTTGCATGTCTCCGAGATATTAAGAGATGGTTGAAATTGTATGATGAAAAGAACAATCGAATGGATGTGGCACGATGCCTTGGTGAAGCGAACCTGGTGAACGGCGATCTACTTCCCATTCTCTCGGTCTGGTGGACCAATGGGCAGAAAAGCAAGCATATGACGCGAATTGCTTTAACATGTTGTATGTGGCTACCTTGGGAAGCGTCAAACGTGGTAACGACAAAGAGAAGCTAATATGAATAGTGGAACTGCTCGTACCCTTAACTTGGCCAGTTGAATTCCATAGCCAGATGACCGTCAACCACCATCGACACACCCCATACATCCAGCAAGTCCAGGTGCAATATAAACGAAATGTTCTCAAGTATGGCGGTGCTAACCTTCTACGTGCCATTATCCGAATCGCCCTCCCAAGCATGGCCATTTCTCGATCCGAACGCGAGTCTCGAGACGAAGGAATCCTGAAGTTGATGCTCTATTTTCTACGAAACATTGTGATTATCACCACCAATGCAAGACTTGCCGCTGAAGGAGAGGAGGAAGAGACCTCTCGCTCTGCCACTATCAATGCATTCCAAGACCAGGATGCGTTCGCTTTGATCTTGACCATGTGCTCAAATGTTGGTGACGACTTCAATTTGCAAGACGTGGTTCTGCTGGAGATTCTTTTCCATCTGGTGAAAGGTATCAGTGTCGACAAACTATTTATGAATGACACTCAGAAGAAGATCAAGCAGTCCGACGAGCTCGCGGCAATTCTCCGCAAAGAAGAATTGATCAAGAGAGAGTACGCTAAAAATGCACCAACACGACACGGAAGATTTGGTACGATGATTTGGGTTAAGCGTAATGATGGGGCGAAGGTATCTACCGTATCTGGACAAGATGTCTTGCGGGACGATCAAACCACATTCCAGAAGATGGATCAGAGCAAGAAATGGAATAAGCCTCGACCTCGCCGAAGGAAAGACGATGTCCCGCAGAATAACGACTTTAATATGCCAATCCATCTTTCCTCGTCGGCAACCAAGAACTTGAGAACGTTCGTGGAGGAGTTTCTTGATTCCGGATTCAACCCTCTTTTCACCCACGTACGAAAAGCCATTGAACGCGAGGCGGAACGAATCATGGATATCAATGTTCGACAATTTTTCTACACAGTCGGTTGGTTCTTGGAAGCAGAACGTACCCGGCGTGCTCGGAAGATGAGCCAAGATGCCGAGAAAGGAAAGTCTGCCAAAGACGTTGAGCCAGACAGTTATGGTTTGGTCGCCGGTGTTCTCAACCAAGAGACTTTCATTTCCCTGAACAGAGCTATGCAAAGTAGCATGGACAATAAGGAATGGGATGATCTTACTGCCCAGATGCGCTGCTTTACCCAGATCCTGTTGACTGTCCAGGATATGGCCTTGTCGCCAATTGAAGAAGACCAAGAAATTGCCGAAAACATTCAGAACCGAATTTTCTACGAAGAGACGACCCATGACCGAGTTCTCTCCATCATCCGCGGGTACAAGGACCAAGGCTTCGGCTATTTGGACGCAGCGACAGAGCTCGCCCATGTCTTTCTGCGGATGCTCGAGCGATACTCAAAGGAAAATGCCGACCTTCAGATCCGAGCAAAGCGAAAGGCTCGGCGCAAGAAGAAGACCGATCATCCCGAAGCTCAAAATGGAGAGGACAACGACGAGGAGCAGAACTCTGAAGAAGAGGACTTGGTAGATGCTACGCAAGTTACCAAAGAGCGCGCCTTTGATTTCAAGCGGTTCGCCTCAAAGTTTTGCAATCAAAGCTGCGTGGACACCTTCGTAACCTTTACCAGCTACTATAAGGAGCTGAACTCGGAACAGCTGAAGCGAGCCCACCGCTACTTTTACCGCATAGCCTTCAAGCAAGAGATGACTGTCCTACTCTTCCGTTTAGACATCATCAATCTCTTCCATCGAATGGTCAAAGGCCCGGGACCTATCGACAACAGCAAGCCTATCTTTAAAGAATGGGAGGAATTGGTGAGGCAAATCATTCGACGATTGGTGAAGAGGCTGGACCAGCGGCCGGCCTTGATTACGGAATTGCTGTTCAGCAAGATGAACTCGACTGTCTTCTACCTTGAATACGGGCATGAAAGACAAACCATATCTACTAATAAAAAGCGACCAGCTATGGAGCTACAGATTATTTCGAGTCACGCGGATACTCCCGAGACCAAGACAGGCATTGTCGTTGGTGCTCTTGTCCTTGACGGGCAGGCTGATCTTGTCAAGTGGGTTGTTGATGTATTAAACACGGCAGCTTCTGAAAGAGAGGATTGGGAAACTCAAGATGAAGCACGTCGTGCGGAGTCTCCCGAAGCTGCTAGTGTTCCTCACCCCATAATTCGTATGTGAAGGCTACCTTGTACTCCCTAATCATTCACTGACCAACTCGATAGCTGTCAAACCTCGTGACGAGGCTTGCCAGAAGGCGTTGTTCTTAAATGGCAAGCTTCGGCTACTCATGAGCGTAGCTGGATTTGAGCGACTCGGCATGGAGGACGTTGAAGGTGCCTCTTGGATTGTTCCATCAGCCATGTCGTCGACGGAACTGAGAGAGATTGTTTCGAACATTAACAAGGCTATCATGAACCCAATTCCAGAGGGCAGCCATGAAGATCCTCGAGATATGCTGCAACGCAGAGATGCCGGCAGTGCGCGACAGAGTGCAGTAAACGAGATGCTCAATGTGGATTTCGGATCAGACTCCGAAGGCGAAGACCTTCCTGATGGGCCCTTGTTCCCTCCGAATCCCCGGGCGAAATCCAATGCCTTGGATGAGCTGAAGAAGAAGCGCAAGAAGAAGCGTAAGGACGATGATGGCGCTGAGAAGGAGCCATTGGATGATGAAACCTTAGAGGCCCGTCGCCAAGCACGGCTTTCTAATACTCTCGCCCGCCAAGCTAAGATCAAGAGTGATCTTTTTATACATGCCAGCGACGAGGAGACGGACGAGGAAGCTGACCGAGAGTTCTTCCGACTGGAAGAAGAACGGCGAAAAGAACAAGCAGAGAATGTGAAGAAGGCCCTACTCACTGGAAACTTCGAGCAAGCGCTCCCCAAGAGCAAAGGAAAGAAGCCCAGCGTACGAAAACGCAAAAGCGACACGACTGCTAAGGAGCCGAAGCGTCGGCGACGAGGCACTGGGTCTGGCGACAGTGGCGAGGGAAGCGATGATGGTTATGATGACGATGTGCTCATGGCAGATGCAAACGAATTGTCAACTGGCTCTCTGCAAGAAATTTCAACAAGCCACGGTGCTCAAGACGAAGACACGCCCCTCACTTCCGCTGAAGACGAGATGGATTTCGATGACGATATTGTTTTTAGCCGAGATCGACAGTCCAAGGCTGCAGCCCGAGCTCCCGCTGCTGATAGCGATGATGAAGATGCACCTATAGCGCCAACTTCTCGGCGAATGCGGGGAGGGTTCGTGATTGAGAGCGATTCCGAGTGAAGAGACGGGGATGATATGCTTGTGATGACCTGACGAGGCGTTTGACATTTCGGAACAACTGGGACTAACTACTGGATGGATACCTGGGCTAAGAGCCACATTGCATGTCTATGTATTTTATCACGATGTACATTCGTATTCAATTAGTCCCTTCTGGAGCTTGCTAGATATCACACAGGTCACTGTTTCCTGATTTCAACGACTGGATGATATATTTGACTGGCTAAGCGGCCCGAGCGCCCCATCTTTGCACACCGTGAAACACTTCAGATAGCTTTCGCTGATCTCGAATCCAACAGCCGCCTAGAAAAAAAGATCAGATCAGTATCAGTGAAGCCCAAAAAATCGACGGAATAAACCGAAAGTGTCATGATATTGTAGTGCGTCTTGAGGGTCATTTGCTGGTACATATGTGAAACTTTGAGATAAAGAGTCTGGCCGGGGTGTTGTTTCTAAGGACGTTGGGAGTTGAACCATCTTCCTGATGCGGATGAGCGTGTTCTGTAGAGGTATGCTTTGTTTGCGACGGCCAACCGCAAATTCGATTGCCTGCTTGGCAACAAGAACAAGGCCCGGAGGTTGGGGGGGGGGGGGGGGGGGGGGCTATGCCGTCGCTTGTCCAGATCATTCCGTCCTGCCAATCTCTCATTAACCGTAGATTCAGCGACTGACACCTAACGCGTTGTATACGACAAACCTCATTTGAGATTGAATCGGTACTCTATTAGATGGCTACAATTTTGAAGGAATAAACAGCTTTGTTTGATCAAAGTTAGTACATTCCTCGCAGGTGGACGATGAATTGACTAATGGTTCAATAGAAATTGGCGAGGCTTTACTTCTCGACCTCCTTGGGGGCGAGTCATCGAGTAAAAGGCTATCACCCCAAACAGGATGCTCAGAGTTTGAAATATGTAGTTCAAAGTAGTGAAGAATTGTAGTCAGGAAGGAGTTGTTTGTTGCCAGCAATCCTCAGATGATGAGAAGGATGGACGCCGAGGACATGATAAGCAACTGCCGTCTATTGTTGTGCCTTCAACGCCAGCGGCTTCTTGACCAATAAAGACTATGAAACGCATCGCAGCTGACAAAGTACTATGTTTTTCGACTCTAGGAGGCTTGTAATAGCGGGAGAAAACGCGAAAAACGAACTGCAAAATGCGAAATGTGAGATTCACCCCGCATCCCCCCATGTCGATGTGGCGGCCAATCGCCAATGGGAGCAGAAGCATACATTGAGGTTCATTTGCCCCAGTACACCGCTATTTTGGAGAATATACGAACAGCTGATCTGAAAAGACTGTATAATTTTGACTTGTGATGGATGTCTGTCAAATTGTTTTGCACCTATTACCTGTTTTGATGAATTACCATTCCCCACGGCAGATTACGATAAATACAGTGGAGTTGCTGCAACTTTGAGGTTATTCAAAGCCTCAAACGTCCATCGAATGGGAAACTTCTCAATACACCAGAAACCAAGCCTCATCACATCCACTCATCGAGGGTGGTGATCCACAGTTTGCGCTTGGCAGTAGAATGTTTAGCTTGCTATATGAATTCGTTCTGAGATGAGTCTTGATAATGATAAAACCAAGACGTGATCACCAGATAAGGCAGCCCTCAACATGTTTTCTTCGTTTTGAGACTAATTAGGGATTCAAATGATAATGGATCTTGAACTGTATTTCCTGGGCGATAACTCGCCGGTACACGTGCCGTGCCGTATGGCACCAGTAGCGGCACTGATTAAAATTGGTCTGGCTGTAGATGAAGAAGATATCTGAAAGCAGCATGTAGTGGATCAGGTTATGTATATTCAAGGCAGCAGCCAGAGTCCTGGATCCGTCTAGGCGGGGGTGCGTGCTAGCACCAGTATGAATGAGTCAATGCTACTACTACAGTATTCTTCATTGTATGAACGAATGCTGCGTCTTTCGTAGACTTCTAGCTTGATTTTTCTGGTTATTAGGCACACTGAATGACTCCGAATACGAGCTTGACTCCAATTGGGCATAGATTATCTTCAAATACGAGTCCCGTTTTCCCCGCATGCGCTTTATAATCAAGCCAGAGAACTCTCAAGTTAACTAGTTGACTAGTTGACTAGCTAGTTCACTTAAGCGGTTTGACAAAATTCTCTGATCCACTCATCTACTAACCAAATCCCCAGTCGTGGAGATAGTTCAATTGCTTCACCTCAAATTTCAATCACCAGCGCGCTGGGAATCTTTCAAGGCATTATGGCAGCATCGTCCACCAAAATCCTGACGGGATCCTGCCACTGCCGCAAGGTTCAATTTACGCTGAATGTGCCCACCGAAGCCCTCCCATTGAAAATCCATCTCTGCCACTGCACGATCTGTCGTTATAGCTACGGCACACTATGCTGCTTTCACGCGCCATTGCCCGCAGGTGTGCAACCACAATTCATCGCGCCATCCAGCCTGGACCAGATGACTTCGTACACGCATCCAAGCTTCCGGTCGCTCAAGTGGTCCTGCAGCCATTGCGGCTGTCATATCGGAGACCAGGGGATCGAGGACGGCGGGTGGACGATTTCGAGTGCGATCTTCGACGTCAACAGAGACGACCCAGAAATCTGGAAATTCAACAGCCATATGTGCCCGAGCTCGACGCCGGACGGAGGACTCAGTGCTGTGTTTTCTACAGTGGATGGGCATCGCCTGGAAATGAACGATCTAGGCGAGCCGGCGCCGTCGACCACGGCGCCTGCAGTTAGTTCATTGCCTCGACGCGATGAGAACGACAAGCTACTGGCGCAGTGCCATTGCGGCGGCGTATCGTTCACAATCTCCCGGCCGCGAGATGACTTCCTCGCCAGTCCGCACAGCAAAGGATGGGTTTCCTCGATTGACCCGAAACGATGGCTCGCCTGTCTGGATCTCTGCGACGACTGCCGGCTGGTCAGCGGCGGGAATGTTCTGGCGTGGATGTTCGTCCCCAAGGATCATATTTCGCCGCCAATGCCGCCGGACCTGATGATCGGGTCATCCAAGGGCTACCAGTCAACCGACGACGTGCTGCGAACCTTCTGCGGGACCTGCGGTGCGACAGTGTTCTACTACTGCGAGGCGCGACCGGGGATCGTCGATGTGGCAGTTGGTCTGCTGCGAGCGCCGGAGGGTGCCATGGCCGAGCAGTGGGCCGTGTGGAGAGCGGGCAGGCCGTCCTGGCCAGAGAATGGGCTGCGCTACCACGCAGGGTTTAGCCGAGCTCTGATCGAAGGCATGAAGAAATGGGGGGCAGAGCGAGGCCACGCGCAGGACTTCGTGATCCCGTAGAGGAAGAGTTTCGATGGCTGAAGTAGTCAGCTGGAGACTCGAGAAATAGCAACATCCACAAGAACTTTAAATACACACAGGTAAATAAATACACACAGGATCATTCTTGCATGTAGAAAATGACGTTCGAGGGTCCTGCAGACCAAGTACCGGCTGTAAGCGGGAGCTGCAGAAGACCCGCTTTTTGGGTGAGTCAAAACTGTCACAGAGTGGAGAGAGTATATCATGATCATAATCTGCCGTTTCACTCTGTTCACCTCTTGTAATTCAGAAACCAAACTCCCCAGTTCGAGATAGAGAGACTATGACTCAACTCAAATTCGTCACCCTCGACGTCTTCACGACGAAGACGTTCTCCGGCAATCAATTGGCCGTCGTCTTTCTCCCAGAAGATGAATCCGTCACCTTGACGCAGCGCCAGAAGCACACCATCACACTGGAATACAATCTGTCCGAGACGATCTTCGTGCACCCCGTACGCCAGCAAGACAAGCGTACCATCGACATCTTCACCATTGAGGGCGAGATCCCATTCGCCGGCCACCCCACCATCGGCGCCGCGTCATGGTTCCTGTGCCATGCAGCCGACTCAGCCAAGGGCAGCGGCGTCACGACGCTGGTGACCAAATCCGGCGAGATCCCAATCTCCATCATCAACCCAGCGAGCCAGGCTGTGCAGGCGCAAATAGCGCATAACACGCGCATTCATGCGTCCCGGTACGCGCTGCAAGACCTGCTGTACCTGCACCCGACGCTGGCGCCGTACTTCCCGGACCCGGCGACAACGTTCCCGCTGTTCTCGATCGTCAATGGCATGAGCCAGACGTTCATCGAACTGCCGTCGCTGGAGGCGCTGGCGGCCGTCCCGCGCGCCACGGGCGGCGAGCTGGTCCCCGTCGAGCGGCATCTCGACGAGGGCTGGCAGTCAGGACTGATTTGCGTGTACTTCTTCGTTCGGGATGTGGAAGACAGCGTGATGCAGCAGAAGGTGATCCGCACGCGCATGATGCTAGGCGGGCTGGAGGATCCGGCGACAGGCAGCTCGGCCAGCGGGCTGGCGTCTTATCTGGCACTGACGGAGGGTCAGGCGGGCCAGGAGTACCGGTATCATTTTGTGCAGGGCGTTGAGATGGGACGGCGCAGTGATATTGGCGTTGGCGTGACCTTGAATGCCAACCGGAAGATCGAACAGGTACTGCTGACGGGCACGGCGGTGCGGGTCTCGGAGGGCCTCATCTCGGTGCCGGAAGTGTAGAATATCCAAAAAAGACCTTTTCTAGTTTCTATCCAGGAAATATGCATAATGGATATGAGTCAACGATCCTCCCGACTGCTCCCATTTATGGCCAAGCCGTTGGGAAGATGCGAAGCCTGGAAAGTCTGGAAGAGATAGGAGGAGTAGCAGTAGGAGTAGTAGGAGGACAGAAGTAGTAGCTGGTATTCAAGCAATTGCAATTGCGATGTTTCGTTGTGTGTCGATCTTACAACTTCCTTTTCGCAAATCGGTACACACGCCATTTCAAAATTTCAAAACCGAGCACTTCCCATCAGATCATGCTTCCGTAGATATTCGAATCCGATACATGGAGAATTGACAATTCACAGCAGGCTCGAATAGAGACACCCGCATATCGCGAAAGTTGTACTCACGGGGTTACAAGGAGACAGAGCCGACTCATAGGTCAAATGGTCGTAGGTTGGGGTGGTGTGTCAAAAGCGAGAGGAAGAGTTAGGAAGCGGATGGTCTAGGAATGATACGGAGGGGATATTGTATTGTGATATGGAGGATCAGTGACTATAATCTTTTTTTATTTTTTCGGTCTCGCCTTCTAAATGATAGAGGCTCTTCCTGTCCCTCGTTGCGTTTGATCAAACTTTTAATATTTAAATTGCCATGCCGAATGAAGTATGAAGTGCAAAAGAGACAAAACCGATGTATCGGGAGCCAGTGGCTATCAAATCTTCCCGTCCGCAACAAGCTGTCTCAACGCGCTCAGCGTGCCTTCCACGGCGCCCTGGCTCATGCGCTTCTGCTTCTCTAGCAAGGCCGCCAGCTCCTCCTGCGAAACTCCGGGATGTCTCCACTCAAAGATATATGTCATATACAGGTCGCCGCCCGCGCCCTCGCTCACCACGTTGCTCACGCGGCTCCCGTCCGGCTGGTCAAATTCCACACGACAGGGTTCGAAGGAGGTGACCACTTCTTTGACTCTCTTCTGGGATTCGCGGAAGACGACTTCGCGAACGACGACGGAGTTGCCGGTCGCGGGATCGACGGATTCGCTCAGAACGTCTGTGGATTGGATTGCGCCCGGGACGAAGGTTTCGGCAGAGCGGACCTTCAACTGCAGACCTGCCCAGATTTGTTGCCGCGTGAGTGGGGTTACCCCGGAAGGATTGATGGGGGCCGTGAAGGCCAGATTGTTGGTGGACGACATGATGGTGAAAGGAGGGTGGAGATGGGAAGTTTGAGGTGGAATGTTGGAGGAGGGGAAGGTGCGGGGAGCAGATTGGCAGCGCTAATGGAGGTTGATTGGCCAAGTTTCGATGTGCATGTGTGGGCGTGTGGGCGTGTGGGTGTGTGGGTGTGTGCTCTGGAGAAGAAGCGCAGACTCAATTTATATGATATGGGGGCATTCGAAGGCTGGGACTGTGTTGCGCTGCAGCTCCGTGGTTCTGTCGTGCTGTTGCTCTGCGATACCCCGGAGTTGCTGACGGAGCCTCCATGACGTAAGCCCGAGGAGCTGCCTAAGCTCGGGGTTTGCGCGCCCCGAATCCCCACGTGACTGGGACTTGAAGACCCTAGAAAGACCCTGAGGTAAGCCGGCGCTGACTAAGCGTGGCACGCCCCCTGTCGCACCGAATATACGTATTAGTGCCTTACACCGCCCCCCAATGCGTGCCGGAAGCGTTTAGCTGTGACAGGAACTGTGGTAACAGTAAATTATTGACAACTTTCAAAGGGCTCACCCCCCAACAGGCCGACATAAAATAGGGAGATAGATCGTAACAACTAGACCTTACTCCTAATACTTACTAGGATTACTAACAAAAAAAAGTCTCCCGAAGGTCGATGTCCCCTCTGATCCTCCGTTCCTGTAATCGTAATCCTTTTCTCCTTTAATTCCTTGATCCTTCGACCCTCTAGAGATTCCTTTGAACCCTGTGCCCCCCCCCCCCCCCCCCCAAAAGTGCCCAAGGCAGCTTCACAAAGTCCCAACACGCCAGACCTCCGCTAGGAAACCCTCCACGATGCCGCGAACCCCATGAGATATCTTTTGTCATTGCTCATTGCCCGGTGCTTGGAGCAGTTCCCCAGATCGAAGAAAGCTAAGAGCCGCATGGCCTCCCAAGCAAGACGCTCACTGTATTGCCCCTGAGGTTCGTAGTGACGATATCCAGGTTGCCATCTCCGTTGAAATCGCCCACTGCAACGTCCACCGGCGTGGATCCCACCAAATACGGAATTGGCGCCTCGAAGCTACCCGCTCCATCCCCGAGCAATATACTCACGGAACTGCCCTGATAATTCGTGACCACGATGTCGAGATGGCCATCTCCATCGAAATCGGCCACTGAAACAGCATATGGATTGGCTCCTGCCGGGAATTGGGTTGGCGCCTGGAAGCTTCCCGATCCATCACCCAGCAAAACGCCCACTTGGTTATCGGGATAATTTGTGACGATGAGATCGAGATGGCCATCTTCGTTCACGTCGCCCACAGTGACTCTCTGGGGGTTGGTTTCTGCCGGAAATGCAGTTTGTGCCTGGAAACTCCCCGACGCAGTACCCAGCAAGACGCTCACCGTACTATCCGAGGCACTTGCAGTCACAATATCCAGGTACCCATCGTTGTTCAAGTCCGCCGTCAGAAGACTGGCTGGTCCCAAACCCACGAGATATGGGACCGGCGGCTGGTAGCTTCCTGGTCCACTACTGAGGAGGACGTTGGCTGTATTGTAACCATCGATCGTCACGATATCAAGATAACCGTCTCGGTTGAAGTCGCCCAGAGCAAGTTGAGTTGGAGTAAATCCTGCAGGAAATGTGCTTTCTGCCTGGAAGCTTCCTGATCCAGTGCCCAGCAAGACGCTCACTTCAAAAGTGCCATAAAGTGCAGTTACAACATCGAGATGGCCATCGTTGTAGAGGTCGCCCACAGCAATATCGAATGGATTAACCGACACGGGAAATGTGGACTGTGGCTGGAAGGTTCCTGATCCAGTACCGAGAAAGAGACCGACTGTACCTGCTCCATTTGATGTCACGATATCGAGATTGCCATCTTCATTGAAGTCACCCACAGCAACACCGTTCGGATTACCGTCCGTGGCGTATGTGGTATGCGGTTGAAATCCCGGGAAAGTTGGGCACACACAGGCGCCTGATGAGCAAGTCGCTCCAGTAAGGCACTATCGATGCGCAAGGATTTATCATATTAGTAATCATATGAGAGAGAGAGAGAGAGAGAGAGAGAGAGAGAGAAACATATATATATATATATATATATATCAACATGACAGGAGCCCTCCGAGGAATCATGTTAGATGCAACTCACAGTGTTCCCACAAGAGCCGCAGTTACTAGCAGAGGTCTGGAGGTCGGTACAGACTCCATTACAACAAGTCAGTCCGGACGCGCACTATCGAAGATCAGTTATTGATCGTCACAATGTATGCAGTCTGCAGCCATCTCACACATTGTCCGTTACATGACGACGAAGCAGGGTCACAGCCTGTCTTTGGGACGCAAACACAGCTTCTGCTTTTGAATAAGCTTCTTGATTGGTTATCCCAAGACAATTGCGAAACCGACTCACGACATAGCTTGTCCAAATATAAGTCCAAAGAGACTGGGGGTATCACCACCGCTATCGCAGTAACCCGACTGGGCCCCTGATGCAATACACTAATGAATCAGAGTGTCAATATATTGACTCAATAACCCCCAAGAGATCCACAGAACGATATTTTACCTTGGTGTTACAAGCGGCGGCGTCACAACTGCCACCGCCGCCTCCAGACCCAACTCCGACCCCAACGCTGCCCATCCCACTACTATCTCCACTGTTAATATACTTATCCCCGCCTTTGATGGAGGTATCCCCAGTCCCAAAGGGACCATTCCCTTTAGCCCCGCCCCATCTTTCGAGAGGATCATCTCCAGGGAGCGCGGTAACGAAAGCGCAACCAAAAATGGTAAGAAGAAAACGCATTTTGGTGACTTTTGCTTCAAAAGACCGGGAATTTAGAAGGGAAAAAAACGTTGTCCTCTTGGACTTGTCGTACCACTTGTCGTATTGAATCCGGCTATCTTTTCCTGCGCCCTTGGGAAGGAGTTCTAATATAGTGTCATTAACAGTCATCTTTACGCCCCTCGCAACTATTTGCGATCATACATAGAATTCTTGGATCTGTCTCCTACATTTTCGCATAGCCTCAGTTTACTGCACATCCAGGAGTCAATTATATGCCCTTGAATTCCGGCTGAGAATTCCGGCCATCAGAGCAGTGTTCATTGGTATTTGAATGCGCCTCTACATGCCCCTGGCATAGGGAGGGGAAAAACTGTAATAGGGAACGCCCCGTCAAGTCTGACACTTTGGGGGTTTGAACCCACATTCCTAGCCTTTGCTTAAGGTGCTACCATTCTTTACTTTAATGAATATTCTTATTAGGCTTGAGAGAGGGGGTGCGAATTAGGAGGTAAGAAGTTACTTTTAATTGAGAACTTAATAATACATTTTGAAAAATAATCACCAGACAAGCATATACCGTAGAAGAAGAGATATCTTAACCTAGAAACAGAAGGGTGTTTTTGCAAAAGAGGGGTTGAGAATGTGTTATGGAGTCTATCTAGTAGAACAAATGGGCACTACTTGCAGGTCAGTGGCCCTGATTATAGGGCAAAGAGAAGAATAAGCCACAAACTAGAATCGTGACTAAATCGGGAGGGATAAAATTTAGTGCGGGAAAACAGATGACTGAATCTCTTGAAGATTCAAGTCAAAGTAAGAGTGCTCCTCTCTTTTATTATAGATAATAAGATCGATGATAAATATACGTTTGCTTTGATTTCTATTTGTCACATTATAGGTACGTTTCAGAGCCGAGCTAATTACGAAAATCCTTATGTAACAAGTAAATTATGTTAACTAGTTAGCTCATGACATATTAGCTATGTTGGTGCTTTCTCTAGCGAAAGCAAGAGCTTTCTAAATACCAGCGGAAGCGAAACCAACGTCAAATATAGAAAAATAGTGTTCTCAATATATTATATAAGTCTATGGTAGTCCTAATACTGCTAGAAAGTTCCAAGATATAACTCCCGCAAGTAGTCAACAGACTCGTTCTCTCCCAAATCAACTAGACCTCAGTAACATACAGAATGCGGTACTATATCACCATACTATTGGCTCGCAACACCACTTTCGTAGTATTGCCACTTCTCCATAACAGCAGGGTGTTAGATTCCTTTTATTGGTCAATTATGTGTTTCGATTCTTCCTCCGCGCCTTCCCGCTCAACGTTGGAGATATAATTAACAAGGTCTAAAGTCCTCACTGAGCTATTTTGTTGGTTGATATTACTTGCAGCATTGGTCAGCTCGCTGGCCGATCATTTGACTGGCTGAACACTTGGTTGGACATTGTTACTGGTAGAATGCTTTGCACCTATATATCGAAGTACTCTCTTAGTACCCCAAGAATAAGTATATATCTAAAAATTTATCCTGGCAGATCGAAATTCGTGGGTTGATCTCTTTATGTTTATTTTTAGACTCTGTGCTATAAAGAGAGAGATATTACCCGAGTAGACTTTTCATCTCAAATTCTCTAGGATCACAAAGGCCACTTCACTACCTATATCGAAAAAGGCTTGCGAAATCATGTCTGCATCAAGCTCTGCCAACAAACCCAAGCCCCAGTGGAGAAAGGCATACCCGCCACCCCCTCCACCACCTTCAGATAAAGACAAGATGCCACCACCTGTAGCATCGTGATACACCTGCAGAGTCATAATAGATTCATTCACACAGCAGCATTGCAACACCCGGTACAATACGATGCCTGACTTGATGAAACATCATCAAAGAACAATGTCCCGGTATCCTACCTCGCTGATTACACTCCCTAAGCTTCAAGGAGGTTTATCAGCACTCGAAAGCTCTACGAATATTGTCGGAAAGGCACCTCTTAAGGTATAGAGGATTCGATAGATTTTCTGGCCTATCAGACAACCACTACGTATTGTAAAGTGGAAATGGTAGACGAGGGGTGATCCCTGATTGGAGTATATCTTTCCTAGTACACAGTCTTTACAGGATATAGCTTCGCATCTCCGATAGGGAGAGAATCAACTTTTACACTCTCTTCGCTTCATCTGCTTCTGCTATCCCCTTTGAGAGGCTTTCTCCCATCGTGGTGTGGTGTGGTTTGTTGGCTGGTTCGCTGATCCATCTCATCCTGCCTGCATTCGTAGGCTTGCCGTAGAGCGCCCTGGTTCAATATATAGCCTCTTACCCATATAGTCTAAATATCAGACTTTCCACTCTATCCAAGGCAAAAACTCTTCTCTATTATCGATCTGCATCTAACATCGATCACAATTTTTGGGCATCTGATTAGCCTGACGGTCCGTGCTTCCACGGTGTCTGGCCCGTCATCGTCGTGCAGTAGTAAACCTTTTGATATGTACTTATCTAAAATTCCACCTCATTAAAGCCTCTCTTGACTCATATGTCAGTCTCCAGCGTCGATTGTTGTATCGAGGATCTATAATGTATCTGGACCCGTAAATTGTTTTAATCGCTATTTTTGAAGAAATGTAAAAATATCACCTCTGACACTATTATCAGATTCTTTCAGGGCTTTAGAGGTCAGAGCTTTAGAGGTCATTCGGGATTATTGAAATGGCCAAGGAAAGTAAGATGGACGCAGGAATGGGGAAGTGAAAAGTGGAAAAGTGTTATAGGGAAATGGCCAGATTTGGAGTCTTGAACAAGGCAGGAGAGAGTGTGTGGAAGCTAATAATGTAGGCGTTGGAGATTTGTGCACGTCAGGAGTAAGTTAGGAACCTCCTTGATCCCTCATCAGTGATCCATTAGTGATATAAAAACGGTAGACCTGAACATATCCATTTGAATGTGGCATTGACGAGGATTACCCAATTGGGTTGGTGGGGCCGGGGAATTGATTGATGACGCCGTTCAATCATAGGGGGTCATGACTACGATATACATGGGTGCCAGCTATTACAGTGGGAGTAAAATAGGGAAGGCCAAATAGGATCCCAAGACCCCTACCGCTCTTTGCTCCACTATTTCTAAAGAAAGGTAAATTTAGGATTGAAAGGCTAGAAACACATCCATCTAAAAGGCATAGAGAAATCACAGACTAGCGTGCACAACATTTATCCTTTCCTGAATTAGGTAGCAGCTATAGCGATAACTCGGAGTCGCTTGGGTATAAGACAGCGGGATCAATTAGTGTCTCAACTAGAGCAATGCCATAACATGGCGAACCAAAGAAGTGTAATTAAATACACTCTTATCATGAAATAGCAAGGGTACAAGCCAGGAGGTCCAAAATAGCGTTGCAAGCTTAGTAGACCCATCTAGCCTAAGTATATAAAAGGCCACGTAACTCTATTCAATATCTACTATAGCTTAGCATCATCTACATCAAACCAATTTAGATACACCGTTTGTTTCAAGCAGTTCTCATTAATGACTTCATTCGCACCTTCTTTGAGGGTCTCCTGAGACTATCGACCAGGCCCACTATAATACCATATCGTCAAAACGAGAATGATAGATACATAGATTAATCTACATGCTTATAGAACTCAATAGCGACGGGTTTTCAAGTATAGTTGATAGAACAGCTTGAAAATCTACACCGATATATCAATGAATTCTTGTAGCTGAATGCTTCGGATTGGAGCATCAGCAAGGAATTGTACGCCAAACCTTGAAATGTAATAAATGCACTACTTAAATTGGCGCCAAGGATCGCTTTTCATGCTGGTCACATGGGGAATTAAGATGCTCTTTCAAAGTTTTCTTCTTGCCTGAGCTTTGATCGCTCCTTTATTTTTTGTTACGTTTCCAAGTTGGACGGTGAGAATTTGAACGCATGAAAGCCGTGATCATATTGATGAAAAGTGTCAGTACCTCCTCAACTAACAATCTGTTCCCTAAATGGTTACAAAATAGCGTCAAACCTGGACCTCAGCAGCCCGAGATGATTTTTACACATAGCAAGTAGCAACGGAAGACTATAAAAGTCAAACCAAAACATTGACGTAATCACTGAACAGTATTTAATAACCAGCACGCTGCTGGCCAGCAGTCATATCTTGCTGCTCGGGCGGGCGGTTCAAACCGGCGCCGGTGCCAGTGCCAAGTTTCTGGGAAGGGGCAGCGCTCTGCATATTGTCTGGTCCTCTCGCGCCCATGTTCTCATTATAGCTGCTACCGCCCGCTGCATTGCCACCAAAACTGGGCGGGGCAGTATTATTACCAGAGTTTTGACCAACATTGTTCTCCGGCATCCGCTCACTCCCCATGGTCCTGGGTGGACAGGGAGTGACATGGCTGGTGGTTTTGTGGTCCCTGTGTTCCTGTGTGGAGCTGCTGTAATTTTCCTCACCCATCTCACCGGGCGCCTGATTAGCATCAAAACCGTACTGGCCTGGCTCGTGATGGGACCGGTGTTCCTGAGTAGATTTGTCGAAATTTTCCTCACTAGAGGTATGATTGTCGACCCCTTTGTTAAAAGGTTGTTGCTGAATTGGCATGTTGCTCTTCGAGTCAATACCCTGGGCGCCGGCAGTGCTTGTCTGGGGGGCGACGGTGTCTTGTTTGGCTGAGCTATCTATATATTTATTTTCTTAGTCCATGTAAACCAAGAAGCTGGTTCATGGCGAAGGTGGAGGTGCTTATCTGGATTTGAAGGGCAGGCAGAGGATGTGAGAAGGTATGAGATGATAGTATAATCTTTTGATTATACCATTTGGACATGAATCATGTGTATTGACAGAGCTTCGACATACCTAAATCACTGTCAATGCGAGGATCCAATTTATTTGCCATTTTTGTTCTATGAGGGCCAGCATTGATGGAGCTGGAGCTGGAGCTTGAAGTATTCCCAGGCATTGCGTTTGCGTTGTTTGCGTTTTGCGCGTCGACATTGGGCCTGCTGGCCCCGCTAGCATTTTTTTCATTTGTATTATTGGTCAGATAACCCTCATACTGGCCCTCTATATTTTTCTTGAGCATACGTAATACATGAATAATGTGACTTAGAAGCTTACGTTTATTCATAGCTCTCGGAGCAGCATCAGCACTGGCACCATATGAAAAGGAATCAGGGCGGTTGACATTGGAGCCCATATTAGCAGAGTTATTCATAGGAGGGGCGTTCTGACTCCGATTATAGTCCGATGTGAAGGGATTGGATGTCCCGTGATTGCGATCATCCGAAGCACGGCTGCGCGTCATAGGCCCATCACGATCAGTCACGGCATCTTTGATTTTGTGCACGATATTCGACATCGTGGATATCAATGATTATTATGAATTTATAGATGGTTTCGGATAGAAGAGATGTGTGTTTGTTGTATTAAATTTGAATCTGAAGAGCCGTCTTATATGCGTAAGGTCTCTGATTGCTTACTGCAGAATGCATCTGATCTCTTCTATGTGAAAATCATGACGACATCAAGGTACTGTTTGAAAACGAAAACCAGGAAATAATGATAATTACCTGCCATATCATTCCTCTTCATCTAACATGACGTTGTCAAACAGGTTCGAGGATGGAAGAATGAGTGTATGGCTGAAATGAAACCCCGAATCTAAAGCTCAAACTCACCCACGGTAATTAAATTCCTATTAGATACCAGCAACATGAGGGCAGAAATGTGGATAATCTGGGGATGTAGCCTACGACTATATTTCTCCAACTTGGATTTCCATGGTTCACGGCGACCCGTGGTTTGATATTCAGGTTTTAGATGAACACTATCTAGCGACCAGTGGCAATGGACATTGTCATATTTGCCACCTTTTTATTCGCGCAAAGGGAGAAAGTTGAATTTATCAGACTGCAACTGGTCTGTGGCATAATCCAGATGAAGAAGGTGGTGGGCATGCGACCGAAGTCATTAAGAGTGGACGGATAATCTGAATATCCGTCCCAGAATTAGGTCGATTATCGGGGTTATATATAGACATCGTCACCAAACCGGCTCTGAGGATTCATGAATATCTTTCGGATAGGTGCGAAAATGTACTAAAATAAAAATTTTGAGATAATAGGAGCCAATGCTAAATTGGTTCAACAAAAATGAATAAGGTTTTATTTGATTCGGCGAGCTTTTCGGAGCAAAAAATAGGCTTCGATAGGATGTCGCCCAAACTAGCACGTTCAGGTCAAAAAAGAACATTTCAGGATAATCACCTAGAAATATAGTAGCGAAGACATAAAATCTGAAGAAAGGGAAGAATGGATTTTTTTAAAAGTTAAAGACAATCAAAATACATAACTAGTCTATTTTACCACTTGTCAGAAGCCTATTGAGCTAATAAACAAATTCTCATTCATAAAATTCCTACAGCTTAGACATCACCCATCCCTAGATTCAAGTGCCATATTAACGAATCAAAGCACCTTTAGCAACAGATCCATCCGAGGCTTACACAGAGTAGACTCAGAATGGTTGAATACAAATTTGGTATATAATCTAGATCACCTCCACTTTCAGTACATACGACCACAGGGTGTGGAGAACAGGGCTTCCCGTCCGCTCAGTCATACTTGAGCCACGCACCATTTGCCAATCCTAGTAAGTCAGGTAGTTTAGGTTGGTAGCGAAATGGGTGATCACCGCTTTCTGGTCGCGAGACCGGGGTGAGATGGAGGTGAGAGCAGGTGAGACTCACCCTCTGTCGCGCGAGCACTGTTTAATTTTGCTGTCAGATCTTGAACTCCAGAGAAATTGTCCACTTAATGCTGAAGCACAGTCCAGCCGTTGGTTGCTTGATATCATTCATATCATTAACCCTGACCCCTTGTTCGAAAGTTGGTTCACCCAGCTAGGCCTAAATACGAATCCGTACCTAGCCTAGTGGGCTGTGGGACATAATCCAACTTCGAAAGCGATATGCAGGCTGCTTCAACTATATACTATATGCGCGCGTACGTACATGTAGCGCGTTCATCCCGCCCTGAGTCTGATCCACCACGAGCTCCAGGCTCAAGGTCTGGCTGTCTCCACCATCATGGTGGCAATTCATTCTAGCGTGACGCTACTGCAGTACTATCTCCACTCCGACAAATCAACGAATCAACGCCAGAGAATGCGTCGGCCATTGCTTCTGCCTCCATACGACCTTCGCGCTCTCCCCGGAGCTCATAATTTGGGGGGTGCATAGCCGACGAAGGAGGAAATCATGGCGCAGGGGTGGAGCTGGAGCCTCGCATGGCCTTTGCGGGAGGGACGATAAGAAGAACCCATCGACCTGAGACCCTTTGAGGCAATAAGAAACCATTCACACATCCTAAGTCGATATGATGATATCGGGAGAGACACCAGTCTGAATGAGTGTTGTCTATCACCCTTGTCGGAAAAGATGTGGAAACTTCCAGGAGCTCCACAGCCGGGCCAATCCCCGGAAGCACCTCAAGAATCATCAGGAACAGTTGCATCTGTAAATGGAGGCGTGGGAGGAAATCGAGAACAAGGATCGACTACCGCGCAAGAGGCGCCGACAGCCGCATCGGGCGGAGGAGGACATCGCTCAATTGGCTCAGAATTCAATATCAACCCAGTGACGGGGACGATGAGTCTCAGTCTCCCGCTTCACACGTCTCCGGGGCGTTCAAGTTCCGGGCCCAAATTGGCTTTGAGTTACGACTCGGGGAGTGGAAATGGCGTGTTTGGGATTGGGTGGCAGTTGTCGACCCTGAGCATCTCGAGAAAGACATCCAAGGGGATTCCCCGATATGATGATGCCGATGTCTTTGTTTTATCCTCGTTTGACGATCTTGTTCCCGTACAAGCACGGGCAGAGGTCAAGCCAATAAAGGAGAACGTCGTGATCGATGGAGTGGCCTATCGCGTGCAGCAGTACAAGCCTCGCCTGGAGACGGAGGTCAATCGAATTGAATGCTGGACGCGAGAGGACAATCCGGATGATGTGCACTGGCGGACTGTCAGCCCCGACAACCACACGACCTTGTTTGGAGAAGAGGAGGAATCTAGAGTGTTCGACCATGCAGAAGGCAAGACACAGATCTTTTCGTGGTTGGCAAGTCGCACCGTCGACGCTGCTGGCAACGCAATTCATTTCACATACAAACGGGAAGACTTCCGCGGAAGCGACTCGCTGGATCCGGAGGATTCCATGTGCGAAATTGATCGCACCGACAGCTCTCGGAGCCGGATGAGGTATCTCAAACGCGTGCGGTATGGCAATCTTTCTCCGAGCCGTGACCTGGAGACCTGGAGGATTATCAAGTACACCGGTGACTGGATGTTTGAGGTCGTTTTCGATTACGGTGACCACGAATCTATCAACCCGAGTCCTGAAGAGCAGCGAACATGGGAAATTCGGAAGCATCCCTTCTCAGTGCGATCTGCTGGCTTCGAGCTCCGGACGTATCGATTGTGTCGGAGGATTATGATGTTTCATCGATTCCCAGACCAGATGAAAGGCAGGGCATATGCCCTGGTGTCATCCACGGAGCTGAACTATACAAATCATAATGGAGTCACGCTCCTCAAATCATTCCAAGCCACAGGATACCTGCCCCAGGGTATGAGCATAGAGGACTGGCCTTACCAAGAAAGTCTCCCTGCTATTGAGTTTGAATACACTCAGATGACAGATGCACTGAGCATGAAGGTGAAGGAGGTCCCTCGCGACACACTCCACCATATCTCGAGTCCGACCGGATGGAGGACAGAGTGGATCGATCTTGATGGTGAAGGAGCGCCAGGGTCCCTACTCGAAGTCCCAGGCGGCTCGTGGTGGTATCAGCGCAACGAGATGCTGAAATCATCCAGCTCAGAGACCTTTGGTCCCGTGAGAGAGCTCCCGCTGCGTCCAAACACGACCTCCCAGGGCCATCATTACTTTGAAGATCTCAACCGCAATGGCCGCATGAATGTGGTCTGCTTGGATTCAATCGGAGCAGTGGAAGGATTCTACGAGCGAGCAGAGGCGCATCAGTGGGAGTCCTTTCAGCCGTTTCCCGCGAGTCCTTCTGTTCCTATTCAAGACTCGGCAACCAAGAGGATCGATCTGACCGGAGATGGATTGGCAGATCTACTGCGGGAGGAACCAAATGGGGAGATGCTCTGGTATCCATGCCTGGGCAAGCGAGGATTCGCGGCCGCACAAAAGGTGCTTGTCGCCGAGGATGGGCCGCGACTGGTCTCCCATGATCCTACAACCCAGATATACGTGGCTGATATGACTGGCGACGGTCTAGCGGATATCGTCGAAGTGCAACCAGGAAGAACATCGTACTGGCCAAACATGGGGCATGGAAGGTTCGGAAGCAGGATTCACATGGGACACAGTCCCTTCTTTGACAGCCAGGATCAATTCAATCATAGCAGGCTGCACCTTACCGATGTGTGTGGCTCTGGCACAACGGATATCGTCTATCTGCCCCCTGAGGGAGGCATTCACGTCTACTTCAATCTGGCCGGGAATCGGTGGAGTGACCTCCTGGTCATCCAGAATTTCCCCACGTTGGACACAATGTCGTCAGTGTTCACCCTCGATCTTCTGGGAAAAGGAACCAGCTGTCTGTGCTGGAGTGGTCCAGTTGCCACTGGGACGACGCCTTCAACCTTGCGATATATTGAGTTGACTGGCGGCATCAAACCCTACCTGCTACATCGATACACGAATGGAATTGGCAAAACTACAACAGTCTCATACCAACCCTCGACTAAATACTACTTAGATGATGAGCAGAGCGGCAACCCATGGACCACCAGGTTACCGTTTCCCGTGCACTGCGTCTCACAGGTCACGATGGAAGACTGCGTGGCTCAGACGTCCAAGAGAAGCCGCTATGCCTATCACGATGGCCACTTTGATGGAATAGAGCGAGAATTCCGCGGATTTGGAATCGTCGAGCACTGGGATGAGGAGGAATTTGGGGGCGGCGACGCATATCTTCAGCGTCCGCCCATACAAACCAAGGAGTGGTATCATTTAGGGGCAGGATCAAGCTCGATTGAAGGACCATGGAAGGAGTTTGCTTTAACATCATCAGTCCATAAATTTCCCACGGATCTAACACCCGAGGAAGAATATGAGGCTCATCGAGCATTGAAGGGCCAAAAATTGAGAGAGGAGTTATATAGTGCCGATGCGTCAAACCTGGCCCATCTCCCATACTCTATTGGGGAGTTCTCATATCAAGTACATCGTGTGCAGGCGGCTTCTAGCGAGAGAGCCGGTGTCTATCGAGTGTCACCCCGCGAGTCTATTCAGACGGTGTCTGAGCGAAAGGAGGCAGATTCTCGAATCGAACGAGTTCTCACTCTAGAGGTAAATGACTATGGCGACATCATCAAGTCCCTGACGCTGCATCATGGCAGGCAGAAGAGCGACCTGCCGGATATAAAGGATCGACGTCGACAGGAGGCGACTTGGGCCACGTACACTGAGAATATCTTTACGGACTCCGTCATTGAACTGGACTGCTTCCAGAAGCCACAGCTGGCTTTGACCAGGCAATTCGCTATCACTGGTTTGAATGATCCAACCTCCATTGATACTGAAAGACTCACCGCAAATGGATTCGCCTACTTGAACGATATGGAAGCGATCTCTTACACGACCATGGATTTGTATGATGGGACTATGCCGCGAAAGAGTTTGGTCCAGGAACAGCGACTATACTACCTGAATCGAACCCTGGCAGCACCACTCGGATGGAGGCAAATTGAGGCTTATTCTGTTCTGGATCGGTCGTATTCACTGGTTTTTGGGGACGATATTCTCCAGAAGCATTTTATATCGACAATCTTCCTTGATGAGAACAGTTTAAGTCAGGCTCTTGAGCAAGGTGGATATGTGCGACTGGACGATGACACTCGTATCTGGACTCCGTCAGCACGGCAGCTATTCTCCAAGAATGCAGACCAGAATCTACAGATGGCGCGTTATTCCTTTTACCAACCTTCCATCACAATCGACCCGTTTGGAGCGGTGACAGTCCTGGAGTTGGATAAGTACCAGTATCTTACCCAGAGCACCATTGACGCGGTGGGGAACATCATTCGCTTCGATAATGACTACTGGCATCTTCAGCCGTCGCAAACCACGGATATCAATGGAAATCGTCTGCAGGTGGCCTTCGATGCATTCAGCTGCGTCATCGCTACAGCTCGAATGGGCAAGAAATCTGAAGAGCTGGGTGATTCGTTGCACGATTTTGCAACTATTGTCAGCAGTGACACAATGGAGGCATTCCTGCAGGACCCCTGTGGTGCAAATACACGAAAGCTTCTTGGAAACGCGAGCAACCGGACTTTGTTATATCGCGGCCGGTTTGAGATGGCAGAAGGCGTGCTTAAGCCTGTCGTGCCGGCACTGCAAGCGACAATCACCTGTGATGCACACTCCAGAGATCGGAAGGAAGACTCTGCGGTGAGCGTTTCTATCGTCTACCTAGATGGTAACGGTGCACCGTTGCAGGCGACTACCCTGTGTCACCAGGCCAAGGGAAAGTCCCCGACTCAATGGCGGATCAGTGAATGGATGATCAAAGACAGCAAGGGGAACCCAGTCCGCGTCTGCCAGCCGAGCTATGCATCCGATCACCAGTTCCGCTTCGAGGCCAACATTGATTCTCCGAAGACAACAAATCTGCTTGACCCTCTGGACCGCATACGGGGAGTCCTATACGCTGATCATACATGGAGCAAGCAAAATGTAACCCCTTGGTCCACCATCGAATACGATGCCGGCAGCACAATTACCGACGAGAATCCAGCTCTGGATCCGGACGTTGGGCCATTCTTCAAATCTCTACCAGAAAAAGCATACCTACCAAACTGGCTGGCACGACAGAAGGAGAACGGCAGTACAGCAGCGGAAAAATCACTCGTATACTCCGGCAAACGAAGCATAACTCATCTCGATGCGCGTGGTCAGGTCATTGGAAATGATCTTGTTCTCGGGGATGGCAAAAGTCTATCAACTCGACAAGCATATAACATGGCGGGGCATCTGGTTTCTCAGTCTGACGCCCTGAACAGGATAGTCCAGGAGCAGGACTATAACCTCCTCGGCCACAGCTTGGTCACCAGAACGATGGATTCTGGTCAGACAACAGCGTTTCTTGACTGCCAAGGAAAACCGTTATATCGCTGGACGCACAAATATCGACGCTTTCATCATTCGTATGATATCTTGGGACGCGAAACTGAGTTGAGAATGACAGATATAGAGCAGGGCCTCGAGGAGGTTGTTCTTCACCGGATCACATACGGGGACACTGAACTCGGAGCGACTGCTGCTAACTTACGAGGAAGTATTGTGCGTGTGCAGGACCAATCTGGGGAGCTCAATAATATTCAATTGGATTTCAAGGGGAACTGTTTAGAGCAGTCCTATCAACTCGCGGTCAACTTTAAGTCGGTCCTGGATTGGGATTCAACGGTGGAGTTGGAAGACGAGCCACAGTCCTCGTATGCCACGTTTGATGCTCTGGATCGAGTTGTGCAAGCAACAGACGCGAGTGGATGCCAGACGATGACATCGTATGATCTGGCAAATAACCTTAAGACACTAACTGCTCGATTGAAGGATGACGATTCTCCACACTCGCTGATCTGTAATCAAACCTACGGCGCCGACGGGAGCGTACTGAAGATCGTCTACGGCAACGGAAGCATTCTGGACCATGTATACGACAAAATGACCCGTCGCCTCGTGCGAAAGACACTCTCTCGAGAAAGCCGTGGAATTCGATCGCAAGTTCAGGATCTTCATTATTCCTGGGACTGTATGGGGCGGGTTATCCGCAAATGGGATGCGGCGCAGCAGCCGTGGTTCTTTCGCAACAGTCGGACGGACCCCGAATGGACCTACACTTATGACGCTCAGGGCCAGCTGGTGTTTGCAACAGGCCGCGAACAAGTCAACTCCTCTCATGCCGGAGCCTATCGCTTGTTGGCTCCTGGTCTTCAGAAACCATCCAGGCTCGGTCTGGAGATGTGCCAATACCGTGAGACGTATCGCTATGATGATGTTGGGAATATCCTCTCCATTCATCATGGAGCTCCAAACATCCCCTCCATAGCCGGCTGGACTCGAAGGTTCCAGTATGAAGAACAGAGCCAGCTTCAGGCAGGTGTGATGGGCAATCGTCTCACTAGTACAGTGACTGGGGGACTCCGTGAGAACTATGAGTATGGGTCTTCCTATGCCGGCCAGAGTGGCTGCATGACAGCCATGGCTGGCTATTCAACTCTCACTTGGGACCACATGGACAAGCTGCGGAGTTCCTCTCGCCAGATCACGCGGGATGACAACACCGGGGAACGGACTTGGTACGTCTACAACATGGTCGGAATGCGAGTACGCAAAGTGACCGAACGGGGCGGTATTTTAAAGAATAGGATAAAGGAGCGGGTTTTCTTCCCTGGTGTGGATATATATCGAACTTACTCCGGGGATGGGCAGACGCTCACAAAGGAGAGAATCCAAAGCCATATTCAGAGTACATCAACGACTGCCGTTGCCATCCTGGAAAGAGCTGGAGGAGGCGACAACAATGGAAAATCGACTCTGATCCGTTATCAGCCAGGAGAAAGCATCGAGCTGGACGACACGGCTGGCCTGATCTCATACGAAGAATACACCCCCTTTGGGGCGACGATGTTATGTGCCATCACCCGGGATATTGAAGCAGCGCGGAAATACCGATACGCTGGATATGAGCGAGACTGCGAGACCGGACTTTACTTCTGCGACCAGCGATACTATGCACCCTGGCTGGGTCGCTGGAGCAGCCCGACCCCCTGGGCCTTGTTGATGGGTTTAACCTATACTGCTATGTCGGCAATGATCCAGTCAACATGTTTGATCCCACGGGGACAGCAAAAGATACCAAATTGTTCTCCGAGAAATCGCGTTTACCAGCCGATGGGACTACGAAACCCGGTCAAATGAAACAAGAATTGCAGGGCTATAGTAATGGCCAGATACCTTCAAGGGTGTCAGAGAGGACTCAGCAAGCATTTGAGGCTGCCGGTATCGAGGGCTTGGAAGATCTTGAGCCAAAACGTGGCAAGAAAGATTCATCAGGTGAGAAGCATCATATCATGTCCCAGAAGTGGGCGGGGTCATTTCGAGTGGCGGGATTTGACGCTCATGCGTTTACCCTCTTTTGCTCGCCTAGTGCGCATGGCTCTGTGGGCAGAATCGGCGACAATCGATGGAACGACTTCTGGACCCAAGTCCGGCAGGACGCCTATGACCACTATTTTGATTTGAACAAGACCGAAAATGCTGCGAAAGGCACTAATAACGTCTATGAATTCGACTACAAAGATCTGGCGGCGTACATTCGTAATAATCGCGTCGAGCTACGCAAAGATATCGTCAAAATCGTCGGCGAAAATCTGCGGGACTTTGTGACCGAATGCGGTGGGCACGAGGTAACCGAGGTGAAAGACCTGTCGGAGTACATGGTCGCCGACTATCACTCTAGTAAGAAACTCGGCAGGCTACCGCTGCACACCAACAAGGAGTTCCGACAGCTACAAAGGAAATTCGCGCCGAAGTTCACAACAGAAGAGCTGTTTGACAATCTCCCCAAATCAGTGACAGATGGGATGCCAGTCAAGAAAGTGAAGGCCCTCCTATCTTTTACGTTGGGGTTCATCAACAAGTCCAAGCACGGAACCACGAAGCCCTTCTAACGATGACCCATTTCAGATAAAGGGGAGGTAGATGGAGATAAATATCAGACAGAGCAACAGAAGAAAATTATACAACTTCTATATCATAAGTAAAACTGATAGAGGCAGGCTCTTGTGTGTAGTTTACAGGCACCTATGTTGGAGGAAATGTTATCTTGAGAGTGGCTAAGCAGCGTACGTAGATTATTTTTTGATGCTATGGGGAGCTTGGGCTAACAAAATGCATAAATGATATCCTGGCTAAATTTTATTATCCTCCCCCCTACTTCCTATCGCCCATCATCTGATATCGGAAGAGCACAAATACACGGGCCATTCGCTCGATCATGGCCCCGATCTTCTTCGATTCAACCACCTCTTCATCTTCAGTCAGTGTGATATCTTTGTGGGTGTGTGGGTCGGTTGTTGTGCGTATCAGATCGAAGGTAAGAGCAGGGCTTGATGACATGGACACAGAAAGCTTCACCCCGTGGAAGCAGGTTAGCCCTGGAAGGTGTGGATCAACCTCCTTACTGGGACTGCTAAGTACTTGGTCATGGAACCTCACTTGGAGCCGGGACAAGGCTCCGAGGTCAGTTGACTCCCAACCAATGAAGACAAAAATCTCGCGAACGGTCGAAGCGCCGTTGTGACGAGCGTAGAACGGGATCATGTTCGACAGGTTCTGCAGCGGGATGGACCGGGGGAGGATTTGAACTCCACTAGGAGGCCTTTTAAATGCATACCACGCGTTAGAGAAGTCATTCTGTATGTCAAGCGTGGTGTATAGGCCCGCCGCGGCGGAAACGGCAGCAGCGGCATCAAAGTACTTGGCCAGCTGTTTGGTTGCCGCATTTGCTAATTGCTGACCGGCATCGCGAGCCGTGTAGCGGATCTGGAGGACGATATCGGAGATCGTCCGGTAGTCAAATGAGCGATACTTGGATGGCAACGCGATTGTCCAGCTGCTGATAGCCCCGGCTCCTTCCATCGGCATGTAACGCTCTCCATGGAAGTCCAATGTCGCGACGCCCGGGTCCTGCTGTCCGTGGCTGACAGCAATGGCAGTAATCGGGATTTTGTCCTCGTGGAAGCGAGCGTCATCAAGGCCCTTAGATGCATAGTCACTGCCCTGCAGGTTGACGGTGGGATCAACTCGGTAACGATGGCTTGTCAGGGTGAGAGTGCAGTTGACGCTGCTGTAGGGCCCCACGATGCAAGGTATTGTCACAGCCACGCTCTGGATGCGCCGATGATAATGACCCGGGTAGTCAAGATCGAACAGCTCTTCTGGCAACGAGAAACTCGCAAGACCCTCTTCTCGCACACGCAGGAGAGCCAGCGGATCAACCTGGCGAAGGGAGATGTTCTTGACGATCTCGAGGCTGCTGGGCCGGTGGTGGATATACTCGCGCTCCAGATGCTTCAGGGCCCGATAGAGGCCTTCACCAGCGAGCAGGCCATCATGAGTCGAATCCCACACACCACTCGAGGGGACAATGGCGCTTCTACTGGACTGGTACCCAGTTTCAAATTGCAGTGCCCGCTCCGCTTGTCGAGCCATCTGGAGAGCGAGGATATAGGTGTGGTACAGGTGATCTCGTAGCGAGTTATCCAGCCAGCTGTATAGTTGGTCGTTGGTCCACTTGCTCATGAGATAGTCCTTGACGTCAGCGGTGTGCTTGATCTGCAATTCTTGCAGTTTGAGCTCGTTTTTCACAGCATCGATTCGATGTTGGTGCGTCTCGATCTGCTTCTGAATGCCCCGAAGCTCCAACCCTGCCAGGTTAGCCTGCAGGCGGCGGTCCTGCAATTGCATATGCAGTCGATTGACGCGCGATGCCTGCTGGCTATCTTCGCTCAGCATCTGGGACGCGAACCGTGCGCCGCTGGCAACTAGTGAGAAGTGCTGTCCCCAGGGCGGGTTGGAAACGTTCACTCCAATACCCCAGGGCGCCACCTGCGTGCTCAACCCCGGTAGCATGGCGAGCGTGCTGGCCATGACATCCGCGCCGGACGCAACCAGATTGGCCACGCCAGCCTCCATGGCCCGCTCAATCTCCGTGGCCTCCAACACATTGAGACGGGAAATCTCGACTTGGCCAGATTTGATAGTCGTCTTGGACAGAGGCACATAAAGCTGGTCAATCAGGGTAAAGTCCTGTGTAGCCGTGGGTGCCATAGGATCGTCACCGGTCAGATTGCTGAAATAATCTAAGCGCATCAGAGGGCTCCGGCGGGTTTCCTGGAGCTGAATCAACGTCTTCTCAGCCTCCTCCAGCTGAGACTCTTTGATTTTAAGCATGAGACCCTGAACAGTACATTCGTGAGACGCATTGAGCACGGCCAGTGCCTCACCGTCCCTTCGTTCTTTGATTGATAGATAGGTCGCGCTGCTCGTCTTCAACTCCTGGGCGAGATCCAGTGCTCGCTGGAGCAGGCCCATGAACCGGTAGTTTGGCATCGGGCCATCTTCCACCGAAGGCGACACAGTACTCGTGCCAGATCGTGCGAGCATCTGCCGGCCAGCCTGTCGAGGATCAATAACGGGCCCGGAGGATGGGGGCGTACGCGGCTGACCGTCGATATCCAAGGAGTGACGGATCTTCAGGAGCCGATCATCTATGGTGCTGCGCAGCTTGACGATTTCTGGGTTTATGGCGACACAGAAGTAAGAACTTGGCACGATGCCCACTAGTGTCTGACTGCTTGTCGAAGGCGACGAGGGCAGTGTGCTCCGCGCATGAGGTGGGATATAGAAGGGTAAGAGAACCTCGAGATCGACATGAGCGTTGGACAGATCATCAACGGTAGCTGAAAGCTGAGAATAGCTCTGGACAACTGGCTTCACGGTCTTGGGGATAGTCACTGGCGCCGGACCAAAGATGTGAGCTGCCTCGACATACCGCTGGATTGCCAGTGGAATGCTCTCGGCCGTGAAATGTCGGAAGTGATGGTCTCCGGCCGCAATCAAGATCTCGATATACTTCATGGCAGCGCGCTTCATGTATACCAATGGTCGGTTACGCGCGACGGAGTGGGCGTTGAAAGGGTTCCGTCGCCATTCCAGCACAGGTACCGTCATCGCATCCTCGGCCCCGCTGCTCGCCTGTGCTTTGCTAAGAATGGCGCTGAGCGATCCAGCATTACGCACATCTGGCTCTCGAAAAGGCGCAAACCGCCAGCAGACGGTGGTTTGGTCGCCTCCGGGAAGCTGTTGCTGCTCCCGGGCCATGCGAGGATCAAATATCTGACGAGCGACACGGAGGGCCAGATCGAACTTTTGCACCGCCATGAGCCGCTCCATTAGAAGCGAAATCATGTGGAATCCCAGCTCCCAATTATAGATGGCAGCCGGTGTTGCGCTCTCCTTGTAGGCGCTGCCCTGGAAACTGCCGAAGACAGCTGGTGCCAGCGAGGGCGACACCACGTCACGATCCCTCATTTTCATATAGATACTCGCCATGTCATCGAACACTGTCGCCGCTTCAACAAGGGCGGGTGACACGACGTGGTCAAACCGAGCAGGCACGGGGGGGAAACACTGCCCTTGGACATGGACTGTGGCACGGCGAACCAAGTCTGGGCAGTTTGTGCATCCTCCTGCGCCATATCGAGGACCAGTGCCGTGGACTGGCTGTAGCTTTCGAGCGATGTTGTCCATTCAATAGTCCGCAGCGCAACATCTGGCATCTTCGTCAGACTCACACCGGGCATTTCCGCCAGCATAACGGCTTCCATCTCCTTGTGCAAAGTCACTCCCCACTTGGTTCGCCAGCTTTCAACATCAAAGTTGATAGGGTATCCGATATCTGGGATGACTCGGCCAAAAACGGTCGCGGTGGTGTCCTTATGATTCAGGCTCGTGGATGGACTGGGTGGGTGTGCGAGGATCTCCTGTCCCCTCAGCTGGAAGCTTCCCACCGGCACAGATACAGTTCCATCACCTTTCTTCACACATCGATCGACGTGAAGTGTCAACCGAGTGCTCTCAATTTGTTTGGTCTTCCCGGGTTTCTCCTCATTGGCGACTCGTTGTGCCATAACCTCCTTATGCGTCCAAAATCGGAACGAATTGATAGAGGGGAGCTGGCCACCGTCGACTTCTAGAGTATTGACATCCAGACTAGTGTGTGAAATAGAAACGGGAGACCACTGCCTTCCTCGCTGGACAGTAAGGCCAAGCTTGATCTCCCTGAGTTGTGTTAGCAGTAGTCAAGAAACGATAGCCGACAATAGATCGCTTGACTAGCGTAGAACATACCAGTATCCTTGAGGCTTTGCTCCCGGTTGTGGGTAGTGAGTTCCCTCTATCGGAGCAACTGAAGATGTGTCCCCCATGGGGCGAGTCTTAGAAGTGATATGGGCAATGAATAGATGCAGCTGCTTGCTCATCATGACGGGAACAACATATGCACCGGCTTCAGAGAGTGCCTGACCACTCTCGTCAGTGACATGGGTTGGGATGTCCAAATTGAGCTTCTCCCATGGCGACCAGGTCGGAGTTACCTTGGTGTCCACCACAAGCCCATCCATCCGGCGATAGAAGAAGGTATATGGCGAGGTACGAGTACGGCCGATAACGTGGATTGTATAGCTCGACCTTTGGCGGTCCCAGTGGTAGCTCTGGATGTGTAGCTGCGCGGTCTCATGGGCCTGGTAGATATATTTCTTGACTAAGTCCGTCACACTCTCCTCACTGAGCTCGCTTTGCATCATCTCACGTTCAAAGTCTTGGAAAGCCGGTGTCTTGTTGTCGCGCAAGCTTGGGTCTACCCAGTTCTCTGGGTACAGAAATACCTTGCGGTTGGCCTCCCAGAGCCGGTATTGCTGCATCCACGCCCATCGGTCAGTGGGAATGACGCTCGCTAAAATACCCGGTTCAAGGCCCAATAGACAGCGTTGGACAAAGAGCTGTACCGTAGCAATTGCTTGAGACATACGATTGGTACGCATGGCAGCTCCCATCTGGACATCCAGCAACAAATACTCGAACAGGCTGTCTGCGTCACGCACATTCTGGGCCTTGATCGAAGGGTGTTGAAGTAGATACTGAATCAGGGCATCGCGACGGCGTTCTCGCAGCTCATTATGCATGGATTCGAGGGAGGCCTGTCGACCGGCTAGGGATGAGAGCACTTCATCAATGGGAGTCTGCTCAGCAGAAGCTCCCGCCGGTGTGGCCATATCAAAGAGTAGCGACGTTTCAACCCCGTGAAGGCCATAGCGTGAAGTCCAGCCCACTTGGCGTATCAATCTCCGTGATTCGATGCCTGTGGGATCTGCAAACAATTTCAGCAGTGAATCCTGGTCAGCTCCTGGATAGTTGAGTCGTAGAAGAGCCTCCGCCCGGGAGATGGAAACCCCCAGGAACTTGGCAACTTGATTAACCAGCTCTTCCCTTGCTATATCTTTCTTCGACTTCGCTGCCCACAGGACGAGCTCAAACGCAGGCCGATTCATCCGACTCTCTGCAAGGGCCATGACACTGTGGACATTTTCCAGAGACCAATTGGAAAAGTCAAGCTTGAGGCTAGAAGACTGCTGGAGCCTCTCTAGAAGCTCCGGCTCCATACCCGCATGTGACACAAGCTGCAGGGCCCGAGACAGAGTCTGATGAATTTCACCTACAAGGTGCAGAAACTCCAGAGGAATGGTTTTATCCTTGCTAGCTATGATTTTTTCCTTTAAAATGCTGTGAAGCTTGACGCGTAACCTATCGACCAGCGGAGATAATGTCTCCAAAAGCAGCTCCAACGTCCGAGTGTCGATGTTATCAGCAACGCCCTTGAGTTGCTCAATAAGGAACATTTGGGGTAGAAGACTGGTGGCTGGTTGGTCGCTCGCGGGCTCTGATGGATTCTCTCTGGCTATATCCTGATAGATCATGTCGGAGGCCAGCTGGGACACGAAAGCAGAGACCTTGGTGTCGCTGAGATGCTCTGCTACTGTTGATGACAAACCCAGTAGTTCATCCACTGACCAACCCTGGCCTATCAGATCATTCCACTGCGTGATGAACTCGAGGGTCTTTACCGGGTCTCTCAATTTCTCCTTATTGACGAGAGGCAGGTGGTATGCACGAGCTGCTGGGACACCCAGTATTTGGCACAGCTTGGACTCATTATGGTCCTGCCAGAGTCGGAGAAGCTCAGAAATGGGCCATTGGCACAGGTCAACCAGTCGCTTGATTGCGGAGAGTTGGACTAGCATATCTGCAGTGATAGTCCCCTGGTACCCTGGACGGCAAACGGTGAGTGCTTGATCCAGGTCAGCTGCCGACCATCCTAGGCGCACCAATAGCCGGATGAACGTGCCAAGCTTGTGAAAGGTGCCAATGGCACCTGGCTTTCCTTCGGGATCATAGAGACGTAATTTCTGTAGCTTCGTGAAATCCGTCGCGGTCTCGGGATTTTGGACCAGAAGGGCGCCTTTCAGCCATGGGACATTCAAGATCACAACCAGGTCAAGAAATGCAATCCCAGCTCGCGGCAGCAGCTCTTCCTGAATTAGGGCTAGCTTTTCGCCCAGAATTCCCTGCTCCGAGGATGTGTAGCCCCAATATTCCGCTGGGGTCGGTGGTTGAAGCGGGCGCGTGTCATCCGGTGGGGAAAGCAATTCTCCCGTGATGGCCAGGAAGCTCTTTTCTGAGAGACCCAGTACTTCTGCCGCCACGGTGCGCTCGAGGTATACTGTATGCTTCGCCGCTACTGAGCGGTCATACCGGTGAGGAGACTGCATAATGGCGAGAAGTTCCTGACGCGAGGTTCCCACCGCAGCCAGCAGGTGGCGAACAACTTCAGTGCGCAGATGGAAAGGCAGAGCTGTCATCGGAGTCATGAGCTTGCCAATATACTTGTCATAAACCGGCCACTTCACGTTTAGTGGTTCAGCAGCCAGGGCAGCAGCAGTATCGCTGTCGCGACAATTATACGTGCCATAGCTTGAGATATTCGAATCTTCCAGGAATTCCACCATAGACTCCATCAGCTCATTGCTCACGTCGATATAGGGGATTTCGATCTTGGTGTTGGCACAAGAAAGCTGTAGATGCTGCAGATCCGGGCGTCGTCCAAGTAGACGGTCGAGAACACTGGGCCCCGCAGCGAGCTTCTTGGGGTCGATCCAGCAGTTCTTGAGCAGGCGCAGGAGATCGACGAAGTATGCGGGCGAACTCAGCAGCGAACAGCAGTCTTCGCAAGCGACGTTGTCCATATCGACGAGAACGTCAGCTGCGGCGGCAACTTGAGCATATAATGGTTGCAACTCTGTTCGTTTCGTCATTTCTGTGTTTGTGACAGTCGCTTGAATGGACTTCAACTGAACATGCCCCATCCCTCCCATCTCCCGCATCTCCTTCATCTGTGAAGCATCATCTGCAGCAGCTAACCCTTCATACGCGGCCACGCCAACTCCCGCGGCTGCCATCTGCATGGAGTCCAAGGTAGACACAGGCCCTCCTGGTGCCGTACGTAGCTGTGCCCATAAATGCTCGTTCCTCGACTCGATTAATGTCGCATGGGCGTGGATTTGCGTCAGACTTCCCTGAATCCCAGACGGCACTGATGCGGTAAATTGTTCCAGTGGACAGGCCGCAATTGCAGCGGCAGAGCTGAATCCCAGCTGCAGCAGGATGGCAATATCTTCCGGATAGTCCACGACAAGCGACAATCGTCGTATTGTTGCCAGAGTCCTCTGCGCCTCGGCCAGGAGTTTGTCTGTTTCCTCATTTCTATCAGCCTCGCTATCTCGCCAGATGAGGACGTGTACTGGGGTGGTGAAAATATTGAATTGGTGTTTGATGAACGCTTCTCGCAGCACATTCTCCAGTTCGTTCTCGATCGCGGACGGAATGGAAAACTCGTGGCGACTAAGCAATCCCAGTACTACCGCTGTGGGCTCTTCCTGGAATAGAGCTTGTCGCAGAGAGGCCCCCTCTGGAGAAGGAATGCGCGAATACGCCGTCTCTGCGATCCCTGCGAGACTCCAAGGTTCCTCGAGGTCATGGAACAGATCTTGTACAATTGTCGCCCTCTCGCCGGCCAGCTCGTACACATTAATCACCGTCTGCAAACGTTCGAGTTCGGGTGAAGGGAGCGCATGTACTTGTAGATATAGTTGCTGGGCTTCCCGTAAACTTGTGGTCTGCTGTAGCGCTGTGATGATTTTCTCCAGCTCGTCACTGGGGCTCATGGTGGCCCGCAGAAGCACCTCGCATTCTTTGCGGCGCGCATCTTGGCTATCTATCGATTCGGTCATTTTGTGGATGAGGGTATTGTTGCTCAGAATTCACACACTCCGTGCCTGAGACTTCATTTATCTTTGAATCAACCCCGTGACTGGGGTCAGCCATTCTCAGCGGTCGCTCAGATTCTCCCGTGTTGATTTCTTATAGTCTGGACCTCACTAGCTTCCCCCACCTTCTCCACTGTCAGCCCATGAGTTCCGGTAAACAGTTGGGCAAAGACTGTCGACGGGTAACGCCAATCACGGCCAGCCTCGTTGCCACTAGCGGCACCTTCACGAATCCTGAACGTTCGACCTGGGGGCGCTAGGTGGATGTAGGCACGGTCGATCGGGGAGAATGCCCCAGTATGTGTGGCGTAGCTGCAGGACTCGTGGATATAGCGCTCAATTTGGCTTTTCTCAGCGACGCCGGCTGATTTCTATTCTTCCTCGGCCCTCGAAGTGACAGTTTCATCGGGTTCCTCTGATCGATCATCAGTACGAATCTTTCACCAAGCCTATCCTCCGAGTCGAACAGACAACTTGCCTTGTAGATCGAAAGCGAATAATTGCGTTCCACGATGCCTCCAAAGATCGAGGTAATTGTCCTCTGCATTCACAACAATTCCTTATGGCTAACCAGATCTCTCGTATTCACATATCCAGGGCTGGGACCAGGCAACTGTCATGTGAGGGGCCAGTGTACAGACACTGTTCTGTGATCAAGCTAACAGCATCACAGTCCGCAGTGTGTGATCAACAGGTTGATCAGCCAGCATGTCTCGTTGATCCCGCCAGACGAGCTCCATTGTGAAGACGAACATGGTTCCGGGCTCTCAGATGTTGTCGCTGGTATTCCGCAGGTCATCCTCGATGTAGAAGGGAAGGCCGATCGCGTCTTACTCGTCCTCCCTCTTCTCTCTGGCCAATTGCGGATTCGAGAAAATACCAACCCCAACGATCGCACAGCTATTGAGTATGCGGTCAAGGATTGGCAGTTGGCATTTACTGTGAACATAAACCCGAATCCTGGTTAGCTTTCTCTCACCCTCAGCTTTTTTTTTTTTTTTTCTTCTTCATTTGCTATTTGCTATTCATGGTGCAACCCCCCCGGGCTTACCTGGAGGCATGTAGATACGGCCCCGAATCCGAAGTATAAGCCAACGCAGAAGGCCCTGAAAGTGCAAAAGGACTACAAAGAGGTCCACGACGGTTTAAAAACGGCAGACGGGATCACGATCTGGGACTGGCTCATGCGACTGGGAGGTAATGAGGTCAATGCAGCTTATGTCGTCAAGATGGCTAATATTTTGCATGCTAGCGAGCGAATACGGCCCCCTTGATTTGAGGTACAGCTCCTTTGGTTGCTGGACCGACGAGGACTTTCAAATCTCCGAGGATGGAGTCCATGTACCAGCCACGCAGACATTTGTAGCCGGCAGTCAGCGCAACTGGTCGGTGGACGAGCCCAAGTGGTTCCAAAGATTCGTCGAATATCTCAGCCAGTTTGACCGACAGCTCTGGCAGACTATCACTCTCGATCTTTTCCAGCATGTGGCCGCACGTCCAATTCCCGGCGGTCAGTGACAGAAATCCTACTTCCCTGACTATTTTTGAGTCAACCAGCTAATGAGACGTAGACGGCCAATCACCAATCCTGCCTGTGACGAGCCTCCACATTCAGCAATATCCATGGCTCGACTCTTCCAATACCCCCCGCACCATTTTAGATGGCCAGGGTGGTTTCAACGCCATCTGTTTTCTCGAGACCATCCAAGGGGGTTCAAAGCCCGAGGCTCAAGCGATACCTTGGCAGGGGAACTGGATCGACGGCGAGTATGCTGTCCATCAGGTATCTCTTTTTCGCGCAATATCACCGGTTTTGAGTCGATATAACCACATACTGTGGAAGGGGGTCACTCAAGCAGATCCACACTCAACATCCAGTGATTGGGAGCTACGTGACTTGCCCCAATGGTGCGAATTGATTCGTTACTGGGGCAAGGAACCCGAGAACATGTTATCCGTAATGAAGGAGCGGGGCTCGATTTATGACGTTAGCTTCTGGGACCCGGCTGGCTCCTGGGATCCGCCTGCGGCAAACAGTGCATTGCCGTCGAATGCGCTAGTCTGGAGTTCTGATTGTCGCAGGGGACAGTCACGGCATAAGAGTGGCGACCGGTGGGATCAGGGTACGAGGTATTCCCTCCTTGGACTCCTGATTAGCTATGATTAATTCGCGCTCCAGAACACATCGGGCTCTTCAACCGGTTTTCCTTCGTGCCTGGAGCCAACCAGCTATGCTTGGATACGGGATTGAAAATTAGAACCCAATATAATGATGAAGTCAAGACGTAGGTTGCCAGGCGTATATTTCGACGGAGACAAACTAACGAGCTCTATTAGACAATTGGCAGCCTGGGATAAAATCCTGTTCAAATTTGCTGACGGGCTGGATGGGCGTCCAGTCAGGGTGCTTCCTTCCAACCGACACAACTTACCCAGTTTGGCACATCCCTATACTCTAAGCGCAGCACAGAACACCAAAGCAATCGAGGAGTTAGAGAAATTGGACGCAGAAACAGAAAAGTCCCCCTTTCCTCAATTCCGTCAGGTACGTTATATGAGGTCTCCGCCAAAGGTCTGTCCCTAAAGCGAGTGCATATAGGGCCAACCGATTCCAGCCCGTCGTGGCCCCCTTCAGCCAAGACAATACTCTGTCACAGAATCCGCAAGCCTCATTTGCCAGCTTACCTATCCGCGCGCCTCTCTCTCGGTTTGTTATATCCCCAACGCTGAACCAGATGGGATTCCGCCCAACGCCACCATCGCAGCGGCCAGCCGGGATTCTAGCACCATCGAGATCTGGTGGGTGGCCACGGACGGATCAGTGCAAGGGGCGTACCAGTACGAGAGTGAGCCCTGGCGGCGGTATTGGCTCGCGGGCGCGGGTTCAGCCGTCCCAAATGCCATCTGCGCCACCTCGTGTGATCCCTCGCGCATAGATGTGTTCTGGATTGCCCCTGATGGTTCCATCCAGGGCTGTAATTTCCACCGGGACCGCGCCAAAGTTTGGAGTTCCCCGGTGGCCATCCCGGGCCACAACCCAGCCTCATTGCCAGGGACAATCGAGGCTGTCACATTGGCCCCTGGGGCGCTCGCCGTATTCTGGACTGTGAAGGATCGCATCGAAGGGTCGTTTTCCTCCAAAGCGGATAAGTGGATAGCTCGTGAAGTGCTGAGCCGGGGGGCACACGTCCAGCAGATGGTTTCAGGGCATTAGGATGCCCCTCTCTGGGCGGATTCGACCTAATCGAAGCTTGTTACGACGGCGAGATACGGGGAGCGGCACTCCGGTGGCAGCCCACGGAGGACTTTCCGGAAACCTTTGCTTCTACCGTTCTCGCGCCACCCCAATCGATTCCGGGCTCCTCTCGGTTGGCCACCGGAGGTCATGGGGACGAGCATATTGGATATTGGCACGCCACGTCGTCGGGGGGTATCATGGGTACTCGGAAGTACAAAACTGACTCTTGGAGGCAAGAAAAGGTGGCTCCGGACGGGAGTATTGCCCCTGGTGGGAGTTTGCAGGTCGCGTCTCGAGCCCTTGGGAAACTCGATCTGCTGTGGATTTCCCCGACCGGGGTCCTGAAGGGGTGTGGAGGGACAACCGACGTACTTTCCATGCCCTCTTATACTATCCGTGACGACCCAGTTGCGGCACCTGGGTCGCCACTTACAGTGTTGTGTCGGCGGGAGGGGACCTTGGACGTCTTCTTCCGAGGGCCGTCAGGGCGCCTTATCGCCGGCATAGTGAACTATGATTAGGCGATGGCGATAATCAATTGTCGCTTTCTTTATAAGGACATTTCTCCTGTATTCACGTTGGATCAGTACTTAGAAAAAGATTGAACTGGGGTCCCCAAGATTCAGTTTCATTGAGTTTACATCATACACACTTCCTTATTTTGAGACATCAAAGCAAGGGTCGAAGTCAATGCCCGAGAGATAGATGTATGTTGATGATTGAAATCTAGGCTATGGAGATCATGACTTTAGCAGCGAAGAGAGGAGCATGTCTACGGACTACGTCCGTCCTCTAGGTGATAGCGGGAGTATAAAAGGGGAGACCTACGAATAGGAAGAGGAGAATGTATCTGATTGTGTACTCCTGCGAGCAGGATAGTTGTATATCACATCTTTCCATCATACCGCTAGTTTCGCGCTTGGTCCGTAGCGGAGGGAGGGCGGCAAGGCCAACCCACCCAGTACATAGAATCAACCAAAAGATATTTAGAGATAATTTTGATAAAAGCAAAAAACATACAACAGCAGGGATTCGCTGGTGGTCACCCACCCAACTACTAACCTGCCGGCGTGTGGCTTAAGTACGGCTGAGCGGACGGGAAGCCCTGTTCTCCACACCCTGTGGTCGTATGTGCTAGGTTATTATCGGGGGAGAAATGTATAATCTAAGATCATGACAAGCTGGACGCCATGGGTGAGTGAGGTTAGTATGCAATAGACAGTTTTAATGCTGGGCGAGAGCGGTGATTCCCGCCCTCCGTCGCGCGACAAACGTACTGATCCTCTCAGCTGAATTCAAGTAATAAAGTCATTGGTTCACACCCGCCTGGCTGTGACTGACTGAAACTGTGGTCTCTTGGCATTCCTTATACAATCGAATACCAAACCTGGACTGGCCAAATCAACAGTGAGGCTGATTTCAAGGTCGCCTTGGGCCCAAGTTGCGTGCTGAGGTTCCCACGAACTTCAGGTACGTAACCCATTAAACTTGCTGACTGCCATAGCTAAATCCGCAGAGTGACAAGTCCACATCACGTGGACAGAGCTTCATCGCAAATGTTATCGAAATAAGCACTGAGACCTCGGTCTGTCAGCTTCTCTGATCCCGAACTAGGGCCCACCCCTTCGCAACTCCAACGGCGTTGAGCCGAAAACAACGCCGCTGCAATACGTTTGTTCGAACAGCTCTATGGATCAAAGCAGTTCGCCCAATTACAAAGAACTCTTCGAGAGAGAAACCAAACTACGGAGACAGGCTGAGGAAGAAGATGACAAGCCGAAGAACGAAACAGGTAGTTCACACAAGACTTCCCTCCTAGATATCTTCGGGCCCGCCATAACTTGCTCTCCCACCCTTGTCTCTGCCTGTTAAAAAAGCCATAATATTGGGAATAGTAACGTCTCCTGATACCCACAGTAAAAATTCACATACGTCACCTGTTTAGTGCCATTATGATACATAGGAGAACTTGCTGAGGACCTCGAGGCTGAGGTGCCAGTCGACCTAGCGGGGTTGCACCATGTGACTTTGTCCATTGGGCAGAAAGCCGCCTTCCTTATGCAAGACCCTTCCATACCAGGCCGCATCATATCTGTCCCAATCTACGTGAGAAAGTCATAATACACATACTTCTATCAGACAAGCTAATATCTTGCCCTCTACCCAGCTCATTACTTCAGATCAACCTCTATTCAAGCCGAGATGAACCAGGCGTTGACGGGGGAAGTGACGCCTGGCACTTTCACAAAATGAAATTGATATAGTATGACACAAAGGGGAAGAGGTAACTTTCAGAGACACAGGAAGGGTGAGTCGTTATACTGTTCTATTTTTGACCTTGAGATGATCTTAGATCGTGCTGTAAGCACATGCGTGCCGGAGGGTGGAGCGCAAACTCTCTCGCAAGGTGTGTATATCTCAACGAGTATACCTCCCTGCGCTGATATGTAAGGTCCGGTCAACTAAAGCAGACAAAATGTCGTTCCTAAGGAGCAAAGTGGAGACTTACCTAGTAGTCATGATCTAGAATCATTTTATCACACATGCCATCATGTGTATACGACATGCGATGGAATGCTCGTCTGATAATATGAGAACTAGTCTAGATGTGATCTGGAACCTGAACATGAAATTCGAGTAGACCTGGACATAAATTTGCAATTTATCCGTCGCAAGTGTACCTATATTCCGTAAGTGGAAGAGCTCAGGTCGTCACTACCTGGTTTGAGCCCGTTCAGGTTGTACCTGAGGCCAGCGGAGGTATAAGATGTTAATTTTGGGTGGAACAAGGCCGAAGACCTACACCGCTAGTCGGAAGCAACTGACTTAATTTCTTCATTCGAAGTGTAGCTAAGATTCTGGCCTTACAGCATAGACGTCAATCATTCAATCATACATGTCGATAACCTAAAACTCGTGCGTGTCTACTGAGAGCGGCATGTATGCTGTCATCACCTATCATGGGTAAAATAATGCCAAGCAAAGCATGTTCCAGCAACCCCGAGCCCTATCACGGCACCAACCTGGCCTGCAGGATGAAGTAGATTTAATGCAAGAGCCAGTCCTGTGCCTGAGGGGACGATGGTAGCCCCTCCCCCTGTGGCTGCCCCGAGAGCCGCCCCTCCCCCCATTCCCACAATTGCAGTTACAACGCCTGTACTCCCAGTCTGGATCGCATGATCCCATTTCTCGCGGGCTCCTTTTGGGATAGGATCCTTTGGCGTCAGGTCGATGACTGGAACGTGCATGGGTATATGAAGCCTTGACACGGGGAGCTCCTCACCGGTCACCTCCGTGGATGGCTCCGAGACGGTTTCGTCGCAGCCGCCGACCTTACAGCTGAAAGCACCAGAACTCTGACAACTGAGCTTGGCCCTACCCGCATTCGAATATACGGCGTTATCGATCATGGATGCTTGCCCGGGAAATAAAGCGCCGCTCAGGCAGACAACTTCCCTGGTAATCGTGGGGTCCTCGTAGCGGTGCATATCCTGGAGACGAAACTTTTGCACCTCGTAAGCCGCTTTGTTTATCTTCATTTCGTGCCAATTAGGGCAATGGGCGAGCTGTCTCAGAAAGAAACCAGCAGCCGTCGCAACATCCATGCGCTGCTCAACTGTGAGCAGTACTTTCCGGACGCTGGGAGAATTGAGTGGACTTCGTTGATGGAACGCCTTGGTTTGCTGGAACATGCCGGTGGCCGAGCTTTCGGAATTTGTCGCCCTCGCGTTGAAATCAGATTCGCGATGAGCCGTCAGCAACATGACTTCATAGGCTTTGCGGGCGTGTTCAGGTTTGATGTAGCCCAACTTCACGGCTCGAGCTATCTCGGTCGAGCACATCAGGGCGTTTCTCTCTTTCTCCGTGGTGAGCTTCTGTCCTGGGGCTCTCCTCGCCCAGTCAGTCCAGGCCAAGTGGTGTGCGTGTTCATCCCGACTTGGAGGTACGGGGATGACTGGATCGTCCACAGGGGTGCTAGAGGTCATATTTCTGGTAAAATTCGATATTGTACGGCCAGAGAAATAATGTAAGAGCAAATATGCATGTAGGCAACACGCCGTGGAGAGAATATGGCGGAATATAAAGCCCCACATTATCAGATAAGCGCTTTACAAAGTAAGCTGAAACGTTGGGCAGCAATGCTTCGAAACTGACCAATAGACCCTATGTCAATGATTGTGGCTGAAAGAATAAAAAAAACACATTTTCTACATGGTCATCCGTATCGCGAGATCTATATGCCGTAAACTGCTGCAGACCATCATTCATTCAAGTTTATGGATCTTTGTCATCCTAAGTGGCCATGGTGGGCCTCGTGGTGTCTGTCTTCAAATCAGATGGCTGTGTACATCATATCGATTAACATGCTGTTGGTGTTCGCTGTGTGCAACTCTCCAACCCGGCGATCTACCTCTACCCACTTGCTCAGAGCCCCCTCTCTAGCAGCATCCCATTGATCACCCGGGATGATTGAATCTCGAACTTCTGCTGCCTGCTTGAAAGACAATCTCGCAGTGTAAGGGTGCCCTTGGGCCTCCTGTGCTAGACCAAGAAGAAGAAAGGTGGTTGAAACATCGTGGTTCAGCTGTGGGTCTTGACTATAGTCAAATCTTGTCCCAAGCCGACCAACACGTTCGGATAAACGTTAACAAATGTAGCCCATTTTCACATACTCCCGCTCACTCCACAGATACTCCATTGCAGTGTGCCATAGGGTCATAGTCTCGTGACTGTATTTCCCGAGCTCGAGGTCTATTCTATTGAGCATGTCCTCGATTTCAAAGACAGACAATCCTTTGTACAGGCTGTAGAACTCACCCGCATCAGCTCTGGGAAACCTAGCCTGGTTATAAGACAAATATCCTTTGACAGGGTCGTTTCCTGCTCTGTTCATCCACAAGAAACGGCAATAAGAATCAAACGCGAGATATAGGGGGCATAATTGCTCCCAATCAATCTTTTCCAAGAATTCAAGCATGAGTCTGCGCGGATCATTCTGTGGCAGCACATGTCGTGCCATGGAAACCAGATTGGCTATAATGCAATGCTGCAGCTCCTCGTTGCCAGCTCTCTTGACCATGAGTAGTATTCCAAGGATATCAGGGAGCTGGCGATGGTGACGATATCCCACGACGGATCGGTGAAGAGCAAAGGAGCTGTTTAGCAATGCGTCGGCTCGCTGATTTTCATCCGCCTTGATTTGCCTCAATGCACGGAAGACCATGTTATGCAGCCTACTGAGGCCTGCTAGTTGTGCTCTTAGCTCTGTGCTCCTGGCGTATAGTCCCTTGTGATTTGGGGCCCATTCGCCACTGTCAAAGCAGGACTCGAAATGAACCCGAGTATTAAAAAGAAGGTATTGGAAGCTCCTGAAAGCGGTTGGGTCGCTTAACATGGTAATCTGGAATGGTAGACGGATCCAGGTGAGCTCCCGAGAATCGGACTTTTCCTTCGGCAGGTCCTTTCTCCTATCACAGTGTCGGATAACCTCTTCGTTCTCTTGAAGCACACCATCTGCAAAGACTAGGCAGTGGTGGCCATCCAGTGTCTGATCAAGAATAGCTTTTGCACGAACAGCGTCTTCCCCCCGAATATTCTTAAAGATACCGAGGTCGCGTAGCAGTTTCTTCCATTGGTGGATCCTGCCAGAGTGTCAGTTGATCACTATGGATGAAATTAAGCTATCGCTGACTCCTTACGTCAATCGCAGCTCCGATGTTTGCTCCTCGAATGCGAGCTTGGCTTCCTCTCGAGTCAGATCTTCGGTGACGAAGAGTCGGAACACAACACAGCGGTGCCCTCCATATCCCCTTGCACGTTCCATGTTAGAAACGACCAGGCTTCCTGTTAAGTGTTTCCGGTAAAGAGACTGGGGTGGCTAATAGATGGAACGAGAATATGCTGATATAAAGGATATGACAACAGCTGGTGCATAACTCGGGTCTCCCGTACTCTGGCTAAGGGACAGGCCAATAGTCACATCATACCCCAAAGACGCCTGATGACCTGTATTTGAGTGAGTCGCGCACCATTTGGCCTGATTACCAGCCTTCAAACTTCCCAATCACCAAACGCTGATACCCAGTGGAGCGTCAGCCACTTGACGTGGCACTAATGCTGAAATTACCCCGCTCTTTAGTCCATCGACTGCCAGCTGAGGTTTCTAGTCAAAACCGGGGTACGGCTGCCTTGTAACTCGATTGGTCGGCCATTTAGGAGCCCAGCACTAATGTACAACCTTTTTGTTCGCTTGTCTCTCACGCTAGCCATATTGAGAAGTTTTTTTTCCATTGGCTTACTATATGGAATACGGTTTGGTTGTAGTAGGGAGATGGCGCTTGATCAGGCTTCAAGCTGCATCATTTTATGGAGTCTTCCTTGACAGAGGTAGCGTGCTTTGCGACGACGTAAATGGCATGGAATGCCTATAAAGAGGCGATGCTTTCCCATGGTCTTCTTTTCCCCAGATCTTCTTCTTTCTGCCTTCGACAATACGAAGCAAAGCGACATAACTGACTACCTCCGCTTTGTTCTGAGCGTGCTGCCCACCAATCTTTTTCTTACTCTCAAACATCTTTTTCTCTTCGTTTCCTGTTCTTTCTCGCGTCGTGGTCCACCCTACTCTGTTCTTTTGACTCTGTGTCTCTTTCCAGTCTCGTTTTACAATCAGACAGTTGACAAATTTCTCCCCTATCACTACCCTCGCCCTCTAAAACGCTCCTCGTCAACCGAACATCTGAGCACCAGAGACACTCCGATATATTTTACTTTTTACTAGCAAATCGGAGTTTCTTCAACTCTCAATGGAGCAATCGATCCTGCGCCTGGAAACAGAGCTCCAGAAACAGTATGGAAATGAAGACTGGAGCACGACTTTTCGCGCTGGACCGGACTCTATTGGAATTCTCGCCGAATGTATTTTGATTACCTCAAGACCAATGGTCATAGGTATTGAGCTAAAGGGCCCTGGGCTTGAGTGCGTCTAATATTTTCCAATGGCAGATACGCCCGCTGTTCTGAGTGTAGTCAGCTGACTGCTATACAGGTATACAACACTCTCTGCGAATGTGAGCCACTGTGCAGATGTTGGTGCAGTTACATTCAGAACCACTGCGAGGAATATGAAAACCTTGGCTCAGTTAACAAATAAACTCTCGCAACCGAATGGGACTGTACGCTCTTCTCTTCAATCTACCTGTTGCCAGCTTATTGACACTCAGGGATCCGAGCAGATTGAGAAAATGTTGAAGTTCTGTGAGGTTGGTCAGTCTCAAGCAAGGGACAGGCTGCTGTCTAAGTATATTTCGAGAGGCGAGAAGATTGTTGCGAATTGTACAGACCTCATTGGAGAGGTCAGCACCTTGTTTGATGACTGGTGCACCATGACAGCGGCCCTTTATCATGCTTTGCAAGACACGCTGGGTATGTCTCTTTCATCAAGTGTCGACACTATGATCATAACTTTACTAACACAGAAATTTGACCCCTATACAGGCCAAAAGCGGAGACAGGAGCAGCATGTAATCGACGAGATTAAAAAAAACGAAGTTGACAAGGAATTGAAGGAAGGTCAGAGAGAAAAGGAAGAGGCTAGGACAAATGAGCGAGCGAAACGCATGCAAGAGACTCGCGAAACGAAGGCAATGTACGAAAAGTATGCCGGAATTATAGGTAAGTAAGTGGACCAATTCCCAAGAGCCAGCTTGAATAACAGTAGTCGCAGCCAGCAGCAGCGTCTTGGCGGAAGGGGGCTTAACTGCTGTAGTTGCTTCTGCATCGGCAGTTACCACGGGAGTCGGACTTGCGGTTGCTGGTGCGACTGCCTACATACACTACAGAACCCTCAGAGCAGACCTCATGAGTATGGAGGAAGCTCAAGAACGAAGAAATCAGGAGATCCGTGAGCTTGAGGTGTCAAAAGCAATCCTTGAGCAGACACTGGCACACCTAAGTGCAGAATCAAAATCAATTGTACGTTTTTCTTGGTCTGATCACTTGTTAGGATGTTACTAATTATTCTGTCTTTTAGGACGAAGTCAAACAAATTGTGCAATTGTCTTTCAGGAAGGTGACTGAGCTACAACAGCTAGTCAGGAAGTTCATGCAATTCCTTCTCGATATCAATACCATTATCGAATACACAGTGGAGCACAGTACACTTGTATACGATATTGTCAAGGATAAAGAGGACTTGATCGATCCTGGTGTCAAGATGGTATTGCTCATTCAGTTCCAGGGCCCTTATTATGTTTCAAACTGACATCCCGTTAGGAGTTGCTGGAGAATGCTTTTGACATGAAGACAAGATTCATATTTGCCTCAAAAGCGTCAAGCGTTTACAACGCCGTCTCCAGCCAGTTCATCCTGCCAACTTTGAACAAGATACCGGAATTGGGTCTCCTGAACGAGGCTACGGAACGCGAAGTCATGACAAAAATGGAAGAGCTGCATGATCTGAGGTGTAGAGTCTGTACAGAAACCACATCTCTAACTCAGAGGGTTAGTCTCTCATAGCTCTCTTCAAAACGATCATCGAGCTCACAGATCGATAGATGCATGCAGAACTCAAGGAGAGCCTGGCAGAGGTAACCAGGACCTCTGCTAGAGTCTTCGAGGATATAGCGTCCGGTGATCGCGACGGTCCTGGAGAGGGGTCTAGGTGACGCTTTCAAATTGTCGGATCCGGTTATGTTTTGATTTCTACCTGTCGTAGCCGTGGGAGATAGTGGGCTACAGATAAGTTGAGCCATGAACTTGGGCTCCAATGGCGGATATGCAAAGCAGAACTTTTCGGTTTCCTCCTTGTTCTCGAGGCTTTCTTTGTTTGCTTAATAAAGTACCGCACCTTATGCAGCAAACGAAGAACGAACGATGGAGACCCACTGTGGCTCTATCCCACGGTCAGATTGGCTAGCTCGCTCAAGGAGGTCGACAGATTCGCTTGTCCCTTATCTACAATTACCTAGTAGTCTATAATCTACTATAAAATCGAGGGGAACTAAGGAACCTTCCTCTCAGGCGTATTATGGTAGATTACTAATATAAATAACGCGCTAGTTAATAGTTAGGGTCTACAGATTCTTGCTTTAAATATCTAGACCAGCACGTGATATAAGTAGAGTTAAGGTCTGCGAAAAAGTCCTACCCTAGAAAGGTATATGATGGCTTTACACGGTCGGCGTAAAGCGAGGCGTTCACATAAGAAGCGTAGTGTGCAGAAAGGGATACGAGTAGCGTACTCTTTTAGTCAAGTCAGGTGAAGAGTGACTAGATACAAGAAGGTCGAATCATCTTGTAAACAACAAAGATGTCAAAGTGGATTGAAATCTGTCAAACTTGATCTTTCTAACTAAGAAAACATGAAGTATTTATAACCGAAAACAAGAGGGAAGGTTCACATGGAAATCAGTACACAAAAGAAGGATTCGGAGTGCTATGAAATCTCCTTGCATGGTGGCTTTTCAATTATTGATTGCGATGCAGGTTGTTGAGAATCTTTGTTTATTGTCAGCGGGAAGGATCAGGTGATACGATATGATCTTTGCAGTATCCACACGGATATGCCAATAATATCTTTCTTCTTATTATAATATAGTCCTCGGCAAAAGATTTCAAAATTTTAGGGGTAGGATTAGGTTGATTCTTGGAAAAATTAGTCTTAATCGCTTCGTTCCGGGAAAGTCTCTATCTACTAAAAATAGGGTCGCGACCTATAGTTATTAATAGCATTACTTATAATGCCTAATTTTTTTCTATATCGTTATCCTTCTTGAGAGTAGCTACTTATCCCCTACACAGATGCATGACCTACAAGGCCCTAAGGGTTCGGTGCCCTTCTATTAGGGATTCGTGAACCCCTCTTCCCTGTAGCCTTTGCTTACCTCTGTTATATGTAGGCTACGTTAGACCGCATGTTATAATATTATCCATCGCCTTTGTTTTAGTTATGTGGGAAAGTGTTGAAGCCTATACATAAATTGAGGGTTATAGAGAGATCCATGATAGCAAGAAACAGTGTTTTGCTTTCCTTACTTGACGTTTATCTTCCTACCTAGTGGCTTTCTACCCTGTACAAGTAGTCATCCTCTAACATCCTAGGTGAGAATTCTCACCTCTGTCACCCCAGTCTCCAGACTTCTCACCCAAATCACCCACACTTACCCTAGGATAAAGTCGGATGCCGTTTTAAAGCTCAGGGCGCTTTGAGAATTAACTGCATACTATAGATGGCTTAAGTACGGCTGAGCGGACGGGAAGCCCTATTCTCCACACCCTGTGGTCGTATGTGCTTGAAATAGCAAGGATTAGTATCATATAGTCAAATTCGATCCGCTGTCTAGGGCTCACTCACTCAGCAACTAAATGTTGTATCTACAACTTAGGGTTGGATCAGAATATAGCAAGAAGTTAATCAATCTCCCTTCTCCAAAGAGAAGTTTCAAAGGAGAGAAAGCTGCCAACATAGAACAAAGATCAATTATTGAAGGCTGAGGCATTCACACAAGTCTTCGATATTGATAGCCATTCATAATAAAGTGAGAGTGGTAACGTGCGATGGTGGTATGTGTAAAGAAGATCGTTTCTTCCCTTAGGAGGTCATGATAAGCTAAGGCTATGACATAATCAGGCGGCGATGGTAACAGAGAGGGATACCAATTATTGAGTTCCCAACCTGGAAATCGTAATATACAGCGAACCCTCCAGTGAACCAGAAAGTGATTGCATAATTGAAGCGACAGATAACTATGAGCCTGAAATGGAAGTCCCCTAAGCAGAACAAGTTCTCTTTTCAAGTTTCTTCTTTCAAGGTTGAGTCGCTTTCCCATTCATAGAGACTAGAACGCTTATGTTCTTCAATCGCATCAACCTTGCACTCTGGTGATCTTTCAATCTGATCAAATGGGCTGCAGTCACTATCAGAGGAAAGCCCCCATATAGAAGCCATTTCAAGCTCATGGTAAAAGCCTTTCATGTTGATGCGGTCATCCAGGATGGCCGTTCTCTCCTCTTCTTCCGGTGTTAGAACAACAAATTTGTCCCTTTCTAGACGGCAACACCTGCATCCTATGGTGCAGTGATTAGCTTCGAATTTCCTTTGGGGGTCAAATTGGCGTTGATAACAGCATCCGCAGCCCCGGGAGCAGCATCCCTGTTTCCTTATACAATCAGCAACAAGAACTCGATGCATATACCAGCTAGGATCAGATCGCCAGAGATCTATTCCCCTTTTCAATACCCCTCTGAATTCACTTCGATAGCTCCATAATTCTCGTCTCTGGCGCAATATTCGTGCACGTAAATCTCCGAACCCCTTTTTGGTCACTATTTCAGGATCCTTGGAGCAGTCCTCCTCTAATTGGCTGTGATATTGTTGGCGGGTTTCCAGTTTAATAAATTCTCTGATAGGCATTGGCCCATTCTCATATGTTGCTCCCTTCTGAAGGTCGAACCGATAGCGTTGCAAAGCATTCAGATTGCCACTTTGTTCTAGTGCAATTTCCACTACATTCCTCTCAGTCGGAGTGAAAACTCCAGTTTTTTCGGATTGACTCTCATCTCCAAGATGGCGACGGGAGGTCCAGCTATTGAGAAACAAAGAGATCATGTTTTCTTTTCTTGAATTTGTCCTTTTTTTCTTTGCCTGGAAATTCCCTATTGGATACTGGATAATTCACTTTGTCTTATAATTTTCAGGATCAAAGTGAGGGCGTTGTTTGGGGTGTCAGGGAGGAAAGATATCTCCAGACCGGCGGACCGTCAGATAGCCAACAACCAGCAGGTGTTATCTCAGTCGACCACAAAGCCTGACGTCACCTGTCGCCTTGTCCAAGCAACGAACGGTACCTATCAAATATACCATGAGTGGTGATATTTGGTCCTTACCACCTATGGTCGACCCACACTTGGCGCTGTTGGATGACACAAAAATCTACCATCTTCAAGAAACATTAGGAATCTGCCTGAACCCTCAAATAGGAGGAATAAAGAGGGACGTCGTCAAAGTTGGAGAATAAATTCAATTATGGTCGTCTTACAGAAGGAAAAGCCCAAAGGTGAGATGGCAGTAGATTGTTAACCATCGACGTTCGCTGCTGACGAAGTACTAATAATCACAAATTTCGCACCTTATGATCAATGTTTACTACCTTTCTAATGTAAGCACCTAGTGGAGTGCTCCATGCATCATCCGTCGCCTCTATATTCTTCAGCCGCTCTTGCCCTACCTGTCAAGGGAATCAACCTACCCGTTCCTCGTGAGCGGGGTTTGATCGTTCTTGCTCTTTTATTCATCGAAATTGTGGAATTCATGTGCTATGAGTAGACTGCACTTCACAGGAACGAGAATTGCCCTGGAATCAATAGTAGAGTAGGGCATTCTAGATTTCAAGCCCCGGAAACCGGGATCGAAAACCAGATGTAAGGGAACTCATCGAAGACCTAGCATTTCCAGCTGTAGCGGAGAAATGCACCTGGTCTTTACTCTCCTTATTAACCCATTCATTCACCCAGCAACTATGTATATACATAAAACTATCTATCTTCTGTAAGTAGGTACAAGGCCAATTTCTATTTTTCTAGCATATACATTAAATCACTGCGGACGGTAAATTTGACGCCCCGAAAGACATCGTCACCCCCATGCAGCAGATTTCGCTGCTGAAAGACCAAGACTGACCCCGTCTTCGGGAAAACGCGCACTGTTTCCGTCGCATGGAAAGTATCCGCAAATGACGTCGCACCACCTAGGAGCGTCTCCTCTTCCTTCTCCTTGTCGTCTATCTTCTTCATTTCATTCTCATCATTCAGCTTCTCCGCCCGCTCCATCGCCGCTCCCAACTCTTCCGCATCCTGCTCCCCATCCCCATTCAAATACAAATGCATCGTAAACAGCGACTGCTCCCGCCCATCCGGCGTCACATAACACCCATCCCAGTGCGGCCGGAAGTAATCGCCCCCGTCGTACCGCAACACCCTTAGCCGCTCATTCACCCGCGTCAGCACTAGCGCCTCGCCGCGCCGCGCCGGCCCCAGTCCTGTTACGCCGGGCCGCCCTACAACACGGTCGACTCCGCACGCGTGCAGGTGCGGCCGTAGCCGGTCCAGCAGGCGCTGCGCGACGTCCGGTGAATCCCAGAGGATGCGGCTGCTCTTTCGCGCGTCGACGGCGAGGATCTGGCGGCCACCGCCGGCGTTGATCAAGGCGCGGTCCCAGGGAGCGTGCGGGGTCGGGGTGGATGCGGCGGCAAGGCGAAGGAATTCAGCGCATTCTACAGGGGTCATGAAGTTGTCGATAATGGCAGCAAAATGATCCTTAAAGGCGGGGATTGGGGGTGTGGTGGTTTGGAAGTCGAGGAGACGGAGGGTAGCGGGGGGTGGGGTTCCGCTGAGGAAAGAGTCGGGGATGGGGGGAGATTCCATACTGAAGGCGTTTTTTGGCGGGAAGGGAATTGAGAAAGACGGAGGATGACGGGTGTATTTGAATATGAGGTTGATGTTAGCTCTCGGTGGTCTGACAACCTGATTGGCCGGATTATTTCAAGGGCACAGCCATGTTAATGCATGGCGTGTGGAGTATAACTCGCTTATCCCAGGCTACTCTGGCCCCTTCACGGGTGAGAACCTGCGGCTCTGTGCGCAGGGACATGGGGCTTAGGCTTAGTGGTGGCTTAGCAAAACGCTAAACTAAAATCAAAGGTCACCGCCTATGGCTGGCGATGGGTATAGTTGTTTAAAAAAGAGGCTTAGAACGGGCCGATGATGTTACGGTCAACTCCAAATTTCAATATGCAATACCATCATGAAACGACCGTGATATTCGGCCCGATAGATTTACAATCACTAATGACCGTAATCACAGCCCCCTCCCCATGCGCCACATCAGTATGGTTGTATGTAGGATTCATCGCCATTATCTGGCCCGGTGTGGAGCCCACCTTCATCGCGATATCTTTATAGGTGCCGTAGGTGAAAGTCTCCGGCCAAACCAAGCACCGGCTCGGGTGGCACTGAGGAATTTTGAGAAAATTGTCGACAGGAACGGGGGCGTCCGGATCGGTCAAATTGCCCTGGGCCGTGGCCATCAAGGCGTCAACCGTAAGGTTCAATTTCAGTGCAATGTAGCGGAGGGTGTCGCCTTTCAGGGTATAGTATGTATGCGGACCGCCCTGGACACAGGTTGCGTAGGTGGCATTGGGCTCCGGGACGATCAGGCACGTCGAGTTGTCTGGCTCGCACACTTCGGGTGGGATGAGCAATTCCTCTGCTACAGTGAGAGGAAGCATAGCGTCGGCCATACGGTTTAGCCTAGCGATGTCGCAGATGCCCCGGCCGACAGTGCTCGATATAGTTGAAATAGACTCGCCTTCTTTGACAAGATAGGTGCCCACAGTGTGGTTGAGAGTGGATGAATCGCATAGAGACGATCTTCGAGCATAGTGAAGGGGATAATGTCCATAGGCAGCGCTGAGCTCTAAAAGCGAAAGCTGGAAAAGGAGAGAGAGCTTCATCGCTATAGAGGACTCAAATCTTGCTCGGAAGATTAGAAGCTAGGAGAGGGTAATGTAGGAATACAAAGAAAAAGACTAACCTATTAAGAGACTTCGTTGATACTGTGATGACCTCTATATACAAGGGATCAAGTAAGAGACTATTTCTGCATACGCAATTCCCGTCCGACTACTATCCAGGGATCTTCATCGTGGTACGCAAGTTCTTTTGCATGTTCATGCGTACCCCAGGGATGGTTCCGTGAAGAACCGACCGTACGCCCCGCTTCCAGTAATCCGAGATACCATTCAGACGCACAAAACTACTAAAAAAGTTTCAGATGCGACAATCGCTATTACAAAATGCGCGACGTGTCGCAAAGCCCTACCGAAACAAGTGATCAAGGCCGAGTCCGACCCACTCTCGACCCGAGCACGAAACAAGCTTAAACCATTGGAACAATCGGAGATAAATGATGATCCCTCCATTACGGTTTATGAAAATTGATGTTATTGTGTATTGTTGATCAATCTACTCGCCGGTAATAGCACGAATTATTGATCTGCTGCCCACCAAGCCGTCTTCAAATAGCGAAAGTTCCAATCTGTTGCAGAGAGCTTGAATAATGGACCATCGGGAATTGCAATTACAGATGTCATGCATTAATTTTGTATGAACGAAAGTGTAGTTGTCCCTTTGCTAGAAATCACGGGAAGCAGGGCTATCCGATCATGAGATCAAATGACTACTTGTGTACAAAGTACGGAGAGAGACAGATGTCTTTAGAGAATAGATCGTATTTGCAATCTTCAGTCCTTGATCTCTAACGCATATTGAAAAAAAAAAAGAAATGTATTCGCTGTATCAAATTCGCTGTATCAAATTATATCTATTATTTATGATTTTTCGTGTAATGGAAGGTTTTCATTCTCATATAGTTTCATGTAGAACTGTCGGGGGTTGTCGCAGTACCTGCATTCGGTGGCACAGCGCCCAACCGATAATCGTCATGTGATGCTGACTGGACAACTCAGTCACCACAGACCCTAAGCGCCTTAATCCTCCCCTAGGATGGTACTATCGCCATAAATGTATCCACAGGATGTATGGATTGCCCTTCTTATATCCCTTTTAAGTTTGAGGCATGATCTCGATCGCCTGGGTTGGATATTTTGTCGCGATTGGAATTACCCCGAGCCAAGAACTCAAAAAATTTCAATGATCCTTCTTTTTGAGTGCTATTTTTAGCCAAAGATAGCCGGGAGACCCTGAATTGTAAGCTGAAAATTAACGCCTTTGGATCGCTATATAATACTCCAAGCATCGAAACCCCCTCTCGTATTATCAGACGTCGGTATCTCCGAATTTGGCCTGGGCTATTTTTTTTTCTCCGTTTGGAGTTCGAGATTTCCAGTCGAGACCGACCGACATCGTCACACCACCATAATATGATTCGACAATCAATTATGTCTGGTGCGTCTCTACTGTTTCTGCCCTGTGTACAAGGAAGAGTACCGGGATCGCGTCATGCCCGGCTCGATGCCGAGGGGAAGCGCATAAAACCGGGCCGGTCTGGCGCCAACTGTGGGGATTGATAACCGATAAGGTCACCCACAATGATTAATGTGTCGCGAACGAGGCTAACCGAGAGCAAAAGACCCAAAAATGAATGGAAAATAGGAAAGAGGGTATATTGATCTATAATTTCTCTATGCGATGATAAATTTTTCACTTTTTTTGTGTTTGAAAAGAGCGTAAGCGGTTCATGACGAAGTGCGCCGTTCATCCAACTGGTCATGTAAATAGAGGCGTCCTTCCGTATTGAGAAAGCCGCCGATTCCAAAGGCGGGGATGATGCGACACATTCGCAAGAGTGACGCACCGATCCAATCACGGCTGATACGTGAGAAGCGGTCTTTCATTGGCATAACCTGCGGTCGATTATAGAGATCTAGGCCAAATAGGTGGATGGGAGTGCTGATGAGCTGGATGGAAGCGGGAATGGCCAGCTGGGCAATCAGAATTTTGAGATATTCTTGGGAGGCCACGGAGTCCGGAATGGTGGCGGAGACCATGGCAGGTAGACTGAAGGAGCCGAAGATGGTCAATCCGTCACGAAGCAGGAAGGCGGAGTATGTGGCCAGGGGAATTCTGGTGCGGCCGATAGATCGAGCGGTTTTTGGGGAAGCGGACTGGGGTTTCGCCTTGGGCGCAGCGTCGGCTGAAGTAGATACTGATGGTGACGATGACGGTGACGATGACGGTGACGGTGATGATGACGGTGATGATGACGGTATGGTATTATTATTGTTCTTGTGGCCAAACAGCTGGGCGAATTTCACATCTTTCCAGATGCCCACGGATGAGTTCACCACGAAAGTAGATGCAAAGGTGGTCATGCCAGAAATGGCGTGGTCGATATGGGGATAGACCTTGCTCAGCAAGGTCTCGGACATGTTGGCGGTGGCAAAGGTAGCGGTATAGAGAGACCAGACCAGGAGACTAGGGCGAGAGGTCAAAAAGGTCGCAGGTTGTGTGATAGAGAACCAGAGATGTCGACGGAATGCAGGGAACATGGGTTGGTTGTAGAATGATTTTTCAACGACAAGCCTAGAGATATGTCAGTACGGGCCAAGTGAGGTGCAAAAAGAGCCAAGGGGACGGTGGAACAACGACTGACCGATCAAAAATCATCACGGCGGGCGTAATAAGTGTTGCTGAGCCTGCAGCAACGAGGGTGTCGGCCACCAATAGTTCACCCATTCGGCTGCCGCTCCGGTGAATGCTCAGCGGCAATGGCTGATCCTTGAGGTTTTGGTTCATGATTCGGATGCGGAAGGTTCAATAGGAGGACGCTATCATAATAGATCTGAATATAATTGAAAAAGAGACGGAATGGGATCCTATCCAGGATGGTGGAACAGTAAGATGTCGGTGAGAGGACCCCGTCGAATATAGGGTGGACGTAAGACGATTTGGCCGGTTAAGGCGAGATAGAGGGACGGGAAAGCAGCCAAGGTTCCCCCTTCCGGGCTGGAGTTCGATCTGGGGGAGCACACGCGACTTTCGATTAGATACTTTTCTTACGCGGGGCAGTGCATTCTGTAAATTTGATCGGAAACAACTCACTGTGGATCGGGGCAGACAGTGTACCGAAATCTGCAGACCGGTGAAGGGGGAGCAGGGCGGACGAGGTGAGAGTGGGTTCGACCGAAGAATCAGAAAAAGGAGGGTAAGTAGAGAAAGTAGAGAAGGCCGAGTAGGTTGAGAAAGTAGAAAGTATCGAAGTTATAGCCTGTCGCCCGCAGCCCGATAATGGCCTGGCATCTTATCAAATTGATTCCCAACCCGTCGAGATTCTATAGATCGGCCCCGGCCAATTCAACCCCTCGTCGGCGACCCGGTCCAATCAATGACGACCGGCCCGGCAGCCGGTGTGACAGCGGGGCCTCTGATTGGTGAGAGCGCCGCCGGTGATCGCCCGGGTTTTCAGGCACGCTAAGTTTCCTTGACGAAATCGAAGCCTTCGAAGCCTTCGAAGACGTGGCGGACTCGAGCTTGAGAAATGCGTGAGACTCGGGACGCGTGGGATTGCCCAAAGCGGAATGATGCTGTTTCCCCCCGCATTCCTCCGATCGCTCGCCATCCCGGAGGACTTTGGGGTTTGAAACTTGGTCAATTCTCGTCATTTCCAAAGCACAAGGACTCGACTGAGGACAGAGGGCCCTCGTCACCGCCTTCCGTTATTCCTCGCGGTCACTGCAAAAGGAGTCTTGTGTGCCACGTCATGTGATGGCTTCGGTGGAGTAAACCAGGGGGCTTTGGAGTCGAGGCAACTGAGAACCGAATATCCCTCCTGGAACAGACTCCTATCCCTGCTTGTCGAGAACTTTGTGATAAAATTGGTGGTCATTGAGGTGAGCCGTCCAAACGGGATACCATGAGAGCATTGAGGAGATACAGTCTAGAAGTCAGCGGTTAGTATCATCAAAACTGCCCCTGAGCGTCCATAGAGGTGGAAGGCACCAACGGAGGAAAACAAGGAAAGGCTGAGATGGCATGATGTTGCATGACATTGCATAATCTTCCCCCGGGTCGTAGAACACAACGGATCTAAATTGGGGCAAACAGAGGAACAGGCTTGTGAGGAGAGAGCGTGTTGGTCGGTACTGGTACTAGCATCGGAAGTGCAATTGGCAATTGGCAATTGGCTAGAACTGAGCACGTAAAGATTAAGCAGCCACTCAAGCAACACCTAAGAGACACACATTGGAGACTTTCAATGGCCCGGGCTCAGTCCGTTATGGAGCTTTCCAAAAATGGGGAAAACGCAACACGAAGCAGGTTAAGAATTAAAAGAAAAATGACAATCCGCGTCACTTTTTGAAATTGTTTGAAGACAAAATGTCGTCCACGATTCAATCTGATCAAACCCTCCTACTAACACTTCCAGTAATTTTTTGGTAGGCCCCTAGAATGGGAGAATTGTCCATGCCTCTCATGTGCCTTTTTCCACTCACGTTGTCATGCCCTCAAACACTAGTATCCTGATCCATTGAGTTTCCTTGATTAGCGCCAACTGATGGTGAAGCTTTTATCGCATGGTGTTGGCCTACAACTCGATCCGTGTTCCCACTCTTTCCTGCCTTAATTCGTACATAGCCATCTTGATCTGTGGCTGGGCCGTTGACGCCCACAGGACCCTCTATCTACATTGTTCATCATCGGAAAGAAGGACTATTTCGGACCATGAAATCCCATTGGGATTATACTTTGTAATTTTCACTCCTTGTAGCGAGATTCGACCTCTTCAATTGAAATGGGTTGCCCAGCAAGCCGAACCCCTGCATCGTTCTAGTCATTGGTGTAGGTGATCTGATATTTTGCTCAAATAACCCCCGATGAATAATTGCAGCTAATCTGAGAAAGAAAGCGCGTGCAACCTGGAGCTCTATCAATATTCTTGATTCAAATTTTTCAAAAATGGCAAAATGCTCTAAAGGAGAGTTGTGGTTCGGCCCGGGGCTCTGCACTGGTTTTTCGGGAGATTACTAGACTGCTGATTCGCAACTTTATGAAACGGCGGAATTGTTGAGGACCTGGAAAAAAAGCCACTCGTTTGAACAGAGTATCCGGGCATCATAGCAAGGGGTGGAATAACCTTGTGGGCAAAAGGCACAAATTTATTCGGTGTGGGTGGACCCAACCAGGCAGCAGAATAATCACTGGAATTCGTCGGTCGCCTGATTTGCTTTCGCCAACTATCTGTCAACGTGTATGTTTGGTCTCTTGTGGGGGAAATTATGGAAGTCCCCCTTCAGCCCTACAGGGCTAAGTGGGGGTTGTTGGTCTCTATACCCAATCAGTCCCTCTTGATTATGCTGCTTGTCTCCATCGTAATGACGATTCTATGAAAATAGAATACTTGCGCGCCTTATTAGTAAGGTAGACTGAAGATCTTTGGCCTGGATGAGTGGCTCGACCTTGATATTATTATTAGTATTTTCCATTAACTTGGTCGGAGAAAATACAAGCTCTTTATTCACCTCCTGAAGCCGAGCTACCACAATGGAAAGAAAACTGAATCACACATTATTGTCATTCAAGCCGTTGAGTTTCAAACTCATCTGTGCGGCCTTTTGCTTCGGTCTTTCTGGCATGTCAAGAGGTCGGATAACCTTTCAGAAGACTTCTATGTGGTCGAGCTGACGAACGCTTGCAGGACTTGACGAAGGCCTCATCTCAACTACAGTTGCCCAAAAATCCTTCATTCGAGAATTTGACCTCGATTCATCCGAACGAGCCAGCTACCTTTCCAATGTCACCTCTATGGTGCATATCGGCAGTATTCCGGGCGCTTTGATCGCTTTTCTTCTTTGCGAGCGAATTGGCATGCTTTGGTCGATGCGGCAATTGTGCATGGTCTGGCTGGTGGGAGTTGTTGTGGTCATCACGGCAGATGGGCGTATTGGACAAATATATGCTGGGCGGTTCGTCATGGGGCTCGGAATCGGACAATCGGGAGTTGTCGGTCCCACCTACTTGGCGGAAGTTGCACCTGCTCGCACTCGAGGCATGCTGGTATCTGTGTTTGGAATGTCCGAGTATATCGGGATCATGATAGGGGTGAGTTCCGCACGATGACGATCCACACAGTTCTAACTAGCCTTATAGTATTTTGCTGCTTGGGGAGCTGCGTTGCACATCTCTAATGACACTGCCAAACAGTGGATTATCCCTCAATCCATACAAATTGTCGTGGCTGGCGTTTTGGGCTTATCTTCATTTCTTTGCGAGGAAAGCCCTCGGCATTTATGCCGAATAGGGAAACCAGATTTGGCGAAACGCGCTCTAGGGAGACTATGGTCTCTTCCCAAAGACCATGGAGAGATCTTGATGGAGATGCAGGGCATTCGAAGTCAAATTGAAACAGAACAGGGGTCGACAGCGTGGCGATCTTGGAAATCATCATTGAAAGAATTGCTAGTCGTCAAGTCGAATCGGAATAAGCTGCTTTTTGTGGCCTCGGGACAAATTCTCAGTCAATGGTCTGGTGCAAATTCTATGACGAGTAGGTTACACATGAAACTTTTTTTGGTCTTCGAAGTTTTAAATTAACATCCATCAAGCATACGCACCGGAGCTCTTCTCATTGTTTGGATTGACGGGCCAGTCTGAAAAACTGTTCACCACTGCTATTTTTGGTGCGGTCAAATTTGTCGCTTCTCTCATCGCGGCCTTTATCATGATTGACCATATCGGTCGGAAAAAGTCTTTGGCTACAGGTATATTGGTTCAACAGATTGCGATGTTGTATATTGCTCTATATCTCACTGTGGTGAGCTTGTCCTCGGACCAGAAATCTTCTTCAGCAGATCGAGCGGGGCTTGCCGCCATTATATTCATGTATATCGTCGGGATTGGCTGGGCCCTCGGCTGGAACTCAATTCAGTATTTGATGAATGCTGAGGTTTTCCCCCTGCGTGTCCGAGCGACAGGTACCAGTCTGTTGATGTGTTTTCACTACGCGAACCGGTACGGGCTATCTAAAGTATGTTTGTAAGAATATCTGCTTGGCTACATGGATGCTGACAGGGGCAGGCTGTTCCATATATGCTGCTTCAAGATTCCCTTCAACCAAAGGGGACATTCTGGTTTTTCTCAGTCATGACACTTTTTGGATTCTGGTGGACTTGGCTCTTGCTTCCGGAGACTGCAGGGCAGGCTCTAGAGGAGACAAATAAATTGTTTTCATAATACGTCAAGGAGATAAAGGAGATACGATTTCTCCATATCAATGACTGCAAAACGGCCTATCGTCTTGGGATAGCTTTTTCCATGAAAAACAGAGACGGAGATTGAACGGACTCCGATCCCCGATCTAGTGCTTATCGCCTTATCAGCAGAGGTGGCGGTCGAGTTGCCGCGCTCGCCCGCACAAACGGCTTCCCTCTTTCACCCCCCATCAACGAGGCTACGAGGCGACAAGCCGCCGAATAGAGGACTTGAGACGCATGAATATACCCATCCCAAACAACTCCACTCCCCCCATGACCACACATGCCGATGCTGCGGTCCCACCGCGCGTCTCACAGCGTCGGCCGCTGGCGTGTCGAGGTAGATTATCTATTTCCTTTCTAAGCGATGGGCATGATTGACGCGATTTAGAATGTACGAAGCGAAAAAGAAAATGTGACAAGCAAATTCCATGCTCAAGATGCCGACGTTTGAATCTGGAGTGTTCAGTGGAAACTGTCCGTCTCCGACGAAATACTGTTCAACATGCATCTGAGATTCAATTTCTTAACTCTATCTTAGCTGATTTGGACTCTTCTCCGCCACAAAAACTGCCTTATATCGCGCAACGATTGCGGGAAAGGATTTCGCAATTAGAAATTGGAGAAAGTTCCGGGGCTTCAAACTATCAAGTCAACCATGAACCTCTACCGGAGGTTTTGAAAATACCCGAACATTATGATGATAAGCAGCCATTGCGACATAAGCTGGCCGAAGTGCCAACGGAGAGCGCAGATCCACCGCTTCTGACCGCAATTGAGCATCTCGCCTGGGGCCGTAACAGTGCAGGCTGTTTTCCTCATCGGAGATGTGCATGCCAGTATCGCAGAGATCGTTCTGACGTATTATCAATGAATAGCGGATCATTCCAACTACACGGCTCCCCATTAGAATCGGCAATATTCATACCAATGACTGTCGATGCCCAGAAGCTAATCAAGTTCCATATTGGCCATTTGATATGGCACCACAACTGTTTTCATAGTACGACCTTTGTGGAGCAATGCGAACTCTTTTGGAACACCGGAAGATGTGACCATCCCCTCTGGATAGCTCTTTATCTTTCAGTTCTGAGTTGCACGGTCAATTCAATCCAAAACAGTCGCAAACTGAGAGGTTTATTAGAGGTCAACCTCGACGAAATGCCTTCGGCTCAACAGCTATTTTCTGCTATGGTCCACACCCTGTATAACTCCCACTTCCTAAATAATCTCTCCATATATTCGGTCCAGGCCATTGTGATTTCAACCGAGGTTGCCCATAACCTTGGCCTCAGCCAGTTGAACGCGACGATGTTCAATGCTGCCGTTCGAATCGCCGAATGCCTTGGACTTCACAAAATCAAAGAGCATCCCGCATCTTTGACCCACACGAAGGATCAATGGGAAGAGCGGGTAGAACGGGAAGTCGGACGGCGAGTATGGTGTCAAATGATCATTCAAGACCATTTTGCTATACCGTTCACCGATACATACAGCATCTCTCCCATGCATTTCTCAACGGGTCGTCCCCTGAATGCAGATGATCACAATTTAAAAGAACTCCCCACCAATGTCCCAACAACCAGCACCTACGTTCGTGTATTAGTGGAATTGGCTGCACTAATGCCAGGGCTGGTCGACGGCTTGGGACCGATGAACAAGCGCAAACCACGTCGGGAGCAATATGAACATATCCTCCAAGTTGATCAGAAAATGCGAGCAATCGTGAAAGATATACCATCGTTCCTACTGCGGCCAGACAAGGTCAAGGAAGCGAAAATTCCGTGGCTCAGCATTGTCCGACGAAGTCTTGCTATCACAGCAGCGGAGAAAATTATAATGATCCACCGGCCCTTCCTCTTCCGTTCCTTCCACGATCCCAATTATGGACACTCACGGCGGACATGCATTGCTGCTGCGATGACCATCCTCCGTGAACATGAAACGATTGTGAAAGAGGAAGATCTTTCGATCTGGACACATACCGCATTTGCAATTACTGCGGCAGTCATCCTTTGTTTTGAGGTGAATGCCACTGTAGAAGACCCGAATGATGGGAAGGTGGAAATGTACCGGGATGCGGTCGTGACAGCTCGCGAACGCCTAGCATCTCGGAACCAAGACGTACTCGCCCAGCGTGGTGTCGCACTAATTGATGCCATTCTCATTGCCGAGGGTTCTGGTCTTGGCGCTCGAGAAAAACGGCGAGGTGCGACTATCGATTTCAATCGAATATTTGCAAATTTCTCGACATTAAGCCGGGTTATTTTGAACCCCGAGGATGAATTGGCTCTAGGGAGATTCACAGGAAACAGCCCCGATGATTTCGCTAGCGTAGACACTAACGAGATGCAATTATCATGGGACCAGGAAGAGATTGACTTTGACATCTGGTTTAATGGCATTTTCAACGATTTTCAGCCGTCATCGTTATAGCAAGGAAGGACCCGTTATGATGAATTCGTGTTATTGTTAAATCAAGCGTGGGGGAGTTTAGAATGTAAAGTATAGTACTGTGTTGGAATGCCTGGTGATATATAATGAGTCCATTCCATTTTTTATTTCAAGTTTACTTATGTGCAACTGAGCTGGTATCCACATGCATCTGCTGCAAAGCGTAGCAAATGCAATACTCTGGCATCCGTGCTGTTCTCCAAATACATACAAATAGCAACACACTCTTGTCTAATCCTTCCTTCGATCCACGGTTGCCACTCAGATAGCAAGCACATCAGTCCCATCCAATGTGCTAGTATGATGAGTGCTGGGGGATCTCGTTTTCGTAGCAGGTTCAGGAAGTCGCACTCCAAGCGACCCATGAAAGACGCACAATGACCGGCATTTGATGCGTTCCTTTCCAGCTTCATCAGAGGGGTAAGCATGCGAAGAGGACTGTAATAAATGCTTGTCATTTCTGTCGTAAGATCGTCAATCTCGCAAAGATCTGCAAGTGCCGGGTCTAACCCATCGCGCCCCTGCTCCGCGACGTCAAAAATCGTCCGCGCTTCTTTATCAATATCTCCGAATACAGTCCCCCAGATGCTATCCGGGATAAACGGCGCCGCTAGGATGATGATTGTCCGGAGTCCACTCTGGAGACAAAGCCAGTTCATAGCTTCTGGCCGGTTGGTAAGAACCCAAGAATCCGTAGATTGGAAATTCTCGGGACAGATTGTCATCACGCCCATCAGCATGCAGCTAGATAGCAGAGCATCGACATTCTGCCTGCTTACTGTTGAGCACAATGCTGCTTGGTAGAGCTTGATAGCGTATTGCCAGAAATATGATTCTGCAAAAGCTCGTTCCCTGGTCGGTGATACCCGGTTGAGATGAAGCATACCAACCCCCAAAATGGTGTACATTAAGTAGTCGCTCTAAGACTAGTCAGAACACGACCTATTCAAGTCATTTTCTATTTTCTCCCTGACGACTTACAGTAAAAGCGACACGGATCACGTCTGTCCTCATTACGGCTCGGATACCAGGATTAACAATGGTCTCTGATGAGCGCTGGATAAAATGATGGAAAGCCACAGTGCTCATCGGGTGAACCACGCCCTTGCTTTGTAACAGAGTTGGATTACACTTGACATCAAATGCAAGAACGTCTTCGATCTTTCGCGTCACATTATCGAGGGAGAGAGAAAAGAAGGCACCCGTCGGGTCGTGAAGCGTTGGCGAGTCATTGCTCAAATTTCCACTTTGCGAAACCTCCACTTCTGAGGAATAGCAGCACTGAGTGCCTCGTGTCTGGCATCGTGAACAATGCGGTTTTTGCTCATCACACTAAATTGGACTTCAGTGGCCGCATCTTGAATGAACAGCTCCTATAATATAGTATATATATCTTGCGGCCCATACCTTGACTCTTCGCTTCTTACAGATCACGCAGCCCCCACGAGATTTTTTGTGACTCCGGCGCGGATGATAGCCTGATATCTGCTTCTTGCCTATAACAGAGACCCGAAACACATTCTGAAGGGGCTTGGTACCCCTGGTTGACCCTCCGTCTGATATAACGTCATCTGATGGCGACTGGTTTGAAGAGTGGCTGTCCACGGACATGACTTGTCAATTCAGACTTTGATCCTGCTCTTACAAACAATAGTAGATTGGCATCATGAATATTCTCTTCACAGGCTATTCAAGAAATCATCAGTCTCGCGAAAGGAAGCAAACAATAAAGTCAAATCAAGTCAATCCCGTCGTATTGCCCCCGACCGGAGCATAGTCACGTGGTTAACGCACGAGGGTTCAATGGTCATGTGATCAACTCCACCCTCAGGCCCCAGCTACCGTAACAGTCTTTTTTTTGGCTTCTGTGTCAAGTTCAGTCATTATCGGCTGAAGAATCTGCAAGATGACACGCATAATTCTAGAAAATTCATCGTGGTTAAAGATATAGTAATGAATCAACCCAGCCGTGTCCAGTGTCCCTGATGATTTTCCAAACAAGGCACTGGATGGACTTTGAAGCAGGCTATCCCGATCGGGCAATCCCTCTATTGAATCACGTGAGTCATTTATACTTCTATGGGCTCGATGAGGGAGAAAACATCGAATTCCAGAAAGGGATGACAATGGACAGGAAAAATAAGTAGCAACATATGATAATCCTCTCTGGTAAACTGGGAATCGACTTGCAGATTCTGAGGTCAGTCCCTCTGCTGCACGGCATAAACATGGTCTTACTTCGGTATGCAATCGGAGGTGACAGCTGCAAGGAGGCGTAGCTTGGACGATGAAGAATTTGGCACCGGAATGTGGATATCAACAACTGCCAGCAAAGAGAAGGAGAAGACTGAAATCACCCTTGGTGGTCGTCTTTCGGATATGGAGGGACAAAAAACAATAGTTTGTGCTACTTGCGACCTTGGCTTGAGAGTGCAGAAGGCATATGTACACTTCCATTGGCTGACGTTGGGAGACTCATCAACCTAAAATTATTGAGAGAGAGAAAGAGAGGGGGTTAAGGCATCTCAGGGTAGAACAATGTTTCGGTCTCCACCAAGGGAAGGGTTCAGATGTTGCATCTGTGATGCCCAGTCATGGAAGGACATGGAGACTTGGGGATGAGAACCAGAAACGGGCCCACGGAAGATTGGTATGTGCTTTGCCCGCGTGGTTACCCTGGCAGTCTCGCATCCGGTGGCTCTTTCCCTGCCGGTAAAAAGGCAATCGAGCTTGTTTACAGGCGATTTCCACTTGTCGAAAGCCCTTGAAAAGCACCTGCCATTCCCGACTGCCCCTGCTTTGCTACCTTTCTACTTCCCATTTCCTACTTCCTTCTTCTTCTTTTCCTCACCTTCGTCCTGTTTTCCGTTTCTGTGCTCCTCACATCCGACTTCTCTGCATCTTCCACATCAAATCGCCGTCGACTACGTTCATCATGATTCCCTCCATCATCCTGCTCTCAACCCTGGTGGCCTCGGCCTTGGGCGGCAATTCTTCCACCTACAACTTCCCGTCAGGGTTCAATATCGGCCTAGTCAAGCCGGATCAACTGAGTGAGTTCACGCCCCAAGACCTGCAGCAACAGCGAGCGCTAACATAAGTCCCCGTCCCACAGACTCATGGTGTGAGGGCCAGCGCAACGTGTGTCCCTCAATTTGCAAGGGCTCGACCAAGCAAAACACCTGCGATCCTGTATGTGCTTCGACCGGCTCCAGCATGGAACCCGGCCCACGCTGACACTCGTTTCACAGAACACCCTGAAGTTCGACTGTATCTGCTCGGATGGAACCACGCCCGACGTCTCTCCGTTTATCCAGACAGTTCCATTCTATGTCTGCGAGGCTACTTATGGCCAGTGCATCGACTCTCACCCGAATGACGCTCAGGGCCAGCGAGCTTGCAAACAGGCCGCAACCTGTGGCAAGAAAAACTCAACTGCTTCCGATACTACCAGCTCGAGCGCGTCGGCATCCAGTACCATGGCTATCGCCACTGCGACTGGCTCTGACTCCAGCAAGACCACGTCGTCGGCCGTTGCGGCAGCGAGCACCACAACCAACGCCGCCATTATCCTGGGCAGCCTTGAGGGTTACTCCACAGGTTTGATGGCAGGCGCCATGGTGTTGGCCATGCGGTTCTTCCTGTGACAGAATCCGTCTAGACGATTCCCCATTGCTTTCGGAGTTAGCTTTGAATTTTTGGCGTCATTCTGCGTCCCCATTTTCGTATTCTCTTATTTTCGGCGCGATGACAAAACTTCATTCTGTTGTATTTGCCTTTCTCTTTGAGTTTTTGATTCCCCGTTTCCTGAATGCTTCCAGGTTGTTGATGTTATCCTCTTATCTATGAACGTGGTGCCCATGTCTCTTAGCGGAGTTTGGAGTGTTTCTGTCACGTTAAACAAAAACAACCAAGAACCATGGAGTTAATAATAGTACCGAATAAGGCCGATTGATCCTGTTTATTTCTTATTTTCCGTAGCATTTCGCTCGCTGGTGGCCAACGGGGACGAATAGTTAGGAGTTGAAGGTGTCACCGTTGCGGAAGGGACTTGATGTTCCCCCTTCGCCAAGACTTTTTTTGGCACACACTGAAATTTCTCAACTTATCGATAGACTCCGCCATCAAAGAACCCTCTCTTCCCCCCTCTCCTCCCACCACACACCTCACCATGCCCGCTCCATCCAACACCCTCCTCATTGAGGGTTCTTTCGCCGAGCTCGCCGACGAATTCGCCCAGTACATCGACGCTCTCCGCAAAGAGGGCAGCCTCCAGTCCGAGATCGCCCCGCTCCTTGAGCCGATCCGCCAACAGGAACAATCTGAGGGCGAGCCCAACCTCAAGCAGCGCGATGAGGTCTTGAAGAAGCTGGTGGCTTCTGCGACCGTTTTGAACAGTGCTCCCGAGAAGGGTAAGTTGAGTGGATATTTCCCGGATCGAAGATTGCGACGGTGGTATAGAGGGAAAAAAAAAGAGATATCTGGAAGACGGCGAGCCGGGCAGCAGCCTTTCCCTCATCTTCCCTCGGGATATAAGAAACTGATTATGGACTCGTACCATCTGCAGAAATCACTCCTTCCTACAACCTGCTTGTCCACCTTATTCACCAGTCGTCCGACGCCGACGTGTTCCTTCCTCGCATCTGCACCTATCTCGCTAAGCCCATTACCACCTCTCCCCAATTCGGCCCTACATTGGCCATCTCGATTCTCACCACTATTTTTAACACCCTGTCCTCCAACGACTCCAGCCGCTACCATGTTCTCCTGGCCATTGTGGCCGTGATCCGCCAGTCCGGCTCCGGATACGCCTTCGAGGCCCTCAAGCCCCAGCTTGCCTCGCAGCTGCCCACCTGGCTCTCCGCTTGGGAGCTCGATGACGAGGAGGCTCAGAAGCTGCACCTGGCTATTGCCGATGCTGCTACCGCCGCTGGTGATGATGATCTGGCCCAGTCCCACGTTGTGCAGGCTCTGCAGACCATCCCCTCTGCTGATGCCAGCAAGCCCGCTGCTCGCGACCTCGGTGTGCGCGCTCTCGCTTCGGCTCTGCGACGCCCGGCTGTCTTCGACTTCACTCCTCTGACTGCCTCGGATGCCGTCCAGTCTCTCCGATCCAGCGACAGCACCCTCTTCGAACTGTTGGAGATTTTCACCTCGGACACCCTTGACGCCTACGAGGCTTTCATCAGCACCAACCCTCTCGCCTCAATCTCTGGCGGCGTTCTCGCCGACGCCTCCGATGCCCTGCAGACCAAGATGCGTCTCTTGACCCTCACCTCGTTGGCTGCTTCCACTTCCTCTCGCTCTCTCCCCTACGCCGCTATCGCCTCTGCCCTGCGCGTTCCCGCCTCCGATGTCGAGATGTGGGTGATCGACACCATTCGCGCCGGTCTCGTTGAGGGCAAGCTATCCCAGCTGAAGCAGGAGTTCCTTGTGCACCGCGCCACCTATCGTGTCTTCGGTGAGAAGCAGTGGGCCGAGGTTCAGGGCCGTCTGATGGTTTGGCGCCGCTCCCTGGAAGGCGTCCTCACCGTCATCCGTTCCGAGCGCGAGCGCTTCGTCCGCGAGGGTATCCAGGCTGCCGCTGATCAGGAGGCCGCGGCTGCTGGCACTAAGAATGGCGACAAGGCCCGCTCCGGTGACCGCAGACGTCCCCAGTCGGCTCAACCCGTGCAACCGCGCGAGGTGGAGGCTGTTGGCGAGTAAATGCGACGAGGACGAAATTGTCTGGGATTACTTGGCTGCATTGGAGTAGGTGTTTTTTCTGAGGTGGAGTGGAAGACCAACAAAAAAAAGCTCGCCGAACAACCAAAAATCTTTCTTCGTTGCCGCTCATAGAGAGGAGATACTTCCTTTTCGTGTCTCCCTTTTTGGTTCCCTCTCCCTCTTGCCCCCCCCCTCATCCCCTATCTACCTTTCTTTTTACCCCTCATGCATTGTGTATTTCTTTTTCAATTTTCTTGCCCTTGGTCAGTTTGTAGGGATGGATATAACTGGCCCCCGTTGATACTGGGATCCCCACGAGTCATGTCATGTCTGTTTTCTTTTCCTTTTATTTCCCGAGTCTGTTCCATGTTTGCCCGGCGGGATGAACTTTTTTACTGGTTGATTTCCTGGCCTTCAATCAAAGAATAACAATACTTCTAGATGGCTTGGTGATGTCAAATCGTAGTGTAGGGACTTTGCTGGGCCGTGTGAGTTTTTCCACGTAGAAGACCACCTGCTTATAGATCGGTTCCTGGGCAATACACACTCCCCCTAAACCGCTCTAGGCCGTCCCCCATGAAGAAAAAAAAGGTCTATCGAGAGGAACCAACACACAAGATGATATGTTAATATCGGCGTTCTATGCTCTAAGTACTTCCAAGCTTGTAAAACAGAAGAAAGAAATGAACAAAAGACAAAAAGCAACAACGACAACAGAAGAGGAAACCATCTCGGATCACCCAGCCCCTGAATCTATGTACATTCAAACCTGCCCCGTCCATACTCAACGACGCTCCAGACCCCGCGCCTCAATACCCTTCTTGACCTCCGCATATACTTCCTCCACCGTGCCGGTCGCCTTCACCGAAACAACCTTATCCTGCTTCTCAAAAGCATCCACAACGGGCATCGAGGTCTCGACGAAGGTACGGAATCGCTTGCGAATGGACTCCGCATTGTCGTCGTCGCGTCCGCTGGTCTCGCCACGCTTCAGCAGGCGCGCCTCCATCACGTCCTCGGGGCAGTCCAAGAACAGGACCAGCTCGGAGGGACACACGGATTCCTCGAAGAAGACGGCCTGGTCGAGCTTGCGCGGGAAGCCATCGATCAGGAAGCGGGCCTTAGTTCCCGGGGCCGGCGGGGCGGTGTCCAGGGAGGCCTTCATGGCGTTGGACAGCAGAGCGACGGTCACATTCATGGGCACGATCTTGCCCTCACGGATGTAAGTCTTGATCAGCTCGCCGTACTCGCTGCCCTCGCGGATCTGCTCGGCGCGCAGCAGGTCGCCGGCAGACAGGTGTACGAAGCCGTAGTCCTTGACGAGCTTGGCGGACTGGGTGCCTTTGCCGCTACCGGGGCCACCAAGGAAGAAGACGACTGTTACGTCGTTGGTGGAGAAGCGCGGGGAGGCAGTTGTAGTGGACATGGTGGATTGTTTTGAGGATTGTGGTTTTTTTGTTTTGGAGGGGAAGGCGCTCGATGGATTGGAAGGATAGCGAAATTATGCTCGAAAGGAAAGATGGGTCAAAGATGGAAAGGAATTGGATTCCAAGGAGCACGGGATGCGTAGGTTGTTGCCGTGTGGTGAGAGTGACGATGAAGGTTTTGGAGGGGTAGCAAGCCACTCGAGAGCGGTAGGCGGGAAGCTCGACGGGGCCGTGTTCACGTTTCTTGCTGGGCCTAGCGGGCTGCAGCTACGGCGATCTCGGTCTCGACTTCGGTCCCTCCTTCCCTCTGTGTGTGTCTCGCTGTCTAGTTGGACGGACGTTGGGGCGATTGGCCAGTTCGCGACTTGACTAGAAAAACGTAGGATCCAGAGCCAATGGCAATGATGGTGAGGATGGGCAGGATCTTGAACTGCGAGCGGTCGTTGTGAGGCGCGGAGGACGGGCGCGAGGGTCCAGGACCAGTTGAGGACAGGCGACGGGGGCTCAATCGCACAATCTGGACAGGAGAGACACAAGGCCTGGAAAAGGTTCCAGTGAACTGACGAAGAAACTGCGACATGAGGATTGTGGTGGACGATGTATGAAGAGGAAAAAGGTCGAGGTGGTTGACGGAACAGGACTAGCGGCTGTCGAGCTGTGCCGGAAGAGTCGAGATGCGACGAAACGGACTAGTATATCCATATGCCCACACAGAAGCCCCCGTGAACGAGGAGGGATGGGGGATAATTGAATAGCAGCAAGCATTTATCATCCGAATGATTTATCTGAACTCCCGATGGACCGACAGAACCATTCTAGTGAACCAAGTCTGTCAACTCATGCACCAGCCATGGCATCGACATCGTCTTCGCTCGGTCTATCCGAGATCAGAAAAAGAGATTCTCAATGGACCGTGACAGGGATCAAATCTGGTGAATTCATGCTCACTTACGCTTTAATTTATCCTGGGCAAGTGAACAATTCGTGAAGAGGCAGTTCATACGGATTGTCTGAGGTTTCTCGTCTACCTCACTGTCGTGGAATCCCTCGCCTAGCCTGATATCAAGGCCGCGAGGCATCACTCTCAAGCTTCACATTCACTACCATCCACATGCTCACCAGTCTCTTTGTTGTATATATCCCTTCCACCACCTACTCACCTTCCAACAACAATACATCACCGTTCACTTACTTCCATCATATTTTCTCCACCCCGTTTTGTCCTTAGCCGTTCAATAACATCCAACAGCCAGCATGGCGCAGTCCTTTGAGGATCTGACTAAGTTGGTCATTGCTGATACGAAGGGAGAATATGACAATGCTATCATCCAAGCCGGCAGACAAGAGAGTCTGGGAGGACCAATCAAAACTCAGCAGCATGCAAGAGATAAAGGCGCCATGCCCCGAGTCACCGCGGAGATTGATCTCTCCCACCTCGCCCACTTCCAGTTGCTGCCGGGTGAGATACGACAGAAAATCTACAAATACCTCTGGTCAGACCAGCGGGTGATGATTGGACGCACGAAAACCATCCATCAGATTGACGGGCCGGAGAATCACCGCCTTGCTCGTAACTACCTGTGGTTTCGGGATCGAACCACTCATACTATTATCCCTTTGAAAGATGAAGATGAAATCCCTGAGAGCCCCATGGGCCTCATTCTCTCCTGTAGGAGTATCCATACGGACGTCATCCATTGGCTCTATGCCACGACCCAGTTTGTCTTCTACAGTGTCAAGGCCGCCCGTCGCTTTCTCAAGCTCATCAGCCCAGAAGTGAAGGCATCAATCTGCCACATTGAGATCTTCTACGCAGTATACAACGATCCGCAGCCGGTAAATGACCGCACCTGGAAAGACCGCAGCGATGCATCTTGGATGGCCTTGTGGCGAAGGCTGTCCGACGAACTCCCTTCTCTCAAAGTCTTCTACGTGGACCTGACCCTGTACCACCGAACCGTTCTGAATATGCAACCTGGAGACCCTCTTTCTGACCTGTATAGTGATCTGTGTGATTTCACCTGCTTTCCACAGCTCGAATGGCTGGGGATGATGCTACGGGCCAAAATCCCCACTGACTTGCCTTATATGATGATGCCAACTTTCCATGCTCTTTCAACTGGAATTTTGAAAGGTATGCGCGAGGACCTTAGCGTTCGGTTCTGCCAGACACGAAATAAGGGCAGGAATACTGAAGTATTGATCGAATTCGATCCACTCTATCACATTTTTTGATTTCAGATTCAGAAGGATGGAGATGAGATCTCACGGGGCTTGCGTTTGTGCGTTGTTAAATTTCGTTTGCTGGTGCTGTTGGGATCAAAATCGACGTGGAACAAATTCAATCAACAACAACAAGAAGAGAGAGGGACCTAGCAATCGCTAGCAGAATGAAATGGCATGTGCATGTGAAGCTATCGGCCTATGCAGCCGCAGTAGCGAGAACCATTAGCCCACAAATTCAATACACATTTTCCAGACTCATACCCTGCACCCCTGTAGGTGCCTGCAGCTGAAACTGCCAAACATTATTATTCTCAAAAATAAGGCTGTCCTTGCATGACCCTGTCAGATCTAGAGTGCCTGCCAATTCTACCCGCATGCGGCTATTAGCTGCAGGCCCCTCAAGCTTTCTGGTAACCGCCTCGGCAGCCTCAAAATTGTGACGAGAATTCCCCGGAAATTGGGAGCAGGGAAGCGTTTTTCTGAATAACAAGTGACTGATGCCCATGGGCTTGAATTTGAATTATTGGATCCATGTTTCATCCCCTCGCTCAGTTGTCTCGAAGACCCCAGGTCGCTGGGAGGGTTGGGATTGTAGCATTTATAGCAACTGAGTATTCGGTACTTAAGTGGGCATTTTCGGCTAGTAGTAGTAAAAAAAGCCAATGATTAATTCTTTCTACTTTGATTGACACCTGGGTACTAGACGAGCATTGGTAGCTGACAGTAGTAGAACAGGGTAGGAGTATCTCAAAAAAAGGAATTTCGGAAACAATGCCAGTCGCTTGAGATTTGAAGATCAAGCTAATCGCCAATATTAGCTTTTTGTGTTCAATGTTACCTATAGGGTGCTCGACGGGGATTATTCATACTACGATCCCCAATCGCTCTCGTTACCAACGAATTCCACAAATAAAACGCTTCCCTGAACACCCAGGGGAGCAAATCTTCATCTCGGTCTTCTTATAAGCTTACAACCACCGTTGAAATACAAGAAAAAGCCTCGTTTCAGCTTGTCTGGCCCTTTCGAAGCCAAAAATTCGGGGATAGCATTTGTGACATTGTGTCGCCGAGTGTTTTGCGCCGGCCGAGTGCCCTGTAGTATTACGCTTTGACGCTCTAGGAAAGTCAATCCAACTCGTATAAGAATACGATATGATGATACGGGCTATACGGGATGTGGGATGCATTGTATTGTAAAGGTACATTTTGTGATTATCGGAGCATCGCATATCGGCGTGTTGCTGCCAGCAACCCTGGCCAAGCGAAATACTACGGTCGAATTTGGCTTAGCGGCGCTAATATTTGCCTCGGTATGTCTGCAGATCTATCAATCTATGCATCGTTTCATATGCATGCTATAATTGGACTGTAGAGATGAAACAGGGTGGAATCTTATGAATCAGAAAACAAGCTACTAAGGGCTAGGGGCGATGAGCAAATGGAAAGGAAGTCAATACCACGATGCCGATTACAACAACTACGTGCAGCGGGTCCATACTGCTGTAATTCTCGGAAAAATACCTAGTCGACCTCGTAGAGACTTACCGATGATCCCAATACAGAGTGAGACGGGTGATGGGCGAATGAAGCAGAGGATCTCAAATAAGGTTCCGAGCTATCCTCAATGATGAAAACAAGAAACAAGGTACATGACAGCTGAGGGACGAGTGGTGACTGGACAGACTAATTTGAATTTACTATGACTAGATTTGGCCTTGGGGTGGACCAGAGATCCTACCTAGTATCTGACTTTGATGGCACTGTTTGCTCCAGTCTGGAAGGGATCCTCACTCGTAGATAGGCCTTGAAAACTGGCCCACTTAATGCTCACACTAAAAGAAACCCTTTCCCCATGAACGTGGCTACGCATTCATCGAAAAGAAAAGTCTACCGTCACCTGGTATTCTTCAGGGGCCCCGTGGTCCCGCTGGAGATCATGATACGACTGAGGGAGCACTAGAGAGCGTTCTCTCAGATTTTCTTTCCATTTTATTTTCATTTTATTCCCAAAATTTGACATGAATAAATTTTCTTTTCTTTTCTCTCTGATTCCGTGATTTCGTAAACCTTTTGCTCCGTTCTCCCTTTCGGTATTTGTATGTGTCATAGCCACATTCAAAGGGCCTGGGCTTGAGTCTCATTCAGTCGGCGCTGCACAAAGTGGAGTACGTCCATGTTGTATCTAAAAATATAAAGAAAGTGTGCGAGATTGCTCGGTGGCGGGAGTCGTAGACAGCAAGTAGAATCATCTTCGTCACAATAGCTTTGAAGTGACGATGCAAATGGAGCACAGGTCTCGGGGTGTATGCGCGGATAGATCTATAGTCTCGTTCTCGCCCCAGTTTAGCGTTAGGAAGCTGTGACTTGGGGTTTCACGATCGTCGGAGAAACCCTATCACTTTTGCTTGGGCCCGCCATAGTCTTAGGAATGAAAGGAGCTAGGGAAAAAAGACGCCATTACTTACGCCGGTCCCATCAACACAATTGCCGACGTTCCAGGGCTGCCCGGGAACAAATGTTTCTTCGCCATATGACACGGCAGCAATCACTAGGATCGGGAACTTAGACCCAGCTTCGATCGACTCGCGTCCCACTTACCATTCTGGTTATACATGGGCTCCAGTGCGGGAACAGGTAGAAGCCACTGCGAACTTGTCCCGCAGAGGCCATCCATCATCGCTACTCCGCCCTGCATGAAGAGGTAAATTTCAGCTCAGTAAGAACATGATTACCCAACATATCTAAATTCGGCAGACAAAAGGCGAAATTTTCTTTCCAGGTGCCCTAACAAGGATTACAAAGCTACAGAGAAGACAAGAGCAGGGAAACGATAGGAATGAAGACCTTCGTGGACAATAGACGGATATTTTTCCGTGTGAAGGATATAAAAAATCAATCTTCCCTATCACGTACCAGGGAATAGCCGTGGAGGTAAATCTTTGATTTCGGACAGCTGGCCACGTAGAATCGAATATACTGCTGCATCATGATGGCGCCATTGGCGCCAGCGAGACGATGGTCATCATCACCGTGCTTGTAAGGTAATGCGACACTGCTGGATCCTGGAATCAGTTGTAGAATCAGGTTCTGAAGCGACACCATCACATTTAGGTGATCGCCAGGGCCCTGGCCCCGAAGGAGAATGGCGTGAACACCCGTGGCGCATTGCTCCGGTGGGACATGTTGAGTCTTCGACGGCTGGATTCCAATGCCGAAGACGATGAAGACCAGAACGAGATGCTGGAAGGAGTTGATGTACATGGTGATTGGGCGCAGTGTGCTTGGGAGGTGGATTGAGGTTGTTGGGATTGGCTGGTCGGAGCAATGAGCCCGGAGGGATCTACAGAGCTTTCGCCACGTATTTAAAGTGTACGATGATGAAGAGACAGCAGGGTTTGAGATGAATGGTGAAGGGGGTAAAATCCACGTACTGTAGTATTGATGTGGTGGTGACGGGGATATTCCGAAAACGAGCGGTCGAGATGTGATGGAAATAAAATAGGCCCAAGCCTGAGACGCCAGTCACTATCGTTGCTAACTGAAAATGAAAAATCAAAAAAAATAAGATAAGCTCCTGACAGCCAGGAGAGTACAGTTCTTCCCAAACTATCCGTGGATGTGCGACAGTAGGAATATAGTCGAGGCCAGAGCGAATCTATAGACTGGGAACTTAGCCGTCGGCGGGCGAGGGGTACATCAGATCTTTCTAAAAGCAGGTAATCTATTTTACTAAGTTTTTGGTCTTATTAGGATTAACACGGGTTTCTCGGCATAGTCTGGATGGCCTGTAATGAGCTTTCTCTCTCTCACAGTCCCGCTTCAGTGTGTACCCCGTTCAACTTATCGGATGAACAACAGTGGGCCTGGCCGATCGATCGAGATTTGTCGGCGCAGTGGCCTCCTTCAGCAATGATAGTCATGTGAAAAAAAAATCCGAGATGATACATGGTGATAGACGACCAAACGGAAGAGAAGAGACCGAGACCATGGAAATCCTATGGTTTGAGGAGAATCGAGAAACACAGCGAAGCCCGAGACAGCAGCGCGTATTGCACTTGTTTCCCTGAGTTTAAAAGGGTTTACGCCGGCCAGAATATTGAGCAGGCGGGAATAACCGTGGTTCAACCCGAACTCAATTCTTGGACTGTTGCGGCCACGTTGAGAGAAAACAGCGCTGTGGGATTCTCGAGAGGTTACAGGTGACACGAATGAAAGGTGCTCTAATTGCACGACAGCACCGGTAAAATTAGAGCTCCGCGGACTTGCAGGGCGACGTCGCTACTGTGCACAAAACGTCATTCAAGTTCTTGATGAGGAAGATGAGGACAATGAAGGCTGAGATGACAGGGGCTGCAACAATATTCCATGTCTCATATCTACGGAATACTGGATATCCTGGCTTTCATAATGCTGCTAAACATGCGAGTGTAGGGACTGTCGAAACTCAATCAGAAGTCTCCGGGGGAAACTTCCATACACCCGAGCGTTTCATCTACCCCCGGCCCTCTTGACTACCGTATTTCCTTCGTATAGTTTTCGACCCAAGGATCAAGCATCTCAACTCCATAGCCATGACGATATATGGTTATTCCGCGGATCCCAGACCTTTGGCGATCAGGTCTCGGACCGCATTTCCCAACTCCTCAATAACTTGCCCAGAACGCGGAATGGTGTGGCCTTTGCCGGTGTCGAAAAACGTTGCCGTGTCGGGGTCACAGACATTATAGAGAGCATATGCGCCATGGCGGAAGGGATCTACACCAGATTAATTCAAATAGATTAAACATTGACTCTTTTCACACTTCCAATGTTCAATCGTGCCTCGCGGCAACGCAAGGGTAAAGAATTCGAGAGAAAGCATACCATGGGCGCCCACAATATGCAGGCTAGGCACATCCACCATCTCCTCGGTCTCGTCCGACAGGATTAATCCCTTTTCAACACTTATAGGTGGCCATCCGGTGAAGAAAATGGCGCACTTGATACGTCGTTCATAGCCAATCTCTTGTCGCTGTTGCTCGTCCAGAATGAAGGTGGCTGCTATGGATGCACCCTCACTGTAGCCGATGATCCCGCCAATCTCCGGGTTCTGCTCGAGAGTGTCGTAGAGATATTGCATAACTTCCTTGTGGTTCTTCCATACGACGTCACGGTCCCTGGTTAAGTCGCGCATCACATCTTCCGGATTCTGGCCAACGGGAATCTTTCGTACTCGACTGATCATCGAGTCCTCCGCGGCACCTCCATCATCCGCCCAACGATAATGTGGTCCGATTCCGAAATATTCCTCGAACCCTGCAATCTTCTGGTGAGACCTGTGCTATCTGGATGTAGGAGCTTTTATCTCTGTTTTCCTTTAAGGGGCTGGGGAGTTGCGTACCTGGTGGAGGGGTGATTTGCACGGGCCCGTTGAGATAGACGAAAGAAGCCGAATTATCTTTTTCCAATTCTTTTTGGAGCGGGGCTGCAAGTTTTCATCGTGTGTTAAAAAGAAGAAATATACGCAATTGCACCTGGATTCCTTGAGTCACGGGTTTCTACCTAGCTGGATACTGATATTCTGTGGCAATCAGCTTCATATTCTCTTCTGCTTTCTATATCTTTTTCCTTTTGTCCGGATATTCCTAGTCTCGGTATTCACTTACGTCTATATTGCCAATGGCCCCATGTAGACACAAGAACTGCATTATGGGCAATGCCTAGACCGAACAACGTAGATTTGCAGATAGGCAATGGTCACACAACCGTTATCTCTTCGGAGGACAAAAACGAGCGAGAAAGATAAAGCAATCCAGTAATGAAGAAATAAAGGATTAGGTCCGAGAATTCAGAGAGATGGAGACGAGAGAGAGAACCTTCGAGGAGAACTTCATTGTGCGCACCGCCTATGCCTCGACGCCATCTCCCTCATAAACCAGCACATTCCCTCCGAACACATGTGATCCACAGGAGTATCCACAGATCTACAGTTCATAGAAGCTCGTGTGGGTTGCATGGGCCCAACAGGTCCCTGAATTTGTGTCTAACCCAAGTGGGCTGCACAGCAGGGCGACCGAAGTTACGCCAACCTTGCCCAATGCCAGGGCAGTGCTGCTTATCGCCGGAGTCGGGGCAAAATTTGTAAACCAGAAATGGTCTCAAAATTTTTTGAGACAAAATAGAGTTATGATGGATCCGGGAAGAGTGACTGTTGATCATTCTCTCGTTTCTGGAAATACAATTTCAGAAAATAATCAGGGAGAAAAAGCTATCGCAGTGTCGATTGGTACTAACGGCTCTTCTATTTAATCTCCATGGCTCGTCGAGGTTTGTCGAAAATAGAGATAGCCTGAGCGCCCGCCTGTCGTTCTTTATATAAATATACATTACCTCTAGACCTCAGATACTTTCTCATACTTTCTCTTCTCATACTTCATACTTGATACCTCTTGCTCCGGAACAAGCCCTAATTTCTCACAACTATCTTTAATTCTCCTCTTTCTCTTCTCTTCGCCCCCGCTTCCTCCCTGTCCCTCTGTCATTCTATCCATTACTCTCTTCCTTGTTTTTCTCTTAAAAATGGAAACAGTACACAGCACAGCTGATATCAACGGGGCACAGCCGGAGGGGGAACGCCGGCCGGAACCCATTGCTATCATTGGATATGCCTGTCGACTCTCTGGACAGGTTTCCTCTCCCGGGGACTTATGGGAGCTGTGTACTCGAGGTCGGAGCGGCTGGTCGCCCGTGCCAAAAGACCGATTCTCTCACAGCTCCTATCACCATCCCAACCCCTCCAAGCCTGGCACTTTCAATCCGGCGGGAGGTTACTTTCTCGACGGAGATCTCTCTCGATTCGATGCCCCTTTCTTCAACGTGACTGTCCAAGAAGCCATTTCCATGGATCCTCAGCAGCGTCTGCTACTCGAATGCTCCTATGAAGCTTTGGAGAGTGCCGGCATTCCCAAAGAATCTCTCGCGGGCCGCAACGTCGGCGTTTTTATGGGCGGCAACTTTTCGGATTATGAACTCAATAATTTGCGTGATATTGAGACGATTCCTCCGTTCCAAGCCACAGGCAATGCCCCGGCTCTCCAAGCAAACCGCATTTCATACTTTTTTAACCTACAAGGACCTTCCTTGAGCATCGATACCGCTTGCTCGTCGTCACTGGTGGCACTGCACTACGCTGTACAGAGTCTGCGAAGTGGTGAGTCAGAGGAGGCCCTTGTAGGGGGTTGCAGGTTGAACGTCCTTCCGGATTATTTCGTTTCCATGTCCATGTCCCAGTGAGTCTTTTTAACTTCGATATAACGATTGCGTGTCATGAAGTGTGTGACCATGCTCCTAACATCTCCTCCAGACTGTTTAATGAAGACGGAAAAACCTATTCTTTTGATGAAAGAGCCAAATCGGGTTTTGCGCGAGGCGAGGGTGCGGGCGTGGTGCTGTTGAAGCCCCTCGCTGCCGCCATCCGCGATAAAGATCCCATTCGAGCCATAATTGCTAATTCAGGCGTCAATCAAGACGGGAGAACCAAGGGTATCACGATGCCAAATGAGCATGCGCAGGAAAAACTGATCCGCCGTGTTTATCGCGAAGCCAATCTCAACCCGGAGGAGTGTGGCTTTGCGGAGATGCACGGCACTGGAACTAAGGCTGGAGACCCCGTTGAAGCGCGCGCCGTACACGCAGCGCTGGGAGAAGGCCGAACAGCTCGAAATCCGCTGTATATCGGATCGGTGAAGTCAAATGTGGGCCACTTGGAAGGCGCCAGTGGGATTGTATCGATCATCAAAGCCGCCATGATGCTGAATAACGGGCTCATGCTGCCCAACGCCGACTTCAAGAAGCCGAACCCCAATATCCCGCTTGCAGAATGGAATATGAAGGTTGTGACTTCGACCCGGCCTTGGCCTCGGAGCAAAAAATATGCCAGTGTCTCTAACTATGGATTTGGAGGAACAAATGCTCATGTTGTCCTTGAAAAGCCGCCTCCGCCAGTCCAAGCGGAGGATGATGCTGTGGCAGATGGCGATCCCAAGAACCGGCTTTTCCTAATTTCTGCCAACGACAAGGATTCGCTACGAATTCGAATCCAAGATTATGGCATTTATTTTGAGCAGCGGCCCGAGGTGTTTGAGAACTCGCTCTTCGGCAACTTTGCCCACACGGTTGGCACCAAGTTATCTCATCTCTCGTATCGGGTTGCCCTGCCCGCTGCTTCCCTCGACGAGCTCGGTATCAAGATGGCTCAGCTCAAGGCCAATCCGGTCCGAGTTTTAGGGACACCGACAATCGCATTCGTTTTCACTGGTCAAGGCGCCCAATGGGCGCAGATGGGCATTCCCTTGATGGACGAGTACCCTGTATTCAGGTCAGCGATTGAACGAGCAGATAAATGCCTTCGTGTCCTGGGTGCCGAATTCTCTCTTCTCAAGGAGCTTCAAAAAGAGAATGCCATCTCGGAGATTCATTCACCACATCTGAGCCAACCGGCTTGTACTGCTCTCCAAATTGCTATCACTGATTTACTCGGCTCTTGGGACATCCGGCCTTCATCGGTCGTTGGCCACAGCTCCGGTGAAATTGGCGCTGCCTATGCGGCCGGTATTTTTGACCTGGACGGTGCGATGGCTCTGGCTTTCCGCCGTGGCCAGATGACCCAGCTTCTGAAGAGTTCATACCCGCTTCTTAAAGGCACCATGATTGCCGTTGGTGCGGGTCCGGATACCATCAAGCCCATCCTCAAGACTCTCGGCTCTTACGCCACCGTCGCTTGCGTGAACAGTCCATCTAGCGTCACCGTATCTGGAGACTCCGATGCCATCGATAAATTAGAGTCCATTCTTCAAGAGAAACAGCTATTCAACCGCAAGCTTAAGATTGACGTTGCCTACCACTCCGACCATATGAAAAAAGTGGGTGAAGCTTATCTGGCTGCTATCAAGTCAATTCTGCCCTCTTCTAGCGCAGTGGCTACTTTCTTTTCGTCTGTCACCGGCGAGATTGCACAACCTACCGATTTGGGTCCTGCATACTGGGTTGCTAATTTGACTTCACCCGTGTTGTTTGCCAACGCTTTGAGTAAGCTGTGCGCGGACGAGGAGAAGCGACCGAACCTACTTATCGAGCTGGGGCCACATTCAGCCTTAAAAGGCCCGATCTTGGATACTATGAAGAGCCTCGGCTCTTCCACATCGAAGATTGGCTACACGCCCACCATTGTCCGTAATGCGGATCCCGCTCAGTCAGTCCTGGAGGCGGCTGGCGCTGCTTATGTGCGAGGTGCCAGCCTCAACATCACGGAAATAAACTTCCCGTGCAGTGCTGCAAGGAACCGGTCGTTCTTGCGGGATCTACCCAAGTATCCCTGGCAGCATGATACCCGGTATTGGCACGAGGCGCGTATTGCAGAGAATCACAAATTCCGCGACGGTATTCGAAACGATATGCTGGGTGCATTGGCTATCTATTCGAATGATTTGGAGCCTACCTGGCGCAATATAGTTCGTCTTGATGATATTCCCTGGCTTCGAGAGCATAGGATGCAGGGTATGAGTGTGTATCCAATGGCCGGATATGTAAGGCGATTTCAATTTGACTGATGCATTCAATCCATTGCTAACGTGGGAATAGCTGGCTATGGCGATCGAAGCCGCACGCAGACGGGCCGAGCAGCACGAAGTCGTTTTCTCGCAATTCGAGCTCCGCGAGGTTACAGTTGGAGCAGCCCTCGTTCTGACTGATGATGTCGACGCTGAGACCACTATCTCTCTCAAGCCGTATGCTGAGGGTACTCGTGGCAACTCCGATATATGGGACGAGTTTCGTATCTGTTCGTGGACCTCTAAGCGTGGCTGGACTGCACACTGCTCCGGTTTGATCCGTACACGCACCAACAAGAAGCAGCAGACGTCTGTGTCAAATGTTGCCGAGTCTGAGGAAAAGCACTTCCGCGCTCAGATGGACACCGTTCTGAAGGAGGCTACGTACACTATTGAGACGCAGAACATGTACCAAGTTCTGGCGGATGTCGGGGCTGGTTACGGCCCAGTCTTCCAGGGTCTCGAGAATGTGTTCTCGAGCTCTGTCCATTCGCGTGCCGATCTATGCGTCCGAGACACGAAGACGGTCATGCCAAAGAATTTTGAAGCACCATTGAGTATTCATCCGACCTTTTTGGATGCCCTTCTACATTTGGTCTGGCCCATTCTCGGCCAGGGTCGCATGGAGCTGGAAACTCTGTACATGCCGACCATGATCAAGAGCCTCACCATCAGTAGCAACATCCCCTCTATACTTGGCGAATCTGCCAAGGCCTGGTGTAACGGTGGTCCCAGTCAGCCCTCTCCGGAGCCCACCAAGTTTGACCTGTGGGTGACGCCTGAGGACTCTACGAACGTCCTGATTAATATGGAGGGTCTCATTATGACACCTCTCAATGATCCTGGTGCTAATCGTAGTGGAGACACCCGTAGCTTGTGCTACAAGTTTGAGTGGAAATCCCTTGCTGAAGTCGAAACCGAGCTTGATAGCGAAGCTGTGGTGGCTGATGATCATGCTAGCGATCTGAATGGGCATGCCAAGGAGCCGAATGGCCATGCACATACCAATTCCAATGGCCATGCTACAGCAAATGGGGAAGCACTTACCAATGGTCATACCAACGGGCATGCAAATGGCCTTACTAACGGCCATACTAATGGACATCCAAACTCTGATATAAAGTCCAATGGAAACGTCGATGGTAAAAGCCAACGGCAGACTGATATCTTGATCACGCAGTTTGGCAAGTCTGACGGGGCTTCTGACAAGCTGATTGAGGCTATTTCAGAAGACAGTATCTACTGGAAGCCATCGATCTCCACTCTGGAGGAGATCGATTCCACCGGAAAGCATGTCGTTGTCCTCCAAACAGGAACCCGGTCTCTGCGTGACCTTACCGTAGATTCATTTGAAAATATTAAGAGGACATTGCTGAATGCTTCCAACCTTCTTTGGGTTTATCGTTTGGACAGGCCTGATGCCCAAATGATTGTTGGTATCACGCGCAGTCTACGGTCCGAGACGCTAGCCAAAGTCGCTACACTTGGTCTTGAATTCGAGGATCTCACAAAGCCTACAGTGCCAATCGTTGCGGCTATGAATGCTTTGTGGCCTGCCAATGGTGTGAAGCCATGTGTTGACCTTGAGTTCCGGGCTAAGGGCGCCAATTTGTTTGTGCCGCGGGTTCTAAGCGACGAAGCTGCCGATGCTTTCGTCAATAACGAGACTCACGAGATGACCATCTCATCTCAGCCTTTCAACCAGCCGGGTCGCCGTTTCAAACTACAAATTGGCAATCTTGGCGCTCTTGACACTTTGTACTTTGCCGATGAAGTTGTTGAACCCTTGGCCGATGACGAAATTGAGATAGAAGTCAAGGCCACCGGCCTTAATTTCAAGGATATCGTCGTCACCATGGGCCAACTGGTGCAACCATATATCGGTATTGAGTGTTCCGGTATCGTGTCGTCTGTTGGTAAGAACGTCAGCCACCTGTCGGTCGGTCAACGAGTCATGGCCCTACCATTAGGAGGCTATTCAACCTATGCTCGCTGCAAAGCAACCAGTGCTGCTCCCATTCCAGTAAACATGACTTTTGAGGTTGCTGCAACCGTGCCTGTTGTCTTCTGCACTGCATACTACGCTTTGTTTGACTTAGGTCAACTCCAGCAAGGCGAGAGGATCCTCATCCATGCAGGTGCTGGTGGTGTTGGCCAAGCCGCTATCATGCTAGCGCAAATGACGGGGGCTGAGGTCTTTGTGACCGTTGGAAGCGTCGAAAAGAAGCATTTCTTGATGACACAGTATGGCCTTCCAGAGGACCACATTCTGTATAGTCGGGACACGTCCTTCGGCCGCGGTATCCGCCGTGCAACCAACGACGAGGGCGTCGATGTTGTGGTCAATTCGTTGGCTGGCGACCTTCTTCGCGAGACCTGGGAGTGCTTGGCACCGTTCGGGCGCTTTGTTGAAATTGGAAAGGCGGATATCACCAAGAATACCCGTCTGGACATGCTGCCATTTGAGTGGAATGTCACTTTTGCCTCGGTTGATCTGTCCAAAGTTGCAGCGCACAAGCCGAAGCTGATGAAGCGGCTCTTGGATTGTGTTACCTGTCTCATGAAAAAGGGCGCTCTCCATCCAATTCTTCCACTGACTACATACCGTATCTCTGAGCTTGAGACCGCGTTCCGCACATTACAGACTGGAAAGGCGATGGGGAAGATCGTGGTTGTTCCCCACCCAGACGACCATGTGAAGGTAAGATATTTCACGATTAGAAATATACATAATTATTACTAACTCGAAACCTGTTAGGCTGTCTCGCCGAAGACTGGATCGTCTATCTTGAAGGCAGATGCTTCCTACATCCTGATCGGTGGCACTGGCGGTCTTGGCCGCAGTATGGCCAAATGGATGTCATCTAAGGGTGCACGCAATATTGTACTTGTGTCTCGCAGCGCTTCTATCAATGATCAGGTTCAGAAGCTCATTGACGAACTGACGGTCACCGGTACTCGCATCCTCGTCAAACCTTGCGACGTCAGCAGCAGACAGTCTGTTGAAAACCTTATTAAGGTCGAAATGAAAGACCTACCTCCAATTCGAGGTTTGGTTCACGGCGCCATGGTCCTTCGCGTAAGTCGATATTTCTGCAAAAGTTTTAGACACTGGGGAAGGCTAACCTCCGAGTCCCTAGGATATGCTCTTCGAAAATATAACTCTTGATGACTTCCAGGCCGTTGTGACCAGCAAGGTTGACGGCACATGGAATCTCCACGAAGCACTTGCTGATTCTCCCCTGGACTTCTTTGTTGCACTATCCTCCGTGGCCGGAGTAATTGGTAACCGTGGACAAGCAGCCTATGCTGCTGCCAACGTCTTCTTAGATGGCTTCATGGAGTATCGCCGCTCGCAAGGACTCCCTGGTACCTCTATCGATCTGACTGCTGTGCGAGATGTAGGCTACCTAGCTGAAGTTGATAGCAAGAGACAGCAAGAAGTTCTCAAGAACATTGGAACAGATGGCATGTCTGAAGCCGAGGTTCTCGCGCTTCTTGCAGCTGCCATCACTGACTGTCTAGAACCGTCCTGTTCTGGTCAATTTGTCACTGGCCTTGAGCTCAGTACATTGGACCATTTCTGGGCGCAGGACGCCAAATTTAGCGTGCTATACGAGGCCGCAAAAGCCGCTTGTGGTAGTGGGCATAGCGGGGGCGGGGGGCCCTCCACACCGCTGAACATACTCCTTGCAAATGCTCCATCTAAGGAGGAGGCCCTGCATATCTGCTATGAGGCATTAGCGGCCAAGCTGGCGCAAGTACTAGTCATATCGTTGGAAGACATGGACCCTTCGATCACGGTGGCATCGCTGGGTCTAGACTCACTGGTTGCGATAGAGATTCGCAATTGGATTGCACGGGAGGCGAATGCCAATGTTCAAGTGCTGGAACTGCTATCGAGCGGGTCTCTGATGGCGCTGGCTGAGATCATTTTGAATAAGTCTCAGGCGTGATTAGGTCTGTCTCTCAACGAGTCATTGACTAAGATAGTTTGTTTGAATTCCTTGATATATCGAGTACCTTTTTCGTGTTCTTTTCTTGTTGGTAGTCACCATAATGAACTTGCTCTTCTCCGTCGAGTCGGTCTTCCCTTTGGCAGTGTTATAGAACCGAGTGTACTATCTTCGAGTATCATTAAATCCAGCTAGAAAGGAGATGATCTATCATATTCTCTATACTATTTAATATACACAGGCATGCTCTCTCTTTTTAAATCGTAGCAAACGCAAAATTTACCAGAAACTATACTGGCAATACTTCGAAATCTGCTGCCACGCATCGCCTTAGGCACCAGTAGCCTTCTCCAGCGCATTTTTCTGCAGAATATTGATTTCATTCAACAGAGTTCGCCCTCCATTATCCTCCAGTCGCTTAGCCACCGTGGCACCGAGAGCCTCCGCTTCAGTATCACTGCTCACATTTAGGACTGCCGAGGCAGATACCTTGCTCAACCCATGAGGATGGATAATGGTACCTTCTAGTCGCAGGCGAAGACCAGCTTCTGGGATTTCGCCTTGGTTTTCTATAATACAATTCACTGCCACTGGGGAGGAGCATCCGCCCTGGAGTGTGCGTAGCATTGCTCGCTCCGCGAGGCAAATCCAGCGGGTCGGGAGCTCCTCGATCTTGCGAACAACCCCCAGCGTTGAGGATTCATCAGCGCGGACCTCAATACCCAGCGCGCCTTGGCCCACTGCATATGGAAATTCAGATGCCGACAGGGTCTTGGTAATTCGGTGAGATAAGTTGATGCGGTTCAGACCTGCCGTGGCGACGATAATAGCAGAGTACGGACCCTCCAGGTCATCAAGCTTTCGAAGACGGGTGTCGCTGCATGAACATGGTAAGCTTTACTCTTGTCTGATACATGAATACCATCAAAATTCGCTCTTACAGATTACCACGACATTCCTCCACTATTAAATATGGGTACTTGCTTTTGATCAGTGCTTTGCGTCGCGTGGAACTAGTCCCCACTACCGCCCCACGGGGAAGCTGAGCCAGGTCCGTATATTGTTCTCGAAGACTGTCCTTGATGACCAGGGCATCTGTGGGATCTTCACGATGCACAATTGCCCCAAGAATGCATTTGCTTGGCAGGTTGGTCGGCATATCCTTCAAGCAGTGCACCAGGAGATCTAACTCGCCGGCATACAGTTTGGTCTCCATCTCCTCGGTCCAGATGTTCTTTGCAGCGTCGGATGGCCCACCGAACTTGAGAAAGGGGGTTGTTTTATCAGCATCCCCACGTACAACAATTGGCTGCCATGGGAATTTGATCTGCGGGTGGGCATCCGCTAGTGCTTGTGAGACACGCTCAGCCTGCACCACGGCCAATTTGGAGTTCCGAGTGCCAATTACCAACTCTGATTTGAGGGCGGGATCTTTGTTGGTCATGATGAAATGAGCACAGGACCCAGTTATCAAACAACACGGATATACTGAGCCGGGGAAATTTCGCAGGTGGAGCAGAGCTTTAAATGAGGTTAACATGACATGCGTCTGTGTGCGGCACTTCTGGCCCCAAACAGCGAAATGTCACGTGAATATGTTCAAGTTATAAAACTGGAGACACATATAATATCTTGTTTTTTGACCATGCTAATTTGATTTGAATAAGATAGATTTCGTTTTAAAAAAAAGATTCGTTGATAAGTCTTACAAGCTCGAAACATGGGTGGTAATGAAAAATATTCCCGCCTGTTCCGCCCGAAGCAGACAGCAGAGGTGAATTATAATATCCATTCTCGTAAAGGTATCATTGAGCATATGGGATATCAATAGCAATTCAAATATTTAAAACATAGGGTTACAAGCATTACTTAAACCTAATGATCCATTAATGATCGATATGATTCCCACGCAGAGCCCCAGCGAGATTCTTGACACAAGGTAAGCACGACGCATTATCTCTCCTTGTCTGCAAAGCAACAGATTTTCGAATCAGGGAGCAAGGAAACTAATCAGCTGTCTTTCGGCATCCTCTCGTTCTGCATAAATTCATGAATCGAAGACTACACTCGATCAAACACGTACTCGGATACTGTGCGACGATCACAATCAGATAAGACGACAGAGTTTGAAGCTTGAAGGCTTAAATGTCCACCCCACCTTTTTCAACCCTCGTAAAAGCATTCCTGCTAAGCTCGACAAATGCTTACTAGGTACCATTCAGGAGTACTTATTCGATCCAATAGGAGAGGGTAAAGCATAGATCTCTCGATCATCCAGGAACATTGCATATGGGAGATCGGCTGTGGTGCAGGGTTCCTGGGCGAAGCGCCGATCTTCCTTCTGCCAACGCCACTGCCCACAAACGAACTTCTCATCTGCCACCGCTGACGCGGCCACAGCGGAGTGGTCGTCAGCGCAACGCCACCGGTATCATTTTGCGCGCGCGTAGCTGAGATGGGATGGTGCATCTTGGGAAAATATGACACGTTGATTATTTATTATGTTTGTCTCCCCGTCGTGGTCGGAATTAGCGTGTACAACACAGCCCATGTTCTACAGCAATAACCATCCTGATTGGATTAATCTTGGATAAATTGAGCCACGTTGTCAAAACGTACTCTGTAATCGTACACGTACACCTCGTTTGTGTCAGTAGGAAACCAACAGGACAGGAATGACCTGGCCTCCATCGGATTCGTTATCCGCATCTAGTCTAGTGATCAATATACGGGCGGTTAAAAAAGTATATTTCGGTTCCCAGTTCGGAGCAATTTGTACACAGACGTGCTACACAATTGTACGGCGTACACACCACATTCTGATCACACTGCGTGGGCGTATTGGTCCTTCCCCCCAATACGATCAAGCACGCTCGCGATCGACACCATATTATAGGTTAAGACTATACGCCAGCCACCTAGTGGGGGGCGGACCGCAAGGCAAGTGGGTACTATGGAGTACGATGTAGCAACGTGGAACATCATGGGAGTAAGGGGGTTATTAGCAATCCTCGCTAGGAGTTGGAACCCAGAAACAGCTATAGGGGTTAGGTGGAGAGTTCATTTACATGGTGTGAGAGGACCGTTCACTATAGGTTCTCAATGCCCTGCAAAGCCCAAGGCTCGCGGCTAAGCACATGTCAAATGATCATCAACTCGGTATCCAGACTCGCATGTACTGTACTGTATCGAGGGGGGCAAAGTGAGCGGGTCATGCTGGAACCGGAGGCGAATCAAAGACCGCCGGTGTATGGACTGGTCTCGTTACAGACAAACTTATAAGGTGATCATCGGGGAGCTACCGTTGCAGATAGAATGGACAAGGGGAAGAATAATAATGATGCAATATTTACATTTCTCTTTCGTTCAGGGAATATCCAGACAAAGTCGGTAATATAGAACACAAATAATATTACACAAGGGTTGAAGAAGAAAAAAAAAAGAAAAAAGATGGCAACGACAGGACAGGAAGCCAAGGCCGACCCTGCTTCGCTGTATAGAAGTAGTGAACCAGGAAAAGAGATCAACCAAAATTCGAACAGGAAACCCAAGTAGAAAAGAGAAAGGAATAAAAAAAAACGCCAAATGGGGTATGTTATGCGAGGAACGATCATGAGCTGATTGTATTTACCCATACCCGCCACGACCCAGCCAGTCTTTCCGTCTTCTCGTTGAGGTTCAGCCACGGAGCAGACAGTAATAGTCTGTCACTGTGATTGTTGTAGTAATATATGGTGCGGTAATTTCATGTCCCTCCGAGACTAGCTTCACCTGGAAGCCAGCAGAATCGGAAAGAGGTAGTAAGAGGGATCTGCAAATGCAGATACGACGCTGCTAAACATGCAAGACGAGAGAAGCAAAGAAAATGGAGTATTAAAAAAGGGAAAGATGGAGGAGAACCTCTTGAGAAAAGGATCATTCGCTTTTGTTCACTCCGACGCCTGCGAGCGCAGGTGGATCTCTTCCACGGGCAGGCCCTCCTCGGAGGGAACATGTTGGTATGAGCGCAGCTTGCGTCGCTTGTACATGCGCCAGAGAGCAGCAAAAACACCGCCGAGAGTGCATGAGATCAGAATGAAGATGAGCAGGCCACCAACGCCGCGGATTACCTCATAGGCCTTGTAAACAGCTTTAGCAACTTCTTTCGCATCAGCATATGAAGAGGATGAATCAGAAGTGGTGCTTTCGTTAATCATATCAGCCATTTCGGAGCTACTGTCGGAGTTACTGTCGGAGCTGTCGCTGGAGGAAGGAGACGAGGACGAGGACGAAGACGAAGACAAAGAGGAGTCTTTGTTGACAGAAACGATGATTGAGGGATCATCAGGTGTCGGGCCAGTCGATGAACCTAGGAAGCCGACAGCCTTCCAGTTTGTGGGAATCTCGGTACGGATAATAGTCGAGGTACTCATGACCTTGCCGTCGCGGTCAATAGCCTCGGCGGTAATCCAGTCCATGAACCCATCTGCGATGTACATAGTCTCGAAATCAGTCTTGTTGGTCTGGCCGATGAAGACGGACGAGCCGCGGTCGTAGGCCTGGGCATAGAACTTCCAGGCCACAACGTCAGTCGCACCGTTCCAGCTGACATGAATCAAAGTAGTCAGGTCCATTTCAGAGGTACCGTAGACCGAGGCCACAACATCTGGTGCCTGGGTCGGGCGACCCACAAACTCAGACTTATACGCGCGGTAGGTCGAATAGCGGTCCGAAGCGAAGCGGGCAGTCATCAGCAAATCGCCGTTCGGGGCGTGCTCGCTCTGGTAGCCACTCTGGCTCCATCCGATAAAGACATTGTCGTTGGGAAGCAATTGAACACTGCCGCGGAGACGGGTCAGATTATTATCTGGACGGTTGATGCGGTTGATCACACGAGCGGTCATGGCAACAGTGTCGAGTTCGACGAACAATGCGGATGAAATGTTCTCGTCATTGCCACGCTCGTCGGAGGCATTGTTGAGGAACGAGATGACGTGGTTGGTGCCATTGGACGAAATAAACTTTACATCGTGCTGCTTGGAGAAAGTAAAGTCCATGTCGAAATCACTTTCCAGGCCGCCCAGACGCCACATAATGTGTCCATCCTCGCCCGAAATGCCGTAAATGGTGTTGGTGAAACGCAGAGAGATGATATAATCTCCCGCGGCGTTCTTGTCAACCGCGTTGATGTGAACATAGTCCCAGCCGGGATGACCTTGGGGCGCATCCCAGGAATGGAACATGTTGGATTCGTGCAATGCAATGTGATCTGACGAGTCCCACTGCACCAGAACCTCACTAGTCTCCATATCCAGCTCCATAAAGCCACCCACGACAACCCAGCTCTCCTCCGCCGGACGTCCGAAGTCTGCCAAGTTGACCGGCGTAGGGCGGTAGGTGCAGGCCACGGCCGTCTTGCCGCCTTCCAGGATGTTGAACTCATGCATGTTGAAGTCGTGGAGTTCATCCAAACCACTGACTTCCCTCTCCATATGGTAGTGCTTGTTCAAGAGTATGCCACTGCCTTTGTCGTCGCTGTCGAGTTCCCAATTCAAAATGAACGACAGGTGAGTCTCGCCGTCTCCAAGGTTGTTGACGGGCCTGAAATCGAAGACGTTCCGGTTATCGAACATGGTTGATCCGGCCCAGATCAACATCTATTGTCACCGCAAAATCACAAGTCAGCAATCTGGCTCTCCATATAGAGGTGCATTTGGTCTGGAAATGCGAAAAGGGATCTGGCGCAAAATAACCTACACCATCATTGTCGTAGATATACGGGCCAACTTGGTACTGCTGGTATTTTTGGGTGGGATTTTCTGGCGAGATCTGTCCGTAGGGCGCCACAAACCAATAACCTGGGGCAGCACGTTCGCGGTCATGGTGGGTGACATGCCATTTCAAGGCTCGTACTTCGGGGAGCTGGTTCGGAATGACTCGGTCAGTATGGACAATGAGGCGGAGGATCAAGATCAACTTGATCTGATTGATGCGACATGGACTTGGGTTTTGTTGATTTTTTTTGGATTGTTTTTTTTTTGCGGGGAAAGCCAAGGAACACGTACCGTCACGAAGGACATCAAGTCGGCATCATGACGCTCTGCAACAACATTATGCAGCAACGACAAAAGCAATGCGCCGAGAAAGATCATGGTGGGCTAAAGGAGTGGCTAGGAAGAATGCTCTTCCCCAATGTGCAAGAACCGAAGAGGAGCAAAGACGGCGATCGAGCACAAGGGGAGGAGAGGGAGGAGGGAAGAGAAAGACCGGATGGGCGTGAGAGGGCCAACAGGGTCGACGACCAGCGACTCGTCGTGCATGCGGCGTAAGTCCAGGGAGTTGGGTCAAACGAGTGGAGGCCTCTCTCCGCTAGGGTAAAAGAGGGAAGGCAAAACGGGCTCCGCTCGAGCAGAGCCTTCGGGTGGACTGGTCAGGGGAGGACAAGAGGAAGAAGGAGGCCATGAACATTATTGACGATCCAGGCGAGAGGGCTTGGCATTGTTTCGGACAGTGGATCCGCCGTGAGATTGGCACATTACTGGAGAAAGCAGAAGGCGCGAAGGACTAGAAAGGCTTCGCGAAAGGCCCAGCGGCCAACTCTTTAGGCGGGCCTCCTCCTCTCTCTCTCTCGTATTGGATCCCCGTATAGTTAGCCCAGTCGGGTTCCACAGCGTCCGATGTGGTTGGGCCCAGTGGGCTGCGTGGCCCCCTTCGGAGTCGGCCTTGTTTTCCACAAACAGCGTCAGCTGCTTGCGCAGACTCGTTCGTTGCTCGGAGGAGAGGATTGGACACGTTGTATTCCTGTCCCTGTCGCATGCCAAACGAACCATCTTCAGCTGGGCGATTCGGGGTCGCTCCGGCGCTCGGGCGCTCAGGGACATACTAACAATCTAACCTGCAGGATCAAAAATTTGCCGGGCTTCCGGGCTCCGACCGGGGGGAAATACGACCACACTGAACGATGATTTGGTGGACGGGCGGACGACGACTGGAGACACCCAGGGGATGGCTGGCTTGGCACTTTGCCCCAGTTGAGTTAGGGATGCTTGCCGTGTTGGTGCTGGTCCTCGTGGGGGTGGAAGTTCTTGGAGGCGTTGGCGGTTTCCCCTGATTTTGAAGCGCCGCACATGACTCGGATCGAAGTACTCCATTTTTCTGTACAGAGTCAATGCGCGGGCTTCAACTGATTTGAAAGCGTCTACAACTCTATACATAAGTCTCAACACACGAGTCTCAATTCCTCGCTCACGAGGTCATTCTTGGCATTGAGGAAAAGCCGGGAAATAAAATTCTTCGAGAAGACGCGATCAGCGCCAGAACCAGTGTCGATCTGTCTGTTTCCCGTGATCCACCGGGCCAAAATCGGCAATTGCATTGCGTCCGCAAAAAGGATCCATTTATATGGAGGAACGGAGATGGTGTACATGGCCGGAACCTCCGAACACGCTCACATCCTGCTAAACGGCTGAACCTGCCCGCAAAGCCCCCGATCATTAGGTTATTCGGTGTAGATAGAGAGGAGGGTCTTCTAGGGCCTTTTCTGCGGCTCTTCTGGCGCGATTCTCCCGGCATCTAAGCTACAACACGACTTCGAGTCCGGGGGTGACGCCATCAACTTTATTTCGGATTAAGCTAGGAGACTCCTCACGTTGATAATGTTGATAACTCTGATACTGTGGATGATATGGCCGTCGATAACGGAACCAGGAGACGATCAAAACATGACCGATAAATTACGGAGATTTCATAGAAATCCGCCCCCAGTCCACTCCACCACCTAAACATCAATCGAACAATCATAATTACCGAGGAAATTCCGGCAATATATCCTCCTATCCCCTAATGTGCGTTTGCATATACTCACAATGAGCCGCTCTCCAAGGAAGAAGGGAGGAGGAAAGGCACACCGCATCTGATCGCTCCGAGGAGATGCCGTTCGACCCGCTCCGACATGAATCGACGCGTAGCCCTTAATAAGAAGATGCACACGGCTCTCACTCCGTGCCCTCTGGCGCCCATACGCCAGCCGCAATGCCTCCACTCCCGAACATCCAGGCCCAGCCCGGCCGGCGGCATGCCCGCACCTATCTGCCCCAGGTCGAGCCGGGCAATTCCATCTCATGCGCGATGGCGTCAATTGCAGTCGTACAAGACGCCCTCGTGCGTATAAAACCCGGCGGCCAGCCCGGGGGGCCAGGAAAGGAGACAGTGGGGAAGCTGGTTCGCGACGCCCATGCCGCACGCGTCCCTCAGTACTGCCGACGCGTTGGGCCCCGAACATCGGCCGCATGCCTGTGTCAAAAAGGTCGAAATACTCAGCGGTCGTGCAGATGCAACGACGCGTCGCCAATCATGGGCACCCGGCACCGGCGGAGGGCCAGTACTTCAGGGGCCCCCACTGCGTGCGAAGGCCACCCTGTGCCCCCAGACCAGCACTATCGCGGGGGCGAAAGGCAGAGGTTTACTCCGTCCTCCGTTACTCCGTAGTCAATTGCTTGCGCATCGGGATTCCGTATTGACTTGCCCCTTGACCCACCAATGCTCGGGGCAAATTGATCCATACTCGACGAGCGCCGCATTGTCCAGCTGGCTGAAGTTTATAGTAGTGGATTGTCTACCGTGCCGGTGGGGATCGCAATCTCAAACACCCGAGGATCATCGGTATGTTGCCGTTGCACTTGCGATCGTTCCTATGAGTAAATGCCGCGGTGATGTGCATGCCCATTCGGAGGGGGCCTCTTCGGTTAGCGCATCAAAAGCGGCATCGAGATCCTGGGGCAGAGATATATATCCCCGTTCGAGGAGGCATTCCGCAGCTAGATGAGCGCACTGCCTGCATATCGTTGTAGAGAATAACGAAGTATCTACAGGCACGAGACAACTCTAAGTGACGGGTTTCCCGACTGTGATGTTGGAACCGCCGGTATACCTCCTTCAAGGCATGACCGTCTTGCTCGGATGGAGTCGGGCGTCCCAATGAAGCTTGGTTGTTGGAGTCAGACAATGCCGACCGATGTGTTTGGTCTGTTGGCTCTGTTGCCATGGAGCGCGTGATCAATTGCCGCATTGGACCGGGTGCCAATGAGGCTCTCGTTGGGGTTGAAAATGAAGGAGAAAGCGTGATGGTTACTATTGTCGGTGTGAATGCGACATCGAGAGGTCCTTACATAGAGAAGGGACCAGATCTAAATATTGTTGCACCAAGGCGAGCTCTTGTCCACCAGCTTCTCGCAACTCTTGACGATCAAAGCCTTCCTGGAAGGGATTCGGGCCCTAGGAGGACAGGGTTGCTCTCACATTCTGGCACTCAGGCCCCTGTTTTGATCACATCCTGATGCCATGTGCCCACCACGGCTTTCTAACAGGCGGGCATTCGCCAGCATTATCACCATCTAATTGACGCCGAGGTCGGTCGCAAGGCCCACGCTATGACTGGTCTTCAAATGTGCAATTCAACCAGGATGGGCCGAACAAGAAAGCATCACGTTAATCGAGTAGAGGCCGGTATCCGAAGTAACGCAGTTGATTGTCTTTGCTTTTTTCTCCCCCGCACTTCCCCGGGATCCGCACTCCTTGTGGAGAGCCGAACAGGGTCTTTTCTGGGAAAGGAATCAGATACGGACAGGGCTGAGAATACGAGAGACCTGTTACCGATAATGCACGCACCGGGTCCAGTGCGACATTGTGTCTTTCTGTGCAGACCCTTACTGTTTCACCACGCTGCCAGGGTGATGCGGGACCCGGTGCCCGTGTTAGTCAATGTAGATGATCTGCTGGCCCTCCTGGACGTTATTCTCGAGTTCCACAAGCATAGTGTTGTGGCCGGTTAGGGGCCACTCGCCTTCGGAGGATTGACGACCCTCGCTACCCGAGCATTCTCTTCGTTTATAACGATCTGCTGCATCTACGAGCGATCAACATCTGATATGCTATGGCCTCATGCGAAAGAATCAACCTGAAAGCCGACATACTCGACGCTCATGGGAATCGTCACGATAGGCGGTCCTGACACGGTCACCCTCGCTGATGGGTCTACCTTTCTTGTTGTAGACTTGATCGACTGGCATGATGACGGTGCAGTGTGTGTGTGAGTGTGTGCGTGTGTGCGTTTGTATGCGTGTACGTGTGCAATGCACAACTTGTGCAAAGGCGAAGGTCAACCCGGGGCCGTTGACACCCTACGGTGCTTCGGCTCCGGATTCCGTCTTGCTTGTCTATCAGATACGGAACAAACGGGGACCATCTGCAAATGCTACGAAAAATGATGCGATATTGACAGGGGAGTGATGTAATGCTGTATAGACTCAAGAATGCCAACACCAACACACAATGGCGACATAGAGTGCTCTACAAGCGGGACCCTCCGTCGATCTATACGATCTATACCATAGGCGTTGAATCTTGGCAAACCTGCACTGATACATGTAGCCCGAGCCCGACGGGCCGGCAGCCTGACATGATACATTGCCATCGCAGGCGTTCATCGGGTGGCTTGGCAACAACGCGATGCCGCGAGCACGGGTCCGGGCAAATTGGAGCAACGGAGTATGAAGCATGAAGCATGAAGCATGAAGCTAGAACATGAAGAATGAAGAGTGATGCATGATGCATCCAACACCATCAGGCAAACCTCGACAATCGACGATCGGCTACGACTACGGGCTCCGAGACCTTCATTATGGTTTGTCTACGACCAGTCCGAAATCACCAGCTTGTCCCATGCGGTCCGTGGTTGCAGTTGGATGCAACGGCCATCACATATATCCCGATCAGGGAAGTGGCCCGTCCGTGAATGTCGTTGCTAGTGTCTGCTGTTCCGCCCTCCGATCGTCGAGTCCCAGTGGACGGTGTTTCAGACCAGGTCCATCCTGGGAGGTAAGTCGAGGATGAAACAATGAGGACATCGAGAATCATAAAAATGTTTTCTCAAGAACGTCGACTCCTTAGGGTCCCTTAGGGTTCGCTAGAGGGGGGGCAAAGCCCAACGTTGTTTAGGGTGCTGCACCCACGAGGTTATGTAGTCGGGCGGTTCCACATGAGTGTAACCGTCCCGACCAGTTGGGCCGACTACCACCGTTGCACCCAAGGGGGTCATCGAGCATGTACCGCATACCACGGGCTGGGGAATGTCGCAGACCACTTTTTGGTACACACAGTTACGTGTAGTACGAAACGAAGGTCAAAATGAAGTCACCAAGAAGATGGAGAAGGGCAAAGGGGAAGACGAGGCCAAAGATCGTAGTTGCAACAAGCGCTGGACCAGGTGACTCAGCCGCTGTCCCTGGTAATACGGTAATTTGGTAACTTGGGGGATCCTGCGTAGGTAATAAAACCCACCCATACCACCCGGTTCCCTTGCCCAAACTACCCACAGCACCAACAGAAAAGCCTCGCGGTACCGCACCCATACCGAACCCCTACCGCTCTCTCACACCCGCAATACGCGCCCCGTACCTCGATCATACGGGCAATACCCACCGCATTGCGACACCGCAAGGGCTTCAAGTTGCAGTCGCGGTGACACTGTCCAGTCCACACAGTCGACTCCAAGCTCCAGTCAATCAGGTCAGGTCAACCAGGAATGGGCCAATGTTGATCCATGCTTCGTTGACCTCTGTTTGCTCCTGGTTGCTTCGGTGGGGAAATACTTGACCACTACTCCATCTCACACTCCCTTTCTCTTCTGCTCAACCTGAGACCCTCCCGGGACCCCCCCCCCCCCCCCCCCCCATCCTCTGCTACACTCCCTCCGCGATCCACCCCCAACACTACTACTTCGTGGGAGTGTCACCTTGACCACTTTCTTATAACTCCTGCGGCACCATCATTTCCTCTTTGGTCCTTATTCCTTATCTCTTCATGTTTCCTCCGCGCGGCTAGTTTCTGCTTCCTGCGTTTTTGCGTCCTGCTTCCTGCTCCAGGTCGCTTCCACTCCCGTCTCACAGCAGAGAGCGACAAGAGCTTATCCCTCGCCTCGAATCGACTGATTTACTGCGATCGTTCCCCCTTTTTCTTCGGCGCCCCCCATCGTCCGCCTCTCGCTTCGACCTCTCGTCGCCGTTCGCGATCATATTCCTATCCATCATTTTAGACCTCCCAGAATCCGACCATGCCGGCTCCGCTGGTTAAAGTCTTGCATCGCTTGCAGGAGCTCTTCCATAACGTGGTGGCCGCCCTCGAGACGATGATTTTGTTCCCTTCACTGTTCCGCGGCTTCAGCCATCGCCGGCGGAAGCCCTTCCTCGGCGCGCACTGGCGCCGTCGCACGCTCGATGATTTCACCGAGGAGGTCGACTCACTGTTCACCACTCCGCTATCCACTCCCAAAATGCTCGATATGTCAGAGAAGATTCGCGCGCAGTTCCGCCATTGCCTGCAGAACAGCCCCGTCTGCATGCTGCCCTCATACAATCATGCCCTGCCCACCGGAACCGAACAAGGCACGTTCCTCGCACTGGATGTGGGTGGCTCGACCTTCCGGGTGGCCTTGATCGAGTTGCACGGTCGTGACCAGGAGATGCGTATTGTTAAGGTGTCGTCATCGTACATCGATAATAGCATTAAGCTGTTGGAAGGAACCCTGTTCTTTGACTGGATGGCGGGCGAGATCGACACTATGCTGAAGGGAGTGGGTACCGACTACGGGCGCGGTTCCGTCGCCCTGCCGATGGGTCTGTCCTGGTCATTCCCGGTCGACCAAACCTCATTGAGTAGCGGACTCATGATCCATATGGGTAAGGGCTTCCACTGCTCCAATGGTACTGTTGGCCAGGAACTCGGCGATCTTTTGATCCGGTCCTGCCGCAAGCGCGATCTGAACGTAGAGATGGCTGCCATTGTGAACGATAGCTCGGCCGCGTTGCTGTCGCGCGCCTACGTGGACCCGAAGACTCGTATGTCGCTCATTCTTGGAACTGGCACCAACATGGCCATTCACTTCCCCGTTCATGAAATTGGCCGCACCAAATTTGGCGTCCGCCCGGAAGGATGGTTTGACTATGCCAAACACGTCATTATCAACAGTGAGATGAGCATGTTTGGAGGTGGAGTGCTGCCAATGACCCGCTGGGATGATGTGCTCAACCGTACACACCTGCGTCCGGACTATCAGCCTTTGGAGTATATGATCACGGGTCGATACCTGGGTGAGATTGTCCGCTTGATCATTGTAGAAGCAGTTGAGACCGCCGGTTTGTTCGGCGGGGAGCTGCCGCACTCCATGCGTGAACCGTACTCTCTCGACACCAGCATTGTGGCCTTCATTGAGGAAGATTCAACAGTTTCCCTCTCCGCCTCTGCTGCTCTCTTGCAAAAGGAGCATACGTTCCCCAGCTATCCGTCTGTTGAGGACCTTCGCTTTCTCCGCCGCGTCTCTCAGGTTGTGTCCCACCGCGCCGCTGGCTACCTCGCAACTGCCATCCACAGCATGTGGTGTCTGCACAACGATGTTGAATTCCCAGCCCCGGCCGTCTCTGAAGTCAAGGAGTCTCCCGAAGTCACCGTTGTCGAGAATGACGAACCCGCCAAAATGATGTCGATCGCTTGTGATGGTACTGTCATTAATAAGTATCCCGGTTTCCGCGACACATGCCAGAAATATCTGGATCAGCTGTCGGAACAGTCGCATCCCAGCTCTGACTCCGCAATCCGTCTCGACCCCGCCCCTGAGAGCGCCATTCTCGGCGCCGCTGTGGCGGTGGCCGTTGCTGTGGCTGAGAAAACCGAGCAGCAGTAAAACAAGATCTCCTGTTTGATGATCGGATATTAAACCCCTGATATGAGTGATGTACGACTTTTTCCCAGCCGCCACGCCTAGATGCCGACGACTACCACCCCTTACGTCTTTCACATAGTTCTCCACCTTTTTCATCACTCCTACTCGATGCGGCTTCTTTCTTTTTCCTCTCTTTTTCTTTTTCTTTTCGAAACAGCATTTGCCAGGAGTTCTGCTTTTCATGCATGGGGCCCACAGATATGTCTTTTTCATTCTCCGGGAGGAGAGGGGGGTGAGGTGTTTTTATTCTTCCATTTTCTGGCTTCTCCCACGTTTTCTATCGTCTGGTTTGGATGGAGTCCCGGTTTTCCATTTGCGCGGCCATCAGTTGTTCCCTTCCCCCGGCTCCTATTGGTCTGAATTGTTTTTCATTTCTACCGTCATGGCAGCATGTGTGGTTTGTTCGGGATTTTTTTTCGAGTGGGAGGCCAGTCTCTCCCGGAAACTATTCAATTATTTCTGTGAAATTCTTCTATTCTGTCCTCCTTTTGGGAATACCTTCTTAGCTTTTCTTCCATTTGCCATATTTCTCTCTTTCTGATCTCTGATCTCTTATCTATTGCGTGTCTTTCATTGTCCAATCCATCCAACCCTATCGATTGAGAGGGCTATGAAGGCGAGGACGCATCGTTCGGTCGTTGTACATATGAGATATCATGTGCGGGCGAAGAAGTTCACAACTGCATGATTTGGAGATCGGTAGCATGGCTGGCCTGGAAATGGAAAAAAGCATGGTATGGTGAGAAGGCGACGAGAAGCAAAAGATCGCCGGCGTTCCTTCTTCCCTAGGGTTCTGGTAGCATTCTTCATAATCTAATGAACCATAGTCAAATCCGGACGCCCGCAATCTCCAACTGATCAGAATTAGGCATCAAACGACGCTTGGAATAGACTTGGGAGCGGCTCATACCCGATGCGCAACGAGCAACAATGTTATGGTATCATGTTGAAAAACTCAAATCCAGCCGATACGGACTTCCTCTATAGTTCTATGTTTTATCATTCAGATTATAACATGGGAATGTTGCTGATTTAGGAGATTGAATCTGACTATCGGGTGACTGTGAATCAAAAGCAAAGACCTAGATACCCATCTTCTCCAAGACATATCCAAAGGCTTCATCTAGGACTTTCAGACCTTCCTCAATCTCGTCCGCTGTCACAGTAACTGGAGGAGCCAGGCGGAAAACCCCACCCATGCCTGGAAGATTGACAATATTACAGGAAAGACCACATTGCATAGCTCGGTCTGAGACGGCTTGACCAATATCAGCACCAGGTGCACGAGTCTCTCTGTCTGAAATAATCTCAATGCCCTGCAAGAGACCACGTCCCCGAACATCACCGATGCACCAATGCTTTCTCTGGAGCTTGATGAGACCCTGACGCAACTGCATACCACGCTCTGCTGCCCGTTGACAGAAATTATCACGCTCGATAATTTCCAGAACTTTGTTCCCCACAGCCGCGGTCAAAGGATCATTCAAGTGAGTCGTAAGCCAAAGAAACCCAGCTTCCTTGCAGCCACGCTCAATCTCCACGGTCGTGCTAACAGATGCAAGAGGCAAGCCGCAGCCTAGAGTCTTAGAGAGGGCCAGAATATCCGGTACAACCTCATCATTCTCAAAGGCGAACATTTGACCGGTCCGGCCAACACCCGTTTGAGCTTCATCCATGATGACCAGCATATTGCGCTTCTTGCACTCGGCTACCATACGTTTCAAGTAACCCTTAGGAAGGTCCAGTATACCACCAGTAGACAGGATAGGCTCCATGACGAAGGCTGCAAGGGATCCAACACTCTGGCGATCAATCATTGTCCAGCCAAAATCCATTTCCGTCTCCCAGTCATAAGAACCATCTGGCTTTCGAAATGGCGACCGATAGGCATTTGGAGCTGGAAAAGCCAGCTGACCAGGAGCGCAAGGGCCGCCTTTTCTACGACCAGCGGAGTAAGTGGCAGAGCCAGCACCCTGGGTCAAACCATGGTAACTGGCAGTGAACGCAACGATCTCGAAATTGCCAGTATAATACTTAGCTATCTTAATAGCAGCCTCGATGGACTCAGAGCCAGTGTTGAGAAAGAAAGACTTTTCGAGCGGCGCAGGGAGTAGTCGAGCGAGACGCTCAGCAAGATCCACAACCGGATGGGTGATCATATTGCTGAGAAGATGATCGAGCTCAGCGACATATTTCTGGACGACCTCAACAATCTCCGGATGAGAGTGTCCAAGTAGAGAGCTCATTTGTCCAGAAGTGAAGTCGAGAATATGCCGGTTATTGGCGTCGTAGAGCCTAGTCCCCAGCGCGCGGGTGATCACAATTGGAGAAAATGGTACACCCGTCGACATTAAATGCTTGCCTGCTCTAGAGAAGAAGGCCATAGACGAGTCGTTGGAGCCCATATTGGGCTGAGATATAAACAAGAAGGCGAGTAAAAGACAAGAAACAAATTGGCTATGTCACAACTCACCTATTGGAGTTTATGGACTACTTGAATAAAATAGATCGGGCATGATGTCTATAGAGATCGGCAAAGCCCGCGCGAATGTCCGCGGCGAAGGTGTGGATCTTTCACCGCGGCCAATTTCGATGGTCTTTTGACAAGGCCAGAAGACGTGGAAAACAGATGCAAGTTCTTTTTTTGAATACAAATTGAACATAAAATTCGCGACTTTCTGCTTCTTCGCTGCTTATTGTCCTTTTTCTCGCTTCTAGGTGACAACCCTCAAGGCTTAGCTCACGGGCGGGTGGCTGGACCTTTTGGCATCTAGGCGATGTGTGCAGTTTTCAGATTGTCCCAACATGTTTGAAGTACGAATATTGAGCACAAATATCTAGTCAAGTGACAGTCAGAAGGATTATCTCACATGTGCAAAATATGCCATTTTCGGTGCTATGAAATCTCGCCGAAAAGCCCTTCCAAACCACTCGAAACTCCGAACAGTTCTTCCAAAATAATCGGATCCAGGTCTAGGTTCTCAGAAATATCCAGCAGACCTGACGTGGAGGTACCATTTTCTGCTTGTACATTTTTCGCGTGAATCCTCTCAACTAATTCACTGCATTGGGCTAGACAGTGGTCACCTAGATCCCAATCAAACGATTCACGATGGGCTCGAAGAGTATTGATCATGCCTTGTGCAATATTGAGCAGTCTGTTCCGGTTCTGGCCTTTTAATCGAAGACCACTCCGAATTAGGAACATAGTAGCCGATGTAATCGAAAATGCATGCACTGGTATCCAGAATCCATGAAGTTGGGCTTCTTCTAGCTCCTGCATGAGAAAAGCAACTTCTTCAGCGGACCGCTGAGCAAGAATGTAGAATGGTGAGGCAGTATCGTCTTCGATTTGAGCCGAGCTCTTCTTGAGATCCAACTGAATGCGTCGGAGGAGCAGTTTAACCGCCAAATAGCTGAGTCGGAAGTTGGCCGCCCCCGGCTCATCTAAGCATGTTCCTCGAAGAACGATTCGACGAACATCATCACTCAAAGATTCTTCCCAGTTGTTGAGAATTTGCTCTAAATATGTAGCAGACGGTTCAGAGGCAGGTGGGTCCTCCGCTACATGAAATACACATTCCAAGTAGCGTGCAAGAACGTCCGTCAAGGATACCAAAGCAACAAAAATCGAAGCGGCCGATCTCTGGTATGGCGAGGCATTTTCGGAGCAAATATCGTTGACTGATGGGAAGGGGACATTGTATTGTGCTCGATGCACTTGTAAGGGGGTTCCATATGCCAGACTACACCATCGGTCATGTAAGATAACAAGCCACCATATTCGAATGCGGAGGCTCTTTTCCGACGAGGATATAGCCCAGCTCGAGGGGTCTCTATTGAGTCCGAGTGCATTTGATAGGGCCACCGCTGTGCCAACCATCCCTCCATTACCGAATATTGATGTGCTTGGTCTCCCACATACATTGATGATGATAGAGATCACAGTCGAGATACCGGGAGAAACGAAAAGCTCGGAATGCAGAGCTTCATTGGCTTGATTCCATATGAATCTGATATCGGGAACACGACTTGAACATAGCTTTGGCGAAATTTTCCAATAAACCATGGAGTTGGCGTATAAATTGCAAAGCAAAGCAGAGGAAACATTCGATTTATGAGAAGAGTATGCGCTTCTGAATAACGTCTCATCGAATATCGGGAAACACACGTTCGCTTTCTGGAAGAATCTTGGGGTCTATAATGAGCCTCAAGAACAACTATTGGATATTTGAAAGTCATCAAGTACTCACAAAAACAGATACTCATCAATTTCAGGCTCCATATACTTCTCAATAATCTCACATTTGCTCGCAGCCAGGGTTTGACTAGCAGTGACACCCAGCGGACGTCTCGGTACTGCGTGGAACCGCACGAGTTTCAACGGTCTGTCCGAGACTGGACTTCCGAAAGCTGTGGGTCTGTTCTGGATGCTTGAAACGACAGACAAGTAGCTCGCTAAGTAGCTCTCCAAGACAACACTATCGCATACAACCGCCGGACTAATGATATGAGAGTTCTCATTCCCAGTTTCTGTAATCATACCTACGAGATGAGGCAGGTCTTCTCCCATTTGCGGGTCTCTACCATGAAGTGGAAGGGTGTTTAAGTCCAATTCCATGGAATTAGGTTGAGATTCAATTGGTAGGCGATTTCTGCCAAGGGCAAGCTGCTCTCTCGCAACTGCAGGAATTATCCGCGGTGAATGTTCAGATTGTGGCCGATTATTATCTTCTGGCCTTGGAAAGATGCACTCGGTGCCGTGCGCTTGACACATTACGCATGTGTTCAAGGTTGTTCGCGTATTATACCGTGACTTGCGCTTCTTGCAGGCAAAGCAGGCAGGAAATAGATGAGATCGATAGGGCCGAGCCGAAGCTTGAGAATGACATTGGTTGCTCATATCTGTTCCTATTGACTTGCGAGTCTTGTAAACCAGGTAGTAGATGCTATTATATCAAATAAACTAGCGGAGATGCCCGCGGGGAAATCGCATCACGTGTTCCTCGCCAGGAATATTGTGTTGTTGAATAAATATATCTTTCAGCAAGAGCATAGCCAAGAACGATGATGTTCTAGCCGCCTTTTTGCTACGAATATACTTCTATATTCTTATGGTATACAAAAATATGAGTTCAGTATGTCCTAATGATCTAAGGATTGTGGTTGCAAGTGTTCTAGATCTAGCAACCTTATTGGAGGGATCACGACATCAGTAATAAAACATGCTGTCCTAAATCCAGCACTCTTTGTTTTCTTTGCAGAAGTCCGCGAATGACTTGGGTGCCACGCCGGTAAGCTTTTCCACCTCATCGCCTAGCCTTTCTTCAGTGCCATTTGCAGCCTCATGATCCAAGGCTGCTATCATCTGGGCAAACTCAAGAGGTACTCCCTGACCCTCCACCAAGTGATTCGCGAGTTCGGCTTCATTGAGGCTGACGAATTTGATCTGACGTCCTACGACGGAGGTCATCAGGCTTGCCAGTTCGGTATGAGTGACGCATTCTGGCCCAAGAACGAACAGATCTCTATTAAGAGGTACTGCATCAGTAAGGGCATGCAAGGCGAGGCGACTAATATCGTGGATGGAGATGAATGGAATTTTTCCATCGCCCGCTGCGCTGTAAATAATGCTTTCGTTTTTGATTGAGTCAAGGTGGGGGGACTCAAGGAAATTCTCTGGAGGGCAAATGACACGTGAGTACGATAGTTTTGAAGCTGCGAGACCTTTGCTCGATCACTAACCCATAAACCATGTTGGTCGAAGAACTGCATACTCGATCCCATCCAAGTCAGCAAGATGCTCATGAGCCTGACCCATTTCTGTCCCGCCCTTCTCAAGATTGCTCGCACTGATAAGAACGAAGCGCTTCACACCCTGAGACTTAGCAAGGTCGATGAAATTGACCATTTTCTCTCCAATATCCATAATTGATGCCCCTGCAATGAACACGCCCGATATCTTACTCATTCCACTCTCATAAACTCTATCAAAGGCATTTTTCCAGGTATCGTTCTTGGTCCAATCGAAATGCACATAGGTTGAATCGTTGGGGCTAGAGTGAGTCCCGACAAGAAAAGGAAGATTGGCGGCCTTCAAATGGGAAGCTAAAGCAGTGGCAAGTTTGCCTCGGCCTCCAAGTACAAGAATAGCCATCTTGACAAAGCTTTCACAAGAAATCACTGGAGTTGTCTAACAGGTAAATTCAAGTATACTAAACAAGACGAGGTATCTGGATGGGGCACATCTCTTACTAAATGGCGAATTCGGTCTATAAAGACAGGAGCGCTGGTCTATCTCACTTGACGAGATAATTACTGCGACACAGGGAGAGAGCCTCTTCCAAAAAATCCGTTACACAAAGGAGTCTATCAAGTTGTACGTATCACACATTCAGTTGATCTTTTCTACTAAAGATCCATGTTGGGGCTGAAAATACAAGACACAAAAGTATGTTAAAATGGGTAGTCATCTACTACAATAGAAGTGCTTTTAGGCGGAGAAACAAAAAAAGAGATAGGGCAGTGTCTTATTCCTCGGTAACTTCACTCCAAGTTGATTCTCCGCCTATGACATATTTGACATATTTGACATCATTTATAGAAATTGTTATTGACCAAGTTTCTTCTGTCAAAGGTGACACTGGAAGATTATTGCAGGATTCATTAGTTCGATATCTTTTCAAAAAGAAATGCGGGGCTATTAGGTATTTGCTTTTCCGATTTCATTGTACTTTTTGAGCAAACATCGAATCTTTCACGAGGATACGGGATACACGATAGCAGGTGCCAAATCTCAAGATCTCACGAAACAATCTCGTAGAATAACTCCTAATTTTACAAGAAGTAGCGCCCTAGGCACAGGCCCGTGTTGGGTAAAGAGCATTGTATACGATGATCGGCAGCGCTAAGCGACGCTTATATACCTTGCAGAGCTATTTTTAGGCATCACTCGTACCGACTCGTTCCTGAATGGCCTCTTTACAGCCCTGACATCGACGCAGGAGTCCAGGAACACGAAAAGTACGAAATAGAAAGTTCTGCAAGCTTATTCAAGAAATAAAACCGTCCTTGGCATGAGATGGACGGGTTGTGCTTGGCAGGAAAAGCTGTCGTTATTTTTGACTCCTTGAGCATCCAATACGAGTTTCTGCCCCAGAGCTATTTCTCCGAAGACCGAAGACATGGGATCTTGCCATCGACATTGGATTGGCCGCTCTTGGATACGAGTTAAGGTGGTATTCGTGAGGGAATTCGTAATTTTAGTTTAGAAATCGTTCAGGATGTGGACGGGAATAGCATCAGTTGAACAGACACGCTCGAGACGGGTCTATAAAAGGGTTCCATGATTTCCTTGGACATTGAATTTTCCATGAACATTCTTCTCAACTATCAAAGCGATCGGTAACAAGTGTTTGCTTCGGTGCTTCTGAATTAGGATTCCCATAACTTTCATATCCGTTTTTATCAAAGTCGTCCAAGATGTTGCTCTCTTCTCTCCTCGCCGTGGCTGTGGCCGTCATCCCCACCACCGTCAGTGCCTACCCAATCACCGGTGATACTGTGAACTGTCGTTCCGGTCCTGGCACTAGCTACAGTGTTGTCAAGACGTACAAGAAGAGTGACAACGTTTCGATCACTTGCCAAGCCTCGGGCACCAACATCTATGGTGACAGCCTTTGGGATAAGACTTCTGACGGCTGCTATGTGGCCGATTACTACGTGAAGACCGGCTCCACCAATTACGTTACCAAGAAGTGCGACGACAGCGGCAGCGGCAGCGGCAGCGGCGGCGGTTCCAGCAGTGGATCGGGTAGCTCGATTGTTGATGCTGCTGAAAAGGAGAAGGGCCTGCCCTACGTCTGGGGCGGCGGCGGTTGCAATGGTCCCTCAGGAGGTGGCTTTGACTGCTCTGGTTTGACCCAGTACTCCATTTGCAAGGCCCTGAAGAAGACGGTCCCTCGCACTGCGCAGACCCAATATGATGCGACCAATATGGGCAAGCGTATTCCTCGATCTGAGGCCAAGGAGGGCGACCTTCTATTCTGGGGTGAGAATGGTAACTGCAAGACTGGTGTTGTGCACGTTGGTATCTTCATTCGCGATGGTTGGATGATCAATGCGGCACGCACTGGTACCCCGGTCCGTGAACAGGCTATCTGGACTTCCTATGGTGGTGAGAGCATCTGCGACTATGCCATGAGGTATGAAATCTCTCGACCCCCGGATGTCGATGTACATGCTAATGGTGACTTGCAGATTCTGGTAGAATGATTTGGAACTCTGGCGCAGCATTCGGTATAGATTGTGGCTTTTCTTATTGCTGGTTAATCATGTCTTATCGTTTCTTTTCTTTTCTTTTTTCAACCATTTATGTCAAGTTTGAGTAGGCCGTAGTGCCTAAAACACTGGAATAGAATGTTTTTGCTGGGTTCTTCCCCACTGCAAACCGTTGTCATTCAGGTTTTAATACTTCATATATTGAGTATCAAAAAAGGCACAAGGCCTCCTGCTATATCGCATTCAGTCATTCCTTGCAGAGGTCCTCAAGTAATCCCAGCATGCGCCTTTGCAAATCGGCGAGCTCGGACTTGGTCATTGGAGGCGAGCCATAACGGGAGGGACCACTTTCGTCATATTTTGGTGCGTTTTCAGATTCGATAGTTGATGTATCTTTGATGAAATCTTTGCTTATCACGAAAAAAGGAATATTTAGCCCGCGCATTTCGCTTACAAGGGCGTCGGCCATTTTCACAGAAGCTTTATATACTTTGGTATCGTAGTTTGCCAGCTCTGCTTCGTCTTCTTTGGGATTCTGGGGAGGATTAGTATCCATGAATCTATAATTCAATTATGAGGAAAAGCAGGGCTGCGCACTGATATTTCTTTTGAGTCAACGGGGGCACCGATGGAGCGTCTAAAGCGCCAGACCAGGGCCAGTTGTTAGTGGTGCAAAGAAAGAAACAAACAGCACAAACAAGGGTAAAATGAAGTCATATTCAGTCACTAGAGATATGAAGCGATTGACTTACAGGACAGCATCTAGCTCTTTCTTCTTATCGCCACGAGCTCTTTGTCGTTGAAGCAGAGCCTCTCGGCCCTTCCACCACTGTTGCTCATGGCTGTGCTGACTCCGAATTAAGCCACGAATTCGCAGCTGGGTTTCTTCATTCTGACCAACGGTGCGCATAACATATCGCAGCGCCGCTGGCCAAGTCGTGATAGACTCAGGATCTGTGGCTGGTGTGCTTGGAGGGCTCACTTGAGGCCGGCGTGAAGTCTGACTTTGCTCGGGGCGACGCTGTCTAGGCACTGATGACTCCGTAAGATCAACCGATGCATTCTGTGATGCAGAAGCTGGTGCGGCTAAGCTGGATAGCGTCTGAAGGACCGAGTTAAGGTCCGAGGCGTTATAGGAGTGTTGGGCCATCGAGTAGCCGTTTTGAGACTGTAAACCTCAAGGTCACAAAGTAGAAAAAATATATTGCTCTGTGCTTAACTAGATGCTGTGGCAATCCTTTCCCCGACCGGCGGGACTTGGGAAGATGAGAGTGGTGGTGGATCGAGGTGTCAGCCCATATCGATAAGTGAAGCTGTAGGAGGTCTTGGCGCGAATGTCCGGCCGCTGAAAATTTGCCTGGCCTTCCCACCCTCGAAACCCCGGGATCCTCCACACGCCCACGCCAACCTCCCCTCGACATTCATATCAATCGCGGGGCGCCCCCGTCAGACTTCCTCGCTTTGGTCCGTTTGGACTTCTCAATACCCCTTCCTCGCCCACACTCTTGACCCGTCACAACCGAGATGTCCCGATCCGCGGCGGATGCAACGCGGTTCACGGCCACGGGCCCCTACGCCAGCTCCAAGGCCAATGCAGCACCCTATGAGCTCCCGAACTTCATGCAGTCGAAAGAAACTCAAAAGCAGGCGACTCCTTCGCCGCCACAGACCGGCCCCGATGGCCAGCCTGAGACGCCGAAGCAGAAGGTGGAACGACTGCGTGCGCAGGCACGGGCTGCCAGGATGGCACAGTCAAGCTCGGGCATGGACCGGTGGATTGAAGGTGGACGGAGATTCGCGAACAAGGCGCACAAGGGCATGGTGTATTCGTTGATCATTGCGTCGGGTACGTTGATTCTGTATATTGGAAAACCTGGCCGTTGAAGGGGGGAGTGGGCGGTCATGCCATAGACCAACTATCTTCCTCCCCCTTCAACTCCCTCGACGACTACGATATCTTTTCTCAAAATATCGTGATGGGACAGGCGCTAACATGACTTGTTTTTGCTCACTGCATAGGTGTCTGTGGTGTCCTCACCGTCTACTCTATGGTCTCGCTGACCCTCTACAACCGTCGCCAACGCACCCTGTGGATCGAGAGGGAAGTTGAGAACCTGAAGCAGGCCCGCATTGCCCAGGCCAGCGGCACAGCAACCACTGATCAGCTTGAACTCATCAAGAAGGAGGAGATTGCGGATATTATCAAGCGCAAGCGCGAGGAGGAGAAGGCACAGCGGCCGTGGGCCAAGGCCAAGCGATTCCTATTCGACAAGATGAACCCGGAGGATTCCGGTGCTGCTGCTTCTGCCGTGGCTGTGTCGACAACAACGGCCGTCGAGGGTACGGATGTGCCCGGTGTCCTCGAGGCTGTCCAGGCGAAGACCGGCGCCCCTGTGCCCGGTCAATTGGATGTGATGGCCGAGAATGCGGAGCGTGCGGCGAAGGAGAAGACGCGCGGTTGGTTTAGCTGGGCGACTGGCCGGTAGAGCTGAGGGATGCTTCATATCCATCGAGGATCTCAACCCAACAAAAGTGATGACGAATCTGGGATCCCCTTCCTCTTCATCTCAGGCCCGGGCCAGTCCCGGCTCCCATTCCTGCTGCCATACGAAGTGTGTGTTTTTATTTTTCTTGCATGGCATGTTGCGATCACTTCGCCTTTCCGCAGCATGTCTCTCCATCGTGACAGGGGGGTTCCGGCGTTGCATTGTGTGCTTTCCCATTTCCTCTTTTGGTTTTTGTCTTCTCCCCTTCTCTTCTCTCCCCAGCGTGGGTTGTGTTCCTAAACTGCCTTGCCCGAGCTGTCTCGTCCAAGAAGAGCGCGGAAAGACACCATGTATATTGTGTACAGTACATAGAGAAAATCTGCTTCCTTTTCACCGCCAAGCCCCTCAGAGTCCACCTGAAAGTCCTCGTAGCGTCCACCACCCTAATAAACCACAACCACAAAAGCCACTGAGACCACCGAATCTCCACCAGCCAGCCCATCCAACCACTCACCAGACTTTTTTCTACAAGTCCGCAGAGGCCCAGGGGGGAAAGCGGTCCTCCCTGTGGTTCCACCGCTATTCCACAACGAGCAGACCCCATCCCGATTCGGCCATCCCGACCGGCAGAGCGCTTTTCCCGCGCCATGTAAGACCCTGCGCCGCACAATCTTCCCTCCCCCTCCCCTCTGGCCCCTGCATCCCGGTGGAGCAGACAAGAATAAAGATCTCGTAGATCCTGTGGACACCCTGGTCTGGAACAGCAGCTGTCACTTGGATCTGGAGCGTTGGAGGTGGGTCCAAGATCCGGGGTAGCTTGGAGGACGTGTAACTATACAAACGCGGGCCAAACACGGCCGGGGCGAGGCCAGTGAGTGTATGGTCTTGTTTTCTTCCTGAAATTTGTCAGGCTATGAAGGTGCCTGTCCCTCTGAGATACAAGTTTATTCACATATTTTTTTTTTCTTACAGTTTTGAAATGATCTTTACTAGGGTTGCAATTTGTTCGTGGATGTGGGTAAAAAACCGAAAGATTTCGCTCGTTACTCAGCATCGACAGTCTCAAGGTACAAAGTCCACTAGCGGAGGAGCAAATGTTCCCCATAAAAACATTAAAACAAGTAAAAAGAACGCTTCACGTTCAAAGGGACCAGGTATCTATGCCAAACCATGCTTTTGATTTTGATATTTTTTGTTGCCCCGTCTTAAATCCAATATGTAACATAGGGACGGGGAGAAGCATAAGATGCTAGGGGGAATGGGAGGATATAAAAGGGATACAGGCGTCCATCATAAAGTATTCAATGACAAGAAAGGGAAGGCAAAGAGATGACGAGCCCCGGAACAATGGCCATAAAATGAAGATAGAAACAAATTCAAAAAAAGAGGGGAGGTGGGACCATTTCTCTAATGCGAGCCATTGGCTTTGGACGCGAGCACGGCACGGCGCGCGCGCACACCTTCAGCCAGATCGGTCAAAACATCAACGGTCATCTCCCAGTTGATGCAAGCATCGGTGATGGAGACGCCCTTGAGAAGGGCGGTAGGACCCTCCGGGGGCACCTTCTGGTTACCCTCGTAGATGTTGGACTCAATCATAACACCGATAATGGCGGTCTCACCCTCACGCAATTGATCAGAGACCTCCTTGGCGACGAGAGGCTGGTTGAGATGGTTCTTCTTGGAGTTACCGTGGGAGCAGTCGACCATGAGAACCTCGCGCTGCTTCTTGGCCCGGAGAGACTCACGGGCACCGCGGATGCTGTCGCGGTCGTAGTTGGTACCCTTGTTGCCGCCACGCAGGATGACAAAGCCATGTTCGTTACCGGCGGTCTTGGTGATAGCCGCCAGACCCTGCTTTGTGACACCGAGGAAGCGGTGCGGGTGGGCAGCAGCGCCAATGGCGTCGATGGCGACGGTCAGGTTACCATCGGTACCGTTCTTGTAACCGATAGGGAAGGAGAGACCGGAGGCCAGCTCACGGTGGAGTTGAGACTCTGTGGTGCGGGCGCCGATAGCACCAAGCGAGATCAGGTCGGCGAGGAACTGAGGGGAGATAGTGTCGAGCATCTCGGAGGCGATAGGCAGACCGGTGCTTGTGAGGTCGGTGTAGAGCTTACGAGAGACGCGCAAGCCCTTGTTGATCTGGTAAGACTCATCCATGTCCGGGTCGTTGATCAGACCTTTCCAGCCGACGGTGGTGCGGGGCTTCTCGAGGTAGGCGCGCATGATGATGCACAGGTCCTTGGACAGCTTGCCAGACAACTCCTTCAACCGACGGGCATACTCCAGCGCAGTGTCAGGGTCGTGGATGGAGCAAGGACCGACGACGACCAGCAGACGGTCATCACGCTGCTCGATAATCTCGATCGCCTCGTTGCGGCCGTTACGGACAGCCTGGATGGCACGCTCGGGCTATTATGAACCAAGCCATTGGCGTTAGCAATGGGGCTCTTGAGGTCTATGTACTTGAATTGCAGGAATTGCGCGGTATCCGGGACGATTTGGACCGGCAATGGAGGGGCGGGGTGTGGATGCCCTCCCAAAAATGACTCACCGCGGGGATCTCGCTCTGCAGGAACTGCGGCGACAGCAGAGGATCATAGCCAAGGACTAGGAACAGTGAATGAGTGAGATGGTCGGAACGAGAACAAGAGTGTGCCACTGTCAATGACCGTGCTACACTTACCACGAGTGTCCTCGTTGACCTCGGTGGTGTTGACGAGAGGCATGGCGGAGACGCAGATTCGTTGATTTCAGGTGGCGAGGAAGAGGATAAGTATGTAGTTCGGACACCACAGGTAAAAATCGCGACGGAGAGCCGATTAGAAGAAAGAAGGGAAGACGAGAAGAAGGAAGGAGGAGAAAGCTGATCACCAGAATAAATACAAAAAGAAAAAAAAAAAAGCAGGGACGAGACTCACAGACGATCGAGGGACAAGATGCACAAAGTGTGGATCTGGTCGGTCCCGAAAAAGACAAGTCCACAGAATAAGCCCCGGTAAAAAAAAGTGGGCCGGTGTAAAATGATTCACAGCAACTGGAAACAGCCGAGGAGTGAGAGGAGTACACAAAAGAGAGAGATTTGTCATGTGTCGCTCGAGAAAGCGATATAGAGTCGATATATATTCGATGTCGAGAGTCATCGCAGAGAGTGTTCAGTCGAGTCGGTGATCGTTGACCGCCTCCCAATGAGGGTTTCTATGATTCGGGTCTGATCTGTCGCTCGAGCCTGTCAACAACAGCACTCCTACCCCCTTCCCTTCTCTTCCACCCCCTTCGGAGACAATAATTTCTCTTTGTGGACGGAGCACCGTCAGATCTAGTGTTCAATTGATTCTCTAGCTGCAGCACTTCGGAGGGATCTCACCGACCAATCAGCGGAGCCCCTGCCGGCGTGCGTGGGCGACTGGCCCCCGCGAATGGGCCTTTGGTAACCCGGATGGTCGCAGTGTGCGACCGTGAGATCAGATTTGCTTTCTCGTCATTTCTCGCCATACTTGCGGTGACAATGCACCCAGCTGATGTGCCATGCAGCCTTTCCCCCCTTCGTCGATGCCTGTCGCTGGGGACCTGGGTCTGTGTGACCCGTTCCAGCCAGTCGCGAGCGGACTACCGAGCACTGAGCACCCGAGCCTGACGTTTGAAGCGCATCGGCACGCCCTACTATGTACATCGTATTTCCAAGGTGCTAGATTGGAACAGATTGATCAGGTCCGACAGCGATCCGCCAGTTGAATCTGCCTTTCCTTTCCGTTCCCAGGAATCGTCATCATCTCGGTTTGACGATTGTCAATCCTCGCACGCTCAGTGGCGGAGTGGATCAGCCGAATTGTGTGGTTCGCAAGTGGCCAGAGGGAGAACGTCTATGTATAAGTTGCCCAAATAGACGATCTTCCTCGTATTCTTCCGCCTTCCATGGCGTCCACTTATCTAGCTCCCTGTCGGGGCCAATGGTTCTTCCTGCACGGTGAGCAAGTCTTCTTAACTGTAGATAAACAACTTCTTCAAGTGAACTAGTTAGTCCAACTAGTACGGTTCTTACGTGATCTGCAGCTAAATATGTCGATGCGATCGTCCGGGATCGGAAGGGCCAAGTCTCGTCACCCGAACGAAGAAGAAGAATAGTAGTAATAGTAAGCATAATATGGATGCCGTCTGGATAATCGGAGATATACCCTGGCAGACCTGCATCACATCAGGCCAAGCAATCTAAAAGATACCAACGCTCGACCATTGATGAACAAACATGCTCTGAAGATGTCGGAAATGTCAAAGGGTCGAAAATGCATCAGCATTCTCGACTCCCCACAGGCTCCGCCCCAGTCGCCCTGACGGCAAGTGCCGAGGCGCTCAGCTCTCCACTCTCCCCTTGCTTCCCCAGAATCCATGCTTTCTTTCCCCTATGCTCCTCCAGAGCTCTACCTGCCCTCCCCTTCGCTTCCCCCTCCTTATTTTTGTGCATCATGTATGGCCAATCTCTGAAGCGCCAACGCGAGGATGAGCTCGATTCCGATTGTCTCGCCCACGACTCCAAGGTTCGTGTGTCTGTCAATCGCTCAACTGCACGTCATCGCTCCTGCAGCCCTCCTGTGCAGAGCAATCTTGACAGCTGCAACCCAGTGACCACCATATTGACCAGCTGAATCCAACAGGTCCAAAAGATTTACGCGTCCCGACACGCGGGCCCAGTGACCTTCTCCGTGTCAACCACGGATCTCGACCAGTCGCTGCGGGTTCGCGCACCTACGTTAACGCCAGTCGATTCAGAGGATGAGGATGGAGACTCGGGGAATGGAACAGCTCCAGGTGCCTTTACAGGTGGTCTGGGGAAAATGGGGCATGGCCATCGACTCCCAATGCTGCAGCTAGACATCAACAACCGCCCTACGAAACAGCAGCAGATGGCAGTACTCGCAGGGGGGACCGTCTATCACCATGGATCACCAATGTTCCAGGCAGCCTCCAGCCTTCTCCCATCCCACATGCTTTGCTCAATCACTCTTTGACCATCAATGGAATACCCACGACCACTTCAAGCCATGGCTACTTCCCAGCGGTCTCAATGCCCGTCCCCAACCAATCGCAGTCGGTTCCAAATGTGATGGATGAAGATATGCTAGTCCACCAAGATGGACCACCAGCTGTCCGACTGCCCAGCCCTGTCAGTGATAATGGCGATGCCATCATGGGTGACGAGGATACGGAAATGGGCAACTACCCTTCCCACTTGCGATCTCATGTGCCAAATGCCAGGCCTTCCAGTGCACTAGTGGGGGCATCCCAGCATCCGGTTCAAGCTCCTTCTATGGAACATGCGCCCACATGTAATGAAGGTCAACGACGACGATCTCCTCTTGTTATGGGGTATCGCGCGGACTGTGACAAGTGTCGGTGCAAAGTCCCTGGGCATTATAGCCATATCCGGCGGCCTTGACTATAATACTAAAAATACAGCCCCTCAGGATCTTCAGAATTATATTATAGACACCTTGACTAGTACCTTGGGCTCTGTTGCTTCATTGTTTTACCTTTTCACAATTACCCATTTAGAGCGTGAGCTCTCCTTGCAATCTTGTGGCTCAGTGCTCAGTGTCTCTGACTATCTCATCCTCTGGTTTCTCGGGCAGGCGTTCAAGGCTAGGAAGCCCACACGGAGGAAATGGTTGGACTGGCGTTATGATCGATCTGTTTTCTATTTCATTTGCTCTTTTCGTTTTTGTGATTCTCGTGTTAGGTATATCAAGATGTGGAGAAAGAGGCACTTAATAAAACACTATGTTTATATGGCATATCTCTTTTCTCCTAGACATCTCAAGGGCTGTGGCGTGCATTATTTTGGATGAATATGAGCTCAGTAAAATGATTTTCAAAGTCACTTACTAGCTTCCTCGTCTTTTTGAAAATACAAGAACAAAGTGGGTGATAACGCATGCACGCAGTCTCTTTGTCACGCTCACATCCGACTTCACCATATCAATGTCTCCACATCTCCATTGCTCTTTTCCTCTCTCCAGTCATTCCCTCATCGCGTCATTCCTCGCTTCTGGTCGTCAAAGTAATTATTACTTCACTCCATAACCATCAACAGAACATCATGCATCGACTGAAGCAGCAACGCCGACCGAAAAATCGCAGGCCCATTGTTCCTCCTCAGGTAAGCGAACTGGATTACTACGATTTAGAAGAATATATTTCAAATACACATATGCCCTCGAATTCTTCAGCTCAATCCCCACTCTGATCTTGCTCAAAACATTGGCATCGCGCAAATTTACGGTACTAACAACACAATTCAGGGCTGGCACGCAGACATGCCACCCCGAGAAGCATTCCATCTCCCCCAAAGAAGGATGCAGATGTCGCAAAAGAAGATAGTTGTGGCAATGGCGGCAACAAATCCGTGGATCGAAACTTCCCCGGGGATGACGAGTATCCCAACACTTTTACACCAGCTGACATGGAAGCGCATGATGGAAAATGGGTGTATCAGTCCTGTCCCAGCTCCATTGCCAAGTGCCCACACTGTATGAACCACATTTTCCACATCGGATGTCTGGTAGTCGGAGTCGCTGGCGCTGTCTCCACAAACGCAGGCATGCAGCCCAGATCTTCCATGGGGATCTACTGGGGCTATATGAACAAAAAGAACAAGGTCAGACCTGTTATCGGAGACCATCAGACTGTCCAGGTGGCAGAGCTTAAGGCCTGTCTGGAAGCACTTAACCAGATGATCACTCTGCATGCAACCTGGCAGATTCGTCCTCCCAGGAAGAATCCTGCCTGTCATCCCCTGCACACTTTGATCATCAAGTCCGACTCTGAATACATGGTCAAGGGTATCACCGAGTGGCTATCCAAGTGGAAGGAGAATGGCTGGAAGAACTGTAAGGGTCAGCCTGTTGCAAACATGGATCTGTGGCTTCTGATTGAGTCCGCTCTGAAGCAGCTGGAGCTGGCAATGGTCGTTCGTTTCTGGCTGGTTTCTCGGGATCTGAACAGATTTGCCAATCACCTTGCGATGTCCATTCTGTGAGAGAGATTGACCGGGTTCTGGCGCCTTTATGGGAGAGGCTATGGTGTTTCTTGTTTCCTTGACGTGCATGATGATTGATAACTTAACTTGATTGAACACTTGCGGGCTTTACTGGAGGACTTTGACCTGGTATCTTTAGGATCTTCAGCTTTGATGAGATTGCTATCTTGCTCTTATTGCATATGGTCTATCTCAAGCTCGGAGGTTAGCTATGAAGTTTGCGATTAGTTCTCAATATCAAGTTTTTACAAATGATTTTGTGGAATTGTCTTCCATATTCTCAGAATTTGGCCTGGATACTTATGGTTCTGCAAAATTTCGCCGTTGTGCCTGTAATTCACTGCTTTGTCTATAACATAATGCTGTAAAAGCTCCGTTTCTAGCATCCCAAATGTTAACTCCCAAATGGTAACTGTTCCCAGCTTCGAAGATCTTTCTCTCTCTCTTCATGAACTTTTGCAGCCTCCAACACCCACGATAATTCATGACTACCACCTCATCAAAGCGTTCCAGTAACATGCCACCCTCCGATCTAAGGTAGGTCTAAGCCTCTAAGTCATATCCCACCTAAGTGCTGGATACATAACATTCATTCGAGATGAATATTCTAATATAAGTTGATATGTGATGCTAACAACACACCTTCCCAGCATCGCTCACTTACGGACAGGTTCGACGCATGCCCGTACTCCAGCCAGAGTCGCTCCCCCGACTGACACCTGCCCACTTTATGAACTCTGCACCCCTCTACCTCCCAATGAGATTAGAAGCCACCGGTTCGATCCTGCGAGATCTGCCATGCGCATCTTAACTTGGGATGATATGGAGGTCGAGCTTGGGGGATGGGTCTTCCTCGCCTGCCCGCAGTCCGGGCCCTGCACCGACTGTCATCAGCACGAACCACATGTCAACACGATTGTCGTGGGCATCGGCGCAGCTTCCACCCACGATGGTCGCTTTGATGGCCGTGCCAGTATCGCAGCATATTTTGGTGCATCAAACGCTCACAACATCGCCCATCCGCTCATCTCGCCTCGCCCAACCTACCAGATGGCCATGCTGGAGGCGTGTCGGTACGTTCTGAGGCGCACGCAGCTATGCCTCGACGAGTGGAAACGGCACAAGGCAGAGGCTACTACAATCACGCAATGCTGTCTCAACGTTCTCATCATCAAGACAGACTCGGAGTTCATCGTGCGTGGATACACTGAATGGCTGCCCAACTGGAAGGTGAACGGTTGGCGGAACCACCGGGATGAGCCGGTGTCATTTGCCAGTCTGTGGCGAGAGATCGACAGTCTCATCACAGCATTGGAACGAAGCATCCGTGTGGTGTTCTGGCATGTTCCTCGCCAGATAAATGAAGTTGCTCACTCCATGGCCCGGGTGGCTTTGCAGATGGTGTCTCATCGATAGAGTGGTCCGGCTCGGTGTTCGACTTGGAGATGTCTAGGACATCTGTTTTCTTCCCTTTTCCCCATGCATAGCGCGGGCTATGCTTACTGTTACTAGTAGACCTGGACTCTTTGGATTTACTTTCTTTTTGACGATTTCAATCCTGAATATGGCTATCTCTGGATAAGAGTGTCATGCATCTTCGATCTTGATCAGATTTAACGTCTTTCGAAACGTTGTTGTCTTCACTTTTCTATTACTTTTAAAAATGATATGAGAATGATAGAGTATTTGACCTCATGACGATAAACGCTCTATCAGTAAATGAGCCTACGTTGGCCAATTTTTATGAAAGGGGATACTTTGCTTTCTAAGTTACGGGCTTCTCAAAATCCCCCGTCATCCAGCCCTCTCGTTTTGTCCAGGTTATCGAGGCAGATCTGAGTTCCGTGATAAACTGTGTCTGAAACTAGCCTGCCAAATTGGGCTACATGCTGACTTAATGCACATTATTAGTTCGCAACATGTTCTAGTAACGGCCGTTGATCTATGCAAGCATTTGAGCATTAATTCTGGTCATAACTCTGGGATGCTTAAAAAATGCATTGAAAGGGAACCCTGGAATAGAGACACTTTGAAAAACGAGTTGATGTTCAAGTCCCTAGTCTCAAGTCTCGACCATGACATTGTCTTATTTAGAGCTTAGAAGGCATAGCGGAACACTGTTGAGAGCCCTGAAGAAGGACCGGCATCGCCACCACGTGTTTTAGCCGTTTCGGCTTCGTTCCCGATCCGAAGATGACATAAGCAGCCGATTCGGCTCGCGGTGGGGGAAGGCTTGTCTGAGCAATTGACGTCGGAACGTGAATCTTGCAAATACAAAAAAATATCAAATCCATGCTATATTAAACAGATATTGAGACTTGGTATGTAAATGTCTATAAATCAAGAGCCCAAGCGTTTGGGCGGTGCCAATCCTCTCTTGGTAGTCAATCGGCAAACCCCACACTTTACGGCAGAGCCCTTAGCCGATCTCCAGTGCCGGGCCTGGTGCTTGCGACAACGGGACTGGTCAACCAAACTGCATCCGACCCCGGAATTTCACCCGGCATTTTCCTTAAGAATCGCTAGCCGCGGAGAGAATCGTCGGGGAGTTTTCTGGTGCTTGAGATCATTTTTCTTTCCTTCTCTTCTCCATCTATCCTCGCGGGCGTTTGTGCAGATACGTACAATTCTCTCTCTGACTTGAAGCGCATCAGTTCGAGCAACCGAGAAAGCTCCGAGCAGACACATCTACCTCGGCGATCCCCAAACTTCGCCGAATTTCAAACCCTCCCGGCAGATCAGAACAAAAGCTCCAGTCATGGCCTCACCAATTCCCCGTGGCCTCAAGCAGGTGCTGCAGAAATCTCCCAATGACATTGTCATTCTCTCGTCTCTGCGTACCCCTGTCACCCGCGCCAAGAAGGGTGGTTTCAAGGACACCTACCCCGAGGAGCTCCTTGCCAACGTCCTTCGCGCCACATTGAAGGCCAACCCCAACCTCGACCCGGCTCTGATCGACGATGTCACCATTGGCTCCGTCTTGCAGGAGCTCGGTGGTGCTAAGGCCGGCCGTATGGCCCAGATTCACGCCGGCTTCCCTCACTCAGTTCCCTTCAACACCATCAACCGCCAATGCTCGTCCGGTCTGGCCGCCATCACGGCCGTTGGCTACGGCATTCGCGCCGGAGCCCTGAACGTCGGTGTTGGTGGTGGTATGGAATCCATGACTCGCAACTACGGCTCGCGCGCCATCCCTACCGTCCTCTGGCCGGAGCTGAAGGAGTCCCACTCCCAGGATGCCCGCGACTGCATCATGCCCATGGGTATCACCTCGGAAAACGTTGCGTCCCGCTACGGCATCACCCGCGCCGACCAGGACGCTTTCGCGGCCGATTCGCACAAGAAGGCGTCCGCCGCCCAGAAGGCCGGCCGCTTTGACAGTGAGATCGTCCCCGTGACCACCAAGTCCTTCTCGCTCGAGAACCCCGATGCTCCCGCCGAGGAGATCACCGTCACCCAGGATGACGGTATCCGCCACAATCTCTCCGTCGAGAAGATGGCCTCCCTCAAGCCTGCCTTCGCCGCCGACGGCCGCAGCACCGCCGGCAACAGCTCCCAGGTCAGCGACGGTGCCGCCGCCGCGCTGCTGATGCGCCGTTCCACTGCCGAGGAGCTCGGTCTGTCCGGCTCCATCAAGGCCCGCTGGGTCGCCACCGCCGTTGCTGGCTGTGCCCCCGACGAGATGGGTGTTGGCCCTGCCTTCGCTATCCCCAAGCTGCTGGAGCAGGTTGGCGTCAGCGTCCCCGACGTCGGTGTCTGGGAGATCAACGAGGCCTTCGCCTCCCAGGCTCTCTACAGTGTCCGCAAGCTGGGCATTGACGAGGCCAAGGTCAACCCCAACGGTGGTGCCATCGCCATCGGTCACCCTCTCGGTGCCACCGGTGCCCGCCAGCTCGCCGATCTGCTGCCTGAGCTGGAGCGCAGCGGCCAGGACATCGGTGTTGTCAGCATGTGCATTGGTACCGGCATGGGTATGGCTGGTATGTTCGTTCGCGAGTAAAAAGAAAAGCTTTGTTGGGAGCTATCGACGTTATATTTTTACCCTTTCTTTCTCTTCCTGTTACAGTATGATATGAGCGATGCATGTGTATATACATTTCGCACACAATAGATGATTATTTCTTATTCATTTTTTCGCAAATTTTGAATGACCCTTTTACTTCGAATAGAAATTACACTATCCGTATCGTTGGAATTGTATCTGTCTACTTATAGTGGCTTCATGTTGATGTAAGGTATCCGAAAATTGACAACTCCTAGCTCCTTGTTCTCCAGCTAGTGGAATGTATATCGATGTAACGGAGAATGGGAAATATTGAGCACACCTGGAAGTTTTTGAAGTGCAGATATATATTTGCTCAAATTACTCGTTGCACTCAAAGCCGGGTATATAGTTTGGGCTATGAGAGGTTGTTTAAGAGACGTACAAATAGTCTGTAGGGTTGACATTATTCTTATTTAGAGCCTTCAATGATAATATACCTTAATTTTTTACGATCGAGCCGGCGATCAAATTGACTGAACTGAAATGACTTATTGGTGCCAATTTAGTTGCCAAGGCGGTCTATAACGGCAGTCCATTTGCTGTTCAACAGGCTTGATAGTCAGTCAACGGGCGACAATGATAAATGAGCTATCGTAAAAGATTATATAACTTATGAATATACTAAAAGGCATTTTTCTTCTTCCTTGAGATGCTTTTGCACATTCCATTAGCACGTCGATAGGTTAGGCACTACATGAACGAACGACAAAGATGCCCGTCAACTTTGCCAAGACAAGAGCACGTGACCACGAACCTAGATTTGTTTCGCCGCGCAAAAGTTGCCGTGTAATCGAGACCCCAAGAAGCAATCCGCGCCGCCATGATGCGACCTGTTCTCCGTCTTCCCCTTCGGGAGGCATTGTATGTCTGCTCAAGCTGCAGACAGGAGGTCACACCACGAGCCGTCTCGCCGCTCGCCCGCCAATTCCGCCGTTATGCATCCTCCTCCGACCCGACACTTCTCGAACGCACTCGCCGCAAGCTGTGGAACACCGAGAAGCCCCCTGGTGCAGAGGACCCCTACAGTGGAGAGTCACAAGTCCTGCGTGAAGCTGAGGCTGATGAGTCACAAGGGCTGGCACCTGGCGAGGCGGAGGGCGAGTCTTTGGCTAAGGGAGACTCTTATACTCAGGCGGAGACCTGGGATGGATTGAAAGTAATTGGCTTCTCTCGCAAAGAAGCGTGGATTAACAGCGGCACAAGTGAAGCCGATGAGTACTCTCGGTATGTACAGACCCCGATAGTTCAATTCTTATGGGATTATTGCGTGAGCCGGCGAACGGCCCAAACCGAATCATGGACCTCATTCTAATGAACCGATCCTTCTAGCTTCGGTGCCGATGTCACTCCCCGGCCAATTCTTGTGGCCGCTCACCAAGCTACCGTGGAGATCTGTTTGATGCACATGCTGGGCAAGCCTCTGGCTGGTATCTGCGAGGTTGACGACCACAACGCCCAGATTCAGGAAATGCTCGACAAATGCATTATCAAGGGGTCCGATACTCAACAATGGAATAACGCCCTCCGATTCCCTGACCAAACAACTCAGGAAGCGCTTGTATTTGTATTCAACCAGATTGGCGGAGAAGGGTCAAAAAACCTCGAGTCGCCGGAGACCTTGCTCGCGGAGAACACCTCCAAGGACGCTTCCCACAATGCTCTCTCATTAGCTAACCCTGAAGTCAAATTTGCCGTGAGGTTTTCCCCTGAACATATCACTGGAATCTCAAGTTGCTGACATTAAACAACAATTAGTACGTCAAGCGTCTCTCCCAGCTCCTCGGCCGCCGCATTCCTGACACCACCATTTCCTCCTCCTCGACCGTTGGCGACATCATTACTGCTCTTTCATCCAGACTGAAGGAGAAGCCCGTGGACGTCTCCAAGCGTCTGCGCCGACAAAAAGCTGCCGGCTGGCTGCCGCCCAACGTCCAATTTAGCCGACGACGTGCCACCAAGGCTGACAAAGACGAAGACTTCGGCCGGAAGAAGGAAATTTATGCTGAGCTTCACCGCAGAGGACTGGCGCAGTTCTAATTTGCCACGTTCTGTGTTGATACGGCAACTGTAAAATCGCTCCGTCGGCCGTAACCTGTCACGGCCACGTTTGTAAAGATGAAGCGGCCCGGGAGACTACATCTCCTGCACCTGCTGGATGTTACCTTTGAGACATTTCCCGTGTATACTAGAAAGGATTTTTTTTCATTTCCAATTGCATTTGTTGAATTATTGATCAGCGAATTGTCGTATCATTTTCAAAAAGAATATACATAGTGCTAACTCGTACCAGCACGCATCATGCTCCAGACCCGCCTGCGCCACAACCTAGAAAAAAAGGCGCCCATGAACTCCAAGCAGAAACGCAGATATCTCAGGACTATTGATGCAACGAATCGACGTCGGAGCAGGACTATCTCCGCGCCGAGGCGGGAATAGTGAACCCGCGAGTCATAAAGTCACCAGTCTTAGCGCTGTCCTTCTTGTCTTTCGTAAATAGACTATCCAAGTTGTCATTCATTCCCATCATCTTCCGCCGCTTCTTCTTCTCATTTTCTTCGTTGAGCACACGGGCCGTCAGCGAGGCCGTAGCGGCGTTCTTAATCCCGTTGTTAGAGGCGCTGGGAGTAGGCGTAGATGTGTTGCTTCGGCTATTGGATGCTTCGGCAGTTTTGGCTGGCGCAGAGCCTGTAGTCCCCGCAGTACCACTGGGAACATCTGTCGAGGTCTCGGCGGCGTGCTTCTTGCGCTTCTTCGAGCCGGGGGCCTTCTTGAGGGAGTGCGTCAGGTTTTGCTCAGCCAGCTTGGCACCACGTGTAATGAGACGCTCCTTATCAGTTTCCTTGGTGGGAAGGATGTTGATGATGTTATCTTCAGTATAAGACTCGTTACACTGACCGATTGCATTAGCTATGGTATTGATAATATGGTGCACACCTGGAAATGACCTACCTGCAGGCATTTGTCTCCCTTGAGCTGGCGAATTGCCTCCTCGGCGAATACATGCCCGCATGGCACAAGGTATACAGATTTCACGCTGGGGCCCAAGGGCTTCGCAGTAATGGGACAGATCCAGCCTTCACGGCGTTTGTGGCGGTGGGAATTCGCACGGTCTGAGGGGTGTTCGCTGAGTTCCGTGTCAATCTCGAAGTGCAACTCGACCACATCGCGAAGAGACTTGACTCGTCCGCAGAGGACTTCCTCGCAGTCCGACTTGGAGCTGATGCCTTCAGCATCGTCGCCGGGAATAAGGAATTGGAGCACGGCATCTTTGTTGTATAGATTCCCCACACTATCGGAGACAACTGGACGTGCTAGGGCCTTGTGTGAAAGCGGACAGGTTGTCCAGGCGTGCTCCTGCTGCTCGCGCTGGGCTTCCTTAATCTGCGCAGTAGTCGGAGCGCGGGCCGCTTCGCGGACCAACTCGCGGCGTGTCGGGATACTATGAGATATAAATTAGCATCAGGAAGTCGCAGAGAAAACAGACTGGCAATTAATCTCACCTTCCACCGTCATTACCCATGTTGATTTAACTTCTTCGAGAGATGGTTGTCGCAGAAGATAGGATTGCCACCACGATAAAGGCGCAAACTGACGATGCCGCGGGCTGACTCAGCACTGATTAGATTGGCCGATATCAACAGCTGGCCGGAAGCTCTCTCCACACTCCCCCAGGTCAATGCCTCAAACATGAGACTTCCTCAGTCGCTTTTTCTGCTGGCTGTGGCCGGGTCGTCGGCCCGAGCTAGCAGCGACAAGACAGCCCGTCCTCGGGGCGTGGCGCCGGAATGTAAGTACTCACGATCCCTAACTGTATCCCCACCTCCGGGCGAGGGTGTCCGCAGTCGGTGGACCATCAATGGGCAAGACCCGTGCGGATTATAGACCCTGTCTACATTCAATATACTAATTATGAGTCTGTATAGTTGCCAAGTTCTACCAGGACTCAGAAACCTTCACCTGCATCTCAAATCCCACCGTCCGGATCCCCTTCTCCGCTGTCAACGACGACTTCTGCGACTGTCCCGATGGCAGTGACGAGCCCGGCACATCTGCCTGCTCTCACCTCTCCCGCAATTCCCCTCTGACGGTGGCAGAACGTCCCGGATATAGTGATGCGGAGCTGACGCCAGCGTTGCCCGGATTCTACTGCAAGAACAAGGGCCACCGGCCCTCGTTCGTGCCGTTCCAACGTGTCAATGACGGTATCTGTGATTACGAGCAATGCTGTGATGGCAGTGATGAATGGGCGCGCGTTGGAGGCACTAAGTGCGAAGACCGTTGCAAGGAAATCGGCAAGCAGTGGCGGAAGCAGGAAGAGCAGCGGCAGAAGTCCATGAATGTCGCGCTCAGGAAGAAGAAGGACCTCCTTGTGGATGCCAGACGGCAGCAGCTGGAGATTGAGGACCATATTGTCCGGCTGGAGGCCGAGATCAAGGGCTCCGAGATGAAGGTGGAAGGTCTTGAGGCTGAGTTGACGGCCGTCGAGGAGGCGGAACGGAAGATTGTCCGTAGCAGTGGCAAGGGTAAGGGCAAGGTCAATCTTCTTGCGAATTTGGCAAAGGCCCGCGTCAATGAGTTGCGCGAAGTTCTAGGTGATGTCCGCCGTCAGCGAGATGAGGCCCAGTCACGACTGGCAGAGCTCGAGGGGGATCCTTTCGAAGTTCAAGGTTGAATACAACCCTAACTTCAACGACGAGGGTGTCAAGCGTGCCGTGCGTAGCTGGGAGGACTATGCGGCGCGGGAAGTGGCCAATGACGAAACTGTTGAAGACACCGCAGAGGACCAGGACTACCTCTTGAATGAGGTTTCTAAGCTCGACGGGGAGAGCTCCGGTATTAACTGGGAGCAATGGGAGAATGAAGAGGACGGCTGTGGCGATAACGATTTAGGTAAGTCTTAGGCATTCTGATTCTTGCGACAGCAGCCGAACCGGGCTAACCAAGAACCCTAGTCTACAAGCTTGCGGCTTATCTGCCTCCGTCTCTTGTCGAGTTTATTGAAGATCAAGTCCTGACCGTGAAGTCCTTCCTTGAATCCAGTGGCATCATCTCCAAGCCCGAGGAGGAGTCGTCCTCGGAGTCCAAGGCCGTGACCGAGGCCCGCAACGCGCTCAACTCCGAACAGGATTCCCTCAAGGACCTGAAGAACAAGCTTCGCGACCAGCGAGCCGATCTCGAGAAGGACTACGGAAGGGCTGGCATCTTCCGTGCCCTCAAGGGCCAGTGCGTGCAGAAGGATGCAGGCGAATACACATACGAGCACTGCTTCCTGGACGGCACCAAGCAGATCTCGAAGAAGGGCGGCTCCTCGATGTCCATGGGCAAATTCACTAAGATCGGGTATACGACTGTCGAAGAACTGAACGACGCGGGCGAGATCATCTCCGTGGAGAAGGTGGCCCTCGAGTACGAGCGGGGCCAGCACTGCTGGAACGGGCCGAACCGGTCCACCAGAGTCGTGCTCGAGTGTGGCGAGGAGAATGAGATCTTGAAGACCTCCGAGGACGAGAAGTGTGTCTACTCGATGCTTGTGACGACCCCGGCAGTCTGTGTCGGTGGCGAGGAAGACGGCACCGGCGCCCCCCGTTCCAAGGATGAGCTGTGATTGATGATGATGATGATGATGCCGTTGTTGCTGATGAAGAGCTGTCATCATGTCCCCGATCTGTAATTGCATCACCATCGATATTTTGGGGACGACAAGCCCTACTTGTTGTGGCTACTCCATTGGTTTTGATGTGTTTTCTCAGCATGTGTCATCTAGATATTCATTTTATGGTAAATTTCTCAGCGAGCTTTATATTTCAACCTTCTACCGTCTCTTTTTGTCTCCGTGATGTTCTAGTCTTTAGCTAGACCCGTATTTCTGAGGCACATCACCCCGTCTAATTATGCAAGATCCATCCACATCCGCCGCCTGGGCGATCAGGTACGTCTCCCACCCTAACCTCCATTTTCTACAAAACTACTGAGACAAGCGGAAACAAGGTTGTCACTGGGCAACAGCCAGATTTTATTCATATGTGGTAGCATGGCACACAAGGCCTTCAAAACACAGTCGTACACGAGGTCATAGCAAACGCCAGACCGAAGAACTACCCCATCGAAAAGACCTCCAGGCCCCTGGCGGCGAAGTAACCATGACAAATCTCGATTACGATTGCGCCGCACGCATTTGATGGAGCAGATCCATGTTCCCGGATCTAATTTGATAGCAGCGGGAGGCCGGGCCTGGTATGCGTGGGCGAAGAGCTGGAGGACGGCGGCGGCGAGGGCGTGTGAGCTGGCTTAGTGCTGGTAGAACGATCAGAACGTCTTGAACGCATGAACACATCACAGGAAAGACAGGGTTCTCATGGTGTCTGAAACCATATCAGGAAATCTGGCAGGACTTACAGTGCAGCTGGAGCAGGAGCAGCCAGAGCAGCCGTTGGCGCAGCTGGAGGAGCAGCAGGAGCAGGGGGCCATGGTGATGATTGTTTGAGGTCTGAGATGGAAGAAACCTTGAAAAGATTTGAGTTGATCGGAGTTGATAGCTTGGATTGGTCTGATATGAATCGAAAGACTAGAGATTTGGAAGGGAAGGGGACAAAACACTGCGTTTTATACTTCGCTGTCACGCCCACGAGCCTCGTCCCGATGCATATCGTAGTCAGAGAGGGGAAGGGTGGGCCAACAGGATTTCTTTTCTTTTTCGTTTTTCGTTTTTCGTTTTTCTTCTTTTGCGTCTCTTAGCTTCTGTCCACGAGCCTTCTGAACGTGGATATTCCCGCCCGTCACCCTATCGGAGCATCCGAGCGAGGCAAATCACCAGCCCCTCAGTCCATCGCATCGCGTGGTCGAGTCAAATGGACTGGGGCCCATGCAAAAGCAAACCATACGCTCTGTTCCCCCCTCCTTCCATTCCTCCTCCACTTCTGCGCCCACCCAAATCCACTTCTTTCCTCACGCGCTACCCGCTCCAACCAACCGGGCAACTCTAGCAACTCTAACGCTCTTGCCAATGAAACGGTTCTTTTTCAGCGCGAGTCACCAATGACGTCTCCCGGTGTCGGACCCCCGGGCCCGGCGAAGACGCGCGAGAGAGATAGGCAGATGGAACCTGAAAGGCACATGTTAGGCTGCTCTCTACAGTATGTTCGTGTCGCCCGTGAGGTCTTCGTCAGTGCAGATCTACCCTGCTGGCTTTTTGGCTTGGTCAGGGTAGGTACGGATGCGGATGATGATGTGGGCTTGTGCAGCAGGCAGCTCTGTCTGTGATGCTTGGATGGGAGCCCATGATACCGCAGCCAGACCAGAGCAGTCACCGTGGACAGCACTGCTTTGGTGGTAGGCTGCTCCCCGTCGTGGGGACCTGGATCCACTATGTGCGTTGTTAGGGAGCTGGAGCTTGATCTGTTTCATCCTGCTACTTGGTGGTTCGATGTTGGGCAGGCATGGCCATTGCCCGAATGGCTCCTGCGGTCTTACGATTATGGAGCTCTGGCAAAGAATGGTTCCGTTGCCTCTTTTGGGAGGGGAGGAAGTGGATTTGTTTGTGGAGCTAGGTCGCTGGAGAGATGTGCATGGATGTTGTACATACTGTTTTCCGAGTTCTATATGGGGAAAATGCGCCAGTCCAGCAGCTTTTGCTATGCCCACCTCGAGTCATGCCAGAACGCTGACAGTCATGACTCGAGGAGCTGGTAACCACCGTTTTCTCCATTTCTTTTGTTTGTTTTCGGAACCCAACCCTTTCCTGATACCGTAAAGAGTTGCACAGATCCACTGTTCGGGACGGGCCTACATTACCTCATGGGTACAGTCACCAGGGCGTATGGAAACGGTAGAGAGGGACGGGCCCTCCAGTAATGGGGTGGGGGGCACATCTGAGATGAATTTTTCCGCGCCAGCAGCGGCGCAGGGTCGGATTCTGGGCGTGGTGGCCTATGAGAAGGCGGGTGTTTGCGCCCATTGAGGACCTTGGAGGAGGGGCGCTACGAGGCCTCATTGGCAGCTTCACCCTAGATTTCAGGAAGTGCAGATTTCCAACCCACCCCGATTGGAGTCGAGAGATGTCTTTTGCGTTTGGACTGTTCTTTTCGACGTTGCCGAGAGTAAGCTCTTCGCGTGGAGGGTCGTACTCGACCCTCGCCGGGATGGGATGTGGTTGGGATATGGCGGATATCAGATGGAGACAATCTCGGGCCCACGGGATCGGCGGTTTCATTCAAATACCAGGTAACTTAGCTAAATGCCAGCGAAAAGCCCGTGCAGGCCAATCAAACTGCCTGGAGAAGGTGATCTGATAACTCGAGCTTGCCGAGCTGGTGCTCTGTCTACGGGGACGGCGGTTCTTCGACCGCCATGTTTGGGGGAGGAAGAGAGGCGTGTTTGGGCCCATCAGTATCCTGGCACAGTGCGCCTGGTTCTGATCGAATCGGCCAGGTAGGGGTACGCTACCGAGAAAGACCATCTCCGAAAGGTGGGCTCCATCTGCATGAAGCTACCGGAGCATATCATACCCTGTGCCACGGACCCTCCCAGTATGCAGCCTGGAGCAAGGTTAGATTATAATTGGCTCCGACGAAAGAAAACCCCAGGTGCCCATACCTAGGACCCGCTGCTGCTTTTGCTTTCGACCGGTGAGGACCCGATTCCTGGCGAACCTAGGTGAGCCGTGGTGTGGTGTTTTCGTAGGCACCGGCAAATAATAGTCGCGGAAGCCGAAATAGTAATAGGTTTCTGCTTGGCACTGTCTGGAGATCTTGCCCGATAGGGAGACTCTGACGAGACCGGGGAGGAGTGTGATCCGCTGGTGGTTTGCGTTGTGAAAGGCGTTGCGAGGGGCAGGACATGTGTGTCCGATGCGGACTGGTGGACCGGGATGGGCATTTGCGGAGGTCCAGGTTACAGGCGGTTACAACAAGGGGGTTACGTCAACGAGGCCTACGTGGTTCTCCTCGACGATGGTCGTCGGAGATGATCGGATTCTAGCCGTACTGAAGGTGCTGCAGCTGCAGGGCTGTTGAAGAGCAACAAGTCCTCCAGATCGCAACTGGGGAGTTCAGTTAAGCTCATCCCATCGAGTCTAAAGGACCCGAATATTGGGTCTGATGCCCACAAGGTACTTGGACGAAGGGAATAAAAGTGATTGCAGGGACCGCCGGGGGGCCGTGATTGACCCTCACTAAATGGTTACTCGTTGGAAAAAAAAGGCAACGCATGTAAACACATAACCACATAAACATAAGGATGATTTAGAACCCTCCGCATGCTGTTCACCAGTCCATTTGAATCCCTCCCATCCCGGAGATTACTAGATCATCCTCCTCATTGTGTGTCTCATCCGCGGTGTGTCAATTCAAAGAAACGACAGCTTCAGAGGCCTCGAGATGCTCAAGTTGGGGCGCAGACAGGAAGTGGTTGATGGTTGATGTTTTACTTCTACCGAGGCAAAAAGAGGTAAGAGTTAGCCAGAGAACCTTCGAAAATGCAAGGGAATTGACACATACAGGGCAGTTGCAGGCACCGGCAGGGCAAGAGCAGGAGCTGCCACAGCTGCAGACGTGGTCGGGACCTGTGATGGTGGTCAGCAATGAGATCAAGGGTCGAGTTATTCGGAATACGAGGGAAACCCCGCCATGACCCCGCCATCTCGAGAGGCTGAATGAAGTAAGGTGCTGGCTCCGAGAACGAGAGGGTCATGAACCGAACTGATCAAACAGGTCAAACGCACCCATTTTGAATGTTTGGAAAGAAAATGTGGTGTTCGGTAGACGAAGCTGGGCTGTTGGGTGTGGGGTGTTGGTAATGTGGTTGGTGGATGGTGGGGGGAAGAGGGAAGACCAGCGATGGGCTTGGATGGGCTTATATACGGGACCGCCCGTGACTTCCCGGGATGCGACTCGAAACGAGGAGTTGCCCGTTCTTCTGCTTGACTTCCTCGTCACTTGTCACCTTGTTACTACAAAGCACTCAGATCGAGGCCCATCGCTTCGAGGTGAAAGGGGCCCATGTTACCGACGAGCACATTTCTGCACCTCTCAGCCCCGCCTGAGCACATATCTGACGCAGGATTACTATAGCTTGCATCGTTTGCGCTACGAAGCTTTCCTGGCCCCAGGATTTTACCTCGAGCTACGATTGAATCCCAAAGCAGTTTCCGAAAAGCGACATCAAAAAGCTGCCGTTGAAGAGAAAGAGAAAAGAACAATAACCAAATACAAAGCAAAGGTGACACTCATATGGCTGCCTCGGTGACTTGTCTATGCGGTGCTGTCGCGTTGACTGTTGAGCTGGATCCAGCAGAAGATCCCACACAGCTTCAACTATGTCATTGTCATGACTGCCGGGTGGTGACAGGTCTACTGTTCTCGTCCTATTATCTTCTGCAGCATGAGCCGCCTGCCCTGGAGACCTTGCAGAAGTACCAAGAGTCGCCCCATGTGAGCCGTTTCTTCTGTAGAACATGTGGAGCCCACGTTTTTGCTCAGACCCAGCCCAATGGGCGCTTTCTAGTGGCATCGGGAATTCTGATTGACAAAGATACACCCCCCGTTCGTTCTATCCAGCACTGGAAGGTCAGTGATACCATTGACGGTGGATTAGCGGTGTTTCTTCCTGAATGGCCATCCAAGGACACCAGCTGCAGGCTACAGACCTCACCCCATCGGTCGGTAATCAATCCAGCACCACAGGACCTTGAACAGAACCGGAATATAGTGCATGCAGGATGCCATTGTGGTGGAGTGCAGTTCGATATCACGCCGCCAGATGCCTCCTCGGCGCAGGCCTTCTCCCAATGGTGTGATGTATTGGTTCCCTTCAATGGGGATTTTCCCGACAAAGACAATCATGCAGATGTGAAATGGTGGCTGCGGGAGGGACATACCAAATTTTTCGCCGCAACGTGTGCTTGTGTGTCATGTCGACTAGGCAGTGGCTTTCCGATTCAAGTCTGGGCGTTTATCCCCAAATCCAACCTTTTCAATCGGGACAGATCCCCTCTCACATTTGGCAGTGGAACTATGAAGGTGTATAACAGTTCCCCGGGGGTGTATCGGGAATTTTGCGCCCGTTGCGGTGCCACTATCTTCTGGCATAATGACGGACGGCCAACCTTGATTGATGTCAGCGTGGGCCTGATCCGAGGCCCTGGGGCACGTGCCCTGGCACTTCTGGATTGGGGGTTGGACCGGGTCAGCTTTGCTGAAACGGCCGTGCAAATAGACTTGGTGGACTGGCTGGAGACCGGGATGCGACAGTTCTCGGGACGCCAGACATCAAGAGATACTTGAAGAGGTTTCTTCATAGTGACCAGTAGCAGTAGTAGTAATCATAGTAGTCGTGTATATAGTATGAAAGTAGTGTGGACGCGGTGGGGCGGCTACCAATTAGCGAAACCATGCAACCCACCGCTTCCCGGGCACGCGGGTTCTGCCATCCAAATCGCTTTTTTTCCACTTCTCGTTTTCCTCGTTGCTTGACTTCAACGGTTTTCTCCCTAACACGAACTCTTGGGCGACTTCTGATCGATCCCCTCCCTTCTCTCAATCGGGGGCCTTTGTCTTATCCCCGCTCCCCCCTTCTCTCCACCCCTGGGCTTTGTATGTACACACCCCAGACCGTGGCCAGTCGCGTCTTCCACTGTCACGACCTTCACCTCTTCCGCAATGCCACCCTTTCAGTTCCGAGGGAATGGTCCTTCGCGCGACCGTCGCTCAAAGCCCGAGTTCACCTTTCGTGTTCCACACTCAACCTCGGCCAGACCGTTACTCAGAAGCGACAAAGAGAAAACCCCAGAATTGCTGGCTCCCGAATCAGGCGACAAGCCGGCATTGAAATTCGCCTCATTGGATGCCCTCAGTGATAGCGAAGAAGCCGAGATGGACTTCTCCGATGATTCGGACGACGAGTCGCGACCTCGGAAACGTCGCGCGGTCGCGCTGGACGGCAACAACGATGATGTCAAACCTTCTCCGGTTCCTGCTTCAGCACCCGCGACGACTCCCCCTCCGCCCAAGTGGTCCAATCCTGATCCTTACACGGCCCTTCCACCTCCTGATGAGAGCCAACACAAGCGCGTAGACGTTGTGAAGCTCATTAGGAAGGCGCGTCTCGCGAACACCCAAGCGCAATCAAACGAAAAGGACGCAGTCGCCAACAACCACGATTTTATTTCCCTCGGCTCTCTCAGCGTAAGCTCAACAGTGGATCACCCCCGAAGAACAAAGCTCCCGAAAACGCACCTAAGGGCCCGAAGGCCTTTGAAGCGAGCGGATCGGCTGTTGCAGCCCGCAAGCGGACCCGAGACGACGAGCCAAAACCGCTCACCCCCAAAACTGGAAAGCCAATGCGACGGTTCAACCACGATGGCTCCATTCTGGGCGAGTGGAGGGCTCTGAAGAATCAAGACCCTACTCCCTGGATTAGCGCTGTCCATAATTTGAACGTATCGAGCAGGTCGGTTGATCGATATGTGGCCCACATACTTACTGTCACTTGCTAACACGAAGCTAGACTGCACAACGAAATCATCGCCTTTTATAACTGGGTTCGACCGCATCACTACGAGCAGGTTGTCCGTAGCGACCTAGTGGAGCGTGTCGAGAATGCATTCCGATCACGATACTCTCACGTGCAAGTCCACGCCTTCGGTTCTTTCGCCTCTGGCATGTATCTTCCAACAGCAGATATCGACCTAGTCCTTTTGTCGACCTCTTTCATGCGATCCGGCATCAAGGCGTTCGGCGAGCGGAAGGGCCAGATCTACGCATTTGCCGGCTTCATCAAGACATCTGGTCTTGCCGTGAATGGCTCGGTGGAGTGCATTGCGCATGCCCGTGTCCCTATCCTCAAGTGGGTCGACAAGCTGACCGGCATTCGCGTTGATCTCTCCTTCGACAATGACAGCGGTCTGCTCGCGAACCGCACCTTTCAAGCCTGGAAAGAGCAGTTTCCAGTCATGCCAGTCGTCGTCTCGATCATCAAGCAGTTCTTGCTACTCCGCGGCCTCAATGAAGTGCCCACCGGCGGTCTGGGCGGCTTCTCGATCACCTGTATTGTTACCAGTCTTCTTCAGCATCTTCCTCACGGCAAGGACGCAAATCTTGGCAGTCTGTTGCTTGACTTCTTCAACTTCTACGGCAGAACGTTTGATTACGAGAAGACCGGGCTTCGCATGAATCCGCCCGGATACTTTAACAAGGTACAGCTCCGTTGTTATCCCGGACACTCAATACATCGAAACATCTCTACTTACATCAGTTCTTCCAGGTCTTTGAGAACAAGGATCGTCTCTCGATTGAAGATCCGAACAACCCAGACAATGATATCTCCGGCGGCACTAAAGAGATCGCTCTGATCTTCCGGACTTTCCGCGAAGCTCACTTCAACCTGACCCGCCGGATGGAATACATGAGCACCACCAACAATTTGAACGTGAGCATCTTGGAGTCGATCATCGCGGCCAACTACGATGAGTACATTGAAGAGCGATTCCAGCTCAAGCATGTCTATGAGACCGCACCTCAATTTGCGAAGTACCGAGTCCCACCCCTCCGCCTCCTCCAGGAAGAGACTCGCCTCCGCCTCTTCCTGCGGGCCCGCCTCCCCGGGGACCTGCAGAACTTGCTCGTGCTTAATTGTCGTACCTGCCTGTGCCTCATGATCCCGACGAATTCTCTTCTCAAAATCCCGCCCGTTCAGTTCGATCAATTTTTCTCAATACCCCTCGGCGTTGTTTTCATCGTGTTAGGCGAGAAGGTGTGCATTGCAGCGGCGTTGATGGCGGGATGTCTCTTTTTCTTCTGTCTTTGTGACCCGGCCGCACGCGTGCCTGGGTCTTCCTCATTGTTTCTTCTCCCTTGCTCCATGATAGTAAGTGAGATCCTGGTTCAAGCCCGGGAAACATAACGTACAATCTAGGTGCCTGCGCCCGTCTCCCGGGATTCGGTTTCGATTCGGACTGTCAACGCATGTCTCTTTCCCTGGCCCTCCCGCCTCCTTCGATCTCTCCGGAGATAGAAAGGATCCGACGACATTCTTCTGCTCTGTTCTTTTCTCACTCTCCCCCTCCGAATCGAGACTCGAATCATGTCTACGATGCCCAGCTGACGCCCGACAGACCTAGATTGTCTCTTTGTACAAAGGTATTTATTTGTTAGTCACCTAATCGAAATCTTTCAGCCTCCAGGGGGTCTGACTGCCCAGTCCCCTGCTGGTTCTAATGCTGCATCCTGGCGGTTCTCGCCTTTCCATTCCCATTCCTCCTTTCTCATCAAGAGAGCGCTATACTGCGATTTCTTGGAGAGGATGTGTATAATGGACTGTGTTGGATTATGTCGCCGAGGACTGTCGGACGGAATGAGAAGAGCATCAAGTGAGCCTGAGATGTCGAGTTTGGCTGGTTTAGGTAAGCTTTGGTACGAGGAATCACTTTCACGTTATTTCCAGTACTTCTTTCTACTCGTAGTAGTACTGCTAATAGTTGAGCCTAGCTAACTTCGAAATGAACCTTTTGAACTTTAAACTGCTTCCTTTTGGCGCTGATCAATTGGAGCCTGAAAGGACAGACTAAAATGCTTCATTCGTTAAGTATGTATATCATTGTTGGGAGCTTCGTCTACTGGCCAACCATCAAATCATGAAAACTGCATCATAACCAGGGCGGTAAGGTGCTGAGTATATGTAAGAAAAAATCCAAACCCCCTGGAAACCCATAGAAAACCCTATCTATCACTTCGGCCGCGAAACGAAACCCCAATGTATGTACTTCGTATTTCATGCCAGCTGCCGTTCCGCGTCGAGCGGTGGCGTCGGCATCGCCTCGTCGTCCCCGGAAAGAGGACTGGGAGGGGAGACCTCCGCAGCAGACTCGATATCTCCTTCCGCAGCGATCTTCCGCATAGCCGCAATGTGCTCCTCGGATAGGATGTTCTTGAAGCCCTCCGGCGGACTCGCCCACACGTAATCAACCCATTCAGCGCCTAGGATATCCCGGACTTCTTTGGTCAATTGGAGGATATGCGCGCGGCGCGTGTGCGACCAGGCACGGTCTGTGATCAGACCCTCAGAAGGGGTGAGGATGGTCGAGGCGTGGGGTACTGACGTTGGGATCGCGCCGGATGGGCAATCTTGCGGCGTGGATGCCTGCACAGACTGGCGCTGGCGCTCGAAGTCGTCTCCGTCCTCGTCCTCGTCCCAGTTCTCCAGTCCGTCCAAGATACTGTGCCACACGCGCAGCGTCTCATCCAGCTCTTCGAGGTTACTCACGCCCATGACGCTGACCCCGAGGCGGCGGCCAGTACCAATGTTGGCAACGGACAAAAAACTCGGATCCGCATCGGCAGACCGGGCGAGCGGGGCGCCGAGTGCGCCTGCTTTCGCGCCTGCGCGCAGCCACGACTCCAGCGCGAACCGGATGGCAATGACCTCGAGCTTTTCGCCGTGACGCGTGGCGCATTCGGCGGCATCATGAATTGCGCTGCGCAACGGGTTCGGCGCCGGGTGGAAGTCACCCATGGACCCGATGGGTACGCCATCTCGACGGAGCAGGCCCATGCCCAATGGCGAGGCATTCGGCACGACGTCCACGCCGGCTGCGAGGAGTCGCGGGAGCGCAAGCGAGCGCAGCCGTGTGTTTTGCAGGGTGAAATTGGCGTACGACATGACGATGTCCAACGGCTCGCCCGTCTCCCGGAGTACCAGCTCAGCGAGGTCGCTCAAGACGTTTACCGGGTATCCGGAGATACCGACATAGCGTAGCAGGCCCTCCTCATCGCGCAGACGGCGCAGCTCGCGCACAGCGGTGAGAACCTCGGCGGGGGTGACGAATTCGACGTCGTGGCAGTACACCACGTCCAAGTAACTGGTGTGCAGTCTGCGGAGACTGCGGCGTACACTGTGTCTAATCCATAGGGGCGAGTAATCGAAGGAGCCAGAAGCGATTCGACCAACTTTGGTGAGGAGACGGTAGGAGTCGCGCGGGAAATTGGTCTGCACAAAGTCGGTTGCCAGCGCACGGCCGAGCAGTTCCTCCGCGGGGCCGTAGTATGGGGAGGTGTCGAAGGCGCGGATACCGCGCGCGAGGGCCCGCTGCACAAGCTCGGTCGTTGGTAGGGCGTAGGGGTTTGCGTTGTACTGTGAATTGAAGGTTGCAGTGCCCATTATCAGCGGGGGCAAATCCGCCGACAGCGGCGTGGAGGGCGGCATGGCTCCTGGTGTTGGGAAAGGGGGAAGATGGCGCTGGAGCGAGGGGGTATCACGAAAAGCAAAGATGTAACGAACGAAAAACCGCAGGGAAGGCCCTGCAGGGGAGCACGGGGTTTATGAGGGATCGATCGAGATCAATTCATCGTTCCGAGGTGGAGGAGGGGTGGGACAGGCAGATTTTCCTATGTCGGAGGGTTCGAGAATTCGCCCCGGCTCCGCTCCGGAGAGCGTGCGGGATGGCGCCATGGCGGGGGGCGAATCGTCCGATAAAGAGAGAGTCGATTCTAAACGCCAGTCTTGCCAGGAGTAGCGATTGTGTCTGCAAAGGCTCGCGGACGTGCATTGCATGTGTTCCTAAATATCTTTCGGGCCCTGAAGACTTACTTTGTCGGCGGTGGCAAAAAAAAGGAGTCTGTGCCCCAATTCTTTAGGCCCTTCAGGCCCTTCCGTCAATCGCGGTATAGTTTTTGTTTTTATGAAGAAAGGAAGGAAATCAAAACGGGTAGGACATTGAACATGTGCAAGTATACAGCTATAGTACATGATTTCCTTTCCGAAACCGAGTCAGAGTGGAGAAGGCGGAGGATCGGTCACAAATGGTATACACAAAAAGACCCGGAGGCCTAAAAGGGGAAATCGAGCGCGAGGGCGAAAACTCCGAGTGCCGGAGAGATGCGACAGCACAGAACGAAGACCCTGCGGACTGAAAACGCCCTGTTCTAAGATGAAAAGACCTCTTTTCCACAATAACCCAAACGCCATGCTATGCCAAATCAAAGAGGGACGAGGGACGAGCGCGAAGAGCGGAATCGATAGTCACCGCGCAACGAGAGGTGAGGGTAGCTGCTGGGATCGCAGGCGCAAATATTGTCGCAGTCCAGAGTGCGGCACAACTTCGGTATATCCTCGACGTTCACCGGTCCTTGTAAACCTTGGGGTTCCAGCCTTCGCTAATCTCCTTCTCGCTGGCGGCCTTGCGTTCCGCCTGGCGAACCTCCATCTCTATCCGTTCGCGTGCGCGCAGAATTTTGCTTTGCAGATAGAAGCTGCCACCTTTCTGAGGATCATTTATGTCGAACAGCTTCTTGAACCGTTCCATGACATGTTCAATGTTGGCTTCGCCGGCGACTGGGGGCTTGACGTTAAGAATCTTGCAGGCCTCATCCAGGGTCAGGCCGGAAGAGAATCCAGTGCCTTTCTTGGCCGCGGAGTGCTTGCCGGTTGCCTGGGCTTGCTTGTAGGCCTCGGTGAAGGCACGACCGAAGACCCGAGCTCCGGTGACGAGGACTTGGGACACAATGCGATGAGCCTAGGGAGCAGGAAATGGTCAGAACAACTTTCTGTCTTTTCATAATTTGAATTCCAGCCACAAATAAAATTAGGTTGCATCTTTAGACTCGGGAATACATACCATGGCGACGGGGGCGAAGGGTCCAAGGGCGATGATCACAAGGAGGTGAAGAGAGGAAGAAGGGAAAATTTCGGCTGCGCGTTTTAGCGTCGGCAGGTCGGCGAACTCGAACTATGCAGGTGCCGCCATGCCGAACGAACATCAACCCCAAGAGCGGGAGAGAAGAATGATGACCGAGTCAAGACGAAGTGCCATACTCCGGAGTTCTTTCACAAATCTTAGGAGCTTTTCAGATTCTAGAAAAGCCTCCCGAAATTGACTTGCATGAACCCTGAGCTCTGCGCCTAGGCTTGAATGCCCGGGGAGTCACATGTCCCCCGATCATCAACCCCCCGCAGATCATCCTGGAACCGATGAACCTCAACCAACACGCTATAAAGGATGTCCACCCGCCAGCCTGATGAGCTGACCACACACCGCATGACGTCTCCATAGTTGGATGGCAGCTCTCGGTATGTTCGTTCCCTTTCCCTCCATCGTGCACGTACTGATCCGTCGACAGAAGATCTTCCGTGGATAGATTCCATGGCCCCCCAATCGCAGCCACAGGACAATGGCCCGTCTGATTCCCAACCCCCGACGATCGCTGCCTTCTCTCCTTCCACCATAACCGGCTCGGCCTTGACTTCGCGACAACGCTCCAGTGTCATCGTGCATCGAAAATCCCCTCTCCTGGTGGCTACGCCGCCGCCCATTACGCGGGCCCTCGCATACTCACACCCGTTTCTTTTACCACTAAACAAGTTAGTTGGTTTGTTGACATGGACGACGGGGGATCCGTGGCAGAGCTTCTTGCTCGTAGCCACCTTTTGGACCATGGTGCTGTACAGCGACGCCATCATTCTCTGGGCTGGGCCGATCCTTGTCGTCGTGGGACTGATCCTGGGCATGTACGGGCGGCGCTACTCACCTCTGTCGTCCACGACCTCAACAGGCGAGAAACACCAAGGCAAAGCTTCGTCAGATGCGTCAACCCGCCACCACAAGAGCTTAGACGATATTGTGGAAACACTGCGCACGTTTACAACCCGATGCAACATTCTTCTTGAACCCTTACTCGATTTGACGGATTTCCTGTCGACTCAACGAACAGCCACATCCGCAACCACTCGTCCCGCGCTGACTGCGCTTTTCATCCGTATTCTTTTGGTTACCCCGATCTGGATTATCTTGACCCTCCCGCCCTTCTACATTATCACCACCCGCCGCATCATCATGACTGTCGGCACTATCGTTCTCACCTACCACTCCCGACCTGCGCGGGTATCACGTGTTATTCTATGGCGGTCTCGCGCAGTTCGTCGACTTGTCTCGATGATGACGGGGTTATCTGTCGCAGACAGTCCGAGCACCAGCCAGAAGTCCCAGGCCCAGGGTTTGGGACTAAATATTTCCACCCGTCGTCGTGGCAACTCATCCGGTGTGCGATTTACATTCGTTGTGTTTGAAAATCAACGGCGATGGCTGGGCATCGGATGGACCTACTCACTATTTCCAGCGGAGCGTGGCGCCTGGACGGATGAGCATTTGAATTCTGTGCCGGCCAAGGATAACTTTGAGTTGCCTGAAGTGCGAACTGGTGACGCCAAATGGCGTTGGGTTGAAGGAAGCGAGTGGCGTGTGGAAGGAGCAGACAGTGCTAAGGCCGATGCCAAGGCCTTAAGTAGCGAGGGTTGGATCTACTATGACAATAAGGTGTGTTTCGTTGTCGAAGTGATGCGACGATCTTGTCTAACACGTTGCAGTGGAACGATGGCCGCCGGGGTCAGGACGGCTGGGATCGCTACACGCGCCGACGCAAGTGGTATCGTGATGCCGAGCTAGTGGAAATAGACCCACAGGACGGCTCCAATGGTTCCGATGAGACCATTTCGAATCTCACTCAGGCTCTAGAAAAAGAACAAGATCAGACTAAAGATAAGGAATCCGATCCCGAACAGCTCAACAATCTCTCCCCCCACACAACACTGAAAACCAGGCGTCGGCGCTGGTTCAGCAGCGGCAAGGAGAAAGATCGCACAAGTAGTGTTGGTTCGTCGAGTGATACAGGCCGCGCAAACGGAGCAAATGTTACAGGGTCGCCTGATAACACTGTAGCAACAAACGACCGAGGAACACCTTCCCGCCCCATTAGCATTCAACATTCCCGCAAACCATCCCAGTATAGTGTACGAGACGGTAGTCTGGCAACAAGCAACAGCGCTAGCTTACGGGAGAAAGAGATGGCTGAGGCTCGTGATCTACATGATCGATGGGGAACCCAAGCCTTGGGCGGTACAGAAAGGGCTGAACGAGAACTTGGGTTAAGCGATGAGATTAATATGGGTTTGAGTTGACTATGACTTTATGTGATATTGCACAATGCTCTTCCAGCCATACCCCACAATGGTTTTCTTTACTTTCCTTGCTTTCCGCGATCTGTGTTTCTTCTTGTTTTCGTATACCCGCGGTTGTTTGGTGTGCTCTAAGATAAGCATTTGAATACCCCAGGGAAGATAGCCTGAAGTTGGCAATAACTTATTTTGATGACTTAGTCAGGGGTACTATACAGATATTATGTACAAATTATTTCATAGTGCTGAAGCAGGGAAAGAGCTATGCAAGAATCAATTCCCACTGCAGCTCCTCCAATATATCCAACCAGTGTACCTTGGATCCGCCACGAGCGGATCCAGATGTATCCTGGACTTCAGCATCTTGTCTCGCCCACAGAATCCTGAGTACGTCTTTGGCCCGCGGAACATTTCCGATTCCAAAATTCTGCTGTAGTTTATCAAGTGACTGCAGAACAAGATCTCTGTGGGCGAAAACATCGCTCTCGCTACCCGCAATAAAAAGTGGAAACGTAAGTGCAGAGAACTCGCAATGATCGTCCAGAGGAAATTTTTGCACGCGAGAGAGCAATCGATGGATGGCAGTTGATTTGGGGGTCGAAATCAAGGAAGAAATTTTGGACGGGCCAGGTGTAATATCCTCGAGGTCGTCCATGGTAGATGCTATACCCATATGCTTTAGCATAGAATGCAGATATATAACACCGGCATCGCGGAAGCACTCAGCAACCAACTGCAGACGGGTCAGAGTCTCAGTAGTCAAGTTTTGAGGGATTATGCAATCTATAGAGCTCGAGGACCAGGATAGGAGAGAGTCGTTTCTGTTGAAAGGTCAGCGGTGATTCTTGAATCAAGATTCAGTTGTTGGACGAGTGTAAAAGAACTCACATAGATGCTACGGCTAAGCGGAGAGCAAAAACATCTCCCTCTAGGGATGGTAGCTCGGAAATCCGTGCACAGAGTTTCAATAATTCTTCGGTGTAACCAATATAGATATCCATTACTGGCGTGCCAATGTCAGTATCTGCTGGGTCGGCGTAAGAGATGTGTTTCCGGTTGCTAATTCGGGCCATGTTATAGGCATATACGTATCTAAGTTTATAAGCAGATGTCAAATGTCTCCCAAAGATTTGACCTTACAGTCCTCGCAGAAATTGCGCTGCATTTCGCTCCATGGACCCCAACCCACCGCGAGAAGCAATCAGGCGCTGTAGTGCAGACAAATGTACGACCCATTGCTTGACACTGCCTCGAACGATTTCGTACTTGCACATCAAGCCCACGGCTAGCATGGCGTCATCTGGAAGTACGTGCTTTGAGTGATCTGCAAGTGCCTCTCGAAGCCCTCCTAACGTTCGACCATAAAAGTCTACCGCGGAATTTTGTGCCTCAAAGCCATGGGAGCGGTTTGCCAGATGTAAGGCAGAAACGGCGCATACAGCTTTCATAAGCAGCGGAGAAGACATTGCTCGGGGGATAAGGAATGAGCGGAGAGGATTGTCCTCGCTTTCCAAGTTCGCGAGAAGTCGAGAACCAAATTCCATATGGTATTGAAGATAATGTGATTCATGGCCAGACAAATGACTGACAGCTCTACTGGGTCGCGGAACGAGTGAAAGCTCATCTTGGGTTCTGGTGTCATGTTTTGGAAACTGCTTTTGTGAGGTATGGTCTAGAATCAAGTCCTCTGATTCAATGTCGGCCACTCGGCATTGCGGAGAGGACGGAACCGACCGACCTGGGGTGATTGGAGCGGAAGATGCTCCTGAATCACACCATAGGTCTGAGACAACCAGTGCCGATGGTGAGGATGGGTTAGAGGGGGAAAAGCTAATAAGACGTCGTTTGCGGCCTTCGGTCTCCTTGAAAACTTGAGCCGAGGGACTTAGCGGCGCCACCCAAAGATCACCATACCCCTCACAAGTTCGACCTTGTTTGAGGCAATTATTGCAGCTGAATGGGTTGTCAATCATGTATACTTCAAATGAATATCTGGCTTCACCATACGTACCTGGGTTTCGCCTTGTCGCAACCTTTGCGGCGCTTTTTGCATGTAAGGCAGCCTGAACGAGTCCATGGTGTACCAGATTGCCGACTTCGGCCCTTCTTCTGCGGGGAAATACTCCCAGAGACTGCCGATGAAGACTGGAGCCAACCTGTATCAGATACTGCGCTCGTTGCCATGGGGTAATGCGAATGTCGCAGGACTATCAAGATTTCCCCGCGATTTGATAGGAACTTCGAGGGGCGACTAAACCCTATTCGGGCAATTTTGCGCCACACGTGACCCTTATCTATTGTTTACCGACAGGGCTTGACTTGACGACCACTAAGACTCCGATGCAACATCTCGGGATGTTTCGTCGGGAAATTTCTGCGTATAAGCCATTGGGGACCGTTGATTCTCTCTATATATCACTCTTGTCTAGCTTTCCGATGCTGATCTGTTTCCCCGGCCAAGGAAAAGGGGTCCACACTCAGCTATGGCCCCTTACCCAAACGGGCAAGTACAGCCACCGGAGTTGCAGCCGCCGATAAGATTCACGATATTTAAATTCGCCCATTATCCGATGGCTTTCCCCTCACTCACGCCGTGGTTCTACATTCAGTGACTCGCTCACTGTACTCCTATCTACTTCTCGACAACTTAGCACATTTTGCCTTGCCTCAACCTCGAATTCTTTCCATGCCACGATGGTAACTGGACCTCCGCACCCCTTCGACCCAATCTCCCCGGAGGAAATTAGGCTTGCTGTGCGCATCCTCGAGGCTACATTCCCAGGGGTTCCGCTGCGCTATAAGCGTATTGACGTCAATGAGCCAATTAAGAAGGATGTATTGCCATACATAGAGGCTGAGCGTCTCCGACGGCCCCTTCCCTCGCCGCCAGCACGCCTGCTCTATGTCCTCTTTCACCGTCTTGATACTGGCGCATTCTACAAGGCCATTTTGAATGCCGACAAGCGAAGTATTGTATATGCCAAGGAGCTTCCTCGAGAAGTTCAGGTGGGTTTGCACCTCGGTTTTATGCCTTCGGCAATTAATATAGCTAACATCTTTGTGCTCACCAAAGGGACCTATCGACCCTGATGAAATCGCCGAAATTGAAGCGCTGTGCATGAGGCATCCGGCTGTTCTCGCTGAAATTGAGAAAATGCAGCTACCTGCGGGCGTGACTGTTTGCAATGATCCGTGGATGTACGGTACTGACAAAGAGGATGAGACCCGGCTACTCTTCCAATGCTTTATGTATTTGGTCGAGGTAGATCATCCTCAAAGCAATCATTATTCCCTACCTTGCAAATTCTCTCCAGTATTCGACGGCCATACTCACGAACTGGTTCGCATGGATTATTTACCCGGTGGGGCTGACCATGCATTCACTGATACTCAGCCTTGGAAGCCTGTAAAGGCAATTCAATATGCGCATGATCTCTTGGATGAGCCATTGAGAACTGATTTAAAACCTTATATTGTTCAACAGCCCGAGGGCCCCTCCTATGCTACGGAAGGGAACTCGGTTTATTGGCAGAAATGGCGATTCAGAGTTGGCTTCAACATTCGGGAAGGCCTTGTTGTCTATAATGTCACATATGACAATCGCAATGTCTTCTACCGTCTGTCTGTCTCAGAAATGACGGTTCCTTATGGAGGTATGTCTTCAAATCATGTGCTGAGGTTTATCTCTGACTAATGAGGTTTCAAGATCCTCGCGCTCCGTACCATCGTAAGCAAGCGTTTGACGTGGGCGACACTGGCTTTGGCATGAATGCCAACCAGCTCACTCTCGGATGCGACTGCCTGGGACATATTAAATATTTTGATGGCTACCGTAATGATTGCAAAGGCAACCCAGTGCCTATGAAGAACGTCGTTTGCATGCACGAACAAGATAACGGCTTGCAGCATAAGCACACCAACTATCGATCTGGCGCTGCGACAGTGGTTCGCAATCGTCAATTAGTTCTGCAAATGATCTGCACTGTTGCCAACTATGAGTATATTTTCGCCTATATCTTCGACCAGGCTGGTAATGTGGAATTGGAAGTCCGCGCCACTGGTATCCTTTCCACCGTCCCATTCGACAACGAGAATGGCCAGACGGTGCCCTGGGGCACGAATGTTGGGCCCGGTGTGATGGCTCCATTCCATCAACACATGTTCTCCTTCCGAATTGACCCTGCCATTGATGGATTCAAAAACACTGTTTATTATGAAGATAGTGTGCCGATGCCGGAGGATGAGAATAATCCCTGGCTGGTCGGTTACACGTCCAAAGCTACTGTTCTGAAAACCTCTGGTTCGGCGAACACGAGTGTCGATCGTCATCGTGTTTTCAAGATCCGCAACGATAATATTCAGAATCCCGTCAGTTACAAGCCTGTAGCCTACAAACTGATGGCTGTTCCAAGCCAAATGCTACTGGTCAATAAGAATTCCCTTGGCTATCGTCGTGCCGAATTTGCCACAAAGCCGATCTGGGTCACCAAGTATCAAGATGACGAGCTCTACGCTGCAGGCGAGTTCACGAACCAAAGCCGTCGGGCAGAGGGCGTTGAGACCTGGATCCAACGCAAGGATAACACTGAAAACGAAGATGTTGTTCTTTGGCACAGTAAGCAACCGTTCTTTTGATTCTCCTTAACCTTTCTGCTTTTTTTTTTGCGTTTCTTTTTGGCTCACGAATTCACTAGCATTCGGATTGACCCACAACCCCCGTGTCGAGGATTTCCCGGTCATGCCGATGGAACGTGTCAGCGTTATGCTGAAACCTGACGGGTTCTTTACCAAGAACCCTGCCTTGGATGTTCCCCAATCCGCGCAGTCTTTTAACAAGTCCACTCTCCACCCGGAGGCCACTCAAGGTGAATCCTGCTGTTCCGGATCTGCTTCTGCCGGGGCTGGCAAGGCCAAGCTTTACAAGCGAATGGATTAATCTGCACTTCTTTTGATGTTGGCTTTTTGAATTTCTCTATACCCTTTTTCTCCCTTTTTCTCTATATTTTTCTATTGCACTAGCGGTATATATCTGGATCTTGGCTGGTCAATATGAGACTTGATGAGATGGACATTTGAAGTGAACATAGTACATGAATGTATCAGGTTGTGCCAGCTTTCGAGGGATTTCCTAATATTCATGCATCCCAGTTAGTGAAGAATCTCAAAAATAAGACATGCTGATTCCCGATTCTGGTCTCAATATCTTCTTGAATTTCTTTCAATCTGTATGAGCTTCAATTGAGTGTTTTCGGATTGCAAGACCCAGGCGTTACAAGAGGATGGATTATGACACATGGCCCAGGGAGAAGGCTAAGATTCAGAGTGAAAACTCATCTGAAAGGCAGATATGTATTGGACCCGACGACGAGTAACTGATACAATTACTCTCAAGTCAGTGCACAAACTAGATTACAGCATTTAGAGGCTTAAAAGATCGCCATGGCGTTCGGTGGGGAGGATACGCCGCCCGGCATATTCAGGGGCACGGATGATATGAAGAAACTCCACCGTTGAAGCTCCTGACAAGTTCGTGCTAGTGCTTCTAAATCAAAAAGTTCCCCTGTAATTGTAAGTCGACGAAAAACGGGGATAGAGGGGGGAAACTGCTTACCGATTGGCATTCCCCACCCTGCTAAAATGTATTCATGAAGAAATATATCAGGAGACTGGGGTGGATAGACCTGGTACTTGTCAGCTAATCTTTTAAGTGAAGCTACTGCCCGAAGACCCTCCAGGATCACGACTTTGTCTTACCTCCCAGCTAATAGCATCACTGGCGATGGCAGCAAATCCAGTGTCCCAAAGCCAGCGAAGGACATCCATAGTCGCTTCCACTCCAGCGTGCTCGGGACATGAGCTATCTGAATAGGCTTGTTTTTGATCATCCGACATTACAGTGTCCCATTCCTTTGTAACGCCCACACGTACAAAGAGGATATCACCTTTTCGAAACGTGATATTGCTATTTTGAGCGATCTCCAAAATATCTGTAAGGCGCACCTGGTGGGTTGAAAATGTACTATACTTGATCCCTTTTTGCTCGGCCCATGTTGCATAGTCGATTAAGACCCCGCGCCCTGTTTGAAGTGCATAAGTCGATATATACTTGTCGAGGAAAATAGATCAGCAACAGTCCAGCTTACCTGCGATTCCCTGCTTAGCCCAGAACTGAAGTCCAATGCGATCGTTCTGACGGTCGTTGATCTCTTCAACAGTCGTCCCACCGTAAAAGAGCCGTTGAGATTGACCAGGTACGATCTGCGAAAAGTGGCGTAGTCCATCCCATTGACTACTTTGCTCTTTGCTTCAATCAGTACATAGTGAAATTTGGCGGTTCAAACACGGTCTGATCAAACCTACGCGGATTCATCGTATAGATGTCATCAAAGGCAACCCCTCCCAGCAGAGGCACGATCTCATGATGACAAGGCTGTCGATTCAGATTGGGATAGTCCAACTTGGTCATTTCCCAGTTCAAAGTCACACGGCGACCACTTCGAATCTCTTGAGCCGCTGCTTGTCCAACGACTTCAGGGGTCAGAATTGCGAGTTTTCCGAGCCCTTCTTCATGGCTGCCCGGCTTGCCCATCCAAACTTGCTTCGGGTTCGGAAGCTGGTCAAACGGAATATCGAAGATAGAATCCATCATGATATGGTTGATTCTTTGGTCAATGGATATGGAGAGGGATAAGTGGAGGATCGTACAATACAAGCTCTTGTCTATGTTTTTATAGCTGACTTGGCCACGTCTCAGTACCAGCATGAGTAACTATATATTTCACTTTCTCCTAAATTGGAGGCGCCAGAGCTTTATGGATCTTTATAGATACATGGTAGCAAGCTATCAATATAGAGGAAAAAGGAAGATGGAAATATGCCAACACCTACTGACCATCAGCTCAATTCAGCAATGAACCCCGCAGCCAACGCACCCAATGGACGCCATTTCGACAGGATGTGCAGATCGGCGGCGGGTTAGACATTCTTGGCGCATCCTAGTTCGTACCACGTCTTACAGCTTGCAGCCTTCGTAAGATCTGGGCTGGATCAGCAGATGAAATGTTTCTTCATCAGGGCATTGGCCTGCGTTAACCGGCAGACCTGGCTGCTCGCCAGTCAACTAGCTGCCTCATCGCCCCCCCCCCCCCCCCCCCAAAATTGTTTTTGGTCGGTTGTTTTCTTTCCACCCTTTTCAAATGCTAAATGGGAGATCTGCGTTGATTTTCGCCATTACTTTGTCTTGCTTGGTATATTGTCGAAGTTTTTACAGCGTGGAAGAGAAACAAGATCGCGATGGATAGATATCGGTCGCAGACAAGCACTTACAACCGTATGGTGACGGTTTTTGTGGCTGTCGGATCGATGGTAAGTTCTTCTCCAGGTAGATGAGATGAAAACAAAGGTTCTGAAATAGCCATTCATGGTTAGACCTACGGTTATTGCGCCTCCATCATCTCCAGTACCATCGGCCAGCCTGGATGGTACAGCTACTTCAGTCTCCCCGTCGAAGGTGAGCATGGCTATGCCACAATCACCACTCCGACCATTGCGACAGCAAATGGTGTTTTCAGTGGCGGTGGTGCTGTCGGGACTCTCTTTATGATGTGGTCGTGCGACGTGTTTGGGCGCAAGGCTAATATACAACTCGGCGCTTTCCTCTCCTTGTTTGGAGGAGCTCTTCAGGCTGGTGCTAATTCTATCGAGTACGTGTTGAGACTCGTCTTTTGTTCTGGTTTGTGACGAGACTAATTAGAAACAGAATGTTCCAAGCCGGTCGGTTTATTTGCGGTCTTGGAATAGGTATTCTTGTGACTGTCTGCCCGATGTACCTCTCTGAGATGTCGAGCGCGTTCCGTCGAGGCTGGCTGGTTGGTCATCATGCTATCTTCCTCGTCTTCGGGTACATGATGGCAGGATGGGTCGGATTTGCTTGTTATTATGCTGAAGATGATTTGTCTGCATTTGGCTGGCGGTTTCCATTGGCTCTGCAATGCGTGCCACCCTTGATCCTTATTGCAGGATCGCCCTGGCTTCCACGCTCGCCTCGTTGGCTAATCTCAAAGGGGAAGCTCGAAGAAGCGCATCATGTCCTCGAGCGCCTTCGCCAGTCTCCGGAAGATCCAGAGAATCTTGCAGCCAAGGAAGAGTTCTTCCAAACCAAGGAACAGATCGAGCTTGAGGCCAAGAAGATGGCTGATTACGGCAATGTGTGGAAAGCTGTTGTGATGAAGAAGTCCTACCGCAAGCGCATGATTATCGGGTTTTTAACGCAATGGGGAGCGGAGTTTGGTGGACCTCTTATTATCGTCAGTCTAATATTCTTTGCAGAATATAATCAATTACTTATTATGCTACTAGAACAACTATGCCGTCCTCCTCTATACCAATTTAGGCATGACAGGAGGTATGCCGTTGCTGTTGAGCGCCGTCTGGTTGACCACGGCTGGTAAGAACGTGCCTAAACACGGATATTTTGGCACATTCTGACCCTATCTAGGGCTGATATATAACCCCCTGGGTGCATGGCTCCATGACAAGGTCAACTCGCGACGAGGAATGTTTATCACTGGCTTTGTGGGCATCATCGTGACCACGTCCTGCCTGGCTGCTATGACGGCCGAGTATGCTGGAACATCCAATCGAGTTGGAAATGGATTTGGCATCTTGTTCATCTATCTCTACTTAGCCTTTCAGGGGTGAGTTGAGTGCTTGTTCTGTGATTTATCAGACCATATTCACTAATTTCGCCTAGCACCTGCTGTGATACGACCATGTATCTATATGTCTCAGAGATCTTCCCGACAGAAATCCGTCCTATTGGTATGGGATTCTCGTTATTTGGCCAGTTCGCCGGTAAGTGTATCTGATAGTCCTTGATTTTGACTGTCGGAGGATTCTGACACCTTTCAGCAACTCTGATCTTGCTGGAAACCGCTCCTATGGGCTTCAATAATGCCGGCTGGAAATACTACCTCGTCATTATCTGCTGGTCAACCTTCTTCATTCCTGGTAAGCTCCCCAGGCGAAGCCTCCGGGGCTTCGTTCTCATTATAAAATTCCCGTGAAGGTAACTAACAGGTCTAATAGTGATCTACTTCTTCTTCCCCGAAACAGCCCGTTTGACACTGGAGGAGATTGCAATGAATTTTGGTGAAGAAGTTGCCGTTCATCTCTCATACGGGACCGATGAAGAGGGGGCTCGGAGGGATGGTGATCTCCCCCAGTCTGGTGATATTTTGGAAATTTCAACGGTGTCTAGCTCTGCCAACGACGAGAAGAGGGGTGTAGACCATCACCCGGCGACGGATTTGGAAAATACGGAACAAAGGGCTAACTAAGACATTGATCAACGATAGCCAGCGTAGATATAGAGATCCTTGAACATATACACAGGATAATGTCTGGCAACGCATAGTATTCTCTTTCCGTTCTAGTGCTTACCCATCGCCGCTTTTGGATCAGTGAGTAGGATTAAGTCCTAAGCTGGGCGAGTCGTTCAAGGAGAGACAATCCCTGTTGGTTTCTTTCCTCCGCTTATTGATATGCTTAATTTCAGCGGGTATTCCTACCTGATGCGAGGCCAAGTTATTGAACAAATTGTCAATCAAATAAATTAACTTATTAGGATGCAAAGCACTTAATGGATATGAATAGAGTATCATTGTATCTTTAAGATGAAGGGCTATTATCCCAGGTTTGTAAAGTATTTTCGTTTTCGAGGCCTCTCATTATGCTGTCAAAGAAAGCCATATCGACACCTTGGAATGCCCAGTCGTCCATCCTGGCAGTTAGCCCAGGATCCTGATAACTCTGCAGGATGGTATCAGAACCTGCATCTTGATATCGCGACGTGAGCTGTGCATGCGGACCACTAGCACTATCGACAGACTGGTAATCCGCTTCCGTCATTGATCTTGGAAATGCATTTTCATTGATGCGACCAGAGCCAAGATCACGCACAGCAGCTTCCTAACTCTCGGTGTTATGCATACCAATAAGCGGAGCGCATGGTTGGCCATTACTTAAAGGTGGTTGTGCGTCTCGATGATGCCAGTTGGTATGGTTCGGCTTTCTTGGTGACTACTGGAGGCTTCCAACCAACCTGGGGAAAAATCTACAAACATTTCCCGCTAAAAATCTCGTTCCTGCTTGCGGTGTTCATTTTCAAGCTTGGGAGCTTGATTTGTGGTGTGGCTCCAAATTCCGTAGCACTGATTGTCGGTCGTGCAATTGCTGGAATTGGTGCCGCTGGTATTGGGAGTGGAGTCTTCATCGTCATTGCTTTCGTTGCCAGTCCCAAAAGACGGTCACTCTTCACCGGTATCATTGGCGTATCTTACCGTATAGCCTCGGTCGTTGGCCTCCTTGTTGGCGGTGCATTCGCTGATAAAGTAACTTGGAGGTGGTGTGAGTACTTCTGCTACTCATTTGCCCAACTCAAGTAGTTGGTTTTCGCTAGACTTTGGACTTAGCTAATTTTCTTGTCTTTTCCTTTTTTGTTATCTAGGCTTTTACATCAATTTGCCCATTGGCGGCCTCGCAGCGGCTTCCATTGTTTTCTTCTTCCATTCACCCGACAGCGCTTCGACGGCCAAGGGTACATTAAAGGAGAAGCTCCTGCAGATAGATCCTATCGGGACGATCCTTCTAATCTGTACCATCATTTCATACAACTTGCCACTGCAGTATGGTGGACAGACGAAGGCATGGAGCTCCAGTACTGTGATCGGCCTTCTTGTCGGCTTCCCTCTGATGATTATTGTCTTCATTGTGTGGGAATGGTTTCAAGGAGAACGGGCTGCGTTTCCGCCGCGCTTGATGTCGAACCGCCTCGTCCTTGTGAATTCAATCTACGCGTTTCTTTTCGCAGGTTCGTACCTTATCATAGTCTATTACCTTCCTTACTACTTCCAGAGTATTCAAAACGTCAACCCTACTATATCTGGTGTACGAAATCTTCCCTTGATTGTCTCAATGTCGTTAGCTATCATTGTCTCTGGTGGCAGCATCACCAAAACTGGTCATACTGCTCCTCTTATGGTTGTCGGCGGGGTCCTCGCAACCATCGGTTCGGGGCTGTTGTACTCGCTGGACATCGGTACAAGCACAAGCAAGTGGATTGGATACCAGATCATCGGCGGAATTGGATGGGGATTGGCCTACCAGGTTCCCATCAATGCGGTGCATGGTCAGTGGGTCCCAGTGATATTTCAACCGTGATGGGTGTTATCGTCTGTGAGTAGTCTGCCTACGGCTTCTTAATTATCCAATGATGGCCTGCTAACATGACTCATCTTTCAGTCTTCCAAACTGTCGGGGGTGCGGTTTTCGTGGCTGCAGCACAATCTGCCTTCGTCAACCAGATCATTATCACACTTGCCGCAACTGCACCGAGCATCGACTCATCCTTAGTGGTTGCGACGGGTGCCAGCGAACTGCGAGAAGTCTTTATAGCTAAGCAGATGGCTGCTATTTTGCCCTGCTTATATGACGGGTCTCAAGGTCGCTTACGCCATTTCGATCGCTGCGGCGGAAGTCGCTTTCTGTGTCAGCCCCTTCAACAACTTCCAGAAGATTGACGCCCATGCAGAAGCTAAAGGCTCTAGAAATGCCGCCATTGGTGCGTCTGTGTAATCTCCTTGCTCTTGTCAAGGTATTTTACTTTATTTGATTATACTTTTCGTGGCATATCTAGATCTGTGTTTGGGTGTCTCGGATTTATATCTGGGAATTGGCTTAGTTGCTCTAGACTTCCCACCTTTCTTTCTTTTATTTTCTTTTTTTTTTTTGGACTGACCCGAGAGTAATATGTGACAAAACCTTTCTTATGGCTCTATTATGGTTGGATTCGTATGGATATTTTTTTTCTTTTTACTATCGGCTTCCTAATATTGCTGTACGTGATTTCCCCCAAGCCCTTTTGGTGGAATTAAAATATTACCAGCAGAATATACAGTCCCATCTTTTTTCTATTATAGGATCACCGGAGAATAATATACTCTTGGAGCTATAGAACATTAGCTCTGGTGCTCTCGTTTCTATTAGTACATCGGTCAACAACACTTACACCACGTGTAATTATTTATGGGTGCCATGAAACGTTCCTGCTCCACAATTTCTGACGAGCCATCCAAACATTTTGTATGTCCCGAGATCTATATATACACGGTAAATTGGCATAGTCTGATCTCATGAGTACTATTAAGGTGGCCCGAATTCGCCCGACATTCCGTATGCCCTATACTCATTACGCTATGATCTACCTCGATAACGAGGGCAATCTCAAGGTCAACGAGTCGGACTCGATTCAGCAGCTTGAAGCACTTCCAGCAACTCAATTGCCGTATCATTGCCAAGGCATTCATCAAGTTCATCGAGCCTCGCAAGCAGGCTCGCTACCCCTACAATGGAGGCAAGCCTCCACCAGGCTCTGCCCCGGGTACAACTGGTGATCCGTGATCCCTAGAAGACCAAGCCTGAGTGGTGAACACCAGGTGTGATGCGCAAGGAACCTGACCACCTGTGCAAAGTGGGTATAACAATTTTGTTTTCTCTTCATGACCCTCTGTCTTGAGATACTAACAAAATCCTCGGATAGGCCGCATGGAGCTTCTGCTTCACATGATCCGCAAGCTTGGTAGCCACAACATCACCACCGATAAACTGATGGAAGCTGCGGGTGACACTAGGAGTAGTCTGGAATACTCCTCCCATATCAAGATTATCTATGAGATCCTTCGTGTGCGCAGGATGGAGGAGCGCTTTGAGCGTGAGAAAGTTGGTATCTTTGTGTGCTCTCCAACGGTAACCCCTCTCCCTTGTCCCTAACAGTGTCGGTGCTGCCCTGTGGCGGTGTAAACCTCCCCTCCACAAGCCCTCAGTCCGATGTCGCAACCGAGGAGATTGCGTCGATAGGTCACGCTCATGTTCGCCGGCCATGACCTTGGTATGACTGTTGGGACTATTTATTTTGCAAACAAGCAACCAAGTGGACTATAAATGATCATCAGCGATTCAATCCAAATGTGATTCAATTTCATCGAAAAGTGAATAAGGGGAAAGATAGCGAGAGGAGGGACATCGGGATCTCATACTATCCCCCTTCCCCCTTTCTTCCCGTTGGACAGACGTAGCTTCGCATCTCCGATAGGGAGAGAAACAACATTCACACTCTCTTCGCTTCATCTGCTTCTGCTATCCCTTTTGGGAGGCTTCCTCCATCGTGGTGTGTGGTGGTTCATTGGTTTGTTCGCCGACCTATCTCACCCTGCCTGCATTCTCAGGCTTGCCGTAGAGCGCCCTGGTTCACCAGTTTCTATTCATTCTACTGTCCCTGTGTCGATCAAGGCTTGCTTATCGTAGAGATTTTGCATATATACGTCCCTCTTACTAGGGCAGAACACCTTCTTGTCTCTGGCTGACGCGCCTTAAAATCTTCATTTAATTGGTAACAGTACGCTTCTCGAGAATCCTAATTCCAATTTCTTGACAATCTTACTATACTCGAGCCCAGCGGCTAGCTGAGATTATCGGTCCCTTCGTTGACCTCTTCCAAACGCAACCCCGCTATCTTGGCTTCACCTTCAAATTTTCTATATAGAGAAACACTTAAGGCTCGGCACATCTCACCAGGTGTAAACTCATCAGCAGGCATTTTCTCCGGGTAAAAAATTTCTTTCACTCTCCCCTTTATATTGACATCCGCCCCTTTTGACAGAAGGAATCGAACCTTCTGGAATACATCTGGGCTGGTGTGCAGGTAAGCGGCAATAATACTGTAATGTAAGGGTGTCCAACCCCACATATCCTGCCTGTCACGATCATCCAGACATCCCTGATTGCAGAGATACTCCAGAACTTCCACATCTTCGGCAAGCTCCGCAGCTAGATGAAGCGCTGACCTACCATCATCAAAGACTCTGCTTAGATTGACGCCATTTCTGACCAGAAATTGCAAGGCTTGCAATGAATTTGTCCTCGTTCTGATAGCCGTATTAACCGCAGACCAAGCGGTCTTATCAGCAGTCTCCCAGTAGATATAGCCTTCTGATAGAAGGATCCTGAAGTAGTCCATGGTTTGTTCCTCTCGGAATGGGTAGTTGATATTCAGCATGCTCAAGGTCTTGTCGCGGTTAACTTCGTGCACAGAAGCTTCATGCTTTACAAGGAGCTTAAAAGCCTCAAGCCACGGAGCCCATTTTGGGGGAAGCTGTGGAAAGAACCTGTTCTTTTCTGACGACATCCCTGCTGCTGCAAAAATTGGAAGTCTACCCGATCAGGTCAGCAAGGCCTGTACAATACTTGGGTCCCATCATATACTCACATCTGACTATCGTCTCCGACATTAGGATCGGCACCTGATTCCAGAAGATATTGAACTGCATCCAGGTGCTGGCCCTCTATAGCTAGCTGCAACTAGAGATTAAATGAAGGGCATTTTTAATCATAGGAAATTACATCAATCTTACCAGAAGAGGGGTTTTCCCGCAGCAGATAGCCCTATCTCCAAGCTGTCCAGTTCCTTCGGCTAGGTGCTGTGCAATCAACTTGATATCTCCTGAGGAGCAGGCAGTCATAAACGGCGATTCCAGACGGACTTGGTTTTGCAGGCGAATACTTCCGGGTAGAATGCGAATTCCACCCCCAAGAAATTCAGCCCTCGCCAAATGGATGTCAATTGCGATAGACTTAGATGATATCCATGTAGGTGGTTTGAAGCCTATGCAGACACTTGATTTCCACTCTTTATTATCGACCGAAGACACAAGCGAGAAGGAGCCATAGAGTCCGATTTTCCGGATCCACGAGTCAACGCCTATTACAGTCACTCGGTGGTGGCCACATTTTGACAGCGGTGGGTTGGTGATCGACTTTTGTTGATATGTAATCGTTCTGCGTTCTTGGTGGAGCTCTCTTTGTGATGCATATATCAATAGCGACAGTCGCCTGCATACGTGGCATATCAGAAGTGAACTTTGTACAACCAGCCGTAAGATCTTACACGTTCAGCAATTGTAAAACACAAGTCAGTTCGCGCTCTGAGTCCCGCAGACGCTCGAGCATGCCGGTCATAAGATGCCGCTCGACGAAAGCCCATTTCAATCGCTTTCCAGTACCCCGAGGTTCGCCATTGAACGACTTACTGCACCTTTTATGTAGCGTGGTTACCTCTTCAAAAAGTGACGCTACAGTGTTTTGTAGAATATAGCACATATCTGGCGGCAGAAGCTCATCGTCGTTAACTTCACCCATCTGGTCTTGAATACCTTCAAGGCTTATCTGGAGGCTGAGAAGTTTCTCCTTAATACGGCGAAGCTCAGTCGGTGCATCATTGAAGGCGGAGCAGAATGAAACGATCACTTCTGTAGTCCTAAAGACAAGTCCGAGGATCTGACCGAAGGAGGCGATTCCCCCAACCACTGTGAGAAGTTCAGCCATCAATTAAGCCAATCTTTCTTGCGTGATACGCAATATCTTATGCAGGTAAAAGCACAGAGTCATTGACAGGCTGATCAAGTTCTCAAAGGCGAAGAAGAGAGATTAGGCTGTGAGTCTGTCGTGGCGGAGCTACGCTTCGGTAATACTGGTGGTCATGTGGGCGGGTTAAGACAGGCTTGATATCAGTAATAGTCCCAATCTCAGATGAACTAGGGTGAAGTACGGGTATGCCACTGACTGGGCTGAATATGCTTGCGCGACAAGCTGTTCGCGCCTACTTCGTTCGCTTTGACAAGCACTCTACTGAGGATGTCAACTATTTTTAAATCGCCCCTGGGGATGATACAGACCCGCTCAAAATCTCGCTAAGCAGGTATAAATTATGCTCATTCTACTGAGCCGACCTTTTCGGCGCAATATCTACCATCGAGCACAATACATATTACCTGTATGTTGAAGAACGAATTATGCTAATTACGTCGTTTATGTAAAAACACAGCCACGTCGGGCACCCATGCTGGTCTAGGCTAGCACTTACCCCACCCGGTAGAACGTATCTTCTATTTATTAAATGATGAAGGGAGAGGAAGGTCTCTCAAGCGAATAATAATAATGTTTAGGAGCGACGAAAAGTATCGAATCCTTCGCTTGATATGTATGCCGAAAACGGCGGCACTTCTCCCCGTCTAGGCGCATTTCAATCTTACCACTGTCAAGTACAGGAGAGTGTAAGCATATACAGACACCGGATTCTTACCACCTAGTTTCATTAAGTTTGAAGCAATGAACTTATCGCTCACTTGCTCAGGTACTCGACGCTTGTGTTGGATATCCGAAGCACAGTTTCAAACTACGGCATCTAAATGCCTCGAATTTCCCACGCGCGGTGTGGTGGGTCTGTGTAAGTTGATTTTATACTTGCAGACACTTCTGGCGTTAGAAGCTTGCCACTAAGATTATAATATTAATCCACGGATAGTGTCATTGCAACTCGATGAACAGCTTTGAACTTTCTCCTGATAGATGCGCTGTCTGCCAACATCATATATGCACAGCCTGCGCTGTGATCACAGTTTCTGCCACAAGCAAGTTAGAAACATGTCAGCAAAATGGAGATTAGCATTGTAATGACTCATCAGGTACCACTGTGGCTGGTTGAGATTTGCAATCGTGCAAATTCCCCCTCCCGGGTCGTGTACTTTTGACTCCTCTTAGAACCTCGGTTACCGAGGCAGGTATTCGCATGGCTATTTTAACCCCAATGAAATTCAATAGTTCATTTCACTAGAATTAATAATCTCTTCATCTGAACCTTTGTATCTTCTCCCCCTTTGATTCCGTTGCTCTGAGTAACCAGTAAATTCTCTGTGAATAATAGCCAGTATAGGTGATGGCTTTAAACAAATTTTAAATTAGGTAAGTATAGAGGCTAACCTTCTACCTAAATCCTATATATTTTAAACTTTCCTATATTTGCAAGCACGCTGGCATCCTTTTTAGACCTATAAACAGCTATCAGCGTGTTTAGCTACTTATCTATCTAGGTCGACTATCTATCGAGTCTTCGCTAATTCTAGCTTGCTAAACGACTATCGAAACGCAAGATTCCTTTAGAATTAAACACTACTTTTGAATAACAGTATTTTGTATTAAAATAACGAAGAATTACTAATTTTTCTAGGATTTAAAAGTAGATATTCTCCGACGAGTGCTCGATTTAAAGAATAACGAATACTATGCCTAAATTGTTATGGAATAACCACATTTGATGTTATTCTGGTCGACCGGCTCGTTTCGGATACGAATCGTGCGAATGACGATAACTGTTCATGAAGGAGAACAAATTGGAATCGGATCCTTTTACAGTTATCCCTCCGGCAAGTAGCGGAATGACGACATTTAGGTTATAGAAAGAGAACCCCTCTCTCTCGAACTGAATCTCTTCAAGATTCAGTTATTGGAATGATACACTCTTATTCTCCTTCCGATTCCATCACGATTCTATATTGTATTCATCATTTTTTACCTGACCAACAGGTCGCTACGCTGCAAGTAGCACTCTAACAATTTAGTTGTTAGGGAAACACTATCGTGCGCTACTATATCTGGGTCCTAGGCGGTCAATGTGCCTGCTCATTGACATTGTGGTATTTTTGGCTCAACGTAGGAAACACGTGCCTAGGTGTGTTCATTAACACAAATAGTATTAGCGCTTTGCTTCCGAGGCCTATAAGCGTGATTCAATTAATAAGTAGATTTATATTCAAGATATTTCGTAGATAGTTTAGGGCGCTATCTCGCTTAGTAGTCGATCGAAGCTTATTATAATAGAATAGGAGGAATCTGACAGTTAGAAGCGAGGTTATACTATAAAATCCAATATAAACACTTTAGAAGAAGGTCTATTACCTATCTATAGGCCTAATATTGTCTTTTAATTAGCTAACGCTAGGATTTATATTATAAAGGTAATATAAGAGTAGTTTAGAATATATAGGGATTTAGGTAGAAGATTAGCCTCTATACTTACCCAATTTAAACCCTATTAAATCTATCTAGCGATAGTTAAGACTGAAGCTTTTTGAATTATATCCTAAGCTTATTAGTATAGGAAAGTCAAAGGAGGACTAGCGCTATTTTAGAAGGTGTATTATAGAAGCTTAATAGACATTAGATTAAAGGAAGATAGATAGGTTGATTTTAGGGATAGGAAGAATGTTAGAAGCTATGCGGTAGGCTAAAGGTTTTTATACAAAATATTAGTAGTTGCTAAGCGAGTTGGACCCTACCCGAATTTGAATTTTTTTACTAGAACTATATATCTAGAAAGATAGTAGTGTGGTGTGTAGTGTAACAGACATACGTATATATTGCAGTAGGGAAATGGCCAATACTAGGGAGACCTCTAATTGGAGCATATCTTTCTAGTACACAGTCTTTACAGGATATAGCTTCGCATCTCCGATAGGGAGAGAATCAACTTTCACACTCTCTTCGCTTCATCTGCTTCTGCTTTCCCTTCTGGGAGGCTTCCTCTATCGTGGTGTGTGGTGGTTTGTTGGTCTGTTCGTTGACCTATCTCATCCTGCCTGTTTTCTCAGGTTTGCCGTAGAGCGCCCTGGTTCAATATTTAATGTTAGGGTAGTGAAAGTGGGGACCGGTAAATACTTTTGAACACTATTGTATCTTCCGCTCTTAGGTCTTCATGTCTACAAATATACTACATGAACCCACACCCCACTTCAGCCTCTTTGACTCCAACACATGATGATGCGCTGCTAGTTTCCTCTTCATCATATCGATCCAATCCTAGAAAATGCTACATATAGAAATAACTCACGACCACGACTATCTGAATATACCTCGATGATGACGCTCACTTTCCTAAGGCTTTATCGAATTTCCATCTCGTTTTTTCCCCTCTAATTTACAATACAAGATGTTTTCTCCAATTGACCGAATATTGAGAATCCGAACAATCATGATCATTCATTTGGTATTAAAAAAATTTAAACCTTTAAGGGAAAGCCCTTTCTAAACAAACCCGAAAGAGGTTTCTGCATATCCTAAGCGACCAAATGAAAGGATGAAGGAAAACAACATATCATTCAGATAAGGGTAGCCGCCGGGGCATAAGCTTATACCATCGTATTTGATAACCCTACCTCAACCCCTCTCCACTAAATCATCCACCCCCTCCTAGGGATCCAACCTCACTTCTTTTTGTCGAAAGATTCGCTCTGGTTCATACTCGTATCATGCGTGTCTTGATAAGATTTTGTTTCGCAGCTGCAAAAGCCGTGTAATTCATGTAGTACACCGCATCATCTCTAGCCCCTTCCATTTCCTATAGGCTTCAGTCTGAAGTATTGGCAGACCAAGCCTGGTCATGGAAGATAAAAACCGAACCAAAGGCCTACAGGTCCTTCTTGATGATGTGGGCCTTAGGGAGAGTGCCGTTGGCACGCTGGATGGCGGCCTCGCGGGCTCCGGTGAGACCGAATTGGGAGTTGATGCCATCGATACGATGGGTGGAGTTGATGTTCTTGACGAGCGTGAGCTGCCAGCAGGTAGCACCACCCTGGCGGGAAGTGATGGTGGAGGCAGCAAGGAAGTACTCCCAGATCTAGGGATTGTTAATTACAACGTCGGATCATTGAATTGGGGGGTATGCAGGCGTGGAAGAAACTTACGCGGAACCATCTCTTGCCATACTTGGCCTCAACCTTGTCGCGGTTGCCCATCCAGTTCCGGTACCAGCGCCAGAGGGTAGCGGAATAGTGGACACCAATGGTGTCAACGCCCTTGATCTCAAAGCCGGCGCCCTCGAGACGGTCGACAACGAAGCCAAGGGGGGTGCTAGCGTCAGCACCGGGGAAGACGTATTTGTTCATGAACAGACCCCAGATAAGGTCCTCGTACTGCCAGGACTTACGGAGACCAGCAATCTGCAGGAAGAAGACACCATCGTCGTCGAGCATATCATAAACCTGGCTGAGGAAAGAACTGAAGTGGCGAACACCAACGTGCTCAGCCATCTCGAGACAGGTAATCTTCTGGTAGCCACCCTCGACACGAGGAGCATCACGGTAGTCGGAGCACAGAATGCGACTCTGGGATTCCTCAATGCCAGCCTTGCGGAGACCATTGTTACCCCATGCGGTCTGGTTGCGGCCAAGGGTGATACCAGTGACCTCAGCACCATAGTGGACGGACGCATACTTGGCAAGAGTACCCCAGCCACAGCCAAGGTCAAGCATCTTGTCACCGGACTGGATGCCAATCTTCTCACAGACGACAGCCAGCTTGTTGTCCTGCAATTCTTCAAGGGTCTCTTCCTTGTTGATGTCGCTAATAATGCCAGAGGTGTAGATCATGCGGGGGCCAAGGAACCAAGCGTAGAAATCGTCACCGCGGTCGTAGTGATCACGGACCTGCTCCTCGTCTAGATTGTGATTGGTCAGAGCCTCATTCACCAGAACAAAAGGGTCAATTCTAAAATTGATGACATACCCTGGGAACGAGTGTGCAGAAGCATCTCGGGGATGAAACCAAACAGGAAGTGCTTGAAGAGACCCATGGTGAACTTGAAGTTGGCCCAATCGTGGCGGTACTCAAGAGCTTCCAGAGCATCGCCCTTGAAGTCAACCTCGCCGTTAAAGTACTTCTCGTAGAAGACCTCCATGGGGATCTTGCTCTTGCCACGGTAGGTGGCACGGTCATGCTCGCTGTGGAAATGCAGGTAGTGCTCGACGGGGCGACCACAGTACTTGGCCTTCTCGGTCTTGCGGGGGAGATGGTGGAGGAGATGCTCCAGAAAGCCATGAGGACGGGGACAGTGGTGAAGATAGCAAAGAAGATGGTGGTGTAGAAACCGCCGCCGACCTGGCGAGCGAGGTACCAGGGCACCACGATCAGGAGAAAGATCATCAAGCCATTGGAGAAACTATCGCTGCCGGGCGAGTCCGCAGGGACGGGGGCATTTTTGATGGCCGGGTACTAGCATCAATGGGTCAGCGTTTGATGTCTCGGAGGTACTAGAGCTTCCAGGAGCTTGGGCCGAGCTACTTACTAGGGTGGTTGGAACACCGCAGTCGAAGGCAGGCTTGGTCTGCTCAGGCGCCGCCGGGGTTTCAATGAATTCGAAGTCCTCAGTGGACTCCGGATGGCGGGTCGTCATGTCTGCGAGATGGCGATTGAGAGGGGTGGGGAGGTAAAAAGGAGATGCCAGGGAGTAAATAATATCGTGGCAGTTCCGGGGCGGTGAAGTGCTTGGTGGTGCCTGGGTGCTCCGTGCGTCCAGCGAACCGAGGGAGCGTTCGAGGTTCCAGAGTTTCGAGGACTCGGGATGAGGTCAACGGCATTGGCCGGCGGGGCGGAGCTACAGACCACGTATACAACGACGGTGGCGCTACAATGGCGGCATGAAATCCCACAACCCGTCTCGGGATTCATTTCGTGCGTCCTCGCTGAGCGTGGGCTCCGAGCGATCTTCATGAGTGGGGACTCCTGAAACAGTACGATCCGCGGTTAGGAAGAATCCCTGCTGAGGAAGACATTCATTTCCATATGATACGCCAATAACCCGCCCAACCAACCGAATCCCCCCCAATTGAAGTCTATTCCAGACCCATAGTAGAAACAAAATGAATAGTAGACCGTCCGAATCAATCCAGGCTTCAAAATAAAGTATTGATAATTTCATAATAATGCACAATAGAGGTGTGTGGGTCCGTTACAGTGTCAGCTGAAAGCTCTCGGCATCCTCATCCTCCTCAAAGGTAGGCAGAGACTCCTCAAGTTCCCGGGATGCCGTAGCCTCATCGGGGATATCAAAACATCCGGCAGCTTTGCAGCGAGTCCACATATCCGATCCCAGGGGCGGCATGCCATACAGCTGCAGATAAGTTTCGGGAGACAACGCTGCCTGGGAGCTGGAGGCCTTCTGGGCAGATGCCTTGTTGCGTAGCGAAGACGAGACAGTGCGACCCTTAGAGTATCCTAGAGTCGTGTTGGAAGTCGCTGCCGCCGCCGTGGTGCGCATGGAGGAGGGATTGGTCGGTACCCGAGTCTTCTTCTTTGGCATCAGAGCAGATGCGGCAGACGCAGCAGATGCGACTCGAGACTTGGACACAGCAACACTTCGGGCCGGAACAGCACTAGCTTTCGGTGCGGCTAGAGCAGCGGCGGCCTCACGAGATCGAATAGTCGGAATCCTCGCAGCTCTGGTGGTGGTCGAAGGCCCTCGTAGGCGAGTAGCGAGTGAGTATTCCTTCATAGGCTGTGGGGCCTCATCCTCACTCGCGTCATTGAAACTGATATTATCCAGCTGCTTCATGATTGTCTCGTTGACCAGCTTGTCACACTGCGCTGAATCCTCCTGAAACTTGCGCTGCTTGTGGGTAAGGCCATCGCGGCCCACCTCCTGTCTTCCATAAACACTTTCCAAGCCCAGGGCCCGGTTCTTTGGTTGAAATTGCGGGAATGTTGTGTCGTATGTAATGTCATCGGGGAAATCTGGCAGGCCTATGAGACAGTCAGCGTCTGCCGCCCATCTAGATAAGCTATCTAGAGGCAAAGGAAGCCATACTTATAGCTTTCGGAGCCATGTATTCAATGTCCGGCACATCATCATGAACGGCTTCCGTGTACACCTTGGTTTGAGCCTGCTGGGATACTGGAGCAGCCTTCTTGATTTTTTGAGCGGTCGACATCCGCCGGTTTGTTTTCTCTGGTTTCAATGTTCCCCCGAACGGAGCTGGCGTCTGCAGGCCCTTAGCCTTCGCGTTCGTCGTCTTCATGCCTAGGGGAGCACGGTGCCTCGGTTCTACCAACTCAAGTCGTCAGTATCGTTCGTTTGAGCTCATCGCGTATTCTGTATTGGATGATTGAAGCTCTCGTACCCATCGGCGTAACGAACGCGTCCTTTCCGGGCTTTCCATTATCCTGACGATTTCCATTGCCCTTTCCTGTCCGTTTTCCAAATTGAAGAGGATTGTTCTCATCGTTGAGTGGCACTTTAAAGGGAGTTTTGCCGGGAGTCTTTGGGGGTAGTTTGTTGATACCCTGGTTCAAGGGCTTCCCAGCGGCGACGGTTTGATGAGTGTTCACCAGGTTTTCCTGGTCGCGGAGGGCCAGCATCGCGGCGGGCAAGGAAAATTATAGCGCATACACTGAGAATATGCCGTAGACAGAAAGACGGTGAACGAGAGAGGGTCTCGGGGTTTCGTCAGTCTCGTCGTGTACGAGCCGAACGAGTTCTAGAGTGGTGTCTGGCGGTTGCCCGTGGAGACCGGCGATCGGAGACATGTGATTGGGCGGTGGCCAGCGGCGGGGCCTTTTGTCTCTGTGTACGATACAGAGTACAGTGACCAGCACCCGATACACGGCAGGCACACAGTGCAGGTACCGGGTACTTTCGCCAATGCGGCTGGCACTGGCCAGAGCGGGTACCCAGTACACCCGATAGTCAGCAATTATTCTCCCCTTACCCAACACCACTCGCCCACTTCACGGCCTGAACACTCCCCTTCATCCGCTACTCTCCCATCGGCTCGCAGAGCGAAAGCCTATTGTTTCTTTTCACTGATACATATTCCTCTTCCCCTCTTTCTCTCAATTTTCTCAAAATGGACAAGATCAAGGAGGTGAGTTGTTTGGACCCCTGTTGACTTGGCGGGGTAGCTTGGACAAGCTGTGTCTTTCGTCCGCCCCTTGACCTGCATGTTCTCTCCATGCATCACGTTGTTCCATTCTTCGGTCGAGCCAGAATCATGCTAATCATTCGATCCCTAGCGCATGAACGCCCTCCGCGTGGAGGCCGACGAGGCTCACGACCAGGTTGAGGAGCTGAAGGCCAAGGTCAAGACTCTGGAGCAGGAGAACCTGTCCAAGGAGCAAGAGATCACATCCCTCAACCACCGCAATCAGCTGCTTGAGGAGGAGGTCGAAAAGGCCGAGACCTCTCTTAAGGAGGCCAAGGATGCCGCCAACCAGAGCGCCCAGCATGACACCCAGAACGAGGCCCTGCAGCGGCGGGTGCAGCTCCTTGAGGAGGAGGCCGAGGAGAACGACCGAACTCTGCGGGAGACAAACGAGAAGTACGATCCCATCCCCTTTATGTATCTTAAGAAACTCCAACTAACGTGTGTCATTGCTAGGCTCCGCCAAACCGACGTCAAGGCCGGACACTACGAGCGCAAGGTGCAGGCACTCGAGACGGAGCGCGACCAGTGGGAGTCCAAGTATGAAGAGATGGCCAAGAAGCACGCTGAGCTGCAGAAGGACCTCCACGAACTCGAGGTTTCCATCAGCAATGTTTAAACTGCGCAAGGTTGGGCGGGATCGCTCTGGGTATCGTGGATATCGTTGTAGGATGTTGGAAGACGTGGGGGTTGGATGCAGGCTACTTCTATTCCCAACTGTCTGCTTTTCATACTGTGACCAGCTGGGTTTCTTTTGCCCCTTTACCATGTTGTCGGGGACAGTGTCTCCATTAGCACTTATGTCATGTCTGTCGACTATGCAACCCTTCGCAAATTAATAGCCTTTGATTGTATGGCCATCACACCGCGAGGCATGAGTTTCTAGCCACTACAAGGCCGAGAAAAGAAATTTTTAGCGAGAAGGAACCCGCCTGTATTTGCAAGGTTTGGCACGTAAGGTATATGAAATATCTCTCGAACACAAGAATAACCAGCCCAGACGCCATTTTATCGATTACTTTTCCCGCCGTGCCTTGGCCTTCTTGGCCTTTGTCAAACGCTGCTTTGCGGCCGCAAGTTTGCGGTCTTGCTTGCTTTCGTATCGGAATTGCTTCTTTTTCTTCTTGGGCTTGTCTGTTGAGTATTTTCGCTTCTTGGTGGGCTTGGACTCTGGCTCAGTAGTCGAGTTGGCGGCGGAGTCATCCTTCTCATCCTCGTCCTGCGAGTCTTCACCCTGGATTGACTTGCGCAAACCTTCTCGAGAAGTATCCATTTCTTCCACTGTCACTGTGGTGTACTTGTCCTCGTCGATATATTCAGCCTCGTAATCTACCGCCGGCGGCTCTGGAATGCCTTCCCATTCATCGTTGTCGCTGTCATCCTCATCGGGATTTGAGTCACTGTTGTCACTGGCATCTTCTTCCTTGAGGAGCTTCAGTTGTCTTTGGTGCTCTTCCATCGCTTGTTTGAACTCCGCTGCCCGTTCTTCGCGCATCTAGAGTCGTCGAATTAGTCTATACGATGATGACAAACGAGAATATCATATCGAGGGAGCTGATGATATACCTTCTGGCGATCATGTCGCTTTTCCTCTTTGGCTCTTTTTTCAGCTGCCTCTTGGGCATGCTTAATACGTTGCAGCTTTCGCTTTCGGAATCCAGTGAGAAACTCATGGCGGGCGTCTGCATCAAAGCTGACCTCCTCAACTTTTGGCGCAACCTTGCGTCGTTTGGATAAAGGACCCATGAGGAGTGGATGAAGCAGTTCTAAGCGTAAATCAAATCAATAGCCTCGCGGCGCTTTGTCGCGGGAGTTGCGCTCTGGTGAAGTTGGGGAAAAAAAGTTGAATCTAAAGCTCCGGCACGGGTCCGGCCCGTCGACCGCCTCCGAGGCGGCCAAGTCGGACCTCCCGTTAGCAACATCATCCTCCACCCCAGCACATCCGCAGCCCAAATACAATGTATCTGAGCAGATTCGGGCTGCTCGCCCTTGGGGCAGCTGCTGTCGATGCATTTCGGGATACCTCTCCATTCTTTCTTGCTTCCACTTCTGAGTATGTCCGGGTGAACCCCTTTGAAGCTACGGCCAGCTAACCACTCCTGCTCCTAGGGTCCTAGTGAACTCCGCATATATCCAGTCCAGCGCTTCTCTGTTCGATCAGCTCTCCTCCTCCCTTAGCGCCTGTCCGTCTGAGTACTATGTCGTTGTCAACCAACCGGGTGTTCACAGCTCCGACTTCACGACGCGCAAGTCGGCACCCCGCCTCGGCGCGAAAATGCTAGGCAAGGACAAGTCTATCCGATCAAGGATGAGTGTCAATGAAGTGACCGGGCTTCTGGAAGCCAAGCAAATTATGAGTCTGTTGGAGACTAATTGCGGGGCTCAGACTACCGTTATCGACGGTTCTTGTGAGTTGCCATCGTGGCCCGTTGTGGATGTGGCAAGTACCAGCTTATGGGTGGATACTAACGATTGCAACCAAGCCGGGTCATACCCCTCCTATTTCGAGGCAGGCCCTCGCATTATCGACGTTGAGTTCCCCATGCTCTCGCTGGGCTCAGACCGCGCCAGTCAGCTTTCTGATAACGGTACGCAGCTATGCGATCATTGGACAGAGCTTGCCTAATATTCTTAGATGGCCTCATCGCCGATATCATCGACCGAATTCCTTCCTCCTCCAAATACACTCTCCTTTTTGTCACCTCGCCACGAGAGTTCCCGGAGACTGACTCCGTTGTTTTTGACTCCTCCGAGGACGCTTATCCCGAATCTGTCCGCATGGAGCTCAAACGCGACTACTCTTCTCATTCCTATTCTAGCTCATCTGATTCACCCGAGAAGAACAAGTCCTTGTTCGATGAGTACCAGTACTTCACTCCTGGTTCGTATGCTCCACGGGTTTCCTCGAACGTTCCTTTATACTAACCGCTTCACAGGCATCTTCATGGGCTTCATGGCTTCTTTCCTGTGTCTTGTGATTCTGTATATTGGTATTAGTGCTCTGAGCAGTCTTCAGGTTCCCTATGCTGCATTTGAGAAGGACACATCTGCTGCGATGCAGAAGAAGCAGCAGTAGCGGGGAACGTATCATTGACTGAGGGCGTTGAATACTAGACCCATGCCTTGCTCAATGCATGTTACAATTACTTTTGTTCATTATTTTCGGATTCAGGGGCACAATCTAGTTGTCTTTTTGTATGATATATCACACAGCCATTTCTGGTAGAATCCATCATGTGACAATGTCTCGGGCCTCAGGCTTCAGGCTCGTAATTTAGCGCTGTGACTTGGCGCTTTTTGGCTTCCTTCGGACTCTCGCTTACAAGAACCATTCTCTTTTCCCTCTTCCCCCCCTCCACAATCTCCTGGACAGTCATTGCCCCCTGTTGGGAGACAGTCATTCGTTTACCTGCAGCCGTCAAAGGGGTGCCCCTGAAACCCAAGCCTCAATCAGCACCTGAAAGTGCCGATCCCCCGGACTTGCTTAGGAACAGTGCTGGTCAGCCATCTAACTCCCTGAGGCGAGTGACGGTAGTTCTTAAGGGCACAGCCGTGGATTCCACTAGTCTTGGATTAGATTGACCTCAAACAATCCGCCGTCTTTGTGTGTACACCTTCACTCGACCCCTCGACTACCCCGGTTGACCCGCTGTGGAGAAGAACCCTGTTGATTTGGATTCGGCCACTTTCTGAGAATCGTGGGCACCATGCGGTTCCTACCAGGAAGGCATGGGAAAGCCCAGCCATCGTTCATGCTAATTCTGATCCTTTTGATCGCCATTGTTGCTCGGGTTTCTGCAGAACCAGCAGGCGATGCGACAACGACCGACGCTGCAGACGCCGCCCAGACCACCGACGATCCCTCCACCACTGATAATGCCGCTAGCGCAACCACGACCTCGTCCGAGTCCTCATCAAGCTCAACATCGGAATCCACATCTAGTTCATCTTCGACGTCCAGCACTTCTACCAGCATGGATTCCACGACGACTTCCTCGTCCTCGTCGTCCTCTTCCACGTCCTCCACGTCCTCCACGAGCGACAGTACCACCACAACCTCGTCTGTTTCCACAACAACGGCATCAACATCATCGTCCTCCACTTCCACGGCCGCCGCCATCGTGACTGTACCCCCCACCGCGAATGCGCCTTACATGCAAACGTCGAATACACCCGAAGGGACCGTCTTCATTGCTGTCGGCGCCATCCTGGGCTTCATCGGGCTCGCTGTTTTGGCCTGGCGCGGAATGGTCGCATGGTCAGTAAACCGCTCCGTGCGGCGCGCTGCCCTAGCATCCTCAGAATCAAAGCGACTCTTGCGCAACAGCCGGAAGAAGCGATCTACAGTCTATTCCGCCGCCCCCGCCGCCGACGTCTCGCTAGAAAAGCTTGGTGCGGCAACTCGGGCAAGCTACAAACCTTCTAAGCGAGTGCCCAGCTCGAACAGTGGGCTGTTCTTTTCGCCTACTGCTGGGGGTGCTGGATCGCACCACAGTCTTAATAACTCAACCGGGAATCGTGCCTCGACCTATCTCCCTCCTGGATACTACACTGCTGCGGGAACTTCTACGCCAAACAGAGAAGCCAGCGGTTCGCAGGCCAACATTTATTCCCCGACCGCCGGTCTCTCCTCCCCTCCAGGATACCCTCCCAGTTCGCCATCTGTTGCACCTACTAGTGGCTATCACGAGACTTCACATGCACGTCACTCCTACGTTGGTGCATCGACAAGCTCGTTGAACCTGAGCCAACCACCACAAGGTCGCGCCCCAAGCGCCTATCTTGAAGACCTGTTCGAAAGCCATACATCCCCTCGTCAATCCGACTCTGGACACCGACCTTACTCAGGTCGCTGATGGTCGAGAATCAAGATGTGCTTACGACGAGGATGAGCTGACGGAGTATTGTTTTTCAAGTAATGGATTTCCATCTGTGTCCAATTTTGTTCCCTTGAATCTTTTTTCTCTTGTTCTATATTCCCCCATATCTCTTCTATTTCTCTCTGCTTTCCGACGCTGGCGTTTTTCTTTTTTTCGGAGCCTCTGAACATTTATGTGCATTCGTGGACCGGACCTTGCTCTACGTTCCATTGTTGTGTTGTTATTGACCATCATCACATATCATCTTTGCGTGTTAAACATTGAGTTGCCGTTTAAACCCTGCATGGGAAGTTAATTTTCTGCATTACTGTATTCAATCTGTTACCAGTTGTCCAGTCAAAGTAGATAGTAGGAAGGCGCCTTTGAGAGCCATATCAGGATAACGTATCCCAATTTTCATCTCGTTCAACTCGTATCCGTAAAACTTTCCCCCATATCTGACGAGACTCAGAAGCGGCGGTCTCAGTAGGTCAATAATTTCAGCCAGACGTGCTCTGGTGCCAGACCCTTTGTTGAGAGGATAGCGGCCAAGAAACAAGTAGTCACCCTTATATATGTTCCATATCTATATATTTTATCAATACTCGAACTATAAGACATTTCTATGACCAAAGACAGAAGAAAAAGCAGACCTACGAGGACTCCAAGATTCCAGATACCAATCGGATAATTTCACTCTATAGCCAACCGTCAATACCTGCTTTCCAAGCAGGTTTTTTTTTTTTTTTTGGTTCGACTATCCCCCAGAGGGAGATTAGGTTGACCGAATACATGTTTCAGGGCTATGGAGATCTCCAATCGTGGTTCTTTGTCCTCAATTCTTCGGGACCGGTTTCAAAGAAAGAAACCTCGGCTCCTCTGCTATTTTGGACTTGACCATCAGACTCGAAGATCCAAAAGAGATGCCGGTGTCTTTTTTGAAAAGGAAAAGGAAAAGGAAAAGACCCAGCTCAAACAGACGTTGGAGTCTGGAAGTACACAAGACTTGCACTGGATCAGATAGCATAAACAAAGCAGGAACCTAACACAACCCCATTCAAGTCAAATCTTTTCTTTCAAAGTTAGCGAGTTCTATGATTTTTTACATGAGATAGTTTGTCTCTTTGAGCTCATCACAATGTTCATTGATTTCCAAAGAGATAATGGGACGAAAGCACTGGTAAAGGGTGGCCTAGATCGAGGAGTCTTGTTCTGCGTTTTTTAAAACAAACTGCCCACCCAACTTTGAGGATGTTCAAACTACCTAGTAGATTCCCACGAATTTTCGGTGTTCGCTATCTCTATGGGCCATGGCTTGCGTTGGTAAGAGGCCAGTACCGTCAGCCCTCTTCATGGGCGCTTCTGAATCATCGGAGGTAAGTGAACCCCCCAAACGAGCGGACATCCAGGACTACAATGCGAGGGTTTGTGAAGCAAACGCTCGGAAATTGGTCGAATCGAGAGCGAAGGTGAGAGAGTTGTCCATATTGCTAGGTAGATTATCACCACCTCCTGAAGAGTACCGAGCGGGTGCCATGAAGCCTCTCCCTAAATGGGACCACCTTACGAAGCTCGCCGATCTAAGAATCAAATTCACAGGGTTTCCGCTGTCCAAACTCCCACAACGGTGGCATCGATGCTTGAGTCAATTTCTTGGTCCTCGAGGAGGAGCAGAAAAGGTAACTCCAGACATTTTGATATTTCCTGGTCGTATTTCCTAACAGTAAGCCTATAGAAATTTGGTGGCCCGGTGACATCTGCTCACATCCGGTATGTTTGAGGAAAGACCCTCTTCGCTGAGTCTCGATTTTGGAATCATTGTTCTAACTAGCTCTTAGGTACCGTAAGAACAACCCCATTCATCAATCTCACCACAACCCTCGGGACAAAGAGTATGTAGTGACGGTGCGTATTAGGGTAAATGGAAAGCAGCGAACTTGCCATGTCTACCGCGACGGCACCGGGACGGCTCATAAATATGACAAGAAGCACTGAATTCTATGGCCTGAGTGGCTTGCCAATGGGGTTTAGATTTAGAAGCTTGTGCAGAACTTGGCATCGAAGTTCTGTTGGGCCATGCTGGGAGGACAAGGGACTGAGAGAAGATGAAACCGATTTTCTAAGTTTAGGGCAAGGGCTTGTTTCTGAAACGGGGGAGTTCGTCATGTGCTAGGGTATAATAGAGAAACTCGAAAAGATTAGATAAATTCTTTTCCTATCATGGAGAGGTTGGGTTGAGCTAACCAACAGGTGGAGTATCTATGCCTCGGTTTGCGCGCGGTTGTCGTTGTTTCACCCAGAATATCCCACGTATTGGCTTTTCTACTTTTTTTCCTATGTCATCATCGCTGGACTTTTTGGCCTATCCCGATATCTATTATTTGATTCTTAGAATAGACTGTCTTTCTAGTGAAATCATTCGTAGGCTTTTCAGATTTGAGGGTAGGTACTAGTTGATGTGCTAAGGTCGAGCCCCGGGCCGTTAACCGATCCCGGGCGACAACCTTGCACCACGCTATGCCGTGGATGGGGCCTAGATTCGGGATATATTCAGGTTCACAGTTATTGTATACTGTTGGGTAGCAACCTATCATCCTTGTAGGATTTCTGCTGAGTGCTTCTATTGTCCCTTCCCTAGCTTCGACCCAATGTCACCCGCTGGAGTGGGGAAGGGATGGATTCTAGCCTCGACAATCGTGTGGGGTTTCCCAAATGCAGGCCCCTGAGGGGGCCATCTAGCTTTCTTCATGTACTAACAGCGGCAAGACCAATCGTCGTTTTACCGCCTTGCTGGGGATTTGAATGGACTGACTTGCCGATATGTGGTTCTGTTATGAGTGGGGGAAGGGAAGCTGTTCGCAACCGTTGTCGTAGGCAGGACTCCAAGATGACGGGCAGATACCCCCTTAATATATGATAATAACCCCACCTTGATCTGTTGATCGGGTAGCCTGAATGTAGAAGCCAACGATGATCTCAGATTCAACCAACAGCTGCACGGCTGGTTTTCGGCCTCGCAGTTTGGGGTCGGAGAGCTTCTCGGTATCCCCCAGGACCCTGTCGCAGTACATCCACGAAATCTGCCAACACGTTCTCGCAATAGGCCCGGGAAGGAGGAAACAGGAAATAATTCAAGACAATCTAGCAATCGGCCTTTTTTTTCCAGGGTCCTGGAGGCGCTGTTGACGCCCACGGAGATCCCTATAGCAGCCGAGATATAACCTGTTGGTGACGGGATCCCGTTTAGCGCCGACGCGGCCCCGGCCTCGCTTTCTCCTACAAAAACGGGCGACATTTAACCAGAAATATTGAGATTGAAGAAATCTTTTTGTGTTCACCCTCGTAATCTTGTAGGATCGTTTAAAGGAGTCTTTTCTGCTCGGGTTCCCGCTATCCCAAGTTCACTCTCTTCGTTCCTCCCCCGGTTCCGGAGCCAACACTCTGTGCATTAGCCCGCCATTCAACCCAACATGGCACCAGAGGGGGACCCTACCGTGATTCTCAGATCTCGCTTTGCGGATCTGGGGTCCCAGGAGAAGGAGAGACAAAACCTGATTGACGTAAGTTTGAGTCATTGTGTCGAGAGAGAGAGAGAGAGCCAAGCAGCCCGATCGGGGAGTATACACAACTCCCCCAATCATCGATCTCGGAACTCCCTTTTCCCGCCTTACATACCGCGAGGGCTAACTGGAGCTGGATTGCAGGAGACCTTACGAGTGATGGAAAACCTCGAGACACATGTAAGGCAAATCGAGTTAGAACTGGACCATGAGCGAAGCTGGCGCCTGTCCTACCGTGACAACATGGATGATTTGGTTCGGCGGCGGGAGGACATCAAGACTCTGATAGTAAGGATATGCACTCAAAACAACGCCTTGGAACACAATAGAGCAAGGATCTGACCTTCGTTTCCTCGACTCCAGTCCAAGCATTCTTTTGTGGCCGTTTTAGTAGATGGAGATGGCGCCCTCTTCCTGGATGAGCTTCTCCAGAGGCCCAAGGAGGGTGCCAACGAGGCTGCCCGGCGGTTAGAACATGCCGTGAAAGAAGCCCTACGAGGCAGTCTCGATCTTGATCCCGATAATCTGACCATCGTCATCCGGATCTTTGCTAATATCAACAACCTCACCAAGACGATGCACCTCAAAAACATCATTTTATCTCACAGTGACATGTATATCTTTGCCGAAAACTTTACGACCAGCCGGGGCGAATTCGACTTCATTAATGTCGGGCCGGGGAAAGAGAATGCCGATTCTAAGATTAAGAGTGAGCTCTATACCTCATCCGTCCTTCTACTTAGCCCTGAGTTGCTCCTAACTTGTTTGTTCTCCCAGAAATGCTTCATCATTATTATAACAACTTCCAGTGCCGCAAGATCTTCTTCGTCGGCTGCCATGACCCTAGTTATCTGAATGAACTTCAGCAGTATAAAGGCGACAACACCGAGAGTCAAGAGCGTATTGTGCTTGTTGAGACAACTCCAGCACACCTTTCATTTCGGTCATTGCTGCCCTTCCAGATGATTCGATTTGATAATGTCTTTCGCCCTGATCCTCTCACCACCTCGCCCACCTCCTCCTCAATGGACGGATTTCTTGCAGCGCCCTTCAATACTCCCTTCAGCACGCCTTTCAGCACCCCGTTCAACATCCCCTTCGATCCCGCTCCCGGTCGTCCCTCTCCAAGGAACCTCTCTCCGCCAAGTATCATGTCCCGGACCGGCTCTCTGGACAGCCGGCCCAGAGCAAGCTCAATCGGCACGGATTTCGACGAAGACAGTGGCGTATCCCTAGGGTTCTCCCTCCCCTATCCCATTGTAGTCTCTCGCCCCGACTCGCCCAGCAAGATCACGACCTCAAATACCAAGAAGGAACCGCGCGTGATTGAATATAACAAAGATGGCCTGCGCATCGACCCGCCTAACAAGAAGCCTTCTGATCAAGCCACCTACGAGAGCTACCAGAAGAAACTGAAGAACCTCGTCGGGCACAAGGGCTTCTGCAACTGGAAGTACCTGCGCGGGTACTGCAAGCGTGGCATTCACTGTGTTATGGAGCATGACACACCGCTGAACGAGGGCGAGATCGTCGTGCAGCGCTACAAGGCACGCTTTGCCCAGTGCGATAATGGGCCCAGCTGCAGCGAGTTCGATTGCCTATTCAGCCACCACTGCCCGTATGAACCGTGTACGAATGTTGATTGCAAGTTTGCTCACCACCTGTCCGGACGTGATCGCCAGCCACAGTAAGTAGTAGCTACTCTTCTCCCTTCTCTTCCCCGGAGTGTACAGCTCCCGACACAAGAGGTTTTCCCGGACACTGAAACTAACTTAATTCCAGTGAACGATGGGTAGAAGGCGAAACTAAACCAATACTCCCGACCTTCCCACCACCACCACCATCATCATCCATGCCCCAAAATATACCGCAGGCGATGCCTCAGACGAACTCTCAAACTATGCCGCAGACAGCGCCCCAGAGCCTGTCACAGAGCATGCCGCAGAACATGCCACAAAGTATGCCACAGATTATGTCACAGAGTATGTCACGGAGCCTGTCACAGGGTATGCCTCAGACCATGCCTCAGACCATGCCTCAGACCATGCCTCAGACCATGCCTCAGACCATGCCTCAGAACATGCCACAGACTATGCCGCCGGCCGTGCCGTCTGTGCCCGCTATCCCAACCATCCTGAAGTAGGGAAAGGACTTAAGGTAGGTATAGCGAAATAATAATCGAAATATCTCTATTCCATGTTACAAGATTTTGGAGATTGAAGATTGAATTGAAACTTATATTTTTGACCCCAATGGAAAGCTTTCGATCCCCGAGTCCATATTTCTTACTCCCTTATATCCCCCCCCCCCCCCTTCTCCACCCCCAACCTTGGTCTGCTTTTCCAACAACCGCAGACTGGACTTTCTAATCCATCCGTTCCTTTTTATAACTATAATGACCCTCCCCCCCTACCACTAAACCAGGCACCATCAACTGTGGCCCACCCGCCTTCTTTCCTTTTTATATATATAGACAGCCCTTTTGTTCCCTCTCCATTTGTTTCTGATGGATTTGTTGACTTTTGGATTTCCGGATTATATGCTCAGATAATCTGGTACTTAATGAGGTTTCTTTTTAATAGAAACACGATCGAAATATGAACCTCCGAAAAGAAAAATACAGATTATTACAAATGCACGATTTCCTTTTCCTTTGAAACCAAAAGAAAGGTAGAACCACGTAAAAGACAAAAACAAGTCCCCATTAGCAAAGAACAATGGCTGTTCTGCGGATCAATATTGTACATGCCGGTTTTTGGAAAATAAAAAAACCTGCTCCGAGCAAAAGCGCTGAAGTCACACGAAAAGAGAAAGAGCAAAGGGAATAGTGAATATGTACACGAAGCTCAAGGGCAATGCATCAATGGTTGTGCCACAAAGTGACAAGACGACGCAGTAAGCCCCCAGCCATAAAGGAAGAGCAGGAGAGCCACGAGGGGCTTATGGAGAACCCATTCCCATGCCAAAAATCCAGTCCGTGGCATGGAAAGACCACAGGGCTTATCATCACCTCTGAGACCACTCAGGAGTCGGAAGAGATGAAAGTCCGGTGAAAGGGCATGTAGAGGCGGTATGAGAATCAACAAGAAAATGGGGGAGGGGGGCAGGCATAAACCAAAAGGCAGGCAGAGACACCCAAGTGGCGCGCATTCCTGACACCAAGTAAAACCAGAGATCCGGGGTCGCATATCTAAAACCGTTCTAAACAGTAGGGAATGGTATGACGTAGAAAATTCATCCAAAAAGACGGGGTAGAAGTAGGCAAATGTTCCTGAAGGGAGAATGTGGAGGGGAAGAGCGGGAAGGAAGGTTCAATGACCGATGATAATGAAGTTGTGTGTCATGCTCATTCCAGGAACTGCTGCTTAAACCAAAGGTAAAGGAACACGGGAAAATAAAAAAGTTGCCGTTTAGTCCGCGTCGAATTTATGGTTGTACTCGCCAAGCAGGACATCGTCTGGGCCAGGCCCGTGGGTGTTGCGGACTGTTTCACAAAGTACGGGTCAGTCAAATTCAACAGAGCGCAAATCGACGCTTGTCGGCCATTCTATATCAGGAAGGGGGAGGGGATAAATGCATAGAAAAGGTGAAACATACTCCACTCGGCCTCGACTCGGAAGAACACCCACATCCAGCGACGTGCCACTTCCAAGAACATGAGGACAAACAGGCCACTCTCGGTTTCGGAAAGCCATGCGAGACCCGGTAACACGCGCCACAGCCACGAGAATCGGAGGAGCAAGTCCGCCACGATGACGTAGTGATACAACCGAGGGGAAGAAAAGTAGCGGTGTCGTCGCAAGCCGTACGGGTGGCCTCTATCGAGACGCTCGGGGGAAAATAGCGTAAGATCCCAATCTTTCACGACATCCCACCAGAATGAGTAGCCCGAGTTAATGCATGAGAAGAGAAAGCTAAGTAAATTCGCGTCAGTCGAGAAGGAAACTAGTGAAGAGAAAGACTCGGAAAGTTTTTTATAAAAAAAAAAAGAAAAAAAAAGAAAAAACTCACAGGAGACGCGTGATGGTCACCTCCCCGATCCCGTGGAATTCCAACGGGCTGTAGTTGCGCAGCTTCGCGGCCAGATAGATGACCGGAAATGTGGTTGAATACTTTAGCGCGTTGGCCAAGTGTTGGTTGCCCTTATTAGGGTCTCGCCGTGAAACAGTCCGCCGAGCCCGCACATACTCGATCAAACACTGGCGAAGCCGAATCACACTGGGAACCGCCACGATGATCGGCACAATGAAGTCCTTGCCACATTGGCGATTTGGTTTGGAGGTCGCGGCCAGACCGTCGGTGAAGAACATGCAAAATGAGATGTACAAGTCGCCCAGGATACGAGCGTAACTGGTCAAAGCATCGGCCAACAGGATATCCCCGAACTTGCCATCTTGCGATTCTGCCAGCCCTCCGATGGCCACCCGTTTCAAGGTCAAGAGAAATCGAATTCGGCCGGCCCGGGAGATACGGTTGAAGGGCCAGATCAAGATGAGCAGGAGGATGATGAAGACTGATTGCGGGATGAAGTCGAGACGCTCCACCAATTCCGAATTGCGATGAGTCGCAATCCAAAACACGATCAGCCAGAGGGTGAGAGGGATGGTGAAGAAGGTGGCGAGACGATAGACGGCAGCATGATGCGATCGTTGGGCGGATGAGGAGCGAGACGGGTATCGAATGAGCGCAGGAACGTCCTATGGAAGCGGACAAAAGCTGGTCAGTTTCCTCCTTTGATGGGATTGGGATTTGCTCAGACAGGATCGGGAAAACATGATCGTAGCCGAGATTGAATCATATCCACCACTCACAATGTTGGCTTTGGCCAGGTAGTGAAGGTTGATCCCCCATCCCCAGAAACCTGAGTGACGATTTGAGATTAGCCACGAAGCGATCCAAATCGGACAAAGTCGACCTTACCTGCAACCAAGACGGCGGCTATACGGATAGGGAAAGGGAAAATCAGCCCAAAGCTGTCCAGTTGGGCATGTTGGTCTGGACCCATTATGCCATGGATCAAGGATCAGGGGAAGGGCGGAGAGGCGGAGGAGTCGTCGGCGGCGGAGTCTCGGGATATCGGGAAGGCGGAAGTAGGGGAGGAGGGGAGGGGCTGAGAGCGGTGGAGAGGACAAGGCTGAAGATATCAGGAACAGCGACCCCGTGGGGGAGGGGGAGGGAGCAAGAGGATGAGAAGAAACGAATGACTAGGGGTGAGTTTGGCGAGGTTGGAAGTTTTTCCCTGGCTGCTTTCAGAGAGGTTATTAAGCGTCCACGTCGGCGGAGAGGCCGGCGAGTGGGCGCGGTGGAGCCCAGGGGTCTTCAAGCCCTCCAGTGGTCTTCGAGGGCCTGGAACTCCACTGGGCTTCGCAGGCTATTACGCTGGACTAAGGGACCTACAGAGAGGGGCTCAGGAGAGATATAATTAGAGACTCCCATCATTGGGCCGCTCGATTATTGGTGGTGACGGAATAGTTCACTCAAGGGGCAACAGCACGCCGAAGATCCCACGATCGACACTCCCCAGGGACGCTTGTTCGCCAATGCATGGGGCCCGCGATTTGCTCTTAATGCTCCCGTTGATGCCCTCATCTCCATCCGGCCCTCTTGGTCGCTCGGCCGGATATCCACAATGGCATCATGGGTGACCCCGGCACCCACTCACTTACGCAGCGCCGCGCTCCAAATGTCGCCCATTGAAACGTCGGTGGATTCACCAGCCGCGACAGCCCGGATGGCTCTGTATCGGTAGAGAATCATATACATCAAGAGCAGCATAAACAGCAATTCCCAGACAGACAGTCATGTAGAATGCGACAATAGCAGACAGCAGGTGGAGCAAGACTCGTCGAACGCGGGTGTGATCGCCATGGACTCCGTCTTCAGTTCCTGTTCCTGTTTGAAACCGCGGAAATAGAGGGGCGATTACATAACAGGATTATCTAAGCCAATCACGTGAGAGCCACGCTCCCCAGTCCGGTAACGTGTCATGTGATTCCCTGAGAGCGTAGAGTCACATGACTCTAGCCGAGGCCCGTCCGGGGAAAGCCCGTCGCCGAGCTGGGGAAGCGGATGCCATCGACATCGTATTCTCGGGGCCGCGCGATCCACGGAACATGCCACCGTATCACCGATAGAGCGAGTTCCCTCTGTCTCCGCATCCTACATCGCATCCTATTCAGAACCCTCTCTCCCATTGCCCGCCTCCGGCTCTGCCTTTCCATTACCACAATGGCTGATGCCGACCCCCATCTGTCATTGTCCACCCCCGACGCCGCCCTCGGCTCCGCGGCCTCCCACTTCTACCCCTTCGCGACGTCGCCAGACATCATCCGCTCCCACGAGAAGGATGCATACCTCACCAGCGGGCTGGTGCAACAAGCCCAAACCATCATACGATCCCTCAAAGGCGCCCGTTTCGCACACACCCACTCCGACGCCATCAAACGCCTCACCGAACTGCTGTACTTCTCCCTGACCACCGCCATCGGCAACCGCACCCTCGGCGAGGAGTACTGCGACCTCGTCCAACTTGAAGACGATACCCTCCGCCTCCCCACCATCACCCGACGTGTCGGCTACATCCTCAGCAGCATCCTGGTCCCCTGGTCCCTTCACCGCATCCTGCCCGCCTTGCGCGCGCGGGTCCGCGCCAAACTCGAGCGCAGCATCGCCCGACAGCAAATCAAAGCTGCCCAGCAAGCCGGCCTCCGCCAGCTCTCACCTGCCAGCCCCGCCAAGTCACCCGCCCCGTCGTTCTTTACCAAATTGCGCCTCCAGCAGTACCTCCTCGAGCACCTGGACTCGATCACCTCAATCTCGCCGATCTACGCCCTCAGCATCGCGACTTTTTACTTCACTGGCTCGTACTATCACCTCTCCAAGCGAATCTGGCGCCTGCGCTATGTGTTCACGAAGAAGATCGAGGAAAGCGAGCAGCGCATCGGCTACGAAGTGCTCGGCGTGCTGATGGTGCTGCAGATCGCTGTGCAGGGCTTCCTGCACGTGCGGAAAATCGGCATCAGCATGAACGACGCCGATACGACGGCGGGGACAGATTCAGAGGCCCGCCCCGAGGGCGGAGCCCTGATCCCCTCGATCCAGCATCCGGCGGCGGTGCCGCTGCTGCCGTCGTCCACGGCGCGGTATGACCTAGAGGAAGATCCGGCGGCGGTGGCGTGGATCCCCGAAGGCCAGCAGCGGAAGTGTACGCTGTGCTTGGAGGCCTTCAAAGATCCGAGCGTGACGACGTGCGGGCATGTGTTTTGCTGGGTGTGTGTGAGGGACTGGGTCCGGGAGAAGCCGGAGTGTCCATTGTGTCGACAGGAGGTTTTGTTATCGAAAGTACTTCCTTTGCGAGGGTAGGCTGGATATAATCTCCTTCTTTTTCCCTCCGTTTTCTTCTTTCTTGCTGAGAGAACACCCATGTGGGCTAGTCGCGATCTGTTCAAATGAGATGAGACAGTGCTGGCTCGATGTATTAAACTACTGGATGTGGATACCTATATATACCCCTCTTTATTTTCTTTTGAGAAAGGACTTTTTGGACTTGTGTGATACACAAAACAGCACTTGATCATCATACGTACGATTAATTTCATGATATGTACCTGTAGATACCGAACTAGAAAAGACAGTTGATGCTCCACACCACGGGAAGAGACTGAAAACCAAACCATGAATATCTGGCAGATGAGGTTGACGCCGCATAATTCCTCAAAACCATGATGCAAAGCAGCAATGAGAACAAATATGACACCCAAATATGACACTATGCCTGAACAGATGCGTTTTCTATTCGATTGTAAGGCTATGCAGAAAAAAAATGGAGGGAGAAAAGAAGGGGAAAGGGGGAATAGGAGCGTGGCTTGGTCAAGATTGAGAGGCAATCTCGTCCTCTACCGGGTCCGGGGTAGCAGGTCCCTTGTCCTCTGGAATCGGCGTCTTTCCACCGGGACAAATAATCGGGAGATTAAGCTCCGCATGTGCAGGGCGGGGCGGCATGGGGTCCATAGCCTGCCGTTTCTGTTCCATAATGTTGAAGAGACAGAGGCCAGCGTAAGGGTCGGTAGCAGCATCTATTGTAAGCGGATTCCATAATTAGCGTACGATCAAATTATTATCACCAGAAGCCGCGCATGTACTTACACTGCACTTGGCGGTAATTTAGCGCACGGGTCCAATCGCTGCATCTCACATCCTCGCTCTTCTCCAGCGGCAAGCCAAAGTGCTCTTCAATCTGTTCACTGAGGTTGACGGGCCTTTTATTGACAAGTTTAGGCTCTGTCTGACCGTATTTCACCAACTTATATAGATGACTCAACTCGAAGATGGAGCATGCCTCGATACCAAGGTACTTACGCAGACGCGTGCAATCGGCTTTGATCGAAACACCGACTTTTGTGATGTCAGGAGATTCGAGGAGACGCCTGAGAGACGGAGCAACGAAATCCTGCGCCGTGCGCGCTGGCTTGAAAAGGGCGATTTGAAAAAGCGCAATGCGCTCTTCGTTCGCGATCTGGATCAGCGAGAGGTTGTTCTGGATACTGTCTGTGGAAAGGGCTTGCGCCTTCCACTCCATATCGAAGCCAATGACCTTGCTGTGGAGGAACTTCTGCACAACTGCTTCGGTACTTTCCAGGGTCCGGCAGTAATGGACAATGAGTTTCTGGCCATCCGGTGCGCGCTGGGTGCTATGGCTCCAGAACAGCGGGGCTATCACTTCCTCAGAAAGAGATCTAACCTCTAGGTACGAGGCATCTTCTGAAGAAATTGAACGTTTTTCTTGCTTTTCTACCGCGAGAGGAGCGATGAATTCAGTAGAAGGTTCCGCAGGTGTATGATCGTTTCCCTGCAACTCATCACCAGAGACTTTCACTTGGGTGCTGTATGCCCTTCCGCCCGGCTTTGTAGAAGGATTCGGGGAGTTGGCAGCCATTTTGGGTTTCCACAAAGTGCGCAAAATTTCCTTTTGCTCCATCTTCACGTAGGAAGATGTACTACTCCCTTGGCTTGACCGACTGGACATTGTTTGCCGAGGACTTTTCTCATCGAGTCGTTTAGAGGACTTCACAGCATGTGCGGTACTCCGTTTGTGAGATTTTGTCTTCACCTCGTGGGGGCCCGATGCTGATTCTGCGGATTCCTTGGCCGACTGAGAGACCTCCTTAGAGGGCACCACAACTTTTCCAGTTGTGGAAGTTGTAGAACTTCGTTTCACGGTACGGGGCTTCTCTGTGCGACTTATACCCTTGTTCTTGCCCGTATTGTTGCGACGAGAAGAACTGGGGAGCTCGGTCAGTTTTGCCTTTTGTTGTAAAGATTCCGTAGAGCCCAAGTCCAGAACTCGAGACGATCCAAGTCTTTCATTGTAGAATCGTTTTGTCAGAGAGATGTAGGTCTCCTTCCCGTCAGGTTGCATCAACAGGCTCCACACTTTAGCCTGTGTTCCAGCGCGGTTAGCGGATGTACATATTTTGAGAGCCCAATCTCTGAAGCGCTTTGGATCGGAGCTCAATGGCCGAGGAACGCGATAGAGCTCTTTTGCTAGGCTGTCATTCAGTATGCCAAGCCGATGCTGTTTTTCTTGGACATCAAGCTTCACCCAATTAATATAGCGATAGCTACTCAGCTCTGACCGGAACTCTTTGTACATGGCTGTATATCTGTCCGAGAAATGTGCCAGTTTTTCTGATATGTTTTTTAATGTATCGGGATCAACATTCTGCCACATAGGGCCAGCGTGCCCTTTCAGCGTCAAAAGCAGGACCCAGACATCTCTCCGCATTTCGTTTACGTGAAATGCCTGTAACGTGAAGGGTGCCATGACATCCAGTTGGCGCCAGTCCCGGTGGAGGGTAGGTGACCAAGGCGGTGTCGGCCCTTTCCAAGTCTCGAAATATGTCTGACGAAGGCGACGATACATCGCCGAGAGTTGGCGGTTTCTTAATGTTGCCAGCGCAAGCCGTTTCTCCGGAGACATGATAGCCCATATGTAGGATGCAGGAGAGGAAAATGCTGATGAAGGATGGCTTATGCCAGAAAAGATCCCGTCGTTCCAGCCTTTGTCTACCGCAGATAATGGATTCTCGGCATTTTTGCGTAAACGCCACTCGTAGCGATACTGATGTGCAGCGCTGTTGAATTCAATTTCAAAATTTCTGGTATGTTCAAAGAATCTGGTAAAGTAGTCATCACCAGCTGTATCCAACATGATGAGGCCTTGACACAGAAATCTGATATTCCGCATACCCTCTGCTACCGCATTAAATTTCATCTGCAATCTGTCATATTGTCGCAACATGATTTCACCAGGGCGCAAAAGGCCATCGATCCTAGCTCTTGCAGTTCGTCGAGGCTTCAGGTATTCATGCTCCAAAAGAGCAGCCAGGGCCAACGTGGAGCGCTGCGAGGAAACCAGTGCCATCTCACAAAACTCGGAGCGCAGAGTCCAAATAGCTCGGGTAGCCTTTGAAACCTGGTCATGCCATTTAGGTATGCATCCAAAGACAATATTGCAATATTCGTGTTCCAGAAGTCGGCATTGTTTGTCACTAAGCTGAAATACTTCTTCCTCCAGGTCCGCCACAATTGCCGAGACTAACCCATCATACTCTGCTCGGAATTCTCGAGTCCTTTTCACACAGCGGTAAATTTTATTCTCCAGATGCGCAAATTTCAAATCAACGTATTCCTTTCGCAGTTGATTGGCGACTGATAATATCTTGGCCTTTCTGTCGATTTCACGTAATTTCTTGGGATCCAGAGGCTTGGGAATTGGCTGCTGGTCTAACTTCTCCTGTCGAGCTCGGATCAAGTCACTCATACTTTGAGAACGATTGGCGTGGATGGCATTTTGCCCTCTCGATCCTCGTTGGATATGCCGTCGCGCCAGGCATGCTTTACCATCCTCTTCTTCTTCTTCCTCAAGTATGATTCGCGCATAACTTGTGCTCGAGAATGGTCTGTATTGCCAGGAATTCCGTAATCGGTGATGCTCGCTCTCGAGATATCGACTTCGAAGGGTCCTCGACTGGGGCATGCCCCCAGGTATTGCGGGGTTGGTATAGCCACTAGAGCTCTTAGTAAATGGGCATTGACACCGCTGGAGAAAAATGGCTTTGACAATGCCGTACCCTGAAAGCCTTCTGATCTCATCTTTGACCCTGCGACCCATGGCAAAGCGACCACTGGCCGCTGGCACCAAGCTCTGGGGCCTCAGGCCAGCTGGAATTCTCCCCCGCGTGGGCATAATGTGTACTGAACATAGTGTACCAACCGTGCGACGGCCAAAGATGGTCGCTGAAGTACACCGTTCGGTGGCAATTAATCACGTTGCTCTGACCAGCAGACCAGAATGTTGCAAAGACACAGCTTGCGGTGAATGCGGAGGCCCGTTGGCGAGCTCATCCAACACCGCCCTCTCTGGGGAGGATACCGCGCTAGTCCATATCGGGACTAGCATTCGGCCCGGAGAAAACCAGGTTCCTGAAGACCAGCGATCCTAGCTCTGTTCTCTATATCTCGCCCTGCTCGCTCTGTATCCCATTTCTGGCGCCAAAGCTGCTGCTGTAGAGTTCGATCCAACTGTGCAGATTCGTGGCATACCGATCATTATGGCCTCCCAGCTTCTCCCTCTCGGTGCGTCTGCAAATATTGCATCGGCCGTGCAACCCCCGCTGACCCCTCGATAGAGCTTATCGACAAGTGTGTCGGCTCCCGAATCTGGGTCATCATGAAGGGCGACAAGGGTAAGTGTTTTTCTCTGCCTATGCAAGCTAGTAAGTGGGTGCTGATGTGATTGAAGAGTTCTCTGGAACTCTCCTCGGATTTGATGACTACGTCAGTGAGTATCCCCCGAGTATCCCGTCGAGTCCATTGATCGAAAGCCTCCACATGTTACAATTTGCTAACTGCCCGCTCAAGACATGGTCCTGGAAGATGTGACTGAATTGTGAGTTCTTCTACCGGATTCTAGATATTCGGATCCCAGATTCTTGGCTCTGTGCGGCCGTGTCCCCGCCAATTTGATATCGCCGGCCATCCAGGATTCTTCTGGCTAATTCAATTCTAGCGACTACTCCGGTGCCCAGATTAAGCTCCCCAAGCTCCTTCTGAACGGCAATAACATTTGCATGGTACGTCTTGTCGATCACTTCCAGTGCGAGCCCTTTTGGCTAACTATTTTATTTTGTCCAGTTAATCCCTGGCGGAGAGGGACCTGGAGGCAGCGCATAAGCCTTGCCATGCGCAATTTGAGCGTGATGAAAAAAAAAATATAAAAAAAACGTTTCTTGTGTGTTAATGATACCGGATGTTATGACATGACAAAAAAATATTTACCAATAGAATGAATCACCCCCGTTCCATCTTCGGGGTCTATTTTATCATCGCCCCGTCCAAAGATATATATCCGTTTTACCACGATACTTCACCAGTAGATGACCGTCCCAGCCCAATTCTTTCTATCTCTTGCCCACGCTACAGTCCAATTCTCTCGCCAACTATTCTCAGGAGACCATGCCTCTGTCCTGTTCCTTCACGGTAGCATCACCCTTTAGACTTCTAGCCTCGATCTCAGCCTCAGAAGGAACCTTGAAATCACGCTCCTAACGACGCGCATGGCACTAGCATTCTCCAAAATTCTAATCCAACGCCACTACCCCAACGCCAGATCACCCCCTCGAGAAAGCTAACAGAACAAACTTCCCGCCTTCCCCCGGATATCATCGGCCTCGAGTCACCTCCCAAGCGCAGTCTACAGCCGGGTATTTCGCGCGGGAGTCGGCTGTTCCAAGTTCATCGGCGAATCAGGATGAGCGACCATGTCACCACGAACCTTCTTTTATTCCCCAGGGGACACCCGGTCGACTCGATAGACTACGAGGAACTAGGAAGCGGATGTTTGGGGGTGGTGGCAGGGGGCCAAGAGCGTCGTCTACGGGGGTGCTCATCCTGATTTGCGGGGGAGACCCTGGTCCCTACGTGGCCTGGCCTGACCGGGTTTAGTTCTTTTGCTAGAGGTTGTCGCTTGGAAGGAGCAAGGCTGATCTGCGTGAACTTGTTGAAAAATTACTATCCCCTGGTCCCTGGTGCAAATGGGGGTATCGGGTTTCCTGAATCGAGATCTAATCGCGAGAAAGAAACGGCGTATATCCCCACAACCGACAGCCATCATGAACAAGAGAGAGAAATGACATCAATGACATGCTGTTCAGTCCGAGATCAGTGCTTGTACCACGTAGGACCAAGTGTAGATATATTTGTACCCGCAGTTACCGGTCCACCATAATAGCGATATCTAGCAAACCTTACTCTAGAGGCAAGAGGTTGCTTGATATTGGGCCTTATTCCCTTCAACCAGGCTCAGCGTCCAGCTATGTCCAATTCGACCACAGGCGCGAGATCGCGATGTTAGCTGACATCTCATGTAAGAAAAAAAAAATACAGTCCTCCCATGGTCATTTTTTTTCTCGGGCTGGGACAACTAACTCGCCGGCGTCAGTAAGCCAGTAACGGATGGCGGCCATGCCACGGTTCGGGGCGCACGACCGGGGTGTGAGTAACTCGCCGTCAACGGGCCCGAGGGTCGAGAGTGGGAGTTATGACAGCGCCAGAAACTAGTCCATGATCCGGGCAGAGGGAAAAGGGGGGTGGGGAGATGATGAGGTTGGACGAGTTTGGTGCCCCAAACTGGCGAAGTGGAAACTGTTACATAACAAGTTTGCGTTCCCCCGCATTTTGGACGGAGAAACTAAGGTATCCCGACGGGATGGTGGGTTCAACTCTAAAGTGACCAAGGTGATCTGACAAGAGGACTGAGCCCGCTGCGAATGTGGCGGAGCATGATGAGACGATATTGTGAAAGAGGAAATGGGGTTGGGGCTAGTGGGCGTTAGGGCAGGCCATCACGGTCGGCTTGGTTCGCCCGCGATGGAAGTGGCAATAGTTGCCAGGATTGACTACGGGATTGACTGTGCGGTGTGTCCATAGGTCTAACAAGGTCAGATGATCCGAGCTGTCCCTCAAACTTCTTCGGAATTCATCTTTTCACGAGCTCTTTGCCAACGAAGTCGGAACTTTTGTATCTCAACTCTGGGCCTAGCGCCAAGCTTCATGGTCGGAGATGACAAAGCTGAGAAAGATGAAGAAGGCGTCGACGAACTTCGAGCCCCCTGGTCAGCCGGGGCGCCCCTTGAAAATGGTCTTGGTTAGCCTCGGGTCTCAAAGCAAGTGCCAACCCCTCGATGCTACCGTGGCTCCCTGGAGAAAGGCCACAGCCATTCACAGCGGGCCCTGAACGCCATCAGCAGCAGACCGCGGCCCAAAGCTGAAAGTCGAGTACCAGGCTGTGAATTCAAGTCCTCATGTGCTCTCTTTGCATTTGGGGGCCTATTTACTTTGCGCGTTCTTGAGCAATTAATGTTGTCCGTTTCCGAGGCAGAGACATATTTCCCATCTTGAGGGGCCTTGGCCGGTTTATTCGGGGATCGGAAATTTTCTGGATTCGATGCGCTTCCAATGCATGATATTCCCGAAGGATCGGGGATTGGAGCGGTTGACAGCGTCCAATCCTGCAGGGCGCAATGAGGACTATCATCAGTTTAGTCATGTAGGCCGGAGGGCTCGTTGAATCTGGTGCATTCTTTTACTTCTTGTGAATTGAGAAGGGTTGGAAGGTCGTACGATCGACTAGGATACTTTGGATCTCAAATCCCTTTGCCACGCCAGGCGCCCATCATGCTGGCCCAAACACGAGAAGGACCAATCCAAAGTCGACGGGAGCTTGGCGGGCCCCCCTGGTAGCATCGCTTCATTCGCGAATCCAAGAGATGGCGCCGAGAAACAAAAGTCGATCGACCCATGCACGCAAGGTCGATGTCGAAGAGAAAAAGAAAAAGAAAAAGAAGGCTACAGGAAATACGAGCTAGCTGCATGTCTGAGCCAAGATCCCTGTCGACTTTGGCTTAACCGCGCTTTTCCACAGCACGCCTTCCAGCGCCGCGTGATGCACTCGGATTTCGCCGCGTGGGAACCAGTGAGCGCGCCAGTGATTTAGCACCGGTTCTCCCGTGCTTCCATGCAGGTGGCAGACCGCCACGAGCCAGCCCGAACGCGCCCACGGCCTCCGAACGGTGGAAGCGCAGAGTTTCAAGGTGCCATGTGTGTAGTGCTGTGCCTCAAGTCCGGGAAACTACAGTATCCGATTTTCCGTCCGACATGACCCATCACAATGGTTGGGGGAGCGAGGTGATGGCGAACCCGAGACCAGGCCGGGCAACGCCTCTGTCTCCGATCCCTATCTCGGGACCTCGTTCCTCAGCCAGAAGGGGTAGGTAGTGCTCGTCGTCTTCCAGCCTCAGTGGGTCCAGTGCCCCGGTTTTTTCTCTTCCTCTCTTGCTTTCTCATCTGAAGCCCAATCCATGGAATGGCGAATAGGATGCCTGGACTGCTAATTGCTCACATACCCGGGGTCGAGGGGGGAAAGGGAGCATCGCGCCATGTGAAGAACGGACCCCGTCGGGAAGCCTTCCCATAGGTAAGAGCAGGGGCAAAGAGGCGGCCGGGCGACTGAACTGGGTGAGCCATCCCGCTTCCCCCTCAAGCCACGCATACCCTTGTTTCGCGCCCGGATCGCTTAAGGGTCCTGCAAGTATCACATTGATCTGTGATGAGTATTTGAAGACTTTCCCCTGCGCTCTTTAGACCTCTGGATCGTAGACCCTGAACTGCGTCTTTTTTCGGCCCCTCGAGGGTTTCTTGTCATGCCGAGAGTCTGGTCGGAGCTGATTGGACGCGGGTTATCTGAGAAATGCGGAGAGCCCGAGTCCGTCTCGACCAGGTGGAGCCCGAATCCTGGCCCGGTCAAAGTCGTGACCCAGAAGCTTGGCTCTCGTGGGTTTCCCGTTCTGGGCCAAGAACGGCCCGCGGGCCTGCGTAAGCGACCGGAGGGGGGGGGGGTTTGAGTAAGGAGGGAGACGAATGGCGAGGCGATGATTCAAGAAAGAGAGGGAAGTCAAGTCCGCACCTGCCAGGACTGGGAGGCAAGGGTTTGGTTGTTCTGACAGACGGTGATGCTGCTGTCCGAAATGAAACACTCCACGAGGCCCTTATCCCCCTTATCTGCCGCATGGCCTCGATTATCGCGATAACCTAGTCTTGCAAGGACCCACCATGCGAACAATCACTAATAGTTATTACGAGGGGAATAAGATATGATATGAACGAAGAGTGATTACGATGATCTGTTGCATCTCCGAGACGGGCCCACACGAGAGAGAGAGAGACTAAGCCACGGACAATGGCAGGCATACTCGATATACTATGCAAATTAGGATTACTACGTATGACAAAGTATAGAACGTAATAGATTGATAATAGAGGAAGGTATGGGTACTAATGATCACACGGATCCTGGGATACGAATTGCACCAAATTCACCGAATTGGCGTGCTCCTAAGTCAGCGCCAGACCTGCTCGCAGTCTATAACCCATCTCATGAAGTGTCCCCTATTCACATCAATTGAACTCTACGGGAATGGCGTCGGGGGGCAATAGGTGGTGCCAAGGGTCGAGAACGGAGCAGGGGAACTAAATGAGCACCTCAAGCGACAAGAGAACTTAGTTCGCCCTCTGACGGGGGAGCATTTGACCATTTGACCCAGGGCCCCAAACCCCAAGTGGTCTAAGCGCAGGCTGCACAGGCCGGATCGGTGGCTCGACTGGTGCTGCACGCTCCGTCATTGGCGCAATGCAAAAGGATGGACCGGGCTGTTGCTGGATCGGAGACCAGAATACCTCCCGACTCCTCACCACAATAATCAAAGAATAATGGGAATAACCAGAATAATCAAAATAAATCGAGCAAATTATTAAATCCAACAAATCCTCCATTGGTAGTCCCCACCCCCAAAACGGTGCCCCAACTCACAGCTCGAGTCCCGCGAGTCCATATTTAAACAATCTGCGCCCCCCCCCGGTTTCTCCTGCGCCTGAGCTCCTCTGGCCTCGGTCATTTCCCTTCCCTGTTTCGCCTCTTCTCCCTCCAACTTTTCAAAGATCCTCTCTGCTCTCCTCAAGGGCGACTGAACCTAGGGTCTCTAGGATCTCTTCCTACCCTTTTTACCCTCCCCCCTCCCTCCCTCCCTCTTCACCTCCTCACGTTCCCACACCTCTCATCTCCGACAGTTCAAATCAAAACAGACGCAACTATGGACGAGAAAAAGAATGGGGCTGAGCCGAAAACGGTGCAGGCCACTGGCGAGCAGCTACCTGCCTATGGCGATTCCGAGCCGACTCGGCCAGGTCTCGGCCAACGGTTCTTGGATAGCTTCAAACGGGACCCGAATGCGCATGTGACTGGCAGCCGTAGTGCGGGTGCCGATGGCTCGGGTTTCGATATCGAGTCGGCGGCCCATAACACCGCCCATTCGCCCTTGCAGCGCCGTTTGAAGAGTCGTCACTTGCAGATGATCGCCATCGGCGGTTCCATTGGTATGTCTCTCGTATACCTCGTCCACTTTTACCCCCCTCCTCTCTCTACTCCCCAACAGCATGTGGAGAGAGATCCACAACCCTAAACCTCCCACTACATTGAGCTCGCCTTCTGACACATTGGGTCTTATACAGGCACGGGTTTGTTTGTGGGTTCCGGATCGGTCCTGGCGACTGGTGGCCCGGCGTCGGTGCTGATTGCCTACATTCTCATCGGCGTTATGTTGTACTGCACTGTGCATGCGCTGGGTGAAATGGCCGTGCTATTCCCGGTTGCTGGTTCTTTCTCGCACTACTCGACTCGGTTCGTCGACCCCGCTTGGGGCTTTGCCATGGGCTGGAACTATGCGCTGCAGTGGCTCGTTGTTTTACCATTAGAAATCGTCGCCGCGTCCATCACGATCGATTACTGGAGTCCAGGTGTCTCAAACGCAGCCTGGGTCGCTATTTTCTGGGCCCTGATCGTCTCCATCAACATGTTCGGTGTGCGCGGATATGGTGAAGCCGAATTCGTCTTCTCGACCATCAAGGTTGTTGCCGTCATTGGATTTATGTAAGTTGTCGCACCCACGATATTTCTTCCTCCGGCATTGAGCCGATACAGCTGGACCATGTCTCCATGCTCTCTCTCCCTTTCCCGCGAATATCTCAACTGACTCCTCGGTATAGCATCCTCGGTATCGTTCTGAATTGCGGTGGGGGTCCCGAGGGAGGTTATATTGGCGGTCGCTACTGGAACAACCCGGGTGCTTTCCACAATGGCTTCAAGGGTCTCTGCAGCGTGTTCGTCAATGCCGCTTTTGCCTTTTCTGGTACTGAGCTCGTTGGGTTGGCTGCCGCCGAAACGGCCAACCCTCGCAAGTCACTCCCGACTGCCATCAAGCAGGTCTTCTGGCGTATCGCCCTCTTCTACGTCGTCTCCCTCACTTTGGTTGGCCTCTTGGTTCCCTACACGGACGAACGACTCATCTCCGGTTCATCCTCGGCGGATGCCAAGGCCTCACCGTTCGTCATTGCTATTGAGAATGCGGGTATCAATGGTCTTCCCTCAGTTATGAACGTTGTGATCATGGTTGCTGTGCTGTCCGTTGGTAACTCGTCTGTCTACGGTTCCTCTCGTACCCTGGCCGCGCTCGCTGAGCAAGGCCAGGCCCCTAAGTTCTTGGCCTACATCGATCGCAAAGGTCGTCCCCTCTGGTCCATTTGTGTTGCATCTGCCCTCGGTCTCCTCTGCTTCTTAGCTGCCTCAGATAAGCAGACCACTGCCTTCAACTGGATGATGGCCATCTCCGGTCTGTCGTCCATCTTCACCTGGGGATCAATTTGCCTGGCTCACATCCGTTTCCGCCACGCCTGGAAGGTCCAGGGCCACACCCTGGATGAGCTGGCTTTCCAATCCCAGCCTGGTGTCATTGGCTCTTGGATTGGTTTCATTTTCAACTGCTTGGTGCTCATTGCCCAGTTCTGGGTCGGCTTCGCGCCCGTTGGCTACGCCGATAAGACTACCTCCGAGTTGGTGTACGCCTTTTTCCAGTCCTACCTGGCTGCCCCAGTCGTGATTGCATTCTGGATTCCCTACAAGATCTGGTACCGCACCAAGATTGTGAAACCCCATGAGGTGGACTTGGTCACTGGTCGCCGCGACCTGGATATCCAACATCTGATCGACCAAGAGAAGGCAGAGCAAGCCGAGTGGCCGAGGTGGAAGAAAATTTACAAGATCTTTTGCTAGAACAAACACAGTGTCTTGGATCTCACGAGTAGAGACTTCTGTGAAGCCTTCTCGTAATATCTTCATACCCCCGTTGTGTATCTTTAGTTATGCCTCGTCTTTTCCCTCTCTCACATGTCTTTGATGAATCCTCTCACCTTTTTTTTTGAGCTGATGATAATGGATACCATAATTGAAAAAGACTATTTATCATAATTTCTTCCTGGTCATGTTATATAATCCCCCGAGAATGTGATATTACGTAGCCTGACATACTGACGTAGCCCGAGTCTCGCAGATCTTCCTGTCGAGCCTCATGTTTCCACCTGGGGTTGGTAATGAAATTACCACCCGATTCTCCCCTGGCACGGTGCTAGACATTACCCCGTGTCGTACTACAGAAGGGCTTGCAGAGGTCACGATACTCATGCAAAAGCCACATCTTGGTCCATTGGATCACATGTATGATTCGAGTCTCAGAGGAGTGGCTGTGCAGCGTAACTCCTCGTACATTGTATAATAGTCTCCCGGGATTTGTCCACCTCGGGTTGTAGATCTCAGTGTACAAGTAAGCACCCTAATCCTCTCCGATCGTCCTCTCCAATTCTAGGGAATTTCGACTACTCACATTATGTCTCTGTTGCAATTGACTGCTCTGTCGGTTCATTTCCGACGGCTCAACGGTTTCCTCGAGATTTTCCTCGGATCCAAAAATAGTACCAGATAGTGCAGTGGAGCACCAGGGCAAGGCTGGACTGGGTGTACGCCATGGTACCTCCCGGTAATATTACAAGCCACCTGACGAACGCTGCGATCGAAATTCAACATCATTAGGCATCCCAATCCCCAGTTGCTTCCTCCGCATCTCCCCCTTTTCAACTCCCGTTTCACTCTCCTTATTCAGCACTGCGTGGGTTTCCATCGGCCTCTGTGTGAACCAATCGCCGTCCGCCCGGCTTGCTTCCGCTCTTTTTTCTCCTTCCACGTCTTGTTCGCAGCCGCAGCTTGGCGCTTACCTGCCGCGCACTTCTTGCATTCCCGGGGAAGAGCCCTTTGCACGTCCGTTCTCCCTCTCCGCCGACTCGGTTCCTCGCTTGATGCGCAAGGCCCCGTCTGTGCCGAACTTGAGTCCGAGACCGAATTGATTACCCACGACAATAGCCGGTCTTCTTTGTTCGGTGTTGGTTTTTTTACGTTCGGGACGGAGTTTAGGTCTGGACTTGAGACAGACTCACCTCGGTTTTCGCCAAGCCGCTCAACGCCATTATCACCCTTCTTTCAATCCCCTCTGCTTTTTCCATCTAGCGTCTGCGACTGTCTACGTTTTTCGTTCTGCATACTTCCGGTTCGCTTTTGCCTTAGTCTCTGACCGACACCCGTGTACTTGTTTGCCTGCCGGTCGCCTTCACAATGCCTGGGTTCTCGGACTCCTTCTGGACCCCCGACTATGCCGCGGGCCTCGGGGTGCTATACGGCAAGTTGCAGCAGGGTGTGGTGGAGAATAGGCAGATCTTGACCATTGCATCCATGCGGGCTGATGCGGAGGAGCAGTATGGCTTCCGCATGGGCGAAATCGCACCGAGTGTGGATCGAATGTCCGCCGCAGGCTTCGGCAAGGACGACGGTGCCAGCGTTCGCAAGGTGAGCTGAGGTCAAAATTTCCTCAAACATTCTACAGCCAATAATTGACGTCACTATTTAACTCCAGGCATATGAAGGTGTCCGCACTGAGATGATCGAGGCGTCCCGAAATCACCAGAAGATCGCGAGCAATATCCGAGAGTTGGTTGTGGCCCCGTTCCGGCGCTGGAGCGACCAGCATGACTACCGCGTTCAAACCTCGCACGATAACCTGCAAGGACGAATTAAGGAACATTCGAAACAGGTGGAGTTGGTCAAAAAGCTGCGCAGCCACTATTTCAATAAGTGCCGCGTGGTGGAGGATTTGGAAGAAGAGAACAAGCTCGCTTTCCAGGATCCTGACAACAGCCCCAAGCTCAAACCGACACCGAAGATTGTCTTGCCCACTGCTGAAGAGGAAGAGGAGGAAGAGCCCGTCGAGCTTGGAGATCGAATCTTCCCCCGGAGGAAGTCAAGAAACTCTTGCTTCACATGTTGGATAACATCAGACTTGGCGAAGCTAAAGTGCCCATTATCGGCACCTATCAGAACACTTCGACTGGTGCGGACATTGTGGAGTATCTACAGAACCACATGGGCGCGACCAACCTTGCGCAAGCGGAGAGGATCGGACAGGACCTAGTGGACAACGGGTTTCTTCGTTTGATCGGCAACATGGGAAATACCTTTGCCAACAGCTCGAAGATGAACTACCAATGGCGCCCGAAGGTATTCAAGATCACCGGCATCCCTGAGAAGAAGAGACCCTTGATGCGTGTCACTTCTGTCGCCTCTAGTGAAGACGGCAGCGAATCGCCCATCTCGTCAGTCTCTGAGATGCTGTCCGGCTGGAACCCTCTTAACAACCCCTATCCCAATGAAACTCCCGCAGAAAAACTGCGGAGGGAGGCCATGGAGGCTGATGAGCGCTACAAGGCTGCTGTGCGGAGGCTTGACCAGATCCGGTGCCGCTTGGAGGAGGAAGTCATTGACAACCTGCGGTTCATGGAGCAGTGCGAGCTTGACAGGCTGAAAGCCATCAAGGCTGTGGTTCTTGACTTCTCCGGTGCCATCAGCAACGTCATTCCCAACCTCCAAAGTACCGTTGATAACATGATGCTGTACCAAGAGACAATCCAGCCTCTGGGAGACCTGCGATATCTCCTAGAGAATTACCGCACCGGTGGTTTTGTACCACGGGTGCAAGCATACGAGAATTACTATGGGTCGGTCGAGGGTATGAATCCACGGAACCGTTTCATTGCAAGAAAGGACCATCGAAACACTAACAGCGTATAGAACAAAACTTTGGCGTTGATCTCGAAGCCCGAGCTCGAGTTGATCGCAAACGTGTTCCTATCCTGGTGACAACTCTCCTGACCTATCTGGACAATAGTAAGACCTTCATCACACCACTACCCTTCTTTGCTTTGGTAATTAACATGTTTTAACAGCATATCCTGAACTCGAGGGCGACGAGGCTCGACGTGCAATCTGGCTTCATAACCCCCCACTTGGGATTACGCATCAGCTACGTAACGCTTTGAACAATAGCAAAGCGGATTATCGCGAAATCCTCCCGAAATTTGAGATACCCATTGTTGCTAGCGTTTTGAAATTGTATCTTCTTGAATTGCCAGGTTGGTTCCATCGTTCGGTCTCTGCATGGTGAACAAGATTAACCAGGCCTTAGACTCTCTTGTTTCTTCCCAGGTCTACGAAATCGTCAAAACGATCTATTCGACCACCGCTCACGAGACCACGGAAGAGGGACGGATCAAGGTCCTGCAAAGCACACTTGGCCAGCTTCGTCTCGTCAACATCGCTACACTTGACGCCATCATGACCCATTATACACGTTTGATTGATTTAACCTCGGCCGATGAACAGTATATCACCACTTTGGCCCAAATCCTGGCCCCTTGCGTTCTTCGGCCTCGCATTGAGAGCAGCCTGACCATGGATGAGCGCCACAGCTACCGGTTGATCCGTGATCTGTTCGCTCACAAGGATGCCATCTTTGGTGAGCTGAAACGCCAATCCAGCGCACTAGGCATCTCTACCTCTAGCCGCCCGCGTGCTATCAGCACCGACGAGAGCAACCGCCGTGCTGCCATGGAGGCCCGACAGCGTGCTATTGTGAACCGTAGCCGGGCAACTAGCCCCGCCCCTGGCTCTCGGCATCGCCGTGATCGTTCTAGCGGCCCTTCTGCGTCCACCCGATTCCCTATCAATGTGACTAGCCCGCAAGAACGTCGCACCCCCACCCGCTCCAGCTTAGACGTGCCAGCAAACAACGGTTCGCCCACCAGCGCTGAACCTTCTACCGCTCTGAACACCTATGCTACAGAGGCCATTGCCAACGGTACATCTGACGAGGTCGCTGCCGAAATTGATGCTAGTCCCAGTGTTTCCGAGGGTTCGCCAAGCCCTCCTCCACACGACACCGCATCTGATGGATCTCCCACCCCTACACCCACTCCAATTCCCACATCTACCGAGTTTGACAAGCGCAGCTCTGTTCCCCGCTCTGTTGGTAGCCGCTCTGCTCGCAAGCCAGGCCTTGGCAGTCTCTCCAGCTTCCCCACCGGTGCCGCGGTTGGTGGCTATGAGACTGACAGCAAGCGAAGCAGTTATGCTGAGAGCGAGCCCAAGGGTGTGACATTGGAGGATAAGCCGATGGATGATTAAACAAAAGGCTATGCCGAGATGTCTTGCGATTCTGATACCCTGATGGGGCCTTGTATAGACCAAAAATCACATGTCAAAATGGTATGGCCTGCTGGGTACTTCCCCCTGTTTTGGTTCCTTCTTTGTTCTTTCTCTTGACTTCACTTCTCTTGGCCATGATGTTCCCTTCTGTGACATGCATGCATTCATACCCCCTTCGTTGCCCTGCATTACCTGCATGCGCGCAAGCTTTCAGTTCTCAATTCTCAGTTCTCAGCTCTCAGCTCTGTGGACGGTTTCCTCGCCGTCCATTCATGTTTCTATGCATTTCTTTTACCTGTCTGTCTATTCTTCTGATTTTGTAGCCCTGTATGTATACTCGATTTTTCTTCCTCATATGTATGAATGCCTAGTTATCGATCATCGATTCTTATCTCTTATCCTTGACTATACGCTCATTGTCTGAAAGTGCTGCTTCTGCGAATTAGGCAACGCTACCTGCAGCCCTGTTATTTAGACCCAGGTTCTTTCAACGTTTTCATTCACTCCCGTCGTGTTTTCTCCACCTTTTGCCTTCTCAATCTTTCCCTTCCTTACCTCTTATCACATCATTACATTGATACAAACATTTTCCACATCTGTTGTTTTCCCCCTGTTCTTCATAACGTTGACAAACAGAATATAACCTAATGACACCTGCCAAACATGGTAATTTCTTGCGAGAACGTCCTGAAAGTCGCCTCTATCTGTCGTGGTGGGGGTGTCGAGCCAGTCTGGCCCTGGGAAACCGGTCCTGTCCCACTCACCACCTCTCGCTTTCTCGTCTGGACGGTGCTGTATCCAGACACCGATGTCAAGGTCACAGTCCGAGTCCCATTCACCGAAACAATGACGACACAATCTGCCTCTAACTTGGTTACCCATGAGGCAGAGTTCTTGAAATATCTCCGCCAACAAGGATTTGAATGGTCTCCATGCTTGTTGGTTCATTCAGCTGAGTCCAACAATGCGCTCGAGTGGCCGTACCTTATCACAACGTGGACCGAGGGCACTCCACTCATCTGGAATGATACTTTTCCATCCCGGAGAGAGGATCGTGAGAAGGTCTTGCAGCAGGTTGCAAGTATCATGTTCCAGCTGGTGACATGCACTCAGGAACCTAGTAAGTGATGATCATCCTTGGCCGCGCACGCTTTGATTTCGAGTTCAAGGTGCTGTGATGGCGCCTTATTTTAATGATGCCGCTGGCTAACGTGTTTCAAAGGCAGTACAGTCACGGCGGAAGGTTTCTTGATGAACATGATTGATTTGAAGATTATCCAGACTGCTCGAGGCGAACTCAATGGCGGTTCTGCGCCCACTCTACTCGATTGCATGGTCCTGCGAATGCTCGCGCATAAAGTCATCGATGCGAACTGCACCAGTACAGCGATGTCATACTCGCACGAGAATCTGATTTCGGATAGTATCATCATAGACGATAACTACAACGTCAAAGGGTGCGTTGGCTTCCTGCCCCGACTGCCTAGTCCCTAGCAGATAGCATGAGCCTGAAGGTGAGTGAGCTGATTTGATCGTCCAAACAGTTTTGCCAACTGGAGTTTCGCACGCCGTCTCCCTATCCGGTTTTCCCTCCGCTTCCCTCGCTTCCTCACCACCGAAGGGAAACTGCTCAACGCGCAGGCAGCCGTCAATCCCGCCCTCGTGTACAGCATATATCTCTGCCCCTCACCCACTGTCCGTCTCGACCGCGAGTTCTTTGTCTCGCGCTTGCAATATGAAATGGCGACCCGCGCAACCACGACTGCTTGCGGGAATCTCAACCCGCTCGGCTGGGAGATCCTTGCCTGGGATCCACTCGATGTTGACTGGAAGCACATCCTTGTAGACGCTGTCCTCCATCATGCCATCCACGTCTTCATACGTAGGCGCCAGTATCTGCTCCCTGGCACGGAACTTGCCCGGGCCGGCGTGCCCAGCGTGCTCTCAGTCAATGCGTTGTACACGGAGCTGCCGCTGTTCTTCAACCAGACGCGGCTCTTTATGCCGCCTGGGCGGCGCCAGGCCGTGTTATTCCACCTACTGCAGGCTGGCATTGAGCGGCGATTACCATGGGACTTTATGAAGATGCTGCTGAAGGAGGCGTTCACTGTGCGCTCAAATGAGGAACTTGCTGAGCTTTATTCCAGATAAGGAGCTTTCTTGGGGTTTTCTTCTGAGATTGGGGGTGTTAGATTGAGGACGGTTTAGGGATCTGAGCGTTGTGTGTGTTTTTGCTGTGTTAGATTTATTCTATCTGCCTTTTCCGTTTTGCATCTGATGTTTTTCTTTTCTTTGAATCGAAATAGAATCTCTGTATCAAACATTGAAAGCTCAGCCTCCTGATATTACTCGGTCATCTGGTGTGCTAGGAAGAGAGCAGAGATGTGGCGAAAAGAGGCAAGGAGGGATCTTCTTTACTTCTATCAGATCGGAAACTTGGTAGGATTTTCGTACTAGAGACTTGGTGTGTGTGGCCTCCCAGAACTTTTCTGTCCTCTGTTTAACCCGAGATTTCCCTGCTATTTCAGTGGCGGGATTGAGATTACAGTCAAGACTAGACCCAGGGTCATTCACAACAAGAACCCATTATCTCGCGTCTACTATTCATTCGAAGAAGGCTAACTTTTTCAGGAAGAGAGTTCTTGCTCAATTTGATTCGACATATATAATTTGGGATCTTTGCGTCATGGTCTTACCATATGGCGTGCAATCTGTTTACAACTCTATCTCATAGTATATTAAAACGTATCTCCCCGCGTTGGATTTTAAATCTTTATCGATTCCGTTTGCTCGAGTCCACCACCATAGGTATTCCTCTTCCTAACACTTCATTATGTTCGGTATTCAACATCAATCTAGAAGCGCGTGGCTGAGGCTATTCCGTCGCCCACTTCACGAAGTTGAATCTTCCCAGAGAACAGCCAGGGACTGTCGTCGTGGTAGGAGCGTGGTAGTTGCACCAACCCCCCGGGCTTCTCGCGCGGCCCATACTTCGCAACCGTGGAACCAACCTCCCCTCACTTCGACCCGCTGCGACTCATGTTGACTCACCCTGCGTCACTCCGCATCAGGGTGACCAGCCCCATTCCGGATTGGTATATTTGATCCCGCACGAACCCACCATGATCCGACCAAGAATCTATATAATTGCTCCCCATCTGGGATTCATCTGGCCTTCTCCTTCAGACCAAACATGACTACGACCACAACGATGCCGACTGCTATGACCTCCACCGACTCCACCCCGCCAATTACCCTCTACGACATCAAATTTTGTCCTCCAGTCGCAAAAAACACCTGCGCCCCAAACCCCTGGAAGGCCCGCTATGCGCTCAATTTCAAGAATGCAAACTACACCACCCAATGGGTCGCCATGCCCGACATCGCTAACGTGCGCCGCGCCGTTGGCGCTCCCGCCGGCCGCAAATTCGCAGACGGCACTGACTTCTACACATTACCTCTGCTCACCGACTCGACCACCGGCGTCATAGTCGGCGACTCCTTCGACATCGCCGTCCATCTGCAGCGCGTCTACCCAGACGCTGGCGCCGGCGACCTCTTTCCAGACCAATCGCTCGACTTCGGCTGCCCGGAGCAGGCCGAACTCCTCATCCCGCTCTCCAAGCGCGCCGACAACGCCTACGAGAATTACGCGCGGTTCAATACACAGATCGACGGGCTGTTCACCATGCACGTCGGACTGACAGTGCATGGGATGCCGTTCGACCCGGAAACCGCGGCCGAGACGCACGCGGAGTTCGTGCGACGCGCGGGGGTATCGTCGTGGGCGGATTTCGAGATCCACGGAGCACAGCGGACGGCGCTGAAGACAGCGCTGCGGGAGGCGCTGGCGCCATTGGCGGGCCTGTTCCAGCGGGATAGCTCGGGGCCATTTGTGCTGGGCCAGCGGGCGAGTTATGCGGATTTGATCGTGGGCGCATGGTTGCGGATGTTGCACCGGACGCTACCGGCGGATGAGTGGGAGGAGATTGCGGGGTGGCATGAAGGCACGTTCGGGGCGCTACACGAGGCGTTAGATCGATTTGCGACTGTGAAATAGGGCATTTGGCAAGCGGGCTAGTATCACGCCCCTTCTCTTCTTCCCGTCTCCTGGTTTTATTCTCCTCCCTTCATTGCCAAGCGGTGACGTCAAGGAGCGTGCTTGAACTATGAGCTACATGCCCTGGGCTAAGCTATTTGCTCGAGGCCAACACCTTGACCATCGGCAATTCTCCAGAAACATCGAGCAATGAATGTCTTGAATCAGGTGTTATTAGGGAGCGTGTTTGATATATACAGATATTTTATGGCAACCGAAATAGCCACTGTCAAATCAATCTTCTCGAGTCAGCACTCTTCCATCTCTGTCCAGCGTCTCCGGTCATTCTTCTTCCCCATTTAAGGCAGCGCAGCGGGAGCATAGCTCTGGTCTGGCTTGACAACCTTGCCGCCTGTCAGCTGCTTATCGGTATAAGCCGGCCAGACAATCTGGCGAGTCTCGTCATCCACGACGGACAGAGTGGTGAAGCCGTTGCCGGGGCCGAACTGACCGCTCCAGCCGGAGGTGATGGTGAAGTCGCCGCAGGTGGATGGGCCGCCGTTGGCCTGGGCGGCACCCGTGGCCTTGACGACATAGGTGCAGGAGGTCGCGGTGCCCGAGCCTGTGTAGATGCCGAAAGTCCAGGTGCAGGAGGTGTTGGCGGCGTTGCAGACACGCTTCATGTTCTGGATGGTCCATTCCGGACCGGCGGCCATCATGGAGACGGGCGCGGCGAGGGTGGCTGAGGCAAAGAGGGCGGAAGAGAGGAGGAGCTGGGTGAGCTGCATGGTTGCGGTCTTGTGAATGGAGGTATAGAAGTATAGAAGTATAGTGGCTTCGAGGAAGTATGAACTCGGTCTGTGATGCTTCTACTTCAGAGGAATAGCACGGTATTTATGGCTGTTTTCCTCGTATACTTTGTCTAGCTGGGGCCTTCCTGCCGCCTGGATTATAGGACATCATCTGATGGCGGAGCTCTTGGAGACCTCTTGCCGAAGTTCCTTGGAAGTTCAATACTGCATGCTAAATTAGTGAATGTAACGGTATAGAGGACCCGAGGACCCGGAGATACTCCGGCCTGTCTTACCTGTCTTACGTCTGAGACATTCACCTAGAAGAGCTTCCATTTCGACTATGCCACTTCCCGCCTTCTCCATGCCCCAAGGCCGTGTAAGACATGATCAAGACCCAACCAGTCAGATCGTGGCTACTGCGGAGTTCATTCTGCAGGGACCCCCGCAAACGCGCCCGCAACGAGCCACAGGCCGCCGATCGCCGTGTTCGACTCCACTCGCGGGTACGGAAGTGAAGTCATACCCTACGATACTCCTCAGTAGGTCAAACGAAGGATCGTCCCGGGAACTCTTCTCCTTTGAGCAACTGATCCTGCTCTCTTGCCATCATACTCAGAGTCCCAGCTGCCTGGTTTAGAGCTACCGGGAAATCAATAGATCGGTAGCTCTAAAAGCAGCAGGATCTCCAAGCCACCGAATCTAAAGACATCTAGAATGCGATATACTTTGGGGGTATCGTCGCGATCGAATTTCCCGGCACTTGATATCGGACGCCTATAGTCAAAACCAGGTCACCTGGTCCCTGCGTGGTCAGCTCATGAAGTGGCAGGGTCTAGCAGTAACCCCATTTAGGGCTCGAACAGCCGAGCGGTTGCACGAGGGAAAAAGTTCTGTAGCGCCCGATAAATTACAGAGTATCGCTGACAACGCATCTTCCCGTCCAGCAACCCTCACTACACAGCCGTGTTTTCACTGTCTTTCTGTCTGGGGCGAACGAGACATTTCTTCGGGTCAGCCCGGTTAGAAGCTGCCTGAAAGTGTGGAGATGGTCTACGCGCAAAAAGAAAACTAGTCAGGCTTAAGGTATCGGCAAGCCCGGGGAACAGGTGCTATTAATAAAAGTTCTCCTACGGAATAGGCGAGCATGCCTGATTCAATTAGCGCAAAAAGAGACGTCAAAATCATTGGTCAAGACAGAAGAAGTGCATTAACGGAATCCGTTTCCTGGGGTACTTAACTATAACAGATCAAACGAGTGCTAAATCACAATTTCCTTGGGGTACCCTCTAAACCCTGAAAATGTTCATGTCGTAATACCTAGTCTGCGGCGCATAGAGAAAAGATAGCAACAGAAACTCGTAAGAATCACTTCGTCTCCCCGTTGGACTTGCCATTAGTATGACATTCTACTGCAACTCCACCATCCGACCGCAGAGTCCCATCCCGATCAATCAAAGCTCGGGCGCGGACATAAGGGTCTAATTTCCAATAATTTTGTCGAAAATCTTCAATGATAAGATTTCGTCGAGACTTCAGCTCTTCTACAGTGGCAGTGTCTTCTTTGCCTCCGGAATACGTTGTCGCGGAAATCCAGGCAGCGGTCGCTGCGAGCATCTTGAGCCCGGTCATCATGCGCTCGTACATCAGGGCGTCGCGAGCCGAGGTGTCTTTCATGATCTCATCTTCATTGCTGTCAGGCTCTATATATTTATATTCCCAGTTTTCGTCTCCGGCGAGCTCTTGGGGGATCTGGTCTCGGGCGATAAATTTGTCGAGATCGGCGACGGATTTGGTGAAGTGCACCTTGGATGCCACGACAGGGTCCATCCAGCCGTGGATCAGCCTCCAGATACCTGACTTACATATTAGATTCTTGGAATTTTCTCGATGGGGGATATAAATCATTAAGACTATGAGGGACTCACTTGAGAAAATCCAGGGAGCGTTGTGAATCAGTAACTGCCCGAGAGACTCGGGATAATTTGCTTCGAAGCATTTGATAATGAACTTCACAGGTTGGTATTCCTATTGTAAAAGGCAGGTATTAGTTTCTGAACAATCTAGGAAAAAAAAATTGCCGTGGAGCTCGCATACCATATTAGACAGAGAGAATCCTGTCATATCAAATACAATCGTCTGGGCAAATATTAGCCAGAAGTTCAACGGTAAAAGAAAAGTTCAAGAAGATGCTTACCCCCGTTTCAATAGGCGGGACCACAATCAAACGTGTCGACTCAATGACATGCACAATATATCGTTCTAAAACTTCTTCACTCTGGGCTCCGGGTTTGTGGATCTTCACTCGCACATAGTTGACGGGCCGTCCCTGTCGGTCAAAGCCGTGAAGAAAGCTCTTCCCAGTTTTCAACTGCGCGATAAAATCATTACCCTCTTTTCGTTCTTTCACAGTGAGCTTGTCATCACGAGATTGCTTGAGAGCGTATAGCTCTCCCTTTGGCACAATGTCGTCGTCTACTGCCATCTGTTTCCTCCAAAGAATGTTGGACATCATCATAGCAAAGGCCTTGCTAACGTCCCACTTCCGGGCGCGCAGGAACCGAAGCAACAAGCTGTCGGGATGTTCCTGCTTGACCATTTTCAAGATCGAGAAGCACATCTCTTCGGGAGACATATTCGATAAGATCGTTTCCATGGACTTGATCTCTGATTGATGGACGCCCATCTTTCGGAGTTCTGCAAAGAGCGCCGAGAAGTGCTGTGGCGTGACTTTGCGGGTGGCTATCTCTGTCATGATATTCTTCTTAGCGTCTTTGTTCATGAGAGATTCCATCTTGTCGAGTGACTTTTGTTCCTTGTTCTCGCTGTGAGCTCCATTTGTTTCCCCATTCGATTGACCTTCTACGGCCCCCTTCTCAGAAGGCATGGGCACAATTTCTTCTCCTTTCAATGCAGCAATAATGGCATCTACCGTCGGCTCGTGGATTCTATCCAGAACCTCGAAGAGCTTATTAGGAGATCCTTCCGGTAATGGGACTTCATAAACGGCTGATAGAACTGAGGCCGCGGAGGAAAAAAGAAGGATCCATAGCTCTCGCAGCTTAACTTCTTGGCTTGGTGTGAGATTATGGACATAACCCGTTGAAGTGTCGGGCGTGACAGTCATTATGGACGATTTTCTGATAGAAGCGATGATTTTAGTGTTCTCAAAAGATGATATTCGCACGATGTTTTCGATTTACCGAAGAGATACTCCAGACGGCATTGCCGTTCTACTTCAATACTGACTGGTTTTCCACATGAATGCCTCGATCCATACGTCAGGGCTGCCTCGGCCGGCCCCTCCTGAAAATCCGAGCACGAGATGGCTCTGCCGTAGGCTACCTCGGCGGTTAGATCCACTAGATCAACATTAGTAACCCCCTTGATGGGGGTTTCCTACGTCGGGGCCAATTCCCCCGCCTGTATTTGTGGATGATCGGACTCTGGGGCTACTCAATTCGTGACGATCATCACGATTACGGGGTAAGTGATCTGCTGTGTCTGTGCATCCTAGTATGCTCTCCTCGGATAAAGCTTATCAGTCTAGATCGGCGAGCCTCCAGGGTTTCGGATATAACATGTGTTGTTCAACGTTAGTATCTTGAAACAATACCAGGCAGAGATGTCTATCACTGGGCCTCGATTCTGTAGTGGCATGATTTTCACCTGTCTAGAACCATTTTTGGCTATCAATAATGGTTACACTCATTCACTTCCCTCCAAGTGGGTTCAATTACATAAAGAGCGCGAGACCCCGCGAGGAACCGTGGTTCGGGCCAATCCTTTTTTAATTAATAGCGGTTTTAGGATGGCAAGAGCGCCGTTGCAATAACTATGGAATCGGTCATCAATTGTATCTACCATTCCACCCTATGTGTAAGGGTCCTCAGGTTCCGCCATATTACTTGTTCAGCACATGAAAATGTATTACATCCGTTCATAGATCCACGCAAATGATAGACACTCTCAGCGTACGCAATCCGATAATCACGAGCCTTAAACCACCCAGTCCTCCAGCTTGGTCAACTTTAGATGCATCCCCTCGATGGGCTGACTCGTCAACGTGCCTCCAAAAGTCATCTTCTGGCCAGGTTCTTTCAACTGCAGCCGGAACTGCCCAAACAACCCCGCAACGGCACATCGGAACTCGGCCTTCGCAAAATCCTTCCCAATGCACGCCCGTGGCCCATGAAGGAACGTAATCTGGGCAAAATTTGTGGACGCTCCTCCATGTTTGTTGACTGTCTGTTTACCCGTCTTCTCGTCGGTATCAATCCATCTTTCAGGAAGGAACTGGTCTGCCGTCTCGCCCCAAAATTCCGGATGCCGGTTGATGGCTTGTGGGCAAAGCGCGATCGTGGTGCCCTTGGGGATTTTTGTTCCGGCAATGATTGTCTCACGGATTGCTTCGCGACCTGTCATTGGGACCGTAGGATACAAACGCAGCACCTCCTGACAAACGCCATTCAGATACGGCATGTCCTCAAGATCCTGCCATGGTACGGAGGCGTCAGGTGAGGGAATGGTTTCGCGGATCTCTTGGCGGAGCTTTTCTTGGATGTGCGGCTCTATACACAGATGGTAACAGCACCAGGTGAGGGCGCCAGCTGTCGTCTCATGCTACATGATCTGTGAGTGTCCATCTCTTGCCGCATTCAAGATTTGAGGGTGGATCAAGGCTAGATGGGGAGGGGAAAGGGGGGAAAGGGGAAGACGTACTCCCGCCGCAAGGAAGGTAAGCATCTGGTCCACCAGCTCGCTGTCGCTAAACTCTCCACCACGCATCATAGTTCCCAGAATATCGCCTTCAGCATGCTCGCCTTCGGCCTTTTCGAGGGCAAGCTGCTCTCGTTTCTCATGGAGGATGTCGTAGAATACCTGCCGTAGATAGCCGACCTTCTGAGGGAGTACTATATTTGCATTGCAGGGAATGCGCCTGACGAACCATTGTGGCAGGACGATAGACAGTGCAAATAGTATAAGCAAGTCCAGAGACGGTTTCAGAATGGCCGTATAATTCTGCGACACAGGGTCATTCTCGTTCTCCAGCGACTGGAAATCTCGACCGATGGCGGCAGGCCCGATGATATCCAAAGTCAACCGACTGTTATATATGGGTATTAGTCTTTCGGGCTATTTTCCAGCAATGGTTCTTCATACTTAGCCCAGCCGCCAATTTCGACGTATCCCTTTTTTCCTCTGATTTTCTCCCGGGGGCGGGATGAAGGGTAATCTCTTTCTCAAGCTGACGAAGGAAAAGCTGTGTTTTCGACCACATCAAGGGGTACAAAGCCCGAATATTCTTGATCGTGAAAGCAGGGGTTACAGCCTTTCGTGCAGTGCGATGAGCATCTCCTTCAGAAAGGATGAGGCCATAGCCTAATCCCCGAGCCAAAAACTCGCGCCCACCAGGAGGTTTGACAAAATCATAGCTGTTAGTGTGTAAAACATCCATCAACGCGCGGTGGTTTGTAGCAACTAAGAAGCTGGAGTTCAATGCTTCACGAAAATGAATCAAACCCTCGTTTGGAATATTTTTTAGCCATTCAACGATGATTGTACCTCGCGGCTGGCGCAAAAAAACCTTGGCTCCGATAAAAGGGCCCTGGCACATAAAGTATAAGCCAAAATCAACATAGTGTTTAAAATAATATTACACACATGAATGGTAGGTAGATGCCGGAGAGGGTTCAAGAACAATGGCCATATAAAGACATTCCATAATGTCATCAACGTGACATTGGCTGCCAGAGCATAGAGAAATATAGCTGTTGGCCGCTCTACAGTCATGTGGGATGCTATGACAAGGAGAGTTTCAAGAACAGTACCAGGAATAAGATAAATGAGGTTTCCTTTAGCGCGAGACATAATGATCTGTGGTAGTAGAATGGCTGGATTGCTACCGAATCTCGGACATTCCATACATTCTGATATATACTCTTCCACGGCGGAACATCGAAGACTAATTCTGGACTCACGTGTGATTACAACGAGAATGATCCCATAAAAAAAAAAGAGATTTCATGAGTCAATGGATATGTTTACATTCATTCAATCCTCATTCGCCCTTAATTCATGCCACTGATCACGATCTCGCTGGGGTTCACATGAAAGAAAAGGCCCGCTAGCGCGGTCGATCACCTGGAATGCGGGGAACAACCTTCGCTTGTCCCAACACTTTCTGTTCTTTCGATTATACTTTCAAATATGTCATGGTTTGGAACAATCAACGGCAATACGAGGCAGGATTTCACATGTGTTTGGTATCGGCAATGGCCGTAGGTTCTGCTTACTCTTTTGGGCATGCAGGGCGAGCCAACCAGTGGGTTAAATTCTGGCGCTTGGACTTCCTAGTGTAGCAAAATTTCCGTGATTATTGGGAAATAAGCGCCAATTCTGAAGGCTCCAGTAATACGCCAAGTGAGGATGCGTTTATTATTGCGGGTAACTGTGCAGCATAGGCATACGTATGCTACCTAGACGACCATGTGAGGCATCAGGATTCTAGAACTTGCAGGACTTTGAATGACTAGCTCTATTAGTTATGACCAATTGTTCTCTCTCTATTGACGAGGTTACATGTCAAATTCAATAACTGCTTCATCAGAAGTTTTCTAACATTAGAGGACTGGAAACTGCACATGCTTTGCGGGGATTTATAAATGATCACCTATTTAGAAACGCTGTGGTAGAGTACAATCATCTATTAATCAAAACAGCTCCGAATATAAGAGTAGTTAGCCTAAGTTCTACGTTATTAAGGAGCCTGAGGATGAGTCAATTCAATATTAAAAGACCACAAGCCCAATACCAGTGGCCTGAATGGGTTGCCCCAGTCTGGACTGAACCGAGGCCTTAAGTTGATGATTGGTATGTACTAGTGACAAAAGAGAGTACCGTTGATATTCATATACTTGAAGAAAGGGGAAAAGACTCAGGATAGTGGTAATAGATGTGAATTCAGTACGGCCACAACGCCTATCAGGTCGTGAGAATCTAAAAGGACAGAGAAACAGCAGCATATCTCACAAGGTGAGCAGAAAGAAAATCAAGAGTGAGCTGAGCCGGTAGAGTGAAGCCGTACTAGCACCTCCTCCAGGAAGGCATCAAGTACAGAGTTAACACCGCCACTCATCTGAACTGGAGCCTCTGTATCCCAGCGATGAAGAGTTGCAAAAGATTTTGTGAGTTCGCCAGAAAGCTGCTCCATGCGACGATGAATGTGGACTTCTCGCTCCCATTCTTTCGCCTCCTCGTGAGTTGGCTGCCGGCCATTCGGATGACGGCCAGGCTCGAGACGAGCCAAGTGGCGGCCACGTCGATTCATTGCTGCACGAAGAGCAGGAGCAATTATCGACCCATAAGCAGTTTCTCGCTCATTCTCAGCAGCTGTCTTTGGGGTACTTGGCATTTGTTTCAGCTGGTCATTGGAATGAGGACTCCGTGGAGGGGAATTCTTTCTTAGGAAACGATCATCCTGTTTGCCTGGCCCAAGCTTGGACTTGAGTCCGGACGAAGGCTTCATATTCGGGGATGCCTCCTGTCGTTGTTGCTGCTGCAGAGATGTGAAAGGTGTTGGGGAAGGATGAGCCGGGCTTGCAGGAGCATCAGGTAGGGGACGCTGGAGGGGAGCAGGTTTCCTGGTAACCTGGGCAGGGGAAGAGCGAGAAGGATTTGTAAACACATCATTATTGGAAGACTGGCCAGTTCTAACTGGGCCGGAGCCGACTGCTGACAGTGATTGAGGCTGCGATGCAGGATCGGGACCATTGGCAGTTGCGTAATCCATTATTGACTGTGTAGATCGTTCATTGTATGATCGAGCCGGAGAGTTTTCTTCTAGTGGTGTTGGGATTGGTAGAGGGCGAGGTTTCTGCAGAGGAGTGGAGAGCAGTTGTGTAGCGGATGTTTGTTTGGAAGGCGACGCGGGTGCTGATGGAGGGAGAGGAATTTTGGATGCAGAAACTTCGATAGCGTTCACTGTATTATTTAGCTGCAATACTGGGTGATAAGGTGCCTCTGAATCGGGCTTTTCCTCTCGCAAATCCCACTCTTCAGTCTCCTGAGTGCGTGAGTTGGTATCGGAGTCATTCAATGGACGAAGTGGCGGTGGAGGAACTCTTCCGGCTGGACGAACAGTGCCAAAGTCCCAAAGATCTTCATGCTCTTCAGACTTCTCACTGACTTGTTCCTCAATATCGTCGTAGTCATCTTCGTCATCTCCTTGGCCCTGATGTGTAGCCTGCCAGCGCTCTGCACGCTCGATAAGCTCTGTCAAATATGTGGTTCGCTTCGCACGCTTGATAAAAGGGTGTTCAAGCAATTCCTTGGCAGACGGTCGCTCTTTTGGATCGCGTCGAAGACATAACTCAACAAGTTGCTTGAACGGCTTGCTGAAGTCGCCATTGAGTGTAGGGGGAGGGTTCTTGGGAATCAAAAATAACACTTTCATCGGATGAATATCTGCATATGGCGGGTCCCCACATGCCAATTCGATTGCTGTTATCCCCAGGGACCAAATATCCGCCTTGTAGTCGTATCCCGACTGCCTGATAACTTCCGGGGCCATCCAGAAGGGGGTCCGACAAATGTATTCTTTTTGGATATGGTAGTAGTGAGTTGGCCCGAAACGCCAAAGTCCGCGAGCTTGACCTGTCCACTTGCGCTCAGGAGGATGTTTGCAGCTGGTAAGTGTAAGTTTTCATGCCGCGCTGCAAGGATGTTGAGGGAACAATTACCTTTGATGTCACGATGTAGTTTGTGATCACCATGGAGATAGTCAAGACCTTTTAGAAGCTCTCTCAAGATGATTGCAATATACTCTTCATGAATAGCACCAGGGCGCAATAGCCCATGGCAGCTACCACCAGAACAGAATTCCATGATAATCCACAGATTGGAGCCCTTGAGATAGGACCCATGGTACTTGGTCACGTATGGGGATTTGAGCTCAGAGAGGATTGCAATCTCCTGGATGATGTCATCCACTTCATCTTCGGCATTTTCGACATCGATGATTTTGATGGCGACTGATTCTCCGGTCCGTCGATCCACACTAGTGAAAGTAGCAAGTTAGCAGACTCTTCTCGGGTTGATTTCAAGTTTCTGGCTTACCCTTTGTAAACCTTGCCAAAGCTTCCACCACCTGTTGAGGATCAACAGTTAGCGATTGCATGGGAAGATAGTTGCCTGTGGACATAGAAAAGCAAGTAGTGCCTACCGATGCACGCCTGTTTGGTATAGATGGTCTCCGGATCGATAGGGGCCGGCATCTTGGCGACTTTTCCGAACCACTGGTAAGGACGTAAGGCCGCGTAGTTCTGTACTCTCTGTCGATACAATAAGCAGCGTTCTCTGTAACTCGCGGGAGTCCGGGTCGCGCATCAATCGCAAAAGCAAACGAGGGAAGGGCGGAAGGGCGGAAGGGCGGAGGGAGGAGCGTACTGCAAACCTGGACCGATCACAGTCGCGCGGGAAGGTGCAAATTTGGTTCAAAAACGGCCTCTTCTGAGAGATGTAAGAAGAGAGAGTTCAGAGTGATCCTTTGTCAGTCTGTAGAAGTGTTAGTGAAATTTGAGAGCCAAGACAAGCTTCAGATTGGTTGCTGGGCGCACCCACTGACAGGTTCACGGGATGTCAATAAACGCGAAAGAAGGTGAAAGAGCGGGTGAAGAGGTTCAATACCCTTATATCCAAGATCAGTCAGTCAATCATCAATCACATAACATCATGAAGTCATATAGCAATTTTATAGCAGACGAGGAATATTGAATGCGCAGGGAGTTGGTGGCAGGAACTGAGTGCCCTTGCTTGTGTTTATCAACGCGGGGGCCATTTTGCCGGGCGGTGAGGCTTATCGGAGGCGATTGCAAGATTTGTGTACAATGGTTGTTTTGATGCGAGATGGGTCTTTGAGGGTATCTACAATCTGCTGATGACTGTTTTTGGCTCAGTTTATCACATTAGAAAAGCTTTTATGAGTCTGGGAAGTCTAATAATCAATTCATTTGCATTATTATCATTGTATCCAGGAAATCTCATGTGCTGCGGGGCCTTGCATAGCCGGAGGAGCCACGCATGAAGGCCCCCTTCTGGCCAGTAAATTTTGGCTCGGAAATAATTTGTAGTAGCATGACTGGAACTCAGATAGACCTTTAGTCTTCCAAGTATCCGATCATGACGGTGCCATTTTTGAGGCCCGCATCTTCGATGCTTGTAGCAACGTTGTCTATTAAATTGCGCCCCATGGCATTTAGCTCGAACTCCACCCCAGCCTTGTCCGCCAGTGGAGGATCAGCTTTCAGCCATTCATAGATTCTTTGAACGGGATCGGACAGCGCAAACCGTCGAATAACTCGGCCAGACGGATGACGGAACTGGATGCGCGTGGTCGTAGCTGGGTCTGCCTCGGGTTCAACATGTGCTTGGTTGCTTGAAATCGAGGCAAAGGCAGAAATTTGGCCCGTTCCTTCTTCTGCATGCTCTGCATCTGTCATAATGTCTTCTTCTTCTTTTTCTTCTTCTTCGATTGCCCGACCTTTACCCTTGACATCGCCTGTGCTGCGGGTCAGATCGTCAGGGTCTTCTAGTTTCTGTCCTTGAGCCATATCCTCCCCGAGACTATTTCTCATCGCCATTTCCATCATCTCTTCCTCAGTCATGGCATCAATACTCTTCTCCTTCTTATCCAACTTCCGCTTTGCAACAGGGTTGCGCACGTTATGATTCAAGCTGTACCGATCCAAGAACTCATGCAGCTGCATGAGAAACTCTGCAGGCTTCACCACTGGGGGACCTGACCAGACTTTCATTTGTTCACCAGTACGGGGATCAACGATGGCAATATGCGGGTAGTTGTCGGATACATCACTTGCTTGGAAGTAGTATTGAAGGTATGGCGCGGCTTTGGGGTCATCTTTAGAGAATTGCAGGAAGACAAAGTGTTCCTTCACGGTTTCCTGCACACTCTTATCTTTCCACAGGTCTCGATTCAAGACCTGACAGTCGAAGACTGAAGAGTCTTGAATGTTGACCAGCAGCCACTTTTCATTGTCACGTCCATCTTGTCGGGCAACATCCCAAGGCACTCGCGACATGATTTCGAACGGAGGGCGGTACATTTCAGCAAGCATATTCGATTTCGATGATGCATCTGACGCTCCACCCGTGGCTCTTGAGAGTCGTTCCTGATGGGTCGCTTCCGAATCGCCTGCCCATATTGATGCAGATGATCTTTGGTTGAAAATACCGGCTCGGCCTAGGCGCAGCGATGTTAGTCTAATATGATCAGGCTAGAATATGTATCCCGCGAAATACCAACCCTGACCACCATGGCCACGCAACTGGCTGAGAATGTTGGCATGCATATCATCGTTGTCGAAATCAGGCTCCGGCCCCACCAACGTCTCAGTTGTGCGCGCCATAGGCGCTCGCACTCCATCATCATGGTCACCACCCTGATACATCTCTTCCTGGAGGCGGCGTGCCATCGCAGCATCATCCTCAAAGATCCCTCCCGCGGCTTGTCCGGACGTTTGGGCGCGAGACCCAGCATCATCGTCGGTGTCGGAGTCGATGTGAACTACCCCGGACTCATCTTCAAAGCCGACCTGGCGAGTGGGATGAGATGGCTCTTCAGTCAACGGTGCGCCTCCATTTTCGAAATAGAGTAGCATGGCCTGCTCGATGTCGAAATCAGCCAGCTGCAGGTACTGTGTCGCCAGCTCAGGCGCCGCGCCGGTGACTTCGCTAAACTGAGCCACCCGTTCGCTTTCCATGGTGGGCACAAAGTGTATTGAAGACGAGGGAAAGGAAACAAACGTCGTAGACGTTTCGATTGTAGGTAATAATAAGCAGAGAAGGATATGCCGTGAAGTCTAATTTGCAATCACCTTGGTGAACTAGATGTGTGTGTGGGGACCTATGCAACCGGAGATGCAAACAACTGCAAACCGAGGATCAGCAACAGATCGAATGCCCCGCGCAGGTGGTTGGAAAAGCAGAGAGGGTGAGAGCATCAAGGAGAGACAAAAGAGTGCCCAGAAGCTTCTTCCACGCCTCAGCAGGTGCATAGGACGGTCATCTGCCATCAGTGACGCAAATCCAAGTACGGTGGGTTGTAACATCCAAAGATGCAGCCCTGCGTCTTTGGCACGAACCGGCTACCGGAGCTTATCTTACTACTTGTGGAATGCGACGCGTCGCGTTACGCGCCGGCCGATTTCGCCGGGAATCTGGAACGCCGCGTCTCCAGGAAAGCAACTTCCACCTCAGCTCCTGCGCGTTGGTTGTTCTCAGGTGAAAGTCCATCATGACTGTCACTATTCTGGGAAAGCGCACTCGTGGTGCTCCAGACGGGGAATGTGTGTCCTTCCTGTCTTCTTTCCTTCCGTACGAATTAAAGCTAACCAGCCTCATTCCCAGCCTTGCCAGTCCGCACTGCAAGCAAGCGGCGGACGGTCGCGCCTCGAGCCAGCCGCGAGGCTGTTGTTCCCAAGTCAATTCCTAGAACCCGGTCTCGTGCGAAGATCGCAGACCAGCCTCTCGACCAGGAGAATGGCGATAGCAACAAGGTTGCGACAGATAAAGCGCTTTCTAAGCATTCACTTCGTGAGGACAAGGGTGCGTCTCCAACCAAGATCAACCTGCATTTCCGATCCTCGAAGCTAGTGGAGGGTAAGCGAGGAAGGATTCTAAGGATCAGGAGATTAGGATCAAGGCTAATAAGATCATTTTCACAGAGGAAGCTCCGTCTGCTCCGGCTGAGTTCAAGACACCCCAGAAGTCTCGCTTTCGAGATGCATTGCAACATTCACCAGTCACACCTCGCCATCGAGTACAAGTTGGAGCAAAGTCGACCACTCCTCGTACTCCTCGGCAGACCGATGTTCTTCCGACACCCCGGCAAAGCGCGACCCCGACGACCACACAATCTATCTACTCACAAGCGAGGCAGCTGTTTGCTCGAGGTGTCAATTCTGGAAGATTGGTTGGCCGAGACTCGGAGCGTGAGAAAGTAGCCTCGTTTATCAAGGATTGTGTGGAATCACGAAGGGGCGGATGTCTTTACATCAGTGGGCCTCCTGGTACTGGCAAAAGCGCCATGGTCAATGAAGTGTGTCAAGACATCGATCTCTTTAATGTCAAGGTCTCCCATGTCAACTGCGTGAGTATGCGAAATGCTCGCGATGTCTACAGCAAACTCATCCAGGATTTTGGTGAAGACTCGGAAGTATTCAAAAAGAGCGAAGGTGATCGACTGAAAGCCATGTTTCTCCCATCCAAAGCAAATGGCTTATTCCTAGTCTCTTTGGACGAAATGGATCACTTGCTCATGGGTGATTCTGGTGTCCTTCAATCACTGTTTGAATGGTCGTTGTCGAACAAATCGAGTCTTATTTTGATCGGCATTGCCAATGCTCTCGACCTGACAGATCGGTCTCTGCCCCAACTGAAGGCGAAGAACCTGAAGCCAACTCTGCTCCCGTTCTTGCCGTACAACGCGGCCTCGATTGCAAATGTCATTACGAACCGTCTTCGCTCTCTGGTTCCAAGCGACATGGATTCCGATCCCAAGTTTGTTCCGTTCTTGCAACCAGCCGCCATTCAACTTTGTGCAAAGAAGGTTGCTTCGCAAACAGGCGACCTTCGCAAAGCATTCGAACTGATAAAGCGTGCAATTGATACCATCGAGCAAGAGACTCAGCAAAGGCTCGAAAAACAAGCTGCCGATAGTGGGAATGCATCAGTACTTGCAGAAAACAAGAACTTGTCTTCCAATACCAAGGGAGCTCCAGGCTCTCGACCAACCACAATTTCAAGCTACACTGTTATCACGGCGCCTCGTGCGAGTATTGCGCATATCGCTCGTATTACGACTTCAGCCTTCGGACAGGGCACTATTCAAAGGCTGAAAGGCTTGAACCTTCAGCAGAAGGCTGCCATATGCTCTCTGATCGCTCTCGAGCGCAAGCGCCGCGAGTTTGACATCCCCTCTACGCCTTCCAAGTCGCGATCTTCCGCTCCTACCGTCAAACAAGCATTTGATACCTATTGCACGCTCTGCCGAAATGACAACATCCTTCACCCATTGACTTCCACGGAATTCAAAGATGTTCTTGGCAATCTGGAAACCATGGGCCTTGTCGGTGAATATCAAGGCCGCGGTCGTGGTGGAACTGTTGCTGGCGGCTCCGATGTCCGTCGCACACCCTCCAAGTCCGGAAACGTGATCTCAACGCCTCACAAAGGCATGGATGAACAAGGCCTTGTGTGTTTTGTTTCCCAGTCTGAGATTGAGGGTCAGCTTGTTGGCCCTGGCGAGGGTATCCTAAGACGGCTTCTCCGTGGTGAAGGACTGTAATCATACTTAACTCGTCATGATTCCTCTGTACTATCACTGGCTTGTACAGAGGCCACACTGCTCGCCTATTATTTGCCTAATCCGCATTACTGATGTCCATCCACAGGCGCATTTTTATCATGTACACCACCGCTGTTCGCATTTCTGGAGTTGAGGCTGCATCCTTTAAATTAGCGCCATTGTTACGATTTCCATTTGTTCCTTGTGATATTTCTTATCTGGTCAACAATGACCGCCATGATCATGACCCTGTATTTAGAACTGGGTACAATCAAAACAGAAAACAATACATAAAAAATGAGCATTTCGTGCCTCCAGAATGCTTACACCTTACAAAAATAGACTCGACGGGTGAAAGCAGAAATACGTAGAAACCCTCAAGTATACGCAAGGAATGGCCAACATTAGCCAAACCTATGCCTAAATTCCTGTTACTTGTCCTCAGTCATACACGGCTATATGTAAATACAGGGGTATAACATATTAAAAAGGAATTATCAATAATATATCATGGTCAAGAAAAATTCGAAGCAGAAAAAACTTAAGACTGTACAGATCCGTATACATATGCACGAGGGGTGTGCCCCCGAAGCTTGCCAAGAAAGGCGAAGCGGTTCGTCAAATGACGAGATGAGAGAGGTTCCATCTCCTAGGCAATGAAGGTTGATGAGAGAAGGAACCTTGATTTGGAATCCTCGATTCATTTGTACCGCGCTGGGAGAGTAGTTCGTGGCGGTTAGACAAAGTGATCGATCACCCGGGAGTGGAAACGAGCCTACGAAGTAGCAAGCTTGCAGTCGAAGCGTCGTAAATAGTTTCATATACATGATTTCACTCAATGGTCTCACCCGGCTGGGCGAAAGAGCCAATCTGTCTCTGGAGTAGGGATCAGGTAATTGGTGATATTGAACTCGTTCGTGTTGACAGAAGAATTACCGTCAACGACGGGGCCAGCTCCCGTTAAGCCGTGGATGGACATGGGGTTATGAACGGAGTCCGGCATGTCCAAGTGCGTCGCGACAGCAGCCGTAGGGTCTGGGGCACGGGCTGGTGGTACACGCGGTACATTGAAGAAACCGAAGACATCGAGGTACTCGAGTTCATTTGGTGCTAGGCTACGGGGAGTTATAGCAGATGCAGCAGGCCGAGTCATGTCATTTCCGCCATTACTCATGGTAGATGGCGATTCACGTGGTTGACGAGAAATGAGGAAGTCTAAGTCGAATGCACAGCGTCGCATATCGGCTAAGATCTTGACGGTGGATGGTGTAGTGCGTTCACCATCGATGGCCGCGGATTGTTGGTATTCGCCATATTCATCAAGGACACGCTGCAAAATATTGCTGTATCGCTCGGCGACCTTCCAATGGTGACCCATACGGGAAAGAGTGTCGACAAAGAGGAGAATATCAGGACTGACTGTGTGGGCAATAGTCGATCCATGAACAAGCAGTAGTCGTGCCGAGACCCATAAGGTGAATGCAAATGGCGGACCAAGCTTGTCAAGCAGGTTATGTTCGACCACGAACCGTGTCACTGAGAGAATGTTGTCGACAGCTAGCAGACATCTCTGGCTAGCACTGTAAGAAGGAGTGAATATGGGTGACCGAGTGGTAGGATAAGCAGCAGATGAATGTAGACGAATGACGGCTCTGTGAGAAAACATATTAGTGAATGGTAATCGGAATAGTTGTAGAGACAATTGAGGCTCACGTTTGATACGTAGCATGAAGCTGTACCCAGTCACTGTGCAAGGTTCGACCTTGCTTGTTCCCATTAAAAAGACGCGACGAATTCTCATATGCATACTCCGCTGGCAGATTAAATTCCCATGAAGTCAACTCGCTGTCAAGTTTGCGATAAGTAGCTTGCCATTCCTCAACATCGGACAGAGAACCGATATCGACAGGCCGTTTCAAAAATAAGTGAATGCGGGACAGAATCCCTAGAATCTCGACGTAAAGACCAAAAGACCCCACATTCTCAGCATGACTTAAATAGTCAGTGCGAGCTCCAGAATAGTGAAACCTTCGGGTCTCGACAGGCTGATTCTTCATAAAAAATTCATCTTTACAAGGCAGCTTCCGGTCAATGTCCTTGTCATCCAGGGCGAAGTTAAATGCAGTCGCAAGAGTGGAATAACGGTCAAGCAGGTATACCATCCAAAATAGTCGTCGCCTACTTTCATCTTCAATCCATGAATCGGGCTCAGAAAGAGTGACCGCCCGCAAAGTGTAGATAGATGGATAGACAGGAGCGATCAGCGAGGATTTCGACTCCACGGCCAACCCTAATTGGACAACTGAACGTGTAATAAGAGCAAGTAACTTCCACCCCGGCGGTCCATTAGAGGAGCCAACCAGATCAAGGGCTAGAATCACAAGAGCCTGAAGCGCTTTGACGGATGAGTTTTCGAGTCCATAAAGAAGCACCTTCTGCTTGGAAGAGTCATGATATCGCTTGCGATTTTGGCCATTGAGTCTGCTATCGGAGGAAAATCGCAAAGTTGTCGCTACAATGGCGTAGAGGACCATACGATCTGCCTCTTCTAGAGGCGATGGGCCGAAAAAGGTATCCAGCGTTGACCGTCGATGAAGAATTGGGCACCAAGAATTGATATGATCAAAGTACAGATCCACCAAGGCGTAAAGCAAATCGTATGGAGGTAGGTCGAGGTCTGGATCTGCGAAAGACTGCTCCTGGTTGGCGAATAGGTTTACCGGGACCTTCAATGAAGATTCGTTCCCAGTGTAGTCACCATTGGTCTGCGCATTCGGAATTGGGGGCATCGAACTCATTCCCGATACTGAGCCTCTGGTGTGCAGGTCGTTCTGCACAAGATTCTTAACTGATGTATCAGAAGGGCTGGTTATCGATACATCTGCGCGACGAGAGGGCAAAGGCACAGATGGAGCGGAATCATGGTAATAAAGCGCAGTACGAGGACTTGGGCCGTGAATTGCAGAAGGCTCCGAGGGAGAGCTATAAGAGAGCGACCCTGCATGGTGAATATCATGGTTCATTGATGATTGGTTCTGGAGGATATGCATCTCAATGAGGCGAGCTTGCGCCTGGATGACTTCCTCCAACCTGTCTAAAATAACAAGTGAGATTCCAGGCCAACAAGATGTGCTGAATACTTGCTTACCAAGCCGCTGTTCCAATTCCTTTCCGTAGCCAGCCCTCAACCCGGGCTTCTTGCGTTCCTTGTACTCACATAATTGGCCGTTCCGCGTGCACCAGCCGCAGCTGGGCTGGACACGATCTAATTCGCGGTTTCAGATTAGACCACGTTTAACCAAAGCAGCCTGGGAGCACATACCGCACTTGACCTTCCGTTGCTTGCATGATTCACAGCTTCAAGTGCATTAGCGACAGATCCCTTGCATGCGCGACCACTAATATGGCATGGTCGCCTCGATGTACGTACGAGACAGTGAGGGGTCTTTTCCGTTTCAGCGCGCGCGCGCTGCCGGAGCCATTGGCCCCAGTATCATTATCTGAATCGACCCCGGACGAGTAATCACCCGGACTCTGCTCCTTCTCAGCCTCGGGGTGGTGATTGGAGGGAGGGGGCAGCTGGACAGGCGGTGCAGCAGCGTTCGGCATTTTGCTATAGCGAGATAGGCCACTGATCTTATCGGGGATCGACCATGACGTGCACTCGGTAGATAGACGGGCTGAATTCCGGGAAGGCTGGGCCGAGAGAAGCGGCGATTGTCCGATGAACGCAGGCAACTAATGGCCGAGGATGAAAAAAGAGGAGAATGAAGACTTTGGGGTCGGAGTCATTGGACCGACGCAGCCTCAGGCAGAAACCGGGGCAACACCCCGCGTTTCTCCACTCGTGGCAGACACGCACAGGTACATCCGTTGACGAAACACTATTTCCCCTGCAGTCTCCGGAGAATTTATACTGATGGGCCAGTCCCTCCGTATGCTCGCTTTATTTTCTCAAAGAATTATCCGTACAAGATTGTGCTCTCCCAGACCTTCTCTGGGGGCGTGGGGGCTCTTAGTGTTTTGCATCGGCAACACGCGCTCAAAATCTGCCGCGGTCGGCTCCGGGCATCTCGGGTCATTGCTAGCCCGAGCCCATTTCAAGTCTAGACGGTTCCAGACGCCAAGCTCAAATGCCAATCCCGTCAATTCCATAGGCCTTTACAGCAACTTGGCCCCAAATGCCTTGCTTCTGTGCGGCTGTCAGTCCTCGCCGGTCCAGAATACCCTCAACCACAGTCCTCCATCGATTCCAGGAGACATTGTTGCCGCCACCACCGACATTGCATACCGGCCAATCTGACCCGAACATGACCCGATTGGCGCCAAACACATCAAATATTACATCTGTCCAGGGCTGGAGGCGATCGACCAAGCCCGAAACATCGGGCTCGACGTCTGCTGTTAGTGGAGGAAGCTCTGAAAATGCCCCGGACAGCTTCATGTAGCTCTTATTGTTCGCCTGGGCCATTCGTGTAACCAAATGCTTCCACTCGAGGAACTCGGCATGGGTCGGGATTGCGCTGGGCGGAAGCCGGAGATTCGGCTTGCATAGATGATCTCAACAGCATCAAGTCAGGCGCGTGATCCATAAATTCAGGGTTCATGGTTTGTCGGTCAAAACTCACTGATAATTATGACGACGGAACTGTCGTTTCCCAGCTTGTCCATCATCTCAACAGCCTCGCGTAATTGGCCCAGCCCACCTTGTCTGGCATCTACCCCAAGGTCAAATGCCAGATTCTGTTCTCCAAGCCAGCGTAGACCTTCAATAAACCCAGGTTCAGTCATCACCCCTGCCGGTTTGTCTTGGACTAGATATCGGACTCCGCAAATTTTGCGCCAAACCTCCTCCGTCATGGTTCGCTCCTTGACCTTCGCCATGTATGACCGTAGGGTTTCGGTGCCACCAGGAACCGGTGCCCACGGGACAATGCCCAAACAGAGATCTCGGTCCACAGCATTGTGTCCCTCGCCTGGAATTGGCTCACCGAGAGCGATTCGTGTCAAGAGTGAGACCTCGTCCAACGCATGGCTCCAACCCAGACTACCAGGCTGGCCATCTGCTACGGATGAGATTCGATCGGTCTCTAAAAAGATAAATCCCCGGAGTAATTTCGTGTTGTTAGTTTCTCTTGGCTTGAGAGCGGAGGATGCCGCATGTCGGTATTCGTCGACGCTGTGCTGCGATCCGAGTGGGCTATTGGGTTCGTACCAGGCGAGGGTCGGGAGATGCGAAGCTGGAAAGAGGTGAACATGCGAGTCCACGATGAATGTAGCCATTTTTGTTCGTGTTTTAGGCTTTCACTTGATCAGGAGCTACTTGCAACCAGCTGTGACGTTGATCGCTCCGTTCCGCTCGGGGGAGACGCGGGGTCAAATGGATAGTGGGCAGTCGAACCTAGTCATTGGCCGCACCAGATTTGGGATCAGGGACTTTGCGGTATACCCCTTGTCTCTCGATCTCATTCACTGCGAATTATGTGAAGGATAGCGACTCAATAACATTGGCAGCAGGAGATGACACCTGCGTGTTGACAGAGTTCCCGTCGGTAGCTTTTGTCCCGAAAGTGGACCCGTGACATACTGCGGAGAAGCACACAAAGTGGGCAGGAGAGCACAGAGGAACACCGTACAGTATATCTACCTCTACGGTGTACGAGCTCAACACATTCGGTGATTTTACTACTCATCGACGATTATAAGCTACCCTCAAAGTCGAAAATGGTATCTTACTGGGTCTGGGTCCTAAACTAGACAGATATACGTTATGTCTTAAAACGCGCCTCTAGTTCCGATCTATAGAGACTTTGATGTGCAGGACTTGGTATTTTCACGAAGTACAAGTTAAGACAATGACAACTCCATTCGAATTGATCAAAGAGCCTACGACCAAGATTCCTTGCCCAATTTGCTCTTACTTGTGGCCAACTGGGCCACGGATGTCAAGGTTGCTCCTCCCAGAATATCAAACACAGCCATCTCAGCTTGCAATTCCCGGGCAAACCAGCTACGCAGCTCCACGGCAACTAGAGAATCCACTCCATATTGATGCAGTGGCTTGCTTGGGTCAAAATCAGCCACGGCAATCGATAGAGCCTTTGAGAGCTTCAGTGCAATGGCTTCGGTGACCACCGCCGTGGCACAGGCCAGAGACCCGACTTGTTGAAGGGATGCAGCGACTGAATCAGTACCATAGCGAGCACTTCCGAGATCATGCGCCACAAGATGCTGAAACATCGGCTTCTTCAACCATGGTGCCTGTGCGGCATTTGGTGACAGGCCCACAGTGACTTGACAATCTGTGTTGCTCTGCAGGCGGACTTGAGGATCGCAATAATAGTCCAACACAGCATGGAGTTGGGGTTCAGTCACCGGTTCCAGTCCCATGTTCGTGATTAACATTTCTTGCAACTGAGAATTCTCTGCTACCGCACCAGCAAAGTCAAACACTCCTAGATCAAGAGCGGTGGCTTTCTCGCCAAGCCCGACACGATGACGAGCCAAAGCATCCTGGAAGGTGTTTCCAGCCGCGTAATTGGCCTGCCCAGTAGTTCCGACTATACCAGAGATGGAAGATAGCATGATGAAGAAATCCATTCCACGTGGAAGATATTGATGCAGGTTCCATGAACCTTGGACCTTGGGAGCAATGGACTCGTGCCATGATTGATGTGAAATGTTCTCGAAGAGCGCATCCTGTGGCTGTCAGTCACTGCTATAAATCAAAATTTCAGACCAGGGGGAGAGCCTACTCGCAAGACCATGGCCGCTTGAATGCATCCTTTGATAGGGGGCATCTGGGACGCACACTCCCGCAAGGCATTTTGCACTGGTACTTCATCGGACACGTCGCATGCTGGTGCCATCACCTGCACGTCTCGCACTCTCAGACTATCGATCAAAGCACGACTCTTTTTGTCTTGACCTCCAGAACGCGAGAGGAGTAGCAGGTGACGGGCGCCTCGATCCGCTAACCAGTGGACGATATTACTTCCTAATCCACCCAAGCCTCCACAAACGACGAATGTGGCATTGGGATCCAATGAGTAGCTCGGCTTATTTTGCAATATGGTCTGAAGTGAAGTTAGATATAAATTTCAGAAGCAGGTCTCAAAACCGGAGCTTACCGTAACCTGGTCGTCGGGACGCATCTCAAGCACCATTTTACCCAGGTGCTGGCCGCCTTGTAAAACTCGGAATCCTTTCTCGATATCGCCCACGCCATACTGATGAATAGGCTGTGATGGGTGCAATTTCCCTTCTTGTACGAGAGCGAATATCTTGTCAAGAGCTGCCGAGCACACTTCCGGCCGTTCAACAGACATAGCAGCGAGATCCACGCCACTGTACGTGACATTTCGAAGGAACTGGGACATCGGAAGTCCTTGGTTGGACAGAATATCCCTCTTACCAATTTCGAGGAATCTGCCGTAAGGTGCTATACATTCCCAGGATGCTAGCAGACTCTCTCCAGCGAGTGAGTTCAGAATTACATCGACGCCTTTGTTTCCCGTTTGGTGCTTTATGGCCTGGGCAAACAAAGTTGTTCGGCTGGAGAAGATGTGTGATTCGGGAATCTGATAGGTATCTATCAGGAATTGCTTCTTTTGTGACGATCCGACAGTTGCAAATATAGTAGCCCCGGCATTTTTCGCAATTTGAATCGCAGCTTGGCCTGTACCGCCAGTTCCTGAGTGAATCAATACTGACTCTCCGCGCTGAATCCTCGCCACGTTATGCAATGCGACGTACGCAGTGGCATAGTTGACAGGCAACGCTGCTGCCTCCTCCAAAGATACGCCAGCAGGAATCTTAACCACGGGTCCATTTTCTTGAACGCGGATTGAAGTGGCGAAGCAGCCTTCATGAAGAGCGGCAACTGAATCTCCAACTCTAAATCTTGAAACTGCGGTACCTATCCGGCGGACAATACCCGAGCATTCAGACCCGACGTGGCTAGCCTTCAACTGTCCAACTGCAATTAAGACATCGCGGAAATTGACTCCTGCGCACTTAACATCAATCTCAATCTCGCTGGCCTCCAGTGGCTTATGTGCAGAGGTATCCTCAATGAAGTTGAATCCAGTGATCAGGCCAGGCGAGGTGGGATCTAATTTGAGGGGTTCCTGACAGTGGAAGCTCTGTACACTCTGTATTTTGGTGCTCGCCTTTTGGGATATGGTCTCGTTGAGATGAACTGGAGTGACAACCCGAGGAATGTGAAGAATGCCATCCTGCTCGATGTACTCGGTATCCACTTCCGTAGCCACTCCCGAGCTCAACAATCGAACTAATTTTGCAATTTGCTGTGATTTTCCATTCACATCATCTCCGGGCTCGATTGAAAGGAGATTCAGCTGTTTTCGACCATCTTCTTCCATCAATGTGCGGAACAACCCCTCAACAAGCCGGAAATGTGGCTTTGTTGGCAAGATACCCCCTCCCTGGTTGATCCACAGTGCACGCAAGGTTGAAGAGAGAAGGGCTTGCAGTTGCTCATATAAATCTTTTTGAATATCCGACCAAACCAAGTTCTCAAGCTCAAGAATAAACACTCTAAGTATCTCTTCAGTTGGCTGGTCTCCCTTTGCCTCGGTCATTGAGACCATACGGACAGGGGCGCATCCAAATAGGCTGCACTGCTTGGCAATGAGATTTGCCAGGACCAATTGATCGGCCTGTGCTGAATCGAATATGATCTCAATCGATGAAACAGAAGATATAAGTTTGTTTTCGGTGGCAGTTGATATCATCACTTTGCAGTCGGGTAAAGGTTTGTTGCTGGAATCCGAGAGCGTTGTATCAAGGCCGGAATACCCAGTTTGTCTCAAAAGCGCATCCCATTCGCTCTGATCCATACATCGCCCAAATTTGGAGTATGGTGCTTGGCCTAAGCGCTCTTTGATGAGCAATATGTTTCACTAAAGAGAATAGAGCAATTCACTCACCTTGCCACCACTGCTCAAGCAAGCCAAACATGAATGCGAATCGACCATCTGGTGCGATCCCATCGTACAAAACTAGCTTCCCATCCCTAAATAGAAGATCAATAAGAGCCTGGAGTACTAGCAGCAACCATTGACTTACGGCTTCAAAAGCTTTCGTGCATTCGTAAGTCTGTTTTTGGCAGATCGGACCTCGCTGAAAATCTGGAAAATAATATAAGCAAGAAAAGCAAACAGTGGGGAAATGAGCATATACCATCGAGATGACAACCATATCATAACTTCCGCATTCAAACCCCTGATCTGCGGGATCACGGTTGATGTCCATGACTTTGAAACCCATTCCCTCAACCTCGGGAGAAAATCTTCCTTGAGCTTTTGCGACATTTTCTGATGAGATATCAGTATATTCGAGGCTTCTGCAACGAGATTGGTTTGTATTGGCTTCAAGAGAAGTGACAATAAGATCTGTCACCGATCCACCACCTCCATCGATCTCCATGATCTTCGCCTTTGGATGACGATGTGAAAAGAGATCGAGATATTTGGTCAATCCATGGAAACCGGGAGATTGAGTAACCTGGTTTATTAGAAATGATCAATCATGTAGCGAAGAGCGATGACTCACGAGCTCGTGATACACTTGATCCAGTATATTCTCTGTTTGCAAGAAGGTCGAGATGTTCAGTTCACCAGTCAAGACCTTTGTCAGGTTTTGAGCAAGGTAGGCATATGGATAGCCTCTTTTAGTCCCCATCGCTCGATTATGAACTTCCTGGACATAGTCGGAATCATTTAGAAGCTTTCTCCATCCATCAATCTCAATTTCGAGCTGCCCTTCTTCCAGCAACTTCTGGCGATCAATTAGCCAATTGTGGTAGTTCTTTATATTTGATCCAGCGACTTGGATTCCTTTCTGTGACAAATATGAGAGCGTCTCCGCAATTCGTGCTGCGATGAGGAAGTCCAATTCGCTACAGAGAGCTTCATGTCCGTCCTTTTTGACGAATCCCGTTATACACAAATCAATGACTTCAACATCACTCAAGAGCTTCAAGTCTGGCTTCCACTCAATATGATGGCACAGGCTATCAACAGATTTCTGAGTGGTGTCTGTAGTCTCCGATGAGCTGACAACATTCATATGAAGACCTTCAATAGAGACCAACGTCTTCTGTAAGTTATCATCGAGTGCAACAATGCTGGCAGCAGGCCCAAGAAATTGCGATACTTCAGCAACCGAGCCATATGTCTTGAGATTACGGGACGCGATGGCTTGGCTATCAACCCATACATTGTTGATGTGTGTGGGGATGGCGGTAGAAATAGCTTCTCCGTTGGAAGGAACTGCTGCCCAGATGGATGTTTGAAGAATAGCATCCAAAGTTGTTGGATGAATGGTTTCTCCCGAAGAGGAGCTGAAATTTCGGACAGTAGCTGTGACTTCAGCACTGGGCTTTCCAAGAGCCAAGTCGGTGATCAACTGAAAAGCTGCTCCGTAGCCATAGCCTGACTTGTTCAAGATCTCATAGATCTTCTCACCACTCGTACTAGACTTACATTTTGCCAAAGCAGCTGCATAGGCGTTCTTTTGAGAATCCTGAAGTTCCACAGACAGACCTTTGTCTATCTCTTCTTCCTTGTCACTGTACACAATCCGGATAGAACCCGAGCAATTTTCCGTCCAGGTTTCATTTGCCAGAGTAAATATCTGGAAGTCAAATCTGGCCGACGACTTCGATTCCATATTCCTCGCCGGGCGCAGATGAAAGCTAGTCTCGATTCCATCTGCGCCTGATGGAACTCGAATTGCTGAGCGAAACTCCACATTCTGCAAATTGAAACCAGAGATTGGTCTTCCCTGGTCAGATAGCTGTTTAGCTGCCTCAATTGCCATGACCAGCATTCCAGCACCTGGGTAGAGAATTGCTCCATTGATCTATTTTCTCATAAGCATATTTTCAATCCATTGTTTTCAAAATGAATTGCTTACCTTGTGATCCTGAACCCACGGCATTTCTGACACCCGAATGAGGTTTCTCCATTGCGCTTCCAGCGGGTTTTGGTCCGGTTCTGGAAGCCCCAGAAGATCATTGCGAGCATACTGTCGCAAGCGGTAGCCTTTGCTGATTCTGCTCTCGTGCCAATAAGATTTTTCATGATTGAAGGGATATTTCGGCAAGTTTGGGAGAGCCATGGCGGTGTGTTCATCCTTGTTCAACAATGAGAGATTAATCGGGTACCCAGCAGCATACAAGTCACCAAAAACAGAGAAGGCTGTATCGACAGCCGACATGTTTCGGACCAGCAACGACAAGTACTTGATGGAGGAACTTCTGTTCATTTGCTTCAGTACATCCTTGCACGCACCCTGTAGGACAGAGTGTGGACCAATCTCCAGGATGTGGTCGATCTTGTACTTCCTCCGGTGACTGCCATCTAGTACCTTTTCAGTATCTGAAGATGCGGCACAGAGAGTTGCCAGGCCACCAGAGAAGCGCACCGGAGAAATCATATTTCGCACCCAGTGAGAGGCCTGACACGGCTCATCTGGATCGATCCAGTCACCGGTAATCGAAGAAACCATTTGCGGCCGAGTATGGTACGCCGAGTTAGTCCCTTCCAACTCGCCTAGAGCGGCTAGGTATTCGGACGCAATCTCTTTCATTTGAGACGAGTGGTAGGCCAAATTTACTTTGAGTCTGCGACAAAACACGTTTTCTTTGTCAAGGCGGGCTTTCAGTGCATCGAGCTGAACACCTTCTCCAGAGATCGTCACACTTTTAGGGCTGTTGATGCACCCTATAGTAAGCCGAGGGACCTCAAACTCAGCACTAGCCAGTTCGATATAAGGCATGACTTCCTTCTCGGAAAGTGCAACTGCTAGCATGGAACCATTCATCTTTGCGCATTTCTCCAGTTGGCTGCTCATATTACCTCGGTAATATGATACTTTCCAGGCCGAGCGTCTGGATATGGCGCGGGCGCAGTACCTGAAAATAATTGTCAGATTATTTGATGGATAATGTCTCTGGATGGGACTTACGCTGCAGTAACTTCCCCAGATGAATGACCAAGGACTGCTTTGGGTACAATATTGAATGAACGGAGAAGGTCCACCAAAGCTATCTGCAGTATTGTGCACAAAATCTGACTATACTCGGTCCGATCGACATTTGACTCGGCCTTGGGCTTCTGAAGCTCCTCTACATCAAATCAATGCCATATTCTTAGTATTTTGGGAGAATTCTTTTACTCACCCAAGGGACTCCATTCGCAGCCCAAATTACGGAGATATTCTCCCGCTTCTTCGATGCTCTGCAGAAACGTGGGATACATGTGGAGAAGCTCACGTCCCATGGCGTACCATTGCGCCCCTTGCTAAGATGATATCAATGACAACAATATAAAATTAGAAGGGGGTCATGCTTACACCAGAAAATATCATAGCAAGGTTGGGAGATTCGCGAGACTGACAGGCTGAGCTGAATCGCTCTCCCACATAGTTGAAATTATCTGACGGACGCGCGACAGCAAAGGTTCTCCACGGTAGGTGTGTGCGTCTAGTGGTCAGAGTATATGCTAGATTATGGAGGAATGGTTTTTTGTTTTCCCCAGACCATGTCGAGAAAAAGGAATTCCAGGTATTTTGAAGGCGAGAGACGCCTCCTTCATCTGCTGCCGACCAAACAAGAAGTTTAGGTGCGTCAAGCTGGGCTGTTCCATTCACTCCATTTTCCTTCGGGCCTGCAATGCCATTTACTTCTGACTTGTTGCTGCGGACAACTGAAGAAAGCAGTGGGGTTGTGTTATGTTTCCCGTCTAAATGATTACCAAGAAGGGAATGGTAGGCATCATCCAAAACGATATGCGTGTTGGAACCTCCGTATCCAAACGAACTGATAGAAGCTCGCCGTAGTCCATCTGTGGGCCATGTAAGAGCATCTTTGGGGAACTTCGATGGTTAGCGGTATTTCGAGCAATGTGTACTGTCTCACTTACTTGGATATTCCAGAATTCGTCGTCAATCCTTGGATTGAGTTGCTGCAGATTTTCACTGTTTGGTGGGATTATGCCTTTCTCTAAAGCCAATATGACTTTGATGACACCAGCAATACCACTAGCACCCTCTAAATGCCCAATATTTGATTTTACGGATCCTCTGAGATATACGTTAGCTTGATAAGACTACTCAGACGAGAAAGCCTACATGTATAATGGCTCTGCCGGCGAACGATGCTGGCGGAAAACTGAGCCAATAGCCTTTATCTCAATCGGGTCTCCGATTGCAGTTCCTGGCCCAAGTCAGAGTCCCTTCTGGTTTTAGTATGGAGATGCATATTCTAACCTGTTCCGTGCGCTTCAAAATAGCGTGTGATACCCATATCGAGATAGGCTTGGCGGTATGTATCTCGGATCAAACTTGCTTGCATCTCTGCGCTTGGTTGTGTGATGCCTGGGGTCTTCCCGTCCTGATTCGATGCAGATGCTCGGATGACAGCCCGGATAGTGTCTCCATCTCGCACCGCATCTTCCAATGGCTTGATGACTAGAACACCGACACCTTCGCCGCGAGAGTAACCGTTGCCACACTGGTCAAAGCTATGGCATCGATTGTTCTTAGACAGAAGGCCCAGATTATCCATCATCAATGTCGACTCGGCCGCTAATAAAAGGTTGCTACCCATCGCGAGTCCCTGTTACTGCTCAGCATGGCAACTTCAAACAAATTTCAACTAAGTCCTTGTTACCATGGTAGACTGGCCACTCCAGATTGATTGACATGTCAGATCAATAGCCATCAGGCTGCTGGAGCAAGCTGTATCGACGGTGGCACTAGGCCCCGTGAGGTTAAAAAACCAACTGACACGATTTGCTAGCATGTTCGAAGTTGTCCCAGTGATATTATACTTGTGCTGGCGCAGAGGATCCTTGGACTGTAATATGAGCCAGTCATGGCCGGATGAGCCTGCGAATACCGCCGTCTTGGACTTAGCGATGTGCTGTAAAGGGATCCCAGCATCTTCTAGCGCATGGAAAGCCGTCTCGAGAATCAGTCGCTGCGGAGGCTCCATGGCCTCGGCTTCTGCAGCCGTTATGGAGAAAAACGGGGCGTCAAAACGACTGATATCCTCCTCCAGAAAATGACCTCCGCGTATCGACAGGCTGTCTAGCCTGTCCATTTCTGGACGGTAGTGGGCGTCAATGTTTAATCGATCCCTGGGAAACTCTGTCATGGCGCAGCGACGCGCTATGATCATCTCCCAAAATGCTTCCGAGCTAATTGCATTCTGAGGGAGTCGAAATGACAGCCCCACGATGGCCAGCGGTTTGGGGGATTTCTCAGTTGGCTCTACCATAGTGATGCTTGCTGGATTTCTTCTCGGGCTGGCAGGATCTAGGACAAAAAGTCAAAATTTCCATGGGAGTCAAAAAAATGTCCACTCTTTTTGCCTTCGCTCTATTATGTAGCTTTCAGATGATTATCCTCTCAAGCTGGCTGCTTGCATGACTTAGCCTGCAAAGCGGAGTCCTGGTTGTACACTTATTGCTTACGCCAATATTGCCCCAATAATACGAAACACTGATAGGTATAATACAATGTTGAAACTATTGGTAAAATTACACCAGACATGCCATGTTTCATTAAGAAATAAAACCGATTGTTAAGCAGCTGAATGGGATCGATCTTATCTGCATGCATTGAATCTGCGTAAGCTGTGCGATGGGCAAGAATTCCTGCATTCCGCTCTGTTTATGTGTAAGCCCCCCTTTTTCTAGACGGTGTATTCCGGTGCCTTGTCAACAGGTAAAAGTATTTTTAGACATGTTAATACATGCCTAAACATGATTTCATTTTACAGCCTGAGCTTGCTGGTTTAATACCTTGGTGTTACCAATCCTATTTTTTAAAGCCTACTTGTTTAGTTTAGCAGGATTCGCCGTCCCCTCCATTGCTTTCTCTTCCCATCTCAGGAACCTCCGCCCGCTCCAGCACGCTTAATATATACAGAACTGTATTCCACTCTTCCACTACCATTGTGGCCATCAGGAGGCCTTATTGACCTCTCTTTACCGCTGCGCATCCTGATCGCCCAACATGCGTGTCTTGTGGTAAGTATTTTCCTGTGCCTGACGTTAACTTCTCTGACTGAATGCAGTCTACATGGAATGGGGAGCAATTGTCGTGTGAGGTCGCCTCATTATACCAATAATTCGTGTCTAATTTCACAAATATTGTCCAAACAGATTTTCAAGCAGCAAACTGGTAATTCCTGGGCCGAAACATCACTATTTCGATAACGCTAATAGACTAGAAAGCTGCACTACGTTATGAGCTTGGAGATGATTACAGCTACGACTTTGTCGACGGGCCTGTCCTTTGGGAGAAGGATAGAGGTACGTTCGCATTCAATTTTTTTTGGTTTAATGACTGACTAAAAACGTGGTAGATCTTGATCAGTATGTGATGGGAGACGAAAATACGTACGCCATTTGCGACCCGACGAAGCCAGATTCCTGTATCCAAGCAATTGAGAACCTTGAGCAATACATTCTAACGGAGGGTCCTTACGACGGCGTGATGGGGTTTAGTCAGGGTGCGAACATTGCCCTTAGCTGGATGATTAAGAAGCAGCGGGAGAATAAGAGGAACAAGACACAGCCGCTACCTTTCAAATTTGGGATCTTCTTTTCTAATCCCTGGGGGGTGTACGATGCCAACGCACTTGCGGATGGCCAACTTGTTTATCTAGATCCTGCGGCCTTTGAAGGACTGATCGACTTGCCAACTGCACATATCTGGGGCACGGGGGACAAGGACCGTGCAATGGCTCAAATGATTAGCAATGCCTGTGTGGCAGAAAAACGATCGGTCTTCATCCACGACCAGGGGCACGAGATTCCACTCAAGAAAGACGCTGTAATTTCGATGGCGAAGGTCATTAATCGGGCAATGGCGCAAGCTCAATTTGTGGAGCTTCCATAGAATCACAATCATAGAGTTCATTTCTCTGCTATTCTCCCTTTATTTTAGCCGAGATAGCAGAAATATTGCTTCATTTTTCTAATCTTGGAAACAGACCCGTGGCGGGAGATTTCTGGCCAAGATGAACGGGAATTGTTGGGCCTGCGTGGTGACGCCACTGGTGACTACACGCTCCCACCGATGCGTTGGCCTAGGCTATTGGAAGGATCTAAGGCCTGAAAAGAATCAAAGATGCATGTATTCTCTTTCATCTTCTATCGAAATTTGAGGTGCGCAGCTCGCCTGTGTTTGTGGTTTTTCGCTTTTTGGCACCTCAGTAACTATGGCTGAGGCTTAGCATGTTGAAAATACCGCTACTAGCAACATTATTATGGTTCATACTGTCTTTGAGCTGACGAGATATGTATCGCCATCCTTATTGGAAAGCGGCGCATCCAAGTTCAGGTGGATCCAAAGCAGCAGACATAAAAGAGTGATTCCTAGCGAGCGGGACTTCTGACTGATCGATCTGATATAGAAGCCACGCTGGCAACACTGTCTTCTATCGACCGAAATAATAATTAAGAACTTTGTCGCATTCTATTGCCCTGCCACGTTCTGTCTAGGCCCCTCAGCTGACTGCAGCCTATCGTTGGCCTTAAACCAGGTGTAATCTTTGTTGCCCTTCAGCCTCAGTCCCACTTGCCTGTATTGTGCGGTATCGAGATCAAAAATTGCAATACATCTTACCGTTTTGAACATACCAAAATGGATCGTGGGCGTAATGAAAACGATCCAATAAGGATACATATGTGATGTAGGAAACGCATACCGCATCCATTTAAAAAGAGCGATAAGGTGAATAAATTTGAGAAAAAGTCAGGGGTTTTCTGAAACCATCTCTCGGTCATGTCGTCGCGAATAAATGTGTCGGTAGCTCAATACCTCTTTGCCCGCATCAAAGAGGTCGGTATTCGATCAGTTCATGGTGTACCAGGTAGAAACAGACCCTTCTCTCCCAAAGTGTATGTGATGGAACGCAGCTCATGCCCTCATGCTATTTAGGAGATTTCAACTTAGCGTCCCTCGATTACATATCCAAAGCGGGACTGCGCTGGATTGGAAATTGCAATGAACTCAACGCCGGTAAATATCACGTCCGTCATCGACGAGAGGGAACTGACCTCAAATAGGATATGCTGCCGACGGTTATGCCCGTGTCAATGGAATATCTGCTTTAATGACAGTAGCTGGAGTTGGAGAGCTGTCGACCTCGAATGCGATTGCCGGAGCATATGCCGAGCGCGTTCCAATCTTGCACATCGTCGGTCAACCTAGTCTACACTCGCAGCGTCAAAAAAAGCTACTGCATCATTCACTAGGCGATGGAAATTTTGCAACCCTTTCCAAGATGTCAGAGGGAGCGGTAGCCCAAAGTGTACAGATAAATTGCGCAAAAATGGCCCCGAGCTTGATTGACAATGCTATCGCCCAGTGCTGGAGCACTAGTAGACCGGTTTCGATCATTCTACCTACCGATATGGTTCACGCCTCTGTTCCGGGGGCAGATTTGGCAAGGCCATTGGATCTATCGGCCTCCTTCATAAATGATAATACACTTGAGACCGACGCCGCTGATGCTATTCTCAGGGCTCTGGGAGCCGCAAAGCAACCTATCCTTTTACTTGGGGGTTATAATGTGCGCTTCACAAAATTGAAGGAGGTACAGTCCTTGGCTGAAAATCTAGCCTTACCAATCTATTTATCACCATCCGGAAGAGGTATTATCGATGAGCAACATCCTAATTTCAGTGGACTTTACTTAGGGGACTGCTCTCATCCATATGTTACCCAGAAGGTCCGGTCAGCCGACCTTGTTCTTTCCATTGGAAATATTCATTCTGACTTGAATGTCGCATCGGTATCATGGAATTTTGATCCCTCAAATATGGTTGAGATTCAGGATGGAATGATTCATATACAAGGCAAACCTCACCCGGGACTCAATAGTGCGGGTCTTCTACGAACGCTCCTGCATCGTTGTTCAGATATTGTTCCGGTGGACATATTTCAAAATGAGGCTCCCTCATCTACAATGACCCTTCTTGAAACAGGCAACTCCTTTATGTCATCTAACTCAAATGTGGCTATCAATCCAGAGCCGGTATACGGAGACGGGTTGATGAAGGGCGTGCTGAGGCGGATGTTTCATACTCTAAGTAACAGAGAGGATACCGGAGACCTGACCCATGACTGGCTATGGCCCAAGCTTAGCACTTGGTTACGCCCTGAGGATACGGTTATAGCCGAGACTGGTACCTCAAACTTTGGGATATGGTCTACTAAGTTTCCTCGTGGAGTCACGTTTATCAGCCAGTACGTGTGGGCCAGCGTTGGCTACTCCCTGGGCGCTTGCCAAGGGGCCGCAGCAGCGGTCCAAGATTCAGACCGACCGGATCGAAGGACTGTTCTTTTTATCGGCGACGGAAGCTTTCAGTTCACTTGTCAGGAGCTGAGTACAATCGTCAAAAACAACCTGACGCCTATCATGTGAGTAGCCCCGGAACAGCATATTAATTCAAAGGCTGAATTACATAGATTCGTGATCTGCAACAAGGGCTACACCGTGGAGCGGCTGATACATGGCATGCATGAATCTTACAATGATGTCCAGGACTGGCAGTATCGGAAACTTCTCGAAGTGTTTGGAGCCGATCGCCGATCATATCAGACACATCAAATTCGGACCAAAGCCGAGCTTTCTGCTCTTCTCAAGGATCAATCATTCAATAGTGATCGCATCCTTCAAGTGAGGCTTTCTCCAATACTATTATGTCTTTGCAGATTTCTAATCCTATCTACAGTTTGTCGAATTACACATGGATCAAAACGATGCGCCATCTGATCTCAAAGCGCTAGCTTCGCAGCTTGTGGCACGCGACTTGCAAATGGAGGCCAAAGATTGAAAAGCAAAATGAAGTGATAAGAATGGAGTGCTGGCCAATGAATGTGATCAGTCCAGCTATGAAGCAGGTTATCGGGACAATTATGGTTGAATAGATGGGCGTACATATTACATTTATTATAGGGCTGTCCTACACGATGCGTCTGTCGGGTGGATTTGCCGAAGTATTCGCTATGTTCATTTTTTATTACGGTAATATTTACATACTGCGTATATTCGTACTATACGGGAATGTACGTTCCTGGGACTTTTTACGGTCAAGCGATCCGTCTTTCATACAACCAGTAGTTCCTTCCCAGCCCCACCATGCATGCGCCTAGGCTGCTGCAGTCAGCAGAGCTACGTGTCTGCAAAGACTATTCCTCAGGTCCCCAAGATCTTTTTAGTCGGTTCCAAGCGAAAAAAAAAGGAAAAATTTATGCATGAGACAGCTTGCAGAAGGGAAACAGCAAGCTACGTTCCCAAGCTCTGTTCATCTCCTCCTTATCAACAAAGTCTTTTGAAGGCCTCCAGAAACAACTTTTTTCTTTCTTTTGCGCTATAGCAGACAATAACATGGCAGATTTATCCATAGTTCACGGGCCGCAAGAGCCTGCACTCTGGTCCAAGAGGCTAGGAGATCTGATTGAGGAACAAGCTCGCAACTTCGGAGATCGTATCGCAGTTGTGACGCCTTGGCAGGACAAGAGATTGTCCTTTAACGACCTTGCGGAGAGCAGCAAAACGCTAGCCAATGCCATGGTCTGTGCTGGATTGCGACTCGGCGACTGCATTGCGGTCATGGCCGGGAACCGATACGAATATATTCAAGTATTTCTTGCTGGGGGGAGAATAGGGTGCCCAGTCCTGCCAATGAACAACGCCTACACACCAGCGGAGCTTGTAAGAGCCTTGCAGAGAAGTTGTAAGTTCTAGATCATCAGGTACCATGTTTAGAGACGATGTCGTACTGAATTTGTGAGAATAAAGCATGTAGATTCCTGTTCATCGCATCAACTATAGGTCCTCGCAGTTTGTCAGCGCATATACAATCACTCATCTTTTCTGATACAAATACAAAGCTACCTGAGTTAGCTGGGATTGTGAGCTTTGGTGAATCCAACATAGACGCACACATTCAAAGTTATGAGGATTTTTTGGCCTCCGGAGCGAAGAGCACAGATAAAGACAATTTTCGGGAGTTTGCTGAACAAATCGTGCGACTTTCAGACAACCTCAGCTATCAGTACACTTCTGGAACGAGTGGGGAGCCAAAATTGTCCATGCTTTCCCATCGGTAAGCACATACTTGAAGTTTCTAATGGATGCAACTTGTTAACTCTTCAAAGTGGTCTGATCAACAACGCACGTCTCGTCGGTGATGCCATGCGTCTTGGCCCAAATGATATAGTCTGTTGTCCGCCACCATTATTCCATACCTTTGGTCTAGTACTTGGTTTTCTCAACGCCTTTAGCCACGGCAGTACGATTGTCTTTCCCTCGGATCACTTTAACGCCGATCAAGTCATTCAGGCAGTCGATCAGGAAAAGGCCACCGCCCTACTAGGCGTACCAACAATGTTTGTGGCAGAATTGGAAATTTGTGATGCTAAACAGATCAAAATCACGACTGTCCGAACGGGACTCGCGGCTGGATCTCCAGTTTCAGAGACACTTCTGGGTCGGCTGGAGAGTCTACTAGGCATCAATGGTATGCTTATTGCGTACGGAATGACTGAAACAAGCCCTGTGACATTTATGACTTCACTTGATGATCCAAGGGACAAGGCAATGACCACTTTGGGCAAAGTTCTCCCGCATACCTCAGCCAAGATTGTAGACCCGAATGGGACGATTGTTCCCCGAGGAGAGAAAGGAGAACTGTGTACCAGCGGTTATGGCTTGCAAAGAGGATATTTCAATAACGAATCAAAAACCAAGGAAGCAATGCGACTAGACGCAGATGGCAGATTATGGATGCATACTGGAGATCAGTGCTGCTTGGATTCCGAAGGCTATTGCCATATCAGCGGTCGAACTAAAGATATCATTATTCGAGGTAAGACATTTAATAATGACCCTTATTTTATTAACTCATTTTAATGGGGTTGTCAGGTGGTGAAAATATGTTCCCACTCGAAATTGAAGAGCGACTGCTACTTCATCCAGCTATCGTCGAGGCTAGCGTTGTTGGAGTTAATGACCAAAAATACGGCCAAGTGGTAGGCTGCTTCCTTAAACTGGCCGCAACCCACAGTAAAGTTCGAGATCAAGAGGTAAGAGATTGGGTGCGTGAAGAATTGAGTTGGCATAAAGCGCCGCAGTATATATTTTGGGTGGGCGACGGAGAGATATGTCCAGATTTCCCGAAGACTGCCAGTGGCAAGCACCAGAAACATCTCATGACGGACATTGCCAATAAAACTCTATTTGGGAATCACTCTGCATCAAGAAACTTGCCAGTGCGCCTGGGATACTCGCTTTTTGGCTTATCGGTCTGTTTGATTCCAGTGGCATTTTATTTGTCGGTGTTTGCATAATATTTCTTGCCCTGTTTTCACCATTCTCAAGTCCATTTATGTTATCTTTCTACACCATGGAACTATAATTTTTAGATATGTGACTTTATTAATTGCACGAGAAGTAGTCATATCTTCGCCATCATCCTTCCCCAAGATTGGAATCAACGCTGCCTAGGTAAGCTATGAAAAAGATATTTCTCTTTGTTGGTTTCTTGTCACAAATATGAATTCTCATTGATTGGAAAATAAAGAATCACTTCACAAAAACCTGACTAAGTTTATTCAAGGAAGGGCAATTTCGTGATTGCATGAACTACGTCAGCCTTCTCACTCGACAGGACAAAGAGCAAGAACATGACCGCACAAGAGCATACCACGGAGCCCACAAAATTGAGAGCAAGTCGAGGACTATTGCCCCATAGACTAGCTAGCCCTTCTTTAGGAATAGCAATAGACCCTTTTTCCCAGCCATGAGAGACTGGGGGGACAGATGGGACCAAGGTTCGATACGAGTTAATCCGCCGGTCCAAGTCTATGGACAAGGGTGTCCGGGCGCCCTTTTGTGCTCGCTCGCGATATCGATCCATTATGGGCACAAATATAAAGCCCCCGTAGCATAGCGGCGAAGAAACATGGCATTGGGCTGGAGGTCAAGGTACTCAATACAGCGGACATAGAGCCAGCGTAGTTCGCGTTTCAATTGTGCCCGATTGCGGCCAGCGACCGATTCAGTCTTTTCTCCTTTCAGGACACCGAGTGCTTCCTTAGCAATGTCCATGGATAAGCAGTCACAAATAGCTGCCATCTCAACGCCCGCATCCTTCGGCCCTTGGGATCGGATGCCACGGGCTGCCAGCAGAATGATAGCCACATTGTGCACACCTGCAGTCATGACACGGAATTGAGTCATCACAGTAGTCTTGCCCAATATTAAGGGGCGAAGGCCGGTATCAATCTTCTCCAGATACTGCATGATATACTGGCGCCAGATCAACATCTCTAGGAGCCGGATATCATTTGGATGGATACCCTCGCCTCGCAGCCCTTCCAGGACTTCAGCCAGGGTATGGCCCAGTAGGCGGAATGAGCCATTGGCCAAGTCCTGCGGTGGTATCACCAAGTCATCGGAGATGGTGCAGAAGGCCAGATATAAATGCTTCCACTGGTGATTCTCCAGTGAACCATGCCATATCGTCCACCATTGCAGTGAGTCACGCATGGCAAATTGGCAAACCTGCTCTGCTGTCTGGTCAACCTTACCACTGTGAAGGCTGTAATCTTCTTTTCGCCGGTCCGATGAGGTGCGAATGAAGTCATCAATATGCTGACACAGCGCATCCATGCTGTCGCATGTACATGGTGGCATAACGGTATCGCCGATGGCGGAGAAGAGCCCCATCACGTCCTCGGGGATCTCTACGCCGAAATTGATATTCTCATTGCGGACTGAAGGTGCTTGAAGCTCGCAGCAATGGGTTGTCAGTCGAATGGGGTTCTCTCCAAAATAGGCCTTGACGGCCTGCCACATTGAGTCCATGATGGACTTTCTTGATTTGTCTTAGAGAAATATCCGTCGTTGTAGAAACTTAGAATAGATGCTGGGAAATAATATATCAGACCAAGACTCGAAAGCACTTTCGGATAAAAACTGATTACGAACAAGGACATAAGCACAAATTGCTCTGCCTTCCATTTCACATCAATCTTTTATCAGCCAGCGGTCATCCCACGGAACATACCTATTTCGCTCGATGACCATCTCCGTGACTCAAATCAAGCCGATGCTCGGCGTCTTAGTCGATGCATACAGCCAAGCTGGGTCCATCTAATGAGCTTTTAGTGGTATTGCTCGGCGTTTGACGTGAAGTCGCCTTTTACCTCTTGTAGGGCTATTTGATATCGACCGAAAAGGAAAGTCCTCCGTCCTGCTTACTTGCATGCTTATCGCGGTTAATCCGACGGTTTGTCTACCGAGGTTCCGATTGGTGGCACGCAGCACCTGTAGTCGTGGATCCGCCAAGACGCGAGGCGCACCGCAGGGTCCGCTGCTTATCCATCTGAATAGTTGCCAACCTCGTAAAGAACTCCAGTTCTAGGTCGAATTTCTTCCATATTACGAAAACCGATATACATCGACTATCAGAATAGTGTATTCCGAGTATTAGTATCGCATTTTCTTCAATCTGCAAATTTCTCGCGGTATCAATAATCTTACATGCATTCTTCTGGTACTTGTCACATACAGTTCTTGGCCCTTGGTTTGGTGGAGAACATATCGGTGTTATCTTTCATGGATAAAACGGTGGGCGGTTATGTAGAGCGGAAATAGGAATATCCTGGATCTACAGTGCTGACCGCAAGTTCGTTGTGAGATTCTCCCTTCTTCCAAGCGTTAGGCGGTCCATTCTAAACAATGCCTTGTTCTGGAAGTTGGCCCTTTTTACCGACGTATCAGTATATGGAAGCTAGACTCTGTAGGCCACATCAGTAGTGTATCCGATGCTGTGGGATTCATGATTTCGTGTTCCGCTCTAGCCGAGAGCGTAAGAATAACTGATGTGATAACGAGATATTCTTAGAGCCTACGACTGCCTTAATTTCTTACTGCATTGAGCAAAGAGACGGAACAGTTTTCTTTCCTCGGATCTGTAGGAAACTGTGCGTATTATGCCTTTTTGGTAGCAATCAGCCAGTCAAATAAAGTGCCAGTGCAGAGGGGGCTACCATTTGCTGTTCGTCTCTTTTCGGGGAAAGGTCATATCATAGCGACGGAGGTTTTACTCTATCCCACCTTCTCTTTTCTCGCAGGAAATAATTCTCTCTGTCCAAATTTCCCCTTTCTCGGTCCAGACTTCACTCTCTTGGCTTCGCTGTCCTATGCAATACCGGTACAATGCAATTAACGTTGCTGTTTCTTCTCAAGGCTGTGGTAGTGATATTTATCCCTGTGAGCATATTTCTTTCAGCTTCATCACTTCTGCTTAAGCTAATGGGAGAAGTATTACTTCTTTTCTGCAATCTATAATGTGTTCTTCCATCCGTTGAAACGTTATCCAGGCTCTCGTCTCATGGCCGCCAGTCGGCTGCCCATTGTCTACGGGGTCCTCACAGGCCATTCGACGGGGTGGTTAAAAAGGCTACATGCCAAATATGGCCCTGTTGTGCGCGTGGCTCCCGATGAACTGAGCTACTCCTGTGCCAGTGCCTGGAAGGACATCTACGGAAGCACCCCATCACGTCCTTCGGGAATGCCACGCGACAATACTTTTTTCCGCGCAGTCGAGGACGCAAATGGGATTCACTCAATCCTATCGGCCAACAACGAAGACCATGCCCGAATGCGCCGCCTCTACGCGCAAGCTCTATCTAAGCGAGCTCTTGCCGCACAAGAGCCTCTGATCCTGAGTCATGTCCATCTCATGATGGATAAACTTCAGCTACAGGCAGAGAAAGACCAGCCTATTGATATCGTTGATATATTTAATTTCACGCTATTTGATGCAGTATGTGACCTCCAATTTGGAGAGTCCTTGCATTTGCTAGATGACGAAACCTATCGTCCCTGGGTACGGAGCCATCTGGGGGTCATCCGCAGCGCTTCCCTCATCGCGTCACTGGCCGACTTTCCCATACTTCGAGTCCTCTTTGGACTGGTGCTCCCACGATTGATTAAGACTGAGCGAGAAAGTTATTTCAAGATGCTGAACGAGCGGCTGGATCAGCGTTTGGCCGCGGGTGTCAAGCGTCCCGATCTCGTGAACTTCTTCATTGAGTCCCGCAATGAGGCCAACGTCATCTCTGAGGGGGAATTCCGTGCTACTGCCCCAATCATTATGATGGCGGGTAGTGAGACAAGTTCCACTGCACTCAGCGGCTTCATGGCCCATATGCTGCGGGAGCCTAAAATCCTGCGCGAGGTGCAGAATGAAGTTCGCGCCAAGTTCCAGAGTCGAGTCGATATCGAGATGAAAACACTCAAAGACCTCCCGATGCTGGATAAATGCGTGAAAGAAACGCTTCGTGCTTATGCTGCAGTGCCAGGAATTCTTCCTCGTATAGTTCCAGCTCCTGGGGCCACAATTGCGGGACAATGGGTGCCTCCAGGCGTCCGGGTCTATGTTACCTCCTTGGCTGCATTTCGCTCGGCTGCGAACTTCTACGATCCAGAAAAATTTGCACCCGAGCGATGGGATGCAAAGCCTGACGCGAAATTTATTGACGATGAGCGTGATGCTTGTAAGCCATTTTCAGTGGGAACCAGAGACTGTGTGGGTCGGGAGTAAGTGGGCCTTTAAGACCTCGAACAAGAAAATGGACTAATATTACTGCGCACATTAGGATGGCACAGTATATGATGGCCTTGATTCTCTGCAACTTGATGCTGCATTTTGATTTTGAGAATGTTCCTGAGAACAAAAATTGGTTTGCCAACCAGCGGATCTGGACGATTTGGGATAAGCCGGCTTTGATGGTGAAATTGATCCCGGTCCGGGCATCTGTTTGAGCTGTCTGAAGGGAAGATAGGGTCCAATGATAAAAAGTGGGGCGGTCTAAAATAACAGGTCAGATAGTCCTCATTCTGCAAATGGTGCCGGTAGTTCGTCAGGTATCCACCAATTAGGCGCCAACAGCTCACATGCATATGCACTGTTTCGGGTCACATCTAGCTCTTTCCATATTTATCCTGCTGCACACATTTAGATCGAGCAAAAACGAGGCACATAAGATTCGTAAGCACTTGTATCAATGTATTCAGCAGTATGGCTGAGTTATAATTTACTTTCCATGGAGAATTCATCTGCTGGACTTCCAAAGCATTACAGGCGAGCTTGACCAGTCTAAGTTGTAAAGATACACTCTCCCGCTAATATATGTTCAAACAATCCACCACAAATAATTGTTGGGACACTCACATTATCACCTTTAGTTCTGCACAGTTTTCAGACTCTAGTCAATATGGAGTCGTCTGCCATCCCACCCACCTTCGAGTCCTATCTCCTCACGCCTTTGGACTATCTTCCTCCTCCAATGCATATGACTGCTTATTTGACATTTCTCCTCAAGGATCCTGCTCAAGCTGTTCCAGTTTTGGAAGCCGCGGTGTCGCAGTTGGTTTCCCATCTGCCCTTTCTGACAGGAAATGTTGGCCCCTCGAACACCTCTGTTCCAGGTCGACAGAACGTCCGCGAAGTCCGGCCCTCAACAGTGAAAATAATGAAGCAGTATCCAATGCTGTCAATCAAACATCATCCCCAAAAATATATTTCCGCAACGGACCAAGGGCAAGTCATTTGCTATGATGACACCTTCACGGAGGAATACCTACCCTTGCCGCTCCATTTCGCCACGGCCGATTCCAGTCCCGTCTATCGCTTTCAAGCCAACATCCTCGAGGACGGAATCATCCTGTGTTGTAGCGCTCACCATATGGCTGTCGATGGAATTGGCCAATGTCTTGTTCTCGAAGCATTGGCCTCCTGCTGCCATGCGTCTGATGGCAGTTTGTCTCCTCAAGACCTGCTCACCACCCCAGCTCACGAGAAAAGCACTCGCAACCAGATTCTACAAGCATCAACTTCCATCATTCCTCAAAATAAAGGCCCTGGATCCGGTCAAACCTGGGGAACGCCTCCGCCTGATGGATCACAAGTCCCAATCAGCCGCAAATTCGTTCTGTCGCCCGACCGTGTATCGCAATTGAAGAGTATGTGTAGTGCCCACCTACCCCAAAATAGCATCTCCGACAGCAATCTCTCCCGAAATGATCTCGTTCTAGGATTGATCTGGCAATGCGTGATACGGGCCCGTTCAATGCTTAGAGGGCCCGAGGAACCATCTGCGCGATCAAGCCTCAGCACTGCGATCGATGTACGGGCAGCATTGCGCCCACCCCTGCCACGCACTTACATGGGCAACGCGGTGATGACTATTCCGCTTATAAGCCCCATTTCCAATGCCGAAATGGTGGATGCAGGCAGTTCATCAGTTGTCGCTGAGCTCTTGGATCCTACTCCGGGGGCCTCGGCCGTTGGGCCGCGTACTCCGGTCGATGCGACTCGCTTGTCATATCTTGCGCAGATCGCGTTGCTCATCCGTCGTGGGAATGCTTCTGTTGACAATGAATACATGCGCCAACATCTTGCGCATATCCATGCTTCACCTGACTGGTCTATCTCGGCGGCATCGCGACCTGCTGAGTTTGGACAAAGTAGTCTGCGCACCATCGGCACCTATCGATTAGATTTTGGTTCTGTTCTGGGCCGAGTGAGAGATTTTGATGTGCCGGATCCCCGATTCCGAAGCGCGGCGTGGATCCTTCCAGCTCGGTTTAAGGATGCGCCCTGGGAGATCCGCTTGGTGCTGGAGCCTGAAGCAATGGCGCTGGTGAGACAGGATCCGTTATTCCGGTGGACACAAGGCGAAGAAGGACCAAAGCTGTAGATAAGAACTATATAAGAAATTCACTCAAAGAATATACGTTGTATTTAGTGTGTCTCCTATCTACTTATTCAGATATATCCACGGCTTTTCTATCTGACTCCTCCATCTCTCACCAAAGATTTGGCCACCTGTGAGATTAGGTCCAGGTAAACGCTACTCAGCAAACCTATCTATTAGCCGCACCATCAAAGCCGGCTTATGCCAGATAAAGTATGAGTGCTGATCACTCCATTTCTTACTCTCTGGGCATAACTCCAGATCAAAATTGAAGACTAGTTTCACAATTGTGAGACGCATCTCCAGGTATGCCAGACTATGATCGGTCAGCATTCGCTATCTCCGATAGGATCGACAAGTGAAGCACCTTTTCCCCAAGCAATTTCGGGCGCCCAAAGAGAATGGCTGCAAGGTATCTCTTTGATCCGCTTCAAATTGGGGATCGGATTGCAGCCATCGTTCCGGGAGGAACTCTTTGGCACGGAAAAAGTTCGATTCGCTCATATACGATGCATAGTGCGGAACGTGAACATTGGTCTGTCTAAGTAAGCCACTGTCCTTCAATACAAGTTATGATGGATTGAGTACAGACATCTTCAGGAAGGAAATTACCGGCAACCGTTGCACCTCCCGAAGGGACAACGCGGGGTAGATGGGCCGCCATGGGGGAATATAGTCGCAATCCCTCATCTATAACAGCATCCACGAAGGGCAGGTTGGCGCATTTGGCATTGGTTATCTCCACATCATTTGAAAATTCTTCTCGCACATCATCGATTAATCTTTTCAGTGCAGAAGGGTTGGTGCAGAGGTAGTAGATACAGCCGGAAAGGGCCGTGGCGGTGGTCTCGCTCCCTGCAAGAATAATGCTAGACAAATTTTATTAGTTCAACGACCACAGTGGATGGCCAGGGCCACTGACAAAGTTGAATTAGCATGAATCTCATGACGAGACATTTGAATAATAGGCTTCTCTCCTAGCATTGATTGCGGCGAGCTGCTGGCATCGGCTATCCCGTTCTTCAGCATGGCCGACATGAAATCCGCCCGGGCTATTCCTTGCGCTATTCGCCTCTCAGCCTTTTCCGCACTAAGCTTGAAGTTTTGCATCAACTGTTGTCTGAACCAAGAAGGGGTGCAAATCTCTTGTAACATAGCGAGTATGGGAAAATGGCGTATCGCACTGAGGATGGTGGTTCCCATGATACTGCTAAAGATAAACTCGATCCACGGATGCAGCTGGCTATCACGGAGGCAGTCAAATGTTTCGCCAAACATAAGATCCCCGGTAATGTCAAAGGCAGCGAACTCCAACCATGCCTTAATATTCACATTTTTGTGCTGGCGCGCCTGGTCACGCAGGCGAGAAATGAAAAGATCCATGAAAATGATGATACGCGGCTCCAAGTCGCGAATCGATCGGTCGGAGAAACCGTGCGCCAATAGTCGTCGCTGTCTACTATGAGCTTCATTGCTGAGGAACCCACCAACTGCATCGCGGGTGGGCATCAGCGAAGAGCCGTAGACTTTAGGGTCTTTGGGGAACTGCGGTACACCCGGGCGGAAACCATAGATATCCCGGAACCCCTTTGCAGTGTTGAAAGACAGAGTTGTCGGTCCAGTCCTAACTATGGGTCCATAGTGATTGTGGAGAGCAAGCATTTTGAGGTGGTGATGCCCTCTCATCAAGCTAATCTGGGATGGAAGATTCGAGAGAGCCCATAGTTTGGGGCCAGGATACTTCGCCAGCGGCGACACCAATAACTCATGCACCAGTACGTAGGATGTCCAAAGTACAATCTAGTCCGTGTTGGCTCAACGCACATTAAGTCTAGAATTAAATTTACTCACAGCACTGGATATAACGAAGGTCCATGACCAGTTGGTGCATGCTGTCAAGAGAGCCGTCCAGGCAAATTCCGCCAATGTACCACTTGTGGTCATTTTGATAATAAAAGCTTGATTGGAATCAAGGGCTCTCGATCAAAGGAGTATCGACTTAATGAGTGAAATAAGGCCACTCAAATTATCATTCAAAACGATGTCTGTAAGATACGATACTTCATGCTACCATGAGGCCTCGGCTACTTGCCCCGCCTATCTTCTCACGTCAGCCACTGGCGAACTTGAAAATGGGTCTACTAACGAAAACGGCAATTCCTATTTTCACAGATTGATGACTTGTATTTAAGATCACTAATCTCATCTAATGGGTCAAATTTTCCCTCTTGATTTCAGCCTGTTTTGGTTGGGGTAATAGGTGGGGCTGAAGACCGGGTCTAGTTGACCATACTCTACCAAATGCCACGTCGACAGCAGGCTTCAATACTAAATTGAATATTCAGTAGTCAAGGTGAAAAATATTTAGTGAGTTCAGAAATTTTTCTCACTATAAGGAACCAAATCAAAGAGATATTGATCGCCAATATCTTACAAATGAATGGTTTACCGTATAAACCGAATCTTCATTTTATCTTCCAATTAGATATACGTTATTCCAAGGAGTAGCACATGGTATTGCCCTTCCCCATACATTCTCTCATTCAGACGTTACATTATTTAGTTCTGTATTTGGCTGGGCCAACTCTAGAAAGGAAGTCGTTGAATTCTCGTCACTATTCGATTGTTCTGCCTCAGGCCGCAGCAGGTGACATAACCATTGGCAAGGACGACGGGAGAAGGATTTTGTGTCTCTGGCAGCCGTAACGCGTGTTCCTTTCCATGGCTATTGATGGAGGCTTAAATGTTCTATTCTCTCTTTCCTTGCACCAGTTGACTCAAACAAAAGCTCATTGAGCTCGCCTTTCGTCTCGTTTTTATTTATGTCTCCCCTGTCGAATTAAGGCCACGTCGGAAATGTTGCAATCGAGAACCAAATATGCCACACCCCGGTTTGTGAAACAACCATCGCCAAATCCCCATTAATCAGCAGCTACTTATTGCACTGGATCATTGCAGAAGCTGCCTGCCTAACATGTCGGCAGAAATCGCGTCGATGCGATCGCGCCCGACCAATGTGTAGGCGCTGTATTAGCAAAGGTTTAGAATGTGGAGGCTATCCTGATAAATTCCGCTTCTGTGGAATCGCGAGCCGTGGCAAGTGGAAAAACCAAGATGTCCCGTTTACTGATCAGGAATCTTCAAACATGAAGATCTCGAAGTCAAAACAAACGAATAATATTGAAAGTAAAGAGGCCTCGACCTCCCTAGCCACAGGTGCTCCATCACCAAGCCTTGCAGCGGACAAAGAGCCAAATATCAATGAGATTCTTGGTTCTACCGAAGCGGATACTCTTCTCAGGCACTGTACGTCTTGGGTTTTTACTCAAGCATATTGGGACTTGGGCTAATATCGAATTCTAGATGATCGCATCATCTGCCCTCATCAAATAGCCCAGAGAGTGGATGGCTCTAAAAACCCATATCGACTGTATGTGCTTTCACTGGCATATGACCAGATCGGGCTTCTGTATGCTGTACTTGGGCTTTCGGCATGTCATCTTGGACATTTGAAATCCGACCGACATCTCTATGAAACAGTTGCCGTTGATTACCGTGTCAGGGCGATCACGGCGCTCGGAGCCTGTATCAGAAAGGTGTGCTCTGGAGACTTCACCAGTAATGAGCGTGATGCGGCATTTGCGACTATTCAAGTGCTTCTTCTCCATGACGTGAGATGGTCCATCTGGTGCTTACCGACTCTATCTAATATGTTTCTCTAGATCTGTGAGTCTGGCATCTCAACACACGGAGCTCATATATCGGGCGCTATGTCCATTTGCTCCCAATTAGAACTCCATCAGCACCTTACTATAAAAGATGAGAGGACAGTATTTTTCTTGGGAAATCTTGTTTGGTAGGTCATCCATCATTTTCACAGCGAACCCAAACCCCAAACCCTGTGACTGGAACTCATTTCTTGTCTTCTAGGCTGGACATCATTCGAGCATTTTCTTTGCCGGAGCGAATTTGCTTCTCACAGGAGCTTCGCAAGAAACTTTTATCATTATGCGACTTGAGATTTGAAGCTGTCAACGGCTGCCCACGAGAAATTGTTTTGGTCATGGGTGAAATACTGGAGAGCGCCAAAGCACATTCCCTTGGTCGCCTAGATCGACAAAGGCTTGATAACACCGTGCGGGAACTGATCCAAAAGCTTTATGATTGGGATATCTCGCGCTGCTTCTACCCTGATGATGACAGACTCTGGGTTTATATTGCGGAAGCATTTCGGCATACATGTGTTCTGCGCGCTTGGCGTTTACTTGATCCATTCGAACCCTCCGCCGAACTGCACATACAAAAGTCTGTCACCTCGATATTAGATTCGCTAGCGAATGTACCCGGGAGCAGTCCCCTCATTGAACTCGCCGTCATGCCTCTATTCATGGCTGGTGCCGATAGCCTTTCACCGCATTCGCGCCATTACGTTGCATTACGACTAGGAGAGATCCAAGCACGATCTCAAATGGGAATTCTAGCGCCTCAAACGTTACTTGAGAGAGTGTGGCATGCTCGAGCGCAGCAGCCCGAAAATGATAAACGCAATATTCCTTGGATGCTTTTCGTAAGTTCAACCTCCAGCACAGCCAGCTTCTTGCTACTAATCTTATCAAGACTCATAACTCCGAATCCCCTCATCAGGATGATTATCTCATAATCTAACTCGATATTGAGCTTCGATTTCAAATTTTTCAACTCCATCTTAATTCCAAATATGCCCTACCTCATCGGAATCAATTTAGATGAATCAATCAGGCAACTCTACCTCAATGATCCCCATTTCATCACCTCCATGTTCCCAAAATTTCACGATTTTCATGCCAACAGAGCTGAATAAGTCATTCCATCCCTGTCTGGTTCGCTCTCGCCCGGCACAAAGGGCCATAACGATTAAATCCACCATGCATGGGTATAATCGTGCATTTTGGTCGGGCAAAATATAGTCTTCCACCAATATCTTTGAAAATCCAGGCTTCATAGCCGACTTGAGGTTGTTCAAGATCACAGTCGCTTTCTGGTCAGACCAGTCATGAAGAAGAGATTTCAGGTAATACACTCGAGCACCTAGCAATACGCCAATAGTCAGCCTGACCCCAGTAGCTACTAGAAATATTGATGAAAATTAGTCACCTCTGACAGGTTGCACCTGAGTGAAGAAATCGTATGCAACGGTATCGATCGCTCTGGCTGTCAAATTCTGTACGCCTTGAGCCTCGTCAATCACCGCCGGAAGATCCTCCAAAATTAATTTTCCAGCGGCATTTGGAAACCGGTTCCGAAATGCTATCAGGTCATGGCCTCGTCCCCCTCCAATATCAACCAGGAGGGGAGACTCAGCCGTCACATCAGGATGGTTGAAGATCCGCTCGCGAACGGGGAACCAGTCGCTCCAATGTAAATAATTAGGCCGATGCCCCTCCATGAAGCTATTGAAACGCGTCAAAGCATCTGGATTCTGGCCTAGCCACTCAAAAAGTTCTATATTTAGGTTATTTGTAAACTGGAAGGGGGCGAAAGTTGGATCGTCCGGGCTTCGATAGTTGGTCAATCGGAGGTATTCGGCAGTTTTCTGAAGTGCCGGCAGCACCTCAATAAACCTGTTACTGCTATCAGATACGTTTTTCCATTTTCCAAGGTGAAGCATTTCTGGAATGACTTACATTGACTCTATCACCCCTATGGAGGCTCGCTGGGTCATCTCGGTGGACACGGAAGTGGGTAAGTATTTGCGAGGCGCAGACTCTTGTACAATCCCATCCGCGACGAGAACTTTCATTATGCGCTCTAATACCACACCTTAGCCGATTGATACACTATTTGAGCTATACAACTCGTCAATGGTCGTACGTACCGACCAACAGAGGATCGGCTGATCTTTCAGCTGCCAACACAGCCAAAGGTACTGGCGAAGTTGCCTGTGCCAACAGCGTAAAAACTTTCAGATCATGGGCTACCTTGACAGCCAAGAAGATAGCCGGCTGATATTTTTGACTCGTCTTTCAATTACTCTTTGCCCATATCTCATGACGTCTTTTTAACTTACCGAGTAAGCCAGCTTGAGAATGGCATCTTGAGGTCTCTCCAGAGCGCGTACTATCTGAATAGCCTTTTCTTGAGCTTGAAGACGCGACGAATCTACCCCAGTCATTTGAAAGTCATCGATCAGAATTTTGGCTTCCTCTAGTAGACTCTGCATTATCTGGAAGTCCATCACGATCATAGTAAAATTTGACGAGGCGAATATTGCATAGATTAAATGGCGCTCTAGATCTGCATAGACTCCCTGGGAACAATCTTCATAAATATAATGGCATCTTTCAAACCCCTTGTCGCTCTTCTTTGTAGCCTTTGAATCACACCTCTCTTGTCCCTGCTATTTTGTTCTCTTTTGGAGAAAGGGGATACGGTAAGTGGTGACTTAAAGGCTACCTTTCTCATCTCATGTTCTTTCAGGCAGCAAAGATTCAAGCAATATCCTTGTTGCTTTATGGAACATCGTGAAAACCTAATGGATATCTTAGGCCCCTTAGTCGCAAAACTGTCCAATTAAAATAAAGATAATGATAATTCTGGATTCAAAATACCGAGCTATCATTGGTCACCATTTTCATACAGCTAGACAAATTATCACTAAGAAGTCGAGTCATAAATAGATCTTCTCCTTTTACGCTCATCATAAGCAAACCCCGTCTAACAAAGCAAGTCCTTATGATTATGTATTCTTTTCATCGATATGGTCATCATGGCAAGGAGTCTCGATCTTCTTCCGAACATATGTCTGTCTTACCAGATCACCCTCATGTTGACAGATCTCCCACTGTCCAATACCATATCTCTCTGGAGCACGCTTGAGGCCCCGGCCTCCCCGCCAATGATCAGATTCCCCGGCCGATATTTCGGGTCGATTTGCATACGGTGAATAGCGGAGACATGGATCTGTGCGTTTTCGGGGATATCACGGACCTCCCCACAGGGGAGAGGCCAACGAATAGGTTTCCAAGACCCATCGCGCTGGAGATCCATTCGCCGAAAGGGCAAGTATTCCATCAATCGCCAGGACAAGGTTGAGAAGAACGACAATCCACCACCATACGTGAGACAGTCATGTACGATGGCCTGATCCATGGTATTGGTGAGAACTTCGGTGAATTTGTCGGTTTGTGTAGGGGCCCTTCCCTGGAAGTTATCTGATCCATTGGTCTCTTTCCATGGGATTTCCACGTCTTGGGGTTCCTCGAAGCAGTTAAACTGCTCAAGTTTCTCGGCGTCAAACTCTAAGCCGACAAGCTGTGCTTCCTTCACCATCCAAACGAGAGGGATGTGACACAAGGGCCAGGGATCTTTTGGATCCAGCTTCCACCCTCCACCAATGTCTCCATGCTGCCCAGGGAACCATACCTCGGCAATATCCTGTCCTGCTTCCTCTTCCTCGTCACCGTCCGGAATTTTTACACTTGGAACTTGAAGGGACGCTCTCGATACAGCGCTCTTCATCGAAACGCGATCCGACAGCAGCGCATTGTTCCTGGGAAACTCCGAACTAGCTCGTCGCCGCGGTGAGGGCGACAACGCACGGTATCTCATCTCATCCGAATCGCCCCCAGCATGAGACTTGCGACGCCCCTGTCTCGCTGCATCGCTGTCCGGCTGCGGCAAAACAATCTCAGGCACATTTTGCTTCTCTACATTCTCCTCTCGAGATAACAAACGCCGTAATCGGTGCGAATTTTGCTGTGGCCCTGATTTCGGCCTAACGTCTGAAATCAAGTCTTGTCGGAACTTTGCGCGGCGCTCATCAATCGAGACCGCATGTCGAATTACCCGCGCCGTGGTCTGCGCTGTATATGGGAATTTACTGCGTTCCATCCACGCATTCTCGAACATGGGCACACTATTGACGGTATCAAACAGACCCATGAACTGGATCCGACTCACAGGCCGACTAAAAGTCTCCCGAAATGCCTTCATAAAGCGGAACAGCTTGTGCTTCTCTTTATCGCTGGCCTCGGATCCACTCTGGCGCTGCTGCCACTTGGCAAACGTCTTCCACGCAAAGCGAATAAGCTCCTCGTTGCCAGGCTGCAGGAGCCCAATGTAGTCGAGCATCTCGGCCAGGAAGCGCGCAGTATAGGAGCCGCGGCTGAAGCCGAAGAAGTAGATGTCGTCACCGGGAGCGTAATACCGCATCAGAAATTTGTACCCCCCGAGCACATGCTCATCGAAGGATGAGCCAAGCGCAGCGTCCTTGGCTTTCTTGTAAGACGATTTGATGCGTTCCAGGCGGCCTTTGCTGCCGAGGGAATGCGAAGTCACATATGTTCCTATGCCGGGCTGGTAGTAGTGGTATTGGTGGCTTTGGCTGCGGTTCAACATCTGTAGCAGGGAATGCGAGTGATGAGAAAGGGAGACTGCCAGTCATACTTCACATCGACAGGGAGGGAGGGGTTGGATATGCGACTCACACGATAGATCTTCAGGAGATTAGTATCCGATTCATCTCCAGCGAACTTATTCCCTGTTCCATCGAAGCACAGCACAAACTGTTTTTTCTGATATGGTCCAGCCAGCTCGCTCCTCTCATGGTGATCCATCTTGAACAATGGTCTAGCGTACGGATAGCGGCCCCGATGATTCGGGCTTAAGATCAACGAGATCCATGGTTCTTATTTAAAGGATCGATTGAGAGCGGAGGAATCCACGATCCAGCTTGAGGGGAATGTCTTAGGCCGGAGTCTTGGTGCATCTAAGAGTTCTAAGACTCTAATCAAATCACAGGGCAATATTGACCCACGCCCTATTATCCCGTCTGATGCTTGGCCTGCAGATCGCCCGAGCGCCAGCTTTACCGCGTGGGCAGGTCCATTCCTGCCTGCTGGTTGGGCCGGTCGGGGGTGGGTCGATTCTGCAGCTACGTCGCGCTTTGCCTGTTAGAAACTGAGGGAACCAATTGAGGCTGATCTTGCAAGGGTTTAAGGCTCGGCTGAGGATTTGGCTGGCGAACATGTTCGCCGCGAATAGATCTCATTTGCTCGATTCGGTGGATCCCTTCAGGAGCAGTCCATTGATCTATGCGAAGTACAGAACTCAACCCAATTACAAGATGCCCCGACCATTGCACAATTATCAAGAATAGAGCTCTGCTCTAAGTCGTGTTAGGGTTGATTTTATTTTTTTGGTTTTATTTATCGTTCTCTTGGTCATCAGTACAAGAATTGTTCTTGGGTGGTGTTCATACATTTTCGCATCTCCATCTTCTCATCTTCTCATTTTCTCATCCCATACTGAATCGTTATTCGCGCCAATTGTCTCACTTCCGCTTATTTTGAGAAGAGATCCCATGGTTCCAGTCCCTCTCATCAGCGTTTGAAAGGTCATCTATGTCCTATTCAGTATCTAGTCGGTTTTCGGGATCGCTGCGGGGGTAAGATGCATGATTTCAGCAACCTCCTCGTCAATCAGCGGGCCCGAATACTCTTTGCGAGCACGGACAAAGTACCAGATCCCACTGAGGATCAGCACGCCCGCCGTGACGACGATACTGTAGTTCATGGTTGTGTAGTCCACGGGAGTCGACGGAGGCCACACGCTCCAGAAGATAACAAATAACATATACACACAGGCGTACGCATTGTTAATGGTGCCAAGGATGCCAGGCACCTTCCAGGGCCCCCAGATCAGGGGGGCCTGGGCGATGTCGAATTCCGTGGGCTGGGCACGCTTGGTCTCGGGCAGGTCGCGTTCGGGGCTGGATGCAGGGCCAGGGCTGGGGAGACGGTCCTTATTCACGGGGCTTTTAGGGCGCACGGGGGCAGCATGCTTTTCGTCAGTAGTGGTGCTGGCGATAGCGGCAGCATCCGGGAGACCGTCCATCATGGTGCCATGGGGCAGGATATGGCCTTTGATGCGGTGGTAGAGAAGAAACGCGCTGGGGATGAAGTAGGTGCTGTAGAAGCCGGTGACAGTCAGAGAAATAACGTCATTGAAGGCCGTAGTGGAGCCGATATAGATGAGCGTCAGGGCGCAGGCCAATCCACAGACTACGAGGACAGATACGATGGGAATTTTGGTGCGATGGTTCACCTGCTTCAGGAAGCGGGAGAAGGGCAGACCCTGATCTCGGGCGAAAGACCAGGTCATACGAGACGCGGTGGCCGTAATGCCGATCGAGCAGGCCATGGTCAGCACCATGATGACCGCCGTCATCACGGATGCGCCGGCATATGAATGGGTACTGTCGTAGAAGATCTGAATGAAGGGAAACCCTGTGGCGGAGTCCAGGACCGATTTCACATCGCCCAGGCAAAACAACACCGTCAACATCATCGAGAATCCCAGGGCGCTGTTGAGGGTCATGCCGGTGATGATCGCACGGGGGATCACCACAGCGGCATTGGCAACCTCCTCAGCCATATGAACACTGGCATCGGCGCCGACAAAGGTGGCGATGTTGCCAATGAAGCCCACGCAGTAGGATATACCCTGGGTGGGCCAGCCTCCTTCATTCAAGGAGGTATGGAAAACAAAGTGGGCCGACTTCTTGGGAGACATGGCGAGCAGAGTAGCCGTGATGCCGATGAAACCAACCAAATGCAAGACCAAGATGGCAATCTCTAGACGAGGAAGCGTATTGGGCAGCACCACGTTAATGAAAAAGGTCCCCGCAACGCTGGCCCAGGCCAACAGGGTATTCTGCCAGCGCTGCTGGACGAAATCCGGGTTGTTCAAGGTGATGAGACCTTCGATCATGGTCCCCAGGAAGATGGTCTCGGTGGCGATAGTCGCGATCCAGGCCAATGAGGTCAACCAGCCGATCAAATAGCTGGAAACTTTCTTCCAACGCATCGGCGCCAGCATGTACACCCAGTAGTACTGGCCACCGGCAATAGGGGCCATGGAGGCGAGCTCAGCAATGACCGTGTAAGTCGATAAAGTCGAGAGACAGGCAATGATATAACCATAGAAGGCACCAGCGGGGCCACCATTCTCAAACGACTCGTAGAACAAGGTGAGCACGGTCTCCCAAGTGATCAGCTCCGCCATGGCAAACCCGACGATGGAGAAGAAGCCGAATCGGCGCTTCAGCACCTGTTTCTTGCCTAACCGTGCCAGGGCTTGGTCATCGGTCGACTCAAGACCACGAAGGTCGGCCCTTAAATCGGCCATTGCGGGTGGGAAGGGAGTATATCGGGACCGGCCGCGTGGAGACTGAAGCAGAGAGAGATCGAAAGATCGGATAAGACGCGCTTATGCTCCCCCGCACATGATCTGGATTAAGCAGGGATAGGCACAAGACGTCCTAGAATTCAAATTCCTGTGAAGATCACCAGGAATCTGGGCGAAAAGGAGAAAAAAAAGGCCAGTGTGATTCCTTTACCGAGGAGATGAGGCCGCGGCTGGTTTTAAAGGGAGCCGAAGCCGTTCGCTAAGCAAGCCCGACTCCACTTTTCGGTCGCCTTGGCTCCGCCAATGCGGCTAGAGCCCCCGGACCCATTCACAACGCTCGCACAAACGTGGAGGCGGGCTGGGGTTGTTGGACGCCGTGGGACATCGGACTTGAGAGTGTTGAGGTGATGGCCGATAAGGCCGATAGAGGCAGTTAAGTCCCAAGTCCTCGGGATCTCGTCTCCTTCTATCCTTTTGCCCTGATGTGCTCAGAGGAAAAGCGGAGAAGAGCTCTCACACAGCAAAGGAACTGTATTCCCAATGTAGTAACGGACGCCCAAAACCTGCTGGGTAGCGCGCCAATAAGCGGTTGCAAGAGGCCTGCTAGTGCAGGCTTCGGCATTCTCCGGCCAACCAGGCCAACCGGGCCACGCGAGGGACCGGGACGCGACCGTGTCCAGCCGCCCGGACCCAGACTATCTGCCGCTCCGACAACACTCAATTTAGGATGACAATACAGACTTCCAGGATACTTGCAGAGATACTAAAGACAGAAAGGCGAGAGAAAGGAGAGGAAACTCAAGACTTGTGATCTCGGAGTGTAATGCATTGACAAAACGACAGAGTTTGCGCTATGACGTCGGTGGAGTCGGAGAAAAAAGCACTGGAGTCAAGATCTATACGCCTCCCAACCCTAAGGTAAAAGCTATGTCCCCTGCCAAGAAGCGTCGGATAGCCCGATAGCCCGACAAGGGAAAAACTTCCCTTTGAAAAGATAACGAGTCATGATCGCTCGTACCTCCTGGGCGTATGGGTGAACGATATGGCTGATAGATCAAGCTAAAGCTTTCAAGGGAACCCATGTATATGGTTAGACTAGCTATATAGTCCCGACCGAACAGGTCCTCCCATCCTCGATCACAAGATCCCAACTACAGGCACAAATGGAATGTTGTTTTTCGACCTCTCACGCTCCACCTTCACCACCTCGTATAATTTTGCTGTCGCGTCCGGGGGAACGTCTGCGTAGGAGGGAAAGATGAGTCGCCTCAATTTCTCCTCCGCAGTGACATGATCATCTTCCATCATTATACACCCTGATATTTTTTGCTGGTGAATAATCAGAGGAAACTTGGCCGAATCATCCTCTATGGCATCCGCCAAATCGGGAGAAATTCGCATCCACCTGGGCTTGGAAAACGGGTAGTCTGTCCACTGGATGACGTGCGATCTTTCATAGTCAAAGGAGATCGGGCCATCAAGCACCATGAAATCAAACAGAGTCTCCATCCGCAGGCCCTCGTATGGATTGGGATCATATCTCAGGTTTGCCGGCTATGTGTTTGCAAGGGTCAGACTCAACCATCAAGCAAACGCGCTCCGAAAGGTGGTAGACAGGAAAGGGGGAGAAATAGACATATCAAATACTATCATGAAACTTACCCGAACTATCTGTTCCGAAAACTCCTGCGTCCATCGCCTTGCAGAGAATGAGTCAAAAAAGGCAAAGTCCGAGATGGGTGGTTGCTGGACCAGCATGCGACGCCAGCTGGCCTCTTTGCGGTTGTAGGCCTCGATTTTCTCCGGATGCTGGACCATATCCCAACTGAAGAATGAAAAGACGACGTCGGTTTCGACCGTCTCCGCCTGGGAGTCTAAGGCCTCTTGGGTGTCAGTCGGAAGGAAGAACGACGGGAAAGCCTCAGCCAACAGAGGGTTGCGAGTGGTGGGACCACTATCGGTCGGCAAGAAGAATAACGCTTTCTGAAGCGATCGTGAGTCCCTGATCAGGCGATTCCAATACTGACAAGTCCGCTGGGCGGACACCACAAGCGTCCGAGGGTCCAGGTGCAACAGGATGAGCTCGAGTAGTTCGGGAGTGGAGAAAACCTCGTCCTCTCGAGATATTGTGAGGTCGAAAGCAACCATGATGCCCTTTGCTCTAAGTTCTCTGAGGGTCTCAAATGCTAGCAAGATCCATCTTCGTCCAGTTCGCCCGAGCCCCTCTTTGAATGTTGGTTGTTGTTGGCAGCGTGTTGGTGATCATGTGATGAGGATCAGATTCACGTGGCGGGCAGTTTCAAGTCGCAAGTGAGTCGCTTTCAGCCGCATCGGAGACTCAGAGAAGCATAGATATCCGAATACCTACATTCTTAAATTAGGGCTAAATGTGCTGCAAAGATGATCTCGGGAATTATTCAGAAACATGACATAGACAGGATCCGCCCAAATGCGGAAAGCCTGAGGACTACATACCTCTAGGATTGGGCCCTAATACTTGATTTGTTTGAGAGATGGTAGCTGTAGTGTCCTGGTATTGACTCAAAAAACGATATAAGTCGTTTCATTGTGAGGATACCATGAAACCAATCGACCAAAGATCCCTCCTCCTCTCGACGAACCTCAACTCCGATTGAACCTCCTCCTAAAGGTCATTCATTGCCTTTCTAAGTCAAATGAAAAGGGATTTTACACCAAAATACCCATTCTCCTGTTATCAAGGACACAGTGGCGGCCGATGTTGCTATCCTGTCCGAAACATAGAGATGGTCTTTCAACCCCCAACCACGCCACACATTGATCTATCTAAGAATTAGCGCGTAAATTACCCGTTTTTTGTATCTACCATGTAGTAATACCAGACCTCATCTGGATTTTAGTATGAAAGATACAAGTCTAGAATATGGCATTGTCTGAACTTCGAATTTGCCTCTATCAGCAGGTCGATTTCACTAAAACCAAGCACATTTTAATTGACACCATAGAGGGCCTCTCAGGTACAGCTGAGCCCGAAAGGCTATAAGTTCAAGCGGGAGAAAATGCTCGCAAATTTTTGGCACATTTTCAAGCGCTATCAAGTTACCTGACGAAATAATAAGGTATCAGCCCCTCGATCAGTCGAAGGTTTCCAGAACAAAATGAAACAAATAGCGCTGCGAAACGTGTGAAGAATATAGAGCGAACCTCCGCATCAATCCACGCTTGTTGAATGGTGGTGATCGCTGAAGGTGTGCCAAATCAGGCTGAATGTCTCGGATATGGGTTCACGAGAACCACAAACCTGCTAGGGACTGTCTTTCGTACTCTTGGTCTCGCTCTTTGTACAGCTCCTTTCTAGCTCATGTTTCTGGCGCTCCCCGAAGGCCCAAGCTCCCCGATACACTCTCTTTCATGCTTTCGGGTTCCTGCTTTTTGCAGGGTCTCCCTATAATAGCAATTGCGGCTCATACTTCTGTCATATTTGTCTGCTGGCTTGAACCATGCCGTTTCGAGCTTTTGTGGACATTGGGAATGTCTCATCCAGATACTAGGTCCCCGAATTTCCGTTCATAGTATTTAAACTCTTGCGATGCCAATCCTTGATATTATTCAGATTAACGATTAACTATCATTCACTGCAATTTTCAACGCACACACACTTGATTACATAGGATTCGCTCGTATGGTCGCCAAACGCTCCCCGAGATACGGCGAGTACGAGAGCCAAGGGGCGAAGTGGGCGAAGTGGCTTAGGAACCCATATTCTTGCCCGATTCCACGTTCACTGCACACGGTGAGATCATTGAGAAAGAGCGGATGGTCGGTACGTCGAGACTTTCGCTCAAATGCTCACCGTGCCACACGAACCTGGGACTACTTGGTTCCTCCTCAGGTTGTATCGGTCGCTGCAAAATATAGCCTTGAGACTCGCCCCGTTTACAAAAGGTTCACGGCTTCCAAGTTAACCCAAGATCGTCGAGGTAAATATGGCTGCAACAAATACTCCATTCAAGTCGGGCCCGGCATCATCTTTGCCCTCAGTAGCAACCGAGTCGATGGGCCACACTGGTCCGAAATTGCCTGGGCCCTCTACCGCCGCCAGAATTACAAAGAGGGTCTACGGGTTGTCCTTCGAGTTGACATCTCCAATGAACAGACCATGAAATTTATCCAAGAGGAGTTGTATACCTCCAAGACTGGCTATATATGGCCTGATCCTGAACCGCGGGAATGGAAGATGGGTACGCATGAGTACCAGGCCCTTCTAGGCACTCCCAATGCCCGCGCAGTAGCCGCTTTGGTGCTGACGGCCTTTCCGCCGGGTACACGACATATTCCAGTGATTCTCACTTGGGCCGATGAGAACGATAAGCTGCAGATGCTGTTCGCCATCGCGAACGAGACTTCGACGTAGGCGTTAGCGCACGTCTTGTATGACTTTGAGCCAGTCCCGCTCCAATGGATTTCTTTGCAATTTCGGATTTTTCTTTCGTTTTGTCATGCATGTTGTTTTCGTTTTTGCGGTTATTCTAGCAATTAGATAGGTTCTGTTCTGTTTCAATCAATCTAGCCTTTGCATGAAAGCCTCGGTTTATTATTACACTTCAAACCGTCCAACCATCACGGTGCGGGACCCTTAAAAGCCAAAGCTTAAAAACATTTGCAAACCCATCGGCATGACCGATCATCGCCACTCATATTCCTTTGGTCGGCATTAATTTCCCCTCAAAATGAGGAGTGTTTGGATCGGGCTTAAGATCGCTCCCACGACAGGGAAGAGGTCGAGCATCATTGGTGGGCGATAAGAGCCACCGCCGCGTAATGGGACCTCCCTACCCGTCTTCCACCATCTCACCAGCCAAGCCTCAAATTGCCCCATTTGCGGGGTTAATATAGAATATGTGATTGATGGGTCGTCCTCTTTGTCCAGCACAATCTGGTCCATGCGCGTGGTCCCTCCTGACCAGGCTTGACAGGGTAGCAGTCGGGGCAACCTCCTTATCTTCGCGGCCTCCGAAGTGATCCAAGCGCCAAGCTTCCCTGTGTCTGAAGTATCAACGAGTATATCTTTGTTATCTCTGAGCTCTCACCACAGTCCGTTCTCCTTGGTTATAAGCGCCCCTTGAATACTGTTCGGGTTTGCATGGATTAGATGCAATCCATACCATTATAACGCATCGGGCTGCGGACGCGCGCCACTGCCCGCTTCATCCCGTGTAGATCAAACCCTCGCATCTTCGCAATAAACGCGGGGTTGGGCGTCCATCGTTTCCCAGTACATTATAACCGAGTCTCGAAGGAACGAGAAAGAAAACAGAGCTAAAACCAACTCGTATATCACTGTGCCCGGTTAGAGGCGGGGGCCATTTATTTCCATGATAAGTGCGAAATTAGGCCATAGGCGCTGGCTCTTATTGGTTGCGACCCGGGGCGTCGCTCTATCTCAAGGCTTATCTTCCAATTGGGATGGGATGACCGGGCGCAGAGCGCTCGCGTGGTCTGTTGGAAGCTTTCGAGAATATCTCCGGCATGGCGGCCACCAGGTTGTTCTGGGCCAAGGGTCTCTATATAACGCCGATGTCCCCTCGGCCCAGTAGTTACCCCTTTTCTCTCGAACCCTTTTTTTCTTTCTCTATATCCCAGAGAAAACGCGACGGCACCCCAAAATGACTGCTTCCGAGGGGGAATTCGAGAAAAAAGGCGTGGCCGCCGTGGAGCCAGCCCACGATGTGGCTGCACCGCCGTATGAGGATATGGGCGTCGCTGAAGCGCAGGAAATCAGCCCTCTGAAACGGAGTCTGAAGAATCGTCATATGCAAATGATCGCCATCGGTATGTCGCGCGCAAATTTTTCAACGGTATTCTAGCATTGAAACACCTTGCTAATGGCGGTCTGCTCAAAGGGGGATCCATTGGCGCTGGTCTCTTCGTCAGCACGGGAAGTGCCTTGCAAACCGGAGGCCCGGGATCTTTGGTATGTGCCCATATGTTTTGCTTTTTTTGTCCTTGCATAAACAAAGACTAACCAGATGTGTAAAGCTTCTTGGCTATCTCATTGTCGGAGGTATGCTTCTTCTGACCATCCAGGCACTGGGAGAGTTGGCTGTTCTCTATCCTGAGAATGGTGCCTTCTTCACGTATTGCGTTCGCTTTATCAATCCTGCATGGTCAGTAATCTTCCTTGATATGGTCTTCGGCGTCTGACCTAATCATTTGTTAATAGGGGCTTTGCTGTTGGCTGGGATTATGCTATCAGCTGGCTTGTCATCCTTCCCTTCGAGCTCACGGCGGCCAGTATCACAATTCAATACTGGCGAGATGATCTGAACGTTGGCATATGGATTGCAGTCTTTCTGGTCGTGCTATCCCTGATTCAGTTCTTTGGAGTGCGAGGTTATGGTGAAGGTAAGCGATGATGTATAACGGCGTGTGGAACTTGCAAGGCTAAGACGATGTGCTCCACAGTGGAATTTGCTCTTGGCATGATCAAAGTTATCGCTGTCATTGGCTTCATCATCCTCGGTATCGTGATCGACTGTGGCGGCGCCCCTAAGGGTGGATACATTGGCACTAAGTACTGGCGTGACCCTGGCGCCTTCACTGACTTCCGGGGCTTCTGCTCTGTCTTCACGACAGCAGCCTTTGCTTTCGCGGGTACTGAGATGAGTGGTCTCGCTGCTGCCGAGGCTGCAAACCCGGCCAAGTCGGTCCCAAAGGCCACCAAGCAGGTCTTCTGGCGTATCATGATCTTCTATGTTCTGGGAACCTTCATCGTCGGCCTGATCGTCCCCTATACTGCGGAATACCTGCTCGGTGCATCGGGCGCGAACACCAAGGCGTCGCCTTTCGTCGTTTCCATCCAGAATGCCGGTATCAAGGGTCTCCCGTCAGTCATGAACGCCGTGATCACTATCTCGGTCATTAGCGTCGCCAATTCGGCCACATACGGATCAAGTCGGACAATCCAGGCGCTCGCTGCCCGTGGTATGGCTCCCAAGTTCTTGGCCTACGTCGACAAGGCCGGCCGACCGCTGTACTGCATTCTCCTCCAGATCGCCTTCGGCTTCCTCGCCTTCATTAACGAAGCCTCCAGCACCGGAAATGTCATCTTTAACTGGCTTCTTGCGCTGTCAGGCATCATCAACTTCTTCGTTTGGGGCAGTATCTGCCTCGCTCATATCCGCTTCCGCAAGGCATGGGCTTACCAAGGGCGCACATTGAAGGAACTTGCATTTACTGCCCCCTTCGGTGTCATCGGCAGCTATATCGGCCTCGGGCTCAACGTCATGTGTCTTGTGGCCGAGTTCTATGTGTCTATTGCGCCAAAGGACGCCGAGGCCTTCTTCGAGAGCTATTTGGCCGGTCCGCTGGTGATCCTCCTCTTCGTGATCTGGATCGTCTACACGAAGATCAACAAGGACCCTTCCCTGGAGCGTGGTGCCTGGTTTATCAAAGTGCAGGACATGGATGTTCTCAGCAACATGCGCGATAGCGCGTTGGATGTTGACCTACCCCCCAAGGTCGAATATCACACGTGGGGAGAGTGGTTAAAGGCTGCGCCCATGCGTATCGTCCGCTCAATATTCTAGGCTGGTTGTACGATTCATATTCTGAGCGAGCGATGTTTGCTTTGCGTTCAACGCTGGAACAGTTTATTTTGTTGACGTAGATACTGTTGGAATCCATTTCCGATTCGGCTCTTTGAGCAATCATTAATAGACTCTTGCACAGACATTTGTATGTAGCTTTCGAAGTAGCTTTCAGGGCGAGGCTTCCGTGGCGGGTATGCAGAAGACAACTTTGTAGGAGATAATCGATTTTATTTCAAGGCCGATCAATATACGATTCCGCTATGAGTCACATATGTAAATACTATTTCCATTACACGACTAGTCCGGCCTTCAAACCTTAGGTGGAGTAGGAAAGCTAACCAATCACAATCGGGAACTGGTTTCCGATTCCCCGTTTGACGTGGGGGTGATTTCAAAAAGCCAAGCCATAAAGTCTCACGAACATCCCAGTGGGCGATCAAATCACCAAAAAAGCGCCTCGCATTCATTTTCAGCAGCCCAATATACGTACTAGATCGCAAAGGATTTTCGCGAAGCCGCTATATAATTTCAGCCTCCACCATGATCGTCGGCATCGCCCACGTCAACTTGACGGTTACTCCGGGAACGCTGGAGCAGGCAGAGGAATTTTACGGCACAACCTTGGGATTAACCTCTGCACCAGTACCTGAGCTCCAAGTAGGAACTATTCTGTGGTTAGTTGACTGTCTGCTATGATTTCATCCCTATACAAACATGGGACAGTAGATGTTGATCGCTGTTTGTGGGGATCCTCCAGGTTCAATATTGGCTCCAGCGGACAGCAAATCCATGTCACTTGTGGCCCGACAGATCCCCAACATAGCCGACACCCATGCTTCAAGCTTCCGTCTCAAGAAGAGCTAGAGTCGATCAAGAAATCCATATACGACCATCATGTGCGGGGCGGTCCCGCGGCTCCGATGGCTGCAGACAAGCCGGGAGAACTGAATTCCGGTTCGTTATGATCTGTTCCATACTTTACTCCTTCTAAATTACTCGATGGGACACTGGCTAACTGGGTCGTTGGTTATTTTGTAGGCACTAAGGGAAAGGAATACCCCGAGCGCTTCTTTGCGCGGGATTACGCGGGTAACCTGCTTGAATTTACGATCTAGACGACCATAGTGGAAGAATAATTCATCACTGTTAGTATAGCCATATTCCGTCGGGTTCATTGTAGAAAGTGCTATTGATGTTTGATGAAAGCTGCATCCTGCTCGGATATGCTTCTTCAGCAAGTAAGCGTAAGGGTCGCGTGGTGCCAGTGGATTCGGGGCTTTTTGCGGGGATGCGGGGTTGACCATCCAGTATGACGACTCGAGATAGACCACCCATTGGGGACCTTGAAGCACATTCAATATATAGAGCTGAACGCCCAGCAGGGCTCAACGTGAGGCCTTTGGAACTTCAGGTCTTTCTGTCCTTCCAGAAGACCCCGGTCAGATCGTACAACCATGATGCCCGCTGCAACCCTCACTGATCACAGGGAGGTAGCCGAGGTCCATAATGACTCCACCTCGCGCCCCTCATCAGCATCATCTTCTCATCGGAATTGGAATCGTCCGAGTGGTCCGAAATTCTGATCTGGACGGTTTGACAGTATTAATACTAGGTCACTAGACCCCGCAACCGCTAGGAAGCTCCGAGGCATGTCGTATATACGCCTCGAGAACGGGGATACGGCCAGGCCAATTATCCGCGCCCCGCGGTTCCAGTCTTTGCTCTCTCCACCTTGACTTCTTGGCCCTTTCTCCTCTTTTATCTGGCGGAGCCACCTTCAAATAGCTCTGTTTTATCCCACTTCTGAAGAGATTCCTCTCTCTTAGTGCCATCAATTCACTGTTAGCAACCTGGACCGGCCGCTTATTACTTCCTCGACCATCATGGCTGCTCCCGAGATCCCCAAAAAGCAAAAGGCTGTCATCTATGACCAGCCCGGTACCGTCTCGACCAAAGTCGTCGAGATCGATGTGCCTGAGCCAGGGGCAGGCGAGGTTCTTATCAACCTGTCCGTGAAGCCATCTATTTTCTATGATAGTCGCTCTTGGAGACTGACTTTTCTGGCAGCTCACACTCCGGCGTGTGCCACTCCGACCTTGGAATTATGACCAATACTGTATGTCTCTTGCTAGATGTGACCTCCCGCTACGGTATCTCTGATCCATCATAGTGGAAAATGCTCCCATTCCCGACTCAGCCGGGTCAGGTCGGCGGCCATGAGGGCGTAGGAAAGATCGTGAAGCTTGGCCCTGGCACCGAGTCCTCCGGCTTGAAGATCGGGGACCGTGTCGGCATTAAATGGGTCTCTAGTGCCTGTGGGAACTGCCGTATGTATTTGTGATTTTTTTTTAAAAAGAAAAAAAATCTTCTGAGTTCTATATCTCTTCATCAATACTAACAGAAACCCATACCAGAGCCCTGCCGGGCAGGATCCGACGGGTTGTGCTTCAAACAGAAGGTGTCTGGGTACTACACGCCAGGCACATTCCAGCAGTATGCATTGGGTCCTGCAAACTATGTGACCCCCATTCCCGATGGCCTGGACTCCGCGGAGGCCGCTCCAATGCTCTGCGCCGGTGTGACTGTCTACTCCGCCCTGAAGCGTAGCAATGCTCAACCAGGCCAGTGGGTCGTCATCTCTGGTGCTGGTGGCGGCCTGGGCCACATCGCTGTGCAATTAGCCAGCAAGGGCATGGGTCTGCGGGTGATTGGCATCGATCACGGGAGTAAGGAAGAGATCGTCAAGGCGTCTGGGGCAGAGCACTTCGTCGACATCACCCAGTTCCCCAAGGATGACAAGGGCGTCGCCCTCCAGAGTCACGTCCAGTCGCTGACCGAGGGATTGGGCGCTCACGCCGCGGTGGTCTGCACCGCCGCGAACGCGGCGTACGCCCAGGCCCTGCCGCTCCTGCGCTTCAACGGCACCCTGGTCTGCGTCGGGATCCCTGAGAACGAGCCCCAGGCCATAGCGACGGCGTTCCCGAATTCATTCGTCAATAAGCAGTATACCATTACCGGGTCTGCGGTCGGGAACCGCACGGAGGCGATTGAAACCCTGAAGTTTGCGTCGCGAGGGGTGATCAAAGCCCACTGCCGGGTGGAGAAGATGGATGCGGTGACTTCAGTGTTCAAAGAGATGGCTGAGGGTACTTTGAAAGGACGTGTGGTGATTGATCTGTCAGATTGAATGAAGTTGAATGGCACCTCATGATATTTGAGGTGCCTGTGCTAGCCCTGGAGGTTAGCTACTGTGTATTCTGCTAGTATATATATTTGAAGGCTCCTGTGCCAATAACCGATTTTTCCCTGGAGAGCGCCGATAGCAATCAATTCTTTTCCTTTGAGAAATTCCACGAAGCAATTCGAAAAAAAAAGCAAAATATCAGACCCAGCAGCATCACTTGAAAGCCAAAAATAAAAGGAGGTAGGGAAGAGAGAGAGGACAATTCACAGTCCAAAAATTGACCGACGCAGGGGTCGAACCTGCAATCTCTTGATTCGTAGTCAAGCGCCTTGCCATTGGGCCAGCCGGCCTTATTGAAGATACGGGTATAATTTGCCAATATGAACCACTAACGTAGCGAGGGTGGGGCGGAGTCCGGGTCGGAGCCGAACAACGGATTTCGCTCAGGCTCTCCACAGAGACTCGCGTAAATGTTGATACATCGTCGCCTCGTGAATTAGTCCATAGAACCATAAATAAAACATAGCTACCCTGATACTGAGAATAGCTTTCTTAAGGACCTATCAAGCTCAATCAAACGAGACCCGTTTCAAGGGGAGTTTTTTTCCTCCGGATCTTCAATCTAGAAATCCATCATCGCGAATCGATATTCAGAGCTTCTAAGCCTCTCTCCTTCCTCTCCTCCTTTCCCCTTCTGTCTCCTCCTATCTCTTCCATCTTATATTTCTCTTCTTCTATTTCTCTCTTTTAATGTGCCTTTGTATATTTTTTTGTTTGTTTCTTTATAGATTTCCTAGGGATGAATGTTACGTTTCTTATTTGATGAATCGCTTCTCTATAAGCATACTAACATACCAAGGTCATTCCCTATATGTAAGCCTTGAAGTTAAGGATAGGGGCCTCATATAAACAGTGAGACCGTTGGGTCGAATGAGTATGTTTCAACATTGTAAAGACAGGCGCTAACCTAACCTGGCTAGTGTTGATGCTCCAACCCAAGTGCTCTTCAAGTACCACGCAGAATCGTGGTCTACCGGTCGTCACCTCGAGTAGCTCCGTACCAATGGAGCAGATCAAGGACCCAGCACGGATTGATAAATGGCCAGTTATCTCCTTGAAGAAAACCTGTTTTGCTTCCCCAAACCAGCAGCTTTGACAGATTTGAAATTGCCCTATCCCTCCGGTTCTCGCAATCTCTGATTCTTTCAGTCTCTCATTCCCTGGACTTTCTATATATTCCACTTGTTGTAGATAGCTATTTAATAACAATTGATCTCCCACTCTGTTAATCAAAGCAGAAACCTCGTCAGTTACCGGCCCCCAAATTCCACAATCGTACGACAACAAAAAAAAAAGCCCCAGCCTCGAGAAAGCTGCATCAGCAAATATCTCCACTCCAAAAACTGCACTAGCGACACCAAGAAGCCTAAATCCACCCGTTCTAGCCCTCCTTGGAAGAAGCACGGTTCACAGAGTGGGTAAGGATCCCCCCTTGGATCCCCGTTGTCCCCTTCCTGCCTGCCCAAGTCATACATAGCTCGGCACGGACCCGACGCCCTCAATGCCCACTTCACCAGATGGCTAAAGTATAAACACCCGAAAGCGGGTGAGGCCAAGACCCAGCCCCAATTTAGGACCGTGCACAATTTGTTCACGGCCGACCAAGAGGCAAAAAACGACGATTTCTGGAATTGAGCTCTTCAAAATATACTCTGAGCAATTTGCCGTGGAGCATATTTGCCAATGAGTGCCGTGCGCATCTCCGTCTACTCCGCGGATTTCTTCACGCAGTGCCGACTTCCCCGACGGGGATCCACTTTTCCTATACTTGCGCCAGCGCAAACGAGAGGAATAACGAAGTACGGCATCGCACGCGCGACGCTGATATGTCGATGGGCAGAACAAGCCATCTCAAAATAATATCCATGAAAGCTCTTGATATTGTCCCCCCTTTTTTACCATCTCCGTGTTTTTCACCCCCTTAGCAAGCAGTCAACCATGTGCGAGTGGGTCGGGACCACCAAAACCTCCCCATCGTGAGCCGTGGTTCGCGTCCTCGAATCGGGCGACTTCCACAGGACGGTGCGCGAGATGACACACGTCCCAAGCACAAGCGAAACCGTGGACGCGGGGTTCCAAGCCCGTAGTCCTGGGTCATTATGACGCCATGGTACAGATGACTCTGTCGATTTGGGGACATCTAGTTGAGGGCGTCATGAGGTTATGGTGCAAAAGAGCTTTCCAAAGGATTAGGAGGGTCGAAAGAAAAGGCCAACAGCTCAATTTCAATCTCGCGTACGAAGGAGGTATAAAGTACAAAGGAAAGGAGCTGCGAAGTGCAAGCCGCCCTGAGTCGGTAGACATTAAAGAAGTAAAGAACGAGATCAGAATTCATTTCAAATACCAAACAGGAAACCAATCGATAAATGACAAACAAAATGCCTGGAGGACATATACGGCTTCGGGGAAGGGGGCTCGCTGGTGACAAACAATGCAGGGAGGGTATTGGAATGATTCAAGATGAAGTCCGCCCGAACATGGCAATGACGATGGTAGAAAGAGAGAGGGCAAAGGGACAAAAACCACAACTAGAGAACCCAGACAACTATACAGGAAGCTTTTCAACGGCTTCGCTTCGTGTTGCCTCCCGAAGAGCCAGCTGCGGGTCGTTTCTGTCCGGACCCTGAGGAGCCTGCAGCAGCGCCAGCGCTGGCAGACTCGGCCACACGGACCAACGCACTCAGCCGCAGAAGGAACGGCTTGGGTGCGCGATTCACTTCAATTTTTCGCTGAATGTCGAGTAGCTTCGGAGTAAATTGAGCAATGTCGGCGGGGGGCAGGGCGTGCAGGGCGTCGAGGACAAAAAGTTCTTCTCCCGGTCCCAGGTCCATGTCTTCCGACCCAATCAACAAATGGTAAAGATTGCGCTGGTCTTCGTCCTCGCCGTGGAAGGAGGTCCGGCCCCAAGTATTTCCATCCAGCGGGTCTTTATTTCGCGCGGCAATCGCTTCTAGAATCGAAACGAGAGCTTTGGCAGCACCCTCGGAGCCATATGGCGTGCGAAGGGCCGTGTTCGCGCGAATGCGAGAGACTGAACGGCACAGCTGTCGGACTACCTCGTCGACTTCGACAGTCCCTCCGCCAGAGCTACTTGACTCCACGGGCCGCTCTCCTGTCGCGCAATAGCGGTCGAAATCGAGTAACAGCCGGCGCGACTGTTCCTGAACCTTGTCAAAGTAGATGGCTGCACAGGCTCCAGCAGGCATGGCCTTGCAGAGGCTATTAAAGACGCCATCGTCATGAACAGCAAGCCGGAAGATAGTTGCCTCAAAGTCTCCTTGTACCACGCATTGTTCTGCGGTGCGTGGATGCCTTGCAGTCTCGGCGAGGTCCTGACGGAAGTCTTCTGGCAAAATCTTCGGGCTGAAGGCAGAGAGCACGTCTCGAACCTTCTCGAACCGAGTCATGCCCACATTTCTGCCATCGTCCTCGTCCCGTAGGTACTGCCAACGGAGCCGGTCTGCCACATCCTCGAGCTTGCCATTGAGCAGGTCTTCCAGAGGCGGCCGCACACGAGGGCGGCCGTCGTGTGACATGGCCACCTCCGTGGACGGGGGACTAGTAAGGAAACAGCCATGGAGCTGATCGACGAGCCACTACAGTAAGGAAAAGAGTTAGCAAATTGCTTCCAGAGAATATCCGGGAGCTCTTCGTGGTTCCCAGGGGGACGAAACCCACAAAAATGTGTTGGCAGGCCATCTGCGGCCGATCTTGGAAAGTCGAACAGGTGCAAGTAGGTGCATTGGGCCCAAGATGGACCTGCGGCCGATCCAGGAATTGAAAGTCATATCCAGAAGACGAGGCACGACAATTGACGACGTCAAATTGTCCCGTCAAGCCCACCAGGGCTCTCGCTTCAGACTCGTCATCTAGATAGCTCAGATCATAGGTGATTCCTGAACGAGCCACGACAGTTGAAGGGCCAGTAGACTCTTCCTCACTGCTCTCATCAGCATCCTCACTCGAATTCTCTACCGCCGAGCTGTCACGCTCTTCGTCTTCGTGGATAGGCGTCTCGTTGTCGGAAGAGATCGCCCGCCCGGCTGCGCGAGTTGTCCGAGAAGATTGGGCTTGAGAATCAGGCATATTTTGACCGATCGAAAGCCTGTGGAATTGCCTTGTCGGAGGAGACATGGCCGATCGAGCTAAAATAAAAAGGAAAGTGTAATCGTGGGAGGCGAACAAGTATCGCCAACCAGAAATACGAGGGGAATTCAAGGAGGGAAATCAGAGTGTAATGCTAGTGGAGAGCACACTGTTCAGATGGTCGACTCAAACTCACTGGAGAGTTCTTCCGACCCATGGACCGAAGCGGGTACGCTGAACCATGGAACGGCCTCCCGCTTTAAATAATTCATGCTTCGATGCTTCAAATGCACCTGCAACGAGAGTCGACGATAAGGTCGAATGAAAATCCACGAGAGACGCAGTCGACCGAGTCATTCAGTGTGCTATCAGCCCCAATTTTCGTTTGAGCCTGTGGTGTTGTTCCTGTGCCTGCGGTACTCCTGCGCCAACGCATGACGGTGAGCCCGCGACTCCGTGAAGAGAGCCCCCGGGGTGCCCGAACAAGAACTGAGGCAGACCACAAGTGGAGACCAGAGATATATCAGGAATAATAAGAAATTAACAGAAAATGAATCAGACAAATGAAAGAGTCGAGTTGCCAAATCTCCAGCACACCCTGAGCTCGGCACGGCGAAATTGGAGAACGACCCAATGGCGCCTAGGAAGCAACGGGTCTAGTGGAGAGGGGGGTTCGACGGGGGAAGGAGTCAGGACCGCAGGAGGTGAAGGGATGATGTCTTAACAAGGCCGAACCGTTTAATCGTGCCTCGTACAATGACACTGATCAACATCATCGCGCAGCGCACAGACACCCGCTAATGGGATCGGGTGGAATGCAAAGATCTGGGGTCTTGGTGGCTGGAACTGGGACGATTTGTCTGCGGTCTGCGGCCTGTGGTCCGGTCCTACTGCGGCCCCCGAGCGACGAGGCGGAGACCAAAAGGCAAGCCGGTGTTCTTTTAGCCTCTCTCGACTCGGCTCTTTCTCCCGTCGCAAAGGTGGTTGAGCACAATCGTTAAGCACATTCGGAATCAAACGGGATGCGCAGCGCCTTCAATATCATAGAATGACTGGGGAACTACAGCTTGCCAGCGAGGAGCATTGTATACCGAATAGCGTAGGAGATGTCACGCAACTGAGCGAACCTGGCCTATTGATCCTGGCTCTGACTCAAGCACCGGGAGGGACAGGGGAAGAATCGCTATGCAGATATGCAGATAGCATACCTATGGCGAAAGACTAGGGAGACCTTGCGCACGCAAGACAATCATGGAACAAGCTGTCATTGAAAGTGTGTTGGCATACGTAGACCCCAAACTCTTGGCCATTGTGACGATCTTACTTCGCCGCTTGGGCACAGGCCATAGTTTGCGATCGCCGTCAACTGGGTCCAGCGGGAAGGAGTCTCGAATCTTTTCCGGCCCATAAGCGGCGTCACAGCTGACCCGCTTTCCCGATCATTTTCAGTTTCTCTATTCTCAGCTCCTGTGGCAGCTTGGCTGGCGTAGATAACCCGGAAACCGTTGGTTTACCGTGTTTCATGAGTCCAACAGCCTGGCGCAGCGCTCAGCACGAACCTCATGGCAGGGCCACGGGTTAATTCCGGGGCTCAGAACAAGCGAGAGATCTTTGAATCAATCAATCTCCAAGCCGTGTTGCGTGGATGAAGCTCCTTCTAAGTTGAGCGAAGATGTGCAGGAATGGAGGGAACAATAGCTGTGCCCCCATTCCACTAAACGAGTCGAGCCGCAGGCGGCACGACAACCGACTGGACTCGAAGAGTAGGGCTCATATAATCGCAAATTCACCGTGCATATCGCCCCCGGCCAATTGGCAGCGGAGGGCCGATTCAGGTCCTGCGGTCCAGCAAAGGAGGGGGTGCGGAGGGGCGGGAAAGGGGGGGGCGCAAAGCAACAGCTCCTGCGCCCGCGAACTGTGCACTGAAGGTGCACTATGATACTATCGCTCGGCCGATGGACCGTTAGGTTTCCATGATCAGTCTTGTTGTTTAGTGCAGGGGGCACAGCGAATCCAAGGGCACCCTGAAGGTGCTGTGCGGCACAGCAGGACCCGCCAGCCTGGGTATTGGGTCTGGTGTTGTCTGGAGAGACTCGCACGCATGATCGCTGAGGTCCAAGCCCCCCCTCTGTTCGACGCGAACAGAGTAACAGCGTTGTCCTTCGGTTGGCTATGCCCGAAGCTGGCGATGGGCACAGCAGGGCTGATCGATCAAAAGTTGGCGCTTCTGTGCCCAGACTCACCCCATGACCTTTCTTCGGTGCGGAGAGTGCATAGAGCTGTGCCGTCTGCATGGCATTTCGGTCAATCCCGGATGGTGTTGTCTAGAATTAGGAAAGGGAAGTTCCGCCCTCTTTGGCCGTCCAGATGAGCTGATCTCCATCGATGTCGTCGCCTGTGCGGGCTCAAATTTGAAACAAGCCACTCGATGAAACTGCGGCCCTCATGGCGCAGCCACAGCGAGGGGCACAGTGGAAGCTGCGGCTGGGGAGAATGAAGAATACTGTTTCGAAAGTAATCTCGCAGACGGACGAACAATAAGTCCTGCTAGCCGTGTGTCTTGACTGTGCCCGAAGGAAGTCAAGGAGGGCGTAAACGACGCGAGGATTGGATGAAGTATTTTGTGTGACGTGGGGAAAATGACTCCGACTCGACGACGCGACAACACAGCGCCCCATTGTTGCCCCGTTTGGCGGGTGCCTTACTTGCCACACAGGAAATGGCGCAGGTAATCGGGGAATTACAAATAATAGCGATGGGCTCATAGATTCGTGCACATCATTGTTAAACAGTAAACAACAAGTCACGCTGCATGCTAGTCAAATTTAGGCACAGTTTCAATGGCAAGGGTGTCTATTAATATACTACCCAGCACAAGAGGTAAGAAAAAAGAAATATGTAGGAAAGGGGCTCAAAATGCAGTCAAGAGGACAGTAAGAAATGCTGAACAGTAAAACGAGGGGTATATATATCAAATGCTAGGAAATTCGTTGCGTCATGGAATGCAATCCGTCGCCCGATAGCAGGCACCCCGATTTGAGAGAGGAGCAAGTATGAAGAAAAGGAAAAAAAGAATGAAAAGAAGGACAACAAGATTATGGATTGGACTTCGCTGCATTGCGCTTCTTTGCATCCTCGAGCGCTTTGCGTAGCCGTTCCTTGTGTCCAGCCTCGGGATCCGAGGCTTGATCCTCCGGGTTCGGGCTCGGTTCCGTGACGGTGATTGCAGGGCGAAGCTCCAAAGATGGACGAGGGTTGACAGAATCACTTACAGGCGTTGATTCTTCCGGAGCAGGTACAACCGCAGGAGGAGTGGGGGTTCGAGTTGGCGCCGAATTTGCTGTAGCGAGAGCAGCAATTGGGTTCGGGGTTAGAGAAGTGGGCGGTGCATCCTTAGTTTGAGCCTTGGCAGTGTTGGCGAGGTCTTCGATGAGACGCCGAATGGTATTCTCGATCTCCCGAGGACTCTCCTGGATGCTTTGCAACTTGGAGTCCAATTCTCCCTGGAGGATGACATCTTCCTTCTTCTTCTCAGCCTCGAGCCGATGAAAAATATCCGCTTCGGAGTTGCCATATCGCGCTTCGGCGACGGAGACGTTGTAGTCGGCATCGTTGAGAGCCAGGTCGGCTTGTCCCGAGCTGCGCAGGATGGCCTCGGAATCGGCGAGAAGCGACGCGGCAAATGTTGCCGCGGACTTGAGAATCTGTTCGACTTCAGAATCGGGCAGGCCGAGAGTGCGGAGGGTCGTGGGGTCTAGCTGGGCTGTTTTGGCCGCAAGCTCGTCAAGGAGGCTCTGATTCATACCTAGCCCGTGAAGAATCGCATCATCGAACGAATCCATAAGTCGGTTGGCCCGGTCGTCGCGGTCCTTCGCCGCCTCAAGAATATTCCGCTTTTCCATCTGGTCAAAGTCCGTATCCAGCTTGCGAAGGCTTGTCATGTCCCCCATGAACACGAGCGGACGGCGCTCGGCCTTTTTGCGGCGTCGCTCGCAATCCAAAGCGAGTTCGAGTCGTTTCTGGAACCGGATCTCGAGTTTACTATGAATATCATTGACCATTTTCATCGTCACAGATGGGCTGCGTTGCTCTACGGGTGAGCCTTTGCCTTTCTGGTCACGGTCGAGTTGGGCTAGCGCCGAGTCATAACAAGTGCGAAGTACCGAGATCTCTTCCTTCAACTTCTCATCGAGCGGGTTAAACACTTGTGCGATAAAATCCTCTACCTCCTGCCGCTCCTCATCTAGCTGAACACGAGCCTCGGTTTGCCGGAAATCTTCTTCCAGCGTGTTGATGTCTGCATAGCCAATTTCCTTCCCATTGAAAAGGTCGTCGATCTGGATCTCCGAATCCTCCTGCCGAGCCGTGCGCTCTTGTTCCATTCTCTGCCGGCGATCTTGGGTGGCGGTTTCCCATTGATTGATGGCCGCTTGAATATAGGAGAAATCATCGGAGTATTTTTCGAGATTTCCCCGAGTTGTGATGTGCCAAGGGCTCTCAGACTGTTTGTCGAGCGGTGTCCAAACCATGGCTCGCAGGTTTTCGACCAAGCTTGTTGGTCGACCTTGTCGGAGAGATTCTGGAAGCAACGGAAGTGGCGGCACCGTGCTTGGGCGTTCCAGGGCCTGGCGATACGCATTGCTTTTGTGGCGAATGAGGCCAAGAAAGGTCTCATTATGTTCATCCTCAGCCGGGGAAGTGGTCAACGCCTCCGACCGTGAGCGTGGCAAGGGGGTCGGAGTATTCGACATGAAGCGCCCGCTCACCGCAGATGCCTGTCGGAGCTCCGAATAAGCCTGATAGGCGGGGCGGTCAAAAGTGAGGTTATCCGAGCCACGTTGAGGACCCTCAGTGTACTGAAAGGGGGTATAAATTGGCCGTGGAGGATTCGTTGCAAGTGGTTCGAAAACTTGTTTTTGCGCAGCCTCATCAATTGGAAGTTGCATGGAATGAGATGGAGGATGGTCTGGAGTTTCACCACCGGAAGGAAGTGTGGAAAGCTTCGGTAGCCACTGCGAGCCCCGACGTGCTCGTTTGGCTAGGATCGGGCGTCCGCCTGAACTGTATTCACTCCCGCCATCATCAACGTCGTTCCCATCATCCGTTGCCGTCGCGGTCGTTGTTGTGGGGGATAAGATCTCCTCTGTATCCACAGGGATCAAGCCTGAATCAATCCTTGATTCACGGTCCTCAGAAGCCGGCGATGATCGTTTCTGTCTGAGCAGAGAGAAACGAGGTGGAGGTTGAATATCTGTAGACTCATGCTCGATATTATAGAGTATCTCGCGCAGCTTAGTCTCCTTCACCATAAATGTAGTGAAGATCTTGTAACGCTCCTCATCAGAGTCGGCGACAGCCTCTTTGCGCAGCATGCCCACGTAACGTGTCAAAGAGGATTTGAACCAGGGGTCTAGATCCTCGTATGGGTCTGATTCCTTCGAAACCACTAGACTTGATCGAAATTCTGTAGCGGAAGTAGGTGAAGAAGAAGAGACTAATATTTGGGTGGGAGCTGGGCTTGGAATAGATCGTTGATCTTGGGTGGGAGGCGGAGTCTTCCTTGGAGGGCGGGAGACCGGAACCGGGGTTGATGACCGATCATGCTGAGGTGGCAGATCCATCGGGGATTCCATTATGGAATCCATCTGAGGGATGGGATCAAGCTGGAAAATGGGATCCAGTCGAGGTATAGGATCCAGCTGGGGAACAGAACTCAACTTGGGCACAGAATCCAACTGGGGGATAGAATCTAACTGGGGGATAGAATCTAACTGGGGGATAGAATCCAACTGGGGTATGGAGTCGGGCATATCAGGTTGATCCGGATTCGGCAGAGGAGGTAAGGGCTTTGCCCACGCGTCGATGACATTGTCAATACTTTCCGCGCGGTCATCAAAGCCGGAAACAGTCGATCTATTGCTGTCGACCCGAAATGGAGCGTTGGGGGAGTTTGCATCGTAAGTGGTAGCGGGACTGACGGGCGACATCGAGTTGTGTCGTCGCGGCTCATCCACTTGAGAGTGCCTATTCGTTGGAATATGCGGAGGTAAATCCACGCGTGGCCGAGGTATAGCAGCCGGAACCGGAGCCGCAGAGCCCAAGAATCCCGCCGAGTATCCAGGAGGCGTATAACTTGCTGGCTCCTGTAGCTGAGGTGTCGTCTTTCGAGGTGGAAACCATGGTCCGTCGTCAAAGTCACCGGCGGTTGGTCCCAAATGTTCCCAATCAGATGGTGTGCCGGTACCCAGTGCCGACGAACCCGTAGGCGCGGTATTGGTCTTCACTGCACTCGGCCCCAATACCCCATAGGAGCCCTGCGTAGCGGCTGGTCCGATGACCTGAGCAAGCAGCGGGTGCTGGCCCAGGGCAGCCTCTTGCCCTGGTGAGGTGGGATGGGATTTTTCTGGGATCTTGGGGGGCGGCACTGGAACCGGGACATCTGATGCTGTGTTCGCGGTATAGGGCGGTGGAATGCTTGATGCTGAAGGTGGCCGCGCATCTGCGAACGCCTCGAAGTCTTGGGTGGCGGGCGGCGGGGGAGGTGGAGGCGGAGGTGGAGCAGCACTGCCGGGGTTGACCACTGCCGGTAGGGGTTGTTGCGCCTGAGTATAGGGCTGGTCGCTTGTGCTGGGTGGCCGAGGCTATTCAGATCCTGGTTAGCAGCCTGATATCTGCCCTCGAACTCGATCACCTTACCGGTAGAGGCGGTGGGGCATGAACCGGGTGTTGCTGTTGATTATACCGCACCCCCCACGTCCTTGGATCGGCGGACGAGGGCGACACGCCTGATATTGGGCCATAAGTCGCCGGACTATATCCCACCGTTGTCTGCGGTCGAGGCGGCGGCGATGAGACCGGGGAAGCCGACGATGGAAGTGGCCGACGTGCTGGCATACGCCATTCAGGCTGTGAGGTGGGATCGGGTTGAGACCGTCCGTACATGGTCGCTCATGGCCGGAGCCGAGAAATGCGAGGAGGGAGGTTGAGCAGGACAAGGGTGAAAACGAGCTTTGATCCAGGCGAGCTCCTTATGATGTATCGTGTCGCGCATCCGGCCAAGGCATCTTATGGATGGCTGTGCTGCGCATTGGTTCCTAAGGGAAGCGGGACACCGGGACAGTCGAACTAGTTACCGAATGCACTAGTCTGCACTCGTGCTAGAAAACCCCTAGAGGTCTTCGGGAAGCCCGATGCCCCACCCCGATCCTTCAAGATTCGGGGATCGCAATCAAAATCTCCCAAATCCCAGCCAAAAGAGGATATAGGGGGGATCGTGTCTAGTCTGGGTCCGTTGGTCGCTCGGGAATACATGGGAATACATGGGGATACGTGGACGGCCTCCCAGTTCCACCCTCCACGGGAGGAACCGCCACGGACGAGGTCCGGGAATCATGATGGCATTTGTTTCGGGGGTGGATTTGACACTCTTCATGTTTGGAGAGAGTTTGGAGAGAGTCTCCGGTCATGGATGGTGCATAGACGTCCATGGGAATGCCCTCCGATATCTATACATCCTACTACATCCTACTACATCCTACTACATCCAGGGCGGCTCTTCGACGCGGCTCCTCTACGGACACACCGTATATTCCTGCTCCTGGGACCCTCTCGACCTCCGAGAGCGCAGACTCATATTACCGAGCCCACCTATAGTACAACCACATATAGTTCTTTTTTTAGAACTGCATCCCCTATTCTCCTGCCGAAAGGAGGCAATCTCACATGTCAGAACTGGGCATGGGGAACGGACCCCAAGGTAAATTACAAGCTTCTTCCTGCTCTCATCTCAAACATCAAAGAACTAAGCTGCAGCTCGTCTCGCCCCCCCGTAAGGTTGATGGGTCGCGAAGCCCTGAAACGCGCTAACCCTCTTTCTTGCTTTAGCGCCAACAAGACCTACTTCTGGAAGGCCATTTAGGTTACATCCCAGGATAAAGGGGCCTATCTGATCGGAGCTTTCCTGAATAGTCGTGGATAGACTTGGATAGTCCTCGATAGTGCTTGAGAGTCCTCGACAGGTTTTTCTTTGAGGTCCCCACCGCTCTCTACCCCTGCTAAACCTACCCCGGAAAGGGGTGTGGTGGGTGCATGGGCCCAATGCATCCTAGGCGCAAGGCAGATTCCTAGGCGGATTCCCTTTGTTGGACGGATACAGCGGATCGGTTGAAGTCAAAAACTCTTTCATCTGCTAATTTCCCTGTTTCGCCCTGGATTTTCGGCATCATGGGAAGCGTTCGAGGAAGTTGGGAAGTTGGGAAGTTGGGAAGTTGGCTAATCTCTTTGTTTTTTTTTTTTTTTTTTTTTGTTTGGCATACTTCTTGGAAGTCTTTCTACTAGAGGAGTAAAGGGTAGATAGAGGATATAGATATCCCCGTACCTATACCGCCGGGTTTGATTCCTCTTCGATTCTTCGGAACTGACATACCTCTAAATTCATGAATCATTTTCAATTTCCCCCTCTTCTCCCTGCCGTCTCCTCCATTCAGCGCTGCAACTAGCCGAAAGGGTTGCAGTTTCAAGGATCTGCAGCGCAGAGTAGCTCAAGGGAACAGTTTCATATCACACATCATCACATACTACATACCGACGTCCACTTTTCACAGCCGGCAGAAGCCACCTCCTGATTGCGTGGATGGAATAGACCGAACTAATCGCCAGGCATGGGGCACACAGACTCCACATTCAACACCTCGAAGGATTTCCTTCCGAGACCTCCCAAGGGCGTCCTCCGGCCTCCCGACTGGCCACCGCGACCGGACGTGTTCGATGAAGTGACGCTAGGCCCTTTCGTATCCAAGACGGCCGCGACTCTGGCCTATCGGGTGTGGTCTGCCCCCGATCAAGCCTTGGGGGAAGTATGGAAACGATGGGGACAGGATCCAGAGCGCCCATTCGAGCGCCCATACCCTCGACCCCCCAATGACTTGGACCTCCATGTCCTTGCAAACAATGTATATGAGCATTTGATGAGTGACCCTCTTCTTCCCATTCCTCTTGGATATGCAGATCAATTGTACTCGGCTCAGGGCCTGGATCAGCGGTTTGCCATCGGGGATGTTCTGGAGCCCATGCGGGAGAAGATTCTGGATGAATGTGGTGTGGGCGACCTATCTTCTTGGAGTATAGACGCAGTTAGATCATATTTGAAAAAGCGAAAACTGTCCACCAGAGGAAAACGAGCAGAGCTCGAATCTCGCGTTTATGATTATGAACTGGGGCATTTCTGTGGAATGATGCCACGGAGCAACCTTTCCACCTGGGGTATGGAGCAAGAGGGGATGTATCGGCTGCAGCCGTCAGACAAATCCCGAATGTCCGCCCTAGAGATGTACACGTTTGCCATTCATCTAAGCCCATATAATCCGACTTACTGGGTCAGTCGGGCCTACTGTCACTACTTGCTGGGGTTTTTCGACCTTGCCATTGGAGATGCCCACCGTGGGCGGCTTCTCTGTGATGTTCTCGAGCAATCTGAAGAGCGTAATCGGCGCCCTGGGCTCTATCCACGGATTTGGCACGCCATTGAGCAGCACCTTCTGGCTGAACCTCGACAAGATGGGAACCTGAAGCCCGAGGTGGTTCGGATGCGCAAACAGAATGGCATCAATGCCTTTGTGCCTACTTTGCAGAAAGCTCTTCACAATACCATCATACTAAGCCTCGCAGCACTCAACTCCTGGGAAGACTTTGATAACCAGAATAAGATTCTCGCCTATAGGTTGGGCATGCCGTGGCGCGATCGAAAAGTGCCGAAATTCCGCGCAGAAGTCACACGCACGGTCTCTCAGTCCTATATCGAGAAAAACAGAAAACGTCAGAGACTCTTCTTCCACGAAGGAAATGCAGGCGCGATCGTGGCTGAGAAAAGGTATCCATTTGAGGATAAAGATATCCGGCGAAGCGAGCAAATGTTCCTGGAGGCCATTAACGAAAATATCTTTCAAGGCTCCGAAGACCCTCCATTTGTAAGCTCTTGCATGGCAAACCTGAGTCACAGCGGAGGACTGGGAGTTTTTGCGGTGGAAAATATCAGAGTCAACCAACTCATATACTACGAAGAGCCAACGATTCGAGGGCATCTTCCACCACGACGTATGAAAAATGATCAATCCAACCTTGATGCTGATCAAGCCCGGTGTGATAACTGTATGAAGATACTAAAAAAAGCACCAAAAAGATCTTCACGCATCGCCCCCACCCAGGCTGAGCATGGGACTGCTACGTGCGAGTGTTTTGACATATGGACGCGCAAGCCAGGCACCCACGGTCCTGCATACTGCAAGCCCGACAAAAGCAATGCATCTGAATTATCCTGCTTGCAGATTGCACGTAATTTACACCATTTCAGCAGCTGTGGGAAAGACTGGCGATGGCTGTATGATACCATGCGGCCCGTTATCCAGGAATGGAAGAAACTCGAGCATATTTCCCATACAAACGAAATACACGGGACCATGCTGAGTCTCCTGTTAAAGAATGTTTTTGAGATAACTCTTCACCGCCGTCAATATGATCCACAGCTGAATGCACATGAGATTGACGAGCTCCTCGTGCTTGATGGAGGGAGTGAGTCTTGGAGAGCAAGCTACTTTCCATTTAACATGGCTGCCAACATTATCGTACCGTTCGATATCCTCACATGCCTGGGTGTTGATATCTTCCGGGACTTAACATTTGACACATGGGTTATTCAGATCATTTTGCGTAAGTTGCTTGTCAATGCCGTGCCTTGGGACAGCGTTCGCCAGGGAGAAGTACCGGACAGATATAAAGAAGATAGCCATAAGAAAATAATTGATCCAGCGGCTCAGGATGAACGAATTCAAGCTAAGAAGCCGTTCGACGGTTTGGATCCCTCTTTTATGAATCTGTATCTCTTCCCGGGGCTTGGTCTGTTTAACCATTCCTGCCGAGGCGAAAACAATGCCGAATGGGGCTACGACCCACAGGTTCCCAATCGGATCCTCATATGGGCGACCAAAGACATCAGCGCAGAGGACGAAATACGCATCCGATACCGGCACAACAAGATAAAATCTAGACGCTGCGCCATGCGTTTCTTTGGGGAGCTCTGCAAATGTGATTCCTGCACTGGGGAGCTCCCGAATGACTCGAGCACCGAGGGAAGTGTTGCAAGCGACGAGAGTCAAAACACTTCTTACGAAATAGATGGTGATTCTGAATCTGACAGCGAGCGGAATTTTATTACCAGTCCTTCAGAGAGCCCACATGTTCAAAGCTTAGCTCAAGACTTAGATACAGAACGCAAGGAATACTTTGCAGTCGAGGACGACAAAGTGGTGATTTATCGTTCACTAGAGGGACCCCCTGCATTAAGCGGCAATGAGCAAAGGAAAAGAAGGGCCGACGAACAAGCTAGCCAAAATTCCATGGGCTCGCTGTTCAGTGACTTCAGTGGTGACTATGATCATGAAGATACACCAGAGGAAGCAGAAGAGCGAGCAAGAAAGATTCGAGTGGCAAGAGAGACGATGAGGGAAAGATTCAATACGACAAGGAGGTTTAAAGAGGCTGAAGAGGCCAAGAAGAGGACAAAAGAGATTGGAAAGAGACAGGCAAAGGAGAAATCGAAATAGTCGTCTTTCTTCAGCATGTATAGATGGATTATATGAGAAATAGAAGAATGAGACTTGATCTAGGTCCTGGTTTGTTTTTTTGTTCGTTCTTATCTGTCAGTCAATCTTTTTACTATTATCAGGAGCCCAATCTACTGGTTGAAGATGTATAGAAATCCTTTGAGAAAAAATTGAAGCCAGAGTACCATTCATAATCGCTTCACGCTGAAGAAACCTAAAAGGCGTTGTCCGGAACCCACTAGCCGATCGAGGCACGGAGTTAACATCATGAACCTCGTAAAAACGACCTGCACCCCCACTCTCCAGCGCAGACAGATCACCATGACTGGCCAAAGAGTCTCTGCAGGGCGTCGTCCGGATTTATGACAGGTCCAGAGTAACTCCAGGAGGATTAATAATGCCCCTCCGAGCTCCACGAGCTTTACATCATTCCCCCGCAAGGGTTGTATCTCAAGTATATAATGCCTGGCTCATCACACTGCAAGTTTGTTTTCTAGTCTCTAGTCTGATTGTTGGCACTTCAGATACAAGGCCACATTAGTTATAGCTATTTATCAATTCACTACTCATACAAGTCTAGATACAATCACGATGTCTGGCTTTCCCCCTGCCCCCGCACCCAAGTCGCGTCTCGGTCGTTACCGCCTGCTTGCACCCACGGCGGCCGTGAGGGTCAGTCCATTGTGCTTGGGAGCCATGAACTTCGGAGAAGGATGGTGAGTGCTCTTTCGCTTCAATAGAGTCTGCTAGAGCCCCGTGATCTTCCCGGATAATCAAATGTTTTTAGTCACTATCTAACTATAGCACAACAGGAAAGAAAGACTTGGTGAATGTGACAAGGAGAACTCCTTTAAGATGCTTGACACTTTCTACGAGAACGGCGGAAACTTCATCGATACGTGAGTCCTGTATCCCCTCTAGATAATGGGCTATAAACTTGGTATTTACCCAATCACAGTGCCAACAACTATCAATGCGAAGATTCCGAGTCCTGGCTCGGTGAATGGATGGAGAAACGCGGCGTCCGTGACCAGATCGTGCTGGCCACCAAGTATACCTCCGGCTATCGAACCTACAAGCCCGAGATCCAGGCCAACTTTGTAGGCAACAACACCAAGAGCATGAGGGTATCCGTGAACGCGAGTCTGAAGAAGCTGCGAACAGACTATATCGACCTGGTAGGCCGCCAATTCCACCCCAAGATACGCCATCTTGGTACTGTGATCCGCTAACCCCGATATTCTCCCAGCTCTACGTTCACTGGTGGGACTTCAGCACTTCCATCGAGGAAGTCATGACCTCGCTCAACCAGCTCGTCACTGCCGGAAAGGTGCTCTACCTTGGCGTCAGCGACACGCCCGCTTGGGTTGTCAGTCGCGCAAATCAATGTATGTAGAATTCCGCCAGCATCCCTCCACCTACCTCCCTTTCTAATAAAGCCCTTTATCTCTAGACGCGCGCGACCATGGCATGCGCCCGTTCTCCGTGTACCAGGGCCAATGGAACGCCGCGCGGCGCGACTTCGAGCGCGACATCATCCCGATGTGCGCCGCGGAAGGCATGGGTATCTGCCCCTGGGGCTCGATCGGCGGCGGCGCCTTCAAAACCGCGGCGCACCGCGCCGAGCTGGCGAAGAACGGCAATCCCGGGCGCCAGGTTGAGCCGCGGGACGTGGACGTTGCGGTGTCTGCGGTGCTGGAGCGGGTCGCAGCGCGGCACAATACGGTGATCACGAGCGTGGCACTGGCGTACGTGATGAGCAAGGCGCCGCACGTTGCGCCGATTGTGGGCGGGCGCAAGGTCGAGCAACTGTTGGGTAATATCGAGGCGCTGAAGCTGGAGCTATCGGACGAGGATGTGGCGGAGATTGAGGGAGCGTATGAATTTGATCCTGGGTTCCCGTCGAACTTCTTATTCCGAGGGGAGAAGAAGGAGTCGCATCCGGGAAATATCGTCTTCTTAAATGCGGCGGCCAGATTTGATTATGTTGATTTGGTGCGGCCGATTAAGCCGAAGGATGTTGACGCTTGAATGGGGCTGGGAAGATAGGGCTGTTGATGGTTGAAGATTGGGCAATTGGCATCGTGAGAGCCACTTAAAAGACGTAAGGCTCAGATTGCAGCTGTAATGAGAAGAAAGTAAAGGCTTTATCCTGAAACATGTCCATTGTATGCATACACAGAAACTCAGAAAAAAGACGGGAGACTTAAAAAGATTTGTAAAGTACACGGAGGAAGCATAAAACAATCCCAAAGCATCCCATTTACAGTACAATGCCAAGGGCCCGAACGCTCAAGGCGCCCCAATATCGGGAAACAACAGGTATATCAACTATTTAGTTCTCAACAGGGAGAGCCTGGGCAGGGCTGCGCACATGGCGGCCTAGCTTCTCAAGCTCACCGATGACACCACCGCCGGAAAGACTCCACTTTTCGCTGACCCAGAGGTCATTGACCTCCTCGCGCAGAAGACCACTCCGGGCAAAGTACTCCAGGTAACCGCGGGTCTCGTCGCGAGTCAGACCACCGAGGGTCTGCAGCTCAAGCTGGGCCTCTTTGCCGGTAGCAGGCTTGAATAGCTCCAGGACGCGAGCATCGGCATCGCTGTAGGCTTCCGGGGATGGGTAGTCAGGGGAAGTAGGGCCGGTGCCAGCCTGGCGAGCGGCCAACTGGTCGAGACCAACCTCGAGGCTGTAAACGCTAGGGCTGTTGGAGGTGGAGGTAGCGAACATAACCATGCCGCCATTCTTCAAGGAAGCCTGACCATTCTGAATAAGGGAAAGGAAGTGCTTCACAAAGACGAGGTCGTGAGCGTGGATTGGGGTGAAGTCGGAGGCACGGTAGGCGCTCTCCTTCATCCAGTGTGCGAGGCCGTCTACGGCCACGATCATAGGAGGACGAGGCTTGAAGTCCTTCTCCAGACCAGGAGCCGCAGCGGTGGCAGTGAGCTCAGTCCAGAGAGCCTGGAAGACGGTCCAGGCGACAGCGGGGTCCTGGAAGCCAAGCTTGGCAAGATCCTCCAGAGTCGATGACGGCTTGAGGGTCTTCAGGGCCGGGTGTTTCTGCGAGACCTTGAGGCTAGCCAGAACCTCACGGTTGGCCTCGACAGTGCGTGTCAGGAGGGCGCATGTAGCGTTGGGCTGGACGTATTGGGTTGGCTTGCTGCCCTCAATGGGGGAGTAGGCTGTTTCACCGGACACGAGTTCTCGGGCTAGAAAATGAACAAAATCAGTATCTTTACACGAGGAATGAATCCCCACAGGAAAATTCTATAGTTCTTACCATCAGGCACAGTAATGACCACCCACTTCTTCAGGAATCCCATAGCCATAGCTTGCAGCAGATGGACAGTCTTGCCAGATCCCTTCAATCCAGTGAGAATCTTCTTGACAACCTTGCCCTTCTCGGGAGCATCGCCATCGCCAGAGATCTTCTGAATCAAGCGACCCATCTCAAGGGCATCCCGTCGCAGGACGGTACCCGGCCGACGGAATATCGACCAGCCCTGCTTAGGCTTGAAAGCCTGGACAGCTCTCAATTGGTCGATCATCGGCACGGGCAGACCGAGCACCGTACCACGAAGACGGGCATCAACCATAGTCTCCGGTGACAAGTCTTGCATGCCCTCGATCTCGAGGGCGTTAGGGTTGCTCAGAACAATGCGTTTCCGCATAGCCTTGCGCTCGCCGACGGCCGGAGGCCGCGCGCGCTCAGTAGTCTTCTTCTTCTTCCTCCGCAGGGTCTGACCTTGTCTGTACTTCATGATGGTCAGGCCCTTCTTTTTCGCAACCGGCTGGGCATATTGCACAGCGGTGGTGTGGAAGGGGGCGCTCGTGATCCGGGCCGTAGCGGACGGCGGAGGGAGAATTGCTCGCGGTGTTGCTGTCGGGCGAAGCCGCGACAGGCAGCTCCAGCACCACGCGGAGGCCATTGGTCACAGAAACACTGGCACGGTGGCCAGTGTGGAACAATTCGGGGCGGAATTGGGGTGTGGAAGGTTGAGGATGCTCGTGCTGGGGAAGGAAAGCAGCATAATAATTTGATTGAATATCCTTACGCCCGTTCGGGATGGCGGTGTCGGGTGTCTTAGTCACCCGCGGCAGAAAAGCCAAAAAGGGCCGTGATAACCAACTTTTTTTTCCCTGCCGAGCTACAAAGCTACTGTATCTCCACCGGACCTGGTTCTTTGTTGCTCTGAACGGGTTTCTTATTTTCTTGCCAGACATTCCGACTTCAGGGTATTAATTGCCATGGCTGACGTTGAAATGGGCAATTCTGCCCCTGATGCCTCCAAGGCTGAGAGACTGTACGCCCAAAAAAATCCCCTCCACTTGATATCAAAGCACAAACATTCTGCAAGACCAGACCAAAAAGAGGCTAACACAGCACCAATTATAGTCCTATCACTGTCTCCAAGCCCACCCCCTACACCTTTGACCTTGGTCACCTCTTGGCCAACGACCCGAACCCTCTCGACCTCCCCCCCCACCGAGTCCCTCAACGACTCCCTCAAGGCCACCGCCCGTGATGGCGCCCAGTGCCTGCTCAACCAGCTCCTCACGACCTGCACAATCACCTCTTCCGCTCAGAACGGCGTGCTGCTGAACCTGCCGGCGCCGCAAACCGCGCTCCCGCGGCACAAGCCGCTGCCGACCCCCAAGCCGCCGACGAAGTGGGAGCTGTTCGCGCGCAAGAAGGGTATCGGCAAGTTCAACACGAAGCCCGGCGCATCCCTTGCAGACACAGAGCGACGCAAGAAGCTGGTGTACGACGAAGCGTCCGGCGAGTGGGTGCCGCGGTGGGGCTACAAGGGCAAGAACAAGGCGGACCAGGACCAGTGGCTGGTGGAGGTCAACGAGAAGGACTGGAAGAAGGAAGAGGAAGCAGCGGACAAAGGCAGCTCGATCCGCGGAATGTCGCGCACCGAGCGCAAAGAACGGATCAAGCGCAACGAGCGCAAGATGCGTGCGAACGACCGTCGGTCCAAGAAGCCTGGCAGCGGGTAAACGAGGAGACGACTGGGCCTTGGCTGGGTCTTTTTCTCTCTCGCTCGCTCTCTCTTTGTTTGTTTCCCAGCTGGCACGTAACTTGCTGGCAGTGACGGCTTGTACATTTCGAGGGGTTACTTCTTTTACTTCATTCTCTGGGCGTTGGGGTTTGGGAGTCGAGGGCTTGTTTAGTTACTCGGTTTCGTTCTTATTAACGACACTTTCAGCTGTGAAGACCGTATAAAAAAGCATTGTTTAAATTATCTACAAACGAGATCCTACTTGCGACTTGAATACTAAGAAAACAATAGAGAACGTGTAGATATCGTGAGAACCAAATAGATGGCCTTCATTGAACCGAAAAGAAATTGCCTTCCCACTGCCGCTATAGTACAGATCCTGCAATGAGAACGCCAGACAGACATAAAACCAGTCAATTGTGCAATATGAAACAGCACCAAAGACAAAGATGGCAAGAGCTGTAGAGGGGAATCAGAACGAGAGAGAACCGCATAGAAAGCAGAAAAGCCAGATAAGAAAGATTTGAATATCTTCCAAAACAAGACACAAAGAGAGGAAAAGAGAGAAAGATAACAAAGATATGGCAGTAGTTGATATGTGTGTGTGAGAGAGAGAGAGAGACAGAGAGAGAGGGAGGAGAAAGATGGAATCGAGAGGTAGACCGCCATTCACCTAGATCAATGTGTACGCTGCGAAACAAAGATATACACAGTGAAGTAAAAAAAAGATCCTGATAATGAGAAGATGGGCAGGCAAATAAGACCCTGTTCCCGAGATGCCGCAATATGCACTCGGACAAATGCTGGTTTGAGATGAGACCAAGTGATAGTTGATGAGAGAGATAAGATGAGGTAGGGAAAGTCGGAGAAAAGGGGGAGAAATCAAGAATCTGAATATCATTTCGGCCATCATCAAATATCGTGCCAAGAAGCGTCAAAATTCATGCCTCTAGCCTTGGATGTCTCTCGCGGACAGACGCCCAATCGGTCCAGCCGAATCGAGAGACATCCAGCGTGATATATGAGAGCAGACCACCCCAAGGCGTGTCCAAAAAAGGAAGGGCCAATGTAAGTAGTGTCCATGACTTTGTAGCCTTAGGACTTGTAAGAACCTGTAGACCAAGCTGCACTCCAGGTTTATATTTTGATGGGAGAAAGAGGCGGACCAAGTTCGGGAAGTTGAGAAATGCTGCGAGTATGTGTCGCTCCTGTTTCGATATTCTTCGGTCGAGCCTTCCGGCCTCGAGAGGTCTCGGGACGCAGGCGCTCCTCCTCGCCCTGGGAGCTGGAGCTAGAGGAAATGGCCCGTTCATGAGAAGGGGAAGCTTGGGAGGCCTGGGCCTTGGCTTTGGCCTCAGCTGCCTCCTTCTCCTCCTTCTCCTTCTGCTCCCGCTCGTCCATCTCCTTCTCCTTCTGGGCATACTCCTTCTCGGTCCAGCAGCCCTGCCAACAGTTCTTCCAATCACAGACTAAGAATTGGAAGCAGAACGCATCGATCTTCATACAAGGCTGGAAACAGATGCACAAGTTGCGATAGTCCATCTTGTTTTGGTCGACGTACGAGTGGAGAAGGTTGAGGTGGCATGTAATGGCGAAAAGGAGATAGTAGTTGTAGGGCGGGAGCTTCGAGAGCTCGTCCTTGAGAAGTTGCGGGGCAGTTGTGGCGCCCTCGCATTTTGAGGAGATCATATCTTGCGTTGCCTTCGGGAAAAGCTCATCAGGCAGCTCGCGAAGCCAAGCCTTGAATAGAGAGCCGATCGTGTTGATGTCGTAGAGATCGGGGACATCGAAGAGACTAATATCCAATTCTGTGTCGAATCGTCTCTGCCAATGCTTGACTTCGCGACCGCTTCCCGGGACTCGGTACAGACCTTCTTCCTCGCAGCCCTTGAAATTGAGATAACTGCAAATGTCAGTTAGTGGGAGTTCGTATACGGAAAATGTCAATATGCGAGTTACTCACTCAATACAGCGGTAGGGAAGAGCAGGCATCCAGAACTCGGTCTTGTCCCGACAATCTTCCAGCTTCTTCGCAATACGGGTCTTCCTGGCCTGTTCGATGAGTGGGAGGTTGATCACGGCGCAAGCATAGCTATCGTCGTTAACCAGCTCTCGCTCATTGGTACTACCACTCCTAGTGATCTTGCCAAAGAAGCCCTTGCCTGCCTTACCAATGCGGTCTGCGGCACCGCTTGAGGACTGCTTCAGGTTGTTGAAGATTGCCGCCGAGGCACCAGAGACCTGGCTCAACGAGCCAGACGTCACCATGGATCCCCCTTGGCTTCTCTCCTTGCGAAGAGAGGCGGTATCTGAAGGGCGCGGAGGGGGGTTCAGTCCTCCGTGGGTTGAACGTTCAGGATGAGCGGTGGCGGACCGCAGGGGCTTTTGTACTTCGCCTTGGCTGAACTCCTCCAGCTTGGCCAAGCCGGTCGACGGTCGCCGGCCAGCGGCTCTGTTTCCGGACGACTCGTCTACTCGAATAGATCGTGATCGGGTCAAGAGACCAGCAAATCGTGGTTTACTTTTCTTCAACGGGGCGGACTCTTGGTCGCCATTGGTTTTTTTCTGACTTGTTTGTTGTGAAGTCTTATCGGCCGCCGCGCTCTCGCCTAATAACAGCTTCATTAGTTTTGTTTCAAAAATTCCACAAGAGAGAGACGCAAGCTAGAGGATAAATGGTTGCAATGGGTTACTCACTCTTTTCGTTCTCACTCGCCTTCGCGATGACACTAGGCAAGTCGGGTGACGACTCATACAACTTCGGTGTCATCGGCGATTTGCGATCCCTTGAGCTTCCCCGGCTCTTGGGGTGGTCGGTTGAGTTGCTCGAACTATCCGATCGCTGCGCCCGGTGCGATGATCGAGGGGCTTTCAGGTTTCCAAAGAACGACCTTGACGCATCGCGCGCGTGGGAGGGTTTTGAGGACTCTTTGGGGGAAGGAAAATATTGTGGGATGGCGGTCAGACCGGGGGTTGAGGGCTCCGCGGCGGGCTCCGCGGCGGACAGACCAGGCGAAGTTGGGATGGCCGGGCTGGTGACCTTGCTGGTGGAGTCTTGGGTGACCGGACGAATGGTCGTGCCTTTGAAGAGCGGCGAGCTTGAGGCGGACTTGGGCGAACGGGGGGTCAGTGGACTCGGTCCGTCCGAGCTCTGGGCACCGGGGGAGCGCGGTGATGAAGGCTTGCCGTTGTTGGCGTCCGGTTTGAACAGACTGAGGTCGAGATTGGGCACGGTGGAATTGCGGGACGGCATGTTGGGCGACAATTGACCAGGCTGGGTCTCAAGCCGTGTTTGTGCGAGGGCCAGAGGGATCGAGACAATCCAGACACGCCGATTCTATGCGTCGCGCAAGAGGCTAGGTGAACCGATGGTCCTGTAGTGAGATCGATTCGGGTCAGCGTGGATTCGAGGCGACCCAAGGCTGTTACGGCTGAGGATGTACCTGGTCGCTCCCGATCACCTGTGATTTGGGACAAATCGAACTTCAGCTAGGGTTGCAATTGTTCAGTTTCGGCCAGTGCTTTTCAGTTGTGGCCGCTGTACGGGTATGCGTCTGGGTATGTAGGTGTACGTGGACGGGGATGGCAGTGTTGTGAGGTGGTCGTGTCGAGGACGTTTGGGTTGAAGCGATGCTCGGGGATCGTGGCAGGGTCTATGGGCTTGAAGATATGGAATCTGAAAGACAAGATCTGCAATCAGTCAAGTTGTTCATCTGCGATTCTCTGCGAGGTCTAAAAAAAGAACCAGTGAAACCTCATGACAGATGCAGGGGGACGTCAAAGAGCGCGATGTGTCTTTGATCCAAGTAAAGCCAGGTATGGGTGAAACAATGGAAGGATTCCCATTTATTTCCATCGGATTGTCACTCACCAGGGGTCCATGATATGTTGATCTCACAGTGAATCCGGCCCAGGTGGGAGGAAGAAAAGAGGGTGTGATGTGTTGCAAGGATGGCTTTCTCCCCCCCCCCTCTTTTCGGTGTCTTGAGGATCGGAGGATCGGCAGGGCAGGAGGCGACTTCGTTTCAAGCCCACAAATGTGCGAAGCACCTGGAGTGAACCAAATGATCCAAAGTGACCCAAGGGTGATCCAAGGTGATGCAAGCCCCAGGAGATGGTCAGAGGGGAAAATAGAGAAGAGGAAGAACTTCCCCTAGACCGTTAGCGCAGCGGCTGCGTTAGCCAGGGAGCCAAGGGAGCACTATGACCCGTCAAGAGTCAAGGCGGCGTTAGCCTGTCCGGGCGTTGGTGCCGTCGGTTTGGACTTCGGAGGAAACCGAAGACGAGCGCAAGAGAAAAAGCGAAAGAGTGAGGGTGTGTGTGAGAAAGAGAGAGAGAGAGAGATGCAGATAGGACAAGGATGATTGAAGAGCAGAGGAGGCACGTTCACTTCCAACAAAAAGGCCTGTCAAGTCGACCGCGCATTCCTGGCGGGTGGAAAGCGGTTCTGCACTTCGCGCTGATCGGGCCGTTTATCTGAATCACAGGGCCGGGATGAGCTCCCGAATGGCTGGGATTGATGGGGTTCGAGGTTGGACGGAATGGGATGAAAGGAGACGAAATGCTGGCAGATTACGGTTAAGCTCAGCCCCAGAAGGCAGGATGCGCCTTATGATGGATGCGAAGCCGGCTTATGTTGATAAATTACTATTCTTATGATCTCTATTTTTCCTACTTCCCCGTCAGAGCGTGGACCGGTGGGGTCTCTGGGTATCGTGGATTCCGCTTTGCTCTGGTCCGATGTCCTGGGATCGTTTCATAGCCGCGCTATCTGATGAGAGGCCCCCTCCGCCCCTGAGCAAAACGTCAGCTTGTTCCATGGATCGCTCGCGCGTGGATGACTGGATGACTCGGTGACTGGATGACCGAAGCACCGAATGAGCGGACGGTGGGCTGTTGCATCATACTCTGATGTCGAGCGATGATCGCAGGGTGTCAATCACAGGCCCCCCGTTCCATGGATACCGTCACAGACAGATTGGGGATGAGTTGGGAGGCAGTCCTGGTTCTCAGCCAACAACAATTGTGCCTGATCACTGCCTCTCTCGTCTCCCCAGTCACTGCTGGCTGATCCAATACCAGAGACCGAGTTGGTTGCGAAGGATCGCCCCCGGTCCTCGACGACCCGGTGGCGATCGACACCGATCGAGGCAATGAGGACCATTTGCCGCGGACCATCGTGCTGGGCTAAATAGTATGAATAGTATGTGACATGGTCCACAGCTCCAGGGAGGAGTCTTCGGGTCAGGTACGAAGGATCAGGTACGGAGTACTTTCGAACCAGCGGACTGTGACTTCTCTGGTTTGCCTCTGGTCACAGCGCGGACGGAGGACTGCTCCACCAGCAAGCGCCACTGGGTCTGGCAGTTGAACCCACGGGAGAAATGATGTGCGTGCCCTGCGTTGCAGCGACGGGGGTGCTTGATTGGGCCGATCGACCAGCGAGTGGAGCAGCGCGTGGCATGTTGGCAAATCCGAATCAGCGGGAGGACAATGAGGGGAGGGAATGGGGAGAAAGGACACAAGACCACGTCCTTAACGGCTGGCTTGTGCCTGGTTGCCATCCATGGTTGCGCTTTGTCGCAGATGTTTCCCAAGGTTCTCGAGACAAGAAAGATGCCAAGGTCCGACTCGATCTCCGTCCCGTGACCGCGTCTTCCCTGGCGTACCCCAGTACCTCGCTTGTGTACCGACTCTATCGCCCAACTCCAGGTACACAGTACTGCGTGTCTCCAAATCCATATTCACCCCCTGTTATACTCCGTCTATCCTCTCTCTATTGTTGCATATTCTCGACCCCTTTTTTGGCTTCGCATTCAGGGGTGAAAAAAAAAAAAAAAAAAAAAAAACAAAGCCAACCCCCCCCCCCAGCCACCCCAACAAGAGCAAAGCAGTCGTCAGACAAAAACGTGTCCGCGGCGCTTGCGCGCGAGACCCATTCCTCCACTTTTTTTTCTTGCTTTCTGGGTGTTTGAAGTCGCCCAATTTGCTCCAGTTTCAGATGCTAGCCATTCACATTGTTCGCCCTTCCGAAGCTCTGTCCTTCGCCCCTCTGAGGACCCACACGATCCATTTTTCCCCTTTTACGCCTCCATGGCTCGGATCATGCCCTAGGCCGTGGTGGGGAAGACACTGCTTTTAGAAACCCCCAAACCAGCCTCTCTGCTTTGGCCGGTGTGTGCTGTCTTGGGTCATGGACGCACTCTCTGGGTTGCTCGACCCTCTCGCCTGAGGAGGAACAGCAATTGGAAACCAAGGGCGTATCCATGGAGGGCTTTGAATCAATAAAAAGGTATACCAGTTCTGTGGCCCATGAGGACAGCCTAAGGTCCTATTACGTCTATGAATGGGCGGAGTATACTCCGTCCGCCGGAAATATGCCCAGTCGGCCCTGCCCGTTTTCAACGGTCAAACGGTGAATTATTGCTTCTCGAAATTCGTTCCTGTCACCCTGTCAGGCAATAGGAACGACTGCGGAGTACTTTCCCCCCATTTGCACTGCTTACCCGAAATGAACAGGATGCCACGTAGGATTCGGGCGCAAAGAGGCCTTCTGGTAGCGGCGAGGCTAATTTTTTTTAGCACCCGCACGTCAAATCTTCGGTAGTCCAACCGCGTCGGATCAAGACCCATCTATCAATGTCCTTTTTTTCTCATTTTTGATCTATTAGTATCATGTCTCGCTTGTTTTGTACAATTGATGCTGCCTAGGTGGAGAGCCTCAAGGTGGATCCATCTCGGCGGCCTTCGATTTGCTTCGATTCTTTCCTTGGCCTCCATGTCTTTCTGGCTTTTCACTCTGATCCACTTTGTACACCGCACGTTCCTTGGGGATCCCCATTCAGTCTGAAACATGGTCGAGGATCCAAGACTAGCGCCCGGAGTGCACTCGGTGCACGGGGCAATCTGCAGTGCGACCTCAGGGGAAGCAGCCACATGCACTTAATCATACCTGTGCCCCGTCGAGTTGTACTCTGCTCTCGGTGGCTTCAACTATGAGGATTTCTGTCACAGACTTCATAGACCTCCTGCTTGATCTTGTGTATTCTAGTGCACGCCACGGGAGGTGAAGGCTCTATGTTTCCTATTCTGTGCTATAGAGTAAATGAGACCATAATCCATTCTGGGCTGGAAATCTCAGTCAAAATTCCCATGTCGTGTATCGTTGTGCTTGATGTGAACCTGTGGTTGTATTCCCTCGGGATATGTTCTAGTGACAATGGTTATTGACTTTGCTGAGACATTGAAGCACTTGGAATTTTCTAGAGATTACTCTGCCTTGTAATTCAAAGTGTTGGTCCTATCTTGGATATTTAGCAGGCATCTGATGGCATCGGGTATCCTAGGTGTCAAAGATATATATCATATGTGCTCTAGCTTGTGTTTTCATCCCATGCACATCTATATGAGCACGTTCCTTTTTCTGAAAAGCGAAAAAAAAAAAAAGGAGGAGAAGAAGCCTGACTACTATCTTTACATTACAAAATATCAAGATATCCTCACACTATCTATACTGCACCTATACTGTTGGACGAAACAAAAACCATCGAGAATGAGGCCTGATCATGATTTAATGCCTCAGGAACCAAGATAATTACCCGAGCCCACCGCCCAACCCACGTGATCACACACCCGTACAAAAGACGCGATCCCTGTTTCTCTCTAGAAAGTCAGCCACAATTCGCTTCGCGGGAACCCCCGTTTGTTCCCGCGGCTCTACACAGCCTGTCTGGTGGCGTCCGCTCGTGCTTAGCTTGATGACAGCTATGATCTGAGCATCTCCAATTAAACCCCTCCTAAACTGATCTTGGGCATAGCTCACCAAGCTTGTTTCCCTGACTAACCCTAACCTGGCCAATCATTCCTCCCTCAGGCCCGTGCAGCCACCGCATCATCGTTTCCCTGCCTAAAATGGCTCTGGTATCAGGCCCTGGCCGGGCTGGCGGCCCCTCGTCAAGCATGGAATTATACACCGCGAAGCATGTGGCTTATATCAAAAACCTGGACACTGTGCGTGCTTTTCTCTCACTGTGGTAGACCCCAAGACATGTACGGTAAGGATCATGGATTGACAGTGACAGTAGCGCAAAGATGAGCTAGAATACTGGCTCACAGAGCACCTACGGATCAACGGACTCTATTGGGGACTAACGGCTCTCCACTTACTCGGCCATCCCGATGCGTTGCCCCGAGAAGAGACCATTGACTTCGTCCTTTCCTGCCAAAGAGAAAGTGGTGGGTTTGGAGCTGCCCCGGGCCATGATGCCCACATGCTCTACACGGTCTCCGCCGTCCAGATTCTGGTCACCATTGACGCAGTGGATGAACTGGAGAAGCGTGGCCGAGGGGGAAAGCAAAAAGTCGGCTCTTGTATGGAACTACTCTCTCTATGTTGCAATATGGTGTTTCTCCCCCTTCTGTCTCCATACTAAACGATTCTAGTCATTGCCAGCATGCAAAACAAAGAAGACGGCTCCTTCAAGGGCGACCAATGGGGCGAGACCGACACTCGATTTCTGTATGGTGCACTCAATGCACTGTCACTCCTGGGCTTACTGGACCTGGTCGATATCGCCAAAGCTGTCTCGTACGTTCAAAGTTGTGAAAACTTTGACGGCGCATACGGGGTCACGCCCGGAGCAGAGTCCCATTCGGGCCAGGTGTTCACCTGTCTAGGAGCGTTGGCGATCGCCGGCCGCTTAGATCTGGTGAACAAGGACCGCTTGGGAGCTTGGCTCAGCGAACGCCAGGTTGACAAGGGGGGCTTCAATGGCCGCCCGGAAAAACTCCCCGATGCATGCTATGCTTGGTGGGTTGGCTCTAGCTTGGCCATGATCGACAGGCTTCACTGGATCGATGGCAAGAAGCTTGCATCATTTGTGCTTCAATGCCAGGTAGGTCATATTGCATTCCTGTTGTGAAGTCTTCTTTGTGCTAAACAGTCACAGGATCCCGAAGCTGGTGGATTCGCTGATCGACCTGGGAATATGGTTGATGTATACCATACCCACTTCGGCATTGCCGGACTGAGTCTTTTAGGAGTCGAAGGACTACTGGAAGTAGATCCTGTTTAGTAGGTGGCATCGGGATTTTCTCTGCTTCGTGACATCGCTAACTAAATGCTTAGTTGTATGCCAAAATCAGTGATTGCACGATGCTTTGCCAAGTGAAGAGTTCCTTGGCTAATTAGTGCATCATCCCCCTTCTATCCCTCCTGCCATCTAATAACCCGTCGCTCCTTTTCTTCTGTGGACTATGGGATACAAGGCAGGAGGAGAGCAATTGTTCACTTTGACTTATTCCGCTTCATACCATCCCACAATGGCCTAAAGGCTGTTAAGACATCGTGGCACAAACCTAAGTACTATCTTGGAACCTTAGATACTATGAGATACCAAATGACATCCCAATGACATACAAATGAACCTTCCGATCGTTCCTTCCGTGTAGCATGAGCGTCGTTTCTTCCCGATTGGGGGAAAGCGGCCTTTGTCGACGCGGCTTGTCTTGTTGACAAGAAGCATCTCCTATCCTTCCATCTTTCCATCCTCAAACCCCCACAACTTGCACCTCTCTCCCCCTCCTCATCGCTCCTTCAGCATTTTGCTATTTCTTCCCGTTGGTGTCTCATTCGATACTTGGCTTTTGCTTGCTACTTCCTTTTGGACTGGTTCATCCAATCAACTTGCAATTGCTTCAATGGATGCTGCTGTACTCCAATGCACCATCTGCCCTGGGCAGCCCCGGTTCAGCGATCTCTCCCATCTGCTGACCCATGTAGCATCCAAGGCCCATTTGTCTTATTACTTCAAGCTTCAGGTGCGGAGTCATCAAGAAGTCGCGGCCGCCGAGTTGCTTGAAGAGTATGATCATTGGTTTATTGTCAATGACTTATCTCGACTGCTTTCGGAGAGAATCTCATCCAAGGAAGATCGTCGGAAGAAGAGGAAATCTCAAGTCAAGTCCACAGTCTCTTCCAATGTGCAGCGTACGCCGAGAACATCTATCGGGGTCGATTCTACTGAATCCAACAGCCACGCCACTTCACTCCTTCCTGACTTTCTTGACCCCCGACTGGTGGGTTCTTTCAAAGACGCGAAGCCCGAGGTGACGGCTGAAGATCTTCCCTTTCTCACCTGCTACGTGACTCCAGCCGCTTCTGCTGCTACTGATGCTCATTCAATCTCGAATGCGGTTTTTGAATTCGACCCGGCCCAGTCTTTGACCAATGGAATAACTGGGGGATGGTATGAGACTGCTATGCCTAAATCGAGGGATAGCATCAACCCAGCCTTACCTGTGACGCCAAAGCCCTTACGATTCCGATCTCGATCGGATGGCCTTCCCCTACTTTATAACGAAGCAACGTACTTGTTCTCTGACGGAAAGGCCCGTATGGATATTCAAGATGACCGCGAAGTTGACAAGGACCGAGCCGAAGAAATGGCACGATTGAAGGGTGTTTTGTGGCCTGGAATGGATATTTTTGACTCAGCTACTCAGCAGATGCGACGAAAGCGGAATCAAAAAAAGGATGGAAACGTCTTGAGGAGAATGGAGATGACATCGCTGTTGGTGGAGCCCACGGAGTTAATCTTCTCCCCCACGGGAACTCTGCGGAAGCAACGCATGATCTCTGGAAACGTTGAAGACGACAGCCCTCTGAAAGGGGAGACTCCAATTCCAAAGCGACGTCCACCTCGTCCTAAGAGAGGTGTTCTTCGTCAGAAGGATGCCAACATTCCCCGTGCTAGTGACAGAAAACGTGCCAAGAGAGCAGCCGCTGAAAACCGCAATAGGAGTGAAAATGCATCAGGAAGCCCTGGAAATCCCCTCAGTCTTAAGGGCTTTGGATCAACATACATTGGAGATGATGATGACCTCAATCTTTCGATGCGAGTTTTTGACAAGCGGTCTCGCAATGGCTTCACTATCTTCACAGATGACAACCAAAATAAACGGGACATGAAAAACCAGCGTGCACGTCCAAAGGTCTCGCGAGACACGCTCACCCCTGCCCGACTTGTTCTCAATCATAAACCAGACATTTCTAATCACCATATAACCAAGCACCACCACTCGTCCCTGGACAAGGAGAACATCGAGCACATGATGACCTCGCATGGCCGGATTAGTCCCCCTTCTTGGAATTCCCCTTTTATCAAGCGCAGTGATTCTGACACCGCCGAGTACGCCCCTCGCTACTTTTTCGATGAGCCCTCGAATGTTGGTCTTGGTCTGCAGGACGATCAGAATAAGTGTGGGTATAGGTCCAATCCGCTGCTTGCTCCTGCGTCCAAAATGAACTTTTACAGCAACAGCTCATACGACGATGTGGCCATAACTAGCAGTGGTTGGACATCCATTTCTCGAGCTGGCTCTTCCGAAGAGACTCTCTCCGAGGAAGATCACCACGAGCTTGCTCGCCTTTACCTGGAAGCAACTGCCGCCGAATAGATTTTTTTGCGAGCGATACAACTCCACACTGTCATTTTTGTTTCTTTCCGTCTCCATGGACATCTTGGAGACTCGGTACCGTGCATATGGGATAGAGTTGGGCGTGATAGGGGGTTTAATTGCTATCCATTCTCTTTGAAGCATTTTGAATGAGTGTCTCTTTTACATTGACGATGACTGTTATTACGGGCTTACGATTGCTTTTTGTGGTGCATGGTTGATAAGGACTGGTGGGTATGGATCATCATCATGGCGATGGAAGGGCGTGGACAGAATTTTCCCCTCCCCACGGACAGCAACCCGAGCTGTATGTATCATAATTAGTCTTAGTATCAAATAGGCTTCCTGTATGATCTCTCTTTACTCAATGACAGTCCATAAGGGCTTTACAAACAATTTTATACTCCGCATTCTATCAATCTCGCCTCGAGGAACATTATCAGTGGGTGCCGATAGGGAGCTGAGTCAGCAGCCACTTAACGCCTTAGCGCGTTCACACGCGTCAAGCTCGGGGATTGCGGAGTTTCATGTCCACTTGACTGGAGATGACCAGGGATTCTCTACCCTCAATAGTCTTTCATTGCTATTGACTGGCTATCTCTAGCTTCTTTAGCCTGGGACTCCTCTCTCTAAGGGATAATCTGAGGGATTATATCGCGCCATGGCACCGCATTCCTCCCAATCCTCCGCGCCCTCTCCATCATTGAAGCGCAAGCAAGCTACCATCTCCAGTTTCTTTACTCAAAAACCGTCTTCAACGCCACGCTCTGCTACTAACGTCATTGAAACGCCGTCCAAAACTGCGTCGAAAAAAAGAGCGGCCTCACCTACCGAGCCGAGTCCTGTCTCGGAAGGAGCAGCTCCTGTACCGGACGACGATGACGAAGACGACGATATCGTGGTGCCACCCACTAAACGCGTGAGAAGGAACGGCTCAGCTCCAGAAGAACCTGCAGAAGTTCTGCCAGAGATATCATTGCACCCCCCATCCCAACTGAGCAGTAGCCAACGGACGGACATCTTCAAGTTCCAAAGTCTCCCCACCGACCCCTCGGCGAACAACGAAGCTGAAGACCCTGAAGCCGTCGAACGAAGGAAGACAAAAGAAAAACTGCACCAGAAGTTTGTCCGGAAACTCGGCGGAGCCGACTGCTTGATTGGCATTGGAAGAACAGCGGCCAGCGATCTCGCCGGTGCCGGCGCTGAGGCCGAAGAAGCCGATGACGATGAGGAGCCCACGCCCCCGCCCCCCACAAAGGGCAAGGGCGCTGCTAAGAAGGGCGGCAGCAAGCTCACGCCCATGGAGAAACAGGTCATCGAGATCAAGCGCAAGCACATGGACACCGTGCTGGTGATCGAAGTCGGTTACAAATTTCGGTTTTTCGGCGAGGATGCTCGCGTGGCAGCGAAGGAGCTGGGAATCGTGTGCATACCAGGAAAGTTCCGGTTTGATGAGCGTAAGTGACTGCTTGACCAATGGAGGCGGCCAGACCTGGGGAAGGCTAACTGTAGCTCTTGTTTGCAGATCCATCCGAGGCCCATATTGACCGCTTCGCGTCGGCCAGTATCCCCGTGCACAGATTGCATGTTCATGTGAAGCGTCTCATTACGGCGGGCCACAAGGTCGGCGTGGTGCGGCAGATCGAAACCGCGGCGCTCAAGGCGGCTGGGGACAATCGCAATGCGCCGTTTGTGCGCAAGTTGACGAACCTGTACACGAAGGGAACTTATATCGATGACGTGGAAGGTTTGGCGGGCCCGGCACCTGCAGCTGGGGGTGCTTCGCCGGCGACTGGGTATATGTTCTGCATCACCGAGACCAATGCCAAAGGCTGGGGGAACGACGAGCGGGTGCACGTTGGTATTGTCGCTGTTCAACCAGCCACGGGTGACGTTATCTATGACGACTTTGAGGATGGATTTATGCGGAGCGAGATTGAGACGCGGCTCTTGCATATTGCGCCTTGTGAGATTCTCATTGTTGGGGATATGTCTCGAGCCAGCGAAAAGCTTGTGCAGCATCTATCCGGAAGTAAGATGAATGTTTTTGGGGACGCTGTTCGCCTGGAGCGGGCACCGAAGAAAAAAACGGCAGCAGCAGAAGCTCATAGCCATGTTGCAGGCTTCTACGCCGGCAAAATGAGTGCAACTGGGGGCGAGGAGGACGTCAAGGCCGCAAAGCTGCTGCAGAATGTGCTTGAATTGCCCGAGCAAGTTACTGTTTGTCTATCTGCTATGATTGAGCACATGACGGAGTATGGGCTTGAGCATGTGTTTAATCTGACGAAGTACTTCCAACCATTTTCGGCGCGGTCCCATATGCTGTTGAATGGCAACACACTGGTCAGCCTGGAGATTTATCAGAACCAGACTGACCACTCAGCTAAGGGGAGTCTCTTTTGGACCCTGGATCGCACCCAAACACGCTTTGGCCAGCGTCTACTACGACATTGGGTTGGACGGCCGCTACTCGACAAAATTCGGCTTGAGGAACGCACCGATGCAGTAGAAGAGCTGACAAACCCTGCTCGCACAGTACCTGTGGAGCGCGTCAAGAGGCTGCTAGGTAGAATCAAAAGTGATCTTGAAAAAAGCCTGATTCGAATCTATTACGGAAAGGTAACATGCATTTCAGCCTGCAACTATGATTGATATGCTGATTTTCATACCACAGTGTACGCGGCCTGAGTTGCTCACAGTGCTGCAGACTATGCAAACTATCGCGATGGAATTTATGGACGTCAAATCTCCAGCTGATACCGGATTCAACTCCACCCTTGTGAGCGAAGCCATCGCCTCCCTCCCCACCATACAGGAGGATGTCACTTGTTTCTTGGATAAGATCAATCTTCATGCCGCCCGAAGCGACGACAAGTATGCGTTCTTCCGTGAAGAGGAAGAAACCGAAGAAATTGGCGAAGAGAAGCTTGGAATCGCTAGCATCGAACATGAATTGAACGAGCACCTTGCGGTGGCCGGTGAGCGCATTGGCAGGAAGAAAGTCGAGTACTCGACCGTCTCGGGGATCGAATACCTCATCGAGATCGAAAACAATTCCTTGGCTATCAAAAAAATCCCTGCCTCTTGGGCCAAAATCAGCGGAACAAAGAAGGTCTCGCGGTTCCACACTCCCGAGGTTATCCAGCTCATTCGGCAACGCGACCAGCACAAGGAAGCCCTGGCCGCGGCCTGCGATCGTGCCTTCATGGCCCTTCTCGCTGACATTGCCACCCAATACCAATCATTCCGCGACTGTGTTCAGTCCCTCGCAACGCTCGACTGCCTGCTCTCCCTCGCGACCATTGCCCAGCAACCCGGCTACTCCAAACCCGAATTCACAGAACGTCCATGTCTCCACATCGAACAAGGCCGACACCCAATGGTAGAGCGTCTCCTAACAGACACATATGTTCCTAATGACACCAACCTCGACCCGGACGCCACACGAGCCCTCCTTGTCACCGGCCCCAACATGGGCGGTAAATCCAGCTATGTGCGCCAGGTTGCGCTCATCGCCATAATGGGGCAAATAGGCTCGTATGTACCCGCAGCATCCGCAAAACTGGGCCTCCTAGACGCCGTGTTTACACGTATGGGCGCCTTCGACAACATGCTCGCCGGCGAGTCCACCTTCATGGTCGAGCTCTCTGAAACAGCGGACATTCTGAAGCAGGCCACGCCCCGGTCCTTGGTCATCCTCGACGAACTGGGCCGTGGCACGTCAACCCATGACGGCGTCGCTATTGCGCAGTCCGTACTGGACCATATGGTGCGGTCCATCCGCTCCTTGACCCTTTTCATCACGCACTACCAGCACTTGGCGCGCATGGCGCGCGCATTTCCGAACAAGGAACTTCGCAATGTGCACATGCGGTTTACAGAGTCTGGAGAGAAAGACGACGAGGAGATCACTTTCTTATACGAGGTTGCGGAGGGCGTGGCGCATCGTAGCTATGGGTTGAATGTAGCGCGGTTGGCGAACCTGCCGCCATCTGTGCTGGATGTGGCGAAGACGAAGAGTGCGGAGCTGGAGGAGTCAATCAAGCGCAAGCGGTTGACGGCTCTGGTTGGGGCTGTTGAGAAGGTTGTTGAGACTGGGGATAGCAATGCTGGAGATGAGGAACTGCTGGATCGTTTGGCTGCAAGTGTGGAGCAGCTGTAGCTTCCTGGGACACGTTTGCCACGAGACCGGCTGGTGTCGACTTTTGTACATAATTTACTACTACGATGACAGAATATCTCGGGGATTTCGAGCCACATTTAATTCTTCTGCTCCAAAAGCCTGCCCATCGTGAATGGAATTTGCTACGGCACATGAGAATAAGATACAATTCCAAGAAGCCGCCTGAGCTATTTAAAATATCGTAATTTGAATTACGCAAAAACAGCCTTAGTACATGGATCTCGCATTGAAAGGTCAATAATTGGCCATCATTGGAAAGAGTAGCCACATCATCAGTCTTCTAGATAATCTCCGTTCATCTCGAGTGAAGTCTTGAATTCGAAGCAGACCCAATGCAGGCGCTGCCTAGCCTTCGGCAGCCACTCGCCCCTAAGTTCCTCATCAAAATAACTGATCTTCTCCACATACGGCAATCGCTCCTGATTCATTTCGAAGTTGGTCAGCTAACTCTCTCATAGTACTGATTGATGAGCCGACCTTTTCCAACGTCACCAGATCGTCCAGCCAATCGAATTCATAGTCTTTCTCGGGAACCTGGGGACGATCGAGTGAGCCTGACTTATCAACCCAACTAAGACGCAACTTGGGGACTGCATGAGCATTAAGCATAGACAAACGTATGGTGGGGAGGTTTGCATCCAGATACATCTCCAGATACTGGAGATTCGGAAAAGTGATGTCTTGAAAAATCTGGTTGGTTCTTTCAAGCTCCTTGTCAGTAAAGAGGGCATTAATGGACCCCTTTCGCATCATGTTGGCGTAGAATTGTCGGCGCTGCTTGGTGAGGCCCTGGAAGCGTTCAACGATAGTCGGCTCTACCCAGATAGAGTAACGGGTTATTTTGGGTTTCCATAGAATCCTCGTCACTTCCCAGTACCAAGTTGAGTTCACACGAGCACAGCAGAGCAGGGTCTTGATACCGTTGGGTTCCAACACTCATTGATATGCAAACTGGCTCATTATCGCAGAAACCAACTCCGGCATGGAAAGGAATTTTTGAGTCGCCGCCATTGTTTTGACAGAGTCGGGTCTAGTGATGGTTGTTTGACCGTACACTATTTCGGGGTAACTTGGTGGGTTTGGACTTCGTAGAACTCCTTCTTGCGGGCAACTGGGCTCTTTAAATTAGGTAGAAGGAGAAACAAGAATTCCTGGAGGAGCATGGGGCATTTGCTGGATAGATAGTAAGAGGGTCAGGTTGGGTGGTGGACAGCAAGGAGAATAAAGATCCGGAGGCTTGATTGTTTCTGTGTTTATAGAGATGTAGATTAAGGATTGATAGTTTGAACAATGGGAGTTTTCCGTTTGGTGATTCTGATCCTTCTCCTAGTTTTTTTATTTCGTAAATCCGTGTTCAACAGGAAAATTGCCCTCTATCTTCGAAGAGGTAGTGCTTACTCTGAAATCCCTTTGGGGTCTTGTGAGCTCAATCAGAGGCTAACTTGCACCTCAATCGAGGCTTTCGAGAATTCGAACCTGGGTTGTCTTCATCAATATGGCTTTTTGGGACAGCTATTAGCTGTACTGCCTAGTTGTTCTCCACTTCTCAGGGTATAATTGCCTTTCTCTTTATATTATACAATTTGGAATGTGCTAAATGAGCTCACCTTCTTGAAGCTGCAAGTCCTTATCATACATTTACATTTTTCTCTTCCAGGATTTTTGATTTTACCTGCGATAAATGCATCTCAACCCAAGGAAGTTCCAATCAAAATATGCGTCATGGTGATTGACATTAAATCCAGGTTGTTGCGCTGGAGACCGATTCGGGGGAGCGTGCATTGGCGGAGAATGCTGGAGCTAGCCCTCATCATCAGCATGTGTCTTTCTATGCTCTATACTATCAAATATTTGAACTATTGCATTATTCTTGAAGATCTCGATATCAAAGAGGCTTCTACTCTTGCTCCTTACTGCATCGTACAGCGTACGTGAAAAAGCTTCATAGACAGTCTTCCATGAGGGGCTCAGGCAGTGTAGACAAAGACATAGTGAAATAAATCTAGGAGTGGACACCGGAATTTGTTGCTCAGTTTAGAACGTGTTGAGAATACTGTCGCTTTGCTTATTCCTTTTGCATCCCCTTCCTTTAGTGTGCAGCAGATCCAAGATTCCAATTTTCGATCCAAATCGCTAAATATCATGATCTCCACAAACATGGAAACCGGGGAAATTCTTATTACAATATGGGTAGTAAGTCAAAAAAGTTGCCAAAGCTCATGCAATAGCTTCGCAGATCCCGTTGATTTTGATTGTACCGATGTGAGTTAATTCCGGAATACTAGCCACAGTTTGTCATTTATGTCTCAAGCAACTAAACCATCTTTCCAACCCCCAGCCTTGTTGAACCCCCCTTGCCTGACGGGAATTTGAAGAGAAGAGAGAGAGAGAGGCGATTCCCTAATTTTGGCGAAGCTGATATGTGCCCTTTGAGTAAATCGATTCTTTGCAGTTTAATTGGAAATCAAACTTCATCTTTCGAGAGATTCTTGCCATACATTGCTTGCTAACCTCTCGCTCAACCCAAGTGATCTTTCGAACATTTGGAAACCGACCCTAAATTTTGGACTTAGATTCACAGAGTGACATTTTCTGGGGACAAGTGTAAAGACTGACTTGGATGAACTCTGGTAGAACCTTCGCCACTTCTCGTGGGAAACCTCGAGTAAAACTGCGCGCTTCATACTTCGTGGCATTTCGCTGGTGGCGTACATATTTGAAAATGCACGGCCGAATTTGCAGCTCGACAATGTTAGGAGCATCGACGTGAGGCAGGCAGATTTCGCTCCTCGAATGGTCCAAGAATATTTCCAAGCAACGCATGTTCGTAAAAGATATGCCTTGAAGCACTCGGTTGCACTTTTCAAGGTCATCATTAGAGTCACTAGCGACAAGGAGCAGCCCCTTCTTCATCATGTCAGCATAGTATTGGCGACGGTTGTACGCGATTCTCTCGAATCGCTGGACAAGAGATCCCAGGCGCGAGTTGTCATTCATCAATCCCGAGGAACCCCACAGAGTTCTCATTACTTGTCCATACCAAATGCTGCACACACGGGCACAGCTGAGAAGAGTATCGATGTCTTTGAGAACGAGAAACTGCTCCCAGTGTCGATCATCTGTTTTCGCAGTGAAGTAGGAGAATATCTGGGAAACAAGCTCTGGGATTGAAAGTGCCTTCTGAGAAGCCTTCATGGGCTTGTAAATGATCACGCCTTTGCTGTCAGTCATGGTAGCCTTATCGACATATGTGATAGGTGATGAGTAGTTCAAATGACCGGGGTTTTCCAGTTTGACGTAATCTATGGACGCCATTTCTGCAAGCTCAAGTTGGGCGACCAATATGATTCAAGAGTTGAAAGTGATTCGTGGGAAGGGTGAGTGGTGGTTTGAATAAAGGTGAAAAACAGCCTCGAGGTTCTTGCTTGAAGGGTAGAGATGTAGGGGAACCTCCTAGAAGCTCGGTTGAAGATTTTGGAAATAGAAGGATTCTAAATGGAAACTTGTGATGGATGCTGAGCCATAAATAGTGAATAAAGTGACAAACAGAAAGGATTCCGAGATTCACCTTCATTTCATTTACCTCGGCGATGTATACTAGACCCCTGGAAACAAGCTGTGTATTGACCAAGTTTACTTTCTTCACACAAGCCTCAAGAATTGATGACACCAGGGGCCAGATATTGGAGAGCAGCTCATTCAAAGTAGATGATCATAAAATAAAAGAAGCAATAACGAAGACAAAGACTTTTATGAGATAGTTTCAGTATTCGAAATGGCGCCGGAAATTATTCATTCCATTGCCCACCTCCTGTCTCCCCATTGGAGTCATGTCCAGCAAATGATATGTGGACAGAATAATCTCCAAACCTCGATCTGTAGTATCATAAGTGTGAAACACCTCATCCCCTTCTTTCAAAAAAGAGCAAAGTCCAAAATAGCCATTTCCTGGTTTCCACGAAATAGTTTCCCCGCCCTTTTCAGCTTCTGCCCAGGTTTCATGCGTCTTTGCCGAACTGTAGAAGGGGAACTTCCACTCCATGCGATTGGCATATGCAGTAATCTCACTCAGGGGTGCAGTTGCAACTGCAGCAAAAGACGTATTCCGACTCTGCAGGTGTCGGAGGTCAGGGATATGGTCCATGCAAAAGGAGCACCCAACACATCCTTGAGCTTCGTGTGGAGCCAGCATGAAGTGGTATAGGATGAGTTGCTTTCGATCACCGAAGAGGTCACTGAGGGACCTTTCTCCCTCCGGGGTGTCGAATTTGAAGCGTGTGGGAGAGGGGACCTGGACCATAGGCAGCTGTCGGCGCGTTGCAGCGAGTTCTTGGAGTAGACGCGTCGCTGCTTTCTCTTTCTCGAGAAGATCTGCTCGTGCCTGCTGATACTCCTCCACCGTGACGACCTTGCTTTGACTTCAGTTTCATGGACATTTTCTCATGAAAAAAGGACGGGAAGAGGGATGGTTGTACTGGGAGTGTATCAGAAGTACTCGATCAACAGACATACCTTCTTGTTTGGAACATCCATCATAGCCGTCTACCGATTGTGGCTCGCTCACTCAGTTATTGTGTTTTGGATCAGGTCGATATGGAAGCGGGGTTGTTGCTCTTGATTGTTCCCCACATGCTGGAATACGAGGGTTGAGATCATGACGCCGGATTAAGCTTCCTTACTAACCTTACTTTTTTTGGCTGACGGAGGTTTTCATTTGGAGGCTCCTCGGCATTCTCCAAAGGGGTCTCCATCCCAACCTCTTGTTCTACAGATACAGAAACAAACTACAAATACGCCCGCAGTTGCCCTCGACATAGTAGAACCGGAAGTTTCAATATTTTTTTTTGGATTCCCATTGTTCTTTTTTTGTCGGTCGGACTCTGGCTAAGTCTGGGCGTCCTTTCTGCTCTAGTACCGCCTTGGGAACTGCAAAAAGGGAGAAAAAAGGAGTAGAAAACGTATCACAACCTCGTTTGTCGCATTGAGCCCATGCAAGCACGTCAAAAAGGACGTGTGTATGTAGTAAAACACCAGACCAAACCAGACCAGACCTTCCCACAAATCCACAAAACAGCCGTCGCGCAACCTCATTTCATTTCTCATATAAACAGGCTTTTTGAAATCTGCTCGTTTCTCTCCATCTCTCTCTCCCGGTCGGAACTCATGATCGACTTCCAGGACTTGCGGCTGAGAAAGGCCGACAAGCCCCTTCCACCCAGATCCAATATCTCCTATTCAATCATCGGAAAGCGTAGACACGGCATTAAGAAGTTGAGAGGAGAACGGAAATTTGGAGGCGGCATGGCGGTTGAAGTTGAGGGAGTCGGGGAGGAGTCACAGGTACGGCAAGAAAGAAAAGCGGGGAGACAGTTTTGGCCGAAGAACGATCAAAAAAAACCGGTCGGGAGGGATATGCGAGAGACGAAGAGAGACGAAAGACATCGCGCGAGGAAATTGACGTTTTGAGGATTTTTAACGGAGACGGCGAGCCTCACGCTCAGACTCGAGCAGGCAGAGAATGTCATCGACACGGACTGTTGAATGCGAAAATACATGAATTAGCGATGCAGTTCATAGGAGTTTGTGTGGTAGTCGTCAAGGAAGAAATCGAAAATATCCACATGAAGGGTCCGGATCTTCAATGTGATGTCTCGCATTTCCTCCTCTTGATCCGCCCAACCATGTTTCCGGGAAATTCTTGAAGGGGTCGATATCGCATACCTGGGCCCTTGACGTTACGGATGATGGAACGGGAGGTGTCGTCCATGAACTCGACACGGACCTGGGTGACACCACCACGGGAGCCTAAAAGACGTAAAAAAACACCAATTAGTATCCAATCGACTCTTATGAAATCCGCGATTTTTCGTTATCTAAATTGGATTGGCGGGGATTGGGAGGCGCAATAGGCGGCCTTCGCGAATCTCGAATTTTTGTGCGGAGCGGTTCTGGACATCAGGGTAGGCACGTACCGGTGCGGCCGAGGACACGGGTCACCTTGACGAGCTTGACGGGCTGCTTGCTGGAATCCATCTTGAAGGGAGGGCGTTGAGCTCGAGGTTGAGGGAGTTTGGGTGGACTGGAGGAAGAAGCGGATGTGAAAGATGAATTTGCCTTCTGTGGGTTCCAAATTACGCGAGGGCTCAGGGCTGCTGACACCTGAGCCGTCAGGCTACATAGGATGTGAGCTGAGTCATCCAGAACATGGCTCAGTAGGCGCCTACTGACCGCTCGGTAGGCGGTCCACCGGGCGGCGGGGGTCAGTAGGCGGCTTCTGTACCAAGAACCTCGTATGTTTCGAAAAATATGGTATCCTGGTTGATTACAGTCATAAATCGAAGTATTTTCATTACTACCGTACGGTCGCAATACGAATTTTCTCATATACATAACTTTCTATAAGTGGACTATTTTTACATTGAAAATAGTTAGTTCATACTTTATTTCATCCTAGATCCTATATCTTGTATGTTCTGCGAAGGAGTCAAGGGTATGCTAGTCAGTGTAGCGACTTATATACTTGAAAAACATTCATTATGTTGAAGAAGAGTAACGAAACCGTGTAAAAACGTGGTTTCCGGTGAGGTGGACGGTGACATGGAAGAGAGTAAGGTAAGGTAAGAGATAGGGGCGAAAGAAAAGTTCAGGCAATAGTCAGGCGCCAACTTTTAGCGCCGCCTACTGAGCGCTCAGTGGGCGCCCACTGAGCCGTAGTCACCATGAGTCAGCTGATCTGCCACACGACACCTGAAAGTCTAGGCGAACAACAAGATAGAGGAATCGTGATTGAGCCGGATTAGTCACCTTCGAATTCACTGGCCCGGTGTCGGACCCAAATGAAGTAACTACTACTGTATCCCAGTCACTGAAATCGGAGCTTAACAAGGAACATTAGCGTCAAGAGAGCTTTTAGCCAGTAGTCCATGGCACGGGAAAATTAAGAATTGAAATAATGGTTTCATTCATGAGGGCGTCTTTCCCCACGTGCGTCAGTGGTCGTGATCTATGGCGAAGTACATTGGCAGTACCTTGGTCCGCCGCAGGTCCTGTCGCCGTGACGATGTACACCGGCGTATCGCTGGCTGCCCCTCCAATTTCTGCCCGCCCAGAGAGCTCCGATCTACGTTGACTTACCACCCTCCACTTTTTTCCCTGACCTGGTGAATCATCCAGCTTCAATTGCATTCAATTGCCTTACAATTTCTTGACCCCGGTCGATTCAACCTCGTCAACTCACCTGCTCTCTCTCTGCCGATCACTCCAACTTTTCTTCCCGCTATCCGCCGTGCCCCGCGCAGCAACCACTCAACCACTACCAGCCACCATGGATCTTGTCAACCAGTGAGTCAATCGCAATTGTGAGAGTCTCAAAGACCTGAGCTGACTTAGAACTTTGACCCAGCTTGGATGGACGACTCATCTTCGCCGTGCCTAAGAGTAAGTTCCACGCCCACCTATACTCCGTGACTCATACCCGTGAGCGCAGAGCGACACCACAGCGATGACTGAAGATGAAACAAATCCACTTCAATTCCCAAGCTAACGCAACTTCAATCATACAGAAGGACGGCTGAATCAGGATGCCCTCGGTCTCCTTCACGGCGCCGACATTCAATTCCGTCGCGAGAACCGCCTCGACATCTCCCTGGCTAAGAACCTGCAAATCGTCCTCGTTTTCCTGCCTGCCGCGGATATCCCTACCTTCGTCGGGGAGGGTCGTGTCGACTTCGGTATCACTGGTCGTGACCAGGTTGCGGAGCACGACGCAAGTCTGGCTCCCGGCGAGGTCTCTGGTGTGCAGGAGATCCTTGATCTTGGCTTCGGCGGCTGCAAGCTGCAGGTGCAGGTTCCCCAGAAGGGCGACATTACTGAGGCAAAGCAATTGATTGGCCGTAATGTGGTGACTAGCTTCACTGCGCTGACCAGGAAGTTCTTTGAAACACTCGAGGGTGTCGCGCCGGGCGAGAAGCTCCAAACCAAGATCAAGTATGTCGGCGGTAGTGTCGAGGCTGCTTGCGCTCTGGGCGTCGCAGACGGCATCGTGGATCTCGTTGGTACGTTTTTATCGTTATTTTTTACTTCCTCTCTCGTATCCTACCCGTGCCCGTGTGAGGGGTTTCTTCCCTACTCTAAGCTAATCTGACCCGTCGCATAGAATCCGGTGAAACCATGCGGGCCGCCGGCCTGAAGGCCATCGACACCGTCGTTGAGAGCACCGCGGTGCTGGTCAAGTCTCGCAACTCCACCAACCGTGTCGATCTCCAGGAACTCGTTACGTCGCGTATTCGTGGTGTGATCACCGCCCAGAAGTTCGTCCTGTGTCAATACAACATCCCGCGGTCCAAGCTGGCCGTCGCCTCTCAGATCACCCCCGGCAAGCGTGCGCCTACCGTTACCGCACTGGAGGCCGAGGACTGGGTGGCTGTCAGCTCGATGGTCGAGAAGAAACGCGTGGCCACTGTCATGGACGAATTGACCCGGGTCGGCGCCGCCGATATCCTGGTTCTCACCATTGCCAACTCGCGTACCGACTAAGTGCCAAATGGCCGACATTCTTGGAGCGGTCTAAAAGCCGCCAAATTTCTGATCTACCAGCGCCAAAAAGACCGATATCCATGACCGATATTCGAGTCCTGAACATCGCCATCAAAAAGTGGGGGTGTTTGGTTTAGTTTCTGCTTTCTTCGGTGCTTTCCCTATTCTGTTTTCTATTTCCGTCTCTTTTCTTTTGGTTGCAGCCAGATATTCTCCAGTTCGCCATGTCTTTTGTTTTCCATAATTGGTTCATTCTTCGTATCCCGATGATATTCTACTTGACATCCCTTTCCACGCCTGGGTCCAGTACACCTTTTTCCCCCTTTCTTCCTTGACTTACGCCTTTGGGTTTCTCTTTCTATGGACAAAAAAAGTATGCGGGTGAGCTTTAGATGCAGGCACGTATATAGATGGAGCATTGGGTTATATAGCGAGTTTCGAGTAGGAAATAAATATCTTCTATGAACGATTCTGGATTTTTTTCTTCTTCTTTCTATTCATTTAGGTGGCATAATTTGCAGGTATGTCTGTATCTCTGTATATGCATCTCCGTCTCCCCCGATGAATATAGTACAATGTAAAAGCATAAAAGCACACATACATACACACGCACAAATGCTATGTCCAAAAAATAATAACAATCCACCCAGCTCTTGGAAAATAACATCAATCATGGCGCATAGGGGTGGTATCATCAACAAAAAACACTAAGGTTTCCAAACAGAACCATCAAAAAATGTAAGAGAAAGGGGAAGACGAGGGGAAGACTTCCAATGGAGCCGGAGTCAGGCCAAAGGGGCACACACTCTCTACTCCTGGTTTTCCATGCCAACACCCTCCTTCCGGCCCCGGATAATCGCCCGGAGACACTGTCCCACGCCCTCCAGATCACCCAGCAGCCCGACATGCCCACGATCACTCTTAACCAGCCCATCCTTGATAATCCGATACCCTGGCGGCAACATGGCTGCCGAAGCGAGGCATACACCGTCGCCGGCGGCAAATGCTAGGTCATCGTACGCGTCCTGTTGCTTGATCGCGTCGCGTGAGACGACGCGTGCGCCGTAAACTGTCGGCACGCTCTTGCCGTACAGCACGGCGGCGGGCGGGTACTTGTTTTCAGCCTGAAGACCAGGCTGAAAGTTCAACTCGGCCTTGAAGCGCTTCACTTCGGCGAGCGTGCGCTGTAGGTACTCGACGGCGGCGGCGTGGGGGATCGTGCTGGCGGTGGAGATCTTTGAGGGCACGGAGCGACCTCGTGGGTTGGTGACGGGGCCGACGAGGCCGTCCACTTGCGGGGTGATAGTGTCGTTCAGCTTGTCGCCAGCGGAGGCGGCGATGTGGGCTGGGTTGGGGGTTGAGATCTGCCGAATTGTGCGGCGGGAGCCGTTAGGCGAAGAGTCCTCATCTGTGGTGGTAGTGGTAGAGGGCGTGTCGGGGTCGCGCGAATCTGAGAGATCTTGGACCTGGAGGTCGGTCGTGCTGGATTGAGGGCCTAGCGAAAAGCGCTTCCCGATCGCAGCCAGGTCCTTGAAGCCTCGGGTTGCGGTAGGTGACGGGAGAGCGGGATTGATGCAAGGAGTAAGGTGGTATTCGTCCCAAGTGCTGGCATTGAAGAAGTCCACGCGGTATTCCTCTTTGGTTTGCTTGTCAATGAAGCAGTGGCCGTCTTCTGGGAGGAGGGCGAAGCTGGTACGGAAAGTGAAATTGACCTGCGCAGTCAATACGCGTGAGCTGAGTAGGACGTCATCACCGTTCCGTAGCGGACCGAGGATGTTGACACAGTGTTGCGGAACGCCCGCGTAGACCACACCGGCGAAGAGATCGGGCCGTTGGTTCACGGCATGCCGGGTGATGAGGCCGCCGAGACTGTGCGCGATAACTGTCGCCCCGCGCCGAGGGTTCCGAGGTTCGCCCTCGGCTGGTGATCGGTTACAGGGCAGGCGTTCGAGGAAAGCGATGAGCCGCTGGGACAGCAGCTCAGGGCTTAGACGCCAGTCATATCCGTAATCCCAAACCCGGAGATCACCACGGACGGCATTCTCGCATTTCCGCAGCCGCTTCATCAGTCGTCGGCATACATCGACAGGCCCAACATGAGACAATACTCCGGAAGGGATGATCGTCTCTTCCATACGTTCCTCATCCTCCCGGGTCAATCCAACTTCTAGATCAACTTTTCGGAGATTGAGTCCCACTTTCATCGGCACCCAGAGTTGCCGGTGCGGTGGCTTTGCGGAGCGAAGAATCGAGCCTCGGTATCCGCCCAGAATTACAACATCACCGGTTAATTCAGACATCGCCTCTTCCAAGATAGGGTGAATGGACTGAGAATTGTACCGTGGAGGAGGCGGAGGCATTGCATGCTCTGTGGCTGCTTTATTGAAACTTCTTTCAGCCGTAGAAGTGGACGCAGAGTTCGGATACGTCGGGGAGGTCCAATCCGGGCGGATGTCTTGCAAGTGTAACGTGGGCATACTAAGGAGCCGACTGCTTGAATCTTGCAAGCTATCTTTGATCGCCTTGAACCGACTGTTAACCTGAGAGTGGATATTCTCATACCGCGGTCGCTGCTCCAGCGACGAGGCTGTTGACGATGGGCGCAAGTACAGCGACTGATCGGACGAGGATCTTCGCAGACTCGGTGGTCTTGCCAGAGCTGTGCTAGGTCGTCTTGTGAACGAATATTTCACCGCGGAGCTTCCATCAAGGGTCTGCAATTCAGAGATAGGGCGAGCGTCATCCCCATCTTCTTCATCGTGGCTGACATTGCAGACCAATGGCGCCGACCGGGGGTTGGGGGATAGTGAGGCTGACCAATCTCGAAACGAAGGTGTCGACTCAAACCTCGGAGATCGTTTGACGCTGGTTCCTATCGTCTGGCCGCGGGCTCGGTTGGGTTCATTGTTCGAGCGAAACGACAGAGAAGGCCGCTTCGTCAATGATCCCAAGTCTGGGAGAAATTTCTTCAGCTCACCCGACCAGGCCCGCGGCCGGCGCGGCAATGAGGTCTTCAGCAGCGATCGAGTAAAGCTGGATCGTTGACTTGATGCATTGGTATCTTTAGTTTCGGGCAACGCGGCGGATGACGCAGTATATTGGTCTTTGTGGGGACCGGACGGCGCGCGGTGCTCCACCGGCACGGATTGTGTGGCGGGATGCATTACCGGCGTGCTGCGAGGCGTCTTTTGGGCCCTCGCTGCCTGAGACTCCGGCTCCACCGTGTCCGGCTCTGCCGTAAGCTCCGATACAAACAGACCACTGTTCCTCGCGGGCTCTTCAGGCACATTGGTGAAATAGCCACCCTGTTGCTCTAGTACTCGGTTCTTCTCTTCAGCCGGGGTGGCGCGGGCTTTCATGCGACTTTGCGCGCGGCCGATACTAACACCGACCACATCGCCGGCGACATCTTCGTCGGTTTCGTTGGCCCGACCAGGCAGCGGATCATCGCTATCAGAGCTCGAGAAGGAGGTATAGGGCGCGGGTGACTCGGAATCGAGTGCATTAGGAGACGATTCGGATGACCATGACCCTGACTGCTTCGGTTGTGGCAGGAGTCGAGTTGACGATGCTTCGGTGCCCGCACGTTCTGGCGCAACGCCCAGCGGCGCCGGATGGCTGGCGCGGATCATTTTGATGCTGAAAGCCTCGTAGATCTCGTAGATGTCGACAATGCCACGAGGGCCAGGGGCACCTGGTAGTACAAGTCCCGTACAACAAGGTCCCGAGAAAACCGGACTCGGTTCATGGATGATATAAACTGGGGGGTCTGAGCGGGCGCGGCGGAAAGAGCTATGACTAGAACAACTCCTGATGCAATCGGCGCAATCTGTACAACGCGGGGGTTGGATATGTCCAGTCAAGCTTTGCCATTGAGGCCAAGATGTTTAACGAACAAAATTGCGGGCGGTGCCCGTTATAAGGCGAAGGCCGGAAGCAGCAGGGGTCCCACCGGCCTCCAGCACAGCCTCCGGGTGCTCCGGAAAGAGGCAAAACTCTGTCGTGCTGGCCTCGAGCGAGATGGGGGCTGCCGCCAAGTATGTGAAATTTAGCCCGAGGACAACTAGGGAGATTTAAAGCTATCATCTAGTTTGGTAGTCCGTCCGAGCCTGGCGTATCGTACTCTTGCAGTCGACTAGATCGCCAGAGTCATAAATAGCTGCGACTGCCACGTTTGTCGTGTTTCAGCGAATGATCGTGAATGATCGACGAACGCCGCGGGCTGGCCCCCGGGAGATCGGTGCTCTGATGCCCCGTCCGGGCCATGATTTCCACCGATTTCCATGATTTGCTTGGGAGAGTCCACGACCCGATAGGGCGGTTACTTCGAAGCTCAGATATCATGATGACTCCATTCAGCCATGACTGCATGATGATAGTATTTACCCCATCTTTTATACCTCATGCCTTATACCCTATAAAAGGGAGACTTCGCGACCAAGGAAAACCTGAAGATCTCTGGCCCAAGAGCAAGAAATAAGAAAATCCTCCTCCCCCCAAAATCCAGTCAAATCAGGGAATAGCCATCAATAATCAAATCAAGCTTTTGACGGTCGATTTCGCTCTCTTGGCCCACATCATGTCGCATAGTTCATCGAGCTTATAATGTTCTATTTACTACTGTATCCTATGCTCTGCTGCTACTCTCTACTTCTTGTATATCGATCGCACGCTTCATTCAGACCGCCGTCAGAGAAAAAAACACAATGCCAACAACGGAGTCTAGACTACCATCCGGTTCATCGAAGTAGAGAAGTATGGAAATCTTATTGTACAAAACGAGAGCCCTTCAACAATGTGCATACCTTGTTGAGCCTTAGCTCAATGTGATTCCAAAAATAAATCGGCCTTCCTAGGAAGCTCCCCTAGATTCGAGATAGCGACCCCCATCTATCGTGTCTCCATCCTCTTAGCCCCAACAACTTACCGGTTCCGCTGGGGCGCAGTGCTGGCCCCAAACTCACCCACTTGCATCTCCTCCTGGCCGCGTCGCGCAATCTCCTCGTTGCGTTCGGCGCTTTCCTCGGATCCAAAGGCTCGGTCCACGGCCGCCGTCAGCGCTCCCCGAAGCGATTCCCCGGCCCCCTGCCAATTGTTTTCATGGTCAATTGAAAGATCCTTCTCAAAGCATCGATCCTGCTCGAGCCTCCACCCCCAACCTGAGACTCAATTCATTCGATTGTTTCGGTAGGGCCTCTTAGGTTGGCCAGTCATTTGAGTCGACTTACGTGAATACTTGCCCCCAGCCCATGCGCCTTGCGACCGACGTCTTCACCCATGCGGCCGGCTCGCGATTCTGTCCGCGCATCTTTGGCCGAGGAGCTTCCTGCCGAGTCATCCTCCAGTGCGCTTCGCTGCACAGTATTCGGCGCGTATCGAATCCGATCATCCTGACCCGCCATCTGATTGTCACTTTTCGACGGCGTCGGCAGATGAGGATGTTCATGCGGCCCAGTGGTAGATGATTTGGTATACCCTGACCCGGTGGCCGAATTGAAGCCTGACGTGGTGGGATCATAGTGTGCTCGCACGTCTTGCGTCGATAATGGAGCTCCCGGGGCGCCGGTAGACGAGCCATGGCCAATGCCATGGCCAGTGGTATCGGTTGGCTTCTGGTAGTACGCACACATGATGGTATTGGAAATAAGAGTTCCAAAATAAGAGACCAGAGAGATGAAACAGGACCCGAGCTTTGTCAATACTCTATTCTCACGATATGCCGCGGCGGCGAATTGTCATACTTCAGGGTTTATGGAAATGACGTCAGGCTGAACACATCCAGCTCGCATCGAGAACACCGAGGGCACACTTATACTGCCTGAACTCCCACTGCCCTCATATTCACTTATGCACATATATGCTAAGATACGATCATCATGGAAATCCCGCTGCGAAGTTGCTGAATAATTCAACGGTGCCCCGCCCAGGGACGACATTGGACTCGAGGCACGAGCCGAGGTCCCTTTCGCGTTTGGCAGTGGAGCAATTTTCCCTAATCTGGGGATGCTCCGGTCCCTCAATCCTCCTGGGGCATGTTACCTCTTCCCCATACTTTTCCCTTCTTTTAATTTCTTCTCTGCTTTATCCTTCTTTCTTTTGAATCTACTTTTTCTCCCCTATAGTGCTTGTCTTTGTCTCTTCTCATACAGCACCATGTCCTACAAGCAAGTCATCTATACCACCGCTCCGGCTCCGGCCATCGACCCTTCCCTTACCTCCGGCACCTTTCGCCTGAAATCCGTGCCCCGGCCCAGCGATGTCCCAGCGGACAAGCTGCTCGTGCGGGTGCACTATCTATCTCTCGACCCAGCCATGCGCCAATGGCTCACCGCCAAGCGCTCCTACATTGCCCCCGTCGAGATCGGCGCCGTCATGCGCGGTCAGAGCATCGCGCAGGTTGTCGGTGTCGGCAGCGCTCTGTCCGCTAAGTTCGCCGTCGGTGACTGGGTCGTCGCCTCCTCCGGCTGGCAGGAATACGCCCTTCTCGGTGCCAAAGAGGCCGAGAAATTCATTGTGCCCGCCGGCGGCCGCCCGACCGACGCTATGTCCGTCCTCGGTATGACCGGACTGACGGCCTACTTCGGGATGCTGGAGGTGGGCCAGCCACGCGCCGGTGATACAGTAGTGGTGTCCGGGGCTGCTGGCGCCACTGGCATGGTGGCGGGCCAGATTGCGAAAATCAAGGGTGCCAAGCGCGTGGTCGGGCTAGCAGGCAGCCCAGACAAGTGCGAGTTCCTGGTGCGCGAGCTGGGCTTTGATGCGGCCATCAACTACAAGGATCCGAACTGGCGCAAACAGCTGAAAGAGGCGACCCCTGAGTATATTGATGTGTACTTCGACAACACAGGTGGCGAGATTCTGGATGCGTGTCTAGCACGGGCGGCGCGCGACTCGCGCTTTGTGATCTGTGGTGCGATCAGCCAGTACAATGCCGCGAAGCCGCAAGGCCCCGCAAGCTTTATGAATGTGATTGTGAGTTTTTTTTTTTCTATGTCTTTTGATGGCTGGCGGATTTGACCAACGGGCTGACGCTGGATCTTAGTCGCAACGAGTGACGATGAAGGGCTTTATTGTCTTCGACTATGCGAAGAAGTACTCTGCTGCACTGCAGGAGCTGGCCTCTTGGCTGTCGCAGGGTAAGCTCAAGCGAAAGGAGCACATCGTGCCTGGTGGGCTTGAAGGGGCTCCTCAGGCTCTTGTTGACCTGTATAAGGGCGTGAACACGGGTAAGATGATGGTTGAGGTTGCCCCAGTATCTGAAGCCCTGAAGGCGAAGCTATAATAATGGCTGATGTGATATTACGATCCTGTCCTTGTATTTTTTTTTTTTTTAATTTCACATTTCGGCTTGGACGCTGGTACCTTAGCATAGGATGCCGGCCATCCAGATGCAGTCTATGTCTGCCAATAAATAGAAACGAAACATTAGCGCCATTTGTTATGTTAAGAAAACTATTTAAGTAGGGATGATGAGGTGGTTGGGGCTAAAGTAGGGGTTCAAAATATTTGCTGCGTCACACTATATGTAGCCGTTCAGTTCACAGCCAAGCTCTCTTGAATCCTGGGTTGATCGAAGAAACTCCAGAGCTTCTCGGCCTGAGACAAGAGGTGAAAATTTGATCCTTGTCTGAGCGTTCCTATTCGTGCTCAGTAGAACCTGAGTCAAGGGATAGAAGGAGTAAGCTCAGCTTGCACTCTTAATCCTGAGCATTCGACCCTGTGGCCAATGGTAAAGACAGTTAGTCTCACCACCAGGTAGAGGCAAAGAAAAGCATCGAGAACGAGAGCCGGAGAGCGAACAAAACGAAAGATACAAGTCTTGTGACAGAAACCCGGTGGAAGTACATCAGAATTATTTTTCACGAGGACCCAAATATATATACATACGTGTATAAAACTGGGAAAATTTAGCTAATATCGGTTACGAACCTGCGATCCGAGGTCTGCATAAACTAATTTTCCGCCTCGCTTCCCTCTTGGCACAGATTAGCTCCAAAACTATAATTTATAAATCCCTTAAGACCGTCAAATGCACAATGTGGCTTCTATGGGAGATATACGTAGCTGAGATATCGTTATTGGATTAGTACTCTGCCTAATGATTTGGAGCTAGAATATATAGCTACTGCCCCCTAAAATGACAGTAGTGGGCCAGCGAAAGGAGCCAGACAGCGACATATTGAGAAGCACGAAAAAATAGGTAACATGCTAAAATGACATAATATCACAGTTTTGCGCAATGCTCTTAGCGCACCAAGAATGTGTAGGGGATTTGCTACGCCACCACGAGCCTGAATTACTCAAGGAAAAGTGTATTGAAATATCGCCTCCCAACCAAAGCCCCGAACAGCAAATATCGAATTGACGTACAGATGTCATAAATCGTGGTTAATATTGATCGGAAATGTCAGCAGCCCTTCTCACCGGCTTCGCAGATTGGCACGCCAACAATCCATTCCGAGCGCAGCAAGGCGCTGGATGTGATCCGTCTCCGGGAGTTGGGATGTAGCATGGCATAGACGGCATTTCGACGTTTCTGGAGCAACCGTGTATGTTAACTATCTGGTCTTGCGAGATGGAAAGGAGATGAAAGAGAAACAAAAGAAGAGCCGATGAATCGACGCAGGAAGGAGAACAGAGAAAGACAGAGGGACTTGTAGACTAACCATGCCGAGAGCTTCAATTGGTGGGTATCCGTCCTGTTCCTGGCGACAGCGCAAATACTCCAGGTATCGTGTATCCTCGCGTTGGGGACGGGCACTGCGCCAAGGCAGACGGCCCATGAGCAGAGTCATGTAGATGATCGCCGTGGCCCAGACATCGGCGGGGCGGGGATCCCTATCCTCCTCCTCCTCTTCTTCTTCTTCATTCTCATGAATGTAAAGGTCATCTTGTCGAGACCGACGCCGAGACTGGGAGTAGAAGACCTCGGGCGGAGCGTAGGGGAGACTCATCCCCGGGAGAGAGACGGTCGAGTGTGCCCCATCTACCTTATGGCGTGTGGAGGAGTTCAGGCGTGAGAAGGAGGAGAGGATCCCCGGGAAGGAGAATGACCAGGAGTGCTGTGAAGGGGAATCGGAATGCGGCGATTCCTCATCGGGCTCTGAAGGGATCGCGCACTTGGCCCATATCCGCCGTATATGCCCGTCCCCAAACCCAGCTAATTTGATCGCGCCGTTACCGGTGAGCAAAACAGATTCTAACCGCAGATCGCGATGCGCGGTATTCTGTTTGTGGAGAAACTCCAAGGCACGGAGGACCTGGGCCACAATGCAGTCCGCCTCCGCGGTGGGCAAGGGCCCGGTTCGAGAGATAAGTTCGTGTAGGTCTCCGCCGGCGCAGTAAGGTGTGACCACGCAAAGCTCCGAGCGTTCATTGTAGAGGATATCGGTTATCGGGAGAATATTTGGATGGTGGGGATGTAGTTCGGCGATGGATCCCGCCGAGCATATTGATGTCCGAGCCCGGGGATTCTTCTGTGTGTCAAGGATATCCTGGCGGTAAATCTTGATTGCTAGCAGCTGTTTGGATTTGGGGCTATATATTGAGGGTTTCATCTGATGGAGGCGGACGGTGCTGCTTGTGCCATAATGGAGGATTTCGAGACAACGACCGTACTTGTCGGAGAAGGGGGGTCGGGCTCTTGATGTCGAGATCAGAGGCGATAATGAGGTGGAGGTGTTGACGGACGTCGACGTGTCGGAATGCACCATCAATGGCTGGTGATCTGTCAAGAGCGAAGCTAGGCTATGTTGGCCCTCCTTGCTGAACATGGCGAAGCCGGGCTTGTTGCTCTGGCATGCGTTGTCCATGGCCAGAGATTTTTGAGAAGCCCCCTTGACCCCCGTCACATAGTGATGATGAGCAGCAGAAGGAGTAGGTCGGTGCACCGAACCAACAGTACAGGTGACCTGATGCTGGCGATGTCCGTCCTTCATGGACCGCTACGAAGTCTAAGACAATAGTGAGAGCGAGGAGAAGAAAGAGAAAATAGCAAACTTAAAAAAACCACAGACCAAGGTTCGATTGGATCTAATATTATCAAAGAGAGAAAAAAAAAGCAAGCAAAGGATGTAGAACTGTATAGTTTTCCGGGAAGTGTTGAGAATAGCCCCCCTTTTTATAGATGTCGGTATCAATGAAACGGAGGGATGATTGCCATGCATTCCAATGGTCTCAGCCCTTGAAACAAACCGTACGAGATACCCGCGGTAATCTGGCAGTCTCTAGTCGTCCAGGAGAAGAAAAGTACGACGGCATGAGGGTATGAGGTATGTTGGTTACTTGGAAGGGGGGAGACTGAAAGGTATGGAAGAGTACGTTCCTGGGGCGGGAAAGCTACGGTCACCCAACGAGTCTTCAGTAAGAGGGAATAAAGAGAAGCAGAGAAAGAGCCAGCCAGGAGAGCTCTCGGCCGCTTGCATCACCGGTGTCTCGCAGCTATGGTCGATAGTTCCTAACAGAAGGCCCGTGTTGGGCGGTTCGGCCGCTGCGAAAGGAGCTCGCGATTGGACATGGCAAACCGCTCGCGATGATCGCATGGCTTGCTCACTCTAAGATGGGGGGCTGAGTGATTTTTCTGCGTGAATGGGAGAGATTCAGTGGGACCGCTGCTAGCGCCCATAACAATGCAATTTTTTTTTTTTTAATTTCCATTACGTTCAATATGTTGGGGAGAAGGGGGGAAAATTATTCGGGGGCCTATTCGAGGCTGTCAGAGTTGCACATCAGCGGTTGAAAGCGATTCGGTAGGAGCGACGATGTTGTGGCAATGAAAAATCGCGCAACAGTCGGGAACCAACGATACCTCCCGCTACCAAATTTCACCTTGCCCACTCCTCAGAGGGGCGATGGACTGTAAAAAAAATGACATGCGCCATTTCTTGTTCATGACTATGAGAAAAAAAAATCGGCGGTCTTTCGAGCCACCAGCTTCCAGCTATCCAGCCCAAGGAATGATGGCATCGAATCCGAGGATAAAGTTAGGGCTGGATCAGGGCCGACTGCAGCCATAGATGGTTGCGTATTGTCACAAGCTGTCACGATCTGTTACCAGCTGCCCCTTGTGGGTGATCAGGGCCACTTGAACCGAAATAGAAGGGTTATGATTGGCTCAGGCGGCTGTCAGGGAGCAAGATGACAAGACGTGGTGTAATTTTGAGGTAATCTGGCTGTATTTGCGGCGTGCCTCGTCATAGGCCATGCGCGATTTCCTCCGGACTTGCTGCATTTGCTATAGTTTGTTTAAACGTGGGATTTGGGTCCTGATTATGACCGTGGAATTGCTTAGTTCCCAGCTTGTCTGGGTCGACGGGTACCTGGTTTCAATATGGAGAGCTCCTATATCTCCCAGGTCACTCCTTCGCTCTTGCCCTGGGCGCTTGTCGGGGTACGTCGTAGTCAGTCGGAGTCAGAGCTTGCAGAATTTGCATGGACATGGGGACCAGGCACTGCCCCGTTTCTCGGATTGACTCTGAGATTTGCTTTTGGATGCCTGCTTTGGGCAACTCTGGAACTATAGGAGCCGTACAAATTCTCCCACACGCACTATGTCCCGGTCCCCTCGTGGGCGTCGCGTGGCTCCGCTTGCGTGACGCCAGAAATTGATCGGGCTTTCTTTTTCTCGTTTCCCAAAACAATCTCTCTCTCGGTTCTTGGCTCATCGTGTTGGTTTCCAAAACCAGAATCTAGTGGCGGCCTGCGTGGGCCTGCTGGTTTTGGTTAGTCGGCGCCTGCACCTTGAACTACATAAGGCGCAGGGCCGCTGCTCTCATCAACGCTCCCCATCCTCTTGATACTTCTCTGTCCTTCCCTCTTTCTCTCTGCTGTGCTTCTCTGGGGTGATTCGCTGTCCTCGTCTTCAACTTCCTCTCCCTCCCCTCTTTCAAGACAGCCTTCGCCATGGAGTCCAAGCAACCCCACAGCACGCCCGACCTGGATGTCGAGGCTGGAGGTGAAACGGTCAGAGATGAGAGTGATCGGACCGAGCGCGCCATGCGTATCACTTTCGAAGATTCGTCGGCGACAGAGGCTGAGAGCGCCGCGATCGACAACATGCGGTCGATCTATCAGCCCCTCGGCTTCAGCCATACTCGTTCGATAGGGAGAGATACCATCCACAGCACTCGCAGCAGTAGCCATACTGTGACGCCGGGGAATGTTGGCATCCCAATTGAATTCCGCACTCTCTCCATCCAGATTTCAGAATCCCAGAATGTCCCCAAGGAAGTTGCGGCGGAGCCTCCCCGGGAGAAGCTGCCCAACCAGGATTACTTTGAAAGCCTCGATTTCCATAACATCCCCTCCGAAAATCTATGCCAGCAGTTCAATGTGGACCAGCGCACCGGCCTCACCAGCTCTGCGGCTGCCACTCGGCTCGCGCGCGATGGCAAGAACATTATTGCCCATCACAAAGAGAACTATCTCAAAAAGTTATTCTTCTATGTCTTTGGTGGCTTCTGTTCCATTCTGTGGGTCGGTGTCATCATCTTCTTCATCTGCTGGCGCCCCCTGAGCAATCCACCCTCGCCTAGTAATCTGGCGATGGCAATCTTGGTCATTATCGTGATTGTCCTCCAGGCCAGTTTCTCTGCATTCCAAGACTGGTCGACTAAGCGTGTCATGAATTCTATTTTGGGTCTGCTCCCATCGGAGGCTCTTGTCCTGCGTGACGAGAAGCTGATTCGTCTTCCGGCCTCCGACTTGGTGACTGGCGACATTGTCCAAATCAACATTGGCAACAAGGTCCCTGCAGACATGCGCCTTATCCAAACCTCAGGCGATGTTCGATTCGATCGTGCGATTCTAACAGGCGAGTCAGACGAGATTGATGGCGCCACGGAGGCCACCGACGCCAACTTCCTGGAGACCCGCAACATTGCCCTCATGGGTACCTGTGTCACTAATGGTAACGCCACGGGCGTCGTCGTTCTTACTGGAGCGGGATCGGTTATGGGGCGGATTGCAAAGATGACTTCGGGTGTCAAGCAGAAGCCGACGCTGATCCAGAAGGAAATCACTCGCTTCATCACCATTATCATAGCCCTCACCGTCTCCCTCGCTCTTTTGATTCTATTCACCTGGGTAGGATGGCTTCGCAAAGATCACCCCACTTACATGAGTGTGGTCGCGATGCTAAATAATGTCATGGGCTGTGTTGTGGCCTTCATTCCGGAGGGCATGCCCGTGGGTGTGGCGTTGACTTTGATGATGATTGCAAAACGCATGAAGGCGAACAGCGTTCTGCCTAAGGGTCTGGCCACCGTGGAGACTCTTGGTTGTGTAAACGTGATTTGCTCCGACAAGACCGGAACTTTGACGCAGAACCGCATGTTCGTCAAGTCGCTTGGAATGGTGGACTGGGAGTTCAAATTGGATGACTTAGCGACTGGAATTGATGTCTCCAACGGACTGGCCAATGTTCTGCGTGCCTCGGTTCTGTGCAATGATGCCTCATTCGACCCCTCAACCATGGATCTGCCATCTTATGAACGCACTGTCAATGGAAATGCTACCGATGCAGCGGTTCTCCGACTCGCAGATAGCGTTGGGGCTGCCACACCAAAGAACCTCGATCCTTACGAACGTGTGCACCAGATTCCATTCAACTCCAAAAACAAATGGATGCTCACAATGCATCGTGATCCGGATGCTGCCAATGGCTATTTAATCTATGTCAAAGGTGCTCCTGATGTACTCCTAGATCGTTGCTCTTCCTACTGGTCCGCAGTACACAACGCAGTCCGCCCCTTGGATGAAGAAGCTCGTCAGAAATTCTCTGCCTTCCAAGCTAAGCTTTCCCGCCGTGCCGAGCGTGTCATCGTTATCTGCCAACGACATTATGTTTCGACGAATGAGCCTGGTTCCAATGAATTCTCTGATGAAATCATGGCCTCTGGTGTTCAGGGCCTGACTGTCCTCGGTATTTTCGGCATCATTGACCCACCCCGTCCAGAGACAGCCCAAACCGTTGCATCTTGCCGTCGTGCAGGTATCCGGTTCTTCATGGTTACAGGTGATTTTGGTCTCACTGCAGCGGCAATCGCCAGAGATATCGGTATTTTTGATGGCGCGGCAGAGCCAGACACTATTGACGATTTGCGGGGTGCATACAGCGACGAGGCCAAGAAGTCATATTCTCGCCACAGCTTGCTTCTTGAAGGCACCAGCCTGTCTTCTTTGACTTCAGATGAGTGGGCTACTATCTGTGAATATGACGAGATTGTCTTCGCTCGGACCAGCCCAGAGCAGAAGTTGCGTATCGTTTCGGAGCTCCAGGCAAAGGGCAACTATGTTGCCGTCACTGGTGATGGTGTAAATGATGCACCTGCACTTCGTGCCGCAGATGTCGGCGTTGCAATCGGCTCTGGCAGTGACGTCGCAATTGAGGCAGCGGATCTGGTCCTTCTGGACCGCTTTGACTCTATTGTGGAAGCTATCCGTTTAGGTCGCCTGGTTTTCCAGAACCTTCAGAAGGTTATTGCCTACCTCCTCCCTGCCGGTAGCTGGTCTGAAATCTGGCCTGTTATTATGAATGTCTTCTTCGGTGTTCCATCACCACTGAGCTCTTTCTTGATGATCATAATCTGTGTCTTCACTGATCTATTTCTGTCACTTTCCCTTATCATGGAAAAAGAGGAATTCGACCTGCTCAGTATCCCACCTCGCCGTCCGAAAGAAGATCATCTGATCAACCTGCGCATCTATGGCCAGTCATACCTTTTTGTTGGTGTCATGGAGGCTTTCAGCGCTCACGCCATGTTCTTTTTGTATATGTGGCAGGCCGCTGGCATTCCCTTTTCCGATCTTGTCTTTGCCTTTGAAAAATACACCGACGGCTTCCATGGATACTCACAGGATGAGTTGACCCACTTCAACAATGTTGGCCAATGTGTCTACTTCGTCACCTTGGTTATCTTGCAGTGGGGCAATATCCTGTCTATTCGCAGCAAGCGTATGTCACTGCTCCAGGCCGACCCTATCCGCCCTGCTCGCCGTAACCCCTGGCTGCCTCTGGCTATGCTCATCTCACTCGTTATCGCTATCTTCGTTACCGAAGAGCCCGGACTCCAAAACCTCTTTGGCACCGCTTCTGTTCCGATTAAGTTCTGGTTTATCCCACTGGGGTTGGCACTGGGCGTGCTCGTTATGGACGAGCTGCGCAAGGTGTTGGTTCGGCTGTTCCCCAAGGGACCAGTTGCATGGGCCTCGTGGTAGAAGTGGCGAAAAAAATACTGGGAAAGACTTTGACTGATCATGACTGACGACAAACAAAACGATTTTTCTAGAAAAAAAAAATCAGAGCTGTACTTTTCCTACATTCTATGTTTTTGTGTCGTTTGCCTCTTTGTCTCTGGAGAGGCTATCTTGTTTATAAACAGTGGGCGCGATTATTCTAGCTTTGATATCTCTTTATTTTAGTTGAGCATCATACATCAATTTTCTTGAACATGATGACTGAGCCTACAAGATGAGATCATAGAGTCTCGTTCAGTGTTTGTTATTGGCCAATATATGGAATAATAGAATCTGTGTGGACTGGTGCCACTAGTACATAATTAAATCATCTCTCACTTGGCTTCTTTGGTTATAGATGACTGACAATTAAAAAGAAAGTTACAATCACGATACTCTTTCATTGAAAGTAAAAGGCATGGGGACGATTATTTCATAATTGCTGTTCGTAGCAATTTTCTTTTGCGTCTCTTTCACTGTCATCTCCCGATTGACATGATTGTATGCTTGACAAGTTGTATCTGTTTGCTTGGTAGATCTGGCAGTTTGCTCTCTTGGAGTCTATAAAAGAGACCTCCTCTGCATTCTCCCGATTAAAATGTAAAGCTCTTCCAATTAATCTTTTGCCGGGGTTCCTTACCATCATCGTTGAATTGAATTCCTTTCAACACTCACATACTTCCTCTCTTATTCTCCAATCCTATGCAATTTGACGACTCTTCCATTATGTTAGATACCCTCGAATTTGCGGCGAATCACACTGGTGGGCTTTTGTGGCGATTCTTCCTTAAAGAGACATATCAGGTAATAAATGCGCTATTATTATTGAACTCGACCTCTAGCTGATGGTAAATTAATCTTGAAAGGCGCTAAATTGGACTGCCGAAAACCCTGGCCTAGCTATCAGTACGGCTCTCACTGTCATCAGTATTCTTGCGCCAGAGTTAATCTGCGGTCCAATACTTGCAATTTTTGATTTTACCGCACGGGGCATACGAGCCGGTATGTACCTCTCCTCGCATTACCATTCCCACTGCGCAATTTCAGTTTGGGAGGAAGGGTTGACAGCTCTTTTCGGAAACAGGATCTATGGCCGCCCGTGCTCATCGCATCACAAATCCTTCTGTCAGGAAACTGGTTTCTATTGGGAAAAGTGCTGGTACAGGAGGATATGGGCTGAGACTTATCAGCGGCGCCATGCTTGCAGGGGTATGGGCTCTGTTGGTGGTCATGCATTTTGCGAATTGAGTATGGCCCGGAGCAAACAAGGTTACTAGCCGGAAGCGAATAGACTCAGCGCAGCAAGACTCAGGACGGCGAGGATGAGATGCCAGATTGAATACAGGACTGGGACTATGATTCGGATTAAGGAGTGTATCTTTGTCTATTGTTCTGAAGTTTCGGTCTCTGACCTTTCTGCCTATGTCATAGACCTTTTTCGTCTATTCATGTCTCTCAGGCCGTATTCATTTACCTAAGAGAGATTTCAAGCCCAAACGATTACTATGCATTAATTTTTTTTTATCAAGAATGTAATCCCTATAAGGGCAAAAACAACTAAATAATCGCAACAAAAACGAATCGTCCCCCGAGCCGGAATCGAGCCGGCGACCTTTCGGTTATATGTTACTCCATTACAGCCGAACGCCATATCCAACTAGACCATCGGGGGTTTTGATTGGTCGAAAGCGGCTAAATTTCGGAACTTGATCACAGAAGAAAATTATTTACGGTCCAGAATGTTTAGATTTCTCTTGTCTTACCGGCAGTATCAACTAGACTCCGTTCGACCCCCGTGAGGATTTTCTAGAAAACAAATTGATGCCAGGTTGTTGATTCTTACGAAGCCTTAACACCCCTTTTTTTTCAATATGATCGATGATCAGGATTTATTCTTTTTTACCTAACCAACAGGCTACTACCCTGCAAGTAGCACTCTAGCAAACAGCCACGCACCGACCCAGAGGCTCTAATTCTGGGTGGACAACCCGTTGAAGCGGCGGGGAATGACAGTACGAACCTTCAACAGGTATTTTAGATCGACTCGATGTAGAAGACCGCGCTAGAGAAATCTCGGGTTATGGGTCAGCTACAGATGGACTTGCTAAAGGGAGCGAATTACTCTACATCTTCGTAACATAATGGCCCACTGCGGCCCGGAAATTGGTTTATGATGGAGACAGGCTGCGTGCGTGCGTGCGTGCGTGCGTTAGTCCAAGGTCTATTCTGAAAAAATTGAGTTGGACGTCAAAATATCATTGCGTCCCTGGCTTATGGATGTCTGCCCATTTCTCATATATCACATTACTCGTTCCAATTTCATGCCTCATACTAGAGGGGTCGGCCGCCTTTTCATATCTGATACTCCCCGATCCGATTTCATAGCCAATACAAGCCTCACTAAGTTCAACCGGTCCTTTGCTCCTAGGGTTTGCAAGTATTTCTCTTTTGCCCCATCTTTTGCGCCGTTTGAGAAATAATAGCAGAATGACACCCAGAAAGAGAGCCCCTGCAGCGATGCCCCCACCAATTGCACCTTTGCCTCCAGGCGACATTCCAGAAACTGGCTTTTGGGAGGGTGAGTCGGTGCTATTTTGATTCAATGTCTCATGCACCGAGATAGTTTTGTTTGCTGTTTGTTGACCGAAGAGCTGGTGGACAAGGATTGCGTCTGGGGAAGTGCAGCACGCAGTATTATTTAGACCACAGCACCAATAATCGGAAGTAGGAGTCCCATCACAAGGGGTCATGTCAGCATTGTCCGCACTTTTCCCCCCTTTCTTATCACTAGTCAGCAATTTGTATGATAGATGCAGAACATGAATATAATACGAACCGTATCATCAGTGCAAATATCTAGACAGCCCCCAGTGGACCAGTCGTTTCTGGTACAACCTTCTCGCCAATACGTCGTGACGTTCACTCCATCTGGATGGAAGCCCTTGTTCATACAGATTCCATTCTGAAGGCAGATATCTTGGGTCCACCCGAGAGAGATGTTGCCACCTGATGGATTCTGACGATTAGTCGCGCAGCACATACGCGTTCCGGAATTTGAGTAGTCATCGCATGGCTCGTATTCAAGCGTTCGTTCGCTAAATCCGTTAGGGAAATAGCACGGGACTGTTGAAATCGAGAGGACAGCGAAGAAAAGGAGGAGGGGAAGACTGGTAAACATTGTAGTCGCGGCCATTAAATCGTGCATTTTCAGGAGGTTCGGGTACTTTGAGCTAAATAGAGATGTAGATAGTTGATATCGTATCAAAAGCAAATGCTGATAAACTGCTTAGGAATGCGAGGGATGAAAATCCAGCGCACTGGTCCTGGGACCGGGACCAACCTTATAAGCCGGCTTATCTCAACCCTAATTCTTACACTTCATAGGTCCAATTGCGGGTATGTACATGTCAGGCAAACTAATGACAGCGTTCAAATGTTAGGCATCCCGCATCAATCATGCAAGATTTTTGGCTCTCCATATCTAAGCACCCCTTGCATTTTCTTTACAGTAGCTTATTGGAGCCTGTGGATGCCTGATCAAATAGAGCCACCTCCTTGCATGCATAAAGGCAAAGATACAAGTAGTCTGGCAGGCAGACGTAGATCAGCCGGTAGCTTCTTGAATATGAGAGGCAACATTCATTGAAAGCCAAGACGTAGCAGTTAACAACTTTTTATGGCATAATTAGGTCTTAGGAGATTGACCTTCCAAGAGTAGTCCGAATTTTGAATCCAGGTTTGTTTACAGAGCTCGGGAAAATGAAACATAATGTTAAATTGGTGATAAATTTAGATTTTTAGAATATCTCCTTGAAAGGTAACTTCAGACACATATGCAGCTTCAGACAGATACAGATACTGTATGAGTACTGTATGAGGGATCATAAAACATATTAATTGTGGAGAGTTTGGCCTTGAGATTGACGTGATGTGGTGCGCGGGCCACTATGAGTGCCAACACCGGCCCCCTAACCCATCCAGGTTGTGGGTGCGCCTCACGTTATTTTTCTCATTTCTTATATTCCCACATTGATTTCCAAATTTTCCGATATATCCTATCTATAAACGTAGACTAGTGGTATCTATAAAGAGAATATCACCTCCCTGGTGTTCTGTTTCTGTTATTTTTATGATTATATCTCGATCTGTGCTGGATCTAGTAGTGGTGAATTGTCATACGTTTTCTTCTACTGCTTCCTAAAATTTCTTTTTCTCTATCTCCTCTTTCTTTGTCTCTCTCTTTGTAATAGAACGATTAGTATCTCTAATAGAGAGAATCTCTATCTTAGTAGGCGGTATTTAATATAATTTTTGAGTGTTGCTATAGTTAGTGATTATTTCTCTCTCATAATTCAAATAGCTTTATTTATGTTATAGAATAAATATATCTATATATATACTACTTTGACTCTCCAAGGATATAGACAGATGACCAAATCCTCAATCACGCTTGACCCAGTGGACTCAGAAAATTCCCCTCATCTATGTTTCGCCCAGAGCCCTTTTCAGCTTGGTGATACATGTAAAGTATGAGCTTTGACCATCACTGTCCACATATATATACTACACACCGAGATAGCTGCAAAATCCTGTCGGAAAGAAAAGAAAGAAGAGCTTGGTTGGGCGGAGAAGTTGCCTTGATATCATCGACTGCCCGGATTAGGCCACGGAGGTGCAAAGTTTTGTGGCTGCACCTCATTTGAATGACTCCTGGGTTAAAGAAGATTTATGACCGACGTAATGGGTACAATTTAGGTTTAGTACGAAAGAGTGACCCACAATGAAAATATTTCCTGTAAGCCAACCGGTGCTGGGCAGCAAAGCCACTATCAAAAAGCTCTTGCCCAGCTCAGCTATGAACGTTGGAGAGAAGGTTTCACCAGTATGGTCGAATGGCGTGTCACCATACCTTTCCAAAGTAATATTGCACATATTTTACTGTAGGGTTGGATTATTTGTATCGTAGGCGAGCAAGCCAATCGTGTGAAAAAGGGGACTATTCAATATGAAGGGCATGATTCTAGATAGGAGTCGTAAACCAAATGGGATATCATAGATGAGATATCGGGGCGAAACCTAAGGGCCAAATGCCTCACTGATATCTCTATATAATTAAATACCGTAGCCCAAGTATGGACTAGAATCAGAGCGAATCACCCAAATCCACCACAGTAACGGTCACAGAATTGCTAGTTCCCCCAGAAACTCCAGCGCCATTTACCAGTAGATACTGCTCGTTGCTCTCAGACAAAACCCTCAATGAACGCGAGTAGCTCGTGCCCTCCGAGCAAGATATCTCCGTCCATTCACCTTCACCAAGGGCCTGGTTGATAAATAGGGTCGAGTAAGATCCCGAGCTAGCAATTATGGTACCATTGGTGCCACCGTACGAGGTCCATGTCACGTACGGCGAAGATGTTGGCTCTGTGCCGCTTGAAACCACTAGCCGTTCGCCAGTGGCGGAGGCAAAGTCCTCTGGGTCTGAAGAGCGGCGGTAGTAGAGAGGGAACGAGTAGGTGGTTGTGTCGAAGTATGAGCCGTACTCGTAGATATATAGGTATTCTCCGTTTGGAAGCTAGTAGGAAGCAGCGTTAGTTTCTTCTGTAGCTAGTATACTTCAAATAAGGGATGATAGGTTCGGATGGACCTACCTCTGTTATGACAGGCATGCCCGGCCGATCAGTGTATGTAGAGTATGCCCTTTACATCCGGATCGGAGTGGTTAGCAAGAGACCGAGCTCGACTGAAGAAAGTAAAGTCATTCATACACGTCGTCCACAACATCCCCCCAGGTTAGAAGATCTGACGACACCTGATGGACTAATTTCTGTCCGTAGGTGGTATTATCTCGCTGGTCCGAGTAATAGCAGATTAGCTTGCCATTATACGCCATCAAGAACGGCTCCCACACCGGCGTAAGCCCGTTATCCGGCTCAGCCTCGCCACCCGCTGCGATATTGCTCACGAACTCCCATGTTATACCTTCATCGGTCGACGCATACAGGTCGATATGGGTCGATGACAAGTTCGTTGGGATACTATTACCCGCGAGAAGCAGCGTGCCTGCATCGTACGAACCGATGCTCTCGTTCAAATAGTACAGGAAGGGCTGGTAACGCAGCCCGTAGCCATTTACCGTGTCCTGAACCTGAGAGATCTCCGTCCATGTTTGGCCGTAGTCGCTGGAGCGATAAATTGGGAAATACACGGCCGGTGGTTCGGGAGAGTAGTTTTCCCAGGTCGCGAGCAAGTCGCCGTTTGGGAGCTGCACGTTTCGCGCATACAGCGTTCGTGGTACGTTATAATCGGACGGTGGATCGAAAATGGTCACGTCGCTCAGAGCAGAAGGCGATGCTCTCTTCTCAAGCGGTATCCTTGCGGCAATTGAGGCCGTTGCCAGTAGGAGGGCGTGGAGTTGCATAGCTTCTACCCAAGACGTCGGGTGTCTTCGCTACAGAGAACCAAGCAGGTTACCACCATACCATACCTCTTTATAGTTGTGCGAGATCGTATCATGCATAGGTTTTCCGATTGCATCATAATCCACAAGTGCGTCGGAGTCCATCCCGCCGGGATTGTCCTCAATCTGGACTTGTGAGGTTATCCCCTATCCCGTCTAGTTCCCGAAATTTCCATCAATCGCCGGCCTGTGTAGTGGCTCTAGTCAATCAAAACCTTGGAGCAACATGATTGCATGCCGAGAGGTGGATACAGCAGTACTCCCGAGGAAGGATATTCCACGCGGCCCACGCGTTGCCAAGAACGCCATTACCACTGGCGTGAAGAGTTACGGTTTGGTGGCGGTGCGGCGTCGCCGGGAGCTTTTTGCGGGGGCATGGGGGCCGTCAAAAGGCCGATCTTCCCCAGCCGGATAACCAATACAGGTTTGTGACTTCTGATATGGACATTATTGTTGTCTGGAATGGAAAGACGGCAGGTAAGAAGCTCAAAATCCCATGTTTAGTGGAAGAAAAAGCCTCGATTGCTTCGTATTTCTCTATCGAGTAACGGCTCAAAAACGAGATGCAATGGAGGCCATGATATGATAAGAATACAGGGACAGAAGAATTATAGAAGAAATGAAAGGAAAAGCAGATCAAAACCAAGGCCAAGCAGTCAATGATAAGACAAGGAAAGGAAAGAGAGAAAACCAGCGGGCAGGATGGTGTATGGTATGGAACGAGGGAAATGTATAAAATGCTGAGTAATAGGTAGAGTTGAAGACACAATGAACCAACAGGCATAACGCGGGAAGGTGTTCTTGAAGCCACCATCGTCATTATTCAACAATCATACAGAATGGAAAGGGTAAGGTATGTGCGTTCTCTTCAGGGGTAGCGAATGGTGTGGTGATAGTGCCAAATGGCACATGAATTGAAGAGATTGAAGGCGCAAAGAGTAAGACGCAAAGAAAATACGGAGCGATAGTAGGTGGCAAGACGTAGTAGGCCTAGCCCAGGCAGTGCCCAGATTTAAACGCACATCCAGAAATCCCCGGGTGCTATTGCCGTACTTTACCGGCTTCCCGCACGGCGGCCATGAACCCATCCTCGTTGCCAGCAGCGGTTAGGATCCAATAGTCAGCCACACCAGGATTCGCAATCTGGCCGCCAAATCCAGATGCCGTAGGAGCACTATGTCGGTCCTTGGGCTTCTGAGTGCTCGCGCCAGGATGGTGAGGGCCCCAGCCTAGAATGTTGCGCACCGCAAGGCGGGACTGATCATCTGCTTGCTGGAAAGCCAACAATTGTGTCTGCAGACAGCCTAGGATAGCGACGGCAGTGCGAATCATGATGCGGTCACCCTCAAACACCCAGCAGTCCCATACACGGGAAATGCGCTCCAAGTCGAGGCCATTGGTAAGGAGCGACTGGAACATAGGCTCCCAGATCTCTTCATCAGAAAGCTTCAGAGTTTCATGGAGATGTGCGGAAATGCGGGGGAATTTGTAGCGGAGGGTGTCGGAAGCAAGACTGTAGGTACGTGCCATCGCACCACGATCCCAAGTCAGGAAGGCTACCGGTAGTGGTCGATTAAGGGCGTTCGCCATGGCGATAAACGCGGAGCTGGGGGTAGGGAATTGAAGGACGAGAAGAGCGGCAATGGTGTGGAGACCATGAATATAACCAACATCGCTGCGGTACATCGAGTACGCCTGCAGCACATCAATCAGCGTTTCCCGAAGTGGTCCGCCCTCCTGGAACAGATTCAGATCTGGAAAAGCGGTCGATACGTCGGCTTCAATAACATCAAAGCATTCCAGAATCCGCTTTTGATTTTCGCCCGGCTCGGCATCAGTCTTCAACCGTAAATCCTTTGCCCGCTGCAGGGCTTTGCTATACGACTCATCACTCAGTGAGAGTTCGTTACCAATGGCACGTTTCCACATAGCTCCTCGACTGCGAGGCGGAATTCCACGCCACCAAAGCTCCCGAGTGCGGGGTTCACGCAACACACGATCCCAATTGGGGCTCACATAGTCATCCCAGATGTTCTGGAGCGTTTCTCGAGTGTTGTCCTTTTCGCACTGGGCAGAAGCCGCCCGGGCAGCTTTGCGCTTTTCTGCAAGGGCTATTAGAGCTGCTTGGGGTAAACTTCGAGAAGATAGAGATACTTACCAGCTTCACGCGACTGGGCAACCATCTGCTTGTACTCCTTCAAGTGTTTCTTTTCCTCCTTTTGGTCTTTCGGCGGCAGCCAGCTTGGGCGAGTCCGCGTGAGAACCTTCTCCTTCTCCTTGCTGATAGGCAATGGGTCGATCATGATGTTTGACTTCTGTAGGGGCGGCAATTCGATAACATCCGATGCTCGAGGGGAGTCAGAGCTTGACTTGCCAGAAGAGAGGCCGTTCTGGACGGCATCCTCATGTTTGCGTTCACTTTCATCCGCATGATGTTCCAGCGCTTCGGTGATGATTCTTGCCTCCTCAGAGAGATCTGACAGATAACTGTTGTACGAATAGGCGCGAGGATTGCGCGGTGAGATCTGACCTCGCTCGGGGCCCGCAGAACTAGACCGCTGCGTTCGCTTCATGCGCGCAGCCTTAGTTGATGATGGGGCCTGTTGGTTTAATTTCGTTTCCGAAACTGTGTGCGAAATTGGCAAAGGTCGGGGCCCTGGGCTGCGACCACTAGGGCTGGTGCTACGAGACTGCGGGCGGTCTTGGACTGGGCGGGGAGAAATGGGGATATTCCACAGGCTGGCATCGTCGGGGAGCTCATCATCCGAGTCATGATATTCATCCTCTAGATCTTTCACGGACTTTTTATTGGGTTGCCATGTCTGCTTCTGGGTGGGAACTCTCGCGGAAAGCGGGGATAGTGCCAGACTCGTGCTGGAGGCAGATCGGCTTGAAGATGGTCGCAGCGGCGAAATAGATCGTGGTCGGCGCGGTTGAGACGGTGTCAATCCACCAGAATTAGGGGTGCTGGTCGAGTCTCTCCTGTTGCCGGCTCTTGCCGAGAGAGAGCCCACGGATTGCGGGGTCCGTACGGAACCATTGGTTTGGCTGTGAATCGGGGGCAAGGGACTGCGCCTCCGGGGTTTGGGAGTCGCGGTCAAGTCTCTCGTCGTCGCTGCGGGACTTTTATTCGGCAAACTGCTGGGCATTCGGGCGGTGGAAGATCGCGCCGTCAGACCGGCGCGGCCATAGGAGGTCGCGGGGTCGACGATCGGAACTTCGGCGTCATCCTCTAGACCGATCTCTTCGAAGTTCGAGATATCCGTAAAAATGCTGTCCGGGCCATCGATTTGGGAGGAGGAATGGAAGGAGGAAGACTTGGAGGACTTGGACCCAGACAAGTCGGGCGGGGAATTCGGAGTCGGACAGACGGTGGTCATGATCTCATGCAATTTACTCTCAAACACTGTGGGTGTCCGCCAATGTCATCGAAGTCCACACACGCACAGGATGGGTAAAAATCGTCGGAGGATCAAGTGTGGGCGAAAGGGGGGTGAGAGGAGGGGCCTGGGAGATTGCACGCAAGGCGTCGGTCTCGTGTGTTGGGGTTCGCAGGCGAGGGGTGCTGCAGGCGTTTCCGGAAACGAACAGTAAACAATTCGATCAACGTGAATAGAGAAGCGAAGTGCAGGCTCAGCCGCAGCCTGATAGAAACCAGATCAGGTGTAGTGTTGGCAGGGCAAATGGCGAGGGATCTCGAAAAAAGGATCAGGAGGCCGAGATTACGGGGTGAGCATTGGGGGCCGCCAAGGTGAGGTCAGAGAAAAGAAGGGAAGAGGCCGGGATGGGAAATAAGGTCGACAAAAGCAAATAAGACGAGAAAAACGGCAGAAACGGTCAAAAGAGTGTGGTTTGGGCGCGAGCAACGAGAGTGATGAAAGCGAAGACTAGAAGAAGTCGAAGTTGAAGGGCAAAAGCGGAGCCTTAGGCCGCCCGGCCGCACTCGGTCTGGCCGGGAACAGGGGTTCAACCGGGCATGCGCGCAACTTCAGGGTACTTCTGGATAGCGGGTAGCTTCCATACTGAGGCAAGTACCCCAACGTAGCCCCGATGCCCACTCAGCAGTCCAGGATGATCGATCAGGGCCGCTGATCGTTCCCGATCTCGCCAGTCCGAATTCTTGTTTAGAAACGTAGTTCTATCTCGATCTCAACGCGATCGGAATTCCCCTGGAGACCCAGCGATTGAGCCCTTTCCCTCTCCCGCTCGGCCACTCGGGTGCCCGTCCACTCGACTCGGTTCCGCGGGACTTAAGCAGTTTCCAGGTCGGCATTCGGGTCGGCGAAGCTCTGATTGGACCCGACTTTATCTATTGGCTTACTGATTATTTGCGGACTATCGAACTAGTTCTCGGGATTTGACGGAGAATCAAGGCTATCCTGCAGCCGTTTATTGCTTCAATATTGCTTTTTCGGGTGAGGGAAAGACTGTTCACGGTTATCCTTAGAAGCGCCAGGCATCGAATAGCGTTGTCCCTCTTCTCACTACTTGCTGTAGTCGCACCGCCTCCGCGTTCGTCGCCGGTCGCGACCCTTTGACGAGCGAGTCGAGCCACTGGAGCACTCGCGCATACCGCGTTTGCTTCCGTTTCAGTACAAAACGGAATGCGGCCGCACCCAAGTATTGCAGGTGAGACAGCTGCACCGCACAGGATAGCGGCGTCGAATCTGATGCACGTCGTGCCCGAATGGTTCCGATGGTCTGTTGGATCAAATCGTGGATGGTCTGAATGATGATAGGTGCCTGAGGGTGGGAGCGGCCTCGAAGGGACTTCATGTAGCGATACATTTTCATCCCGACCGCGATAAACCCAGTGTACAAATTGCCCAGGACGACCTGTCGAGAGTTGTGGTTGGTGTCAAGATACATGGACTGCATTTGAGGCCGCATCAGGGCCAGCATTTTCCTGTGGAAGGAGTGACCGGGAGCCCGGCTCGTTTCGACGGTCAGTGTGTTTGAAAGGGTCACTGCCGCCGAGTCGCCGCCCTCCAACATCCGATCTTGGTCTCGATGGATCTCTAGCGTACGGGTGTCGATCAAACTACCACAATACGGGAAGAGGAGCGTTCCCTCTAGCCGAGGGATGTGACAGCCATCCACGGCAGCAGTGAAATTAACCATGCTCTTGGCTGGGTTCACTGATACACCGTAAGCTGGCTGGCCGCGCAGCATGATTTGCAGGAACTGAGTGGCTTGAGCCACATCTGTGGTGATAAGCAGAAAATCATCGACTAGTCGTAGGAGAAGCGAATCGGCAGGCTGTAGAAAGTGTAACGTCTCTCGTTCCAGCTCGGCGTAGAAGAAATTACAAAGCAGATTAGACAAAACCGATCCTTGGGGAATCCCGTTTCGCTGCTGGAAGTACTCTTTGCCAATCATGACGAGGTTTTGTTCAACATGCTCTTTGAGAAGGCCAAGCAGTTCTGTCTTTTTCGGTGCCGTTTGTTTGATGGTGTCAATATACACCATATTGGCCTTTCGACCCATGGCTCCCACGGCGGCAATATCGCGTAGATGTTGTTGCTTGTTCAACGGAGCGGCCCGACTCATCCATTTATGCTGCGGCTTCCTTCCATGCAGAGGTGGATTGATTCCGACGGATTTGACGAAATGATAAGCCTCTTCGGAGATTACCTTCTCAATCAGACTCAGAAGCTTTGCTTGGGGAATAGTATCGAAGCAGGCTTGGATATCAAGCTTCACGAAATATAGCTGTGGCAAGCCCGAAGGCCCCATTTGAGATGCCGACCCTTGCCGAATGAGAGAATCCTTGAAACTTTTCAATTTCGGGTGCATCTCTCCCATGGACATGATAGATGACCCTAGATTCGCAGGGCACCGCTCACGCTCGTAGGACAACATGCCGTAAATGGGGAGAAGACTGCTGTTGACGCTCGCTCCTAAATAAGATTTTTTCTTCCCAAATTTTGTCCTCTGCACATGAAGTTGTTTCTTTAGATTGAGGATGGGACGTAGACCAGCAGATTTCGGAAGTAACCTCAAGGAACCCAACCCAAGAGAACGGCCCGCGAGTTTCTTCTTAGCTTCTTCTGGTGAAAATGGTTTGAATGTGGTCTCTTTGAGATCTTTGATAGGCTGTTCGATGAGCCGTTTCCACACATCCTGCCGAAAATAAAAGAGTCGGCAGCGATGAGTCTGCGACTCAGTGACGTAGAAGTTTACCCGGATCAGAGGAATCAGGATTGAGTCAAAAATATAATAGATGAATTCATGAAATAGTTCGGTGCGTTTCTGGAAATCCGACAAAGATATTCTATCCGTCCCGGAAACAGTGTCCTGCTTTTTGGGAGGCACAAGCCACGAAATTTCGGTCACCTGAAAGGAATTTAGATTAGCAATCTCAAATCTGCTAATCGACCTTGAGGCAGAGGATCCTACCTTCAGGCCTTTACACACTAGATGCAGACTAGGGCTCTCAAAGCGCCTCATTTTGATAAAGGCGTCAACATGTTTCATGACAATATTGCAATTGTAAGTGCCAGCCAGTCCGTCTCCAAAGAAGTGTGGCGGTATGATTTTTTTCAACACAGCACGGCAAAAGGCAGAAACAGATGAGGCAGGGGTGGCATATTCAGTAAGGCTGACTTTTGGCTTCTTGATTGTTGGTTTCCTTGCCATTTCAGTTTCTCCAAGGGTGTCGGACGTGATAGCCTTTGTAGAAACCTCCGGAATAGAGGATTTGGCCGACGCCTGTGTAACAAGAGTCTCCTCAATCGATGAAGCAAATTTGCCGGCCTCCTTATTTTTTTGGATGGGGAAAGAAGTCGAGCGAAATCTCGGAGGACCAACAAGCTGTCAAAGTCAAACTCTGGATTCAATGGGTATCAAAACAGTGGGGACTCACTTCGGCAGGACAATAATGCTTCAATAATTCCCAGTACGAACATCGCGCGTGACGAACTCGCAGCCGTTGGACAAGTTCCATAGCTCGCCCTCGCAGTCGCTTAGGGATCTTCAAGTGAGCGAGTTCTCCTTTATCCGATACTGGCCGAGTAAGCTCGCGAGTCGTATGGCGAAGAAGTTGTTTTTGCTTTAATTGAGAAATCTCATCCTCGCGATTGATATGACTATTTAGCTGTGCTTCATTGTCACGGCGATTCCCTGTCGATACGAACACATTCCGTAAGCCAAACTGACGAGGAAATATGTAACTCATTACGTGCACAGTTTCGCCTGTAATGTCAAGAGAGGAAAAACGATTGAGAACGTCTGGATAGTTAGTAAGGGGTTAACAAAAGTCTTTCCAGAGATGGGGAGAAACCGGGGACATACGAGTGCCTCCAAGGCCTGAGGCCGACCTGTTTTTCGCTGTACTAGTGGGTTGGCTATACAGCATGCGCCTGCGGGAGAAAATGATGCTGTTCGGCTTGTTGGCTTCTAGGTGGTTCTGATTGTATGATTGAGGATTTCCCTCGGGCAGTTTCTGTGCCGTCGGTTGCTTCGCGGAGTTACTATCTAGCTGCTCGAGCTTCGACAGAGGAAATCCTAGATACGTTGTTAGACAATTCCCAAGAACCAGTCGAGAGTTTGTCTCTAGTCGTTCGCTCGAGAAAGACGTACCGCTCAATTGATAGAAATTTCCTCTCTGGGCGTTAATGGGGGCGAAGATACCACAGTCAAAGAGCAAGCGCATCATGATTTCTTCTCCGCTCTGACCAAGGAGTGCCAAGACATCCGCCCATGGCGACTCCTTCAAGGTGCGGACATTATTGCTAGGGAATTGTGCCACCAGTCCGAGAATGCTGCTCTCCAGACCAGCTTGTTCGGTGGCCCGGAGATCGTTCCCGTAGGCGTACCCGTGCGCAAGCAAGTGCTGAGGTCCCCCATACCCTCCACTGAGCCTGAAGAGCGTTTCGATCACGAAATTGACTATCTGTGGCAGGTCAGAACAACCAATAATTTAAATAATTTAGCCGTCCGAAGCCGCAGGGCCATGCACGCATTCACAATCATACCTCGGATTGGGGCGACGTTGGTCCCGTATCTGTGCTGACGAGGATTGAACGCGACTGGGATTGGGTGAAAGCCCGATAGTCACGCTGGCGTTCGGAGGTGACCTTCGGAGACGATTCCTTCTGTACGCCGACCAGCGTGGAGTCCAGTAGATGGGCTAGTAGTGTCGAGTCCTGGCTGCGCTCGACCGAGGACGATTGTAGCGACGCGATGCGCCGCCGTCGCAATTTGGAGGAGGCGGGCAATTGGCGCAGAAGATAATTTCGCAAGGTCAACACTTCTCGGTAGTACAACGAAATCAGGGGATGGGTGATGGTTTGGTCGTTTCGCGTCGCTGGGCCAGTGGGGAGTTTGAAACGGCGGGGAGATGTGGTGATACTGGTCTGAGACGCAGCCGTGGGACCGCAGGCCCGCGCGGGTCTTTTTCGCTTCTTGCCCATGATCGGCAATATTTGTCGGGAACAGGTTTACATCCTCGATGGGAGTTGTGGTGAGGTGGTGGAAACAGACTTTGACGCGTCTTGTTGCGCGCGGAGGGCGGAGAGAAGGTGATTGTACCTGCGCCGGGCTTGGGGTGATTGTCGAACCCCTTGGAACAGCCGCAACAATACGCAGTAGCTGGATGAGCTATCGATATTATATGGAATTGTATATTTCTTTTACTCCGGAAGTTAATCTCAATTCTCGGCTGTTCAAGCACAGAGTCTTCTCCGTCAATGGGGAAAGGCCCTATCTGCCTGCGTGTATTATACTATTTTATAGTATAAGTGATACCCTCCCCCCCCCAACCCCTCGGTCTACCTTCAGGAACGTTGCTCAATATATTGGAGGGTGAACTCGGTCGAGAGGCAATTGAAATATCTTTTTGGCATGCTCCCATTGGCCTAAGACCATACAATTCCATTCCGACCGGTTGTTTTCCGACAACTATGGAACATGGAACATGGATCTCAGTACTATACCGATGGTTGTAACTATACAACCTCCATGCATGCTCTCCGAGCGGACCCTGCTGATCACTTGACGGTAGAATGGGATTGTCCACGATCCTATGAGGCTGCCTATTTACCTGGCCCCATTCAATTGTGGCATTTGGTTGTTGATCTAGGTTCTCGCAACCAACCAATTGCTCTTCTAAGCGCTTGATGGGGCTTTGGGGCTTGGGGCTTGGGGTTTGGGGGCCCCTGGGGGCCCGGCTCACCATGTAAGACGCCCCAATACTAACTATAACACCAACACCAACCCGAACCCGGGGCCTTTACTGCCTCCAAGGGCAATTTTTGCAGCTAGCCTCGTGATGGTTGACGGATTGGCACCACGCCTCTCGGCACGAGATTAAACAGTCTCTATAGTCTCTGCAAATTATCAGGTGGTCAAGTGGGACGATCGGGTCCATCTGAAACGCGCCGATTTCCCGGAAAATGCTGGCGGATGTCTGCCTATCAGACGTCGCTCAACCAAAAAAAGAGCCCTATGGGAATCCTCCCGAGAAAGATCGGCAGCCCCAGAGCCTGAAAATGGAAGCCGAGGAAGCAAACCCACTCAAGAAAGCCAAAAAAAGTGCTTGTGAAAAATGAAGAGCTAGGAAATCCTAAATGATCGTGGAAAAGCACCCGCGATCCATGGACGGCGATGGTCTAGAAAGGCCCGTTGGAGCGGGATTGCGTCCCCACTGCGTCAGCCCGTTCCACGTTTTGCCGGCAGGGGAAAATCATGTTCCTGGATTCCTGTGCGATATGATGGCTCAGCAGTCTGTACTCCGTATGCCTGGTTGGGGGGTGGGACGAGTGAGCATGCTGGGAAGACGGGTTTAGTCCGATCTCGTCTGCGCTATACTAGGATATACCATGGGATAGTAGTCTACACGTGAGCGCCGTTCTCCGCGCCGTCTAGATCTGAGAAAAAGACGTGTTTGAGCCTGTCTCACAAAGAATCCGAATGAACAAAGGAGCCCTCGCAAACCCACCGGTTTCCACGGTTTCACCTGGCGAGTCACTCCAGTTTCCTGGAGACTGGGGGAACTCGCCAACAGGCGTCGCTTGCTGTGACGGGATCGCGTTTTCGGCCCTCATGCAAGCGACTCGTCAACCTCTCTTCCTTCTCCCACCCTGACCGACACCACACCTCTTCTCTTCCACACCTCGCACCTCGCACCTCGCACCTCTCACTTCTTACCTCTCTCATTACAGAGATTCTCTTGTCGTCGGCTCCTTTCTTCCTTGTACACTCCTCACCTTTTCACATCCTTTTCACACCTCTTCACATCCTTCCGCCCCCCTCCCCCGGGATCGACATTGCAGTTCAGCAGGCCCTCCAAGCTAACGATCTGGCCCGCCGCCTGTCTGCACTATCGTCCTCACAGCGGCCCCCTCTTACGTCTGCAAGTTCGCCTATCAGAGCTCACTCCACAGCGGACACCGAACAAACGTCAGGGCCGCTAAATCTCTCGCTCTTCTCATTCGTCCCCTGCTTCTCTGCCTTGTCCGGGCTCTTCCCGCCGACCTCCATCCCCCCCAAGCCTAGTCATTTCCTCACACAGCTCGGCCGATCTTTCTTCTGTTCTCCATCTGAACGGACGCTCCTACCGCTCTGTGACCTATCCTCAACCTCACCCCGAGGAAGCACCAAAACCAGTCTTCCCCTCCTTGGGCTACCCATCCGCCCTCACAATATATTCTTTCCTTCCCTCTCTAGTGGATTTGGCGTCTCAAATATGATGGTGAATGGGGGTGCGCCACCCCGGGATTCCTTTGTAGCCTGAGCGGATTCCCTTCCCACCATCTGCGACATACATACCCCCCCCCCCCCCTTCCCCCGTTGGGCGTCCATCCCGGGACAGCGCATCAGTCCAACCCACTCAAATCCGAGTGTCCGCGGCCAGGCCAGTCCACGTTGGGGTGCGGCCTGAAGAATGCAAAATGTCTGGCAGCGGTGTCGAACAGGCCTCTGGGATTCGGAATCACGAGCCGACTCCGTTTGGGCGACAATCCTCACTGCCTTCCTCCAGCCAATCCCTCAACGATGCCCCCGGCTGTTCCTCATTTGAGGTCTCACCGATCACACCCGCCTCCCCTCCTTCCGTGTCCCTCTCGAATCCCACGTATACCTCCCCTCGATCGGGCCTCCATGCCAGTCGGTCGATATCCACAAATCATCTGTTCTCGAGTGGGCAACCAAGTCTCCGGCGAGGACACGAGTCGCCCGAACCCGACGACTTTTATCGATCGCGGGAAGAGGTGCCCGCAGGTGCACCCAATGTGAACGTGGGCCCCGAGTCTGGCAATGTGACCACGGGCGCAAGTTCCATCAGAATGGCGACGGCCCATGACAACCTAACAACGGACAGAGTGTCTCCGCTGCCAACAAATGTCTCCGAATTCTCACGCGTGAGACGGCAAGCATATCGGTCCTCGTCTGATTCGCTCTCCGTGGGCGGTCCGTCTGTCAATTCATCCCCGACTCTCTCCTCCATTAGATCACGGCAATCCTCTTTCAAAGACCTTGTGGACAAGTTCAACAATAACTCGAACCAAGTGCTTCCCTTACCTCCTGTCTCTCGATCCGCTTCACGGGCCCCCAGTCCTGCGGAGAGTTTTGACACCGAATCATCGCAGACCTTGCCGCGACTTCGTCATAAGCGCGATTCCCCACCGCCAAGCGCGAGCGCAAGCAACCCTCGACTGCAGCTTGACCTAATCCCATCGTCATTCGGAGTCGAGGGGCTAGGATCAGACGGTTCATTAACCCCCGACTCTGCCATCCCTCCGCCGCTCTTCCAGCGGATTCCGAAGACCCATCCAAAACGTCCTCTCTTTGGAGAATTGTTGTCTGTCAACACCGAGCTGAATAGCTTGGGGGTCGTGATACCACCACATCTCCGACGTCGAGGCTCTGATGGGAACATACCGAGCCCGGTGCCGGCTTTCCTTGACCCAACCCTACCGCCATCTGCACGAACACCATTGACACCCACCGCGTGGTATCTGGGGAAGACAAGCTCTCTGGAAGCTGTGAGCAGAGACAACACTGCCAGCGGTTCGGGCCATCGCAGAGCTCAGAGTGATTTAGCGGGAAGTCCTCGGAAGGAGCCCCTTGCTGACCCCTGGTCGCCCGAGATGGCGGTTTCAGTGCCCTTGCGGCAGGCGAAGCCACATGATGGGTCTCCCGGCAGTCCAAATTCTCCAAGCTCCAAGTCCCGCATTCCGGTCTCCTCGCAGCGTCGCGCGTCTGTTTCCGGTCCCGACAACCATTCCCCCCACTCCCCAACGTCCAATTCGACCTTCAGCAGTCGATCCTCGGCCATTCCTTTGGCACCGAAAGGGACGAGTCGCCTTCCAAAACCATCTGGAAAAGATAGCCCACCTGGCCCGACGGAGAATGGATCCGCTTCGTTTGCGATGACCGCGCGTGGGAGACGGGACATGACGATCGGCCGAAGCCGTACTCAGGTACCCGAACAAAGCCGACGCCTTCAAGCGTACATTGCCGCGCCTCCTCCAAAAAAATCACCGCCATTGCGTAGCTCCAGGCCTCGACAGCCTGTCTCTCATGGGTACTCTAGTTCACCGCGCTCCAGAGTTGGTGATAGAGTATCATCTTTACAAAAGTCTGCTGATCGGGATTTTGAGCCGCGAAATCTTCGTACTCGACAACGTCGATTGCCTGAGCTAGGTAATGTGGATTTCGCAGACCGCAGGCAGCGAATCCAACAAGCTTTCAACCGAACCGTCCAGGAGAATGAGCGAAAGGAAGAAGAAGCAGCAGCGGAGCATCGACGTCGCGTTCGTGAGCAAGAAGCAGCAACCCCCGAAAGCACTGGAATTCCAATTGAAACTCCGATTCAAACTCCGATTGAAACTCCGATTGAAACCCCAATTGAAACCCCAATTGAGACTCCGACAGAGGGGCGAGCAATCGCGGTCGCAACTACTTTTCGGGCAAGAGAGATGGCGACTATAGTGACAGTAGCAGCCAATGGTCCTGGCGATGTCAAAAAGGAGTCACAAAGTGTTCCGCAACTTTATCTGGATACAACAGTCAATGTCCCAGCCAGCAATGCTCCTCAACCTACGATGGACTCCCCGACTCTGGGGGCACCGGACGGGACCAATCGAAAATTACCAGACATGGGGCATGATGAGAATCTACTGGGCGATATTGTGCCCGACTCCGCCATAACCACGAACTCGACAGGCACTCAAGGCACAACGTTCGATATGGAACCACAGCAAGACGTGATTGAACGTAAACCTAGCCTTTCTAATCGCATGTTGTTGAGTCAAATTATGCACACCCGCGAATCCAGTTCAAGCAGTGACTCATTTGATGAGCGGGACTGCAGCCACTCGGAAAATGATGGCAAGGAATCCATTAAGATCATGCTTGGAGAGGCCACATACTTGAACTCTGCCAGCAGTACAGATACAGAGGAAGCCCAGCCAGCTTCTATTCCGCAGTATCAAGATGTCGAGACTGAGGTCAATAGGTGGAGTTTGAGTTCCTGGTCATCGTCTGTGCATCAGCAAACGTCCACCTGCGACGAAAATTATGATGATGAGGAAGAGGACGAGAGTAGTGACGATATGGACCCGCAGGCGTCACATTCTGGTGAAGGGGCTAGACTAGGGAATGTGTCTTTTTCTGCACCTTCAACCAGTCCTCAATCCGATACCGAAGATGATCCTTCAGTCCCGATCCAAGACATTGGTGTGATGGGCCCGGAAACTCTCGGCCCATTGGAGCACCGGCAGCCAAGCCCTGTTTTCTCAAGCCCTCCCAGCCTAGCGAAACTTGGCCGGTGGGACTCGCGGCGTGTAACCCAACTCTATCTGGAGGAATTGACTCGTGGCAGGAACAATCTCACTAGCCCTCTTACTTCACCTCGCCTGACACCGGATCTGAGACCAGTTTCCTCGCCCCGCCTAAGTCCTGATCCAAGGCCAATTTCGTCCCCTCGCCTCAGTCCTGATCCAAGACCAGTCAACATAATCCCGGTGGATCCTATCCCTCGACCAGAGAGTCGACCTGAGAGATTTTCAGATGATCCGATTGTTGTTCCTGGGTTCCAGACACTTCCTCTGAAAAGTCACCATTCTCATTCAGCAAGCTTAAATGGACCAGAGGATTGGGAACATGCATCCCCCTCTATCATGGACTGGATGCAGGTTGCGGCCGACGATGACGCTAATCTCCCTGATCACCAGCCTGATGGAGCGCCAACACCCCGCGCTCTGGCGGCACCTGCAGAGCTGGACACCGTCAGAAATGAGCCAGATCTGTCCCATGGATTACATATCCTTGTCGAAGCTCCAGGATGTTTGCCGGAGATAGCCGAGATGCCTTCAATTAATCCAAGTAAAACGGGTGATGATTTGCAAGTTAGTCACGGACAGCAAGCACCATCCGGCGTTCCACAGCTCCGCGCTGCGCACAGTACTGGAAGCAGTGAAGATTCGTCTTTCCAACGCCTAGAGCCGACTCAGTCCCCGCAGGCACCAAATTCATCTGCCACATCCCTTGCCCCCTCTGCTGAGCAACCGACGCGGTTAGAGTCCCGCAAATCCCCTTCCCCCGAGCAACGTCGTTTGAGGAAACGGCGTCACGTCATCAAGGAACTCGTGGATACCGAGTATACATTTGGCAGAGACATGAAAGTTGTGGACGATATCTATAAGGGCACTTCCGGGTCCTGCTTGGATCTGTCTGCAGAAGATGTCAAAATTCTGTTTGCAAACTCCGATCAAGTTGTGCAGTTCTCTTTCGCCTTCCAGGATGCTTTGAAGCGAGCCGCTCGGAGCGTTTATATTATGCCAAAATCCCAACGATGGAGCAGCAAGCGCAGCACTCGCCATAATCGCCCAGCTTCCATGGCTGTTGATGACCAAGCCGCTGCAGATGTAGGCAAGTCTGATCTAGAAAAGGATCGCGAAACCGCCATTGGACAGGTTTTCCTCGCCCATATGACTCAGATGGAAAAGGTCTACTCAGAATATTTGAGAAATCATGAATCTGCCAACAAGAAGCTCCAGGCTTTGCAGCGCAACCAAAAGGTGGCCATCTGGTTGAATGAATGTCGAGAATGGGCGTCAGACCTAACAACCGCTTGGGATCTCGATTCTCTGCTGGTCAAACCTGTTCAACGCATCCTCAAGTACCCGCTGCTCCTGACCGAGTTGCTTGAGTCAACACCAAACGGCCATCCAGACCAAGTCAGTCTCCGCAATGCCCTGCAAGAAGTCACCAATATTTCTGTGCGAATCAATGAAATGAAAAAGCGGGCCGATCTGGTAGGCCAGGTTGTCGGCCGCAAACGTAACCAGTCCGACGTACGGGCTGGCCTGTCTAAGGCGTTTGGTCGCCGCACGGAGAAGTTGCGACAACAAGTCGGTCTATCTGAAATGTTCCAGGACAAAGAATCCGACTATCTTTTCCAAAAATTCAGCGAGCATTACGCTGAGCTGCATGTGATCAAGAATGATGTGATGATATACAAAGAACAGACCAACCAGGGAATGAGACAGCTTGGGGAATATGTTTATGCGATCGAAGGGATTATTGATGTGACGCCGTCCGCGTACTCTGAATTGGAGAGTAAATGGCGTCGCTTCAAGATGTCATTCCAGGAGATCCTGACTGTTGCGCTCCCCGAACATGTGTGTTCCCCCCAACCCAACCTCAAATCAATTATCTTGTGATACTAACGTAATCTTCCTCAGCTTGATCTGGTTACCAAACGCGTCCAAGATCCGTTCGAATCGATTATCAAGCTCTACCAGGGACCAGAGAGAATTATGAAGAAACGGAACAAGCGTCTTCCTGATTACGCCCGCTTCAAAGCTTTGAAGGATCGGGGTGACAAGCCCGACAAGAAGACCACTGAGCAGGGCGAGCAATTTATTGCCTTGAACGATACATTGAAGGATGAACTGCCCAAGCTGTTCGCACTCACAGGAAAGCTTACCGAAGTCTGCATGAATAACTTGCTCCAGCTTCAAACCATGTGGTGGAGTATGTTCCAAACCAAGATGGAAGCGCACGTTGATTCCTTCCCTGAGGACGTTCAGAAGGTGATCAGTGATTGGAGTAACGACTATAGCTTTGCTGAAGCCCAAGTCCTTTCCCTTGGCGTTTGCAATGGTTCCCTGCTGGCCGACACTGTTAATCTGGTCAACTTCAATACCCCGTCTACTGGAAACATGAACTCTCCTCGTCGTCCTTCTACGGTCAATAGTTCTGGCAACCGCGCCGGCTCAATGGAAGAAGAATCACCCAAGGTCTCGGCAGATTTCAATGTCGCCCAACTCTTCCAGTCGCCTCAACTCAGTCAATCTGGCACTAGTCATCACAGGGCTGACTCCTCCTTCTCCGGACGATCTCCTCAACTTGAATCGCCTGATACTGGCCGCAGTCAACTCCTACAGCAGGTGATAGCAAGTCCTGGCTCCACCTCAACTCCGCAGCCTGTGGAGCCGGAGCCTTACCCTAGTCTACCACGATTGAGTCTGGATACACCGTTCCTTGCAGACGTAATCAACGCCTCCACCCCTGAGAATCTTCCACCGACAACTCCTCATGATCGATTTTCTGGATTTTTCTCATCGGCCATGCCCATGTCTGACAGTCCCGTTGACGCCGAAGCTCCTCGGGCTGCTCCTGCTCCCAAGAACCTCCCTGAAGGGGCCAAAGTGTTGTTCGTTGCCGCCAGCCTCTACGAGTTTAACATCGATCGCCCTCGCAGTGAGGCAGGCTTCCCCTACTTGACCTACGAAGCTGGCGCTATCTTCGATGTATTCGCTGAGAAAGGCGAGCTATGGCTGGCCTGCAACCAAGACGAAAGGGACCAATCCGGAAACAACAAGCGTGTGCCAGGCTGGATCTGGAACAAGCATTTCGTTAAGATCGAGGCATAGACTGTCTCTGTTTATTGCCATGTTGCATCAAGCGCATTCATGTTATATCTCATGTCTATCCTTCCCAGCGGGAGTTGATTCCCTCACAGATTTTCCGTTTTATCTATCACCATATCCTCACCTTCCCAGGAGTCTTCGAGCTGGAAGAAAGAACAACCAGTGGATTAGCAGCATGCTTCCACCTTCTGTTTATTATGTGCGTTTGCTGTGAGGGAAGTCCCCGGGCTGCGCTGATGCATGTTGTCTGCTTGTTTTCTTTTCTTTTTATCCTCCGGGTGCTAGTTGCATGAAGCTCCGGACGTGTATGTTTAGATACCCCTCTTTATTGATGATGAACCTGTGTATATTGTCCTTTTATTTGAGCGCAAACTATCTACTTCCAGCCCATAACGCCTTGCTTCACAAAAGAGTATTCTTTCCAGTGGTAAACGATCTTAAAGCATTGCCCGCAATGCTTACAACGCAGTTTATCTTCTCAAGATCTCTCTTCCATCTAGTGGTAAGTGATCCTAGTAGCCTTGCCAGCAATGCTTGCAGCATATTTAATCTCTTCAAGATCCTTCTTCCGTACTTCTAACTCCATCAATTGTCTTTCAATTTTCTTCCTCCATATCATCAACTCCCTCAGCTCGTTTGAGGCCTTTTCCTCAAGTGGCTTCAACGCCAGCCACTCTTTTTGAAGTGATCGTGGGTCTTTTTCGTAGCCATCTCCTTCGGCCTCGTGCACAGGCTCTAACTCTGAAGTATAGTTGTTTGCTGAATGATGCATCTTTCGCTTTGTTTCGGGCCGACTGGGCCGTTTTGTCGACGTGTCTGGAGCCTCGAATATTTGCTGTTCGCAGTTATTGAGGTTCTCCTCGAATGGCTGTCCGTCCTGCGGATGCATAGTGAATAGGAAGAGGTGGAGTTAGTGGCAGCGACCGTATTGAACGTGATGGAGAATTGAAGGTAAATATATAGAGGAAAGCCCTGTATATTGACTTTGAGGGTGAGGAGCTCCCGGCGCTTATGCTAAGCGCCCATCAGGGTGTCCTAAATTTATCACAATCCTTCCCCAGCGTTGCTCTTTTTGTTGCTGTTTCATCGTAAATCTTCCAATAGACGCTCAGCTTGAAGAGTTGGATGTTTATTAATAAACGGGTTGGAATATGATTCATGCGCTACGCAAAGCCTTTTGGCGCTCTGTTCTCAGTAATGTTGGACATAATGCCTGCGGGCGTGGTGAATGTGTGTACCCGTCGATCACTTTTGATCATCAGATATGTGGACCAATCTATAAAAATCACCAAGGATATGCTCATGGACAAATAAAATAAGAAAGTAAAATAAGAAAGACTCGGACTGATCTTTTGCGAAGCCTCTACATTATTGCGATAGCCCTAGCGAGCTTACAGCGGATCTGCTACGGGATAGGTAGGATATTAAAGTGACGGTGACACTGCAGTTAAAACAATACACAACTATTCAGGAAGGTGAGATTCATTTTCGTCGATACATCCGTATGATCAAAAGAATGCAAAGGCTAGTTGATGTTTTGCTAATCGGCGGCATCCATTTGTTAGTTATGATTCGAAGCGAAACTACTTCGCTTACTTCTAGGAGGTTGTTTCAAATCAAATATAACATAACTCCATTATAATGATCATAACAAAAGCTTGTGAGAAAAGATAATGCTATAAAAGAAGTCGCAAGGCCCCATCAAAAAACGTAGCCATTATTTCAAGAAGAGAGTCAACCTCACCTGGAAGATCTAATCACGGCCAAAGTATGTCGTATGCTGTCCGATGACTAACGAGCAGATGATAGATTGCTCTGAGAGCCGGAATTATTTCCATAGAGCACAGTCAAGAAGTGCCTATTAATCTCCGAGCTTGGGATGCCTGATGCGGGTGGACATCGCACCATGTGCCTTAAAACAACGACCCTAAAACAACGACCGTATCGACAGGGTATCAGAGAAGCCGTTGAGCATGTCCCACAAAAATGTGGGCCTCGTTTTCTTTGACAGGTTAACATCAAGTGCTCTAAAGTCATGGCAGCAAAAGCAAAAGCGGGATATTTTAAAGCGAAATGCAAGTCCGTTGTATAATGATACGCTAAAATAAAATAAACGTCCCGATTTGCTGGTAGCAATGGGGCCCTATCACCCGAGACAGGTCTACGTTGACTTCTGGCGAGTCTTGTGCCCAAGAAGAGCAGTAGTTGCGGCACTAGTTGTACAGTCCAACTGTACCTCCACGCATCCAACACAATGTCATGTCTGCAGCCTTGTCATCGCGTATGCCCTTTAAGGCACCGACTACAGCTGAAGCGATTTCTGAGTGGCCGCTATCCCAAATCGCCTTCTACATTCGCCAGATGACCAACAGTACCACACAGGAGGCGCTGGATCAGATGCTCAGCGCCATCGCAAACATCCGCGACAAGACCGCGCCGAACATCCGCATCGACTCATACCCACCGATGTCGATTCTCCAAACAGACCACCGCAACGACAACATCACAGACACCGATTTTGGCTTCGGCAGGCCCGTAATCTACCGACATCTAATCGATCGCCTGACGCAGGGTGTGATTGTCATCTATCCACCACGAAGTAACCCGTCTCCAGATTCGGATGAAGGGCCGGAATTTTCTATTTCGTATGAGACAAGCCTAAAACAGGAGTTAATTGAAGATCCGGAGTGGAGAAAGTTTTTTGAATACCCAGGCGTGAATGCTATAGACGCATAACGAGATCATTAGAATGTTATAGGCCCAGAAACATCAATGAAACCAAGGACGACAATTGAGACTCGAAACTAGGCTCAAAGTGCCACTATGGAGAAATACTATCCTGTAGTGTCATCTTGATGGTTACCGTATTCGCTCTCGTTATTTTACTCGTAACAATGAATCGGAATTTGGCCGTCAAGGTGTTTGAAGAAGACCCCCTGGAGCCCCTTGGAGCTCCTAGAATCATTATGCAACAATATGTTCAGAGTAATTCTGATAATGAAAGATTTTTAAATATGTAGCGTAAATTCATTTAAATGGTAGTGAAGTGAACATCAGTCACCATGAAAAGTTCTCAGCATGTAAATACACACCTTCGGCTCCAGTTCCCTTATAAGAGCCTCGCTGTTCGCTAGTAGTGGCAACTACATTTCTAACGTTGCTCACTAATGAATGGGGTCCACACACTGCGATACCTGTCTCACCCCTGGCATGATCGAGTAAATCCCAGATAATCGGCTTCAGTTGAGGTCGACCTGATTGCAAGTCGTAGAGTACCGGCGGGCTCCCCAAGATTTGCTTATAGGGAGAAATTTTGCCTGATGTTGAAACGGTCTTTGTCGTCTCGGTTGCCTTCTCGTCGGCTATTTCAGGGGCCACATTAAGGTTTGATGAGCCGATTCCACTGCAACAGCAAGGACCTTCCGCATTGGTACACTTGCAACCAATTTTCTTCTCCAAAAGTTCTGATGGCTCAGCATCACACGTAACAAATAGACGCACTTCAAGTTCAATTCCTGCATTCAGCAGCGTCTCGCTCGCTCTCTGTAAGTCATGCTCCACCCATTCTTTGCAGGAAATATGTCGAATAACCCAAACAAATACCAGTCGTCTGACTGGAAGTTTTCCACTTGTCACCCTGTATGCAATGTCAAGAAGAATTGGCAAAGTGAATGTGACGCCAGTTGCCCCTGAAATGAGGAGAACAGTGTCAAAGGCCGCAAAATCAGAGTGCGAACCACCGTAAGGCCCACTGACAAGTGAGATATGCTGTTCTATTTTCTGCATATTCCGAGGGTCTTGCTGGGTGCCTCCAGACAAATCGGATGAAGAGGATTTTGCCGAATCAAGTAATCGACGAGTAAATCCGCGATGGGCTCGCAGAAGAAAGACAAGGTCATTATTATGGGAGGAAGGGACTGAGAGAATGGTAGCTGGATGTGACTGTCCTACTCCCAACTTTGGTATTGACAAAAAAACATGCTGCCCGGGGCTCCAGTTCTTGATTCGGGAGGATGCGATGCAAACCTTTGTGACATCCCCTGGTAGTTGAGTGATGATGGCGCTTGCCGGCTTCACATTGACAAATGCATAGAAAATGGTTCGCAGTAGACGGTCGAGAATGAAAATACCGACACCAGCCCAGGCATAAATTCTGCAAGGGGTCATATTAGTAGGTGATTGATTACCTGGGAAAAGAGTCGATGCAATTTGCGTACCTTGAGCTCAAAGCGGTAGACGGCAGGTGATAGAATACAGCAACGACGAGACCGACAAAGGTAATGATATGTTGTACAACGAAAAATTCATATCGCCAATTCCGAATGGGCGCCGTGGAAGAAAACACTAGCCACACCAAGATTATCCAAGTAGAAAATCCTGCAGAATCGTTAGAACAGAGTGATGAATCCTTGAATTAAATAGATATCAACTTTACCCGTTGGGATGCAGCTATCTGTGTCAAATTCGAGTTTCATTACGCCATACTTATGCCACCCGTACGTTTGAACTCCACCATGGATTGTAGCGGTTAGGAGCATGACTCTAGCGACCCAACGATGCAGGATCTGTAGTCGCTCGTAAGACACTCCTACGGCATATCCAATTAAGTTTCGCTTTCCAGCAAGAAGCAGAACCAGAGGAAATTGAGCGATGGTTATCCAGCCTGCTCGTAGGCCTTGCGCTTGCCAATGCTGTGCACCGGGATATTCGACATTATAGAATTGAAGCCCCATGATGTAACAAAAGTATCCAAGGATCAATACAATGAAACCGATAGTTGGGATTCGAAGCCATGGAACCGTGAAAGTGATTTGGTGATAGGAAACCTCTCGAACTACCGCTGTGCAACTTGCCAACAGCAAAGTGACTGGATTTGAGGGGCTTGCTGGTCGAGATCGGTTTGTAGCCGCAGCACGCAGCCTATTTGTAGTATCAAGTCAGTGGTTTTTCGACTTGCAATGAGTTATGTAAATCACTGACCGCAACTTGAGTATACCCCATTGAGACCAGTGAGCGATGCTCGCCAAGACAACCACGATAACAATCCCATACCAGAATGCCCGAGCTATAGCGTAGTCGGATGACTGTAGAGTAGAGTCATCCAACAGCGCAGCTAAAAAGTCGGATGCTACGGTGTAGTTTGACATATCCAGCCCCGCATCTGTGAGGTCTGGGCCCCCGGACATGCCGGAGTCCATATCCATCTTGATCAATTAAGAACCAAGACCGGTGATATGAACGGGGCGGAAAGATCGGAAGTGGAATCTGGAAGGAAAAGGAAATGAAATCTGAACTGTACGAGCAATTCATCCTTAATTAATAATATCTTGATTGCAGAGAAGGGCCCGCGTCCTCGTGGGTCTAGCACGGGCGCGTCAGTCTATCAAAATTGTGGAGATTTGAAGCTTGGTTTGATCAAGCCTTTTAAATCTTGCCGGTTCGGGGTTACGGTTGAGCACATTTGCGCGGGTTTTCGCTTGGACGGACCCGATTTTAACTTCGACGTTTGCCAAATGGTAAATTGTCAACCGCGTGGCAGGTCAAGGTACATGAAGCCTATAATTATTATTTCGCAGTCTTCATGGTATTCTTTCTGCCCTTTTATTTATCCCACCCGCCGATAGTCTGTTCTCCCTCATCGCCTTCCCCCCTACCCCCATTCTGCACGTTCCACGTGTTCCGGGTGGCTATTTCTGCCTTATCTCTGCCTGGGCTCAAGAAAGGGATGAGCTCGGGGTTTCCCGTCGCTTCTACACCCTAAAATTTAGGACACCTCGTGTTGTTATGTGGATTTTTGAGTGATAATTTCATAAACGTCTCTATTTTTATCCCTCAGTGAAAGCTAGAGCCCGCCATATATAACCTGTGCCCGCCATGGACATGTCTGCGGCAACCGCCACCACAACCAGTATGGAGATGTCCTCCACGGCGTCGTCAGACAGCATGAGCTCAATGGATATGGCTTTTAATACCAACAATCTATCTGCAATCCTGTTCTCCCAATCCTGGATGCCGACAACAACAGCAAGCTATGTTGGGACATGGTTCTTTCTCTTTGTTCTCGCCATTACCTGGCGAGCCTCAGCAGCTTTACTTGCAAAACTGGACGCCTCCTGGGCTGCTAAAAATGCAAGATATTCGATTCTTATCAATGGTGGCCAGGAACAGCCTTCAGAAAAAGATCTAGTACGAGCATGGCGGCTATCAGTCAATCTACCTCGGGCGGCATTACGCATGGTCCATCAAGGGATTGCATATTTATTGTAAGCTCTCCATGTGAACAATCGGCGGATCTGATCTGATGCAAATTTTCTTCTTAGGATGATTGCAGTAATGACAATGAACGTCGGGTTTTTCTTTGCAGTGCTTGTGGGGTACTTTTTTGGTGAACTCATATTTGGTCGAGTCTCGCGGTCTGATTAATAGCTTAACTCGGAGGATGTTTTCTAGTCGTGAGTACTGGCTGGTCTATGTATATACAGATATCTTGATTCTTGCTGAGTGATATATCCAAATTTTATTATGTTAAGACCTAGTTCTCAGAATAGGTGGCCTCCGACCCTATACCTGGCTCTTGTGAGCCTTCTTAAGATCCGAGCCTGACTTTTTCTCTGTTGAGCTTTTTTTTTGTAGTGTAATCGCTCTTAGAATAGCTACTAACAAACTTCCAATTACCATGCTTCATGATCTAATTCATGGCGAATCGAGCCATAAGGCCTACTTCCTTCGGCGTTGTTTGCACAGGCCGTTGCTCTGTCCACTGGCGTCAGCGCCGAGTATGCCCCTACTATGGCAGCAGTGATCACGGAATTATGAGACTAGCCATATAGATACACCATATGCAATGCATATAAAATTTTGCAGCAGCGTTCTTGTCGCGACGCCTGCATCCTGACAAAGAAGCAGTCCCCTGGTTCCTGAGGTCTTATATAATGACTTTCAAGGCCCATGGCAAAAGGAGAATCATGAACGGCAGGTTTGTGAATTATGCTCTCGGAGTTCGTTTAAATGGCCTGACCTAGCGCCCCAACAAGCTGTCTTGCAACGTCTCTCTTCATTGGCTCAACAACAAAGCTCCGACTTCCTCCCCTCAGCTCCTCTTTCTTGCACCTAACATCGGCCGATTCCGTCGCGTATCTTGCGTATCACCCCAAAGGACCTCTACGCCTTGGCACTCAGCATGAGACGCTGCGCGTTTCACTCCGCTTGAGGTACCGCCAACAGTGGTCGTTCTGGCCAACGCTGGTTATCCGCTCGCCCAGCCGCGTAGGAACAGACGGAAGAGAAACAGGAAGCTTATCCACCCTGAAGTTCGTTGTGAATTGATAAAAGAAGATATTTGGCTGGCAGAGGTGTCAACGGTGTCATGTTTAATACTGATTCAGTGGTTAGATGCCTCGTCAAATACCTTGTCAAAGGCTCAGACAGCAGCATTGGCATCGTCTACGAAGAAGCTTGGAGCAGGCCCTAGCGACATGCGAAATTGATATTTCCGAGAATATTCGAGAGATTATATGGCATATTATAGAGAGTAAAGCCGTAGTATTCATCGGAAATGCAGTAGAGGAAATTCTCGGATTTGTGGATGGAAAGAATGAGGATTGGTGGTATGATGTGAAGACATCCAGGGGCAAACAAGCCACCACACCTACACAGTAGAAGCTCATATTAGCCTTTTAGTCTGTCGTTATTGTGGTCTCATACAATATGTCCAGTGGATTGATGATTTCTATAGTAAATTACAGTTATTGGAGTAATTGAAGAGTCAAATCTCCACGAATCTTGGCTTTCAGTTCAATCTCAACATCAAGATTCAAATCCAACCTGAGTTTCAACTGATCCTTTCCTTTCTCACTTTGCACTGCTTCAGTGGTCTCTACCACTTGGCGTGCGGTTGAATTCGTGCTATTTGGAAGAGGCTCTTCCCATCTCCCAGGGTGTGGATCTGATGCCGAAACAACTTCTTGATTTTGAACCTCAGGACTTAGCATTCTCCGCACGCGTGTCTCTCGTTTCTGTAATCCTGAACTATCTGGTCTTTGCTCCTGTGTAATGACTTCGGCTTGATCTGGTTCGGTTGATTGTGCTGAATTTCGACGGACAGTCGTGCGTTGACGCCGTACCGCGGACCGCGGGGATGCCTGTGGTTTCTCGGGCGTTTGCGCCTGGCTCGGCGTATCCAAAGGTTGACGTTCCTGTTGTGGCATTCCATTTGGAACCTCGGAGAAGTAATTGGAATTTGATATATCTGAACTGCCATTTTGTCTCTGCTGGCTTCCTTCACTTTGGCCGTCCGAAGGGGTTGTTCGCTTTGCTAGCTTTGGCGGTCGCCGCTTCCGTGGACCAGCGATACCATTTGTGTCATTGCTGCTACCTTGGGCTTTAGTGATTTCCTCGGGTGCTTTCATCGTGGGGATTGAGGGGGCTATTGATGGATGCGACGATGTCGATGAAATTTGAGTAGTTTCAAGAGCTTCGTAATTCAAGCCCACGCAATCCGCATTAACATTGGGCCGCGTAAAAGCATCATGTTGAATTGCGGATTTGGCTCGCCTTCTGACGTCAACTACAGTACTTAGGTTCATAACAGGCAAGTATGATGTCCGAGGCGTTAGCATAATACGGTCGTTTTCTACATTTGGCAATATGACGCGTATGATCCAGGGACTTTCTGAGGAGACAGAATTTGAATCAAGAATGGAAACAAGATTTAAGACGATGGTCTCGCCCTTAGGGACCCGGGATCCGGAATTTGGCGTACCGAACTTTATCGGCCGTTTACATGGAAAATTTGGACCCTTTCTGGGTGAATGACGCGAAATTTCAGTCTCCATCTTCTTGATACAAATGTTGGCGAGTCGAATGTCTTTTCGACATTTTATATCCTAAATCCAACGCATTCTACGCATAGAACTAGGGAGAAATGGCATCGAGTCGAAATCCAAATACCAAGAACGTCCCACCTAAAGACTCCGAGAGTTCATGGAGCGGAATCGAGCAAAGACGAAAAACTCACTCGGTTTCCGAGGCGGCCTCGCAGAATGACGAAAAAAATAGCGTGATTTCAGAAACTGACGCCCAAGAATCAGACATTGAAGAGATTCCGCGGATGGAAACACAACCTACAAGCACCGCCGTCCAATATGCCCCATCTCCTCGAGGAATTCAATTTGATCGACTGAAACCAATTTCTTCGTTGACACGACCGCTTTCCCCAGCACAAGGACTTTTTGGTGAAGTCCAAAGGCGAGGAATTGATCCGATTCAGCCAGTTCAAACGGTAGCGAAACCAGCAAATGCTGCATTGAGTCTGAGACTAGACCTCAATCTTGACGTTGAAATCGATTTGAAGGCTAGTATTCACGGTGATCTGACTCTTTCTTTATTGTAAGTAGCTTCTCAAGTTTCCCTATCTACGTCTCAAAGCTTATCTTACCCATTGAAGGACTTGATATATGAAACAACGAAAGTTGTCAGCTACCTACATTAGCTTGGGATCAAGGTCCCTTCGATCTTTTTCGCTTCTATTGAACAAGAAAATTACTATTATCACATGTACCAACCCAAACAACGTAATCCTCCCTTGCTATGAATGGCTGGTTCCTAAAGCCGAAAGATGGAAGTGCTCATGAATTACGGTGTATTAACCACGGTCAAGCGACTAACCACGCCGGGTTGTTAAGGAACATGATAATACCATTCGAAAGTATCCAGTAAAATTATTAAAAGTAGAATGTCAAGATGCCAGAGATAAATAAGTCCTGGCCGCCCGTATTGCCAAGACTTTCCAGCCAGTCTCTGTCGAGATCCGTGGTTCTTTGATGGCGGAATGACGACAAGACCGCAGAGTTCTCGGCCACACTTTGAAAGACGTTCCAAGCAAGTTTCCAATCGATTCAGTCTAAATGAGATACAATGAGAATAGATTCAAGATGAATTCCAAGATGACTTCCAAGATGACTTCCAATCAATTTGTTTCTTCGTATAGACAGTGCATGAGTTATTTCCGATCTTGCAGCATCATTTTTCTAATACGCTCTGAGCTTGTATCACGGCAGCAGGGTCCAGCTCTTGAGATGGGGTACCATCATCGCATTGACTATCGCAATCCATTGGATCCCATCCTTACGAAATTTTACAAGCTTATAAGGGATTTCGCTAGACTGACAATTCCCACGGGAAGGACTCCTCTCCCAGTAACCTTTTACTCCATGATTATCTTAGTCTCCAATACAGAGGTTTACCTCCCCACACCCATTCTCGTAGCCTTCTATGAAAATTTATTGTTGTATGTATCTCAAAATCGTCGGCACATTTTCAGATTCCTGCTTGATCCGAACTAAGTTACTTTCAACTCCATGACGACCAATCTCATATGAAATTCAGGCTTATCGGTTGTCATCATAGTGTGGCCAACTCCTTGACCAGCCTAGCGAGTGAAATCCAGTCAATGGCGGACATAATGCCCTATTCCTAACCTACGTGTTATTGCGGCCCCTGCGACCTCTTATAAGACAACTACAGCCAAAAATCAGACAGAAAACCGCATCAGGTATAAATGAGCAAAGAAGGCTTTCTAGATAGTAATAAAGCGAACAAAGCACTGATCTTTCGCCGGAGGGTGGCTAAGACTTCTACGTAGGTGCAGAAAGGTCCAAAATTGCATCAAATTGGAAAGTGAAAAGCCATCATTTTCGGTGTCGACTTCGCAAGTCCTGATGTCTGATATCTATTTGAAATCAAACTTTCGGAGTAATAGCCGCAGTTATAACGGTTCTTTGCGCTCACTTCATTGTATTTATGAATGTCAACACCGATTGCTTCTCCTAGGGAAGCATAACTATTCTAAGTGGATCTCATCACATCAAAGTTATTCGCAACCGCGTCATTCTTCACCAACTCCCAGAAGTTCGAAATCTGTTTTGCTACAGCCTCGGGAAGAGGACCATCATTAAGAGCAGCAACAGTCTGTTTGGCCTGGTTTGTAGTGCTCGCTCCGATCACAAGCGCATCCCCAAGTCGCGCGTCAAGTCCAGAATGAAAAGCGACCCATCGATATGCGAGAGCAGCTCTTGGGATTCCAAATTCCTCTGAGATCTTGTTCCATTCGTCCAGTGCCTCAAAAAACACGGGCTTTCCATAAAGCATATGATAGAATTGTCCCATTTTGGACAGCGGATTCCATCGACCCTCCCCTTTCGTCCCAGAAGTCAACTGTTGCGTGGTTTTGGTGAGGAATCCGCCAGCTATGGGACTATATGCATAGAATGCAATATTATGTTCGCGCAGAATCGGCAAGATGTCCTTTTCGATTTGTCGAGCGATTGCGCTGTAGTTTCCTTGATAGATTGAAGGTAGCACATACTTTCTTTCCCTCGCTATCCGAATGACTTCTTTGATCTCTTCAGCATTGAAATTGGACAACCCAAATTTTTGGAACTTTCCAGCACGATAGAGATCATCCACCCCAGCAAGAGTGTCTTCGATAGGAACATCTGGGTCGGGTGCATGTAAATAAAAATTATTTATCTAGAGTTGCAAAGTATGAGCCTAGACTTTCAAGTTGCGATTCCTTGCTGCACTTACTTTCTCGACACCAAGTCGTTTCAAACTATCACATGCTCTTTGGAAGACCTCCTCGCGGGATGAGCTTCCGGGAACCCATCCCCCAACGTGTTTGGTGTCGACAGAAAATTGAAATGCGCCAATAGCTTGACCGAGAAGGGCCTCACTGGTACCAGCACCGTATGACTGTGCAGTGTCAAGTTGACGAATGCCGGCTTCTTCCAGCACTTGAAGTAACCCCGACACCTCTTCAGGGGTACTAAAACTTCCCTCCTCGGCTACAATGGTTGCTCCGCCAAATACTAGATTAGGCACAGTCGACATCTTGATCCAATTTATCAAGTTGGCTTTGCTTGCAGATATAGTCGCAGTATAACGGCTCGACAGCCCTCCAGAAAATGAGTGATTCCGATAGAATTTCTTGATAGATGCTTCCTGGGCAAATACTACGCGTTTAATTTAAACCATCCGTTGTTTTGCAAATGATGAAATTGCTGAAGATCGAGAAGATTCCGATCAATCTTACATTTGTAATCAGCAAGAGCCACCGTGCCCGACGCTGCTTACTTCTATACCAATCCGGTAACTCGTAAAAAAGAACCTGCCCGGGGTGTGACTTGGCAATTGAACTTGACTAGTGAATATTATCTTTCAAGAGCAAAGTCTCTGCGGTGACATATGTTATGATCCATTCCATATCAGTATGGAAATACGGAATGAATTTATGTCTGTTTTTTGACTAGTCATTTTCCAACTTTCACCATGAGATCAATCAAAGTATCGGAAAGTGTATATATACTTCAAGGCATAAGACGCAAACGTCCACGTCAATGAGAGAGAAAACTAGACTGAAATGTATAATATCTATATGCTTCGCGTCAAGTTGATCTGGCCACCTATACTGAATATGGTACATTAAAAAATAATCAGGATACGCCTCAGCGCTTCATCTAGCTTCTCAAAGATTCAATGGTCTAATTTGTAAGAGAATTGTTCAAAGGGTATAGTAACTCGCCATTTCTTCCTGGAACCAATTATAGGAATAGTAGAGTTGCTCCGCCATTTGAGGATCGATCATGGGCATTGTGCCGCTGCCATCAACCAGCAGCACATCATCAAGAACAGGTGCCAGAGGCACAGGAGGTGGGTGTGGGGGAGCCAAAGTAACTGAGGCTTGAGATGGCACGAGGGGAAGCGGTTGCTGTAACGGTTGTTGAGTGTGCTGGGGCTGTGGTTGCTGGTTCATTTGCTGCTGTTGATAAACCATTTGGCTGAAGATCATAGTGCTCTGATGACGGAATGTTTCTGCTAGTCGGTCCACTCCCGGACGTCGTTTTCCAAACTCCTCCAGCAGTACAACCACTGCTTGAATAGCGCGGCGCAACATCGATTCATCTGGGTGCCACGATGCAGGGAGCCCACTACGCAAAGCGCAGGCATTTTGTTCCAAGCACCATAAAATAGTGATCCCAGCGAAGTAGACTTGACTCAAAGTCAACCAGATCCATTTGAGTTTGCCCACGGAATAACTATCCCAGTAGGATCGGATCACCTGGATACTGGAATCCCCGCAGCTGATAACACTAGTCGCGTCTGGGGTCGGATTCCGAGGGCTAGGGCGGTACATGAGAAGGATAGTCGTATAATACAGATAATCGTAATAGGACGTTGAATATAGGAGCGCCGAAGGATAGACGGGGGCGGCCATGCGCCACTCATCTACCTCTCGCCGAAATTGTCCAAGCGAGGCCGCGAGCTCTTGTTTTGGTGGACAGGGAAGGCTGCTGTATACTATGTCGGCCCACCGGAGTCAGAGCTTGAAAGTCATAGGCGGGAGGTGACAGCCATGTGGGGAATCGAAGGGGGGCGGCGGAAACTCACAGTATCGGTAGATTCGCGAAAAGATCCGTCGTAGGGATATCACCTGTAGTGGAATCGTCATAGCACTTGCTCCAGGCGCTTCAGATCCATCGTCATTAAGCTCTCGTGGGAGACCGACGCTGATATCGTCATCCGGAATTCCTAGTGGCCGGCCGAGCGTGCTCGCAATAAGACGATCCAGATTGTACAGGCTCCAGAAAGCCCGTTTGGACATTTCCTCCTCCACGAGCGTGGGGTATGAGCGGGCCTTGTGGAGGCCCATGCTAATTGCCAATCGCATGGTTGCCCCCAAAACATGCCATATGCTGGGCCCTGCGGTTGCGAACATGGTGTAGAGAGCCAGGCCGAGTAGAGCACGAACAGCTGGTAAATCCTCATTCTGGAGGGCCAGGGGTAACGTCTGTTGGCTTGCGAGGTAGAATTCCGCCGCTTGCGCCGCATCGACAGACCCGATCAATAGGGAGATCGCAATGATGATATGGTAAGTGTTATGGACTTCAGGGGTTGGAACACCACCGGTGTAAATATGCCGCAGTTGAGCCATGAAATCCGGACGGGACATAAACGGATATTGGTAACCCATACTATCAAAATACTGCCCTGCCAGCTGCTCAGCCTCTTCCAGCGACGACAGACGCAAAATCCGCGGGGCCGACGCGGGACGTGCCACCGATGGTCGACGATGCTCCAGTTGATCTCGAAAGATCTCGCCGACGTTCGGAAGCTCAGAACCCACGCCGGCCGAAGACTCCGAGCCCCCGGGCCAACTGTTGCAGAGGAGCCACCACTACCGGTCGGGCTAGGCATCGCGGTAGCCGGCAACGGACGACCGGTCGCAATCATCGCCGGCACCTGGTACCACCAATCCGGGTCTCCTTCTCCGTCCACTGGGGTACCAGTGGCCAAATCAACCACCGAAATTCCAGATTTCCGACGCACCACTTCTTCTAGCCATCGTACCCGCTTTTGAAGGGTCTCCAACTCATCTCGGGGTACCGAAGCATTCGCGATTTGCGGGCCGGGCGGGGGAATGGTACAGCGAACACCAGCTCGAGTACAGGCCGAGCAATTGGGGTACCGGAAGTCACATTTCTTCTTACGCTTGCGACAGAAGTCGCACGCGGTCGACACGCGCTTACTGCGAGACGCCGGTGTGGAGGTGGGGTCGGGTGTCGCAGAGTCCGGGGGTTGCGACTGCAGCGGGAGCTGTTGTGACTGCGGCGGAACCGGGGCAGACGGATATGACCATGGTAACGAGGAGGGCGTAGTCATTGACTCAAGACGAAACTTGCCCAATTGATCACGGAAGTCCTTGTTGCCCGTGCTGTTGCTTGATGTCATGATAGTATGTGGCTGGAGCCATCCATCCCAGCCTCAGCCACAAGAAGCCAAGAGACCACGGGCGGAGGCGCGGAGACGCGGAGGCGGCGGGCCAGGGTGGAAGAGGGACGCGCAAGGAGCGTGGGCAAAGGGGGGGGAAGGGGGCAATAGAGAAGGAGGGGAGCAGAATGGAGCCGAGGGACGGCGGATTGTCGCCAGGGCTGCAGGATAACAAATGATAATTGGGGCTATAACAAGGTGGGAGAAGGAGTGGAGGAGGGGAAAAGTGGTGGGGAAGCGGCCGACGGGAAAATGGTTGGCGGTTGGGCGGAGAACAAGTCCGCGATTGAGACTCGGTCCGTCATGTATGTCCATGGCCATATGTGAATTATGTGGATGGGGTGGCTATTCCCATTGTTGATCTTGTTTTATCCAGTGTATATGCTACATGTCGCATGGAGCCTCAGAGCTGCATAAATGTATCCGGTCACGGAATGGAGAGCCAACATGAGATCAATCATTGTACCCGATTCGAGGGAGACAGAGACGCTAAGCTGGTTGTAAACAGGGAGAACTACGCATTTAGACAGCTCGGTCTCGATGCCTGTGCACTGTTGTTCACTCGATATAGGCCTTTCATTTCCACAGTATGGGTAGGCGAAGCCAAATAGTATAGATCTAACGGGAATTATGTAGTCCTGTATGTCATGGCTCCGTCGATCAGGGGATGACGGATAATATATATCTGCTAAATTGGTTGAGTTGTGATCTTTAGCCAATTAGCCTATTGAACCCAGCTTACAGACAGTCTGATCTATGATACGTACTTCGAGATTCATTGTATGATCCGGAGATACTAGTTATAACTAACAGTTGGGATGTCAGACGATGGATCGGCAGGGAAGTATTTCTCCAGACCCCCAGTGACTTTCACGCGCTCGCTTGGAAATCATGTCTCCGATCGACCCTCCCTGATCCGGCGGAATTCCGTGAGGTGTGGGGTCGACTTTCCTTGATGCTTGAGGTGGGTATTGGCCCATTGAGTATGGCTAACTTGGCGCCGTGGCATCCCCATGAGAGACGTATCGGTGGGGATGTCGATGGAGTCAAGCAAATGCCGTAGGAAGTGATTTCTTTGCTTTGCAGGACTACATCGTGCCAGATACTTGATATAGGTTCCTTACCGCGTTTTTTTTTTCTTTCTTTCTTATTTTTGGGGTGCCTGTGGTTCGAGGGTTAGTGCTGGTCGGCCGCCAGAAGAGAATACGAGAGACCCGCGATCTGCAAGGCACCGCTAGCCATCGCTTACACCCACGGGTCCCGGCAACTAAAATTGAAACTGATGAAACTTTGCTAACGATACAGATGTAACCCTCATGCCCCCGAGATCGAAGCGAGCAGCAACCAAAACAATAGGCCTGAATGTCGACTTTACGTAGGGATCGTGGTCGTGATGTTAGATTGGCATGCAATCAATTCCCTTTTATTCTCACGGGATCACGCCTTGCCCTCAGATTGGCCGGGCATTGCTGAGAATACCAATATTTGGACCCCTTGAACTTCGGCAGCGACGCCACCAGAACACCGGAGGCAATCCCGGATGGAGCCCGACGGAAACTTTCCCTTCTAGACTTCAGCTGTGGGGAATAGTATCGTCAGACGCATGTATTTATAGACAACATCGCTGTGGTCTCTGTGTACTGGTATCAGAGGGTTTGGAGACGACTTGAATGGATTGCTGGCGCAGAGTGACAGTCACATTGTATCAGAGCGAGATCAAAAACAATACAGTTGGCCGAGGCACCTCAGCTCTCGCAAAGGGGGGAATAACTGTGCGAAGGTACCTAGTTTAGTTCATGATACTCCGCCGTACACTCTTCCAAGAGGGTTGAGCTCCTAGTATATCAATGTCCCTGATTCCAATCCACATTATTACCGGGTGGGTCGGCGACTCAATTGGAGAACCCTTGATCCTTCATCATGCTCGATGCTGCAGGTGCACTCGTTAGCTTGCTTTCCCGACCGAAGTGGATCGATCGGCCCGGCAGATTCCTGAATCAGTATGCATTGGCCTCGTATTCAACGCCCATCCTACCATGACTTAATGTGATCATGACCTTGTTATTTTGGGATACGATCATGATTTCGGGATAATCAGTAGGGAAAGGGGGGTTATTGAGACGATTGCTTCATTCCTCAGGTATGATAAATAACCGCGCAGAACTCTCTTTTGTTTCGTACCGCCAAACCGACCTCCAAGATAGCGGCAAAGCAACCTTGCTTCTCCTATCTGCCTCTTATTCACGTTCGCCATTATGAAGACCACAGTTCTCTCCATCCTGGCTGCTGCCGGGCTTGCTACCGCCGGCCCCCTTGAAGCCCGTGCCAGTGGAGTCCAGGGATTTGATATCTCAAGCTATCAGGGAACCGTTGACTTCGCCGGGGCCTATGGATCTGGTGCTCGTTTCGTCATGATCAAGGTTCGTTTAGGAAACTGGCCCTTCTACCCTAGTACTAGTGACTATCACTAACTTAGCCAGGCGACTGAGGGAACCACCTACATCGACAGCACCTTCTCTAGTCACTATACAGGTGCGACCAATGCCGGGCTCATCCGTGGTGGCTATCACTTTGCCCACCCTGATTCCAGCTCTGGAGCTACACAAGCAGAGTATTTCCTGGCCCATGGAGGTGGGTGGTCGAATGATGGCATCACCCTACCCGGTATGCTTGATATCGAATACAACCCATCCGGCGCAACCTGCTACGGCCTCAGCGCGAAAGCGATGGTTGCCTGGGTCAAAGATTTTGGTGAGACCTATAAGAGCAAAACAGGTCGCTATCCTATGATTTATACTACTGCCGACTGGTGGAACACCTGTACTGGAGGCAGCAGTGCGTTTAGCGAGGACTACCCTCTTGTCCTGGCGCGCTACAGTAGCTCTGTCGGCACAATCCCCGGCGGCTGGCCTTACCAGAGCTTCTGGCAAAATGCCGATTCCTACAGCTACGGTGGCGACTCAGAAATCTGGAATGGCAGTGAAGACTCGCTGAAGACTTTTGCGAAGGGCTAAGTGCGAGAATTTTTAGAGGGAAGCCATCCTTTCGAGGTGAAAGGGGTCTTATCTCATCCACTTCGTTTGTGTATGCCTCACCTAGATCGACAGCAGAAATGATATGATATCTGATCAGTAACTATCTTGACGCATATACCGGTTTGTCTTTCATTCTGGATCTGTACCCGGCTTTCTCCCTCTCGTCAATATCTAAAGAAAATGACCTTGTAGCTTGGGAGAATGGAGTAGTCTTCCGTTTGGCATTCATTGAATGTCTAGGTATGAGAAAAATGATCCTCAAGAATGGTTTAAATCCCCGACTCTTCTTATTGCTCATATTGTGCTGTAGTTTTACCTGGCTGGCTCTGGTTATTTGTGATCATGATCATGAAACAAATCCACCAACCACAAACGGCCCATGAAAATTGGCTCTCCACCCATCTGGAGATAAGCGTCAGTATATACAGACAACGGTTGTCGCCCAAAATCCGGATTTGCAGAGAAATCGATTATGCACGCCAGTCTGATTCGGACAACTTCCTACGTAATAGGGTGCGTGGGTACGGTTGCTTTGCGGGGAGAGGGTAATCCGGGCACGGGTCGGACCATCTCCGATACGGATGGGGTCAAAGAATGATCAAATAGTGAATTCTGAACGAGTTTCTTGGCCCCTCTCATGTTCCCCATCCCAGCTTATTGTCTGGCTTGGCACTTCCTTCACTCAATCTGAATGATCATGGAAACATCATCTTCAATCTTGGCAGGGGAGCCCAGATCTAATTCATCAATCTACCGACGTTTGTATACTCAACCCCTTTCTTCCACAAGCTGCTTGCTGATATGAGACTGTAGCTGAGTCTCCATACGCATGTTACATCCCTGGTGGATTTTCACCTTCAAGATGCATAAAGCTTCAGGGAAAACAGATGAGCTATGCGATCTTTCTATTTTCCGGTTTTGCGATTCTATTTTTTGGGTACGACACCGCCGTTATGAGCCAGGTCAACAATAATCAGAATTACATGGAGCAAATGGGGGTCGGTGGTGGCAGTGATAGAGACGCTGCAGCGATTGGTGGGCTAGTTAGTCTATGGTTTGGAGGCTTTGCAATCGGTATACTCCCCTGGGTTGTAGGGCGGCACTCTTCTTGGCTAACAGCTTGGGGTGCAGGTGCTTTAATTGTTGGTAATATCGCCGATTCTATTGGCAGATTGAAGGTCATTCAATTTGGGTGCCTTTGGGGAATTTAGGAGCAGCCTTACTTGCCTCTGCACAGAATATGGCTTGGTTTGCCTTTGCAAGAGTTATAAGCGGAATCGGTTGTGGCCATTTGAACACCCTGGTCCCTGTATGGACGTCAGAATTAGCAGACCCTCATCTGAGAGGGGCGTTTGTTGCTGTACAATTTACCCTCGCAATGGTTGGTTCTACAACGTAAGTAGAATTCTTCAGGACCGAAGGTATATAATCTGGTGCAGGGCTTTTTCTAATTTGTCGCCTTCTTTCTCACTAGAGCATATTGGATGGAGTTTGGTTGTCTCAAAACACAGTCTGCATCCTTTGCATGGCGCTTTCCTTTGGCGTTCCAGGTCCTTTTTCTCATTTTCATATTAATGGCTGCGCCGTTTTACCCCGAATCTCCCCGTCACCTAGCCAAGATTGGCGATCTGGACGGGGCGAGGTTTGTTTTGGAAAAATGCTGCATTGAGGCCAATGAGCAAGCTCTTGAAACAGAAATGAAGGAGATTGTTGCTGCCATTCGTGCAGAGGCAACCTCGACCTCGCACAAGTTCTACAGCATGCTGTTTGTCAAAGACAAGCTGCAAACTCGTCGACGAGTGGTCCTTGGATCAGGGGTACAGGTAATGCAGAAACTGACCGGTATTGACTTTATCGCAGTCTATGCGCCGAATATGTTCGCTTTGTCTGGATTCAAGGGCGATAAACCGGCACTCCTAGCTGGTGGAAACTGGTTTGGTTATATCGCGAGCTTGGCACTTTCTATCTACCTTTGTGACAAGGTCGGTAGACGAAAATTGATGTTCACAGGATGTTTGTCGATGGGGATTGTATTAATTGTCGGTGGTATACTTTCCCATGAGACAATATCCTACTCCGATAGCAACCCAGAATTGGCAACCAAGTACGGTTCTGGCGTTGCAGCCATTCTATACATTTACACATTCATCTACGGTAGCACATGGCTAACAACGTGGTACGCACTATGGAATAGTCCTTGTACTACGGTGATTACAGAATTTCAACTAATGTTTTTGGAACAGTTGGGTCTATCCCACCGAAGTTTTCCCCTTAGCAAGCCGGAGTAAAGGTACAGCACTAGCTACATTCGCGTTTTCAATCGCTGGCGGCACCATTAATATGATTATTCCGTACCTCATTGAGGCAATTGGCTTCTGGGTGTTTGTGCTTTTTGCTTTGATAAACTTGTCTCTCCTTATACCGATTTATTTATTCTACGTCGGTCAGTGCCTACAAAGGTCCAATATTGGCTGTTATACTTTTATTCTCTTGTCGCTGATACATCACAGAAACTGCGAACCGCCATCTCGAGCAATTGGATGTCCTTTTCTCAAGTGACAGCTGCTTAGCATGGAGGGCAGAAAAATACTTTGCGGAGAATATGATAGGACAAGGAGGAATTCTGGAAGAAGACCAACAGAAAGCCTCTGTCGAACAGGTTGAGTGAAAATGTGAATCTAAGTGGTTAACCAAGCCTTTGTGGAGGAAACTGTTGCTGTATTGATTCACATACTGAGTGCGACTTGTTTGACCAAAATAAGGGCCAAGACTGCTTAATGGCAAGAGACCGCGGACGTGGAGGCTGTGAAGTCCATGGTCCAAAGAAGTGTCCTTTTTGTTGGAGGGGCCGATGCGACTACTTTGGTGTTAAAAAAAACGAAGTTCACAAGCAGTTTGGAGGAGATTAGCCTCCAACGAACTGTGCCTACTAGACGTGCCCGATAATTGCAAGACGACGGATGAATATTGAAAGGAAAAAATTTTGATTTCAGAACTATAATTACAATATCGTAAAACAAGATCCGCTGTGCAGAGAGGAAATGACATTCAAAACAGGATGAAATGGGGCGCTTCATCTAGTTCACGCCTAGGTTTGCCGAGGCCGACCCGTTCTGACTTCCTTTTCCAGAGCATCTAGTGCCTGGGAATACTTATGTTCAAGTACCTTCAGACTATCCGATTTGATTTGAACACGATCAATGCTAGTAGTTCGGGTGATGGGACCATTGACATCCGCGGCAATTTCATTAGAGAACCACCGCCCTTCCCGGTGAGCGACCAAAGTCCAGGCAGAGCCGTTGCGGCCAGCGCGAGCAGTACGTCCAACTCGATGCACGTAAGTGGTAACACTAGGTGGGATATCATAATTCACAACATGAGTCAAGGAATGGAGATCCAGACCGCGCGAGGCACGATCCGTGGCCACAATCACAGAGATGCGTCCTCGCCGGTAGGCACTCAATGTCTTGCGAGAGGTTGAAGATTTGTTAGACTTGATGATAGTTCCAACACGATTCGCAAGTTGCGGGTGAAGAATCGAGATAAGTCTAGAAAGTCTTGATGCAGACTCCGAAGACTTCGTGAAGATTAGGACGGTCTCTCGTGAGGGTCCATTTCGAGATACCAATTCTGGGGATTTGCTTTCAGATTCCGAGAGTTCATCCGAAGACGACTCACTGGAGGAATTGGTGCTCGAGTCGGATTCGGAGTCGGAGTCGGAGCTGGAATCTGAGTCTGAGTCCGAGTCTGACCCCGATGAGGAAGTATCATCATCTGATGATTCATCGGAGCTGGTTTCATCATCGCTGGTATTGGTCGAGTCAACTATTCTTGCAGAATTTGTACAACTATCGACATCAACCTTAATATGTGAGAGAAGAAGGCGCAGTAGATAGAGAGGCTTCTGAGCACCATCACCAACAGTGACAATGTGCTCCTGTAAAGTAGGTGGAAGGGTAAAGTGGGTGTCATGCTGAGTAGTAGACGGGTCATCGGATTCCACGGCCTTTTCGGACCCAATTATGACCATCTTGGGGTTTGCAAGCTGCAATGAATTGAGTTTCGTGATGTCCTGTGTCATGGTCGCACTTAGAATGACTTTTCGAGGAGGATGAGTATCAATTGCGAGCCCGAGATCGGACAAAAGTTTGCCTGCAGGACCAAACGTCTCCGGTGCACGGCGTGCGTTGAGAGAGCCAATGACCACATCCACCCACTCCTGGAAACTCTCATTCAATAGACGATCTGCTTCGTCAATGACAAGCCATTCGAGATGCTTGAGAGTGAAGCCTTTGGTATAGCGGATATGGTCTACCAAACGGCCAGGAGTACAGATAAGAATATCGATATTCGGCTCAGCTTGTTGGATATAGCCCGGAAGAAAGCCGGTCGATTCCGTTGCTTCTGCCACACAGTCCTCAAGATTTAAGTCCATCCAATCGTTTTGTTGTAAGCCCGTTTTTTGTCTTTCGTCCACAGTAGCAGGATTATAAACTTGATCCACTCGCATCAAGAGCTTTTGCTCCTCTTTAATAGCCACATTTCCAACCGCACTGCCAATGTGGAGACGGGACCCAGAAGCACAGAGTTCGCATGCCTCTCGTGCCTGTTTCACCAACTCTCTTGTGGGAACGACAATCAGACCTCGAAGCCTTGACGCAGGCCGAGAAGCCAAAGATGTGACAAGTGGCAGCACATATGACAGTGTCTTACCAGATCCTGTGGCAGCACTGACACACAAGTCGCCGGGGTGATTGCTGGTGCCGTCAAGAAGTAGAGGAATGACGGTCGACTGAACGGCAAATGCTTCATGGTAATTGTTCTGCGCCAGAATCCGTAGAAGATCAGGTTTAATTCCTAGATCCGAAAACCTCGCCCGTTCTTTTGCCGATGTTCGTAAAGGATTTGCAAGCCACGGGGGTAGAGATGAATAGGCGGGGGCTTCGAATATCTCAGGTGGATTTTCGGGCTGTGGTAGCGGTTCAAGGCCTTTCGCAATTACAGGCTCGGGAATATTCTGATTTGACTGTTCGACAACCTCGGGTATATTTTTCTTCGATTTGGCAGTCGCTGCAGTTTTCGTCCGCTCAAACTTAGAAAGAATTCCGGCATGCTTAGCTTTCGACGGCTTTCGGTCTTCCCGCGTCGAAGAAACTTCTTCCATGCTTTGACCATCTTCAGAATCATGCCCTTCGGCCTTAGAATTTTCCTTCGCAATCTTCCCCGTCCCGGACGCACGAAGGTTTGTAGGCGGTGCGGTTTTTGCCTCGCTGTCTGACAAGACTTTTTCTTTTCGGCGCCCTACCCCAGCATCATCACTCTGAAACGTGTCCGTTGTTTTCTTTCGTTTCTTTGCGCTTCCATCATCTGTAGCCGATGTACCCATCAGACTTTCACGGTTCTTGTGCTTTTTCATCGGAGTCGAAGTGGTCGTATGGTTGCCGTCTCCATCTCGCTTTCGTTTATGGGGTTTTGAGGTTTCAACTTTGGAAGACATTTTCTTCAAATACTGGAGATTAGCTTCAAAGTCACAGGCTAGGGGCGGGCGCTGGAGTCCGCAGAGCCGATGCGTTCAGGAAGATGTTGTCGCGCGGAGCAATTTAGTTTTTTATGGTATTATGCCGGCAGTATACTTCTTAATCCACCGCCTTTTCACACCGCTCAGTGTTATCGGACACATGCACGCGCATCTGCGCAAACACGACGAGACTTGAGTTGACATGGCAATTTGACGTCGCACCTGTCTCATACAGCAGAGAGAGCTGTTCACCATGGGCAGGATCCTTGATACAGGGGCTAAATTCTTATTCCCTCGAATGCGTCTGCTCGAGAGCCAGAGTCACCATGCCTTATAACATTGCGTATGTGTCCGAGGTGATGGATAAGGAGACTGTGGACGACCACCCAAATAACTAACATGGGTATTTTCCAAACAGGATGGTCAGTGACTTCTTTTTCCCACAATCTGGTGAGTTTCAAATAAGCAATATTGACAATAACCGTTACTAATTCACTAAGGGGGAATCGAGAGTCACATCTATCAACTGTCCTCTGTACGCCACTGTCTTCGTATCCTACTTTGCCTGCGCCCTTTCTTATACGTATTGATCCTTTTTGTCAGAAACTTATCGACCGAGGACATAAAGTCATCATTATCACGCATGCATACAAAGGCCGGACAGGAGTTCGCTATCTTACCAATGGTCTCAAGATCTACCACGTCCCTTTCTTTGTGATTTATCGGGAGACGACGTTCCCTACTGTCTTTTCATTCTTTCCCATATTCCGGAATATTGTGATTCGCGAAAAGATTGAAATTGTGCATGGTCATGCTAGTCTTAGTAGCTTTTGTGGAGAAGCTATTCTTCATGCGCGAACCATGGGCCTACGTACTGTCTTCACAGACCACTCCCTATTTGGATTTGCTGATGCAGCTTCTATTTTAACCAACAAACTTCTAAAGTTTACGTTGAGCGATGTTGATCATGCAATATGTGTCAGCCACACTTGGTACGTGATATCTTCTGCGGCCTCAATCACCCCAACTCACGGATTACAGCAAAGAGAACACTGTCCTCCGAGCATCGCTTGATCCCTTGATGGTATCGGTAATCCCCAATGCTGTGGTTGCCGAGAACTTCTGTCCATTATCATATACGCCGCGTGCCTCGGATTCAATCTCAAACTCGCCAGCATATCCTCGACCCTCCCCCCCCACCGATTGGACCTGACGATACAATTACAATTGTGGTGATTTCGCGCCTTTTTTATAACAAAGGCACGGATCTCCTCATTGCAGCCATCCCACGAATTCTAGCTCTAAATCCCAATACGCGCTTTATTATTGCCGGTTCCGGACCCAAAGCTATCGATCTAGAGCAAATGCTCGAACGCAATGTGCTACAAGACAAAGTGGAAATGCTCGGCTCTGTTCGACACGAAGAGGTTCGGGATGTTATGGTTCGTGGCCATATCTACCTCCACCCTAGTCTGACGGAAGCCTTCGGCACTGTCATCGTTGAAGCCGCGAGCTGCGGATTATACGTGGTTTGTACTCGAGTAGGAGGTATTCCGGAGGTTTTGCCTCAACATATGACCACCTTTGCTAAACCAGAGGAGGACGACCTGGTTGTTGCTACCAGCAAAGCGATTGCGGCCCTCCGTTCCAATAAGGTGCGAACGGACCGGTTTCACGATCAAGTGAAGATGATGTATTCGTGGCGGGATGTGGCAGAACGCACTGAGCGTGTATACAAAGGTATCACGGGTGATATCAGTCCTGAGGAATTCTATGGTTACTATCCTGGCCAAGGCTGGGAAGCTAGTGGGGATCGTGTGCGCAGTTTTGCACTCATCGACCGCTTGAAGCGTTACTATGGCTGTGGCGTATGGGCTGGCAAGCTCTTCTGTCTCTGCGTTGTCATTGACTCTTTGATCTACGTCTTCCTTGAGATGTGGTTTCCCCGTGTCAACATCGATATCGCACGAAGCTGGCCGAAAAAACAATCTGAGGAGAAACCTCGTATTTCCGCCAATCCTCGCGCGATTCGGTGAAACCTTGACATATCATTTCAATGAATAATTTTATTCAACAATATAGCCGTTATTTTCAAGCTGTACATAGAAAGATCCCTGATCATTAATCCTTATTATACCGATATCCTTTTTCTGTAACTAATTGTTGAAATTCCTCTGAGTATTGCCAGTCTCTTCAATTAATGCTCCGAGGATGGACTAGTCTTGAGTCTGTTGATGGTGGTGTTAGTACGTGAAATATTTGCAGTAGCACGGCCCAATGTGGCCTTCAACCACTTTGATCTCAAGAGCTGGAGCTAGTTCGAAGTAAAATCAATATATTAATACCTCGTACATACAATTCGGCACCCTTGAGAATGAAATCAGCAGCTGCGATAGGGGAAGTTACAACATATGCCGGACTTCGAGGAATCATATGCGGGGTTGCGGGGCTTTTCCGTTGCCCAAGCCGCCTTTTCCCGACAAAGGTATTTCAACAAAGAGCACGATATCAATATTCATAAATGATTTTGACTTTCTGTTCCGGGTTTCGCTTTATTGAACACACATGGAATGCTTTGAATATCTTTATTTAGACTTTGCAGTTTCCAAAAGAACTCTTATCCAGAATACGAATACGAGATCTATAAAAATGAGATACAAACCGAATCATCAATGCTTGTTTTTGACCTCATCCGGAGTTGCCTCGGTAAAATTAACGCCACATCTATGTCGATCAATTTCACTTTAGCCGAATATAGGGAATTTTCCGATCAGTAATGCAAATATCCGATTCAAGTAAAATCGGGAAATTGGCTCCATTAGGGTTGCAATTCCCTGAAAAATGACTACTGCGGGGGAATGCTACGGTAACTAAAGACTGCAAATAATATAGATAGCAATTTTGCACCAAAAGACGGGACAAGTCTGTCAATTGAAGTACTCATTTAGTTCATCATGATAGTTTTCAAGAACGCCATCTGCACGCTCTTTTTCTGCATATCACTAAGCAAAGCCGTTATATTTAAACCGCAAAATGAATTTCAAGCTCTTTCTGGAGAAAGCGCCTCTTTCCCAGTGGATCTTGGGCCGTGGTTCAACAACCGTGCTTTTGGCATGAGTCCAAATGAATCTAATTTCGATGGCGAAGGAAGTGAGTAGCCGTGTTGAGCTATATTAAATTATTCATATTGCCAATTACCTTTTTCCAGATTCGTATCCAGCAGAGCAAATACCTCCCGAAAGGTTCACCTATGGAGGATTCAACTATCGATTTTCAGGATACAACGCATCTGGATTCGACAATATGCTTGTCAATGGCCAAAAAATCGAAATTCCCCGATCAAAATACTTCAGCTTTCAGATGCTCGCAGCTTCTGAGTCTGGGATGGCTTCTGGCTCAGTCACCGCAGAATATGTTGACGGCAGCTCAACAACTGGGCCATTCTTAGTCCCAGCCTGGTGGAACTGGCCATATCCAGCTGGAGGTGACTTGATATTTTCTGGCTATCTGACAGAAAATGATACGAACTACAATCGATCCAATATTTTCCAGACTATTAATTGGCTGGACTCATCCAAAGAGCTCGTTTCGTTAACCTTTCCAGAAATTTCAACTGGCTCATCTACCTCACCCGGGGGAGCATCGATCAACACTCAGCTTCACATCTTCGCACTATCACTGCTACCAGTTATTGAGGATAGCTTATCGCCGGTCAGACTAGAGATACAGTATGCTCGCTCGACTCAGAAATGGATAGAGGGAACTGAGAAAGTTCAAATCATTGAGGCTGTCATTAACAACGTCGGGAATTCCTTCGTTATGCGAAATAACAAAGTTCGCGTCCATGTAGAATCCCCTGGCGTCATTACTGTGACTGAGGGGGTCATTCGACGACTATGTCCCGGCGATCAAGCTATAGTGGAAATTGGCGTCCAGAATCGCGAAGGTATCGAACCTGGAAGATCTGGTCCAGCATCCATTATAATCGAGGGAGATGATATCCCGACTACAAAGTACTCCTTCATTGCAAAATATGGAATTGGTCAATACGAGGCTACCTATGAGTCAATCTACAGCCATGAAGCACCAAGTTGGTACAATAATGCGAAGTATGGCATTTTCATCCACTGGGGAATCTACTCTGTCCCCGGTTGGGGCAATTCGGGATCCAAGGAGAATTATGCTGAATGGTAAGGCCGGATCAAAATTTATGAGGTGATCTCCTGACCGTAAAACCAATTAGGTACTGGTGGTGGCTGGGCCAAGGTCCAGATTACCCAACAGATGTCTACGATTACCATTTAGAAAAATACGGACCCAATTTGGTTTATGATGACTTTATCCAAAACTTCACAGTTGATGCGTGGGATCCGAAGGAATGGGTTGATTTATTCGCTGATGCTGGTGCCAATTATTTTGTTCAAGTCAGCAAGCATCATGAAGGATATGCCCTTTTTGATCTTCCAGAGAATGTGACAAAGAGAACTTCGGTTGCCCTGAATCCGCATCGGAATCTCGTCCAAGTGAGCTTCTCTCTATGACCAGCCCTTGGGGCCGCAAATTCACTGATTCGGCTAACATCATCGAGGAGTTATTTGACGCATCCAAAAAATATCAGCCACAACTTCATCGGGCTGTATATTATTCCCTGCCGGAATGGTTCAACCCCGATTATCAAAAATATGGCTTTTCATCTTGGCCTGGAGGTATCATCATACGAAGGAGATAATTTTAGCATGAGCAAGGGGCTGATTGAACCATCAGGAAATGCGACGAATCCATTCACAAATGAAACTTTACCATATACTGGATATGTCCCCGTGAATGACTATATTATTGACAAGATCTTGCCAGAAATGAATACGCTAGCGGATATGGGTACTGAGATCATGTGGTGCGATATCGGCGGCCCAAATCGCACTGTTGAATTCGCATCGGAGTGGTTCAATCGCGCAGCCCAGGAAAACAAACAAGTGTTGATGAACGCCCGTTGCGGCCTCCCGGGAGATTTCGATACTCCAGAATATGCGCGATATGACGGAGTGCAAGTTCGAAAATGGGAAAGCAGCCTTGGAATGGATCCTTACAGTTACGGATACAATCGAGCTACTCCACTGGCCAGCTATATGAACGCCAGCGACATTGTCACTGGCCTCATAGATATCGTCAGTAAAAATGGAAACTTCCTGCTAGACGTTGGACCCACTGCGGACGGGACAATTATAGACGTCGAGCAACAGCATCTCCGTCAAGCTGGCTCATGGATCAAAAGTCACGCGGAATCAATTTTCAACACGACCTACTGGTTTGTAACTCCCGAAGAGGGAGACGAAATTCGGTTTACTATGTCGCAAGATGCATTTTACATCCACACTCTTTCAAAACCAAACGCTACGCTTACCCTCTCCAGTCCGATTCCTTGGGTGGAAGGAGATCAAATTACGGTCGTTGGGGGTAAGATGGCCAGGGCAGTAGTACCAAGCATGAAGTCCCAAAATGGATCCATTGTATTATCTGTGAGCGCAGAGATTGCGGCTGCTGATCATTTTGCCTGGGTCTTTAAAATCTCATATTAACTTTCAAGGCTAAAAAGAGCTCTTCGAGGAAGATGGATCTATTTCTTTCTGAGCAAAAGACGTCATAGTCATTTAGACGAGTTCTATCTTGGACTAATCACAAGAGTCTTGCGATATCAAGCCATGGAATGGATATGATTAATTTTGAATCAACACCGTCTTGCTATAAAGTGTCATCCTTTCATAGAAGAGTTGAAGCAAAAGATTCAGAATGGGGCAATTTTAAATTAAAATGAGTGGCTCAAAAGGCAACTATCAACTTCGTCAATCTCCCATGTGTGCTACATCAGGCTTTTGGAGTGACCTGCTTTGATTTGAATTTGGTAATCAGAGTAAATGAATATCCACATAAGAATACGAATTGAACCTAGCTATTCTATGTGCAGGTACTCGCCATTATTTAGGCTGGAGGAATTTGCTGTTGATCCAGTGGCCATTTGGAGATAACAGTTGCGTCACCAGTCAGAGTAAATGACAGCACAGCCGATCGCTCATTATTCAAAGCGAGCTCGTATTTTCCAGGGTAGAGAACGCGGTTGCCTTGCAAGTCAGTGCGGGCGACATTGTCCAAAGACACAGGAATGATCATTTTTTGAGAAGTATTCGGCTTGACTGACCCTATACGGTCGTATCCAACAAGCCATTTGTTGGGGAGCGGCTTTGGTCCTGCAGAGGTGTTGATGAAGAGCATAGCCGTGTAGTCGGAAGTAGTTTTACCGGTGTTGGTAACAGTGACAGTATAGTTCAGAAAAGGGAGTTGCTCAATCACATTATACCCGGTGTGAGAACGCGAGAGAAGGTTTGAAATATCGAAAGATGCACCATTACTGGCATCTTTCGAGTTAGCAGGAGATATGTCAAAGGTGGTATAAAACAGCCCATGGCCGAACTCATAGACTGGCTTCTCCGTGTACCATATATATGTCTGGCCTGGATTGGACCCAGATGGGCGGAGACTCATATCGGTGGCTGGGAATTGTAACGCGTATTCGGCCGGATATTGGGTCACAGGCAGTCGCCCAGCCGGTGCACGCTTGCCCGTAATGATGTCTGAAAGGGCTGCTCCGCCCGATTGACCAGGATAGCCGCCCCAAATAAGAGCATTCACTTTCTTATTTTCCTTTAGTTCCGAGGAGTCCACTTGGCCGCCGCCCATTTGGAGCACAATTAAGGGTTTTCCAAGATTGCTCAGTTGTTTAATTAGTTGAAGCTGATTCCCGGGCCAAGTAATGTTCTGCCGATCCATCCCCTCGGCTTCAATGGTGTTATCAATTCCACCCGCGAAGATAATCACATCGGACTTTTTCGCAGCAGAAATGGCATCTGAAAAGAGCTCAGTGCTATCAGAAGAAATGTTCGTACCGAGAGCATAGTTTACAGTGAGGCCCGATTCCTTGAGAGCCGTCCAAGGACTGGTGAGGTAAGGCGCAGCTCCATAATAGTTTCCTTGCATCTGCTCTGTAGCATTAGCCCAAGGGCCGACCAATGCGACCTTGTTGAGCTTCTTCGATAATGGGAGGGTTCCGTCGTTTTTCAATAGAACAATACCCTCCACCGCTGCCTCATAGGATATATTCCAGGCGTCAGTGACGAGAACGTCTGACCAGGTCAAGTCGCGATACTGGCTATCATTTCCATCAAAATATCCAAGGCGAACAAGATTCGAATAAAGTCGAATGACTCCACGCTCAATCTCAGTCCGAGAAATCTCTCCCTGGAAAAAGGATTCGTTCAAATGGTATTGGTATGAAGTTCCACAGTCAATGTCTGTGCCGGCTCGCATGGAATCCGCTGACGCACCAGTGATGTTGGCAGCATATTCGTGTGGGTTCCAGACGTTATAAACCGCATCGCAATCGGAGGAGACATATCCATCTTCAACAAATCCCCACTCATCCCTTAGCAAAGTTTGCAAAAGGAAGGAATTTGCAGAGCTTGGTACTCCATTGACTGAGTTGTACGAAGACATGACACTGTGAACTCGAGCATCTCGAACAGCAGTCAGGAACTGTGGGGTGAAATACTCTGCTAAGTCTTGCTGGGTAATGTTCATATCATTTCCCAGGCGGGAGTGGCCATTCCAATTTTCAATATCATAGCCGGCATAGTGCTTCGCAGTGGCAACTAATTTCAGAGCCTCGGGATCAACTCCGCCTTGGATACCAGTGATGTACTCATATGCATAGCTCGAGCAGAGGCAGTAAGCATCCTCTCCGGGGGTCTCTTGACCGCGGCCCCAAACTGGATGGCGAAAAGAGTTGATGTTTGGCGCATAGACATCTAATCCATATCTTCCTGCGTTGTTGAATGCACGGCCTTGTGTCGAAATTATAGCGCCGATTTGGTTGATCAATGTACGGTTGAGAGCAGCCATGGTGAGAATTGGTGAAGGAAAGGATGTCGACCAGCTATAATCGCCCGAATCGGAGAAATTTGCGCGATCGAGGCCATGCAGGGCCTCGCTCCATACCTGGTATGGCGGAAGCCCAAGGCGGGGAATTTCTGGGATGTCATTTCCAGTGCTTTTTACCAATTCTTCCAATGTGAATAAAGATACAAGAGCTGCAGCCCGGTCATGCGGGCGTGCGGAGGAGTCGCAGACCAGATTTTTGCTAAGGGGTCCGCTGCTGCAATCTGGGAACCATAAATCGATTGTGGCAAGTGTTTGTTCATCGAGATTTGGCTGGGGCTCCGTTGAGTAGTCCACATAGCTTGTATTTGCTTGAGCAAATGTGGTCGGAGCTAGAGCTGCAAGCACCGCAAGCAATGCAAAAGGCGGCATTTTTGAGGATTGGGGTTGGGACAATTGATTGGCCTTCCTGCCAACGGAACTTTTATGTTGGCATTACAGAGATATTTATACCTACAACACCTCTAGCCGGATGCCGTGTTCCGTCCAACGCTAGCTGCAGAGCATTGGTGCGCACCGGCTATACACAATTGCCAAAACATCAATGGCTTCTCCACATTTTTCCCCGATTCGGTAGTTTTTGTAGTTGATCCTGCATGTTTTTCGGAGGTCTATTGCGGGGATTTTCATGACTACTATGATGTGTGGGGGCTTAAGCTAAGACATGGTATGATTTAGGATTCAGCCTGAATACATCCATGAAAAGCTTAAGGAGGAAATGGAGAATTTGTTATGCGTCATAGTGTTACTTGCGGATCCTGCAAAGTTGGGCGGGGATGGCTCTCCGCCCAATGTTTTCCCGACTCCAACGGCATTCTGAAGCTTGATCTGCACTGTTACACAGGTTCAGGCTAAATAAGGCACTTTTTTTCAATCCTCCACTCATGATTACTCATCCCTCATTGCGAAATCTCGCAACTGTTATACTTTGTACTTTTATCCTTCTCAATCTCTCTTCACACCTCACAGGAAACCAGCCCTACGCTCATCACTTCCATATTTGGATCTATTCCAAGCAGCTCCTGGAATATGGATGCGTTTGGCGGGCATCCTATACTTTCATGCTATCGACTGATTCAGGCCCCCTTCTCGAGAAACAAGTGATTTGGCTCAAACTCTCAATGGCATTCATAATATAAAAGGGAAGATGTGAACAGAAACCCATATCAGGATATCATCAAATACACAGCGGATGCCATCAAACAAACAACCAAGGCAGTCAATATCGAGGCCCCTACTCTATCTGCGGTAGTAATTTTGGAATAGCGAATTTCCGACTCTGTTTCATCAGAGCTGGTTCCTGCCGCGCTATTACCTTCACTTGTTCCACCAGTGGTTGATGTCAAAGGTCCGCTTATTTTCTCGGCTAAAAGACCCTGCAGAGCTTCAAGAACACCCATCTGCTGCCCGACTCCGGTAGTTCCATCGTAGCTTCCACTTGACCATCGAAACCCACAGTAAGTTCCCGTATCTCCTCCCTGGCATTGATCAACGGCGGCCTGGGCGGTAGCCCGCATCTTTGTCATGATCGTATCATAGGTATATGGTGCAAGCTGGGTAACATCCGCGAGCCAACGAGATAAGTATGCCTTGAATGAGAGCTGGTCTGTATCGCAGCTACCACTTAACTCGCAAGGTGGTTCGTACATAACATTCGTGCTAGACGCGTTTGTAGAGTAAAAATGCTCGGTTCTTGCAAGGAGTCCGTTCAAACGTGTTTTCCATGCTGCTGCTGATGAGTTTGAGGATGAGTTTGAAGAGGAAGTCTAGGACGTGACTAATTAGTTGATAAAACGGAGGGACTTTTTGAATACAAACTCACGTAGTTATACATCACAGAAGCACCGTGAAGGTAAATTCCTGCAGTATATGACCACCGCGTCCGATCATAGGAAGAGCAGTTCGACTGAACAGTGGTTCCATCATAGACTTGAAAGTCTGATGTAATCAGGCCATTTCCCTTCGACCAATTCCAAGCTTTATTTGCCCAGTCGGCGTATGTTGTATTGCCCGTATATCGTGCCAGTCGAGCAGCAATATCGAAAAAGCAGCCGTTCGCAATGGTATTTTTATAGTCGTATCCAGAATTCCAGGTATATATCTGCCATCGCATCCCGCCAGAACAGCTTGAGGTGTCCCATCGATTAGCCTGCTCATTAAAAACGGCTTGCACCATTGCTAGCCATCCTGGATCCGAAGATGGATTGGTGAAGTTCCTCTCCGTCGCTGCCATGGCAGTCAATGCCCAGAAACACTGGTCATCGTTACCCTCAGTGTATGTTTGGTTGGAAGGCATGAAGTCTCCTTTGCTCCCCGCTTGATGTACAATCGCCTCACGAGTGATTTTATTGTAGGTGGTGTCTCCCGTGAACGCCCAGTAGTTGACAAGAGCCCCAAAAAATGCACCAGCTTCCCACCAGTAGTATGGATCTGGAAGATTTCCGGCCACATCTCCTGTATTGTTGCCGGTGTAAAAGGTAACGAGGTCATATGCTAGCGTGCTAGCGGCCGACTTAATCGAGTCTGCTGAAGGTAAGTGGAAATTTCTCTTCTGGAAAGGGGCAGCGTCGCAAAGTACTCACCAGAACTGTCTATATCCACAGAAATTCCTGTTGCTGAGACTCCAAGATTTGGCCATGACACCCCGAGGGAGAGCAGAGCCCATCTGTGGAAGTGTAACCCACGATAAATCATGGGAGTTGTGAAGTGAAAGATCCAGTAAGTGTGCTTTATCCAAAGAATATTTACTAAATTCCTCGATTGTCAATGCTCCAAGAGTCATCAACTTGTTTTCGAAAAGCCCATAAAATTATTTCGAAGGAAAAAAGTTAGAATAATGGAAAGAAAAAGGGTTATCTTCATTTTCCATACATGCCGTCCGGCTCCGCATAGTAAAAAATAGAACATAAGAATAGAATGTCGGCATGCTTTGCTCGAGCATCTACCCACATGGAACATTGAGAAGGTTCCTTTGAGATCCATTACACTTCTTGGCGTTGAAGAAGTCAATGGCGCGGCGCGAAGGGCCAGCGGATTTTTTGCAGACAAAGATTGCTTGGCAGGAATAGCTGCTTCGGACTGGTTTCCCGAGCCACTGCCGAGACCTAGCAACACGTACCTACCCCCTGAAACAAATGATAAATACAAGGCCCGCCGCCTCTTCCGATGGGCAAATTTGAATAGCTCTGACTTGGCCGAGTCTTGGCAACAAGCGGCGGAGGCTGTGGACGCGTATGTGTACCGCTAGTCCCGCTGGCCGCGTTGTGCCAAGGCCAGGCCCCAAGATTCGATGTCAATATGAAGAAGTTCAATCGCTTTGTGGCCTACTGGGGAAATTTTAGGTCTTGTCATTCACTCCAGGTCCAGTGGAATGTACCGAACCCATAATCTAGAATCGCAGATCATCACCTAATTGCCGACATAAGCTGGAGAAAGATCTGCGGAGCATTGATCTGATTGTAAGCGATTCCGAGATAAATCATGTAGAGCGCCACCTGTACAATTCAGGCGTTTGGGAATAAACAATGGCCAAAAAATCCCATTATATAATATTCACCTTCGAAAACAAGGGAAAAGAGCCATGACAGGTCCTTTTGTGCAGATATAACTAAAATACGAATATGTCAATAAAATATTTCGACATGGCTATTTACACGACGAGGTCACAAATCAGTATCGGTACCCATAATGTCTGCATTTGGCATCTGAGACTGCATGCTTCGGCCCCTGCCTTTCTTCTGCGCTCAAAAATTGCCAAAGATTTGTCTGGGTGTCCGACCACCCTCATTTGGTATGTCCAAAGATGCTCCAGCATTTACCAGGACTTGAATTCACTCATTACGTGCTACTTTCGCCTTGTTTCCATTTCAAATCCCCAGCATTCGCCCTCTTCGAGACCTGTTCGCATATCTTTCTTTTACAATTTGTCCTTGAATCAACTCATGAAGAGCAGTACTCCCTTGAGGATCACTCTTGATGACATCAGCACCCCAATTAATGAGATGCTTATTAGCATCAATCTGTTCCACAGACTTTACTAGATAATGTAGTGGAGTGCGGCCATCGTTCCATTTTGAACGCGAGCACCTCAGCAGGGTTCGTTGCATGTAAATTTACCGAGGTTTAGCCCTGATAGACAAAAAATAATTGACCGGATTGAAGCAAGACGTAGACTGCTACTCAATTAACATAGCAATCCGCTTCAGCCCCTCCTTCAAAACGTTGAGCGGGTGCGAAAAAACAAGCCGAAACCATGTCGCTTCTTCTGCAGCATAATATTCCCCAGCCGCGATGTAGATTTTCTCCCTTCGAAGCCTTACAAGGATTTCCTCTCTCATGGCATCTTTTACCACGGCCCCTAAGTAAACTTTAATGAAGAATGCGGCGTTGCACTCAAGATAAGGGATTTTATGGGATCTTAGCCACTTTGCAGGCAAAATGATAGCTTTCAGCCAAACGTGTCCGATTGACTGCAATATAATTTTTTATGAAGCTGTCATCTCGAACGAGAGATGAGAATTGATGAAGCTCACCATATTCACATGCATTGGTGTCCAAAACAGTCTTAGCCGATGTTCAGTAGGGGAGTTGCTGTTTTGTCACATTCTCGGCAAGGCCGAGATTCACAATCCCGTTGGGTTCGATGTCAGAGACCATTGGCCACTCAATACAGCGAAGAAAGATGGATTCTGTGCGGTGAGGCCTTTGCCTCAATCAGAAATCTCGCCCTGCATGGCCATTGGTGGGCTTCGGAATCTAGCCGATTGCAAACTTCAAGTGGATCGGAAACTCGCGTTCCTATGTACCCCTCAGCGTCTCGAAGATGTAATCTAGAAGTTTGTTAAAATAAACGTTCGCAGAAGGCGCAAGGCTATCGCGGGTCAAACGGTAAATCGGAAAAAGGAGCGGATAATCATCTACAGAGGCATTACGAATATCGTTTACGCGATGTCTTCTTGTATTGCACCAATTGCCAACCGATATTACCTTTCGGGTCAGATAAATGGCAATAGTGACCATGCAAAGTCAAACTTGAGTAACTCTTGCAAAGAATCCAGTCCGATAGCTATTCAAATACCTCAATAATAAAAAAAAAAATTGGATGGGAATCCGGTGGCCACGTATCGTCAATTTAGTTCATCTGCGGTGATGCCCGACAGTTTTCTGGCAAAAGGCCCTTTTGAAACCCATTGCAAAACCATGCCAGAGTCAACTGCTCCCTTTTTATTAGTATATCGACTAGCCCTCTTAGCTCCCTAGACCTCTCGCTAGACTAGCTATTACTAGACTAGGAAGGAGATATCTTCTACGTGTTACAGACCCTACCCCTAAGGTGCTAAATATGGACACGCCTGAACTAATCAGTTCAGCAACAAGGCGGTCAGGTTAGATTCTACTATAAGTCTATTGTTAGAGAATAACTACTTGTACAGGGTAGAAAGCCTGTCGACTAGGTAGGAAGATAGACGTTAAGTAAGGAAAGCAAAACACTGTTTCTTGCTATCATGGCTCTCTCTATAATCCTCAATTTATGTACAAGCTTCAACACTTTTCTTACATAACTAAGCAAAGACGATAGATCACATTATAACATGCGGTCTAACGTAGCCCCTATGTGACAGAGGTAAGCAAAGGCTATAAAGAAGAGGGGTTCACGAATCCCTAATAGAAGGGCACCGAACCCTTAGGGTCTTGTAGGTCGTATATCTATGTTAGGGAGAAATAGGTCTGTTATAACGAAGCCTGACCGATAAGGTGTCGAACTGACACCTGAGGCGTGAAGTTGGGAATAGCTTCATGTTGCAATATTATGACATAGAATCAATATACGACCGTACGAAATTAGGTAAAAAACGTATCCTAATATTCGATAGTCACGGTTCGCATCTTATATTCGAATTCCTATACCTTTATAAAGAGAACGATATCCTACTAATAGGATTCCTACTATATATAATATATCTTTGCTAGCCGCTAGACGGTAAGCTGTTTCTAAGCTATAAGCAATACTTCCGCTTAGCGAATAACGACCACGTGTTTTAGGGTAGAAGCCCTATCGGATAATCAGAGTTCCTTCGAATAATTGGTAATATTTGGAATAGAGCGTTTAGCTAGCGAATTATTCGTAAATCGTTTAAAGATCGAGGGATCTATCTAGTCGATAGTAGAAAGGTTATTAATAGCCTTCCTATCCAAGATTACCTAGATCTTATAGCGCTAGATCTACAACCGCTTTATTCAACACCTTCGCTGCTACTATAAACCACTATATCTTCTTCTAGTATCGACAAATCGCTGCCTAGATCTATACAGGATCTAGAGAAGAATCAAAAGAAGATTGCTAGATATTAACAAGAAGGTCTTACACCTAGGCAGCAACGTAATCTTGACCGGTTATTTTATTATAACAAGGTTGCTATAGAGAACCTAAATCTAGCGAACGATACTATTCGTAAGATTAGGGAAGCTCAACAACCACTACAGCGCTCAATCACTAAGCGCTAGGTTAAAACGCCGCTTAGAAAAATAGGGTTGCTCTCTATTAGAGATGCAAATCGTTCTATTGCTAAAAGAAATAAGAAGGAAGCAGAGGCAGAGCGGAAGCGGGTAAGGAAGCAGTGGAAGAAAGCGTATAGAACATCACCACCACTAGATCCTACACAGGAATCCCAGGCATCATTAGATAGAGCAGAGGAAGCACGTCAGAACGGGCTAGGTTTCTTTATAGATACTAGTAGTATACAGTAGTAGATAGGGGAAATAGCAAAAAGTGACCATTTATGTGTGGGTGACCATTTATACGTGGCACACCTTCGCGTTGTGGGTAGGCGGAGACACTGCTAGTTATTTATCGCCTTAACCATCTATTTTAGGGTGCGCAGCTTGGGCGGAAATTACGTTAGTTGAAATCTGCACTTTTCACCCGAAGACAGCCCCTTACTGAATCAGAATTTGAGGATCAAATTCCCTGTCTAAGTGGGCGATGTTTTTTACAATACAAAGAAATTGGATGTATGTGTGGGTGGATTCGTGTGTGAGATTGGGCTAAAGAGTCTACAGACTCGTCCGAATCTGTTTCGAGGAATGTGCCTTAGATTCATCGGATTTGGTTGAAACGCTCGTATACAGTACTAGGAACTTGCACTAATTGGTGAACGTCGAACTGAAGGAGTGGTTAAATCCCACTAAGACCCATTTAAGATAGGATGTTCATCATCCACCCAATTCCCTAAGTATTCAGACAATGCTAAGCCTTTCTCCACAATTTCCTTCGCAAGTACTTTCACAGCTTGACTTTTTGACAACCATCCTACATAACCCAAACTCCTTCACGCGCCTAGGGCAGTATATCGCGAGAACCACCATAGCATCTAGGGCTAGTAAGTCCTAGCGCTAGACTCTTATGTCTGAATTGTCCACTCTTTAATTCATATCAGACAGGAACTTTTCATAGACATAGGATAATTCAACTCGCACTCAATAGTTTCAAAATTTCACTTCAGACATTTATCATATACCGCATATTCATTTGCCATTTTTCTCCAACTGGAGAAGGTTTTCGGGTCGTCGAGATACTTGAGGATTTTCTCGCACTCGCTCATGAGTCCCATAAGCATAGGTATCTTTGGCATGATAGTGTCTTTACTGATTTTAAGAGCTTGCTCCCTTGTCGACTTCTTGCAAAAAGATTCTGATTTGGTTAACTTATCTTTCGCAAGATTGCCCTTTAGCTCCTTGAAGAGACCAGGGAACTGTTCAGGAACTTTTCCGCCAAACATTTTGTTCACCTCTCTCATAGCTTTTTTCTCGAACCAGGGCCAATCTTTGAATGTTGGATTGCACTTCTTTTTGCACAGGTCTAGGAAGATCTTTTCGGACTCGCTTGAGACTTCTTTGAACCGGTCTAAAACGGCGCCACAATCAGCATGAGCAGGGCCGACAAAGGTTATCGCAAAGGATATCAAATAGAGAAAAATGGAAAATTGGACACGCATTGTGCAGTGTAGGAGTGAGATAAGTGCTCAAAAGAAAATTTTTGGGAATATGGGGCACTCGATGGACTAGAGGACAGGGTATGTTTATATGTTTTCGAGGCCTTGGTTTAGTGGCCAATTGTTCAAAGCACATTCATTAAAACCCCTTAATGACAGGGGAATTTATTGCGTATGCACCATATCATTAGTTTGTGGATGGATCGGCATGTACATCCCCTTACTAGTCCCCACCTATCTTTATGCCCGTGGCCTGAAGATCACATGCGGGTATCCACTGTCTAAGAATTCAGTTCCCAACCTTGGCTTGAGCTGAATCGGGAGCAAGATGCTTCCTGAGGAAATTTGTTCACGCGCTGGTTTTGATGGATCGCTGATGTTCTTTGTTTCTGCCACGATACAGTATAGGTGCGGTTATAAGACACAGAATAACTGTTCATTCACTGATCCGATTCCTGCTTGCCATCCCCCTAATCCAAGCTTTCCCAAGAGCACCAACGGACCAGATACTCCGTCTCCGATCGCCCGTTCTGAGTAACTTGTCTTCTTGCTATCGCTTTAATAGGTTTCTTCTCGAAACTCAGTAAACGAATGGGGTACTGTATGTTGGTCTTTCTTTTTCTTCTTGGTATTTCAAGACCGGATTTGAAGATTGAATTACCACGGGTCTTCAGTGGGTTAGCGCATCTTTATTACGGCGTGAGCGCCACAGACCTTCGACTCAGGGTGAGACCGAGCAAGGCCAAATTATCGACCAAACATTGAATCGCTTTCTACAATGCGGAAATTTAACCGAAGAGGTTCAAACCTCATAGCCAGCTTCGACAAAAAAACGAAAGCACTTTTGAATCTCCATGGATGCCACGAGGAGCCATGCTTGTCCAGGCATTCCAATGTCGAGAGCCTCGAAAAAGAAGAAGCATCTGAGAGATTGAAACTTCCTTAGAAAATGGGAAAGGCAAAATTGAAACCGATACAGAAGCATAATTTGTTTGTTGTGAATATTCGATGAGACAGTCGTAACTAATTTGTTTTAGCACGTATATGGATATTATATTTCAAGGTTAATTCTGATAGGGCAAATCCTTTCCTGATCGGCACCGAACTAGTGTCATATAAATAAGTACCTGAAGGCTTCGGTGAGTATAGCTAGATTCTGCAGAAGTGCAGCTATTTCTAGGTCTCCTCTCTTCCTAGCTTGGCCTAGAGGAGTAACACTATTGTCGTTAGGCGCCTCTAGATCCGTAGCCGGTAGCCGCGCTAGTTGCAGGATTAGTTGTCAATATAGTAAGATACGGTATCGGCTAGGAAAGCTAGGATCCAATGGAACGAGATGCTCAATATAGTGATGTATTGGGTGACTGAACTATCTAAGTGTGTAGGCAGGGGAATATTGAATATCCCCTACCTTATGTTACAGACCCTACCCCTAGGATGCTAAATATAGGCACGCCTGAACTAATCAGTTCAGTAACAAGGCGGTCAGGGAGATTCTGCTAACTAGGAATCTATAGAGAGACTTAGGTAATAACACCTAAGGTCACGTGACGCGACTTATTAGGCGATAAGTAGGGAAGAGATTAGTGATAAGTTCCGTACTTATTAGCAGTGTCTCCGCCCACCCACACCGCTTCCGCGTTGTGGGTGTGCCACACACAGATTCAACACCACACACAGATTCAACATTTTTCCTATTTCCCCTATCTACTACTGCATCCTACTAGTATCTATAAAGAAACCTAGCCCATTCTGACGTGCTTCCTCTGCTCTATCTAATGATGCCTAGGATTCCTGTGTAGGTTCTGGTGGTGGTGATATTCCATACGCTTTCTTCCACTGCTTCCTTACCCGCTTCCGCTCTGCCTCTGCTTCCTTCTCATTTCTTTTAGCAATAGAACGATTTGCATCTCTAATAGAGAGTACCCCTGTTTTGCTAAGCGGCGTTTTAACCTGGCGCTTAGTGATTGGGCGCTGTAGTGGTTGTTAAGCTTCCCTAATCTTGCGAATAGTATCGTTTGCTAGATATAGGTTCTCTATAGCAATCTTGTTATGATAAAATAACCGGTCAAGATTGCGTTGCTGCCTAGGTGTAAGATCTTCTTGTTGATATCTAGCAATCTTCTTTTGATTCTTCTCTAGATCCTATATAGATCTAGGCGGCGATTTGTCGATACTAGAAGAAGATATAGTAGTTTGTGGTGGCGGCGAAGGTGTTGAATGAAGCGGTAGATCTAGTGCTGTAAGATCTTAATACTCTTAGATAGGAAGGCTATTAATAACCTTTCTACTATCGACTGGATATATCCCACGATCTTTAAACGATTCACGAATAATTCGCTAGCTAAACGCTCTATTCCGAATATCACCGATTATTCGAAGGAACTCGGATCTTCCGATAGGGCTTCCACCCTAAAACGCTTAGTCGTTATTCGCTAAGCGGAAGTGTTGCTTATAGCTTAGAAACGGCTTACCGTCTAGCGGCTGGCAAAGATACGTAGTATGTGGTAGGAATCCTATAGGTAGGATATTATTCTCTTCGCAAAGGTATAGGAATTCGAATATAAGATACGAACCGTGGCCGTCGAATAGTAGGATACGTTTTTCACCCGATTTCGTACGGTCGCATGTTGATTCTATAAAGAATCGAAGCTATTGAACTGCTATACTATCGGTTATCCAACCGTTTAGCGATATAGTGATAGTAGTTCTTAGTAGTAGGTCGTCTGTTTGATTAAACTAAGATTCTATAAAGACCCCGTTGCCTTTAAAGATGAACCAGGGTTCCATCTGCTACCCGTCGGCAGCTATACACTCGATAGACGTAATATTTTCGCCTTAGTCTAGCTAAGGAAGGTCTACTACCTTCCTACTACTACTAGTAGTAGTAGTAGTAGATATAACGTTTCTAGACCTTCCTTCGCCTAGTTGAAAGCCGCATTCATCAAAGTTATAGACTAAGCGTGGTAGTATAGTCTTCTTAATCGTTTAGGCTAGTAGATCGTACCAATTCGCTAATACTGCTGGGTCTTCTGCTAGGATTCGCTTTGACCCCTTCGTATACTGCTTAGTAGGCCCTAATTGAAGATATTTAGGAAGCCTATTGATAAAGCGATACGCCTACATCTTGCTAACCGACGGCTTCCCGACGCGTTAGCATGCACGATTCGCCCACGCTTCTAGTATCCTAGGAGTGATAGGCATATAGCAATCGTTCATATGTTGAATCTAGCGAATTAAGGCCTCTTCTTGATAGGCTTCTAGGGCCTGTTTAGCATTGCGTTTAGCTGTATTAGGCCCTGCTCCTTTTTTGATTCGATTATAGAGGGTGTGTCGGTTAACACCAAATTCGCGTGCTAAACGCGCTATATTCGGCTTCTCAACGCGTGATGCAGCTAGGCAGGCCTCTGCCATACGAGATTCATCAAATTTAGGCATATTTAGATGGTGGTGTTGGATAGGGAAGCAAAAAATAGGGGAAGTAGGAAATGTTGAATCTGTGTGTGGTGTTGAATCTGTGTGTGGCACACCCACAACGCGGAAGCGGTGTGGGTGGGCGGAGACACTGCTAGTGATAAGAAGGACTAGATATATAAGGATACTCGTTTACCTATATATATTTAGTTCTTCGCGTTAATTTATATATTATTACTTATAGTTATATTTAAGACTTAATAATCGACTATCTTTAGTAACGTGGTACCCTCACGGTATAATATAAGAATATACACTATAACTAGGAGGAACACGTAGTAGTTATCATATAACTACTTCGTTAACTAACTAGGCGCCCTTCAACTATATACGTCTTCGATCTACTCTATAGATCCGAGCCCGTATAAGGCTAGAGCAGGCAACGGTACGATTACGAGATAGATCGTCGGAGATTAGGTGTTATATGATAATGCAACATGAGGCTATTCCCAACTTCACGCCTCAGGTGTCAGTTCGACACCTTATCGGTCAGGCTTCGTCATAACAGCCCCACTTCTCCCTAACATAGATGCATGACCTACAAGGCCCTAAGGGTTCGGTGCCCTTCTATTAGGGATTCGTGAACCCCTCTCCCCTGTAGCCTTTGCTTACCTCTGTTACATGTAGGCCATGTCAGACCGTATGTTGTAATATGATCCATCGTCTTTGCTTTGGTCATGAGGGAAAGTATTGAAGCTTGTACATAAATTGAGGATTATGGAGAGATCCATGATAGCAAGAAACAGTGTTTTGCTTTCCTTACTTGACGTTTATCTTCCTACCTAGTCGACAGGCTTTCTACCCTGTATAAGTAGTTATTCTCTAACATTAGGAGAGAGGTACGTTACGATAACGCATATTTTACGTTAACTAGTTAGCAGCGCGTAATACCTGTATCCTTGATAGAAAGAATTAGTCTCAAATCAATAAGTTCACTAATTTTCGACTTTCGGTAGCGGTACCAGCTAGATTCGTACTCGGTTATAGTGGTAGTAGGTGGATAGCGATGTAGAAAATGAAAATGTACAGGAAAGATAGTATAGCGACCTTAAGCTGTAAATAAAAACACTTTGATTCAGGAATGTAATTAACCAGGATACCACATATTTCATACAGCACGTGATTCGTGGCACAAGGATCCTACTGAACTTTTTTTTGACACCCTACTGAGCGGTGAGTAGGGTCCTACTGAGCCGTATTCAGGAGCCGTAGTCTAGATCCGACTTGATGCCTGAACTCCCAGGCATTCAAGAGTCAAATGTTGATGCGGTCATTGGCCACCGACGGAGCAGCCTACCATTCCCCGCAATTCGCATTCCGCATTCCGCAATCCTATCGCCGCGGAGCGAATTGTCTTCCCAGACGCTTCTTTCCTTCTTCACTCGTGGAAGTCGCGTAGCACGGACTATGAACCCCAGTCCCCCGAATCTCCAATCGCTGTCGCGCGCGACCTCGTCCGGGCGGCCTCCGTCATCGGCGCGGGGGCCACTGGCCGGAGGTCGTCATATTACTCGGAACCGCGCAAGCTACAGTTGCCACACATGTCGCCGGCGGAAGGTCAAGTGCGATAAGGTAAGTTTAAATTCATAGGCATCCGATTAGCTTGGGACTGACTGTTCGCTTTGATCCCTTAGGTCCATCCAGTGTGCGGCAATTGTGCGAAAGTCGGAGATGAGTGCGTTTACGATACATCGTCGCAAAAGAACCAAGAGGTGCCTGAAGAGATCGCGCAACCAAGCCATGGAGTAAAACGAAGGCGGGGAGCGCCACGATCCTGGGAGAATGATGTGGACGAGTTACAAACGATATATGGAAACTTAAAGAATGCAGGCACATCAAACGAGCCTAAAGCGGACCCGCGTGCCATTGAGGCCCGATTGGACAAGTTGATGACAATGATTGAGCGTCTTGGCGGAACTCCTCGGGCTTTAGAAGAAGCAGAAAGACAGGGAGTAGTCGGCTCTAGTGGTGTGGATGCGGCTCTATTAGAACAGTTGCGGCAGGGAAGGGCATCGGGTGGGCGATTGGTCTCCTCGCGGCCCTCTAGCCCGCGTCGCGCTGGCGCGGAATCTAGTGGCGATGAATTTCCAATTCCATCTGGTCAAGCCACTGATTTGGTCGATCCAGTTGGGAGCCTGAATTTGGGTCATTTGAGTTTGGAGGATGGTGGTCGGTCAAGGTAAGCAAAACTACTCGATGGCGCGAATGCGCGGCTGCTAATGGAAATAGATACGTCGGAACAACTTACTGGGCCTATATTTCCCATGAGGTATCGTGATAGTCGTCTCCAAAATATCCCATTTGGAACCATCTCTAAAGTTTGTTACAGATCAACGATCTCAACCAACTGTTGCGCGATCAAAATCGATCTCATGACATTACTTCTGAAAACGCCGATGATGATACTCATGAGCCCATCTTGAATGATCGTAGATCCTGGAATGGTCCAGGAGGCTCTATGAGCTCAACCTCGCCCCGACCTCGAATCGGCTCCTTTCAAAAGTCTATCATCTTCCCATCAGGCGATTCTCCGTCCATAAACGAGAAGCTTGTTGAGCCGGAAATGCTGGATCACGTTCCGACTCGACGCCAAAGCCATATCTTGTATAAGGGATTTATGTCTGGAGTTCACGCAATCAGCCCGGTAATCCATCCGCCCACGATTTTGAAACTCTATAATTCATTTTGGGATTGGTATGACTACAGCAGCTATTCAGGGGAGTCGTGCCCGAATCCTTCATTCATACCGTTACTCTACGCAATATGGTATGGTGGCTCTGTCACTGTATCTATACGGACTCTCAAAGCCGAATTTAACGCCCCGTCCCGGTTTGCGCTATCCACTTTGTATAGCGAAGAGGTCACCCGTTGGTTAACAAAAATATCCTTCCCTCGCAGTCCATCTCTTCAAGGGCTGGCTGCCTACCTCATCGTGCAGACTATCTTATCAAAAGAAGAAGAGCCTTTGACAAGCAGTCTATTTGTCAGTTTGGCTATGAGAGTGGCCCAGACAATGGGATTGCATCGGGATCCAGCAAAATTTGGCATTGAGCCATCTGAAGCAGAATACCGACGCCGACTCTGGTGGCACATTATGCATATGGATGGCGTAGTAGCCATGTCGAGCGGACTCCCTCCTTTGGTAAGTGACGAGAACTACTGGGATGTCCGTGAAACAAGTGAAATCAAAGACACCTTATTGGGCACCCCGGCTGCCGAACGATACGAACAGCTTTTGAATAGTGGACGACTACCAGACAACCCGGATGATCCGTCTCTGTGCGGTGGACCATCGATGGTGAATGTTTTCTACCTAACCGCACGGGGCAAGTATATCATGGCCCGTATGTTAACTCCGCTTCTAAATGCCGTGTGAACTCTCTAAGTACTCTATTAGGTGCTGTTCGTCGAATCCTGAAAATTCAGCTTGGCATTAAGCCTGTTACCCGTCAGGATATGGAAGAACTTCGGGCAATTTTGCTTGATCTCCAGCTGAAGTTGAACTCGATCGTAAGCAGAATACCTGAGGGCCATTCTTCTAGCAGTGCACCTGTATCTATGGGCAGAGAATTATCCATGTCCAAGTCTCCAGTAGAGTCCCGGTCCACAGATACCGAACTCCCAGGTGAAGGGCCAAATTGCTGTCCAGAGCAATACCATTCTAGCGTTCTCGTCTGTTTCCACAAGTGGGCGAGGATCATTCTCTCCTTGTATATCGATAAGGTAAGTGGCAAGAATACGAAGATTCTCTGTCCACATCTTGCTAATTCATGTACAAGGCATTCTGTGTCGCCTATCAACCTTTTCTCAAAAATGCTCGCAGTAGGATATGGCCCGCGGCGCGGCAAAGGTAGACACTCACTCCATCTCGTCAGTAGAATCTCTCGGTCTAACCCAATTAGTGCCCTTCGTCACTGCCACGGGTTTATGGAAAAGTTCATTCAGCTTGCGACGGACCCGGACTTTCAACCATTCCAATGGAGTTGGCCTGGGTAAGCGCCTATTTCGATGTCCCCTCATTTTATCTGTCAACTAACACACACAAAGAAACCACCAGCCGATGCATGCAACAATGTATGTCTGCCTCTGTCTATCCTTTCATTGATATTGCCTGCTCTGACATCAACCAGGATCATGCTCATCGATTTATACGAACGTCCCTATAGTCCTGAAGCGTCCAGGTCTCGTGCCTTTATTGACCGCATATTGGCTTTGTCCGGGCCTGATGGAGGTGTTGTCGGTGGTGAAGACGGTGTCTCAACGCAACGGCCTCTAAAGGATGGCGGTCGTGAAGCCTGGGACATGATCCGACGTCTCCGCCAAAAGGCATGGCAAAAGGCCGGCTTGAACCCACAAATGCTTTGGACTGAGCAGGATCAAATCCAAGCAGGAGTCGCGTCACCGGCGGCCGAGCCTCAACCTTTCCGTGGTCCCCTCTACTCCAATCCTCCATCAAATGCCGCGTCGCCAATAGTTTCAGGCGGTCCTCCACGCCAGGCTCTGGTCCCAGACCGCCAACTCACAGACTTCAATCGCCTGTTCAACAACATGACCCGCTCCCATATTCCCTCAGGTCCATCGATCTCATCGGCTTTACCCCGGCCGAGCCCCTTGCGGTACTCCTACCAAGCCCCGCCATCCTGTCAACGCCCTGTGTCTCTCCCATCCCAGTACAATCCCACCCCGGCAGCCATGGCTATGCCAGGCTCGAGCGCTCTGTCGCCGTCCAGTGCCATGGCAACCTCGCCAGAGCTATCGTCCTCTATCGGATCGCCCCCTTCAAATTACTCTCCAACAACAGCCGCGCCCGCAGTTCCGACCGCTCAATCCCCACGACCGCACTTAAACAGGCCCAGCTCTCCGCAGATGCCCTTTATGGATCCAATCTCACCTAACCCCCCATCAAGGGGAGTCCCCACTCCCCCTCTATGGTGGACCCGAATCTCAATTTCGATTGGGATCAATGGGACGCTGTGTTTGGGCAGCATCTTCCCGTTGCTGATGAACTCATGGAACTAGATCCCGTTTCCGGGTTGGACTTTGCCAATCTGGCCGTGCCAACAGCGCATGGCAATACTAGAATGAATATGAGTGGGTTGCCACCAATAGCAACTGCTGGTGATACGCCACCAACCTGGGCAGACAATGGCTCGGGTAATGCCGAGGGTCCATCAAGTACTTGGACGGGATATTGCTGATCTCGATAGATTGTATATAATCAAGATAATATAATATATTCCATGGACGATAAAGGTTTGAATTTACATATCATGCGCTGGATGGGACTTTCCAGGACATTCTTATGGATAGATCGTGCGTTCACTGTAGGCCGTACATCGACTCAGAATCCAAGTCGAAATACACCGTTCTACAATGCTGGGCGGGAAGTTTCACTACTGCCAAAAGTACTTGCAAAGATTGGAGACATAACAGTTTATCAATTCATGAGGCGTAACTCTTGATGATCAGACCGACCGATCAATTAGGAGACGAAGATGCGATGGAAAGCCAGAACAGACAAAAGGCCTGGCCGAGGGGAACGAGCAGATCCCGCGTCTGATCTAGACATGGATGCAGAATTTTGGCTCGCGCTACTTCATAGTTTCTCTTTCTTCATGTCAAGTGTATTTTATTAACGCTCGCTGGGAGTTATGGTATTTAGACCTTAACCTCCCGGAAACCGTGCTTCCAGACGGTGGCGAAGGGGGTGACACCGTCCTCACGGAAGTCAATCAGGACGTGCCTATACGGGACAATTAGTACATTTGTTGATTGATGGAGACGTGATATCCCTCCATTAGTATCAATGGCAACTTACATAGCGTCACCGTCCATAGACTGGCCCATCATAACATCGTAGTTGTCGTAGTTGGCGATGAGCTTCTTCATGGCGGCGGGGGCACCAGCCTTGAACTCAGCAATGGCCTCAGCGCCAGCGTTGGTCTCTTCGAGCTTCTTCAGGACCTTCTTGAGGTAGCCTAGAGAAAAGTAATGGCACGTCAGTGAATTGCAAAGTCAGTCTGGACAGGACTGGCGACAGCACCAGTCCATGAATGTACATACTCTTGAGGTGGCCCTTAAAGGCATCCTTGGAAGGCTTGAGACCCTCCTCGGTCTTGAGCCAGACCAGGCGGAACTGGTCCTCGATGTCGTGGACCATGACGGCCTCACCCTCATCATCACCGCCCTCATCGCCACCCTCGGCAGAGGGGTTAGCACCGGCGAGCTCGAAGTCCTCGTTCTTCTTCTTCAGGTACTTGCGGCAGTCGGTCTCCCACAGGATGGGGCAATCCTTGGCCGGGGTGATCTTGAAGGTATCGGAGAGAATCTCATCTCCGGAGATAATGTCCTGGTGTGGATGTTAGATTTATCACCTCGTTCTTCAATCTGCCGGAACAGCGAAGCATCAATGGCGACTCGACTTACCTCGTAGATAATCATGGTGGCGGTGGAGAAGTGAACACAAAGGGAACTAAGGGGGTATCGAGTAGTGAAAGGGAGGGGAAAACAAAAAAAGGAGGGGGAAAATGAAGTTTTTTTTAGTGGCGCCTCGTTGGTGGGGGAGTTTGTGCTGTTTGCTTCCAGGTCACGGGACATGCTCTGCAACTGCGCTTCTGTTCAAATGTCTCGGCTTTAATACTTGAATTGCAGCGGAGCTTTTCCCCGTCGCTTGGATAGTTTACAACCCCTTCATTTCTCCGTTAGATGGGGCATTGATCAATTTCCGCATCTCATATAACGTTCTTCAATACGTTTCCATTCCCTCTTCTTCTTATTGAGCCACTGACTTCTTGACCAGATTCTGGCCCCCAGTGGGTCCCGCACGGAAACATCTGTTGTGACCTCGTGGATCCTTCCCGATGTCGAACGTACGGTGATCATTCCATGTCGCCTTTCTTAATTCCTCTTCAGGCTCGCCATATGTATCCGTATATGAATATTATCTTCTTTTTTTGGTCAATTGAGCTTTTATCTCGCTTGTATTCGGTAGAAAATAGCCCAGCAACTCCCTCTTGTCTCATTGTCTCATCGAACCCCGCATTGGCAATCATCCTGACCCACATCCCATCATTCCATGCAAGGGGAAGAATCATGAAGACAGTGTATTCTTGCCTGGGAAAATGAGTAAAGATCTTGCTACATGTATTATCTGTCTGAGATATTCTAACGTGATTCTCCCCCATCAGAGAAACATGAGTAGAAGTGCGATCAATCCTGTTGCTCAAGCTAAAATCTTATCTTTAATGGCACCATTCTGGAACATGTAAGATATCGCCGTAAAGATAGTAATTAATGGCACAGCAAAAAAGAGGAGGCTTCTGAGATCGGGCTCTTGGCGCATGGTTGCTCCATAATTACTCGTATTTCTCGGGGGAGTACATTTTCAAATCAGTCCTGTTTTGCGTGCACAAAAATCACAAATAATGGAAGATTGGGAAAAGGCCTTTGCTCGGGGGAAAGGGTGACATCGACCCGGTTTCAAACGACCCCCGGTATCTTCCTACGGGCAACCGACCCTGCACCTGCATACAGCATACTGGAATACGGCACACGGATGACATATGACAAGATAGGATTCCTCCCATCTGATTGGATTCTGATTTGCAAGGATGTAATCCTGGCTGGAAGCTCGTCTATTGGGCCTCCTTGGTGGTGCAATAACTTCACTATTTCCTCATCATGAGTAGTATTTCATGATCGCAAGGTCGAGGTACGGCTGGGGCCTGTAAGATTGCATGTCCACCGGGGAGTATTTGCGATTTGTGACTACCAACGGTCTGGCCGGTACGATCCGGCCAAGGTGTCATGATACTGAAATTGAATGATACCAGAAGTCCTCATATATTAGACAAAATGCGCAGCTCTATGCAGCTTACGTACCTCTCAATGGATATAGTTGGACATTAAATAATTACACCCGGCGATCTATACTCTTTTCTCTCAGCCTTAGGCTTCAATATCACATGACCATAGAGTTATTCCGATTAGTAAGATCCTGTAAGATTTCATGTGCAGCGGCCGGATTCCATTACAGTACCGCCCGCTCTGGTATCATACAGTACAATAGATCCCTGTCAGCGCCCGTCCCCCACTCGAAGCCCGTCTTGCTCATCCCTCCCGGCTGCATCCGGGTTGTATTGTACTGTATAGTCGATACCACTCAGGTCACACCACCGTCACCCGTCAGGCTTGCATCCGACTGGCGCCACCCAATTTGGTCTTTGCCTCCTGATTCCGCAATCGTGAATCTTTTGATCGTCCCTGGCTCCTCCTCAACCCCCTCCTTCATTGTTTCTTTTTTTCCCTTCTTATTCTTATCAGCTTTCTTGTGGTTTTACCTCTCATCCAGCTCATGTAGCTGGATTGTGCTTGCTGCAAAGACAAAAAAAAAGCTATTCACTCCTCAGCGCCAACCAACGCGCACCCGACACTCCGGGGTGGTTTTCGCTAACCTCCACTCTTTTGCACGCCCTTTTCTCTTTCGCGTCCTTGAACCCAACCTCTTGATCTCCTTGGATCCCTTGACCTGCAATCTGTCTCTTTTTCTATCGACCACATCGGAAGCAGGATCCGCCCGGCGGTGGCGCAAACAACAATCTATCCACCTTATCGCTCTCGCCCATCATGGCTGTCAACGCGTCGGTCCCCTTCGACTTGCCTCCTCTCCCCAGCTATACTTTATCTGTGCGGCAACCACTAGTGCCGTCTATTCCCGATAATGTTATGGCACTCATGCTTCCCATTATCGCCTATTGGGGCATGTCCATGATCTACCACTTCATTGACGTGAAAGGCTACTTCGAGCAATACCGCCTCCATACCCCCGCCGAAGTCCTGAAGCGGAATAAAGTCTCACGTTGGGAAGTCGTCCGGGATGTGATTCTACAGCAAGTGATTCAGACCCTAGCCGGCCTATCCGTCGCGTATTTTGATCCCGTGGAAACCGTGGGGCGAGAGGATTACGATATCGCGGTGTGGGCGCAGCGAATTCGAATTTTCCAGAGAGCTATTCCCTCAATATTGGCTTTTGTTGGTATTGACGGCGCTGGTCTAGCCAAGTCAGTGTCTCAGAGCGGTCACGCGACTCTCGCCGGCGTTCTTGCGGGAGGATCTTACCCGAATGTCGTGCAGCCTTGGATCCTCGAAAGTGGTGCGGAGGTCATGGCTCCCGCCTTCACTGGCTGGGAGATTGCACTGGCCAGTTTTATCTACTGGTACTTGGTTCCTGCTCTACAGTTCATGCTTGCAGTCTCAATCGTTGATACTTGGCAATATTTCCTTCACCGCGCGATGCATCTCAACCGATGGCTTTATGGTAAGTGCAAGCAGACCCGCCATCAAGTTCTTTTTCCAATCCTCTACCTTGTTTCCTCTTCGTGGCTAACGTTTTACAAGTGACATTCCATTCTCGTCACCACCGACTCTATGTTCCGTACGCCTTTGGTGCTCTTTACAATCACCCTGTTGAAGGTTTCCTCTTGGACACTGCGGGGACGGGTATTGGATTCTTGGTTGCTGGCATGACCAATCGCCAAGGCATGTGGTTCTTCACTTTCTCGACCATCAAGACTGTGGATGATCACTGCGGCTATGCCTTTCCTTGGGATCCCCTTCAGCACTTCACCTCGAATAACGCCGCCTATCATGACATCCACCATCAAAGCTGGGGAATCAAGACCAACTTCTCCCAACCCTTCTTCATTTTCTGGGATCGCTTGCTCAACACTCAGTGGAAGGGCGAAGTCAAGCTCCGGTATGAGCGAGCCCGCGAGAGCGCTCAAAAGCAAGTGGATATGGACGCTACCATGAAGGCGGAAGGTGCCGCTGCGGCGTCTGTCGCTTCCGGCAGCGAGCGAGAACATGAGAAGGTTGTGGTCTCTCCCGAGGGGCCCGCCACCCGGACTCGGCTGCGTCGCAAGACTGTTGACAGCCTAAAAGGCCCGAGCCACGGTGTCCCCGGGAGCGTGCTCCATAACTAAAGCTGTGCTGTGATGAATCTGAACATGTGCCCACTGTTTTATGCATTGCCCTGCAAAATCCGGAGTTGCTGGTTCATCTCCTAGGTTTTTGTATAATTGTCCATCGTTTCATGTATACGGGATTATCAGATCCCAGTGTATTAATATTTGAGAATCGTTAGTCTTTTCCGTGGCTGTACATTGTACATGGCTTATTCTTCTTACGACCTACTATTGTCAATAATGTCTACTTTCTTTTACAAATTTCATATGTTCTTTGGTTTGTACAGGTTTGATTATGATATAAAAAAACAAAAAAGAAATCAAAAAGCTGAAACGAAGTATTCGCCCATGCTCCTCGAGAAGCGTTCCTGAACTTCAAATGAAATTGTGGTGATCGCAAAGCAGATCCCAGCTTGTTGCCTCGGCCGCTGGAGAGACGTTCCTGAACACCCGCGCCGCCCTCCAGTCTGATCCGCATGAATCATCCGTCCACATGCCGCTGGAATAGTCAGACGAGGTCGGTCGGTAGCCCACCATGATCTGCACCGAGTCCGGCTCTATTGGTCCATTCTTGTGCCCCGGCAGAGGTAACAACGGTATATTGTGTCCAAGCTCGTTCCTGAGAACCGAGCCTCGGCGACTTCTATAGCTCGTATCGTCATACTCGAAGCCGCGAGCAAGTCCCTCAAACGTTGTACAGATACTGTCTCTAGATCGGCGTGGCGTAACCATCGAGAGTGGCTCAATCATGGCCTCGTCAACCGGCGTATGTCGGGAGTATGGGTTGGCATGCGCCAACCTTTCATACATGAGGGCTTTTTCAGATTTTGACCACCTGCTCTGTTCTCGGACAGGCTCTCGGGGCTGCGGCACCGCTGATCCGAGTGTCCGCAGAGGGGTAGATTCGCCATTCGTTCTGCCAGACGATTCGTTTACAGAAACATCTGTGAACACGATACTTGGTTGCTGCCCATATGACGACCCTTTTGATCGTTCATCGATGCCCTTGTTTGCCTTCTTCAAGGAGCTGCCGCTAGGTTGCTTACCACGGTGATGACGATGGCGCATTCGTCTCGTTTCCTCCGCCGCCCTGTGGGCAGGGTCGTGCATCCAGCGTTTGACACAACGCTTCCGAGTGGCCTTCATTTCAGATGCCCACAGGCCAGCAAGTTCATGAATCTCGGTGGCTTGCCTCTGGCCAAAGTGGTCGATGCACGCATTAATGAATCGCGTAAGTCTGCAAGGGCGATGCTCCGTGCGCGTGCGAGTGCGACTTCGCAAAACCACTTGCAAGTTTTGAACCGCGGCCTTGTCGGAACCAATGCGCGCCATAATACAAGCGGGACATCCATTGATCTGGTATGGCCAGGCCCCGGGTGCGATGGGCTCGTTGCTTGGCTTGGCCCACATTCCCTTCAGGGCTCGTAAGGATCGCAGGATCTCGGCTTCCCCTGGCCCAATCAAGCCGGGAAATGCGTCGAGCTGGCGAAAGTGCGTTGTGACTTCGCGCTGTGCAAGGCTAAGCAGGTTCTCACACACGCCTTCGTTGAGGGGTCTGTGCAAACTGCATAGCTTCGATGGCTTGAGCCATGATGCAGGGGCAGAGCTCTTTCGGAGGCGGTTTGGTAGGACTTGCATTATTTGCTTAATGCGAGACTCAACGGGATATACGAGCTCCCTGGTGTTGTCTAGATGAAAGATCTCGGTTAGTATCCTTACTTCGGCTTCTCTTAAATCATCGAACGTTTGGGGGTAGGCCTCGCGAGAGGCTTCCAACAGACCACTCGCTTTCATCGTGAACCGCAAGGAAGATTTTTTTGTTTCTATTGCTGCTGGGCGCCATGATGGGCAGCACAACACTCAAAATACAACCCAGAAAAAGTCGATTTAGGGTTTGTTGTTTGCTTAGTCGCCTTGGGGCTCGATGAGTTTCTTATTGCGAACTCCTCTGACAAAGGTAATCATGGATAAACTATGGCCTGGCAAGGTGGTCATAAGAACGAAAGTGTGTCTTTATATAACGTCCGGGGTCCTTGCAATCTTCCTATCGAAACAAAGCATACCGGGGTTTCCTTTCATTGTATAGAGTCAAAAGGTCGATAAGGGGTCCAGATAAAGGACTGCGCTCCTAATCTCAGAACACCACTCTTTGTTTCGCCTTTGATGATGTCTCAAAAGCTTAGTTTCTTGACAGCCACTTATATTTCTGAGGTTCATCACATGAAACCAACTCTATACACCACATCAAACCTCGTCAGGTGGAAATTTTCATTCCTATTGATCGAAAATTCATTCGCTCGAACCACTTTGCTTATAACAAATTCTTGGTCTAGAGATCAAGTACAATTCGCCCAATTCCTCGAGACACGCAACTCAACATGATGCTATCTTTCTCATTCTCAAGTAGTCCAGTCCCTCGATGTTCAACCCGGCCGCTACGGACACCCACACGGCAAGTGCCACAGTTACCAGCTTCGCAGGTGGATGGAATTTCAAATCCAGCAGATCGAAGCGTGTTAAGTAGACTATCGCCAGCGCCCACTTCCACTTCTTGCTTTGATTCAGCCAGCTCCGCCGTAAAGGGATCACCCGTAGTACTTGCCTGGAACGACTCAAAATGGACATTCTCAGTCGGAAAGCCCAGATTGATCGCAGTAGATTGCACAGCATCCATGAGGCGCTCTCCAGCACAGCAGTATACATGGGCGATGCTACCAGTACCCTGCAAAGTATTCAACACGTCAAACGGAGTTCCAGTTTTCTTGCAGTATACGGATATCTTCAGCCCCAGTTCTTTCATATAGGACTCAAAAGCGACCTCTTCTGGGTATCGAACCACGTAGTGAAGATGGTAATCCATGCCTTGCCGTTGCAACTCCCGGGCCGATGCAAGCAAGCCGGTAATTCCGATTCCTCCGGCGATGAGAATATGACGATCCGCTTTCTCTACCAAAGGGAATGTGACTGTTAATTTACTGATCGTAACCAAATGGCCCTCTTGGACACTATCATGCAAATATAGCGAGCCACCTCGAGTTGATTTCCGATCTAGAGCCACACCCAAGGTGAATCGATTTTGGTCTCCAGCAACGACCGAATAAGCCCGAATAAGTCTGCCACCCAGCTTCACACGTACGTGTGTGCCTGGCTGTACCTCCTCTGGGGATTGCTTTGGCTTTACTGCCTCGAAGATAAATGAAGCCACTGTTGGGGTTTCCTTCGTCTTTTTGAGCAGCCGATACTCGGCCCACATGTCAAGCGCCATAGCGCTATCCCCGAGAAGCCGTTGCTCTTGGTTTTCGAAAATCTTTTTGAGACGATTCTTGAAAATGTTACGGCTCTCACCACCAAGCTCGCTGAGTGCAGCCAGTTCTTTCATAACGTCGAAATTTTCTTTCTCGATGTACAGGTAGTGTTGTACACGAGCTACTGTCCACCGCGGATTCGGACGCTCCAGAAGTACAATTTCGTCGCCCGCATGGATCAATCCCTCTTGAATTATACGGTAGTACCAACCTGTTCGAAATTTTTCTTGTGCCATTCTGGACATATTCTTCTCTTGGAAACGATGGTTGAGTTTAAAGCATGGTTGCCGTGGCAGGCTTACCTGCGCGATCACATCCGGTCCGATTCGAATAATATCTCCAATGCAGGTATTGCGCTCATTTGCTGTGCGAGCCACTAGGTTTTCGCCAAATCCACCATTATGAAATAAATGGGCGTTTGCTGGCAGCTCTGTGGTCCAAGTATCATAGTGTTGGGTGCAATACTGGAGGAGTGCTTTGTCTGGGCCCCCATGGAATTCATAAACATGTTCATCACCCGAGCAGCCGAGCCGATTAACTGCCACCGGGCCATATCGAATCGATTTAAAAATGGCAGATTGAACTGGCAGGCCGAACACGGACTTTGCTTTGCCAGTGCGAACTTCCACGAGATGGTCCCGGTCCCATGGCTGTTCTAGTTCTGCTATAGTTGATTCTGCGACCATGTTGCTGGCTGGTGGTTCATTTGCTTCAATCACATATGACTCAGACAAGAATATTCATCGAACCATCAAAATAATTTGTTCATGAGCTGTGCTTTAATTTAGCACTGAATGGAAGATCAATAGCGGAAGAGGCCGAACTCCGGGCGACGTTGTATACGAAGGATTCATTATTCCATCATCATATCGGAAAAATAACTAGCCCCAGATAGCCATATCTGTGCGATAAGAGCCACTATTAGCAAGATCTTCCCTGGAATCTGGGCACAGACCTAAGGAAGATTCCTAGTGCTTACGGTAGTACCCTGTCTACAAAAGGGAATGACTATACTCCTAATTCAATCATCAGATTCGCGTCTCATGTAGCCCAATAAGAATTTCAAAAATGGCCATTCTTCTATAACAAGGGATGATAAAAAGAAAAGAAAACAGATGAAGAAAAAACCGAAACTTGACTCACATGCCATTCTTCGTCATCACATGACAGTCGCAGCTGCCCCTCTTTGGTGCTCTGGCGGCTTCGTACCATTTACGTCGATGGCCGATTTCTCAACTCGCGTTACTTCGTCCTCAGGTAACGTGCAGGAACAATCTATATACATGTTTCACAGTCGCATGCGTGGGGACGGGAATTGATCATGGTTTTCCAGATCCGTCTCACCCAGCGGGTGTCCAATGCGACTCCGTTGCCCTATACTGCGTCTCCACTAGATTTGCTATGGAGTGATATCTGCTTGTTCGCTCGATATTCCTGGGCTCTTCCAGGCATCTTTCTCCCCCTGCAGCTGAGAGAAACAATATCGCTCGATGAACTATACCCCTCGCTCCAGGGGGCGATTTCAGTAGGGACCCAAGTGTTCCTCACAATCAGTCAGCTTTGCTTTCTTCTGTCTGTGCCTTTTGCAATAATTTCCATGTTCCCAGCTCTCTGGGTTATGGGATACATTACGGCTGCCTTGGTTATCAACTATGCAATTTGCACGGTTGTTTTAAATGGCTTCCGACGAGTTCTAACGTCTCAAGCAATAATCTCAGCACAAAAGGGTCATGAACGAGAGAGATGGTTCTTTATAAATGGAGTTGCCGGTGGGCAAGTTTTCCAGCGATTTGACAAGAGTTTCAGCTGCTAATGGGTAACAGGCACTATTGGCTGCAAAATAATATTGACCTCTTGTCCTATACGTTTGGTCGCAAAATTACCGGGATACATAACCGCACGTATGTTCAATAATATTCTCTAATAACACACACTGAATTATCGGAGCTGACGGAGGTTTTGAGTGCCGGTCTTCCTTTTGATCTGATTGAGTGCCTGATCCAACGATGTTTCGGCTACGCGACTGCTGATGTGCGGAAGGGCTATAACCTTATTAAGGACGCCCTTCTCGACCCCCATGTTGAGAAAATTGTTCTCATCCTTCATAGCCAGGGGGGGATTGAAGGCGGAATGGCTATTGACTGGCTGCTGGATGAGTTTCCGGGTGATCTTCTTCATCAGCTGGAAGTTTATACATTTGGAAATGCGGCCAATCATTTCAACAACCCTCGTTGCACATGTCAACCCGTCTCCAAAGAGCAGTGCGTTCCCGGTGATCAAGGAATAGCAAGACGCTCTATTGGCTTCATCGAGCATTATGCAAATTCGGGAGATTGTATCTCCTGGCTTGGGGTACTACGCTTTGCGACTATTCCCAATCAATACCTAGGGCGTTTATTCGTTCGTCCTGGCTTAGGTCACCTCATGAATCAACACTATCTGAATGCGATGTTCACACTTGGGCCTGATATGAAAGTACTAGAGTCGAACCCTTTCATGGATACAGAAGTAATCACAAAGGGAATCAACAACTTTGACGATAATACGTGTACTCCGGGCAGTGCCAACGGCGATCAAGCAGAGGTTTTGTCTCACGTTCCTGATACTAGGGCTGGAGCGATGCGGCATCCAGCCAATCCCGAGGTTCGTACACGAAGAACGCTTCGTATCAAAGATTTCAGCCGGCTTTGGCAATACAGGAATGGCGGTTCTCCATGATAGCATAAGAGCAAACAGAGCACTTAGTCCTCGTTTATTCACTCGAGCGGTTTGCTGAAGTTAGATTCTCGGGTTTCTTTATATGATATAATCTCGATTTAACCCCGAACCCATTTGATTTCTTTAACAACAGTCTTAAGTCAGTCATTATCCCTGCGCTTTGAGCTAGACTTTGAAAGCATCAGACAGGGAAGGCAGAGAAAAGCGTGGACCAGTGAAGAGCAAATTTCCAGCCAGGTCTATGCGGAGAGAATTTCTAAAAATAGTTCAAGGTCCCTTGGTGATTGATCAGATAACGTAGGAGTATTATTTTTTTGATAAGTTTGTACATGTGGTATCTGGAAGGAATCATATCTCCTCTATTATATCTGAAGCAAAACTAACGCCCGTCGCCGTGCAATGCAAGTACAAGGTACAATGAAATTTGAAGAGCAACGACCAATCAGGCCTTTCCCTTCTTCTTGTCCTTCTTTTTCTTTTCTGTACCAGAGCCGGAACCCTCTCCCATGCCGAGCATATCCATACCGGGCATCCCAGGGATAGAAGGCATGCCGGGAATACCCTGGAGGTTCTGCATTTCAGCCATAGCATCCTTGAAGGGGTTGTCACTGACACCGCCGCCACTGTAAGCCGGCGAATGGATCGGCAGGATCTTGCCAATCTTCCATCCGCGCGGGGCGGCTGGCGCAGGAGGAAGCTTTTCAGGCATGGGCAAGCCGCGAATTCGGAGACGGTACGGGGATTGTTCGGTGGTAGGGTGGGCCTTCAGATATTGAGCAACGAGGATATAAAGATGATGCTCTAGAACACGTATCAGTATTTTCTTTTTTCAACATGAGACGACAGGCCTCGATCCACCAAGGGTGCAAATCATTACAACCAGAAACACGAGGAATTGTTTGGCGACGCACTGTTCTTGATCTTGGAGTTGACCAATTGGCCATTTTCATTCTTGAGCAGCACTCGCACTCGTCCAGGGTTCGCCCAATCCTTCGGATGGAGCTTCTCGGGTTCCAAGCCCGCCTGCAGGCCCAGCATTTGCACGGCATCCACGATGTCACGAGCCAGCGGGTTCTCCACCGCAAGCTCTGAGCCGACCTTGCGGCCGTCTGCGCGCGACCGAGATTTATCGAAATAGACTGGGTAGAGGCACTGGTAGTGCTTAGGGATCTCGCGCTGAGGCTCCGGCACCTGGGTCATCTGCGGTATGTTGGACGGAGTCGGAACTGATGCCTGCGGCACTGGGGCGGGCTGGATGACAATATCTTCGGAGAGGGAGGAATCCGAGGGGGCGACCTCATCAGGGTCAGAGTCAGATAACTCCTCAACTCGAGCGTGGTGCGACATGGCGACGGTGGAATTGGGGGATCAGTTAATGGAGTGGAGGAAGGAAGAAAGTGCGGGCAGTTCGGGCTTTGGCGTTCGTGTTCTGTGCGGGCGGAGGGCGGAGTCGGGGGGCGGATTGGCCAGTTGGTTTGCATCGCAGAGACCCGACAGTACAAACGAGGATACTCGAAAAGTACTTTGGCCCCAATGCCAAAATAGCATATCAGAATGAGGTGTTAATGAAATTGAAGTTCCATTCTGGAATCTATGAGTTCAGATACTAATTTGTATCCATTGAATTCCAAGTTGACGGAGGGAAAACCGGTGTAATGTCGGCGTCTGGTGTGCCTTCTCCATCCTTATCCTCTTATTGAGATGAAAGCCGCAAGAGGCAAACTCCACTAACATAGCAATCTGATCCACCCGCACTTCATATTGGTTCATCGAATCCCTATCTAATTGCGATCTCGTTATCTATTTGCCGAGATCGGTACGGTTTTAAGTCGTCTCGCGGTAGTGCCGACGAGGGGCCCCACGGCCTGTTGCAGCGCCCCGAGCGACACCAGCCCAAAAAGGCATATGAAGGGAGAAATCTACTCCACCCAAAATGCAACGCTGTAAAGCCATCCATCAATCGTTGTTCAATAACACACCTGGCCCTCGGTTGTCAGATCCTGAAGCCAATGGGCCCCTCGGCTTCATCTCCGCTCGGCATGCCGAACCCACTCTGCCCCGCCGTCAATTGCCTCGGGTGAAAGGAAGTATAAAGAGCAATACCCCAACGTTAGAGGGGACTCTTGACGATGAGTTTATACCAGACTAGACTTCAAAGGCAACTTGAACCGAGCACATTCAACCTCCCCAAGCAATGACTTCGACTAGCAGTATGTGACGATCTTTGTCTAACATAGTTCTCACTCTGATTTGACCAGGCTCTCCTCCCGTCATGGCCAGCGCGGTGCTACATCGGGACACCCATTTTTTCCCAATGAAAGCCATTGGTGGCAAAGGAAGTTATATCTTTCTCGAAGACGGCACAAAGTTTCTCGACTCCACCGGCGGTGCAGCAGTGTCATGTCTAGGACATGGCAATGAGCGTATCACCGATGCCATTAAAGACCAGATGAATCAGATATCATATTGTCACTCTGCATTCTTCGGAACTCAGGTAACAGAGGATTTAGCCAGCTTTCTGACAGAGTCTACTGGGGGGAAACTCTCGAAACTTTTTGTTGTCAGCTCAGGTTAGTATAACTTGCTGCACCCCATTCTTTTCACCCTGCGCCTAATGCCTCAAACTAGGATCTGAGGCTGTGGAAGCTGCGTTAAAGTTGGCTCGTCAATTTTTTTGGAGCTCCCCACCCCTCAGCCGCAAAGGACGCGATTCATCGCTCGGCTGCCGTCGTATCACGGTGCTACACTAGGTGCTTTGGGTGTCGGTGGCCATGTCCTACGACGACAGCCGTTCGGTCCTTTACTTTCTCAGAACACATCTCACGTGTCCCCGTGCTATGCATATCGAGGAAAGAAGGATGGTGAAACTGATGCAGACTATGTCGCACGTCTGGCGACAGAGCTAGAGGCAGAGTTCCAGCGCGTTGGGCCAGACAATGTTTGTGCATTCATTGCAGAACCAGTAGTCGGTGCTGTAAGTTCATCTTGCACTGACTTTTTCAACGGTGCTCTTTCCAAAAGAAGACATAATTTACATAATTCCCCCAGGCTCTTGGATGTGTTCCAGCAGTCCCTGGTTACTTTCCCGCCATGAAGGCTGTCTGTGAGAAATACGGTGCTCTTCTCATTCTCGATGAAATAATGAGTGGTATGGGTCGTTGCGGGACTCTCCATGCCTGGGAGCAGGAAGGTGTTGTGCCTGATATCCAGACTATTGGAAAAGGTCTTGGTGGCGGATATGCCCCTGTTTCCGGCCTTCTCATTGCGGACGCCATTGTGCAGACAATGGACAAGGGAACTGGTCAGTTTCGGCATGGACAGACATATCAGGGTCATCCGATTTCTTGTGCGGCAGCACTAGCTGTTCAGAAAACGATCCAAGAACAATCTCTTTTGGAGAATGTGCAAAAGATGGGTGCTTATCTTGAACAAAGACTCCGCGAGCGCTTCGAAAGACATCCGTACGTAGGCGATATTCGAGGCAAGGGTTTGTTCTGGGGGTGAGTATTTGATCGTGTTATATATGTATACTCGTCTGCTGATAATATTTTGTTCAGATTGAGTTTGTCAAGGACAGGGCTACCAAAGAGCCATTTGACACTGAAACTCGTTTATCATTCCACATCCAAGAAAAGGGTCTCCAACCAGATTATGCTCTCTCGCTATATGGATGCACAGGAACGGTTGACGGTATCCGTGGCGACCATGTGATATTGGCACCGCCCTATATTGTGTCAATGGAGGAAATCGACATTATTGTCAACACGTTTGCCCGGGTTCTGGTAGACGTATTCGAAGAACTGAAACTGTAGAATGAGCGCTTTTCGTTCCACTTCACATTATTGGGTCTGTCGATCAGCGGTTTGATGTCACAATACTGATATCGTTCTACATCCTTATCTCGAGGTGCATTTTAGATGGAAATTTTTATCTGTTGTGCGCAATGTTGTCCCTATGAAAGTCAACTACATTTTACGAGGTAAATCACTGTTACAAATCTAATTCAGACAACGTTGCTTGCTCAAAATGGCAAAAGTACGAGATATGCCACTTCAAGGACATGCATGATATAGTAAGAATATTCAATGTTATTGTACATGTATTGAAAGATTCAGAAGGAAAGTGCTCATCCTTGAACTGCCTCTGCGGCAACGTCCATTTCCACCTGCATCTGAGAGGAACCATTGGATACCACAGCCTCCTTGGGCATAGAGCTTGGGGCCCATAGACCAGCCACCGTTTCAATTGCTCTCTCTACAACAATACGTACGCGGTCACGCAGCACGCCGTTCGTGCACTCAACTTCCAAATTCTCTAGCCAGACGCGAACAACATGCTTGTCCACTTTGATTTCGATACCAGGAACTGGAATCCCGAGAGCGTGGAGACGATCAAGTTCCGCCGATTCAATGTCAGCTTGGCGTGCGTCTTGATCCTCTTGATCCATGTCCTTCACATCTTCAGCGCCTTCAGATACGCCGTTGACAAGTTCAGCAGGAACACGAGGTCGCTCAATAGGTGCAATGTTAGAGCCAAATTGCGCCTCTAACATCATAAGCAACCGCGTAAGCCGATCTTGTGCCCCAAGGTGACCGTGGGGGTTGGGAAGAGCGACTAAATCATCATCCTCGCCGTGATCATGGTGATGATGGTGGTGCTTGTTTTTAGCCGATTCTGTTTATTAGAGGAAGAAAGCAGTTAGTAAAAGGTTTCCTCGAGCAAAATTTGAGAGAATCCATACGTTTCACAGAGGCCGGACTGCTCTCAACTGTCAGAAGCACGGCCATAACAGCATCAGCCACTCCATCATTCATCATGTTTCCTTCCCATTCGAGTTCAACTTCACGGGTACGAGACTGATAGCGCAAGATGACACAGCCCATGACTAGAAATGTGAGCGTTTCCTCCATTGGAATTTCTTCATCGGCAGCTTCCTGTTTAGCAATTATTTCATTCGCTTTGCCGTTCGTTTTTTCCTTCGATTCTGTCTTGGTAGTGCCTCCAACTTCCTCGATGGCGCCGAATGTGCCTTCAAGAGCCCATCTAATTAGATCCATGCTGGCAGAACTGAGAGTGAGATGTTGTTTGCATGTAATGGTGGTTGTTGTCAATCCTGCGTATTCACGAAGATCATCAGGTGCCATCAGAGACAGGTCAAACCCATTTTGAACCAGGACTCCGGCCATTAGCTGGCCATCGTCTTGCTCCGATGGGGGTGAAATTTCCGCTAGTTTGCCGACAACCTTGGCAAATTTGTCCTTTCTAAATGGAATCCGAAGTTCAGAGCAATTGGCCGGTGTGTAAACTTTCGTGGCGACCGTTTTTTGAGCGTTGAGGGAGAGAAGTTTAGATTTCAATCTCATCATCTGATGCTTCTCACCGTGAACCAGGATCTACCACCCATTGTTAGTCAACGAACGGAGGGAAATTCATACGTTGAAAGATACTTACTACAACTGGTGCAGCAACTTCTTCGATGAAATTGCGGTTTTCTACACCATCAACATGAGCGGCGAAACTAATCTCATCCACAGTACATCGCCGTGGAATCATGACCTTCTGCTCTTCATCATTACCACCGGGCACACGGCCACGGCCCTGGATGGCAGACACCTTAGACATCACGGCGGGAATCTGGTCAGGCTCATTAAGCAGCTGCTTGGCCATGGTGCCCTCGACACTGTAACCAGTCATAACGACGCCATTACGGTCACTAGGAGCCCACCGCTCGAGTAACTCGCGACTGGTTCCGGTCTGAAGCATACCAGGTGAAGCTATCATGACGCAGCCTCCAACATCATCAAATCGCTCCAAGCTTCGCAAGCTTCGGACAAATCGGAAATCCCATGGGCCAGCGCTGACGCTCTTGTCGCCACTAGCCTCTGCTTCAGTCATCCGTTGTCGGAATAGCCGTTTAATATTGTCGTTCATAGCGCCAATGTAGGTTTGATAAACAACCATACATCTTCTAGCCATATTACCAATATAGTAAATAGGAACCTTTTGTAATTCTGGGTGTCTTTCCCAGTATTCTTCGAGGATAAGGAGCAGCTCCTGTGCGCGGCCAAGAGCGAACACGGGCATCAGAACACGGCCCCCACGATTTAAAATTCCTGTGATTGACTTCATGAGGGCAGCCTCTCGCTCCAGACGGGGTGGATTAGATGATATGCCAAATGTAGACTCCGTGATCAAGACATCGATCTTAATTCCCCTCGGCACTTCGGCTGGGATCAGATGACGATCTTCCTCACGCGAGTAGTCACCGGTGAACAGGATGTTCAAGCCAGCAATGGACACTAAAAACATGGCCGCACCGAGCACATGTCCTGCAGGGAAAGGAGTAATGCGGATACTATTGATGGTATGGGTAGTATTGAAGTCGATCGTTTCGATCAGAGGAAGTGTTGAGAGGTGATCACGCTCGGTGTATAGTGTGGTTCGCTGATCTGATGAGGATGAAGTATTGCTGACTCGAACATTGTCCTGAATCAGCCATTTATAGATGGCTTTTGTCGCGTGCGTCATGAACACACGGCCTTTAAAGTTGGTCTTGCTGAGGACATAGGGAAGGGCAGAGGAATGGTCCACGTGGAAACTAGACGGTTCATGTATCAGCGAGTCCTTTCTATCAAATATCTGAAGGTGCGGCACGATGGCGAGAGGGTGGGAGAACAATGGAAGCTGCTGTTGCTTGCTATTGGAAGCACAGGGGAAAGGAGAGATAGATGATATTGAAGTGCATTGGTCTTCCCGTATACAAGTAGAGAACAACACATTTCCAAATTATCTCTAGACCCAGCAATCGAGCCCATCGAAATCCAAGGACTGTCCACATACTGGCTGATCAATAATATATCCACCGTGCTCAAATCAAACTCGTCGAAGAATGGAAGAGCTGAAAAGCCTTCTTTGGCAGGATGCATGCCCGCGTCGAGCTAGAGATAGATTGAAATTAGTTGAGCTTCATGTTGTAAATTGGACATTATTTGGAGTCCTACCATGACTGTCTTGCCCTTGTATTGAATGATATGACATGATCGTCCGACCTCGTTTCCTCCCCCAGGCAATAGAACGCCAGCTCATCCGAAGGATCCACGGGTTCATTGTCGATACCCGTGCCCATCGCAGAGGCTTTGCGTTTAGTTGCCATTGTAATATTGGGTTTTGCGCCTGTATTGGAATCCAAGCGGAAGCTGTTGCGCGGTCAGGTTTGGCGTCAGGATCGGCCGATCCAGAACCACCGCGAACCGAGTCGCGCGTTTCGAAAGCTTGTCACTCAGAAAGCGCGCAAGCTCACTTTCATGACCAAAGCAATGAAAGTCCTTAGATGGCAGCTTTGAGGGATGAACGGGTCAACGGTCAATTAAAGAAACGATTGTCGGACCTGGGAAGCATGAGCGGCCCATTAACTAAGCTTGATCACGTGCACGGCGCGATCCGCGGAGCAAAACCTCGCGAGACGCAAAGCTCCCTGACACCCCTCGTCCCGCATCTCGTCCGTCAACCTCGCTGTCAATCCCGTCTCGTATATCACTGAGATTCACACTGCGCGTCAACTCCATGGTTCAGCTGGAATTCTGAGATGGTCACATCTGGTGGCATCTGGTGGTGCGAGCAAGTCGCTCAGTTCAACGACTACGTGTGGACAAGCCTTCATCTCGCCGGCACCGCGCAATAGCAGCCTAACTCCATCTTGCCTTCGCTTTTCATCTTTCGGCTTCATTCATAATGGCGCAGACACGGCCACCGCATCAGCAGGGGCAGCAGCAGCAGCAGCAGCCCCCTTCCCAGTTCTCCAACCATCCCTTCTCGCCTCCCGTTTCCTCCCCATCTCCTCATGCCGCGTCCCCCGTCAACGGAGGTGTCGCCCCCCCCCTCAGAAGAAGCCACGTCTATCGCCCCTCCCGCCATCCCAATCGCAGTCCCCGTATGCTTCGCCAAGCTTCGGCGCAATGCAACTTCCTCCATCCCAACCCCCGATGAACGGGATCAGCGCAAACAGCATGCCCTCTACACCCGTTGCTGCAACCCCAGCCCAAGGAACGATGGGACCTCCCTCGCGCCCGGTTGATAAGACAACGGATGCGGCGGAACTGACGGATGTTTTGGCGTCTTCTGGCATCGATGTTCGAGAAGAGGAGGCTTTTCTCACGCGCAGTTTCTCAGGGTCGAATGCGCAGGCGCAACCGCCCAACCGAGCTCCCGTGGCGCAGGGACAACAGCCTCCGCCGATAAATACCTCATTCGCTTCCCAGGCATCCACAACAGGGACTCTGTCTGCCTCCAGCAGCTTCGGCGATCTGCCATATCCTAAGCCTGTGGTGCCTCAAGATTCCCTATCTTCCGGACCAGCTTCTCAAACGCCCACTCTCAGCAATCCTCCGACTCGTGTGGACTCTGAGGCTGCGCGACGATCACAATACCATCTTCAAGAGCCATTCCTGTTCGCAAAGCTTCTTGAACAGAAGATTCAAAAGCGTGGGTTTGACCTTGGAGTTCGGATTCCCTCGGAAGGTCTTTTCCATCCTGTGCCCGGGCGACAGGCACCGATTGAAGTCACTGGTCCAGATGGGTCGTCCATCGTGCGAACAGGACAGACTATCCTTAACCAGGAAGGTGCCCCTCTAGTTGATATCCTCAATCTCCTGTCCCTCTCATGTGAGGAGCGCTTGAGAGGTGTCATCGACTATTCAAGTAGCCTCGCGCGCAGTCGCAGGGCACATTCCCATGGAGTTGTGCCTGATGAGTGGGTTGACGTTGCGCAGCCCTTGGGTCAAATCACTGGAAATACAGTCACTCCTTCTAAGCGTAAGTACTGCCTCCCTATTCATATGTGAAGTGAATCTTTTTGACGCAATAATCCACTTTCTAGGACCCCATTCGGATGCTGAGAGAATTCCGAAAAAGCCTGTAGCAGAAAATTATCGAGGCTTGATGTCAAGAGAGGCTTCACAAGAAAACAAACGCGCTGCGAAGCGCACCAGGCGGAATGCCAGTGCCATCGTGGGCGAAAGTACGGGAAATCGACCTGAGTCTATCGACGTTCTGGGATCTGCCCCTTCCACCCCGATTGGGGAGAGGGCCCCCAGCTTGACCAGCCAGAAATCGATGACCAAGAAAGAAGCGAAGAAACTGATGGACACAAAAGCCAACGAAGCACAGCAGCATCAGCAGTCCGTGGAGACGGCACGGTTGGCTACCAACAGTATGCTCTCCGGCCGAATGTTCGGAACCAAAAAGTCCTACTCATGGTTGAAACCCGGCGGCTCCTCCAGCGGATTCTCCACGCCATCGCGCCCCGCCCCCTCGACGCCGACTACTGGGCCTGAGAAGCCCAGTCGTGCTGGGGAGACCCCGGCCAAACAGACGAAACGGCGCCTTGGGACGTGGCGTGAAGATCAGGAGAAGGGAGCGGGAATTCAAGTCCGGGATATCTTATTTGCTGTGGAAGCAGATGGTCGAGCTAGTAAGCATGTGCAAAAGGGCTACTCAAGAGACCCGAAGGAGGATCGTGGAGTTTGATCTGGCTTAGCCACTTGTAATCTTAATTCATACAGCGACTGCGCAAATGACACATTATAGCATGATAGCACTTCGAAAAAGCACTATATTATGTTGCTCTATGACCATCAACCATAACCTAGATCTGCATAACCTCCTAGCCATAACGCCGCGCCATGTATCAAACAACCAAGTCCGCCACGCCATAATTCTTCTCGGAGACGCCGTCAAGTCTACAAGTCCCCCAGGGCCTCTCGGGCACGGCTCATTTCCTCCTGCGACGGCATATTCACAATAGCCAGATATAAAACTTTCTACGACCAGAGTCAGCTCACCCTGTCTCCCATTTCAAGTGACCCGAAAGATAGCCAAGAACATACCTTCTGCAACAGCTTCGCCAGCGGAGATCGTACCCCGCCGCTCTCTCCATCATCGCGTCGCGATGTCACCCGGTCAATCTCTCTCCTGGGAGAACGACTCCCACTCAGAGCCGCACGAGCACCACCCTGCGAGCTCCGCAGGTCTCGCACGGTATTAATAGCATCGAAAAGTCCAAACGGCCGACCATGTGGAGCCGGCGGATTAGAGCTGGAACTCGAGAAGCCACCGTGCTGGCGGTCCAGTAAGCCCCGCGAGCCGCGGGCTTTCATCCCGCTCAGTTTCTCCACCGACAGATGGCCCCCAGTCACAAGCGCCAGCGGGTCGCCGCTGCTAGCGGGGTGGTTTGGGTCCGCATAGCGCGATGTAAAAGTCGGCCGCGGGCCGGAGCTCAAGTGGCTGTCGGGGTTCTCATTCGCCTAACGCCGTGTGTTAGCCAGGCTCGTTCTACCGCGTTTCCTCGCGATATATCGCGATACTTCGCCCTTTCCCTTCCCTCAACCCCAAGAAAAGGATCTATACTCACAAACTTGGCCTGGGCGCGCTTATCCATGTAGCTGGCGACGAACTCCTTTCGCTTCTTCATCTTAGACAGCTTTTTTGTGGCATCCTGGTCGGCTGCCAGCTGGTCGAGCTGTGGGAAGATCAACGGCGCCACTTCGGGGAAGATGTTGCCATAAGCCTTGCCATCGGAAGACTTATATTTGTGGCGGAGGCGGCTCAGGGCATCGGAGCCGCCGCGGCTAGAGGCTTTCGAGATGAACGAGTTCAAGTCAATTGTGGTGGCCGGGGCGTCGAGTAACTCTGGGTTCCAGGTCATCACGAGACAGTAGAGGCCTCGCGGCTGGAAGAATTCTCGATTGACCTTATCGAAGAACGTATTGGTCCTGGATACGACATGTGGTTAGAGGGCTGCTTGAAACCTTCCTTCTTGACTGCATTCTTCTTTCTTCTTTCTTCTTTCTTTTTTCTTTTTTCTTTTTTCTTTTTGCTTCGTTGATCTGGACAGCGAGACTCACTTGCGGCGCCCTTCCACGGCAATCGCTATGTCGGTAGTAATCTGAATGGCAATGGACACGGCCAGGCCCGTGACGGTCGGCAACCAAATGGTCCCGATGGAGGCTAGGTTAATCGCATGAAGCCACGGCGAAGCCTGACATGCCTTCTCGGCGGTGTTTATGAAATCCATGAACATAGCCTGGTTGATGCCGCAGGCGTCCAGGGCAGGCGCATAAGCGCGAATGAAGCCCCGGTCCCGATTCTTCGGTCTCCGTTGGGGCAGCACCACTGGCGCCGCGAGCCGGCCCTGCAGAGGACGAAGTTCTTCGGACGGCAAGTATGGTGGAGGAGCCGGGTACGTGGATATGAATCGCTGGGCGAGGGAGGCCTCATCTGCGCTCTCGGGCGCGTTGTCGTCGCCCTCGGCTGCCTTGCGGGGGTCTGCTGGACCGGGCTCTTGTGTAGACTGCGCGAGTTCTTCTTGGATCTCATCGAGGGCCCATTGCTCCTCGAGGAACCCGGGTGCCGGTCCCTCAGGGTCCTCGCGCGCGATAATGCCTTGTTCCTGGGGTTCGTAGCACGGCGGCTCCTCGGTGGCGGGTGGGCTAGTTCGGTCGACGTCCGGGGTATGCACTGGGTCTGGGGCTGGCCCTTGGGCTTCTTTTTGGCCTTGTGGGCTGACCGGGCTTCCGAGACCAGGCCAATGCCGGCTGCGATGCCCTGGACGGCTTTTCGACCAATGCCTGCCATCAATGCTGGTAGAGGAGGCGGAGTGGTTTGGGTCAAGGTATAGTAGAATTGCAAGAAGCGAAATTAGGGAAGGCTATGTGATTTTCTAAAGAGACCAACGCAAGGCCCTCTTTTATATATATCGAGAGCCCAGGCTCCCGTCAATGTGGCGGACATGAAGCATAAGCCTGTTCGCGCAGGATACCCAATGCGGCTTCCCATGGGGCGCCTGGGGAACAAGAAGGTTTTAGGGTTTGGAAGCTTGGCAACAGATGCGAACCATTCACGAAGTCTAGAACGGAGGGAGGGGCACAATGCAGCGTCTACCGATGATGGCTCGGCTGGCCCTTAATTTGGGACGCGATACGCTGAGGAGGATAATAAGTGAACAGAGGGGCTGCATGGGCGACAGGCAAGCTACAATATGAATACTTTCAGCATCGGCCTGGGATCGGCGACCGGAGACGCTCGCAACAGGCTGGCAACAGAACAGCCCGACCGTGACCAGGTTGGACCTTGAAGGGGCCCGATGTGTTATATTTCTCTCGCAACGTAGAAAGTGTCAGTCATGTCATCATTTCGCCGTCTACGGCCGACATCCTGTGCATGATTGATTCGACGGTCTGCAGGAGCAATGACTATATAGTTCAGGTGGCGGAGCAGGCTATACCCAATCGGGATAACATTGCGACCAGTTTTTTTCGCCTGGAGAGGGATGGATGTAGACTTCATATAATAATTCATAGAAAAGAGGGAATCACCCGGGGTATATTCTTTCAGATCAGTAGACTGGATTGGAAGGAGGAAGGGGGGAGGGAGTCTCTGAAATCATTATGTGAGTTTGGTCAATGGACTGAACATGTACAATACACGCCGAGTTATATATATTTACATTAGGCACATACTGACTGCAGCCCTCCATTCTTCGAGGTCAGCTCTCCTCACCCTTTTCCCTCTTAGCTCTCAATTTCTGCATCGGAGCACTTTCAAAAAGAATTCGATCCGAGAATTGCGAATACGTGATCGCTTTAGACGGGCTTTGTACATGACTGCATTCTGATCACCTCCCCTGGCGACGCATCCGCCTATAATTTTCATTGCCATCCTGTCTTGCTCTTTTCCATTGCTCGTCTCCCATCACATTCCGGGGGTTCCTAACTCGAGCCAACTGCCATCACTTTCCCTATTAGCAGCGCGCCCTTCGCTGTGTTGGGCGTGTCGCCGGGTTTCGCCCGTTCTAGCATGTTGGTTCAGATCTCCGAGCCGGGCGGGAAGGGGGTAGAAGGATCGACACACTGGCTACGAGGGTGATCATTTCTAGGTGCTTTCTATGGCGAGCTTTATGATTCCTTCTTGTGACAGGCTCCTACGACCAACGTCTACACTGTGTTCATTCGGCATTCCCTGCTGAGTCACCCGGCATGCCAGATCACCTGACCGGCACAACACGAAAGTCAACGAATCGAGCAATTCGCAGGCGTCGCGTTGGAGTCGCCTGGAGACGATCGCAACCACAGAGCAGATTGGCGATGACGAGCGACCAGCCAAAGCGTGCCGGACCAGGACCTCAAATTGACAGGGCGAAGTCCCGGCAAGCGAGCAAGAGTGGAGTTTCGGGGCGAAGGGCTGAGAGGGCTTGGGATGCTCCATCGCTGCCGGTGGCGGGCCACCACCAGGGCTCGATTCGGCGTTGGACCAGGGTGGGAATGGGGCCCCTGCACCGGACGAGGCAGTCAGCGTCAGAGTGCGTTAAAGAAGGCCAGAATGCTCTGGTTGAAGCATCTAATATTTGTCCCACCGGGCTCTCGAGACTCGACGTGCTATGTCCTCGACTCGGCGAAGTACTGGAACTCCACCCTCTCCGGGACACCATCCTCCGCACTCTATCGGAGGCCGTACAAGTAGATAGCACCGAAACCACAAACCCCACGACCACCCCGGCGAGGTTGGTCGCGATAGAGAGATAGAGAGATAGAGCGATGGAGAGATATACGTAGAGACGGAGCGAACGAGCCTGAAACATACAACACGGCGAACCTATCCATCCCAACGAGGGAATGGAATTCAACCAACGTAGAGACGAGAGTGCGCCAACACCCCGTGGCTCGCCTCGACTCGGTTCAAACGTCCCAAACGTTCCCATCATCAACTTTCTCCTCCCGAACTTCTCGCTCACCTTCCTCATGTCGATCCACTACTCAATGTTCCTCCTGCATCCTCCCTCCTGTCCATCGTGAGATCCCCTCTCGCCCTTTTGACACCTCTTCCTCATCTGCCTCGTCCTCATTCTGGGCCGACCGCCTCGTCATCGTCACGTCCCTCCACCGACTTCGATTCTCCTCCCTTTCCCCCTCCCTCACCCTCCCCCCAACGTCCTCATCTAACGGGCTCGAACGGGTGATACGGGTGATTCCCTCTCGACACCTACCCCTGGTGTCTGCCTGTGCCCAGTGCTTGGTCGTTCACCCCGTCGCGGCCTCGTCTCAGACTGGCCATCTTCTGGCCTGCTCTGCAAGATCGGCTTCTCCCGCGGTCCGGCGCTCCCTTCGCCGACAATCGTGAATTCAATCCCTCCTTCGCCTACCGTTCGTGTGACGGCCTCTGTCCACCATGTCCACACCCTCCACGGCCACCGCGACTCATCCCTCCCATCAACATTACGGGTACCCCCATTCCTCATACCAAACCACCGCGGCCTATCCGACCGCGACGACGACTGGGGCTCGCCTCCCAAACCCCTACGCCTACTCCGTTCCCTCCCCCACAACCGGGACAGCCCCGGCCGCCACCACCACCACGCTGCCTTACGGGCAATCCCTTCAATCCGCTCGAGGGGCTCCGACGACATCGACCCCGGGCATGGCGTCGCAACCCAGTGGCTCCAGTGCAGCCCCTTCCCTGGGCGCTCGGCGGAAGAAACCCGACTGGGGGGAATTCTACAAGAATGGGATCCCCAAGGAGGTCATTGTGATTGATGACAGTCCGGCTCCTGAATCATCCAAAGCCGCACCCCCTCCACCGCCTCATGGCGCGACGGGGCCCCCGTCGTCGGTCCCGCAACCCGCGGGCAAGCGACGTCGCACGGGAATCGAGACCGCCTACGACCTGGGATACTATGACCGACCGTCCTTCTCAATCAATCCTCAACAGTACGGCGAAGAATCGTCTGGCCACTCCTTGTCCACCGACCGAACCACCTCCTTGCACACCACCGCCCCGACTTCCCTGGGGTCGCAAGGGAGTTCGGGCACCAGCAACGGTATCTACTACGACGACGCGACAGTGGGCCAGAAGCGGAAGCGGACCACTCGGAAATCTGCTCGCGATGAACAGAAGCGCCGAGAGTTGGAGAATGCGCCAGAGGCATTCCCCTCCTATGTGCCTCCCACAAAACCTATTGTAAAGGCGAAGGATGTGCCTGTGCCGGTTGTTCGTGATGTAAGTGGTGACTGCGTTGTGGTGACGACCATCGCCCCTCCCCCTCCCCTTTCCACCACAGTCAACACTGGACCCTCGTCAAAAGTTTGGCCAGATCTGATCGACCACTATAGTTCACAAGTTCCCGCCACGAGAAGTTTGATGACGATGACGGCCACTATATCGTCACTCCGGACACACCCTTGACTGAACGATGTAAGTGATCCATTTATCCTTCCCCCCTGTCTACATTCTCCTCGCTTGTGACATTTGGGCTGACTGGCTGACTCTTTCCTCTTTTCTCCTCGTTTAGATTCTATCATCAAATTGCTTGGCCAAGGTACCTTTGGCAAGGTAGTTGAAGCATATGATAAGCAGCGGAAAACTCGCTGTGCTGTTAAAATCATCCGTTCCATCCAAAAGTACCGAGACGCTTCACGAATTGAATTGCGTGTGTTGTCAACTTTAGCTTCGAACGACAAAGCGAACCGCAATAAATGCATCCACCTTCGAGATTGCTTTGATTTCCGCAATCACATCTGCATTGTCACCGACTTGTTAGGACAGAGCGTGTTTGATTTCCTGAAGGGTAACGGCTTTGTTCCATTTCCGAGCAGCCAGATCCAGAACTTTGCCCGGCAACTGTTTACTAGTGTGGCCTGTCAGTACACCTATCTTTCTCTCCTTGAGTTTTTCAAGGCCGGAGAATTTATTTCTTGAGGGAGGAGAACCCTATGGCCGCTAACACTTGTCTAGTTCTTCATGACCTGAACCTCATCCATACCGACCTTAAACCCGAAAACATCCTTCTTGTTAGCAACGCCTACCAGACCTTCACATACAACCGCACCATCCCCTCCTCCTCCCATGCCAACCCTCGCAACGCCCGTCAACGACGAGTCCTTCTTGACAGTGAGATTCGCCTCATTGATTTTGGCTCTGCCACTTTCGATGACGAATACCACTCTTCTGTCGTCTCCACGCGGCACTACCGTGCTCCTGAGATCATTTTGAATCTCGGATGGAGCTTTCCCTGTGATATATGGAGCATTGGATGCATTTTGGTCGAGTTCTTCACTGGTGACGCGCTCTTCCAAACCCACGACAACCTGGAACACCTGGCTATGATGGAGGCAGTTATCGGGACTCGCATTGACTCACGGTTGGTGCGCCAGGTGGTGCAAGGTCGAGCTGGTAGCCACAACTCTGCTGCCAAGTAAGTTGATCTTGTCATGACTTAAGCTACCCTGCAAGGAGGTTCTAATATGGCTGCTAGGTACTTTAACCGGAATAAGCTGGACTACCCGAACACAGAAACCACTCGGGCGTCACGGAAATATGTCCGTGCCATGAAAGCACTGACTGTGAGTTAGCCTTGTACCTGCCCTTGCCCTCTATGGATCTCAATAATGACTGACTCTGCCACCCTGCAGGAGTTCATTCCCATCAACACCCCCTTCAACCGTTCGTTCCTGGATCTTCTTCAGAAGATCTTTGTCTATGATCCCAAGCAGCGTATTACTGCCAAGCAGGCCTTGAAGCACCCCTGGTTCTCAGAGAGCCTCATTGATGATGGCACAGAAGCATACCGAATCGGCATGGGTCTGCATCGCCAGTGCCGTCCCGCCTAGTCAGGGTGGGGCTTATGAATATTCTTGTCAGCCTCCTCTGGCTTTGCTTCGACAGCATCTGGTGTCTCTAGGGTCCCGTTATGGATAGATGGTTCATATCTCCTGCTTTCTCGCTGGTTTTTTCTTTCTGGGTAATTCATATCATGGGTGGGAATGGACGGTGTTTTCTTTTTCTCTTTTTCTCCTTCACATTCGGAAAATGATGATCACGATGTGTTTTCGTTTTTATTGCCTCACTTTTCTTCTGATGTTCCGCGGCAGCTTCCCCCTTTTCATCCAGGCTGTTGTGAGAATTAACAGCACATCTCTGCCTCTGGTGGTCTTCTGATTATGACCTCGAATCTGACTTGAGACCACCACCCAGTTCCCTGGTTCTGTCACAGCCATTTCATGGCAAAACTGGAGATTTCGTTTGCTTGTGGCATGGTTGTTTCCCCCGGACTGAGCATTTTACACGACGGCGACACCGTTCGTGATATTTTATGTTTTATTTATTCTTCCTGTCTACCATTACTCCCGGCGCTGGTTTCATGGTTATATTTTAAAGGCCTCTCTTTCTCTGCTTTGCGCAGTATTTGCCACTCCATGTCTGGTTTTTTTTTTTCTTCTTCCCGTTTTCTCCCTGCTTCTTTCCCAGTATCCACAGCGGCTTTTGGAGAAACTAAGGCGATTCTTATACCTTGTTGGAGGGTTGAGTTCTGGGCGGGGGGCGTCCGTATCGGAGCAAAGGGTGGATGTACATAGGCATTGGCCCCGACTCCATTGATCCGTGTGACTTTTGAATCTTCGTTTTTTGAGCTGTTCCTCGTTGAGGACTGTGATTTGTTAAGAATACATGCCCGACGAGATTTATCCGAGAGAGAAAAGACTCTTGGCTCGTATTGGTTTCATATTACACTCTATTGTGAGCATATCTTTTTTGGGACGTAGACGATCCCCAAACTTCATGTTGCGCTTTGTAAATACTCGATTCCTCGTTGTTGAGGCAGTCATTCTGGGATATTCAGGACTGCCTTCATGATCAGCGCAATGTCCCATTGATGGCCCATTGCGCTCTCTCTTTGACTTCAACACCAAAGTTGGTGAGTCCCAGCCAACAATATTCCAAGTCATATTCCTCTCCCCTCAAAATGAACCTACCGTAGATCAAAATGCTAGTTTACGCAGCCTGTCCCCAGGCTTTTGAAGATAGTAGCATAATTTAGAGCCGAAAACCTCAAGTCGAAGGCAATCTTTCTATACAGTCTAAGAGCGGACTTCTTCTCGCCTGGAGAATTCCCTCAATGCATTGCGCAAAGTCTAATAATGCTTCATCCTGTCCTTGCTGACCCATCAGCTCCAGCCCAATGGGTATGCCTCGGGGTGCAGAAGCAGTCGGCGCACTAAACCCAGCTGCGCAGTACATTAGCATTGCCATTCCATGACCAAGATAGCCTCCAGCAGCTCACGAAACTCACCAGGAAGACAGATCGCCGGCCTGCCCGTCAGCGCAGCCAGTATCCCGTTGCGATTAGGCTGTCTCGTTCGACCGACCTTGACAGCCAACTGCCGCTGATGCGGATACAACAAGACATCAATCCCATTCTTGTCGAAGCACTCCTGGACAGATTCTTTCAGCCGCGCAATATTCTCCAAACGAGTCCGATACGCCTCGCTGCTCCGCGAGAATGTCTGCGGATCCTCCAGTCCCGCCGTAAACACTTCTGTCACTGCATCGTGATCATACTCCCCGCTCGCCGCAATTGACTCCACTGACCGGTGCGGCGTCGACACCACCACCGCCGACTCCAGAAACCCATTGACCTGCTCCCGGAACTCAAAAGCCTGGGTATCAGCCCCAGCCTGCAGCGTCACAAAGCTCCAGTCGCCATGCGCCCCCGGACGCACGCGCACAACGTCGACCCCCGCAGCTCGCACCGCCGCAACAGCACCCTCCACGACCGCCGCAACAGTCGCATTCTCGCCGACTGTCTCTGTGTCGTACCCGCTCTCGCCCTCCAGCGAGAAATACGCCTCCAGCACGCCAATCCGCAGCCAGATGCCGCCCCGCTCCGGCTCGAAGTCCCGCGCGGTATTGCCCCTCATAGCCGCATACAAGGCGCGCACATCCGCCACGGACCGCCCCATCGGGCCTGCAACATCCTGCGTGCCGCTCACCGGCACGATCCCGGCACACGAGACCTCCCCGAAGGACGGACGGAACCCGACAATGCTGCATGCACTCGCCGGCGAGCGCAGTGAGTTCACCGTGTCCGTGCCACAGCCGATGAGCGCTAGCCCCGCCGCCAGCGCGGCCGCCGTGCCACCGGAGGACCCGCCAGGGGTACGGGCTAGATCGTAAGGATTGCGCGTCTGGCCGCCGGCGGAGGAGGTCGTGGTGCCATGCAGGGCGAATTCGTGCAGGTTGGCCTTGGCCAGGATGATGGCGCCGGCGGCGCGGAGGCGCGACACAACGGCGCAATCCGTTGTGCGGAGGGTGCGCAGGGCGCGGACACCGGCAGTGGTGGGGAGGTCGGCGGTGCCGTAGTTGTCTTTCAGGATGACAGGAACGCCATGGAGGGGTGGGAAGGGCGTGCCTGAGAGGAGCAGGGAGGCTGTTTCGGCGTCTTTTTGGGCGGCGGTGTGGAGGGCGTGGGTGTTGATGGACAAGACGGAGCTGAGGGCTGGATCGTAGCGGGCAATGCGGGCTAGGTAGGCGGTGATGACAGCGGTGCAGGTGGTGGTTTGTTGGCGGAGTTCATGATGGTATCTGGCGATTGTGAGGTTCGTCACGTCAATTGGAGGGTCGGGGTCTGGGTTGGGACTGGGCATTGTCCGGCCGGTGGTTGTTGATTGGGATGGAAGATCGGGTGGGGAGCCGGCGAGGATGCGGGGACAGAAAAGGCGGGGTTGAGAGGGTCGGGAAGGGGATCCGAGGGAGTCGTGATAACGGCCAACCTTTGGGAGTCAAATGCGAAGCCTGGTGATAGTATGCAATGCGATTTTTGAAGTATTTTCTCAGAATTAGTTGCAGGAACCCAGTGTGTATCACCCCCAGAGGGTCTACTGATATTAACGTGTCGGCCACGCGTTTAATCTAGTTAGTCTACACTTTGCCAATGATGTTGGGAAGATATTTCTCTAGTATATCCTTTCAATAAGGACCTTTGTTCCCACGAACAGTAAATCAGAACAAAACTAATGCAGTTTAAGACACTAGCTTTATAGTAGCGGACTTTCCTTTGATCTTCTCACCATCTCTTGCAGCAGCGATAATAAAATCGGCCTCAAGCGTCTCGAGAGGCAAATGGGTCTCGAAGCCAGCTCGCTCATGAACCAGGAGACGTTTGCCTTCCAGCAAATTCGAAGTCTCCGATGGAACTGAGAAAATAGCCCAGTTGTCATACTCTGTGGCACCGTTCCAGCTCATGTAAAGGTTGACAATGTACTCAGTTGTATGATTGACGACTAGGATAGGATCCCAGTGCGGAGTAGCTTTCCACGGGAATTTGAAGATCCGGTAGGCATTAGCCTCGTATGGATTGCTGCCAAATTGTCCTCTGAGAACCACATTGCCTGACCTATCGAATTCTTTGAATTTGGGCATCGATCCGTAGCCTACTAACATATGCTCTGCTCCTTGATATGGGAGAAACTGGAAGCTGCCTTGAGTTGCGCTGACGACTCTGTCTGCCGGATCTTTCAATTCGCAGGTCATCCATGCTTTCTTGTTGACAAGGTCGACATAGATAACCTGTCCAGTTGATGGGCCTTCGTCCCGATTTTCCATGGCATCATTGTTCATGAGACTGAGTACTAGGCTTTCATCGGTTTCATTGTGGACGCGGACGTCATGTTGCCAAGCGAATTTAACATTTTCACTCATGAAATCACCGCTGCCATCATTGCTACCCTAGAAAAGACACTATGAGCACATGCACTGAAGTCATTGAATCAAAGATAAAAATATATAATGATGATATGAACTCACAGAAATTTCCCACCGGATAGAGCCATTCTTGTTAATATAGAAACCGGAGTGGAGGTGCCGAAAGTTTACCAGATATCCATGTTTCGTAGTAGTCACCGAATTGATATGATACGCATCCCAGGCCTCACTTGGGGTCTTTCCGCCTTTTATTTGAATCATAGACTTGGAAATTGGAATGTGCTCCATGGCATTCCATTTGAATAAGATATTATTTGTTTCAATATCTATTTCATAGAACAGCGAGTCAATAACCCACATGGCAGGCTTACCACGATCAAGATTACTTGTGTCAGTCTGGGTGAAATTGAGAGCTGAGACTAGCATCGTATTATGGGGCGTAATGTAATGTTCGTGGCCGTCGATATAGGAGCCAAATTGTTTGCCGTCAGCGGTCTGGAAGTTGTCGTACAGGGTTACTGAATATATTTCGTTATATGTGTCATCGAGGATATGTGTTGTTCCATAACCCAACACCATAGCACCTGGCTGTCCATCCCAGTATGTTATCACATCCTGGTCAAAAAGCTTTTGCATCTTAAAGTCAAGATTCTCCCCATGAGGACCCTGCCACACCATGACACCATTCTTGTCGAAAATTGTGGGTGCGGTGCCGGCCTCAATGTACTTTCGAACTCCTATGAAAATGTATTCCGAGCCCGCTTCACCGGACTTTGTGAGGTTCAAATGTGGAGGTTGCCAGTGCCCCGTTTGGAATGATTCGTATGGCCAACTGATCTCCCCAATAACCAAGGGTAACAAAGTAAATAGGAAGAATAACGAACACGACATGCCGGAATGTGAAAAAATAGAGAGGAGTAGAGAATGGCTTCTCTTTTTGCTTGTTATTATAATACTCTGTATAAGTCTCATCACAAGAGGAGCAGGGTAAAAAGAGCGAAATTCAAATCAGAGCTACACACTAAAACCAATTGGTCTATCTGTGACAACTAGCGCCACCCTGCTCAGAAGACATGCAGTTGGGCCTTACTGAAGGAGTCATATTCGAGACCATTTCCCTTTCCGGCGCCAGCACTTTCAATGTTAAATCAAGAATTATATCAGAGTTCCAGAATACCCAAGCGAGGAAGTGATTTGCCATGAAAGGTATTGTCTCGTATCTTTAGATTTCCAAGCCTACAAAAATTGATAGCTTGTGGTGTAGCAATCTGTAATTTTCACAATACGGTAAAATAAAATTTCCAGTAAATGATGACTACATCGTAAACTCTGTAGCTACTCTAGCGAGGAATCAGCCCACAGCAGGCTGGGTCTGATTGGACAATATTTTCCTAGTACAATGCCGTCAGAGCTTTAGTTTCATTTCCCAGAAAAGACCTGAATTGAACAACTACACACTCTTCCTCTCAAACAGCTTCTTTGGACTCTTCTGGAGGAAGCTCTCCAGAGGGTATACGGTGGTTTGGTGGTTGATTTCTGGATGCCACTGGACTCGTCTGCTATTTCAGACGTGCCTACGATCGTCCTGTCTCATTATATCCTATTGGCTAGTGTCCACAAATCTCATCCAGAAGCATAACTCATTCATGAAGCTCAACCCCGTCAACGAGGTACAACTTAGATATCATAGGAATATATTTTTGAAAAAGTCAGTCTTTCTTTCCCCAGTCCTCGCCCCAGCCCCAAATGTCAGGCGTTGTGAGGGTTGAACCAGTGGCTTCATCACGGGCCAATTGGTGGACGACTCAGATCCCAGAGCCCAAGATATTTGTTGGGCGAGTCCTCGGGGATCTGAAGAAGTGGCTTGCCAAGGCTAAACGGGGGTAAAGTCAGGTCAAGCTTATTATGCCGACGACTCGGCTCATTCATTCGTTTGAAGTTGGAGAATTCTCCTCCGCTCAAACTCGGGTCACTGGTGTAGCTTGAGGTGAGAAGAAGCGGGGCTGAGTGGCGGAATCGCTCCAGCGCAGGGAGAATCATATTGTTTGGTAAATGGATGAATACATCACGACAAATTGTTAGATCAGCTGGGCGTAATTCGGTTGTTGCGATATCACGAACGTCCAGTCGAAAACCGCGCTGCCGTAACTCGGCCCAATTTGCGCGCTCGTGTACATCATACCCAAAATAGTCGATTCCATCGAGATCTATCATGCGCATCCATGCAAGATCACCGCAGCCAGCATCATTCAGCGTTCGCACATTAAATTTGTTCAGTACTTCAACAAGTTTCTTCCGCAATAGCCTAGTATGCTGCTCACTAGAGCCCCAGCCGCAAATTGTGTCGGAAGCCTGCCCAGGCCACCCTTCCAGAAAGATTTCCGTATCGTGGAAGTGTTCTTTGTAGTTGACTGTCCATGCGGCTAAAAACTCGCGAGATTCCTCGTCCAAATGGACTACAGAATCATGGTTCTGAGGCTGCGAAATTGAAACATAATGATTCCAGCTGTTCCACTGGCTCGTTTGATCTAATGACAATGATGGTTCAAGCACCTCGGGATTAAGTATGGCAGACTTAATCTCCTCGAGGGGTTTTATATCTTGATGTCGATTTTGCGTATAATATGAATAGCCACTGTTCTCCAAGCCCGTAGGGCTGGCTGTGACTATTGAGTCCCAACTAGATTGATGAGGCTGAATCGCAGAGAAGCCCTGGTTCAATATGTCTGTAATCATTTTCTAGTGCTTATCTTTTTGGGGCACTTTGGGTCGCTTTTCATGTGGTCAACAATGCGAAGAAAGATATAATAATTCCATACAGCCTATATACAAAATGACAGGTCGATGAGAGGTAATATTGGACATATTGGTGTGAAAATAAAGGTATTTTGCAAAGTCTTGTCTATACTGGAGCCACCGGAAGCTGCCGGATGCTTAAATCTAGATCAACTCGGTAACGTGTTAAGGTTCATGAAACGAGGGTTACGGGTGGAGTTCATTTTAAGATTGTTCCAACTATAAGCCAATGGTGTTGCCTTTTCCGTCGACTGCATGAACAATCGAGATGGCTAGCCCAACCATGGTACACTACCAACGGTGCGGAGTGATTTCTTGATACATAATGTAGTGGAGGAGAAAAGTGGTGACAACCTGGACTTTGATCGTTTTCATTTCGCGGTTTTGTTTGTATGATTTGTCTTGGAGGTTTTCTGAGTGTCAAATAGAGAGATATTTGCTCACATGAAAGAGAAGAATGAAGGAGAACAGAGAAGATGGAGATATCAGATGTGCAGTGCTTTTACGAATGTTTTAATCCTTGTCTTTCATTCTAATTTCTATTCCTCCTTTTTGCCTCCAAATACAACGTTTGTTCGATTCCTTCGATATAGCGACGTTATTTCATGCAGTCGTGGGAAGATACCTATATCGAGCGATTCAAAGTAGGCTCTGTCGTGGCAGGTTCGCTATTGGTATTTTATTTGGCTGTACCTGCGCTTTTATGAGCTGTTCTCTCGGACTCGACCTGCCTGCTGGCTTGAGCCTTTCCACCTTAGTATTTAATTTTAACAAGGGTAAATTAGAGTACATATCTACATCATGATACTCGAATCTCAGGCTGCTCGCATTGGTTTAGATGATCACATAGTAACAAGTAAATTCCCAAAATGCTGGTCGGTCAATCCTGTTGCATATGGTGGGAATTTAAAAGCCAAGAAGTTAAAGTGTAGGAAAGATATGAGTATACTTGAATGGATGTCCTTCAGTATTACTATCATATAATTAATGGTCTATTCAAAGCTTTTGGTTTCGTGATAGAGAGGTTGTACTTACAGAACATATTCGTCCAGGCTGATGACGCTCGGATCTGAAAAAATAAGATAGAAGTACTTCAAAGTCTCTGCAAGCCAGAAGCTTTCCATGATATCCAATTTCGCAGTCTGTGTGTCTCGGGTATCTTCAAGCGCAGCGTGACCATACTTGGTCTTGGTATAGCGCTCGATATTCTGGAACATTCGCCATGCAGCGTCTTGCAGCGAGGTATCGCCAGTGATTCTGTACAAGATGAAAATAGACTCAATTGCCTCAGGCCTGTATAAGAAATTCAGTATAAAGTACCTCAAGCAACAAATGTGTATTTTGATTACCTCAAACGGTACTTTGGATCGGCGACTTCCAGTATTGGTAATTGCAGCTGACGATCTTGAATGATCAGCTGTGCAGCCTCACGTACCCTTGTAGGCATTTCCTTTCCCTCCGGCCATCCGAAAATATCGCGAAGCCATTTCTCTTCCTCCCATTCGCAACGAGACCTCCTGCAGCCACTGATATACATAGTTTCCGGCATGATGCCAACAGGCATGAGATCATATGCCCAGATACACCCATTCACCAGTTTCCGTGCAATAGGTAGGTCATCTTTGCGGCCAAATGCTCTGGCACCAAGACCGACCATACCCCCAAGAAAACACTTGAGATGCTCCGTTTGATACTCGAAAAGCTCTTTGTCAGATTCCACATTGAATCGAATATTTCCAGCAAATAGTATGTCTTCTCCGGCTTTATCCATGCCTTGGAAGAGCAGATTTTTCTTGATTCCTTCGATTGCAGCAATATACATGTCACGATATTGGTTTGATTGGGCTCCAAGGAGTAGATACTCCTTGACAAGGTATTCATATGCAGAGTCAGCCATGCCACCGACTGTAAAGTAGCTGCTTGTGGGCCTTAGTGTATGCGTGTCCAAAGAAACAGGCCATAGACCCGGCAACCTAGTCCGGTTTTGTATACTTTGTAGGTTGTCTGCAATTTTCTGGACTGCATCAAAGTACTTGGAATCACCAGTTATTTGTGAAAGACGAGTGAACTCCAAGCTGAGAGAACCTATTTCGGCAAGGAGGGTACTTCCACTGGGCTGTGGCGAGGTTTCCAACAAGTCCCTATCAGCGGTTAGAACTTTGACAATTATACACTGAAAATAAAGTCTTCTCCTTATATGGTAGGGAAAGCCTCTCTTTTTTACCTTATGCACGACCAATGCGTTTGCGGCATCCTATTTTGTGTATCGAAAGCTCCGTACAAAAAATTTCCCAGTTCGTGGGCCTTCATCAAGAGGATAGAATGCTTTCCTCCGGTCAGGTCGTATGCGCTGATTAAACCTCCGAGATATCGGATTGTTGTTTCAAAAACGTTAACAAAGGGCACTCTTGGAGTGGAAAAGTCAATTTTGGCCAGAGCTTCAAGTGCTTCTTCAAACTCATGATCCAAATTCATGATGAGCAATGTGTCCAAAGAGTCAACCAGACTTGCTCCCCAGCCCCCAAGGGAGTTTCCTTGGCCGCCGCTAATTGGCAATACTTCGTCGCACAACCAGGCGTAAGTTTTATATCCATTCCAGCTATGTTGGAACGATTCCCTCACGGCCTGTTGCCTTTTAACTCTCTCAAGTCTATGGGACGAATTTTCAATATCGAATTGGTGTTGGATCTGTGGAATAGGTCTCTGTGTTCCTTCAAGGAGAGGAATAAAGGACACCGGACATGTTTGAGATTGCCATATACGCTCTTGTGTTGCTTTCGCTGAAGGTAGGTTTCCATATTGACCATCACGACACGACACTGGGCCCAACTTCAAGCTTGGGAAGATGACGTAAACAAGGAGGAAAAGGATTAGACCAGTGAAAAAATAGCTATTGGTAGCAAGAATCAAGAGGGCTGATTTGCTCATGGTTGAGCTGGATGAAAGAAAGACAAGTTTCTGGAAACCATTCTAGGCTCAGCGGACCTCAAAGAGATAGGGGTGGGGATGTATTTAGGATCCCCCCGAGATTTTATTTCATTAAAGGAAAAAGTTCTGTCAAGGCCGAAGATGTGTTGTGTTGGCATCTTCACTCCCTGTCGGGGCCTGTACAATTGACTTTTGGTGTGCGTCATAAAAGTCAATTTCCCTGGCCGCTCATTGACCACGGGTCCGCCCATTTTCATCCAGTATTTAAAAATGAAGTTTGATATGCATATAGAAAGAAGCAGATGCCAAGATAAAGGTTGAATCATAGGCAGTAAATTATAAAATAGAATCAATTAACTTCAATTTGAACCTATAATCGGGACTGTTTCTACTTATTTATGCGCTTGAGCCGGCTCATTAAAACTCGCAACAGAGACAGCAGTGATGCACTTCCGAAAATTAAAATCATGGCAAAAAGATTGACGTGACTTTCTCCTTCCGCGTGGGATCGCGCTCCGTCAGGCCCGCCACTATCAATTCGCCTTCCCTGCAATTCGAACGGTGAAGGGTCTGGCCAGAGGTCTTCAAAAAACTGCCTTAGCATCAGCTTAGTATCAGTGGATGGATTCTTCATATCGTCATTGAGACATATAAATTTCGTTTTTCGGTCTCTTGTTGATTGTAGTTGGTCCAAGATGGTCTGGTGGTTGTCTCCTAGCATGTGGAAAGTCACATCGTTTCCCATCCTCAGCCTATAACCCTTCTCCTTCTGAAAATGCCATTGGAGCATTTTCATATCAATGCAACGCTCTACATCTTCAATATAAAGTCCAATCGCTTTTTTCGTATAGATTGGGAATTCAAGTTCATTCGTAGACCCAGAGCCGTTGTGGAGACAAGTTTGAATAGAGTCATGCAAACTTAATGGCGAGCTTTTTCCATAAAGAAAGCTTGCGAGAATTCTTGTATCAGCTTCTTCAAGCAAGTTGTCTCGCTTTATGCCACGATATTTATCCTCCAACCCTTGCAGTGTAGAGGGCAAAAATAAGGGCCGATTAATTAGATAGTTGAAATAGGCAAAGCTAACCTGGAGGTCCCGTGGGTGTCGGAACTTGTGAGCTGAGTTCAGCTGAAACTCTTGCGCAAATATGCCTTTTAGCTCAGTCAAAATTTGCTTGTTGATCATGTGCGGCATATGAGATGGTACCCTCCGGAGGTGTCTTGACAGATCGAATCTTCTGTTATATGTCTTGATCACAGATCTGATTGCATCAGACACTAGATCATGGTCTTTGGGACACTGCGAGAATGCATCTAACAATGCCGCAATTTTGATCCGGCCCTTGGTGTCTAATTCTGGTATGCGCTCTGTAGTATTCGCCCCTTCACTACCTTTTGAAGGAGATATTTGAGAGGTTAGAAGCCTTGACAGCAGAGAAGAGTCCTTGTGCCCAAGTCTCAGTGAAAAGTTCGACCCCAAAAATTCTCCAAGCAAAGAATCTGGGATCACTGGTTCCAGATCACATGTCGAGGAGATAATTGCTTTCCCCACGAGCTGCTCAATTGTTACTTCACCATGCACATCAGCCAAAAGTCTGCAATCTTGCAACTTCCGGCCCAATGTCGATTCGGGGCTATCCGGAGTGAGGGGTTTACCTCTGGTCCAATACTCCGGATATGCATCATCACCTACTGGGACTGGGTGAGATAAGTAAATTGTTTGCTCCCCAGATGGTGTGATGTAATCTTCTGGGGAGATTGGTGCGCCGAGGAAAACATCGTCATTAAAGTAGAGAAAAAAATCACTAAGACCCGGAATTCTGTCTAGATTGCTTTCAATGGACGAAGAGGAGAAAACCGGCAAGTCTGAGGCATTTTCGAATATTTGCGAGTGTTTGACCACTTTGATTCGAGGATTCTCCAGATCCAACCAAGAGGGAACCTGGCCATTCGTCACAAGATGTATGTGGCGGATCCATGGTGCATATCTTTCCAAGGAGCGAAACGAATATCGGAGCTCGTCGTTGTCTCTAAAGTGATTTTCTGCCGAAGCACCCTCTTTGTCATCATTGCCACTTCTTTGTTCTCTTGGGGTATTTCGGCCAGGTCCATCGTGCTGTTGGATCCATTGCTGATACCAGAAATTCCTCTCACTCTGCCATATAGGGTCTGATCCATTGACCCAGGTGTAGACGGCATCGATAGGTCCAAAAGTTGATGTTGTCAACCAATTTGCTTGGTTGATGTTATCCGCATAATCGGCGTCGTGTATTTTCCTAATTGGAGATTCTTTTGAAAAAAATATTAACACGGCAAGAAGAACAGCAAGCTGGCGACCGGAAATGAACGGCATACTGGTTGGATAACCCAGTACCATAACTGCCAATTTCATCAGAGATAAGGTGGAGAAGGGAATTGACGATGTATCGTGAGATCCAGAGATATAAAGATATGACCGTAATACGTTTTCTTGGCTCAGCCCGCATCGAGGGATTGTTCCAAGCTTTTGAAAACCGTGGTTGAGCTACACTGCCTTCAATCTTGAGAGGCTTCTCTGGAAAAGGGTTCTGTTGATAAACCAAGCATAACGCCACAAAGATTCTGATGAGCCTGCTATTAAGTGGACGGCGAAGGGTGGCACCCAAAAAGCCTTCCTGGAACCAAAGAAAGTAAGCAATGCGGCAACATTTTGGATAAAAGTTGTTCTTCTTTGGGCACCTTTAAGTCATGGTCGAACACTATTCTAAACGCCAACTTTGGCGACATGACACGGACACTGCCGGCCCCAGTTTTCTAGGCTCAAGAGATATTCCCATTGAAAGTAAATGCAAACAGCCGATGAAATACCAATCTGAACATACTTTTTGTGAAAAGCTTCTAGACCTTGCCAGGAAAATCAAACGAAAAAGATACACAATATTACGGGCGTCATCAACGGTAGCGAAATCACAAGTCCAGCTCTATAATGTGGATCATTTCCGAAAACGGCCGATCCACCGATTTTTCACCTTGTAGACATAGAACGGACCCAAATCTTGTCTACATGAACAATTGCTGTCTCTTTACGATAAGCACATTGTTGGGCTGTAGTCTAGACAGATACTTCTCCTAATACCCAACGCAAACAAATCTGTGACTGGATTCAGTTCTTCACCATTGCGTCACTGCTGGTTCAGCGGCCATTCTCTTCTGTTGCTTTGCCTTGTGCTTTCCTTACTTGATGTTTCGCAGCTAGCGATGCCACAATATATGTTTCGTGTACGTACAAAATACAATTCTATACTTTAACATTTCCTTCTTGATGATATTAAAGCGCCTGAATAACTATTGTGTCCCTCGGGTATCTCTCTGATAGACTTTAGCAGTCGCTGGTCGCAAGTCAATTTAGAAACCATCTCGGGATGGATCGTAGGGCGATACTTTGTCTAGATCGTACCAATCTCAAGCTTTGAACAACAGTACCCATTGCTGATCCCATTAGTATCCACATCATATTACCAATATGAGGACCTAATCCATGGCTACTCCTAAATTAGTCCTTCGAGCAAGTTCATATGAAACCCCGATGATGATGCAGCTTTTTTTGCCATCATTCATTTGTTGGCTCTGCTGGTACTCTGAGACCCCATTTGGTTACCTTGAAACTAAGGCCTAGACCCAGAGTTGACTTGCTTAAAAATGTTACAAAGTCAACGTCGATCTTTTCTTCGTCTTAATTCTCAAGATCACCATTCCGAAACACTATACCTCACCACAAAAGACCCAATACAAAGATGCACTTCAGAGTTATTTTGGGTCTTCTTGCGTTTTCTGGACTTGCGGCTGCTGATGAAGCTGTCGACGAGAATGACCTCGACACAAGGCAGTTCGCAGGTCCTGGATGTTATTGCTGTACCGGGTATGTTGTGAACAAAATTGCTGGAACTCGATGCGGTAGCCGTGAGTTGGCCAACCTATCTAAGCATCTGACTCTGTCCTGCTAACATGCCAACTAGTCGGAGATTATTGCGAAAGTAGTGATCAACTTTGCTGCAATAAGGGAGCTTTTGTCTGGCCTCCGCTTGTTAGTATATTCTCTTTCCCTCCGCAGTCATCTATCTTTTTTGGCCGCAATATAATAAGTTGAAATCTTCTTAGAGTTCCCAAAACAGTAGTTCGATTGTCTGCAGGGGTTAGCCAACGCAGACCATCATTATTTTGCACTAATTTCGATGGCCAGAGAATGGATGGAAAAAATACCTTGTTGACAAGACGACTTCGAACCTCAGAAAGACATATGAAAGAAAACTCTGAAAAGTACAATTTTGATTTGGAAGTATTACTATCTAAACATTATTATTGTGAAAAGATCCTACATTTAAAATATATGCCTATTAAAATCCTACTGTTACAGGTCAAGAGAGTGATCCTTGATGAAACTATCTCATTCAATGAAAGTATCAATTCCGTGGACAGGGAATATGGAGTTTGAGGATATATCCAACGAGCAAACCTTCATGACCAGTACGACATTCATGACATTATCGGGCACTCTCAGGAATCAACCCGTAGGTAGGGTATTCTGGCATTCTCATTCTGTTCTCGAAAATATTCTTAAATATATTAGCTGGCTTGCCTCATAGCTCAGATCTAGACTATGTAGATTTGGAAACCTCCCATTTCTCTTGCATGGTGAGACCAGTTTTGGTTCCGGTGTGAGTACAGCTATCCTCCCTCTCACAAAAGATACTCGTCCTCTATCTCTGGATATTATAGGACACTCGAAGCTATTCATCGACGGAAGAATAGCTTTCAGCAAGTACGATGACTTTAAGAACCGAAGACAAATAAGTTCCCAGGTGTTATGAAGAAGCAAGTAACACGACGTCCCCCTTGAGGCAACTCAACAAGCCCTCATTGGCAATTTCTCGACAGATGGCTGGGGCAATGCATCTTTTTCCCACGCAAGATTCCCGGACGTGGATGGTGATCTCTATTTCAGTACCTTAGGAGATGCCGTCGAAATATCCTATCTTCCCATGTGTGACGCTTCATGCAACCTTGTATTTAAAAAGGTCCGAAAGTCGGGATCATTTGCGACGCCAATTGCAGCGAATATTACGGCTAACATTTTGATATTACGCCATGGCCTGTAGTACAAGCCTCAAAGCCCAGGGGCTATCACCCCTACGTAACTTTTTCGCCACGATGATTTCCTACAAGGGAATACCACACCAGTCCATTTGAAAGAAGTTGGTGCAGATTCATTCAACATTTATATCTCCTGGGAACGCTACCACCACCAGATCACTTTAAAATGTTTGAGGAATCCACGGAATTTTATGTCATCAGCACTTTAAGCACGATATGATTCTTCAGATTAGGAATAGAAAGACTCGCAAACTTAACCCTACTCTAAGATCTGTCTAATACATACGACCACAGGGTGTGGAGAACAGGGCTTCCCGTCCGCTCAGCCGTACTTAAGCCACATACTAAACGCGGTCAATACTCATAGAGCCCCGGACTTTAAAACAGCGTCGAAATTTCTGTTAGGGTGAGTGCGAGTGATGTAGGTGAGAATTCTATAGACTGGAAGTGATAGAGGTGAGAATAGGGTGAGAACAGGGGGAGAATCGGACGAGGAAACTTATAAGAGCCCGAGGGCATGAGTCTAGTCTACTATTCCTTATTTTTAATTTTATCACCTACCTGTCGATAGAAGATGCTCCTAAAAGATATATAAAAGAAACTCGACGAGAGTAAAGCATATGCCATATTACGTAGTTTTACCCTTAGGTATTAAAATACGTAGGAGCAAGTAGATAATACTATATACTATAAGTAGCTCGCCCTAGCTACGCCTAAAAACTACGAAAATACTGTTATGGAACAACCATATTTGATGTTATTCCGACCGGCTTGTTTCGGATATGAATCGTAGATATAACGATGTTGGTTCATGAAAGAACGGCATAATAGAATTATGGATCTGGATCGGACTCTTTTACCGATACTCTTTCGGCAAGCAGTGGAATGACGACATTTAAGACTATAGAAAGAGAATCCCCCCTTCTTTAAAACTAAATCTCTTCAAGATCAGATTTAGTTGGTTATTGGAATAATATACTCTTGTTACCCTTCCGATTCAGTCACGATTCTATATTATGTTGATTTTTTCCTTACCTGACCAACAGGCCGTTACCCTGCAAGTAACACCCTAACACATTGGATGATATCTTTCTAGTGCACTGTCGTTACAGATATAGCATCATCTCCTAGGGGGAGGCCTAGACTGAACAACACACTCCTTTTCTCCACTCAGCATCTGCTTCTCTCTTTAGGAGGTCTTCCTCCGGCGTGGTTTATAGTGGTTTGGTGGTTAGTTTGTTGATGCTAGCTCCGCTTTTTCTGCCTTATCAGATTTGCCCGCGAGCGCCCCGGTTCAGTTTATATAGTAGCGCACGGGTATGTCGGCCCGGCCGCAGCCGCGCCTGACACCTTCCCCTAATACACTATACATGATCAACGCTGAAACTTATTTCTCGATTTGTATCGGAGCCTTCCTAAGGTTTTCGGATTATTCGTTTATCCTTAAGACTTTCTCTATATCAGTCGTCGGCAAAGAAATGAATCACACCCGAGATAATATACTACGTAAATCTAACGTCGTACATTTTATTCATATTCTTCTCTATCTACCTTTGCTATCGATTATTCATACAGATAAATCACAACTCCCCCTCTACATCCATTTCAATTCACCTAGATATTGACTTTATTTTGATGGCACTGGCGGCAGATATACCTGAGTGCAATTGCAATCTGCTCGGGAAATTCTTAAGTGCAGCACTCGGAGGGATCCTAGGATTTACCCTAGGTAGAACTCTAGAGAAATGCTACAATTACTTTGAACGGCGATATCTCTCTGCCAATGCCAATACTATATTATTTAACGGAAGTACTACCGCTACCGGCGGGGATAATGATGATATTCACACATTCGATAACTATGAACCCGAAAATACTCTATATCTTCCAGTTTACAACACACCTCTGACAACGCCTGGGCATGATATATCAGATATGGATCGAGATATCAGAAGGGGGCTGCATGTCAAGAGGATTCACACAACCCTAGAGTGACATGACCACGGGATGTCTCTGTTTAGCATCCCGGGCCTTTAAAAAGGAGCCTAAAACAGGATGCAAAGCAAGATATAAATAAAAAGAGACAATGACAGACACTATTCTATGTGTTCAGCTATCACATCATCTACCAGCTATTCCCGTTTAAGCGTTAGGCGTCGTTGAGTTTGCAGGGGTAGGAGATATTGTGACAGATTTATCTGCTGGAACCATAATAATCTTAGATAATTCCCTCTTTGCTACATGGTTCCTCCATGTCACTCGACTCTTAACAGATTGTCTTCAAGTTCAAGAGCCTGTTCAATATTGACCTGTTGATAATTTTGCCCTAGAGAGTTTTGCTCCTGTTACAACTCTGGAATGCGTTAAACAAATCATTATCTAAAGCACTAGGAAATTTGCCTTGTTTTGTTACCACGTGACGGCATCGTCACCGTTAGCTTATCATTAATTCCCTCATAAGAATAAAACATCATCTTTACATCTCCCATGAACCCAGCTTCTTGTTACCATGTTTCCTTTTTTACCACTTCACAGTATTGCTAGTAGTATTTACCGTGTCTACTTTGCTCAATTCTTTCATTGCAAATGCAATATCATTCAACAGCTGTTCCTAATGTACACCTGTTACAAGCAGATATTATATACAAAGGCTCGTCTTGGCTTCACCCAAAGGCTACTAGTCACCAGCACTACGAAGAAGTGCGAGCATATCGCTGGTGGCCCCAACTCCATATAATCAAGATTAGCCGTCTCGAATATAGGAGCTTTAGATAGGGGTGATGGCAATCAATACATTCACCAATTGATCAAGTCAAATAGCTTCAGCAAACTACTTCCTTTATCGTAGGTCACAGTTTTGCAACTGTGAGGTACAACCCTAACGACTATAGTACTGAATTAGGCGACGAACCCGAGTCGATCGGCGGCGCGGAGAGGAGGAGTGGGAGGAGGAGGAGGAGGGCGACAGACGGTGAGCAGGCGGGTCGGCGGCGGCGACAGCATGCGCTCGGGGGGCCCGATCGACTCGGGGAAAGGGAAGGAGGAGAGGAGGAGGGGGAGGGATATCGTCGAAGGCGGCAGCGGCGGCGGGGCGGAGGATGGCGTTGGATAGGTCGTCCAGCTCAGTACCATGGTCATCAGGCCCCTGCTCCGGATCGGAAGTTCTTCCTGGATAGATCCTCGGCAAAGGATGTCTCCATTGTGCTAGACGGTCACAGAGCGAACCCTATAGTCTCTTCAGTCGCGCTCGTACCGACGCAATACTGAAGCAGATTGCTATCACTGCTAGGAAACTAGCAATTAGCGTCGAAGGCTAGTCAAAATCAACCATTTTGAAACAAAAAAGGTGAGATATTAGTCTATAGGATAGGTACTTAGCTCTAGGGTGCGTCGCTTGTTATGAACGAAGCGACATGGAGAGAGGGAAAGTGACTAGATACAATCAAATAAAAATAAATGCTGCGACTGTACAATTTGAGGAAGCTACGACTTGAATTCATTGTAAAGATTTAGTGTAGAAGGAACGGCTTGACGTAGGAGGGCAAGTGTATAGATGTAGTAGCTGACTTAGGGCTAGCACCCGCGGATAGAGTATCAAGGCAATAGGTATTGCTACCAGAATAGTAGTGACTTCTCAAATCTGAGCTAAGCTTCTAGGGTGAGCTTCATCTATTTACCGATTCCGTTCTGTATCCATATCTACCCCCTTAGTAAAATTCCTTCCTACTTGAATATTCAGATTCTACAGCTATAGCGATTATGACGACTAGGATTGATTTAAATAAATCGCGAACTACAACAGTGGCAGTATAGTAGTCCGTTCTAATTCCATTTATGATTTTATTTACGTTTACGTCAAACTACGCCTATCCTCTAGAAGCGCAATAGGCTTTGATGATTATATAATAGTTTTTGCTACGGTATAAGCTACTAGAGTCTTCCTCTTTTTCTAATCTCGAGGTTATTGCCTTCTAATACGATCCTGATAATAGGCTATATCTGTTACGCTATATATAATTGCTCTAGTTTATAGTACGCTTAATAGTTTCGTAAAACCTAAAAGCTTGAGTAGGCTAGAGACGTGGGAAATACTAGTTTTTACTATTACTAGTAGTACTACTAGCTTAGATAACTTTATCTTACCTAGGTCTACCTTATAGCTTTGGTCGGCATCAAGCTATACTCTCGATACAAGACATTGAAGGTTTTTTCAAGGTATGTGTCAAAATAAGCATTCACTTAACCAAGCAACAACCCTAGTTGACCAAGCCTAGGTATACATGTACTATGTCATAGTTGTCTCGTCACTAACAATCCTCACTATAATTGACGGGGCGATTGGATTTATAGTCACCTTTATTCCTGGGCTATCGCGACAATTAAGCTCTCAATTCTTTTTACTATCGAATCTTCAGCACAATTGAAATACGTCGGGTTGTGATTAGTAGCACCATATTCATTATCTTTTGGCTTGCAGCTACGGAAATTTCACTCGGTCTCCAGTGCATACCTGTAGAGCGGATATATCTGCCAGCTCAGATGCTGGAATTCCTAGATAATAAAGTATGCGGAAACTCGTTCTCGGCTTGATTCCCCCCTCAACCTGTCGGTTTAGATTACTATGCTAATGCCACCCTGGTCGTGCGACGCTAAAGCGGCGCTCACCCTTTTCTCACCCGAGCGATAGCCACCCAACTATTGACCGCGTTGAAGCCACACGCCGGCAGGTTAGTAGTTGGGTGGGTGACCACCAGCGAATCCCTGCTGTTGTGTGTTTTTGCTCACCTAGTATTTTTGATCTGTTGGGTTTAATGCCTTTGCCGCCCTATCTTCCTTCAGTCCGGTCCGGGCCCCAATCTGAAGGACCTGAAACCCCTCTATTCCACACCCTAAATACCCTGCGGACCCCTGAAGCGCTGACATCGCCTCTCGGCTAATATTTCCCCTTTCTTCTATTGAACGCAGGCCTGATAATCCCCTGCATATATGTTCTAGAAGTCACCTTACCACCAACCTCTACAGGCTTCAATTACCAAGATTCCTAGTTTCCTACAGCGTCCTTACGCCGACCATCTAGTCCTCTAAAGAATACAAGGGGCAAGAGCCGAGATACTTATAGCCATTCCTAGCTTGTTGTGCCTGTTAGTTCTAGAGGACTGTTGCTATACGTGCGGAGGTGATTAGTTTTAGGTGTTTTGCACGGTCCTATACATTAGTAGTGTCTCCGCTGCTTGCCGAAAGAATATCGGTAAAGGAGTCCGATTCCGAATTCCGTCTTGCCGTGCCTTTCTTCATGAACGCATATCGTCATGCGTGCGATTCGTATCCGAAACAAGCCGGTTGATTAGGATAATCATAAAACGTGGATATTTCTTAACACGTACCGTGAGAAAAGGGTTGTCTACCGCGGGAGATAGACATCTTCAAGGCCCGACAGCATAGTAGGGCCGGGTTTCGGGCCTAATATCAAAGCCCGCGTCGGGAAAAGTCGGGCCCCCGAAATTAAATAAATAGTACAAATATCAGCTGCCCTCCTGTCTGTATAATTTATATAAATTCTATCTATTTTTATACGTATCAAGGACATACCTATATCGTACTTGTTATAGAATAACCACATTTGATATTACTCCGGCCGACCGGCTTGTTTCGGGTACGAATCGTACACCTGCTGATATCTCTTCATGAAAAAGAACAAGTTGGAATCGGACTTCTTTATCGTAATACCTTCGGCAGGCAGCGGAATGACGACATTCAGGTTATAGAAAGAGAATTCCCATCCTTTTGAACTGAATTTCTTCAAGATTCAGTAAATGGAATAATACACCTTTACTATTCTTCCTCGATTCTATCACGATTCAATATTGTGTTCATTTTTCCTTACCTGACCAACAGGCCATTAACTTGGAAGTAGTACCCTAACAATATCTTATTATAGCCTTACCTTGATTTAAAAGTAGTAAGCAAGAGAAGTATACTCCTTTCCATATTAAATATAGGTCTTAGTGACTGTCTAGCAGATTCCATCTAACAAAGTTCAGATTCCTTACTGAAGAATTTACTATATTAGGTAGTACCAGACCTTATAATATATATGCTAATATATCTAGCTTAAGAGATATAAAGTAAGTAACTAGGTATAGATCTACCAATTCTTATTCCGAGCTAAAAAGCGTCTAGAAAGAAACAACCCGAATTACATATCTGTATGCCGAATAACACTTTCATTTTCCAGGTGGTTTATTAAGCCTGCTTTCCAAGTGCTTCATATGGCACTGGCTAGGCTAAAGTCGATCTAACTAAAAAGACCAAAGTGCTAAGAGATTAGCATGCCTACCATCATATTTGAAGCAGTAGTAAATATATGGCAGACCGGTTAAAGGGTACTAAGCTATTAGTTTATACGATTTTCCAAAATATCTCGAAGGAAGGTCAGTAAAGCCAGTAGGTGAGGCTGATCACCTCCTGGGTAAGAATTCTCAATCCGTTCTTACCTCTCACCCATATCACCCACACTCACCTCAACATCCATCTCCTCGCTGCTCTAGGCCCCATGGGTCATAAGGGCGTATGGGGAATTGACCGTGCGAAATAGGTGGCTTATGTGTGGCTAGTAGTCGGGTGAATGTCGCCCAGGTGAGAAGTAGGTGAGCAGGGTGAGTGTGCAATAGACAGGGTGAGTGAGAAGCAGGGTGAGAACGGGTCTGATTGCGCGATCGATGCATTGACCCCGTTAGTGGAGTTGGTTCATGATATATATGATTGGGTTTCAAGATCGCAACCCGCCTTGTTCATGAGAGCTCACTATATTTTTCTAGTAAGGGAGCTCCTTTACAACTAACCTACTAGCAACTCCCTACTTAAGTATTACTATACAAGGATCCTATAGACTTAGTCTATAAATGCCCCAGACAGCGATGGTACAGTTACAGAAGAATGGCTTGCGCTAAGTACTCGACTTGTGCATGCTCACGTTGCTTGGTAGCCAGTTCGCAATATGTAGGTGGAGCGAGCTCGTCTTCGTCTAAAGTGGCCCTATAGACTATAACAGACTATCTGATAATTACCGCCATCGGTTTAGGTATAGGTGATTTCCAGTTTGAGGAAAGTTAAATTATTCGAAAGATTAGTTATGAGAATTCGCGCGTAAGCCACTTCAACAACCCGCATTGTTGGATATTTCAACCCATTTTCCTGGTATAGGAATGCAACACTCTAGATATCAAGAAACTAATTCAGGGTTGGGCAAGCCAATACCGTCGAAGTTGTTGTGATGTAAACCGTTGAGAGCTCGACGGGCGCTGTCTTTGTCACTGTCACAACCTCCGTACGAGGGCTAACAAGGTATATGGTTGTATCTGTGGGAATAGTGCGGGTGGTTGTGTGAGGCACTCGGTCGGTTAATGGACAATCAAGCACCGCCTCGGGGCACCGAAGAGTAGTAAAAGTTTCAGTAGTGTAGAGCGTTTCAGTTGTGATTGACTCGGGGCCGGTTTGACGAACTGGAGCGACCGTCGTACGAACGGGGATGGTTTCGGTAGTGACTCGGGTGATTTTCTCGGATGCAGGACACTCTTCAAGCCAGTCTGGACAGGCGGTAACGCTGTATGTGGTTGTCGAGAACTCAGTCAAGGTAGTCAGATGATAAACAGTAGTGCTTGTGGCGATGGTACGGGTAGTGGTGTGAGGAACTCGATCGGTTAATGGGCAATCAACTACTATCTCTGGGCACCGAAGAACAGTGGTAGTTTCGGTAGTGTAGAAAGTTTCAGTAGTGAAAGTGGAGGTTGGACGATTTGGGACGATTGTGGTACCGATAATAATTGCGGTTGTAGATGTAGACTCTATCCGGAGACTAGATGGGCAGTTTTTGTTATGTGGAGGACACACCACACCTGTCCAGATTGATGTGCTCAGGATGGTCGATGTTGTTAATTCAGTTGTAGGGGGAAGGAGACGACTTGATTCCGGGGCCAGTCAGTGGTAATGTAGACGAAGAGAGAGGGGATAGCGACCCGCTACTCCCAGAATGTTGAGGGCGTCTGGATAATGATTGAGAAGGCTTAGGTTTGGAGCTGCTCAAGGGCTGAGCAGAGGGTAACACGCTGGGAGTTGCCGTGGATAATGAATTGCTAGAGCGGGCTGAAGATATTAACCTTCTGGAGCTGCTCAGGGGCCGAGCAAGAGGTGAAGAGCTGAGAGCTGCCGTGGATGATGATTGAGCAGACGTGGATAATGATTTGCTAGAGCGCGCTGAAGATATTAAACTTCTTGAGCTGCTCAGGGGCTGAGCAGGAGGTGAAGAGCTGGGAGTTTCCGTGGATGATGATTGAGTAGAGGACGCCGAAGAGATTGGGCCTGACGGAGTTGCTCTTGAAGATGCCTGCAAGGTCGATGGTAAAGGAGTGCTGGACGCCACCGGGGTGCTCAAAGACGGTGAACTCAAAGGTGTCGAACTCGAGGAGAATGTTTCCGTTTCCGTCTCCGTGAGTGTATATACAACAGCAACAGTCGTGACCTCTATGGATGCTGTTGTCTGTGTCTCTGTCACGGTAACAATACATGGATTTGTAGTATAAGGCATTATGTCACCAATACTACTAGGCCCAACCGTTGGAGTCAAGGTACCCGTAAGCAAGTAACAACTGGTTCTTCCGTTTTGAGTGTACATATTAACACCTTGGCATCTTGTTGAGATACTGCAACGTGATGCACAACTTGCAGCGGGTGTGTTTGTCAAAACTTGCAAAGTCGTTCCGTGAGAGATAAAGGCAGAGCTGCAGTCGATGCTCCAGTAGACTGAGCCATCATACCAAACTCCATTCGTGCATGATGATCCACTTGGCATTCCCACAGCAGGCGAACATGTTGAAGAAGTTGTGGTGATAGTTGTCACGCTATTCAGCGTGGTAGTGACAATATCGAATGAAGTCGCTGTGATCGTCCCTACCACGATGGAGTCCCGAGCCTGAGTGGCCGACTGGATATCAGTAGAAGTTTCCGTATCTGGTATAATTGCCCATGCTGACTGCACAGAGGCAGCTAGCATGAAATAGATGGATCTCATTGAGAGAATTCTGGTGTCTAATTGACAAAACTTTCCACAAATTCCTCCTCCTCCCGAACCAGGCGACTGTGGTTGTTTTTATTTATTATTATTAGTACGCGATACCCGAGAGCCTATTTACTCCGAGGATTTTGACGGCCTATTCAACACCGACCTCCAATTTTAAATTGGTGTACGGAGTACAGACTTGCCGAACGAGGCGATATTCTATTCGCGGCAGCTCAAAAAACCACGCTATTGATCGCCACCGGTGTCTTCGTGGCTTCCAGGTGGTGATTTCTCCCGAGCCACCAAGCCAAGTTGGGTTAGATGGTGAACGTATGATGGAGAATACCGGAGAACGCCTTAAAGCTTGGAAATGTTGGAAAATCAATAACCAATAACTTCAATTTTATCGAAAAACTAGGACGAACTTGAACAAATCTGAAATTGACGGCTTGAATGGTGAATTCTCTGTTTTGTGAATACTTAAACCATGAATAATTAAGCCTTATTTGGCACTAGCTTGGCGCCTCCACAACCTCTCCACTGTTCAAAGATAGTTCCTGGTAAAATTTGCCCAGCCAACCAGAGCTTATACCCGACCTTCATTCAAAATCCATGGCTGTGAACTGAAGGCCGCACTAGGTTCCACATTTCCAAGGTTGCGGCGCTCGTTTCCAAAGGTTCACCCGAGGCTCTTGTAGCAAGGGATAGCAAGGGATGTGATATGGGGAAAGAACTACCTGTCAGGACTGCTTGGCTTGATGAGAAAGGTCGTCCCAGCCAAAATGAAATTAGATGGTCTACGCTACTTTATTCAGTATTGGAGAGATGGAACTGCACAATCCTGTCCCCAGGGCCAATTTAGATACGTAAATTGCCTCTTCATCGCTTTAAGTGTTTATTTCTGTCAATGTTGTAGGATACGGTATCGGCTAGGAAAGCTAGGATCTAATGGAACGAGATGCTCGATATAGTGATGTATTAGGTGACTGAACTATCTAAGTGTGTATGTAGGCGGGGAATGTTGAATATCCCCTACCTTGCTGTCTAGCGCGTTACGGCGCTGGGTTCTGAGTACACCCGGGATGCCATACAAAACATGCAGTGAATCGAGTATCTCTGTAACAATCTGACGCACACGGGGATATGTATGTTAGGGGAAGTACTTGATATAAAGATTAGTGGAGAAACAGCCTACGATAGGCTTGCCGTAGACTGCCCTGGTTCAATACGTACACATGTGTAAGAATAAGTAGACGAGAACATGAAAATGTTTTCGGAACCAGCCTGCTGTGATGATATATAGCCATATTGTCTAGTTTTCCTATTACGCTAGTCCAAATACTGTAGCTTGATGGTCTGCTCCTAATCATGAAGGAAATTGAAATTGTATGTCAAATATAGTATGCATTCCAGATCTACAGACATCACAAAACAAAGACCCCGAAACTAGATGAGAACAAATCATGCAACCGAAATGTATTCACACGCACATGCATATGTATACGCTGCAAAAACGCCTAGAAAATAAATGAAAACGGCGAGGGGGAAGAATATATGAAAAAGAAAGGAAAAAACGAGATATGAGAGCCCGCAGGCTTACATGCCACGGTTAAACTCGACCATGCCATCCTGGCCACCACGGCCATGGAACTCCTCCTCGAGACTACTGGCACTGATGGCCTGGCGCTGGGGGAAGGCAGCCAGCGCCAGCGGTAGAGCAAACAGCGAGGTGGTCAGAACCAGGCCCAGGTTGACGGGGAGAACCAAGCGCGGGTTGCCGCGCAACCAGGCGGTCTTCTCAAGACGGACCAAGATGAGTGGCGGGAGGACCATGATGGGAGTGGCATTGAGCACACGGCTGATGGCGGTCTCGCCGACGGCCAGGGTAGCAGCCTTCTTGCTCTTGCCCAGGCTCTGCAGGGGAGCGTCATCCTCACCGGACTGCGCGCGCTTGGCGCGCTCAGCCTCCGACAGGACGGGATAGATGTCGATGCCTTGGCGGATCTCCTCACCGCGCATGAGGAAGACATTGAGAGCGCTGGCGCTGGCGACGGCGGCGAAGGGAACGAGACGGGAGAGGATGAGACGGGTGTTGGGCGAGATGCTTTTCAGACGCGGAACGAGGGCGTTCAGGCCCAGAGCCACGGAGCATGATGCGGAGACGGCCATGAGGTAGGACTTGGCGATCTGGGAGGTAGAGAGAGGGGTGGACTTGTTGGCGTTGGCATTGTTGATAGCGACGTTGAGCGACTGGTTGCCGATTTGCCAGAGGAGGGTGCCGGCGGTCTATTGGATTGAGGGTTAGCACAGTGCTCGGTATGGGGTATCCAGGGTCTCCTGGTTGAAGAGGAGCAAGATCTTTCTTACCCCAAGGCCCGGGGTGAGCATGCCCGCAGTGACCACCAGATTCGAGAGGACATAGCATGACATGCGGAAAGGCAGAAGAACTGGTTCACCGGTATCTAAAGCACCGAGGTTAGTTCAATTGGTCGTTTATTCGAGTTGCCTACCTGATCGCCTGTCTGGAGGGGTCATGCGATGGATACATACCTGGGTGAAGGGTTGAATCGACCACCTTCTTTGCCTTCCATAGATCCGGAGTCATATGAGGGATCTTGTTCTGCTTATACAAGGCAATGAGACTTTTGGCCTGGTCCAGACCAGTGGACGACACCAAGAGTGTCCTGACGCGAACTGTTAGCACACATTGTGAAGGGAAAGGGTCCGGCAGACTCACCGGGGGTCAGAAATGTCCGCAGCATGACGAACACGGCCCCAGTAGGTGCTCAAATCATATTGAGAGACGGGCAAGTCCCTGTTACCAGGAAGAGAGGCAGACATGACCGGGATCGCGAGAACAATAAAAGCACAGCTCTCAATGAAGGGCGACAAAAGGAAAGATGACTCTTTTTGCGGGGAGCTGATTTCTTTTTCACGATAAAAAAGGCGGTGAGCCGATAACGGGTCTACGGGCCAATTGGCGAGCGGCAATTCAGGGACCGCCGGGCGGGTTCCCGATTCTATGCGAGATTGCGAGGAGACAAGCGATTCTATTGGGTCGCGTCTCGGGCCGGTTGAGGGGTGGCAATCGTAGTTTGTCTACGGGAGGCGCTGCAAACCCTGATAGATCGGGGTAAGCGGCATGGAGAAGCAACACGTTAAAAGCGACTCTTGTCTTGCGCTCATACTTAATAGTAGTATAATAGACGGAAATGCACATGAATAGTCTAGTGTATTGCATTTTATCGAGGTTGCATAGTCAGGTCGCTAAGAAGAAATGCGGAGCCCAGGTATCAAGAGGAAAAGAGGGAGACAATTAAAAAAAAACGATGGCGGGAGACATCCCGAATAATGCACAAGGATATATAGAGCAGAATAAGAGGGCGACCAACAGGGTTCATGACTGAGGGAAATAAAACAAATGAAATACAGTCGTCAAGGACACACATGTCAGCACTGGACCGGCCCGGCAGCATTACCGAAATCGAAAAGACTTGTGTGCGAGGGGTGAGGGGGGTCCTCCGCTAGGCCCATAGCTTGCCCGGACGCGGTTCTGACGTGACGGAGTGTGGTCACAGAACATGCACACGTAAAAAGAGGGTAGATTTGCACGTTCGAGGCCGACGCATTTGGTGTGGAGCCAATGAGTACATGATTCACTAGAACACAAATGAATATCATCAATAAACAGGGAAAAAAAAAACATAAATCGTGCTGAAGAATGCGACTCACCATTGAATCATGAGATGGCCACCATTGTCCATCGATTGGCAGACGCAGCGTGTGCCGTTACTCGGATTGCTATGGCGATCGGTGCTTGGGGTGGCCAGGTCAGGGTCGGTCAGGGTGGTAGGGGAGGCATTAGAGTGTCGAGGATGAATATCAAAATCGCTTGTTAATCGAGGAGGAGAAGATCGCAGATGGGTGAACGTATGTGATGACCGCGGCAGGCGAGCACTATAGCTACTCCCCGTGGATGGTCGACCTCGGCTCCGATCCTTAAGCACCTGCCGAAGGGCATGTGTGGCATCGCCACTGTCATCTTCATCTCCAGGTAATGATCGAGAAGCGACGCTACCCCGGGTATATGTGGCATCAGAAGGAAGCAGAGAAGAATGTCGCTTGGGAGTTCGTTTGATGGCTTCGGGAGAGCCTCGATAGGTAGATCGACCGCTGACGGCTCGAGAAGATCCAGCCCATGGAGACATACGGCCTGAGTGAGAGGAGCCAACAGTGGACGCATATGAGCCCTTTGAAGGAGGCCGGGATCCCGAGTCACTACGAGACAACGAAGGCCGCCCGCCGTCGAAAAATCCAAAAGAAGACTGGGTACGAGTCAGAACCGGATAGTCTGAGAACTCGGCCGGATCGGCCTCGCTTTCAGTGGCAGAGCCATCCAGATCCATGCCAGTGAGAGGATCAGTCAAGCCGCTGGGACCTTGATCGACCGGCTGCATTTCCGCCTTTGCACGGCCATCCCGGCCAATGCGAAGAACCATGGATCGAGAGCGAGTTGGAAGGCCCGTGGCCACCGAATTCGACCGTCCTAAGGGCGCCGGACGTATGGTTTTGACAGGGGATGCCCGACCCTTGGAAGGACTCTTGCGGATTCCACTCGCGGAAGCCATCAGCCCACTTGATCGACTGAGGGGCCGATGAGATGAGCTGGTCATAGCCGTATGAGTTACGCTTCGAGTCAGGCCGGGGCGTATACCTCTCGGGGTAAAATCTTCGTCTTCGTCTTCTTCGGAGAAGCTTGAGGTCGAACCGGGAGGCGGCCGATCAAGATGCCCATATGCACGACGCAGCTCTTCCCGCTTCGATTCTTCCGTTTGGTGATGATATGGCTGTCTCATGCCCGTCGTCGGCCGTCGCTCTGGTGTCATCTGCGGTCCGCCGAACCGTCGGGCCGGTGAACTTAGAAACAGAGCCGGATCGTCGGCCTTGGTGACTGGGATTCGAGGTGAGGTGGAAAAGGGCGCGGGGAACAGGGCCGCATCTGTCGGAGGAACAGGTGGAATGCCAAAACCGCTCCCAGTGAAATCTGGGAGATCGATTGAGCCACCAATAGAAGGTAATTGAGGGATATGGCTGGCGGTGGAAGATGAGGAGGAGGCGGCGGAATGGATTGGAGGCCGACCAACATGATCCTGGTTTCTCCCCAACTCTGGCAAAGGGAGCGTACTGACTGCCGGCTCTTGGTCGTTGTCCCAGAATAGTCGCTGTTGTGGGAAGAAGGGAGACCCGGTGGGATCTAACGAGGCGAGCTGGAAGAGATCAGGCGAGGATTGAAGGTTACCAAACATTCGTGGCGAGGCCCCCAGCAATCGACTCGGCGTCTCCAGGTGACTGCTCATGCGCGGTGTTGCTCCTCGGCCCACGCTAGGAACAGGATCGAAATCTGGGATCTTCCTCCGGGACGCACTGGTGGGCGGTGGTGTCTGCATGGAGGCTGCGGACTTGGCTGAATCCACGGTTCGCGGGCCCTCCTCTGTCATCAGCGGAAGGGGCTTCGGGGGCCGAATCCGTCTCACTGTATCGGTCTGTTCTGAGACTCTTCCATCCTGGGTGGTGTCGCCGGCAGCTCGCAATGCATTGGACGGGGTGTTGGCGTGGACGCCGAATTTCTGCGGGGAGCGGAGGAATTCCGGGCTGGATGCATACGGGTCGGCGGTATCCCAGGTGACGCGGGGGTCGAAGAAACTGGATTCGAGCTTCGGGGTCGAGAAAGAGTCGAAAGCCGTAGTCGTCGGGGTCCTCGTGGGGGTTTGAGGTTCGCCGTTGGGATAGCTGAAGCTAAACATGCCGGGCGGTATTAGTATCATGACTGCGGGGGATGAGAACTGGCGGCGGCGGAGCAGGTGGCCATGGGGGAGGTTGGACGAGGACCAGGACCCGATCACGACTCGTGGAACATGCCCAAGGAAGGGATAAAGTCACTTGCAACTCATGGATCGGAGCCGACACACCTCCCCGCACGGAAGGGGGGGAGGAGGAGGAGGGTTTTGGAGGAAGGGGAAGGGGGAAGGGGGTAGGGGGGAGGGGGATTGGCAGGGACGGTGGACACATACCTGTGGATAGGATGATCCCAACTCATGTCCGCAACTCAAACCTAGCAACCATTGAAGGTTGAGGTGCCAGACAACCTTCGCGGCGGACGGAGAAATGGGAGAGTTCTGGGGATTGGACGGTATTGAAGCGGGAACGAGGTAACGGGGTCGAGGAGCGAAGCTCGGGAGTTTATGGAGGTCTGTGAGTCCGAAGGTGAGGAATGCTCGACAGGGAGACGAAGACCGGACAACAGTCGGAGAGCAGCGAGCAGCGAGCGGAAAGCAGTGAGCTGAGAGCGAAAGAGAGACAGGAGAGGGATAGCGAGAGGATCGATATCGAGCTCGGTTCAGTGAGGGGATGGGTGGTTGGACGAGGCCAAAGGAGGGATCCTTCGTCGACACAGTTTCCCACAGCTCGTGCTAGACACAGGCGAGGCTCACAAGGGGTGCCAAGGTCAAGTAGAAATACCAACAGTCATGGAATCGTTCATCGTCCGGAGCAAGAGTCAATGGACGCAGTTGCCGGACTTGCTCTGTTCGGTTTGGCCCAGGGAATGGAGGAGGGTAGGATGGGTGGACGACGTAACTGTACGTCGTAGTTGGATGTATAGAGAATGTTTAGAGGGATCGTGGAGGCCGGCGTGCAGTGAACGCTGGGATTCAGTTCCGTATGGCGTCGGTGTCAGACGGGAGCCTCAAACGGGCTGAGTGCTGTGGGATCAGCGTCACGGGGAGTGGTTCGTAGTAGTCTTCAAGGAATGTCGAGCGAAGGAGGGGGGCTCGTGAGGAGTTGGAGAGGACCAGGACCGAGACTAGGGTTAGATCGGTTGGAGTCTTGAGATATCGGACAGGAGGGATTGAAGTGGGAGGGGGCTGTTTTTCTTTTTCTCTGTTTGTCTAGCTTTTTTGCTCTTTTTTTTTCCCGTTAATTTTGGGGCCGTGGGGACTGCATGAGGTTGTTCCGTTGGCCTCCACCGATCCACCATGGGATCCGATCCAAAAGTCGGGTCACGGAGTGCACGATCTATGCTGCTGGGAGTTCGCAGCTACGGCAAATTATACTACGGAGTGTTATCTGTCCCCTGGATCGTCATGGCCAGCTGGCGTCGGATCCCTGGAACGCGAACGATCGTTCTTGGGTCTTTACGCCGTGAACTATAGAACTGGCTAGTCATCACCTTCAGCCCGCCACAAAAGATCCGTCGGGAAAAGAGGCAGACCTCCTAGTGCAAATGCATTGCACACGCTTCTGAGGGCACTGGGGTTTAGTCCTCCATACGGCGTCTCGGGGCTACCAGGGCCTATTCGGGCTGCGAGGGCTAATTATTGAGGAGTATATCCATGATTCCAGGGTCGAGATCTGTCAAAGCTGACGTCGGGAAGGAAACGGGCAGACTGCCGCATGCAACCTCAATAATACATCGGTCTTTCGATTGGGGAGAGACGACTCTCGGTCCGCCAGAAGTCAGCACTGCCCAGTTAAGCAAAGGGGGAGGGGCCTATCAAGGGAGCGCGAGACAAAAGCTCACTCCGACGGCCTAAGAAACGACCGAAAGAAACCAGGCCCGCCGATCCAGGCCCCATTCGCTCTTTCGAGCCGGGGCGGGGGAGGAGGAGAGGAACAAAGAGCGCGAAGCCTTGTTTTAGGCCCAGTTTCCTCGTTTCCTCGCTTTGGATCACTCGATCTAGGACGGAGTCGTCCTAGCGATGACTAGGCGTCGGGGGCGTCGGGGGAGCCGGGCATGCCCAGCCTCCCCCCGCGCGACCGGCGCTTCGGTGTTGGCTCTGGGGGCCCTCCCGGGCCCCCAGAGCTACCGGCCTTGAGCCAGTAATGGCGGGCCCCGAGGCGACACGAAGAGCCCGGCCGATGACGACATGCGGTGCCCCCTGGCGAGAGCAAAGTGGAGCTTCGGAAAGCGAACAGGTCAAGCTGAACAAGAAAATGTGAAAACGAGATAGGGTCTCCGGGCAAGGGGCAATGTATAGGTACCGACCGAGCCTGTACCTTCGGTCTTGCTTTTACTGTACCTCTCTCTGGAGCATGCTATCTTCCCAGTACATCAAATACTCCTTTTACGCAGTCGACTACGGAGTAGAGCTTACATAGTGCCAGTTCCGTAGAAATGAACCACTTGGTCTCTCCTATAATAGAGATCGAACCAGAGCGAGCTCCAAGATTATCCTGTAAAATGGGCTGGCCTTCTTCACTGTCTGCACCGGCGACAGGAGAAAGGGGGCCCGCTGGGCGGAACGAGGCGACCAACCGACTTGGATGAAGCTGAAGGGGCAATTCCTCCGCACTGTCCATTTAGCCCGTTTCCCGCTCTTCTGTTTCCATGGTTGTCTTCTGCCTTTTTTTTCCCCTTCTCCCCTCTCTTCTAGCGAGTCGTCCAAGACCAAATCAAAACAACGAACGTAGAGTGTGGTAAGAGGATAAGGGCATCAGGTATTCGTACGCTCTTCATGATATACTCCCTTCATCTTGGCCTCTGTCAACACATGTATCGATATTTTCGGGGTCCCGCATCTGCACGTCGTCATGATTCGAGGATCGCCCTGCAGCCGATTTGCGGCCCCTGGCATACGAGCTGAGCGGGGCTCCTCTTGGCGAGGAGCGGGTGCCTGGTGAAGGAAGCACATGCTGCATTAGTAGTGGAGCACAAACAGCAAACTGGTTTCCTGTATTTTGTACCCTATACAAAGAACAGAGGCTTTGGTAATAGATCGGTGTTTTCTACTCCACATATACAAGCATGGCGCCGTCAGGTAAACAGTCAGGTCATACCTCGACAGAATACTCGATCTTTCATATCCCACACCGAAGCTTACCTGGTCAACCGTGACCTCCGATATGGACGAATCTCTAGGCCGAACCATACCGGATGCCCAATTCAAGTTCCCATGTATTTGGTCACCTCAATGGTCCGGGGACATGGAGAGAAGCGGATGCCAAATTTCCATGGTCTGAGCCGATGATGGGGGGTGATCGCCCTTCCTCGGCCGCGAACAATAGTGTCGGTCTCGATGCACGGTACCTGCTGAGGATGCGGCATGCTGCAGGTCCAATGAACAAAGGTACGACAGAGAAGCGAGAGAGCTGTACACTTCTTCAAAAATAAGGGAGATTCCCTTTTCTTACCCCCGCCCCTTTTTGTTTTCCTCCTTGTTTTTCTCTTCTTCTCCGGCAATCGATGGCCAATTTCCGGCCATCGACGCGGCGAGGGCCCCCGCCCCCAAACCCACCCGAGCTCCCCACGCTAAATCTTGCGCGAGATCCGGTTGATCCCAATCTCAAACGCCCTGCTCCCGAACATGATTTACCTCTCTCGTCCGATCCGATTTGAGCCGCGTCGGGCGACCCCTAACTAGGGAAATGAAGCCGTGGGTGGATCATAGATTGATCATAGAATGGTAGGAAGGAACCGTCTGGCCCGAAGGGCTCACGAAAGCCCTGAAGATAGAGAGACTTTCGACTCTGAACGACTCTTTCGCCTGCGGGCAAAATTGAGCACGTGGGATGGGCCGAGGAAGAAGAAGAGGAGCAGGATGAAACACGACGTACAGGGAGATATTCGCGGCGTGTGGATGAAATATAATGTATGAGCTCATAAACCCAAATCAATGAATGAGACACCGGATTGGAGGCTCATTCGAGGCCAAGAGTATTAATTCCAAAGCTTGTCTGAAAGCAGACCGTCCCCAAGCCACAATGGGCGAGACAAAGACGTTCGTTATCAAACAATTCAATCGTATATAGACATTCTGCATCCCGTCAGTAAAGAGCACAAGGCTTCAGGGACTGTCCTAGAGGCCTGGTCAAGAGGTAGACCTCAAGATGCCTTATATGTAGACAATGGAGAATCCCCTGGTGCGCCACACCGCCACGATTCTCGGATAGCACCGCCACAGCCTGCAGGCCCATGGGTCAAGTTAGGACGGAGTAATTGAGATATTCATAGTCTTCATGAGTCATCTTCATTGATGGGCTGAAGCATGGTCGAGGGAGTGAAAGATACCTTTGAAGACAGCGAGTGAATCAAAGGGGGACACGGAGCATGTGATCTTCGACTTGCGCCTTGATATGCTTGTCTTTTTCTAAACGTCCTTTGTTGTTGACTTGCATCAAAGCTCTTCCCCCGTCATCTCATAACGCTTCAACTTCCCCCCCCTCCCCCATCTCTCATCCAAAGAACGTAACAGACTCATATCAAGCAAATCAAAATGGCTTCCCGAGTTCCACGCAAGGTTCGACGTCGCAAGAAGCCCGTCCGCACGCGAGACGACCGAGTGCGCAAGCCGTCCGCACGCGACTCCATCTTTGGCAGCCAGTGGACTCGCCCCACAAAACCACCCCAGACACGCCACAAGAAGAAGTCCTCAAAGCCAAAGGTGCCGCCCTCGGACGATCTTCTCGAGGATGTATGATTCAACCCTCTCTCTCCCTCTCATAGTCAGACTTCCCGTATGCAAATCGAACTGACTTGTCTTCCAGAATGTTTTTGAGCGCACGCCTCTGCCCCAAGACTATGTTTTTGTCCCCAAGGGAGATGTGTACATTACTCGGAAGTGTCGTGTCATGACGAAGGAGTCAAACAAAACTGTCTATCTTGTCTATGTAAGTAGAGCCAAACGCCAGAACCTATGGGCAAGACAATGTCTGACTGACGCAAACAGGATAACGCTGGAAAGCGCAAACTTGGGATCCGAGTGCCACGCAATATCCACGCTGATGTGCTTGCTATGGCCGCCAAAACGGCCGACTCTCGCGCAACGGCAGTCCAAGCCCGGGACACCAAGTTCATGGCTCGCGGTCGTGAGGTCCTCCGTGAGCAGTTTCCCCTAATGCCCGAGGATACCCTCGAGGTGGTCTTGAGCCATGCTTTTCTCAAGGGCTCTGGTCGTGTGGGACGTACTGCACTCGAGACAGATGAGCGTAAGGCCGAGCTCGCCGTCGAGGCGCACATTCGGCACACCCTCACGCCGTACGATAGCATGCTCGAAGGTGGACAGGAACGGTTGCACGCTCGGCGTAAGGTGTGGGATACTGTCAATGCCATCAAGAAAGCATGGCAGGGAACTGGCCAACGCAAAGATGAGTGTCTAACTCTTCGAATCGCGTAAAACCTGAGAGCACGAACGGAATCAACAATTCCAACGACATGATGTTTTTCACGATGGTTTTTTTAACGATGCGGAATCGGTGTATGGCATGCAATATGGAGTTTTTATGGGAGTTTAATATCTAGCGAGTTTGTACAATACTATTCTCGTTTACTGAGGAGTCAAAGATAGCAATCAATCTAGCTCTATTAAAGAATACAGCGAGAGAGAAAGTGAGAGAAGTAAGAAGCATCTGCGAAGGCTAAGAACACCTCCCTAGTACAGAGATATGGTATTATCACACCTCTCCCGCCTCTCACCCATGGTATCAAAAGTAAAGCAACCCGGTGAGGCAACCGAGGCCGCGCATCCTCTCTTTCTACTCATCCACCCGACGGCATTGCACTTCAAAGCGAGGGTGCACCCAGGGCAGCCCGGGGAACCATCCGAGACCGTCGATAGCCATCTGCTGCATTGCGCGTAGGCGAGACTCGGAGGTGACGGCGGCCTGCTGCCGCCTGTCACTCTCCATCTCTATGGCGATATCGACACAGAATCGTCTGCCATAGATGAGACGCAGGCCTTCTTCATCCGCGTCTTGTCGAGTAAGATAGTGCAGCTGGTCAGCAGCGTCGTTCAGGATGTTGTAGTCATCACGGCAATTGATGGGAATGTCCAGTCGGAAGAGGTGTCGGTAGACAAGTCTGCCGCCAGGTATCAACTCGACAAAGCGACATCTATGGCCTGCTCGAAGCCGCGGCGAAGGATTAGCAATAGGAGAAGCGGGACGGGAAATTTCGAGAGCCGGGCGAGACGGGGCTTCATTGTAATCCGTTTGTATTCCTCTGTTACCGTTTGCTCTAGCTGGAGTTGATGCAGGGGATTGACCTGAAAGAGACAGATATTAGTTTTAGATTGAGAGCGAATTGGGAAATTTTAGGTCAAAGTACCTCCTTGGCGGTTGCTTTGGGTGAAAAGGAGCGAGAACCGACTGGCGCCACCACCAGAAGAGCCCATGGAGGAGTACCTGTTTTTCCACTCACCAAAAATGGTGCTAAGCATGTTCTGAATGAATTTTCTCATCAGCGGGTCCGTAAAAATGTGCATGAAGTTCTTCTATATCTTTTGGATGCCACCATTATCTGCATCAATCGCCAGTAAAAAACATACCACAGATATCACAAAAATAGTAAAGGAAAGAATAGGGAATAAAAGGATCAAATTTGACAGAGTGCAGGTCTCCTCAAAAGGTCAAAGTCTCAAGAACAAATGAGTATCAGAGAAAAGCGATTGGCGTGAAGATAGTATGAAAATGAGACGAAACAGGTATATCACAATTTCGGCCCTTCCCAAATTTTCTCAAATGATCATCAACAACCTGTTCAAAGAGCAGTTCTTGTTGGAGGATGCGTGAATGATTTGTTGGAATAGATAGAGGTCAGAGGGAAAGTGGTTGATATGAAGAAAAGGAAGAAAAGACTCGAGACTGCATCATGACAGCCACCAAACCATCTTAAATCGACTCGGAATATCATCAATCGCTCATTCAAGCTGCCACCTATAGTGAAGGGTATTTGAGAGCACTACTGTGCATAAAAACTGAAAAATATCGATCAGTATTGGGCGAAGTCTGATGACTAAAGGCTTCCTGTAAGAATGAAGCCGAAGCCTAGGACGATTGTGTATACAATTCACATATAAACCTATGGTTATTTCTGGCCATATTCTTGTTCATGTAACTCACTTTTTGGTCATAGCCTAAACTCGCCTGAGGCCTTCAAAGACTCAACACCGGTGTAGAATATCAACATCAACTAACCCTGTTGGATTTGTGCAAGAAGCCTATCAATCGCTCTCCCAAAGGGCGGCTTTTATTAAGGAGGTATTAGAGAATCTGTAGCTAGAAAAGAGTGAAGAAAACTCACCAATGTTTGAAAATCTTGGTGACTGAGAACTCCCGGCCATGATGGAGTCCGGGCATGGGACGGCTATGGATGTTCTGCTCTTGGTGAGTCTGTCGGAAACTGTGGGCATATTATTATTCATCTGCTATACATTTTCACATATAGCTGAAGCATCTGACACATTCCCTAGCTTCTCATATGGAAATTTGGGAATGTAATGGTACTACAAGTTATATCAGACAATTACCTATGGCAGAAAGTTTGCTAGCGAGAACTCTTGGATTACCAAGACTCATCTGTTCGCTTCATGTTATTGGAGTTACAAACCTATGATAATACGTGGATTGAGGGGTTGGTAGGAACCATGGCGTGCTGGTATTATCTAGAAGGCATCACAAAGACCACTTACACATCTCATAATAGCAAACAGAAATCTCAGATACATTGAAAATGTATGGTGTGTTCAGCATTTGGTCTAATTTACTGAACCGGGTGCCTGTTTTCTTGTTCTCCAATCGGCGCATCAATCACCCAGTTAAGCAATTGGTCCACAGGCACGTCCGCGGCCCAACAGTCAATGAGCGCGCACCGGTGGAGCCCACACTCCACAAGCTCCCAGGGTCCAAGGATGTCCGAGGCCCAAACCCCCCAAACCCCCCAAAGCCCCCAACACCCCATGGCGCGAATTCCTTCCTGCTAGGCCCCTCGTCCGCCTTGCTCCCGTTCAGTCATGGCGGCTCCTTGTGCACCATGTTGAGGCGATGTCTGTCAGTCCTAGGGTCACCAAGCCGACACCGATATGTGATCCTGGTGGCCCTGGTCATCCTATGCTTATGGGTGAGGACGTTGCCGACATTGAAGAGCAGCCTGGATAGTCGACTGGCGGCGTCGCACGTGGAAGACCGGCCTCGATACCTCCATCACTCCACATTCCGGGAGACTCCCGACACTCACTACGAAGAGCAGCTTGCCCATGCGCTGTGCGACATCGAAAACCAGCAACTGACACTCGACGTCCACGAAGAAACAGTGCGCAGACTCTGGCAGATTCTCCTGGGGCAAGATCCCAGTGTTGGCCGGGGCCAGGATTCCCTTCGGTTCGAGGAGAGCAATTCGGAGTGGAAATATTCGGTAAGAGCGATCGGAGTCGCGCCCCTTGCGTGATCCCGCTTCTCAAGACAGCGCTAATGACTCCGTGTTGCGAATCTCTAGCTTGTCACCAGCGAATGGGCAGAAGAATTCGTAACGGTTACCCTTGCCTCCATACCCGGCCTGTCGACCCTCTATCATTCATATCCCCATAATGTCCTCAGGGCTGACCTGCTGCGCTACTTAATTCTATGGTATTTCGGTGGCTACTATGCGGACACCGATATCTTTCCCGCTACCTCTATCAACGAATGTCCATCCCTACAAGAGTCGGTCTTCAACACCAAGAATCCCGAAATATCACTCGTGGTGGGCATCGAGATTGATGAGCCGTTTGCCTCACCACAGAAGATGCGGGACTGGCATTGGGTTCGAAGCTACAGCTTCATCCAATATACCATGTTCGCGCCACGTCGATTCAGCCCGCTTCTAAGGGAAGTCATCGTGCGCGTCCTATCGCATACTAAGCGCCATATCGATGAGAGCAACATCTTCCTCGGGGCGAGGTACAACGAATTGACCACCCTGGAGATCACCGGGCCCGGGGTGTTCACCGATGCCATTCTGGATATCTTATCCGAGACACTCCCAACAGAGCATCCACTAGTTGTGCAGTCTTTGGCCGCAGATAGAGACCTGGGAGATCTGGTCTCGCCTTCTGGCCGTCCCCTGTCTCGGGTCACCTGGGCTCCCTTCTACCGACTCAAAAAACCCCTCTGTGTCGAAGCCTCAGAAGCCGAGCCAGGGAAGCAACTCGGTGGATTGTGCGTTCTTCCTGTGAATGCCTGGGGTAACGGACAACGACACAGCGGATCTGAAGGGTTTGGCAGCGATCATGCTTGTGTCAATCATCGGTTTGGCGGAACATGGAAACCTTGGAAGCAAAGCTGGAAGAAGTATATCTTCGGGTGAAGGAAAGGAATAATGAATCGATTTTTTTTTCTTGCTCGTCATACACTTCCCGGAAGGCCCATTTGACGAATGTATATATCAATAAATATATAAGCACATGTTCATATCATCCTATAGATATCGTGATTTACTACAATACTTGGCAACTGTTCTGCATGCTGGGGATCGAAGCTCTTTTCTGCGGCGGAATCCGGAAGGCCGGAAAGCCATTCTGACCCATTCGATGAAAGCGTGAATATATTATTATTCAGTATAGGCTTAAACCCAAGCAAGTCTTCAATACAAAATTGGCTATGCACTTGACATCCCTTTCAAAGTACCTGCAGCGGGTTGCCTTGTTTTACTGATTCCGAATCTGGAAACTGGGGCTAGCCCTATTGCGCTATCCCCGATCCGCAATCAAAAGTTCCTTCGACAAGTCAAGTCACCCAGGATTACAGCACCATGGAGCGACCAGAGCAAGTGGAGTCTCCGCGCAAGCGGCAGAAGACCGAAGACACATCGGCCAACAATGGCGCTGATGAATTGATTTCTAAGATTGGTGCCGCAGGGACGCAAGATGCCCAGACTCTGAAGGAGCAAGAAGTCGGCATCACCGAAATTGTCACTGCTGATAACGAGGGCTTCTCCGGCATTCTCAAGAAGAGGTAGATCACGCAGTCTACGAAATAACCACATATCTCTCTAATCATATTTTCTAAAGGTATACCGATTTTTTGGTGAATGAGATTACGCCCACTGGGGAAGTTGTCCACCTCCGAAACGCGCCCGGTACTACCTCCGAAACGAAGACCGATGCCACCGACTCCTCGAAGCCTTCTACCCAAGAGGCAAAACAATCCGAATTGAAGGAAAAGAGCGAGGAGAAAACTGAACAGGCCGACGCGCCCGAATTTAAGGTGTCGGACGCAGACAATGCCTTGCTTGCGGAGTATTTTGGTGCCGAAAATGCCACGAGAATTGTGAACCTGCATAAAAAGGCCATGGAGAACCCGAAAGTAAGACCAAGTGAATTGGGTAAAATCACAGTCGCCGTGTCCGACAAGGACCTACGCACCAAGATTCACCAAACCATTCGCCGCATTTTCAACTCCCAACTCGAATCGACCACGGAAGGTGAGGGTAATCTTGCGGTGACGGCGGCCAACAATCGCTTCAAGCGCGCTCCCCAAGGCCATCGTGGAGGTGGCGGAGGTGGCCGCGCTGGCGGTGGCCGAATAAACTGGGATGAGCTGGGCGGACCTTACCTGCATTTCACCATCTACAAGGAGAATAAGGATACAATGGAGGTTATCTCGTTCCTGGCCCGCACAATGAAAATGAATCCGAAGACCTTCCAGTTTGCTGGTACCAAGGACCGCCGGGGTGCGACCGCACAGCGCGCTTGTGTCCTTCGTGTCCAAGCGGAGCGACTTGCGGGCATCAATTCCATTCTTCGAAATGCGTTCTTGGGAGATTTCGAGTACCGCAAGCATGGCCTGGAGCTAGGCGATCTTGGCGGAAACGAGTTCGTCATAACGCTGCGTGACTGCGAGATCCCGGGTGTAGATATGAAAGATCCACAGGCTGCGGCCACGAAGGCATCTGAGCTGGTTGGCACTTCTCTGAAGAACCTCCATGCTCGGGGCTATTTCAACTACTACGGCCTCCAGCGATTTGGAACATTTTCGACGCGCACTGACACTGTTGGTGTCAAAATCCTGCAAGAGGACTTCAAGGGAGCGGTCGAAAGCATTTTGCATTACCCCCCTCATGTTCTCGTCGCGGCGCAAGAAGGAGAAGCATCTACAGCATTAATTAGTACTGATGACAAGTCCCGCGCCGAGGCGATCTACATCTTCCAATCGACAGGGGACGTCAGCGCGGCCTTGCCGAAGCTCCCGCGGAAGTTCTCCGCTGAGGCATGCCTTATTCGCCACCTGGGACGGGTCAAAAATGACTACCTGGGAGCTCTTCAGTCCATTCCCCGCAACCTGAGACTCATGTACGTGCATGCCTACCAATCGCTTGTCTGGAACTTTGCTGCCAGTGAGCGCTGGCGACTTTACGGCGACAAGGTCGTTGAAGGTGACCTAGTCCTCATCCATGAACACCGAGACAAGGAGGCCAACGGGGCCGCCGCACAAAATGATGGTGTGGATGAAGATGGGGAAATCGTCGTTGCCCCCCAGGCTGAGGACGCCTGTGTCGCGGAAGACGCTTTCACACGCGCCCGGGCGCTAACCGCCGAAGAGGCCGCCAGTGGCAAGTACTCGGTCTTCGATGTGGTGCTGCCTCAGCCTGGTTTCGACATCTTGTACCCTCCCAACCAAATGACCGAATTTTACCGCCGCTTCATGGGCAGCGAGCAAGGCGGCGGCCTTGACCCGTTCCAAATGCGCCGCAACTGGAAGGATTTCAGTCTGAGTGGCAGCTACCGTAAAGTCTTTAGCCGCATGGGACCTACATATTCGCATGAAGTGAAGCTCTATTCGGAGGACAATGAGCAATTCGTGCAGACGGATCTCGACAAGTTGAAGGGTAATGGTGAAGGTGGCAGCGCCTCCGGAGCCCAGGCGGGAGACAAGCTGGCCATTATTCTGAAGTTCCAGCTCGGCTCTAGTCAGTATGCAACGATGGCTCTTCGTGAACTGACCAAGGGATTGGTCAGAGAATACAAGCCTGACCTGGGCGGAGGCCGATAGGTTCCTCGGCTTGATCGGCGATACGTGGCAGGCCTAAAATGTGTTTGTACAACGCAAATATCTTTCAAGATAACCACGGACGGCCATTTGAAAATGGGGATTAGAAGACTCTAAGTTATATGATTGTAGCATAAAATACCATGTCGCTCGACCTAATGTCCCTTTTTGAACGGGATGCTTATCTCTACACCATGGGGTACTCTATGCAAGTCTGATTCAATGTAAAAAAAGGTCCAATAATAATGGGATCAAATTTTGGGAAAAGAACAATATTAATTCCACATAATGAAACGCCACCACAGAACACCAGTGCTTCGCGAGAGAGGGAGAAAGACCCGGAAAAGAAGGTGGATATACAAGTACAATCATATCAAACGTTCATAAAACGTACCGTTATATTCAGACAACCTTTCTTTTCATCTGAACGATTGTCCATGATTATTCGTGCGAGAATCTTCTTCCCCAAACGACGAAACAGAAGACATATCGTCAAAGTCGCCCTCGCCCTGTCTTCGTCCGAGCATCCCCGATATGATTGAGACATCATCTTCATCCTCGCTTGTCCGATTCTGGAATGGCAATCTCACACTCGTAACGCCAGCACCAGTTGTTGCACCAGCCGCCGATTCAGACCGGGCATGGTCTGGTGGATTCCGCTCCATTGGACCGCGGAGATCATCTCCTGGAATCGCCACAGCGACTCCCAGTTCAGTGTTCGGGTCGATATCGGATCTGGCGGAGGCGGACCCAGGTGTGATATCCTGGCTGTGGGGAATGGGGGGAACGTCGATAAATGAGAGTCGAGGCAAAGCTGCTGCTGTAGGCTCTGGAGTGGTGATATTTGGCACGGCAGTCATAAGCTGGGATGTTGAGCGATCCGTGGCCTGGCCATTTGCACTAGCGAACTCGGGGGCTGCATTGCGGCGCTTTCGCCGCCGCAGGAAGAATACAACAAAGGCGATAATAGCTAGGACACCAACAATAGAGATCGGGAGTGCGATGGCCAGCTTAGTCTTGGTCGACTCCCCGCTGCCCGAATAGCTGCCAGGCCCTGATGTTGAGGTGGCCTTTGTGGTTGCGGATGATGTACTGGAGCTGGTTTCTGTCGTGGATGATAACGTCGGAGTCGAGATAATAGTCGCTGTAGCCACCGACTCCGAGGTTGTTGATGTTGTTGGTGGCGACCAGGTGTCGCTAGTAGACGTTGAGGTCTCTGATTCACCGAAATACGTGGCCGACTGTTCGGACTCAGAATTCGTGTCTGTGGAGGAATAGATGGCTACCGGGGTCGGTATTCCATTTTCCCAATGTGTGGAGATCGAAACAGCAGCCATTTCCGACTACAAGGGAGCAAATTCGTTTTCGACGGTTTATGTTTGCCTTTGGAGACTTGGAGTCTCAAGTGTCGATCTTCGTGCACAAGCTATTGAAGCCTAAGAGACGTTCACAATAGGGAATCGCTTTGAGGACTGAACTCGTGGGAGGACCCGACAAAGGACTAGCAATCTGGAGAAGTAGCGACCAGAATACTACAAAGGTCTCCAGAAAGATACCTGCAGCCAAGATGGGGCCGGAAATGAGACTGAAGAAACTAGGCGCTTTGGAATCGAGTCCGCCTTCTTACGCGTGGGTTTCATACGTAGGCCCTTTTCTAGTCTCGTTGGTCACTCGAGTAGTTGGTTGGCTAGGGCGTTTTAGTTCTTGGCCTGATCTTAGTGATATTGTAGCACAATATTGCAGAGGATAGAACGGAAAGAAGTGATCTAAGAGAGGAAAGAGGGAAAGAGAAGAAGAGGGGGAAAGAGTGAATACGAAGCCTACGATGCTAAATGACAATGATAATGCAATCCCATGGCGGACAATAGACTAAAAAATTGGCGCCTCGTACTGCGCATCTCTTGATAACCAACTAAAAATTTGCAGCTCACAGCCTCTGAAAGCCTCTGAACCGATCATTTACGTTGGAGTGGAGCCCGATTTTGGGGGGCCGGCCTGACACTGCCCGCCAAAGCGAGGCTAAGTGTGCCAGCTTAGAGAGAATGTGGGCTCAAATCGTCTAAAAAAATGGGGAATATACGCGTCACTGATCTGTTAATCTACAAGGGGTATGGATCATGACCAGGAAGAGATGAACCTTTGTCAAATTTCTTCTCTGCTTCATGAATGATAGCAGCCATCCAGCTATTTAGCCCTTCCAACAAAGAACCGTGTGGTCTCTCTTATTCATGAATTCATGGAGAAAACCGAAAAAAAAAATCCACTTTCAGAAACCTCTCGTCTGACTAGGCGCTGGCCTTTCCAGCGCTGTTCTATTATTACATCCCGAGCGTTGCTTGTGCCACGCATGCTTTGGGGCCAACCAGCAAGGATCGACGGCTGCCCTAAACTATTTTGCATATATACCGGAAAATGTCTAGCAACGCTTGGCGCTCTCCTTCCGTTCTTAGTGCTCACCCCCTCGTCGCTTTTGCTCACTGAGTAGGATTAAGCAGGCCCCTGAGCGACCGGAGTTGCCCAGTGATCGTTATATAATCAGACTGATCCGCTCCCTGCGCCTGATCCAAGCATCCTGATTTGCTCACTAAGCCTGACTATAACGTCGTGATCTGATCACTGACTCTTGCCTGAGCAATCCTAGATTTGCTTACTAATCTACTTCAGAGAGGCGATCTAAGTAAGCAGACTCAATAAAACGTAATAAGCTAGCCCGATCCCTTGTATAGCTTTTTCCTTCTAGTTACAGAGCGGTAAACTTAGTTTACTACTTTGTTAGCGATCCTTACTATTGTAAATGAAATATATTTAGTGAAAATTGTTCAATTAGCTGATTACAATTATTATAGATCTAATGCTCCTAGGAGTATTCGTCGTGCCCAATACTTGGCTATATTGGGGAACTCTAGAGGTAATTTAAGATTTTCTAGACCAAATTCGTATATTCTTTGATTTTGATTAGATAGTTTCAGATCTCTCTCTAAAAATTTATATACCCTTCTAACAGGCACATAGAGATACAACGGGTTGAGCCACCAGGTATTCAAGCCGGATTCGCGATCGATACAGACTTAATGACCGGTTTGGGTGCCACTCACCACGTATTCAGTCCAAAAATACATGTTTGGTATATCAATGTGGTCTACTATCCCAGTCGCACGTTACTCAGTTGATTTCCAACGTAACTTTTGATTGCATGGCGGAGCTTTGACCTACGGGGTCAACTGCTGTAAGATAATCATGGTATGGTTTGGTCTAAATCATAGGTCTAGCGCTAACATATGTCTAGCCATGAGCTCTGTGAAATATGGGTTGCATTTCACAGCGACTCCTTTCACCAGAAAGTGGAAAGAATCTTCAATTACTGCAAGATCGAATGGGCTTCGAAAAGATTCGAACCTCCGCAGTAGTTGGTCGCTTGTATTTTGTGGGAAGGATGAGGTGCGCAAAAACTTTCATTATAATGATCGGAACTAATTTGGAGCCATTCCTAGCCATTCTTCGACGGTGGCAAGACTATCAATTTATGTGTCAATTCTTTATCTATAAGGAAGGTCACTTTCTTGGGATAGGAAGGCTATCATTACTAGAGGGGCTTCCCGATACGACGGGACGGGCATATATAAAACACAACTTATCATCAGTTGAAGATATTAGAGACTGGAGCGCTGTCACCAAAGGAGTTAAGAGGACTTCAGGTTGATCGAAAGGCCTTTCACTTCGCTTGGTGTAATATACTATCTAAGCTTGTCTTACCATCGCTAGATGGACTTAGTTGTATTGAACTGGGGTCTAACCTCGATACTATCATTTGACGAATTTCCCCAATGTTCCGCCATCCTGAAATTTAATTTTTGATTTGTCTCGATAAAATACATATATGCGTCCCTATGACAGATTTTGCAATTGCTGGTATCTCTGCCGCAATTGAGTCTTTTAGGAGTTCCTCATATTTCGGGGGCAGCAGGACTAACAAGAGCTAATATATGATCCAGATGAGAACAACTAGCACTAACTGCCCGGGACCAATAGGCGTGCCATAGAAGCGATCATCTCCCACTTTTCCTTCTCAGAGATGTCTTGATTCTCCAATTTTTTAGCCCTCTCCCGAAAGAATGATTCGACAGCAAGCGTACCGCCTGTTCTACCATCATTGATGGCTCTGAATGCAGTCGTCATCCCTTCAGGAGTTCCAATCTTGGCCAGAAGAGTTACTCTTTCTTCAGTCATGCGGCCATTCGAATTATAATCTGCAGCAAGGCGCACGCAATCAATGATCAGTGCTGCGAGACCAGCTGCGAGGGCAGTGGCCACGGATGAACCCGTCTCAGGCTTTTTATCCAACTCGAACACTTGATCATCTTCTCGCATAGTGACCCGTTCCCCAGGCAATATATAGTCCACTGGTGTATCCGCCCAATCGAGTGTTTTCCCTTTAGCAGTGGCAGCACCAATCCGAAATAGAGATCTGATTGGGGATCTGCTATCGTCTTTAAAGTTATACGGGTAGTGCCGCTGTGTATCCAAGGAAGCTCCAATGTCTGGGGCGGAGCAAAATACAAGAGCCTTATTAGCAGCCTCTTGAAGAGCGATTTTAATTCGGTCAATTTGCGTTCCGATTTCGTCGTTCTCTCTAACAATGGTCCAAGAAATTGATATTATATCGAAGTCTCCCTGAACAACTGATTCGAGGGCCTGTAATCTCCAATCAGTAAAGAACATACTTTGGAAGGTTTCCTTAGTACTCACATCTGCAGCACTCTGTGCTCTGAAGGTCGGTGGATCGTCACCTCGTGGGATGACATCGATCTTGAAAACATAGATGTAGGCATCGGGGCACATTCTCTTGATTTGCAGAGCCATGAAAGTTCCGTGGGTTGTAAATGAGCTGTAGTGGGGGACTGGGCTCCCCGGCGCACCCCGGACTTTATGATTAGTCCCCACGCCGCTGTCGAAGGATTTTCCGTGTTGCAATTGATTTGAAAAGCTTGGATGTCGAAAATTCACGCCGTCGTCAATCAGAGCAATCTTAATTTTTCTTCCCGTATTATTCACGGGCTCAACGTCGACACCTATTCCTTGCGGTAATTGTAAACGGGATGCGTGCCGGAAGTTATGTAAAGCATCTACGAAATTTCCCATGACTGTGAGCCATTCATATTCATCAAGTTTCTGGGTCTTGTCGTCAGAAGATGACTGAAAAGACAGATTTCTTGAGATTCCATCATTTTCCTTCCTATCAATAGGGGTAAAATCTACTTTTATGGGGTTAGTATGCCTCGGGGAGTTCAGGCGCTTTTCGAACTGTGCAACCATCTTTTCAAAGTACTGTTCCGATTCGAGTCGTGGCTTTGGAGAGTATTAGAACTGACACAACTTGTCGATTGAATAGATATATAAAACAAGACTTGCCTTGGTTTCGTGAATGTAGATATTCTTGAGGTCACCCAGAGTCGCCAACCCTTCTTTCGCATCACTCCAAGCCCGAAGAACAGCATTGCTGCCACTCCACTGTAAATGTAGCTCATGGAAGTTCTTCCATTTGTTGTTCTTAAGGTTCTTGTTCCTCGAGATTTTGTTCGCCTCGGAGATTACTAAAGGGCAGAGGTCGGTCTTTCGCCAATCCAAAATATCGACCCGAAATCTCCTTAATGCATTCAGTATAGTTTCGTCACAGTGCGGGAGCTCTGCACATTCTTCAACCCGAAGTTGAATAATGTGTTCAACACCTTTTTCATAGAGCCAATCGAATATTGCGTCTAAATCACGCTTCCCAGCACCCATATTCTGGCGATATCTGTTCCCTGGTCGGGGTGGCTTTTGCACAGTGGTGAACTGGAATGGTTGTAGATGGACATATAAAAGAACATCTTCAAAGTTCATAGAACTGAACTTTTTATAGAATTGCTCGGCAGTCAGTCCTAATTCTATCTCATTGGGGTTTTCCAACGGTGAGAATGAGGGGAAGTCAAAATAGATTTGATTATCTGCACTTGCTCTCCGCTGTGATTAGCCGCAGCTCTCTACTTTGATACTCAGCAACATGATCAACTTACGCAATGGCTTTTTCCCAAATAGAAAAGTTTCCGCCTTTCTCACTGTTCGTGGTTCATCTGACTCATTTGACTTGTTTGAATACCCGATCTTTTGGCTAGTGTTTGCTTCGTGCTTATCAGAGGGAATGACAGGCTTCGGCCTCGGTGTGGGATGGAAGATCGATCGAAAATAAGAAAGCTTAAGAGCCAGTTGAATTTCATCTGCTCTTTCAAAAGATTTCTTAACTCTTTCAATAGATTTTTGGAGATCTTTAGCTTCACGTATCTCTTTCACACTGTCGAGTAATTGTCGAAGTTCTTTTTTTTGATCATCCTTCAAGTTTTTAGGGGATCCGAAGGTACTGAGCTCCCTGACCCGTTGAAGGAGATCAATCTCAGGGTCATTGTTAGGTATACTGTTAGATTTCCCTATATCTTCTGAGATTGTAGCTGTAGTATCTGTTACTATGATACCAGGCGTGCCACGTAAATCAGAAGCTGCCATGGGACTTCCAGGACCTGCCAAATCCAATGATCGATTGGAAGGACTTGGGCTTCTCTTAGGACTAGAACTATGAAGGGACTTTTGAAAAGAGTTTGAACGGCTCCTGTGATCTGAAAAAGAAGATCTTCTAGATATTGGACTGGCCGGTACGCCGAGGGACTTGAACTTGTCCCTTTTGTCTTTGACCATTTGATCCTTGTTGCTTTGGTTTCCCACAAGTTCATCAGCTTGCAGGAGCCGTGGTTCGCCATTGATTTCAGGACCTTGCTCAGAAAGCCTGCCTCGGCTCTGATCCGGATTCCGCTTCCTTTTTTCGACTTCTGTAGTCCCAGGTGATCTGGATCTGCGGTCCTTATTCTGAGGAATCGATAGGCTCTTTAATATATTTTCTTTCTCTGCCTGGTTAGGTACGCCCTGAAAATGATGTACATAAACGGAATGCCCGTCTGCGGTGTCTTTGTCGAGGGCTCTCACCCCTGCTATCCTTTCCGTTCGAGATAATAGAGCTTTCACAATGTCGATTTGGGATTCGTTCCATCGACATTTAGGCCATTCAACAGCACGGTGTAAAGCTGTCCGATCCTTTTCGTCATGTGCTGATAGGGACTGGTCAGGGGCTTTTTTGATCAGACGAACAATAGTCTCGGTATCCAGTTCACTCTTAACCGCTGATAAAACACAGTTTTCGAAGTCCCCTTTCTCTTCCCACCCTAAAATATCTTGAAGCTCAACAGTGGAAATTTCGCTATTCAGAATATCGTTGACAAACCAGCTCATATTGTTTTCAATAGCATGATTCAATGCCCCGCCACGGCTTTCATGCTCTTTCAAAAGATGAGGGAAATCGAGTGCCAGGCACTTGACGAGCCAGGAAAATGATGCTCGTGGTGCTTCACTTTTGACAATTCGATAGAGCATGTTTGTTTGCACCAGTCTGATGTCTTTGATTTCTTTCTTTACATCTTCCCATCGAAGGTTAAAACAACCCTTGTGAGAAGAATATAACCTTTCTAGATCGCCGTCCCCCATTGGATTGACTTTTGAATTAATTTGATTATAGAGCGTATCAAGCTCGTCTATCTTCTTGGATAGATTGCTGGGGTTGTGGTTCGCGGTTTCTTGACCATGATCTCCAGTTTGATTTTGAAGAATCCGCACCAAATCTTGCTCGAGTCCATAATCGTCTTCGGTCATAATTGGTTTCTCTGAATGAAAAGAAGACTCTTTAGATCTCAGTAAGGAATGCATCACTGGGATTATTTGAAACCAATAATTTGGGAGTTATCATTAAACATCAAGGGTATGACCTAGTACCCCGATAAATATGGCAATTTATTCCCAGTTGAGCCTCTTGTCCATAGACCGGAAAGGAGGGGTCGGTATATCAGCTCGATACGAGATGTCAGACAAGCCACCCACTTGCATCAGAGGGGTCAGTGATACCTACCTTGCATAGCATTCGTCAGCTGTAAGCACAAACTGCATGTGCGGAAGAAGCGGCAAACATTTCTTTTTTCATATACTTTGACCAGGGTTTCAGGGTCAATCACCTACTCTAGCGTGTTGCATTGTGGCTCACTTTATCCAGTTCACATATTTGCTAGCCACCAGTTCAAATGACAAGAAAAAAGGCAATGAATCCGCCACACGTTCTCAGATTAAATGAGATGGTGAATACCACAGAATAAGACCCCCGCAGACTGCTGTTTTTGTTGAACCAGCCTGATTTTGTCGGACTTGAAATTTCAAGTCATCATGGAGTACACAATAAATACCAATGAACGCCCTCTCTTTGCCGAGGACTTTCCCATTTTCGAATTTCCCATCTACCCAAAAGGTGACGAAGCTGGATTACGAACAAAAAATGATCCGAATGATCCATACCAACGGCAGTCAATCATTCAACGAAGAGGGCGAGTGGATATTCGCTGCGAGCACAAAGACGTTGCTCACGGATACCTATCCAAAGACTCCGACGACCTCTCCACTCTGATCGTGATTCAGTTTCGCTTTGACCCTAATGGGATCGCTGCACGGATCAAAGAGGCCCACGCGACGATCAAATTTGCCGCCATGAAAAAGGGATCTCCAGACCCAGAGGTGATAGACATGTATCCCAATGGTGGCTTTTTTGTTGCGCCTACGGTGCAAGATGAAAATATTACTCGAACAGTTGGGGCGACCATGGGGGCCAAAGCAGGGGGTTTGGAAATTCGAGGCCAGCTGAAACATCAAAAGACAGTCAATCGCAATGCTCAGAATTTCACTTTCGTGCGGGGATCCATCGATGTTATGCGGGCTTCCGGCAAGCCAAATGCAGTTCGTTGGGACTCGATTGAGAATCCAACCACCAAGACTGGCGTGGTCTGGAGCCTGCAGGGCGCAATCCTACTCAAGCGGGAGACTATGGAGCCATTCAAGGCAATCGTCAGTCTCGACGTATCTGTGGATACCATCAGTTCGATCGACGCTCTGTTCACTAAGGACCGCGAAGAAGACGATGTTTGGTATGATCCGAACAAGCCTCCTACTAACAGACTGCTTAATTACGATGTCGATAATCTGAGTTCTGTGGACTTAGGGTCTCTATCAGATGTCACATTCCGTACAGTACTTGAGGGTGCTATTAAACAAAGATAGGAGTGTCGCTTTTGGAAAGGGTTCATGGATTTCGAATACCGCCAGTCAATACTGAATTCACATTCGACATTCTTTCTACTCCGGTTCATTGCTTGTACCGAGACTTACAGTAGGCATTTCAATTTCAATACAATAAAGCCTTATTTGCCATTATCTCCCAATCAAATGCGGTGTCTTGTGCATGCACGCTGGCGTGGCGCCCCAAATCCCCGCAGCTGCAGTCGCTCGAAGCAGACTCTCGCATGAAGCGTAGACACGTATATCCTTGCTGCAGAAAAACTGCGCTACTGTCTAACAGACACATCAGTGCCTCCGAAATTGGGAAGCCATTCGAAATACTTCGAAGTGTCCAAAGATGATATGCTAAGAAAGGGACGGCTGCCGTATTCTGCAGGGCTTGTCATACAGCTTGCTGACGGAAAGCGGGGAACAGCCGATATGTTGATCAAACCTTCCTTACTTCTCATTATTGTCGTAGTGAACTTTAGTTGCTCGAGACGAGTTCAATATCACTCCAAATGAATATCTATACTGCTCTTATCCGAAATCAAGACTGCAAAAGGTCATAGTCGACCATGGGTTGGTGGGAAATATTGAGCGAGCCAGATAATTCCGAGAAGGAAGCTTTCGAGTATGTATCACTTTTACCTTTTAGCTAACTTGAAGTCAATGAGACTGATTCGCTTTTTTCGAAGCGTCGTTTTGGTCCATGGTCTTTGTCGAAACGCAAAAGCAACATGGGAGTCCATCGATCCGTTCCATTATGGATATGCCAAGTGGTTCAGTGAGCGGGTTAGCCAATCTCGGGTTTTGCAATATAATTATCATCCACTAGACAACGATTCCAACACTTTATGTCTGAACGGAATACGACGAGAAGCCTTGAAATTGCTCGACGCACTTCGATCACTACCTTCTGGTAAAGGCAATCGAGGTCCTCTGGTGTTTATTGGCCATGACATCGGTGCGATTATCATTAAAGAGGTCGGAAATACTGCCTTATAACACGATCGCGATTTATAACAAGTTACAGGCTCTCATACAAGCGGCATTTGGACCCATGAGTCTCCGGTACACTTATTGGCGGACCCATGGAATTGTTAGTATTTCAAGAGCATTTAACCCGCTGCATAGAAAAGCTGAGACACGAAATCCCCCCTACTAATATAATATCACCAGGTATTTCTAGGGTGTCCTCCGCATATATCTTTCTCAGATGACTTGGTCAATTCAATTCTTCTCATGCTCCAGTTGAGTGATATCATTGACATCGAGCCCACAAAACTGCTTGCAGCTGGGCTCGCCGATGCGGTAATTGATATCAATTTGCAATTTTGGGAAACTAAAATTCATCTTTTGGCACTTATCTATGAAAGATATTCATCTCATGATGACTCCCAACAAAGAGTATGAAGCCCTAATACTACAACCCTTTGGAATAAATAGCCATTTATGTTTTGACTTTTCTCCAGATATTTGAAGTGCCGCGAGGAGTTATTCCACTGGCACTGGGTTCCAGTCTGACTGGACATCGAATTATATCGCCTCTTTCTCATCTCGACATCCCACGCGACGTGAGTGATGAAAGCTTACTGAGAGTCGTTTCATCATTGTCACAGGCTGCCGATGGTGGGTTATTACAACAATAAAATCTATTGTATCCAATATTAACTTCCCTAGAACAAAACAGAAGAGCAAGGCAGATCATGGTCTCGAGAGCAACAACTCCATACAATCTCAGTTGGGTGGATTCAGCCAGTGCTAGTCAACTTACTATCAACCGGGGTGTACTAAACCGGAGTCCTCAGTTTCAAAATTGGTACTCATCTCCCGGTCCTGCATTTATTTCTGTCAGAGGTGCATCAGACCCCCACATCGTGGGTTCCGTGGTTCGCGATCATTTAATTTCCCTCAATGGAAGTATAGAAGATCAAAAGGTTAGAATGATACAGTGCTTCACATTCGACAAGAAAGATTGCAGAAGAAATTCCGCGGAAGCTATGATCTGGACTTTCCTTGCTGAATTGTCACATGATATCATGGGTCATGTTGTGACATCTCCAGGGCTTCGCAAACTCACAGCGGATGAGACTATTCCCAATCTAAAAGACCTTTCACTCATTCTTTACGATTTTTTGCAGGCTGAAGCATGTCCAGAGTTGATCTGGCTCTTGATTGATCTCGATCAAGCGGTGATTGCCTACCAGTGGTTTTTGGACATTTTAATGACAATCGCAGATGGCTGGGAATCGAACTTCAAAATCATGGTCGTCGGCAATTTGGAACGTAACCTTATCCAGATTGGTGCCGGATTACAAATTGACTATCTGGAGCCAAATCTCAGCTGCAATGAAGTTCAATTGGAAGAAAAGCCAACACCCATCTCATCAGGTCATCTAGATCAAAATACCTCAAAACCTCTATGTCGCCTATTGGAAACACCTGAGCTCCTTAATCTACAACCAGAATTGAATCAGATCTTCAATGACCTTTCCGATCCTGATTTTCTCCAAGCTTTGCAATCTTGCCTTCCGTCTTTGATCAAAAATAAGGGCGTCAACTACGCCAAGACAGCATTATCGAGGCTTCGATCCGGGTTTTCAGTTACAAGTTTTCTCGATCAGATTATTCAGATAGGATCATTATTAACCACTCAAGACAACACATCCACTGCGGCTCAGGTGCTTGAGACGCTTGAGATGGTAATATTTTCCTTGAGACCTCTGGCTGCTGACGAACTTGTAGACCTAGAGAAAGCCGCAAGACAATGGGACCCCTCTCGTCATGAACGCTCACTGGATCCAAAATCTGTTACTTCCTGGCTCCCTGGAATCCTCATTTTACAAGAAAACGAAGTTCTCTTTTCACATCGATTACTCCGCGACCGCATCTTGTCAGTTGATAGCCCTGTTGCCCATTTCAGGTCTGGGCTTTCTGAGAACCATGAATTTCACAATGGAATTGTGAAATTATGCTTAAGATATCTGAGCTCACCATACGGAGGAGATCGTTTAGCAAGTTATACTTCTCTTGGTCGCCCTTCCAGTGATGTAATGCAACTTACAGGTCCTGAATCGCGACAGAATTTCCTCTCTTATGCGGTAAAATATTGGCCCATACATGCGAAATTAGCGGGACCAAATTTGGAAATTTTTGGTCAGCCTATTCAAGAATTTCTAGGAAACCAGGACCTTCTAAACAAGTGGGCACTCGCCTTTTGGGCCCATCAGGGTCAAGGAAGCGGACATTTGACGGGACCATATGCAATCTTGGCACAACATGGATTGTTGACCATGATCCAGGAAGCAAGCCTCAAGAGTGACCACACTTTTGGGGATGACCAGGATTCTCAACATGCCTTTCTAGCTGCTGCTTCAACTGGAAATGAAGCTATTATTGGCTTCTTGGCCCCAATGGTGAGTCTGAATAGCGAGACATTCAACAGAGCTGCAGTAGCTTTACTGGAATTTGGTATCGACGAATTTGCCATGTCTTCACCTCTGTCTGAGAGAATGGCGTTCCCTAATGATCATGGAACAATGGCCCTCTTGTGTCGTGCAGCATTTCTCGACGAGCATATTCTCATTCATCACGTACTTTCAATTCCACCATCAGAAAATACACAAATCGAGATCAATTTATTTGGCCAGCTTTTGAGTCATGCTTGCCAAGGGGGCAGTGTTCAAACCGTCAAGTTCCTTCTGAAGCACCGTGCACAAGAAATTAGCAACAAGAAGCTTCTCCAAGCAATGGCCCTCACAGTGCCATACAGTCATTTGAGTGTCGCCAAGCTGCTGGCAGAAGAAATAGGTGAAAGAATGAAACAAGAGAGTTTGGACATCGCTCAGGGCGCAGAAGCAGCAGCGACAGATCCCGATAAAGTTGATCTCTTGAGTGGCATTGACATTATCCTGCAACTTGTGATTAGTCGTGGGCATTATAAGATACTCCAAGCTATCTTGGATATTCTTCAGCCCAAAACTTCAATATCTTGTCTTTCTCTACCTTTGCTGAAACGATCGATTTTCTTGGCTAGAGTGAAATGCTTTAACGTCCTCCATGAGATGTTCATAGGCAATCACTTGACGATACACGCCTTTTCTTTCAAGGAAATTATCTCGCTACTTGAAACAGTAGTCCAGAGAGGCGAAGTTTCAATTCTTCGTAATTTGATCAATGTTGGTGTTCCTTTCGACAGAGAATTTTTCAGTGGGTGCTTTGCTGCAGCTATCAACCACCGTTACAAGGCCGCCGATGTGGTTGATCTCTTCATATCTGTGGCCAAAGAAAATCTGGACGAGATCGCATTGATTGATGAGCTCACATTACATCTTGCATCAGCGGTCAAGTCAAATTTGCCAGATATCACGAAATTGTTGATTCAGGGAGGCGCAGACATAGATCGCCACACGCTGATGAGCCACACCAGGACACCTCTTTTCCATGCAGTGTTTGAAGGTCATCTGGAAACAGTTATAATCATTCTTTCTGTCCAACCAAAACCGGATATCAGAAGTAAAGAGCTTCATCCAGATGGCTGGGAACCCATTCATGCAGCGGCCGACAATTTAGAAATATTGCAATTGTTGATTGAAAACAAGGCAGATGTCAATGCGCAAACGACCAACGGGTCTACAGCTCTGTTTCTTGCTGTGAAATGGGGGAAAATTGCTTGTGTGAAAGAGCTACTTCGGCATAAGCCAAGGCTTGATCTTATAGTGGAGGACAATAGCCTCCTTTCTGTTGGCATCGAATACGGATCTGAAATGATCGAATTACTTCTAGACGCCGGCGTATATCCTTGTCACAAAGATGCATTGTACGCCAACTCTTATTTACTGCATGAATGCGTGAAAAACAATATGCTCATCGGTCTACGTCGTCTGCTGCTGTTCACTCTGCCCCTGGATCAAAGGGACGAAGACGGAAGAACGCCGCTCAATTGTCTCCATTCCACAACTAGTGTGGATATTGTAAAGTTATTAGTCCACCGAGGAGCATCTCCAGACACAATTGATTTCTCTGGAGTGTCCGTCCTTTTTAAGGCCGTCGAGTTCGGTCATTTGGCTACTGTCAAATTTCTGTTATCACAAGGGGTGGCTCCCGACGCGCTGGGTGGGCAGAACGAGACTGCGATACACTTTGCATGCATCAATAGCTCATTGGAGATGGTCAGGTTGCTTGTGGAAAATTGCCACTCTCTTGATAAAATCCATGACGGCTCTTATGGCACCGCTTTCCAAGCTGCTTGTCGGAGATACGATGTCGAGTCAAAAAAAGAGCTTTTGACTTATATTCTTGATACGAAAAAGGTGCCAGTTAACCAAACTAGTAAGTGGTGGGGTGGCAACCTACAGATGGCTTGCTTACTGGCCGACACGACCGTAATTCAAAGGCTTCTTGATCGTGGCGAAAGGGCTGATGAGGTCGATCGTTTTCGACGTCAGCCAATTCACTTTGCATCATACCGGACAGCTGAACATGTCAAAATCCTCCGTGGTAAGAATGCAGATATTCTGGCCGAAGACATCATGCACCGATCTGTTCTTCATTTTGCTGTCTCTGGTGGGAATTTGGATCTTATAAAGTATATTCTTGACGAGCATAGAGAGCTGCTTGAACAGGGAGATTGTGACGGCTGGACTCCAATTTTCTGGGCCCTTCGGCCCCGAATGCATTGGGACCTCACCATAACTGGCCGGAAAAAAATAATTGAAGAGCTCATTGAACGTGGAGCCGACCTTGAAAGAGTATCAGCGGAAGGTAAAGAATGGACACTGCGCCAGCTGGCTCAATATTACGGTCTTGATCAATCCGTGGTTGATATGTTTCCCTACAAAGAGGAGTACATCGACGAGCAGAAACTCCCGATCTCTAAAGCCGAGCTTAACTCTGACGGTGGCTATTGTGATGCTTGTCTACTTGTAAGATGTCATATTTAAACATCCTTCGATCTCCTTATCATGCTAATGAATATACGCAGGAGGATATTAGTGTTTGCTGGGATTGCGATCAGTGTGACCTCACACTCTGTTTCAAATGCTATGGGTCAAGCGACATGCTTCATCCCGAGCATACCTTTTCCAAATTTGACGATGGTAGTGTTGATGAGAGCCCCTCGTTGGATACATTGGAAGCTACCATGTGTGAAGTTCTTGGATATACAGAACTCAAAAAGATTCCCGCTGCTACGAATCTTGCATCTAAAGAAAATTTTGAGAAGTTGAGTACACATATTCAAAGCCAAACAAGTGAGCCGGGGTTGTGGAATATCCACTTAATGCGTGAACATGCAAAGCCGAGGAGTTCTCTTTATGATTCCGGCTTGGGCTCTCATCGGCTACTTGAGGTTTCCGAGAAGAGAAAAAGGCAATACGAAGGTGTGGTTGATCTTTTGCAGCCTGGAGCTTTAAGTCGTCGAGGTTCAAAGGCGCTCTTTGCTACTACTCTTGACCCGATTGGATGACCATCGGTCTCTCATGACATGTATGACACCAACATCTTCCGTCTGAGAGTAATTTCAAGCTTTATGCTCTACATATTAACGATAAGAGGTAAGGTAAGGCACGGTCTATTTCTTGAAGGTGCAAGAACAATTCGATGTCGTTCCCATCAACTTTACTCACCCAATGCATCACTGCGGATGTTTCTGCCATATTTTTAAATGAAGAGGAGAGAATACGTATGAGACAGCAGTAAATCTATGTACAGGCATAATTCTATTCAGATAATGCAGCATGCCAAGAAAGATTAGTATGTGGACGCTTCATCGCAGAAGTTCATCACTTCGCCGTCGCTTGGGAACAGGCCGTACCCGCAAAAAGGCTCTATTCTGGGAGACATTAACAGCATAATTTAAATTTCTATATCTTGAAGGTCTACTTTACTCCTTCCTAGCTCGCTTTTCATGACTTTTCAACTATTTGAGACGCAAATGCAGAGTAACCAAGGTCCGTGCATGTATTACTACTAAAACCAACGAAACTCACCGCTTCCAATAGAAATACACGTGATTTGTGGAGTTCCTGCGGGGCGTCGTCATCGCCGACTCGCTCATCACAGCTCCTCAACTCCCTTGCAGCGATCATGAGTGGGTTCAGAAATGTTATGAAAGAGGGCTGGAACCCTAAAGGCAAAGATGGCAAAAAGGAAAGCTGGAGGGGAGATTTCAAGGGCATCAACCAAGTGGTAGGTGCAACAAGACATATCAAGCTACAGACACAAGGCTCGGACACTAATGCTGCATGACAGGCGGGATGGATGGGCAAAGGGAAAGACCCCAATGCTGAGCAAACCGAGCATGTCTCACAACCACTGTCATCTCTGAAGGATCCGGCATCTTTTGGGCCCCCGCCGAAACATATCAACTACCACGGTGCAGCTGCGCTGCCGAATGAGACCACCCCGGATCGACGTGGCCTCGGTGCTCCGTTATCTCAGACTCAAATCCAGCAACAGAATGTTCATCAGCAACAGGCAGTGGAGACGGTGCAAGAGGAGTTTGAAAAGCCCAAGCCACCACCAGTCCCTTACCGTGTGAATACTACTGGGCTATCTACGAACACCCTCCCATCGCCGCCAGTGCGACGCCTCGATTCCCCGAGCTCGGCGTCTGCCTCCCTTGCGTCCAAGCCAAAACCTCAACTTCCGCCCCGACTTCCGCCCCGCACCGACTCCCCCGCATCAAATTCTCCTTCCCCGCCGCCAGCCTATTCTGCTACAGCAGCTACTCCTCCTCTTCCATCCGCCTCCCAAGGATATATCAACCAAGAGGCCACATCGCGTCTTGCAAGCGCCGGCGTTTCGGTTCCCGCACTCGGGATTGGCGAGGCAAATGCTTCATCCCGTGCATCTGCGGGCATACATGGTACCGATGTCAACGAACTACAATCTCGCTTCTCGCAGATGGGAACCGGTGTGAAATCCGCTTCTGCAGCTCCCAGCCCACCCGTTCAAACCGCCTCCGGCTATACCGGCTATGCCGGGGTTGGAGACCCTCTTCCTCCGCCTCTCACATTCCGCCAGCGCCATGCAGACAAGATTGATGCGGGCAAGGAGAGACTGGGTGGGATGACTTCGCGCATCAACACCTTCGTTGAGGACCGCAAGTTCTCAGCCGCCGCCAATAAACGGATCCCGCGGCCTCCTGGTCCTAACTCCCCTGTTGCCCGTTCCCCGGCTCAACCAAGTCCTCCGTTAGAAACACAGGCCCAACGCAAGAAACCTCCCCCGCCGCCCCCCAAACGGGAGGATATGCGCGCGCCTCCCGCCAACGCATCGCCAGTGGCTTCGGCATCCTCCACGCCGCCGCCAGTGCCGCTCAATACGAAACCTCGTTGATCGAGGCTCTCTTGTGCTAATACGACTGTGTAACACGGCTGGAAATCAATAAAGAGATTAGGTAGCAATCTAGGAATGAAGAGCATAGGTCATTTCTTGCGTAACATGTCGTATGTTCTTGTGCTACACTAGCTTGAAATCAAATCTTACCAAATCAATCTCATTCTACGAGTCGCGTTGCTGGATGCAGCACCACGCGGCCTCGGCCGCATGTGAAGGCTCCGGTTGGCCGGCGTCCTCTGCGATCTCATTGATTCGATTGCCCGAGCTGTTGGGGAGATCTACTCGAAATATGAAGGGGCTTCATTGGTCCCAACAATAAACGATGAATGATGGGGCAGCACACGAGCCCCTGCGTGCATGATGAACGATAGATAATATGCCCCGAAATCCATGCGATCAGGCTTATAGTTCCGTACATCCCCTTCTCAATCCAGCTTAGGTCAGCGCAGGCTGAGTCAGACAAGGCGGTGCGAACCGGTATTTTGCAAAAAGACGTTGAGGCGGATTAGTCACAGTCTTGGGCGGTGTAGCGGGTGTCGCGTGTGGCGGTCGCGTGCGTGGGCGTTTAATCTTGAGCTTGAGGACTCGAGAGTCGAAGTATAAAACTCAGGTTCAACGACCCTTCAACGCGGGCATCCATGGGTGATTGCGAGTGATGACAGTATGAAGATCATCTGGGTGTCGCTAGCCCACTCACGGTGATGGGCGAGCCCATGGTCCAAACATGTTCCAGCGCCAACTTTTTGGGCACAGCGATCAACCGAGGTCCCCCGAATTCCCCAATTCCCAACAAACGCAAGGCTCCACTTCCCAGTCAAGTTCAGTTGAGCGTGCTGATAAGTCGTCTTTATCTGCGCGGTGGAGCCCCTTTCGTAGCCCACGACTGATTAGGAAGTGGTCCTCACGCTACTTTTTTTTTCTTTTGCTCATCGCCCTCTCCACATTTTCTCTGACTTCAAGCTGCTCTTCTCCTGAAGTTGTGAGGTGCCTCCGCCTGGTGTACCGGTGTCGCTCTCTATCTAGCTATTCTCAATCTCGCTCTGGCCGTGGGTTTCACCATGTACGACTTCAACGTGCCTACGGAGTTTGGCTCGGCCACCATCCGCATTGGCCTGCCCCCGGCGTCCCTGCTCAACTTCCCTCCCAACGAACTCCCCGAAACCATTCCTGCGCCCCATGTCGCAGAGCCTACCTGGAAGCAGCCTTTTAACATCCCTAACGACCTGTATAATCGGCTTCTGGATGTGCGCTTCCCCATCACCATTGCCAGCGTGTATGCTATCACCGTAATTTTGGTGAATCGCATCAACAAGAGCCGCGGCTACAAGCCCTATGGATTCAGTCACTCGCGTCTCTTCAAGCTCTTCGTCGTCTTGCACAATGTCTTCCTCGCCGTTTATTCCGCCTGGACCTTCGTCGGCATGTTCCAGGCCTTTACTGGCTCCTTCCCGGACCGTGGTCACCCCAACGGGTTCGCTGGCGTCGTCGACTCGCTCTGCAAGATCAATGGTCCTCGCGGCTACGGCAATGCTGCGACCTATAGTCCTATCACCAACGAGTGGTCTATTCCGAACCCTGACTTGAAGCTGGCCGGGGGGGTGCCTGACTCGACCGATGTGGGCCGTCTCTGGAACGGCGGTCTGGCCTATTTTGGTTGGATTTTCTATCTGTCCAAGTTCTATGAAGTCGTGGATACCGCGATCATCCTGGCCAAGGGCAAGAAGAGCTCCACCCTGCAAACATACCACCACGCCGGTGCCATGATGTGCATGTGGGCTGGTATTCGCTATATGGCCGCGCCCATCTGGATCTTTGCGCTGGTCAACTCTGCCATTCATGCGATGATGGTATGTATCAATCAACATTCGCACCTTTCCATTTCCAGTGTTGGATATATCAAATTTCGGTAGCTAACGCAATGACTTTTTCAGTACACCTACTATACTCTCACTGCTCTGCGCATCCGCGTTCCTACCGCGATCAAGCGTAGCTTGACTACCATGCAGATCACCCAGTTTGTCTTCGGCACCAACATGGCCGCTGCCTACCTTTTCGTCCACTACACCATTCCTTATCCTGTAGGGAGCTCCGTCCTGCATCACTTGTCAAAGGTCGCCCCTGCTATTGCTACTGCGACTGCAGAGACCGGCACTCTCCCTTGGCTGAAGAAGCTGGCTTTCCGTGCTGCCGGTGCCGAGGGTCTCGCTGAGAACGTTGGTGGTGCTGTCGCTGCCCCTCAGACCGGATACACCCAGGAGATGGTGACCTGCATGGACACCACTGGCCAGGCCTTCGCCATCTGGCTTAATGTCTCTTATCTCTTGCCCCTCACATATTTGTTCGCGCGCTTCTTTGTCCGCTCCTACCTGAGCCGCAAGGACACCGGCGTCAAGCAGTCGACCCACATGGAAGCAGCCGAGAAGGCCGGCATCGATGCTCTCAAGGGCTTGAGCCGTGAGATTCACAAAGCCGCGATCGAGGGTGAAAACAGTGAGGTCACTGACGATGAAGTTGTCAAGGCTCACGTCCAGAAAGTCACCGAGCAAGTCACTCCCCAAGATTCGCCTGTGCGGACACGCTCTTCTGCTGCCAACAAGGCCAAGGCTGCTGCTGCGGCCGCAGCCAGTCGTTCAGAGTCAGACGAGGGCTTCTCAAAGGTTCCTGCGAAGAAGGGAGCTAAGAAGCAGACCAAGGCGGAGCGGGAAACCAGTTCAACGGGCCCAGAGACGAAAGGACAGAATCCGTTCGGCGTTCTGGATAGCAATACTTGATTCGGTTTTGTGAAGAGTTGACAATCGATTTTTCGGCATAAAAAGTTTTGGAGTCTTGGGAGTTCAGCGCAATATCCACTTTCCTTTTTGACTACGCGGATGTGACATGATACGCTCTGTCCTGATTTGCTGTTTTCACCGCCGATTTCACCACCGATTCCTGGCCCCCCAGCCAGCGAATTGACTTACGAGCCGGTCACCACAAAGTGGGAAACTTCCTCCGTTCATACTATCTCGGATCGGAGCAGTGGGGGCTTACTTCCGCATGGCTTTGAGCAAGCTGGCTTCGAGAAACCAGGTATTGTCCGTGGGAAGTCAATCGCGTCGAGGGGAATTGTGATTTAGAATACTTCAGAGCCAGTCAGCGCTTGAGACATTTGGCTCTCTGGATATTATTGCGACGCCTTGTGGCATCTTATAGATTACAGGCACCGCTAGGATGTATATTATCATTATAATCGGGAATCCCAATTAGTGAAGTTTTCCAACTCGAGTTTTGATTGATGCGGCCATTTATACTTCTCCACTTTTACTGGCCAGCTCAATGGAGGAAAAATACCCCCGCAAGTCTTCTATGCAGCCCCTCGCGCGGGGTCCTCTTAGTACATCCGTCGCACGCCAAACCTTCGCTTAGAACCCTGTAAATGAGCCTGCCTACAAGCTAGCCCATTGAGAACAATCAGGCTAGATCCAATTTAACTCACCCCGCAACTTTCTCCGGAGGTGAAATTGAAGCACCGAAACAGACTCCATCTGGGGATATAAATGAGAAAACCCTTCAAAATGTCGGATGCGTCTAGTCGCGATACACATACCTCCGGCCTCTCGGCAGCAGCCCGAGTTGCTCCAAGATGGCGAAATTTTCACGTCTGCTATACGGACTATGGATAGTCTTCTCTTGCTTGAAGAATTTCTCGCTGGCCGAGACCCAAGCAACAACGGATTGGCCACTTCAGGATGACGGTCTCAATAAAGTCGTCCAATGGGATCATTATAGTTTCCAGGTGAACGGACAACGCATTTTCATCTTTTCTGGCGAGTTTCACTACTGGCGTATTCCGGTTCCCGGCTTGTGGAGAGATATTCTCGAGAAGATCAAAGCTGCTGGCTTCACGGGCTTTGCTTTCTATTCTAGCTGGGCGTACCATGCACCCAACAACCACACTCTCGACTTCACCACCGGTGCTCACGATTTCAGTCCGCTCTTTACCTTGGCCAAAGAATTGGGCCTGTACATCATTGTGCGCCCGGGGCCCTATGTCAACGCCGAAGCCAGTGCTGGCGGCTTCCCACTTTGGTTGACAACCGGTGACTATGGTACCTTACGGAACAATGACACTCGATACACGGCCGCGTGGACCCCATATTTTAGCAAGATGGCTCAGATCACCAGTGGCTATCAGGTCACCAATGGAGAGAATGCCATTGTCTACCAAATTGAGAATGAATATGGGCAGCAATGGATCGGGAGTGCTTCGGAGCGGGTGCCGAACGAAACCGCAATCGCCTACATGGAGCTTCTCGAAGCCAATGCAAGGGCCAATGGCATCACCGTCCCTCTTACGGCGAACGACCCAAACATGAACTCCCACTCCTGGGGCAGTGACTGGTCCGATGAAGGGGGCAATGTTGATGTTGCGGGTGTGGACTCATATCCTTCGGTCGGTGCTTCTTTTCGCGTAGCAAAATTAACAGTATATGAGATCAAATCTGACTGACGGGTGAATACAGTGCTGGACCTGTGACCTGACTCAGTGCACCTCCACCAATGGTGAATATGTGGCATTCCAGGTCTTGGACTACTATGACTACTTTGCCGAATCCCAGCCCTCCATGCCGAACTTCATGCCCGAATTCCAAGGAGGCTCGTACAACCCCTGGGGTGGACCCGAGGGCGGTTGTCCCGATGACATCAATCAAGATTTTGCAAACTTGTTCTACCGATGGAACATTGGACAGCGTGTAACCGCCATGAGTCTATACATGCTGTTCGGCGGGACGAATTGGGGCTCTATTGCCGCGCCAGTGACTGCGAGTAGCTATGACTACTCGGCACCTATCTCCGAGGACCGCTCGATCGGATCCAAGTATTATGAGACGAAACTGTTGGCGCTGTTCACACGCTCTGCAAAGGATTTGACCATGACTGATCTGATTGGCAATGGCACTCAGTATACGGACAACTCGTTGGCGCGGGCATATGAGCTGCGGAACCCAGATACAAATGCTGGATTCTATGCAACTTTCCACACAAATACGTCTACCTCGACGAACGAGGCCTTCCATCTCAAGATCAACACTTCTGCTGGAAAATTGACTGTCCCCAGGCACGGCGGTGTTATCCGCCTTAATGGACATCAATCCAAGATTCTTGTCACCGACTTTAGCTTCGGATCGAAAACACTTCTCTACTCAACAGCTGAGGTTTTGACTTACTCCGTCTCGAATAAAATACCTACTCTAGCCCTGTGGGTTCCCACTGGCGAGTCTGGCGAGTTCAATATCAAGGGGGCGAAGCGTGGATCGATCAAGAAATGCCAGGGATGTTCGGGTGTGAAGTTCATCAAGGAAAACGGTGGTCTCACCGTCACTTTTACCCAATCTTCCGGGATGAGTGTGCTGGAGATCGACGACTTCTATGTCATTCTTCTTGATCGGACTGCTGCGTACAAGTTCTGGGCCCCTGCTTTGACTAATGATCCATTTGTCCCAGAGACAGAGAGCGGTACGCTTGTCTGCCCTACCCTAATACTACTTTAATTCCATGCTGACAACTTCCCCAGTACTCATTCAGGGTCCCTACCTTGTCCGCGGAGCCACTCTGTCTGGATCCAAGCTTGCTGTCACAGGTGATGTTGTTAATGCCACTACATTAGAAGTCTTTGCACCAAAGGATGTCAACAAACTCACTTGGAACGGAAAGTCAGTGCAGGCCAAGCGCACTGGGTACGGCAGTCTTCAAGCCTCGATCTCAGCCGCTAAATCTGTCACTCTGCCTGCTTTTGGATCATGGAAGTCAAAGGACAGTCTTCCAGAGCGTTATGCATCATACGATGACTCTGGGGCTGCGTGGGTTGGTTAGTACTTCATTTCCAAATTCTTTTGCTACTCGACGAAACGTGCTAATTTCTCAGACGCCAACCATATGACAACCTTAAATCCGAGGACTCCAACAACTCTCCCTGTCTTGTACGCCGACGAATATGGTTAGTGAATTCCTCTCAAATGGGTGAGAGTACCAAATTTAACAAGGCTACAGGGTTCCATAACGGCATCCGAATCTGGCGTGGCTACTTCAGCGGCTCTGCAACTGGGGCTTTTCTGAACGTCCAGGGAGGATCGGCATTGTAAGCTCGATACCATTTTTCGCATCTTGCTTCTGGTTGTCACTTTTTTTTTAAGATGAATTTAATCTAATTACAATCTAGTGGTTGGTCTGCCTATCTCAATGGCCAGTTCCTTGGTTCCTATCTCGGTGATGCAACCGCCGAACAGGCAAACCTGACACTATCCTTCTCCAATGCCACCCTCAGCACCACCAAGCCCAACGTCCTCGTCGTCATCCACGATGACACCGGACATGACGAGACAAGTGGCGCGCTGAATCCCCGTGGAATTCTCGAGTCTCGCCTCCTCGGATCTACGAGTGGTTTCTCCCAATGGCGTCTCGCTGGTACAGCAGGCGGCGAGTCTAATATAGATGCCGTGCGCGGCGTCTTCAATGAAGACGGACTCTATGGCGAGCGTGTCGGATGGCATCTCCCTGGCTACGACGATTCAGCCTGGTCCAGCACCTCCAGCACCAAGCGCGCGAGCTCTTCAAGCTCCACGCTTAGCATGACAGGTGCGACTGTGCGCTTTTTCCGAACCACAGTCGCCCTGGAAATTCGCGAGGAGACCGACGTCTCCATCTCCTTCGTGCTCTCCGTTCCAACGGGAGCGACAACAGCGTATCGGGCGCAATTGTTCGTCAACGGCTACCAATACGGTCGCTTTAACCCGTACGTTGGGAATCAACTCGTGTACCCCGTCCCGGCTGGGATTCTAAACTATAGCGGAGAGAATACGATTGCAGTCGCTTTATGGGCACAGACGGAGGAAGGAGCAAGTATTGAGGTTGGGTGGCGTGTCAATTACGTTGCTGATAGTTCGTTGAATGTTGCCAGTATTGATGGGACAGAGTTGAGGCCTGAGTGGACCAAGGAGCGGGAGCAGTACGCATGAGAAAAAAGAAACCATCGATATTCCATTTGATAGAGGTACACAGATGATCGGCTCTAGATATAATAGTTCATAGGGCCAGAGGGTGGGAGATTTTCGAATTTCGATGCATCATGCCATTCATTATTTTAGGTTCCTTCTAGCTTGTTGGTGTGATGGGAGAGACTCATAAGAGGGGTGATATTGAGCCAATGGCAAAAGAAAAATACAATCATGATCATGAATCAACCCAGAGAACCAAGCTCTTAAGTCGAAGAAATATGCAAGTACAGGCATGCGAGGCCAGTGACAGTCAGTACAAGAACGTCACTTTATGAAACGTTTTAAACCAAGAACCTGAAGCCACGGCTGCTGGCTTGGCCAGGAACAGCACCCTCAACATGTTCGCCACGGTCAAGCTTCTTGTTCAGACGAACGAGAATGAAGCGGAGAACGGTCGCAGAGATAATAGCGATGAAAGCAGTAGCGCAGTTGACAGCCATGGCGGGAACTAAATTCAGGAATTCAATAGTTAGTTTCGGCTCCAGCGGGAAAAAATAAAGGATCTTCGTAAAAACCTACCAAAACGCGGCGCATCGCTGTCGGGATACATATAACTGGCATAGATACTACTGCAGTTGCTAACACAGTTGATAGCAGCGAGTGCAGCGGCACGCTTCGATGCAGGACGGGGCAGGGTACTTGAGATCCAACCCAGAGCAACAACGTAGCCGGAATAGAATGATGGCACCATAAGCATCATGGAGACATAGCGGGGTGCGGTGCTAGTCGTAGCAGCAGCAATAATAAAAGCTGCGACGGAGATGTACAGCGGTAGGGTGATATGGAAGTATCGCTCGCCGGTGCGATCAGAATGCCAGGCATTGGCGAACGCACAAATCACAGCCAGGCAATAGGGCGGAGCAGTGAGGAGGAGGGTGGTGATGCTGTCATACTTGAGAGTCTCGACGACAGTGGGGAAGAAATTCGTCACAGAGGCGGAGGAAACAATGCATAAGATCATAAGCATCTAATCAAGAGAAAAAGTATGTTAGTTGACAATGTCGATATATGGATTTTGTATGCTGGGCTTACCAAAACCCAGGTCTTGATATCGGTGAAAGCCAGCTTCGCACCGTGCAGGAAAGACTGCTGCTCGCTGTCAACCCAATCATCCTCGCCAATGTCTTCCTCCAAACGCCATGCAGCCAACTGCTTCTCTTCCTCACTGAGCCAGCTAGTCGTACGGGGGAAATTAGGCAGGATGAAGATAGCGATGAAGGCAACGACGATTGTGATAGCACCCTCAATGATAAACAGCCAACGCCTAGAGAAAATTAATGATCAATCTTCCGGCATGTTGGGAAGAAAACTTACCAAGCACGAAGGCCTCGTTTGTGATCCATGTTTCCGGTAATACCAGCGGCGATCAATCCAGAGAAAGCGCCTGACAGGAGAGAGCCGGAATAAAGAGCTGCAGTACGGAAACCAAGCTCCTTGCGAGTGTACCAAGCACTGAGGAAGTACAGACAGCCAGGCTGAGGAAAGCTAGGTCAGAATTCTTTTTCTTTCTTTCAGAGTGTGGGAAAAGGGCATACGAAGTAGGCGGCTTCAACGAAACCAAGGAAAAATCGAATAACCACAAGACCGGCATAGTTTTGAGCACATGCCGTGAGGGTTGAGATGACACCCCAAAGCATCATAGCAGTGGGCAGGTAAATAGCAGGCTTTCCGAACTTGTTGAGCAGCAGGTTCGAAGGGACTATACGAAGTTAGTTGGCTCGGTCATGGATGAGCTCTCAGAAATGGGCACTCACTCTGCATCAACAGATAACCCACAAACAGAATGCTAACGCAGGTCTATAACATAGAATGTCAGAATTTCGATCGCCAGTTGGCAAGAGTAATGAAGCTCAAGAATACCAAATATTGGTTCCCAACGAGACCCAAGTCATCCTCCAAACCCGCAAGACGAGCAGCAGCCTAACTCAGACTTAATCAGTTATCATCCTATATATCACAAGAAATACAGTGACAAACGAACGATATTGTTCCGGTCCAGGTAGTTCAGAATGTACATGATGATAATCATGGGCAATAGACGAATATCGATCTTCCGCACCAGAGCCTTCTCGGCCTTCTCGCGCTCCTCAGGGGAGAGACCGGCCACATAGGCTGGGGCTTCTTTCTTGGGATTGGGTTTATCGGCATTGGCGACGATTTCGACGTTGTCTACATAAGACTTGTCGATATCGGCCACCTCGAGATCCTGCGAGGCACGAGACATTTTGATCAAAGGAGTCTAGCCGTCCGTGAGGGTATAAATTGGTGGAAACAAGTGAAGTCGGGTTAAGAAGAGCACCGGAAGAGGCTAACCAGCAACCAAGGGCGCTAAATATAGGAAGTCCACCACGAGATAAGAGGATGCCAGCACAAGCAAGGGGTGAAGTGAGAGAAGAAGAAAAAAAGGCGAGACCACTAGGAGGACAGGAATGGGGTGGAAGGAGGAGAAAAGGAGGGATATCGTAAATTAAAAAGAATTCCAGTCAGGTCTAAAGGTTGGGGAATGGAGACTTTTCAGCGCCCAGGAGCACATTAGCTTTTTGTGGGAGGACCGCGAGATGTGGCGTCGATCAGGCCAATCCTGAGATTAAGAGACGCAGAACTCCGGGGGGGGGTGTGACATAGACGCAGTCCAAGGAAACTTCACGGAGTAGAAAGGGTACCAAAAAGGTGGTGGTATGGACCGACTGTAACCCCCAACCGGGCCACCTAGCCAGTCATAGGCTCGGCATGGCTAAAAGCATCGCGTTACTCCACCGGCGCGCGGAGGGAAAATTCGGTCGAGTCGGTCGATTCGGTCAGCTAGTCGCACCAAGCCGTGAGGGTCTGGAGAATTGGACCAATGGCGAGGCCGAGCGGAGCCCGCGGGCGTGGGGGAATAGGGACCGGGGAAGCGATGAACCGGGAGAGATCCCGGGTTACAGTGGTGTACAGCGTCGGCCACGAGCGGTTCTTGCGGGGAGCGGGTTGACCACAGGCAGACGGACAGCCGAAACCCCCTCGGTTGTGATGTGTTGGGAAGGGATCGACCACCCGGCGTGGGGGTTGCACTCGCACCAGAGAGGACTTGTGGAGGGTCTTTCGGGATTTTACCGTCCCTAAATGGAGACTTTGGAGTCATGGGATGGTCCTGGCCGGATCTGGTTGGCCCACGCGAATCCCCGTTGAGGAGACACTGGGGCGTGGGGGTTGCATGGTGCTGGCGTGTTCGGTTTCCATCCACGGCAGAGAGCAAGCTTGATGATGCCACACCAATGATCGGATTACTTGGCAAAGATTGTCTCAATGTGGCCGGGGTGTGTATGTGTGTGACGTGGAGGTCCCCAGATTTCTGAAGGACGGGGGCGCTGTTGAGACCGTGGAGATGCTGGTCCGGTGTATGAATTTGGTATAGAACGATTGCGGGGGGAATTGGGGTGGCACGATCCTCTTCTGAGTTTCTCCTGCTTCCAATCAAGGTGATTATAAACCGAAACCACACGGGGGAAACATTAACCCCACAGATCCATCAAGTTTTTTGAAAGCAAAAGGACTCCAACATCGGAGGATGTCAAAGAGGGTCTGGCGGTCACGGGTTCAACCCAGGTTCTTCTCAACAGCCTTCCGACCCTCCATTGTGGCAGGGACGGGTGTCAATTGTACTGAGGAACATGCAAATAACACCTCGAGCTCTGGGCCTGGATGGTACAGCAAGAAGCAAGAGAACGAGGTAGACCACGACTGATATTTGCGGTACCGAATATCTTGGCGCTTGGTGTCCACCTTGGGTGAAGGAACAGTGATAGAAATATATATTGCAAAAAGAAAAATCCGCGATTCCAGGCGTACCTCTAAAATCCCATCCAAGTCCTTATTAAAGCCCGGGGCAAGCCTTTAAATGTATGCATATTATGGTACAGTGTCGCTGGTTTTGTAGAACATCTCATTCGACCTACGCTCGGGACGTCACAGTGGCTGACTGTTCATGCAGCCTGCACAACAGACGTTGGTGCCAAGTGCGAGCATGATTCCTAAGGCCATGGGAAATTGACTTTCTATATACTTAATGGCAGGAAACGGCTGCAGGTACACTGGTTCGTGGCTCTTGCCTATTATATTCGATCGAAACAATACAGATACTTTTCTACTCCAACCTGTTCACTACGTTTCATCCGAGATGTCGGTTGTGCAAGTCATCATCTAGCAGATGCTGCGCGGAATCGAGACCTGTAAGCCTCCAAGCCTCCACTCAAGAATGAGATCCATCTACGATGGATACCAGCAAACTGCACCAGGTGGGCCTGGAATCTCCCTATGATTCAATAGACTATATTCACTCCATCTCTTTCTCCCGGCCATCGACTATATATTTACCGGAGGTTTGTCTATCCCCGAAGGGCCTTGTAAAAAAAAAAAAAATTGAGAAGCAGGTTTCTCGGAAATGAATCCATTAAATTAATCTTCGCAATTAAGAAAACCACGCAAGTCAAAGAAAAGTTTTCCTCGATGGATCTGATCCGCCCAGGCAGCACTACTTACTAGACGAGAAAGGAAAAGGGACAACGATGATGGCGCGATAACCGAAGAAGTACAGAAAAGGAGAGAGACGAGGCTGAAGACCGAAGAGGGCGAAAATGCAGAAGCTCGAATTGCAGTCCGACGAGCCGGATGATAATAAGAGAAAAAAGATGTGAGGCCCAAACATGGCCATGAGGAGTGATGTGCTAGAAAACAAAAATGAAAGCGGCAGAAGGTTGAGAAAACAGAAATAAATAAGCCCAGTTTGCCCACGCTCCCAATACTCGATGACAATGACTCAGATGCATGCGGAAAAGACAGAAGACAAGAATAATAGAAAAAAGGATCGAAGTCGTCCAGGGAGAGAAAGTAGGACCGACGCGCCCCGTACATAAGGTAAATAGAATGGAGAGGGCAACATTCATTAGATCAACATGTCAACACCGAAGGCAGACCCCCGCGAGGGAAAAGCACGCGAAACACCCCAAGCATCGGTATATGATGGCATGACAAGAGTTTTGGTTCGAGACAAGCCACTCCATATCGGTCAAGGTACCATTATTCCAGATGGAACACCAGAAAGAGAAAATAAAAGACCGGAATGAAAACTTGACTCTGAGGTGGTCGGGCTGCTGACACACGAGACGGACATTCCGTGGAGATCAAATAAATCTTGGAATTTCGTTGCCGTTACACGCAAGGAGGAAAAAAAAGTCATCAAACACCCCTAATCGCCGAAGTTTATGCAGATCTATGGACAAGGATGCAGGTTTGGGATGCAAACCACGCAAGAAAACCCCGGCCAGATAATTTAAATGAAGTGTGTGTAAATCTTCGAGTTCTCATGAACTTCCATCTCCTGTGTCATTGTCAACAATGTGCGGGAAATGCCGAAACAGTAGGCTACTTACCATTTTGAAGTTGTTGATCTCCTCCCGGATTTGCTGGGCAAGCAGAGGAGTCAAGCGGTTGCAAGTTGCAATCTCACCGCGACGATCATACTCGCCACTCGGCCAGGTCTCATGGAATTGGATGCGCGGACTGAAGACAATATTTCGTCCGACAGGCTGAGGAGTGATAGGAGCACTCTTGGCCTCACTACTTGAGTACCGACCGCCCTCCGATAGAAAGTAATCTTCTCCAGCAATCTTCACGTGGTCGTTGGGGCGAGCAGCTCGAGAAGATTCATCGGGGGTGGTAGGAGCACTGGAATGAGGGGAGTCACTGCCGTTCATTGGATGTGCTGATGAGACGCCGAGATCCGAATGGGTCTTCTTGAGAATGCCCTTCCGGACAGCCGCGAGAACCTCCGCGCGCTCCTGATCCCCACCAACGATGCTCTTCCGCGATTCAGAGGTCTCTGAGACATTGCGAAGCCGGGCGTGGTTGTGTTCACGGATGGACGCGGACCGTCGAGGTTCAGACCCATTTTCTGCCTTGGGAAACACTGTTGCCCCACGAGGCATGTCGTGGGCGTCGGGATTAACCGTTACGCTTTCTGCATCCGCTCGCTCTCCTTCGACATTGACCACTGAAATCTTGGGGGCAGCCATAGGCTGCTCTGGGGTAGCCCCTTCCACAGAGTTGATGCTGGCAATTGACTTGGGACGGAAAAGTCCGACGAGAGATCGACTGCCTCGCTTCATCCCCCGGCCCATCTTGCGGAGCATCATTGAAGCTGAAGAGGCGGTAGATGAGACAGACAGGGCATCGGTAGATCCGCTGAAGAAGTTTCCCTGATGAGAATAAATGCTTTCGCCCAATCCACTGGCTTCTTGTAGCTCCGCAATGGCGGCCTGTTCTTCACCAAGTTCCTCTCGCAAGGCGTCCCGGCGAGCCTTCTCCGCTGCCGCCGCCTCCCGCTTGCTGGCATTGCTCTGGGGGGATGCTTTTAGAATCTCCGATGCACTGCCGAACGAGAAGGCGCGACGCAAGCGTGACTTGCCCGAGCGCTTCGAAGATTCATTTTTCAGTTCAGTCAACCGCCTTGCTGCAGGCGAGTCATTCGGAGAAGACGAAGCCATGGCGGCTTGGTTGTCCGTTTCGAGTCCAACGGTAGCGGTTTCAGGCGAGGAGGCCGGTTGAGATAAAGGGGAAGGTTTGCTTGTTCGCTTCTCATCGGGCTTGCCGGTCATGGTAGCTGCAGTATTTGAATCGGGCGAAGCTCCGTCTCGTACCTGTGAAAAATAGATGTCGGGAGAAATTAGCTTAAATTCACTCCTTGCAAAATTGTAAAGCGACCCTGGGTCGGCTGTGAGTGACGGGCTTACCGAAGAAGTTGATGAATGTGCGGAATGCACACTGACAGAACTATCTCGGTGCGAGTGAGACGAGCGCGGCCGTTGGTTGGAATCAAATGCAATGAAGTCATATGGACCTGATTGAGTGGATGAGGAGCCTGGCAACTGCAGCTCGAGGCTGGGGTATGCAGATGGATCCATTGTTCCCAAACTCCGGCGGCGGTAGCGTTTAGCAAGTTCTGGTTGAGGTCTCTCCAAATGAGAGGAATCATCCACGCTGGAGACTCGACTGTGTCCATTATGGCGGAGAATGGGTCGGGGAACTGCGGCGGGAACCGGCTGATCTTCTCCTAAAGGGGCCGCAGCCGGCGATTGGGAATGAGATCCCTCTGTTCGTTGTTGGTTCGCACGACGATAGCGATTTGGGGAGGGCTTAGCTGAGCCGGACGGGGAGGAGATGTTCATGATGTTCGAAGGAGGGAGATTGGCTGTAGAAAGTGGCCTAAGGGGCTGCTCGGCCCTCAGTTGGCGGGAGGGAATGGCACTGTCGTCTTTGGAAACATGGGAGCGGAAGGAGGAAGTGGAGGAAGAGGAATTCGATACAGAACCAGCTGCAGGATGGACGACGCGTAAGTTGTTACCAGAATAGGTCGGATTCATGGGACCCTGAGGGATAGAGGGGGCGGAGAATGTGCGGTGCTCTGGACGGAGATGAGGAGACCATGACTGCCGGTGTTGAGCATTGGGGGCATAGGCGTAGGGAGCCACAACCGGGTGGCCTGTTCGGTAGCTCCCCGAATTGCCAGCATTGAAGGAGCTCCACGACATGGTCTGGAAGCGAGAGCCCGAAGCCTGGGTGGAGGGGGAGGCGAAGGTGCCCGAAGATGAGGAAGGACGCGTCTGGAGCACAGGAACCGTGCCACTCTGTTGGGGAATCGTTTGAACCAACGCAGCCATATTGTTTCTCTCCCGGATACTGAAGAGACCTAATGCCGAGTGCCTCGGGTCGGTCGGAAACGACGACTGGACAAGACGACTCACGTGAAAAGGAGTTCAGGAAAATGAGACGGATGGTCAAACTGGTGGCCAAAGAGAATCGTGGTCAGGTCGAGGACGAGGAATGAAACGGGGGTGCTATAGGGGCCGAAGCGGGCACATGGTCAGTTCGGCGAGTTCTGAGATCAGAAAGAACATGGTGTGGTCGTCATCATGGGCATGGCGGAATAACGGAGAGCAGGAGCAGGAGAGGAGAGCAGCATAATCTCGAATGGAAGTTGGAAACAGAGGAAGTCGGTTGCTGGAAGCCTCTTTGGAGGGTTTTCGGGGGGAGGGTGGGTGGAGGAGGGAAGGAGGAGCAACGCGCGTCAGCCAGGGGAAGGGAGGTCAACCATACCTGTTTCTAAGTAACGAGGAACATAAAAAGTATAATGATACACCGATTAAAGAAAGGACGCTGAGGAGATGCCAGAAAAGAAAATGCGAAGAACTCGAAACCAGGCGAGTGGACGAAACGAAAGGTGGTCAGATGGGGGTTTGAGGGATGAGGGCGAGTCGGAAGGAAGCGAAAGGGGGGGGGCAAGGCGAATGGCGAGAGAGGCATGTACAAGAAAGAAAAGAAAAAGAAAGTGAGAGAAGAAGAACCCGATCCGCTGAGAAGGGCGTGTAAAGGTGCCGATCGCGTTGGATTTGGGGGGGAGGAGGAAAAGAAGGAGGAAAGACGTTGGAAGGGGAAGGAAAAAGAAGGGGAAAAGAGGAGAGGAGCGGATGAGAGGAGGAGAGGAGAAGGGGGGGGGGCGGCAGTGGGCACGACAGACGGGTGTGCCCGTGGGCGGACTCCCCGGGGGAACGACGGGGGGTGCGTTGGGCAGAGTTGGGGGCGTCGGGGGCGTCAGGGTTGCTTGGGGAGCGGGGACCCTCGGGGGGTGATTTAGGGGGCAGCCCGGGGGGTGGCCTGCTGAGCAGAAGACTAGAAGACCAGCCTACTCGCGTTCACGGTGGATTCCCATCAACGCTACAAACAGGAGGGTAGAACAAAAATATGGCAAGCGCAGCAAAAGAACTGGCCAAACTTAAAAAGAGGATAGAATGCAGTATCATATATTCCAGCTTAGATTGTTCTTGATCCCCGCCATGATGAGCGTGTACCATGATAAGGAGGGGGTGGGTTGATGATTGGGATCCTTTTCCTATATAGTGGTCTTCCAAAGACTTCCCCCCCCCGCAATGGGCTGGTTTCCTGGACCATCATGCATGACGCGACGATTGTGACGCTGGCGGTGATAATTGGAATCCTCTTTTTGTTCCCATCACCAACGGAGCGCATTAATGATTGCTTCAAGCAATCACGACGCCTTGACCACCTTCCCACAGTCCAAATGGAGAGCATTGGAGCAATATCTGGAATCTATAGATCCAATTAACTAGTTCCCAGGCCCGTTTGTCTTCGTTCCCCTCTCATCTCGCTTTCCTTCCTCACACAGCTCTGGGTGTGGAGAGAGACTAGGTGCATAATACGACTTCGGAACGGGGAATCAAAATCATCTAGGATTCCACTCGATCGGTGCCAATCAGCATTGTGGAGCCCCCCCTCTTCGACCCTCTTCGTGCCGGACCCGGCATTAGCTGGAGGCGAGGTACGGAGTATGATTGATGGGCGATAATTTAGATTATCGTGATATTAGGGTCATCTATTGTGTATGATTCATAATAGGGTCGGTTGCGAATTAGTCCACAAGTTCATAGATCTCTGGTCCGAAGCCCTGACCCGACTGACGATTACGACTCTACCATTTAGCATCCTTCAAACTTCGTATTGGCTGATCTCCCTTGTTCTTGTACTTGAAATACATTGATCCAACGGAGGCAGCCTGGGCATTATGATAATTTTGAACTGTCTGTTCTGTGCATGCCCCCGAGAAACAAAAAAAGAAAATACAAAAACAAAGTGGACCAAAAGTCCCAACCGCCGGGAAGGACGGGAGTGACCAGAAACCAGAATCGTTGGCAACACCAATCAAGCGTACCAAATGGAGCGCAATATGATTGAGATGATGGAGTGTTTTTGTGAGCCGGTGAACAGTAGGGAATATATTGTCTTAGTATGATCTGGAGCGAAAACGATGAGAATGAGAACCGACTGAACCAATCTCTCTCCCATTGGGTTTATTCCCCCCCTCCCCTTCTCTACCCTCTCTATTTGCTCCTCCCCCCTCATACATCCAGAGACCAGACTTTTTGTACTTTTTTTGTTTTTATTTTTATTTTTTTCATTCCCACTCTCCCCAAGATTCTCATCTAGAGGGAACCCAGCATCCCGCGATTGGCGACGGGGGACACTAAGGACTCCTAGGTGCAACGCTATTCAGCGGCGGCGTTTTTTCTCCACGGTCAGAGCGAATCCACAGGCGTTCGGCGAAACATAGGGCGGCTCCGTGCACCGCACGTGCTGGGGGTTGGCCTTGCTATACTCTGTATGGATTTCTCTTTTAAATACGGAGTCCTGCTGCAAAAGGGGATTCCGATTTGTTGATGGGCTTGCGAACGGGGTATAGTTGACGGGGGGTACAATGCATGTGTACCCTGTGCGCGAGCATTTCCATCACCGGACAGAGTGTGTTTAGAGGAAGAGGATTGACCTATGGCACGATATCCATGGTTGCCTGCTTATCCCGAATGGATGGTTCTCTACCGTACTTTATACTAGTGCTAGTGCTTTTTGGCTCTTTTCTTCCTAAGGTCTTTCGGTGGTGGATTTCCGCGAACAAATAATAAGCACGATAGGGTCAAACCTATAGAAGATTTTTTCTTATCTCTCCTGCTCGCCCATCTCCACTTAACACCCCATATTCCCAGAACCAGAAAACACAAGTCCCCTCCCTTCCCCATCTGGCAAACTCCGGTAATTCTCAGCGAGCGTCCTGGTTCCATGGAACGTCCTCACTTCCAGGGGACCCGTTGTCACAGACTGCGACCTGCAACCCAGGTACCCGCCCCGGTGAAACTGTAGCCGACAGGCTGGATGGTAATGCGTAGGGGGGGGAGCAGACCGGTTTCAGTTGGGCCTACACAAAGCGATTCTCGATCCCGCGATGGGGCTGGTGGGTAGTCACCGTGCATCATGCTCCGTTCCACTCGACAAGCATAGACATCTTGCGGCAGTCGACATGAATCATCTTATACATGAGGCTGAAGGGAGCCCCATCGCTCGGGTTTCGCCTGCCCATTGATTAGACGATTCCATCTCCCCTCTTTGATTGGGCCGACAGTATTCTCGATGGCCCCTAAACGGTTTTTCTTCTCTTTTCCTCTTTTTCTATTTTCCTATTTCGTTTTTTTGTTTGACTCTATCCTCCCGGGGGGACCCGCGCTGAGCCGAGGAGAGGATCATGGTTCGCGTTTGTCGGGAAGTTTGGAACCCGGCGGCACTCGAGCTTGGGAGTTTAGGAGTGGATTCCCATGTCTCCAGCTTGATTTCCTTGATTCGGGAGATTTCCGTTGAACAGCACTACGAAAAATAAATATCATACGTGAACAGTCCTTCTCGGTGACAGGATTGTTGGTCACATCCCAACTGGAGACCAGGCTTATATGAGTGGTCCTTTCAAGGACTCAATTGTTCGGCTCTTACACCCCTAAATAATCTCATCGCCTCTGACCCGGCACCATTGACGAGAAGAGCCCCGAGAGAATGAGCAAGACAGAGAAAACGTAGTCCGAAAAGGAGAACCCTCCATCAAAAGAACGACAAGATCATGCGGGCTGACGGAGGTGTTCGTCAGGCGCTAGGATGACAGAGTCATGCACGGCTTATCAAGGGGCAACCGGGCATGGATCCGAGCGCGGGTCCCTTGGTTGCCACTGGAGCTCGATATGCCGCTCTCAACTTCGGATGCTTCTTAGATTCAAACCGACGCGAAAGCTATCTATAGCTGGCGCCCTATAGACACCGTAGTCTGTACGAGGGATCGCCCGAACGTCCCAAGTGAGTCAAAGATAAAGTCCATCTTGCACATCCCGCGATCCATAATCCTCCCACTCCTTTTGTCGCAATCTCCGCATATACTCTTCTCATCTCCGTTGGTTTTCTCGAGTCTCCACTGCCAATGATTTTGTCGATCCGCAGCCTCCCCCTTAAAGACTGCCCTGGTCTCTTGCCCCTTTCGTTTTGTACGGAACACCGTGAATCCACTCCAACACGGAACGCGACCACCTCCCGCTGATCGGCATGTCCCCCCTCCCATGGCATCCACCAGCACGGAGCGCAATCTTGCCCTGGCTAAGGAGAAAGAGAAGAGGGGGAAGGGGGGAAGGGAAATCCAAGCCCCATCACCCAGAGAAACTACGCGGCCGTATGGAGTTGACATTCGTGGCCAATCGAACAATTCCGCGAAAGAACCAAGCAATTTGGTCTCAGTATGTCCTCACTGGCTCTTTGTCGTGCCGCCGCTCCATTTGAGCCCATTTCATTTGGCTGTCTACTGCACTAGCTCCTACTTCATGCGGCCTGGCACCGATCTGGGTACCCTGCCTGGAGTTTTTTAGCGCATGGAAGGGAAGAGGGGCGTCTGAAACTGCAAATCATGGCGCATCCACATCCCCACGTCCAGCCCGCCCCCGTGATGGTCGCAGTTCCGATTATGGCACGTTCTTTTGCCTTTCGCGGTATGTCGAGCGGGGAGCATCCATTGGGTTTTACAATGTCCAGAGTTTCCTTGATTCTCGCGGATTGCCAGTGTCCACCACTGCATTGAACTTCCTGCTCTCCCCTGCCTAATTGCCCTAATGTGAATGGGTATCGTTTTGTCTTCGACCAGCACCGCTCCGTCTCCAGCTTCAACGTGACGGAAGAGACCGGCCATAGAAGGCGACCGAGAATGCGTCATGATTGTCCGTGGTGGGGAGGCTGATGGATGATGATCTTTTGGGTTGGCTGCAACCCGTGCCGCTTTAGATTGCCCCAAGTGGCATCGTGCGAGCGACCCGAACTGCATGCGACAATTGCTAAGACTGCTATGGTTGCTGGTACTACTGCTGCAACTCGGAGAAAGCTAACCAACGCAACAAAAAGAAGGGACGAAAAGAAAAAAAAAGCCTTGGCGGAATCTAACCAGGCTGATTGGCCCTGGCATGGGTCTATGGTTGGCGTCATTGGCCCCCTAAAACCTCGTAGTGGTGGTTTCCGCTCGGCAGGATGAGGATCCAGGGCCGTACGACCAACAGTAATTGGTGGAGGGCACGGTCTGTTTTCTCGACTACCATTGTTGGTTTGGCTTATGTCTTTTTCTAAATTTGTTATGCATTCTCCCCAATTCTGCTCCCTGTACGGAGTTAGTTGACATGGGTCTTCCGCCGAGAGAGTCTTGGTCGCGGTCTCGCCGCCAGAAACTAGTAAACCTTGAACGTCCGGGGAAGCCTAGATGTGGAGGGTTTTCCCCTGCGATGATCACAGCCCCGTTGTGCGCCTCATAACTCAGCCAAGAAGTCTGGAGAGGAGAGTGTTATGCCAGACTTCTCGGTCCCCGTCATGTCTGGAGGTCTGAGAGCATGTTTTGGGGGCTGCGCTAGGGTTAACGCAGTAGCCAAGAGGAGTGAGAAAGTTCACTGCGCTCTCCACCGCAACATTATTCTAACTGATAGTCCCCACGCTGGCCTCGAGCTAGACACACAGCTAATGCACAAAGCAAAGATCATCCCCAAAAGGTTTCGAATCCCGAGGCAATACAAGAAGGCTTGAAGTACAGTAGAGGAGGAATGCCCGGAGTACATCGGGGCTGTTCCCGTTCTGCATCGCAACTATGCTGCATCGGGGCTTACTGGAAAAGGACCTCGCTTGTTCGACGTCCTCGCCTGTGTAAGCGGGCTTCCAGATACTTCATCATGCATACCTCAAGTGCAATCTTAATTTCTGGACGGTGCAGATGAGCATTGTCTGACGTTGATGAAAGCGGTTGATCCGGGCCGCCAAACCCTTCTTTAATCTCGCGGGCGCCCAATCACAGATCCTCGTGTCGGCGTTTGCATGGAATGGACAATCTCCAGGTCTGTTCCTCTCATTCATCCCAAACACTGACGAACTGGCCCTCCTGGAGACCATCTCCGCAATCGAGCCTATTCGTAATGACCCGGTTCTACGGGGATCTGCACCAGCACCGGCCGAATATCATACGACCAGCACCAACCGTTGGCCTAGCGGACCCACCATCTGGCAGGTTGAACTTAAGAGACTCCACTGCACTACATCCGAGTCGTTGAACTCCAGGTGTCCAAAAATTCTGATGATGGAGACAGGGCGTATGGAGAAAGGGGGAAGAAAAAGAGACAACAACAACAACGACAACGAAGACGGGGATCTTCCGTGCCCTTGGAGTGGAGGAAGGAATCCGACAATGGACATTGTCATACGTTGGACCTCACCTCCCCCAAGTCCCGGCGAGAAACGACGCAAAAAGCATGGTCACCCAAGCTGACTTCTCCCATTCCTAGAGAATCAACGTCCGCTTGTCGGTGTGGCACGACGGCAATCCCAGGCCGTAAGATATCAGCTGACAGCGCAGCCCGAATTGCATCTCACCTTGCCAACTCTGTACAGACTCCCGCAAAGCAGGAAAGAAGAAAGACCGGCACGCTGGATCAAGCCACAGCTATCATGTTATTTAAAAAGAAAAAGCCCCGCTGGGCCCCATAGAACGCCACGCCTAGCCCAGACCGGCAGAACCGAGTGTCAAGTCCATAGAAGTTTTCTTCCCAACCTCACCTTCATAGGGTGCGCATATGGGTCCGCGCGGTGCGGGTTACACGTTGCTCGTACAAGAGGGCTCCTGATCTAAGCTTGGGCGACGGTGAACGGGCCTTTCCCGAGGGCCAGGTCTAACTTTGATGGCGGCACGGCTTGGTGACACTGTACATGGCACGGGTGTTCGAGGGCTGTTGGGATAGAGGCACGCTGGATCTGGCCCCGTTGCCAATTCTTCTGGGAGATCCCATGATCTGGGACGATGCGCTGGATTTGGGGTGTCCTGGGAAGCAAATTGCGATCGGGCCCGCGGTGCTACAGGGCTGAATGTATTGGTTTATCTTTAGAGGCCCAGTGCTGAAGTTGTTAAGAAAGGCGTGATTTAGGTGGAAATTGGGGGGTGTCCTGAGAGGATGGGAGGTGGGACTCGAATGAATCTACGTATATTCGTGGAGAGACGCAAATCATAGATGTACAGGACAAATAGACCGTACGAAATATTGAATGCCATGGCCTTCAGAGCCTTCAAGAAGCTTACATGGCTCACTTGTCTAGAGTAATTCAATAGTGATCATCATCTCGTTTTGATTGATTGTTTAGATCATATACTCCCTGAAGGGTCTGACTTCTCATCAAGGCATAGTGGTATAAAAATGAACAACAATTCCACACCAGTCGTCATAATCTATGTTACTTTAGAATCCTTCATCATCCTCATCATTGTCAAAGTCCCCTGCATCATCCATGTCATCATCATCAAATCCTTCAAAGACCATGAACTTCTCGTTCTTGGCATCAGTTTCTTCGGGGACCACATTGCCATCCTGAACCTCACAGTCCTTGAGTACTGATTCACGGCCAATCTGGCTGTGTGCACCAATGATGCAATTTGTGAGTTGGCAGCGTTCACCAATAACAGCTATCAAAAAGTGGTAAGTTAGCAGGTATGTTTCGCTGCAGATTAAAAAAAGCGCTCAGGGTTACGAACCTCCCTCGAGAACCAGGCACCGTTGTAACCGCGCCCCCGAAGAAATTTTCACATTAGGACCGAGCACACTCTCTTTGATCACAGACTTTTCGGCCACAGTAACTCCCCGGTCGAGGAGACAGTCGGACTTTGTGACGGTGCAGCGCTGAGCTACACCTTCAGGGTGAGCAATCTTCTGGTTATGCGCGAATGGAGAGGCAGCCTGGCGGCCCACTTCTTCGATGGACTCCAGCTTAGCGAGACGGAGGGATGTAGAAAGGAGAATAGCGGAGCTGTCAACACGACGGACGAATGGAGCAGCGCTACGCTGCACATGTGCTAGTATCGGTGGCACCTGGACAGATGACTTTGCAGCAGAATCAGGTACCTTCACTCGGGATGCAAAGGAAATCGGGCTGTCAACATTGATGCTTGCCGCAGACTTGGTGGTGCTCATGGCCTGGAGGTCAATCTCTTCCTCCACTGACTCGCCACCATCATGGCTAAGAGTATCACCAGTGTGGTTGCCCTCCTCTTGCTCGAAGATCTCATCTAGGCCGAGCTTTTCACCAAGGCCCTGCTGCCATTCCGATTTCGCCCAGTAGCCAATCAAATCCTCGCTGATTGATTGGAACTTCTCTTGGCGGCGTGCCAGATCTTTGACCCATTTGGGGAAGATATAGATGTGGCTATCACGGAAGGTCGTCAAGATTTTAGTATTGGGATGCTTTTGAACAAGAGAGTGGCGAATAAGGAGGCCCTTGTCCTGCTCAATATTCTCTTTGATGGTATCCATGGGAGCCGAAAGGACGACCTTCGAGAGCCCTCCCAGCCTCAAAGCAGCGGGTCCATCGGACGGATGTGATACTGCCGGTGCCTCATTCTGACCAAGAGGCGCGATGGCCAAAAAGTCTGTAGCTTCCCCCTTGACAGATTCCTCCCGTCCTTGAGTTTGGTAGTATACGCTAAGTCCACCGCGCGTACCTGTGCCCGCAGCGGCACCATAGACCATCCAAGCCTCAAGCAACGACTCACCAGGAATCTCACAGAGGAGATCACATGGAAGAACAAGGAAATCAGTCTTGATAGCGGCTTGTACCTCAGGCAATCGGAGGATCTCTGCGGTTCCCATTGTCATATCTCCTGCCGCGACAATTGATGGTTTAAGATTCTGGAGAGCCGTAAGATGGGGGTTCTGTTGGAGAGCAGCTTGGAGTCGGGGGACGGAGGAAGAAGGTGTGATGAGTGTGACATCTATATCGCTATGAGTTAGTTCTTGAGTCGAATTTTGAGGGAAAAGAAACTGGGAGGTGTACCGGTAATTCCAGACCGACGACAGAAGTCTAAAGGAAGTCCAAATTAATATAACAGATTTCTTGACAGTTTGAGGACAAATATGGATTTTGGAAGGCTGCGGCATACCTAGAGGGTAAAATACCATTGGGCGATTGGCCACGGGAATAAGGCATTTTTCCGATTCTTCTTTCGAAGTAAAGGTGTTTAAGCTAAGTCCAGGGCCACACTTTATACGATAATGGTCAATTCCTCGCTGTCAAAGAAAGTGGGAGGAAAACCAACCAGAATAAGGGCTTGAACCCCTACGGAGGGAACAGGAGCTGCGTGCGGCATGGTGATCCTGGTACAGCTTGGATTGGATAGCCCCGCGGCGGACTGCTGTGATAGAGGGGCAATGCAAGCGCCGGTCTCCAGATAGCTGGGAAGAATGCGGTGTTCCTGGAGAACTTGAGCTGATTGGAGAAGAAAGCCTCGGTGAAGTCTAGCGACCAGCTGCAGTTGTTTTAGCCAGACAAAGACCGTTGGTACCTTGTGACGGCATCCACACGCTCTTCGATGCTTTTTTTGAGTCACGCACGTGATGATAGGATATGAGTCAGCATGACCCGCCTCCGGATTTATCGCGGGCGCACCAAACAGTGCAAACTCCACAGTAAACACCGCGGTTACCGGGGGTTCACCAGCCACATGTTTCTGTGCTCCGAGGTCGAGATCCATCTTCCCTCCTGCACCTCCTGCACCCTCTCCACTTCTTTTCCTATCTCACGGAGGCGTGGAATGCGACTGGTGAGCTATTGCGACCGCGATTGATTATACTTGGATGCGATTTCTCGAGAAAATACCACCGTGATCGCAATGTCTTTCCCCCAGGACCCTCGCCGCCGTCGCGGTGGAGCCGGCACTGGCTTCAGCTCAACCGGAAGACGGACCGCCATGGGTTACTGGATTCCCCTCGCCCTCACCGTGGGTGTTGCGACACTCAGTATTGCAGCCTGGGTTTGGAGTGAACGGGACGAAGACGACGAAGACGATCGCCCCCATGATGGGGGAGACGGCCATCACCCCCCCTCCTCCTGGTTCTGTCAGCAGTGGCTATCCTCCTCCTCCATACGGCGCCGGAGAATATACAAGAGGCGCTGGAACGGAAGCGATGCCTGGGGATAACCCCTACGATCCTAGTTTCATGGGTCGCATGCAAGGTGCCTTGCGCCGAACACCTAGCCCTCAACAGATCTTTGATGGCGCAAGTCGAAGGGTCATGGCTGGCGTGACAGCCGCTGGAGCATATGTTGGCGGTGCGCTAACTTCAATACGTGAAGAAAACCGCGGTGACTTTGAAGACCACACTAGGTGGTCAGAGGAGGCCCGGTCCCGAGCTACCGAAAGAGGTCAACAAACCCCTACTGCACCGACCATGAGTGGCGCGCTCCCTAGTCGTGGACCTGCCACCGGACAACATGCAATTGATAAAAAGAAGAAGACTGTTGCCATTGTTGTGTCCTCTCTCTCCCCAGCTGACTCTGATGGGTTTGCCTCTGAACACGCAGTAAGTCCCCTCCCCCCCCGCCCCCCTTCTCGTGTCTGTCGATAACCGAGACTCTTTTTAATGCGGGACTTTAGTCTATTTTGTCTCATCTGCCCGAGCATGTGAACTTGGATAACTCGCGCATCTTTGTGTTGATCTATGCCCCGGACTTGAAGCACGCCATTGGGCAGGGAAGCTCTTCACGCCCCACCACCTCGATCGCCTCGTCCTATTCCAATATCGCAACAGAAGAGGGTACATCCCCTGGTGAAGTGACTGGCGACGACCTCACAACTGTGGCTCACCGTCAAGAAGACGACCTTGATAGCACAAGCCCCTTCTTCAACACCTTGTACACTCAGGCCCAGGCGCTAGTTGAAAAGGAGAGCATGATTATGCCATTCAGTACATCCAGCGGCTACGTACATCTTGTGCGTCATCTGTCTCCCGACCTGGTCTACGTTCAGGAGTCTCTTACTGGCAGCGAGGGCGATGCTGTCCAGCACATCTCGGGCTGGGTTCGCCAAGTCATTGTCGTTGTTGGAGATGAGGGCGGCCGTGGCGGGCTCATTGACAGCGATGACGAGTCCGCTCTTGCCGATAAAGGCGAGAAATGGTGGCAAAAAGAAGGCACCACTGGGATTGGTAAGCGTATTGATGTGGTCGATGTCCTCCGTGTAGGAGATGACTGGCGACGTCGAGTCTCTGGCATGGACTAAACAGCTCCCACCCAAGTTTGCTGCTTTCCACGATGTTTATGTTGATACTCAATTGCCTTGCATGTCTATAATTGTTGTGATTTCATTTCCTTACCCCCTTCATGATTGTGTTTATCTCGATTCCCCTTGTCTTTTGTCCGTCTTTTTTTTTGTGTGTGATTTGGTTATAATCCAGAAATCGCTAGCTCTTCATTTCCAAGCCAATTTGGCCGGCTATTACTACAATTGACTAGATAGCTTTCATAATGCCATCATATAGCTCTCATTATAGGTTTAATTTACCCGATACTCCCTCGCCTTCCTTCTCGGCAGCCCAATTTTCACCTTGATAGGTGATTATCCAGTGCCAACAATGTCTATAGTAGCAGGCATTACGTTTTGTAGAAGAAACGCGCTAGTACCAAAACGTTAGGTCATGTGACAGCGTCACGTCTCGCCCGCGGCTTGGCATCATCACCTCACTCTGCAAGGCTTCCGACGTCGCCCAGCGCCTACTCTGGACCCCTTCTACTAGCGACATCTGTTGATGGACGCCTCCGCTCTCTTTTCTTAGGCGTCTCAGACAGCTGTTACTTTTTTCTCTCTCGCCGTGTTGGTGACCTGGCCGACCAACCGCATCCCCACATGTCTTGCGCATCGGCCATCCCATTCTTTCTCGGACCCAGGCTTTCATCCAATATCGTCGAATCCGTTTCCCGATAAAGCGCATTCCTAACTGCTGGAGATACTGCTGTTGCGCTACTTGCGCTGGCAAAGATGGCCACCGCGGTGTCGAAGCCAGCCTCCCATTCCCCGAAGATGAAGCGGCCGCCCCCGCCTTTCCCCCAGACCGGGGTGAATGGAGTCAAGACTCAACAATCTCCTGCCTCTCCCATCACCACCTCCCAACGCCTCGCCGGGAACAACTCCGCGGTCTCAAGTCCAATTCTCGCAAATGGAACGGCCAATGTGGCGAATACTTCAAAAGGCCCCCTGAACCGAGCCAAGGCTCAGGCGCAACGTCCGGGGGACCTTGCTTCGCGAGTTGGTAGGCCGGCCACGAGACATTATGCGATGGGCAATGACAATCACAATGGAAAGAAGGCCTTTGAACCCTATGGTGAGACGATTTGCTGCTTTCAATCTCCCAATGCCTATATATGATTGATCATCGCGCACTAACCAACTTTCCTTGGATCTGTCATAGTCAAAACCACGTCCTACATCCTCAGAAAATATTCGAAATTTCCTCCCTCTCTCATTGTCCATCTTCACCCCACCCATTTTCGATTTGAGCAACAAGATGGGAGTTTTTCTTATAACTCGGAGATGAAGGTGATTATCGAACACATCCGCGCTGGAACTGTGCCACACGATCTCATCGAAGAATTATTGCGTGGGGGGTGAAGTTCTATGAAGGTACATTTTGCTTTCTATGTCCGTTGAAATCAACGAAAGTGCTGATTATGTTAAATTTAAGGCTGTCTCATCGTTCGCGTTGTCGACCACAAGTCCGTGTCAGTGCAGGCGACGAAGACCTCTAAAACAACGACCAATGAAAATAACACACCGTTCTCATTGCACAACTATAATGAGCATGTCACGCCATCCGCATTTGTGCCATATCCCAAACAAAACCAGCTCACAGCCGATGTACCGAGCTCTAAGGCACCAGACACTCCAGCTTCTGGGCAACCGCAATCTGGACAACCAAATACTGAAGTGGCGTCTGAACCTCAAGAACAAGCCGAAGCGGGACAAAAGTCCTCTGCATCAAAGCCCAAAGTTTTTACCACTGTTCTGCACCCTACAGCTCGAGTATTACAAGCAGAATTGACTCTCCTTGTCACCACTCCTGATCCGAAAGCTGCAGCTGCCAATCAACTGGCTCGCACTCAATCCTCATCCGTTATCCTTCAAGCTTCATCCACCACGCAGTCTGATCGTGGCCATCCCGCGAAGAGGCAGAAAACTCTTGTTGATCCGCAAGATCTGCATGCATGCGAATCACTCCTTGTACAAGCTTTGGCACCTCCTCTATACCTCGATACTGTCGATTCATTTTCTGCTGCACAGGATCTACTCAAGGTCATGGAGAGTCCCCTTCACAGCGATCCACCGCCGTCACCCAAGCGCCGCAAGAGAACTGTTGCGGAGCTTGCTGCAGACGAAGCGCTTGCCGCCGAAGAAGAAAGATTTATGCTTATTATGGATGAACGCCTGGAGCCTACTGCTTCTGGTGGAGCCGGTGGCTCTAAAGCTGCTGCTGTGGATGATGCAGCCGGCGTGGTGCCATTTGAGCCTCGTTTCTCTCGATTTAAGACTTTGGAGACTATCCGGATGCAACATGAAGAGAAGGCCAAGCGCGAACATGAGATGAAATTGAAGCAGGAGTTGGCCAAGAGGCACCAGCAGGAGCAAGAAAGGGAACGACGTCGTGCAGCTGAGCAGCAACAAGCTGAGCAACATGCCAAAGAGGAAGCGGCGCGCAGACAACAACTGGCGGCCCAGCAGGCACAAGCTCAAATTGCCGCCCAAAATCGACATGTCATGACCCAAGCCAATGGGGTTAGCCAAGGACAGCAATCATCTCCTGTTGTACGGAATCAAACTCCCCACAGCACTTCCTCACCACTTGTTGGTAACACTATGGCAACACAGGCGGTTCCAATGAGCATCAGTGCATCTCAGCAGTCGGGAAGCCCACCACGCCCCCCATCCTCTATGCAGCATGCGCATCCCAACATGATGGGGCATCCAATGGCGCCGTCCAGAAGCCAACAGGGACCAAGTCGACATGGAACTCCTCAGATGACGCAGAGCACACCTGCCATGTCGCATGCCACACCTATCATGCGCAATGTCACTCCGACCCAGCGCATGGGCCACGGCAGCCCAACTCACTCAACCATGGCGCAGACTCCAATGATGAACCAGGCGATGGCAGGCACTCCGCAAATGAACGGAGGAGGGATGGGTCTCACTCCGCAACAACAAATGTTGCTTCAGCAACGGCAGCAACAGCTTCTGGCTCAGCAAAGTGGACAAATGGGAGGCGCACAGCTTACCCCGCAGCAAATTGCTCAATTGCAAGCTAACGCCCATGCTGCTCAGAATATCAAGACGCATCAGCAACAACAAATGCTGCAAGCCCAGCAGCAGCAGCAGCAGCAGAATATGCAAAACATGCAAAACATGCAGAACATGCAGAATATGCAAAATGTGCCCCAACATAGTCAACAGGCGTACCAGGCTCAGCTCATGCGAGCTCAATTTGCCCAAATGCAAATGGTCAAGCAGCAAGGTGGTCAGGTGACGCAAGGCCAGCCAAGCCAGCAGCAACAGCAGCAGCAGCAGCCGCAATCCCAACAACATCAAGGCAGCCCGCAAATGACGGCCCAACAGCAACAGCAGCAACAATTGCTCATGGCAGCTGCTCAGGCTAATGGTGGTCAGATGCGAAATACCAACACTATGACCCAGCGGTACAGTCAGCTTTATCAACAACGGCTGTTACATCTTCGACATGAGATGTCTCAACGCCTCATGGGACAGTATGGACCTCCTACCCAGTACCCACCTAATGTTGCCCAGCAATATGGTGCTGGGCTCGTGAAGAATGCCAAGGCCTGGGTTCAAGACCTGATGCGACGCGAGCGTGATGCTGCCCAGCAGCAACATGCCACTCATCAAGCTGCCATGCAAGCCCAGCAGATGCAACAACAAAACATGATGCATAATGGAATGGGCAATTGATCCTGAGTCGGCAACTTAATTCATTTATTTTCGACTTGCACGCCCTTCTCCCTATCGATTACACAAGTTCATTTACGACATCATACGCGAAATTTGACAGGAATTTCTTCTTTTATTCCACCGATGGAGGAGTATCTACTGAGGGGAGTCTGCGGTATGGGACCGCACTACTTGTTACATTCTATTCCTTCCTTATTTTTTCTTGCCCACTTGTTTTTTCTTCTTTCGTTCTTAGCCACTGGGAAATGTACAGGGACCAGGTATTGTGGACATCAAGAGGCCGGCGTTTTGCAAAGTCTTGCCATGGTTTTCTCCCTTCCTTTTATTCGCCTTTTGCACTTCATGATTTGTATTATCTGGGGTATCGGGGGTTCTGTTCTGTGTTTTCGGCGGGGCCAATGGGTTCAGATTCGATACCATTCTGTATAGGAGTTCTTATCCTCGTCATTTTCATGGGCTTGGTTGTTTGGCTTTGGTGGCGAGATTGAAAATAGTGAAATGAGGCCCAAAATGCACGTGCGCCAGTCATGTCCAATAATCCGCGTTTACCATCAATTCAGTTTTTCAAATGATCATGTGTGCCTGAGTGATGTCCACTGTCCACTTCACATTGTCCACTTTCCCTGTCCACTTTCCCTGTCCACCGTCCACTGTCCATCATCCCATCCCAGCGAATAAGATCCATGCCCGCATCGGCTACCCGTGTTGGCGGTGGAGCCAAAGGTCGGGGTAAACCAAGCCGACCGGCATATCCGAACAGAGCCCTCGCCGATGCCGAAGACGCGCCGACATCTTCTTATCAGCGCGGGGGATCAACGCGATGCATTTCAGCCCCCTCCAATCTTCCATCCCGCAACATGGCGACTTTGTGGACAAAGGCGGCGCAATGGATCTGGACGCCCAAGTATCGTGAAGAAGACAACCGACCTGGCCGCTATTTCCTCTTCCGCAAAAGCTTCCAATGGACGAGCCAGACGGGCCTGAGCGAGCTCCTTGTCCATGTGTCTGCCGACAGTCGCTATCGGCTTTTTGTCAATGGGCAGCGCGTGAGCTTTGGGCCTTGTAAAAGCTATGCAGAACGCTGGCACTATGAAACTGTGGACATCCTCCCTTTCCTTGTTGAAGGGCTGAATGTCATCAGCGCACGTGTCCTGCGCTATTCTTCAGTTCAGGCTGGCTCGTCATCCATCATCAGCACAGAAATTCCAGGTCTGATGGTATATGGTGGAATCGAGGTAAGTCGAGAAGCTGGAATGTGTTGATCGGAATGAATTGACTCATTTGGCCCGACCTGCTAGGGATGTTCACTTTCGACCGATGAATCATGGAGATGCGTGGAGGAAATCAATCGAACGATCATCCCTCATTCAGAATGGAATTACATTCTAGGACCTCCGTTTCTTTCCAACAATGAAAACTTCTCAGAGGCAGAGCAGTTAAGTGGTTGGGAGTTGCCCGAATATGATGATTCGGCTTGGGAGAGTGCGGTCTTGCAATTCCGCCCTGTTAAGATGCTTCCGATTGTGAGCCCTTGGAAGCTGGCGCCTCGGCCGATACCAGCTCTTCCTGAGACACCCGGACGATTTCACCGGGTGGTCAAGTGTCAGGGCTCAATCACGCAGAGCGAATGGCAAAGATTTATTAAAGACGACTCTCCTATCACCATCCCTGCCGGAGAAACCGTCACAGTGGATGTTGAGGTAGAAACTTTGTCATCGGCCTTTATCAATCTTCAATGTGGGGATGGTAAGGGCTCGACCATCTCACTACTGTATGCTGAGTGTTATGAGAAAGACCTAGGGGTAGATACCGCACCCTTTCCTAAGCCCCGATCCAAGTCCAATCGGTCTGATTCTGGGGGTCGACTTTACGGCATGAAAGATATCTATAATGTGGTAGAGGGGCATGCAGAGCATATATTTGAGCCATTTTGGTTCAGAGCCTTCCGATACATCCAAGTTCACATCACTGCAGGGGACCAGCCATTGATCTTCAAACGTTTCACCTTGCGTGAGACATATTACCCTCTTGAAATTTCCACAAAAATACAGTCTAGTGCGGAGTTGGAGAAAATCTGGGACATCAGTCTCCGGACTTTACAGAACTGCCGACATGAGACATACGAAGATTGTCCGTTTTACGAGCAAAATCAATTCGTATCCGACTCTCGACTCCAGATGCTCTTCAGCTATCAACTTTCATCTGATGATCGGCTTGCCAGAAAGACGCTCCAGGAGTTTCATGCCAGCCAGGGTCCGGACGGACTGATCAAGGCACAATTCCCATCTGGATTCCGGAGTACTCAGATTCCTCAATTCTCCTTGTATTTTGTCGCCATGGTCTATGACCACATGCAATATTTTGCAGATGTCTCGGTGGTGTGCAGCTATTTGAGCACAATTGATGGGATTCTCAATTATTTTGATGGGAGGATCAATGATCTTGGGCTTGTTGGTCGCTTTGAAAAAGATACATGGCCCTTCATTGACTGGGTTCCCCAGTGGTTTGTTCCCGGGGAGATCTTCGAATCATGTATGCCACGAGCATACAACAATACTGGAGCAGCCACTTTCAACAGCCTTCTTTATATTGTTGCACTAATGCAAGCAGCGGAGATATGCACGTTTATCAAAAGAAAAGACACCGCAGCAGAATATACTGCGCGCGCAGATGCTCTTCGAAATGCAGTGAATCGCCACTGCTACGAAGACGGACTCTATCTCGATGGACCTTCCGTCAAGGAGTTTAGCCAACACAGCCAGGTATTTGCTGTTCTCTCGGAGAGCATCACTGGCCCCGCGGCCAGAGAGCTGGTGTCCCGTGCACTACAAGATACGTCGCTGGCGCAATGCTCATACTCGATGAAATTCTACCTCTTCCGCGCGGTGGAGAAAGTCGGTCTATATACACAGCTGTTCCCGGACCTCGTTGAGCCATGGAGACGTATGATTGCAGATAATTTGACCACATGGGCAGAATTTGAGCAGAACGCCCGAAGTGATTGCCACGGCTGGAGTGCATCCCCTGTGTACGAGATTGTCGCCCAGGTATTTGGATTGTCACCGGCTCAACCAGGGTTTAAACGTCTTAGGATTGCTCCTCGGATGGAACTTCTTGAGCATGCTAGAGGTACCTTTTTCACTCCTGTGGGAGATGTCACGGTTGCATGGACAAAAGAAGGAGATCTGGAGGTGGAACCTGCCGTGGAAATTGAGGCAGAGATCGTTCTTGAAGGAGTCCACCTGATTCAGCAGCTTCAAGGAGGCAAGCCAAATGTCTTCAAGAAGGATTCTTTACGATTGACACCCTAGACGAGAGTCATTAACTATACTAGAGCCTTGTTTGTAAATGACATAGACCACAATAGATGGACATTCTACATAGTACATCAATCATGAAACCGGTTTTCTTGCTTAACCATGCCTCGTAGATATTGTGAATCAGGTGGTCTCAACACTGAATAGACTTGTGTTCAGAAGTTGTGCTTGAACTCTTGCTTGGTGGACAGTAGTTCTCATCCATCCATCCATATTCGGGATTCCCCTCCTGGCCCCAGTTGTCCACTTCGGACTGTAGAATTATGTCGATCATATCAGGCAGTGTGAATTGTTTCGACGATCTGCATTTGAAGGGCAGCATAAAGTATGCTTGCCACCGTTCCTGCTGGCTTCCCGGAAAACCCGACCGGGCCAACAACCCCCGAGTGCGCTTGTGTAGTGGAGCCGACCACGTCGCCTCCCCACAGTTGTCGGTGGTGGACACACCCTTCACTACGGGGCGAAGTAGCCGTGCAAATAACTACCCCAGGTTTCGTCCGCGGAGTGTTCAATCCACATCGGATTCTGTCAAGATGGACACATACGATTCCAAGTCTAAGTCATCACATCTCGAAGATGTCTCCAGCACTCAGGAGGAGCTAGGCCAAGGGGAGTCGACAGGCCAGGAACTCACAGCATGGCAATGTCTCGCACAGAACCCGTGGGTTATCCTCTACTGTCTCTATGGTAATCTGGGAGCCTTGATGTATGGGTTCGATAACCTGGTCTTGTCGCTGGCGCTCTCGATGTCTGGATTTGAGTGAGTCAAAACCCCCTTAGTCTCCGTCAACACCCTCTTCCAATGTTGATAAGCTATTAGCAAGCAGTATGGACAACTGGTGGGCTCAACATATGTCATCCCGGCGTATTGGCAGTCACTGTGGAATGCCTTGTCCCAAGTAGCCACGATGTTCGGAGCGACTGCTGCTGGACCGGTGCAGGATTACTTTGGTCGACGCGCTGGGTTCTTGCTAGGCGCTATCTTCTCTGCAGCAGGCGTAGCCATTGTGTACACTTCATCGACCCCAGGGGTATTCCTTGCTGGAAAGATTGTCAACGGCTTGTCCCTGGGGCTCTGCTTGACAGCTGGTCAAACCTATATCTCTGAGGTGACGCCGCTTCCGATACGTGGCATTGCTTTGTCAATCTTCACGTTCTGCATGGTGAGTCGACATCGCAGTGATTGGGAGGCATCTCATATTCCAAATGCTGATTGAAGAATAGAATCTCGGATACATGATTGCTGCGTCGGTTGCACTCCCTCGGATGTCGATGCAGTCCGCAGCAGCATATAAGGTAGGACCCCGTCGAGATCCCCAAGAATCGAAAAGTTTGGTCGTTGTACAGGCACTGACCTTTCTCTGCCAGGTTCTCTTTGCTGCTGCCTGGGTATGGCCTGGTGTCGTTCTCGTCTTCCTTCCTCTACTCCCAGAATCGCCGTACTACCTTGTGATGAAAGATCGTCTCGAGAAAGCACGGAAATCTCTTCAACGATTGGGCAATAAACCCTCACAGGTCACCGCAATGCTGGATCAAATTGTTAGAGTGAACGAGGAAGAGAAACTGCGTACGGCAGCCTCCAAAGACTCCAGTTTTCTCGAGTGCTTCCGGGGCACCAACTGGCGCCGCACCAGAATCATCCTCCTCTGCAATGCCTTGTCCCAAGTGATTGGAGCCAGTTTCATGTCAAATGGCCCGTACTTCCTTGTTCAGGCTGGAATGTCCTCGTCGAAGACCGGCATGATGACAGAAATTGGTATTGCCTTTGGTCTTGCCAGTTCGATTATCACGGCATACCTCATGACCAAATGCGGCCGGCGACGGTTGATTATTTTCGGCATCTCTTTGTCAACAGCCCTGTTTACCGTGATGGGAATCGCGGGCTGCTTCCCCAACTCCAGTACTGCACTATGGTAAGATTCCCCTGAAGGATTCCTGGAGTCTAATATTGAATACTGATCAATGTTATTAGGGTTGTTGGTATCTTCCTCCAGCTCTCTTGGTGGGTATACGGTCCCGCCATCGGACCAGCCATGTCTGTGGCAGGAGAAGTTTCTGCCGTACGACTTCGCGCCAAATCTATGGCCATTGGCTTCACTTTCAATTACTTCTTCTCAACGATTTGGAACGTTGTCATTCCCTATCTGTATAACTCGGATGAGGCTAATTTAGGCGGCAAGATCGGGTGGATTTACGCCTTTATGGGTGCAGTTACATTGCTCATCATCTTTTTTGAGATCCCAGAGACCAAAGGCCGGTCCTTTGAAGAGCTGGATGAGATGTTCAATGAGAAAGTCAGCACGCGTGCCTTCCGAACCTACCGGTGCTCCATCCCTCAACAGCTGCAGAAGCTGGGGGATGAATGATAGAAGTTGGCTCTTGTTTTGGTTGAAGGAGTCTGTGACTAGAGGCGGATAGTTGTATATAAAGCGCACACAAATTCATCTTCAAGAACATTTGGAAAGCATTTATCCCAATATTCAAAAAGCAAAGGGCCAAAAAAACAAGCTTATACTGGAAGATCAGAGCCATTGAAGTAGTGACTTTCACAAAAACATCATCCATCATTGTCTGAGCAGAGTCTCAAATTCACAATTCCAAAAAAAGGCCTATGAATTTATGCACTGACTCATTGGCGTTATAGGAACGTACATTGCTCAAAGTTTGAGCAGATCAATTTGATAGTGACTTTCTTCGGCACGAGTGCACTGCCTCCCGTCTGCTCTGCTTTTTTCTCGGCATTGATATATCACCTTTACACCAGATGCGGTATCCAGCCTGGCATCTTGCATGTCTACGTATTCCATTTCAGAGCAATGCTACCTGAGAAAAGCCTGCTGCCTAGCCTGGACAGCTGTCACCAAGACCAAGACTTACACCGCTGGATAACTGACCTCGATCGCGAAAAAAAAACCTCACCGACAGTATCTGCATCTCCATGCACTGTGTCCTGCCCGATAGTGTCCAAAACAAGATCGACCAAGAAAAAAAAATCGCGCACACTGCATTGGAGTCAACAAACCAATATTGTCTTTTCAAGTGGCTAATTTCTCAGTGGTCAAGACTTAAGACAGTCATAGCAGACGACTGACAGGCTTTTCTGTTGCCCAGTGCTCGGATCGCCTTCGCATGCGATGTTATCCCGAAGCGAGGGATAGGAGTTCGCAGCAGACGTGCCCCCGCGCTTCCCCACGAGCATTCGCATGACTTGAAAGAGTTTGACTCTTGAAAATACCTTTCTGGAAGCAAGAACCTGCAGCAAATTCATCCCAATTCGCCCATGACCTGCCATCGTCATCCTTTGCTAGGGAACTCACGCGGCACCAAGCTCCAGACCGACATAGATGGAAACCTCAACGGCACCACAGAGACTCAAATCTCACATTCCAATGCATGCCGCCCCATGCACAGCCAGACCATGAATCTCTGCCGCAGCCAGCATTCGTCATCCGTTGTGGCCGAAGGAACCACGTCTCATCACGTCCCCCCGGCTGGAATTTGGCGAAGTTAATTTTTCTAGAATGGAGAAATGGAGCCGTTTCCAAGAATCACCAAAATGCAGAGGCCAGAAGTACGGTAATCCGACTCCTCTGCATGACAATGGGGTTGTGGATGCGAAATTCCCAGACGGGCATCGTGCACAGACATACCAGACGCACACGCGGCCGTGATTCAAGTGGCCGGGGCTTAGGCAAGAATGCCGAGGCGAGTAGTAGAGACGAGGATTACTCTATCAAACCTCCCGCAGCGTGGTTTGTGGGCAGCGAGTATGCAGCAGACCTCGATGGGTTCCCCGCCGCATCCCGGCCACATTCGTACGAAAGGTACAGGGCGTGCATTCATCCATTGTCACCACATTGTTGCCTGTGGTCCATAGTCCGGAGCAGATCTCCCGTCCCAACAGACTCCCGATTCCGTCGCATCGATCGTGACGACATAGGTGTCTGTTCATCAATAGATGAAAGGCCTGAAAATGACAAATGAACGGCACTTGAGGAAAAAGACCCGAGAATAGGCCGCTAAGATCCCCTCCAAAAGCAAAGAACCACTATATCAATAGCGCGGCGGGGAGCCGAGTCCCCGATAGGACTGGAGAACCGCGGAAAAAGCAACGAAAGGCACATCCTTCGCGCTTAACAGGGCCCTGCCAGGACTCTGGTGGATGGACGAACGCATCGAAAGTACCTGCTTCGACCCAGACGGGCCTGCTCCTAGTGTCGTGCAACAAAGCGGGCTGACAAGTCGGCACAAATTTCAACGCTTTTTTTTAACCTTGTCGTATCCCCCTTTACTACGTATCATGGGAAAGCACGCAGAGAGGGGGATAGATCAGCGGGATGATTTGAAATAATGGACCTTACAACTTGGAATCACTCTCGAATAAAACGACAAAAAATAATTAGAATAATAGTAATACTCACGATAATCATATTCATAATAATAATCATAATAATAATCATAATAATAATCATAATAATAATCATAATAATAATCATAATAATAATCATATTAATAATCATAATAATAATAATAATCATAATCATAATAATCACAATCAGAATAATAATAATCATCATAATAATTATAACGACAACGCTACGTTGCAACTCCAAAGACTTGATTCGGGGCGCATGGCGCCCGATCAGTTTATAAACGTACTGCAACAGTCCAGCTCTCCGGGCTCCGGTGGACACCCCGGCATGTTGCTGTCACATCAACAATCAGCGTCTAGCCAAGGCGGGCGCAGCGCCCCTGCACAGGTGATCACCGATCGACATGAAACAGGCCGGGAAACAACCCATCTGGCCTGGGTAGATCGGGGAGGAGGCTGCATTTCTTCCATCGCATGGCGACTACGACAAAAGGACTGGTATGTTCCGATCAGGGTCCCAGGTCTCCGATGCAAAAGGTTAGGGGGGAGGAGGGGCAATGAGCTCTGTTTTGGCCCGGTCTTCTGCCCTCGAGGTAGCAGCGGCCCCTGCTGTCGCCCCCGAAGCCCGGAGAATGAGAGCTATTGAGGTGACCCGATAGGGGTCGCCTGGCCCCAGGGTCGACAGTGCGTGGCTCTCGGGCTGGACGAGTCTGAGCGGCGTTCCCGAGCCCTTGGTAAACGACGTGTATGGCCTATCGAGTATGGGAGAAGGTTATCAGGCCTGGTCTGATGCGAAAGCGGGAACGACAAACTCCACCTAGCTGCCGGAGAAGGTTCGGCTGGGGGTGATGAGAGAAATCAGACCGTCCCGAGAGTTTTGATGGCGCAGGAATCCCAGGGTCGAGTATGCTGATCTCGTTCTCCTCCAATGTTCGGGGAACCTCTGGGTCTCCACACGTTCTCTGCATGTTCAAGGAGCAGGGGATATCCCTGCTCCTGAAGAGAACGAGGCGAAGCAGAATGGGACATCATAGAAAAAGGATGCTCGGGTCGGTGGCGATACTGACATGTCCTGAAACGGCAATAGTGGAAGCGCGAATAGGAAGAGAGCCCGTTAGAAATTGGAATGTGGAGGGGATCGTCGTACCAATTAGGGTATGGCGAACAGGGACAGTTCCCCATATACAGGTATAGGCTCAGGTCCAGGTACAGGTACGTAAAGAGGAAGGTTTTGCCATTGCGAAATGGCCGTAGTGCCCAGGTGCGTATGTATCAGAACCACGAATAGACGAGCAGGATATCGGGTCCCGGTTCCCTCGAATGGGTGCATCGAGAAGCATCTTGCATTACGCAGGACGTAGGCCCGATTTGCAAGGGAGTACAGCGTCATGAGTAATCCGATCCACGGCGGAATCCCGGAAAACGAGACCAGGACCAGATAGATCGCGGCGGAGAGATGCAGGCACTCGCCAGTGTGTCGGCTGGGGCATGGATCAGGGGCGGTTGTGATGTGTAACATTTACGGAGCCACGAACCATGGGAATGGGGGGGAGGGTGCGCAGCTTTCAATTCGCAGGATTCGTGGTGTTCAGGCGAACAGCGGTATAGAAGGGCCCTGTCAATTTGATCATCTAAGAAAACGCACATTGTCAAGGTTTAGATGTTTCAGGCCCGATCGAATGGTGGGGATATTAAGTGTACAAGAGGAAGTTACGTGAGCGGGAAAGTTTCATAGAGCCTCTCACGGGCGGAGAGTTGCGAATGACGGTCTACTCAGCCCAAAAAATAAAGTATCTTAAAGTCAACTCGGCCTCTTACTGAGAATGAATTGTCAAGACAAATGATTCGGAGGGGAAAAGAATAGAAAAAGGAAAAAGGAAAGAAAAAAAAAACAATAATAAAAGTGATCAGAATGGAATAGAGAGCGCCGAAGTGCGTGGGATGAGTGGTGTCGTGTTGGTGGGGACCAGGCGGGGGTTACAGTGCGCACTACTTCAAGCTCTATACTCTGAACGGGAAAAATCGGCATCTTGATTTGCAGCTTTGAATTGAGGTGTTTTTATATTATTCCACAACGTGAGAGATTGGTGATACAAAGCAGTCAAGGGCAAGAGAGGGTAAAAAAAAAAGAACACGTTGTAGCGGAGTGTACAGAATCGCCTTTTCCTCCCAAGTGATTATCCAACCGGCGATCAAAACAGAAGAAAAATATGCAGACGCCTTGTAAAAAAGAATCAGAGTACCACCCCAACCCCTTTTCGCACCGGACAAATTATGCAAGAGTACAAGAAGAAAAAAAATCAAGGAAATAGTAAGCCCAAAGCCGTGTCCGAGTCCAGGTCGGGACATGTACAACGCCGTAACGGCCAGCCAGCCTGGCCAGTTGGATGCTTTCACCGTAATGAGCCCGGGAGGTGGCATCCGATCCTCCACCAGGCGGGGGGTATCAAAATCCAGGTTGAGAAACGCCTCCAAAGAGGCTTAGCTGAGAGTGGTTTTCTTTTGGTCCCTCAAGTTCGCGTGTTCAGCAGAGAGATTTGCAACACGTCGCGTGTTTCGGTAGTTTTCATTTTTTTTATTTCTTTTTTGGTGTTCTGCGTCATGGTTTTTTCGGGTTTCGTGGTTTTCGGTCTTCTGTTTTTTTTTTGCTTTTTGTTGGCTGATTTCATGCCTTAGTCGTCCCACCCATCGACGCTGAAGTCACCACAGTCAATCGGGTCCTCCAGCTTCGATCCGATAATAGGACGGCCATCGGCGGTCAGCTGTCCGCGGAAGTCGGGGTCATAATCAGGGCTGCTCTCGTCGAGGGTAGCGACGTAGCGGTTTCGCCCACCTCGCTTGCTGTGCGTCTTGGTATAGTGCGCATTCAGGTTGTCACTGCGGGAAAAGGCACGATGGCAGCCGGGGACCCAACACACATGGGGCTTTTCCTTGGAATGGCTCTTCATGTGTCGCTTCAGGTGTTCCTGGCGCTTAAAGCGTCCCTTGCAGCCAGGCTCCTTGCACTTGAATTGAACCTGCTTGATAACCGGGGGAAGGTTGTCCAGGTTCAACGCCGAACGCACCAGTTGCTTCTTAGAAGATTTGCGAGAGACTTGACGATGCGCACGCATCATGCCATCACGGTACACCGGAGACACGGGAAACTCATCGTGATACTCATTGTGACCAGAGACCCGACTACCAGGAGTGTCGGCCCCGGACGGGGTACCCAAAGAGACAGAGCGGACAGGGGTGGATGGGGTATGGGCTTTGAAGTTCTGGATGTGAGTAGGGAATTCAGAGTAGGAAGAGGATGGCGGCGTTTGTGGGCCTGCAGGGAATGCTTGCGATGGAGCGATGGTTTGAGTGAGAGACTCGGTAGATGGCATCCAGTGCAGCATGTTCGTCATGGAGACGGAGTTTGAGAGACGCTCGGGCTGGTTGAAGATGGGCCGTGACAGGCAGGGATTGGATGCAGATTCTGGCAGATAGGGTGCCGGCTGCGCGCGGTAGTAGTGGTTGCGGCCCATGGTGTTGTATTGCTGCATCGGCGCTTGATAAGGGAAGGTGGGTTGCTCATAGGTCTTGGGAATGGTGTCCTGAGGGATCCAGAATTGCTCGACATTTTCATCGTATCCCGGCAGGTAATCCGGAATGGCCATCTGGTCTTGACGCTCTATATTGCCACAGGGCAGGCCCATTGCCTCACCCGACGCCAAATCCGTCATTCTGAATGCGTTGCGCAGTGGCGTAGCAGATGTCCTCCTTTCCATAGGTAGACTGTGGTAGTGACCGGCCTCGTGCCAGCTGGGAGAAGCCATTGAGTTCTGGCTATAGAGACTGGTGGGAGTGGGAGTGGGAGATTCCAAGGGAGAGAAGCTAGATGTCATAGAGGGGCAGTCGTTGGGGCCCAGGGAGTGGCAGTCAACTTCAACAGTGAGACGATCGGAGATCTGTTGGCCCTGAGGTCTCATGTTGTCAATGGCTTCAGTCTTAAGGTCTCGCGGGGCGACAGGCTCGGCGATAGTGTCACCTGAAGAAGAGGCAACAGATTTAGTTTGAGGAAGCTCAACTCAATCTCGGAAAATAGCAAGGAAGGTGAGTCCGGGGATCGGTGCGAGGGATTCTGAATGAAGTAGGTATAGGAAACAGGACAAAGCAGGAACAAGGTAGCGTAGGATAAGGGGGGACAGAAAACGAGGGTATAGTAAGGAACGAGAGCACCAGGGCGAAGAAGCCCAGGAACTGCACGAGGGACTCGGGGAGGAGAATTGAATGGAAAGGAAAGAATGTCGAGAGCCTTAGGGCAGGGAACAAGAAAAGGGAGAGAGAGGTAGAGAGAGTGTGTGTGTGAAGGGGAATGGGGAGGGACAAACGAGCACAAATAAACAACTCGGCCCAGCATAGAATCAAGCCGGGTGGGGATCGAACTTACAGCTATACGCCATGACTCGGATCAGATCCAAAGCGCCGATGCGCGTCGCGTGCCTGGGAACCCTAAAGCAAGGCCAGGAATGCAGACTATGGGATGCGCCAGTCTGTTACCGCGGCAAAGGGCTGGCGCGGCGCACGGCGGGACTCAGATTTGATGCCGGTTTGGGTAGGGTTCGCGGACTCGGCTTCGCGACTGACGCGAATCTCAGCAATACCAGAGACTGGATTCCCGAGATGGGGAGACCTGAGACCGTGGCTGGGACCAGTACCGCTGCACCGGGGTTGGCAGAGGCACCTCGTTTCCTAGCGACCTTGTTGGCTAGGGACCGTAATCTAGGACCGTGTCTGTCTGGGGGGGTTCCGGTCAAAATGGAGCCGCACCCTTCGACGCGGTATAGTTGCGAATCCGAGGGGTTGGTTGGTTGGGTTTGATGTGTGTCTAACCAGGAAATATAGAACGCAGCAGTATATCGAATGGAGGGCAGCAAATAGAGGAGAAGAGGGGGGAGGAGGGGAGAGGCTGGTCTCAGATTGATTGAATATCGATTGCTAGGTGGATCGCAGGGGTGGAAAGGGCTGGGGATTATATGGTTATCCAGGGACCAGCAAGGAGCCCTGGGACGAGAAGGCCGGGGTTTATAGCAGTGCAGACACGGCGGCCTCAGGGAAGCTTGTTCCTGGTGCCCTCTGAAAGGTGCCAGGGCTCAGGGCACAGTGGCCGATCGACAAGATTGATTGCCTCATCCCTAACTCCTTTCTTTTTTTGGGGATATTTTGATTTTGAATTTCCTAGAATTCTTTTTGTTCTGGCTCTCGGGCGAATATGGTTTATTGGTTTTTTTTTTCTTAATTTGAATTTTCCGCTGCAGGTGGATCGGGCTCCCGATTCCACTCCCACGGATATCATAACAAGGCCAATCTTGGAGCGACATGCGTTGGAATGTCCGGCTGTACCTCTTGCGTCCCGGGCAATGTGAGTAGAGTCTAAATGGGGGAGCCACAAAGTGGAGGTACTAAGTTGACATGCAGCACCGACCACTGGGCGCATTGGTGCATTTGGGGGTGGATGAATGGGCGCATTGTGGCCCTACGGGGCCCGCCTTGGAGGATCGGCCCCCGGGGTTTCCTCTAGGTAACGGGTAACTTTGGGGCTTCATTTCGTTGGTTGGGATTATGCATCGGGGGCGATCCTAAGCCCAAACCTGGCCGCCCGTAGGGTAGCACTTGACGCGGAACCGGCACCGGATCGCCCTAATCGCCCCTAATCGCCCCTAATCGCCCCACCTGAGCCGGCTGTCTGGAGCTGGGGTTTGCTGAGTAGCAGAATTGTCTCATAGTTATTGCCAACTAAATCTTTGCAGAAATAAATGAACACCTGAGACCGCATCCCCCAGGTCTCCTCCCTTTCTCTGTCTGAATCATTTTACGCGTTCCAGAAGCTATTGTCTGTATCTCGCGGGTCAGACACCGAATCTGAGCTCAGACGTTTTGGCAGCAAGTGGGGGGCTTGATCGATCTCATTCTGTCCGGTGAGCTCGACAGGTCAGACGTTACTAAACACGCTGGTCTGTGCGGGATCTTCGATGAACCCTCCATATCCCGGTCGCTGGGGTCGCTGGGGTCGCTGTGGAAAGGTAACATTGTCCATTCCAGTCGTTCCTATTGTTATTCTCCGGTCAATCGAACCTACAACTTTACGAAAAGATGATCTTAATCTCTACGTGGAGGATTCGATTCTGGCAGATTACTAGATCCTGCTTTGTTAGGCCGTCCTTATGATTTGGCCCTCTTTGCTTCCCTTCGTCAGTGCGGTAAACTATTGAAGTCATTCCAGTTTTTGCGTTCCGGCTCTCTTACTTCTTCATATTTGCTAAACAGCCAGTCTGACTTCGGACTTCTGCCGAGCCAGTAAGAGAATCCTGGGGATATTGGCACCTCCCATAGTATAGTCATCTTTTACCTCGCCATGACAAATAGTGCCCTCTACTGCCCACCGTCGTCATTAGGCAGGATTGGAATGTGCAAGACGCATGATACCAAAAATAAGTACTATCCGGGGAGGACACCGCCCACATATCCAGCTCGGAGTACGAGGGAACGGGGCCAGAAAATCCAGTAGCCATTCTACCGGGTTCCTGTGCTTCCAACGGCGTGCCGGCTGTGAATGAATGGGAGAAAAAGTACATCTTGCCGGCACTATCTGACCCAGTCCTGCTCAGGAACAGGGAACAGATCACGCTATGGAGCAGGCTAGCTATGGACCTGCATATGGAACCAGGGGAGGCGCGATGCATCACCCGTCAATTGTTGACCCAAATTCTAGGGATTCTCTCTGGTTGGAGCTAGACACAGCATAGCTCCTGAAAATTGAGGATGATTCCATAAACAATGCGTTCTCCAGCAAACGGATCCAGTGTGTGGCTAGTGGCCAATTTTTCCCCCAAATGGTTTCATGCATCGTTGCACATTCTTCTCCTCGAGATGAAAATGGTTCCAGGACGTTCTTTCTTTACGCCACTGCAGTCAGTGGCGACGTTTTCTTGATCATCCTCATATGGCCCCTCTTTTCCATCTTTTGGTCTCAGGCTATCCCGCCTCTCAATGGTCTGGAAAGGCGGACGTGCGCCCGCAAATTCCATTCCCCAGAATATCCCTCCAACCGGAGACGCCTCCGCGAAGGGTTGTGTATCACATTGCCGACCGACGGGCTCTGTCCGGTGGGTCTGGCGATGAAACGGAAGGTTTGCGGTCATCTTATTATGTGGTCGTGCTAGGTCTATGGCTAGAAGTGTGAACATCTATCTACCACCACTACTATCAACAGCCCCAGTCAAAAGCTAGCTGACTGGTTCGGGCATTAGCTGGAACCCCCGTAAATGGCTGCTAGTCTGTTCTGACAGCTCTCACTACCAGCTAAAACGCCGCTGGAGACCACAATTCGCGGCGCTTGTTTGATTAGGCAAACTCTAATTCTGTTTACGACTAAGCCATAATTCGAATTCACGCTACCCGCCCCGAAGGTATCAGTTTCAAGTCGGTTTTTTTTTGGTTTTTGGTGGGGGGGGGGGCAGAACCCTGTATTCAACGGTTCGACAGTATTCTGAGGACTTGGAAGGAAGCTGGCGAGGTATTCGAGGTGAGCCCGCGTCGGTGGTAAACAATGCAGTTCTGAGTTACTTTATCGAAACGCCCAAGCCACTCAAAGTCTGGTTGGGGCGGCAGTGGGGCTCCAATGAAGGCCCGCTTTGTCGGCGGCGTTTGCCGATCCATGTCTCGACACGTCGATCCTCTCGTCTGTCAGATCCAGGCTCTTAAGTAAATTTGTTATAGGTATGCACGTACATTGGTTTTATTTTTTTTAGCCAGCTATTTCTTTCTCTCGATCTAGCTCCATTTTCAAGTTGACAGTACTTTGCTAACATGAGTGCGACCACGAGCAATAATGGACCCGGATTTCATGCAGATTGGGTTCGAAATCAAGTTTTCTGGTCTTCTCCAAGCAGCAATATTCAATGATCTTCATCAGAATGCGGCTTGTAATTGTTGAGTAATCTCCATGTTTGCTGTGTTTAATATTCAACTATGCGGTTTGCAATTCTCGAGTCGTAACTATCTATGCTGAGTTTGTTCAATAAGGATGTTGAGTAATCTCAATCCAACGGTATGGATGGTCCGCCTTTTGCCAAGCGCCATATCTGTACGCAGTACCTTCTTCATTTTTTGGTTCAGCCTCTAAAATAGCACTTTTTGTCAATTTACCAAAATCGCATTGGTTGGGCTTGCCTCAAATGCCTTGTTGCATCCTAAATGCTCGAAACCTCCCTATCCTCCTCTTTTCCTAGTATCTGTTAGATAACCACGGGATATGACCATGCTGTATCCAACCAGGAAGCCCTGAGGCACGGACGTACTTTGGCCGCAAGGAGGAGACGACGCCTGCCAAGAATCCCAAGAGCCCCACGTCAAAAGGGATGACTTGCTTCAATCGACGTGAACTAGTATCTTGTTTGGATCTGCCAAGGCCATGGTGCTATTCATGTTTGTCAGGCTCATTGAGCCAACCCACACCACGGAAAGCCCGAAGATAAACCAAATAGGCCCGAGACCCTGACTAGCGTGAATGAATCCCGAAGTTACTCTCAAAAGGCTAATTCATTTTTGGCCTATCTTCGAAAGTTTGAATAGTGTGATTCAAAAATCCGAGGTCTGCTGTCGCATCGAGTCATGCCATACGGAGTAGCCTTATCAGCTAGGCCATGCATGACTTCCAACGCCACCAAGCCTCGGTGGCAACCTGTTGCTCGTTCAGGGGCTGGATGTACTCCATTGCGTACATGCATACTTTCTAGCTGTCCATGCTTTTAGGGCACATGTCATGGTCAATCTTCACGTTCGATCACCTTGCCACCATCGCTCGATCTTGCAAGACTTTTTACGTGCACCAATTCTTCAGGATGCCTCGTGTGATGATACACAAGAGTTTTTACCGTACACTCTTCCCACATGTTGAGCTTATGCCAGCTTGAAGCGAGCAAGTGCTTCTACGGACATGTCATCTCACGAAGACTTACTCCTGACGTTCATCGAAAATACTTTTTTCACCATGACATCTCATATTCAATCATCAGGGGTCATTTCCTACGATTTGACGCTCACAAATTCGCAATTCAAAGCTGGTAGGGCGACCAGGGGTACCTCGGACATCCCCCAGCTCATAAACCTAATCCAACTAGCCCCATCAACCATAGCACGCTCACATTGAAACGATTGCTGCAGTCAAGACCCAGGTACATGGAATGGCTAACTAGTAACTATCGAATTTAGATCTTTCTCAGACCCATGTCTTTTGCAATGCCGAAGAGCTCCGTGACCCCTCTCGGGCCAACGCTAAAGAAGGGCCCATAAAAGAAAGATTCCGAGATAGGATCTACATAACATGCAAGCCTCTTGACTAAATGGAAACCTTCACAGTCGATCATTTTGCGGGGGAGATTCAGAGTGGTCTGTTCATGCAGGTGGCCAATAGAGCGCGGTAGAGCACACGGTGTGCGACAGTACTATTGCCATTAGCCACTAGTCGAGCATTCCTCGGGGCAGCGTCCACCAAAAGCCGGCAGCGGTAGACTCCAGACATGCTGCAAGTCCGTTTCGTCCCAGTAACTCGGGGTTCCCTGACGTTGTCTCTCCAAATTCCTATGTCGAGGCATCTCGATCAAGGTCTATCAAGATGGTAAGAACATACTCATACTCATTTCCACATTCAGATTGGGTGATCCTGGTTTCAGTTTACTGTTTGGGCTCCACACGCTCGATTGTTTCACTCGAAACTCCTGCGATCTAGCGTAGATCATTAATCCCATGTAATAATAGGGAAGGCTGCATGTCCTGATGGAGAAAAACGAGTTGAGTAAGTCGTTCGCCTCCATATTCTGCAAGCTAGGACCCTCAAGAGTAATATTTGGAGGCTCAGCTAAAATGCATGCTATTATTTCGGCGGAGTTCTGTGAAAGAATATGGATATCATATTCGCAAGCCCTTTTAGTACTTATCTATCGAACGTTCCAGGAGCGGGTGGAATGCCATCCTATAGGAAAATTTTGCTGCCCTAAAAGAGAAGCAAAAACAGGGAATTCTGACCCAAACCCCGGTTCGGGACATCAATAGTATTGTAAGTGGAAGCAACTGGCTCAAAGCGTACCTCTTTGGAGGGGTTCGGTAGCTCCGATGGGTCCTGAACGTACCTAGGCTTTCCCTTCCCCCTTCTTTTGATCTCCACCCCCTTGCAGCTCTGTTTTCCTTTTCTCACCAACGGCGTCGCTCCTGGTTCTACTTTTTCAAACAAAAGGGGTATTTTATCATTAAGGACCAGCTTTTGTTTTTATTCTTTTCTAAATAGTACTTTTCGCGCCATCCACTCATCTTGACTCGCATTGCAGCGCGTCCCATCACCTTGCGTTGTTGGTCCCGGTTTCCAGGATAGACAGCTGCGAGTGAAAGTTTATGTTCTGACCTTGCCCTACGATCGGCTACTTCTGGGGTACGCTTTGCTCTTTCAGTCCATCTAGGTCGCGATTAAAGCTATTTTTCTTACTTTTCAGGCGATCCTTTCATGTTTCGGTCCCTTTTCCGATCTCAAGGGTGCTGAAGGGTTAGATAAATCAAGGTTAATATCAAGGTAATCTGAACAGGGTCCAGAAGACCCTGAAAGCACAAATTCAAGAGAACCGATATCCGAGAGTGCAATCCTACCAACAGCCCTAGAAGTCAAAGCGCTGGTCAGGCCAGGGCCATACGTCAATGCGCATGCCAATCATCTCGATAGTGCAGGTCAAACAGCGTGCTATGCACCCGCCTAGATAGCACCGCCGCAGACGAGAACTAATAACATCGGTATAGCCGAAGAGCAAGACATGATCGACCAAAAGCATTGACCCTGCACCTCACATACAGCATGCCATACATTCTTCAGTAAATCGGGGGGGGGGGGGGGGGGGGGGGGGTTCCGTTCTCCCCCATGCACCAGACGCACCAAAGTTATCCTGGAAAAGTCGGGGAAGATCAACTAGAAGACAAGGCTGGACCGTTCACCAGCACAGGGTGAACCTAGGTGACATCATACCTTTCTGCCCTTGCTCCTGGTCAGATTAATCCCGCGTTCCTATTCTGGCCACCGACAGCACGCTATCTGGCGAGGTTTCATTATCACGAGAACAAAGATAGCTCTCTGCCTGATTATCGTCTGGGCCATTACAGAAGGGATGGGCAAGGACTACACAGCATTGGGCCACCAGGAGTTTGTATGTCCTGCAATGCGGATCAATGCGTTCAGGCGTATGTATGTCTGATTGTGAGACTCCTGTAGCAGAGGTTCCATACGAGGCAAATTTTTGAGATTCAAAGTTTGCTTTTGCTACTCCTACTGACTTCTCAAATCCATTCCCCTTTCCTATGCTATGCCATGAAGTGCCCGCTCATTTAATTTTTTTTTTTTTCATATTCTCTATCTCGGTTGGTTTCAATTATTCTGACCATATGGCGAAACCCCCCGCCCCTCCAACATCTTCACGAGAATGATCAAGTCCTTCTGTACACGAGCCAATGACAATATCTTCATTTAATAGTTCCTCCTTCCCAATTCCAATACCTTTATTGGGTATTCCTTTTGAAAAAGAGGCTCCGTGGTTGTGTAAGAGATACAGTTCTCAAAAATATTTAATGTGTTGAGAATACAGGGATTGAGAGAAGTTGCGATTGAGTCGTTAGGAGATATTGCAACGTAATCTGCAACAGGTATCAAAGTGAATGGTTCCAAGTAGATTTGAGCACTAAGTTGCTTGTGGATAGATGCCTTTCATATTAGCAATCTTAATTAGTAGCATTTGAAAGTTGATAGAATCACAATGATTATATAATTGCATCAAGACATTGAAAAGAACAGATTGGCTATACAAAATGGGAGGAGTCACGGGCCTTGATAGATATATTTACGTATGATGTATGGAGACGACATCGAGTCAACCGGAGTACTCAGTGATTTGACATTAGTTGACTGAATATATTGATGAGACGGAAGTTTCAAGAAAAGGAAGCCAATTGTCTTACGCTTCTGCGAAGAATGGATGGCATTATTTAGATGAGTACACTGCCCGATAAACTGCTGAAGCCTCATAAAACACTGGCATCGAAAACGCGTTGGCAAATAGACATGATGAACAGAGTTAGGCAGCCAACATATGTAGGTAAGTCATGTCAAAGACAACTCGAGTATAAAAGTGAATGGTTTTTTATCATGCTGCTGCTTTTGTTTTTGTTTTTTGCTTGGTGATATATATAGATTTTATCACTAAAGTACCAGCTCGCCCACTTGCCGGCATTCCGGGAGTCGCAACGCCAAAATATATCCTACTGTAGATTGATTCCACTACCTCACAAAATGAATAAATTATGGGGGGTTGTTTTATCTTTTTCTTCTCAAGACTTCCAACTACTGTAACTTCTCCAATATACAAAGCATATAGGCATCTGTCTAATGGTCGGATAATAATAGGGAGAATACCAGGTTCAGCCCATCAGCCTGTTAGCCAGACTGACAATACGCCCAATCCTAGTCCACGCTCAATTCCAGTCTACGCTCAATTATAGTTTCCCGTGGCCCTAAGGCGCCTTAGCGACATATTGATAACCATAAAACATATCGTGAGGGTTATCTCTTACAAATGGCTTGTGTGATGGGCACCGGCGAGCAGAAGTAATGTGCATGACAGGATTCCTCAGGACTGGTTTGACGTGAGATCGCAGAATGGGCTGGACAGAAGGACAATGGGTTGGACATATCGAAGAGAAGTAAAATGCTTGAAACAAACGCCAATACGGGTTCTCGCAGCTTGGAGGATGTTTAGGAACGGGACTGTCCAGGAAACTGAAACTTTACAGTCGGGCCTGGATCTTGATAATTCTCTAATTTGGGGCCAGATGAAGTCTCAGAGCCACCTATCACGGATGTCTGAAAGCTCTCGATGTATTATGTTCTTGAGAATCCTTTGAGAAGTGGCAGGCTTGAATAGTCGCGAGGGTGGGAGGGCTAGATTGTGACCATACCCATAGGACTGTTGCCCTGGTCGGAATCGTTGGAGGTCAATGGCCAATTGCGAATGAGGATGCCTAGTCTCAATTTCCATCTATCATCATCTCTTGGTCTACCATGATGCATCAGGTATAGACCTATCAAGGCGGAATAGTGGACATTGAGGCCTGCGTCTCAGCCGCAATACCGGCCGGGTCTAACTTCTCTTATGTTGAGATCCTCTGCGCAGGAACGAACGCGGCCGAGATGGGCCCATTTAAATAAAAGAACCCGGCTGAAATAGTCGCTGTCAATGGTTGTCAGAATCCTCGACCCCGGGGCTGGCTCGGGCGTCTGGGCGGAGCCCAGACAATCGAACGTGTCGATTTCAGCCGCCGCCTCGGTCACAAATGACAACACATTCCTGTGTCCTGTCCATCTTGTTCTCATTCGCCGACGATTGCGATGTTACAATGCGGCTAATTTCTGACCGCACACTCGATGGATGATATCGACGCCATGATGGTTTTTGAAGCCCGAGCTCCGAGCCCCTGAACACCGAACTCCGACGCCCACAAAGAAGCCCAGCCCAGCCCGCCTTCGGTTTAGCGGCTCGCCTTATCATCGCGGAGAAAGCGCTGGAACATACCGGGGCCTAGAAAAGGGACAAATCAGAAGTCTCGTTGGTAGCGAAGGATTCTTGTCTGGCGCGAGGCCAGCACGCCATGAAAGCCCGCCAATCGTGTCGCAACGGATCGATAACCCCAGTGTTTGGGGCCAAGGCAGCTATTTTAACGGTCCTGCCGTCCGGTTCCAACACTCCGATGTCATAAACGAGATTTTGGGGAAGAAATAAATATATGAAGGACATGCGCCGTCCATGCTGAGCAACCAAGGAGAACTTGTTCTGCTCATATTTCGGCCAGAATGACCGTCCGAACCGCGCCCAATGGCGCCGACGAAACCGAGCCTCTACTGCCGGGCGTCAACACGCCGACGAGGCCCATCAACAGCCAGGCAAAGAAGTTCATGATCCTTCTCATGTGTGGAATTTTCGTGCTAGCAGCAGACTTTGGAAACGACTTGGGACTGGCTCCACAGACTGAGATCTTCGAGCAGATTATCTGCCGCAAACACGAAGTCAATTCGAGTGGAGCCAAGGACCCATCGTGGGGTAACCCATGCAAATCTGAGGCCGTGCAGGGCGAACTGGCGTTGGTGCTGGGCTACAAGGACATGTTCGAGGTGTTGCCGAGCATCTTGCTCTCCCTGCCGTATGGAATCCTGTCCGATCACTGGGGCCGAAAGCCGGTGATCTACCTGGGCGTCGTGGGGATGCTCGTTGGCGAAATCTGGGTCCGACTAGTGGGTATGTGGAGAAGGCTTCTGAGTATTGACTATATGCTGGACAAATCTAATGTACTTGATACCGTCATTCTAGCTTTATGGTCGGGCGTTCTTCCTCTTCGCTTGGTCTGGTTGACCGGATTATTCAGAGTTATCGGTGGAGGAGACCAAGTGGTTGTGTCGATTGCGCTTGTGATGGTTGCTGACATTTTCGACGAGGAAGAGAGGTACAATGCTTTGCCTTCCTCACCAGTGCTTTACCAAGGTCTGACTAGCATGCAGATCAACCGCTCTTTTCCGCCTCCAGTCCTGCATTACACTGGCTGAAGTAATGGCCACTCCAGTCAGTGCCTTCTTGATGGGCTACAGTATATGGCTCCCTTATATTCTGGGACTAGTGGTAATGGTAATTGGAAGCATTCCAATACTGTTCCTTCCAGAGACCCTGGAAGAAGCCAAGGCAAAGAAGAGAGCGAGTCGCCTGCGCTCAGGGACTGAGTCCCCCATGGTTTCCAGTGAGCCTGCTGATCTAACCGGAAAGCCAGCAGTGGTTCAAGACCTCATCCGCCAGATTGAGGAGTTTAAAAACTCCACTCGTTTTATTTGGCGGGACCGAAATATCTGGCTACTGGTTCTCTGCCTTTTTGTCACTGTAATGACCAGGCAGACGAACAATGTTCTTCTGCAGTATGTGTCGAAAAAGTTCGACTGGTCCATAGCTCAAGTATGTATTCCCTTATACCTGTCCATAAAACTGCAGAACACGATCAGCATTCTAAACCACAGTTGCAGGCCAGCCTTCTCATCTCGTTGCGGGGATTCTTTGCGCTCGCCAATTACCTTGTCATCATGCCTGGTCTGACTTTTATCCTCGCTAAATACTGCAACCTCCATGGCAAGCTCCGTGATCGCAGCATGAGTCAAGGAAGCGGAATATTCTCTATCATCGGCTTCCTAGCCGTCGGGTTTGCGCCCGTTCCTTCATTGTTGATCTGCGGCATGGTCTTCATGTCGATGGGTTCGGCTTTCCATATCACCCTGCGCAGTCTAGGTACTGGTCTTGTATCGCCTGTTCACGTGGGTACCCTCTATTCAGCCATGACTATCTCCATATCCTTAGGGTTGTTCATCGCCGGGCCATTATTTGCTTATCTCTTCCGGCTGGGTATGCATTTCGGTGGCCCTTGGATGGGCCTCCCCTTCTTGCAAGGGGGCCTCTTCTTCGTGATGGCTGTGGTTGCCGTGAGCTATATTCGAGTGCGCCGACCATCCTCATTTAGTGGTCAAAGTGAGGAAGAGGAGCCTTTATTATCATAACGGCTTCCAATATAACCATATTGTTGATAATAGCTCAGCCTGGATGCCATCGTGCATAATCGTTATGAACACCCACACTCCTCCAGACCAATGGCCCCAAATGAAGAATCTACCGGTCTCTTTCTCGTTCTCGGTCTCTTCTTCCACATTTGTATCACACCTGCTTCTTGAGTCCATACTGTAGAAATCCAGACTTCAGAAGCACAAGGAACCAGGGGCCAGAAACCATGGGCTACTATGCCGATCCCCCGGGGGCGCACTCAGAATCTCGTTCTCCTATCGGCCTCCATTCCCAATGAGGGGAGATATGAAGTACAGCGTCCAACATGGTCCACCAACACGGTCTTTCCAGATGGCTTCTATCGACGTTGGTTCGCCAGAGCATGAGCGATCAGCGGGTGAAGTAATCTCGCGGGGCTCAATTGGTGGAGATCCGCCAGGAGTACCAAGCCTCGATGCAACGTCAATTGACCCAATCGACGCGCTCTTCCTCAAACCATCCGTCCTCGTCGATTCTGGTCATGCTCTCCGGTGATTGCAATACATTCACTCAGGACGTCCGACGGAGTCGTGTTTGAGGAGTGCCGGGGTCGGCCCACGTTGTTCTCCTTCATTGGGCGACTCCGTCTGCCTAGTTGCCCCCGGTCGGGATCGGCCACTGTTTCGTCAGAAGCAAGTACATGCCAAGCAGGTCGCTAGACCCGAAATCAATGGACTTGTCTAGTACTACGGCGATATCCGATCTGCCTAGCACGAATCAGCGTCTTCTTATCGATGCATGTGCTATTATCTTCACCAGCGATAGTCATGCTAGCGCTGTCTCCGCTTCTGCAGGCCCAGGTACATAAACATTCGTTTCTGGCATGATAGCCCCCAAGAAGCGATCAAATTTTCTCTCTGTTCTTCTGAGTTCCTTGCCTGAGACAAACATCCTGATTCTACCATTCATCAATTGACTGTCTTTTGCCCCCATCATGTCTCCTTCTCGTACTTCAATGGGCATGCTAGCTCTGACCGCCACAATGGTGACACGCGTTTCGGCCTCCCTGCAGACCTGCTCAAGCTCCAGTACTTATAGCTGCGAGAGCTCGTCCACGACGGCCACCTGCTGCTTCAACTACCCTGGAGGTGCTTTGCTACAGACCCAGTTCTGGGATACCGACCCTGCAACCGGTCCCACTGATTCCTGGACTATTCACGGCCTGTGGTGAGTAATATTGCATTAATACTGTACCTTTCAAGGCGGATTCTAGTCAGCTAGGAAATTTAGACTGCCAACGAACAACCTCTGCATAAAAAATTGGACATTTTATTGAGTAATATCAATTAGGCCCGACAACTGTGACGGTAGCTATCAGTCCTACTGCGACTCCTCGCGCGAGTACTCCAACATCACCGAGATCCTGGAGGCACAGGACCGCACCGAGCTGCTGTCCTACATGCAGGAGTACTGGCTGAGCGACTCCGGTAGTGACGAGACCTTCTGGGAGCACGAGTGGAACAAGCACGGCACCTGTATCAACACTATCGATCCCAGCTGCTACAGCGATTACACTTCCCAGGAGGAGGTTGGTGATTTCTTCCAAAAGGTGGTGGATCTGTTCAAAAGTCTGGATACATATACGGTACGCTACTATCGTCTCATGCATTATATCATCATTTACACTCCTAATAAAAAAAAACAACCTGCTAATTACCGCCTAGGCCCTCTCCAATGCTGGCATCACACCGAGCAGCTCCAAGACATACACTCTGAGCGAGATCCAGTCCGCCCTGAGTGATCTGCATGACGGTGCGGAGGTCTACCTTGGCTGCGATAGCAGCACCCTCAACGAGGTCTGGTATTTCTTCAACGTGGCGGGTAATGCCATCGATGGTGACTATAAGGCCACCGACACTCGTAAGTTGTCAGATCGTTATGATTATGGAAATCCAAATCAGCTAATTTATGGTTTTAAGTGACCACGTCGAGCTGCCCGTCCAGCGGGATCAAGTACACACCTAAGAGCAGCTAAATTGGCTACTTTAGAGAGACGGATCCACATTTACATTGGATGGATAAGACATCTCTACGATTGACCTCTCTGCTGAATGATCTGATGACGTGAAAGGTATTTGTTTGGTATCAGGGGTATTAAGAGTACATAGTACATAGTGTTTAGCGCGGCATAAATGCCAGCAGAATATGATAAGCATGAAGTAAATTGCTCTCTCGATGTAGAAAAGCCCGGTATCATTGAGCCCGCAACTTTCTTCATGGGGCAATGCCAGAAGACAAAAATCTAATTGGGCTTCACATCACGACGGGCGATCAGTAATAAGCCGTCCGTCCTGTCGTATCGCCAGAGTGGCAGCGTTGTCAAGAATTGAATCTACCAGCGGCTGAGCGGCAAGGATGCGCACTCGGAAGTTTCTTCTTTGGATCTGGATCGACTGGTTGCTTGCTTAAAACAGCGATGCTGCCAACTCTCTCCTGGATGATAAAACGAAGCTTGGACTCGGGGCTCCGCAAATGCGACCTTGATCTGCATAAACTGTGCAATAACACGATTTATTCTCGTAGCCAAAGTGGGAGACGAAACAAGGGCCCTGGGTTTCATCTGATCTTTTCTACTCCAGGTAGAAAAAAAAAGGCGGAGAGGTAGATAAAAGGCTTTCACATACCCTTGAGACGGGCTTGTCGAGCTTCCTCATCTCTTTTGGCTCCCATACGGTCCAAGAAGTTCATGCGGCCAATATAGCCCTCCTTAGCCTTACTGTGTGTCCGCAGTTCGTCTTTGATTCCGGCTTGGTCCACATACTGTGCCCAATCGAGTCTGGACTTTTCAACGGTGTTGATCTTGGGTCCGCTGGGGTGATCCACGCCCACTTCCGCAGTAGGCTGCTTCTCCCAGCTCTTCTTAATCGTACCGGTCGGGTTGGGATCAAAACGTGAAATCTTGCGAAGTGGACGGCGCAGATTTCGAGCAGCGTCAGCAGCCGTGTCTCCTACCTCCGCAAGCTCGGCATTATCACCACTAGACAGGAACGCCTTTGCCTCTGCAGAATCCTTGGGCACAACCTTTTCCTCGGTAATCCACTCGCCAGCGAACTTATACGTGCGCTTGATCTTGATCATATGCTCGCCGTACTGACCATGACGCGCGTTGTCTTGCGGCTCTGGGGCACCGTGGTCCTGCACGTTCGTGTCGGTCGTCCGTTCGGGTTTGTCTGGCAGCGGCTTGTCGTCGTGGTGGATCTGCGTCGACTGCATGCCCAGATCGTTACCGGGGGTGTTCATCTGCGCCCACAGGGCTTCCACGTCGACAGTCGCACCATCAATTCGGGCTAGTGGTTTGCGTTGCTCTTCCTCCTCTCTGATAGGCGATGAGCATCTCGGAACACGTATAAACAAACAAATAAGGAACAGCATCCATACCTTCGCATCTTTTTCATTGCCCGAGTTCGCACAAAGCCCCCTGCGTCTCCTTCATCTTCGTCGAAGTCAATGTCACTGTCGTCGCCTTCACCAGTCACATCCTTGCCCTTTCCCTTGCCCTTTTTCCCTTTATGCTTCTTGTTCCTTTTATCATGTGCTTTTTTTATTGTAGCTTCGTCACCGGAATCTAGCTCATCTGTGGCGATTTTGGCTTTCTTGTCTGTTTTGCGCTTCTTCTTCGCGGGTTCGGTGGTCTCGTCATCATCGGAGGATAGCTCGGAGTCATCTTGTGCGGCATCGAGCTGAAAATCTTCATCCTCAGCAGAGTCATATGCCTCATCATCCAAATCAGCAGCTAGCGAAGCACTAGGATCGGCAGACATTTTTGTTATCTCAATGCGAGGCTGTTTGTGAGAAAGAGAAGTCGACGCAAGAAACGCGCTGATGATTCTGCCGAAGGCGGTGCTGATAAGGATTATATAATTATCTATATTGTTGCCTCAGGCTTCACAGACTAATTTAGTCTCATGGGCCGATGATGTTTTCAAACTTATACCACTTTATGCTGTACCTAGAGATGATTAGAAAAAATAATCTCATATATCTTAGATTGTCCTCAGTCAAACCATAGCTTGATGGCTACAAGATATTTCAATATGTGGGTGAAATTTGAAGCCAACTCACCGGGGATCGTGAGCTCAGCCCGTCCACCCCCGACACGCCAGCAAGGCGAAGAGTTGGTCGATACAAATACCCCTCTTTATATGAGTCTTATATTTAGGGGTAGAATGGTTATTCTTTGTGATCAGGAGAGTGAGGAGCAGGCCAGCAACTAAAGTCCTTTTTTTTGGTAACAGATAGGGATTATGCCTAAATCAAATAATAGAATGCAAGATAAAATCGATAAGAAAGAAGCAACATTGGTAACAGTAGTGCCAAGCAAGTATGGTTTCCAATTTTCATCATCTATGACCAGCATAGGTCGCCTTGACATACCATAACCCAATTCCATCATATTATCCATGCAACTATTTAGACATCAAATACTATATTTTCCGTACTCCATAACGCAGCTCTGCATTCAAATCACCACTCTTCACTGCTCCCGGTATGATTCCTTTGTCATGATTTCCAACTTGTCCAGTGCATACTGCTCCTCCCGTCGACGAGATACACCTCGTTGGAACCAGGTACTGGCAATAGCAGCCACACCCATGAAGATCTCTAGACCCAGCAGTACACATAAAAGAGAAAATCCAGCACGAGTATCATGACAGTCTCGATTGAAATGGGTTGGGGCTTTGTCCCCCGCTCGACTCCATTTGCACGTCCAGCTATGCAAGGTTTCATTCTGGCTGTAGCCACTTGGGTAGGTGGCGGAGGGACGGTAGATCATAAAAACAATGCCGACTAGCGCCGTCAGGAAGCCAGAGAATGCAGATGCCAATGCACAGGAGTTAAGCAGTCTGATACGAGGGTGGGGCTAGTTTACTGTCAGTTCCATTCAAAGTGTCTATGCTCATCCAAGGCGCCCCTGGGTCGGAGGAGAGTGAGGGGAAGCTTAGAAGAGATAAGGAATACTTACTGAGGGAATCACCGCAATCACAACATATACCAAGTTCAAAGCTGCAATCACGCACCCACAAGATAGCGCAGCAATTGTGGGTCGGGTATCGAAATTATTCGGCCAAAGAGCAAGGCCAGAACTCTCAGCATCAACTGTATCCTTATAATGTCGGTATGGCACGGCCTCGCAAACAAGGACTGCGAGGGCAAAGATAAATAACAGAGACGATAGGGCAATTCGAGCAACATGAAGCGATCGATTGCGAACTAGGAACTTGGATTCCTCCATGTCGGTAGAGTAAGTATGGGAAGCTGCAATGGAGGACTTCACGCTCATAGCCACAGAAGAATAGCAACCAAAGGAGTGTCACCAACGAGGGTATGTGGTGAGATTCTAGATTATCTCTTTCCCGATAACCAGACTTCTTAAAGAAAGACTGAAAATGAGTTTATACTCTATACATGTATAAAATAGGAGAGAAAAATCCTCACTCGCAAGGCAAGGGAGTGCTTTGACAGAACACAAAGCAGCTGGGTTGGAACCAGATATATGAAAGAGAGGAAGAGTGGAGAGTTTGAAGAAGCGCCTTGTGAGACTAGGGCTGCAGATATAATAAAGATGAAGCCTGCTTATAGTATGCGATTATTACCGAGAGCCCGTGGTCTCACAGTTTGCCCCTATGGCTGGCGCTTATCCAGCGACGTTGCAGAGGGTTTTCACTGCACAGACAGTGTTCTAGTACCAGAAAACCAGTGTGCCTGAGACCCTTAAAGGGCAGTCATCCGTGCACCAGCAGGAGATGGAGACCTTAGAGGAGCTGCATGCCGCTAGTTTGCATTTTCTCTCCTGAGGAGGCTGCATTGGGGCGACAGGGCTCGCATCTGGCACAAAGTAAAAGGGGGTGCGATCACCAAGAATAGCCAATCCCAAGCTCAGGGACGGGTGAAATTGCCAGTTAATCTACATGGTTCGTAGTGATTTGCTTGTGCCGTCCCCTGCAGGAGCGAACTGTGAAAGGGGATTCGGGTGCATGGCGACGGTGATAGGCCAGCCCGAAGCGCCGGAGATGGCAACACAAAGCCACCGGCGGCTACAAGGGTTTCATATCTTCAGCCTACAGCGCCAAAGCAGTCCATTGTTTCTGCATGAAATGCGAGGGTCCTACCTGGTTATTGCGCGACTAATCTAAGAGTGGAAAGAGGTTGGAATTATTTTCGCAAGGGCCCTATTTAGTTTAGTTGCTTTGGCAGTTGGATGCAGAATTGCTATTTTAAGCAACAGACTTTGCAATGGAGATACGTCGCCGGAAGATTCTCCGTATTATAGTCAAGGGTCCAGTCTTGGGGTTTCCATTATAATTCTAGACCTTGAATCACATCCACCCCGCTATGTTGGAGTTTCCACTGCCTTTTGTTATGCGGGACATTGACTATCTCTGGATTATAAGAATATAGATCAATGCTTGGAATCACTTATCCTGATTACCCCCTCATAAAATTGGTTTTCATTTTGAATCCCTAGCAAATCTTTGCTTCTGGGTACTGATGAGAATACTTCATCTCCCCTATCAGCCATCAAACCATCCAAATGCATTGAATCCACAGTTCAATCAAATCGCGGGGAAATCCAGTCGGGGTCTCACCGCCCGGCAGAAAAGAAAACTTGGCGGGGCAACATCGTGATGATTTCAATGCGAGGATTTCCAATTTCAAGCCAATTGTCACTTCTTACCTCTCGCAATGCCATTGTCCAAGTTGCAGGGCGTCAAGCTCCCTGCCTCGGCTGATTTTCATGGTATGCCTTCTCTGAACACTGGAATCCAAACTCGATAAACTGACTCGCATATACAGTCCACCTCCGTGACGGTCCGATGATGGAGCTGGTGACTCCCACCATCCGTCAGGGGGTGTGAACACTGTCTTTGTCATGGTGAGACAACAATATCTCTGTAGGAAATTTATTCTTATGTATATCTAACACTGGCATTATCAACAGCCGAACTTGGTGCCGCCCATCACCACGGTCGACCGTGCCCTTGACTACCAGAAGCGTCTGCAGGCCATCGAGCCCAACGTGAACTACCTCATGTCGCTGTACCTGCACGAGACAATCACTCCGGAGACAATCATTGAGGCCAAGAAGCGTGGAATCACAGGTGTCAAGAGCTACCCCGCCGGGGTGACCACCAACTCGAGCTCGGGCGTGGTCGACTACACCACATTCTACCCCGTCTTTGCGGAGATGGAGCGCCAGGGTCTGGTTCTGAACCTGCATGGCGAGTGTCCCTCCACGGGCGATGTGACCGTTCTGTCGGCCGAGGAACGGTTCCTGCCCAAACTGTTCGAACTTCATGCCCAGTTCCCGAAGCTCCGTATTATCCTGGAGCACTGCACCACGGCTGCGGCCGTTGAGGCTGTCAAGAAGTGCGGGCCCACTGTCGCCGGTACCATCACCGCCCACCATCTGTCCATCATTATCGATTCATGGGCAGGCGACCCATTCTGCTTCTGCAAGCCTGTCGCCAAGACCCCTGCCGACCGGGACGCCCTTCTCCATGCGGCCGCGTCCGGCAACCCCAAGTTTTTCTTCGGGTCCGACAGCGCTCCTCACCCTGCCGCTTCCAAGCGTGGCGGTGAGAAGATTGCCGCTGGTGTGTTCACCCAGCCATACACCACTCAGGTTGTTCTTGATTCGTTCGAGCAAGCCATCCAGAACGGTGTTCTCAAGGATGAGGATATCACACCGGAGATCCTTGAGGGATTCATGAGCAAGTTCGGACGGGCCTTCTATGGCATCGGCGAGGAGAAGAAGGAGTTCATCACTCTCGAGAAGAAGGGAGAGAAGATTTCAGAGATCCTCAAGTCCGATCAGATTGATGTGGTGCCTTTCCGTAAAACCCAGGACACCTGGAGTGTGTCGTGGTCGTAAAAAAGAGAAGAACGCCAAAGCTAGACATCAACCTCTTCCAACCTTCAAAATTTAAGAAATATCCCAAGCCCTAAAACAGGACCAACTTCATCATCATAGACTGCCCTGCTTTATTGCTCGGATTTGCGTTCTTGTGTAAGCATGTTGGCCACGTTCTCCAATGCATGCGCCTCGGCGATATCGATTCGGCGACCTGCAACAACCGGGTTACCACCGTCCCCAGTAGCAAGCTGTCCAGCACGTTCGAGGTGTAGTCTGATTCGGCTTTCGATGTATTCTTTCCGTTCGTCCCGTTTAGACTTGACCTCTGCCTCGTTGATCGAGTTGGGCAACGACGACAACTTGGGCCGTAGCTGTTCAAGCGTCGCTTGCAGCGCAGGGAGCTGTGAGAGAATAAATGTTGTGTTCGTCGTGAGAGGAGCGTGTTTTGTGTTGGTGCCGGTGTCCACGCCAACGCGAAGCTGGCGTGCAGCGGGGCTGGATGTCAAGAAAGACAGATCTAAAGGCTTCCTCGGCGTTGTGGATGCAGCAGTAGGTCCATCAGTACCACTATCCTCGACTGCCGACAATATAGATTTTAACTGAGAAATCACTGCCTCATTTCGGGCACACTCCTCTTTCAACGACCGGTTCAGTTTCCGGGTTTCGAGGAGTTTCTTGCGCTGGGCAAGGATGGTATCGGGGGTAGGCAGATCGGGCGACGAATCGAATGAGAGACCCTGCATTCAATGTATTAGAAACGAGCCCAGTGGTTAGAATAGGAGAGAGCCACGTCATTCAGCACCTACCTCGTAGTGTTTGAGTCGTACCCAGGAAAGCAAATCCTCAGGCACGGTGAGAATGTTTCTCAGAACATAGATTTCAAATTTATCGAAGGCTTTGTCAACATTGGCCTCCAACAAGGTTTCTAGCTGGTGTAATCCATTCTCCAGCTCCAGCTTCGCCTCAGGATAAACCACATTCCCGTCCTCGTCCGTCTCTGGGATGGTGGAGCCATTGCTGGCGTGCGCAAACCCCAAACGCTCGGGGGGCGTTGCCAGCAACCCAGTCTCGAGCGATGAGATTGCTTGGTAGATGAGATTGTTAATTGAGTTGATAATGTCGTCAATTAGCGACTAGAATCAAGACAGGTCAGCACGCTGGTTTCTCAAGGGGTGGGTCCTCGGAACCCGCGCAGATGCGCAGTTGCTCAAGCGCAGCGAGGGACGTCCGATATCCGACCACTAGACCAGGCTATGAAACACTCACCAAAGGGGTGTAGCTGAAGTGCTCGGTGAGCAGGGCAGTTGTGGCATCGTTCATTGCGAAACTGGAGCGCCTTCGTCGGTACAAGGGAGCTTGACACGCGCGTTGGAGAAAGAAAAGACGCGCCGAGCGGGGGACAACAGACCGCCTGGGTTATCTACCGCCGCCTAAGTGTCCCTCAAATCCGCATTCTCTAGTCCTTCACTCCGACAAATCTGCTTGTTGCAGAACCAACTGCCGATTTTCAAGTCCGAGTCAATGTGAAACACAGGGCTTGCTCGTGGTTCCAGCCTTGAATTTTCATATCAGGGTCTTGTCGGCATGGGGGCCTGACTGTCGTACATGGTTGAGGCCTGGACCAAAGCATCCACACTTAACGTCTCATTTGATCCAAACATGGGCTGCTGTTGAATGGCAAAATGTGCTCAGCTGCAACTTGGGCTCGATGAAATTTCAGTTTGAGCCAGAGAGCGGACTCTCGAAGCCTGCAGGTCCCAATTGGCATGTCACAGACCTGATGATGTACATAATACCCTCCCATCCACTACCTAATAATCCAAGTGGCTTCCACCGCTCTGGGTTGACTATATCCCAGTGACTTGGCCTCTCCTGCTTGGCGCTTGTCGAAAATGTAAGTATTGCTCTTATGAATTCCCTCGGGCCTTCTGACCACTGGAATCCATAGTGCAATCATGACACACCCGGGTCCTCTTCGGGTATTGGTGATCGTCTCACAACGAAGCACCTTGTTCACCAAGACCCACATTTCCCCGGAAGACCTTCTGCCTCTAGCCTTGCGGCTTTTGAAGAAGAGCAACATCCGAAGAATGCCAGATGCGATGACGGAAACAAGACTATTGGCGGTTCAAAAATGGCGAAGCCGTACCTTCCTTGTCTTCGATATCGCCAATGCCCATTACGATGCCTCGCTGGGTCATCTCCCTGAGCAGAATCAACTACCAGTAGTGGTTGCACATTTCAGCAAAAAGAAGTCGGCCTATCCGGCTAGCTCATGGGTATCCCAGCGAGTGAATCATGATGTCGCGATGCTGCACAATGCCAATGGCTTTCAAGCGGTCCCGCCTTTCATGGAGGATCATACCACGGGGGAGCCCCCAACATACCATAGTCCCCGGGATATCAATATGTTGCGAGTCAAGTATATCTAAAGTGGTCTTTTAAGGCAATGGTATCATTTGCTTGCGGTGGAATGGTATCTCAATAAGACAAAACAAAAGCAGACCGACAAAGCAAAAGAAATTCCGAATCGAAAAAAAAAATTAAAAAAAAAAAAAAAATAATCCGTAACGCCGCGTTTGCTCCATTGCAAAGATCCAACCCGTAGACCATTAAAAATCCATGGTAAGCTGTGGCGCCATTTTTTCGAGGTCCTCCACCTAAATAATCAAGTATTAGTATATCAAGCCCGGGCCGATGGAGCAAATATCGGGCGCATACCTCCAAAAACCCATCGCCAACATCTCTTCCCCCTCCCACTTCCTCTGTTTCGGCCCGCTCATATGCCGCGCGTGCGATAGCCTCCCTCACAAAGACGTCGACATACTTGGCCACCACGTCATTTGCATCTTTCGCGACCTTGGTCTTCTCGTTCTGGAAATGGTAGTGTAGTAGCCGTGTCAGTAGCTTCGGTGGGATCTTGGGGTCGCTCGCGGCTATATCCTCATTCGCATTATTTGTGATGATTTCAGCAAGGATGTAATCCGGTTCCTGGGAAAGCGAGCGCTCGCGAATGGGATTCGATACATTCGAGCCGGAGTCGGAAGCCGCGTCGGAGGCGGGCGGAGATTCAGCGCGCGACCGTTTGCTTGAGGATGCAGATTTGCGTTGATTCGCGGGCTTAGAGGTCGATGCAACGGAAGAGGATTTGGCAGTGGTCTGTTTGGTCTTGGTTTGGGTTTTGGATGCGCCTGCGGTGGATGGCTCCGTACTGCTCGTGGCCCGGCTTGGGGGCTTGAAGGGTAAACGGCGCTTCTTTTGCGCTGGTTGAGGTTCTCCAGCCATTTGAAAGATTTTCAACCGGGTCTGGAGCCCTGTGCGAGTGGATGAAGGGCTGACGATGGGTCAGGCGCACGCGTAAGCTGTCTCAATGATCAACTGGGTCGACGCGGGCCGCGCAAGTGGAAACGCGGTGTCAGGTGATTTTATCATATTCTTTCTATACTTTTTTGTCCCGCACGTCACTTGTCAAATAGATAGTATAGCAACGCAGACTAGTTTGAATTAAATTTTGAATATTTCGAGCATAGAAACTACAAAACTCTGGCCTTGCAATGCTTCCTAATTTGTTGGACATTTGTGGAGATGCAATGTATGTGTGTATGCCTGGCGGGTGATCGCTAATTACGAAACCAAAGACAGACGGACTGAAGCAAGTCCAGAAAAGTGTTAATTCTCCGAGTCTGTCATATGGGATCTCGGGATTTCTGGTCATCTGATAATCTAGGCTTCTCCCGGTGGGCAAACCACTGTCATGGACAAGCCGACCTCCTCCACAATCCCTCGAGTCTTTTCCCAAGGAACTGCAAACAATCCAGAGTTAAAGCGACAAGAGTATAATTTTCCCGGTGCAGCTCCTTGCAATCCATGCTGGTGCTCGGGATTTTGAAGTTGCATCTTCAGATTTTTTAATGCGGCATGAGTACTGTTTGTAATTAGGTCCGGGGAGTCAACTCGACGGCCAAAGCTGCGAGAGGTGAAGAGACAAATGATCCAGTGTTTCTTTTGGCCATTGCTATAATCTGCGGACTGGGGAGGTATCACCAAGGCTGTTCCTAACGGTAGACGCACTGAGATGCTGCTCTTGTTGCTATCTTGCAAGTTGACGATGTTATGGGTGTCTTTCCCATCCAAGTAGTCCAGGCAGTGGTCACGATAGTACCTGAATGCTGCAGGGTACTGTTTATGAATGAGCTAGGTCAATTCTAGAGCAATTTATGTCCTGTAGAAGCAGTTTGAAAACATGGGGTGCCTACCTTCTGTTTGAATGCTTTCGCGATTCCGGCCCCCCATGCACCTTGGGTATTACATGCATCTTGAGGAAAGGAAACAGAGGACCAGGTCAGAGATCCATTCAGATAACCATAGTGGCGCAACTTCAAGTTACTCACGAATCAAACAAGAACCTTCTGGTGCATCAAATAGGTCACCAATTACCTCGGTGACTTCACCGTTCCCTGATGTCACAGGCATAGCAAGATCATCATTTTGCTTAGCTTTGAGTTTGGGGCTCTCCATCGTACCTTAGATTAGGCTCGAATGATCCATGGAGAAAAAGGTTGAATTTAATGAACCACGAGTCTTGTTCGGGTCCCGAGCATAGTGGAGCAAGTGCGGGGTTTGTGCGCTTGGGCGTGGCGTTTGTGTGGGGAATTAAATTAAGAAAAACCGAGCGAAGAGCATTTACGGTGAGAGACACCCTCAGCTACTTTAATAGTTTTATCGCAGGAAGATACTTGATTCAGACTTGACACAATCAAACTTCAATTTAGGACGCACTATGGAGAAAATTGACCGAGCAAGGCCGACTAACAAGAACTGTGTTGAACAATGACAACATTCAACTGCTTCCTTCCAGTGTTTATTTTTCTCGGATATCTAGTGTCCCATCAGTGATCCGTATGAAATAGCTTGTAGTATGATAGTTCTAGCAATCCGCCTACCGACTACTACAATACCTATCAAATCGGAGGGCTACGCTTAGAATGGCCCACTTTGTTACTATCGAGCCACGAATACCAAAGAATCTCTATTGCATTAGAGCATGTGCACAAAATCCAGTATCTGAAGCAACGAGTTTGTTTTTAGGGCTAGGCTGTCGTCTCGGACAGGTTCACAAGCAATAACAAGAATAACTGAACTTAAAAAACAAAGGATGCACTCTCTCCAACCGAAGACTTCCCGTGAAACATTTACTCTTCCACCATCTCATTGTTTTCATCTTCCTTCGATGCCTTAATATCCAATAATCGACGACGAACAAAGTTTCGGAGCGATCCTCTTTTCTTGAGGCTTCGTCCTCGTTTTTCCTCGTTTCTTGGCAAAGCTCCAACGGTGTTTGTGGGAGACTGGTTTGAATTGGGCTGACTTGACGATGAGGATGTGATCACTGATGATGGTAAAGAAAGGGGGCCACTCGTTCCACTGCTTGACTTCATTCGACGGCTCATAGTCCGGGAGATTGACTTGATGAGACGGGGACTGCTTTGCTCACTTTGATCCAGTCGAGTGATTTCTCCTTGCACAGTCATTCCATTGGTCGCCAAGTTCTCTTCAGGGACAGCAAAGTATAGAATAACACCCTGCTCGGGGATAATGCCGAGCAATTCGTCAAGAGTGGATTGGATCAAATTCGTGTTACGAAGGTTGGTGACTGGTGCAATGCACGACGGAAGAGCAAATATCTTCAATAGGTATGACGGGAGAGATGGATTGCCCAGCATCAAACAAACCTCTGACTGGACCGACACCTGAATAGCAGTCTCAGGACGCTGATAAATCTGAGCGAGACGGAAGCCAAGATCGGACACAAGTTTGACCAGACCATCTTTGGCCTATACTGCGACATTAGCGAAGCCATGGGCTTAGTGATGGGGAACAACAGACCCTGCGGTTGGTGGTGAGCTCGGCAACCACCACAGAATCCTGGACGATGCGTTCCTTCGGAGGATGAGGGGAAGCTCGAAAGGCAAATGCGTCTTCGTAGTACATTGTCTTCTTCTTGGCGACTGGCGAGTCATCCTCTTCAACACTGTTTGGAACTACATAGACCGGCTTGGTGCTTTGGAAGTAGCGCAGCGCCGGTGCAATATTCTCGTTGTCTGTCTGGCCCTCCTGTGGGAAAAGCGATGGCACCACGGCCTTTGACTCTGACTGAGGACGTTGGACCTTGGTCTGGGGCTGTGTTTTGACAGGCAACGGAGGAAGAGAGACTGATGATTGGCGTTCTGTTGGAATATTCGTGGTCAGACGTGGAAGTGATGGCTTTTTGTGCTTGGATAGATCCATCGTGGAGCCAAAATTGAAAGTCAGGAGAGGACTCGAAATTCACTATTTGAACAAGACGGTGGCAGTCAGTATAAAGGGAGATGAGCAATTAGCATGGGACAGTCTGGAGCGGAGCTTTGTAAGAAGGATCAGGAGAAAAAACAAGAAAATTAGAAAGGAGGGGAGATGAAGGAGCAGTTGAGCAAGCAGCCCAGCTCATCTGCAGAAGGTTGGATATCACGGAAGGCACGCCCGGCGCGGGTGGTTGAACAACTGAAGGCACCAAGTCAACATCCAAAGCAAGATGGAAATTCGAAGACAACCATTTATAAAATACAATTCGAACGGGATCATGGTCCATACAGCTTGGCTTTAGTGGCTTCATGTCGATACCAGAGTCTCTATGCTTGGTCTTGCCTCAGTAATATGGGTTCAAAGAGGGTGCTACCCGATATATTATTTTTAAGAAATAGAGATAACAATCAAAATCGAGCCTGACTGAGTATATCTGTCCATGATCCTATGGCCCGAAACTAAAAAGGTCACTTCTGCCAGAACGCATGGGAATAGTTACAATACGCAATATTAATATTGGAATATCTAGATAGTGAACATACTTCAAATTGCGACTAAGTCCAGTCCAGGATATTAAACTCGGCTTGTCATAAAGGCACATGGAGACCACATCCTGGCACTGCCAATTTCTGAGGTATGTACAAGGCTGTGTGCTACACGCAAAGGCAGCAGCTTTCAAATCCTTGACGGCAATCATTTGGTCAACTGATGCATAGTTATGGACGCCGTGAGGTGCAAGATACTTCTTGACACATCCTAGATCTGCCATTGCCGGCTTACAGACACAAAGTCGTCGTGCGTAGAACCAATTGCAAAAAGGGAGAAGCATGGTTGCCCATGCGCCCGAGATCGACGATCGCAGCAACGAGAGTTGCATCTGGAAATCATTGTTACAGTCCCAGGGTGACATGTTAATGGAAATGATGGTACGGGATTCACACGTTGTATAATATGGGCCAACGCTCTTATGAATTGATGTCGTTGGTAATCGTATACCCAGGATATAGAAGTTCTGGGGATCTGAGCCCCAGTCTATCATCGTAAGGTAAAACCCCACGCCCAGGGTACTTCCCTTTATCAGGCTCGATGTTGCTTATATCTGATCCGATGATGGTGGGGTAAATGATTACTAGTATCAGCCCAATGGGTCAATTCGATCTGACGCAGCGTCACACCTGATAAGTCTAGTGAGGGGCGTTCTTCTAAAGTCGGAACAGTTCAATTGTTGTCTCATTACCCGACGGCAATTGAAAGTTAGCTTCTTACTGGCGGTTAACCTACTTCATCCGGAATATATTGCCGAAATTTTTAATAAATATGCTCGCTAGAAATAATACAAAATTTCCGACGTTACAGACTAACAGAATATTTTTAGATCTACTATTTTGGTCCCATTAGTATCATGTCGCAGCGTCCGTCCATCCGTTGGGGTATTTTGAGTATGATCTCCTAATTTGGATTTTGAAGGCAGCCTGCTAACTAATTCGCCAAAGCCACGGGCAAAATCGCGTCCTGGTACGTGGCCGATCTGGTATTGTCTCGCTCAGACGCAAAGGTTTGCCATATTATTCAAGCTATCGGAACCTCGGATATAGACAGGGGTAGATCTTTTGTTCGGCAATTTTGCCCAGAACAGACCCCTACTATATATGGTAGTTATGAGGAAGTCTACCAGGACCCGAATGTCGATCTCGTCTATATTGGGACACCACACGCTTTCCACAAGAAGAATTGCCTAGATGCAATTGCAGCAGGAAAACATGTGCTTTGCGAAAAGCCCTTCACATTGAATGCTCGCGAGGCTAAAGAGGTTTTTGAGGCTGCTAAGCAGAAGGGAGTCTTCATTGCGGAGGCTATGTGGCTGCGTCATCGACCTTTGACTCTCGAGCTTCAGCGAATGATCCATCAAGAAAAGGTGATCGGCCAGATCTTTCGAGCAACCTCAGACTTTGGGTCGGAGCTTGATATACCAAATATGCCATTAGACAAATATTACCGCCAGAACTCACTAGGGGCTGGCTCTTTACTCGACATGGGTATTTATTCCCTGACTTGGCTTATACTCAGCCTTGATTCCGAGCTCGCAGGAGACCGGGAAAGGCCAAAAATCCTAGCGGCGCAAGATCACTGGGAGGATGTTGAAATAAACACCAGCGCCATTCTTCATTATCAATCTACCGGCAGACAGGGTATCATGACTTCTACAACTAGGGCGGCCGGCAATCCTGATCTGCTCGCTCGTATCTATGGCACTGCTGGGTCTGTTGAGGTCCATGGTCCCTGTCCTTCACTTCCCAGAACTTTCACCATATATCCTCCGTTTGTGGGAGACTCTGGTGATAGCATCAGCCGTGCTCAAGGCAAAACATATGACTTCACAGCTCCGGGGCGTGGCTTTCAGTATCAAGCCGACAATATTGCTTTGGATGTACTCAATGGAAATCTGGAGAGCTCTATCATTCCTCAATCTGAGACTGTTTGGGTAATGGAATTCATGGACGAGATTCGACGACAGGGTGGGACACAGTATCCAGTTGATTAGCGCATCTTGGAAGTTCGTTTAGTCAGACCTGAATTAATATCATTGTTTACCCTCTCGCACCATGAGAACAATCTCCTATCTTCGGGTTTCAGCTGCTCAGCCATTGGAATTGTTATTGATTATGCATGGAGCATCCAGCTTTAGAAGAGGTACTTTGATACAACATAAGCCATGATATTTCGGTGTTCAGAAACTACTCTACAGTGAGGTTGTATTTGTTACTTCATACATATATCGCCGTCCTTCTCGCCCAATAATGGCCACGCTGTTTTGATTCCGCATCATCGTCATCATGCCCCCGCACCACAACAAACTCCACGCCATGACAATTCAAATATCTAATCAAGCGAGGAATGCCAATTCGCTAAACGCCGAATTCCCGCTCGAAAAGATTTTGTCTATGCGGCGTCGTCGGTCCCAGACAATCTCTCCGTCAATATGCCGAATGTATAAAACACGATGCTGTGGAATAAATTCTTCATCGGTCGTTTCTTTCTTCCAGGTCCCAAGCCCAACCTCAAGTTGACCTTCAAATCTATCCAAGAACCCGACAATATAGTTGCTGCGCTCAAATTGAGCATCCCAGATAATCCGGTTGATGATGTCTGCCATGGATAGTCATTCACATGCTCTTTTGTTTTTGTCACAGCCATATGCAAGTCTAAGCGCGATATAACATACCTCCAGCTGGCCTCAGCTTGTTTTCTCCCGACTTGGTGGCAGAGTGAGCTCTTAGTGATCCATCAAATTGCCTCCGACGTGGACTCGGGGATCTGGACTGAGGAGTCGCGTCCGGCACCACATCAGCTTGGTCAGGGTCGGATAAATTCGGCTCTTCGATGGAATGGGCAGCCGCCATTATTTTATTCTGTACCCTGGTCTTGATAATAAAGCTGTTCGGGTTTTTTGGATGATTGTTACGATAGGACTAAGGGACGGTATGGCTTCTATATAGACCAGAGCTCATGTTGTAAGGTACCAACTTCAACCCTTCTACTAAGTAACTTGTCTTCTGGATTCAGACCTTGATCCCACTAGCCGCAAGGTAAGAGGGGCTAGTCCCCACAAACCAGACACCTTTGTGTGTGCTCTGCGCACACTGCCACAGCCAGGATTCAAAGTGTGACTCCGATCAAACGGTCGGAATGAGTCAAAAGGGGCGCAGCCTCGTTCATTCTGACTAACCAGTCTACATGAGTCACCAAAGACATGTTGACCAAGCACGTGCAGGAGATTCCCAATCAATAGGTGCTCAAATATAGAATAATAGCGAGATTCCACTGTATGTGAGATGCAGATAGGTATGGTATACCAGTCCACCGGTCGGGCCGTTTGGACCAACTCAGGCCGTGTCTTGAGCGTACACTTATTGGATTCCAACACACAATTCAAAAGCCCCCGTAACTATACTAAAAGTCTACTCCCATTTTTAAATTTCTAGTTAGATAAAATGAAAGTTTTGATGAAATGCGGGGAATAATTATTGGCAATCATTTGCGCGTAGGAATCACAATACACAGCCTCTTCTATAGAGAACTTCAGATTCAGATAAGAAGAAAACTTGTGGTTGAGCTCTTGTTATGGAATAAGGAATAGGCAAGTAAGTGAATTGATTGAGAAACACCATCTAGCGACCTAGGTCTATACCAAGTAAAAAATCCTTGATGTGCAGTGCGATTTCTTCGGGCTTCTCCATGGGAGACCAGTGAGCGGAGTCGATAACCACCTCCTTAAAGTTCGGAACCAGGCCTTGCTTTTTTGCTGGTCCCATACCCTCTTTCAAGCAGACGGCATCTCTTGAGCAGGCGATGAACAGAAGTGGCACCTCAATCGTCAAATGCTCCCTGGGAATAGTCAAGTCTGACTGGAATTGGAGGTTGGACAATGCAGCTTTATACATATTCAAGCTTGGGGCAAAATCACCGTTTTCAAATTGTTGCATGAATTTATCAATCCACTGAGGCTGCTTCGCATATTCTTTCAGAGGCACATCCTCGTTGCCAAGCAAGAAGTTGCGAAAAGCACCAGGGACACAGAAAAGCTTTTGCATCCAATCTTCAACGTCACCGTGCAGGGCTTGCCACATTCTCCCTAGGTTTCTGTTTACAATGTCCGGACAGTCCGGGGATGTAAAGAACTCCCAGTAAGCCAGTTGTTGATAGCCTGATACTTTTTCGGTAAGCTTGTTGGTGGCAGCCAGATCAAACGGCTTGTCTGAGGGAACAAAGTATGCAACATTAAGGAGGACCATGCCTATGAAGAGCTGCCGCTTGTGAAAATAGGTGCGTTGTGCGAGTGCACTTCCCCAGTCATGACCGACAATGACGGTAAATTCAGCGTTTTCCTCATCAATAATGTCGGCTAAGTCATCTGCCTGGCCGTCATATGTATACAATTTTGTATCCTCTGGCTTCTCGGTGCCAGCATAGCCTAAGCAATCAGGGATGATGATTTTGTTAGGCAAGTTTCCAAGAAATGCAATCACTGCAGACCACAAATGAGCCGAGTCGGGAAACCCGTGCAAGAATAGCAAGGTGGGGTACTGCTTGGTGGATTTGCCGGAGTGTGATACATAGTATGTGTACTTCAGTGAACGTCGAGTGACGAGCACTTTCCGGTGGTAATTCTCCATGTGGCGCTTGTTCCTGGTGCAATGAATCGTTTCAATATTATTCAGTCAGAAGCCAAAGAGAAGGAAAAAGAGATAGAGGTAGATTCTTTATAGACAGCTGAACTGTTCGCATTTTTTTAGACTGGTAATACGTATTGGGGGCAGAATCTGAACCAAAAACTAGCGTATTATAATGCCAGAAATCCGAAATACTGTACAATGCCAATTGAGGGTCGTATGCATAAACGCACACCTAGTTGAGCATAAAGTTAATGCAACTCCTGAAGACACGACGAAGTGCTTTAACTACCACTAATTTACATCGGCCGTCTTTGCTCGTTGTTCTTTACATTTAGGAGGCTTTTTATCTGCCAAACAGTGATAGCTCGTCATCATCCTGCCCTCAAGGCCTCTTTAGTCCTGTCCTTTATTAATACAGTTCTTTGAGACAATAATAGCTTTAGTTGATTCACCGTTAAGACAACACCCAGAGCCTTGGAAATTCCATGGTGGAGTGATATCCGAGATCAATTCGAATATCTACCTGAATTTTGACATATAATATCTGCTTATCTAACTCTTTGGGGAATCATTCATTGAGATACACAGGAACATAACGGCATCTCTAGTGCTACATATTGAAGCAGATCATCTAAGCCTTAGGGCGCTCCGGGAGCTCTTGTTCCTTGTTAGCACCGGGGTGGCGGGAACCCTTGTCCTTGACCTTCTTCTGCTTCTTTTGCACAACGGGCGGTGGGTAGGCTTTGAGGGTAATCTCCTGCCATTCAGGAGAAGCTTGGTAGGCCTCATGGATAGGTGCCATCAGGCGGGTGAGGCCATCAGCAACAGCAGGTTTGAGTAGCTGGGGTGTTAACTGGGCAAGTGTTAGTGTGTCAAGCTAGACAAAAGGCAGTCAGAAGGTTGATATTAGACCGTACCACGTCGTTTGTGTAATCATCTTTGAGTTGTTGAATATCGGTATAGATCAATGGGTCGGCATCTCGGCGTTCAACACGGAACTCCTTCTTACCCGTGAGGGCAGCTGCAGGAAGCAGGACAAACTCCACAAGGGCAATCACTCCGTTATTTTCAACAACTCGTGGTGCCGCTTCGGATTTACGAATCTTCTTAGCGACCACCTCTGGCGGGTCAAGGAGATCAATCTTGCTATCTGCTTGAGATTAGCAAAGGAAGTCAGGAAGGAAGAATGGAGATATCCACGCACCTTCAATACTAGAGCTCATTTTGCCTCCACTCAAGCCCGGTACCATTGGTGTAATAAGATGAGCACGCTGAAGTACATTTAGTCAGCAGTGATGAAAAGAATAGAGACCAGAAGCAATCTTACCTTCTCATATCCAAGCTTAGGTAGCCACTCCGTTGCCGCAACCTACATAGGGCAAGTAAGCTTCCTTTTCCTTCCCAAGCGCCTATGATTATATTTGTGCTTACAAACAACTTCCTCTGGTCAAGTCCACCTAGCTCCGCGTCGACTTTCAGGTACTCTTCATCAAGAACCTGCAGAATGGGGTAGAGGAGGCCACTGAGGGGGGCGTTGTTAGATTGCTTGACAATCTCTGCGCCAGCCTTTTTGGCATCATGCTCGGATGTCAAGGCTGCAAGACGGTAGACGTCCATGACATAATCCGAGTTTCGCTGGTAGGAGCTTCCGAGGACAAACTCCAGCTTCTCAGTTGACACACCGACCGCCTGCAGAATCGCAGTAATGGTCTTTTGGTAGTATTTCACCCGGTTCTCCACTAGTTCAAGGGGCGCCTTCATAGAATCCAGGAAAGCATGCACGTCCGCAAGCAGAATAACAACCTCACAACCTGCGGCGAGCAACTGGGCAATCTTGACTGCCGGAGTAAAATATCCACTATGGGGCTATGGGACGCTATTGATTAGCCATATGAATTGATATGCCGATTGAGGCGCGAAGGGCGGTCGTTCATTACCTTACCGGTGGTTGCGGTTCCTGGGAGACAAAGAAAAATACCATGTTAGTCACAAGAGTCAACAGATCGAAGTGATGTGGAGAGGAGTCATTTCTTACCCCAATAGACGCGCACAGGACGCTTGTTCTCTGTGAGGATGCTCTCGATGATCTCGGGGTTGAGAATCTCAGCAAGATTCTCACGAATGAGATCCATGCTTGAATTTGAAGGTGATGCCATTGTCAGAGCGATTGAAGAAAATGCTGCGCTGAAGAGGCGAGGGAGAGGGGGGACGATGACAGAAAAAAATAGTGAAGGTGGGACAAGATCCAACCCCGCGATAGAATCGGCAGAACCGGCAATATATAGGCGGTGGGAAACGCGGACTCGGTGAATATGACTCACAGCACACAAGTCTCCTCAATCAAGGATTGAAAAAAAAAACTCCGATGGGGGTAATCGAAACCCCGGCTGCCGTGTGAGAGACGGCGATGTTAGCCACTACACCACATCGGATTACTTAATGAAAAAAATTTCAAAATTTTACATCATTAACCTAAATAACTTACTGCTCCTATGAAGCCCAATATTTACCTGCGCACAGGAGATGTTGGTAGCCAATTTTACTACTACGCTCCTCTCCTAGCGTGAGAAATAGCTGATTCGGGTCACTGGATTTCTTTATGTTATCAACTATTCCACTATTCTGAAAGTTCTACACACAGTACTTATTAGGTAGAGACAATAGTCCCGATCTCCATAGAGTCCTGGATAGCTGGTTGAAATGTATCTGGTACCTGGTCGCAAGTTCGACAACTGTCATCCCATCCCACAGGAGAACACAGTCTCCCCACCTCGAATAATAATATGTATAAACGGATATTTCAAGCTACGTGATGAAAATTTCGTGCTAATTCAATGTCAATGATCGCGTAAATAAGTTTTTTTATCGTTTCCTCGGCTTTAGAGGACTCGTATCAAATGTCCACGGGAGTAGATACGCAAGTGGATCACCAGAGTGATGATTGCACATATTGCCAGAAAAGATAATTATAGTCAATCCAATTTTTTTAGCGGAAACTTTGGCCAACAAAGTATATGCTACTCCACATTGGTGGGTCGAAGAAAGGTATCATACTCGCGGCAAGGACTCTCTTGGTGGTCACTGGCAAGAACTCACACTAGGGGCACCATGTGAATCGCGGGTACGAGGCGCAATCTTATATATCTAGCTATTATGCAAACTCTATGATTGCTGCATTAGAGAGATATGAAAGGCTTGGCGGCCGTTGAATTGGCGCGGGGCGGGACTGTCACAAAATATATAGTAGGGTACAACTCATGGACATACCAATAGCCCGACAATTTAGTTCCACTACCACCATTCACAAATTTCCAGCAGTCAAATCAAAAATGACATGAAGTCACTCGCTGAGAACTACATTTCTGGCACAGAATGGAGATGAAAACCAGCCCAAAGACATTCTTTCCTCCCTGCAACGTTTGCGTTATTCGATGGAGAGGCCTGATGATACTAATCAACGCTTCATATTCTTCGGTTATTACGCAATTCGGGTTTTTAAATATTTCACTTCTCATTCTTATAATACACATCTACGTTATTTGATCTCACATTGTATGGTATAACATGCAAGTGGCAGCTCTACGTGTTGGATTTCACTACAAGCTTTCCAACTAATTGACGAAGAGCGAGAAGCCTCTGGATGCTCTCGAGCTGAAAGAGAGAATTGAATCCCACCCTCGTAGTTGAGTTAGAATAGAATACCTTTGTATTGCTGGCCCGACGAGCTAAAAACATTGGCAAGGCCGTGTTCCTCGTTATCTGGCCTGCTTTGGTGCCATCAAAGAGGCTACCTTGGACACCTTTACCTACACTAACACAAACAAGAATTTTGTCGAATTCGGACCGATTATTCCCTTATGGCAGATCCTCGTGCATTATACCAAGTACTGGTAAACACTGGCCTCGATCGAAGGTGGCACGTGAGTGTCCGATGCACCCGGCTTAACCTAACTTTTAAAATGGTGATAATATTCGAGTCAAACATGCATTATCTTGTAGATAAAGATATGTAAATGATAACTGTTCGTGATGAGATGCATGCTTTCTATAAATCTAATGCAAATGTACTATTTTAAATACAATATTTATCCGCTTACAAGATTATCAGGCGTCAGAGTTTCCGAAGCGCCATTCTCGAAACCATTAACAGGCGTATCGGACCCTTTGGCACCCGAAGTGTCGATATTCTTCAATATCGTTTCCTCTTGCTTCTCTTTATTCTGTTTGGAGATGCTTTTCTGACCTTTGGCAGTCAGTGCGCCATTTTCTAGCGCCTCCTCGGGCAAGGGGCGGACATGTGGTTGGCAAATCCACCAGGGCCGTCCATACTCGGCAATTGTAGCCTTAGATCCGGTCAAAGTTGCATCAGGTTGCTTCTCAAACTTTTCCGGAGAGGTTTCGTATTCCTTGAGACCAGATTTTACAGCTCGCTCAACCAAGGTCAAAACATGCTCAAAGGCTGGCATATCACCCGGACGCGACCGTGCAAGCGCATCGCGAACGTCTGTGTGGCTGGAAATCATCGGCCGAAGAACTTGGAAGAGATGTCCTTGCATTGCACCAAGGCTAGGCGACAGTGACCGCTTGACTCTCTCCCGCTTCTGCTTCTTCTTAGGTGGACCATCTTCGCTGCCATCCTCCTGTTCGGCAGTCTCGGTCTCCTCAGCCTCGCTCACGGAATCGGAAGGCAAGAAGAGTGGCCTCCTTTCTGGAACTGGCTGTTCAAGAACATGTTTATAGATAATATCGAGATACCGCCGGAGAATTGCATCGATTCGGTAGCCACCTTTCCCATCTCGCCCACGCCAGAACTCGCGTCCTTCACTTCCCGGAGGAGGCGGCTTGCTGAATATTGTTGGGTCAGAGAGATTTCCTTCTGCACTCATCACTCCATCAGCACCAGTTGCTTCGAGACAACGTTCAATATCGTCATAATTGAGAATATTGCCATTGGCAAAAATAACAGTCTCTGGCGGCAGGTTGTCTCGTAGGTAGCGAATGTAACTCCAGTCCGCCAAGCCCGTTTCATGGCCTTTCTGTTCACGTCTGCGGCCGTGCACCGTAATAATGTTTGCGCCAGCAGAGAGAATCATCTTCGCATATTCTAACGTCTTCTCTTTGCTCTCTTGAATGCGAAATTTTGCTGTAATCGGCACGGAGAGTTCAGTGTGAAGACGGTTGATGAGTTTGTAGATCAAGTCCCAATCCTCCTGCAAAAATGCACCATAGTTTCCTCTCTTTGCGATCCCTTGCGGACAGCCCAAGTTCAAATCAACAGCATCGCAGTACGGTGCAACATGACGTGCGGCCTCCAAGAATTCAGTGGGATCATTTGCGCAGAATTGGACGAAGAGTGGTCGATCAATCTTTGGGTTTCCGTCAAGGAAGAGCTCATCCTTTCGCTTAATATCACCATTCGTATCACCATTCGACTCGCGCGTTGGTTGAAAATACTGCATACGGTTACGTGGGTGCTCGCCAAAGATACGGGCGTGAAACATGGGGGAATAAGCCAGAAGTGACCTCGGTTCATCCGTGGGCATGAAGGATCGAGTAAGCATGCGCCATGCCTAATGACATTGAATTAGTCTGAAAGGGCGTTCATAATGGCTCTCAGTGTATCAAAATGCTTACAAACTCCGATCGATCGACCATAGGGGCCACAATGTACTTCGGGCTTCCTATGCTCTCGTAAAACTGCCGTCCCTGTAGTTTCTTGGGAGGTGTGGGCGCAGAGGGTGGCTCAGCATCTTGCTGCGGCACATTTTCGGAAGCCATCTTAAGACGAGACAAAGAAATTGAATGAAAAAGGCGCCCGAAAGACGGGACTGATCGCTTCACAAGACCTATCTTGACTTTGGGAGCAAAAGATCTTGACTTGTCCGAGGGGAAAAACCGGGGAAGCCGCGACTTTTTTTGCCTCACTCCTTATCGCATCACGGGCCGATTATTATCCGGCATATCTTATAGATCGTACTGGCATCGCAAGTTTGTTTTGATGGCCTTCTTGATGCCAGTTCTCGAGGCTTTAAAGATGACGCTGATGTTAGGAGATTGGAAGCTTGGAAGTCTTAAGCTAACAAGAAGCTACACATAGACTTGATCCTATGATCAATTGATGGTTTCAAAAATCTATTAATCACATTCGTAGAACGATTGGTGCCTGACTGGTAAGGCCACATATAGAAACACGCCGAAACTGCCCAATGATCGCGTCCCGTTGTGACAACAATCCTACATGCGGCACAAGAACACTGTGACGGCGACAAAAGCGCTTCAACATGACAATATTCTGAAATAATTGTCAAAGTTTCCGAGGTGTTTCAAGTGCCGGGTACATCATTCCTCCACACGAGCCTCTGAAGCACACGTTGGCGATGGATGCCTCCACGAGCAGTGGAAGTAAGTTTCCTGGAATTCATTTCGCTTCAGACATTTCTAACATGAAATCAAGGCCCTTTGGCTCTCTCCATTTCAGATGATGGGATTTATACCGCTCATGTGAATGGAAAAGACCTTGTCGTTTGTTCCGAGCCAGAGTCCGAGAACAAGGAAGTGCAAGTTGCAAGAATCCGAGAGAACGGAGTAAAGGCTCTTAAATTTTTCCGTGCTCAAACTCCAGCTAGAGTCGCCAACGGGGTCGGCGAACAGCGTCTGTTCACCACCAATGATTCTCGCATCTCAATCTGGCAGCTACAACCCTTGCAGCTGCTTGCTGAGATTGAAAACGTGGAGCCGGGGTCACTGAATATCGAGTTCGGCGGCGATGAAAGTGAAATACTTGTATTCCATGCATGGAACACAAAATTGACCATCCACTCGGTGGACTCGGGCCGAACATCAGTGATCAAGAGTCCCAAATTCACCCATAGTCTCGGATTTGGATATCGTCCGTGGACTAAACAACTTGCCATTTTACTCAAACCTGAAATTTCTGATCTCCTTACCATCCATGAACCCGAGACTTATGAGCTCATAAGCAGAGTGACCCTACCAACTATCGATGCCCAGGGTCTGAAATGGAGCCCGGATGGAAAATGGATTGCTATATGGGACGTCGCCAGCGCAGGCACTAAAGTGCTCATCTTTACAGCCGATGGGCAGCTTTTCCGAACTTACACTAGTTCAACCGGGTCAGATGATGCTTTCGATCTTGGAGTGAAGCAAATTGAATGGGGCCCTGTCACAGAAGGCAGCGGAGTTTCCGAGGTTCTCGCAGTTGGTAAGGTGAACGGTAACATTGATTTACTACGAACCCGCACAGTATGGTTTTCCCTCCATCCATCCTAAAGTGTGTATAATATCATATAATTGACGACAGCAGTTCTCATCTTCTACGATCCTTTCCCATGTTTTTTACACCGAGCAGTATTCTCCCAGTATTTGGCGCGAGAGATTCACCAGTGCTCTTGGTGATGGGGAATATGTCGAGGCGTCCGCTTCATCGGCATTCAACATGAGCCCCGAGTCTGCAGGACCATCGCGTGGCATATCAATCATGACTTTCAGCCCTGATGGGGCTCTCCTAGCCACCGTGGATTCTATGCGATCTAATGTTGTCTGGATCTGGGCTTTAGACGACACCACTAGATTGACTTCTATACTGGTTCACGAGCAACCAGTTCGACAACTTGTCTGGCATTCGACAATCTCACAGCTACTCATAAATACGGTTATGAACAATCTGCCTTCTATACGATGGTGGTCACCCAAGAACCATCCTGTGATTGCTCGAATTTCTACCCAGAGGAACGAAAGTGGAAAATATGAAGTGAGGTGGCTGGCCGAGTCTGATCATGATTCCGTATTCTGGTTTACATCATCTGAGGAAGCAGTCCTGGGGTATTTGGAATTTGAAAGAAATCCAGTCCAGTTCAAAATTCTGAATTTGGTGACCAGTCAAGGCTACGGTGCCCACGGTGGAAGCTTGATGAATTGACCTTCTCAAAATGGATACAAGAAGACTAATTATTGGCAATATTGAGAGCTCCGAAAATGTGACGACAATTAACGAATGATTGACAACAGATTGTGTTCATTAATAAATCCACCAGGGTATACTGTACTTGTCCCTGGTTTATCACGTAAGGTTATACGTGTCCACGTGACCTAGAACTGTCCAAGCTTGTGTACATTGAATGAGACCATACCACGTGATCAGATATAACCGAGGCCATAAACGGCATCTGGGGCTTAGGGCTTGAGGCCGCTTAGTCATGCCCCACGGCCTCAATTTCGTATCTCGACTGGTCCTGATCTCTCTTGACTGTCTTCTCTGTAAACCATCCACACCAATCGACAAAATGGTAAGCGCGCCTCTTTCATCGATTTTGCCGATAGCAAGCAGATATACTAATATGTATTCATGACAGGCTGTTAAGAAGAAGTGGTCCAAGGGCAAGGGTACGCTATCACCATCCTCTCCTCCATCCTTCCGACCGTGATAACGACTTTCATCTTTCGCGCCGAGACCACTCGCAAGAAAGACACGAAATCGGAGTTTTTGGATCCTTCCAACCAAAATGTCAAGAATAAATGCGCGCACGATTCACGAACTAACTTGATGCTTTTTTTCGTCTACAGTCAAGGACAAGGCCCAGCACGCCGTCGTTTTCGAGAAGGCCGTCTTCGAGAAGCTCCAGAAGGATGTCCAGACCTATCGCCTGATCACCGTCGCCACCCTTGTCGATCGTCTCAAGATCAACGGCAGCCTTGCCCGCAAGGCTCTCAACGACCTTGAGGCCGAGGGTCAGATCAAGAAGGTCGTCAGCCACTCCAAGCTGAACATCTACAGTACGTTTCCCATTCCGCAGTCAACTCATCCTCATCTATCGTTTCCTCTCGCCACCATCAATACTAATCGAGTTCTTTTATTTTTAGCCCGTGCCGTCGCCGCTGAGTAAACGTCTTGCTCGTTTTCTCTTCGTCATTTCTCGCGGTATTCTTTTTCCTCTTCAACGAATCATCTCTTTTCAATTGGAGAATCGGCTGGACGTTATGAACTGTCTCGGCAGTGTGGAACAATTATCTACTCCTGGGCTCGTCTCAGGTAGTCTCAAATAAAAAAGTTACAAAACTTCTACTTGCTTCCTTGGAGTCGTGAAACTTCTCTTCGTTATGGTTCTTTCTATTCTTCTCCATAACTGCTATAGGAAAAGGACATGATATAAACGATGCATGTCCGATAGTTTCATGCAAGATAGAACTAGATGCCTGTAGTTCTATGCCAGCTCGTCCATTTCACTCCTTTTGGGGCGCTGCTGCTTGGCCCCATTACACAGCGCCCTTGTTCCAGCAAGAGGATCAAGGACACCGTCATCCAAAACCCGCCCAACCTGGAAATACTTCTTGTGGTTCCGGAAGAACCCTTCCCACCTGTTGACAGCTTTCTCGATCTGCGTTCGCGCCAATCTCAATTCCCGCTCGCGCCGTATCTTCCTCTCAGCGTTCGTAAGACCCTCATTCTCGACGTCCTCCACAGGCATGAACATTTCCTCCACGCCAATTAGGTCCGGCGTAAGATCTTCCTTGAAACAGCCTGTCACGAAGGCGCGGGTTGCATCACGTCCCGTGAAGAAATTGTAGCTCCCACCCGGACCGTAGATCATTGGGTTTGCGGACACGTCGAAGATAGAGCCGTTCACTGCGAGATAGATGGGAAGAGAAGGGTCGGCTCCGTTGTAGAGGGAGAGTTCGGTTGGAGTCAGGTTCACAGGTCCGTTCTAGAAGCGATCGTGATAGTCAGTAGCTCGTTTCTTTTCCCGGTCGAGGAGGGCATACCAGGTATTGCTTGACAACTGGCCACCGCGTGAACCAAGGCCTGTAGCCCCATAGTACAGACTCAGAATTAGTCATGTAATAAGAGACGCCGCATGAGACGATGACAAGCGAGACTAGAATGCGGACCAGATCGAGCACGCTGACGCCATGTTCATTTTCGGCCTCGGGGCCATTCTGTGGGATTCGCCGCGGTGCTGAGCTTGCGCTCTGATGCGATTCTGAGGGTTTTGTAGACTGTCGCTGTCGGAGTTCTGACATATTTATGATTTGAGATGAGTTGCTGGAGAGGGTGGCGGGTTGGCGGCCGTGGGAGGACCGAGGTCTCCTTTGGTGGGAATTGGAGCACGGTAATCTGGGGAAGGGCCGCTCCGCTAAGAAACTGGCATCAAACTACATCATATCACACAACATACTATATTGTGAAATTTGAGTACAGAATAGTGGTCAAAATGATATGCTTTAATAATACCGGCTTAGCTGATCATATCGCTACTAATAAATGTTTTCTTTTGGATGCCGTCATTTTCTCCTCGAATTTTCACTGATTGTATGCTCATCTCTCAACCAGTCGCCTCCTCTTCCTCGCGCTCCCAGCTCCGAGAGAACACGTCGTTCAACGCCTCCTGGAAGGTGCGGCAGTTCATGTCGATGAGGCCGCGCTTCTCGCGGGCCTCGGGGTTCCGAATGACGGAAACAAGGCAGAGGTATCTGGAAGCTCATGTTAGCAGACAGAAAACAAACAAGGAAGCAGGCCATGGGCATACTTATTCATCTCCATAAGATGAATCATGGTCTCATCGTGCAGTACGACGGAGCTCTCTGCCTCCTGCATCTGATCGCCCTTTGCCTTACGATCAGGGTGATCCCATGAGTACAACTCGGAGACGTCGACGATTACATCGATGTAGTCTGAACACATCTCGTAGCAGGCCATATCGACCGGACGAGTGTCAGAAGCAATGTAGATCTTACTCAGTACATCGAAGAGGTACGTCTTTTCGAAGCCACAGTTGTTTGCCAGAGTGTTGATCAGATTTTCGAGGGTGGAGAGGTTAGGGATGAGCTTTTGAATGACCTTGCTGAAGGCCTCAAAAACGGAGTAGTCGTAGATGGAGGTGAGGTAGTAGTGCACTGGTGCATTCTCATACCCAGCGTCGCTGAGCTCGTCCGAGATGCGCTGCACGATGTCCTGGAATGTATCGGTGCGGTACTCGTCCGAGAGCCCGTCGACTTTGTGAATGAAGACTTCAATGTTTATACCAGGATAGTATTGCTGGACAGTGAGAATGGTGCGATTCAGACGGGCGACAGAGTCTAGGTAATCATCTTGGGCATCTATAACCCACACTAGGGCGCCCAGGCTACCAAATATGTCTTCAAGGTCAAAGGATGGCTCAAGGAATTCGAGCTGACCAGGGAAATCCCAGACCTGGAAGTCCATGAAAGAGCTAAAATAATTAATCAGTTAGATCGGGATATTATTGAGGGATTCCAGCACTTACTGTATAGAATCCTTTTGAATGCGGGTAGTGGATTCGAGGAAGAGGGTTTCATTGGGGGGCATCTTGTGGAAGACAACGCTGGCGATGGAAGACTTGCCAGATCTGGAACCGAATCAATTAGTCTAATATATCTGTAGTAGAAGACTTCGCATGAAACCTACCGGCGTAGTCCCATTAGTAGAAGACGTGGTTTTGCATCACGCGGCTTTACGCTGGGCTCCAAGGCACCTCTGGCCTGGGCCGAGACTCCGACGGTATTGGTTCCCTGTAACACATTTTCAAGGCTTAGCTGGGCACTGGTTTTCTGAAAGGATTTGCTTCGCTGGACAAGGCAGGGGTTTCGAAGACGCCGACGCCGAGTCAGATCCATGGATTTCGTCCGGCGGATGTGCGGAAATGACATGTTTGACAGGGGTATACAGGGACAGGAAGGTGCAGGACATGGGTTGGGAGAGGATAAGGCCAAGGATACCACGAGGTGGTGAACAGATATCACATGTCGACACCGGGAGAGAGTGACGACTAAGCGAACAGACAACAGTGGGAATTTCAAGAGTCATCTTGACGACTAATCAACATGAAAGTGTTGAAGAAAACTGGGGTGGACAAACGAAATCCTCTGGACAACCTCACATGGACAAGACACCAGGCCATCCGGGAACCACAACATGCAGATTGCATCTCTGGAGAGATAAGCCTCACTTATCTCCCAGCAAGATTTATGTATCTGCATAGAAGTAATCCATGGACTTCCAATCTCGCCGAAACCCCCCAAAGGGTTCGGGATGGAGCATCTCTTGTCTCACCACGGGGGCACATAAGACGCGGTAACAGTGCAGTGCACAACCAATGGGCAGCTCAGCCACACCACAGCGACAGAAAAAAACACGGACAAAAAGAAAACGAAGACCAAAGAGAAAGAAAGTGCTCCTTACCTCCATCAATGTGCAAGCTGTCGCCGACAGCAAGTGAACAGGCCCTGAAAGGGAGTCAGCCATTGCGCACCAAGAAGTTTGGGGAGTCAAAATACAGATATTAAGAGGCAAACACAGGTACCAGGAAGATGTGCAAGAGAAAAGAACCAGCCGAGATCAGTGGTATGCGAACATCCGCGGATACCTGGACTGGGGCTAGGATGGAGTGTGTACAGGGATTCGGACGGCTGCAGTCAGGCCTGAGGCATCTTCTCAGGCTCTCTGCGGGGTTGGTGGGATCGGCAGATGCCAAGGGCAGCGCTTATCGTCGTTGCACAGCACAAAGAGCACTGATTCACCTGAAGTTCTTGGGACTAGGAAAATTTGTTGAGCTTGTTGTACAGCAGCGATGGTGCAAGTGGGAAAGAGGAGGAGGAGGAGCAAGTCGGCGCTTGGAGATGCGCACACCTATCGGTATCGCCTTATCGTGCTATCGATAAGCGAGTGTTTACAAGACGGGCACAATCGATTTCTGGGACACGCAAGATACAGAGTATTGAAAAATCAGAATGCTTTTGCCTTTGCTGCTTCGTATAGGACTAACACTGGTCTAGAAATCATCTAATGATGGTTATGCTTATGACCTTTCCCATGGCCATGCTGATGGCCCAGATACTCGCTAATCCGGTGTTTTCCAAGCTCCTCCTCGTCCTCAATCTCAAAGGCTGGCCAATCCTCCCAGCCATCTTCCCATATGCTGGCCAGCTTCTTGGTTTTAGCTTCTCGGCTCAGCTTTTTGTTTTTCATGACTTTCTCCCATTGTTTCATATCTTTGTCATCCAGAAGGCACTCATCCAGCAAGGCTGAGATGGCATCTTGGTCAACTCCCCCCCCAATGAAGACGAGCTCCTGTCGCCGGTCTCCCCAGGGGCCCTGGAAATCGTCTTGGATGGATTTGATAACATCTTCATCTTCGGGCCAGGCCTCGTCGGGAACTTCGGCAAACCAAGGGCCCCCGCACCCCATTGTTAACATTCCGCCTGCCTGGCTCCACTCACCAAACTGGAATGGCCGAGTGGGGAGCCAAAAAAAGCCTTTGGAGCGGAGTACGGGACCAAATGCTGGGTGTGCACGCTTGTTGGCAAGAATCTCTTTGGGATCCTGCTGATCAAAGTCTTGGATCGAGTCGGCGTCGGTCTCCATTTCATCTTCGGATCCATCATCGTTTTCGTCTTCCATATCCTCGTCCTCTTCATCATCTGCGGTTTCATTATTTTGAAGGACAATGAATTTGTCATGTAGGAGGGAGAAAAGACGTCGAGGATGGAAAGGTCGCCGAGCGGAATATACAAAGTTATTGATTCCGTATCTATATCGATGTCAGTGTTATGAGACGGTATAAATCATGGGAAAAGTGTAAAGCCAAGAGAGAAGACATACTCTAGAGTCTCTGGCTTCGGAGCCATGCGATCCCCATTGCCTGTCTTTTGCATTGTCATTTCGTGCAGACTGCGAAGCCAACCAGCGCCAGATGCAGCACGAACGAAATCAAATTTGCCAGTGGCGACAATCTCTCGAACATCTACTTGAGAATAACTGGACATGAGAACCTTGGCGTCGGGATTGAGCAATTTTATTAGCTGCTGGATCTTGTCGCGCGTTGCTTGATCAATAGTCTCGATTTTATTGATGATTAACACATCGGCAAACTCGATTTGGTCCACCATGAGGTCGGAAATGGTTCGTTCATCCTCAGGTACGATTTCATCACGTCCGTACCGATCAGACAGGAACTCGGTGGTGTCAAAATTGGAGAGTAAGTTGAAGGCATCTATGACGGTCACCGTGGTATCGAGACGAGCCATGGTATGTAATCCACCCAACTCAACGATTTCCTTTAAGATCTTCTTTGCATCTTCATCGGTGTCCGCAATCTGATCTTCAGCTTCCAACATCGCAGAACTGAACTCCGCAGTGAAGGTCTCTGCGACTTGCATCGGCTCACTGATGCCTGTGCTCTCAATGATTACGTATTGTATTTCGTTCTGCTTTGTGAGACGTGCCAGTTCAGACAGAAGATCGCCCCGAAGAGTGCAGCAGATACAGCCATTTTGCAGCTGAATGAGTTTCTCTGTGGTTTGAGAGACCTTGTGGTTCTTGATCAGAGCAGCATCGATATTGAGTCTGGCAATTTTTATATGAGTAAAAGTGTACAATCATTGGATTTGAAATACAATATACTCACTGGCTCATGTCATTGACAATGACTGCGATTCTGAGACCATGGTCCGGCGACTTGAGAATATGTTTCAGAAGCGTTGTCTTTCCACTTCCCTGTATGAAAGTATTAACTAGACCATCACCGGGTATAAGCCAGCGAGCACAAAAGATGAGGCTTACCAGAAACCCTGAAAGCAGGGTTACAGGCAATTGGCGAGCCTTGGAGGTTTCCTGCATTGGCGCCTGGACATGGTACGCCACAGACTCACGCCCCGAATCAATGACCATGGTGGCTTTTTTTGAGTGTTGGTTATATTATACAGAAAAGAGCAATTGTTGGGAAAAAGAGAAGATCAGGACTTTTTGACCCCTAAGCACCTTGCGGGAAACGGCTTTTATCCCCTCCAGCCCATCGTCTCCAAGTTCCTCACTGTCGCGCGTCTGTAGTAGCATTATCGAGGCGATACGCAATTCCATACAAGATCTTTAAGATTATTAGAGACAAAGTGGAGTCAAATGCTCTCCAATAGAAGAGAGCTTACTCCATGATGCTGATAAATGGAGCGTTCTGTGTGGTTGGCAATGCTGGTCCCCAAGGTACCTGTCCGGCCTCGCTGGCTGCCACGGTCCTCATTTGACGTCTAGTGTCGGTAATTCAGGTTTGCAGCAAATTTAATTGGTCTAGGTGTGTATAATCCGTTCCATTGTCAAGTTGAGAGAATTGAGAAAAATGAATTGAGGGATGTCCGGTTCCGACAGAAAGACCTAACATCGTCCATTCTGCCATCCCTTTCTCAGATCGTCTTTCTGAAAGTACCGAGGGAGACCGATTTCTTCTGCGAATTGCTCATGATCTCACAATCGCGATATAACTGTCTGATTTTCTCTCGGGTCTCCTCCAGACGAGACAAATGTCTATCAGTAACACCTTCAATACCTCGAGAGCCAGGTTCAGAGCTCTCATGAGGGCGTGATTCGAGAGCTTGAGCATGAAGTTGCCCTGTTATCTCAGCATCTCCCTCTTAGATCCCACGACTTTCTCTCTCTTACTATCTACCGTTTCCGTTAATAATTTGACTTTCTTTAATCTAGCTTTACTCACCAATCACTTTACATCCCTACTTTCATATATTTAATACTCAAATCTAGACCGTTGGAAGGGACTACTGACTCTCTATTCCCCTTCACATCACTCACTACTGTCCGTTCGAAGAGGATCAACATCATGGTCCCAATACAAGAAAAAGAAGCTGGAAGAGGAAGCCTCACCAGAACAACACGATCTCCGAAAAAAAGAAGGGAAAAATGCCGGCACGCCCTCGTCGCCAGAGACCTTTACTGAAAAAGCACCCAGATAGAAATAAAAACCCAGACAGCACTCCGACTCCATCATCGACACTCCTGAATATGCTGCCTAATTCCCCTGAGATTCGCCTTGGAACCAGGCTTCTGCTTCACCTCCTCCTTGAGCAAGGAATTCATAATCGATTAAATCCGCTTTATCGGGTAGTTCAGCTTGTATGTGGAAAAGTTGAGCTGACAGTAATGATGGACCAATCGCAATTTTCCATTCTGCTTTCTCACAAACTTGGTCTTTGATGACCAGGGAGACTGGCACCGAGCGATGATTCGTGCCGCCTCCAATCCCGGGATATTCAAGCTCATCCAATCCAAGTCCTCCTGGGTATACTGTACCAGGGTTAAGACTTTCGGCATAGTTTTCGGGCATGTCGGGACTTGATGCACCACAAGATTTTTGTAGGCATATCTCGAACACTTTCCACGCTCTTACTCTCAATCACTTCTTCCCATATCCCCTCTATCTTATGCTTATCATTACGAAACGCGATTTTCCTGCAGCCTTCATCGTCCTGTTCGCCTGACTCAAATCCATTTAGGTAGATGCACTATAAAACTCCGTTACACTTGTTTAATGGCCTCCACCTCCACCTCAATTCTCATCGCGGGGAATGCTAGTTGAGGCACGGCGATGGCAGTCCAAATAGGTCGATGACCCGGGATGCGCTCCTTGAGCTTTTCAACGGTGCGATTATATGAAGAATCGATGTCGACATGGTAACTTCGGATCGAATAAACATCTTCCCACCCACGAAGTCCCGCAGCTTGGAGCACTCTGTCCACATTTTCAAAGGCGAGATCCACTTGCCCCGGAATATTGTTGGCATCCAGAACACCCGCGTTGTCCCAACCCCCTTGCCCCGAACACTTGACGATATTTCCCAAGATGACTGCTTGGGAGTAATGGCAGAGGTCGCTATGTTTTTGGCCGACGCCTTCTTCATTGATATATGTCAGAGAAGACATCGTCTTTGGTGGTAGGTAGGGATTTTGTGATAAGTATGAAAAACAGAAGGGCCGGGGCTGAGGTTGATAGTTGGCTTCAAGTGAATAATTATCGTCAGAATATCGGCTTGGGTTTATGGTACTAGTCCCATTAAATAACAATTTTGAGACCTCTGCTGGAGGTGGTTCTCCAACATCTTTTTTGGTTCTTGGAGAGGTAATGACGAATGTCCATTTTTTTTTTTACAAGAAACATACTAAGGTTAACTTACTTGAGGTTGCAATTGGTATTAATAATCATCTCCACTGGAGACGTTCTCGGTTCTCCGTCAATTCTCTCCAATTTCCAAGTTAAAAAAACCGTATTAATAATCACCTCCATGGAAGACCTCCACCGGAGGCGTCTCGCTTGACACCCCGTCTCCATCAATCTTCTCCAACCTCTATATTGCCATCAACAGTTTCTGGAAAGTGCAGATGGAGACGTACCCAACAGCCGAAGTTTCTGAGTCTTCGCCAATCAGCAAAAGAAAGCCCAGAACTTGCCAATATTGCCAACGTCACTTCCGGCGCTATGAGCACTTGCAGCGGCATATTCGAATCCGTATATCCTGCCTGAAAATATTTTGTCGACCTCCAAGACTAATGATATCTAGATACAAATGAAAAACCATATAAATGCTCCTGTGGGGCTTCTTTCGGGCGCCGGGATCTTCTAAAGCGTCACCAGAGTATCGGTCATGCGCCAGCCACCACCACGCAGCAAACGTTGCCGGTCACGGGCTTTGATAACAGGTCTGTGCAGATACAGAGTAATTCTCTCCACGGGGGCTCAAATGAGTCTCTTTGGGGAACTCCCGACTTGCAAAATGCTTCTTGCGGGCTAGTTGATCGACAAAGGCGATCGGTTGGCTACCAACCCCAAGGTACGGCAACTGCAGAAATGCGTCCGAATGCAATACTATGAACGGCCTAGTGTCAGAAATGTTCACCATTCTATTTTAACTCCTGGCCGCTTTGGGGGAATTACTAACGCAATGCAGGCGACCTGTTGTTCAGTGCTCAGGATCTCTTAGTATTGCAAGACTTGGAGCTATTTAGTCAGAATATGGGACTGAATAATGAATGGTATCTACCGCCAGAGCCTAGCATTACGCAGATAATTGCTAGAGAACCTAACCACAACTTTTTACCAACTCCATCTCCTGCGTACTCCTCTCTGGAACGACCCACAGAGCGAGACCGTACACTAAGCAAACTTCCAACCGAAAGAGAAACAGTTGGTAAGAACCTTCGACTAACTCTCGGCTTAAAAATTGATTCCTAACATAGTCAAATATCCTAGCCGAATTCGGTGTTCTCACCTTGCCCATCTTGACAGTCACTGGGCAACATCGGGTTCTACTTCTCCAGGCACTGACGCAATCTAGAACAGGCCTAACTGATGTAGATTTGCCATCTTGTCATTCGCTTACGCGGTTTATCAATGGCTTCTTCGATGGATTCTATCCCCATCTACCAATGGTTCATATCCCAACATTTAAAGTCGACGATTGTGAGCCAGAGATACTATTAGCTATGTCTGCACTTGGTGCTCAATATCGACATGAGCATAGAAAGGCTGTAAAACTCTGGTTTGCAGCGAAGAATATTTTATGGGAACGAATAAGAGCAAGGGAAAGTTCAGAAACTACGGACGACGTCTCAGGAGAATCAAACAGTGACTCCGTTCACCATCGCCAGGAGATGAATCATCCGGACTCTATCAGCTTGCGGTACACTGCGGTAATGCGCGAAGCCCGCTGTGCTTTCTTTCTTATTGCCTTTGCGAGTTGGCAAAAAGAAGACGAAATCGTTCGAGAAGCTTTCAACCTTCAAAGTTTTCTTGCGAGATGCGTCAGAGAATGTCAGCTGGTAGAGACCCATGAAAGCCAGCATGATGAAATTTCAGATTGGCGCTCTTGGGTTCGGCAAGAGTCAGACCGGCGATTAAAACTTTTCTCTTTTACGCTGCTAAATTTACACTCTATCACATTTGGTATGCCACCGATTATATTGAGTAACGAGATTAACCTTCGTCTTCCGTGTCATTGCCTTGAGTGGATTGCTCACAGCCAAGAAAGATGGTCAATACTTAAGAGGTCAAATTACCAAGAACAGTTGATGTTTCAAGATGCCCTCCAACGACTGATGAAGAGTACCGGAGAATTACGACCCCCTCATGAACAGCCTACACCATCTCCTCTTGCAAACTACATTCTCTTGCATGCCATAATCCAGAAAATTATCATGGTGTACCAAGCGCTCGGGCCCTATAATGACGTGGATAGCAGCTTGATGAATAGGCAAAAAGACATCATGCGGTGAGTAGTAATTTATTCTCTGGGAATCTCGAATTTTCTGACATCGATTATCTGCTGGTTGTCAGGGATAGCCTTCACGCATGGACGACTCAGTGGCAACGAGCTCCCGAATCAAGCCTCGATCCTCGGAATCCAAATGGACCCATTACTTTTACATCCACCGCGCTCCTTGGACTTGCATATGTTCGGCTTGGTCTTGAACTTGGATCTTACAGAATACTACGATGTCGAGATCCAGAGCAGATTGCAAACCGACTTTTGCAAATGCCACGACTGCCTCCTGGTCCGTATTTGCTTCCAGCAATTCTACATGCAACGCACGCCCTAAGCATACCAGTAAGATTGGGTGTTAATTTCGTCGCTCGAAGTCATTCCTTTGTTTGGAGCATCCAACACTCACTGTGTGGACTGGAGTTTGCAATATTTCTCAGCAAATGGTTGTTTTGTATAGCTGATTGCCAAACAAAGCGACCACTTGATGGTACGTTCTCTCCTCCACCGGAATATTGACCTTAGTCGGTCAGTTTAAAATTATCAGCTAACTTAGCGGATTCAGAACACGAAGTGCAGTTAGTAAGCTGGATTGGTGATATTGTTGAGGAAGGAAGAACCTCCGGAGACGAGGACCTTTGGCCAAGACCTTCGGATTCTTCGAACTGTGACTACCTTGGCTCCGCTGTGGTAAAACTTTGGGCGCGTCTGATCAGAGGCAACGAACAATGGGCAATACTTAAAATAATAGGCGATGGACTTGACATGTACGCAATAAGATGCGAGCAAAAACTTGGGCATGCTCAGCTGAGTACCTAAGCTTTGATTAAATACAGCGTCTGATCATCACACTGCGTCATCTCAAAAGACTAAATTCCGATGCAATGGAGAATCCACGGTCAGGGATCGTTCAGCTTCCTCCATGGAGGATGGATTTTTGAGATATTTCAATACCCTAGTTTCTAGATACCTTCCAATCGATCTATTAAGCACAAATATTAAAATAAAGTCTAAAATGTCTCTAGAAACATACATGGGCTTGTGTACAATTCTATCGCAGAAGCGGTGTTGCCCAATTTAACTGAGAAGATAACGCGGAACGATGCGTGCAAGACCACAGAAACCTCACCACTTTGAAACGAATTTCGACCTCAGCCGCAATGCCTCGCCATAGTTATACAAGATGTATATCCCAATCACACAACCAAAAGTCAACCCTGCCAACAAGCTACAACCAGAACCAATGCCGAGATTCTCATAAAGAGGCCGCGAAAAGATGACGGCTGCACAAGCAAAGGCACTTCGAGTAAAATCTGTAGCAGCGAACACGCTTGCAGCATGTTGCGGGTAACAAGCTGGAATGTAGAGGAAAACACATTGCATCAAGATGAAAACGCAGGCTGGATAGATGACGATACCCAAACTAGGAACTACCCAGTGAATCTCAGGTCTCGCCGCCCAGCCAAATAAAAATAGCCCAACTGACGGTCCAAAGCACGCAAAAAGAGCCGGTCCTAGAACAGTTTCCGGTTTCTGAAATTTGCCGTTTCTTGCACCGGGAACAAAAGACTTGTGGATGTAGATATTGTAGATCACAAATGAAAAGATTGACCCGATAACGATGGCGAGGAAAGCTGCGCCCATCTCTCCTAAATTGAAGCCGTATATTTCCTGGTAGACAATTGGAAAAGCTTCAAAGAAAGAGTAATAAATGCCATAGGTGAGAGATGTATAGAAATTCAAGAAAAGAATTGCCGGGTCGAGAAGGGTGATCTTCAACGGGATGAGGAGCGATTCGCGAACAACAGCATGAAAAGAGACGTTTTCTTGGGCTTCATCAGCAGCTGTTTTGTATTTCCGAGTGGGTGAGTTGTCAATCCTTTCTAGACGTCTTGCACGTCGATGTAGAATGGTAGGACCGCTAGTCTCGGGAAGCAGTAACAGCAGAACCAGGACAGGAGCTGCTGCCATTAAAATCTCCCACATGGAGAATCGCCAGCCAAAGACTGGAATTGCAAATCCCGATACTAATGTACCGATGGCAGGAGCACAGAATACACAGAGTACCCATGTCGTCATTGCGTGAGGGAGCACGTCGGGCGAGTACATGTCTGCAATGGAAGCGCCACCGGTAGCCAGACAGGGACTTCCGAAGAATCCCTGGAGAAAACGAAGGAAATAAAACCCAATCGCATTTGGGGAAATTGCTGTTGGAATGCTGATGATGCAAAAAAGGAAAAAAGATGCAACATAAGGAAGACTTCGGCCCATGAGAGGAATCTCACTAAGGGGGCTGAAGAATAAAGGGCCGGTACCGTAGCCCAGCCTGTCCAGGTATGAGCATCAACATACAAAAAGATATCTTGAAATCTGATCAGACATACACGTAGAGGGCGAGTCCTAAGGAGGCTTCTGCGTTGTTTACATTGAATTCCTTGATAAATGCTTTCTCACTTGGAGTGTAGATCGGGGCGGACATATAGACCACAAAGCTATATATTCCAATGACTGTGGTGACAAATGCCTTTCTGGTTTGTGACCAGTTATAAGGGTTCTCTTCGTCGCCTGGAGAATACCACTCGACCCGAACGGTATCTTTATCTTGAAGAACATGACCGGGATCCGATCTGTCTCGCCAATCCGTTAATTCTTCCTTGTACCTCAACCAAGATGGATTGTGAACATAGCGCAGGCATTGTCCAAGGAAGCTATCGCGAAGCCATTCCAAATGCATTTCTGTCGAAGTTCTTTGTGGCAGCACGCGTTGCTTTCGTGCAAAGCCAAAGGCACGAAAGATGCTTTTAGAGGCTTGGAACACGGTCTTCGGACTGTACGTCAAAAGGGTCTCCCTCGTTGATTTTCACTATTTGGTCCTATTTAACCTGGCTTATTTAAAGATATTTTACTAATAAAAAAATCTTTCCGATTTGCTTCTATTCTCTCCGTGCACGTGGAGACAGATATGGAGGTGTTTGGAGGTGCTCCACATCCTCCCTGCCCAATCCGTACTCTCTGCTCTAGAAAGAAGACCCACGTCGAGATGTTCAATTAACAAGCACACTCAGAACAGGCTGAGTTCTCGGAGATTTATTACAAATCTGCGGTGCTGAGATATGCCGTTGAATGTGATCGGTAATTATTCAAATATATGAATGTGTCTGTACTTCCCTCGACTCCATATGCCCTTCCGAATAACATCAGATCAAATGACGCATCACCCCTATTACTCCGCGCGTTCGAATCAACGATGTCCTCCAACTTATTCGAGCCTCTTCAAATTGGGAAAGTTCAACTCATCCACCGAGTCGTCATGGCCCCTCTAACTCGGTTTCGCGCCGACGCCAACCATGTCCCACTTCCGATTTCCAAAATATACTATGAACAGCGGGCGTCCGTCAAAGGAACGATGATTATCGCCGAAGCAACCCAGGTCTCAGCCTCCGAGGGTGGTGCAGGACATGCACCAGGAATATGGAGTGAAGCCCAAATAAACGGCTGGAAGGAAATCACGGATGCTGTTCACGCCAAAGGAAGTTTCATTTTTTGCCAATTGATCGCGATCGGCAGGGCTGCTGATCCTGTTCAACTTCAGGCCGAGGGTGGGTATGAAGTACTTGCCCCGAGCTCAATTCCAATGGAACCAGGTGCCCCTGTTGCGAAGGAACTGGCTGAACATCAGATTGAAACGATCATCAACAACTTTGCAACCGCCGCCAAGAACGCCGTTCGTGCTGGATTTGATGGAATTGAGATCCACGGAGCGAATGGGTACCTCGTTGACCAATTCTTGCAAGACGTGAGTAACCAACGAAGTGATCAATGGGGCGGTAGCATCCCAAACCGTGCTCGCTTCGGCCTCGAAGTCGCGAAAGCAGTGGTAAATGCCATCGGCGCTGAACGAGTCGGTTTCCGACTAAGTCCATGGAATACATGGCAAGGCATGAAAATGAATGATCCGATACCTCAATTTACCTATTTCGTGGAGCGCTTGAAAGACCTCAAGCTGGCCTATCTCCACTGTATCGAGTCGCGTGTTATTAACAATATAGACTGCGAAAAGGGCGCAGGCATCAATTTTCTTTTTGACATATGGGGGAAGACTTCTCCCGTGCTTGTGGCCGGTGGGTATAATCCAGACAACATCCAACGTGCATTTGAGGAGGAATATCAGGGAAATGACATCGCTGTTGTTTTTGGCCGTCATTTTCTGGCTAATCCGGATTTACCTTTTCGGATTCGGCATCAGATTCCTCTTAATCGGTATGATCGGGAAACGTTTTATGCTATCATGGAAGAGGCTGGGTATGCCGACTATCCATTTAGTTCAGAGTTCTTAGAAGCCGAAAGAGCTGGGTGTGGGAATCCGTTGATCAAGACGAGGCCCGGACTTATTTTAGAGTAGAAAAGAGAATGTTAATTTCGACCCGTGCAAGGGTCTCATCTCCCGAGGGAAGTTGAGATGTTACTGGAAATATTCTCCGAGGACCAAAGGTCGGCGTCGGCGTTCGGTTTCCTGGCCGGGCCGATCTTCAACAGAAGCGCCGGCAAAGGGTCCAAAGGAAGTATAAAAGGTACATCCTGTCCGCCTTTTTAAAGGCGAGTATCAAAGTACACCGACTGAGAAAGCACACAGTATAGTTCCCAAGTTCGTGCAACTTTCCATTTTGGTCTTCTTCAATAATAAACAAACTTTCATCAACCGCCGGGACCAGCCTCGATCCTTCCAGTCACACCGATATTCCATAACCACCCCCTTTCAAGCTTGAAGCTCCATTGCAACACCTCCACCCATAATGACTTTGAAAGACTGGACTCCCAGCTTGAGCACCATCGGCGCCGCAGCTCTCGCCTACTTTGCCGTTCAGTTCACCCGCCAAGCAGCCGTGTACATCCTCCCCTGCCAGCTCAAGCGCTACAACCAGAGCGGCACCAACTGGGCCCTCGTCACCGGCGCAACGGACGGAATTGGCTTTGGCTTCTGCGAAGAGCTCTGCGCCCGCGGCTTCAACGTCATCCTGCACGGCCGCAGTGCCTCGAAGCTCGACCAGCGCGCTCGCGAGCTCCGCGCTGCGTATCCCGACCGCAAAACTGGCATCATCGTGCTGGATGTGGTCGGCGCGGGCCAAGCCGTGAACCAGGTCGCCGCGCAGGTGCAGGCGATCACCGACGAGCACGGTGGCCGGCTTACCGTGCTAGTAAACAATGTCGGCGGGGAGACGAAGCCGTTTACGGCGCTGGATATGCTTTCCTTTGCAGACGCACAGGCCACGATTGATCGAAATCTAGGCTTCCTGACGCACATTACGCGGGTGCTGCTGCCGCTGTTGGCGGGTAAGGGCCGATCAGGCCTGGTGCTGAATGTGTCGTCGTTCTCGGCGTATGGGCTGCCGTTTATTACTGTCTACTCGGCGACGAAGGGGTACGTGGATACATTCACGCGGGCGCTGGAGGCAGAGTGTCTGGCACGGCAATACGGCGTGGAGGTTCTAGGCTTGCGAGTGGGACAGGTGAGAACGTCAGGATTCGCGGTCGGCAGCGGCGCGTTTGTACCGAATGGGCGGATGATGGCCAAGGCTGGGCTGAATCGGGTTGGATGTGGGCAGGTGATCGTTTGGGGATATTTCTGGCATTGGATTCAGGGTGCAGCCTTTGATATCCTTCCACGCTGGATGCTGATGAAGGCCTCGTCGAAAAAGATGTCGGCGTTGAAAAAGGAAACGGAGGAGCTATTGAAGAAGTCTTGATTCAATCTTCGATCTGTGATTATACGGGGAGTTGCTATCTTTCGGAAATGTACATAATCTCATCTCAATAAACCCCAATTTATCTGCATGAAAAGGATGAAAGAATACGCAAAGTCAAAACACTCAAGACGCACGAGGCAGCGAGAGAACGAGGGTATACAAGAAACAACACCTCATCTAGAAGCCGGCGGGGACGCGGTTCGCATCATTAGGGCCGTGCATACCCTCGCCGAGGTTTTGCATGCATTCGGCCTGCCAGCTCTTTGGTGTAAATTTATCAACAATCTCCTTGAAGGCATCCAGCGTGCAGAAGCTGTCGTCGCCAGGGAGGTGATTCTCAGCCTTGGCAGCACAGCCAGGGATACGCACAGGGCGATCATTATATCGAATGCGGACATAGTATCGGCGCAGGGACTCGCGAGTCTCCTCGGGGAAAGAAGCAAGAGGGGTGCGTGCGGTTTCCGAGGGGACGGGCTGTTTGGGCGTAGACTTGCCGCCGCCAAGAAGGGACGAGAGAACACCGGGCTTCTTGGGTGCAACGAGTGGATTGGAGAACTCCTCAAGCATGGTGCCGGCATTCGCACTGTTGCTTGGGGCCTGGGAAAAGAGCTCGACTGCGACAGAGGAGGTGAATGGCGGCCATGACTCATCCTGGAAGCCGCCCACACTCGATAGAATAGCTGCAAGGGTGGTGTCGTGACATCCACTCATGGCAAACTTGATAGCCTTGCCGGTTTCGTGAGTACCAGTGCCCGAGGCAGAGCTCTCGCTGCGCCAGCCACCATCTACCGCCGTGCTGACCATACGGTCGACAACGTCACCCATGAGAGCACCAATGCCGAGCTTGCGATATTCGTTGCTCTCGTTGTAGCCGGCGAACCATTCCTCGACCGCAATACGATCCATAACGGCGCGGCCCTTCTTGTCATAGAATTCCGAGGGGAGCTTGGTAGCGGGGCCATGGGCGTCAGTAGCATTTACGGTATCCATGATACCGGAAAGACGGGGATGAGCATCAACGGCCACCTTTGGCGAGGTCTCTGGCATATACTTTGACCAGAGGCTGTTCAGATAATTCATCTGTTCAGAATCGTTCCCTGTGATATCATCAATCGTCAGCCGTGATAAAGAAAGGAATGAGAGAATCAGTAAACTCACATCGTGCCGCGGCGCGATCCGCGAATAGACGAGCAAGTTGTCGGAATCTGCGGCAATTCCCCTCGTTCGGAAACAGAGTTTCTTCCGAAACAGAGCGAGCCACGATCACCGGGGGTGGGAAATCCTGAGTGCGTGCACTGGGCGGGTACATGCCCCAGAAAGCCTGCTGCATCGACTCCAGGGCGCGGGGAATTGGAGTAGCGCGCAAGTACATATCCTCGGTATCAGACTTGACCTTTGGCATAAATCCAAGCTGATCCACGTAGAGGTGACGCATGCGCTGGCCTAGCGCATACGTCGTTTCGCGGCCCTTGTCGGTGAGCTCGCCATGCTGGCTACGCAACTGGTTAGTTCCGGTTTTCATTGAAGTTTTGGGGGTTGCGGAGTGCACTGGGATAAATGCAATATGTTCAACTAACCATATAGCTTCAATCTCTGCTCCAGGTCCCATGGCGACAACGGACTCATCATTGTTACCGAAAGCCTCCATCTTCCGGCGCCATTGGAAGCCCTCCCATGACGAAAGGTCTTGCTTGCTGGAAGCCATTTGGACCATGCGTCTTGCGACGCCACAATACGGCCAGTCTGATACCAGGCGGGTCAGATTATGATTCAAATACATGGGTCAACGAGGGAGGGAGAGGTACACGGGGCTAAGCCTGTCTTCACGGCGCATTAGCATCATCATTGACCCAGCGTCCAAGCTAACCGGAACCAACGGAACAAGGATATGCAACATACATTTTGAAACCGCGAAGAAACCGGTGTACGTTCGCCTATGAATGGTCAGGGATCCACCTAGTTTGTGATATGCAAATGCATATGCGCCATCGCGATCTGTCATAAGCTTGAAATGGACACATACCATGACGCAGGAACTGAAGACCGGGATTAGTTACTAGCCGAGCTAAGCGTGACATTGGGCGGGGATTGGAGCTTCTGGAACTCACCACTTGCACTAATTGCAGCTTCAAGCCCTTTGGGTACAGCCGCTCCAGCTCCTCGGGGGAGTAGGGCTCGCGAGGGATGAGAGTCGTCATTGCGAGGTTGGACGATAAGTCGAAGAGCTGCCGGCGCGTGGAGTGACGTGCTTCTCCATGGGGCGGTGAGGGGGGCCACGGGGTGTGCTAATCCAGTATGGCGTGGGGGTGTTCGACTGGAGTGGAATTTCCGGCTGTTGCTAGGAAATAGAAAAATTGGCAATTGGTATGAGCAGTTGGTATAATTCCGAGCGAAGCTCTCTCTTGCTTTGACTGTCTATGCCTGCAAACAACGGTATTTGCTTTTTGCTTTGGAGCTTGATAGATCCATCACTGCCGAGGTCCCCCAGGGCCAAGTTACTACATAAGCCCCGCGAGTCTTAGCGCCAGCCACCAGGATTCCATTGGAGTAAAATGTGACCACAGTTGAACATTGGATATGAGATCTGTCTTCTATAGACTATGCACAGAATGCTATATACACCAAAATATCCTAATTAGGACCCTCGCTCTTCATTGTCACTCGTCTCCCACCCACTCTCGCTCTCACTGGCGCTCCAGACAGAGTGAGCCGGTAGCTCAGGCTGCTTCGGCTCTTCCGTAACAGCAAGGGTTGCAACAGCAGCGGCGGCAGTCTTCTTTCCACCAAACTTCTTAGTCTTCTGGGCCTTGCGAGCTTCTTCGGCCTCGCGGAGCACCTTCTTCGCGGCCTCCGCCTGCTGGGTGGTATCTTTCTCCAGGATATCAATCATCTTCTCGAGGGCAGGGGCAAAAGCCTGCGCGATAGCAATATCGCCAACCTTAATTCGCATATAGTCCATAGCGGCAGCGACCGGGACAGTCACGTTTGAAGTGGCATCATAGTGAGGAAGACCTGGGCGACCAGGGCTGGGGAAGCGAATATCGTCCAGAAGGGCGGCGGCAGAGGTGGGAGCAGCAGGTGGTTCTTCTGGATCGTCGAAGGGGATATCTGCATCGCCCGACTGCCTCTCCGCAGCACTTTCAGTCTGCTGGGTTGAGCTCGTATCGTCGCGCTTGTTTGCGGCGGCGCATTGCTCGACGTGTGCAACCTTCTGATATCGCTGGCTGAAGTGTGTCAAAAGGACGGCCCGGGCACCCATGCGACGACCAACCTCAATGGCCTCAGCAGCAGTGGAGTGCCGTTTAGCCAGAGCCGATCCTACCATGTCATCCTGGAAGGTAGCTTCGTGGATGAGCACGGTCGAGCCTTGCCCGATGGACGCAAATTTATCCGAGGGTCTGCAGTCGCCGGAGTAAGAAACCTTGAATCCATCAGGGAACACGAGTGAGACAGCAAGGGCGCCTTTGCAGTGGGCCACGCGCGTAGTGAGGATATCGGCTAGGCCAGTGGAGGACTTGAGAAGTGGCGTGAGAGGCGAGGACTCATCTTTGAAATCAAGGATTGTTCTGCCCAGCGAATTGACTCCAAAAGGAGCGCTACCATTGCGATTGTGTCGGAAGGAGAATTTGGTCGTGATTTTAGGACCGGTGGTATCTGGATGCGCGCAAAGGGGAAGCAGCTTGTCAAAGCCAAAGTCCTCCACAGCAGAATACTCTTCTAGCCAGGCAATCATCATTTCATCGGAAGCGATGGCAAGACGTTTTTCTTGGAGAGCATCTTCGATCCTGGTTCTCGATTCCTGCGATGCTTGTTTGGTATCAGTCCCATAGTTCTCTTGGTACCAAGCCTTGATAACAGCCGCTGTGCCCAAGTGGTGATCAGCGTGCAAATGGCTGATCCAAATCATGCGCAGATTCTGGAGAACTTCTCGCATCTTCTCCGGTCCGAAAACACGCTTCATCTGACCAAGAGTATTTTCCCCACAGTCCAGGAGATAGTACCCATAGCCGGGAACGTTGAGCAATGTTGCAGAGACATTACGGTACTTAGACGGAATAGATGAACCTGTCCCCAGCGAGATAATTTCGACCTCTGCGCCAGGCAGGTCTTTGCGGATGTCAGCCAGTCGATCCCGGAAGGCCTTCTTCGTCACACGGGTGCGGATGGTTCGCATCCGTTGATCAACGCTCCGAGGGATCTGGAAAATGGTCTCTGCAGTATTCAGGCGGGTCATTACCTCGTCCCTTTTAATCTGGAACTGGGGTTCCATATCAACGATCAAGCCGGGGTCAAGGGGCTCGAAAGAAGTCTTCTGCAGGGAGGTTCCGGCGGTAGGCGTTCCAGCTTGGGGAACAGTCACATTGTCATGAACGGGAACGGGATAATTCTCGCCCCGTAGGCGAGCCAGACGGACGGCAGCCTGGGCGGCACTGGTAAGGGCAAGATAGTTGGGGCAGTAATCCGAGCTTGATACTGTGTGCTTGCAATGGGACATGCGTGCAACAAATTCCTGGAGCTTCGGGTGGTCACCCACGCCGGGTCCAAGGATCCAGACAAAGGCCTTGAGCTCAGTAGTCACAGTGGGCGAGTTCCATTCCGGTCGGTTCAGCAGGTCCTCCACATAATCGGGCGACGGAACATCCAAGATCGCAATTCCCTTGCCTGGTCTTCCAGGACCCATTACCATCTGTGGAGTGATGGTCCGGCCATCTGTAGATTGCACACTCTCTCCGCGAGTCAATTCCGAATATGCTGGGCCCTTGGGGACTTTGAGCTCTTGAGCCTTCGCTACATCAAACTTTCCCCGGATGTCGTGGTTACGAACGATATAGGAGATCGCCTCATATGATGGCGAGGTAGGTGGCAAAGTACCCACGGTAGCACCGGGCCAGGGCTTCCGGACAAGAACCTTGATATCAGGCAAAGGCTGATTGTCACCCGGAATAGGGCCCTTGTAAGGTTCCAAATCCTTGGTCTCTGGATTACGCACAAAGAGAGTTGCAGGCATCTTGACCTCGGCTATGGGCGTCTCTACAAGCGCATCCATCTTCCAGGTGGAATTGAACATGTCAGAGACGACAGCCTGTCTCATCAGTTGATGTTCAGCATGCTGGTCGATCTGGTTGTCGGTCTCCTGGAATTCTCCTAGACTCCGTTTCCGCGGACTCTGAGGTCGCGCGACTCTGAAGTTGTTTGCCGAATGAGGGCGAGCAGGCAAAGCCCAAACCTTGATATTAGAATCGAGCCATGTGGGCTGTTCAAATGGGTCTTCTGCGTTGGAGGGCATCTGCTTCGCGATGCTTTCTGCACCATATTCTCGCATGAAAATCGGCATGCCCTTTCGAAACACAAAGCGGCGTGCCGTAGCCATGGTATGCATAAGATTTGTCGTCCCGTGAACCGTCACATTGTTCGGTTTCTCCTCAACCGGGCCCGCCGCACCAAACGCCGACTTATTCTTTGTCGGTGCCGACAAGCCTGACGCAGCTCGGCGCTCAGCCTTTTTCGGTTCTCCTCCTCCATCGCAGCATTAGAGGCCGCGTTGGCGTCTGCCTGGGTCAAGATGACGCCGATCATGCCACCCGTGTTATCCCATGTTGTCCGGCCTGTTATGAAGATATCGCTGACTGCGCTCAGCTTTACACCACGCTCCGTACATGCACGCTGCGTCCCTTCAGCGAGTTGGCCGAAAAGATACCGCTTGTCGGGGAAGTGGAGGGAGATGATCGTGCCAGAGGTGTCGGCCGTCGGAGTGGTGACGACCTGGTAGTAGAACTTCATCGGGAATACGCCCGACGCGGGAATGTGTACCGTCTTATCTTCGGGATTTTGAAACTGGGATGGGTCGCAGACCAAATATTCTCGAGGATTCGTTCGAGTCGTAGGGAGGAGGTACGCTTTGGGATCGATCTTTTTGGAGGGAAGGACCGGGGGCTTCGAAGATTTGCGTGAACGTGGAATCCACTGCTGGGGCCAGGCTGACCGTGATTGAGCCTGGGATACGCGCTTCAAGCCGGAAGGTGGCCGTCTTGGTCTTGGACTTCGATTGTTAGGGCTGTTGTGATATTCAGCGGCGAAACGAGAGGATGTCGAGATCGAGGTCCGAGGGAAGACGCGCGATGCGACTGCGCGAGAAGCCACGGTAAAGAGGCTACCGCGGGCACTGAGGGAAGCCAATTTGGCTGAAATAAACGGGAATGAAAAAAGAATCGATCATAGACGATTGTGGTGCAACGCGCAGGATGTGCAGGTTATTTGTTGCGGAGCAAGGCTGCACCGCCCGAACTTTTTTTTGACCGGAAATGATTTGCGTCACGGCCCGCCCTTTTGACTCAACCAACACCGTCAAGCCATTGGCCCAAGGGATCTACCTATTGTAGACCACTGATCCTAAAGCACGAGGGTGGACTTTAAATTTACAGGCTTACAGAAAAAACGTGAGTCATAATAGGTAAGATCAAATTCAAGCTCTTATTTCGCTCATCCATCGAATGCGCCTAGGTAACCGCTACCAGATTTCCACCCAAAATATAACCCGAAGCCCAATCCGGGAGGTAAAAAAAAAAAAGAAACGGGAAACGAGCGCCGTGGAACTCCCTGTAGAACATCTGAATCCAACCAATCACTTGCTAAGAGGTAGCTAGAAATTGCAGTGTAGATGTTTAATGACCATGACATGAGAAGAGACACGGAGGAAGGAGAGCCAAGACAAATGAAAGGACAATGCCAGTAGATAGAGAGATATACAAAGAAAAAAAATAAACCAGAAAGGCAGGATGCTAAAAGGGGAATCACTGAAGGTGGGAAGTGACAGATGACACACGCTCAAAGGCGGATTGCATGCTCTGACACAGGTATCTCAGGCGGTTCTTGGCGGCATCAGACACTTGGTTGGATGCATTATCACCGTGGTCAACAACCAGATGGAAGTGGGGAGCCGCCTTCTCGGCTTGGACACCGTTGAAGGCAGGCATATCATCAGAAGAAGCAGGGGCGGGAGAATCAACAAAGAGAGCGAAGGCGGGGTCCGACGAATCAAGCTCGGAGTCGGTGTCAATGATGCTCATGTCGGATTTGGTAGACGGGGCCTCGACCTCCGGGATATCAAGGACGGGAACCTCGTCCTTGCCGCTGGAAACTGACGACTTGCCACACAGGGCCTCGATGTCAAGAGCGGGTCCCTCAGGAACCTCCATGACAGCAAAAACGGGAGTGTTGCCGTAGTTCATGTCAATACCCGAGTTCCAACCGTTGTTGTTCATCGTCATAGAAGTCTCCATGCCCTGGTTAGGGACCATACCCATGTTGACCTGGGGGTTTTGCTGCATTTGGAACTCCTGGGGGCGGGTGGCGGCAGTCTCCTTAGGAACGGAGGCCTGCAAAGTGGGTTGCGGGGCAGATTGTGGGGGCTGCATCTGCTGCTGAGGCTGCTGGTGAGCCGGCATCTGAGACGAGACAGTATCGGGCATGTCGTTCAGGAAATTGGCAAAGTGAGGAGAACCGAGGAGCATACGGGCGAGGTCATTCAAGCGAGCATTCTCCTCGTAAAGCGCACGGTTTTGAAGACGTAGCTCATGAGACTCGTTGGTACGAGCTGCGACCTCGCTCTCGAGCTGACCGATGTACTCTATATAACGTTAGCTAAAAAATTTCCCATAAACGAAACAATGCAGGTTAGATTCATACCCTTGCGACGGGAGCGGAAGGCACGAGCGGACACCTTGTTGCGCAGCTGACGACGCTCCTTGCTACTGAGTTTCTTTCCCTCTTCACTAGCCAGAAGTCGCTCATCCTCATCCATGTCGGCCTCATCCTTCTTGGCCTTGGCCATCTGGGGAAGAACAGACGATGGAGAGGGAGAGACCTCGCCATTGGCAACCGCATTCTGACGCATCTGCTGCAGTAGACGAGAGATACGCTCCTCCACAACAGGGTCCGGCTGGCGGGAGCCTCGATTGGGAGCGGTCGCACCATCCTCGACGCGGCGCTGCTGCATCTGATGGCGCATCATCTCGTGCTTCTGTTGCTGAGCCTTGGCCATCGCAGCCTGCTGCTGATGCATGCCAGGGTACATGCGACCGACCTGAGTGGACGGACCGGCCTGAGCCAGCTCATGGCCTCCGAGAGCGTTGGGGTCGACGTATTGGCTCTTGTTCTGGTTGGTAGTGTGAAAAAAGTAGGGTGTGTTGTTCACGCCCTCTGGCTCGATCTCCATCTCGGATGGGTTAGGCGCCGGGGCTGTGTTGAAGTCGAAGGGGGCCTCTTCCCGCTTCATCTGTCCAGCGTACATGTCTCCATTCATCTGATACCCTTGGCCACCATTGTTGAAGCCCATCGGGGCCACCTGATTGTAGGTCATGGACAAGGCCCCAGGAGGGAGGCCGGTCTGTTGGCGGTGTTCTTCGTAGTGGTGGCTAGGGGCCGAGAATGCGATGGGAGATTGACCGCTGGAGGCGAAGCTGGCGCTGCGAGCATCACTGGCGCTAAAGTCACTGGCGACAGAAGGCTGGCTGGCCAACGCGACCTTGGGGCGAGCGAGTTCAGCGGAGGTATAGGTAAGCTGATCGAGGTTGATGAAGGAGTCGAGGTCTTGGTCGTAACTGGCATTCATAGTGGGCATCGGCGAAGCCGTTGATTGTAGGGGGTGTTCTGCGAGCGTAGCCATGATATATATTGATGTGGGTGTACCCAGTCTCCCTATATATGTGCGAGTGGTTGCTGGGGAGTGGGGGGATAAGAGAGATTCCGTTTATATAAGAGAGGCGTTCGAAGTGGCTGCTAATTGGAAAGGCAAATAATAAAAGATTTAACAAAGGTCAAAAACGAAGGGAAATGGTTCTAGAAGGGGGTCGATCGATTAAGAACTTGGGTCGAAATGGAGGAGGTTTGGTGAAGAGTGGATTTGAGGATTTCAGGGAGGAAAAGAGGGAACGCCCGTGAAGGCAGAGGCTTGCGCGTCCTTGGTGCTGAGTCAGCGGCGATGCTCGCTCCGGTGACGCTGATTGGTTTCGCTACTTGCACTGAAACGCTTATTGTTTACTCCGAGCGGGACGGTACCGTCATGACCGTACCGCCGGTACGGAGTATGGACTATCGAGATTTCAAGTGGAGAGTCACCATCATATTGAGAAAAAAAAGCCCATCTATGCGACCGAGATAGAAAGTCTACAGGTGCAAATTTATCGATCAGTCCGTATTCAGCCTCGATCTGCGCATCACGAGTACCTACAGGTGCCGTCGCCCTCTACCCGAATTACTGAACTCCGTACGCAATTGTACTGGCAGGTTGGCCCCCTTAGGTGCAGGAACCACTCCCAATGATTGGTCTATCACCGGGATAATGGATGGTGGGTTTCCGGGATTATCGAGGATCCATCTTAGGGCATACGATACAACTCACGGTAATTTCAGTCCCAGGAATTTTGGATCTCGGGGCAGTTGATGGTTCGGGCTATGACACCGGTGGCTGTGCCTTCGGAGGCCTTTTGTGCTGTGCCACATGTCTGGGTGACCACATTTGACCAAGTGGCATTCCTCGTGTTCGTCGGATGGCGGGGGACCGTTGCCTAGGAATGCACTGCAATGACCTGAGCATAAAAATAAACCCCCAGATAAGCAAAGAGCATGAAATTAAAAAACAATGGTCCACGATCCCGATGATCATCCTCCTTTAGCGTCCAAGTTTAGTCTATAGTATGTAGCGTAATTCACGCCGGCTAACCGGGTCAGGACATCGACCAGGGGCTATCCCAGTACTATGAAATAGAGAACCACAGGGCGGCACGGAGCCAGATGAATGGTGGGCACATTTCTGCCCCTGACAACGGACGGTAACTAGTTCATACAATTAATACTCTATACTCCGTATTCCGTACACGGGCGGTATAGTAGATAACATGTTTTTCGGAGAGCTCCCTTCCAGAGCGGCAGATAGACCGCTAGCGCCCCCTCTCTCAAGGCTATAAAAGCGTGGATCATAATTGAACAATTTTTGGTGATCCTCCGACTAGGTGCCGGACCTCCATGGGAAGTGTTCATGTGAGAGTGAGAATGAACTATTCTATAGGCGAGGCTGAGACAGTTCGCCTCCCAGCCGGAATACGGAGTACCAAGTACATGCACCGAGAACCGTATCGACTCGCCGGCAAAACCCCGGGAAAGGTTTAGTTCAGGGCTGAGAGTCCGTAATACGTATTTTGGACGGGCGGTCTAGAGACGGTGTACGGAGGCTCAGAGGGTGCAGGTGGAACACGCTAGCAATAAGCTTTTCCATGCTCAAGAACTAGAACAAGTGGATTCGTCTCTTCTGGACTACTCCGTACATTTTTAGAAGTCGTTTCGAATATCGGCACTTCAGGGGCTTGTCTGTTACGATGGAATTTTTCGAGTTTTGCGGACGACTTCCGTGTCATGTGACAGCCCATGATCCGGCCGCTAACCCTCTTGGGGCTAAACAGGCCGACACCGACACCCGAACTCGGCCATCTGCGCTGCTTTTGTATGCCTGAGACTCTTTTTTCTTTGGAATTCATTCTTGCCCTCGGCTCCGCTGTGCCTTCGGTTTCCTGGATTCTTTTTACGTCGAGTGGCAAGACCAAAGTCAATTCAGGGTCGCCGTTGTGCATCCTCCATTCACCGTGCTCGGTGCCGATCGCTGTCCTCAAAATGCGGCGCAGGGCTGATCCAAGCCGGCTCAAATCATTGCCGCGTGACCTCGGCCGGTCCCTGTGGATCGCGGACCAAGGAACTTTGTTTGCCCTCGACCAAGATATAATGAGCGTATCGTCACTGAAAGTCAAGTACGAGAGTAAGATATGAAGCTATAGTACTAGCTGTGAATAAAATTGAAGTTTAATACATCGAGTTATTATATGTCGCATGCGTGCTACGATCCCATCCCTGGACAGTATCAAAGCGGCATCAAAGCGGCATCAGCCAGCGTTGGAATATATGTACTCATATAATCAAGCCCTACATCATCGAGACAATGTGACCTCCCACATCACCACAACATAACCATCATCTTCTCATCATTTCATCTTCCCATCATTTTATTTAGACGCACGGCACTGGTTTGAGCATTCAGATGAAAATCAGACTCTGCATTACTGCCAAAATTTCTCAGAGTCCAAGATCGATTATCTTGGATATTTGGGAACGTCAAAGCTCGACAAACGTCACTCGGTCAGAAACGAGTCGAATGCGGTTCTCTGCAATTAAGACACTAAAAGCTACTATTACACCTGGTTGTCTACCGAGAACAATACTAATAACCTTAAACCTCATGTGGTGTTCATCAGTCATACTAAACCCTATACCCCTCGCGAGATTCGCTTCCAACTCAAGATATTCACCGCTGTCAAGCCTCCTCATCATTCACAACGAACCATTTTTATCAGCAAGCAGGACCTAAAGAATCTCGCGAAAGAATTCTGAAATTGAGCTGCGTGAAAGAGTGAAATGTCGAGGTCTGAGATTACCTGTATAGCTAGATAATGGAGCCTTCGTAATGCAACATTCGCTTAAAATAATCTGCTGGCTTCGATTAACTAGGCCATTTGAAAAATATATATCTCAATAAGATGATTTCATGATCCGCTCTATGATTGGAAGTCCGGGGTGTACATCATATCATTTCCAGCAGAGGCCGTAAAATTTTGATTAATACTCCTCCCCTCCATTATCTTCATAGTCATAGGATCTAGCTCTAGTCCTTTGCCCTCTTTCTCGTTGGTCTTTTTCTCGCTGTTCTCTTTCTCGTTGTCGTTTGAGACCCAACAACATTGTCAGCACACCCATCCCCACGCCCAGATCAGAGATGAATGATGATTTCTGTTTTGGGTTACGGATAGGAGTGTACGCGCCGGATTGACTACTGCTGTAGTCTCGATCATAATGATCAAATGTATCAGATGTATCACTCAAAGCCCTCCTTGCCCGTCTTGGTCTGCTTCTTGACCTAGATCGAATACTGGATCTTTGATCAACCACAGAGTCATCATCTTGATGGCCATGTCGTCTTCGGGATGTTTTCGATCTCGTCTCTGAGCCTTCTTTTTGAAAGCCATTGGATGCTCCATTGCTTGCGTCCATGTTTGCATATCGCCGATAGTTTCGCTCATCATTCGATCTTTTTGCCCTCCGAGAAGTCGTACGCTCCGTAGATAAGCTTCGACTCCGTTGCAGGGGGGCCCTGTCGAGGAAATCCTGGTTTCGACTTATACCAGAGCCCGCTTGGGAAGCCCCTTCTCCTGATATATGATCTGAGTTTCCAATTGTGGTGGAGTCGTACCAATCCAATGATCTATTCAATAATTAGTTCAAATTATCAAATACCTCTCACTCCCAGATTAGTTCAACCTCACTTCTTGATCAGTTTGCTCTCATTTTCTGAAGGATGATAGCGATGTAGATGATGCTTGAGATCTCGTAGCCGTCTTCGTCTGTTTGGCCGCGGACAGTTTTTTCCAAAGCACGGGTACATGATTTTCTGAGGATCCAGTTCCAAAGAATCAGGATGAACGTTCTTTTTATGGCGTTCTAGATCGTCAATAGTAGGAAATCTTCTTGAAGGATCATTCCTTTCGCACTTTTCTTCATGGCATACAATAATGCTGGTTTGAGGTGTCTCGTATTTTGGGACAGTATCAGCTGTCGGTGGGTCGATAACACTCCATTGCGCGGATGCATCACTTTCAACCATACTGATACGAGAAATATTGCTCCGTGAAACCCTCAATGTCTCGGTATGAATAGAGCCCGAAGGTAAAGGGCTCAGCTTCAACCCTTGTAGCCAAACATGAGATAGCGCGCCCGCAACTCTACCACGATTGGTGGGTTGTGCTGCTAGAAGAGTCTTCATAAACGAAGATGCTTCTTTACTGATCTTGTGATCGTCATGGATATCAGAAAAAATGTCGGAACCTCTCATGTCACCTCGGAAGTAGGTCATTAGGTCATATGTTTTGTGGAAGGGCAGTCGCCCCGTCAACATGAAGAAGCAAATCACTCCCAGGGACCATAGATCCACAGCCAAAGTGTAACTGAAGTTAGCCCAGTTGGCCACATCAAATAGTTGAGCCACAATTTCAGGTGCGATAAATCCCGGTGTGCCATTAATGGTCCGCAGGGCTGTCTGCCCATCATCAATGCGTTTGCTGATCCCGAAATCACCAATCTTGACCCACCAATCTGGGCCCGCGGTAACAACGAATATATTCTTTTTTATTGTCAGGTAATCCTTTTCCATAAGAGACGGTTCGTAGTTTTTTGCTTACGGCTGGTTTTAGATCCCGATGGGCGAAGCTATTCTCATGCATAAACTGGATCCCTTCGAGAATCTGATATGTAATTTTTCGAGCCTCTACCTCTGGAAGGGGTCCGGCAAGATGCTCGCTGAGGTCCCCTTTTGGAATATATTCCATCGCAATGAATATCGATTCAGTGTCTTCGAACCATCCTGATGATCGGACAAAACACCCGTCATACTAAAAAGGGTCAGTGATAAGGCCAACCGGACTCATAAAAGATCTCAGAGAGGCCAGGAATCGACTGTACCTTTTGGTGGGAAAACTTGATGATCGCTTCCAGTTCTCGGTGCCAACTGTCTGGCTTCGAGCCAATGTCGGTTTTGGGGATCTGTTTTACGGCGCGAAGCTTCGCAGGCCCTTTAGAGACGGCGCATTCCTCTAGCCATACTCTTCCAAAGGGTTTGGAGCCCAGGGCCTTGGATTTTGCCCATCTTTCTTCATATTGCTTGCGTCTGGTTTGCTTCTGAGGTCCAGCAGATGAATCAAAGACAAGGTGGGTCGTATATTTTGACGAAAAGGTCGTGGATAACTTCGAGTCTCGAACAAGATCCGGGAGCGCTGACATGCCGGGCAGCGCGAGGATGCGTTTTATGTTTGGGCGTCAACATACTCATTTGAGAGAATGTCGCGAACAAGTCTGCATGTAAACCAAGAGCTGACAAGAGAGACTATTAACAAACCAAGAGTCATCGCGCCCGGGGACGAAACGAGGCTGTGGCTGACGGCCCCCACCGCATCAGCCTCCCTTGGCACAGATGAGTTTGCGCGCCCCGATCCTAACACGGGTTCATGCTTATCCAACTATCTCGAGCCTAGGTGGTAGCGGTCATCGATCATGGACTCTCAGCAAGGTCTTGTATTTGTGAACATATCCCACCCAGACGAGACGCGAGAGAAGCGCACTCAACGTGTTATTCGGCAGCGAGTCATGCGTGAAATCGGCAAGTCCAGACAAAAACGCCGAGATGCACCTGCAGTGACTTTTACCTGGCAGCCAATCTGCGACCCGTATTTGACTCCGCCTATTTCGCCCTCACTGAGCTCATATTCACTGCCGGTGGAGTCCACGCCAAGGGTTTTGGAACTACTTAGTTTCAGTATGATTGTCTCACGTGGTTTGGTTTGACTAGACTCTAATTCTTACTGCTAGTGAATGCTGAGGCAGAATACAAATACCGGCCATTTCGGAAGATTTGGTTTTCTATGGCCCTGAGCGATCACAGTGCGTTCACTCTGTGTATGGCAAACGCAGCGATGTTCTGGGATGAGGCTCGATGTCCAGAGAGCTTTCAGTATGTAAAATCCGAGGAGGCACTGAAGTACTACGGCCAGTGCGTAAATCAAATTACAAATCGGCTTTCAGACACCAATCAATGCCTCAGTGAAGGAGTCATTACCACCATTCTTGGCTTGATTTGTCATGATGTATGTGTCTTCAACCTGAGCGATGCTATTGGTCACGTATAACTCTTAACACAACAGCTACCCGACAGCTATATGTAGGAACCTTGGATCGTTGGACGTACCACATTCACGGCCTGGCCCGAATTTCACGCATCAGAGGCGGCTTTAAAGACTTGAGCTATGAGCTCCAACTATTTACTTGTTGGTTTGACGTGCTCGGATCTGCCGCTAAAGACAGTCTACCCCTATTGCCCGAATATCCGTTATCTTCTAAGACAGGGCAACAGGGGTCTATAGACCTACCCAACCGGCTACCTCAACCTCTACTCAAGGAGCTAATGGGAAATTCCATGGATTTGGACAGTCTGACAGCTGCATTTGAGCAAACTGCAATCGTGTCAAAGTTTGTCAATTCTCGCTCCCACGATTCGGGATTTTGGAAACTGGAGGACGACATAGGCCCTCTCCAGATGCTCGGGTCAACAACCCACAAGCTTCTTTCAGTGCCACGGTGGGACTCTCAGATTGTCAACCCGCTTTCTTTGGTCCAAGAAATGACACGACTTGCGTTGCTCATACTACTGGCCAATCTAAAATTACATTACGGAATGAGCGCCTCTGAGATGGGCTTATTACAATGCAAATTTTTCAGCCTACTTCAATGCCAAGCCCTTGATCATCACTTGCTTTCATTTCCTACTCTTCGGCTGTGGGCTCTTGTGACTGCAGGCATACGTTTGGAACCAGGACCAAGCAAGAAACTCGCTGTCCAGAGAATTGCTTCACAAATGAAGGCGATGCGGATCTCTAATGGGAGCATTGCAATTGAAATGATGCACGATCTCATTTGGATCAACGTTCTGAGCTCAGAGAAGGATACTGAAATGTTCATCTCCGCTATTGACAAAGAATGTCTCAAATAATTATGATAAACCCAACTCTCATACCAGCATTCTAGCCGCCCGTGATCCCACCACTCACAGAAATAACCTGCCCAGTGATCCAACGGCTCTTCTCAGAGACTAGCAGGAGTGCCGCATCTGCAATATCAGATGTGGTGCCGATTCTCTCCTCCGCCCTCGTCAACGGTACGAGCATTCGATCGATGCGGTCTGCCTGCTCCTTGGGTAGACCACCTGTGCTCACAGGGCCAGGACACAATGTGTTGATTGTAATGCCATAACCACGACCCAGCTCCATGGACATAGAATAGGTCAAAGCATTCAAGGCTGCTTTCGCAGCGCCATACGCAGCAACGGGGCCCATGCCCAGCTGGGAAGCAATTGATCCAATGTTGATTATTCGACCACCACGAGACATGTGTGGAACTGCGGCTTGCATAAGAAAGACCGGTGCATAGACGATAGATGAAAATAGGGTGTCAAGACTTTCACGCGTCTCGTGGAGAGCTCCGCGTGGAATTCCAGCAGCAGCGTTGTTGACTGGTAACTCAGTGTTAGTTTCTTGAGTGTAAACAGATTCGGAGACGTCGACATTTCACGCACCTAATATATCGATCTTTTCAACACCGAATGCTGAAAGAGTCTCCTCTACCAACTTCTTTGTACCCTCTGGTGTCGAAACATCGGCCTGCACGACAATGGCTTTTCCGCCTTCGCTGCGAATCTTCTGGGCCACACTCGCCGCTCGAGGTGCGCTCTCATCGGAGATATGGTTTATTGTCACCCAAGCACCATTGTTTGCGAAGGCCATGGCAATGCCAGCTCCGATGCCAGATTCTCGACCTGAGCCGGTAATAATGGCCACTTTGCCGGTGAGATCTAGGGTTTCTGGTGCCATTTGAGGAGAATCAGTATATGAAGATCAAGTTGTAGTAGTGAATGATTCTCAGATTTTGGAAGAAACTATCCCCTATTTATGGTCCGATTTCTCCTTTCCATTCCCTTCGTAAGACCCCGATATGATCTTGGGAAGACATAGTAGTTGTTGGCTAATCCCTTGCTCTAAACCCCATTGGGAAAACGGTGTTCTTTAGTTGCGTCGGCCCCACCGGCTCTTCTGCTGGTCTTCGGATCCAAAATGTGAGTTGAGAGACTAATGATAAACCCCTACCGACCCTCAAGTATCGCTTTAATTGTATTCCTTTTATCTAAGAATAATCATATTGTTAATCGAAGCTACCCACTATGTATTTCGTAAAAGGCAATCTCCATTCAGTAATCATCTTCGATTGAGGACGCAACTCTCTCAGGCGGCTGCGGAAAAGCAGAACAAGTTCGAGATTCAAAATCCCAATAGAAAATAAGGTCCACTGGACAATAATGGTCAAATTGCATCGGTCGCGACTAGCTACCCAGGCTCTGACACATGGAAGATTCAGATGCCTCGTAGGCACAGCCTCCCCGCCGCGGTCGCAGCCCCACTCCACCTACGTAGCTCTTCCCTTTTCTCCCGCAATCATTCAGCTTCATTAACATTCACATCTCGCAGACCACAGACGCCTTTTCTCTCGAATCTCTCCTCCTCTTCCTCTCCCGCATTCTCTCTCATTCTTCCTTCTTTTAATCCGAAAATGGCGCCTCACGAAGGACTAGTACACCTGAGAGAGTATGACATCAAGGATAGCAATGTGGAGCTGATCGGATCCGACCTCGACCACCGTGTCAAATACAATTCCGCCGCAACCGAACCTGCATGGAACAATGGGATAATCGGACAGCGGGCCGGATTCTTCATCTGGCGAATTGAGAATTTCGAGGTCGTTCCATGGCCGAAGGAGCGATATGGCGAGTTCTACGACGGGGATAGCTTCATCGTGCTGCACTCCTACAAGGTTGGCAAGCAAGAAGGAGAGGAGAAGCTCGGCCACGATATCTTCTTCTGGCTCGGGAGCAAGACCACACAAGACGAGGCCGGTACGGCCGCCTACAAGACGGTCGAGCTGGACGAATTCTTGCACGGCGCTGCTACGCAGCACCGTGAGACCCAGGCGCAGCCTTCGGACGACTTCTTGTCTCTGTTCCGTCATTACCAGGTCCGGTCGGGTGGTGTGCGCTCTGGCTTCACACATGTGACACCAGAGGAGCCAATGGAGGTCCTGACTTTGCTCCGAATCTTCAAGCATCCCGGCGGAGGCCGCGCGATCATTGTATACGAGGTCGAGCCGACGTGGCAGTCCCTTGATGAGAACGATGTTTTTGTGCTGGATAAGGGTGAGAAGATCTGGGTCTGGCAGGGCAAGAAATGCAGTCCGATGGAGAAGGCCAAGGCCGCACAGGTGGTCAATGACATGACCCTCGCCAAACATGTTGACGTGGAGGTTCTCTCACAATTAGAATCGCGGTCCAAGGTCATCGTCGATCTTTTGGGAGGCAAGGACGTACAGCAATCAACTTACCAGTCTCCTCGTCCTGGCTCCTTTGCCAAGCGAACCGCTGAGGATCCCAGCGCCTCTTATCCTCGTAAATTGTTCCGTCTCAGTGATGAGTCGGGCACGCTATCCTTCGAACTTGTCAAAGATGGCGGCCGGATCAACCGGTCTGACTTTGACGGAAACGATGTCTTCCTCTATGACGTTGGCAGTCGGCTATGGGTTTGGCAGGGCCAAGGTGCAAGCGAGCACGAGAAGGCGTTGTGGCTCAAAGTCGCCCAGCACTATGTCCGCAAACTACAAGAGAACGAAGAGAACTCCGAAGCATACCTCATACCTATCTCCAAGGTGGTGGAAGGCTATGAGAGTCCTGCATTCCTGAAAGTGATCGAGGTATAGTTATATACATACATTTTCATAATTTTGGCGAAGAAATACCTAGGAAAGGCCTTGTAATTCAAACGAGACCTGAATTTAAGCTACTCTTTGAAAAATATTGTAGAGTTAGAAAGCAATTATGATTCTTTTTGCTCTGAAAGAGCACATTCTTAATGTTTGTTGTATTCGGTCACAATTTCCGCCATAGGCTGTAGGAAAACTCACAAAATTCCTCCTGTACATTCGTACAGAATTATCGGGCTATCTTCGCATTCCCAGTAAATTCCCATAGTCAGTAGTCTCATCGAGTCATAAGAGTGCCTAAACCAGCCAAGCACCGCCGTTGGTAGCCACTGTTGATCCCGTCACGAAGTAGTCTTTCATAAGATACAGATATGCCTGGGCCGTATCCTCGGGATACCCGATATCTCTTGTCAGAGATTTCCGTTTGTATTTTTCAACTGCTCCTTCTTTCATCTCCTTTGGTAGTCGCTCGACCAACTCCGTAAGGATGAAGCCCGGGGAGACGGCGTTGACACGAACCGGGGAAAGTGTGAAAGCCAACCCCTTCATCAGCCCATCTATGGCACCAGTAATGGCGGGCTGGACCCATCCGGTGGGCTTCTTGCTTTGGGTACCCGTCGTCAAAGTAATCGACGAACTCTTGGTGGCAGTCATATACTTCGGTGCGTATTTGCCGACTGCCATCGCCCCGTAGAACCGCACAGGTAGAAATGCATCGAAGTCTTCGAAAGAAGATTCTGATAGAGGCACCAGTGGAGGTACATCACCTGCAGTGAAGACAATATGATCAATAGAAGATGGTTGCGCGGCATACTGAAGGAGCTGCTCAATGGTTTTCTCCAGTAGGTCTTTGACAGACAGGTCGGCCACATAGCTGCGCACCAAAGATGCTCTTGCTGACGTGCTGGACTGAAGAGCAATGACAGCCTCGGATACTCTTTTCTCAGAGGATGAACTAATGGTCACGTTTGCGCCTTCTGCTAGGGCCTCTTTAGCGACAGCAAATCCGATGCCGGATGTGCCGCCGATAAGTAGGATGTTCTTATTTGCGAGTTTGTGCGACATTCCTGTTGACAGTGAAATGGGGAGCGATGGAAACACTACTTGGCATCTACTTCAATCATCTTCCTTATATACCGATGGATATAGTATCTGGGTCCGTCTAATTTTTGGACTCGTCCGTTGGTTTCCTTTTCGTCCGAAACTTCAGCCGAGCCCGCTTAACACGCTGTCAACCTCATTGAATTTCTAAGCAGCAACCAATATTCGCATAAGCCAAGTGCTATCTTTTTTGGCTACAACAGACTGCTAATTCTCTGTTTCTTCGCTCTACACGCCAATATTCTGGGGACATTTTTACTCATTCAAATGAACAATATTCGATAAAACAAAAGGAGAAGAGAATTTAGAATATCAAGTTCAATGCTGAAGGCTCTCCATATCATCTCCATGCTTTAGCCAAACAGTGTATGTAGAATTTAACATCTGGAAAACCCCTGACATAAGGTGCTCATGCATTCTCCGTCAAAACTTATGCTACCGCCTGCAGGATCTGATCAAGCACTTGTGGTCCATTAAAGTCAACTTGCTTGGCTTCATTCAGCGCTTCCTGAGGATCGATAGGCGGATAGATCAGTTTCTGGTTGATAAAGTACTTCACCCGCTTTGCCATATCCCCCGTTAACTTTATTTCTCTTTCCCATCCTTCGGCAACAACTGCCCCATGAGCACCGAGATCCAGACAGCAAACGTAAGCAGGCTGAGTATAAGCTATCTTCGGTTCGTCGAGAAGGTCAGCGGCTGCATTGTAGCCTGACACGCGGCCAAGCGGAATCGCATGCTGGCAGGACATCATAGCATAGTGACCATCGCTATCCGCGCTAGCATAGGCTGCATCACCAGTAGCAAAAATATCCTTAGATGATGGAACACGAAGATGCTGGTCGACGTGAAGGCGACCAAGGCCATCCTTAGGTCCGGGAACCTGCTGTGCAAGAGGTGTCGCCCTCACACCAGCAGTCCAAATGGCAGTCTTGGTTTCGATGCGCTCGCCAGATGCAAGGACCACACCATCGGCATCGATTGCTGCGACTGCAGATCCGAGCTTCAGTTCAACCCCGAGGTTCTCCAAGGCTTGCGTGATAGCCGGACGGGGTCCGGGTCCAAGTTGCTGGCCAACCTGCTCAGAATTGTCGATCAAAACGATCCGATGATTTGGAATATGTGCAAGGCGCTTGGGCAACTCCGTCACGATCTCAATGCCCGTGAAACCGGCACCGCACACAACAACGGTATCGCGAGCAGGGCTTGGGGGAGCGAGGCAATGCTCTCGATATGAGCCTCAAGCTTAATGGCTGACTTCAAAGAGTCGATATCGAATGCATGCTGCTCAATCCCGATAACGCCCCGAGGTCGCACGACGGAGCTGCCAGCTGCCAGGACGAGGCGGTCGTAGTCCAGAGATGATTCGAGACCGGAGGCAGATTGGACATGAACTGTGTGAGCTTCGGGGTCAATTGTCTTCACGGTACCCCGGAAAAATTTGATGCCTGCACTTTCGAATATAGGTCCGAGGGCGTAGGTCAAGCTGGAGGCATTCGCCTCGTAGAGTCGTGGACGAATGACCAGGGTTGGCTCCGGAGAGATGACGAAAACCTCAATATCGCTTTCTTTTTGGGACATGTTTATAAGGCGCTTGGCTGAAAAAGCACTCCAGACGCCGGCAAAACCGGTACCAATGATGATGATTCTGGCCATCGTTGAAGTTATATAGATTCAAGTCGTGTACAAGGAAGCAAAGTGAAGAGTGATGTTCTAACTTAAGTTGAGAACCGGACTATCCAAATAATTGAAAGCTCAGATGGCCATGACCTTATTTATAGTCTCTCTCTCTCTCTCTCTCTCTCTCTCTCTCTCCGGGTCGGTCTTTAAGATATTGCGAAAAAAAAATCTGCGAACAGTCATCCTTGTCGTGCTCATGTTACGAGTTGAGCGGATCGCCGTCTGAGCTTAAAATTGGATTCCCGAGCGGGTCCCGAATACCCGAGTACCCGCTTATCATGACATTGCCATGAACATCGAGCCTCCCTGGATTTCCCTAACTTCGCCTCACAATGATTACAGCCCCGCAGAATGGAAGAGCTACGCGCTCCTCCCTCGCTTGCTTACCCTGTCGTTCGCGCCACCTGAAATGCGACGGAGAGCGACCGTGCTGCGCCCGCTGCGCGGAGTTCGGGAAGCAGTGCCACTACGCCCAATCGCGCAGAGGTGGCCTGGATCGCGCAGCTCTCGCAGAACGGCGGAAGCGACTTGCTGCGACAAAACCCACACAAGCTGATGAAGGGAGTCCACAAGCAAGGGCGATCGTTCAACAAGGGCCAGAATGTATCCCTCAACTCTTTGCGGAGGTCCCGAGTAGCTACGATCTGCTCAACGAGATCAGCATTGGCGATGGCAGGCCTAGTATGAATTCTCCGACAGTAACCCAAATTGATGTTGGCACTATCGAAAGAGATCATTTGATCGATTCATATTATAAAAACTTCCACACATTTCACCCGTTCCTCCCACCTCAACGGCACTTCACCAGACTTTGCCAAGATCCAAGTCGGCAGGTCAGCTTCACACCACTGATTGCTGTCATGCGTTTAATTGGACATATTGTCAAATCGCATGAATGGTCTATTCCACTCAAGGAATATGCTGAGATATGCCTCTCTCAATTGTTACCAGAAAACCCAATCATGGTCCAATGTCGACTCTTATATTCGATGGCATTGTTCTGGTACGACTATAAAGCCGAAGCTCAAGCGGAAATTGATCATGCAACCCGTTCCGCTGTTGATATGCAGATGTTTCTGCAAGAATTCTCAATGACACATGGAGCCGACGATCCCGTCTTGCAGGAATGTTGGAGAAGGACGTGGTGGATGCTCTACATTGTGGACGCATATTACACTGGAACCCTCGGAACTATGAACTTTGCAGTTGCAAACGTTGACGCTACGGTAGATCTGCCATGTGAGGAGTCAGAATATGAATCAGGAGTAAGCAATGATGATTTCTTTTCTCCGTCCGGTCTTGGTGAATTCCAGGCTCGTCTCAAGGCTTGCACAGCTGACTGTTGACCAGCATATTCCTCCATCAAAAACCCTGCAAGAGTTTGACTGTCGCGAATTCACCCATGAGAGCACATTTTCATCCTTTGCGTACCTCATTGGCGCCGTACGGTGCGCAGCATCGGCAATATCGTCAGCGCCAAAGATTGCAAAGATGGAAGACTCCGTGCAGATTATTCAGGCTGCCGACTCCAGTCTGGATGGCTGGAGGCTTCTATTGCCGGAAAATCGCAAACAGGTCATGAACAAAGCAGGAGAAGTCGATGAGCTTATGTTTCAAGCGCATATGATCGTCCATGTGTAAGTCTATCAGCGGATTAAAGGTATATGAGCTCACAGATCACATAGTGCGACGGTCGGATTGCACAGGCCGTTCTCAGACCTCAAATTTAACACTGTGGAGGAACTCTCAAGCTGCGCTCGAGAACCACCTTTAGATACGCCCATACCCGAACATGTCAACATGCACACCGTACGAGTCTTGCGGTCTGTGGAAGCACAAATCCGCCTTTTAGCACTACCATTACGATACTTTCACCATACTCCTTTCACAACCTGCATGGTCAGCGAGGGAACGCTGGCGCTCCTCTCGGCCTGCAACTTTTTGTTCAAGGGTAAAGACTTGGCAACTGCAAGAGACCAGATCCGCATGACTATTGGTTGTCTCAAGACATTGGGTGATATCTGGCCGCGGACAGCGAGGAATGTGCGAGAAATTCAGACCATCGCGCAACATGTCTTGGGCATCCAGTCTAGTCTTGCAAATAAAAGTAGCACTCCCAGCTCCAATGCAGTTCCGCTCCTCTATGGAAGTCAACGACAGGGAATTCATGGCTCGGACAGTGACTTCTCGAGCAACGACACCGATATTCTCCCTTCTCTAGATTCCATCGAGGACCTCTGTGGATGGTACAATCTTGGAGATCTTGCTAGTCTTGGGAATCTTAATTGATCCGAGAGGATGAAATTGTGAATGATAAAAATTTATAGATACTATTAATGAAGAAATCATGATCAAATATGGACAAATTTTGTTATTCGTATTAACTTGAATGTCGATTGTAGTCGCTTGAAGGTACACTCCTTTTTATCGAATGCCACCCTCTTTTAGCCACATGAAGTCGATTACAATTCTCTCTCCAATTTCTCTGGTGGCGATACAGAGCCAAATGCAGAAATGAACCCCGATGCATCATGTCCCGGGATACGAGAAGGACCTGCGAGAATGTTTGGTCACAGGAGTTCATCATCGGTTATTCCGGCTGCGTAGGCTCGAACAACCATCTCTGCCTTTGGGGTATTAGACTCGGCCATCAAGTAGTTGATTGCGACTTTTGGGGATGAAATCTTTTTCCCAAGATCTGCGCGGCCTTCATTTTTGTCTGGTGATAATCACAGTCTCGCAACTGAGTGAAGATGGACAACTTCCTGAGGCTATAAGAAGGATCAAAATCACATGGATTACTGCTTATGGAAACTCGCAATCACATTATTGTCAGCTGATGTCGTAGTTATGGAAGAGGATATTCGGAATTATGTCATCGTGTGGATACACGAATACCCGGCCCCGAGTAGCCTTCAGCGCGCCTTTCGGGCCTTGAACTATGCAATTCCAGAAAGTTTATCAAAGAATTATCCATAACGGAGAGCTATGGAATATCTGCAGGTTTGTAGATGTCCATTTTAAGGTTCTTGGGCGCTCTGTGAGGATCAATGTTCATACGTGGTTTATGGTCTTAGGGAAATGATGCAGATTCTACTACGCCGCTCCTCGCGAACGCAGAATGCTGGAATCAGCAGCTTCACACTGGGATTTTAATGATGAGACCATAGCGGAATTTTCATATAGTGGTCAAGCAAATTTTTAGCTATGTCGTGGGACATAATGCACACTGAGGACTTTGGACCACTATATATATATCGGAGTGAATGTACCGCAATAGCATTTCCGCAGGATTTCACTTTTGAGCCGTATAAAACTACTAACCCACAAAAGTCATAGGAGGAACGCCCCCAGATAATTTACGATGATTCTTTCCAGATTACTAGGCCCATAAGACCCGTTTGGGAGTGGTGTCAGAGAACAAACGGGAGATAGGGAAAAAAAAAAAGATCGCTGCTTCGCCAGTTCGAACGGGAGCCGTCTGGATTTTGGTAGGCGCTCCTACCTCAACAAAGGGCAGGGAATGAAAAAAAAACTGGTAGCTTCTCTTTGATTGAGCGTGTCATCCTTAGTGCAGGGGCCATGCTAATCTTCTCTGTATATTTTCATTTGACCAAATGTCCCGAAGGACATAGGGTAGGAACTTGAAGTGATTGATATACCCGCTGAAATGGCAGAATCTGACCGCCTGGAAGTGGTGGGGGGATTGGCGTCCCATACGCCAGCAACCATGCGGTCAGGAATGTAGAAAACTTCGGACAGCGAGTGAAAGGCTAATAAACTGGGGGCAGAAACTAGACCAAGAGTACGATTGAATGCGGCAATCCACTTTTCCAGTCGAATTCCAGATCGAATTCCAGTAGAAACAGCTGGGCATGGCCACAGGCACAGGATGAACCGCCACCGAAATCAGGCAAAACCCTGTCAGTGGTCATGTGGAACATGGAGTGACTCACCAAGCTCTATTTCCGTGGATATGGCATCATAATAATCATGGTAGTCATTACATGGATCCCCATCGATTCAGGAGGCAATGCATACATTTCCATGCAGAGTAAGAAGTCTGCAGTCTCGAATGCTTGTGGGCGAGCAAAAGCGGGTTTCCCCGCCAAGCGAGGGGCGGAAGTCTCAGCCTGAGGCATGACACCAGCCGATCTAAACCGGATCGGGACCCCGATGGCAGGTCGGTATCCAAACTCGCGCCGAACATCCCCCAACCTCCATCAAAACGACTGGGCGAACCGCTGGAATGCGTGGAGCAAGTTGAAAGGTGACTCGTCTGGGTCAATAACTCAGCCGAGAGGGTCAGAGTAGCTCTGATGGCGGAACACGGATCATTGTAGACAGCGACCGAGGCTCTCCGCCCTGCTTTTTCCTCGTAAATCTTTGATGCACATAACGATACCCTGATATTTCACGAGGGTTTATATATATCCCCTGGAATCCTCTGTTCATATCCATCCATGAGACCTGTGATACCCTTCATGGGCACATTTGCATCATGACAGCGGCTCCAACAATTCTGGCAACCTGCAAGCAGACCCGCTTCCATCTACTGGACGAGAACCCGTCCTCTGAGGTATGTGCAAGGGGAATCAAGTCGCGGAAGCACTACGAGAAAAGCACAAAGGACACACTCTAACCTAGGGATGTGCACTTTATCCAGGTGGACGTAGAGGGTCTCGGAATCGTCGTCACCTCGTCCGTCCCCGAACCAACCGAAGATACCTCCAAACCAAAGGGCAAGGCCAAAGCCAGAGCGAAAGCACCCGGCAAAGAGCTGATTTCTGACGGCCATCTCCGCCTGAAGGGAGGGGTGCATTATGGACTCCTTGGCCGCAATGGAACCGGCAAGTCCAGTGAGCGCAATTTCATCCAGGACGAGAAATGAGAAATCTAGATTGACGAGTTGTGGCAGCGTTGCTGCGAGCAATGGCGGAGAAGCTCATCCCCGGCATTCCTCATGTTACGCGCATCGCTATCCTCCAGCAGACCGAGACGGACGATGAATCGGGGGGCTATGGGAGTCTCAAACTGGACCAATCCGTGCTGCAGTCCGTGCTGAGCAGTGATGAAGCCAGGAATGAGGCGTCTCGCACCGCAGACTGTAAGATTTCGCAGTCTGGGAGGGTGTTATGGTAGTGTTGGATATTAACTACGCGCGGTTAGACTTGTCAAAGAGCTTTGAAACCGAGGACCCGATGGCTCCGGTCAAGGCCATTCGCAAGATTCAACATCAGCAGGCAGAGAAGATGCTCTTCCTGGCCGAGAAAAACGCCAGCTTGAAGAGCGGCGCTAGGGGTCTACAGGCGAGGAAGGACCTGAAAGCGGCTGAGGCCAAACTAGTGTCGTCAAAGGAGCGGTGGGCGGATCTATCCCGCTCTCTCAACTTTTCTATAACGCTGACTTTAGTATTAACAGGCTTTACCAAGAGGCAGAGTCAATCGATGCCGAAGCAGTCCAGGTGGACACACAGGCTGCCGTTGAGGTATTGCAGACTGCACAATCCCAGCTCGAAGATGTAAGCTACCTCCATTTCACAAGAGCTGTTGCATTTGATCAACCAGACAATTAATCCCTATGTAGATGAACCTCGCAGACATGGAGAAAGAAGCCCGTCGAATTCTTCTCGGTCTAGGATTCAAAGAAGAAAACCTAGACAAGAAAGTGTCCACACTCTCCGGCGGCTGGCGAATGCGATGCATGCTGGCGGCCGTCCTCATCCAGAACCCGGATATTATGATCCTCGACGAGCCAACCAACTTCCTAGACCTCCTGGGCGTCGTCTGGCTCGAGAACTACCTGCAACAACTACGAGAGAGCTCTGAAACAACAATCCTCCTGGTATCACACGACCGGGACTTTATCAACGCTGTCTGCGAAGAGATCGTGATTATCCGAGATCAGAAATTGACCTATTTCAAGGGCAACCTGGCCGCCTACGAGCAAGACTTCGAAGAGCAGAAGCTGTACCTGGGCCGCATGAAGGAAGCCCAGGAGCGGCAGATCGCGCACATGGAAGCGAGTATCCGCGAGAACATGAAAATCGGCAAGAAGACCAATGACGAGAATAAGCTGCGGCAGGCGAAGTCTCGGCAGAAGAAGGTCGATGACCGGATGGGTCTCCAGGTCAGTGCGAACGGGGGTCGGTTCAAGTTAAATCGGGATCTGGTGGGCTTCCACCTTACCGCCCGTGCAGAGATCGAGGTGCCACAGGATGAGAGGGGAGCAACGATGGCGCTGCCTGATGCAACGGAGCTGCGGTTCCCGGGCCCGCTGGTCTCCCTGGAGGGGATTACTTTCAGGTACAAGAAGAATGATCGTGTGGTCCTGGATGATGTGAACTTGGTGGTTCATATGGGCGACCGTGTGGGTATCATGGGTCTGAATGGGTCTGGTAAGACCACGTTGATCCGGGTTTTGAATGGCCAGATGCCCCCGTCTAGGGGCAAGGTCTCGACCCATTCGCGGCTCAAGGTGGGCTATTATGGCCAGCATTCTGTGGAGGAGCTACAGGAGCTTGGCCGAAGCGATCCTGGCCTAACCGCGCTGGGTTTAGTGATGGCTGATACCGAAGGGACTCTGAGTGAAGGTGCTGTGAGAGGTCTTCTTTCATCGATGGGCTTGGCTGGCCGTGTTGCGTCGGATGTTCCTGTCGCCAAGTTGTCGGGTGGACAACTGGTCCGTCTTGCCCTGGCCCGTATTGCCTGGAGCGCACCCCAGCTGCTTGTGCTCGATGAGATCACTACACATCTGGACTTTCACACGGTGACTGCGCTTGCCACAGCGCTCTCGTCATTCAACGGGGCTATTATTCTGGTCTCGCACGACCGGTTCCTGATCCGCTCCGTAGTCGAGGGCAAGCGAGATTTGGAGCATAAGCTAGACGAGGACTTTGAGGGCTTGGAAGAGGAAGAGACGGAGGAATCTAAGACTCGCCGCCGCTCAGTCTACGTGCTCAAATCCGGTAAGTTGAATGAGCAGACTAACGGAGTGGAGCAGTTTGAGCAGAGTCTGGTGAAGCGAGTTCAGAAGATGCTTAAACCATTGTAACCTGGCGCACCAGGGACTATAATATAGATCCAGGGCTTGTATCTATCTGATGAATTAAATGCCTTGGACTCACTGATATCAGAGCAAGATCAAATCCACGACATTTAAGTAGTCATCCTGATTATCAATGCGAATCATGAAATTAATAGTTATCCATTATCCACTATCCACAGTTGGAACTGACCATTGACCGGGCGGTGATTTGCCTCCGACTCGCTGACTCATCCATGCGGCGTCCACCGACGGCGGGCGAATCCCGTGATTGGGGCATGTCCATGCGGTCCAGTTGATAGGCTTCCTCCACTCGCTCTTGTGCCCCTCCCTTGCTTAAGGTGGTTGCATTTATATTTGGTTCGATTCGCACTATGCTGCACCGAGTTCCCTGAGAAAAATTTACCCTAGCAGATGGCGGGTATGCTGTACAAGCGGGTCTTGTCGCGCCCCAGGAATAGCTTCGCCTTCTGGGGCCCTCTCTCTCCCTGCCCCAACGCGCTTGCATAGTACCACCGCCACAGCTCAAGTGACGCCCGTGCCTGGAAGAGCTGACCCCGCGGCGACTGGGATCCGGCTGCCGCCTCATAACTATGAATCTTCCTCCCGCATCACCGCCCTCAAGGCTGCGAAGCCGTTTTCCGAGTTCTTGACCGATTCATTCAATCGCCAACATGACTACCTGCGGATCAGCGTGACCGAGCGGTGTAATCTGCGATGTCTATATTGCATGCCGGAGGAAGGGATAGAGCTGTCACCCTCGGCCCGGCTGCTAACGTCTCCGGAAATTGTCTATCTGTCGTCATTGTTTGTTTCCCAAGGCGTGACAAAGATTCGTTTGACGGGTGGAGAGCCGACAGTGCGGAAGGATATTGTGCCCTTGATGCAGGACATTGGCAAGCTCCGGTCGAACGGATTGCGCGAGCTATGCTTGACCACCAACGGAATATCGCTTCATCGAAAGCTGGACGCAATGGTGGAAGCTGGGTTGACGGGTGTGAATCTGAGCCTCGATACGCTCGACCCGTTCCAGTTCCAGATCATGACGCGCCGGAAGGGCTTCGAGGCGGTGATGAAGAGCATCGACCGGATTTTAGAAATGAACCGAGTCGGTGCGGGCATCAAGTTGAAGATTAATTGCGTGGTGATGCGGGGCATGAACGACCGCGAGATCATCCCGTTTGTAGAGATGGGCCGCGAGAAGCCCATCGAGGTGCGTTTCATCGAGTATATGCCATTTGATGGGAACAAGTGGAACCAGGGCAAGATGTTCTCGTACCAGGAGATGCTCGAGGTGATCCGAGCGAAATACCCCACGCTGGAGAAGGTCGTCGACCACAAGAACGACACCAGCAAGACCTACCAAGTCCCCGGGTTTGCAGGCCGAGTAGGCTTCATTACCAGCATGACGCACAATTTCTGTGGCACTTGCAACCGGTTGCGGATCACAAGTGATGGCAACCTGAAGGTGTGTCTGTTCGGCAATGCCGAGGTCTCTTTACGAGATATTATTCGGAAAGAGAACCACGGACAGCCGATTGACGACGCCGCCGTTCAAGAGCTGGGGCTTATGGAGACAGTTCAGGCCGCTGCTCATCTGAGCGACGAAGGGGCCCTGGTGCCTGAACGTGAACGCGAGATTTTGGACATCATCGGCAAGGCCGTGAAACGCAAGAAGGCCAAGCATGCCGGGATGGGCCAGCTGGAAAATATGAAGAACCGGCCTATGATTCTCATCGGTGGGTAGGCATGATTCATTTGTTTTCTGTCAATACTTGCATTTTTCTTCCAAGTCTGTTTCTATGATGACTGGCATGATTTTCACGACTCTTCTATACAAATTGGAAATATGGGATCCAATCTTTCTGTCATGTACTCACATACTATCTATGATACCTATTGAAAATATTCCTGTGGTTCTCGAGCAGACTGTTCAACAGTATCTTTCTGGAGCTCGGCCTTGCTGATGATGCCGTATAGATAGTCCATTGCGGCGACCCTCCGGGCCATGGCGCCCTGCATCTGCCCGCCCGTCAACAATTCCCTCACATCTTCTCCCTGCCTCAACCGGGTCTCTTCAGGCGCGATTGTACCACACCCGCTCGGTCCAGGACCCCTCAACATCCCCCAACCAGCGTGATCGTCGGGCATCCCCCTCGCTCCCTACGGCCTCCGACCCCGACCTTCCTCACCTCACCCCCTCTCAGACCGTGCACATGACCCAGATCACATCCAAACCGGAGACCCAACGCCTGGCCACCGCGGCGTGTGAGGTCACCTTCTCCAATGCGCGACCATGGGAACTTCTGCGCCAGGGCCAGGGGACTCACAAAGGAGACGTCTTTAGTGTGGCCCGGATTGCGGGGATCATGGCGGCTAAACGAACCCCGGATCTGGTCCCGCTCTGTCATCCTGGCATCGGAATCACGGGCGTGGAAGTGGACGTCGACCTCGTCGGACCCAGCGACACGCCCGACACGCCCGACACAGGCGATCACGGGCGGATGCAGATTCGGGCGACGGTGAGCTGCGCGGGGCGGACGGGAGTGGAAATGGAAGCGATGACGGCCGTCATGGGGGCAGCGTTGACGGTGTACGACATGCTCAAAGCAGTGGACAAGGGGATGGTCATTGGCGGCGTGCGGCTTTTGGAGAAACAGGGCGGCAAAAGCGGGCACTGGCTTCGTGAGGAGGTGCTGGGCGTTTCAAGGGTATGAAGGCTTGGCTTGCTTCATCGCTTCCTTCTTCGAGGCGGGGGATGCTGGAGATGTTGGATGTTGGCTGTTGGCTTTATTTGGGGAGAGCTTTTTTTGGGCGGTTCGCCAGCTGTGGTTGTAGTTAATGCCTCACTGCGATCCTCTGCCGCCTGCTATACTTCACGAGGACACGCCCCACCGAACATGGACGAACCCATGAAATCACGTCCAATCACGGGCACTTGAATTGATCAACTGGAATGGGACGCCTCTAGCTGCCCTTTTCGAATTCGTTTTGCTGTGCAAGATTCAGTATCTATAGCTCTATCGCTCTATTAATAGGTGCCAACCAACTCCCGAAAAGGGCAGTCCCTCGCCTTCATCACGACTTGGGTTTATACCTGCTCCGCGCCCTCTTCTACCCGGTCCCGTCCGCAACTGTATATATATTTCTTGGTTGCTTCTTGTTTCTGGGACCTTTTTGACTGACTCGCCTCTCACTGCTGTCCATCAAGACAACTATTTCCACGTCTTCCATATCTCCCAAACATCCTTGTCACGTCTCCACTGCAGCCCAAAAAGTGGAGCTCCGGTGATCCGCACGGGGGAAAAAAATCCCACAGAGCAGTAGAACCCACATCGGACGCCCTAGGTGCATTCTTGCGCACTGATTCAAGTTTTCACTTCGGCCCCTCCTCTTTTTTTTTTTTTTTTTGCTTCTCGCGATCTCATCAATACGTGTCTGTCGCTTGTTCCTAGGTGCCCGAGGCTTTGAGGGGAAGAGGATTGCCAACCGCCCCGGCGACCGTTTAGCCTGGGCCAGGGAACTTTTCTGATTAGGCCTATCAAATCCAAACTCTGCTGATACAGAGCTACCTAAATACAGCCTGCGACAGTCTACTAGGCTGTCATTCTGCACAGCGGGAAATATCGGCCGCATTCACACCGACACTTACCCGCGCGAGGCACGGTTCCCGGCTGTTGCCCCGTTTTGCTTCTTGCTTCTTTTCTACTAAAGATTCCAGAGGCAATTTTTTTTTTCATTCTAATGGGAGTTGGTATGTACTGTCTGTTCTCTTCTTTCTCGTGCTTTCCGTATTGCCTGGTTCAAGATATTCGGCAATTGCATGTCCATGCTTCGTAACCCTGCCAGTCCGCTAACCCGCACACCAGCAGCCTTGGCCGGCGCTCACAGATGGCGAGAGTCGATAGGGCGGGTGTTGATGGCCGCGCTCCCGCCATTCAACTTTCTCACCCTGCACTATGTGTACTTTATCGCCACCTGCTTGACTAGCAGTGTCATTTTTTATCTGACCTCGACCCCGTGGAAGAGTGTCCCCTATGTGGACGCAATATTCTTGTGCGTGAGTGCGATGACCGGAGCGGGCTTGAACACGGTATGTAGAAAGCCCTAAACACTTTCAAATACATTGCATATGGCATATACTATCCTATGGGCCTATATGCATGTTCTCCCTAAGAGCCCTTAAGCTAACGGCGCTCTTTCCCCCATCTCCTTGAAGGTGGACCTCTCGACCCTGAACAGCTTCCAGCAAGCCATCTTGTTTATTCTCCTGATTCTCGGCTCGGCAATCCTCATCTCCAGTACCGTACTGATGGTGCGCAAGCGAGCATTCGAGGCCCGCTTGAATCGCGTCTCTGACGAGCGGGAAGCCCCGCACCACGCACCTGCGTTGGAGATGCAGAGCGAATCCCCAAAAGCCACGGGGGATGCGGACTCATCCGCCCATGACGTTGAGAATCACGGCGCCATGTCGCGGCCCAAGAGTGCCGTCAGCATCCCAGAGGCTCATGGTGGCGTCTCCGCCAGTAGTAATCAGATTCAATGGGTGGATGATGATCAGATCACCATCGGTGGCACGTCCCGGCATCGCCAGCATCGGGTCTTCCCTATGGCAGGTGTAGGAGCCCGGCCAGACCTCGATAATCACCCTCGAAACATCCCTACCCTGCCTCTGTATGCCGATGATGAATCTGGGCTCGGGATCAAAGGGATCATCCGCGGCACGCAGAAATACTTCTCCTCCAAGGGGAAGATCTCGCGCAACTCTCAGTTCTATGGTCTGACGTCCGCCGAGAGAGAGAAACTGGGCGGTGTCGAGTACAAGGCCGTCTCCTTCTTGTCGGTGATCGTCTCGCTGTACTTTGTCCTGTTCCTTCTTCTCGGCGTCATCGGCGTGGGTGGATGGCTTCAAGCCAATCACCCCGAACTTTCACGTGCGAATGGCCTCTCGCCGTTCTGGACTGGTGCTTTCTTCGCAGTGTCGGCGTTTGTGAATAGCGGCATGTCACTCTTGGATCAGAACATGGTTGCCTTGCAGCTGAAGTACGTACCCTAAATCAAGTCTGCTTGCGCACCCCGGCTTTTCAAAGTTAGGGCCCTATACTAACATTCTCTTCCTCAGTGCCTATCCGCTTATCACCATGGGAATGCTCATTCTTGCTGGAAACACCCTCTATCCCTGCTTCCTGCGCTTCATCATCTGGAGTATGCGCAAACTGCTGCCGAGCACCAAGCCGTGGGAGTCGTGGCGAGTGACTTTGGATTTCATTTTGGACCACCCGCGAAGGGTCTATACTAACTTATTCCCTGCTCGTCATACGTGGTACCTACTTGCCACTATTATCATCTTAAACGGCATTGACTGGGCTGCTTTTGAGCTTTTATCCATTGGCAACCAAGAGATCGAATCTCTTCCGACAGGGTACCGGGTCCTGGATGGTCTCTTCCAAGCATTGGGTAGGTAACCCTTACTTTCCACCAATGGGGCCTGAGCTATTTGTTAATTCGTTTTTGTTTCATTTTAAGCTGTTCGCGCTGGTGGATTCTATGTCGTCACAATTGCCGATTTGAAGCAAGGCCTTCTTGTTCTTTATGGTAAGTCTATACTCCCCTGCGTATTCTCTTGCGTATGAACCACACTGACCCATTCTCTAGTTCTGATGATGGTGAGTTTCGACAGTATCTCTCTGCTTCTGTTCTGCATGTACAGTCTCCACTAACCCCTAGACCAGTATGTCTCTGCATACCCAGTGCTAGTGACTATCCGGTAAGTCATGACCCCCTCAAAAGAAATCTACTTCATGCCTTCTTCCCTCAGACCGGACCTAACCAACCAATACAGAAACACAAACGTATACGAAGAACGCTCTCTGGGCATCTACACTGAAGACGAAACCGATGAGCCAGCCCACACTAGCCGCACCAATGTGCTCATGGATCTCATCCGACACCATATGGGCCGTCCCAGCGGCTCCGAGTCCTCGCGCGGCTACTTTGTGCACCAGCAACTGCGCTCCCAGCTCAGCCACGATTTGTGGTGGATCGCGCTCGCCGTGTTCTTCATTGCGATCGCCGAGGCCGACCACTACAACGCGGATCCTGTCGCCTTCAGCACCTTCAACATCATCTTCGAGGTGGTGACCGCGTACGGCTGTGTCGGCGTGAGCGTCGGCTTCCCGGGCAAGAACTACTCATTCAGTGGCGCATGGCACCCCATCAGCAAGTTGATTCTAGCTGCAGTCATGCTGCGCGGCCGCCATCGCGGCCTCCCGGTTGCCATCGACCAAGCGATTATGCTGCCGAGCGACTCGCTGGCCTGGGCCGAGGAAGAAGATGCTGTGCTGCGGAGACAGAAGACGCGGGCGAAGACTTGGGCGTGACCTGGGACATGCAGTGCTGCTAGTGCTTCTACCTGAGCGCGAGATACCCCTTTTCTTTTTGATGTGCTCTCGACCCCTTTTGCTATACGAGATAAATAATGCGTAACGAATACAATTTTTTTAAGAGAATATAACATTTCATGCATTGTATAAACGGAGGATAACAGCCGAACATAGACGCCAGATTCTTTTATGGGATGAAAGCGGAAAAAAAAAGGAAATATACACACGGGGATGAAGAAAGTAGATCGTCAGAGAGACCACTACTACTCCTCCTCCATCTCCACCTCATCCTCATCTTCGTCTTCGCTCTCTAACTCAATTTCCTCCTCGCTCTCCATCTCCTCCTCATCCTCGTCACTATCATCATCACTGCCGAAACCGTCCATGATCTCATCGCCGTCGCGCTTCTTTTCTTCCGCACGACGCTTCTCCTCCTCGCGACGACCCTCCTCGAGAACGGCCGCACGCTCCTCTCTCAGCTTCCGCTGAGTCTTGACGAACGCACCAATCGGAGTAGATTCCCAGTCGACGTCCTTGAGGAAAGTATCGACCTCGGTGCGGTTGCGCGGAGTATACGAGACGTTCAAGCGGCGCTCCTCGATCCAGCGGGCGTTGGCCTCGACCTTCTGCACGAGCAGGAGGATCATCTGGTTGATCTTGGCGTTCTTGTTGCCACCGCTGCGGGCCGAGACCTGCTTCAGCCAGCGCTTGAGAGCAACGACAACGGGCACCGACAGCTCCGGGAACGCGATGTGTTTGGACCACAGGACGAAGAACTCGGACAGAAGCTCGGCGACCTGCTCGCCGACGCCGTCCTGGTAGGTACGCGAGCGCAGGTAGGATTTGGGCGCGCGGATGGCGGTGTGGAACTCGAGCGGCTTGAGGGTGCTGGACTTAGGAGGCTTGCGCATCTCCGCGGAGGTGAGGACCTCCAAGAGCGAGGACGCGAGCGGGATGTAGGTGCCTGTGGCGCGGGACACGCGCAGCAGGGCGCGGGTCATCTGGAAGCGGAGGGGGAAGTACTGCGCAGTTGGGATGAGGCGCATGGCGCCGAGGGTGATCTGGACGACGGGGTAGATGAGCGGGCGCAGGGCAGACTGCTTGCCGGACTGGGCTTCGACGAGGCCATCGCAGTGCTGGGAGAGCACACGCGACCAGAAATCGAGCGAGTGCACGTATTGCCAGTTGTAGATGGTCTTGTAGGACTCCTTCGAAGTGTTGGTGATGCTGCTGCGGAGGTGCATGGCCAATTGCCGGATGAAAGAGAAGCCAGTGGTGTAAGAGACGTTCTGGTCGATACCCCAGATCTCGGCCGCCGAGTTCTTCATCAAGTTGACTCCAGCCAGGGTGTGTACAGTGGTGTTGCGGCTACCCTTGACGACACCCTCATAAGTGGCCTTGAGCACAGTCTCCTTGATACCAGCGTCGCCGAGGACCATGAGACGGCGCAGCAAGAGGAAGGCAGTGATACGAGTGGCATCAGCGGTGGAGACATCGGCCCAGATTCCGACAACAGTCTTGATTAGAGTCTTCAGAACCTTGCGGAACTGAAGGAGATAAGGAAGCATAGGCTCCATCGCCGAGAGGGTCAACTTGAGGGTCGACGCATCGGACAGGTTGATGAGCAGCTGGTGAACGGAGGAAGTGTATGATTTAATGAGGGGAGTCATGGTCTTGAACTTCTTCGAGTCCAACGAAACCCGAATCTTGCCCGATGCAGTCTCCTTAACTGGGAGATGGTGTCCCAGAACTTTAGGGACGATATTCAGGGCCGTCACAAGGACCTGGTGGTAGACTTCCGGGTCCGAGATAGTGTACTTCTGCTCGGGGGCCTCAGCATCGTTCATAAAGGCTGCAGATCGGAAGGCAAGGACAGTCTGGCGCATGGCTCGGATCGAATGTTGCTCCTCCATCAAAGTCTGCCACTTCTTGACCATGGGGATGGTCAAGGTGTTATCGATGACATTCTCCTCCTCCTCTTCCTCCTCTGCTTGCTTGGACTTCTTCTTTTTCTTTTTCGCAGGGCCCTCATCAGCAGCTTCGCCCTCGCTCAATTCGTCGACTTCTGCGAGGTCGCCGTGGTCGCCGAAGTCCAGAAGCTCTGCATCATTCTCCTTCAGGTACTTGTAGAACTCGGGATCCTTCTCCTTCAACGCCTCTAGCTGGGCGTTATGTTCGTCAAATCCATTGGCACTGCTTGCATCGTCGTCATCGCTGGCTTCAGAGGCTTCTTCGTCGTCTTGGGCCTGGTCGGCCGCGCGCTTGCGCTTGCCAATCTTGGGGGTAACGTCCTTCTTGCTGGCCTTCTTCTTGCCGCTAGTCGGATCAGCGATTTCAAAGCCGCCAGCAAAGAAGTCATCGACGTTCATTTCCGCAAAAGCATCCTGCTTCTTGACCTCCTCGGGGTCCGGCTCGGCATCGTCTTCGGCATCGCGTCGGCTGGCTTTGCGCTTCTCGTTCAGCTGGTGGCGCTGCTTGATCTTGGCGGAAGCCTTTCGTCGTTCAAGGGTGTCTTTGAGATGGTGTTTCTCAAACTTTTTGGTCGACTTCTTCATTCCACCCATGGTGAGAAATTGGTTTGCAGACAATAAGCTGCGTCTGCGATTTGATGAGCCGCTTGAAGAAAAAAAATTTGGCTCGGGGAATATCAGCGGGTCCGCCTTCGTTACCGCCTTTGGAGCTGGCGATAAGACGGAGCTCCGCTCCGCCTCTGGGTGAACTCGCTGGCCGATTGACTCGCATTACAACCTCGTTTCCTTTTCTTTCTGCTGCTTTCAAAAATGTATACACAGCGTCCACTGTCTTATGCGCCCACTCCTTACAGCTTTACACCAAACCCAGCGCGATCAGCCACGATCAATCTCGATGAAGTATGCTCGGTGGCATGAACGCGGGGAAAAGGGTCTCCTGCTAACGAATGCTTTAGGAAGTCAAACTGGTTTCCAGCTCGGGAGAACGTGACCTCTACGAATCGCTAGCCGAGATCTACAGTATAATTATAACTTTGGATGGACTCGAGAAAGCCTACATCAAAGACGTGGTCACGGAAGCGGAATATACAGAGACATGCACAAGGCTTCTGAAGCAGTACAAATCTAGTCTAGGCGACGAGTCGGTCTCACGAGAATTCGTTGACTTGGATACTTTCAAGAGAACATGGGGTGTACGTGTGCCTGGTTCATCTCTGATAATATTGGCAGTCAGTCACTGACATTCTATCTAGTTGGAGTGCCCGCGGGCGACTGAGCGACTGCGCATCGGCCTCCCCGCAACTGTCGAGCAAGCCTCGCATGGTGCTCCTACTGCCGGAAATGCCGTGGCGGGGAGTGCTGCTGCTGGTGCATCAGGAAGTCTCATTCTTGCGGCAACAGAGAATTTTATCACATTCCTCGACGCATTGAAGTTGAACATGGTGTCAAAGGATGCGCTGCATCCTTTGCTATCGGAAGTAATCCAGTCAGTCAATAAAGTGACAGACGGGGAATTCGAAAACCGAGGCAAGATCATTCAATGGTTGATCGCCCTCAATCAAATGCGGGCAACAGAGGAACTGAGCGAGGACCAAGCTCGAGAATTGTCTTTCGATATTGAACAGGCTTACCAAGGCTTCAAGGCAACCTTGAATTGAGTAGCTACATCGCATTTTTATCCCGGCGTTCGGTTTGACAGGTTATGATATGATGATAGATACCACTGATTAATCCATTATCTTCTTGAAGCATCTGATCCGTGAAGCATCTGATCCGATCCAATCAAGTCCAATACACATAGACTCTTTTCATTCTATTGGGCCCGGAATTTTAAACTATATTCCGACCCTTTTATTTCTTTCCAATAAGCAATGAGGATGTACTATAATGAAAAAATTTTTATTACATTTCAGTTCCCTGATCCGTTAAACAGATAGGTCGGGTCGGCCTTCTTGCCTTGTTAATCAGGCCAACACTGATCCGCGGAGCCGGAGCCCGCCTTTCCTCTTTGGGATTTTTCTTTTCGCTGTTTTTCGCGTGGCGCCGGGCTTCAATTGTTGGCCCCGTTGGCTCCGCAGATAAATCCCCAGTGCCAACCAGCACCCTCTCTCTGTCTTGCTTCCTCGTGCTTGGAGACAAGAGACTCGGTACCTCGCCTATCATGATTAGTACCACGGCCGACGAGCCACTTCACGGTCAGTCCTTCGATCTACTCCATCCCGGTCCACAAAAGATAGTGGGAGTGGAACTGATAAGAAACCGCGCCACCAGTGCTCGACTTGCCCCAGATCTACGAGAAGCCCTCGGGGACCGATCTCATCAAGGCTCTTGCCCTGTTGACTCTGCAGCCACGGACATTCGGCACCAGCGCAGATGCGGTCAAGGGTCCAGCGGTGCAGCCGGCAGGAGTGGCTCGGTATCTGACCTCGATCATCTCGAGTCCGCTATCGTGGCTGGAGACCGAAGAATTGCGGGAGGCAGTGTGGGATGCGGCGTCGGCTCGTCTGAGCGAGCGTTCAGGCCGTACTGGTAAGCGCTGTTTGTTGCTATGACTCGTATGGATTTTGCTGAACTCCTGCCCTCACGGGATAGCCATGCCAGCCATGTCTCGCATCTTCAACATACCCACCTCCTCAGGCGAGGATTACACCCTCACTTTGCATGAGCCGTCGCTCACGTCGGACAATCTCGGAATGAAAACCTGGGTATCATCCTACCTACTCTCCCATCGGCTTCATAGGCTCCTCGAGTCGCCACCACAACTTGTCCCTGCGGGAACGACAAATCCCTCGACGGTGTCAAACCAGAACAATAAGCCGATGCGGGCCCTTGAACTAGGTTCTGGAACCGGTCTCGTTGGCTTGTCCTTTGCGGCACTAACGGGCAAGTCGGCCACGGTCCACCTATCCGATCTCCCGGAAATCGTGCCCAATCTCGCCCACAACGCCGCGCTCAATGTAGAGCTTCTGAACAAAACAGAGGGAACTGTGACGACTGGTGTGCTTGACTGGTCTGTCACACCAACGCCATCGCCCACGGCGGACGAGCGTTTCGATGTGATCCTCGCTGCCGATCCTCTGTACTCACCCAAGCATCCGAAATGGCTCGTGGATACAATTAGCCCCTGGCTCAGCAAGGGATTGGATGCCCGAGTCGTGACGGAAATGCCTCTGCGTGATGCATATCTGCCTCAGGTGCAGGAATTTCGCCAGCGGATGACTGATTTGGGCCTCGTGGTAGTTGAAGAAGGCGAGGAGACTGGTTATGACGACTGGGAAAGCGCCAGTGGCGAGGCTCTGGCTGTCAAGTGCTGGTGGTCGGTTTGGGGATGGAGTGAGAAGGTATGACTGGCGACTGGAAACGGCCAGTTGCGACGATATGAGACCACGAATAGACGATACACGATAGATTAGCAAGTCTCTAGATCATAGATGACTAGACCACAGTATAGAGCTGAATATAAATATTCCTCGATATTCCTCGATATTCCTCGATGTTTCACGATGAAAGGCGCTTTTGATGCTTTAGTGTGTGGTCGAATGATTAAAAGACTGCAACATTGAGATGAAGAACGTGCACGCGAGCAACATCACGTGTGGGGCAATGACGTCGGTCCATGGAGCCCCTCAACGCCCCGAGAAAAAGATGCCTTGGACACACACTCCATGGATTGAAGTTTTGCGTCGTTGATACACATGTTACCAGTCAGCATATTGTATTCTCGAATTTGTGCCTCATGAGCCGACCCTTCAATTTCCCCAAGTTAACGTTGACGCCAAGGTGAAATGTATAGTCCACCGACATCCTGAATCGCAACTCGCAATAAATCGCTACAGCCAGAAATCCTTCGCTGTCAACAAAATTTCGTCGTCGCACACATATTTCTCAAGCTGCAACATATCTGTCTAAATCCTACATTTTTTCCAGCATTCACTATGGTCATCGGGCTGCTAGTACTCACGGCTATCCCGACTACCACGGGTGTGGCATTTGGCGTCAGCGAGCAACGCAAGGCCAACCAGCGCAAGGAAGATGCGCGGCGGATGATGAAGTTCAATATTGATGCGCAATGTGATGGCGACACAGATGATGACCGCGACGTACATGGTAGGAGGGTAGTGGTCCGGAATGATAAGGTTTGTATCCCCTTCTATCCCCTTCATGCCCATACTTCAGTGTCATTGAGATCCTCCGCGGTATTCTTTTTTTGCAATGAGCACTACTAATCATTCTCATTTCCTTAGGTATATCTCGACCATCCAAATCCTACAGATCGCGCCATCTCCGCCTTCACTGCATTGGCATTCTATATTGAGTATCCGGAACTTGAAGAAACCAAACATCTCGACAGAGGGCTTGGCCTCCCCACTTACGTCTCCGCCAACCCACCGCTACTGAATTGGATTTACGCCGATACAGAGACTCATGAGTTGAAATACGGGAACCGGTCGCAAAGTGTGGAGCACATTGTAGGGCCGTGGGACTGGACTGAAGATGAGAAAGTGATCACACTCGAGGAAAAGCATTCATTTGTCGCCGTAGAAGAAGAGGAAGGAGAATGGGCACTATATTACGATCGTGACGGGGATGAACTTGCCGCTGTGTTGGAGGAACAAGGGAAGCTGGACTGTGCATTTGTGCCGGTTAACCTTGTGAGAAGGATCGCAGAGGAACCGCCACCTGGACCACAGCAAAGTCAAGCTCAGAATGGGAATTCAAGCGGAGGTGGAGGACAGAATTAATGGAAATAGCCATGATTGATTGTTTTGATGTCGGACATATTGATAATTAAACACATGGTATACCCCTAGGGTCGCCCTTCTAGGACACTTTCGATAGTATCATATAGATTGCCAAAGGCTCTTGCATTTAATCCTCCATTCCCTCCCAGCTGCCAGCGTCGCTTTCATTGCCCTCGGCCGCAGCAGCATTAGCTTTTCGGTTGCGACTGGCATTGATGGCACCCTTCTTGCGGTTCTCTAGGCGGCGCTCAAATCCGCTCTTTGTACTAATTCTCATTCCACGCGTGCCCTTGCCGTCACCCTGATCTTTGCCGACCTGCTTGGAGACCTGGCGTGCCTTAACACCGTGCTTCTTAAGCTCCTTCTTGTCCTTCTTGCTGAGATCTGGCAGAGAATCAAGTAGCCACTTCTGGATAGACTTCTCGCCTTCAGTTCCGCGGAGTTTCTCGCTAACATCAATAATGTTGGCAATGCTCTTGACGTAGGGGATGTCCTCCTTAGTGTAATAGGTTACCGCAATACCACCCTCGCGACCGGCACGGCCCGTTCGGCCGACACGATGTACGTAGACGGCGGCAGAGTTGGGAATATCGTAGTTTACAACGCCGTTGATACCACGGAAGTCGACACCACGAGCAAGAAGATCGGTGGTCACCAGAATCCAAATTTCGCCCTTGCGGAAATCACGCATGATATCGGACCGCTGGATGTCAGAGAGGTCGGAATGAAGTACAGCGATACGTGATGAGCCGCCAGCTTCGGCAGGAATGTCGTATTTCAATTCAGAGTGGAGAGCAATAGCACGGGGAATCGTTTGCGTAAAAATGAGGAATGGTGGTCGGAGGCGGACATCTGAAGCTGTGGCCGCTGTCGGGCGAAGGAGCTGGCGAAGACCAAGCAGCTTTCCTTGCTCCGTCGCGGCGTAGACCAGTCGGTGGTCGATATTAGGGATTGCGGAGTCCTTCAGGCCAACAACGAGGCGCACGAGTGGATGAAGCGTGGCACTTGGTAGACCAAGGTCTTCTAGTCGCTCTTTGATGGTTGATCGGGTAAGATCTTCGACATTGGAGCCCATGGTAGCGGACCAGAGGCTCACACGAAGCTCCGGGTGAACACACGAGCGCCAGATGTCAAGTGTTTGTTCTCGGAAAAGCGGATCCAGTAGTACGTCTGCTTCGTCGAGAACCAAGCTTCGGACTAAGGGTAGATTTGCCATACTGGCAGTTTGGTTTAACGACAATGCATTGACCAGCTGTAGAGGCGTGGTGACGAGGATGTCACTCTTAGTGAGAGGTGTGTTTTTCTGGGCCTTCTTTGGTTTGCTGTCATCTTCCTCTTCGTCGGATGCCGAGGAGACATCACTGTCCTCGTTAAGAACATCGGCGTCACCTTGGCCATCCCGATCCACAACTCGCATACCCTTCTTCATTAAAGTGATTTTCACGCCAGTTCCCGCCACTAGCTTGCGGCCTTCATTGACAATCTGGCTTGCAAGCTCTTTGGTTGGCGCCACGACCACCGCCAAAATCCCATGCTCGTCGGTTTGTGAGTGGTGGTGCCGGACAATCTTGTTGATCACTGGAATCAGGAATGAAAGTGTCTTTCCACTACCTGTAGGCGCCACGACCAGCAAATCTGGTTCTGAGGCACTATCTTCAGTCGAGGCTGTATGATCGCCCAATAACAGAGGCAGAGTTCCCAGCTGCACTTCCGTGGGCACTGTAAACCCTTGATCGGCGACGTTCTCTGCCAACCGTCGGGAAATCTTGTATTTAGAGCGCAGCTCCTTGAACGAAGTCAGCGGCTGCGGGTACAAGCGCCGTGCGCGCTTTTGCTCCTTCTTGCTGAGAACGGGCGTCTTGTCCTTCTTCTGCTTCTTCTCTTTCTTCTTAGATGCCTTGGCCGGTTCCGGCTGAGGCTGGATCTGATCCAAGTCGCGCATATCTGTCACTTTGATCTTATGCGAGTTCAAGATAGTGCGACGCTCGACTTCGTCCATCGAATCCTCCTCATCCTCCTCATCATCGAGATCGGGTCTCTGGCCCTGGTGGTCCTTGGCGTCTGCGGAGGCTTCTTCCTTCGCTGTTGCAGAGCGTTTTGTGGAATGGAAAAAGTCCAGATCCGCAACATCCTCACCCTCTTTGTCTTCGGAACAAGGCACTCTTTTTCTTTTCTTGCTACTCTTCTGCGACTCGAGCTTTTCGCCCGCAACGGTCCGGAAGAGCTGTGGGTTTGCCGCTTTGCCCGCGGAGGGTAAACGAGCTGCAGATTCTGCAGCCGGCCCAGCGGCCGACTTGAATTTTGTTGACCGAGTCAACAATCTGAAAGCATCCATGCTGAACGTGAAGGTGTGTCGTGAACTGGACTTGGACATTGATATGGCAGAAAAAAAAGTTGACCCGCCGCATCGCCGCTCGGGCCAATCAGCATTGCCGGACAGCCCACCGCGCAAGTCAACGCCGGAGCCACAATGGTCTCATGTTTTCTATGAGCGAGTAATTTGAAATGACTCAATTGTTCATCAAGCCCGTTTTATAAAATCGTTTTATGTATTTGGCTACACTTAAACAGTACGCTTGTCTGCGGCTGTCTCGATCAGCAAACCTCTGACAAGAATACGGTGGAGTACGAAATCCAAAGTACAGATGAGAGTGATTCTACGAAAGCATGCAAAATGTCATGGCGCTCTTGAAGCAGGGTCAAATGATTTGAAATGGAATCAATTCTATTTCAGACAACAGTTTATATTCCATCGTCTATCATACAGAGTACAACACGCAGAGGAAAGAAGGGAACATAGGAAATAGGAGCGTTTATGGGGAAAGAAAGGACGAGTTTCCAAGTTTAGTGGTGTGCAGCCTCGCCCCGGTAGCCAACAATGTTCATGCGACCAACCATCTCACCGACGGTGAAGAAACCGATGACCTCAGCGACGGTAACACCGACCAGAGCGATCTCCTTAGCGTTGGCGTTACGGACACGGCCGAGGAAACCCTGGGGAGAGGGGGCGGAGAGGTTCTTGATGGCGGCAGGGTTGCGGGCGACGTTGATCAGGGGCTGGAAGTAGGACTGGAAGGTAGCCATGGAGCTGAAAGAAAAAGTTACAGTTAGAATGAGCCCGTGGAGAGGAAATATCCTTGACAGTGACTTACGGAGGGGCCATGCCCTGGCCACGGAACACCAGCTTGCCAAGCTCAAGGCCAACCTTGGAGTAGTAGACGGTGGGGGGGATCATGGCTAGAGTAGATATCAAAGTCAGTCATGTCGTACGGGAAGAATAGAGTCAAAGGGTTGGTTTGTCAACAGGGAGGCCGCGGCAAACACGACGAGCAACTTTCATCGGGGTGATTGGAAACTCCCAGTCTCCTCATCTCCGCCGATCCCAAGTATCTCAATCCAGGGTAGGTAATCTCATGAAGGGAAGGGAGGGCTGAACGGGTTTATCTCTTACAGTCGACGAACGAAACGACCTTGCCGACGGGGCCGCCGACCTTACGCAGGGCGGAAGCGGCGTTGGAGAGAGCCGGGCCAGCGGCAGCAGTGGCCTTTGACAGACCCTCCTGAGCCTTAGAAGCAGCATTTGAGGCAGTCTGGCCAGCCTTGGAGGCGGCCTCCGAGGTGGAAGAGGAATGTCTGACGACGGTTCTCCGGGTCAGGAACTGCGATTGCCGCAGGACGGCACGAGTGGCAGCGGGCATCTTGGGGAGTGCGAGGATGGTGAGGAAGGAGTGGAATATGAAAGGACCAAGCACAGATCACCCTGGGCAGTCGCTGGTGGAAGGACGGATCCAATGGCGGTTTTTAGTCTGGCGCAACGACAGAACCAGAATCTGCGGATTGAAGACTCGGGAACTTCAGGGAAGAGTGGTCACGTGAGCGATCAGTCAAGGTCCTATATTTTGAGTAAACATAGGCCATTGAACGAGGATTACTACTACTTTTATCTTTATTTTTTCGCAATTGAGAAAATTTTTGTCTTTTAAAGGCGCAAAGTCATTAAAAAGTCGTCCATGTGGAACGCAGTGTACCGTTTTCAAATGTACCTGCGTCTGGCTATACAATGGCGCTATTTGCGACCATCCGCGCTCGGACCACTCTAGAGTATTGATCAATGACATGAGTTTTCAAATAAATATAGCATGGTAGGCTGTGACTTCGCTGTCTGACGCTGGAATGTAGTTGTGTTCTTTAATCTTAGTGAGCTTACATTGAATGAATAGATATCAATTTGGTAAATGAAAAGTACAGAGAATGTTGGAACCCATAATTACTAGTGACAACACTTTTAGCAGAATGTATCTTAACTGTCAACCCTCTCACTTTTAGAGATCTTCAGATGTCCTCGTCCATTTCATCCGGCAACTGAACTGGGCCATCGCTGACAGGCAAGTCCATTGACCATCTGTTTGTTTCTTTTAGCTCGAGTTTCTCCCATAAACCCCGAAGCATTGAATCTCCCGTGGGAAACTGAAGTTCTTACATCAAATCTCTTGACCACTTGTCATTAGCACAGTTTGACTGAAATTTGTATGAAATCTTGTCCGCAGTGCAAGTATCAAGAGCAATAGCGGCCGCGTTCATCGCTGCCTTCAAAGATCCTGCATATCTGTGCTCGTAGAATTCATGGAGATTTGGCTCGGAAGAAACAGCATTGATGACAGAATCGCTGAATGTCCTATAGAAGCCCCGGCGGACTCTAAAGTAGAAATATCGACCCACCTTTTTGAAAATTGAATAAGCAAGTCATAGAGCATTCCCATGCGGAGGCCATTGTATGCCCCTACAGGAATTTGCCACCGACGCAGGTAAGAGTAAAAGGTGCTCGAAATTTCACGATCCACCCAAGCTAGAGAAATTGCCAGGGGCTGTTGTACAAGCATTCGCCGCCAACTAGCACACGGTCTTAGAAATGCATCGTTCCTGTCAAGAATGTCTTCCATACTCATAGCCTCGAATGTCATTTTATAGGACCCGAGATCATCGGAGGGAAATCAGTATGGGAACTTGGCAACTAGGAGAGATTTTTCAGTTATTTAAATTGCTTAGTGGTATAGGCTGATAGTATCAAGCTTGCTGGATGGCAGGTGACTGTTGAATATAGTGCAACCAGTGCTGAGAGACCCGCTGCTCTAGGAGAAGCGTTTGTTGATCTAACAGCACCAATATGGCCTGTAGGAGCTCGGTCGGGAGGCTTTCAAGCCCCATTTCTTTCTTGTGACGGATGAATCATGCCTGGCTGTCAAGAAAAGTGCCCTTATATGAAATAGATCAAGATGTTCAAGTTCAAATTGTTGGTGTTTGCTTATGTAATTACCATGTTGTCTTGGGCTAGTTAGTTGACTATAAAGCATCGAAAAGCTTCGATAATTTTGAAGGAGAACCGACGATTGACTGACATATTATCACCGTGCTGTTGACCTTGACCCTGTTACTGCGAGAGGCTAACAGGGTACGTTGCAGATATTGTGTGCTACTAATTGGACTCAGCCACATCGACGCGCTCAGCGTCGATATAGTAGTCTTTTTAGCACACCCTTCCAGGTCACATGGCCAGGTGTTTCCCTTTACAATAAGGCTAGATGATCTTTTCTGATAATCATTCTGGAATTCTAGTAAAAAAAAGTCTATAACGATCGATTATTTCTCTAGGGAGGAAAGTAGTCGGCGTAGCCATTTCACTAAATATTAATTTTATGGTTACAAATTATTCCCTACCTATACTGATTAATTCTAAGTGTTTTTACTCTCATTTTCGGTAGTAGCACTTCACGACTATGATACCTAGTAGATTCTTCGGTCTGGCGTTCGAGGTAGCTATTTAAGGCTACTGGACGGCGAAGCCCGGCTCGCCGTTCAAAGTTATGGTGGAAAAAGTCGTTTCTGACTTCAAAAGCGGTCATTTTCGGCGTCAGTTTCGCAGGTCCTCATATGATATTTATCAATATCATACTTGCCAGATTAAAATGAGGTCAATTATGAACACTGGCAGCCGGTCAAATGTGATATGTGATATGATCTGGGTCCATAATCTGGCTTGGGCATTTCTACCCTCGTCTGTCCATTTATCTATGTCTAAATAAGCATCACGATAACTCAGGAGTATGACGTCCAGTACCCAGCCACTTTTATTGGCATGTATTACACGGTATCACCTGGCGGACATCCTCGGAGAAAATCCATTTCGCGCATCCCCCTCCCCCCCTTCCCTTTCAGGATATCCCGTATCTCTCTTGACTAGGGTAGGAGGAGAATCTGTTTCAGGCCATCGAATCCCGCCATCGTTATCAATATACAGATAGATCAGCAATATCAAACAAAGCCGGTCCTCCCTACATATGCTTGTTCGGCCTGCACTGCCTATCTGTTTGGCGTGTTTGCAGCCAGTGGGGTAGCATCCACCGTGCCAGGTCACCCAATGAAGCCAACTGGGCCAACTGCAACGACGGCTCAGGAACGCCAAAAAATCCATCAACCGGGACTCGCCACCGGAGAATTGCCACTTCCGGGGGCCAACTAGAAGGATTCCAGAAGCTGCTTGGTCCGGATCCTAGCCCATTAGAGGGGAGCGCCTGAAGGAGTCTATTGACGAGGGAGGGGGAATAGGCGATCGTATAGGTGCATCTTGAATTCTCCTGGACTGGTGATATGAAAGCTTCCGGTGCGTCGTCGGGAATGCAAATGTAGGTGGCCATAATCACCGCATGACCGAGCCTCGATGGATTCAATGGGGCCACAGTGCACCCGTCCTGTGCTGCTATCCTGAATTTACCCGATAGCCGACTGTCGGACTCGGCCCGGTCGCCGGGCCAGAAGTCGATTATTTGAGCAACGTGGGCTGTGGGTGGGCGACCAAGTGCCCCAGAGTCCAGCGGGTTCGGGCTTCCTAGTGGGGGGAGCATCAGGCAGGTGAGCCCCGCGCGGTTAAAATCGAATTGGAGTCTGCCCCCTCCATCTCCACTTTTTTTTCGCGGAGGTGGAGAGAGCAGCGGAATCGTAGGCTGGTGTGACGGAGGAAGAGGTCCGCGATGGAGAAAACCTGCACCGATGAGGTGTTTCGATGCGGCCCTTCTGATCACCTGCTCCGGCAGAATTCTTCTATTTAAATCCGTACGCGCCAGACGCGATCTAGTCTGAGATCTTCCCTTTCCTTTCAATCTCTTGCAATTCCCCTCGACCCTGCCCTTCACCGACTCTCCCTCTGGTTTCATATCTCTCGCTCAACCATGTCTTCCGCGACAACTGTCACCAAGACCAATATCGGTGTCTACACCAACCCCAACCATGATCTGTGGATCGCCGAAACCACTCCGAAAGTCGAGGATGTGCAGAGCGGGAAGGGCCTGAAGCCCGGCGAAGTCACCATTGAGGTGCGTAGCACAGGCATTTGCGGGTAAGTCAAGTTCAGTTCAACCATCCGAAACCGAGGGAGAACGAAGAGCAGCATAAATCCCAGGAATGAGGCAGTAAATTAACCACAATCTACTTTCTCATCATAGATCGGATGTGCACTTCTGGCATGCGGGCTGCATTGGCCCTATGATTGTCACTGGCGACCATGTCCTGGGTCACGAATCTGCCGGTCAGATTGTGGCCGTTGCCTCGGATGTCACCTCCCTGAAGCCCGGCGACCGTGTCGCCATTGAGCCCAACATTATCTGCAATGCCTGTGAGCCCTGTCTGACCGGCCGCTATAACGGTTGCGAGCGCGTCGCCTTCCTGTCTACCCCTCCCGTCGATGGTCTGCTGCGCCGATACGTCAACCACCCTGCCATCTGGTGCCACAAGATCGGCGACATGAGCTATGAGGATGGAGCCCTGCTGGAGCCACTCAGCGTGACTCTAGCTGCCGTCGAGCGCAGCGGGCTGCGTCTTGGTGACCCTCTGCTCATCACCGGTGCTGGTCCCATTGGCTTGATCTCGCTACTCAGCGCACGGGCTGCCGGCGCCTGTCCCATCGTGATCACTGATATTGATGAGGGCCGTTTGGCCTTCGCCAAGTCCCTGGTCCCAGAGGTCCGCACCTACAAGGTGCAGATCGGCCTATCAGCAGAGGAGTCTGCGGCGGGCATCATCAACACTATGAATGATGGCCGGGGGTCTGGCCCAGATGCGCTGCGCCCCAAGCTGTGCCTGGAGTGCACTGGTGTGGAGAGCAGCGTCAACTCAGCGATCTGGAGTATGAAGTTTGGTGGCAAGGTGTTTGTCATTGGCGTTGGCAAGAACGAAATGAACATTCCCTTCATGCGTCTCAGCACTCAGGAAATTGACCTGCAGTACCAGTACCGGTACTGCAACACCTGGCCGCGGGCCATTCGTCTAGTGCAGAACGGTGTTATTGACCTGCGCAAACTGGTCACTCATCGCTTTGCGCTGGAGGATGCTCTGAAGGCATTTGAGACGGCAGCCAACCCAAAGACCGGGGCTATCAAGGTGCAGATCATGAGCTCGGAGGAGGATGTCAAGGCTGCTTCGGCAGGTCAGAAGATTTAGGAGGGTTGTTTGAGAGAATACGAAAGACGACCGGGGGAGATGAACGGCGCGGAGTTTACAATTACTGCACCTGCTGAGCATGGTGGTTGGAGAATCAGGCGAACGGTTGTGCGGCTGATGAACTTAATACATGACACGAATGATGTCTAGAGATGCCTTTCCAGGGAGGCACCATAGAGCCATGAAATGAATTTCCTTTTCTGTTCGCTTATGTTTCATGTAGAAATGAAGATAAACTCCAGAGAAGTGCAAAACCAGCTTCACCAATTTCCACTCGCTCACTCTTTCTGGGCCCCACCACCAAGACTTTAGTTTAAGAAATGGGTGTGTTAGAGTGTTCGCTGTTCATGACGCCATGAGCGATCTTCTTGGCCGTGGATGGATTGACGAAATACTGTAAGCGAACGTTCTCCTTACCTTAATTCGGATTTTATAGGTCAAAAGGTCCATGTTACTACTTTTAAGACCCCCGGCGATGGACTGTTGACAGGTCATCCCTGATACATTGTAGTGCCCTCTGACGGCGGGTAATACTGCCTGATAATCCAGGCGCGAGCCATATATAACTTGATGCTGGGCGCACTAATACCATCTTGGCCCCCGGGATTATATTCCGCTCTAGCGCTTAGGATTGTGTGACTCACATCTTTTTCAGCTTTATAGAAATAGGCTTGATAGCCTTTCGCCTTTGCGAAACTTCATATCTCCCGTCCTTTGTTTACCTCAGCTCAATGTCCCCGTCGTTCCGAAGTGTGCGAAGTGAGTATATGTTTGATGTCTATTGCGCAGTTTGCGGAGCCAGCTTTTCTATCCCCCGCTTCGATAGAAGTATCAATGAGGGTATAGATAACAATATTTGCCCTCGTCGGCATGAAATGGAGTGGCTAAGTAATGCGCGTGTCTTGTTCAATGCTAGATTATACCCTCGCGTCGGAAAAGAGTAAGTTTGACGAAGGCCTCCCGTGAAAGCCCCCTAAAAACAAACATCATTAACACTTACCGCCCTACATGTGTAGTTTTTACACTGCTCCGTATGCTGAACTTATAGATGGCTTTTGGTTCAACCTCAGAGACCCGCTGGGAAAAGATGAATCACAAATGAAACGTGAACGAGTGTGAGCTTAATCCAGCCAAGCCTAGAGACTTTAATGACATTTTCCTGGTATAGCTATGATAAGCACTGGTGCACAATTAAATTCCCAATTCATACCGCGTGTTATGAGCTTTTGTCTCAGTTTCTTTGTGATCAATCAAAGGATTTGGACTCAGACGCTAAATATGCCGAAATCTTATTCCAAACACTAAGGTCGTTCTCGGACGGGCACAATCACAGAGGTTGGACAACCCGCTTACCTAACTTGAACTATGGCGCTATCTCCCAGCAACAGGGGAAATTTTGGAATCCGACGGTACACACAAAAGCATGGGCGATAAGTCCACTTGACCCGTGCTCGAACTTGCAAAGATACTATGAAAATCCCCCGGTCCGAAAGTCAAGGAATGAAGATGATGATCTACGCAATTTTCACTCTGAGGCTCGCAGTCCCGACAGAGATCCTTTTTCCAGACTACCTGAAGAGCTTATTATGATTATCTCGGTATTCCTGGACATGGAATCATTCATCAGCTTCAGGATATCAAGTCCCGCTGTGGCTCGGTTTGAGATGGGGAACGGTTTCTGGAAAGAGAGACTTACAAAAGATATGCCATGGCTTTGGGATTTCCCATTTCAAGAGCTCTCGAGAATAGAGGCGGATATTGACTGGCCACAAGTGTATAAAGACATTGTATCGAGAAGCAAATTGGGCGCTGATTTGAGTTTCGATACACTGGTCAATCGCAGTCGAATTTGGGCTATATGCGGTCAAATTGGACAGCGTTTTGCCCAGACTATGGAAGAAACGTCTTAAGGTATTAGGCTTGGCTCTTGTCAGCATCGCTATGTTCATCCCCCAGCGTCATCTCCCCCCGGGAAGGCCAACATGTGCTTGGCAGACTTAGCAAATAGACTATTTACATCAGTGCCTCTTGGAAACTATGAACTGGGATTATGTGCCTATCTTACGTCTATCACGCCTTCCAACTTCCCAATATCTATATTTCATTTAAAAAGGTGGGCATTATAGGCCATTCCCACCATCAGAGAACTATAAAGCCTTTGAATCTATGGTACAGAGTCACATATTCAAGTCTGATAAAAGTACCTCTGCTCTACCTGCAAGGACAAGACGAATAAAGATTTATATCTCGCAAGGCTCTGAGTAACGCCCCTCACCTCTATGCGTTTCAGAGGTCATTTTAAGGCTCGGAATCCTAATTTCCTCATTAGGCTATTTCCCTTTCCTGGATCAAGTCTCGCTTCTAAAGCGCTCGGTGCCGAGAACAGACTATTCATCTAATAAGACACGGCACGAAAGCCTATACTCCCGTAGATAGGCGCGAGAACAACTTAAGTAGAAAACTTAGTGTTCGGTTAGGCTTTTCTGGCGAGATAAAGAGTAAAGAGGGGTAGGTTAGGCGCCAGGCGTGAGGCTATGGTCTTAAGTGTATCTCACATGTCAATATGAATAATCATGCGTTTCCTTAAATTAGTGGAAAGACAAGGCTACCGATATAGGGAGACTTATTCACGAGAAAGAAGAACTACAGTTTTATACATCCAGGGAAATACCACGAGTTAATTCTATCGTACATGAGAAAACATCGAGAGAGCCTGTCGAGTGGGTACGTAATGTACAGAGGGCTATATAAACACACCCATTTCTTCACCTAGCGCTTTGGCTGTGGGGCCTAGAAATAGTATGAGAGTGAAAAATGGTGCAGCTGGTTTTGCAGTTATCTGTATGGAGGCTCATGTTGGATCCGGTTGATCATACTTCAAGACACAACTACAGTGAGGTCTCTTATAGACCAATATGCAGAGGACCTAGTGAGTCAAAATTCACCTGTGCGGGCCTTCTCTCAGCTTGATCATCATGGTCAGAGATATCAAGGTAGCCTGGGGAGTTCGGGGTATACATGATGTCTCTTTACGGGTAGGAATGCTTGTTCATATACCAGAGGCGGACGGGGCGGAGCCTGTTTAGCCATCGTAGTATTCCAATGCAAGGGTCAAAAAGATCACAATGCATAATAAAGCAGGGTTTTCTAACAATTCAGGTGCTGTGGTCCAATGGTTAAGATGACTCGTTGTGGCCGAGTTGGTCCCGGTTCGATTCCGGGCAGCGCCAAATCTTATTTTTGCTGTAGTTTAAGTTGGCTGCATAGCGAGATAAACAGTGTCTTTCTTGTTATTTCTTTTTCCTTTTTGCTGCTTTATTTTTCCTTGATCTCTGGAAGTAAGTTCAAGAGAATAATGGATATAGAGTAGCATGAGAAATGATCATTGCTCCAGAGATGTGTGTTCCTCGTCCAGCCATTCTTAATTATCAATTCCTTTAGTAGTTACCCCAACGCCATGAACAATATATATATATTAGTCATACCAGGCCACACTACGCAAGCAAATTTACACAGACAACCAACCAACCCCAGAGAGATACTTCTTTCGATACTGATCTTTTAAAAAAACAAACTAGCGTTATCATTGGTGAGCATAGTCGACCCCAGAAAACCTAAACCGCCTCAAGTGCACTAAATACGCCACAATATCGGGGATTTCACTACAGATGCAGGGACCTCCTGGTTTAATACCGCCTAGGCACTGCCGGCAAACACCATGTGTAGTTAATTTGCTCGCTTCCTTGTATTACCATATCCTCTCTCATTTCCTCGGACACAAGTCGGCTCTAAGACGGACCCAAGACGGACTAGTCGGCTAGTTTACAGCCAAGGAAGCATTGTATACGCTCCCAGTAGACCCTGCCGATCGGCCAAGACATGCTGTCCGATAATTGCCCGCGTCTCCGCACATTCTCCCCTCAGTTCCAACCCGTATCGCCAGTTGTGGAACCATGACCTCAAACCAGCTTATAGAGGCAATTCAACATGGAGAACCCCGGTTTAAATGGCTCGGTTGGCTCAGATGGTGCCCAGTTTCTCTCACCTGGCAATCTATTGGTATCACCGTTCCTACTCATCACCTCTTGCTTCCTCTTAATACCCCCTCACTTCGCACGTCGGACATTATTTTCTTCTTCCCTGGCACGTTCTGTCATACCCAATTCCAACCCGACCCTTCACCAGAACAGAACCAAAAGAAGCAAACATAAAAACCCCAACTGGTCCTGTTTCAAATCATACGTCCATCCCCTCATTCTTCCCACCACTGTGCACTCAACGGCGGTCTCAGCTGGATTGCAAACATGTGGGGAGTGCTGCTCTTCCTGGCACCCCTAGCGGGAGCCGCAGCTTTGAGCCCCCGCTCGAGCCTGGAAGATTGTCCTGGCTATAAGGCTTTGAATATCAAGGAGCATGGCCAGTCCCTGACCGCAGATCTGGTTCTTGCAGGCGATCCCTGCAATTCATACGGGACTGACCTGGATAACCTCAAGCTGCTCGTCGAATACCAGACTGGTAAGTATCACCCTTGCATGAGCTCTCTCACACCGAATCACCCAATTACCCAGTCCCCAGAGCCCACCACGACATCTAGTTCGGAAGCTTACTTTGACCCATGCCAGATGATCGGCTCCATATCATCATATATGATGCCGACGAGGAGGTCTACCAAGTCCCCGAGTCCGTGCTCCCGCGTCCCAATGCCCATGGTCATCACAACAAGGGCGATTCGACTCTCCGCTTCGACTACCAGCCTGAGCCCTTTTCTTTTCGCGTGCTGCGCGATGAAGAAGTGCTGTTCGACACCTCTGAAACTAACCTGATCTTCCAGTCTCAGTACCTGAACTTGCGTACGTGGCTGCCAAATGATCCCTACCTGTATGGTCTCGGCGAACACACCGACTCGCTGCGTCTGCCAATTTCAAACTACACCCGTACTCTGTGGAGCCGCGATGCGTATGGCGTGCCGGAAAACACGAACCTGTACGGTAACCACCCAGTTTATGTGGACCACCGCGGTGACGCCGGCACACATGGTGTCTTCTTCTTGAACTCAAATGGCATGGACATCAAGATCGATAAGACCGATGATGGCCGGCAGTTCCTGGAGTACAATACTATTGGTGGAGTCTTGGATTTCTATTTCATGGCTGGTCCCACTCCTAAGGAGGTCAGCAAACAGTATTCAGAAATTGTGGGCTTGCCTGCTATGCAGAGTTACTGGGCCTTTGGCGTATGTCTCCTCCCCCCACACTGCCCCCCGCTCTCCCCCTCTCCACATTATCTACATGCGAAATGTCGATTGACCTAATACTGAGTTTAGTACCATAACTGTCGTTATGGATATCGCGATGTCTATGATGTGGCCGAGGCCGTCTATAATTACAGCCAGGCCCGCATCCCCCTGGAGACTATGTGGACCGATATCGATTATATGGATGGCCGCCGAGTGTTTACCCTGGATCCCCAGCGATTCCCACTTGATAAGATGCGGGAGCTAGTCACCTATCTACACAAACACAACCAACACTACATTGTCATGGTGGATCCCGCAGTCAGCAAAAGCGGTACGTAAGACTTGCTACTTACTCGTTTCTTCCCCAACTTTCAAAAGTTCTTCGAGAGGATTCCCTGACCAGTGTATCACGTTATATAGATAACGGGGCCTTCAACCGAGGCAACGACGATGGAGTCTTTCTCTATCGTGACGACGAGACTTTGTATGAGGGTATGCCAAACCGTTCCTGCGATAGCTTTCCACATACAATTCTCCATATCTAACCAAAGAAATTAGGGGCTGTCTGGCCCGGCGTGACTGTGTACCCGGACTGGTTCAATCCTGACACCCAAGACTACTGGAATGGCGAATTTAGCCGCTTCTTCTCTCGCCGAGATGGCGTTGACATCGATGGCCTCTGGATTGACATGAACGAAGCTGCCAATTTCTGTCCTTGGCCATGCAGTGATCCTGCCGCCTACTCAGAGGAAAACGACTTGCCTCCGGATCCTCCAGCTGTGCGCTCGCCGCCACGCTCTCTGCCCGGCTTCCCGGCTGATTTCCAACCCTCCAAGTTGTCATCGACGAAGCGCTCTGACTCGGCTGGAAAAGTGCGCCGCGATACTAAGGGCAAGAAGGCTGGTCTACCAGGGCGAGACCTTATCGCACCGCCGTATCAGATTGCCAATGCGGCGGGGTCGCTCAGTAACAAGACCATTGATACGGATCTTATTCATGCCGGCACGGGCTATGCTGAGTATGATACTCACAACCTTTATGGCACGAGTTAGTTATGCCTTTTCTTTCCAATTTTCCCAGGGCCCCTCAGTCTACACTCTCCTTTCAAATCTGTTTGTGTGTAGGTCACGCTTACACCAGTCAATATAGTGATGAGCTCCGCCTCGCGCGAGGCCATGCTCCAGCGTCGACCCAACGTCCGACCTCTGGTCATCACCCGTAGCACATTCGCCGGTGCCGGTGCCCATGTCGGTCATTGGTAAGTGTTTCTTCTAGTTCCATATGATTGACAAGGCATCAAGACATACGACCAAGAAACCTCCCATCCCACTAACCACGCAACTAGGCTCGGAGACAACCTCAGCCAATGGGACAAATACCGCATCTCAATTTCTCAGATGCTCGCATTCGCCTCAATCTTCCAGATCCCAATGGTCGGCTCCGACGTCTGCGGCTTTGGCGGCAATACCACCGAAGAGCTCTGTGCCCGCTGGGCCACCCTCGGCGCCTTCAATCCTTTCTACCGCAACCACAACGGAATCGACTCCATCCCGCAAGAATTCTACCGCTGGCCTACCGTCGCCGAAGCTGCCCGCAAGATCATCGACATCCGCTACCGCCTGCTCGACTACCTCTACACGGCTTTCTACCGCCAGACCCAGACAGGCGAGCCATTCCTGCAGCCCTTATTCTACGTCTACCCGCAGGACCCCAACACCTTCGCCAACGAGCTGCAATTCTTCTACGGCGACGCGCTCCTCGTCTCGCCCGTCCCGGATGAGGGCCAGACCACCGTGTCCGCATACTTCCCCAACGACATCTTCTATGAGTGGCACACCGGCGCGGTCGTGCGCGGCCGCGGCGCCACCATCACCATCCCCGACGTCGGCCTGACCGACATCCCGCTGCACATCCGCGGCGGCAGCGTACTACCTCTGCGCGCCAGCAGCGCCATGACCACGACAGAGCTGCGCCGCCGCGGCTTCGAGATCCTGATTGCGCCCAACCTGAGCGGGTACGCGACGGGCGAGCTGTATCTGGACGATGGCGAGGCGCTGGAGCCGAGCAGCTCGTTGCTGGCGACGTTCGTGTATGAGCATGGCACGTTGACGATCCGGGGACATTTCGGCTTCCACCCGAATGTGGTCATTCAGTCTGTGACGGTGCTGGGGCAGCAGCAGCACCACCCGGGTCGGGCCATGCGTCGGGGGGTGGAATATGATGCGGCACGGGGGAGCGTTACGAAGAAGGTCAACATCGCGTTGACGGGGCCGGCGGTCGTGGATATTCTTTGATGAGATGTGAATGGTTTGTCTGGTTACAAGCAGATCAACCAGAGAAAAGGGGAAAGAAAAAAGAACCAAAGAGAGCAGTGGATGGACGTTTGTTGGGGATGAAGATGCTTGGTGGGGGGAGGAGAGGTGGTTCTTTGATATCGTGACATTTACTTTTCGGCCCCTCTTTTTCGATAGTCCGTGAGTCCGTGAGGTCAGACACTTGCGGTTGGCCCGATCTATTCTTAATTCGGGAGAGTTTCTTTCGTGCCTTGTCCCTACCGAATGGGCCGACCCGCTAGTCGAGAGGCTCTGGTCGCTTAGCTGGTCCCGAAAGGAAAAAAAAAATGGAACAGAACATTCAATAAAGTCAATAGTTGAACGAAAGCGTAAACCTTGTCCGCTTGCCGAGTTCCTTTTTTCTTTTCAATTTTTTTTTTCCCTCTCGCCAGGCGACCCGAGCAAAAGCGAAATTGAAGCAGGATCAATACTCCTCCTCAGAGCCTATCCCAAACACAGCCAAGACCCTGACGAGACCCTTAGAGGCGTCCGGCGTGGCGAACGCCTTCGAAGGAAGTAAATAGCGAGGCGCCCTCCTCAAGGAAGAAAGGGAGAATAGACGTGTTCGGCGCGTGGGGCAGGGGACTCGCGGGCGTCTTGGAAGGGTCTACGGGCGTACATTAGGGGTCTCATCCTCATCTCTCGATGAATCATATCATCATATCAGGGTGGAGTCCAAGAGGCGCCATCTGCCTTTGCACGGCCCCCAGCTGCTTGTCCCTATCCAGCTGCCCGACGGGGGGGGGGCCCTGGGAAATGAGCACATCACCAGGGCCCCGTTCCTGTTTTGTGAGGTAAATGCTCATTTCCCAGTCTGGTTCGGTACGCAGAACCCGAGCCTGGGGAACCGTTTCGATCGCAGCCAAGCGGTACCTGCGTTGGACCAACCCAAAATATGGCGAACCCGCATAATTCTGGTCCAAGCCATGCGTATGATTGGATGGGGAGGGGAAATGCGAGGGGCAAAAGGGCATCACGCAGCAACTTGAGACATGGAAGAAGGACGAAAACCAAGAATAATAAAAATAAAAATGAAGATGGTGCAGGTGATGCGGTGAGCTGGGGAAGTAAAGGCAAATAATAATATTAGGGTTGGCTGGTGGTGGGGGGGGTGGGAAGAAGGAGATGAGAGAAGTTTGAAAATACTGAAAATACTATAGGAGTGATAATTAGTGTGCTTAGTAGTTGCTATAGCGAGGACTATGAGGGTGCATATTCATCCTCCCAGACAGTGTGTCGGACGGTGGAAGGGCGGGCGTGGTGAGACTGGTTCTTCTCATAGGAGGAGAGCTAGTGTCAGAATGTTTCTCCGCGCGAGGGTGCAAAGGACAGTCGTATCGGCGCACGGGCCTGCTCATCCTCGGATCAGACTGACCGCAGCAGACGAAGGGACGAAGGGACGACAGGCACGAGGAGACCATGGGACCAGGGGAGCCGCAGGGCCGTGTGAAAAGCGAGACAAACGTTGGGGGAGAAGAGTAAAGAATCCCTTCGACGCAAGTGGTTTTCGGTTTTCGTCCTTCGAATCAATTCTATTGAGCACCCTTGGGCCATCGAGTTATTCTTAGGAGCTTTTGGGAGGGAAAACCAGGGAACTCCGAGTGAGTGGACCACCGGGAAGCGCTCGTCCAGTGGTGTCGGCTTCGGAGCCGCCGACCATCATCATAGCTAACGGAACTACATCATGGGGGGTTTTCTAGCCTGGAACACACCTTTGGAACTGGTGAAGCAGAACTAACGATAGAGTCGATGATCAGTCATGGTGCCCGATACGTGATACATCGATTCTATCATGGAGAATCAATTGTGTATCCATTTGGTATCCATCATGTAGGACCGGTGACAGATGGGGCGGTCCTACCATTTCCCGCCCCCAGATTCTTGATTGTGTATGATTTCCACGATGGGCTCTGGATCGGGTAATTTGACTCAGGGTTAAAAAAAAATAAATAACTAAAAAATAAGACCGAGGAGAGAAAGGGCGGACGCATTGGGAGTGGGGCGCCAACGAGCGTCTCGTATCTCGCTTATTATTGGGATTGAAGGGTGGGGAGGGCAATTTTTGGAGGCCTTGTTCGGAGCCACTAGCTGGCCTGCATGAAGTCGCTGCCTGAATAATATTGTCTGATTTTGATGACAGAACGTACACGGTCTTCCAAATCTGTGGGCACCAGAAGAGTCACCATACGAGTAACCAGAAGAGTATGGGAGGCCCGAGGAACGATGGGCCGTGGGGGCCCACATGGGAAGTATTAGCGGTAGGGCCGACAGGACAAGGACCCAAATGGGATCTTTTGCATGGCGCTGTTGAAAGCTAGCAGCGGCGCAGTCCGTGGACGAGTCTGCAGACCTATTGAATTTTCCTGTCGCTGCCAAGAATAGATTACTCGAGGGACGGGAACCGCCGCCGATGCGGTTGTTGGTCACACCCTTCCTGCTTGCCCTCCATCCTGACACTGCTGTAACATGATCGGCCGGGATGATCGGCCGATCCTGCGACAGTCCCTTTGGGGGGGGGGGGGGGGGGGTCCCTGTTACCCGAGCATGGGGATGTGAAGCGGACAGACTCGTTAGGAGGATCGGAGGGTTGAAGCCGGCAACAGGGGTTCTGCGAGCAGTCAACTGTCCTCTCTGTCCGATCTCTGTATGGAGGTATCAGCATGCAAAGTTTAGCGAAGGCCACAGGATTTGTCTCACCTTTTGGAGACCATTCACCCACTCAGGGTTTCCCCAGCAGCTCATGCGGCGGATCCACTGCGATCCCTGGTGGCGCCGCATTGCCACACCGAGGCCCAATCACCGCTCGGATCGGGGGCTACCCTGTGCGGGACAACTAAAGAGAGCATGGCAGGGGCGGCCAGGGTCAAATCCGTAATCCCCTGGGCCATTGTCAGCCTCCTCCTTTTCGCTGGATTCGAACTAGAACAGAGTTCATCGCCGGGGGACGGAGGATATGGTACCCGCTCCAGGTGCGTGAGCGAGGTACCTCTCGTCTGGTACAAAAACCGATCCATCACCCGCGCAACCGTGGAGCAGCTTCTTTCTTGCCCCAACCACCGCGGATCCACTCGTTTACTCTGCTGTTGCTTTTGGCTCGTGCATTTTTGGCACTGCTTTATTAACTAGGCGTCTAGTCCTCCACTCGTTTCTCTCTTTTCTTCTAAACTACTCCTTTTGCAGCGTGCCTGAAATCCCTATACCCCAGACACCTCCATCATGCCCTCGCTCTTCAAGTATGCCACTGCGGCGCTGGCCGTGGCGGCTCCTCTGGTCTCGGCGCAGACCTACACTGACTGCAACCCTCTCGAGAAGACTTGCCCGTCCGATGCCGGCAGTACCGAGTCCAAGATGACCTTTGATTTCACCAAGTCGTCCGGTCTGGACAAGTGGACCACCACTGCTGGCTCCGTCTCGACCAGCTCCAACGGGGCGGCCTTCACTTTGGCCAAGAAGGGTGATGCGCCCACCATCGAGACCGACTTCTACATCTTCTTCGGAACCGTCTCCGTCACCATGCAGGCCGCTCCCGGCACTGGTGTGGTCAGCTCCATTGTCTTCGAGTCCGATGATCTGGATGAGATCGATTGGGTACGTTCATCGCCAGCATTGTCTTCTCCTCCCCGGAACCCAATTCCGGGTCTGGGTTTAATTTGTCTTGACCATGGCTAACAAGATTCCCCCCCCCATTTCAGGAGGCTCTCGGCGGTGACACCACCACCATTGAGACTAACTACTTCGGCAAGGGGGACACCACCACCTACGACCGTGATACCTGGCCTGCGGTCTCTAACCCTCAGACTACCTTCCACACCTACACTGTGGACTGGAACAAGGACCGCATCATCTGGTCTATTGATGGCAATGCTGTCCGCACTCTCGCTTACAGCGATGCCCAGGGTGGTGCTCGCTTCCCCCAGACCCCCATGCGTGTGCGTCTCGGTATCTGGGCTGGCGGTGACCCCGACAACGGCCAGGGCACCATCGAGTGGGCTGGCGGTGAGACCGATTACTCCCAGGCTCCCTTCACCATGTATGTGAAGTCCGTGGAGATCACCAACAACAACCCCGCCAGCTCCTACACCTACTCCGACAAGACCGGCTCCTATGGCAGCATCAAGGTGAACGGCGGCTCTTCCGTGAGCGAGACCACCAGCTCCACCAGCTCCACCTCTTCCTCCAGCTCCAAGACCACCGAGGGCTCCACCACCACCGCTACCACCATGACCACCGCCACCAAGTCTTCCGCAACTGGCAAGTCCACCACCCTGACCTCCGGCTCGGCCACCGCCTCTTCCTCTGGCGCTGCTGGCTCCAGCTCCGGCTCCAGCTCCAGCACTGGCTCCAGCTCTGGTTCGGGCTCTGGTTCGGGCTCGGCCTCTGGCACTGCCTCGAGCACTGCTGCCAGTGCTTCGGCCACCTTCAACGCGGCCGCCAACGTGGTTGCCTCCTACATGGGCCCTCTTTCCATCCTGGGCCTGATCACTGCCTTCATGCAGCTGTAAAAACCCGCTTCACCTATCCTTTTCTCTCATATTTGATGTTTCTTTTTATATAACGCGCCACTTAATTATGTTAACTCTCACGGATGAAGCACACTGGGCTGGAACCGGGTTTTTTTTTTGGACATGAGGGATGTGTTTCTCCTTCTTTTTCTTGATTTTTTTTCTTTGGATGCCTTGTATTTTCTCCAGCTCCATCCCTCTACATTTTTTGGTCCAGATCGGTTTTCTCTGGGTAGACTTGTCTATTTTGCACGGGTCATTCCCCCAATGTATCTATTCTCAACCCATCATCAATCAATACCATATACCATCCTCTAGGATCATTTCTTTCCCCCTTTCATTTTGGGATTGGCGTATTCATCTCTTCTGCAGCCTCATCCATCTACTTCCTCCTTGCTTACTTTTCCCTATATTCTCTCTGGACTTCAGCTTGTCGGCCCTACATCCTGCAGGGCGCCCTACAGCTGGGGGGGGGGGGAGCCTGCCCCATGCCCTCCTACCCAACATGTCCTGGCTCGACCAAGTCACTCCCTTAGAGCCTCTCGGTCCTCATTGCCTTCTTTCTCCATTTTCTGTTTACACTCTTGCAGATGCATCTGCACTAGGAAGTAAGGAGTATAGTCAATCTGCACAGTATCTGCAGCCCTCTGTGCCGTGCCACGCAACCCCCCCCCCCCCCCCGGGCCCGCCACAAGCAAAACACCAAAAAAAGCAATCATAACAACAACCACCCCCTACACCCCGGGCATCGACGGCCCAGATCCCCATACTTGACCGGGGTGACCTCCCCAGAAAAGCAAAAAACCTCCGTGTAACGCGGGGAGGGGGGAAGGGACCCATGTCCGGCTGGTCTTGCCGAGAATTTCTTTTTCTTTGTCTTTGTCTTTGTGCTTGTTTTTTCTTTTCTTTGAACTTTCGTTCTTCCAGGGTGGAAGGGGACATACGTATCGGATGGGGTTTGCGCATTGGGACAGAGACTAACTATATAGTATATACATGGGTTACCTTTTTCTTTTTTCTTTTTCGAAAAAAAACAGACTATATCGGGCACATTAGGCGCGAGCCTATGAATACCACTGCGAATCTTGTACAGCTGCTTAGTGCTGGCAGGTTCATTGTATAGCGTCTAAAATCTCCATGGTTAGACCCTCCTCGACCGTGGAACTGTCCTGTCGCCGGACTTGTTCTATTTGCTTGTCACATGGGACCCTCGCAGAAGGTGTAGGCGTATAAACGGGATTTGGTTTATAGTTCGGTCCCGAGTTGCCTCTCTTTCTCTCTCTGGTTCCTTCGGCCGAGGGGAGGTTCGGTCTTGTTTTCTCACTCACGACTACACTCTTTTTGTGGAGTTGTGTGCTAGGGGCACACCACCCGTTCCATTGGGTCCAGGTGAGAGAATATAGCAAATTGTTTTGCGATTGGTGCGCTACGCCCGACTATCCCGGTTTTCGGGTGCTGGAGACCCGTGGTTGCGCGGGTGGGTGTGGGCTTTTGGGGAGTGGGACCGATTGGGTGGGTTGTTGTTGCCTTGTTCTTTGCGGTGTCGAGAACGGCCTCTTATCCATATCGTCCCATGTTTTGCGTTTTCATGGCTTGAGGACAATGCTGAATTACAGGGGGACAGCAGTGAGGTAGTAGAGTGCGTGAGGGAATTTGAAAATTGGTTCAAAGGCATTGTCTTGTCGTAGCTCGTGAGTCATGTTCATTACTTTCCATATTCCCAACATCCCCAGTAGAAAACAAAATGCATCACCGCAAAGAAGTACAAAAAAAAAAAAAACAAGAAAAAATAGACACCTCCGATCTCAAAACTCAATTGGAGGCCTAGACAGCAATCATGCCACTAGCGCCGAATACCAGAACTCCCATTCGCTCAATCCCTTTATTCCCAATTAACTCCATGCGCTTCTCCCCCATGCGGACTTGAATCAAGCAGGCGGCATATCCCGCAGACCGTGTGCTAGCTGGGCGACCTCGTCTGCCACAGGACGGTGATATGTCGCCGCCAGTCTCAGCAGTGCCATCGTGTTTACCGGCCAGGGGTCATCGTCCCGGTCAACTACCTGACTCTGCTCAGGCTCATCCGACGACCCTACCTTTCCGGTGCCGAAGAACCGCTCCCCGAACGGTGCATATCCCGATAGTGAGCTCAGCATCGCTTGCCACGCAGCTTGGCCGCTGCCCTCTGGCGCGACGGTGCGCTCGCCCCCGTACAGCAGTGCCGCGCGCCATTCCTCACGCTTCGTGATCCCGTCCACTGCTTCCAGGTGGTCGTCCAGCGTGGCGAAGCGTGCGCCCAGTGACTCGGCCTTGGACCGGATCTGCGCACGCAGCCGGTCGAGGTACTCAGCGCGGCGGCGGAGCTGCGCCGCGAGCCGGGTGTCGCGGGCGATGGAGGTGGATGAAGGGCTAGCAGTGATGACGGATGCAGGGGACGCCAAGAGGCTGTCGATGGCGGACCGTAGGTCGGCGCGGAGCGAATCAAATTCCCAAACTGCAGCGCGCAGGGCGGCGTCGCTGCCCTGGAACTCGAGGTCGAGCGCGTTGTGGGCGTCTGGGAGGGTGATCTGGAGTTGGGACTGGAGCTTGGCGAGGAGGGTCTCGCTGTCTTTGAGGATGTCAGAGAGCGGGATGAGGGTGATGAGGGTACTGTTAAAGATGAATTGGAGGTTTTGCTGAGCTGAGAAAATGGTCTCTTCTGGGGAGAGGGGAGAAATAGAGGTGGATTTGAAGGGGTTTCGGGGAAGGGACCTGGGCTCGAGGCGCACGCAGCTGTGGGGGTAGATGGTCTTGACAATTGGGCTCGTGCAGAAGAGCTCTTGGGCTTGATAGATGATCTCGGGGAGGACGAGGAGATGGAGAATGAGAATCACGAGCACGCTGTTGATCGTGATGCGGAGCAGGGCTTGCTGGCCGTGACAGAGGCCGGCGAGCTTTGCGGCGATACTCTGATACCAGCTTCCATGATTGCCAAGGGCTGGAGCGCCAGCTTCGAGACTCATAACTGCCGTATTTTCAATCTGCTGCTGCACTTTGTCCTCCGGTGGAGTTGTTTTGCGCCGCTTTCTCATATGCGCGGATTGGGCTGCGGGCCGCAGATGCGGCGCGACCCAGGATTTTTCCGAGATAGGGACCTCGTAGATAGACGGCATGACGAGTTCGGGGCCAGAAAAACTCCATGATGAGGTGGAGGATGTGAGTGACTCTGAAAGCTGAGCGGCTTCGGTCGTAGTTGGAGCTCTGGTATTGTTTGTTGTGGCTTTTGCACGCTCTTTCTGTCTTAGTTGCTTTGGCAGTGGAGTTGGACTCGCCGGGTCTTTCTCTAGTGGCGGAGAACCTGGTTCTTTGATTGAGCTGGTCGATGCAACGACCCAGGATTCCCCCAGCACCGAAGGACTTGGCGCAAAGGACTGCTCTTTGGACATGATGCTCTTCGCATATCGGGCCCGACAGCGCGGGACCGTTTCGGCTGTGGCTGGTCAATAAGGTAGAGAGGGATCAGTCAGGATCAGTCAGGAACAGTCAGAGTCAATCAGGATTGTGGCTTTGCGTTGGAGATAATCTTTCTCACGACCTGGACGGAGATCGCGACGCGTTCAAGCGGTTTTCACTCTCGAGCATGAGAAGCGGTGGGGAAGCCCAGGCGGGGATCGGCAGTAAATAGAGTCGCTGCAACGGCCAACGGTCGAGAGAAGCCTGTGAGACGGAACTCGCGCTGAAGGAGATGGTTTTGGAAAGATCCTAACATCTGTATCTGACAGCACCTTTCAATCCGGACGAAGATTCACTCTCAAATAACCAGTCCCATCATCATCTAAATCAACTGTGGCTCGAGTGAGTTTATTTTGCGCGATGGCCGCTCTCTCGTCCCGTACTCGGCGGATCCGCAGGAAATCGCGATCAAAAAAATGGTCCTCCGCTGCAAACCAACCATGCGCGCAGTTCTTCGGCCACGAGCGTTCCTTAACCCTCGGCCGGGGGCCAGAAGAGCCATTCGATGCTCATTAATAAGGCCACAATGGCTGTCGACCACCGCAAACCGCCCTTGTTCGTGCGCCGACGCCGCCAATGGTCGACCCAGCGCTGAAGCTCCCCCGATCCCACCCACCGACCACCGAGCTCTGGGAACCACCCAGGAGCTCTTCACCTCCTCCATCTACAGTCCCGGATCTCCGCTCTTCCTCCCAAATGGCACGCACGTCATCAACAAGCTCATCTCCTTCCTCCGTACCCAGTACCTGCAATACGGCTTTCGCGAAGTACTCACCCCGACCATCTACAAACGCTCCCTGTGGGAGGTATCGGGCCACTGGCAGAACTACAAGGACGATATGTATGAGGTGACGGGGCGCGGCGCGACTGGCAACACTGAGGGAGAAGTTGGCGAAGACGAGTCGTACGGCCTGAAGCCAATGAACTGTCCCGGCCATTGCCTGCTCTTCAAGTCGCAGAACCACTCATACCGCGAGCTGCCAGTGCGCTATGCAGATTTCAGCCCACTGCATCGGAACGAAGTGTCTGGCTCACTAACGGGCCTCACGCGCGTGCGTCGGTTCCACCAGGACGATGGTCATATTTTCTGCCGGCCGCAACAGATCAAGTCCGAGATCGCGTCCGCGTTGGGATTCGTCGATATGGCGATGACCACCTTTGGACTCGGTCCGTACCGACTGGTGCTGTCGACTCGACCGGAGACGGACTATATCGGTACACTAGAGATGTGGGAGAATGCAGAGAGCCAATTGCGTCAGGCATTGAATAGCACTGGCCGCGAATGGGCACTGAATGAGGGCGATGGGGCATTCTACGGGCCGAAGATTGATATCCAACTCCAAGACCAGGCAGGCAAGTACCACCAGCTATCGACGATCCAGCTCGATATGAATCTCCCCCAGCGGTTCGGCCTGGAGTACCAAGTTGCAGAGGGCGAAGAGGACTATTGCCCTGAGACGCCTGGGGTTGCAACTCCCGTGCTGGTCCACCGCGCGATCTTCGGTTCTCTTGAACGATTCCTGGCTCTCCTGATTGAGCACCATGGCGGGCACTGGCCCTTCTGGTTGTCGCCACGCCAGTGCATCATTTTGACAGTCAACCAGGATGATTCGGTAGTACGCAAGGCGCATGAAGCCGCAGCACTCTTCTCTGGGTTCCGCACCCTCCAGAACGACACAAATGCCGGACCTCCACGACCATTGTCGTCCGTTGATTCGACGTTCCTGGTCGATGTGGATACCAGTGCACAGACCCTAGGCAAGAAGATTCAACGGGCGAAGCAGATGAAGTACAACATGATCTTTATCCTGGGATCGCGCGACCTTGCCGACGGTGGCATCACTGCTGATGTTACCGGGCAGATGCAAAGCAAGACCGATTTGGAAGGCCGAGAGTTCCAGTCACTGATCGAGTCTCAATTGGGGAGTGATGTATTGAAAAATCCTCGTGCAGTCAAATTCAAACTAGACCAGGTGCATCCATTGCTGGTGCAGTTTGAGAAGAGTTTCCTGTGATTGGGATTTGATGATTCTTTTTTGGGGGCCCCTTTCAGCGAATCTGTAATATACATTATATCCTCGACGAATCCACTGAGTGTGCGTCTCATTCTTTTCATTGAATTTTTTCCCACGTAGGCAATACTAGTATAATCTTTCACCTCTGGACTAGGGTCAGGCACATCGAATCCACAATGACTCCATCTGCCCGGCTATTCACGGCCAGGATGGCTCGCCTCAGGCAGAAAGTGCTCCGATGATCGGGGGCAGCTATTCAAGCAAGCGAGGTGCATATCAAGGCCTTCCGCTATATGTAACACACTGGATGCAATCAGATCCCAAAAGAGAGATTTTAGAGGGAGGATCTGGGAAAACCAACGAATTCCCTGATTGTAGAGGTGCCGATCATGCGAGTGGCTAGCAAGTCAGGCCATGTAGAGACCGTATCACGTGATACCTCCGCTGTCGGGGCCGAAGTTTCAGTTTTTCCGGCGTCATCGACGATCGCGCCTTTGAGTCACTCGCAAATTGCATTCCCTTGATTGGACTCACAGGTCAATTTTAAAAGGCAAAAAAATTCCCGATTGTTGTGACAACAAGTCACTCCTCCATCTGGTCAGACTGTGTCACGTCTGCTCCGTTGCTTCTTCCCTCCTCTTTTGATACTTCCTTATCAAAGCTCGTATACCCCGCGGAATTAGGTACCCCGCCAACCGCCATAATGCCTATGTAGGTGTTTGCCATCTTCCCATCTCAATTCTCGAAGCGGTCCTCGTCTTCATTCAAGTGAATTGAGGCAAGACTAACAGGTTCATGGTCTCTATTTTCAGGCTCAAGGATCCATCTACAAAATATAAGCCCTTTAAGCCGCTTAACCTTCCCAACCGGACATGGCCCAACAAGACCATTGAGAAGGCCCCCCGGTGGCTTGCTACTGATCTCCGTGATGGAAACCAATCTCTCCCCGACCCAATGGATGGCGAACAAAAATACCGTTTCTTTAAGATGCTCGTCGATATTGGTTACAAGGAAATCGAAGTATCCTTCCCGTCCGCCTCCCAAATCGACTTCGATTTCACCCGCCGCCTTGTCGAAGAGCCTGGCCTTACTCCTGACGATGTCTGGCTCCAAGTCCTCTCTCCCTGCCGTGAGGATCTCATTCGTCGCACCGTCGATTCCCTGAAGGGTGCTAAGAAGGCTATTCTCCACATCTACCTCGCTACCAGCCCATGTTTCCGCCGCATTGTCTTTAACATGGACCGGAAACAGAGTCTCGAGAAGGCCGTTGCATGCGCCAAGTATGCTCGCTCCATTACCAAAGACGACCCCGCCATGGCTGGCACAGAATGGCAATTCGAGTTCTCCCCGGAGACTTTCTCAGACACCGAGCCGGACTTTGCGATCGAGGTCTGCGAGGCTGTAAAGGCTGCTTGGGAGCCTACCGTCGAGAACCCTATTATCTTCAATCTGCCCGCTACCGTCGAGATGTCTACTCCCAATGTATATGCGGATCAAATTGAATATTTCTGCACGAACATGACCGAGCGTGAAAAGTTTGTTGTTTCCCTTCATCCCCATAATGACCGCGGCTGCGCTATTGCCGCTGCTGAGTTGGCGCAAATGGCTGGTGCCCAGCGTGTTGAGGGCACTCTTTTCGGTAACGGTGAACGTACCGGAAATGTTGATCTGGTCACCCTGGCTCTCAACCTGTACACGCAAGGTGTCTCACCCAACGTCGACTTTTCCGATATTCCCTCGGTGATCAAGGTTGTGGAGGAGAGCAACAAGATTCCCGTTAACGAGCGGTGGCCATATGGAGGTGCCCTTGTCACAAGTGCCTTCTCAGGGTATGTTTCTCTACTTCAAACTAGATTCCAGATCTTCATTCTCGTTCTGAGTTACTAACTACATATTCGACAGCTCACATCAAGATGCTGTCAAGAAGGGCTTCGCCATCCGTGAGGCCGAAAACGCCACCGATGCAGACGAGTGGATCATCCCCTACCTGCCCATTGATCCTCAAGATATTGGACGGACATACGAAGCCGTTATTCGTGTCAACTCCCAGAGTGGCAAGGGCGGTGCTGCTTGGATCATTCTCCGCAGCCTTGAGCTTGACCTGCCCCGTGCTCTTCAAGTCGAATTCAGCAAAATTGTGCAGAAGGAGACCGAGGCTCGTAACCGAGAGCTGCGGCCTGCCGAGATTGTGAACCTCTTTGAGGAGGCTTATCACCTCAAGTCCAACCCTCGCTTCAACCTCATCGACTACAATATCACCACCGACCGCTCACAGTCGCCTGCTCCGCCGGAAGCCGGCAAGGCACTTAACACTAAGAACCTTAAGCGTCGCTTCACCGGTATCGTTGAGATTGATAACAAACAACATGCTATCACCGGCGTTGGCCCTGGTGCTATCTCCTCCCTTGCAGCTGCCCTTTCTTCCCTCGGTATCGACCTCGATGTCGTTGACTACAAGGAGCACTCTATTGGTCTCGGTCGGGAGGTCAAGGCTGCCACCTATATTCAGTGCACTGCTTCAGGCAGCAAGGAGCAAGTGTGGGGTGTCGGTATTTCCCAAGATGTGGTCCAGGCCAGTTTGATTGCCCTGCTTAGCGCCGCCAGCTCGGTATGTTTGCAATTCCCCCCACTTGAACCGAAAAGAGAATTCCCAGCAAAACTGACTTCTAATCTAGTTCCTTACCTCCACTGCTGGTTCTCCCGCTCCTTTCCGTCCCATCCGCTCCAACACCCTGACCAACGAGGACCTCCACGCCCTCGAGCAGCTGAGCGGTGGCCCTGCTGCCCAAGCCAATGACGGACTCGGTCCCAAGGTTAACATTGAACAGCTGACCAAGCAAGCCGAGCAGCAGTAAGCCTGCGAAAAGTTTTGTCCAGTAAATAAAGCCATATTTCATTATTTTCTTCCTACTGTTTGGACCAATGAATACTTGTAATGCAGATGTCATTTGCCTTTAGAAAAGCGACCCTTTCGACACTCTGAATTTTCAAAGTTCAGATTGAAAGTTTGTAAGTCTAAGTATCTTGAGACTTACCAGATCCTCATGGGAGCTATGGAAGATGTAAACTAGGCAGGTGCAATTGCATACTTCGTTACTTGAGGCGATGATCTTAGAAGTCTTGGAGGAAACGAAGTATTTTATTCAACTGCACTGCAGGTAATCCAAATATTGATACAGCAAAAGGTAAGAAAATATACAGAATCGAAGAAAAGCAATTGCCAAAAAGCATGGGTATAGGTACAAAAGCAAGAAGGCCAACGCAATAGAGGTACAGTAAAGTCATGGACGTGGACGGGGCAATTAGCCCTTAGATAAACGCAAGCCAAAAAGCGAATCCAGCCTAGGCATGCTAGTCTTGAGTCGAATCACGCACAGTCCATTGGGGCGTAATCTGCGTCGACTTCTTCACGTCGACAGAGGAATGGGGCTTCTCCAAAATCATCCAGATCCATAGTGGATCGGCTGCTCGCACGCTGAGCAAGAATGTGGCGTCTCTGAAGACCGAGTTTTGGGGAGATGATGGTTCGACCAACAGGTGCATCTGTCCAGGCCTCGTCATCAGAATCGTCTTCAGTGTCGAACTGTCGTTTCTGTGTGTTCATAGCACTAGCGTGGGACACAGAAGAAACTGTTGATTCTTGGCTGCTCGGAGGAAGAGAAAAGGCATCGCCGTCGTCGGTGATGACATGATCGGATGTGGGTTGTGAGTCGTATGAGGATTTGACAAGGCCCGAAAAAGGCGCAAGTTCGGCAGGGCGGGTGTTTCCAGAATGTGACTGGGCAACATATGCCTCAGCTGTAATGGGGGGCTTGTCGACCTTCATCGCTAACTGAGTCTTGTACCCATCTCCAACAGACTTGCGGACTCTCATGCCGACTGAGAGGAGATTGGCTTGAATCTTTGCTGGAACCACCGGGGTCGCAGAGAATGTTCTTGCAGAGTAATGGTCGTTCGTCACGGCGCAGCTACCCGAAGATTGTGGATGTGAGGGTACTGAGGGGAAGAAGTTTGTGATCGGGGTTTGGAATCGTCGGCGCTTAGAGAGAGTAGTGTCGACAGACATTGTGGGATTGAAAAAGTGGAGAGTGATCTGAGAAACGAGGTATATGGGGACAGAAGTGGAATGAACGTTGGATATAGGCAGATTGTGATAGGTATGCTCGAAGAGTGGAAGGACGGATGAGAAATAAGAGATCGCCGGGATGAACTGTGGCTGGGGGACGCGTTGATCGCGTCGCGCGTGTCACGGAGTGCAATTAATTAAACTCTTTTCGGCAACACAGTCAAATCACGTGATGACGGAGCATTGGTCTAGATGTGGTTGATTTTGAGTTATCTTCCATCTTAGGTTAAAGCTTTACGATTTACCTTGAGACCAAGTTCCTTGAAGATCCTTTACGATAGCCTTTGAGACAATATAAGCAAGAGCATGAGGTATAGAATGGCATAATTGACATCACCCAGTATAGTTCTAGCGCCTGCTATATTAACTCCAAATTTGGTAAATGATATGTATGTATCAGCATGAGCATTCTCTCTCCACCCGCCTCATTTTCTAGCAACGCGAAGAGCCAGCAAACATGGCTAGTTGCCCATATTTCCTCTCTTACCACCTCTCTTCTTCCGCTCATGATGAGCCTTCAAAATGGCCCGTTGTTCCACAAGAGACCGCTTGCCTTTATTCTTCGCATGGCGAAGCGTCATCAGCATGTTCTTGCGTCGCGCCTTCTCCTTGTTTGTTGTTGATTTGCCCAGCTCCTGTTTCTTCTCTCGGCGACGAGCTTCCTTAGACTTGTACTCAGAACGATCGGTCTTGCCCTCACGGGCATGGGCGATACGTTCTTCGCGAGTGGCCTTTCCGGCAGACAAAGCTGCAAGACCCTCAATCTCCTCGGCAGTCAATGGATCATCCGTGTGGCGAGAAGTAGGCTGACCGGCGCGGCGTGACCTTCCGTTGACAGCGGATTCAACCGATGCTTGGGCCCGGAGTTCCGCAAGTTTGGCCAGATCAGCCGGGGTCAGGATTCTGGTGGTTGCGAGAGTAGAAAGTTTGGCAACCTCCTGGGCAGCATTATCGGTGGCCTTAGCCTCCTCTTCGCCCTGCTTGGCTTTCTTGGAGGGCGGGGCCTTGCCTTCATCCTCGGAATCGCTCAGCTCAATCTCCACGTCGCTTTCAACGTTAATCCATTCGCCAGAGTCATCACTATCGTCATCGTCTTCAACGTTCCAGGCGGCCCAGTTATCCGCCTCATCCTCTTCATCATCCTCTGCATCGGAAGCCAAGCCCTTCTCCTCACGCCTCTTGCGCCGTTCTTCCTCCTTCCACTTCTCCAGGAGCTCAAGCCCCTCAATACCGCCAATTTCTTGTTGACCAAATCGTTTTTGTTCCTTGGTTCCAGCCCGGAGACCCATAGAGGCCTCTTTGCCACGGTCACGCTTCTTGAGCATCTCAGCGCCCACATCACGGAAGAGACTCAGCAGACCCTTGGAGGCCATCATGACACCCTTATCCTTGCTCTTCTTGTACATGACAAGATCCTGCAGAAGTGTCTCGTTCATTGCCAAAGGTTGCCTGACGCAAATCTCTCGGATAGCATTGAGACCGGCAGTAGCAACTTCTCCTGCAGAGGCCTCGGAGACGAATTCATTGGCAATCTTCTGAACCAATGGCTCCAGAACATCGGGGGGCACAAGGTCATGCGATGCTTGGGCCAAAGACGCCAAGAAAGAGGTGACAGATGGCTGACGGGGGGTCAGGAACTTTTGGAAGTAGGAGTAGAGAGGCATGATATGCAGCTTATGCAAGCCCACAAGTCGCGAAACAAGCTGCAAAACAAAAAGTTTCTGCTCCAAGTTGAGCTTGGCCTTGGTGTTCTGTAAATGCTTAGAGAACAAGGACTCTGCGAACCCTTGCGGGTCGTGCAGCAAGTGAAGGGCCGAGAAGTTCAGCGGATGGGGCTGGTTCTTCTTGCGGTCCTTCTTCTTGTGCATAGCCATAGCTTTTTCAGCGACACGAGCTTTCTTCTTGGTCTTCTTGTTAATGCCAAGCTGGTGCTTGATACGGCCAACATCAATGGCCTCCTCGTCGCTGCTCTCATCTTCTGCCTCTTCGCGTTCCTTGTCCCCCCCCAAGAAGAAACGCACGCCGCCCACGATGACTTTTTCGTTCTCTGACAAACTCGCCTCCTTCATAATCTCGACCGCTTTGGCATCGGTCCAGATTTGACGCTTCCAGAGTTCCCGAGTCAATTTGATTGCCCATAGAGCTTTGGAGGATGTGCGATCTGAGGTGACCAGGTTGAAGAGAACGGTCTGCATAGTACGGTTCAATTTGTGGTTGGTGGTCTTCGAATTAGCTTGACGGAGCTCAGACAAGATCTTTTGAAAAAGCAGTGCTCGAAGAGTCTTGCTTGGTGTGGAAATAAGAATGGGGAAAAGAGTATGGAGCAGCCTGTTGAAGCCAATTAGAATCCGAAACCATATATCTTCTGAAGGCAGTGGCAAGCATACGTAGCTGAGTCTACCAGATCCTTCTTTTTCAGGAGTACCACACTCCCAACCAGCTTTTCTCTCAGTTCGGGCTCCAGCACCAAATGATGTTGCATCAACATATCGATGAGCTGCTGCGGGAAATCTTTCAAAATTTCAGGATAACAGTCGGCAACATGTGAAATGAAATCAATCAGCTCGCGAAGAGAGATAATTCCAGTATCGGTGGCTGCCGACGGCGCAGCCATGAAAATTTCTCGGTGAGACTCATATTGGTAGTGCTGGGCGCGGAAATCTTCGATATAAGATCTGAGTTGATGGGAGCAACTGTTAACTCTGCTCTCCAAGACAAAAACCCTGTTAAAAAGAGAATTCTTCGGGCCACTTACTTTGGATCTCTCCGAATTTTGTGCTGCAGATTCGGCCTGGGAAAAGCGCGTTAATATCCACACTGTAAAACTTCTTGTCGCACCCCGGGCGCACTGCCGGAATGAGAGTAATTAATACTCACAAATCAGCCTCGACCTTTTCCAAGGCCCCAAGCTTTCGTTTGACCATATTTAAGGCTTCAGTCGGGGAGGTAAAGAGGGTGGTGAGAAAAGAGGCAGGAGGAAGCGCCTCTCCGAAACTTTTTTCCTGCCGTATCGATAAGCGGCCCCCCAAAATCTGGACAACAGGGCCAGGCACCTCCACACCCAGTATCAATCGAATCTACCGACCATCAAATTAATGGCTACACTCCTTACTAAAACACCTGATCCTGGGTATTTTATTTGGTCATGGCATAGAATATTGCACTTGGCACGGCTACAGATAAAAATCTGGTAAACTACTAGATGTGGAAAAAAAGCAAATGCTAAGATGTCTACCATATTGAAGAGGAAAAAATTTTGTTTTTCACATTGAAAACTTGGCCATTACCACCCGAGGCCCTTCCGATCACATCGTCACTGGTAGGAAATAAGCTATCCGTTTGCGTTCCCTTTTTTGGATTTTGCTTCTCCCATAACTGTCCCAATTCATGTAGCAGTCATACAGATGCGTGTGGATCGATCGAAACCCGGCGAAAAATACCCCGTTCACTCCAGTATCCAAATAACACATAGGACCAAACGGAGAATGAATCCAGCACACCCTTTACCGGTTGGACTTGGCAACACGCTCGAGCTCGTCCTTCTTCTTGATGGCGTAGCCTGAAATATCAATTAGTATACCACAGGCTAGGGAATTCAGCAGAAATTGTAACAGAAGAACGTACTGTTGGAGGAACCCTTGGCAGCGTTCAGGAGCTCTTCAGCAAGGCTAAAAGAGGATGATAGTTAGCAAAACTTTCGGACAACGGGGATTCTATTGCCACAATGGACATGTCAAGGTGCAAACGTACCACTCGGAGATAGACTTGATGTTACGGAAGCTGGCCTCACGAGCACCAATGGTCAGGAGAGCAATAGCGGTGTTGACACGGCGCAGGGGAGAGACATCGACGGCCTGGCGACGGACGGTACCGGCAGAGCCAATACGGGTGGAGTCTTCGCGGGCACCGCAGTTGACAATGGCATCAACAGCGACCTGGATGGGGTTCTGGTCGGACATGATGTTGATCTAAAATACGAGGTGATGACAATTAGAAACTTGCAACAGACAACGGACGTGTGGTTTGGGAAACGGGCTCGGGTGCAGAAAAAAAACCCGGGGGCCAAAATTGTTCACAAGGATAGAAGGGAAACGTACGATCTCGAAAGAGTGAGCGACAATACGGACAGCCATGGCCTTCTTTCCGTTGTTGCGGCCGTTCATCATGAGCGAGTTGGTCAGACGCTCAATGATGGGGCACTGAGCCTTGCGGAAACGCTTGGCGGCATAACGACCGGCAGAGTGCGAGGTGTACACGGGCTGGCGGATCTGGATGTAGTCGCTATTGATAGGCAAAGGAGTTAGCAATTCGCTGCTAAACATGTTGATTCGAGAATCCTCCGCCTCGGCGCAAAATTGGTTTTGTCGGTCTGCGCGCAGCCCCTTCCCCTTCGTTCGCATTCCATCAATTTTCCAGACTCGCGGCGTACACGACCAAAATAAACCAATTCCACGCCTTCTCGAGGCATCATCTCGCCGTCGATTGAAAAGACTCACGTCAGGGAGATATCACGGATCTCGACATCATCGTAGCTCCACTTGTTGAACAGCAGCACACCGGCGTTGGCGTTGGCGGCCACCTCCTTGGGGAGGACCGAGACGGCGGTAATTTCCCCGTTGTCAGACATGTTGACCTTGTCGAGGTGTGGTGGGAAAGGGTGACCGGGTTGTCGAAGGGTGGTTGAACGTTCGAATGAGGCGTGCTATCCACACAGGAATTTGGAGGTGCGCTCGCTTAGCCTGTGTGGAGTCACATGAGTTAGGGCAATCACGGGCGGGCTTATGTCAGCGGGCGGTCATGAAAAAAAATATGATGCCTCAGGCGGCAAAACGTTGCCGTCCTCTTGGCACGTTGGGTTTGGAGTTGAATTTCCATGCGCACTGACTGCATGGTCTCATTGAGATGCAATGGATCTATTATTGGAATCATTGTGTCTATCTTACATGGTCAACTCTCTGTTCCTTTCACGATGTATAATTACTGTGAAGATAATATGAAAGCCTCCTCGGGGCCGAGTGTGAGATCCCACGTAATACATACGACATGTAACTATACCTTGTTTCACGGGTACCTGAGAAGCCATAATTGCTATCTTGACGATGTATTATACTATATCCCTTTGTGATAATAGCAGCTATTTCTGTATCCCTCGGCTCCCCCCAGGTTCATAAAGAGCAGCCAAGTGGAACGTCCAAGCGCCCGCCTGTCTCAGTCATAAACTCGGTTCATCTGTCTGACCGCCTTGAAGTGGGTGACGTTTGGGTCTCTCTAGCGCGGAGTCCAACACTGAGACACGACAATTCGCTGACAGTCCAACGACCCTGGGCTTTCTCGACTACAAGCGGCAGGGGTCACTGCAGGTCACCCCTCTTCTTCTTCTCCTTCTCGCTCCGCTCCTTTGGTGCCTTGTTGTTTCATTGAGATGAAGTGTTCCTGATCGACCCATTTCTATCCCTCCCCCGCGTGTTCGATCCACTTACCTCAAAGCTGAGGCCCTCCCCGTGTCCAAATGGTGGAAGAGAGTCCGGAACTCCAGTCCGCTTTGCGGAACCTGGACCGGGAGTTGGAGGTATGTATTCCCAAGTATACAGCGCGGGCTTATCTCGTACTGACTCGATCGGGTGCTCGATAGGAGGGCGATATTACTGAGAAAGGGTAAGCAAACCCATGCGAATCTGACCACCCGGCCTCACCCAAGCATCATCCAGCGACATGAGGTCAATTTTCCAGGGCAAAACAGATGTCGTGGCTTGCTAGAATGCTATACCAAAAAAATGTCAGCTAATGAGGATTGTTTTCCAAGGTATCAAAAGCGACGCACGCTCCTACTCTCCCAATTCCTCGGCCCCAATAAGCCGCTCGAAATCAACCCCCATGCTATCGCAGACTATGAAGATCCATCTGACGGTAATCATGTAATTCCGCCGGCTATATTGAGTGTGCGACCCCCACGGCCGAGTCTTCACAGCCTACCATCGCTTCTCCAACCTATGCCGCTGGCTTTGATGGAAGGCAAAGCAGCGGAGGGTTCGGGTACAACCACGGTGTCAGCATGGATGCACAGAATCCGGCCTCATCTCGAGGAAGCGCCTACGAACGCGACAGTACCGGCATGTTACAACCTTTGGACCGGATGCCGTCGTCGGCGTCGTACGATTCGCTGTTTCTTCCCAAGCCTCCACCCCCGGGGTCGCAAGGACCAGACGGATCGAGGACCGCCACTTTAATGAGCCAAAACTACGCCTTCAACCCCGAATCGCAACCGGAATATTCCCAGCCAGAATACGTTCAGCCGGAGTACATGGATGACGGCATGGGTGACTACGATCCTGCATCGGGTGGGGTCACGCGACAGTCCACAATGCTCGACTCGCAGCAAGGATATTTCTCGGACTTCGCTGGACAACAGCATGATGACTACAGAGAGAGCTATGGCGGTGGTGGCGGTGGTGGGTATCATCGCTACTCTCAATCCGGCGAAGCCTTCTCTCCAACAGCGAACATCCCGCCGCCGTTCATCCCGCCCTCAGATCTCCCCCATGGACCTGCCATCGAGCACCTGCTGCCTCTAGAACCGCGTGATATCCCATTTGCAGTGAATGATCCTCATGATAAAAATATTCCCATGTCAAACTTTGACAACCTCCCGGCCGTCCTACGCCATCGCGCACGAGTCCACCCGAAACAGCCTGCGTATTGGGTGCTGGACCAGAAAGGAAAAGAAATTGCGTCGATAACGTGGGACAAACTAGCTAGCCGTGCGGAGAAAGTTGCCCAAGTGATCCGCGATAAGAGTAATTTGTATCGCGGTGATCGAGTTGCCCTAATTTACCGCGACGCAGAGATCATAGAGTTTGCTGTCGCTCTCATGGGGTGTTTCATCGCAGGTGTTGTCGCTGTTCCGATCAATAGTTTAGACGACTATCAGGCTCTGAACTTGGTCCTGACCTCAACTCAAGCGCATCTTGCTTTAACTACCGAGAACAACTTGAAGGGCTTCCAGCGAGACATCACCGCGCAGAAGCTGAATTGGCCACGAGGAGTTGAATGGTGGAAGACCAACGAATTTGGCAGTTTTCATCCCAAGAAGAAAGATGATACTCCCGCTCTTGTTGTGCCCGACCTGGCATATATCGAATTTGCACGAGCTCCGACTGGAGATATGCGTGGCGTAGTGATGAGCCACAGGACGATCATGCATCAGATGGCTTGCCTGGGTGCTATGGTTTCCACAGTTCCCACCGATGCTAGCACCAAACAGTATGCCAAGGGAGAGACTATCATCAGCTATCTCGATCCACGACAAGGAATTGGTATGATTTTGGGTGTTCTGATGACCGTATATGGCGGTCATACAACTGTTTGGCACGAAGACCGAGCTGTCGAAACTCCTGGCCTTTACGCTCATCTTATCACAAAGTATCGTGCGACTATCATGGCCGCCGATTACTCTGGACTCAAGATTGCTGCATACAACTATCAGCAAGATCCTATGGCGACTAGACATTTCAAGAAGAATGCGGAGCCCAATTTCAGCAGTGTCAAACTTTGCTTAATTGACACGCTTACTCTTGACTCGGAATTTCATGAGATTTTGACTGATAGATGGCTGCGACCCATGAGAAACCCGCGAGCCAGGGAGATTGTTTGTCCAATGCTCTGCCTACCCGAGCACGGCGGAATGGTCATCAGCGTGCGTGACTGGCTAGGTGGTGAAGAACGAATGGGATGTTCTTTGACCCATGAGATGGATCCTGCGATACGCGACGTCAAAAAAGAAGATGCGAAATTTGAGAAATCCGAGACCAACACGGGCTTTGGTAGCAGTCTGCTCGGCGGCGGTTCTCGTGTTTCTGCTCCTAAGGAAACTGCAAAAAATGACTTAGGCGAGGTTTTACTTGACAAGGAGGCCCTGAAAAGCAATGAAGTTCTGGTTCTGGCAATGGGCGAAGACGCTCGCAAGTATGCCAAGAGCATGCCACATGCTGTCCGTGTCGGTGCCTTTGGTTACCCCATCCCTGATGCTACACTGGCTATTGTCGATCCAGAGACCAACCTTCTATGCACACAAAACGTCGTTGGTGAAATATGGGTAGATTCTCCTTCGCTATCTGGAGGTTTCTGGGCATTACCCAAACATACCGAGGCCATCTTCCATGCTCGGCCCTACAAATTTGAAGATTCAAACCCTACTCCTGTGCTTGTGGAGCCCGAGTTCCTACGTACGGGCCTGCTAGGCTGCGTGATCGAAGGCAAAGTGTTTGTGCTAGGTCTGTACGAAGATCGACTACGCCAGAAAGTGGAATGGGTTGAGCATGGCCAAGAAATCACCGAGCACCGATACTTTTTTGTCCAGCACTTGGTTGTTAGTCTACTCAAAAAGGTGCCGAAGATCCATGACTGCACCGCGTTCGACGTGTTTGTAAATGATGAACATTTGCCGGTTATTGTCCTAGAGTCTTTCGCTGCTTCAACAGCACCCACAACGTCCGGTGGTCCACCGCGACAATTGGATTCTGTCCTTCTTGATTCTCTTGCAGAGCGATGCATGGAAGTGCTCTACCAAGAGCATCATCTTCGTGTCTACTGTGTTCTCTTAACAGCTCCAAACACACTTCCCCGCGTGACGAAGAATGGAAGACGAGAGATTGGCAACATGCTCTGTCGCAAGGACTTCGAGGCTGGCATGTTACAGGCTGTGCACGTCAAGTTTGGAGTTGAACGCTCTGTGATGAATCTCCCCGTTGGCGTTGACCCCGAGGGCGGCATTTGGTCGCCGCTGGCCTTGGCATCCAGGCAAGAGATGCTTGCCTACCAGGAGAAGCAGTATTCTGGCGTGGACTACCGAGATGTTGTCATGGACGACCGAACATCAACACCGCTGAACAACTTCAATACAATTGTTGACCTGCTCCAGTGGCGTGTTTCTCGCCAGGCCGAAGAACTAGCATATTGTTCCATTGATGGCCGCGGCAAGGAAGGCAAGGGTATTACCTGGAAGAAGTTTGACCTGAAGGTTTCCGCCGTTGCGACTTACTTGAAGAATAAGGTCAAGGTTCGCCCAGGAGACCACTTGGTTTTGATGTACACTCATTCCGAGGAGTATATCTATGCCGTTCATGCCTGTTTATGCTTGGGTGTCGTCGTCATCCCACTGGCCCCCATTGATCAAAACCGTCTCTCGGAAGATGCACCTGCGTTTTTGCACGTCATTAACGATTTCAATGTGAAGGCCATCATCGTCAACACTGAGGTTGACCATGTCATGAGGCAAAAGCTCGTCTCCCAGCACATCAAACAGTCTGCACAGGTCCTCCGGATTGGTGTTCCTGCCATATACAACACCACTAAGCCATCGAAGCAATCACATGGATGCCGCGAGCTTGGTTATACCATTAAGGATACCTGGCTTCGAGCAAACCAAACCGCCATGGTTTGGACCTACTGGACGCCAGATCAGCGACGCATTTCGGTCCAAATTGGCCATGATACTATTATGGGGATGTGCAAGGTGCAGAAAGAGACATGTCAAATGACAAGCTCGCGACCAGTGCTTGGTAGTGTGCGCAGTACTTTGGGTCTTGGTTTCCTTCACACTTGCTTGATGGGTATCTACGTCGGCGCGCCTACTTATCTTGTTTCGCCAGTCGACTTTGCTCAAAACCCAATGACTCTATTTGTCACTCTGTCACGATATAAGATTAAGGACACCTACGCGACCAGTCAGATGTTGGATTATGCAATGAGCGCCATGGCTGGCAAGGGCTTCCAGATGCAAGAGCTCAAAAATTTGATGATCTCGGCGGAAGGTAGACCCAGAGTCGATATCTATCAAAAAGTTCGCCTGCATTTCGCTTCCGCTGGTCTGGATCGTACCGCAATTAATGTTGTGTACTCACACGTCCTGAATCCCATGATTGTGACCAGATCCTATATGTGCATTGAACCGGTGGAGCTTTGTTTGGACCTTCGCAGCCTCCGCCGCGGTCTGATCTATCCCGTGGACCCTGATGCTGATCCAGGCGCTCTTCTAGTCCAGGATTCAGGCATGGTTCCAGTTAACACACAAATTGCCATTGTGAACCCGGAGACGTGCACTCTTGCGCATGTTGGAGAGTATGGTGAGATCTGGGTCCAATCTGATGCTTGTGCTCAGGGATTCTATAGATCTAGGCAGGAGTTTGACGCCGAGAGGATGAATGGTCGAGTCGCCGATGGTGATCCCAGCGTACCTTATGTTCGTACTGGAGATCTGGGCTTCTTGCACACTGTTACCCGACCCATTGGCCATGGTGGACAGGCTGTTGAGATGCAAGTACTCTTTGTCCTGGGAAGCATTGGTGAGACTTTTGAGGTCAACGGTTTGAACCACTTCCCTATGGATATTGAGAACTCTGTTGAAAGGTGCCACCGTAATATCGTGAACGGAGGATGGTGAGTAATTTCAATTATGGTTTAACTTTGCACTCTCATGGTCACCTGCTTACATTAATATCCCCCTCACAGTGCTATTTTCCAGGCAGGCGGTTTGATTGTGGTCGTAGTTGAGGTCACTCGCAAGGCCTTCCTGGCCTCCCTTGTACCTGTCATTGTTGACACGGTCTTGAACGAACACCAGGTTGTCACGGATATCGTTGCCTTCGTTTCATCGGGTGACTTCCCTCGCTCCCGCCTCGGCGAAAAGCAACGCGGGAAGGTTTTGGCTTCTTGGGTGACTCGCAAATTGCGCACCATAGCCCAGTTTAGTATCCGAGACATGGATGAAGATCATCCATTCGCTGACCTATCTCAACACCGCGCGAGCCGTAGCTCCAAACCTGGGAGCACCATGGGCAACAGTATCCGGCACTCCAGCGTTAATCCAGAGACTGGTGATATCCCTGCTGTTCCTCGATCTCCTGCGGCCGTAGTTCCCGAAGAAAGATTTGATGCGCCTCAGGAATCTTATAAGATTCCACGCCAGCATCTCGAACTTGACACTCGCACTGAAAATATGGTTTCTTCAACTCCTGTGCCTGAAGCGACTTCTAGCGTTCCTTATATCCAGGAGCCCCAGTCAGCGACGATTGTGACCGAGGATGACGATCACTTCAATTCCATGGAGCCTGCTCATGATGGCGCCACTGGTGCCAATCGTGATTTCCGATTCAGTTTCGATATTATCAATACCCCGATGGAGACTCTTCCCCAGCAATCCGCTCCCCAGACAACTGAGCGGCGTCCGTCTAGGCAGGATTCGCTTCCCAGTCAGCAACATTATGCGGGCGAGTCTGGAGTTGCACATTCCCGTCCAGGTACACAAGAGAGCGGACCAATCAGTGACTGGCCCCAGGAGGCTCTGATGTATCAGTCTGCCATTGGAACTGAAGACAATCACTACGCTCAGCAAAAGCACTATCCTGGAGGTGGTCACTTGATTTGAAGTCGAGAACACTTTTTGTATGCGTTCTGTACATGTGTTTATCTGTGAACCATTCTAGACTTGAAAAAGTGTGGGACAAGACTTTACTATCGAAGCGTGCGTGGATTTGCTTGTTTTGTTTACCCCACAGCATTGATTATGAAACCCCGTTGTTTTGTTTTGCATATGTCTTTTGTATATACTTCACATACCCGACCATTATATCATCCTTTCATCTGCGCTCTATATAATTTACATTAGTCTCATAGCTCAGATCGCCATTGGCGATGATCATGTTAGTCAATCTCCACTATGAAGACGTGATTTGCCGATCTTTCTTGCACCATCAACGTGCGGATTTCGTAATCGCAATCGAGGCTTGCTTGGCAAAGTCCTCACTGTAGGAAGATACCGGCTTTGGTGTATGCCTTCCTTTCCTCCATGATCGACCTTCAGACTCCATATGCTTCCGGTTCTCCATGAGCGCCGTCGATCAGCAGCCATGGTCATGCAGGGTCTTTACTTAATGAGGTAGGAAGCAATGCCAGATCGCCGAGAATAGTCGGCTGTGCAATTCTGTGGAGAAATGATACAAGCGGTACTCAATTTTTTTGATGCTATCATAATGAGGGGATCCCAAGAAGTTTATATGGTAGTATCGATGTATTTAGGAGTCACTTCAGAACCACGGAATGACGAATTATTCTCACGAGTATTGTCTAGTCTTTCTCTCTCTTTCTGTCTTCCCCCTAAAAAATGAATATCTTTCGGTTGCTGCTGCTAGCCACAGTAGCTGTGGCCAAGAGGCCCAATATTCTCTTCATTCTGACAGATGATCAGGGAAAACATGTGGGAGGATTAGAGCACATGCCTAAACTGCAGGTCAGTCGACAATACCAGATGTATTCGGCTACGAGCCAATGTTAACCTGGAGTTAAACACACAGGAACTACTCATCCAGAAAGGAACAACGTATTCAAAACATTATTGCTCTGTTGCGCTGTGCTGCCCTTCACGCGCGAATCTTTGGACTGGACGCATGCCACACAACACCAATGTCACCGATGTCTCGCTCCCCTATGGAGGATACCCAAAGGTCGTGTCAGCTGGATGGAATGACAATTACTTGCCACTCTGGATGCAAGATGCAGGCTATAGCACCTACTATGTTGGCAAGCTCTGGAATAGTCATACTGAGGACAATTACAATAAGCCATACGCCCGTGGTTTCAATGGATCAGACTTCTTGTTAGATCCCTACACATACCGCTATTGGTATGCACGGATGACTCGAAATGGAGGTTCACCAGTTAAATACGACGGTAAATACTCCACCGATGTCATATCTGAGAAGGCAGCTGGGTTCTTGGATGAAGCACTGGAGCAGAATCACCCATGGATGCTAACCGTCGCGCCGAACGCGCCACATGCAAATGGCTCGCATGACTCGACTCGCAACGCAAACTGGTTCGGTGAGCCAGAATTTGCACCACGCCATGCCGACCTATTCAAGGAACTTCAGGCCCCCCGGGACGAAAGCTTCAACAAATTGATTGAAGGGGCGGTTAGCTGGGTCGAGAATATTCCGGAATTAAACCAGACCGTCATTGACTATATTGACGAGTTTCAACGCTGTCGTCTGCGGGCCCTGCAAGCCGTGGATGATCTAGTTGGCAATCTTGTCGCAAAACTCGAGAAAGCTGGGGAACTTGATAACACTTATATCTTTTTCTCAACGGACAACGGGTATCATTTGGGTCAGCATCGCATGCAACCTGGCAAGAACTGTGGCTATGGTAAGCCCCTTCTGAATAATTCTTTCAAATTATTTTGGCATTAATTATTTCTTAAGAAACCGATATCAATGTTCCTCTTATCGTAAGGGGACCGGGTATTCCAGAGAATCAGACATTCGACGCAGTTACCAGCCATACCGATCTCGCTCCGACATTCTTGTCCATTGCCAATTCTACACGAGAGGGGCTTGATGGAAAGGCTATTCCATTCACCCTCGAAGCTAGTACATCTGACGATAGGACGGAGCACGTCGCCATCGAATACTGGGGACTAGCCGTACCTGAAGGGATCTATGGATACGCCAGTGACAAGACAAATGAGATCGGCAACTCTTACAACAATAATACCTACAAGGGAATTCGATTGGTTTCCGATGGCTATAGCTTATATTATGCAGTGTGGTGCACAAATGAGGTTGAATACTATAATTTGAAGGTAAAGAAGCCTGATGAGCGTGAATTCAGTATTGCAAAATCAAAAGCTAATATTATCATCAGGATGATCCTCACCAGACAGTCAATCTAGCCGCTCACCCGAATCAGTATTCTCATTATAAGATTGCTAATCGGGAGCTTCCCCAAATCCTACACCGTCTGGACGCGCTCATGATGGTCCTGAAATCCTGCGAGGGCGATGCCTGCCGTTACCCGTGGCGTCAATTACACCCTGCTGGAAAGGTGAATAGTCTGGCTGAGGCTCTTGACTCTGGCTTTGACAAGTTTTATGAGAATCAGCCCAAAGTATCCTTCCTCACATGTGAACACGGGTATATTGTCTCTTCTGAAGGCCCACAGAAGTTTGACGTTTATGGAGGCGGGACAAAGGAGAAGAGATGGGACGAGACAGAAAAACGTTGGGAAGACTCTTATCTGTGATGAGATTCTACCTGTGATAAAACATGAAGATGGGTGATGATTTAATATATGTCTTTGTGTGCATAGCGAAGAAAATAATGATGAAAATAAAATTTTCTAGGGCCGGGCATGAAATTCTTGAATATCACTTTTCCAGTTCCCTCTGGAGAAAAGACCCTGGGGAACCAGCCTGCCGGGTGACAAATGCTGAAAGACAACAGAAGGAAGAGGCCTTGATGGCCATGAATTTTGTATAATGATGATTTGATTGCGAAGATAGTAAAAACGGTGATTAAAGTACATCACATCCTTGATTACGCTTCGACCTGCATCACTTTTCTCGGGTCAGATAGCCGCACTAGGTCTTCTGCTCTGTAGGCCTCGGGATAGAAAGCGAAAACTTGCTCTGGGTAAAGCAAGAAATCATCGAAAGGCGCTCCAGTAGAATTAAAAAACTGCCATCTGTTCTTCATGAAGTTTCATTCAAGTTATTGGAAGATCTAGACGAAAATTTAGGGGTCTAACTGCCCCTTTGGAAATGGCAAGCTCCCGTGATCTCCCAGGATCGAAGCAGTATAGCTTGATCCAAATCCTTCCATATTCCTCTCAATCTAAGCCACCAAGGAATGAGTATAGGGGGGCGGCAGTTAAATTGAACCGAAATACCGTCCCCGCGCTTGGAATGCGCGTTAGAGTCGTGCCTAGTTCTCGTGGGGCAGCCCCACGGCCTGAAATTCGCCCCCGCATTCCTCAGCCTCGATAGACCATGCACCCCGACCGTTCCGTCATAAGTTAATCAGGAGACAATTGTGAGGGATATTCGTTGGCATGACAAACATCGCCGGCGTTTGGGCCCCTCGCTGCAATCGACAGATCTGCCCAGAACAGGATACCACCAAAGCTAAACCAATCATTAGTGGCCATGTTTCCTGACTGCTCCCATACTCGGTATAGGCTGGACGATGGGGCTGTCCTTCTGTTGATAAGACCCGCACGAGACTGTCTTGGTCACTCCCGTCCATAGGGCTCGGTAGATGGAGAGATGGATGATATGCCGAATCTACTATATCTCTCTCCGTTTTATAGTACCTGCTTCACTCAAATTGTGCCCTGCAACGTTCTTGTTCTCGGACCAGGCTTTTCAACATGCACGGATTGACCGAGCACATTTTCCAAGCCATCTTTCAACATTGGCTGGCTGCGTCATTGACGGTGCTGTTTCTATATTTGATCAAGAACAGATACTATAATGGTCTTGCCAAATATCCAGGCCCCCTAGTTGCATCAGTAACAGATTGGTGGCGATTCTTCGACGTTTATGGGAGAAGGCCTGAAATCACACACCGTCTCCTTCACAAGAAGTACGGAGATGTCGTTCGTTTAGGTCCAAATTCTCTATCCTTCGCTGATCCCCAGGCATTGAAGACAATCTATGGACTGAACAAAGGGTTCATCAAGGTAGATACCAGCCTGCATCCATTTATATTCCCTCCAGGCCGCATTTCTTGTTTCAAACTGACAGCTCAATTAGTCTGACTTTTATATTGTTCAACAATCAATTGCCAAGGGCCATCGTCTACAATCTCTCTTCAGCTCTACTGACAATGATTTCCACAGCCAATTCCGTCGGTGTGTGAGCTCCGCTTTCGCAATGTCAGCACTTGTTCAGTATGAACCGTTCGTGGATAATACGACGAAGCTTTTCTTGCAACAGACAAACGATATCTATGTCAATAACCCCAACGGATGTGACTTTCCGAGGTGGCTACAATTCTACGCATTTGATACCATCGGAGAAATCACGTACAGCAAGAGGCATGGGTTCATAGAAAAGAATGAAGATATTGAGGGTATTGTTGCGTATCTATCCTCACTTTTCCTCTATGTCGCGCCAGTAAGTCTCTATATCCCCCCCCCGAAAAACGCTTGCCATGCTAACTTTCCTAGATCGGGCAGATTCCTTTCTTGGACCTCCTTTTACTCAAAAATCCCATTTATCTCAAGCTTTCCCAGTGGGGAATTGTTGATTCCACATTTGCGGTGAGTTTCAATGTCATCAACATGATGATTCTTCTATCATGCACTCGTGACTGAACTATTCTAGGTTGCACGATTTGCTGGAAATAGAATGGCTGAAAGATTACCAGAATTGGCAAAGGGAAAGTCTGCCTCAGAACTAGGCGTCAAATCACCTGATCTACTATCGAAATTCTTAGCAGCAAACGAAGCCCATCCTGAGTTCATGAGCCAGACGTTGGTCCAGACTATGGCCGTGAGTATGGCCTTTGCCGGATCGGAGACCACGGCCATCAGCCTGTCAGCCGTATTTTACTTCTTACTCAAGCACCCGGCAGCTCTTGAATGCCTTCGGGCTGAAATTGATGAAGCAGCACGTGCTGGAGTCTTTGCAGACTACGAAACGGGACTTGTCACTTGGCACGAAAGCCAGGGCCTCCCTTATTTAGATGCGTGTATCAAGGAAGCATTTCGGCTACATCCGGCTGCTGGTCTCCCGCTTGAGCGCGTTGTTCCGGAGGATGGCTGTGAAATCGCCGGACATTTTGTTCCTGGCGGTACCGTTGTTGGTTGTTCGGCATGGATCATCCACATGAACAAAAACATATTCGGGGAAGACTCCGAAGCATATCGGCCTGAACGCTGGCTTCCAGACGAAAACATTACTAAGACTGAAAGTGGTAAAGGGATCGAAGATCGAAGAATTAAAGAGATGAACGGAACGATGTTCCAGTTTGGAATGGGAAGCAGAACGTGCATTGGTAAAAACATCAGCTTGCTCGAGATATACAAACTTGTTCCCAGCATGTTGAGGCGATTCGAGGTTTGTTGATATCCACACCCCAATGAGGATGTGCCAGCTAACCAAATTTGTTCAACATAAAGATCCGGCTTAAGGATCCAAGCCAAGAATGGAAACTGATAAATGCATGGTTTGTGAAGCAAGCGAATTTTGAGACAGTGTTTAAATCACGGGATATTGTCAAGCCTAGAATCCCGATCAATAACCAAGCTTGATTTCACGTGTATTACGACTGCTATTGTGAAAGTTGTCTAAAAAATGAAGAGCAAAGACCTTGATTATTACGATAGTCTCTCTCCCTCTCTCCCTCTCTCTGACCGGGTGTGCGGTAATTCTTTGTCAATCTGTCGAGGACCGAAACGAGGTTCAGAACGTGTATGATGACTATACTGATATAATTTGTGGAGAAATTGAAGTTGGAAACAAGTGAAACCGAGCCTGTTCTTTGAAGGAAAACTGAGACGTGAAAGTATTGTACATCAGATTGCAGGGATGGACAAGGTGTAATGGAAAAAAAAATCTAAGGGTAGTCTCTATCATCCTCCCCCATCTACAACGCTCGAATAGTCTATTTGCCAATCTCAACACCACCGGTGGCACCGAGAACACGCTTGATGTCACCGTAGATGGCGAACTGACCAGCAGTGAGGGAGCCGACCATGAAGAGACGAGCACCAATGCCGGAGTAGGAGCCACGGAGACCAAGCTCTTTGCCGATCTTGAAAAGACGGGACATGGTGCCCTCACCGGGGAGACCCTGGGTCTTGTTGATCTTGGACAGCATGGTGTCGGCGGGCTGGGAGACGAGAGCGGCAGCAAGACCAGCAATGAGACCGGAGCCAAGGTTGATACCAGTCTTGGCACCGTCGGTAAGGGTCTCCTTGTCAACGGAGGCGTAGATGGACTCAGAGACCTTCTCGAAGACGACGAACTTAGCCATGGTGTAGGGAACCCTGTTGATCATGCCGCGTTAGCACTCGCCAGTCCAATTCGATAGTAAAACCTTCCCCAAATATCGAACTTCCGACAATCGTAGGTAGGACTTACTGCTTGAACAGGATGGGGCCGAATCCAGAGTAGAAAGCGCCAACACCCTCCTCCTTGAGGATACGGCCGAAGCCGCTCACAAGGCCGGAAGCGAAGGAAGGCTGGGAGACGAGACGGATACGGGTAGCCTCAAGGGGGCAGAGGGCAATGTCGGCCATGAACTCAGCGCAGGCGGAGGAGGCGAGGTAGACAGCAGTGCGGTTGTTCTTGGCGGTCTCATAGCCGAAGTAGTTGATGGACTGCTGCTTGAAGAACTCGTAACCACCGAACTTGAAGGCACCCTGGAGGAAGTAACCGGCGGCGGTAGGGCCGAGACCAGTCAGGAGAGCGCCAGCACCCTCGTTCTGGATGACCTGGCGGAAACCACCGATCATACCACGGTTGTAGGTAACCGGGTCGAGCTGGATACGGGTCTTGACACTATCAATTGCGCGCAATGTTAGACCGAGAGCCGCCGGATAATGTCGACATCGTTCGTACTACTTACACATCCAGAGGAGTGACAGCACCGTGGGTGACACTGCAGCAGACAGCGCCGGCGAAGGCGAAGCGCGCATACAGAGCGGCGCCAGAGGGCTTCTGGTCAGCAGCGACGGCGGCCATTTTGATATGATGGGAGAATGGGGTGGGTGGGGAGGGAAAAGAGAGGAGAGTTGGCGTCGGGGGAATCGAAGGGAGCAAGCAGGAGAAGAGTTTGAAAGGGATGATGCTGCGCTAAACCCTAAATGGCCTAGCGCTAGTCGGGTTCCCGGCAACCCGCCCTGAATTTCCGAGAAATCCCTTGCCGGGCCAACACGGAGGGAACCACGCACATGTGGCAAATCAAATGGTAGACAATCGACGCAATTGAACAAAATATGAGTCTAATAATGCAGCTGCATAATGAGGGCGGTGACGGAAGTCCTCTCACTGGTTGGACAACTGCTTGCATCTCAGTACATGAGTATATAACTGTTTCGGGGAAGGGAGTCTATTATTTCCCTATGACAGATGACGTATATGGACATGGTTATCCCTTCGCGCTTGAACTTGTAATTCATGCTAGCTCGTCACGTCTTTCATATCAAAAAAGTTTTGGTTCAACTAAGTACTGATAACATAACAAAGGTGCTCTCCATTGCGAGTTGAGTCATCCTCCTAAGTCCAATTTATGAAACTTGAGAAACAATTATTGATAGTTGAATAAGGCCGTAGTGGTAGGACAACAGACTAGGAATACGAAAATGGCAATTTAAGGCCCTGCCTATCTTATTATGGCGGCTCATGGAGTAAGCAGATTTTCACTGCCAAGTCACAGATATTTTTATAACAATGCGCAGCGCTTGATAAGAAGGGAAAGGCCTGAATGAAAAAAAGTTCTAGATTGCAGGACTCTCCACATTCTATTTGTGGAAAATATCATGAATCCCTGTCACAATGCACTCACTGTACGAGTTATTGAAATATATCTTTCCTAAATCCGCTGGACTCCTAAAACACATTACTTTTCCTGACCGCTATCCCTCTCTGACCTAATCATAATATCTAACTACTACTCAGAACGCACGGTCAGCCTCCCCACGCCACTAAGTGGACACCTGGCAAAAGCGATGGGGCATTTTGTTATGTAGCGCCCGGTGCCAGCCACCACAGTGCCAAGCCCTCTTTCGACTCCGTCCTATGTAGGGATCGCATCGCGTTGTGCTGACCTGTCTTACACAATAATAGACAACTCGATTTCCACAAATCGAGAATTCCTACGATAATACTTAAAACAACGATTGAAAATCTAGTAATCGGATGAACTTCAAACTTGGATTACACTGTCTTGTTAGATGTAATGCGAAGAAGGCCAAAGGGAAGATTGCTGGCACGGAGACTCGCTATTTGTACGGTATCTAGAATGGAGCCATTCTTGTGACAGTGTCTCAAAGCATTGACGTTTTGGGGGACCTGTTCCGCGTCAAGCCCATCTTTGAATGGTCAGCGATAGCGTCTCATTCCATACGGCAAAGTGATCCTTTTGTTGTAGAAGCCAGACAACTGGACAGAGAGTGCGGCTGTAAGGCACAATTTAGAGTAAATTTAGAAAGAAGTGCTCGATGTTACTGTCCCACTCTGATAATTTAAGATCGAAAATTGCAAATAAACTGACCACCTGAATTTGGGCGAAATGACTAATCTCTGCATACCTCAGCCGATGTACTCTGGGTATAATCGCACAGCAGGGTGTCGGTGTCACTATTTTCAGTCCTGTTTGGCCCTGCTATCGAAACCTCTAAAATCCCACATTTGATATATCGGAGTCAGTTAAGAGATGTCTCAACCTCTCATCACTCGCCGTTAAACATCTTAGACGACGTAAGCGACGTAGCGGCCGCGCTCGTTTAACTTAGCCTTGGCTAAGGCCCGTGGTTGTTAAAAAAATGCTGTCATTACTCAGTTGTTGCTTGAAAATGGGACGCCAGGTAAAGAAATGGAGAGAAATTGAAGGTGAATGGAGATCGAGCCACTATGCAAGGTTCCAGAGACACCCACTGATCCCTTCACCAGAGATGCCCGATGATACCGACCTGGAAAAGGTGCCGGCATGGGCCGCTCTTCAAAATACCTTGATGATGCAGGGCTTTGAATGGCACGTGCCAGCTGACCAACAGCACTGGCACCGGCTCAGAATGGCGCTACCTAGCCTTCAAGATGCTGGTGTGGACAACATATGGATCCCACCTGGTTGCAAGGGCATGGACCCCATCGGAACAGGATACGATCTATATGATCTTTGGGATCTCGGTGAGTTCGACCAAAAGGGGTCGATTGCAACCCGTTGGGGCAGAAAGGAAGACCTCCAGGCACTTGTGCGAGCTGCTCAAGAATCTGGGATCGGAATTTATTGGGATACAGTCTTAAACCACAAGGCTGGGGCAGACTATACGGAGGTATTCCAAGCAGTCGAAGTCAGCTCAACAGGTTTGTGAAATGCTACCCGAAACTGGGCCTCAAGTCACGCTCACGGTATCATAGACCGCAACATTGAAACCTCGCGCCCTGAGATCATTTCCGGGTGGGTAGGATTCAACTTCCCAGGCCGTAAAGGAAAATATAGCTCCATGAAGTACCACCATCATCACTTTAATGGTGTGGACTGGGATGAGATACGCAAGCAACAGGCAGTCTACAAGACTTCCGGGCCCCGAAAACAATGGGCAAATGATGTCAGTGATGAACATGGTAACTACGACTATCTGATGTTTGCCAACCTGGATCACACAAACCCGGAAGTACGAGCGGATATCTTCAAATGGGCGGAGTGGATCGGGATACAGCTGCCAATCAGCGGCATGCGTATTGATGCAGCTAAACATTACTCTGCTGCATTTCAAAGAGAATTTGTCGATCATTTACGCAATACAGTTGGTACCGACTATTTTCTAGTGGGAGAATACTGGAGAGGCGAGGTGAGCCTTCTACTGCAGTACCTTAAAGTGATGGATTACCAAGTGTCATTGTTTGATGTGCCACTTCTTGGAAAATTTGCTTTGACTTCCCAGACAGATGGTGGAGATCTGCGAAAATTATTCAAGGGGACGTTGGTGGAAGAATGCCCGGCCCATGCAGTAGTAAGGATCTATAACTATAGACGATCATTTACAATCCATGATTGCTAAGACTCAGTCTGCTAATTAGACTTTTGTGGGAAATCATGATACGGTAAGTTTTCTGAATCCAGCCTGGAAAGTCGAAGGATGCTCATGTCCTCTAGCAACCTGGCCAGTCCCTAGAGGTGAGGGTTTGCTCTAACTATGGCAAATAATCAATCACCATATTCATATATTCTACTTGACAGACAATCATTATGCCATTCTTCAAACCTATCGCATATTCATTGATTCTTCTAAGGAGTCAAGGCCAACCGTGCGTCTTTTATGGTGACCTATATGGAGTGAGAGGTGGTCCAAGTCCTCAGCTTCGACCCTCATGTAAAGGAAAGTTACCTGTTTTAATGCGTGCTCGAAAACTCTATGCCTACGGAGAGCAGAGAGACTATTTTGAAAGGCGCAATTGCATTGGTCAGTGATTAACATTCTTTTCAACCAAGTATTAGCTGATAAAATGGAAAGGATTTGTGCGCTATGGAAACGAATATTATCCATCTGGTCTTGCATGTGTGATCAGTAATACCGTTGCAACCTACAAACGCATGTATGTGGGGGCCAAACACGCGGGAGAGGAGTGGACCGATATTCTCGACTGGTGCCCTGGCACCGTTTTTATTGATACTCGTGGTTATGGAATCTTTCCAGTTTCCGCAAAAAGTGTCAGTGTCTGGGTTAATAATAAAGCTAAAGGAAGAAAGCATCTTTCTCGATATTTGTGAGTCCTAAATCGTTCATTTCATGAATTTTGCTCAGTCATAAGAGGCTCATTCGACATTAGTGACAGGCATATCTATCGCTTATGAGGGGCTTTGAGTAGAACAATCGCTCAATATTTGAATAATTCAGAGCTAATGCCCGTCCCTGAATCTTCATATCATATGAAGAAGAACGAATGGTAGATTTTCGTTATTAGTTCGTAGATAATAAACCTCGACTTGCCTTACCAGTCCCACACTATCACTGGCATTACCACATACTTAGTCTAACCCGAATTTCTCATAATTTCCTATTAAATAAGCAATAGTTATCTGATCACCTCTGAATTTTCAAGACGTCCAGAGACTATAAAAAAAACCGATAATTTGTCCAGACATCATATTTCCAATTGTTCCGTTTCTTCTATTTTTGGCAAACCCGCCCGAAATCGAATTTCGTAATGCTTGGTGTCTCGTACCGTACCGACTATGAGTTGGACTGATGAAATTCTCAGGAAAAGTGGAAAGAAAAAAAGGATTTAGCTTGATATTTAAGATTTAGAATGTCACTCTTGATTCATTTTATGAAGAAAATACCTTAATCCAATAATAATGTGCACTAGATGTTGAAAAGGGTAGATTGGGAGAGTAGCAGTGTTAGATTGAGATAAAGCAAAATAATGCAGCGTAGCCGGACTAAGCGAGTTTTATTGAAGAGTACATAGCTGCATATCTCATAGGCTAGGTCTCTCCAGATGCTTATCTTTCGAAGTCCTTATTCAACGGAGAACTTGTACGTACTCCGCGGACCGTCGGCATCTGCCGGTCACATGAGCGGGCGGTTAACCTCCGGACGAGTCAAAAGCTCGGAAATTGTCATCGATGGATTACGTCCAAGGTCATCAAAGGTTCCAAGTGGTTTCTCCACCGTGATATCAACTCATTCGTGCCCGCATTATATGCCCTTATCCAAATACACACAGTGGGTCACTCGAGCACGGCTACCAGCCCACTCATCTGTGTGCTGTGGAGCTTCTCCCCAGAGCTAGGGAGGAGCTTGATGACGGAGGATGGGGGTTGGGTCTAAGACGTATATAATGACAGGTATTGTTGAGATCCACTCTTGACAGAAAGAGGGTAGCTGAACTCAATTCTGAGAAATATAAATGATCTGTCCGTCTTGTGCGTACCAAGCGGTTTTAATCACAATCAGATTATACTTGATGCTATTAGCTTCTGTCCTCCATTCTTTTTATTCAAGACACCACGCGGACATCAATAGCGCTGCTAATGAGCCATAAGATGGATTCCGATGCTGTCAAGAAGGGAGGGTCACAGTCTACGGACGTGAGCCAAGAACAAGCGATAATGTCATCAAGTGCCATTGTAACTGGTCATGATGATTTGCTGCAACTTGAACAAGTTGAAGTTGATCATGCTCTCGCTGCTAAGATGAAGCTCGTGAATGAAGTAAGGCTTGATTTGAAGATTTCTGTTTGTATCGTTGTGTAAAAATTCTTACCGAGAATAGGCCATTGATGGAATAGGGTTCACAGGGTATCATACCAAACTATTTTTCCTGAATGGATTCGGGTATGCCAAGCTAGAACTATATTGACTTTTACGTGGAAAAAAATATTAACAGCCAGCAACCAGATATGGCGTCGACTCTTTATTACTGTTTTTAATGAGCATCTCGGCTGATCAAGTTGTCGCGCAATATCCCCCGACATTCAAAAGGGGTGCACAGCTGGGATTTTATATTGCTTTGTTAGCGGGCGCGCTATTTTGGGGCATTACAGCTGATATAATTGGTCGAAAATGGGCCTTTAATTTTTCTCTGCTTACAAGTGCTGTGTTTGCTATCACCGCGGGCGCTGCTGGAAGCTATCATGCCTGGGCTACTCTAGTAGCAATATCAGCCTTTGGGTCGGGTGGTAATCTGGTTCTTGACACCACTGTCTTTCTAGAATACCTACCTTCGAACAAACAATGGCTTCTGACTCTTCTAGCAGGGTGGTGGGGTGTTGGCCAAACTGTGGCTGGCCTTGTTGCCTGGCCTTTCATGGGTAGGTTTTCATCATGATCCACATAAGTGTCTTTTGGCTTACTTATACCAAAACAGCGGGTTACAGCTGTCCATCTGATGGCTCTTCTCCATGTACCAATGCCAATAACATGGGCTGGAGATATCTTTTCTACACCTGTGGCACGCTTGTTTTTATTTTGAGTATTGCCCGGGTGTTAGTCATTAGGTTTCACGAGACTCCCAAGTTCTTACTCTGTCAAGGACATGATGAGGAGGTCGTGAAAACGCTCGATAATCTTGCTCAGAAATATGACCGAACATCTAATCTAACGCTGGAGCAGCTCCAAGCCTGTGGTCACATTAACAGTACTCATGCCAAAAACAAAGCGTCTTTTTCGGAATTGGCTGTTCATTTTCGGGGCCTATTCGCAACTAAAACCATGGCTTTCTCAACATCCCTAGTATGGCTATCATGGGCATTGATCGGACTGGGATATGCATTGTATTATGTTTATTTACCCGAATATCTGGCGTCTCGAAATGCCGCTGCTGGCGACGACTCCACCTACCTGACATGGAGAAATTACGCAATTACCAATGTATGCGCTGTCCCCGGCCCTATTATGGCCGCCTACATGTGTGAGATGCCAATCTTTGGTCGGAAAAGAACCATGGCAACTGGGGCTTTGATAACTAGTAAGCTTTTCGCATCAATGCACTCAAACCATAACTCAAACTCATACCATTCAGTGGCATTCTTCTTTGGTTATACTGCTGTGAAAACAAGTGCTCAGAATCTGGGATTTGCCTGCGCAATTTCCGTTACAATAAACATGTATTACGCCACTCTCTACGCTTATACCGTTGAGATACTTCCCTCAGCACATCGTGGTACTGGAAACGGAATTGCTGTTGCACTAAATCGTTTGATGGGAATGGTTTCTGCACTCATAGGTGCTTTTACATCAACATCAAGTCCAGTGCCAATATATGTCTGTGCTGGCTTGCTTGGCATGGCAGGCATTCTTGCAGTGCTATTTCCCCTTGAATCAAGGGGAAGGCAGAGCGTCTGATCTGACGAGAAGTCTCTGTGTTTTCATGATGCCCAAGAAAAGATTTCGAGGCAAAGGCAGAAGTATATACATCTTGTGTAAACAGAAATATTAAGAACATTAGAGATTTCCAATTTGCCAAATTCCTAGATAAGGATTTTCATGGTCTTGGAATTGATAAAATGGGTCACGAGTTATGTCCATGAAGGACATATTGCTCTGAAACCCAGACCCTGACCATGGAAATGCATCTCGTTGCATTGGGACCTGGTTTGCACTGGTCTCAATTGAAACGGTATTGCTTTGATCCAAATGTTGAGATTCCAAGTTTTCGGTGGCGAAGTGAGAATTCACAGTGCTCGAATAAGGTGGTAATGCTTGTCCACCATCTGACATATCCACAGTTCTTGTGGAATGATGAAATATCTCTGTTTCAACTGTGACCTTGTCCGGCCGCTTCTCTCCTGGATTTTCAAAGAATGATGGGTCGAACAGGCTTTTACCTTGAGGGTTCAAGGATGTATTTGGGGAATTGTGGAACAGGATATCCCACATTAACTCAGTGTTTATTGATAATGTTCTTCTAGGAGAATGATGATTGTTTGAACTGGGGCTTACTGCAAAGGCGGAGTGAACAAGTGCCTGGAGCTTCTGATGCTGTGTATATTAGTTAGCTCTTACCGCTTGAAAATATTTCGGAGCGGACTCACTATTGCATGGCATCTTGGCATATTTGCCGCCAATTTACTCAAGAACTTCATGCATGTCTCGACCATCCTTTGGGCAGATTCCCTGACAGCAGAATCTGCGGCACGACAGTAGTAAATTTGAATGGAAGCCGCTACAGCAACAGTATGGCCGAGAAACGGATCTGAGAGTTGATACTCTTTCTCAGTTATCATTTCGATGAGTCGAGCTATCCATGTTGTATGGATAAGCGCAAGCTCCGAAGATGTCTTCCAGAAGGTATTCGGCACTGCAAGCTGAGACGACTGCTGAGGCCTCCAAGAGTATAGAAAAGGATGATTGAGAATGCAATGAATGGCGTGATAAGTGAACTGAAGATAGAGCCATGGACTCCAGTAGCTGCGGTCTCGATACAAGTCTTCCACTGCCTGTTCTTGAAATCTCATAGAATCATATCGATGTGACGTTGGGAATTTAGTCTCAATATCCATCAAGTGTGCTCCAATTATTGAATATCCGGACTCAACTGACCAAGGAGGGGTCAAGTCTCCACTGGCACAGTAGGAAACATAATACTGAGCCTCGTTCCAAAGGGACGCCAGCTGTACCATGTAATTCCAGATCCCGGATTTAGTGGTGAAGCAGTCAATTTCTTGCGGTATTTGTGGCGGCTGAACTCCCATTTCTCGAGAAGAGTCGAAATTGATGGCCATGTATTTTGGACTGTGGATGTCTCCTAGCATATTAACTTGCATACTACGAGGACCATATTGCTGACTGAGAAAGTGTATACTCCAAAAAAGCCTTCGACGAGCTTCTAAGGTTGGAGTAATCTCCCCTTCGTGCAATTCAATATCGATCTCACCAGACTTTGCAAGACTTGTAACAAGACCCATATGTACCCAAGCGAGATGAGTATCGTTCGCTGCAAACAAAAAATGAGTTGCAGATAGTTCAAGGTGGAAATAAAAGACTGACCAATGTACTCAGCAAGAGCAATCAAACAAAGACTCTGCATTGTAGAAAGATGCACGTTTCCATGAGAAATTCGCATCATAATTAAGTTATGAGCTGCGTCGGCATATTGTCGGCATAATTGGTCGATATTTCCTCTGAGGGACTGATTATTGGAATAGCGCAATGCCAGGCTGAGTATACCAAAAATCACTTCGTGGCGACAATCTTCCAAGAAACAAAGATTATCCGAATCAAAAAGCCACAGAGGTTGTTTATGACAAAATTGAAAGTAAAGTTCAACAGCCTCTGACACTAAATCTTTGGACGGCATCGCCATCGGTGATTTCGACTTCGCAACAGGTGAAGTCCCATCATCATGCAATCCAAGATGCTTGGGGGGTGATTCCCACTGATTATCAGAAGATATAGATGATACTGGATTGTTGTTGAGCCCGTAGGGATAGGACCCTGGATTCCCTGGCTCAAATGGGCGACTCGGCCTGCTACCATCAGCATTGTCCCTCAAGAATTCGACAAGAATGATGCGCACATAGTTCCTTCCAGCATCAATTCCATTCTCTCTTCTAGTTGTTGTAGTCGATCCTCCTAAATCTGAATGAGCTTGAAATTATATTTGTAAATGCAGATTGATCCATACCAGAACCCGATCACTACCTTCTGGACGCCCAAAAGAGTCATAATCTCTTCTATACTGGCATGTTTGTTTTAGGCGAGTACAGTTTGAGCATTCTGGTCGTTCTCCTGGACATCTTGTCTTTTTGCGTCTACCAATCTCTCTCAGCAAACGGGATCATATTTCCATACTGGCTGGATACCTGGGACTTCAGAACTGACCTACAGTTTTCACACGCTTGGTGCGATCTCTTGCCAACACGGGAGTTAACCAGGGACATTTGCACGGTCGGACGGGAAACAACACGAACAAATCAAAGACAATGTAAATATTGATGTAGCTTTAAGAGAAACGAGGCGCGGGGTTATCGGACCTTGAGCCGGTCCAGACACGAGGCGCGGGGGCGACCCACTCTTCAAGAACCCACTCTAGAAGATCGCGATAAGAGTAACTTGCTGACACAAAGTTCTTTGGCTGTATTTCGAGTGGCGGGAAATGACAAATATTACACGAAAGAAAAAAACACTGCATTTAAGGTTTTCTGCGAGTTCCAATATCAGTATGTGCTCTTGTGCTTGGCGGAACAAGTTGTTGTACGATCTTTGATCTTTGTGATCTATTGGACGTGTACGATGTTTCATCAAGGGTAAAAGTTTTCCTAAGTGGTACAATTACAGTTGGCTCTCAAGAGGTATTTGAAGCGATATGTAATTAACGTGAAATTTGTGCTGTTACAGACTCATTGGCATGGCATATAGCTGAACTACCATTCCAAGTTACCATTACCATCGGCCGAGCATGCCAAACCTGAACAAAAGGCAATGTCCTTCGCGGTAGCCGACCCAGTTGCAAATTGCCGAGCTGGCCAGATTTCCCTTCTCTCTTTTTGTTCCTCTTCGCGGTGATTCAAGAGAAGACTTCTCACCCTATTTTGGAAGTATAACGGAGCACTTTCCAGTTCAGGATGAAGTTGTCCATTCACAAAAACGCCAGCATTCAAATTCTTTTGGGCAGCATTGCAAAGGTACTTGTCTTCAGCAAGAACTCGCTTGAAGAATGAATCAATATATTCAAAATCTGCGTCAGAGGCATCTTTGTGACGATAGACTTCATACTCCATGGAGCAAGTCCCCACAGAAGTGGGTACGCATCTCATCATATAGAAGAAATGAGGACTACACATGTTGATTGATTTTAGTACTCGAGACATATGCTAGGCAAGGGATTTCATTCAACGATGGGACTCACGAGACTGTCATGCAAGCATTGGGAAAGTAATATGTACTTGCATTGTGAATGTCCTCATCCTCTTTATCATGTTTGGGACGAGAGAAGTGTTGAATATGTCCACCTTTCGAAACAGTATGGTAGTATGATAAATCGGCTAAATTCACAACATCCGGATGTGCAACAGTACAATGATAGCACTCATTGTAGTTATCGGCGAGAGTTTTCCAATTATAATCACCGTCCATATGCCACGTGTGATCAAAATCATACTGGCTGAAGTCAAATGCTTGGAATCTCTCTTGGGTGTCCACTCCCTTGAAATCCTCATCCCAGAGGACAGGGTTGGGTGAAGAGTCGAGGTTAACCCAGACAAAACCTAAAGCATCGATATGAACGTGAATGGGAAATAGATTCTGATTGTCTTTGTCAAACCCAGGCACATCATCGAATCGTGGTGCCTTGGCTAGTTTTCCGTTGAGGCCATAAGACCATCCGTGGTATTTGCAAGAAAGAATTTTAACATTCCCCTCGTTCTCATGAAGAAGAGGGAACGCTCGATGGCGACATATATTGTGAAAGCCGTTCAAGTTACCCTCTCGATCTAGACATAGCATAAATGAGAAGCCGGCTTGCTCGAAGCGAAGGAAGTCACCGGCCTTCTTGAAGCGTAGTTTGTGGGTTATTAAAAGCCATTTCTTCGAGAATATAGCCCGTCTCTCCAATTCATACATCTCTGGCGAGCGATACCAGGATGATGGGAGCGCCTTTGGTGGCTCATTCAGGATAGGTTTCTTATCTAGAATGTTTTTGGAACTGTATCCAAATAGAGAGGCAACCGCGGAAGCCATAGTGAATGACCGACACCCAAATGAACCTGCAACGAGGAAGGCAGACCTGAATAATCTTCACAAAAAATCCAAAGGTCTCTATATTGCTTGTTTTTTGTCCTTTTGCGACTTTATTTCAAGACGGTTCTTTCAAGACTTCCGGTCACGCGCCGGTGTAAAGAACACACGATATAAATCTTCCGCTGTAGTAACATCGTTTTCGTACGGAGGACGACCGACGGTGAATTGGCCGCATGATCCCAGACATGGCTCATCCACTAGCTAGCCGATAAGACCCTGGTCCATGTATGGAAGTTCCACGAAAGAAGGTTTGACGGCTCAAAAAGCTCCTGCATATCACGCGCTACGACGGCATCGACCCGATCACGTGAACGGTCGACCGTGGATCTCGAGGGCCCCGGCACCTTATGGTGGGGGGACTGGTGGACTGTTCACCATAGCGACTATGTCGCTATCTGTTTCCTCTGTAGGAAGGCCGATAGTTTACCTAAAGTTGTTCGGTACTCGGCCAGCAGCTCCCCGTTGGACCTTGACCGAAATAATAAACTAACGCCCGTTCCATCAATTATCCATTCCACTCGGAGTCACTCCGAGGTTGGGCAAACCAAGTATGTATGCATCGTTCGATGGATACGGTGCATTTGAGGGAAACGACCTCGATAACGCTTGGTTCAATCAACGCGTGGAATGAAGCTTGCTCTTCAATTTTGAGATCTGGCAATATAACTATTCCAAAATACTAAGGGACGTGGGTAGCAAGAAATGTCACGTCCCTTCAATAGTAGACAGATCTGTCTACCTCATACGAAACTTACACTGAAAATGTCTCAAGCCCATGATAAAGCTTCCATCTCCATAATTAGCCCGAGAATCCGGAGGCCTCCGATCATGTGCTACGCCGTACACGAAGTGGACATGAATACAACTTCTACGGTCCAATCTATATTTTTCATGGTTAGATCAATGAATTGATCGAACTGAATCACTTCCTTGAAGAACTATTTTTTTTGGAACTCGCAGACTTTCTTCCGTATCAAAACACACACACACACACACACACACACACAATGGGATCCTTGGAGACAATGGAAGATGCATCGGGCTTTGTTTTGACATCAGAAGCTCTAAATGATGCTCTTTCAGACATGGCAATGGCCACAAGAGCTGTCCATGCCGATGATTTTGTCAGCCCTCATCGTGCAATCGCTCCTGCGATGCATGTTGCGGTGAACTTTCGCTACGCAAGGGACGCAGACCAACTTGTCCCCGAAGAGAATAAAGACGTGAGAATACCCGGAGAGAAATGTTGTCGCAAAATTTTAATGAAGTTAATAGCCAAACAATCCTTACGACTCTCATGTATACTCTCGCTATACTGCACCGAATTCTAGCCGCTTCGAGATATTACTACGCAATCTTATGGGGGGCGAAGTGATTACTTACTCTACTGGACTGTCAGCTTTTCACGCGATTCTGGTCCTCATCAACCCTCGACGTATTTTTATTGAAGGTGGGTATCATGGGTGTCATGGCGTCCTTGACATCATTCAAAGATTAACAGGCGTTCAAAAGTTGGATCTATCGCAACTTGATCAAGCTGAGCCTGGAGATATTGTGCATGTGGAGACGCCACTGAACCCTACAGGAGAAGCGCGAAATCTTGCCTATTTTCGTGCCAAATCATCTCAAAAGGGGGCTTATTTGATAGTGGACTCGACATTTGCACCGCCCCCTCTGCAGAACCCCCTCGACTTTGGGGCTGATATTGTCATGCACAGTGGAACTAAGTATGTTGGTGGTCATTCTGACATGCTCTGTGGCCTCCTAGTTCTCCACCCAGACCGAGTTAAGGACGGTTGGCTCAAAAAGCTTCACAAGGACCGCCAATATATTGGTAGTGTTATGGGCAGCCTTGAAGGCTGGTTGGGTATTCGTTCTGCTCGCACTCTGCATCTTCGAGTGACAAAACAAGCCCAAACTGCACAATGTCTTGCTGGATGGATACACAGTGAGCTAAAAGACAAAAATAGTCTTGTTTCTCAAGGCTTGGATTCTGTACAGCACGCGTCACTTCAACATGTCGACTTAGAGCATGGCTGGCTCAGAAAGCAGATGCCTGGAGGATTTGGGCCTGTATTTTCCGTATGGGCCAAAAGTTCAGACCTTGCACGCAGACTTCCAACCCGAATGTTTGTGTTCCAACATGCAACTAGCTTAGGTGGAGTGGAAAGTTTGATGGAATGGCGAGCAATGAGCGATGCAACGTGCGATGAAAAACTTCTCAGAATTAGCTGTGGTATTGAGGAATTTGAAGACCTGAAGGCCGATTTATTGCAAGGATTGAAGTCACTCATCAAGAGTCAGCCATCGGCTTAGATAAATTATTGTTCTCTGGATCCAGCTATTTAAGTAACTTCCAATTGATTTTTTTTTTGAAGTTTCATTCTTATTGCTAGATGAAACCTTACATCTAAATAGGCCTGCACTTTTGAAAATAAGTTTCTAGAAGAGAGCTCAAGTTTGTTATTATATTTCCTGTGTTTATTCAGTCAGACTTTCCCACCGCCCGACCAAGTGACCCAACTATCGTCCCTTTTTTATCCACCAAATCTTGGGCGAACACAGGCTTATCAATATGCAAACCCTCACCTGTCAATTGACGAAATTTATCTCCCCGGGAGGGGGGGCTTCTCTAGCCCGGGAAGTTTCCCAGGCAAGCCTTCTTATCGACTCAAACAAACAAATAAACTAAGCATCACCCTGTGAAAATTGGTGATTATCTCATTCAAGGTATCAGGTTATTGAAAATCTTGGAAAGTGGAGATTTTCACCGCGTGGCTGTGAAGAGATATTCAGTAAGCTCAAGTTCTACTTCGGGTGATATTGAAGGTGATGACAAAAACGTTGTCTATATCTCATTGAAAAAATATGAACAACAGAAATGAGTCTAAGTATTTCAAACATGTCAACTTAAACTTATTGCTAGTGTGACGGGCTATCAACAGCTTTCAAATCTGTGCTTCGGATAACGTCTACTCTTATCAATACTTTGTGCACTCCCCTTTAGCTATGACATTTCCTTTTTCAGTATTAGAAATATCTGAAGCTCTAGGGGCAGGGTTAATAAGCATGTTTTTTCTTTTGATTTTTTAAGTTCAAGTACACTTCTCGTCACCTAGTCTCCAATTAGCTCATCATGCATGAAAGGATCCAATCGGATAGAGGCCGATCTCGTGATCGGTATTTTTGCGAGTCCGGCGGAGATGGTCATGCAAGCTCCGGTTATTACATTCAGAGGGCTCTAAGTGGTGGAAGTTACGCATAGGCACTTTTGTTGCGGACGCAACACTCCGAAGATGGTTATTGTCATTTGTGAATCGCATGCTTGCACGTGAACGGACCGGATCCGGGGTGTTTATAATCGAACATTGATAGGAACACATTTTAAATATGATTTTTCTCATACACTGATATCATAGACATTCTTCTATTCAAATTATCAGGAAAGACCGCTTTCAAAGCGAGTAAGTCAGGAAAATGGAACAGTACGATGTGGCAGTCGTTGGACTCGGCGTGCTTGGAAGTGGGGCAGCATACTACGCTGCCCGAAAGGGCGCCAAAGTGATCGCCTTTGAGCAGTTCGAATTTGGACACGTTCATGGAGCCTCTCACGATACATCACGCATCGTTCGGACCTCAAATTTTACGCCAGAGTATGTGCGCTTAGCTAAATCAGCTTACAAAGATTGGGCCGAGCTCGAAAGGATCACTGGCCAAAAGTTATTGACCACTACGGGCGGCGTGATTTTCTTTCCTGAGGAGCAGGGTGCACCAGTACAGGCTACCGACTTCACGACAAGTCTGGATGCTAGTGAAGTACCATACGAGCTGCTAAGTCCTCAAGAAGTAAAGAACAGATGGCCACAATTTGACGTTCCCGAAAATGTGGCTACTGTGTTCACGGCAGATAGCGGGATTGCCCACGCTTCTAAGACAGTCAGCCTTTTACAATCTCTTGCACGTACCCATGGGGCAGTACTGAAGGACCAGACTCGCGTCGATCGCGTGTATCCCAAGACATCGGGCGATGGGGTTGTGATAAAAACATCCAAAAGCCAGTTTCAAGCAAGCAAGGTCATTTTGGCGACAGACGCGTGGGTAAATAAGCTCCTCGCGCCTCTGGGCACGCACATCCCGATATCTGTAATGCAAGAGCAAGTCACATACTTCAAACCCACGGAGCCTGTTGACTTTCAAGCGGATCGTTTCCCTGTCTGGATTTGGATGGGGACAACATGTTTTTATGGGTTCCCTTGCTACGGAGAGCCCACCATCAAGGCAGCCCGGGATACTGCAAATAATTTTATGACACCGGAACAGCGCACATACGTCCATTCTCCAGAGTTACTTCAGCAACTATCATCTTTCTTGAAGAGTCTCATTCCCGATCACAAACGCCAACCCCTCCGCACGGTGACTTGCCAGTATTCAATAACACCCGACCGGCAATTTGTCCTCAGTCCATTGGAAAACCATCCCGATATTATCGTGGGTCTGGGAGCGGCTCATGCATTCAAGTTTGCACCTGCATTTGGCCGAGCTTTAGCAGAACTGGCAGTTGACGGTAGAACCAATGAGGATATCTCGAAATTTGGTATTCCTTCAGCTGCCACCTGCACCAGTAAACTCTGAAGATCCTTTTCAATCTCCTGTCCGATATGAATATTCAGAATTAGCAGAACCAATGAAGCAAGATATTCCCGTCTTTAAAATATTACTCGACTTGCTTGAATAAGCCAAGATAATTGATGTTTATACTGTATTTTCATCTTCCTTTATTAATATTTCGAGTGTGACGGTCAAGGAAAGAGTACCTGGTGAACTCTAAACTAAAGATCACTTTACTTTCACAGCTCACATTTTCATGACCCTGTATATGAAACGAAGACAGCTCCCTCGATATCGACATCGAAAATGGCTCTCCCCCTGCTCCTGGCCCATGCGCCACAAACCCCCAGCTCCCTCCTCCCCTCTCTCACCCTTCGCCGCTGCCGGCATCTCGACGCCCATGGGATTTTGACAGTAGTTGTTATTCTGGTTGTTGTGGCGGTGGGGTATAAGATCTGGCGACAGCGGTATGCGCTCTTCATGGCTTGTTGCTCGGGCGATTTTGAAAGTCTTTTGGCGACTCAATTAATTGTGTAGCCAAGTAAATCGCCGAGCAATGCTCAGCGATCCCCAGCAGGTACTTATATATGAGCACTTGAAAGAGCGTGAGGCTGCCGAAAAGGCCGAGAAGAAGAAGAACGGCGGGCCTTGGTGGGCCTTCAAGAGATCCTCCCCCCGGTAAGATGATACATTCCTTGGAAGAATCATGTCAAACATACGCTGATCGAATGGTATATAGCCTCGGTGCTTGGACAAGGGGTTTGTGCGGATATTTTCGGGATAATGATTAAGCTTGAGTCTAAGCGAATACTGACATCTGCTCACTGAGCCTGAGCCTGAGCACTCTCATCAAACCGGCGGCGGCCGGGATAGGAAAGCCCACCCGGTAGACATTATCTGGTCTATGTAGGTGCCTTTTGGCTTAGGTTCTCATTGTGAGAAGGAACCATCTCCTGACTTCCAAATAAGATTGTATATTAGATTATTCATTCTCTGGGTATTGATTAACTTGGTATCCAAGGAAGACCACTAGCTTGCAACAAACAGTCTAGATGTGGTATATAAGAGGTTATGACGCTTGATATACTTTGAAACTATTAAACTCCCAGTAAGCGTTTGTGAAGTTGGCTCCATTTTCCGCCGCCCATTGGGTACATGTCTCTGGGCAGTCGTAGAGACTAGTGTAATAAGCGGAAGCACCTGCAAGGTCGCCACAAATGTCGATGTTGGCGATGATACTTTGATTGCGAAAGTGAGAGCTGATATCGCAGTTTGTACTTGGGAAGTCGGCTAACGCTTCACCCCATGTCGATGGGTCCGGGGTACTGCTTGAATTTGAGATATCGGATGGAATATCATCTCGTGCGAACATCCAGACCCGGATTCCCGCGTCCCGTAATTCCATGGCGTACACCTGATAAGAAAAAAGTAAGAAAAGAATGAGCTTTCAATGGTTGATTTGAAGCCTTACTCCACCACCGTTTTCATTGAACTTCTCACCAGAAGTGGCCGCGTTGCCCTGCACTCCGCAACCAGAATTGTCATTTGCTGTATTAAGACAGTTGGTGTATTTAGCTGTGCCGGTCTCCTTGCGTTTGGCATTCATTTTGCAACCGCTCGTTGTATGTAATGTCATCTCATTTCCGTGGGTTGCTTTGTTATTTGATTCCATGACATCGATCTCGCCATTTTCAGGCCAATTCGAGGGATCGGTAAGCCAAAGTGCTGGCCAGGTTGCACATCCATAGGGAGTGTGGACAACGTCGAAGACGAAGAGTCCGCTGTCATATGTATTTGTTGAGGTGATGCGAACCGATTTTCGCCCGCTTGTCTGATTTTGAGTGTCGGTGTCAACTTTTATGACAACGGATGAGTCAGACGCATAGGTTAGATTCATTTGAGATGCTGTCTGGGAATCGACATATCTTAGAGCAGTCAGTTTAGAACAAATCCACCTCTAAGACAGGTGCACCTACTGCACAAAACCATCAGTTGGATCGGTTGCTGTATAGTACTCGAAATTGTCAAAGAAAGATGAGCCCGAATATGTGTCAACCAGGGTATAGTTAAGTTGAGAGTAATTAGGATACTCGGTTGCCTTGACCCCTTCAACAGCCCCAACGATAATGGCCACAATGACGACCACAATACACGCCGCGACAATCAACTTTTTTCGCAAAGACCATCCTCTTACGTCGTACCACGGCCGTATAAATTCATGTTGGGGCATGACGACCTGTGAATAGCGTGGCGGATCTGGTGGTGCCCGAGAAACCGAATAGCCGTAAGAAGCACTGCGCTGATTGAAATCAGGTAGCTGACTTGTCGCACTTCCAAACCGACTATAGTCGTCTGCCTCACTGGCAAAGGGGTCGCTTGACCGCATGGCACCTTGAACAAGGCGGGGAGGTCGCTCGGTCGCGTGGGGTATCAATAGCAAAATTGAAGAGGACGGGTATAGATTTTTTTTCTTTTTTCTCCAAAAAAAATGCACTGCGTTTGAGAAGTTACGAGGGAAATGTTCCAACCTCTAGAAAAGATTATGTACTAGGAGCAAGCGAGAAACAGGGCTCGATAAGAACCCTTCACCTGTTGTACACGTCTGCCGCGTACGTCCCTCCCGTCGCCAAGCGACCCCACTTCCTAGAGCCCTAGAGTATTTCCCTCCCTTTTAAGCGGACAATTACGCAGAACGAAGTTGCGTGCTAAGTAATGAGACAAGCAATTTGACCAAGCAATTCAAGAGAACCAAGCCTCCGCTCAACTACCTTACATATCTCTTCAAATTTCATGCCCCCTAATACAATTCGCAGCTAGTGTTGGCCATGGACAAAAACAACAATGCGTTTCTCAAAAAGGAGAAAGAATAACATCATCTTCCAAATCGGTGAATTTTGTTGCGTTTCTGAGAGTCAAATTTTGGAAAGAAAAAAGAGGAGAGAATGGCGTCGATTGAGAAGGCTTAGTTGCAAGTCATGACTTACGGCACGGGTTGCCCCGCCACGCAATTGACGCGTAACCAGGGTCCTCCGGCGTTTGGAACCAACGAATATCAACAGCCGGAATGATTCTGACAGCACGTCCTATGGAGTCAGTCAGTATTTCAGATTATTTTCCACATGCTGCATGCCGATCGATCCGGTGTGATCACCTTCCTTTTACTCGTATCTCATCTCTAGAGTACTTCTGGTCCTAGTGATCTACACAGAATACGTCAAGCAACCGGCATGAACCGGGTTTTTTCCCTGTCCTTGGCGGAACTTGCATGATTTGATCACACTAATCAGTTGTTTGGACAATCTTTGTCACAAGGGGTCCATTCCTTTTATCCAGTAAGCTTAAATTATTGGCTGATAAATCGACCTTGTTTCTCTCTTGAAGCCTGGAGACTAGGATATTATCATTATATCCATCGTCAACTTGCACCTTTCTATTTCATAATTTGTGGCTAGTATTGCACATGAGAAGGTTCCTTTGAACCGACAACACAAGTCATGATTTTCGTGCTTTTAATGGGCGCTGATAACATATTGGCATAAAATAAGATTTAAAATGCTCAAAAAGGGTCTCTAGGTACGCTTTGTGCAAACATAGCCGAGTACGTGAGTATAGATTATGATTGTCCATAGACAAGGTTGCCCACAAATCTTGATTAATATTGCCAAACTTCAACTCTTCAGGTCCTCCACATCAATCGCCCCTGAAAATGCACCGACAGTATCGTGCTCAATCTCTTTTTTCATGAGCTTCTCTGTGCAGTCAACTAGTATTGGTAGCGATACCATGCTGTCAAAGATAGAGTATAGTGGTCTTCGATCAGAAAATTCTTATTTATGGATGTATACCTTCTTCAGATATATCAGATTCGGTAATGTAGTAGTCTGGGAATTGGCAGGTGGGGCAGCGATGATCTGCCTCGTGGCAGAATGACACATCGCCCACGGAACCCAGTCCCTGAGTTCGGGGCAGGTCGGTAATTGCGGGATGTTTAACTTCAGACCAGCAACCAAACAGTGACCCATGACGTAAGTACGAGCTTACATCGAAGGGGAAGATGCTCCGTGGAGCAAAGCCACCGGATGCTGCCCTCAGATACCAAGTAACAGAGCCTATTGGCTCAGGATAGAACTTTGTCGCTTGGAATAATTCCCCGTCAAAATTTCCACAGAGAAGAAGCCAGGTTCAAAGTCATCCGCAGTGGCAAGGAGGGCCTTTGACCGTTCGTTTGCCGTCGCATCGATCTTCTTAAAAAGATTGCCTGCGGCGACGGCATTTCGTATTGAATTTTTGCTATTTTCTTCGTGGAAATGTCGTAACCAGATGATTCTTTGAGCCCACATTCCCAGAAAAATAAGTTGCCAATCACGTTTCTGAAAATAATAACAAAATGCAAAACAGGTCTTTCTCCTTGTAAACTGAATACTAAAGCTACTGATATCATTAACATGATGATAAATTTCGCTCTGTCCTTAGCTTCTGGCCATGTTTCTTCCAGTATCGGCAGTCGGCTCCGACTACCGTTACATGGGTGGTGGGACCTCACCCATATTAAGCAAGATTAGAAACAAAATAAATGAACCAAATTAATTGCGCTTTATAAAATAAGGAAGATAGGCAGACCAGTTGGGCCCTTCTGTCCTATCAAACTGGAAATACATGAAGCTGCTAATTCAGTGTCTCGTCAGCGGATCTAGACTCGATTTAGATCACCAACTTCCATGTCTGATAGTCGATATAGTTTCCGTTATTCTCACCCAAGGGCTAATCTTAAATAAATAATTGAGCCAATCTGCTTTTTCCAATGAAAAATCGATTTTGTTATTGCTAGAGAATGAGAAAAAAAGGATAGAAGGAGGTCATTAGAGGGGTACAATGCCGAAGTTCACCCGGTAGATGCCGATACCCGCTACTCCGCGACCCGGTGGGGCAACATTGACTTAAGCTCTCATCTCCCAGGCCCAAAGTTAATAGTTTACGGACAATGCAATCTGCTCTCATCTAATTGGCTTCCTTTCCGAAAAGTAGGACACCACCGGTTTCCCCGTATAAATACACCCACCCAGTCGCCTCAGCAAATCCATTGATAACCTCAGAAGTCAGAATTGTGCAAATGTCAGCCTTGTGGTAAAATAATGGCCGAATTCATGCATGTCGAGCGTCTCCTAGAATCTCTCTCCATTGAGGAAAAGGTAGGGCATATTTGCTTCATTATAAATCTACCAATAAGCTTGAACTATCTCTAAGCTTCTCTCCATTCAGATCTCTTTGCTAGCCGGCGCCACATTTTCGAACACGGCATCTATTGAGACGAAGGGAGTGCCGTCAATCAAGGTATGGACTTGGATGAGCGAAAGTGTTCGATGATTTTGTGCTATTTCTCACATTGGATTCTACTTACGTTTGGCCAACAAAGACCGCCGATGGACCTAATGGCGTTCGCGCAGCCGCCGTCGACAGGGACATCAAATCGGCCTGTTTCCCTGCAGCATGCAGTGTGGCTGCCACCTTTGACACCGAAAATGCATACAATATAGGCATATTATTGGCCAAAGAAGCTCGTCAGAAAGGAGTGCATTGCCTGCTTGGTCCTACAGTCTGTATTCATCGACATCCGCTAGGAGGTCGAAATTTCGAGAGTTTCAGCGAGGACCCGTTCCTTACTGGAAAGCTTTCGGCGCAAGTCATTCGTGGACTGCAAGACAATGGAGTCGCTGCAACTATTAAACATTTCGTTGCCAACGAGCAGGAAACCGCCCGTATGACTGTCGATGAGACCATTTCTGAGAGAGCCCTTCGAGAAATCTACCTTCGTCCATTTGAGATCGCCATTCGCGAAGCTAGTCCTTGGGCCATCATGACTGCTTATAATTCTGTGAATGGCAAGCATTGCGATGCAAATGCCTGGCTTCTACAAGATATATTACGAGGCGAATGGAAATGGAACGGTCTGGTGATGAGTGACTGGGGTGGCACGAATTCAATTGTAGATTCTCTGAATGCTGGGCTGGATTTAGAGATGCCAGGGCCACCACGAAAGCGATTAGAAGCTGCAGTGCTTGAAGCTTTGTCCCGAGGAGAAATCACAGAGTCCATAATCAATGAGCGAGCTCGTGCGGTCATTCACTTTGCCACTAAGCTCAAAGCGTTGGCCGACAGACACACAAATACTGTTTCTGTAAATCAATCAGAGGACCGGGCATTTATTCGCAAGGCAGGAGCACGAGGCATGGTGTTGTTGAAGAATGAAAAAGACCTCCTACCATTATCGAAAGAGAAGATTGTGGGCAAAAGAATTGCTTTGATTGGTTTGGCGAAGGATGCCATCGCACACGGCGGCGGCAGCGCTAGTGTGAATACCTATTACAGAGTCACGCCCTGGGAAGGAATGAGGAATGCTCTTGGAGATCAGGTTGAGTTGCTTTACTCCAAAGGATTCCACCGAGAGCGTCTTCTACCACCGATCGATGGTCGTGCTTCGGCTTGTGGTACTGTGATTGGCATGGACGGCAAGCCAGGATTCAGTCGATTGCTTTACGCCTTCAACCGAGAAAGTGGACGGTCTGTAGGTGAGGAGCCCCTGTCTATTCTGCACGGCTTCTCTCAGTCAGCATACTCGCCTTTAGGCTCTCAAGAGTCACTTTGGAAGGCCTTGGAGATTGTCGGTGAGTTCACGCCCGCTGAGACAGGCAGCCATTATTTTGCGTGCTCGGGACTAGGTCCCACCCAGGTATTTGTGGATGATGTGGTTATATTTGATCAGAGGGTAAATTGTGCTGATCCAATGGGCGCATTATTCCTGGCAGCTCCAGAAGAGGAGATTCGGCATCAATTCATCGCTGGCCGGTCGTATCGTCTGCGCATCAGAACGGAGCCACCTGTTGGGCTCGGCCTCGATATTCTTGAGGGCCGCAGTGGTGTGCGCATGGGCATGTCCCTTGAATCGATTCATGACCAGGACCTCGAGGCTGAGGCGGCCGATGTTGCCTCCCAGGCCGATGTTGCCATTGTTTTCACTGGCCATGATCCGCAATGGGAATCAGAGGGTCGCGACCAGGACTCGTTTCATCTCCCAAGGCGTGGTACCCAGGATGCAGTCATCACGGCTGTTGCAGCAGCAAATCCAAACACGGTGGTCGTCAACTCGACCGGTGTGCCAATTGCCATGCCATGGCTTGAAAACGTTCGGGCAGTGGTGCAAGCCTGGTTTCCGGGGCAGGAATGTGGAAACTCGATCGCAGACGTGCTGACTGGCGTGGTGAATCCAGAAGGCCGGCTTCCCGTGAGCTTCCCTCGGCGTCTTGAGGATTCACCTGCCTATGGAAACTTCCCTGGCGAATATATCCTAGATCAGCTGAAGGTTACATATGCAGAAGGAGTTTTTGTAGGCTACAGACATTATGACCGTGTCCCTGGGGACCAACTCAACTTTGCGTTTGGCCACGGCCTCTCTTATACAACATTTTCGCATGACAAGTTTTCTGTGGCCATCACAGAAGGAAACAGCCATATATTGGTCGCGGCTCTCCGCATTACAAATACTGGCTTGTTTTCTGGGGCTACTACCATTCAGATATATGTTGGAAGGCTATCTTCAGCTGCTCAGCACCCTCACAAGACACTTGTGGCCTTCCAAAAAGTTCTTCTGCACCATGGCGAGACTCGAGACATCCGGCTTAGCATCTCCACTCGCGATTTTGCTTATTTTGACGAGGATTCGCCGCAATGGGTTGTTGATGCCGGGCAATATATCTTCTACCTCGGCAATTCAGTCTCGGAGATTCTACAAACAGCTACTTTGGAATTCCCACAACTGAGCTACAAACTTTAAGAGCTATTTAATTGAATTGTATAAGCCGCGATTCACCAATTCAAAATACTTGGTTACAAAAACCGTGATTTTCGAGCTACTGAGGGGGGGGGGGGAGGGTACGCGTATATATGCTTATGTGCATATTGATAGGACAATGTAGAACTGAATGCCCCGAGTAGGCCGACTGGAGTGTGAAGAAGTCCAAGGTGTCCCCTGATCGTTATGTAAGTAACATGATTCGCTTCTGAAGGATCAGAAACGAAAGTAAGTAATGGTTTGATTTGGTTTTGTTTGATTTGATTACTATATAAAATATTTAAAGTTGCCAGAGGTGATTTTACTCTAATAGGGGTTGTTCACCTATCAAAAAAAAAATTCTTGACAATCAGCGAGATATGTGAGCTGTAGTAGATTGAACAGAGTCAGACATATTACTACCTACTCAATGAACTAGGCATTGAAAAAAATCAGTTATTTACCCATGTTAGTGACATGATACGGCTATAATACTTCGTTTGCTGCACATTCCAGCTTGTCCTCTGGGTTCTGAAGCACAATTTTTAGGCTAAAATCTTTCTTGATTCGATTTTTGTTATGATGAAAGAAAGACATGGAACTTTGGTGATTTGCCAATCAGCTTTGTTCTATCAGAAGCAGACTAGGATTACATATATACTGGATAATGTCTGGCAACGCTTGGCGTTCCTTTTCCGTTCTAGTGCTCACCCTCGCCGCTTTATGATCACTGAGCATGACCTGATTTGACGGGTCCTATGGATGCGTACCTATACGCGTGCTAAATTCCTGGGTACGCATCCATGGGGCCCGCCTGATTTGATCACTGCTGACCAGGGACCTAGTATGCTTACTAAGCTTCAGACCAGGAGTGAGTTGTATGAGTAAGCTAACTCAATAAAACGCGGTACGCTAAGTCGATTCACCTGCAACTATATGCAGGGGTTCTAGATAAAAAACGTGAAAACGACACATACAGGCGGTCACGTAGAAAATTCGCCACCCTATCTCCGCCTTCCTATTACAGTAGTATATGATATGGGGAGCAGGAAATAAAGGAGGATGACCTTTGACTAGTGATAGAACAGGCTTGGAGAGAGGTGCCACAGGATATGCTAGAAATTCTAGTGGCATCTATGCCGAAGCGTGTGCAGCAAGTTATTGAGAGAGGAGGGCAGGCTACAGACTACAAGATTAGATGAATCAAGATTCTGCCGGCAGAAGATAGGGGGTGTTGTATTGTTTTCACGTTTTTTATCTAGAACCCCTGTATTTCTCAGATTACATCTTTAACCTGCCACCGAGGAGTCGGCGTCTCTAAATACTACTCGATTAGTGATCCTTTAATACAAAAATAATGTAATGAATTTGATTAGGCCTTTGCCACTATTGATCTCCTAGGAGTATTCTTTTCACCTATTATACTGTCATATGATATTACAATATGAGGTTATTCCCAGCTTAATGCCTCAGGCATTAAATTGACACCTTACAGATCAGGCCCTAGGATCCTGGCCCCACTTCCCTAATATATGAATGTATGATATACAAGTCCCTAGGGGTTCGGTGCCCTTCCACCAGGGATTCGTGAACCCCTCTTTCTCGAAGCCTCTGCTTATCTCTTTCACATGGAGGCCACGTCAGACCGCTCATTGAAATGTGATCCATCAGTCTCGCCTTGGTCATGCGGGAAGATACCGAAGTCTGTATATAAAGTGAGGATTATGAGGAGATCCAAGATAACAAGAAACAGTTATTTGTCTTCCTTACTTGACGTCTATCTTCCTACCTAGTCGACAGGCTTTTTACCCTGTAAAAGTAGTTATTCTGTAATAGTAACGTACAAAGAAAAGAAATCATTCTTTTTAATTAATCCATATCTTTCGAATGAATAAAGCTCTAGTAATAAGACTATATTTTTTGAACGAATTAGTTCTAGAATACTCATCAATAATCAATACTAACCCAATAATCAATACCAAATTTCCATCGACTTACTTGTATATGCCGCTCTTTGCCCTTCTACGGCTAGATACAATCACCCTTTAATGCCTCGCTAATTTTTTTCAATGAGTGCTCCGAAAATTCTCCGATCCATCATTACTACGAGAGTACTTATGCTCTAGAGGAAATCAGGTATTTGCATAGGCAGAACTTGTATTGTATTAGGCATAAAATAAGCGTGCAAGTTCTGAACACAACGTGTAAGGGTAATCTGACATCTTTTGCTGCGCAATAAAAATTGGCACCTTAGCTCCATACTTCTCAACGCGAGGTTGCTCAACAAGCACTTTGACGATTACATTATTCGGGGCTGTTTTCTAAGCCCAGCCCTACATGCTGGCGTCCCAACACGGCTATAAGTTGATATGGCGCTATCACTCATCATCATGTACTCATTGACCTGTCTGCTCCGATGGCCAGGTGTAAAATGATTCGTTCGGACCCAGATCCATAGGTGTTCCAGTATGGCTCTCTTTGGGTCTCTGACTCATTGTATCTGGCCACGCTGAACCGATGAAATCCTTCTTGGCCGCGCTAGGTGTAACACGAGTGACATTGACAGACTGGATTTTCGTTGTATACCCATGGCTTGCAATGTGTGTCTTTCTAACCATCATCGCTTGATTCTTGACTGGTACAGTGATGTGTGGCAGGTCTTTCTTGAATTTACCACCGGGAGTTTTAGTGGTTGCGTGCACGTAGGATCTTAATCCTCGTCAACTATGCTATGTCCCTTGGGGAATAATGAAGATGAACTTACCGGATCAAAACTTGCACTGGGTTAGGATCCGTCTGAATCGCCGTCTGATAAGCGGTATACATGATAGCTTTTGCAATAGTGTCATTCTTCGGCCGCGCAATCTTCCAAATATACTCGATTTGGGACATTGTGGAGGGATTTATGACTGATGAAGCAAAATATTGATCCAAATGAGATACAAGTGTAGACGAAAGCCTTAGAACTGCTAGGAAATGATAAAAAATTGATATTGAACGGTAGCCGAAACAGTTTCTTATCAAGACTATTCGAGCTCCTCAAGGCGTGTCTGTTTTGGCCAGAAATCTATTTCTTGGGCTTGATATACCCCTACTGAAACACCTATACTGGGGCCATCACGATTTTCTCTATTGAAACCATGTGTTCATGCTTAACAAGACAAATATGAATGACGCCTTTTGATATCGACGAGGCAGGGCTAATTATTACGCGCTCTTGGTTATACAGCTTCGCGGAACTTTTCACACTCACACGGCCTTTGTTGGCTCTAGAAGGAGACACTTGATTTGCAGGTTGGAAGTATAGTGTATACTCTAGGCTATATTACAATTTTATAATCTGCCTCGCTTAGAGGTCGCTACCACTTGCAAGTATGTTATAAATTCGATTATTATTCACCTTAAGGATAAGGTTGAGCCTGTAATTTGTTACGCGTATCTATAAATATAAATAATACCTTTTAATATCGACAAGGCAGGGCTAATTATTACGCGCTCTTAGTTATGTAGCTTCGCGGAACTTTTCACATAGCCTTTGTTAGTCTAGAAGGAGACACTTGATTTGTAGGTTAGAAGCATAGTGTATACTCCAGGCTATATTACAATTTTATAATCTGCCTCGCTTGGAGGTCGCTACCACTTGCAAGTATGTTATAGATTCGATTATTATTGACCTCAAGGATAAGGTTGAGCCTGTAATTTGTCACGCGTATCCGCGCGCCAGAAACTATAGCCCCAGGTGATACAGCCCCGATGGGACTGGTACATATCCATCTTAGTGGTGTGTTGGTTTGTCGCACGCGCCGGCCCCAGCCCCAGCCCTACACCGCCTTCCCATATTTCCAGAAATACGCATTGGAAGGCTGAAGATCCCAACATTGAAAGGACATGAACATCAACATGAGGCCATGCTGGAATTTTTCTCGTCAATTTTTCCAGCCCCCGATATCTTATCGATATAACCCAGTATTTTCTTCACGCCGATTCATATTTCCTCCAGGATCCAGCTGTCACCGCAGAGGCTCTCCATCATCACAGCCCTTTTCGTCCTTCCAGCCCATTGCTAACTCGATGATTTCAAAAATGGAAGAAATGTACTCGATTTGCTACGTGTTTTATATAGTATCCCGGGTATACTCGGAACCTAGCGCCGTAACACGCTAGACAGCGAGGTAGAGGATATTCAATATTCCCCCCGCCTACACACTTAGATAGTTTAGTCACCTAATACATTACTATATTAAGCATCTCGTTCCATTAGATCCTAGCTTTCCTAGCCGATACCGTATCCTACCATATTGACAGATAACCTAAGAATTTAGCACACGTACCTAGAGATCCGGAAATATAATTTCTCCGAGTTTCTAGGTACATGTATTCAAAGATCCAGGTTTTCCAGGATTGTCCCTTTCCCGGAGACCGTTCCAGAACCCAGGGGCCCACAGGGTGGCCCGTGCCACTCGGCCAGAAGGCCGAACCCGCACTCGGAACCGGGTCGCACCCGGATAGGCGCCGGGAATTTGACACTGAAAGTGCCAAACGAAAGCAACAAAAATGCACACCAGCGTTCCCGGACACTAAGAATCAATTGAAGGGACAGTCATCTGCAGAGCGATTGATTAGGTACCCTATATGGGTCCTGGGCCTGACTCTTGCCTCGGAGACGACTGCCGCGTATGTTTTGCACCATAGGGGTCGCGTTCGGCTTCCATCTTCGGTTCAATGAGTCAAACTTATCCATATGTGGTGCGGAATAAGTTCCTGGTTATGGGAAGGGTTCCACTAGTACAGTTCTTCTCAGTTCTCACAATACTACCCCGCGAATGCCAAGAAATCTACAATATCCCCAAATTGGTGGATGTTTGGGTCTGGTGAGTTGGTGCAGATAGTATCATGAGGACAGACGCTCGACCTCTTGATCGATCTGGAATACATGGCCATGAAAAATTGACCAGATCAGAGCCAATAGTGTTATTGCCTGGGTTCGCCTGCATTGTATACCTTCCCCTCCTTTGTTTGCGAAGGGTGCGAGGGGATTTCGGCCCAATTCCACACACCGCAAGCGTTGGCACGTATCGCATTCGGAATTTAGTCAGTATTCACTCAGAATTGACATGCGAATGCTATTCATTGTTTTTCTACTGGAAGTGGCACATCGGCCTGCTTCGCGATGTTTCATATGGAAATTCAGCAGATGGCAAAGGGGTATTAATAAATTGGTCGCCACTTAGAAATCATTCATGAAAAACTTGGCTCATGGTTCCCGAAAACTTTGGCGGCACCGAAGCCGTCTTAACCGAGGGAAGTCTGATCGTTCGCAGATCAACATGTCAAACTACCCTATTCGAGTGGATTAGACTGGAATTTTCGTCACATTGTCCAGAATGGCGTCGCACACAGACTCATTTGTCACTTTAGGGCGTAGGGAGTGAAAAAGAGGTGGAGACATTACCCACAAGTCTGACGAGTTTTATTCGTCGCATTGTAACTTTTGACCCAATATTTGATCTGGTTTGATCTGGACCCTGGTAGGGTGTGGAACTAGGCCAGCTTGCTTGAAATTTCAATATCTCCGCGCTTTTATAATGGTCCATCCCACTTCTCAGATCGTCCTTTAGCGCACTGCCGGCTTCATTTGATGGGTACCCCCAGTTTACAATCGCCATGTCTGACCATTTTACCATGGAGGAGAACCTCCAAAAGGTCATGTCGACAACAGGTGAGCTAGTCGTCTTGAATGTAGAAAATTATATCCTCAACTAATGTTTTATGCCAGAGGATGTAGTGGTGACTCCCCATGAGTCACGACAAAGTTCAATCTCAGGCTCGTCAGACCAAGACTCTGAGGTTTTTCATGAACCCATCCAGGAACGCTATGAAGGTCCATCGTATTCACGATTTCGCCGAGTCGCTTCGAAAACGGTTGTTACATTTGGGCCAAACGATCCGGACAATCCTGTTAATTGGAGAAAGGTATAGTCAATAAAACCTTTGCTACATGTTGCTCATGTCACAACATGAATTTATTGTAAAAAGAATATCGCGCTCATATTTACCAACAGTCGAGAAAATTCTTGGTTCTCCTTGCTGGTGTCATGCAGGTCATGAACAGCACTATTGGATCTTCCATATGCAGCAATGCTATTCCACAAATTGCTGCAGAATTCAACATCACAAACCAACAAATGCTGGTCCTCCCAATATCAATCTTTCTTATTGGCTATATACTGGGTCCTCTACTATGGGGCCCCAGTTCTGAATATTTTGGCCGCCGACGTCCACTGCTTATTGCATTTTGCGGGTTCATAATCTTCACCCTAGCATGCGCCGTTGCAAATTCATATGCCTCTTTACTGATTTTCCGATTGTTCAATGGCATGATGGCATCTGCACCAATTGCCACAACTGGTGGATTATTTGCCGATGTCCACGATGACCCGACCCAACGAGGCCGTCTCATGTCATATTATATGGCTGTATGTATATGACCTCTAATATAGCCTTAAAAGTCCACTGCTAACGACAGGTAGTGTACGACCTTTGGCCCGATCATGGGTCCATGGATTTCCGGATTTGTCGCCGTCGTCAGTTGGCGATGGTGCTTTTGGATTGGACTAATCTGTTCCGGAGCCACCCTGCCCTTAGTAATATTCATGCCCGAAACCTACGGACCGGTTGTGTTGAAACAACGAGCGAAGAAACTACGAAAGAAAACCGGTAATCAGAATATAATCTCGCCGTTAGAACTTGAAAGTCGAGACCTCCGGAAAATGTTCCTTGTTACAATCTCCCGGCCATTTCGCATGATTATCCACGAGCCAATTGTTTCCTTGACTTCTTTGTACCTGGCGCTTGCATATGCAATCTTCTACCTTTACTTCGAGGCATATCCAATCATCTTTCAAGGTAAGTGGATCTTCACGATTAGCTTTCTCCGACGAAATTTAACTTAAATTTCAAGACATCTATGGCATGAACGCCGGTATCTCAGGCTTGATGTTCCTTCCAAGTGAGTAAAGTGGTCATATATCTGGTTTACATTTTCAAGTCTTTGTTCTTACTTTCTATCCGCAGTTGGTGTTGGCGCCATTCTTGCTTGTGGAGTGTTCATCTGGTATGATGGATATCTCGCCCGAGCTAAGGCCCGCGAAGCCAGTTGGGCCAATATCGAAGAATATCGACGGCTACCACTTGCCTGTATCGGCGGGCCACTATACGTCATTTCCCTCTTTTGGGTTGGCTGGACGGCTTCACCCAACATCCACTGGGTCGCCCCATTCCTTTCTGGAATACCATTTGGAATGGGTTATCTACTGATCTTCATGGCAATGCTCAACTATCTCACCGATGCCTACGAGACGCTATCTGCTAGCGCTCAGTCAGCCGCCAGCTGTACTCGCAGCATCCTAGGAGCAGTGCTACCCCTAGCCACTCGGCCCATGTTCAACCGACTCGGCGTTCATTGGGCGTGCAGTCTCATCGCATTTCTGAGTCTCGGCGTTTCCATCATTCCATTTGCGTTTATTCGCTACGGTGACCGTATCAGAAACAAGAGCAAATTTTGTCAAGAGTTGAAGCGGATTAAGGAAGCTGAAAAATTGGAGCTAGAAAGAGAGGAGCGACTCCAGAATGAGTCTGATAACCTGCAGATTGTCCCGTCTGCCACCACCGGTCAGATTTCAAGGATCGAAACTGCCCGCAGCCATGCTGAGAAATCTTCAATCATTTGCTAAGCCAAAAGTGGCCATTCGATTATCAACAATTCGGTACTCGCAAGTGCCTTTTCAACCTCTTGATTTGATGATTCAAAAGCTTCCCTTTCTTGGGTTCCTTTTTCATTCAAAGCGACGACTTTATGACCAATCATTTATCCTCTAATGTTTATGCATTGATAGACCTTTTCCCAGTTTCGGCTAATCAGTCTTCTTCGATGCGGAGATGGACATCCGATGGCTATTCCCTTTTTTGAGAAAAAATTTTTTTTTTCGAAGATCTCATCATCGTCACGACATCAAAAAGGCATTCTTGTTTTTCTTCAAGTTTTTCACAGATCACATACAACCCCGAGTGTTCTCATAATACTTAATTAGCATTCTCAATTAGCAAATTCATTCAATTATTATGGCAAACGGATAATTACGGACTTGAGTTTTCTCTATCTATCTATATTTTTTAATGGGTCTTGCCTTACTCTCTCTTCAATCCTACCTTCCCGACCTTGCGCAAACCCCAAGCCCCGATAGCAGAAGCAGCCATCATCAGCCCAAAGCAAGTCCAGAAGACAGCACGATACCCAGCCATGAGAGCTTCGGGTGAATCTTTATCACTATAAGGGGACTCCTGTGTCACACTAGCGGAGATTATAGCGAATATGGTCAATCCTATGGATGTGCCAAATTGTGCGATCGTGTTAAATACTGCGCCCGCTAGGCCTTGAGTCTTTGGCGTGAAAGAGTCTGCAATAATCAGATTTGCCACAGTAAAGATGACTTAACTAGATTAGTTTCGCTGAAGTATCAAGTGAAAGTATCATTTGCACTCACCATCGGCAGATAGAGGGCCTAATAGCACTGCCCAGAAAGCACAGTACCACCATGACCACTGAGGGTCAATCACGGCCAGCAGTAATGGTGAGCCAGCGCTCAGTACCGTGGTAATGATAACAAGGTAGTTAGCATGTAGACGGTGCACGAGGAGCCCAGTTCCAAGATTCAGAACGATTCCGATCAGCACATTCGGAAGGAAACGAATTGCCGCTTGGATTGCAGACAATTCTTGGACTTCCTGAAAGCTATTTTTGAAATTAGCGTTAGATTTCCTTTTCAACCTGATTTCCCAAAGAAACGTACAAAAGACTCAAAATTGTCTCAGTGCCATTCAAAACAGCCCAAGAGAGAAGAACCATCAAGCAAATAGAAGCAAAGGCTGTGTTTTTCCATAATGAATTAGGAATCAATGCAGGCTTTCCTGTTCTCTCCCGCCAGTTCATCCACCCCAGGAAGGCAGGAATCATGGCGGAGGCAATGCAAAGCAATGCAATGTTCTCAGCTCGGTGAATACTGGATGGATTATCCGTAATGACACTACTTCTGTGTTAGTACCGACTCAGTTATATGCCCATTAGATAAGCAAATACTCACGCAAAGACATAAGAGATAAGTCCCAGGCATGAACTAGAGAGTAAAATGCCAATCCAGTCGATCTCGATTCGAAGTCTTTGCCATGTGAACGCCTCACGCGGCTTATCCTTGGGCAATTTGAAATAATTGACAACGGAGAGAATAGCAGTTACCCCAGCGCAGAGATAATACCCAAATCTCCATCCAAGTGAGGAGCCCTGGAAAAGCCCACCGAATACTAAGCCCACAGAGAAACCAAAAGGCTGACCAAGACCCAAGCAGGCAAACCCAATGTTCCGGCGTCTTCCGGCAGGCATAGTATCGGTTAGAATACTAAATGCAGTCGGCAAGCACATAGAAGTGGCAACTCCTTGGAAAGTACGAAACAAAATCAACTGAATACCTGTCTGGGCGACACTGCAAGCTAAAATGAAGACGCTTAAAAACAGACAACCAATTAAGTTGATCATTCGGTTACCGATAAAGTCGGCTAGGGAGCCCGCAAGTAAAAGGCAACATCCGTTTGCAAGGCTGATTTGAATTAGTGCGGCTCATAAAACGATTATGGTCGAGATAGACTCACGAATATACCGAGGCAGGCCTTTCTCACACAATTGATCCTATTAGAATGATATTTCATCTCACAGAAAATACTGTGGTTTCACTCACCAGAGTAAAAGATTGTCAGGGAGATCCAAGTCTGTGGCTATCCAAGGTAGCCCAATAGTCAACAGACCACCACTCATGCTTCCCACGAACGTAATACCTGTGAGAGTGGTGATGAGAACGGCCGCTCTCGCGCGCGGCAAGCTCGCATTCTGAATTTCATCAGAGTTCTCTGCAAGAGGCTGGCCTTGTGAAAGCAAACTTCTAGGTTGTGAGTCTTGAAAGGAATTCTTTGATGGTAGTCGAGTAAGTGAGTTGTATGAGTCATCCAACTCGTAGACCGTCGCCGTTCGAGCTGGGGCGAGTACTGTAGTCGACATTCTTGATCGGTTCGTCGGTGTAAGCAACAAGAGCATAGGATATCTTCAAGAACCAACAATGTCGCCCATCTGATCCAACAAAGAGCTTATTACAGCATACCTTGGAGGAACAAGATTGGGTTGATGGTTGAAACTCGCAAATTAGTCATTCTCGCTTAGCGCTGCCTGGGAGGAGGTAATTCTTACTCTATAGGGATTAGGTGGAGAAGGGCACCGGGAAAGAACCTTCAAATACGGGGCCAATAGGTCCTATCAGTCCATCACAAAGATCAAACTGTCGGTCTAAGTTACGATATTCATTGACATCGGCTCTCTTAGTGTGCATCATACTAAACAAATTAAAATCCAATGAACGACCTTACTGTTTCTAAATACCAACTTCGACAAACCAAGCAGTCGGGGGCCATTAAAATGAGCATCAAGTTGAAACAGGAGACCAGTGACAAATTGGTGTAGTTCAGAGGCCGGTTAACCCCGCAACAGCTGGCGCTGACCCCGGCGTTATCCGCCTAAAGCAGGTATACTAATTCCGTATGTCTGCCACGAGACAACATACTCATCACGAAATAAAACCACTATCAGATAGTGCTCAATGATTAACAACGCCTTGGAGCGATTGTAATTACATTACAAGACAGAATATATCAATGATGTAAAGGGAGCCATGGTGCATGAAAGATATCTAAAATTCCTTTGAATACTCCAATGTTCTTACCTTCTTCTCGGACACAGCTTTTTGACTATTCCTGTGTTGTAGGACGCACATTATACAGTCGAACACAGAGAAAAGTCCATGTTTGCGATAGTGGCTATTAAATCTATGTGGTCATCCTTCATCGTGCTCTTGGTGATCCAGAAGAATGACGGATGATCAGCATAAATTTCACGTGGTCAACTGACAGTTCAGTCTTTGATTATAGGCCCCTTCTAGTTCACAGCTCTAAGAAATCAAGAGTTTGACAAGTCACGTAAGACATGTTGGTAAGAGCCCTTTTCGGTTGAAGAGCTGGACATTTTAAATATACTTTATGGGACTCCCCTGTCAGCTGCTTGATGGAAGACTAATGCAAAAAAAGGACAGCACGGTCCTCTTTGCTGATCACTGGGGGGTATGTAACACGCTTCTTCTGGAGCTGGAGCAATGTGGAACACTGACCACTTATGAATATATTAGCTCGATACGAAATGCCTACGCAATTGCTCGCTCATTCTTCAAATGGCTGATTTGTCGGCCACCGTACGGGGTGATAGCTGCCCTCCCCTCTTCTCCCCTTCCCCCTTTCCCAAAACTCAAAGCCAGCAAGTGCATCCAGTACCTTCCAAGAGACGATAGATAGATCATTTGGAGGAGTTGGCGTGTTCCTGTGGCTTGATGGCGGCCACGATTAGGTCCCGATGATTGAAGTGACTTGCATCTCCCGTCTCCACTTGAATTTTGTACGGGCAAAAATTTGTAATTGATCTATCATCAAGATAGAATGCGGGGGTAGAACGAAACGTTATGAAGGTTTGTGGTTTCGTTGAATCCAACACATGATTAATGGGATTGGATTGAGATCGTATACAATCACCCAAGATGGCTCATCCCACCCAGTGTTCGGTTTCTGTTACCGACCGCTACACAGAGCGTCTGCAACGGGAGGGCAAGAAGCAAATATACCCAAAAGATTTTCCTCAAGAACGGTCTGCAACGCCACCAGAGGAAAAAGAAAAGAATGCTGCGGCATAGAGCTAAAACGAGGGGGCAAAAAAAAAAAAGAAAAACCCAGCCCCTTTCAAAACCGAGGTATGACGATGCAAGACGTGGGCAAGGGAGAGAAAAGTTTTTTTTCTCTCTCTTTTCTTTTTCTTTTCCTCGTTTTCCGAGGAGAGTGGAGAAACTACGAGTTGTGAGATCAAAGCAGCGGCAAGCGCGCTTTGCGCGAAAGGGGGGGAGGAGCGGTTGCGGCGGAACCCCCAGATTGGGGCTCCTGGAGTCCGTGGAGTGGGACCGTGGACCAGGACACAAACGAGGGGGGGGCAATAATAAAGGCAATAATCAAAATCATAACATCATGATCAAAATGATGGGGGCCTAGGCAAGAATTCTAGACTAAATGATCGCCCGATTGACACTAGTATTCTCTAGTATCAACCACAAATAGCGCCTTAAGCCAGGGAAAGGGGGAAAGCCATGGGGTAGACGGTACCTGCTGCACTCCTGCCCTAAGTCCCCCGGTCAAACAGGGGGTCAGCTTTTGGGCCAAACGGACTAGACCTCCTCCAAAAGGTGGGGGAGGAGGGTTCGCCGTCAGACCAGCCGCAGACCAGGTCAATCAAGGTATACCCGTATAACCCTGGTATTTCTGCTGGAGAGGGGGGGGGGGCCGGGGCCGCGGAATTGAGGGCACTGGGTCCCACTGGGGAGGAACCCCCCACACATGGCGGTATGATACGTCAGGCCCGGCCATGTGCCCCCGGCCCTGTTAGTTCGGGGACGGTGTGGTGTGCACTGGAACTAGATCGGGGGCTCCTGGCCAGTCGGATCGGCCATGTTCGAAGGTCTCGGCGATCCCCTCAACGCATCTCCCCCACCCAATACTTGCCAATTTGGGGCTGGAAACAGCGCAAAGAGCGTGACTCGCAAACAGGCCCAGCTGCTGATGTGTACTCTGTACGGACTATTCCGAATGGTTCGCCTCACGCGGCGCGAATCAGCTGCTCATGGTCTCCCTCCGACGGTATCCGGCCGCCGTTACCGTTGCACAAGGGGCCTGTCGAGTCGATGACTTGATGTCAACGGCTGCTGGTCTCGAGAGAGGTTTCCCGAATGGCCTATTGGCAAACCCTGGTTCACGAGGGGCATCGGTGCGCACGGACAGTATACGCGAGCTTGACGATTCCTCGAAGCTAAAGGTTTGTATGTGCCTAGATTGTGGCTAGCGTCTGGGTCAATTCGCCGAGACCCAGCTATGAGTGATCCGTCTTTTCCAAGCGCCCTGTTCTGACTGGAAAGTGAGGTCAACAGACAAAAGATCCAGAACAAACCGGTCACCCCCATCTTACCCCGACTCCACCACAACGAATGTCTCGGTGGAGATGACAAGACACCTCCTAGCATAGCCCGAGCCTTGACTCCCTCGATGATGACTCCCCCACCAAAGCTGAAGCCAAACGATCATGTGGCTTGCCGTCAGAAATAGTCTCCGGAAGGCGACCTGAGGCTTTTCCTTTGCGGGGAATCCCTGAGCGTATCACGACGGTTCCGCAGGCACAGTCTCGCTAGATCAGGAATGTGGAATGCAGCTGTCTTTCTTTGCTTTGTGGGTATCCATTTGTTGAATGAAACTAGTGCTGCTGGCGTTACTGTCTGGTGATCAGCCTGTTCTGATCTGGTTTGTTGCCTGGCCCTCAACACGGTCATATCGATGTCTGTGTGCAAGCATAGCCTTATATGTAGCCTTTTCCAAACTGGAGTTTTCAAAATTTACACTATATTTCCCCCTGCTCTGCTCCTTCCCCCCTCCCCTTTCTATTTTTTTTGACTTCACTTTTCTTTTTCCTGGGCTTGCTTATTTCCTCTAATTCAAAAGTTTTGAAATTCTTTTTAGTTCAAAAAAAGCTCTTCTTAACCTTAAATACATCCACAGCTGCCACATGGGAAAAGTATGACCATCATCTCATTGGTGGCGATTCCTGTCCTGGTTCTCTTTTTTGCAGCTACCTATGGGAAAAACATATTCAATTGTATTTCAAAAACATTGAATCATTATGGTCTTTGGCGAAAGGAAAATGCCAACAGCCCGTCCGACGTCAAACGCCTGGCACCGTATCCAGCGCAGCCGATCAGAGGTCGGGAACGATATCGGGTCATGATGGACATCCGCAAGCTGGATGTCCAAAATTGGCTCACTCTGGATAGAAACTATATGGAGGAGCACCGAGTACGCGATCAACTCCTGCGTGAAAAGCGAGAAAAGGTGATTCGCTGCCTGCCAGAGTCGGGAGAAGCGTGTCGAGAGGCTCTGGAAGAAGTGTCTGGATTTCTCTGTGGAAGATTTCCGAACATGTTTCAAAAGCTCGAACGTGAAGGCCAAGAAATAATTCACAATTGCATGACTGGAGAAGAGTTCGTCCTGGGCGGCTCCGACCCTCTTAAGGCAAATATCGATGCACTTGAGGCGGCAGTTCGCCTAACCATGGAGGATCTTAGTGTTTTGATGATCAATGAGGACGAGGAATATTACCTGTATGAAAAAGAACACATTCTTTATTGCGTTTGGCTCCTCTGACCTTTTTGATAGGGCCGCCAGTGCAAGTCTCTTCCCAACGGGGTGGACAGTTGAGGAACGAATTGGATGGACGATCTCGCAGCTCCATGGACCTGTTCCTTTATGGCATCAGCAAGTTGCCAATTCTGTGAGCAAGTAGGAGCCCCGAAACCACGGCAAAATCAAGTGGTCCATACATTGTATCATAGGAATCATATGGCTAACTAAACCTAGGTTTCTCGCCCGCCTGACCCCTAACTCGCCAATGGAGCGATCAAACTACTTTATTGAGGTCAAGCGACCAGACGAAGATCTATTCGAAATTTTATATCGGCCAAAGGGGCTCTGTGAAAAAGAAATCATTGACCCATCCCCTGAAGAAATCATCATTCGACGCGAGAGACAAACATTTCGTCGGATGCCTCGAACGGGCACCATTCTGTTTGGCGTGAAAACCTATCTCACTACCCTTGACCAACTTCCAATGCAGGAGCTGGAGAACCTTGCCAAGGAAATGAAAAGTTGGCCTGACTATGTTGGGGACTATAAAGGTAAAGGTGTTTGGGGTGCAAAAGTGCTGGAATTCTACAAGAGTCGTTGTGAGACATCTGCAATCGAGGATCATTGCAAGATGGAAGTTTGACGAATCGAACTATGAGTGACGGTGATATTGACCTTCTCCTGCTTCATTGTCTTGCGTTTTTCTCGCGTTTTTCTTGCGTTTTCATTTGCCTCATTCATCTACACTTTACCTATTCTCGTCCAAAGTTTTTGTTCTGTTCTTTTCTTTTTTTTTGGCGAAGACAAAATGGGTCGGCTGTCTGAAAACTTTTTTATCCTCTTTTGCTCCCCTGCCAAAAAGTTGCTGTTTACACTCTATAATTACGTGTTAAAGCTCAGATTGGTTGAGAGAGTTCGTTCTATTGGGACGAGGTTGATCGCATTCATAGTATGACAACAAATTGAATCCTAGTTCAAGGCTATGTACTCCTGGGTTTCTGTTGTGGAAACACAGGAACCACTTTGAGAGGTGGTAAAAAATTGGGGAACGAAACGGAGACCCTGACACTTGGGTCAGAATCTAAAAGAAATTATGTAATGGCCGAAGATGTAAAATGTAAGAAGCAAAGGGGTCCATTTGCAGGGTCCAAAAAAGAAGAGACCAGTCCGAAATGGATAGTGGGTATATGAATGGGAGCTGCTTAAATCTTCGAGAGAGGTGGTTTGTCTTGCTTTAACCGTACAACGCCCTAAACATGGGGTATTAGAAAATTACCTCCAGATATCGAAAATTAAAGACGGGAAACATTCGGACGTTACCTCTTGAGTGCATGTAGCGATGAGCGTTCCATCCTGAGACCAGATCTTCTGAATGGCCAGCCCTCGGCCTTCTCCAGCCCAGGGGCTTTCCATCTCTGTCAACATCCACTCATCGGCCCGGAAAGCCCTTGGGTTATGGAAGTAAATTGAGTGATCTAAGCTGACCATCATACCAACCTCTTTCTGTTCCTGTTTATTCTTGCCATTAGTGGCATCATCCAGGGCACCTTCCAACCGGCGACGGAGGTCCGCCGCTTCCTCTTCTTTCAGTTCTTTGAGTGCCTTGGTGATATCGTCGTCGTCGAGGTCAGAGGGGTTTTTGAGAGCCCTCAAGAGCTTCTGCAAATCCGCTGGGGAAGAGAATCGAGGAATGTCGTGCACGGCCGCGACGCTGCCGATGAAAAAGCTATCGGTGACGTAGGCTAGCGCGGAAAGATGAGCCTGAAAGCCACCCTCCTCTGAGATGTGCCCCCGCGCCCGGATAAATCGACGGACTCGTTTATTTTCAGGAGTTGTGGAGGTTCCTAAGCCCAAATTAAAGAATTAGAGGCTATCATGTACGGCAAGCTCGAGGAGAGGAGGGAAGGGGGGGGGGGGGCGGAGGGGTTCAAAAAGCATACGGTTAAGGATGCCCGCCTTCCTTGCCTCGAAGGGGCCGCCACCTGCATTGCTCAGAGCCTTGACAGTTCCGGGCAATGCATCCTCCGGTAAACGAATCTCTGGCTTAGGGACAGCATGTGAAATTGTCTTCTCTCCGCCACTCCCCACGCGGCTGAAACTCAGCGTGGTGGTGAAAATGGGTCGGCCTCGCTGACGCGCCTGCACGGTCCGGGTGACGAAGCTTCGTCCGTCGCGTACTCGTTCAACGTGATATAGAATGGGAATTTCCGAGTCACCGGCCAGGACGAAGTAGCAGTGCATGCTATGGACGGCGAAGTCGGCGGGGACGGTTCGCATGGCGGCGGACAAGGACTGCGCGATCGCGGCACCGCCGTAGATGCCTCGGGCTCCAGGAGGGTGCCATAACGGGCGGGTATTGGTGAACACATCCTAAAGACAATTGCGCCGCGTTAGATCCAAGTAGGTTGGGTTTGCGCTCTGGAACGAAAGGAGTCCTACTGGGCCGAGGTCCACCACCGGCGTCAAGTCCAGCACATTTTCAATCGGGGCCTTGGAAGGATCCAGCGGAGGAGGATCCAGCAATGTAACTCGTTTCGCCATGATGTGTTGAGCAAGTCTGCCAGGAAGAATGAAGCGAGTGAAAAGACTGGGAGGTGGAAAAAGAGGGTGGGGTGTAGAAACAGTAGTTCTCTGGACCGGATGACGGCGGTTTCCAGTACTTTTTTTAAGAAATGCGGCCGGGGTTGAAGCTGGGCCGAGGTCCAGCGTAGTCCCTCTCCCGGCATGTCCAAACAGACTGGGTCTGGTCCAAATTCTTGCTTTTGGAGTTTCTATACTGCCTGGCTTCATTCTATATCACATGTTCCAGCCACTGCGAAGAGCCATCACCCCCGAGTATGTATATCCCTTTTTTTTCCATTGGAGGGGCAGGAGAAGAGGCGAAAAAAAAAAAAAAAAGGGGGAAACCAAGGCGCCAAAAAGTACAGAATCCAGAGTATTATTTCTCATCAGACCATAGTTTGGCCCAAACTACTCCAGGTGGTCGACGAGGGGGCGGACTGAGGTGTGGACTGAGGTGCGGACTGAGGTGCGGATCCCAGCTCTTGGGGACTGGGTCCAGACCAGGTACTCTTTCTAATCGATAGGTGGTATTAGGCGGCAGGCCTGGCGAGGCATTGTTGTTTTGCTCCTGCAGCAGTCGCAGGAGTTGGCGTCGCGTCATCTCCTCTTGACTCAGTAACGGGGTCCCGTCCTCGGCCCGATGGCCCTGGCTAGGTCCGTATTCGCGGTAGATCAAGAAGGAGGCGAGACCGTAGATGACGGAAAAGGCACACGGCAAGCCGATGCCCACAACTCGGATGGCGTTCAGAGGGAGCAAATTGCGACTAAAGATATTAAATAGGACGTCAAAGAGGGCAACCAGGTTGGCTACCAAATATGGCCTGTGATATATCACCGATCAGTATGAGACCGGGCAAATTGAAAATCGAGGGGCATAGCGATTGGAAGAATATCGAGACGGGCACGCACAGAAACAACGAATGCAAGAGGAAGAGTTTGCGTTTGCGCTGAAAGAATGCGATCGCGATCGAGGCGACATAGGACACGCCGATGAAGAACAAGGCGATAATGGTGGAGATGGTAATATTAACACGGAGGGTTTCGCTGGGGTCGCCAAAGACCACCGATAGAATCAGATAGCTACCGCCAAAGGACGTCAGTGAGCGCGGACTCTTTCAATTGTTCGACGCAGGGCATCTTCTTACCCTACCAGCAGAAGGGCGGCGGAAAAGCTGGTGAAGAGTCTCCATGATTTGGAGACACGGTTGACAGCAGGGCCGGCCGGACTGAGTCCCGACTCAATCCATCCGTCCGACTCAGATGGCGGAGCTTGCATGGCGGGGTGTCATAGGTCGCATAGGTCTCATAGGTTCGCCTACCACGGCAATCAATGCATCTCCTGATGGCCTCGCGCGGCGGTTGGGGAAGCGTCTGGGAAGCGGCAGAGGAAAGAATTCACGGGTCGGAGGGTGTTCGGAGAGTTGAACCACGGCGAAATACATAAGAACAGGAGAACCGAGAGTGCCCGCCGGCCCCATGAAGAGGCAGAAATCCCGGCCCCAAAGCTGAAAAGAAAAGAGACAAGGGCGGCCCCCTCGTCAGAGCCGCACGAGACGACCAGTTGGACGGGGCACACTGTGCAGGTTTAGACTCGGGGCTGAGCCACTCAACGTCGACGATCCCGGCCGGGCTCTGCACCACTGCCAATCAATTCCACTGTATCCTTAGCTGGGGCTGGGTCTATGTAATAGCGGCTGATGCATGCTGCGGACAGCGCCATGCTGGAGTTGGTGGATTTGGGATGGGAAAACGCCTTGCATGCTCGGCGTGGTTCATTTGGGAATGGACTTCCTTCACTATCAAGCCAACCTTCCGCCCCCACTGTTGCTACGCGCCACTAGGGATGGTCCGCAATCGTTTCCACAGACAGATTCTGGGTGATGAGGTGAAGGTTAAACGTGTCAGGAACCTGAAATCTACGTCCCTCGCGAGTCAGCAGCGTGATGGTGTCAGGGGGAAGGGGCGAAAGGTTGGTCACCGTGGAGCCTGGGGGTAAAACTAACTGGACTTGGTGGCCCTGCTCGTCCATGATTCGTCCTCCGGCCGATGTCACAAGTGATCGCAGCCTGCAGCGTCCAGCGTCATGGTCAGTTCAAATGTGCGCTCGAGGCTGACTAGAGGGGTGGCCGACCGGTCCATATCAGATTCTGTGACACCATCGTGCAAGATCACCTAGAGAAAACGATCAGGACTGAGAACCCCGTGACTCGGCGACGATACTTTACTGTGTGAAGCGGCATGTTGAGGAAACAGGAAAAGCAACACAAGTCAAACAGCAAAATATTCAACCAGAGGGACAGAGACCGATGGTTATGGATTCCCGAAGATCCTTCTGCCCCGGCATCCTTTCCTTTTTCCTCTCGCTCCTTTTCTGATTCTTTGATCACCATGATATCATGCAATTGCCGCCCCTTCACACCGCGCAGAGGATGAAACCATAATGTGGGGAGTTTCAGCCCGCCAATACATAGAATGGAAATTCTCTCAAATTGACCCAGCGGGCTGTATTCCATTTTCTTCTCATCATTCAACCCCTGTGGGCGCTGGTGAGCTGGTGAAAGGGTGGCCGGATTGCACTTGGACCGACCAACAGGGCTAGATTCGAACCAGACTGTAGGTTGTGCGTCCGAGGGGCGTCATGGCAAAACTGACGAGCTTCTCTATAGAAGGCTTCGTTTCCGTAGACATGTTTATCCAGTAGTTCTTTTCTTCTCTTCTTCTTCTTCTTCCTCTTCTTCTTCCTCTTCTTCTTCTTCTAGGCCAGATCTTTAGACATACGTCACATTACTTCGAGTTTGAACGGACGGAGAGTGATACCTTCCAGAGAGATTCAAGACCTTCAAGCTATGTGCGGATAATGAACCCTGCAGTTCATTCGCAACTTCGGATGCTCTGATCACATTTCGCCTAGCATAACACCAGCGATCGGTCGAAAAATTGAGGACTGAATGGGTTCAATCTGCGCAATAACCCCTTCGAAAGACAATTGGTGCTGACTCAAGATAGCTGGAGAAAAAGTCTGGTCGGCTTGACGCTAGATCAATCTCCTTAGCAATGTCAGCAACAACAACGGGAAAAGACGAATGCGCGCTGAAGCTACCGAGTTCGGACAAAGGAGCCGAAGGAACCCAGTTCTGGCAGTCCGCGATTCTCACCGCAAATTCAAAACATGACTTCCGTCCTCAATAGATTTAGTGTTGGAATTGGAACTTCGAATCTCGTGTACGATTGTTAGCGTGCTTCTGATAGTGTTTCTCTTGGCCGTTATTTTTCTGAAGTGCCAAGCCCTCCATAAGCACAGCAGGAAGTAAGCAGCCGTCCGCAAGCTCCTAATTAGCGACGAGAACAGTTCACCGCACTTTTCTTTCACCGTATTGCACCTGCGTCTGTAAAATGTTGTCAGCTATCAGTAACGCCATGGCTCTCCGGAGCGATTCCGCAATTGGGCGACGATTGGTAAAACGGCGAAACGAGATCTCATCTGCACATCGGCAGCGAACACACGGTCTTGGCGTTGGGGTTTATCTGACACAAAACCGCCAATAATGGCTTAGTAGTTGGCGGGAAAGTACCTTTGATTGCTGGAAAATTGGCGTAAAATGACAAGTTACGGCAAGGGCCCACCACGAGCGCAAGTTCAGGTTGACATGCATGCTGACAGAATCCTTACTATCCAGTTTGTAAGGACCAAATAAGCTAAATTTGAACCCTGCAGACGGTTCTCGGGTGGGGTTTCGGGCCGAGACTCGAGTCGTATTTCATAGTGCGATAGATATGCAGTACTATTTTCACAGCATCTCCGGCCTAGAGTCAATGACACTCGAGGCCGGAGCAAACCTAGGATAGAAAAAGAGTCCTGAGAGCTATGACTACTGACACCGATTTTTTTCGGGATGTTTTGGAACTATTATATCTGATTAATCAATGCGATGCGTCGGAGAATTTGAGAAACTCCTCCCATTCACTCAACTTGAAAAAAAGATTGTGTTCAGATGCCTCATTAGGAAAGTGGTCCCAGTCATGTAATGTCTTGCTAAGGTTCCTATAATCGTACAATTTTAGCAACACTCGCAGTAAATTTACATTGGCGAGGAATCTCCGCTGCAATTCGAAGCGATGTGGATATCATACTGGGCCTTTCTGGGAATAAGCAGACCGCAAAAGCAGAATTTCCAAGCTCTTTGTCAGAATTACAGTATAGAGCAGTCCGATGGAATTGAGCTTCTACCATCGGCTAAATGAGAGACGAGAGGTATAAAATGGGAAGGGATTCCTGGGTTGATTTAATTTTTACTTCAAGACAAAGCAACAGTCCTCTATAGTCTTCTGACTACGCAGCCTCCAGCTCGATATTCAAGATGCACATTTCCAAAGCTTTCCAGGCCGCTTTTCTGTTGGCGGTCTCCCTTCCAGTTCAAGCATGGAATAGGCTGGACAAAAACAACGCTGTGAGTCTTCTTAACCCCCAGCGTGCTTTTCAGAAATAAACCCTGACCAGAAATTAGGCCTTGCTAGTCATTGACCATCAGGTTGGCCTTGCCCAGCTCGTGCGCGACTATGGCACCAATGACTTCCGCAACAACATGCTGGCGCATGCTGCCCTTGGCAACGTCTTTGACTTACCTACTGTTCTGACCTCCTCTTCTGATGGAGGACCCAACGGTCTGCTGCTCAAGGAAATCATGGAGATGCACCCCAATGCTACCTTCGTGCGTCGCCAGGGTGAGGTTAACGCCTGGGATAACGCGGAGTTCCGTGCCGCAGTGAAGGCAACGGGTAAGAAACAGCTGATCATTGGCGGTATTGTGACTGAAGTTTGTAAGTCGGCCCTGCAATATTGACATTAGGACGATGCACGAAGCGTGGCATAAATAGTAATGCATATTCAGGCACCACTTTCCTGGCCCTTTCTCTCATCGACGAGGGATATGAAGTCTTTGCCAATACCGATGCCAGTGGTACTTTTGATCTTCGCCTGGCGGAAGATGCGAACCGACGCATGGAGCGTGCTGGTGTCACTCTCATGGGACTATTCGGCATTGTTTGCGATCTGATGCGGGACTGGAGACATACCCCGGGTCTCAACCAATTGCTTCCCTTCCTTGACAAGTGGGTTTTCCTCGCTAATTTTGTGTCTCGAAGCTAACCATCATAACGCAGGTATCAATTCGCCTACGGCCTGGTCGCTCGTCACCACGCCGGATCGATCCAGAACGGAACTCTTTCTCCCATTGAGCTGACTCTGATCTAGTCACTATGACCAAGATCAATCCAGGTTCAAATGTCTAGTCATGAGCTGTGTGCATGACAGATGGCCAGTTGGATTAAAATGAGAAGGCAAAATAAGAGTATTGTTAAGCAATGGAGGGTGACTCGAAATATACGTATATCAAGGTCAATGAATTATCATACGTACCTCCAGTCTTGGAAAGTACCCTTTCCACTTCCCACATACATATGTATATTCCTGTCTAGTTCGACGCTCTCTTGATTTCCAAAACGAAATCTCCGCTTCAGCTTCATCGCATCTTATCTAGACCGACGGTGCTCCCCGGATTGTGCCCATCTTCAAGTACATTATAGTCTAGTAAATCCGGTACATAGTCTATAGGATACATTGAGATCTCGTCCCATGTATATATCAGATCTTTTGATTGCGCATTTCGGAACTTTCAATGTCCATTTCGTATTTACGAGCTCGCTTCTAAGTAAGTCATGTATCGTATATATCTTTGTTTTAATTCCAGTGAGGACTACAAGCGGAGGACGGAGCATGATGATAAGCTCATAGAGTCTTAATAAGACGCCAGTCGCATGGTTTCAAACTAAAGGTTGATAATGTGAGCGAGCTGCTGGTCTTCAAAGTATTATGATTGACACTTTGTTAAATAATAATTATCAATTACTACAAGGGTAATCGTCAGGCCAGAGTAAGGCAGGAGAGAGATAGAAATTATAATACCCAGAGAATGGTCGCTCAAAGCTGTGTTCGTGTATGTGCATAGATAGTAAATATAGTCAAGAGAATAAATATGTGGATGTCAAGACCTTGCCTGAAACCCAGGTGATGGTCTTGCAATATGTAGATTTCCTCGCCAGGGATGATATGTCAAAGCAGCTCCGGGGGTAAGGGGTGATCATGCTGTCTAAATCAATATGGACAAGATCAAGGCTGGTCGCATTGCAGACCAGGTCTTCGGTGACATGAACATGGTGAGTGAAGTTTCAAATCTCTGAGTAAGGATTCGCAGCACAAGGGTATGTTCATGCTCAAATAATGCTTGCGATCGTCATGCGCGAATGGGCCGAATTGGACCTATTCTCGGTCGTTTCAGGTTCTGAAGAAGAGTCAGGTGTAGGCCCAGTTGTTGGAGCAAGTAGCTTTGCAGAAGTCTCTTTCGGCTCCATGCGCTCGTAGTCCATCTGCTGCGCCTTATCAGTGGCGAGCTGCTGGACCGTCTGCTCGATCCAGTCCCAACTCCTCTCTGTCCGGGGCCAGTCGTCTGACTCGGAAGGTGGCTGGATGGGGGAACGACAGTCCTTCATAGGAGACACGCTGTCAAGATTGGATCCAGTCTCGCTACCCTGCCAAACCCAACTACCATCTGCGGTGCCTTGCATGTCTCCGGATACATAAGCCAACATGTGCTCGTCTTGTTCCAGGCTGGCTACCTCGTCTTGTCGGGAGTAGTCTAGCAGGCGTTGAAGAAAAAATGTGAGATGACGGCCACAGGCCGCATTTATTGCGCGAAAATCGCCAACAGCAGCACTTGCCTGTATGCAAGCTAGAGCTGCGGCAAATTCTTGCTTGAAAAGGAGGAAGAGTGTACAGCGCCATATGTGAGTGCAAAGAAGCGTTCCGGCACTCGATGCAAATAATGGCCGCCAATCTCCAGGGGATGAGGTGTTTCGCATGCATCGTGACAGGATACGGGCAGTTTGAGCTGCGGTTGAGACACAATAATCCACCGCAGCAGCTCGAACAGCGGGAAACCCATATGGCGAGATGTTATGACGATGGAGAAGCAGGCGGGCGTTCTGAAGGTAGATTATCGGAGCGAGAGATCGAGGATCGAGATCCTGGTCGGATTCCGGTTGAAGATAGCTCGGGAAGGTTGCGAGGCAGGTGCTGAAGTGACGTTCGAAGGTATCGAGGGTCGGGGAACTAATACTTGTTGACCGGAGGGTTCTCGTTAGTTGGCCAATCGACCGAACAACGTGAATCGTGGCAAGTAGCGGTGTTATTTGCTGTTTTTCGGGAATTTCTCCTCCTTCAGTGATGTATTGATCATCCACCGGATACGGTAGATCAATATCGCAGTCTTGGTCGTTGATCAAAACGGGTTTGCCCATCTCGAGAGCCAGCAATCTAGAAAGAACCCCCAGTCAGTTTTCTGCTCAAGGGGAAACATTCAATAGGTAAAACAAACCGATCGTAGGTATACAAGCCCCACCAAAGCCGCTTGCGGATCTCTCCTTCAATTGCAGGCCAAGGTCCAGACTCCATGTGTAAACCAATTTCTTGGGCTACACGCACGGCAGAACCAATCCAGACCCAACTTGCCGATTTTGAATTTACTTCATAGAGAAAAATGCTCGCTAGTAAGGCCGCTCGAGCACGATCCAAATTGAAGTTATCTTGCCATACATCAATAATTCCACACGAGATCCGGACGAATTTCTTACCCTCCTCTTCCCGATTGGACTCCGTAGTGTGAAGGGCACCACATGCGAAGACACCGAATAACACAGCCGCCCACTCACTAGAGAAGCCTAACAACGACCCCGACTGGTAGGCCTTCTCGTACTTGGCGGTAAAGGTCGGCCAGTGCAAAACCGGTAGAACGGTGTGGATGCAACTGAAATATTGACCAAGCAGATGGTCGGCAAGGTCCTTTGGCGGAAGCTGCGGCGCATCGCCTGTTACCACGGACTGGAAGCCTTGTTGCTGGTACGGAGTCGGGATCTTCAGGATCCCACGGCCATGTTGACGCAGATTCGATCGCACCTCCGACAGATCGTGAGAAATCGGCGCTTTTGGCCGTCTCGCTGGTTTGTATTCGATGCCCGGCAACAACGGTTGAGTCGTCCCGTCGTCAATATCCATTGTCGTAACGTCTGGACGAAGCCTGCCGGATTGAAAGCTTAAGAGCTGTTGCTTCGTAGTCTGCAGCTGCTTCTCCAAATCCTGAACCTGTTTGATGGACGACATACGCCGGTTGGTCTCCTTCGTAAACTGGCATCGAACTTTGCGGTTGGTGCATTCCGTGCACGAGAGGGATTCCGAGGCATCACATTTGACCTTGCGCTCGCGACAAGCATCGCAACTCGGATCCTTCCGACGTTGTCGATAAGCTCTTTTCTGCTGTAGCTGTGCCGGAGTCGGCTGCCCATGCCCGACCGGGCTGGTTTGGTACATCCCTGGGCCCGTCGGGACACTTCCTAGCGGAGGAGCATCGGGAAGGCCACCGCTCTCTGCCGGCGAGCCCGATGAAGAATCATAGTATCGCGAATAAGGTGAAGTAGCTGGCCCCGATGCAGCCGGTGCACCGGGAAGTGATTGATGGGGCGGAGGCGGACCCTGGGGCATCGGCTGCAACAGATGGGCCATCCTCATGCCACTCTCCGGCCTACTGGGCGGCGGAGCGGAAAGCAGCGTCGCCGGAGCGGCAGGAAAGGCACTCGATGCCACCGTCTGCATCGGAGGCAGCTCATATGAGCTACTCGGATGCGGATTGCCGGGGCGAAAGGGAGAAGGCTGCATGTTGGCGGCTTGATGAGGTCACCATCCACGAAAAATCCCCCGCTGTGAGATTATACCAACAACAATTCGGACCACCACGATGCGAGAAGAAAAAAAAATTGGACAAGAACAAGCAAAATTACCTTCCCAGGAACAAAAACAGGTCGAAAACAAAAGGAGCGAAAATGGGGAAGTGGAGAGAGAAGTAGAAAGGAGATAGAATCGGGATCCAGATAGATCGCGATCCTGACGGACGGTGCCGTGGAAACTGTAGGAGAAGAGATCGAGAGGGAAAAGCAAGGCTTAGATCATAGAAGCAACAGCACTCCCAAATACGAGCGAATGGGTAAAGAGCAGGCGCCTATGGCTGCAAGAACCCAGTGCTCATTCGACTGGGAATACAAAGCCGCCAAGGCAGAGAGAGTTGAACGCCAGGGGTCATTCGGGGGAAAAGATCAACTCCAATGAAGCCATTGCCAGCAGGACACGGTTGGTTGGGGCGGGATTGAATTGACCGAAGGAGGAAAAGAGCCAAAATAAGAAGACGTGGGGTCCCAGTTGATTCGGCGAAGTATAGATGGGCTCCGGGGTCCGCTATTTTGAACGGAGAATAAACCGAAGATAAAATCGAGTAGGGTCGAAATGGAGAGGGTAAAGCCAAAGCCAAAAAAAAGCAACTAGCGAATAGCAAAAAAAGAAAAGAAAAGAAAAGAAAAAGAATGTCAGGTCAAGAAACGGACAAAAGCCACGTCTAAACGCAAGTCAAATCGGATCGTGGAGAATCAAATGCCGAGGTTGGGGCAAGCCGGGCGACGAATAGCAGATGCGAATGAAGATCCAGGAATCTTGTGAAGATGCGACGAAGAGAGGGGGAGTGGGAATATACAAGATCGACTCCGGGAGAATGAGAAACGGATCCTCCGTTGAGAAGGTTCCGTCGTGCTGGGTTTCCCGTTTTCTTGAAGAATCAGCACAGATAAAAAAAATACGAAAAAAAATAAAGAAGAGTCGGGATCCGTAGGGTTAGTGTTCACAAACGAGAAAGAAGGAGAAAGGGAGGAAGAGATGAGCGGGAAAACGAAAAGAGCAGAAAAGGTGTGCTAGGCCGAAGAAACCAGATCGACAAGGCAAAAAGGAGCCAACGATGGGATTACGATCACCGTTCGCAAAAAGACTCCATCAGGGTCCCGTTGACCGAAAGACCCAAAGACCCAAAGATCCAGCGAGCCGGCCTAAACGGACCCAGCTAACCCAAAATCCAACACCCATAGATCGTGGAGATGGGACAAGAACCGCAAGGAACCGCGACTGGATTTAGGAATCTTCAGCCGAGATGACACATTGCGCGCGGACGCCAATTAACCCGGGTCGCCAGCCCGACGCTCTGGATCAGCGGGAAATTTGGACTCGAGCGTGGGACAGCATCGATTAGCCCGTGTTTGACCACAAATATCGGCTCTGGGACTCTATACTCCGGACTCTGTCCTCCGTCGGCAGCCTATGGAGAGCCTCTGGGGTCTCGACAGGGCCTTGGTCTGGCTGGCCTACTGCATGTCTGGTCTACTGCATATACGGAGTAGGTCTTCTTTTCTCCGTAAACGATCTAGAAACGCTTGGGGCAGACTAAGGGGCATGAAGTAGTGCGATCCCCAGAAAAGGCACCCTCACTGATCCCTGTCTGCACGCCGTCTATGTACTCCCGTGCAGCCGACTCAAGGCTATCCTCCGTCTATCCGTCTATCTGCGACACCGAAACTTGCAGAGCTGGGCGATTCTCTTTTGCTTGCTTCTTGCCGCTCCTGCCTCCGTGAGATCAGACCGCGCGTGCCCAAGAGGCATCCCGAGATCGGCAGAGGCAGTGTCGATGGATACCTGAAGCAGTTGAGCAGCGCTCTGTCGTCTTCTCTTTTTTTTGGATGGGCCAGTTATGACCCCTGGAGACAAGGACCCGATGTCCACACGGGCCCACCAGCGGGCGCCTGGTATTTGGTGAACCTTGTCCGTTGGCCTTGCTCGATCCGGAGATGCTCCCAGCCAGGCGCAAGTCGGTAGACTCGCCCTAGATTGAGTCGGCAGAGTTAGCGGGGGCCCACTTGGGTCCGGTGACAGAGCACCTTCCCCCCTCTCCCCTTGGGGCCCTGCACGGCTGTGACAGGAGCGGTTGGTCTCCAGACGAAAGCCCAAACGGAGGACCATGCGACGGGCGCGCCGTGATGGGGGCTAACCGGATGGGTGGGACATGCCCGGGTACACACCGTCCGGGTCTCTCGGTATCCTGCTGGATCATCCCCCCCCCCTCTCCATGCGGATCGTCGTGAATTGGTTAATGAATGAACTGGACGGAGCGTTCTTGCGCCAGTCAGAGTGCAGTTTCAATGCGGTGGCTGCTGAATGGGACTCAATCTTTTAATAGGAAGGACACCCGAGGCGAGAAGAAGCGATGGGTTCACGGGCTCGACGGTTATACTTCCAGCGGTGTCGTGGTCTCAACCGTGGAGATATATTCGACTATGGATTGATTTGAATGGAGCAGCGGGTTCAAAGCTGGTACTTTGTACTCTGTACTCGGTCCTCGTCACGAATGTAGTGGAGGAATGGAGGAATTGAAGGGATCAGCGATCGTCCCACGGCGGCCAACCGTCCACCGCGATATAGAGTTTAAGCAGAGCGAACGAACCCCCGGCACGAGCTTATCCTCTGCGTCCTATGCGCTGCTCTCTTGCTGTTACACTCCCGAGAGTGGTCCTCCCATTCTCGGCCCCTCCTGCGAGTTCAAATTTCCCGGACGGACTAGACCTACGTAGCTCGCGGTATGTGGCATGAAGATCTCGGCGCCCGCCGTGCCGTGTTCTCTTTAAACGACTGGGGCCCATTTTTTTGGTTTTTTTTTTCCGCCTGTCCACCGCCTCCGTTTCATGATCTTCTGCACGGTTGCCAAAAGCCCTGATGATCGACTTCGGAAGTCATGCACCGGACCACATGGAATCCAGCCGGATACTGACCCGGACAGTGGGACCCAAGTGGCAATTTGCGTCCTTTCTCTTCTCTTTCTTCTTATTTTGATTCTCTAAGCCCTCGGGGACCAACCGAAAATGTCAATGGATGCTGGTTTCGTCAGGCGACGACCGCCGAGTAGTTAAATCTCCCCCTGAACTTCATTGTGTTCGCTTCTCAGGGGACACAAAAGGCAGGGCTACTTCCCCCCCTTTTGATCCAGTTCAGGCACGATGTCCCGGGTTCGAGTTCTTTGGTCCCGAATTTTATCCGAATAAACGTTGGCCCCGGTTTAAAGCCCTGCTCCGCAAAAGGGGAGCGGTAAATGGTCTGTGTACTCTGTGCCGAGTCCACTCTATACTCCGTCCTCCGTCCCGTTCGAAATTATACTTATGTATGCCCTCGTTGAGGCCCCTTTTCGATCATACTACTCCTTCCTCATGCGATCATAGATTTGGATTATCCTAGGACGGGTTTTAGCTTTGAGAACTAGTAGAATCAATATGTACCCGACCAAGCTGGATACCTGTATCATCACGACCAGGCATACCAGCAGGGTACACCTGGTCTCTGAACCGCAACCAGCAAGAGCAATCGGCAACGACACAATGCGCCAAAAGTGGCATAAGTCGAGCAATTTTAGCGATTCCTACTAAAAAAGCAAAACCGAAAAGTTCAAAGCAAAGTCAAAATGGTCTTTACCCATGCGTTCTCCCCTTCATTCTCAGCTTGGCACCAGAGGACAATGTCAAGGACATTGACAGACCACCGCTCGTGCTCCTCGAGTTAACACCAACCTTCCCTGTTCTCCCCCGGTCTATTCTCAACCTACACCTTCTCCTTCCCATCGTTGCCATTGTGGCCCTCGCCCACGGCTGTCGGGGGTCCCACTCGAGACATCCACTCCAGACAAGGATTGCCGACAATTGAGGCGTCGTCTAGCACCCGGGAAATAACTCCCGAGTCGTCTGCTTGGAGGCTACGACTCCCAGAGGAATGGGAGTGCAGCCGGACTGATCACAGGATTGACGGCTGGTAGCAACCGGGCGTGCATGCTATGCAGCAAAGCACGGACGCGTATTCGACCGCTTACAAAGTTCAGCCGCCCCGCTAAGACTAGTTCTCCGGCCTGGTTCATACCAACAACTCCCCCCCCCTCTGTGTGCGGCCCTTGCCCGATGACGGACGAGCGGGCGTGGATCGAGGAACAGGAAGCTAGTTCACAGTCCTCCTGGTCGAAAAAGCACCGGAGGAGGCATGACCCGGGGCCCAACATGCATCGGCCCTGCATTGTGGCCATTGGATCGAGCCAATCCCCAGAGCACGACACTGAACACGGCCTAAGCAAGTCGAAGCTCCTTGGCGCGCGGGTCCACGCCGAATACGACGTCCACGAACAGCAAAGTAATTCAAATCATCGCATCACAAGAACCAACTGGTACCGATAGAGTGACCAGGGCCACGGCCGAGTGGCTTCCCCGCACCCTTCGGCTACGCGATAAGACGCTCAGCCCCAGCATCCCAGCATCCTGTCCACCAATCGTCTGAGCGGGCCCGCAAAGCATCGCGTTGCCTCTAATTGAAACGGGCCGCCCTCGTGGAACATCACACGCGCCAGTCGACCGCATCCATCCACCGTCTCAATTGCGCCATTCCGGGACCACAGAGGGCATCAATGCGCGAGCAATCTACGGGGTATCGGTTTTCCAATCAGTCTCGGCTGGGCAAAAAGCCATTCGCAGCCCAAGTCCCCATCAGGCTCGCTCTAGATGTGCCCGCTGTGCCCCTTGTGTCCTCCTGCATGCATTACCGTCCGTTGCGTAATATAGAGGAACACTCGATCAGAAGATTAAGCCCTCGGTTCGTGCCGCTGCCTTTCGGAACTAATATCCCCAAGCTCTGGGTTGCGCAGGGGTTGATGTGAATTTGTCTTCTAAATTTTCATTTTTTTTATATCCCCACCCTGCCTACGCTGCAGCTGAAATCGCGGTAGAGCACGCTCAGGCCCATGCCAGGTGAACGTGGCAACATATTATCCTTGTAGAACCTTTTTGGAGGGGGGCGCTTTATGGTCTCGTCTTTTCCCCACTTATTAACTATTATGCCACTTCTCTACCGGAGCCTGGTATCGACTAGAGTAGGTGCGTGCATTGATCGACACCCCTATCACCCGTATCCTGGTAAGGATGTGCCCTGGTTCTCGGGCTGTGAACTGCTGCAACGAGTTCCTGGGACACAACACCGCCAACCCACCGTGACGACCGGAAACTGTCTCCTCGAGGCGAAGGCGTGCCGGGCCCTCGCTAGCGAGGCGCTTTGGATGCACTCCTGCTATCGCTAGCTATCTAGTCTCTTGTCTAGTCCTTTCATGACCTACCCAGCTGGTCCTCAATGGCCAAACCGGGCTCCCGATGCCTCCCGATCACTCGCCATCATACATCGTCGAAAGACTCCACTCCTAAGAATAGCGTAGCGTACACACAGTCCAGGTCTGCGCCCCCTCGCGCCCCTCCCCAGCAGAATGAAGATCTGCAAAAGAATCCAACACCCAGGTACGTTGAGGGCAACAGAAAGGAAAAGCAAAAACAAAAAAAGGCAACCGACAGCAAAGCCTGGCTTCAGTTAGTGCAATCCGAACTCCCCGACTTCAGAGTTTCAAAATCGTGGCACACCGCATCCTCTTTTCCATCGCCGGTCGAGTCTATTTACTCGCCCCACAGCGGGACAACGATCCGAGCAGATGAAACGACTCCGGGCAATAACCGAGCCTTTCCGATTTGCCCTGACCGGGAGTTCTGAGACCTGACAGCCCGTTTTATCTGAGACCGGAGAGCTCCGCGTGCTAAATCGCGGGAGTCTCAGATTAAACGATGACTTAGTTGGATCAATGACGTATAGATTGGATCGAGTGTATCGCTGGGCGCCAAATGTGATGGAGGCGATTTGGGAGGGCGGGGGGGGGGGGGGGGGGGGGGAAGAAGGGCGGTTACCATGGAAAAAAACCTTACAATTGAAACGTAGGCCCCCACAAGGAAAAGTAGGAAATGCCGAAGGATTTTGAGAGGAAATCGGAACCTATTTATCGTCCTTTGCTGTCGGGAACGACGTGGAGTCCGGAGGGAGATTTTAGGTTGCATGCCACCCTGCCAAGATCGCATATTGTCGGCACGGCGGCTGTATACAACCTGAGGAACAAAAGAATACGAATAATAATTGTTTTGAAATCTAAGACATTGAACTAGACATTATCTAAAAGAAAAAGACCCATCTCTAACAATGCGAACCGAGGCATTGTTGTTCAATCACTCTCTCACAGCATATGAACGGCGGAACATGTCATCAATCCCGACCAGGTAGTACGTGCCCGGCACTAGAGCATCGACATTTCCGACAGGCGCGTAGCTTTTTTGCTGGTATGCCTGCTCGCGGACTTGACACATCTATATTTCAATCAGATCTGCGAGCCCTAGAGAAAAAGTGAAAACGGAATATGTCCTACCTCGTCATAGAACTCTGCGGAAGCCCGAGTCCGACTTGTCAAACGAGCATGCAGATCAACCTTCGAGGCGATGGCACTCACATCGCCGGCAACGTGAAGGCTGAATAGCGTACTGGCAAGTCCGCTGCCAAAGCTGAACACGCCGACTCGCTTGCCAACCAGCTCATCAGCGGGAACGTTGCTGATCAAGCTTACCAGACCAGAATACACACTAGCAGTGTACATGTTTCCGCACATCGTGGGCCCCGTCAGACTATGCTTCACTCGCTGGCCGAACTTGTCTTTCGTTAAGCCCATAAACAGCCGTTCTAGCATCTTGTCATCTAAGGACTCCTCGTAGGTCTGGTCTCGCATGGCAGGAGGGACGACATCCAGCCCGAACCGCGGATGGCCCGGGTCGGCGAGGAAGTCGTTATAAAGCAAGCGCGCGTATGACTTTGCAACCAGCTTGCAGTTCGGTGCATGGAAGACAAAGTAATCAAACTCGTCAAGTAGAGTTCCTGTAGCTGTACCTGCGCAGTGGCTCGAGGAATTGTGAGACATGTCGTTCGGTTCGCGCGCAGCCTGCTTCTGCCGGTACCGTCGGTAACACCCATCCAATGCCTGTAGGTAGCATCTGGACGAATAGTGCCCATTCACAACCGGATACTCGGACTTGAAGTCCGCCTTGTAGAAGTCATAGGTGTGCTGCATGTACGACGCACGCAGCGGCTCCAGGACCAGCGGGGCGTCGGGACCTACCAACATAGCCACACACCCGGCGCCGCCTGTTGGTCGTGCTGAGGGCTGATTGTACATGGCGATGTCGGAGGCCACGACGATTGCCTCCCGGCCGTCCCAAGCGGAGGACTCGATCCAGTGTACGGCATTGAGGAGAGCGCTCGTGCCGCCGTAGCACGCGTTGTATGTGTCTATGCCTTCGATGTCGGTGTTTAAGCCGAAGAGTTGCATCAACACGGACTTGCAGGACTTGGCTTTGTCGAGCATGGACTCGGTGCCTACTTCCAGTCGGCCAATGGACTCGGGCTCAATGTTATATTTGCGAAGGAGCGAGGAGACGGCTGTGAGGGCGAGAGAGTACACATCTAGTTGGGCGTCGTCAGCTCTCGTTGTCCTAGAAGAAATGCCGTGCCTCTGTAGATATAGATATGTTTGCAGCATAGTTGAAAATGTGTTCTCACCTTCCCGGTCGTCACAAAAGCTCATATTTGTCTGTCCCAATCCGATGGTATACTTTCCCGTACTGGCCTGGAGGAAACTCTCCAAGTCCGTCTGTGCCACATACTAGATACCAGGTGTAAGACTTGAACTTTCGAGAGAAACTGAATCAAAACACATACTCGGCTAGGAAAGTAGAGTTCAATGGCTTTGATGCCAACGTTTTGGGGTGGCATAGTCTCGGGAGTATACCCAAATATGGAGATCAGGCGCAAAGCTTCTCGTCAATATCGATGAGGAATTCCTGTAGACCATTGCCAAACGTCCTCTCTTTATACATCAAATAAGACCTATGTAGAGGGCTTGGAGGATAACTACCTGGCCTGGCCCTCAAACAAATGCCCCATGTGGGTCACAAAAGCCCCAGGCAACTGGGTATTATCCAGTCCGACCCGGGCAGCCGGCATCCTTCAACCGACAAGAACATCAGCCAGGGTGAGAAAAAGGCAAGTTCCGTTCAGCCGATAGGGAGAGGAACAAGTAACCGACGTGGAAATGGGAGTGCCTGGGGACGAAATGGGTGGCCATTCGAGGATGTACACTGTAGCTCGAGTCCTGGCGGTTGGTGGACCAGTTCGGCGCTCCGCCAACTTGAACTTCCTCCTTCCCGAGTCAGCAGTATTTTGGCTGGAATGGAATTACCCTTGTAGAAACGGGGACTAAATGGCCAAGGCCATTCCATACGAGCACAGAACCTATAGATATACATCTCAGTCAAGACGTACTTGTAATTGCGGTTGAGCTCTGATGCACCCGAGTTGAACGAGACTCTTGTATTTCCCTTAAGAGTAGATAAATGCATCTAAGATCGAACAACAAGATAGACGAGTCAGCAGAACGATGCACCCCGAAGCCACGTCGCCATCTGGTGGAGCCAGCCCGGGCCTCACAGGCCGCATTGATGGTTAAATGTTGCTATTATTGCTTTTGCGCCTCAAAGCGCTCCACGACGGTATTCACAATTTGCTTCAGTCCCTCCATTTCCTCCTCTACCGTTAGGCTCAGCCCGTTCGGGTCAATGCTACAGCCAACATAGACTGGCATCTTGATCCGTCGCGCGAGGATCTTGGCTACCCGGGTGGTGTACTCGATGCTTGATGGTGTGCTGTAGATAGTTGTAGAGATTGTTTGAGTGGAAGATGTCCGCTGCAAGGAGTCAGTTATCTGTCGGTCAAATATATCAAATCACCAAACTAGGGTGCATGCAGATTCTTGCAACTTGGCGATAGGAAGATGAAGCAACAAAAGGCATTGTGAACGCAAGAGATCCCATTATGATGAAAGCCTTTTCCTTTTCTTTCCGCCAGCCGCGTTTGGCTGGGCCCGATCTGGATTTGATGCTGACATGTATTATCAACCTGAAGATATGGCATGCGTTCCCCATGTGATATATATGTGTAGAGCAAGGCAAAGCGAACAAGGCAAAAAAAAAAAACAAGAACATAAAGTAACACACACAAGATAAACCAGAATTAAAGAACCCAGGCATCCACCAGAACGAAACAGGATAAATTACTGAGTAAATTGCAAAACATATTCAGTGCATGCGAAGAACTTACATCAGGCATGGCATAAACAAAGCTGCCCATTGGCTTAGATGACCCTGCCGAGTCTCCCGGAGTCGAGGTAGTGAGAAATACCATCGCGCAATGACCCAAGAAAGTCAAGTGCACGTGGGCAGTGGTATGTAGAGCTTTGGGAAGGGGAAAGAGAGATCTCTTGGGGCTTCAGAGAGGGAGAGACCAGCTCCGTCTGGGGGAGGATTGACGGCGCCGCGGTGGTCATGGTCGCGCTTGGTGGCGGTGCCTCTAGGTCAATTTGATCTAGGGGCAGAAGAAACCGTTTGATCTTCTGTCACCGAGATAGGATTTGTGAGGGCTGGTTCCGTAAGTTCGGAGCTCGGAGCTTGGAGCTTGACGTTGAGGTTGGTGAAGTGGAAGATTGAACGGTCTCCGCCGGCAAACACAGGCTCCACCAATCCCGCTCAACTCTGCCCGCACCGCACACAGCAGCATATCCCCCCGAGGATCGCCCCTGGTCAGCCGCGGATTGAGCCCCCTCTAGGAATCCGAGGAGCTTCTCCACGTACATCATACGGCTGAGTTCGACGTCAACCTGGCATGGCAGACTTGAATCAGGCCTCCCAGGAGGCGGAGGAGGAGCAAACCTGGACGGGGGATTATGATCCATTCGCTGATCCGGAAGAGCGCCGAGTTCTCTTTGCGGCCTTTGATTCGTTTAGGTGTGTCAGACGTGAGACTATATAGCAGCACTTGGCCTTTTTTTTTGGTTCTTTGACGTACGAGACGGGAGCCGTTGGCTCTGATCCCGAGTCTTAGACTACCCTATCACATCACGGTCTAACGATGGCTATAGACAATATCGGCGTACTGCCCACCATAATACTACACATCGACGGCGGCAGGCATTCTACGCTTTGCCCTCGGAGCATTGGCAAATGCTGGCGGAGCCGCCATTTTCGATCTTAGACAATCTCAACAGAGTCGACGACGCGATCGACACCAATGCCGAGATCGCAGATGCCATCCTGGCCGTGGGCCTGGAGTCTTTCGGTCTTCCTGTCACTCCCGACAAGGACGACCCAACTCAAAACTGGCATGAGACGGCGACAGCGTCTGACGTCAATAAAGCCCACTCTACTATCCGCCAATTCTACCGCGACTGGAGCGTGGAAGGCCGTGCCGAGCGACAGGTCTGCTACGACCCTGTCCTTCAGGACCTGCACCGTGAGTTCTATCCGCGGCGCCAGGCCGGCGAGGAGATCCGCGTGCTGGTGCCTGGGGCTGGGCTGGGCCGATTAGTATTCGAGGTCTGCCTGGCCGGGTATGCGGCCGAGGGCAATGAGATCTCGTACCACCAGCTGCTGGCCAGCAGCTGGGTACTGAACCACACGGCGGGCGCGCAGCAACACGCGCTGCACCCCTTTGCATTACACTTCTCGAACCTGCACTCGCGGGCACAGCAATTGCGGCGTGTGTTGATCCCAGACGTACACCCAGGAAGCGCGATGGCCATGGCGGGGCAGACGGGCGACGCGCCGTTGGGGACAATGTCGATGACGGCGGCGGATTTCGTGGTGCTGTACATGCAGCCGGAGCAGCGGGCGGCCTTTGACGCCGTGGCGACCGTGTTCTTCATCGACACGGCGCCCAACCTGATCCGGTATGTGGAGGCCATTCACCACTGCCTCAAGCCGGGCGGCCTCTGGATCAATGTGGGACCGTTGTTGTGGCATTTCGAGGATGGACATCCCCGTCAGGCGGGCACGGGTGGCACGGGTGGCACGGGTGGCACGGACGAGGCGCCGCCAACGGAGGCCGCTGGCATTGGGGAACCGGGCAATGTGGAGTTGACGGAGGAAGAGGTGCTGCGCCTGGTTGAGCGTCTCGGGTTCTGCATTGAAGCGCGGGCGGACGATCGGGCGCCATGCGGCTACATTCAGGATGCGGACAGCATGCTCCAGAACCTGTATCAGCCATCCCACTGGGTGGCGCGGAAGGTGGCTCAGCCATAAGGGGAGGCTGATGGGAAGGAGGATATGCAAGTATGCATGGCCCGAGGTCGCCGACGATCTCGAGATGGAGCACGGGGGCACCAGGGGGAGAGGACATCCGGACACTCTACATACTATATATACACCTCTTTTTAAGTATAGAACGACCTGCTTGTGAGCCATTGCTAGTCATGCTCAAGTCAATCCCATCAATCGGCCCCCCCTAATTTAAACCGTTCGGGAGACCACACGAACCCTTTGGACAAATTATATGGCCCCCAGTGGTCGGGTTCCTACATAATAATAAACACATTAATAATAGTACTTTCGCTCACGCCCACGCGGGCCTGCGAGTAATCATGGCAAGTCCGGTGGGGGCCAAAAACGCGCCCCCAAAAGGCCCCCGAAAAAAAAAAAATAGAAAGCGGGACAAAAGAGGATGCGCCCAATCGTTGGGTTCCATGGGTCCTGGGCCAAACACAAAGGCGAGATGTCAACACGTACATTGTTCCGACATCGTATCGTTTGCTGATGATTGCGAGGCCATTGGCGATCAAGAGCATGAGCAGAGCATCTTTGTCGACCTGAACGTATAGCATACATGAGCTAGCCTAGATGTTCCGCCCAAGACGTCTCCGAATACGAAATATCATCTAGACGGGTTGCGCGATGTATCGGATACTTGGACCCGGAGGCACGCTGTCGTAATATGCCCCAAGGAAATCGGCATTAGGGATATTAGATCCTTGGCGGGTCCTCAGAATCCCAGGGAAGAGGGAAACGACAATAGACCACCATTAGGGAGGATTCAATGTGGAACTGGAAGGAATATATCCTGCTTCCTTCTCAACAGGTTCGCCGTCACGAAATAGCAAATCGCCATACCGGTTGGATGCTGCTATATCCCGATGAAGATCCTCTCTAAACGCATCGGATATCGCAAAACGACCTGATACTCGAGGATGGCACCCCAAGACCCTTCGACGATCTGGACTCCCGCGCCCAGAAGGATTTCCGGTTGCCGGGGTCAAGAGGGTCGAGAGGGTCGATTGGGGCTTAGTTTCGGGCTCGCATTTCGATCGACATTGAAAGAGGGGGGCCCTTTTCGGGCGTGCATTCCCCAGGCTTCCAGGGACTTCATTTCTGGACCTGCGACTGACGGGGGGTTTGCGGTTCTTTGGGGTCGCCGTGGTTCCTTGATCCTATAGATCCTATAGTCCGCGGTACATCCCAATACATATGCAAATATACGTACATCCGCACCCCTTCTATGGTGGCCGATGTATCCTCGATAGTCTCGATATCTATATCCTCTCGATCTCCTTCTATGTTCCCATGTTCTGGGACTTCATCCCGTAACGCTACGTCTCGTTCGCGGCTGGTCCTGGTGTGCTCATCCTGTGTTCTGATCCTCCTTCTCTCCTGCTTTCCAGCCTCAATATCTCTCTCCATGTCTCTGCATCTCGCTCCATCTCGCTCCACCTCCTGCACCTCCTGCCTCCGCGTTTCCATCTGATCCTGGTCGCTTGTCCTCTCAGCCTCCCTCTCCGCCTTTTTCCCGTCTTTCTTCTTCGCGCCCATTGTTCTTCTCCCAACTCCCCCCCCACTTCCTCTCCACCGTCGTCCCCTCCCTGAACCTGCCTCGCAGTGGTTTGTGTATTTGGCTTGGGGCTGACAGGCGCTTCCCCCTAGCTTGAGACCACTGCTTCTCCACACAACCCAACCCGTTTCGGCCCTCGTATTCTCAGCCTTCCCTTTCACTCTTTCTCTCCCCCCCCCTCCCCCCACCTCCTTCTCCCTCTTCTCTTCTTTTCTCTCTTTCCTTCCCCTCCCCAGCCTCTCGGCGGTCGCCGCATATGTCCTCCATGACCTCCCGATTCAAGTCTTTTGGCTTTACCCATCGACGCGAGAAGAAGACCACTTCGTCTTCACCTAACCCCAACCTCGTCCACCCTTCTAACGGTACCACCTCGCCCACCTCGCCGCCGCAATCCCAGCGCAGCTCGTCCACGACCAGCTTGCCGCAACCTCCCCAGCCACAGCGACAACCACCCACTATCCCTGCCGTCCGCCCAACGAGTCCGATGGTCCAACAGCTCGCCCAACACCCCGCGCCACTCAACATGCAACAATACGGCCAACCTCAACAACCCATGAATCCTCCGCCCGGGTATACCATGCAGCCCCAGGCGCCCATCGGTCATCCTATCCAGAACATGGGTCAAACCCAATACCGCAACCCCGCCGTCGAGATCGAGGGCAATCGCAACAATAACAAAGCCCAGCTCATCGTAGGCATTGATTTTGGGACCACCTTCTCCGGCGTCGCGTTCGCCTTTGCAACCAACAATGAGGCTCGGGAGGATATCATCACAGAATGGCCCGGCGCCGGAACCCATACCAAACAAAAGGTACACACCGCCACACCAACCACTACCACCACCACCACCACCACCACCAACACGACCCTCACCCACCACAAATCCCTTATCTTCCCCCCCCCCCCCCGTCGGCATGGTGTTTTGTGCTTTGACATCTGATTCCTCGCGCATCGTATATTCTATATTATGCATCATATGTCGTGTCGTCCTGGATCGCTGACCGGTGTTCGATTTAGATCCCAACTGTACTCTATTATGATCAATATCAGAAGGTGGTGGGCTGGGGCCCCGACATTGCCGATGCATTGGCACCCACAGGATACCCGAAACCGGGCGTACAGAAGGTGGAATGGTTCAAACTGCAATTAATGTTGTCCGGCAACACCTATATCGACCCAATCAACCTGCCTCCGCTCCCGCCAGGCAAGTCCGAGATCGATGTGGCGGCCGACTACCTCTTTAAATTGCGCCAGGCGATGCGGGCGCAGCTGCAAAAGACCCTAGGTGAAGTGTTCACGCGTGAGGAGCGGAATATCCGCTACTATCTGACCGTTCCCGCCATTTGGAATGACGCGGGTAAGGCCGCAACTCGTGCGGCTGCGATCCAGGCTGGTTTCCTGCGTGACGAGAACGACAACCGGTTGACGCTGGTCTCCGAACCCGAAGCCGCGGCCTTGTTCTGTGCCAAGACCGGTCTGCTCAACCTGAAGATTGGAGACGCCATCTTGATTGTCGACTGTGGTGGTGGTACGGTCGATCTGATCGCATATGAAGTGGAGGAGGAACAGCCGTTCAGCGTGATGGAATGTACCGCTGGATCTGGAGACTCGTGTGGTTCGACTGCCCTTAACCGAAACTTCAGCAATATTCTACGGGCGAAGATTAGGAAGATGAAGCTTCCAGACGGATCCCGGACGGCAGGCAAGGTCTACGCCAAATGTATTATGGATTTCGAGAACCGTATTAAAGCGGATTTCCGCAACAACGGGCAAAAATGGGCCGTGGATGTGGGCATTGAGGCTGATTTCCCGGATGCGGGAATTGAGGAGGGTTATATGACTTTCACCAATGAAGAAATTCTGCAATGCTTTGAGCCCGTGGTGAACCGCATTCTGGAGTTGGTCCGGAACCAGATCATTGCCATTCAGGCCCAAAACCGCTTGCTCCAGGTAAGATATCGCTCTTCCGTTCCGGATTATGTACCGCGTGGATATTTAAGACTGACCTCTGAGTGCTTCAGAATGTTCTCGTCGTCGGTGGTTTCGGTGCCTCCGAGTACCTCTTCCAACAGATCAAACTCCACGTACCGCCTCAATATCAGACCAAGGTTGTCCGCCCCATGGACTCTGTGGCTGCTATCGTCAAGGGTGCAGTGACCGCGGGTATCACCGAACGAGTCATCACGCACCGTGTCGCTCGTCGTCACTATCTCATGGCCACCCTTCAGCCATTCAAGGAGGGATACCACCCCGAGCAGTACCGGGTTCCCAGTCTGGATGGTCGTGATCGCTGCAAGTACACCCGCCAGATTTTCGTCCAGAAGGGCGAGCGTGTCAAAATCGGCGAGCCGGTCAAGGTCAGCTTCTTCCGTCAGGTGGCACCCGGTGCGACGCTCATGTACGAGGACGTGCTGTATGCTTGCGACGAGGATGTCTGCCCCGAGTATACCAAAGATCCCCGTAAGTATTGGAAACCAAACTTTTGTCTCTCGTCTCATCCTTGACGGTGACTGACTTTATTCAAATAGGTATCAAGGAAGTCGTCACGCTTACCTCCGATCTCTCCCGGAAGAATCTCGAGACGGACTTCGAGCGTATGGATACCCCACAAGGCATCTTCTACCGGGTGTACTTTGACATCTACCTCACTCTGGATGGCAGTGAGTTCAGCGCTGAGCTGGTCTGCCAGAACGAGATCATGGGCCGTTGCCGGGCTAAGTTCCGGTAGATGTTGCCATTGGAATGAATAAAAAAGGAACCAAAAAGACGCCATCTTTTAATTCCACCCCAAAGACAACACGGGACAAAAGAACAGCACAAACAAGACTCAATGGTGCAAACAGACGTTTGGGGTCCGTAAATACACCCAGTGGCTAGAAACAAACGCTTCTCCGCTGAGCGAGAAGACGGGGCTGGGAAGCACGAAACACTGCACCTCCTTTTCGCCACTTTTGATTTATTGTTTTCTTCTTATATACCGAGATGACCAGACCAATAAAGGTCTCAAGTCTCTTCCGGGCTGACCTCTTGAGATGATTTCCCTCTCTCGGATCGGACAAAGCACTGCACTGGAGAACGGGCGTTGTTCTGATGACTTTGCCAATCTTTAAACCCTTTCCATCCCTTCCAGCTATACTATCTGTCACAGCGTTTGCTTTTTTTTGGATTAAGTGTGATCAGTGATATCCCCTGGTGGATTGGATTACCTCTGTTGCGGCTCTCTCTTTTCTCTTTCAATCCCTCCCTGTTTTGATTCTCGTTCAATGGTCCTTTTAGATACCTCTTTTCTTCTCGATTTTTTTTACTCCATTTATTTGAATGATATTTATGAGTTGCGGTTTCAATGTATTGCATTCCCTTTGCGTGCTTGCGATCCTCCACCAAAGAGATAAAAAACAACATGCTAAGGGTTTCCGTCTGTGCCAACTAGTACCTACTCCAAATCCCTGACATATCAAATTATACCTCTGCCCGTGTCCACCAGTACAAAGAAAGCATTTCGTGTATACCGTCTACAGCTGAACGAACCAGAATAACAATATCATAATCATCATCGCGATCATTTCTTCCCCATCCCCTTTCCAAGTCTAAAATGTATACATCAAAGGGAGAAGACAGAAAAAAGAAAAGCCTTTCAAGCGTATGAAAAAAAAGGAAGAAGTCATAGTCATTCCAGGTAAACACATAACCCACCACCACTTGAATTTCATCAGGTCTCCAGGTTAATACTGCGTCCGAACCGCGCATAGAGCGCGACCTTGAGCTGCTGCATTTCCTCACGCAGCTCGCCCAGCGAGTCCTCCAGCGTCGCTACGTCTGTGTCGATCTTCTCCGTGGACGTGGTGAGCATGGACTGCGCGTCTTCCAGCGGCAGCTGGAAGAAAGAGTCGCCGATTTTGTACCTGTGAGAGCCTTTGTTAGCCATCGTAGAGGGCAATTTGGGGACCTGCAATACATACGGCACGAGCTCGTCCTCGTCGGCGAGTTCCAGCTCCATGGAGATTTCTTCCAGGTCCTCCTTGTCCTTCTGAGGATTGGGTTAGCACAGCATCCTCGACTCGCGGCCATCCCCCCGGGAGTGGGCGAATAGGGGAATAGAGGAATGGAGATGGTAGGAAGGGCGAGGCGACGTACCTGTTTCGCCTTCAATTGATCCTCTAGCACAGCCTCGCGCTGGTGCAGTCGGCTAAATCGATTGATCTTCTCCTGATCCTCGCGGCGGACCTCATTTTCCTCGCTACCAGGACCACCCTCATCTTCCCGGGAGAGCTGGAGGACTAGGTTAGCCGTGCATGCTGAGTGGTCACCGTGCTTGTAGTGTTTGTGCTTCTACCGGTTTTTCTAAGGCTTATATCGGGTGGTGGGTTGCGGGGAGTTTTGGGCCTGGGTGGGATGCATGGCGCGGCGGGGGCCAACTGGCCCTGACGCTTCCCCGCGATATGGTGTTCCAGGGAGAGGGGAGGGTTGGTCCTTACCATTCGTGGTTGTATCATCTTTGCGGGTTTGTGTCAATGATGAACGCGAGCCAATTGGCTAGGACGAGTCGTTGATCGAGACGTTGCGCGGTGCTGGACTGGCGACGGGATTTGATGGTGGTCTGTGCACGGCCGGAGTTTGGGATGTTTGGGCGTTTGGGCGTTTGGGGCGGTGCCTGGCTGACGGGACGAGCTGGCGAGACACGGCAGATTCCCGACTGAATGCACCGGTTCCAGAAAGGAGGGAGTGGATGGTAGAGTCTGTTCGGGCTGGGGTTGAGCCCGGTTGTCTCTGGTGACAACTTACTTGTGACTTCTACAAGACGGGGATTCGAGTTTATGTAGAGGACGAGGCGGCGGCAGAATCCATCCAGATCACAGCGCCGCATCAAGTGCCTCGAGGAGAATATCGAGGAGAATACTTTGATGGTCGGCATGGGAATTTGCAGCTCCAGGAAAGAACGATGGATAGCTCTTTGTAGCGATCAGCATCGTCTTCGATAGCGACTACAGGTACTATTGAACGATGCTACCAATGCTCTCGATTTTGACGCCTTCTTGTATACTTCCCAAGTCCCGAAAAGGCCGTGGTCACGAGTGACATCATCTGCTCTTCAGCACAACCCGAAAAGATCCAACAAGAGACCCGAACGAGACCCGAAATTCTGGCAGCGGAAGCTTCCTAGGCAACATTCAACCGGTTCTGATTAACACTTCGTCGGAGTGTGTCCATATTGGCGCTGCCTTGTGCCTGTCCCAAACCGCGTCGGAGAAACGAAACGCCTCCGTAGCGGCCGAAGCAACCCCCATCATCGTCATCCGCATCGAGAGCCCTCCACAGCTGTGAGCCGCTTGATCAGCTCCCCACCACATCCCACCCCCCATCTCCTTGTCGCCTGACCCTCTGCTTCTACCTCGTCTTCATCGGCCTCTCTCTTTTGTTCGCGGCTGTTGAGCTCGCCCCAGCGTCGCGAGCCCGACCTGAGCACTCCCCATCAGGCCTTCCTCTCTCCCTCTCTCTCCTCCCCTGACACAGTGTCTCCCGACCCTCCACCATGCGATTACAATCCACTGGAGCTGCCTGGCTCCTGTCAGCCCTGGTTCCGAGCCTGACGACGGCACTCAGCCTCGACTGCGCACACATCAACGTCGACAAGTACAAATACGACCTCAGTCCCTTGGGCGGCGTCCACGAAATCTACCATGTCAACGAGACCGATGGCTTTGTAACCAACACAACCTACGTGCTAAACATTTGCAACAACCTCCACAAGGCCGCCAACCGTGGCGACGATGGCAAGTGCGGACAAACCAAGCGCAGTACGGCTTCCCTCAATCCCTCTCCCCTCCCCCCCCCACGTGCCCCCCATCCCGGCCGCAATGGCAACGGGGCCCGGGGTCTTGGTCACCCGGCATACTAACGGAGCTTCTGCTATAGTCTGCGGCTTCGTCAATCGGCATCCGGTGGACGGCAACGGCGCCACCCGCTTCGGTTTCCCGATCGTGGGTCTCGACGACATGGGCCACGGCTCTATGGAGCCCGAGCTGACTCGTCTGGCCAAATTGGACCCTGAGACCGAGGGTCTCCGTATCAAGCTAGCTGGCGGAGAATTCGCAGGGGATGACAACGAGGCAAAGCCGAAGAAGGCTGGGGCCATCATCGATTTCCAGTGCGACCCGGACCGGTCTGGACTGGAGGGTCTCGTCACCGAGGAGGATAGCTCGGACGTGGACGAGAAGAAGCGCCGGGATGAAGGTGACGAGAAGACTCAAAAGCGCAGCTTGCAGTTCAAGAGCTTCAAGCTGGACGACGATGACACGTATATTCTGAAGCTGGACTGGCGAACGCGGTATGCATGTGACGACTACCAGCGCGGCAAGATAAATAACTCGAATCACTGGGGATTCTTCACGTGGATGATTATCATGTAAGTTGCATTGCTTTCCGGCCTGTGTGAAACGGTCTCTTCGGTCCTTTATCTACTTCTGAAAACTCACATTTGATCTTTTTTTTTTCCTTTCTAGCCTCTTCCTCTGCGTTGCTGCCTACCTCATCTTCGGCTCCTGGCTCAACTATAACCGTTACGGTGCTCGCGGCTGGGACCTGCTCCCGCACGGCGACACCATCCGCGATGTCCCCTACATCTTCCAGGACTGGTTCCGGCGGGTGGTCAATACGCTGCAGGGGTCTGGGACGAGAGGTGGATATAGCGCTGTGTAAGAGCGGAGGCACCGCTGGATGTTCTTTTCATCTGCTGCATGGGCTTTATTTTTTGGCTGTCACATTTTCTGCATTGAGGTCCGAAATTACCTCTACGTTTGGGTCGTTGAGTCTTCTTCTTTCGGCCCCCTCTGGGGGTTCTCTTCTGTAGCTTACACTTGCGGGTCAGGCTGCGAGTATCTTCGTCTTCGTCTCTTTTTTTTCGTTTCCTTTGTGTTCTTTTCTCTTGATCTGAACGAGTGGTTGACCTGATTGGCGCTAGATTTTTGAGTTGTGATTTACAGGGTAGGCGTGGATGTAGGAGTCCCCAATGTGAAACTATCCATGGTTTTCTTCCCACAGTGCCATGGACTCGAGTGAATTGAAGAATTAAGACCACTCAAGGACCTCCTGGTCCTGATTGTGGTGGTTATATACCGACATCTGATCTCCCACCCGCAAGAAGATGGGGCCTGTCGAGGTGGAGAGGCCCTGATGAAGTATAGCGTACCCTCCCACCATTTTAATAAGCATCTCTCTCTCTATATCTGCATATCCTATTTAGCTACTCTCCTGCTCTGGCAAGACGATGCCAGGTAGGTAGGGTCTTATGACCCTTCCCCACCACCTACGTTCCCAGCTCCCACTAGCCAATGGTGATCTAGACAACCTCGATCCATTGCCCTATTCCCATTGGGCCGAGTGTAAACATCCTGCCTGGTTATAGAGCCCTAAACGTGGGTACTCTCCTGGGGGAGGTCAACGCTCCATTGAGAAACACACAGCAAAGCCACATAGTTACACACTACCACTATTATGCAACTCACAGTCATACTACGAGTATCTTTGTCATCCTAGACACATAATCATGTTCAGTCTCCCAACACACAAAAGCGACAGATTGGGCGGGGCGGAGGTCAGATCGGCAGGCTAGTTCGATCTGACCTCGCACACACCGCATACACATACTAGACAGAACGCAAGCAATAACAGGAGCAGAATGCACAACAAAAGAGTCCGAGCACAAAAGCATGAAACACAGTGCAAGATCGTCAGCGGCATCAACCAATCGCGCCGGTAAACGGGGATGGCGTCATCGGGACTAAATCGGCCTCATAAAAGCGGTAACGCGGTCAAGAAAGTGCTAAACCCCAGAAAACAGCGAGAGAGAGAGAGAGACAGAGAGAGACCAGGTAGAAAAGGCGGTGCAGAGCCCCCGGGGAGCTGTTCTGTCCCCAGATATCAGTTTCCCCCCTTTCCCCCACTCTCCGACTCCCGATGTTTCCCATTCTCCGTCCATACTCCCATCACCTCCCCCTCTTCTCTCTTTCCATTCTTCCTGCCACTCCGTCTACCATGCCAGGATTCAGGACAATGTCCAAGACTCAGAGAGCATACACGCTCTCCTGTCTTCTCGGCTTGGCTATAGTCCTGTTCTGAGCCAGTCTACACCTTCATGGCGAACTGCTTCAGATACAGATAGTCGGCCATGTTGGCGTCAACGGCCTGGCGTATAAGTGCGGCGCCCTTAGGCCCATACTTCTTCACCCATTCTGCATCAAACTCCTCCTCAGTCTTCACAGCCCGTTTCTATAGGAAAGACCTTGATTAGCTCCCAATCATCATTCTTCAACCAACCGTTCCCTCTCCTCTCTTCTCTTCTAACTCGCCTACTCATACAGCAGCAGCAGCAGCAGCAGAAAAAACAAATGAACTTACGTGCTTTCTCGCCTCCAACCCCTTCGACTCGATAGCATCATTATGAAAACCTCTCCACTTCTCGAATGCCTCGCATGCGAAGTCATAATCCGCCTGCGTATCCCAGCACAACAGTGACGCATCATACGGCACGCCGACACTCTCGCAGAATGCCTGGATCGTCGCCGCCGGCGCATCCAGCATGTCGTCCGCGTCAACCACGCAGATCTCATGCACCGTCTCGCCATCGCCGAGCTCCGGCCGCGTCGCCACCCGCGGCCCAACCAGCCCCTCCCGCCGCAGATAGTCGAAGTGCCGTCGCAGCTCGTCGTACCCGGCCTCCGTTGGGTCGTAGTTGAAGAACCCGGTCACGCGGTCCAGCGGCGGAATCGTACACCGGTAGTACGATGGCACGCTATAGTGCGGGTCGCGAATCAGGAAGGTGAAATGGAATTGCTCCTGCAGTGCGCGCGGCATCACAGTCGGGTTGCCCGGTTCGGCGGGGGTGTTGTACGGGTATGGCTTTGTGGCACCATTGGTGTGGTGGCCATTGGCGCCGTTGGTGTGGTGGTGGCCGTTGACACCGTCGGCGTGGCCGTTGACTTGGTTCGTGGTGCCGTTGGCGGGCACGGGGTGGCCGTTGGTACCGTTGGCATGGCCATTGGTACCGTTGACCGGGGGGTGCTCGTCGCCGTTCGTGGTGCCGACTCCACGCTTGATGCGTTGAAGCGAGGGGGCGATACTGGCGGGTTGTCCGGCAGGCGGCAGCAGGTAGTGGTCGATATCCTTGATGAAGACTCTCTTGCCCTGCAAGCACGGTAAGTATCCCATCGTGGGAAGCAAAATAACAGAACGCTGGTGTTGATCAAGATTCAAACATGGAGCGGGACACAGTAAGACAGTCCCGTCTTCACGGTCTTCTGCTTCTGGTGGATATGTTTGGACTTCATCGTCGACAGGGAATCGGAGAAAAAGAGAGAGAAAAAGAGAGAGCGGACTGGTAGTGGTGGCATGCGCTTGTAGCAAGATGCAGCCATTTGTCTGTCATAAGACGACCATACAGTGGGAGATATATGAGGCAGGTACGTGGCCTTCCCTTCATTTATCATCTTTCCTGGGGCACAACGAGCAGAGCGATCCACAGGGAAGAAAAACGCGAGATACGAAAAGGGAAGGAAAAGGAAATCAAGGGCGGGTTCGCAAGAAGAAGGGTCGGACCTCTGAAGCTTCCCGTTCCAGTCTCTCCAACACTGTGCGATACGTCGACTGGCTGAACCCGCTCTCCAGGCGCGCCTGTTCGTCGTTCTCAAAACGATCAGACAGGCGCTCTGGGCCGTAGTAGAAGGCGTCCCCAAATGGCTCGTGGACACACTGGATGGTCTTGCGTTGAGTCATGAAGACCTAGAAAGCAGCATTAGTTTGAAATAGAACGAAAAATAAGAACACTCGACTGAGCCCATTTTGAAGCTGCATGGTCCTTCATATTCCCGATATCTCAAGATGAAAATGCTTCATCTCGCGAAGTCAAGAAGGAGCCAAGCGGTGGTAAAGGGTCTTGGAAAGATTCATACCCGTTCGAATGCTGTCGAGCAGGCACGCGGATGCGTCGCCACAAAGATCGGCTTGGTCGACATCCTGGAAGTAGGTGAAATCTGAGGGGGAACAGAGTATGAGGGAATCAAAAAGAGAAGTAGTAAGAGTATAGTTCGATGCGGTAAACACGCAGAAGGTTCTGTGCCTGGCAGGTGTACTGTACCACGGACGAGCAGCACAGGAAGGGCAGAAAGCAGCTGGTCAAGGGTAAAAAAGGTAATCGGGAATAAACTTGTGGAAGCTCCCGTGCCGCGTTTGCCAGTGACAGTCTCAGAGAGATATTCAGAAAGTCGCCAAAGGGCCACTGAAATGGAAATCTCAGGCCTTTGATAGGTTAGGGTTTCGATAGGATCAGAGGAAGACCAGTGTGATCCGCTTGGTCCGCTTGATTAGATAGAATCGATCAAATTGGCTTGACCGGGATTTCAGATCGGCTGCTAGGATTGTCTGAGGGGACAGACACCCTGGGCAGCGGTCAGCAAATACGAAGGCGTGCAGATGAGTTCACGAGTGGGTGCGATGGCGTGAGAGAGAGGAAGAAGCACTGGGCTCGGTTTGGCTTTTATACGACACGCAATGACATCGTTCATTTGATATTTATTCTTTTTTCTCGGATATGTGGATGTTCTCGACCCGGAACTTGGGCGAGTCTCTGAACACTAGAAACGCTAGGTCCATAATTAAACGACGAGGATGACGACCAACCGGGTTGCTTCTATGGATCGCGAAGGCGAGTGAGAGGCGAGAAGGGTCGAGAACCTGGTTGACTGCGGAGCTCATGGACCCGTGGATACTTCGACGGGCTCCCGGTTTCTCCCCTCAAATCGCGACTGCGTTCGCGGAAACACCTGCGCGACCATCTATCTTGCCACGATCTGCCATGGTCTCAGACACTGTCCCATTCCGTCTCCCCTTTTTTCTCCCTCCTTCTGTGAGCTGTGCAAGCGGGGAAGAAAACCCAGATTAAGATCTACATGGAGACAGTCGAAGCTGCCGCTGCCCGTTGCCCGTAAGTCGCAGGTGGCAGGTTGCATTGCGGAGTATGCACATAATGCCGCATCAGCTCGTTCATGATAGTTTCGCCATGCGGATTGGAGGTACCTTTCATCCTCCAACGGACAGGAAGGTGGGGAGGGAAATGCATTGGCGCAATCAGCGCTCTCAGCGCCAGGGCCAGGCCCCCTCTCCTCTCCGCTGCCCCGCCAGAGGAAGCTTCCGCTACTATTTTTTGCGCGCCATATCCGCACCGTCCATGCTCGAGGGTGGCTCCCGTCCCCAAAAGCCTCGACACCACCGTCTTGGCCAGGCGTGACCAATGGGGAGTCCCAGAACTGGGCTGTGGGATAGATGGATCGCCATGGATGGATTGCGCCTCGGAACAGGCGTCCACTTTGGCCTTCCGGTAACTCCACGGTGGGAAGTATCTCCAGTGGTTTTCTCGGTGCCTGCACAAGATCGGTTTTCTATTTGCGCATGGCCAGTGGAAACCCGGTAGAAAACAGGGGCAACGATGCCGCCTTGGGGCAACCTTCCGATGGGATAGCGCGGGACTGGGGGGGGGGGGGGGGGGGGTTTGAGGGTTTGGGCTACTGCTGTGCTTTTTTTTCTTTTTCTTTTCCTTTTTCCTTTTTCCTTTTTCCTTCGTAGTCTTCCGGGGGGTGAGGGGTTGGGTCCTTCGGCCGAATGGTTCGACGCTCTCTGGAGCCTCGGGCAAAATAGAAAGACACAGCTGGAGGGTCTGATCCCGCATCCAAATCAAGATGATAGTCCGGATAAGAGCCATATTGCGTGATGGCCAGTCGCGCTTGACGTCACCCGGGCCTCGCTGCATTTTCATCGCTTATCGTGGCATCCAGGGCAATAGAGGGCAATATCGCACTGGGACCAAGAACATAAGGGCTCGTATTACCAGGGGGCCAAGCGCCACAAGCACCGAGAGGGGAAGAGGGATACACTGCCAGAGCCAGGGCACAGCAGATCGAGGCGGGCCAAGGTTGCCTACACTGGCGTCAGTGGCACCGAGACTTGGTCAAATCAAGATCTCACCTGAAATCGGGGGATTTCCCTGGGTCGGGGATTTGAGGGCGGATCAGGGCCCACGCGCAACCATCAGGGACACGCGGATCAGTGAGAGATTCCGCCAATGGCAAAACCGCAGAAACACTGAGGACGGCGGGCTCTTCAAGAAAACCATTTGTTTCTTTTCTGTCTGTTTGCCTTGGATCATCATCATTATTTTTTTAACTATGGGTTTATGTTTATGGGACAGACGTGGGGGAGCAGTCAAGCTCAGGATCACATGATAAAGAAGATCCAGGCTGACTCATGTAGGGCCTGAGGCCATGGATATCATAATATAGCTTAATAGCTTATTCAAATAAACAAATTTAGACCAAGCTAAAGAAACATGGCAGACCACACTGGATGTATTATACACACACGGATTGAATCCCTTCCCCGATGATATATCTCCCCTGTCGCCCTCAACCCCCCATGAATGGGAAAAAATCGTGAGAAGCAGGAGATGTAGCTGGAGGAGTTTTCTTGACGGCTGAATGAGTAGGCCTGGGATTAAGAAAAGCAAAATTTCTTGGAATAACGGCGTGTCTATCCGTAGCTAGAGAGGCACTAATTATCAATATTTGAGCTCTAGACTAGCCTCACTCTCGATGGCACCTTGCTCCATCTTGCCCGCATCCCATCAACTTCGAAGATCAAGAGTCATACCCTTGACAGTTCACAGCATGACACCTGAAAATCATGCGAACAGATGGTAGCCCAGTCACTGACTGTCCAGTCATGATCTGTTGATCTCTTGATCACTGCCGATGCCCGATCCAAACGTCATACGGGCCCAAATATATATAGCCACGTGACTCAAAGTGGAATGATCTGGCAGTCAGGTGACCCCCGTGGCAGCTTCTGGAAGGCGGTGGAAGCCACTCGTGGCGTCATGACGCGGGCAGATGTTTCGGGCAGGCCTCCCAACCTGAGTATATCAACTTGCATCATCAGCGGCTGTATAGTGTCTTGTTTTTTTTCCTTCTCGCGACTATCCTTCTTTCTACTCATTCAACCTTCGATCTCGATCACCCCTGATCACCCTATTTTCACCACCGACTGAGATCGCTATAACCCACTCCGTTCACCATGAACGGCGCTCAGTTCACAGATCGGGCCAACAAATCCCTGCTGGACTCCAGCGCCCTGGCCGAACAATATGCCCATTCCCAAATCCTCCCCCCTTCATCTCGCGGTTGCCCTCCTCAATCCTAGTCCGGATGAGTCTGAGGACCAGCAAACAGCGGGTCATTCCTCGCACGATGCGGCCTCTACCCCACTATTCCGCCAAGTCATCGAACGAGCTCATGGTGATCCCCAGTTGCTCGACCGGTCCTTGATGAAGCTGCTGGTCCGGCTTCCAAGCCAAGACCCACCTCCAGAGACGGTCGCAGTTTCACCACAACTCGCCAAAGTCATTCGGTCGGCCACGGATCTTTCCAAGACCCAGAAGGATAGCTTCGTCGCCATTGACCACCTGATCCAAGCCGTGTCTCAAGACTCGCAGGTTCAGCGTGCCCTCGCAGACGCTAATGTCCCCAACCTCAAATTGATCGATACTGCTGTTCAACAGATTCGGGGAACACGACGTGTGGACTCGAAAACAGCGGACGCGGAGAGCGAGAATGAAAATCTGAAGAAATTCACCATTGATATGACATCTTTGGCTCGCGAGGGCAAGATTGATCCCGTGATTGGACGTGAAGAAGAAATCCGCCGAGTCATTCGTATCCTGAGTCGCCGAACCAAGAACAACCCCGTGCTCATCGGTGAGCCTGGTGTGGGTAAGACCACCATTGTGGAGGGTCTGGCCCGTCGTATTGTGAATGCCGATATTCCTGCCAACTTGGCGCAGTGTCGCCTACTCTCTCTCGACGTTGGCTCCTTGGTCGCCGGAAGCAAGTATCGCGGTGAGTTTGAGGAGCGCATGAAGGGTGTTCTGAAAGAAATCGAGGATTCCAAGGAGACTATCGTTTTGTTTGTCGATGAAATTCACCTCCTGATGGGGGCTGGATCTAGTGGAGAGGGCGGCATGGATGCCGCAAACCTTCTCAAGCCCATGCTGGCTCGTGGACAACTCCACTGCATTGGTGCAACTACTCTTAGCGAATACCGCAAGTACATTGAAAAGGATCAGGCGTTCGAGCGACGATTCCAGCAAGTCCTAGTCAAGGAGCCTTCTGTCCCCGAGACAATTTCCATTCTTCGTGGCTTGAAGGAAAAGTACGAAGTTCACCACGGTGTCAATATTCTCGATGGCGCCATTGTTACTGCAGCCACCCTTGCCTCTCGTTATCTCACTGCCCGTCGTCTTCCTGATTCGGCCGTCGATTTGATCGATGAAGCTGCCGCCGCGGTTCGGGTCACTCGTGAATCCGAACCCGAGGCCCTCGACACACTTGAGAGAAAACTCCGACAGCTTCAGATTGAAATTCATGCCTTGGAGCGTGAACAAGATGAGGCCTCTAAGAATCGTCTTGAGGCCGCCAAGCAGGAAGCTGCGAATGTCACCGAGGAACTTCGACCCATGCGCGAAAAGTACGAAAACGAAAAGAAGCGCAGCAAGGAAGTACAGGATGCCAAGATCAAGCTTGACTCCCTCAAGGTCAAGCGTGACGAGGCCGAGCGCTCTGGTGACACACAGACCGCGGCTGATCTAGAATACTATGCCATTCCCGAGACCAAGACACTCATTGAACGGCTGGAGGCCGACCGTGCTAGGGCTGATGCCGAACGTCGTGCAAACAACGGTGACGCTGGTGAGGCTCTTCTCGCGGACGCGGTCGGTCCTGACCAAATCAACGAGATTGTCGCCCGATGGACCGGTATCCCTGTCACCAGACTTAAAACCACCGAGAAGGACAAGCTCCTCAATATGGAGAAGTACTTGGGTAAGGTGGTTGTTGGCCAGAAGGAGGCTGTTATCTCTGTTTCCAATGCGATTCGACTGCAGCGCTCTGGTCTGAGCAATCCTAACTCACCTCCAAGTTTTCTCTTCTGCGGACCCTCCGGTACTGGTAAGACACTGCTCACAAAGGCCTTGGCTGAATTTCTTTTCGACGACCCTAAGGCTATGATTCGCTTCGACATGTCTGAGTACCAGGAACGGCACTCGCTGAGCCGAATGATTGGCGCTCCCCCTGGATACGTCGGTCACGATGCTGGTGGTCAACTCACTGAGAGCCTGCGCCGTCGCCCCTTCTCCATTCTTTTATTCGACGAGGTTGAAAAGGCCGCTAAGGAGGTTCTTACTGTCCTTTTGCAACTCATGGATGACGGCCGTATTACCGATGGGCAAGGCCGTATCGTTGATGCAAAGAACTGCATTGTTGTGATGACCTCCAACTTGGGTGCGGAATACCTCACTCGCTCTATTAGCCGTGACGGTCGCATTGAGCCCCAGGTCCGTGAACAGGTTATGGGTGCGCTCCGTGACTACTTCCTCCCCGAGTTCCTCAACCGTATCTCCAGCACGGTCATCTTCAACCGTCTCACGAAGAAGGAGATTCGCAAGATCGTCGATGTTCGCCTTTCCGAGGTCCAGAAGCGGCTCGATCACAACGGCCGCAATGTCTTCATTCAATGTACCGACGAGGTCAAAGATTATCTCGGCGCTGCTGGCTACTCCCCCGCCTATGGGGCTCGCCCTCTTTCTCGCCTCATCGAACGTGAGGTTCTCAACCGTCTTGCTGTCCTCATTCTGCGCGGTAGCATCAAAGATGGTGAGACCGCTCGCGTTGTCATGAGCGACGGTCGCATCGATGTTCTTCCCAACCACGAGCTTGGAGAGAGCGACTCCGATGATGAGGACATGGTCGACTCTGACGACGCTCTTGCCGAAATGGAAGATGATAGTGGCGACATGGATCTGTATGACGAGTAAAGGTCCGCGCCGTTTATTCAGCTACAAAAGGCTGTTGAACATATTGATTGAACGATGATGAGCACGAATTCTACGTACGATTTTTCTTGATTTTATTTTCTGGTCTGCACATTATGGCATGGCGTTGGTGCTGAGTTTCGTTAATTCAACTTTTGTCCCTTGATCAGGGTTTATACACTTGAACATTGCAGGGTTCATCTCTCCTTGGCTTATGAGTCAAGGAGGATTACATGATCTCATTCATACGAAGATATTTAGCATAGCATGACAATTCATCCAGATATTCAATATTCTCTCATCTTCATCTCTTAACAAGATCTCCTTACATTTTCTAATATCATCCCTCTCGTCAACTTAAACCTCTAGGTGTACTCAATATGTAGACTCCGAAAATAACGACTAATCCTGCAGACCTCGCAAATCTTGGATCACATCTCCCAATAGACTCAACCTACAACGTGATTATACATCGACCCCCCTTGTCCATATAGCGGGGTAGATCGTAACGATCTGTTGATCGCGACCATTGCAAAAGCCCGGTAACGGTAGTACGACAAGTATCGAGATACTTCTGCTCTTGAGGGGGCAATTTCTTGTCTGTGAAATTTGACTCCAGCCTGAGCACCGCCTGATCGAATCTGTCGATTGACAACTTGATATTTTCTACAAGAGTCGCCATGGCACCGTCTAGACCTTTAGACTCATTGGCATGGAAGAAGATAGGAACTGCATTGATAACAGATCCACAGGCCTGGTGAAATGAGAGTCAGGGCGGCGGTCAAGGCCTTTGAAGTATACTTACTTACCAATTCTTTCCTCGCCGAGTGTATGTCATTGATGCTGTCGCGATGAGAGTTAGAAAATGCAGACACGCTAGGTAGAGATGTCAATTCCTTACAGCATACAGAGAAAACACGTCTCTCTCCAGATGATTTTCATATCATCTGATTCAATCAGAGAAACTTCAAGTTTTATCTTTAAAATCAATCTACCATCTCAATTCAGCGGGAAATCTTTTGCACTTCAAATTAATGTAGCTTACTCGAAGATTGTAATAACTGGATAAATCCCAGATGTCCAGTTGCGCAACTCCAAATATTGATCTGGCATTGGAACATACCCAGTTTCCCGTATTACCTGCTCTTTCGTAGTCCAGATCATATACGATTCGAGTTCTCGAAACAGTCTCCTGCGTTGACCTAGTATAAGTCAGCTCCATGCTTGTTCCCAATGCTGGCAAACTTAAACGTCCCTATATCCATATGGTTACGTATGGCCTGCGCAACTGGTTTGAAATAGACCATAGTAGCAACTGGGCATAGTAGGTTCTCAACTTTGTCCAGGTGTCCTCTTTCTTCTATCAAGTCAAGCCCCAGAGATAGACGGGCATAATTCAAAGACTCTTCGCAGTACTTTTTGGCTTCATTTTCGCTTTGAGCGATTGTCGTACCCTCATCATCAATTTCATCGTCCCAAAGAAATATCCACAGCATGTATGCCCCAGCAACTTGAAGTTCTTCCCATTCGATGTGTGGGTACAAGCTGATCAAGTCAGTCACTCGTATGTTTGGTTAGTCGGCAGATATCGAGACAAACCAGCATGTTAGGTAGGCAAAGTCACAGGCTTTCAAAGCTCTGATCTTTTTCTTGTCAGAAATGGTACTGTGAATATTTGCGTCAGCATTGCAAATGAATTTTTTTGTGGCCAAGTTATAACCTTTCGAGCATCTCATCGATCTCCCGACGGAGATTATCTAGGTGTTGATTTGTCGCAGAGGGCCAATGTTCAAAAGATATTGTCAGATTTGGAATACAAAAAGATTGCCCCCTCAGTCGAGCTGAGAGTTTTTTTGTTTCAACAATACTCTCCATGGTGATGAAAGTGTCAAGTTACAGAACAAGGACCACGGCGCTGTCTAAGTAGTGATGGCTAGCGCCCAGTACTTGTTAGTTAACCAAGAAGGTAAGACAGAGACATATTACCCATTGTATGCCAAACTTACCAAGAGACTTTTACTTCGTAGATCTATACGGAGATCTCCTAAAGCCTGGTAATCATTTATTCTTTTCTTTGCAGCAAAAGTGGAAAGCTTTATATCTTCTCCAAGCCAGTAAACACTTATCCAACATACGTAATATCACAGATAAGCCACATTAATGTCTAGAGCTACAATAAAATAGAACTCTTTGGGCTTTTGGCAGGCCGCATATGTATCTAACTAAGGTAAACCTACCGGCCTCTAAGGATATTCAGCTTACTAGGGAGGAGACATAGGATAATTTGGAAGAGGTGTCCGATTGTCTTCCCTAAGCGAGCGGGGTAGTTCTATATACATCGCTCCTGTGTCACCCTGTATACCGCTGACCCCCACTACAGTATGTATTTCGCCGAAAGAGTAGATATATTAGCTGTGCGACTTTGCTTACTATGCTGTGTAACATACAGAAGTCGAAAAGTGCCTTCATTCATAAAGGCTTTTTCTCAATGTTCATGCATGTAAACTATTTAGGTACCATGTGGCGGTCAAGCCACACCGGGCATTCTCGGGAAGTAAATAGTCATGCATAATTAATGTGAATAGGCAGGGATCATGCCCAATCTATCACACCCGAGTGATCCGAGAATTAACTACTCACTAAAGTCTGGGAAAAAATGTTCTCATTAGGTTGATAGGTGGGTATGTGGTCGACCCATGTAGTCCCTGAGAAGCAAAATGGTCCCTGAACGACTGAAGTCTGAAGAAGTTACGCTCATTTTAACTGTAAGTATTTGCCAATGCGGGCAACTTCGTTCAGAGTAAGTAAATGATGTCAACAAATTGAGATGCGGTAAGTCGTTCAAGAGAAAAATAGAGGAGAAACATCTAAAAGGGTTAGTACAGCAAGTACACACTAGCGAGATACAATAGTATTCCGAGGGCTCTTAGGAGGAACCCGTTACGCATAACCTTCAATCTAACTCAATTCCTACCCCGCCCGCTAGCCCAAAAGCTCATATATCATAAAATGAGTATTCGCTATACGCGCCGCATGGCAAACAATAGAATACAAAATCATAGACCAGAATGCAACCGTAAATTTGCATATGCAATCGTAAAGTTGCATATGCAATCCATGTTCTCCTTTATTCAAAATATTCGCCCATCACTATAAATCAAAGCACAACCCAACAGATATCGGATCAAAGAATGATGGTCAAATAGAACACGGAATATGAGAGAGCAATCCTTAAAGCAATTGGATCAATTATAACTCTCAGGGATTGGCGAAGGATTTGGTATTAGGAGCGCAGCAAAATTTTGCGCCTAGGTCCGCGGCAGGTATAGAAGCCATCTTCATATGATTTCAAGTAATTTTTGGGCCCAAAGCCTTTATGATACCCTAGTCACTAAATCAAATGATGTGTGAACCAGGGAGGAACTATATCGGGCCCCGTTGGAACTTTTTGGTTTGGAATACAAAAACCATATTTGCGATATTTATAGACAGCATTCCTAGGATAATCCACCATGCCAACTCATTATCAGGTCTTCGCCGTCCTGATTGTGAATTATAGGACATGTCAACATTGAGGCTTTGGGTTCCCTTAGCTTTACAGTGATTTACGATTATTCAATTATCGGAAGAGGGGGAGGCGCTTAAAACCATAACTGGATAAATAGTACTAATTAGAGAAAAAGCTTTGTGGAAGAACATCGTCTAAAAGTTTATACCCCTAGTTCGAAACATAGCGAACAAATGCCCAAACTTCCAAAACCATGACCGCTTTTTTGGAGGTCAGTTTTCAGAGTTCGGAAGCAAATTGGGATAATGAAAATGGGGTTTCGATCAAAAGACAAAGAAGAAGGCTTGAGCCATTCATTCCAGATCCAGAACAGCAGCTAGTCTTTCAAAGCCCCATTGGCGGGCTATACCCCTTATGGCCCTCAAGATGCCCCAGTCGGAAATCTCCTTGGTCTTCGCCAAAATGAGATTGGCCTTTGCGACTGCCATTTCCTCCACGTCTTGGGATGTCAATGAGCCGTTTATGATTGACGAGATCCACGATTGTTCGCCAGAAAGGAGAGCTGTAGCTTGAATCACCGCAGTCGATGTAACTTGGCGTAGCAGCTCGCAGCTTTCTCTAGAACTAAAACAATGATCGGCTTCATCTTGGAGAAGCTCGTTGACAAGATCGGGGCTTCTTTTTGCACAGCTTTTCACTGCATCTTGCAGAAGAGCCATACGCACACGGCTATCATTCATCCAATCGGGGGAAGAATGGTCCCTAAGCCATTGGAAAGAACCCAGACGGCCTTCCCGAACTGCCAGTTGGAGAGGCATTTCGCCCGCGTGGTCAAGAAGGTTAGACGACAGAGGGGATTCCTGGAGCAAATAATCCAAGAAGTCAGTTGTGTTAGCCACAGCGGCGTGCCACGTAGTCTGGCCAGTGCCGTAATGGCGGTCACGTATTGAACCGATCTGGAAACCTAACTTACCGAGCGCTCGTGCTTGATCTGGGGAGGCGAATTCACAGAACTGGATTTTTTCAATCGCTGTGAGGGCACAGCATGGGCGATCAACGGCACTTACATTGAGGTCTTGGATTCGGTTGCTTATTAGGTCCAGGATGATCTGTAAAAATTCCCGATCTTTATGGGTCGACACAAGACTTAGGGGTGTTGGGTGAGTGCTCATGTTGAAGGGGTGTCGGATATTGAAGCGGGCTCTGGCGAAAAGCAAAGCATCTGCGGGGCTCGACTCCCCTAGGATATACTTAAGGACACCAACAGCCTTGCTTGCTACAGCAAGTGATAAAAAGGAATAGCAGTCTTTGTTGCAGTAAGATCCGTCAATTCCAGCGATACCACAAGCCCAAGCAAAGCATGATGGGCAATCTTCGCGAATTAGTTCGGAAAACAAGTCCTGGAAACCTTCCATGGGCTGGTTTCCAGGGTCTTCGACTTGGCTGTTCCAAACCAACATAGACGTTTCACGACCATAATGCTTGTATGGTAATGGGCCAGCTGCTTGAACCCGTTCGATCAGTTGGTTTTGAACATGTTTCTGACTCAAGTATCCATTTACCATATTATTTGTGAGGAGTGACACTTGAGCCACAGACAAGAATCCATGGACTTCATCGTGAGACAGCTCAGAACGGGAGAAAAGGAGATTTTCGAAAATGAGCCAGCTTAGCTCAATGGACAATACATCAAAAAGGCCGGGATTATCAACAGGGGGCGGGTTGAAACAAATGGCCCACGGAGAGTTCATTTTGGAAGGGCCAAAGAGGGGAAGAAGCACAAAAGTTCTCAGTTGAATAAATGATCAAGATCTTGGGGACTGGATGTCCGAGGCTATTTTAATGCTTGCAGAGAGTTTTTGGTGAAGGTAATCGTTTTTGAGGAGATTCGAGGCGACTCATATATATCGTTTCGAGACCCCAATACCTATAGAAAATGCCTTTGTTATGTATACGTGTTCTTTGTTAAGATCTTTATTCATTGTCCGGAAATTGAAGTTACTTATTTGAAAGAGAGATTAATGCTGCTATTGTGTGATTGGGTGCAAAATCTGTGTGTATTCAAAGGGCGCTAAATTGAACAAGACCGTCGAATTGGCCTCAAAGGATGAGAATCCATTTGAATTTGAAATAGAACCCCAAAGCTGGACCTGTTAGAAATTGGAAAAAGGCATGAGGTCTTGAGCAACTGCAAGTCTTTCCATAACTTCTTATAGGTTGAGCCGTAAATTGTCTTAAATAGTATTTACCCAAGACAACTAGTTCGAATACTTTATCTGACTTCATCTAAAATATACCTAAAAACTTGGCTGACCCTACTTAAAACAAAGCAAAATTTATGGCTCCAGCTTGCGCTGTGATTGTCGAAGTCTACACAGAGATATCCAACTTCAAAGCACGTAAATAATACTTTATTATAATGGTAGTCTGGTGAGGAATGGAGAAATGCTCAATTTTGTCAACTTGAAAAAGATCTCCAGATTTTATCTGGATTATCTTACCAGGACATACTATCTCCAAGCTCATTGATTTAATCAAAAAAAAAAAGATATAAAATGAAGTTAATCATTATCAGTTGACTCAAATGTCGAGTCGGCATGGAACATCGGATCTAAATAAGTTGGTAAATATAAACACGACCATGTATTCGCATTAACTGCTCATCATCTTCGATTAAGAGATGAATTTATTTCTTACTGGCCTTTAAAAAGCGATTTGATCTCATCATTGTCATAGTTTGATTGTATCGCAAGCTGAAGCATGATACCTGCTTTTGCAGACTTGAAAGCCGCTTTTTATTTGGAGTTCATAGCACCACTGCCTCCTGCGAATCTAGTATCAAAATTAGGAGTTAGATGAAACAGAATCAGTAGAGCTGTAAGTTTGCGCGAGTATGCGGCCGTTCAAAGAATAAAGTCGTCTTTACAGACGGCTGTTCATTATATAAATCCAGCGCTCGCCAGCGCGCGACGGTTCAAATGGCCAAGCTGATGTCTTGTACTCTTGCCTTGTTCAGAAAAAAACAATCAACAGACGCCAAGCGAGGGTCTGTACCACACACACACAGAAGATTTCAAGGTAAGTGTGCGAGTGGGCTTGGTTGTGGTAATTGGGTGCAGTCATTAACCTCAATTGATTCCATATTATATAATATCACTATTTCCACCTAGATCTTGTACAGGGACTGATTATTCTGTGTGGTGAATACGTTTTTTTTTTCTTTGATTCCAGTATCTCCTTTTCCGTCTCCTGGAATCACCAGAGCAAGGGAGACTTCGTTGGGCTCCAACTAGCTCAAGGAAGGCAAGAGAAGTCCGAGATGGTAAAAGTCCGCCCCTGGCCAAACAAGGTCCTGGAAAGCAGTAATGTACCTGTTAGGTTGTTTCCGATGTAAGTTTACATAGGAGGCCAGTATTTTGGCTTTTCACACCCCTTAGTTCTCAACCACTGGCTTTGCTTTACAAGCGAAGAGACCGTGGCCGATAAGCTTTGACAATGTGTTTGAATCTTGACTAGCTTGATGAACAGAGAGTCTAGATTAACTCCGGTCGAAGCGCCCTGCGAAGAAACAAGATTCAATAGTGTAAGCCTGTGAAGTTTCCGGCAGCCATTACATCACGTTGGGTGGGCGTGCTTTCCAGGTTTGTCTTCGCTGAGACCGAAGAAAAGCCAACACTAAGAGTCCGTTGCGAATTTCAACTTTTCATTGGTGAGCTATGACTTTAACTAGATTTGCTGAAGACAATACTAGTGTACCTGTCGATTGAAATATTTGTTGGGTACTTAGGTTTCTGCCAGAGGAACTAGCAACGCGGTTTGAGGGAATTTTGCCTCGATGATGCATGACCCAACAAACTCAATATAACAAGTCGAATAAAATGGAACAGAAAGTGAATATGTTCGGAAAAATATTTAGCTCCTTGTCATTCTAAATACAGATATTGATGTTATATCCATATGAAATCAAACGCCACACACCAGAAACACCGAACAACAACCCGTTTTCGGTATAAAATCTCGCACTCATAGGTGCAAGCCACAATTTGGACCGAGTCTAGCCTCTGTCAGCTTTGCTCCTGGTTTTGGAAAGGACAAGCATCCACTATTGGAGGCAATAAGGTTCTGGCCGCAAGAAGCGCAGGGGCTAAAAACAAGAGGAGAATCGTGCTCGGAAGCACAGTCCGGAGCCACGAACAGAACGCCAAATGCAGCACGGGCCTGCCAGTCGTGGGTCATCGACAGGCACAAACTTCGCTGTGGACTCAGGGCGTCAAATCGTGTCCAGTATTGGCTAGGAACCTCAAGTGGGCTATCCCACTAACTAAGATTGCGATCCTGCGCCTGAGCGCACTGGCCCGATCTGGACTGGGAGGAACTCTGCTCGCATGAGGCGCCGAAGCACGCGAGCATTATACCGAAAGTTCGCTCGTTTATTTACAGAATTACTGGCATTAGCGTTATTGCTCCCAGCCCCAGAAGGCCTCCATCGATCGGGGCCCGAAGGGAGATCACAATAACGCCGTATTGCCGATGCGTGATGCTTCGTGGAACAATGTGGAGAAATTTGGGAGAAGCCAGGTAAAATTCGGATTTCTGTTAATCTCGGCCATCTGGGTGTTAAGCTAGGAGATGCCCCGAGTCCCCCCAGCGACATCGGAAGGGCAAATTGGCGGCATGGATCACCACAGCGAGGATGAATATTTTACCTTGATGATAGCCAAGCTCAAATAGAACTGTGAAGTCATGCAGAATGGTATTCGAACTTAAATCAATTCTTTTAAAGCAAATTTCTCCTAGTTTGTTCGCGCTCTACGATACACCAGGAGCACTCCAATTTGTCCACTACTAAAGAAGTAAAGGGTATGTACTCCGTAGTTGGAGCATAACCTTTTCGGGTCCGCCGGACCGCGCAGGAAACACCGTGGGTCTTTGAAACTCTGTGTAAGGTGCGGCAGGCTTGCGTGGCAGGCTAGGTAGGACAAGACCGTTTTCTAGAAAGTCTAAAGTGAAACTCATAATTAATTTCATAAGAATGTCTTACTACTTATGACCAACCAGAAAAAAGGGTTGGAGTGAAATTTGTTGCGATTTTAATTTAGTGCAGGCAGAGGAGAAGGTGAGGGCAGGGGAGGATGTCGGCTCCGATGACGGAAATTGATAATTCGATTTCCTCTTATTACTCATTACTCCAGACCGCTTATCGCTTGCTCTCTCCGCAAGTTGACCCCCGTCCCAATTCTTTGGCTGGGCACCCTGGGAGCGGCCCCAAAGTCATCACCCGGAAAATCATTGCCCACGTTGACCGCTGGAACCGACATTGGATAACCATGGAACAGAGACCTCCGATGCTCCCGCGAGAGCCAATGCTTGTGTAGGCGGTGGTCACTGGAAGTCTGGGCAAGTCAAGTGGAGCCCGCGAACTTTCTTCTAACAGGTCGAACCAGCTTGGGACTCCCTAGGGAATGCATTTGGAACTATTGAAGGGGGAGCCGGTTGACGCTTCTCTCCGGATTGCGATTTTGTTCGACAAGATCGCCTTATCCGGAGACTGCTCTCATTTTTGAGGAAAGGGCGTATTGCAGTTTCGGGCAAGGCGTACATACAGGGGCGAAGAAACCAGGGGATTAGATCTGAAACCCGGCCTTAGAATTTCGCGTAGAATGTTCTATTCGATCCTACAGTAGCAGCCGGCAATCGGGCAAGTCACAAACTTGCAACTATTTATGAAAGTTTTAGAACGATGGATACTTCGTATACACTACGCAGTGAATCGCTTAAACACACCTCACCGATCTTAAAGGGATTTTCTGGAGTATTGGATGCTTCGACTTTGTTTCCACAAAAACCACGGTAAACAATAAATTTCGTCACTGAAGAAACTGGATTCCGGAATCTACGATCGAAAAAAGCAAAACTCTACCAAAGCCGAGAAAAAAAAAAAAAGAGGGAGCGGCCATTCAGATCTTTTACCCAAGAAGATGGGCGGTCGGCGACCCCCGAAGGCGATAAGATCACCAGTCGTTGACGCAAGGAGGCGGGAGATCGGCGGGTCTGGTGGGCATGATCTAACGCGGTCCGGTATAGATTGGCTTTTTTCGTCAGCTCGCACCGAGGTGCTCCATTAAGACTTGAAAGGAACGATTATTTGATATTCAGATGGTAGATGGGTATTGTAGGTCTCTATATACAGTATCGACAAATGTACACTCTATAATCCGTACTGAGGACGCAAATTATATCCGTGAGCTCCGTGATGCTCGATCCGGTAACTCCCCCACATCCCGAGTCAGGTGTTTCCTCCGATTATCCAGAATATGGCTTATCGAAAAGCAAGTCTAGAAGTGAATATATACAGGAACAAATGAAAAAAAGGCCAAAATGATGGCCAAAAATTGATCAGAAATTAAGGCTGGGTATCAAGCCCACCGGGACTCCGTAGATTCGTAGCATAAGTGTGCAATGAGACTTTTTTTCGTAGCTCAAGATCCGCACGGGGAGAAAGAGAGACCCGTCGATTAGACTTCCTCACGTCCGGGTGAAATGTGCGCCGTACTGGACTGGTAATCTGGTGGTCGAGTATCACGCTGTACTGTGACCGTAATATCTTGTCGGATCCGAAGAGCACGCGCCGATCCATCGTCACTGCTCATGTCCCGCTCTTCACTCCCACCGAGACTAACATCAGAAACGGCGGGTCCAGCCTTCTGTGGGGTTGCGGTGGCATGGCTGCGCTGAATGTCGTTCATGCTAAAGTCGCCGGAGCGCAGCTGACTGTGAGGACCGTAGGGGCGTGATTTCTGACTTGTCCAAGGACCAGACTTATAGCGGTCGGTACCTCTCTTCGACCCTCCGGTCCAGCTCTTGAGCGCTGGGAAGACGTCGCGCAGAAGAGACCAGATAAGTGGCAGGTTAGTAACCAGGATAGCGACAGTGGCCTCCCGGAAATACCAGTTCATGTAGATGTAGGAAATGAGCGATGGAACCAGACAGTAAACTTTGGTCAGGACGGCCGCGACGATAACAAAGACACCCATCCCGAAGAGGATCAGGAGAATCAGTTTCTGCTTCAGTGGAACACGGACTTGGACCAATAGTGGAATTGCGACAAGCAACATGAAGACGTCGGCCGAGATGGAAATGCATCCTTGGACAATCTCATAATATTGATAGGATGAGCATTGGTAGTTATCGGTCGGCACAGCCCAGTAACTCGTCAATGGGCGGCAGATGAGGAAAAGAGACAGCTCGGTGGCGACGAAGCCGAGTGCCACATAGACAGCGATAATCTTGATCCATTTTTGCTGGCGCAATCCCTCTCTGTTTCAAAGTCAGTCCAAGAGATAAGTACATCAAGAGAGCCGGTCACACATACGTGATACGAGAATAAATGACCAGCATGCACGCCTTCAGACTCCAGACTGTCAAAATAAAGGCATGCTCTGAGACAAACACCCATTTGCTACCACGCACGCGCTCAGCATGAATGGTCGGCGTCAAGTTCTTTATATCCTCCTCCGACATCAAATTTGACCCTCCGCCTGTTGCGACTTGATTCAAGGCAACGCACAATATGGTATACCATAAGACGGCGAAGATCATGAGATAATCATCGGCCTGTAAATTGCGGATGCCCAATCGTCGAATACGAGCAGTACTGTTCAAATAAAGTCAGGATCAGTAGACTATCAGATGAGCCACTGGACGCTCAGTCGGGCTACTTACAATCGTAGCACGGCGCCTAGAACACCCACGGCATAAAGAGCCCATGTTTCGCGCTCGAAGCGGCGACCAAAGTCGCCTCCCAGGCCAGACATGGTGTCGGAATGTAGCCTGTTATCGAGACAGATGGGTGGTTAGATGAAGGAATGATTGGCCGAGGGGAAGAGAAAGAGGGCATCCTCGGGATTATGCAGGTCACTCACATTTTATAAAATCAACCGGATAATCGAGCCAGGGTATAGAGTTTCCGGGAACGCATGCATCTGCCGAGACGATCACGTCGCCAGGAGAGCGGGGTGGGTGGACGAACGTAGAGTTCGCCGAGATCGTGTGATAGGTATTATTGGGGAGTACGTCTGCCCGATGCACGATGAAGGTGGAGGAGAAGGGAAAGGGCTTATCATAGGCGAGAGATAGATCATCGGGTGACAGGATAGAACCAACCATAGTACATAGTGGGGGTTAGTAAAGGGTGTGTGGTTCCATGGCTGTGATGGAGTCAACAACCTTGGAACGCAGAATTTTGGGAAATTGATCCGACTGCTAGGTAATTGGCCCTGGTAAATTGTACCTGGCAGTACTTACCGATATGGACTCCACCACATACTCAGCTCTCACCCTCCCAGGGCCCAGTACTGGCGGCGTTATAGACCTGCCATTTCGGGGGGAGGGCAGGGCCAGTAGACTTCTGGCGGAATTTCGGCATATTGGGCTTACAGGAGAAGCGTCTATGTTAGAGTTTGGAATCATCTGGAATTGAGTTACACGTATATGGATAGTAGCCACTTCGTCTAAAGGTATACTCGGTCCCTTCTCCATATCTACTTATTGGAAGAAAAGAGTTTACTTGGTGGATCTGGCGAGAAGCTGAGTCAAGGTCCGAAGAATGTTTGAGGCTTTACCAGACACAAACGAATCAAGAAGCCAATGATACAGGGTTGCTCCGGGCTTTTAATCTTTTATGTACAGGTTCACCAAGCCGCCGAGCACATCAGCTCGATGCCACCTTCGGAGCCTTCCTAAGAGAGTCAAGTGGCTCATTGGAGGCGGTACCTGATCTCGCGCAAACAAGTATGTACTCCGTACTGAGGGCAACAATTCTCGTCTGAGCTTGTTGATTCACTGCGGAGGCGAGGTTCCACTTCGGTGATCAGCAAATGATTGAATCGAATAGCGAGCGCGGCAGACAGTGTTCACGGGCATCTTCCGTCCCTCGACTGGAAGTGGACAAGACACCTGGCTGAGCGGGCATCAACGACTTTATTTGACTTTGCTGCTAGCCTCAAGACGGCGGAGGGAAAGTGGGCCGGTGGAGCCAACTGGGGCAGCTGGGGCAAGATAATGGAACAGACCGGATTCTCTCAGCGAAGGACTTGCAGATTGAGGCATTTTGCCGGTGGAGAATGGAGAGGATCCCTACTCCGTACGGGGGGGTCAGTCCCATAATAATCGACCATGGAGTATGGAGTAATATGTGCCCCCGGATGCCGACCTCAGCGTGGCAACAGGCCCATTTGCCATCTCCCATGTGCATCCAGGGCAGGCGTTCATGCGCAATCTGAATGGATTAAGAGCCGAGGGCAAATAGTATCTGAAGAAATGAGATCGCAAGTGCCGATCGTGACCCATGCGATCTATGTATATCCTCTGTGATCCTGCAAGGTCTCGGCTCCTTCATTGAATAGGAACAAACCGGTCTTGGCCCCGGTCGCAAAGCTAGATCGCCAGCGAATTATCGCCCCTTCCAAAGGAAACTTCCTTAGTGCATTTTCCTCCTCCCATCGTTGTGCCTGATCCAATTAATAGCATCTTTAGAGTAGTCCAGCCCCGGAGACCTGTCTAGATTCGAGGGTGAGCACACACGCCACACCGACACCCAAAATGCGGATTGGAGGCTCGATCTGAATCGCCGCTCCGAGCTGGATCGAACTCAAGGGGTAGTACTAGCAAATCGGCCTAGCCTTAGGGCGCATGGATCGTGTGTTATCCAGAGCCTTGCAAAGTGGGTGGGTGCCCATCCACTTCCCAAGTGTGCGGCTTCTCCGGTACGGAGGACAGAGGACAGATTATGGAGACACAGTGCAGTGCGCATTCGAATTTTTGGGGAGGCACACTCGGGCGTCGATCCGTGGGCCAGCGACGTAGGGTTAACTTATTATCTTTGTCGAGTCTTTGAGGCAACTTTCAATCCTAAATCTTCACGCTGTACATTCCGGCCTAATTGGCAGACGTCTTTGTGATCTCTCGACCAACTCTGATCGTGAATATAGTTGGATTAAGGGATCCCTGCACAAAAGTACCTGCAGGTTTGAGAAAGGTCCGTCGTCTGGCGGCTGAAAAAACACCCGAAATCCTGCGAGAGCCGCCGGCCCCATTTGCAGGTTCCGTCTACCACCTACTGAATGCTGCCTAGGCTGCGTTGGAATTATTGAGATGCAGTGAAATAATGAGGCTGGCCGACAACTGTTTTTTGAGTTGTTTCCATATTAAACTGGTCTCACCTATATATAGCCTACCCCCTGGAGCTTTAAGCGGAGGACTAGAAGAATGGAAAACTGCGGGAGCCAAAATCAAAAGTCAAAGCCATGTGGAAAGACAATCAATTTCCCTTCGTAGAGATTTGTTGCTGTTTGGGGAGCTTTGCCAGGACGAATATGACGAATATGGAGCCCAGGAGGGCGTCGCTCCCTCCACCAGGAAGCACGTCACGACTCGGAACCATATCAGATGCACTGTATGGAGTAGATAGATAGGATTTAAGCATCCCGTCTAGCCGTGCACCACTCTCTGATCTCCGAAAGAGGAGAGCGCAACGGCCACACGGTCGAGAACCGTCTTCTCGCACCGCTCCACCCTCTGGAATCATGCCACTAGGCATTCGCGAAGTCGAATCAGCATCGGTTACTGCATAGTAGTAGAAGAAGTTGGATGGGACTGGCTGCAAAACTACCAAATGACCTGCGCCTCGAAAATTCTTTCTGCTGAAGCTCCCCTTCTAGGTAAAGCGTCGCTGCGTGAATCTCCGCGTCCATGCTGAGTTTCGTTTTGGAGTTTGGGTGACTCGCCTCCCGCTGTATCCAATAATGAGCCCGGAACATCCCCACTTGTACTGGAGTGGCCACCGGAAGTGACTGGTCGGCCGCCTGATTGGATAGAGATTGGGGTCGCCAACAATTAAAGCAGGGCGTGTGGAGTCGGGAGGAATGCAATTCACGGTCCAGGAGTCCTGGACAGGCCGACATCTGATGGGGTTCGTCCAAACTTCCCGGGACTCGGGGGGTCCGTCGGGGTTGGAGTTACGGAGGACCAGCTCCACTGACTCCCCTATACAAGAGGAATAACATCCTCCAATTCTCCTTTCTCCTGGTGAATCTCTTTTCGGTCCTGTTTGTCTGGTGCTGACCCTGCACCCTTTTCTCTGACTTCCTTCCCGTCGCACGAGCCGATTCGTCCCGATTCGCCCGCCATGTCGACCGAGTATGACGAGAAGACTAAGGCCACCGAGTCGGCTGCGGAGACCCAGCAGGGCGAACTGATTAACGCATCAGGTCATCGTCAAGAGCTCGAGCGGAACTTCAGCCTGCTCAGTATCTGTGCTGTGGCCGTGACAACCGGCAACACCTGGATTGCGCAAGGTGGGAGTGTAGTGACGGCCTTGAGTAACGGTGGTCTGGCCGGAACCATTTATGAATTGTATGTGGTCCTCTTCTTTGTGCTAGATCACTCGTCGATCTAGTTGTCGATTAATTACTAACCGTCTGCGATATAGTATCGCCGTGTCCATCTGCTACTGGCTCGTGGCAGCTTCCATTGCCGAGCTGGCATCGGGTATGCCCTCGGCCAGTGGGGTCTACCATTGGGCTTCTATCACTGCCGGCCGGTATGGCCGTGTCTGTGGATTCTTCGCGGGCTGGTGGAACTGCCTGGCCTGGATTTTGGGTGCGGCTTCCATGTCGTTGATCATGGCTCAACAGACCGTGTCCATGTACGCCGTGATGCATCCAGACTTCACGCCCCAGACCTGGAATGTTTTCGTCAGCTTCATCATCTGCACTTGGGTCTGCTGCTGCATCGTGCTGTTCATGAACCGCTTTCTGCCTTTCATCGGGAACATCGGCATGTTTTTCATCCTGTCCGGTGTCTTCATCACTATCATTGTGTGTGCCGTGATGCCCTCTGTCAACGGTGTCGGTTACGGCTCCAACTATGATGTCTGGGAAAAATGGACCAACGCAACCAACTACAAACAGCAGGGCTTTGTATTTGTTATGGGCATGCTCAACGGTGCATACAGTGTTGGCACCCCGGACTGCTCATCCCACTTGGCTGAGGAGATTCCCAAGCCGAGCCGCAACATTCCAAAGGCAGTGCTCGCTCAGATGGCTGTTGGCTTCATCACCGGTATTGCCTACATGGTCGCTATCTTTTACTCCATCCAGGATCTTGATGCCGTGACCAACAGCGCCTACAACTTCCCCCTTGCCGAGATCTACCACCAGGCAACCGGCACCCGCGGCGGCGCCCTCGGCCTTCTCATCCTCGCCTTCCTTCCCACTCTAGTGACAGCCTCGGGCTGCTATATCACCGCCGGACGCACGCTGTGGACCATTTCTCGTGATCGCGCAACTCCGTTCCCCAAATGGCTCGGCCACATCAACACCACGTTCCACAACCCTTTCAACGCCACACTCGTCTGCGGTGTGCTGGTCACCATTCTGGCTTGTATTTACCTTGGCTCCACGACTGCCTTCAGCGCATTCGTTGGCTGCTTTGTTCAGCTGTCCAGTCTATCCTATTTCATGGCTATCTTCCCCCACATTTTGACCCGTCGTTCCTCCTTCGTCCCGGGTTGCTTCTTCATGAACAACACCATCGGCTATATCGTCAACTCTCTGTCCTGTGTCTATATCATCGCCTTCGTCATCATCTTCTGCTTCCCGTACGCCTTGCCCGCCGAGGCCGCGTCGATGAACTACGCCAGTCTGATGACCGGCGGCTTGACCATCTTCGTCACTATCTGGTGGTTTGTTCGCCAGGGTTCATATGAGGGCCCGAAGAACATTCCGCTTAACGACAAGGACCTTGCTGAGGATGCTCAGTAATGGAAGAGAACAAACAGAAAAATCAATCTTGTATTGGAACTAGGTTTGGGATTTTAATGGGAAGGTGGTTTTTGTTTTTGCATATACCATTGGGAATTGTTTATTATATATACCTTTCATTCACTTATGATCTGCATGACTGTCAGATGCATTATTTTTCTTTGATATGACCTTGATATGATTCTGTTGTACCCATATCATCTTTCATTGTGTCAGGATGCCAGGACTCTTATCTATTGATCTCCTGCAAGCAACAATAATTCAACATTCGATTTCTACATCATTTAGATGTACTTCCATGGCATAGATCATTCGACCAGTGATCCTTTTAAAGTTTAGAGTTAAATTCAACCCTTTCCACTTGAAAGTGTATTTTTATTTTGGGTTCTTCCCCGGATTGTTATCTACTAGTATTTCCTGCTAGTGAATTACCATTTACTATTATGGCGCAAGCAATGAAAGTGTAGCGAAAGTCTAATTTAAGAATATCGATCAGAATTTAATGTCCAAATCATACTCGTATCTGACGCGCTGGCAGTGTGTATATCTTCTTTTCAGGTTCATCTGTCCACACTCACGTTGAGCTAGTCGTAAAATGATTTTGCATCTATTTTATGTCGGCTGGACATCTTAATCCAGGAAAGAAAGATAGACTGATTGGAACAGAAGCGAATTCCAACGGCCTGGAAGAAGCCAATGATTTCTATATGAAACTCAGAAATCATTGTTGTGTCTAAGAAAACTGGTCACTCCAATCAAGACTCCGCAGATTGAGGCCGGGATGGTCACGTGGTCACGCGCGCCGCAAGTCGCGTTTTCCCGGCAGACGCGATCTCGTAGCGGACCTCACATTTGCAGATCGCCATGGTATTCAAGCCCTTCAAGCCTCCTTTGATGAGGAAGCCATTTTCAGAAAAAGAGGCCACCGAAAGCAATGATCATCCAGCTAAGAAGCCTCGTCTGCTAAAGGATGAGATAGGGCCCGAGGACCAAACACGACCCACCCCTCTTCCCGGCAGTCGAAAGCCACTGCTCCAAGTCAGGAACATTGGGAAGGACTCCGCAGCCAAAGCGGCTGGGGGAGTTGTATCTAAGGAGGAAGCGAGTTTCGAACGCTTCTTCAATGTGCTTTGGTAGGCTCCCTAACCTTCACATCTCACCGACGAGAGACGCATGGATCTAACACCACAACGCTTGTCATTAGGAGAAAGCCAACGACCAAGAAAAATAAAACATGGGATGGAGATGGTATTCTGGCCTACCGAAGTGGGTTCGTCCACCTACGTGATGTCGGAGGTAAAGAAATGGGGCGGACGATGCATGAATCTGAACTGGAACCCGGCAAAATGCTTTATGTTGCTGGAAAGGAAGTTGAGATCGACTCGGAAATTCCACGCAAAGAGTACTTTGCTGGAAAGCAAATTTTGAGCAACAAAAAGCCAACCCCGACCCCGTCTTCCTTACCGAAGAAAGGTCCTCTTCCTGTTTTGAACAAGACTAATGCGCGCGCCTTGTCCTTACCAACGGGACTCGAACGCACAAAATCTTTGAAAAGAGACGCTTCATCTTTAGAAGACAGCTACTCTACAAAATCAGCCACTCCCCTTGGTGCATACAAGGCTCCTTTACTCAATAATACAGTCATTGCATCGGTGGACCCGGAGAGTATAGTTCCACGTCATGATCCCAAAGCTCCTGGGGCATTGGTGATGCCACGTCCGGCCTCAGTGCCGCAAGGGAAGTATGTTGTCGACGTTGTGGTGGATCCTGTGTTGTCCAAGAGCCTTCGACAACATCAACGGGAAGGTGTCCAGTTTCTTTATGAGTGTGTCATGGGCATGCGGCCATTCAACGGCGAAGGAGCAATTCTAGCTGACGATATGGGTCTGGGCAAGACATTGCAAACAATCGCTTTGTTATGGACTCTATTGAAACAAAATCCAATACATGGCGAACCACCGGTGATCAAAAAAGCACTCATTGTATGCCCTGTCACGCTTATCAATAATTGGCGAAAAGAGTTTCGCAAGTGGCTGGGAAACGAAAGAATCGGTGTCTTCGTCTTCGATGACAAAAGAAAACGTCTCACCGATTTTACCCGAGGAAGAGCTTATAACATCATGATCGTGGGCTATGAGAAGCTGAGAACTGTTCAAGAGGGGCTGGCAAAGGGTGCTGGTGTCGACATCATCATTGCAGATGAAGGACATCGACTCAAAACTCTACAAAATAAAAGTGGCCAGGCGATCCAATCCCTCAATGCTTCGAAAAGAGTCATCCTCTCGGGTACCCCAATTCAGAATGACCTAAGAGAGTTCTTTGCAGCTGTAGATCTTGTGAACCCGGGGGTCCTTGGGTCGTACAAGGCTTTCATTCGCGAGTTTGAAACCCCAATTGTGCGAAGCAGACAACCAGAGGCCACACAAAAAGACATTGAGAAGGGCGAATCAAGAAACGAAGAATTAAGGGAACTCACCTCCAAATTTATCCTTCGCAGAACAGCCGATATTTTAGCAAAATATCTCCCACCCAAGTCGGAATACGTGCTTTTCTGCAATCCAACAAAAACCCAGGCCAGTATCTATCAGGCTGTCCTCGCATCTCCGATTTTCCAGACTGCCTTGGGCAATGCAGAAAGTGCTCTCCAGCTCATCACCATTCTCAAGAAGCTTTGCAATAGTCCATCCTTGCTCTCTGCGAAAAACAATGATAAATCACCCAATGAAACGATCGCCGCCCTTCTATCATCCCTACCACCTAATCTGCTCCGCCATTTCTCTCCATCTTCCAGTGCCAAGGTTCGTGTCCTTGACCAGATCCTGGATAGCATGCGAACAAATACTTCCGAGAAGATTGTCCTTGTCTCAAACTACACCTCGACATTAAATCTACTCGCCACTCTTCTTACTTCATTGGGTCTCCCCTTTCTTCGTCTGGATGGAAGCACACCAGCTCAGAAGCGCCAGCCCCTTGTTGATGACTTTAACCGCCTTCCCGCAGAGTCCTGCTTTGCATTCTTGCTGTCAGCCAAGGCCGGTGGAACAGGTCTCAATCTCATCGGTGCCAGCCGGCTTATACTCTTCGACGTAGATTGGAATCCGGCAACAGATATCCAAGCTATGGCACGCATTCACCGAGATGGCCAGAAGCATCACTGTCGCATCTACCGTGTCATTCTCAAGGGCAGCCTGGAAGAGAAGATTTGGCAGCGTCAGGTGACGAAAATTGGATTGGCTGACTCTGTCATGGAACACAAGGACAGTGTGGCTCAATTCTCCACTGCTGAGCTTCGTGACCTATTCCGCCTGGATGAAGAGAGCAAATGCCAGACTCACGAGTTGCTAGGCTGTGAATGTGGCGGAAGAGGATTTTCATCCGCATCTTCGTCCGGTACAACGACCCCCAAGGGGCATAAAGGAGGTGACAGTGAATCCGAGCTCTCTGAGCTTAGCGATATCCCATCTGATGACGATGAGGATGAAGAATTTCCCGATCTTCCAACCCTGATGAAAGCCTCCGAAGTCGACATGGAAAAGCAGGAGCGCGCAATCCGTGACAGATCTCGCCGTGGGCGACCAAATTACAAGAACGACAAAGCAAGGGCAAAGAAACAGAAAGATAACATGCATCAGTCTCTGGCACAGTACTGTCACATTGACCCGTCTTTGCTAGTCCATAATGCCGATCAAGATGATGAGATGGCCGCTGCTGTCGACGATGATGTGCTCATGACATTGATGAAAGATGAGTGTAATAGGATTGGCTACATCTTTAAAAAGACGAGTCGAGCGGAAATAGAGGAGAATCAGGCTACTGTGCTTGAATCCTGAATTATACATAGAAATTCATTTATTGGTTGGCGTCTACGAGAACAGAGATTGCTATTGACCTGTTTAGAAAATATGATTGCGATTGTTAGTGGGTTGTTATATTGTGGCTAGCAAGTCTACATCACTGCTGATCTGACCCATGTTCACCATGTATAGATTGGCATTGTTGAATTTGAAACCAAATAAGGTAGACCTTTAGACCCCTGCAGTTGGTTTGGTGTGTTGCAGCTGACTCCTGTCCTGGCTGTACTGTACTTTGTTAGGTCTGGCGTATACTCATATGCTGATTAAATACAATCTATGCTTTGAATGGGTTCAAAGTGGTCTAAAATCCATTAAAAAGGACCACATAGACTACTTTTCTCGTGCTACAATGCGTTATACATCCGCAACATTGATTCCTCTGAAAATGCTACATTGTTTGGAAGATACTATTCACCTCCGGTATTCGTTGCTGCATGTGAATACGGGCTGTTATGTCGCACCATCCAACCTGTAGTGGTGCATTACAGAGGTGACAGACAGACTGCTGTTAAGATAGGCTGCTCTTATATGCCAAGTAGTAGTACCCACTCGCTGGCGGTTACTCTGGATCGGCCAGCAACGATCCAAGAAATAAGTTGAGCGGGGTAAAGGAGTTTAATTGGTGATTATTTGCTCATATTCGTGCTTCTACCCGCGTTGTGGAACTTGGGTCTACGGTACCAAGCATATTAGCCATCTTGTGGAGGACGCTGTTGAGTAATAGAAAAGATGTTCAGATTCCTGTTCCAGAGCGTGATTTGAAAGCCCAATTACGCAAGATATTAAACCTCACTATGCTTTTAACACGATTGCTATCTGGGTGTGCCTTGAATGTTTTCCTGGTTTCTGCTCTCCCCCAGCCAGACCAGATGATCCCCATTGGTACCTATTGAGCAATTAATTTGTTGATAGCCTTCCCAATCATATCTAATGTTTTCCAGCGGATTGTCCCAGAGCTTTAGAAGCTGCGGAGGCTTCTGATCCATTCACTATCCCGGATTTGCAGGAATTCGATTTGGAGAATGATCAGCCGTCGACAGAACGGGTATATGAAGGTGTAAGAGTAGCCCGATATATGAATAAACAATGATCACAGAAGAATAATTGATTTATACAGTATTGCTCGGCTGGCACTACCCAGAGATGCTATTTCTGCGTAGGGCGAGCCTTAGTCTGGGTTTCGTGTGCAAGAAATCATCGGGTAAGAGCCTTGAACCTTGACGTGTAAAGCGAGACTGACAATCCCCACAAGTGTACCCGGACTGGTCACCACTGTAGCTATTCGGACGTCAATCATATTGCGGTCTGTAGTTAAAGAGACATCGATACTTGGGAAAAGAATATAATAAGCACCATACGAGTTGAAACCAGGGTATTCTTGAGTCAATCGAATTAGTCATTGATTTCACCTTTTATGTCGTAGTCATACGTAGCTCCTTGGTTCCCCAAACCCTCCGCTGTTGCCTGCTTCTAGCAAACCACAGACCTTCCACTCTCCCACATCCAGACCACAGCTTTCAATTCAGAATGTCTGGCAGTTCAGACCATCCATCATCAGAGGTACCAGCAGAGGGAATCTGGATGCTCGATGACAGCGGCAAACACCTCGAGCTCAAAGCTGAGGATCAACTAGCTCAGGACTCATCCGAGCTGAAAATCGACACTCCTATTGAGCAACCCTCCAATGAGACCATCGCCGACTATCTCTCACATCTCCCACATGCTCGGAAAGAACAATCCGATGGTCTACGCGGCTTGGGCTGGGACGATTCCAGCATCCACAATCTACTCACGCTGATAGACAACACTCGAAAGCACATGTTGGCTAGTCTCCGCATGAGGGGGAAAGGCGAGGATATCGAGCGACTTAAAAAACTCTTTGATCAAGATATTACGGATTATTCGCATATGCGACGTCCTCTCACCTCCCGCGCGGAGGAAGACTACCAGGTCCAGTTATACCTCCTCGAGGAGGTGAAGCGGCAGAGAAGGATTATGGCTGAAGTCGATGGAAGCAACGACAAGGAGCTCTGAGCTGGGATATTCTTACGTTCCTTGGCCCCAAATCATCCAGAAAAGCTTGAGAGGGGGGGGGGAAGTGAAGGAAGCGCCGGAGGATCACTACTTCTCAATCCTACAATACAAGCTACGGAGAGGAATTCCAGCACATGCTTTCATGCAGCTTATTGGATAGAAGTTATGAGGAAAAAGGCATACTTTGAGTTTATCACAAAGGCCTCCAATAGATGAAATCCATCAGCCTATTGAATATCTAAATGTACAAAAGAAAAGGTATGTGGTGCGTCTCAGAACGACAGACAAGATCTAGCAGATCGGGAAATAAGACAGGATTGAAATAAAAGGAAAGAAAGCATCAACGCAGAGACCGCATCCCCTCCCCCACAAGGCCCATGCCTTGCCTGTCCATGCACCCAAAATATTCCCAATACTCCGTTTCGCCCATCCCGCTAGTTGCAACCCAGCCGACTTAACACGCGGCACCTCTAGTACCGGAGTTTCCCCACCAGGCCAAAAGTATAGCCCGCCTCAGCTTCGCTCTTCATCTGGATCATGAAGATACGCTGGGAACTGGTTCCCACGCCGCCCTTCTTGGCGATGGCGCCGCCCTCGTTCTCCTCGTACACGGAGACGGCGATACCCGTGCGTGCGATGCGCTCGAACGAGCTCTCAGGTAGGCACACATCCAGAAGCACCTCGCCACGCGTCTTGCCGCGGATGATAATGCGTTTCTCGGGCTCGAGATCGCGACGTGGGGTTGTGGCACCAGAGCTGGGCGGGGAGCTCCCGTTGCCGTCAGCGTGGGTGCCGCTACCCTCGCTGCGGCTACTGACCGCAGTGCCTGGACGCGAGGGTGGGTTCTTGGCCGGGGCAGGCATGATGGTTAGGCGAGCTGCGCCCATGTCGCGCCACTTAGACGCGGATTCACGCAGGTAGAGGCGGATCTTGGCGTTGGAAAGCCCGATGCCGTCGGCGCCCTTTATGGCAGCGGCAATGCGGCCAATGCCTGAAGATGGGGATGGGTGGGTGCCGGAGTCACCGGAGCCGGAGTACATGCTGCCTTCGCGGCCGCTGCGGGAGGTCACGGTTGACCGGGAGATATTGAACATTTTGCTGCCACCGCCAAAGCGTTTTAGGGCAGAGAAGGCGCTGCTCATGGTTCCCACACTGCTTTCGGATCCTTCAGCGAGTGATCGGGGAGAGCTGGATGCGCGGTAGCTCTTCCTGCGACGGGGGAAGCCGAACCAGCTTCCGCCAGATTTGCTGTCGTTGTTTGGCTCGAAGGTTGGCATGTGATTGTCATAGATGGGCCCTCTGGCGTTTTGAAGGGCTATGTATGTAGGGTTATTGATCCGGGCTTGATTGATAAGGCTATAAAGCGCATCACATTCTTCAGGGTTGCGGGAGCGGAACATGATATTGCTCGCGTTGATTTTGGATCGATCGGTAGGGGGGGATCGAACGCTAATGTCGATGGCTGTGCCCCGGCGAATAGGTACAAGCGGTGTCAACTCCATAGAAATGAGAGGCCGCGAGGATCGAGAAGTGCGATCTGGTGAGGATGAGTTGGAATCGGGATTCATCTTAAATGCTTCAATCAGCCCCGGGCTGACAGTGATGCTGCACTCGTCAGGAAGCAGGCTCTCCCAAGTACCCTTGTCAGACCAAGCAAAGATAGATGCGATAGCCTTGGTCGACTTGGTAGGCTGCAAAGGCACGGCTCGATACCCACCCTGCGAAGCGGAATTGGATGGAGATAGAGAGCTTGTTTCGGAGGTAGAAGCGCCCAATATTTTGGGTTTGGGAAGCTTGGGATCTTCATATTCCTGCTGTTCATCGTCCTCTGAGGCAGACGAGTAGGAATCAGAACCGGATACAGATCGGGAATACTCTGATGATGAATAGGTGTAATGCCGTACAGTCGAGGCGTCCGAGTCGGAGTCTGAATAGTCCGAAGCAGTAGAAGGCTCATATTCATGCTTCAAAGGAGATGAACCGCGGCGTTTGAGACGCACAGCCGATGGGCTGAGAACCGGGCTGTTTGAAAGCTTATTCGTGGATGAGCTTGGAGAGCGATGAGGTGGAGGCGGAGGAGGAGAAGCATCTTCGTGCTTAGACTTCCGCCGAGATTTTCTCCTTCTTGATGGCCGCGTAGGTGTTGCTGGTTCTTCATGGGACGGCAAAGATTCCAGGGGGGGGAAGTCCTCATCTTCTTCGATCTCCATGGTGCTTGGAGATGACAAGTGGGTTTGGCTGCTGGTGCTCCGGATTTTAGGGATCAAAGGGAGATCAGCTGACGGGGTTGAGGAAACTCGGGGAGACTCCCTCTCCGGGGATGGCTGCTTTGCGCGTGGTATTTGGGACGCTCTTTTAGGGGTCTTCTCCTTCGAAGCAGCGATATCCCTCGCAACATCATTACTGTCGTTTCCGTAGAATCTTCCACTCGCGGGGGTTGGAGACTCGACAGGTGGATCAGAGATGACCGTCTTGGGGGAAGCAGTGTCTGAGGCAGGGCTATCGCCATAGCGGGAAAGTCTCTTGGCCTTTGACCTCTTAAGACCATTGGGGGTCTTTTCCGGGCTAACTGTGGATGGAAGAGGAGGCAAGTCAGGGCGAGCAGCTTGCTTTGTCGAGAGATCCGACCCTCCTGTGGTGTAATCAGTTTCACGAGTGGCTGTGGAATAGACTGAGCTCCGGTTTTCCGTGGCAGAGGAGCTGACAGTGCTTGGCTCCGAGTAAGGTACATAATGTTCTTTGGGTGTCAGTGAGCGACGTTTGGCTTTCTCGCCAATTGGGATATCCACATCGCTGGGGTTCAGTCTCGGCGGAGACCCTCCCGAAGATGGCTTGCGTGCTCTATGTTGCTTGACACGACTGATGAAGCTTTGGCTTCTACAAATCGCAGGTGGAATAGGATCCTGACCCAAAAGTTGGACCCACTCGAAGCCAATCTCCACTTCGTCGATGCGGAGCGAGATCAGCTCTTGCCAATATTTCTCTTCTCCAGGTGCACTGCGCAACATGATGATGATCTCCCCTTTGCTATCACCATTCCGAGCAGACACGCATCGGAGATCGACTGGCGGGAAAAGAAGCCAGCGCTCTGAGTGGTCAATTTCACAGATCAGTAGGTCACCACCAGGACCATTTGCTGGTGCATTGTCTCGGTACAACAGCTCGGCACGGCAATCAACTAATTGACCACTTGAATGGTAGAGTGACAAGTTGAAGAAGTCACGAGCCCGAACACGGCGAGTGTGATTAACTGTCACATTTCGAAGGACGCCCATAGTCATTGGGTCACGAGCCCGAGTTGGGTCGATATTGGAGGCAGACTCATCCTCTAGTCTGGCTCGTTCGTCGCGGGCTCGTCTTCTAGCCTCTACCACCAGTGTCTGATAAGCAGCGGATATTTCTTCTGCCTTGGTAGATGGCTGTAATTGGTTGATACCCTTGAAGCTCTTTGCCAGGTACTTCAAACGAACCAAGGGCCGTTTTAGTAGGTATGCGACATCCACTTTCTCGCCATTTGCGCCAATGACATCGCCTTGCTCATCTCGCTCCATGCCTTCATCTAAGCTCTTGGTTTCGGCTTTATTCCCTTCTTCATCTTCCTCCAAAGGAGCAAGATTCACAATGACATCCTTGAACCCAAGCCTCCAGGCTTTGAGGTATTCACGATAGACTCGTTGGGCACCTTGGGCCCATGTCAGCAATGCATCCGCATTGTCTTGTGGAATCCGCTTGTGTAGGGTCTTAAGGCGCTCAATGGCAACTCCCATATTAACGATTGGCTTGGAAAAGTTCATGTCATCATTTGGATCCATTGACGGTCGGAATAGACCTGCGGCGATGGCCGAGTCGGATCGCGAAAGCACGCAGGTCAGAAGGACTGGGATGACACCACCGACAAGTGTTTTGAGCTCACGCATATATTTTGTTTCATCTGCAGCGAGCTCAGCAAGTAGATCAGGAATTGTCGCATTTGCCAGGCGGCTTTTGTTTGAGCGAATGCTGCGTCTAGATCGAGAGCTTCCACTGCGAGAGACTGGTGCCGACAAAACCGACATCAGTTCATTGTGGGTTGTAAGGCGTCGCTTCAGCTGTGATGACACTACTGGCAATGAATCTGGGTCAAACTTGTCCTCCTCTTCAGCTGCCTCTTCGGCTTGTTTCGCTGTCTTGAGTGCCGGTTTTTGAACGGCTGAAGCCGTCTCAGAAGAAATTGTAGAGCCTTCAAGAAGAGTGCTGAGAGTCTCCACAGACGCGATAGTCGAAAGTTTATGGTATCCAGTACTAGGGAAGGGCTTCTTCAGACCGACAGGCACTGGCGCATTATTTCCAGAGACCTCAGATCCAGCATCTGAGAATGGCTGGAGCTCCGAATCAGAAGCAACAAGGCTTTCGTCATATGGCTTGTCGCGAGTGGATTTGTCTTCTCGAATCCTCAAAGCCACCGGCTTCTCGACCTTGTCCGTGCTCGCACGTTTCCCTTCTGATACCGAATCCCGTTCTTGAGCTTTGCGAGACTTCTCCAGCGAGACATAACTATCCTGGTCCTTCGAGTTCCGGCTGTGCGAGCTCTTGGGTCGGGAGTCGCTACTTTTCGGGCGGGACTCGCTTTCTTGAGACAGGTCTGACAGGGCACCGCTGGCGGCGATTTCATCGACGATCCGCTGGGACCGCCTGGCTCGAGCAGACTTGATATCGAGCGGACCAGGCATGTCACTCTTAGTGTGGTCCTCGTCCACGAAGGGATCCGGGGTGGCGGAAAGCCATGCTTCAATCTTCGCGCCTCGCGTGCCAGGTGGAGGAGGTACTGGCCTCGGGGGCTCCGGTTCTGGTCTGCTGAACATCTTTCTCGACTCGTCCAGCACATGTGCGAAGATACCACCTTTAGGAGGTTTCTGAGCTCCACGGGCACGTCTTCGCGACAGCTCGGAGAAGTCAGCCTCGCTCTTCGCCCAGTCCACGTCTTCAGGCGGCGGCGACTCTCTCCTCAAGTGTTCCGGTATCTCAGACGCAGCCATCGATGTTGGCGGCCGATCCGTCTCCAGGTCGCTATCAGTAATAGATTCCGCATCTTTTCGATTACTCGAGCGCTTCCATTCACGAGTTGGCGATCTCGATGCCGGTGAGTCGTGTCGGCCTCCATATTTTGGAGGATCGCAGGACTTGTCCACTGTAGCTCTCTTGGTCTCTCGTTTCGCTCGTGGCGAACCGGATCCTTCATTTGTCGTGTACTCGTTGATGCGCCGCGGAATCGGCAGGTTACGCGAGGGCGTTTGCGTCGTCGATCGGTTTTTTCTCCAGTGTTCATCGCTGATGACTCGTTTTCGTGGGGTGCTATGACTGCGTTTTCGTACTGGCGGAGGTTTCTCTTTTTCCTTCTCTTTTTCCTTCTCTTTTTCCTTCTCTTTCTCCTTCTCTTTCTCCTTCTCTTTCTCCTTCTCTTTATCTGATTTCTCCAGCTTGTCTACCTTGAGTTTCCCCGGCGTGGGCTTCGCTTTTGTCTGGTTCTCCTCGTCTTCGCCATCGTCACACATTCCATCGTTTATCGTGATCACGCCACCACCTTGCTGCTGCCATTTGCGCACCCTTGCCCGGACCGTATTGGTGTCATGGATTCCCAGCGGCTGACCGATGTCGAGCGGCTTGGTCGGGCTCGATTTCGCATTCCCTCCACGGTTGGAGGAGCGTTGCGGCGTCGTCGGAGACGGCATCGATATCTGTGTGGAGGATTTAGAATCACTGTTGCCCAGTCTGTCGAGGATGGTTGACGCCGGCGACCTCCCGAGACATGTTTGTTGACACTTCGTCATCGGTCGGAGATGGAGACATTGTCACTAGGCAACTTACCACACTGACCCAGCGGCCTAGCTTCGATCACAGATCATACAGTGCCCAGCATTTGCTTTTTTTTTTTCTTCTTCCTTACTTTTTTCGGTTGTTCAGGAATGCTGGGACTTCTCCAGAACCGAGGGGGGGTAAAGTGTAAACAAGACGATTAAGCGTAATGCTGACCGCCCTGCCGATAAGCCCAATAAGCCCCAGCTGGTCGCCCACGCTAACGCAGTCGCTGTCCCTTGGCTGCCGGGGAAACCACGCGCAGATCGACAGAGGGGAGAGGATCAAAGGGATCCAAAGCGATTCCAGACGATCGGCCTATCTGCAGCGCGAATGATGCGCCTATTGAAGCCGTGTCTGCAAGGATCCAGGCGCCTGATCGATTTGTATTCTGCGCGTGATTTGCTCGGGCCGTGTTTTCGTGAGCAGCTGAGGCCTCTAGATGCACTTGGCATCGACCGGAATTGCCGTCAGAGGGAGGGAATGCTGACAACAGGGGGGTTAGTCGAACAGCAGAAGAAAACTTGTCGCTTTAATGGGAAGCGTGTGTGGCCCCCGAGGGAGGTGTGTTATAATTGTTATAACACGGCCGTTGGTGTTGGTGTTGGTGGTCCCGCCTGCATGGGCGTCATGGGCCTTGTTGGACAGTCCACTCGAACTCCACCAAGCATCACGTCCATGGATCAATCATCTTCACACTCGAATAATAACACTCGGAGCTTTGGCTTCTATAATGTTGGGGCTCTATACAGCTTAATTTTCTCCCTCTTCCACTCAACAATTTGTGCCAGGATTCCTCTCGTTCCAATAATCCCTTGGAGTCTGCTTCCTTGAATCTCGATCCTGACCGAGCCTTTGCTGCGTCGGTCCCCACTCTGCCCACCCACCAAGGCGGCTATGACGGAAGAGGTGCAACTAATCTACCGGGATTTACTCTCGGCTGACTTGCGCTGCGCCCGAACTGCAGCCGAGACGGTGCGGATACTGTCCAGCAGGTAGTCTAATGCATCGGTGTTAGCCCAACTGGGGGGCCGCTCGTCAAAAGTGCGGAGGCAGGAGATGATGGGGCGATAGCATGACAGAGGGCCGGCGCTTACACGAAGGAACAACGATCCAGATGAAATTCATAAAGAAGTAATAGACCCAAAAATAGTATGGCTCCGGTCGGCAGTAGGGTACATCTCGCGCATAATGGTCGAACAGGCTCGTCACATAGTACAGTGTATCGCCATAGAGATGGCTCATGCACACGATGATCTGAATGGGGTGGCGCAAGCTGGAATTCGTTGCGGTCAGATATCCAACAGCGAAGCAGAGAGGGCCCCACAACGCCTAGGAGAAAAAGCGGGTCAGCGCGAGGGATTCAGGTCACAAAGACTGTGCTGGACGTTGTGCACAGAGGACGGTGTTGCAAACATGAGGTCCGGGCCATTGATCTATGAGGAAAGAGTGGGGGGAGAGCGTCCGGAGCCAAAGCATGCTCGACCAGTACGTACCACGGTCATCGCTTCCATGCACAGCACCAGTGTATCGGATGTCATATACCGCGAGTCACTCAACGCGTATTCTTTCCAGAGCTGTCCAAACAGGTCCTGGCCCAAACCCATCTGATCATGGTGGATCACGAAATAGCCCTCGAAAAAGCAGTGGAGTGTCCCCGCTAGAGAGCATCACTGTCAGTCGAACAATTGCACGGAGCATCTACAGCGTAGATCGTGGTGGGTAAGGTCATACAGAGCACAAACCACAGGATGGCAATCCGATCTGCCATGCGCAAATTGGGTCGTACGTAGCTGGTGACAATCCAGGTCAATCCGAGCAAGGCCGCGCAGGCTCCTCCCGCGGAGACGAGGAGCTCGAGGACAGGGCTCCGATTGGGCGTGTAGCCCCCAATGTCTGCGTCGACGGGATAATAAGGGTGGGAAGTCTCCGGCATGGTGACGGACGTGGGTCGGGATCCAAACAAGAAAAAGCTTGTCTCCAGCGATCTAGATGTCTTAAAATACCCCCTGTCGGAAAGGGAATTGGTTCAATGGCAGAATCTGGATTAATTGAATGAGTGGAAATTTCGATCCCCTCGCAAAATATTTGAATGTTAGGTTAGGTCTTTGCCTTGTCCGCGATAATCCACAATATTGATAGTTCATAGGCGAGGTCTTTTGCACGAAGATCGGTGGATCAGGATCAGGTGACGGGGGCCACTCGTGATTCTTTGATCCAAACACAATCGAGGTTTACATTGATCAAGATATCAAAGACCAAGCGGGGACAAGTGCCTATGGAAGCCGAGAGAGATTCAATGCTCCCTCTTGGTCCCAGATCTCCAGGCTACTGTTAACTGCATGGAAGTCGTGGGGTTGGTTCCTGTTACTCAACGAGGTATCTATATCTATGGTGGCTACCTTGGGATGTATGCAATTTCCTTATTACCTCGGCAGATAGAGTGGATCCCACGTCTTAACATTGGTGATGTGGTGGAATTGTCTCCGGTAGAACGATAGGTGAACGAGGTCAAATGCCCCCTAATACACCTCATAATGGATATTATCCATCTTCTTGCCTATTGTAATGATTCCAAGTTCGCAAATTGGCAGCGTTTTTGAATCCCCCGCTCGGGGGTCAGGTGTTTCTGCCTGAGGCTGCAGTGCGCCGGATCCCCAAGTTCCTCGTACGATTCCACCCCCTCAACCGTGATTCCCCGATACCTTAAATGGCGCCCCGATGCCCCTCCTCTGATCATGGCCTCCGACACTCCTAGGACGCCTTCGGCCATTGATATCTCGCGTTCCTCGATGGAATCGCCGCCGGGCATCGCCGCCCTGTTCGTTATCCGCTTCGACATCAGGGCCGGGTAAGTGTTTGCCCCCTCCCCTTTGGAGCTTCCTGGCTCGGGAAGGGCTTCGCTGATGCTATGTTGATTTGCAGATATGTCATTTCATGGAAGGAGACTGCCCCAGGAGGTAAGTGAATCCTTCTCAAGCAGTGCAGAGGTAGCCGATACGCGATGCGACAACTGACACGAGTTCCATCCCGCCATAGTTGAGGTCGAAGGGGTTGTGGAATATAAGTCACTTCCGTCGGGACTACATAACGTGACTGAAGACTTGGTGTATGTATTCTATGATCTGACACGAGCTTTTCGATGGGAAATGCTAATATGAGGTCTTCTCTGCTAGCTACTTCGTCCATGAACAGCATGCCGGCATCAGCGCATTCCTCAGCCAGCCCGCCGAGGAAGCGGAGAGAAATGCGAAGATGTTTGCAATCGGAATTTTAGTTCCTCTCAGCTCTGGGAGACTCGGGAAGAGTTGGAGACATGCCCCAAGGCTGAAGGAGTTGACACAGTTCGTTCTGCCTAGTTAGAACCTCGGCCCTGATGGTTCACTGACACTCGAGTTTACTTGATAGGGAGTATGCGGCCGATATGTCGAATACCCAGATATTATCCGATTATTGGGACTCTTTTCGTATCGGAGGTGCTGATTCGGCAGTGCCCGATTCTCCGATTGAGTCTTCCATAAGCTTGCGATTTCGAGCGGGCGACAGACCAGACGCACATCGAAATCGAGCTTTCAGCGATGCATTGCTACTGGAGGCGTCCCGGCCGGCCCTGACACCCTTCCACCCCGCATCATCGCTTCCAGATTTTCTGGAGACCTTCGGACCCTTGGTGTTCCCGCTGTACAGAGCAGCGCTGCTACGGAAGCGGATTCTTTTTATGACTGAAGCGCCGGTGCATGAACCATGCAATTATGGTATTACCTTCCTTCCACTTCTCATCTCTGGTCATCATATCGCTAACTACCTTCAAAGTCTATGATCTGGCGTTGCTAGCTTCTCTTCCAAACTCTCTCATACAAGTACTCCCGTTCAACCATACCCCGCCTCTTCGACCTCGTCCCTTGTTCAACATCGGCATTCACGATATCCCCGAACTTGCATCTTTTGACGCCACCCGATCGACCATAGATTATGAAAAAGATCCAAGCTGGATTGCCTGTTCAACCGATAGCGTGTTGAGCATGAAACCCGAGCTTTACGATGCACTCATCACCCTCCCCTCGCCGTACACAAAGCATGCCAATGAACGTGTCTTCCCCAAGATCAATCTCATGGATCACTCAACAACGAAGCATAATCCTAAGCAAACAGTGCAGTTGAAGGCAACGCAGCGCGATGCTCGTCGATATGCGATGCTTCGAAGGTGTCTTCGGCAATTCTGTAGCGACCGATCGGCATCCCAGGACACAGAGGACGAGTCCGATGTTGACTCGACATACTCATCAAGCCCGATTGTTGAGTCTCTCTCCTGGACTCGCCTTGCATATACCTCATTTATCTGGTGGGCATCCGCGGGCGAAAACCGGGACGGTCTCTCCGAAGAAGAGGAAGAGCAGCAAATTGAACAGGACGCCCGACTTCTTGCCAGCGTGGAGAGTCTTGCGTACCCCTGCCCCAACTCTGCTGGCCGTCGCACCGTGCATTCTGAGGATCACGGCCAGGAGCCCCCGGAAGTCGCGCTGGTAGCTTACTTCCGTCGCCTCACCACTCAAATCTTTCTCACCTTAGCCGGTGCCATTGCTCGGCACGATTCTGATGGGCGAGGTGAGAATGGGCCCGATGATCCCTATTTCGACACCCCATATCTCGATCAACCCGTGAACGATGATAATGATATGTCCTTTTCCTTGTCACGAGAATCCATCAGTGGCGACGATGGCAATGCCCCTCTTCTACGGCAACGATCGCATGCCAATCATTCCTCCAGCCATAACTCTCAATCAGCACAGCCACCGCCGAATGCATATGATAAGATTACCATCACCATCGCCGACATGGCTGAAATGGGTCTCGATGTCTGGAGTGTCACGGACCGCATTTTTGTTGAGGAGCTGGTTTCCCTTTGGTGGGGTCGCCCTGCACACGTGGATAGTGCACGTATCCGATGCTGCGGCATTTCGATCTTATAGAGATCTATTTTTCACATCATTTCTGTAATTCTAGGGTCTTAAACGCTGCCGAGCATGCCAAATTTTATCGCATCTCTGTGGACATGCATGTACCTTTTAGTATTTTTCTACCGATTTTATATAAGGGTTGTCATATACTGGAACGCTCTAAATACCCTGCATAATGTATGGCAAATATTTTTGGCTCTTCCTTTTCTTGTTAGTGCTCACTGCTCGCCGCTTTTTGATCGCCATGAAGAATTGATTACACCTCTGGGCTGACTCGGCTTTTCAGTGACGAATCACTGACCCTGATCCACCTGGTATTAGACCTCGACAAGATTCCACACCCGAGTCCACATACTTGACTGGGCTATTCTAATGCGTACCCAGGAATAATGACGAGTATTAACCACGAAACATATTCCTGAAGTCTCAAGCTTTATATCTGATTGTTTGTTATAGATATAGGGTTGAGTAACGCAAAAGTAGCTGTATAAATATCAAGAATTCTTACTATAAGAGGTCCAGCCTTTTGTGACTTGTTTGAGCTGATATAGGATATGGATCGCGTTGTAGCATTGGAAGGCTTTCCGGGCGCTCGAACTCTAACAGCCGCTCCTGTGCACTCATAGTTGCTAACACCATCTGCCTTTAATCTGCTGTATTTCTCTTTTGTCACGAGTAGATAGCGCCTTTGGAAAGGAGCCAAGCCCATTGATGCAAGGAAGCCTCGAAATCTGGTCGTTGTGAAAGTGCTGCGTTGACATGAGGTAAGAGGCGCTCGCATATCTTCCAGTGTTGATAATCGCCAATTCAATAGAACTATTACAAATAAAATTGATATTGAATTAGTATTTACCACTGTTTGGGGGGTTGCTTAGAAGGGGGCTTACATCAATGTCAAGGTGAAGCACATACTGTAAGGGGAACAAATCTCTGCACTTAAGGGGGACTGCGCCTTACGTGGTGTCTGAGTATATTATGTCCCATGTTTTGGCCTTTAGAGAACTTCTAAGCAAATCAGACACATATTATGTATTGGCAAATCCCATTTTGGTAAAAATCCACATCGGCTATATACAAACTCACACACACAAAACAAATGAAATGGGCAAGGAGAGCTCTGATGATTCAAGTGTAAGACAAACATCCAAGAACAGGGAGCAGAAAGTATCAGACCAGCAGGAAATGCAAGATAGGTTAAACGTCACCCAAAACGCCATAGCTTAAGAAGTAATAGTCATTTCGTAACAATAGAAAGCACAATGATTATTGCAAAGATGCAGGAGAGGTCATAGTCGTAGCTGGTACCAAAACCAATGTGAGACAAAAAAATAACAAACTTTCCATGCACCTGCGCCGGAGGGGGTATTTTGAGAACAAAAAAAAAAGAGAGAATGATTGGCCGGGCATATCGAAGCCAGAATTTCCAGGGTTTCCTATACGCAAGAAATTGGAACCGGGAACTCTATCACCGTCGGAACATACGAACTGGGGCGCTCAAGTCTCTGCGCTCCGATAGATCACTTTCGCTTTTCGCACCAGTCTGAAGGTTAGGAACCCGTCGAGGACCACGGCCTGGGGTCGTACTAGTAGAGCCCGCAGAATGGCGACTCGCCTCATTTTCGCTGACCGAACGCTGCTTGCTCCGTGCACGACTGCGACGAGCTCTGATCTGGGCAAGGGCTTCCTCACGGTTAATAGGCGCATCGGAAACAAAGCCCGAAGAGGAGCTCTGAGGTTCTGCTGCCTCGCGGAGAGGAACTCTTTTTGTAGCTGGGTAGGTGGGCTGGTGGTGGTGGTCTTTCACAACAGATTTTGCGGGCCTTGCCTCATCAGCAGCCTCTGGTGGGTTATATGTTTTATCGATAGCCTGCTCGGTGAGACCAGTAGCACGAGCTAGCCTAGATGAGCTTCGTTCTTCGCATGGAGTGAATGACTTCACGTGAAAATTCGAAGAAGCTGTCGAGTTTTTCCAATCTTGATCTGTGCTGGTGTTGGGATAAGGCAATTCAGGCGATGCAAGGGAATCGGTTCGGCGTGCTCTGGCATTATCGCGAAGAGGCGAGGGAAACGTTTTGAATGTTCCAGTCTCTGGAGAGAATGTGACCAACGGTTCTTCTGGCATTGGCGTCTGCTCTGGTGGGTCGGTTGGTTCAGGCTTAATGACGGGTTCGGTCTGATGATGATAATTAAGGGATGTAGGAGGATCAACCTCTGGCGTATGGCTGGATTGGAGATGAGAATTCTCAAGTTGGTGATGAGCGCGAGCTTTTTGAGCGGCTTCGCGTTTCGCCTCTGCCTCTGCCTCCAACTGGGGCCTTTGGAACTTCTCAAAATAATCGGCATCATAGATATACCGGCGGCCTTCGCTTTCGGCGAGCCGGCAAGAGCAACGTTCGAATTGACATTCAATGTTCAGAAAATGAACCATTTCCTCTGCCTCAACACGACGACGCTGTTCATAAGCCAATTCTTCCTTTAACTCCTCTATCATCTCATTATTCGAATCTGGTGGCGAAATGGTAGTAGTGGAAATGTCCGTCTCCTCCGCAGTGGTTGTGCATTCTGAAAGTCGTGGTCTCTTAGGTGGGGTAGCTTCTGCACTCTCCTCAGATTCAATTTCAGGAGCTGGCGATTTGACGGAGCCAACCGCAGCACGTTTCGGTCTCCGTGGTGTCGTTAAGAAAGCAAGATCACCTTCAGCGATGGATAGCCTGCCAAAATCTTCCTTGCGAATCTCATGGGCTCTAACTTCCAAAGAAGTGGAATGATTACTGGCTTCCATTGATCGCAGTTTGCCTTTCAATACCTCCACTTCTTCCGTCAAGCCAGCAAGTGCATATGCGCGTTCGAATGCTTCTTGCTTTGCCTTATCCTTTGACTCGCGCTCTGTCGCAACTTCATCTTTCAATGCCTTGGCTTCGGATTTAGAATGCTTCAATTCTTCTTGAAGCTTGACCAATGTTGAGCCTGCTCGAAATGCCTCTTTTCGGGCTTTTCGAATCTCCTTTTCGAAGATCGAGCGTTCGTGAGCCTGGCGCTCTTTGGCATTGTGTAACTCTTCTAACAACGATTCCAGTCGTTCGCTAATTCGGCGCTCCCGTGTTTGCGCTTCGGCAAGATCATCTTGAACGGAGACTAATGCAGACTCTGCCTCCTCGCGACCGAGGATGGCTCGTTGGAGGGCAGCGGTGTTTGCTGCTGACTGAGAGGGGGCAACAGGACTGCCCCCTCGTGAAAGACTGTTCAGAAAGGCCACCTTGGCCTGGACCTCCGAAACACCTTTTGTGTTTTTATGATGGAGGTTTAGGAGATCGGAGGGGAGGGATGGTGAGGCAGGGATTGTGTTTTGTTGATTCATTCGTTCCGGAGACACCGGATGGAGGACCTTTGAGGGGCTCAAGATGGGACGCGTTGGGGACTCCATATCGGATGAGGAGCAGCGCTGGCGGGAATATTATAGACTGTCTTTGAGGGATTTTAAGAAGTCATGAGGGCGCTATGGATGCAGAGAGTCGGAGTTGGTGTTCACCAGATCGGCCGGCTTGGAGATTGAGAGACTTCATGCACCCACACATTCAGTTGTTTATTGCCCTCTTGGGAAAATCACGTGTCGGTTGCCCTGGACACGATCATATGACCAATCACAGGTGCTAATCATCACGTGTGGTTTACTTTCCCCTTCGGGTTAGTCCCGGTCAAGACTCGTTTGCCCCGTGGACGTCAGTGTCTGTGCGTCGTTGGGACTGGCCGCATGTGAGGAAGCGAATTTCGAGAAACTCGTCGTGGGATCTCAGCAATGCATGAGATTGTCACACTCCAGTTGGGGCAGAGGGCCAACTACCTGGCGACACATTTCTGGAATCTCCAGGTAATTTTCAATCCTTTTCGCATATTCTTGGCGCTCCGATCCTGATATATATGTTAGGAATCTTACTTCACATATAATGAGGGTGAAGAGTCGCTACTTGATCATGACGTCCATTTCCGACCTGGAGTTGGGGCAGATGGGTCGGAGACATACACCCCTCGAGCTGTGGTCTATGATCTTAAAGGTGGATTTGGAACCTTGCGCAAGTACAATGCGCTTTATGAGCTGAGTGAGGATGCGGTAGCAGGCCAGGGTCTTTGGTATGTCAAACCCCGCGTAACATGCCGCGTACCTGATACTTGGGCTCACAAACCCATAGGGATGGTCTCGAGGTTGTACAAAAGCAAGCGCCTATTCCACAAAGCGACTACCAAAAAAGCTTAGATCAAGGTACTGAGGCCCCGCAACTCACATCAGAAACGGTGCGGTACTGGTCCGACTACAACCGGGTGTTTTACCACCCGCGGTCTATTGTCCAGCTCAACGAGTATGAACTGAACTCGCAGATGATGCCCTTTGAGGACTGGGATGCTGGCGAGGAACTCTTCAATGACCTTGATAAAGAACATGACCTTCTGGACCGAGATATGAGACCATTCGCGGAAGAATGCGATCAGCTGCGGGCAGTACAGCTGTTCACTGGATCCGACGATGCCTGGGGTGGGTTTGCCGCTCGGTATATCGATAGATTGCGAGATGAGTATGGAAAGAAGAGCATTTGGGTTTGGGCCCTTGAAGATGGTTCAAGAGTTCAGCGGGTAAGTTTTCAGTCTTCAGCTCATACTGGCTCCAAATAATATACAAAAGGGTGGCTTACTCATAAGATGAATACAGCATCATCAATTCAAACGAGATGTCAACAAAGCCAGATCTCTCTACTCGATATCTTCTCAGTCCAATCTTTACGTTCCGCTCATTGATATCCCACAGAGGATTCCCAGCTATCTCAATGTGGACCGCTACTCAGAGTGGCAAAAAACAGCTTTGTTGAGCTCGGCAGTCGAAACCATCACTCTGCCATCCAGAATTCGATCCCATGATGACTTTGAAGCATCGTTGGCTGGAGATGATGGCAGACACAATATCTTTGAATTGCAGGCGACTATCAACCCTGAGGCCGGCAGTGATAATGCACCGTCATGTAAGGAAGACGGGCAGCCCAAAGCTCAAACTCAGTTTGACATTGACTTTACCTACGATGGCGAGAGTAAGAACGCAACTATTTTCAACCAAGTCCAGGTAATGCGAGGTTGCGAGCCTACTCAACCTTCTCAGTCCTCTGAGGGTGACATTGGGCATCTACGTAAGCTGCGACTGTATAACTCGGAGCCAATGCTCTGGAGGTAAGGCTCCTCATCTTTATCTTTCTGGTCTCTAAAAACGATCCACGCTAATAGGGCCATTCACTTTGTCTTAGCTACCAAAGCCCATTGCCCCTACCCATCCTTGACAGTTTCCCGCACGGCATGTATGCCGCCTCCTCATCCACTGCTGACGGAGTGAGCGTCTTTACCGCATTGACCGCTTCGACCCGGACTGCCGAGCGAGTCAAGAAGATTCAGGCCTCCGCCGCGCGTATGGTGTCGATGGACGAACGAGAGGCACTGGTCAATGGGCTGGGTGAAATCAGGGAATGCTATGAGACCGGATGGAGCAGTGGCACCGACGATGACGATGATTGATGAGTAGACTACGACGAACCTCAGGTCTCAGAGGGTCAGCACTGACTTGCACTGACTTCATTTTGCCCGGTCCTAATTTCCTTTCCGTTGCTACAATCGGATTTTTCCCTCTAGCCGAAGTAGGCCGATGGACTTAACCCAATCGAGATATTCAGTGTTTACCGAATTCCCAGTTTTCGCTTTCCAACGTTCATGCGGCTTCGAATCGCCCTATACTCCGTATCTTGGTCTCCTCGGCTGGCGTACATCCATGGGCGTACAAGAGCGACTGCTGTCTCTCAATTATGGTAGAAAATGGAGCGTGATCAAAAAAGACCTCTTAAGTTCTAGAAAATACGAAATTTATCAACGCCTCCGTGCTTCTTTTCTTTTCTTTTCTTTTTTTCTTTCGGGTGGTGCCGCCTAGGATTATCTTGGGCCATGTTATGAACGACGTGATCAATAATGAGCTTGGGCCTCCTGCCTTGGGGCACGTAACGAACTTGTGGCTGTTGGGTTTAAGACAAACCAGACGGTGCAGACCGCCTCGAATCCTGCGTGAGACAGTTCCATTTTTGCTTGCTTTCTCTGTCTTCGTCTTCAATTAAGTGCCCTAGAGTGGCCAACCAGCATAGTTTGGATGTATAGACAGTATGAATAATGTACTACTGTACGGCTGTACAGTATTTGTCCCGGACGGGACCTTGTTTCCCTGGGCGACGAGGTGAAGCCCCTCATTCGAACCCTGGCTCTTTGCGGATTGCTCGCGATCCTTCCTTTTGGACGCTAGAGGATGATCGAAACTCGGGACACCGTTGAACCCAATGTCAATCTGGTCCGGGATAGCAAGGAGGTTGGGCTTGCAAGACTTAATATTCGTTTCCCCTCCAACTGCTTCCAAACCCCCCTGTTCTTGTCAGATTGAACGTACAATTGGGGATAACACTAGACCAATTGGCAATTCCCAGGGGAGTGGAAGAACGACACTGGCAACCGTCCCCTACCACTTCTATTCAACGTGTTGCGGGCCGTGAGATTGATCTAATGAGAGTGACTGAGGGCTGGGGAAATGGTAGGTGGGAGATGCGCCATTGCCCGTGACTAAACCCGTGACCGTCACTTTTGCGAAGCCACGGCTCCACGCCGGACTTCCGAGACCTCACGAGTAAAAACCACCCAGGGGATCTTATCCTGGACGCCCCTCAGCCCACGAGTGACATCATGAAATGGAATCTCCCAATGGCCTCGAATCGGCTCTGGCCTCTGACCTAGGCTGATATCGGGCCAATCGCTTGCGGGGCTCGGCAGCTTCCCTGTCTAGTCCATCTTTAGTTCCAATTTACCAATGCACCCGCGTTGTCCCACTCGCCCACATTGGGCGTCAGCTTAACATCATCCGCTTCGCGACCTTGTTTTTTTTCCTTTCTCGAAAGACTAGGATATTGGTCTCAGTCATGTAACGTTACCTGCAGGAGTGATTGGCGAGTCCACCCCAGGGACGCAGCGCCGTCAAAAACAACAACAACAACAGCAGTTAGCTCCCAACCCCCTGGAGAGGTCCAGGTTCCAGTACCCACTGACCCCCATTTCCCGTTTGCCGGGGTCTCCGCCATCTGGGCTACGGGGGCCCAGCAACTCCCCCAAATGAACCCGCCACTACTGGATGGTGGGATGTCGGACCCTGATTCCGGAGTCTAGACAGGTACACACACTGACCATGCCGCCTGTCCTCTGCCCAGTGTCCACAGATTTATCTATCGCATTGCTATGGCAATCGGTGGAAAAGGAGGTGGACGCGTACTGCAGGAACTAGAGGCATACAGTTACTTCCCTTTCACTAGGGCCCTGAAAGAGGTGGCATAAACAACTCAACATTGCTGTCGCCCACCCCTTCCCAAAAGCAATGACTCGAACTATGTATTATTGAGAGGCCATGAAAGCAATAAACTCATGCACACGGATCACAATTTATGGTTGCCTCCTGAATTGACTCTACCTGACGACAATGACCACCCCGATGGAATTCGATAAAATCCCTCGGGGGAGGTTCCTTTCCCGAGCTCGGCGTGGGAGGAAAGGGAGCAAGAAAGGAAAAAATGCCAGTGTCATGGATCGGGAGGGTCTAGTGGAAAGACCATCCGCCGGAATATGAGCTTTGACAGAGAGTCGTTCATGCGCCCTTGTGATTCGTGAGGTTTCCCCCTCATCAAGACTCGAAGCCACCGACAACAAATGAGACCTATGCTAGTCTATTTCGGGGCATAGAATGACCATACAAGCTCTGGAACCCCAGAAACAATGGAAAAAGTCAAAAAAAGGAAACAACGAGAGACAAAGAGATGAACACAAATCCAAAAAAAACGAGACTGGGCTATCGAGCAAGAGGTCTCATGATGCGCAGACGATTTTGTAATTGAACGAAAACCAACCCGGCAGCGAAGTCCGTTTCTCGCAGGCAGATCGCGGACAACGAAGAACAATGACATCGCAAACACACGGGTCGACGAGCTGGCCTTGACATGGATATCCATGGCCCCCCAGCCCCAAAAAAGACGAGGTATCCACCGACCTGCTTCCGCTGCCAAGCCCAGGCTATGCATCATCGGCTGCCTGTCGACTTGATCTCTATTCCGCATAAGTGTCGGTGCTTTCGACGTTTTGAGTTTGGCGACAATTATCCTAGTCAGTCGATCGAACAAACCAGATACCAAACCCTCCACTGCTAACGCTATTATTGGATCCAGCCACCTCCACTATGACTCTGCCCCGAGTCAAAGGGTCGCTGAGCCAACCGGCTTTGGGGCGTGCCACTAACTTTGGCCCTGCATCCACGACCTATTCCGATGCTTAAGGTACTTATCAATGACCCGGCTTCGAAGGAATGGAAAGACACGGAAAAGAGATTGATCTACTGGTGCGCCTGCCAGGTCTGGTTAGCTTTTCATGCTGCCCAAGTGGGGTGCTACCTTCATCTGTAGGCTCGAGTGAAGCATGTCATGTACTGAGCACATACTCGGTATCTGTCTCGGTACCACAGTCGTACGGATTTTCTTTGGCACCAGACCAATCGACGACGAGGAAGGCGCCCTGAATGAATCAGTGAGACGAAAATAGGGGACCCAGCCAAGTACGAATGTGATCCCTGATGATGTCGAGGCTCGGTTGTCCGGGTACACCTGCTCCCCTGACCTGTATTCTTATAACCCGTGGCTCAACATATAAACCCACCGTCTATCCTCGCCCTCTTAACGTTATTTTGTTTTCTTTCCGGTCTGGAAAGTACTATTGCCTTAGGAACTCTCTCGCTACGGTTCCTGATTTGTCTTTCGTTTCCAGGGAACGGCCAACATAATATCATTTGATATTATCACCATATTCTGTTCATTGCTATATCTCACAGCAGAAGTCAATTGTTCCAATCTAGCTTTCTTTCTTTCGTTTGCTAGACAGGATGCGAGGCGTCACTATTCTTGTGCTCGCTGCGGCCAGCCTGGTCTCCGGCGCCGTCCTGCCGAGAGACCCTGCTGCTGACCTTGTTGTCCGCGGTGGTGAAGGCGGCGGAGGCGGCGGTGGACATGGAGGAGGCCATGAAGGAGGCCACGGAGGTGGAGGTGGTGGCGGAGGAGGCCATCATACTACTCCCCCGGAAACTACTCCATGCGAAACTGAGACTCCACCGCCAGAGACAACCACTCCCTGCGAGACTACCACTCCGCCACCGGAGACAACCACTCCATGCGAGACTACCACTCCGCCACCGGAGACAACCACTCCATGCGAGACTACCACTCCACCGCCAGAGACAACCACTCCCTGCGAGACTACCACTCCGCCACCGGAGACAACCACTCCCTGCGAGACGACGACTCCACCACCGGAGACAACCACTCCCTGCGAGACTACCACTCCACCGCCAGAGACAACCACTCCCTGCGAGACTACCACCCCGCCACCGGAGACAACCACTCCCTGCGAGACGACGACTCCACCACCGGAGACAACCACTCCCTGCGAGACTACCACTCCAACCTCACCACCCCCAGAGACGAGCACACCTTGCGAGACCACTACTCCAACCTCGCCACCCCCAGAGACGAGCACACCTTGCGAGACTACCACTCCAACCTCACCACCCCCAGAGACGAGCACACCTTGCGAGACTACCACTCCAACCTCACCACCCCCAGAGACGAGCACACCTTGCGAGACCACTACTCCAACCTCGCCACCCCCAGAGACGAGCACACCTTGCGAAACCAGTACTCCAGGCTCTCCACCGCCGCCTCCACCCACATCTACCCCGTGCGAAACTACCACCCCAAGCTCGCCTCATACTACTAGCACTATCACGATTACTTACGTCACTACCACCTGCCCTCCAGGTATGTGCAATCTTCTAACCATAAATAATCTTTAAAGTCAATTTCTAATTTGTCGTACAGTGACATGGACAGTGATCACAAGCGGATCTGGCACTGTGACTCATCCGGTAACTCCAACAAGCACGATTACTGTGACTTCGGTTATCACTTGCTCTGAGGGATGCCCCACAAGTCTGCCGGGCACAAGCGTTGTTGTTCCCTCCACCAGTGTGGCTCCCACTACTGTTCCGGTGACGGGTGTCTCTCCAGCACACTCTTCATCGGCTCACTCGTCTGCACCTGCTGCTACCACTAGTCCTGCATTCAATGGGGCGACTTCTCAGTTCCAGATGTCTATGGCCGGTTTCCTCCCAGGATTGGCCGTAATTCTGGCTCTGATCTGATTTGTCTAATATTTTTTGTCTCTTCGCTGTTGAAAAGGATAAAGCTAATTCCATCATTTTTTGACTATAATATACGGATGGGAAGAGAAGGGAGAGAATGGACAAGCCAAAGGAAAGAAGAAAAATGTCGAAAAAAATTGTATTCTTTCAGCATCGGGATTGATCTTAATACCTGGCATGCTACTCTAATAACCATCACCTGCACATAATATCCAGGTGATGGTGATGTTATGAGGTTTTGATAACGACTAACGGACGTTCCTTACTATATGATGCACTAGTTCATTAATTGATGTGGGATCCTGATACTTTCTCTAATAATCTGACACTTATACAAGCCAAGCAGGGTATTCACTTTTATTACTCTCGTAAATTGCAATGATGTCCGATGGTGCTCTTGCAAACCCCTGCTTTTGCGGTGTCGATGCTTCGGTGGACCCTGAATTAGGGCTGTGGCAACCGGGGGCCCACTGAGGTAAGGTTCCAAGGTAGGGTTATGTAATGATGTACCAAACAGTGCAAACCACCCTGCATCGGCGGGCAGGGGATCGGACCCGTGGCCTTAGATCCGCCTCGTAGGGTTTGTTTCTCTTGACAGGTGTCCCTTTCGCCTCTATGGATTAAGCGACGTGGGATATTTTCTTTTTTTCCATTCCTCCCTAGAACGACAATCAATATCTCCGAGGACTCTTTGTTGTGACGCCATCTCAATAGGTACTCCCGCAAACCCGTCTGGCGCGAAGCCAGTGTTACCACCGACACACCTCACGGCGATCTGGTGGAGCAAGCTTCAGCAGTTCGATTTTCGTCTGATTAACTCTGCCTATCTTTGATGTATGTTGATTACTATGTGCTTTCATTTTGCATGCTCCAAAAAGCTCATTTCCCTTCTGTTTTTGTAGTGTGCAGCTTCCAGACATGGCGCTTCCGGGCCGCCGGCGGTTACCAACATCGCCTTTCCTCTCCCTCGTGATTCTCCCGTTCTTGGTCTTCCTCATCAGCTTTGCTGGACCAGCCGCTGCGGCTGGCTCGGCAGTTATCGGACTAGATGTCGGCACCGAATACTTCAAAGCCGCATTGGTGAAACCCGGAATTCCACTTGAAATTGTGCTTAGCAAGGACTCAAAGCGCAAGGAGTCGGCTGCCATTGCATTCAAGCCGACAAGAGAAAGTGATGCTCCCTTTCCCGAACGTTTCTATGGTGGTAATGCGCTGGCATTAGCAGCTCGGTATCCGGACGACGTGTACATCAACCTGAAGACTCTGTTGGGCGTTCCTTTCAATGACGGAAATGATGAGACTCTCAAGAGCTACTGGAGCCGGTATCCAGCCTTGAACCTCGAGACTGCCCCCAATGGCCGTGGCTCCGTCGCAATGCGCAGTAACCGTCTCGGAGAAGCGGAGAAAAAGGACGCGTTCCTGGTGGAGGAGATTCTCGCCATGCAATTGAAGGAGGTCAAGGCCAATGCAGATGCACTGGCTGGCAAGGGATCAGATATTCGGGACGTCGTCATTACCTACCCCGCCTTCTACACCGCTGAAGAGAAACGGAGCCTCGCGCTAGCCGCTGACCTGGCCGGTCTGAAGATCCAGGCTTTCATCAGTGATGGTCTGGCTGTTGGATTGAATTACGCTACTAGCCGTAAGTTCCCGAGTGTGTCTGATGGAGAAAAACCCGAATACCATGTTGTTTTCGATATGGGTGCTGGGTCGACCACCGCCAGCGTGTTGCGTTTCCAGAGTCGTCAGGTCAAGGATGTTGGAAAATACAACAAGACTGTTCAAGAAATTCATGTTTTGGGAAGTGGCTGGGATAGGACCCTTGGAGGTGACTCTCTGAACGATCTGATTGTCAACGATATGATTGCCAAGCTGGTTGAAGATAAGAAACTGAAGGACAAGGTCACACCGGAACAAGTCAAGGCCCACGGCAAGACCATGTCCAGATTGTGGAAGGATGCTGAGAAAATTCGCCAAGTACTAAGCGCAAACACAGAAACTTCAACTAGCTTTGAGGGACTTTACGACGAGGATCTCAATTTCAAGTACAAGATCAGCCGCGCCAATTTTGAAAAGATGGCGGCTGAACATGCGGCTCGTATTGGGTCTCCTTTGGAACAGGCTTTGGATTCTGCCAGCCTGAAGTTTGACGATATCGATTCCGTTGTCCTTCATGGTGGAGCTATTCGGACACCCTTTGTCCAGAAGCAACTCGAGAAGATCTGTGGCTCATCTAAGAAGCTCCGCACCAATGTCAACGCCGACGAGGCGGCTGTTTTTGGTGCTGCTTTTAAGGGTGCTGCACTCTCCCCTAGCTTCCGCGTCAAGGATATTCGCGCGAGCGATGCGGCTACGTACCCGGTTGTTTTGAAATGGGCTTCTGATGGTAAGGAGCGGAGCCAGAAGCTTTTCACCTCCACGTCTCAGGTTGGCCCCGAGAAGCAAGTTACTGTCAAGAACCTTGAAGATTTTGAATTCAGCTTCTACCAACAGGTCGAAGAGAATGGTCTACCTGTTCTGACCGTCCAGACCCAAAACCTGACAGCCTCCGTGAACAAGCTAAAGGATACCCATGGTTGCACGGCCAGCAACATAACAACCAAGTTTGCAATCCGCCTCAGTCCTGTGAACGGTCTTCCTGAAGTGACTAGCGGCGATGTCAGCTGTGAAGTTGAGGTTGAGAAGAAGGGAATCGTTGAGGATGTCAAGGGGTTCTTTGGACTTGGTTCCAAGAAGGGTGAACAGCAGCCACTCGGTGATGAGGATGAGGCGAGCGAATCGATCACTCTCGAGCCCGAGGCGGAATCTTCAACCACTTCATCTGCCACTGATACTTCTTCTACGACTGCTGCTACTACCAAGGAAAGCGCCAAGGCTAATACCCAGACTAAACTTGAGACCATTCCTATTAGTCTTAAGTCGACTCCTCTTGGAACCCAGGCGCCTTCGGCCGCAGAACTTACTCGTATTAATTCCCGTCTCGCGGCTTTCGATTCGTCGGATCGTGATCGAGTGCTACGTGAAGAGGCCTTGAATGAGCTAGAGTCGTTCATCTATCGCAGCCGAGATCTTATTGAAACCGAAGATTTCATCAAGGCCGTTAAGAACGACCAGTTGACTACCTTGCAAGAGAAGGTTACTAAGGCCAGTGACTGGCTATATGAAGACAGCGACAATGCCAAGACAGTCGACTTCCTGGCGAAGCTCAAGGATTTGAAGTCTATTGTCAATCCGGCGCTGAAGCGGATAAAAGAATCTTCTTCTCGCCCCGCACGTATCCAGCTTCTGCAGGACATGCTCAAGAATGCCGAGTCCATGAAACAATTGATCGAGAGCCAGATTGCCAACGATGAAGATATTTATTCTTCCTCGGTATCAGCCTCGAGCACGTCAACCGCCACTGTCGAGGATTCAGCGACCAGCTCTTCCTCTACTCCTACCCCTGCTACCTCTGGCGATCCTTTGGATGACCTTGACGACGATTCATATTCCGCCACCACCACGTCTTCTACCAAGGCGGCCAAGCCATCAGCTGCTGTCAAGCCCACCGGTCCAAAATATACATTATTTACTCCTTATGACCTTGAATCTCTCACGAAGGTTTATGAGTCTACCAAACCCTGGCTTGAGACTCAGCTCGAGCTTCAAGAGAAGCTCACCGAGTCGGATGATCCCGTTCTCACCGTTGTAGAGATTGATTTCCGTCTGCGCGAGTTCGAGCGCATATTAAACCGCATGTATGAGCGAATGACCGCCGCTGCTGGCCAGCAGGCCAAGAGCAGCGGCAAGAAGCCCAAGAAAGATGGCAAGGACAAGCCGTCAGAGAAGAAGAGCAAGGGCAAGGAGACGCCTCAAGACGATACTAAGAAGGATGAGCTGTAATGCTCTCTGTCTTTGTGCATGATATATTTGCATTTTTGGAACCTTTGCGCAAGAGCATGTCTTTTTTTTCTTGTTCTCTTTCATGTCCTATGTACCACATCTATTTCACCTTTTCAAATAGACAAAAGACTTATCGTGAAGTTCTGGGCTCATTATTATGGTTTAGCCCCAGGGCTTGTGATTTTCACTCGATCAGAATACATTCGGTTCGAAGAATCTGATAATACCTCTCAAAATGGATGATTTGAAATTCTATAGTTATTGAGTCCTCTTTTGTAATCGCGAATATGGTGCGTTACCCCTACTGCTCTTTCCATCGCCGTAACCAGATCATTTGAAAAGGCTTGGCGTGCCACACATAGTATTTAGACTCAGGTCTCCTGAAAGAAACACTTTCCAAAGCCGGGCTTGCTCTTCCTATTGGCAACGTAATGTATCGACATCAATGTAGAAAGCGCCACTTTTACAATAATAGGCACATCTACTGGAACTTTGGCAATTCCATCCGTGCTCCGCGTGCTTAGCTGAATTATGTAGTCAGGTGGGATGATGCTATGGTGTAGGTAAAAAAGTACGACTTACGGACTACCTGCCCTCCACTTGATGGAGAAACAAGGACTCCTGTAGCTCTTGGAAGTTGCGGCCTGGGGAGACCGGCAGCCGTGATGGCGAACGCGAGCGCGAGCGGGGAGAAAACATAGATAGTGTGCATGGTTTGCTAACGCTTCCCATGAGGATATGTTAGGATCTCATTCGGAGTCGGAAGACACTTTACAATCGGGAACAGGTGAGAGAGCTTTGTTGTACAAGAAAGATACAGCCCAGGAGCAAAGGGATAAAAATCGCGGACCTATATTTGCGCTATTTATTTGTTGATCTTGAAAAAGCAAGGGGCATGTTCAGGGGTTCCACTGTATGTTCCCGCTTATTGGCAGGTTTGCTTTTTTGAATATCATATCCTGGCTTGGGAATAAGCTAAGGCTGTTTACATGGAGTCCCACATGTTGAGTTTCAATCATTACTTTCCCCTGATATAGATTATTGAAAACGTGCTGAAACGTCAATACCCCTATCCGACTATTACAATGGTTTGAACGGAATCTTCACAAAACGTATCGAAATCTTGGATTCTGGAAAAGCATTAGCGAGGGTCCGCAAACTGAGTGCGAATTTTACTTGCCTCAAAATCGGTCAAATCAGCCAACTCGTCATATTCCGATTGAATGCCAGCTCCCTCGTGGTTTCTTGCTGCCATATCTCTTATCTTGTTCCGACGAATAAGCAAAATTCGTAGGCAGATAGCTAGAGCGATTTGAGCCGAGGCGCAGGCAAGGATAACTTTGCACCCTGTCTGGTACAGCGGTGCTTCTTTTGCAAGGAATGCATGAGGTCCAATGATGTTTCCAGCGCAATATGCGAGAAATACCAGAGCAACCCCGGTACTTCGCTTCGTATATCCTCCCAAATTTGTGGCTGGCATTTGTAGCGAAAGAACCAACGAGCAAACAAATGCACCAACAATGTAGTAGCCAAAAAGTACGCCGACTTTATGAGTTTCATGAGACAGTTTCCATATTAAGCAAGTCCCCATTATGGTGGGTATCAGATAAATCGCCATAATAATGGTACGAGAGTTGTGGAGATACGAGGCAACAAATGTACCAGACAGGATATAGAACACTTGGAATCCACCCATAGGAATTCCCAAGGCCGTCGTCTTCAATGGATCGTCTGTCAACCCTTTGATAATTAGCTTACCAAAATTTGCAATACCACCGTTAATAACCTCGTTGCATAGAGTGAACATAAACAAGATCCAGACTTGAGGATCAATCAAGGCCTCTCGGATCTGATACCATTTGACTTGACGATTAATCACCCCTGTCCTGCCGAGACGATTGCGACCAATCAGAAGGGCCTTGTCTTCCAACTTGAAGCGCTTCGCAGAGATAATATCATCTGGTAGGAACAGAAACATCACAATGCCCCAAGCGACGGTCACGCCACCGAGTATCAGGTATATAGCTCTCCAGACTGAAATTGTCTGAATCTGGCCAATCCCAAAGGTTATAATTCCACCCAGGATGGCACCGAGCCCATTGCAGCTGTAAAAAATGCCTGCACGGAATGGTTGCTGTTCTCTCGTGTACCACATGCCTACAATCATCATAAAACAAGGCGTGATAGGTGCTTCAAATATACCGAGGAGAAAGCGACAGATTGCCATGCCTGTAAAGGACGAGCAAGCAGCGGTTATCATAAGCATTGAGCCCCAAGCAATAATATTGCATGAAATGACTTTTCCTAATTTGGTCTTCTGTGCCAGAATATTCCACGGATACTCGGATATGAGATAAGCCAAGTAGAAAATACTAGCCAACCAACTATATTGATTGCTTGACATGTGAGTTGAAGTAAACAGGTCAAAGACTGCCGAGTATGCCAGTGCTGACTTGTCGATATACTGAAGAACATATGTACCGGCAAGCAGGGGTAACAATACAAGATCCACTCGACGGACAAGTGCTTTGTTGCGCTCGGCATCGTCTAGGAGTTCCCGAATGGTGTCGTTTGAAAATCCATTCTCGTGGAGGAAAACTTCACCCTCATCAAGATCGGTGATACTGCCAAACTGTAGGTCTTTCTCCTCCGAGCTGGTTTCAACAGGTGCCTTTTCGGATTTTTCCTCCATATTTTCACGTAGGAGCAGATTTAATGTAGGAACATAAAATAAACAGTCAACAGAGTGCGTCTCAGCTATTATTTTTGAGGATTTCGTCTATACGAGTCCTCAAAAATAGAGGCCGTAATATACCCCAAATACCCCCCATTCTATGGCCTGGATCATGCGGGGTATCTTCCTGTTTTTCGGACTTTGCCCGAACTTGATACATGACCCCGGCCAATAATTGACTTGCCGCCCTATCTCGGATAGTGTCTGATAAGACCGGAGCAAAAGATAAAAATTCTTTGGAAATGACTTGGAGAGGAACGATGGCAAAACAACAAGAGAGGCTTTTATAAATTCACATTGACTTAATACATCGACTTGAGCCTTAATAACATAAAGTATCTCATTTCTCTCTATCTTCTAGCTTTCCTTGACTTATATCTTACGTTACTCACTGTAAATTATCTTTTAGTTGGAATCTAGAATTGAAGCTTCGTAATCCCTATCTCTTGATAATAAGGTTGGTTCTAGTTGGTTTATCAACTCAGGCGAGTTAGTCATGGAGTGTTCCCCTTCAATGTCGTTCTATTACATAACACCCTCCAGTTCTCAATATGATAGATATTCAATAATAGACTCTGATTCTCTTTTCTTGGAGACAAAACAGAAAAGAAAAAAGAAAAAGAGAAAGAAAAAGAATAACAATAAAGTTTCAAACTAATTTTTAAAACACTCTGCGTTTGAGTGATTGATATAACATGTAGCGTGTTGCCTTGAAGGAGCACACTTAGTGGGCCTTCTCTCATGTGCAAGACCGGAGACATATTCGCAAAGCTTCATTGTACGCTCGCGTTCCTCATTAATTGCATGGAAGCCCCATAACAGTATTCACGAATATCCAAAGCTCGTCAAATCATTTTTTCATCACTACAATGCTCGGCCAGTAGCTCTGTACCGAAGCTGTTAAAATACTTCGTCCGCTATCAGCCAAAAGAACTAGCCTTATCTCAAGCCTGTGGGGCCTTGGCCCCTTCGTCTCCACTGCTTTCTCACCCCGCACAACGGAGCTACTTTTGCTTCCCGAACTGCGATGGACCGCCCGTACTGCCTATAATACACCTTCCCTGCTGCTTCCTTATCAGGCTCAAAACAGATTGACTCTTGATAGGATACTATACATAGTGAACAGGCCATGACTCAATCATCCAGGCCCTCTGTATCGCTTGCGCAAGGACTGGTGGAAGGGATACGGCTCGATAAAGGCTTCCCTAAGCCTGTGGATGCATTTTTGGGAGTTCCTTATGCGCTGCCACCAATTGGAGAACGGCGCTTCCAGCCTCCTGTCAAGGTATTACCCTCCAAAGGTCATATCGATGCCTCGATGTATGGGCCTGCGGCCCCTGGCAAAGCATTGCTATCGGGCGGGCCGAAACTTGAACAAAGCGAGGATTGCCTAACGGCCAACATCTTCCATCAGACCGGAATGGAAGAGACAGCGAAGCTTCCGGTAGCGATTTACATCCACGGTGGCGCTTTCAATCGAGGAACAGCATCCATGCATGACACTTGTTCGATGGTCGCTTGGTCTGAAGAGCCTTTTATTGGTGTGAGCTTCAATTATCGAGTCGGAGCTCTGGGATTTTTGCCATCGGCTTTGGCTGAAGAGGAAGGGCTTCTCAACCTTGGACTTCATGATCAAGTCCATCTTTTCCAATGGGTACAGGAAAATATTGTACAATTTGGAGGCGATCCTAACAATGTAACATTATTTGGCTTATCAGCTGGGGCACATTCGGTATGTTACGATGCCGTGTTGTTTCCTTGCTTGCTTTCTGTTTTTTTTTAACCTCCGAGTAGATCGGGCATCATCTTCTCAATTATAACGAGCAGGCCAAGCCTCTCTTCCACCGCGTGATTATGGAGTCAGGGTCCCCGACTTCTCGAGCCGTTCGACCGTACGACGCGAAAGTACATGAAGAACAATTCAAGGACTTCTTACATGAGGCAGGATGCCCAGCTGATCTATCCAGAGATGAAATCTTTCCCTTTCTTAGATCCCTTCCAAGTGAAACTATCACAACTGCTCAGACCACCGTCTTTGACAAATACAATCCCTCTCTTCGATGGGCTTTTCAACCTGTTATTGATGGAGATCTTATCCCTCGAAAGCCACTGGACGCGTGGAACTCTCAAGTCTGGAACAAAGTACCCATAATGACCGGGTTCACCACAAATGAGGGAACAATGTACGTGGACAAGAAAATGTCGACACCAGCGCAGTTTCGCCGGTTCTGGCAGAACCTTCTTCCCGAGTTGTCATCCTCAGACCTGGATACCATTGATGGATTGTATCCCGATCCTAGCCTTGACCCTGCTTCACCATATATCGAAACAAGAAAAAACTGTGGGCTGGGTCAACAATACAAGCGAGTCGAGGCCGCATATGCCCATTACGCATATGTAGCACCCGTCCGCCAAACCGCAGAATTTGCATCTTCTCAGGGTGTACCGGCTTATCTATATCACTGGGCTCTACCCAGGACAGTGATCGGCCGAGCAAACCACGGAGACAATATGTATTACGAATCTTATAATAGCGACATTACAGAGATTTCAGAGTCACAGAAGGAGCTGTCTGGGACCCTACATGCGTATATCACCAGTTTCATCACCACAGGTGACCCAAACGGCATTGCAGGTCGTTATGCCAAAAGGCCAGTGTGGAAGAAATTCTCTCCAACCGATGCTTCTGTCATGAGATTTGGCGAAGGGAATGAGGAACTGATCGGGGGAGCGGCAGCCCCAGCGGCAGCCTTTGTTAAGGACGACTGGGCAAGAGAACAGACAAACTTCTGGTGGTCAAAGGTCCCTATATCGCAGCTTGCATGAAGTTCATTCTCTTGATTATAGAACGGAATATAATACATGGCAATATCTTTACCCGGATAGGATTTATAGTGATCCCTTTTGGTGGAAGTCCAGGATTAAATCAACTTCCTTGTCAGCCACCTCGAGAATGTGATCAGCCGGGTATTGAGGTTTCCAGCCAATTTTGAGTCCATTCTTGGCCTCGAGGGTACATTTTCCACCCAAAAACAAGGGAACCATGTCTTTTGGACAACCCAATGCCACTCCCATCTGCTCTAGAGCTTGGTCATTGACTAAATCTACCTCCTCTTTATCGACAACCTGTCGTTTAGCCAACTCCTTTGCCATCGCGCAGTAAATGTCATTCCAGGCCACACTTCCGCTAGCAGCAAGATAGTATCCACTCTTTCCGCTTGCGATAGAATTCTCAGACAGTATATTTCGTATGATCTCAAGATAAAGCGCCGCATTGTCCACGACGTGGCACACGGGCCATGTCTAAATTTAAGTCAGATCAGTCTAGAACAACAAAAAGAGGGGCATGTGTATACATGGTCATCCGCATCAGGTCTGTATACCCGTCCAAGCTTTTTGGCGGCATTCACAATGGCAACGGTCTGAATCGATATGGGATTTCCGAATCCTTCTCCCTTTCCATAGACAACACATGGTACAAAGATATAGCTTTTCACACCGTACTGTTCGGCTACTTCGATCACAGTATTGTTTGCCTCAAGAGCCTGATTTTTCAACCGCAATATGTCAGGTCGAAAATGAATTTCTCTTTTGATATGGATATCTAGTAGATTGGATGTGGGAACAAACCTTAGTCACCGGTACGTAGTGTGCCTGTGACGTCTTTTGCAAATGATATAGGCTTGGATCATTATCCGGAAGCGGTCGATCTGTAGGATGACCAGCATGATTGCTAAATATCTTTGCACCTGAAGTATGAAGAAAGTGGACTTTTTGGCCAGTTTGCTTCCTCATTTCGCCCAAAGCCTTGATCATTGACACTTGGGACTCAGAGGTCATTGCGTCAATTAGAAAAAGGACGATGGTGATCTTTTTGTCAATGATCGCATCCATGATGCTAGTCTCATCTTTCACGTCAAAAGTTATCGGCTCGGCACCGTATTGCTTGACAGCTTCGCCTTGCTCATTGGTGCGGACCAGGGCGTACAGCTTATGATAAGCAGGAAGCTTGGCACGGCTCCAGCGGGCGAGCAAGGTTCCCCCTAAATACCCGGAGGCGCCGGTGACGAGAATGTTGTGTGACATGAGGAATGAGTTACAGGTCGAGTTTATTTGGATGTTAGATAGGAAAAGATCTTAATCGGAATTTATCTCTGTCGAAGAAGAGCTTACTCTAGCAAGGGGCCGATTGAGGATTGTTCAACTTGTCAAATCAAGGATGGTTTGTAATCAGCCCAGCGGCCCGAGAACATCCCGGGGACTAATAATAATAAGTTGACATGCAAAGCTCGTGCATAGCGTTGGCCCACCGAAGTCTCGGATTTGTATATAACCCCGAAGTAAAATCCGAAAGCTTTTCTTGATGTTTATTGTACATTCGGATCATCATCATGGAAAATCACTGTCCCCCAGTTTGGACGGTTGAATCGCTTCCCTCCCAAGATGTCAGCCAGCTCATCAATTTGCGCTGTTTCTAGATCATCCATTACGAAGCTTTGATGGAGATTTGTGGTAATTCGAGCCGGATTGATGCTTTTTGGAATAACGCTCCAACCTTTCTTCACACCCCAGCTCAGTAAAACATTTCCCGAGCTACATTCTCTTTTCTGCGCAATCGCATTCACGACCGAATTCTCATGTAGTGTACTGCCGCTACCACCCAACGGGCCAAATGCTGTTTGGTGAACCCTGTGCTGGACGCAAAGGGCATTGAGGCTCTTTTGGGGTAGCAAAGGCTGGATTTCAGTTTGGTTGACAGCAGGGATCACCTTACAGTTCTTGAGAAGCCGGCTTAGGTTAACGGTCGAGAAATTGGCTACTCCAATTGCCCGAACTTTTCCTGTTTCAAGAAGTTTTTCCATCTCGCGCCAGGTATCCACAAAGTCCCATTTGGGGTCATGAACAGTTCGATCTTCCTTCCCATAGACCTCTGGGGTTGAGGTTGGCAGTGTGATGGGCCAATGCATGAGATAAAGGTCAACATATTCCAGACAAAGATCATCCAATGATTTCTGAAGGGCTGATTCAATGCGGCGATGATCAGAAGACCAGCTAATTTAGCAGTTAATGAGAAATACCTCTCGACTTAGGTGAGCGAAATGTCCATTGGCACGTACAGCTTCGTAGTTACGAAATATTCATTTCGCGGGATTTGAGTGGCTTTAAACACTTGCCCTATTTCGTTCTCATTTCCATCTACATATAGTCAGTGGCTTATATGTATTTGATTCGATTCTCAAATGATGTTCTAACACAGAGGTGCGCAGTCCTATGTAATAAGGTTTGTTTGTTAGCGTTTAAGTCGGCTATTTTTGTTGTATATTAGCTTACAAAATGTCTATATCCAGCCTCAAACGCTGCTTTCACAGCACTCGCCGCATCTCCTGGCCCTGCCTTCCAGGTTCCAAATCCAATGGCAGGGATTTTGGCCCCGGTATTGAGTGTGAAAGACTTGTTTTGAATGTTTTCCTCCATTTGAGATCGAGGCAGAGAGTTAGATACTATATCAATATCGAGGTACTATCCGCCTTTTTAAAGCTCCTAGATCGACGCTATGAATTGAATGTTTTATAAGCCTACCATAACTCAGACTGGACCGGAGAGAAGACCGAGATTCTCAGCGGTCCCCTCAAGTCTCACTTGATAGATGGAGTCGGACTTGCACCGGAATCCTGGTGCTGGCTTTGTTCCCTGAAATTTGACAGAAAGAAAAAAATGTTATCAATTGTGGGCAACTCTACTTCTCGGCCTCGTGATGGAATTCCGTCGCTTCACGCAGACTCAATGTGCTCTGCATGATTCTTTCCATCGTCCTCTTGCTTCTTGAAATTCCGAGCAATGATATCCTCCATGACATCGGAGCGAATTTTTTCATCTTCTGTGGGATACGCATGTCTCCACATCAAGTATAACGGTCTTTCAAACAGATTATCCATACTTTCAATAGATCGGCCCTTCATTTCCGGCAAACAGAAGTAAATGAAGGCAACGCCCAAGTAGGTCAGCATGGAATATAGAAGGAATACACCCCAGCCCATCTCAGTTATCATGTTCGGTGTCGCTCGTGTGATTCCGTAGTCAACAATCCAGTTGATGAAAAAGCAGATTGACATGCAAAATGATCGCTAGATAGGTTCAGTTATTTTTCTTTGACAGAGCACTAACATGACCAAACTCACAATTCGTGTAGGAAATATCTCTGCTGCCACAACATAACAGGCTACTGAGTGACCAAACGACCAGCCGAAAGCGTAGAGATAGATCCAAACAATACCCACAATACCCCCTGCAGGGGTTCCTCCCACTGTTTCCGTGTTTGTACCTGCAAATCGTAGGTAAAGAGCTAAGTATAACATAGCAGTAGCCTGGATCATAGCTCCAACAATTAAAGGGAGGCGGCGTCCAATACGGTCGACCAGGTATCCCACATAGAAGATGGTTGTCACAGTCTTCACCACGCCATATATACCAGTAGTGAGCAGGCTGGATGAGCTTCCTTTGACACCTATTAAGGCGAAAATCTCAGGAGCGTAATACTGAGGTTCTTATCAGCAATTTCTCATATGGATGATATTTTCGCAATGATGGAAACCCACATTCAGAGAGTCAGTGCCAGTGAATTTGTGAAACAAAAAGAGCATTATCGATAGAAAAAATCGTTGAAAGTTGTTTTTGGACGTGAATATGTCCTTCAACACGACCCAATAACTATGGCCCGCAAAACATTCCTGCTCATGTCTCACTTGGGCCTCAATCTCACGATACTCAGTTTGAATATATTCATGATCAGCGGGAAGCTTCCGTAATTTGCACATATTCTCCAATCCCTCCTCTGATCTACCATGGTTAATCAGCCACCGAGGGGTCTCAGGCACAAATGGGATCATTAAACACAACAGTACGCCGGGAATAAGCTGAATGCCCATGGCAGTTCTCCATTGGCCGTTGTCATGCTCCACGCCCGAGAAGTACCATTTGGAAACTCCATAGTTTACCCAGAATGCCAACATGAGCGAGGTGACAATCATTAAGTTGTAAGTCGCGGTCATTGATCCTCGAACTGATTTGGGAGAATTCTCTGCCAGAAATTGGGGCGTGAGCATCGAAGAGGCGCCGACGCCCATGCCTGCGACGAAACGGCCTGCCAACAGAACATCGTAATTCGCAATCATCTGCAGCGCAGCACCTATAACGAAAACCACACCCCAACAAAAAACTGACAATCTTCTGCCTAAATAATCGGAAGTTGGCGCTGCGAGTAGAGCGCCTGCTGATCCTCCAGCTGCGAGCATTGATGCGATTGTCCCCTAGTTACATGTCAGTAGTATGTTCAGGAATTGTCAATTTGAGACTGCGTCTTTTCTACCTTGCGGCTATCTAGGTCCGATTGAGGTATGCCGTTTAGTCCGAATGCATTTTCGAAGGAGGGAAGTGTGAGAATTCCCCCGATGTTTCCTGTATCAAATCCATAAAACGAGCCACCCCAAGACACTGCGACAAGGAGATAAAGAAGGCGGAGATTGTATATTGCCTTAGGGCAATTCTTTGAATCACTGCTAATCCAGATACTTGTTCCTGCGGCCATGCTGCTCCAGTGGAGTATATTTTCAGGTCTTCTTCGTGGATGGTTGAGGCCGATACTTGAAAACGGACACCATGAATTCTCACCTAAAAAAGGTGAATGCTCGGAACACTATATAAATAGTAGCGCTTCAGGAAGTCGAAGAACCTCTACGCATCGAGTCATAATATCAAAATAATGCCGAGACCTTCATCTGCCAGCCCCATGGGGAAGTGGGGTAGTGGAGCAGCATGTAGTCTTGATGTCGGCTTACCGGCCGGTGGTTAGTGACGCTGTCTCTGTGTCGGTGACCAACCCGATAACTCTAACCGTATGTATGTCTGGCGAAAATGAAATAAGAGAATATTTTTGATTATATTGTATTACCTTTCCTAAGAATAGTCATCGGTATTTTGAAGCTATTCTCTCTAGGGCCAGGTCTCCTATCCGCAAACCTCTGGGCCCAGCCATCATGGCCACAACAACCCTCGAAGTCCCTGATTTTTATCCGACCGTCCAGTCTTCTTCCAAGGGAAACTTTAGGTCCTTCGAGGCCCATATTCCAGCTCTGACTGCACAGTGCCATGCATCAAATCTCTTGCTTCTCCCAAATGGTGATCTTCTCTGTGCTTGGTTCGGAGGTAGCATTGAAGGGCGACCCGATATTTGCATTTATATGTCTTCTTTGCTCGCTGGAACTAAAACCTGGAGCGATCCGATAAAGATGACGCATGATCCGACTCGCAGTGAGCAAAATCCTGTGCTCTTCCGAGTTCCCTCAACTGGAGAAATCCGGCTACTATACACCTCCCAAGACGCAGGAAACCAGGATTCCGCGGTGGTGAAGCAGAAGCGCTCAATTGATAATGGCGTGACTTGGTCTAATCCAACCGTTCTGTTCAAGGAGCCAGGAACATTCATTCGGCAGCCAATAGTTGTGCTCGATGATGGCACCTGGGTGGTTCCGATCTTCAAATGTCGCGCCGAGCCCGGTGAGAAGTGGCTAGGAAGCGATGACATTTCCTGTATATGCATATCTAAGAATGAGGGAAAGACTTGGGTTGAAAAAGAGATCCCCAACAGCTTTGGTTGTGTTCATCTGAATATAAGACGCCTAAAGAGTGGTTCTTATCTAGGGCTTTACCGGAGCCGTTGGGCAGACAAGATTTACCTATCAACATCCCCCGATGGTATTATCTGGAGTGAACCCAGCCCAACAATTCTACCAAATCCGAATGCGGGAATATGCTTTGATATTCTACCCTCCGGGCGTATTGTTCTCGTCTTTAATAACTCCTCAAAGAAAGATGCGATCGGTCGGCGTGATGGTCTGTATGATGATATCAGTGATGGTACAGACACGAGAACCAACCAAGCCAGCAAGCACGGAAAAGAAGCCTTTTGGGGTGCACCAAGAGCACCTTTATCTGTCGCCTGGAGTGACAATGACAGTGCTTCATGGAAGTGGAGGACATTGGAGGAAGGTGATGGGTACTGTTTAACGAACAATAGCGAGAGAAAGTTGAATCGTGAATTATCCTACCCTAGCATTGTCATTGGAAACGATGGGACGATTCACATTGCCTTCACTTTTTGGAGACAACGGATCAAGTATGTCCAATTACAGGAAGACTTTTTTAAATGAAGAATAACAAATCAAATCAAAATTAAGTTCGTCGCCAGCCTACTTTCCTTTTAAAAGACACACCAAGATCCATGCCATAGTCCTCAGACTGATGCTTTTAAAGTAAGAAGTGGAAACTTACTTGCGAATTTCTTTTCTGCATTTTCAACGACTCCTGGCTCCATCTCACAGGCTGATAAATGATATACGTATATTGGCTTGCTATTCTGGAAACTTTATGTAACATAGCCTGAGATTTAGGAATGAATCTCACGTTAATTATTTTTTAGATCCACCGAACGTCCGATATATTGATTTCAATTTATAATTAGAAGCCATATACAGGCTCTATGATTGGTTTTGTTCTACTGCAGAGATTCGAAAATTCTATATCGCATCAGGCAGACTCTGCTCCAACTCCACCAAATGCTGCATAACACCTTCAACCCAGCTAACCTTTTCTGCACCGCAAGGTAAATAGGGTTTTCGTGGCCAAAAGGCTTCTGCTTCACTAACCCCAGCAGCTGGCCCGGCAAAATGAGCAGCAGCATATTTCGTTGGTGCAATTCCTTCCTTGCATGCTTTCTCAGCTTGAGCAACCAGCCCTTGTAGATTCTTTGCCTCTTTAATTTTTCCATCGTTCCATAACTTGAACAGCTTGGCAACACATTTGGGAAACACATTAGCTATCCCAGTCACGCATCCTGAGCCTCCACCAGCAAGGCAAGGAATCAGCCAGTCTGAGGAGCCTGCATAAACTCCGAATTGGTCATGAGCATATTCCTGTGTCAGTCGTGTAACCTTCCCCGCATTTCCACACGTTAACTTAACTCCCACGATGCCATGGTGTTTTGCGAGCTCGGAGATGATATCAGAATTCATGTCGATACCGTTGCACATCGCCGGGAACTAAGAATGGGAATAACAATGATGAGTCTCGTTTCAGAATGAGGAACCGCAAACCTTACACTGTAGATAATGATTGGCAACGAAGTGGAGTCAGCGACATCGCGATAGAAGCTGAGAAGGACCTCTTTCGTTACGGCTTTAGCCCAGTAGTTCGGGGGCAACAATAGGCCAAAATCAGCCCCTGCATCGAGGGCGTCCTGTGCTAGTCGAATAGACTCATTTGTTGATTGTCCGCTGATCCCGGCAACTACAGGGAACTGCGGGCGACCAATGTCAATAGCAGCCTTTCTTGCAACTTGAACGAGATTCTTTCTCTCCTGGGGAGATAGGAGGACAGCCTCAGCGGTGGTTCCTGCGAGCACCAATCCATCAATTCCTCCTCGAATTAAATGTGTAAAAAATTTATAGGATGCATCAAGGTCGATTTCTTGACGCGGAGTGGGTTTATACAACGAAATCACCGGGCAATAGACCCCAGGCGGGATGATTTTCGATTTTGTTGCAACTGTGGACGACATGATGCTATTCAAAGCTACTCCAAAATCATTTAGCAAGGTCAATCTTGATCCCATCGTGCCTGCTTGGCCTTTTACATCCGTTCCAGTGAACAGACGAGCTGGGGGCCTTGCAAATCTCGGCCAGTCTCCGTGATTCGTGCCTCAGCGGGCGATATCCGTCCCGGAGACTTTTCCATCAAATGCGGGGGAGCTTGGGCGGCCCCAATAAACCTTGTGGATGAAGTGGGGAAGCTTCACTCGAGGAGCCGATCGATTCCTCTCTTGCTTTCTGGATTTTCCATAGTCATGCTCTAGGAACTGGCCTTTAACAAATGAGGCGCTTGGGTTTCGTCTGGCCATGCGCCATCTTTCCCCTCTTTTGAGTAGATAAAGCCCTCGGGGTGCTCCCCGGTCGGCCTATTTTGAGGACCACTTTCTACTACCTTAATAAACCTGAAATTATGACCAAACTAAAGCGGGCCAGGACCGATGTTGATTCGGAGCCACTGCCGGAGCAAAGCTTAGACGCAGCCAACGATCTCTCCAATGGGAGGGATCCAGCCGTGCTCGATATTTTGCCGGGGATTACCCGTAAAATCACTGCGTGTGGAGCATGTAGGAAGCAGAAGGTCTGTAATAAGAATTACTTTCGTCTTATTGGGCCATTTTAACGATCCAAGATCAAATGTGATATGAGCCATGGCCCACCATGTACTCGATGTAGCCGTCGTGGCCTGTCTTGTGTATTGAACAAAAGCCTACAATCCTTGGTAGAGGAAGTCAAGTAAGCACAACCCAAGGTATGAGCATTTCTCGAAAGCGGCTCTTAAACTGACAGGCTCGAGTCTTCAAAGAAACACTGAGCTCCTCCAACATGATGTTCGTGATATTCATGCACTTCTCGACACCGTCTGTCAGCATCTAAGTTTGCCTCGACCTCAAGCCCTCCGAACAGGGGGTGAATCGTCTGAGAACGAGCCTAGAGAAGACCTTGACGATTTGAATGGGGACCAAGCGGACCTTGAAGGATGTGAAATATCGCCGCCTGATACCCCATCCGCGGTCCAGGCCCCTATTGACACGTTCCTCGATATCGCTAAGCTGGGCAGCCCTGGATCGTCCGACAATACTCCACCAAGTATGACACGGCAGAAGAGCCTTATTGTACCCCAAGATCTCATCAGTAAAGGCGTCACCACCTCAATTGTGGCAGAGACTCTTGTGGAGCGATATTCCACTCGTTTAGACCCGTACCTCTATGGAATCTGTAGAGAATATCGCAGTTGGCAACAAATCAGAAAAGCTTCACCTGTTTTGTTTGCGGCTGTCTGTACAGTTTCTGCATTACAAGACCCGCAAGGCCAAGCAATATACGAGGCATGTAATCGTGAATTTAGGCGCCTTGTATCACGGTCGCTATTCGAAAAACACGATCTGGAATATGTGCGAGCCCTCAGTATCAGTTCCTTTTGGCTCTCGGACGCGTCGAGGATTTTATCTAGCGATGCTATTCGCCGATCTGCGGATATGCGTCTGCATCGCAGTTTAAATCATTTGTCCAATATAATAACTGACCCACAACTGATGCCGCCAGCGACAACTGCCAGCTCGAGCACGAGTGAACTTGGTGCCATAAAAGATCGCCTGCGACTATGGTATCTCATCTTCATTTCCGACCAGCACCAATCCATTCTTCACAATCGCGATCCTCTCTTGCGCAGTGATAAAGAGATTTCCTTGAGCTGGGAGACCTTAGTTGCCCGTGACGACACCACCGACTCCGATATCCGAATCATTTCGCAGGTCGCCCTCCTTGTCATAATGAGTCAAGTTCGGGATCTATTAGGCTCTGACCAAGAGACACGTATACCACAATCTTCATCAAGCCAGATAACTCATTACTCTCGGCAGCTCGACCGGTGGTTCAATAAATTTTCTGTTCTATTCAAACCGGACCCTTTTATTGGTGATTTTCCTAAATGTGGCCTCCAGCTACATTATCATTTTGGTAAGCTTTACTTGGGACATCAAGTTTTCAAAGGTCTCAATGGCGAAGCTATCCCGCTTTATTTCCAAAATGCAGCAAACATGGCCCACGAAGCAGCCATCGCTATCTTCGAAATGATCTTACATCAAGAGAATCTTAGACACAACTTAGTGGGAATGCCCCACTACTTCCATATTATGATTGCCTTCGCGGGTCACTTTTTACTCGAAGTCAGTAAAAACTACCATGCACAGCTTTCAATCGAGCCAGTTCAAGACTTCGAATTGATACGAAGAGTATTGGAGGTGTTTCAAGATATTCCAACTATTCAGCAACATCCAATATGCCGCATGACACCGGGTTTAACGCGAAAACTTCATGAGTGTATCGGCTCCTTGCAGAGAGATGGGGAACAGATAATCCCCTCCCTCGCAACAACATCAACAGACCTGATTGGATACCACATACATGGTGTGCAACGTCAAATGCATCAGCCACCCAGTTCCTTATCCTTTCCCGGCGACTCACTTGTGACTCCTGTAGATGACTTTCTATTGACCGATTTCGGAGAGTTTACGTTTCCGGGCATGTCGTCTAACTGACTGTATAAAGCCGGTATTTAAAATCCATGATTTCATGTATACCCACAGGTTTAGCAACATCATGTAGCGGGGAAATAGCGGTCTGCAGGATGACTGGGATTGATGTGTGATTGATATATAAGACTACTCCGCTCACAGAGAGCAAACAATCAGACACGTCCTATTGGAATTTCTTTTTCTCCCCTCTAGCACCCCGACTACCCCCTAGCGGCCAGACCTGGTTCACAGGCAGGTGTAGCGATTGGGCAGTGAAAGGCACGGAGAGATTGCCGAGCCTATCGGCGGCACGAAGCCGACGACGATCTACTTATGGGTACCCAGGCAGTTGAAGAAGACGTGGAACCAGACACGTTTTTGATCCATTTTCAAATCCGAACAAAATGATCTCTCAATTTTCAGTTTGTTTGCCCGCCACAAAAAATTATCAACACCCGCAAACACTGCCAAAAATGCAATACCAGCGACTTGGTAACAGTGGTTTGAAAACTTCAAGAATAATTCTCGGCTGTATGACTTATGGAAATCCCAACTGGGAAGGCTCTCCATGGGTTCTCGATGAGGCGCAGTCACTGCCGCTTTTGAAAAGGGCCTACGATTTGGGCATCAATACGTTTGATACCGCAAACACATACTCGAACGGAATTTCTGAAGGACTCCTCGGCAAAATGATCAAAAAATATTCCATCCCGCGGAGCAAGGTAGTCATAATGACAAAAGTCTACTATCCCGTGCTGGAAGAAACCCCAAATTTGCGATCAAGCCCCGCACTAAATGACGGGCCTTTAGTAAATCAGATGGGGTTAAGTCGGAAGCATGTCTTCGACGCCGTTGAAGGGTCACTACGGCGGTTGAATACAGATCACATCGACGTTCTTCAAATTCATCGGCTGGATTCAGAAACCTCCCCCGAAGAGATTATGAGAGCACTGCACGATCTAGTTCAAATGGGGAAAGTCCGCTATCTAGGGGCCTCGAGTATGCACTGCTGGGAATTCGCAAGGTTGCAATATATCGCCAAAATGCACGGATGGACGCCATTCGTCAGCATGCAAGGCCTATACAATCTGCTTTATCGTGAAGAGGAACGCGAGATGAATCCATTTTGTCGCAGCGAGGGCGTAGGGTTGATTGCCTGGAGCCCCCTAGCGCGAGGCATATTGGCTCGTCCGTGGCAAGAGAAAACAACTCGCGCAGATCAAGATCAGAAGACAAAGAAATGGTTTGTTGGTGATCAAAACGAGATTATTGTGAATCGGGTCGAGGAAGTGGCTCACAGAAAGAACTGCAGCATGAGCTCTGTTGCGATGGCCTGGTTGTTGGAGAAAGGATGCTGTCCGATCGTTGGACTTAACAGCATCCAGAGAATTGAAAATTCTCTTGAGACTCTTGCTATTCATCTCACGAATGAGGATTTGAGATATCTAGAAGACCCATATCTCCCATTAGCTGTTCAGGCGATTTAATTTCGTTTATGATTCGATACACGGGATCGCCGGATGGAAGCGACTTATCATTGGTAGCTGCGTAATTTGTTTGTGCCAGCCTTGCGAGAGTAAGCAAAGAAGGATTCCTTCAGGGTCTCCCCCGGCCCCCGAATTGAAACACTATAAGTACTGATCAGGATCGGATGGGAGGCTTGCCTGCTAAATTCAGGATCTCTTTCAACTCCTCATCTTCAATCCGCACCCTTTCAACTACCACTGCCTTCCCTTGAAATTATCAATTATTCCACCATCCAACATGAAACCTCAAACCGGGTTTAGTCTACACGTCACCATCTATATCAAACCTTCTGATGTTCCTACATTCTTCGAACATTTTAAGCCAGTCTACGAAAAAGTGGTCGCCGAGCCGGAGTGCCGCTTCTTCGAAGTATATCAGTCTTTGGAGGACCCAGGAACATTACGCTGGGTTGAAAATTGGTATTGTTCCAGGGCCAGGCTCGCTCAAAGTATATGTTCTTCGGCACTAACAATAATCCAGGGGTGCGAGTTTCGAATGGTTCATGGGGGTTCGTCATAATACTTCACAGTTGATCTTCGTGGACTGACTTTGAATTCAGAACCAGGCACCAAAAGAATATTACAAGGAATACCTTACAAAGACACAGGCAATGTTCATCCAGCCACGGGAGATGAAGGTGTTTGATAGGCTTGGACCTCCATATTACACAGCCAAGGACCCCTATACAAATTGAGAGATCCATTGCAATGTCTGCGGGGTACAGCCAGCTATTCGAGAATTTCTACTCCGGACATGGAACAAGAAGGAATGAATGAATTACGTGATCCCGTGCGCTACGGGCCTACCCCTTTGATTAGACTATCTTAGCTGAGCTATCTGCAAGACCCCATAACAAATACAATGCGATGCAACTTTAAGACTGCTTCCAGCGTCCAAAGCTACCTTCACCTAGCACGAAGCGGGATAAAACAGCGAGGATTCAGCTCCTGCAAGCATGGGGGAAAGATGCAGAGAATGGGTGGGCTCGGAGATTTTGAGCATAAAAAGCAGACGCTAATCTAATGGGCAAGCCTGGAATAGAAAAGTAAGTGGAACAAACCAACCTTGAGCTCCATGAGCGCAGTGGAAAGTTCTGTGAGAGGTGAATAGGTCAGATGATCGGGTTCCTGGGTTAAAAGTCTGCCAGGCCACGACTCAATATCTTGTGAGTCGCTCTCGTATGAAATTTCTGGTGACATTGTCTTGTTCTTGATTATTGGGGTCCAGCCCCGACGGGATGGGTTGACTTATACACGTGATGGCAGGCCTGCACTCAAGCTGGTGTCGCTGTGCTGGAAATAGTGCTCGGAGTGACTTGGCGTTTAACAGCACCTTGTGACGAATCCTGTGGGGTGATAAAATGGCATTAGTGATTCCCTATTGCCGATAACCTTCAGGTATCTGGGTTTTCGCGGAGCGTGGGAGGGCGAGTTCGAGTATCGAGTTCATTGCTGAGTCAGGTTCAATCTCATTCTCTTATTTTCACTTACGTCCAGCTCGGCAATCCTTCGCTTTTGACCAGCCGAGTCGGTCTTCTTGATGATTTTCTTCTTCGGTCGGGTAGGTCGGCTTTCACCAGGCTGGAATACATCTTCGGGCAAGTCAAAGCTAAAGACCGTCAAGATCATGTTTCTAAATGAAGAAAAATAAAAGAGCTGCATCAGTGACTTACTTGCGAACATGGGTGACTGCCAAGTCATGGACCTCTGGTTGGTAACCAGGCCACGCTGTGCAACTCCCTTTGAAGTGGTGTGAATCGAGAGAAATATCCAGAGACCGCGATGCACCTAAAAATTACTTAGAAGGGAGATAAAGAAGCTCGGTCTTTGACATACCTGGCTCTAGCGGCTTCAACTCAAGGCCAATGTAGTACGTAGTTGTGTACATTTTACGGCTCTCGCCTTCGTCCTTTGATTCGTCTTCGGCCTTCTGCTCGGTGGGCTCTGGAATCTCGGCATTTTCCATGCCGTTCTGCGCCGCCGCTTCGTGTGCAGCATCTTTGATTTCATCAGTTGTCTCAGTGGTTGTACCCTTTTCTTGATACTGCGTTGACCCATTTTTCACCACTTCCATCTCCTGTGCATTTGCAACAACGTGGGACCTTTCGAATCCCTTGGGGAAAGGATGAGCCACCGCTATGATTGGCTTACGGTCAAGGGCGCCAACAAGGTGGCGTATCTTGGATTCGACAAGGCCAGACCAGACTGCTTCGGCTTCCTTGGTCTTGCTCGAGGCCGTAATACTAAGATAGTATTTGTAGTCATGTGTGAAGAACGTATGGCGGGTAAAAAGATCATTCCAAGAAAGTTGTTTCCCGAAGATCTTATCGACAATATCTCCTCCGCGTTGCAATTCCCGGAGAAGAACGGTTTGGGTTGACATCGAAATATTGTGGGTTGCACACATAGAAGGATACGCAGGTGTGATGATGGGCATTAAATGAGAACGGTCACTTGGATAGATCTAGTCAACGTCAATTAGCAACATGTAACAGGCCAAAATGTGAGGATGTAGAAAGCGAAGCTGAAAGTCGTACCTTAGGATTCCAGACTTTCATTTGAAGAGGCCCATCTTCAATATGCTTTAACAGTACAGGTTGTGGCCATGCCCATTTATTCATGATTCTGAAGAATTTGCCCACAACAACAGAGCCAGTGGCTTGTGGGTATAACTGACATACTCGAGCCACCAACATCGCCCACGCAACACCCCCGGGAAAGCCGACAATGTTGGCATAGATGGCACGACCTAATATCAAGCAGCAGTCAGTCAATAATTCATGAGATAATGAATATGTCAGTTTTGTTCTTCGTCCACTCACGTTGGGCCCAAAGCTTGATTGCACGTAATGCAAGGCGGAAGGTCTTTTGCTGAGGAACAAGTTCTAGAATCTCATCTGTGACTCGAGTTCCGTTCAGCGACCGGACCTCCTTCTCATCCAACCCGCGCAAATAATCATTGTTCTTCAGGTCAAGATTCATCGGAACGGAGGGAACAATCAGGCGAGCATAGAGCAGGTCGATACTAATTCCAGCCATCTCCAGCTTGATAATGGGCACAAACGCATCCGGAACGGGTGTCATCTTTTCAATTACGCCTTCCGGAGACATCTTTTGAAGTATTTCAGGGAAATCGGAAAAGAAATCTTCGACCGAGACATGTTTCGGGCCAACGATGAGAGTATCGATATCAGATCCTGTTATGCCATCGAGGTTATTCATAGAGCTCCTTGAAAACCGCTGCGAGCACTCCTTCGCACCCAACATACCTGGACCGTAGACACCCAATTTGTAGCTACCGAAGGTGAAAACCTTACCTCCACCTGCCTCAACAGCAGCAGGAGACAAGCCTTTCTTACGACCGACAATCTTAACGAATTCCAGCGCAACGCGTTGAAGTAGCCCAATCATCTGTTGTCTATTTGTGTCCCTCATCAGCTTCTCTCTTCTTCCACATGCTGTCTTACCATTCTTAATTCTTAATAAACATACCTCCGCTCTGTCTCTGCGGGCGACTCAAAGTTGTTCTGCGCCTTGAGCTCAGCAATGAGATCATCGTTTGCTTGCTTTTCTGCCGGAAGTGGAAGAACTGTTGAGATAGGAGGAGTCACACCCCACTGCCGGGCGGGTGGAGCTGTCATTTTGTCTGCAACAGAGAAAAAAAAAATTGGCTGTTGTAATCGGGGCACAGGCGTGACGTGGTGTCGCGTTTCCAGGAGCGATAGGATTAGATAACGGAAGGAGAACGTGAAGTCAATGTCACGGTCGTGTGGTGATGTTCAGACGCCGGAGGGACGAAGGATAGATGCGGGAAGAGAATTTGAGAGGAAGAAATAACAAAGGAAAACTCGGAGAAGTGAGAAAGATAGAAATGAGTGGCAGGGAGCAACAGTAGTCGGAAGTGAGGGCGCAAAAGATCCATCACCGGCGCTTCCATGATGGGTCCAAGGGTGCTTACTCATGGTGGCACGTGATCCTATGGTTTGGCCGGCCTTTCACGCTGTCAAGGACATAGTTTATTTGACCTTGGACCTAAGGCTATTCTAGAATTTTGGAATATGATCCATGGGAAAGGCTGCTGATTACTGCTTTCAGAAACTGTATTTGTATCCATACTGGCTTTGATAACAGAACAAATTCAATCATTCCAGGCAACGAAGCCCCGACTGAAACTTCGCCTTGTTACTCAGAGCGTCTCTCGAAGCTTCTCGCCCAGCGAAGAGACAACATCAGGCTTATTCTCTTCAAAGAATGCCGATAGCTGCTTGTCCAACCATGCGACATCCTCTTTACTATCACCAGGTCCTCCAGCCCAATCTACATCATGAGTTAGCTTCGCATACTCAAGCTTATGTACCCCTTGGCTAAACAGAATAAAGAATATACTTACGTCCCCAAATGGAAGGGAAGATAGCGAGCTTCCCAATACCCGGCTTCATACAAGCGACTTCGTATTCTGAGTCTTCGGGACTGATCAAAGATGAATGTTAGCTTCTTCTTTTCGGCTTCCTGACTTCCTCCAGGGAAGCTTGATCCGATCTTACGGGAAATAGAGATCGGTCTTGGCAGGCAGGACAAGGGTTTTGGCTTTGATAGAGGCCATTGTCTTCTCAAAGTCCCCATTATAAGGCTCCTGTAGGGATACATCGCCATTCTGCCAAGTTTGCATCATCACCAGCAAGTTTTCGGGATCTATACCGAGCTGTCAGCGTATCTCGAACACAAGCCCACCTAACCACAGAAGCCGGTCTGCCCTACCCTTTGAGCAAGCCCACTTCTCCCAGAAATTCTGCATGAAATCCTCGAGATCCCTGTAACCAAGCACAGTTTCATACAACTTCTCGCGATAAAAAGCCTGGCTGAATCCCCTGCGGCAGTTTGTTAGTATGCGATTTAGCAGTCGTCCAACAATAAAGCCCGCCTACCATCCAGCATAGACTCGACCCATGGCTTTCAGCCCGACTTCTCTGTCTCGGTCAGACCAGATCCGAACCGTGGAGAAGCCTTCCTCGCGTACCCCTCCCTCTCCAGATCCGGCCGATCGAGTATTTTTGACCGCGAGCAGCGCGCACTTAACGCCCTCGATGAACACCTTGTTGTGCAAGGAGGTTTTCGCAGACCCACAGAACGGAATGGCAAGGTCCATGAAATCGGGGTACTGTGTTGCCCATTGGAAGGTCTGACCCCCGCCCATAGACCAACCAATAACCGCTCGGAGATGGGTGATGCCGAAGTGCTTGGTCACAAGCTCATGCTGAGCACGCACATTATCATAGAATGAAACTCTGGGGAAAGGTCTGCGGAAGGGCTGGTTCGAGGGAGATGATGACTGTCCGTTTCCAAAGAGCGCCGGAATGATGATGAAGAACTCTTTCGGGTTCAACGTTTTGTCTTCCCCGATTAGCCAGAAGTTATCAGAAATAGCTGTTCAGATGGAACTGTGTTAATAAACATTGAAGCAGCGAATAGAAGAACAAATCGCATTCCCAGACACGTACCACCTGAGAACCATGATGGATAAACGATTGCTGGGGACTTGGGGTCGCCGAAGGTCTTGTATGCGACGTGAGCATCGATAATCTTCTCCCCGCTCTGAAGCTCCCAGTCCCCAAGCTTAAAGATTTCGTACTCGTCTTGCGACATAATGATAATGAATTTTGGGATAAAGTACCCTCGAGTATGAGCAGTGCATTCAGAAACTTGGGTAGACCGAGAGTCTGGCTCTTTATATCACTGGGTAGTGGGATAGCTCTAGGTGGGATAGCTCTTGGTGGTGGGATACAGTGATGGGATAACGACCCCGCTCACGGCATGTACGTAAGAAGCCTTCGGAAGCCGCACAATGGGATTCGGTGTAACCATTCATGTCTGTCTAAAGGCTTATCGTAAAATGCCGATCAGACCTGCTAGGCTAATCTTGAGTTTCGTTCAAGACATTAACTCCAGAGATCTATAAATATTGTCGAGAAGGAAGACTGCATAATACGGGCGAGACCCACATATCTCCATGCGCGTCAGGATATTACAGGGATACTCGATTTGCTACGTGTTTTGTATGGTATCCCGGGTATACTCGGAACCCAGCGCCGTAACACGCTAGACAGCAAGGTAGGGGATATTCAACATTCCCCCGCCCATACACTTAGATAGTTCAGTCACCTAATATATCACTATATTGAGCATCTCGTTCCATTGGATCCTAGCTTTCCTAGCCGATACCGTATCCTACTATATTGACAGTTATGAGCCCGATCCGCACGCGCCAGGATTGAATAGAGATAATCCCCACGCACCTGTATAGCGCTTATCAACACAGCAGAGTGGTTGGAACCCCTGAATCGTTGGCATCCGAGTATTGCTAGCGACGTTGTACACCTTCTAGCTACGCCTAGTGTTATAGTTCGAATCTCGACGGAGAGACTACATATTCCCGATTAGGAAACAGAGGCTGTTTAGAAAGGCTTCGGATATAGAAGATTTAAAGGTGATAGACTCGGTCTTACCGCTCGAAGAGAAGCTTCGGTCGGAAACGTAGTAGAGGGTCTAGATAGACTATATTCGGTCAGCAGCTGTTGCCGAAGATATCTAGGATTACCTAAATCCGGATATATTAGATAAGGATATTAAGACCTTGCCGCCGGCGTTAGAGGAACCTAATCCTCTAGGAGAATTCTCGTTACTATCCGACGTATAGATCCGTAAATAGAATACAGAGATCTCGTATATAGAGCGATAAGAAACGCGAAGGTAACGCTTAAAGAAGGTATTAGCTAGAGTGGATACACTAATCTAGAAGTTAATAGCAATAGAAGTACGCTATTTAGTAGTAGGAATAGATAGACCTAGACTTAGGCTCTAGAAGCTCGCCGCTATCTTCCGTCCGGACACGTCTGATAGACGCTAGGAGCTCCGACGGGTATAGAGATTGATACTCTACTAATTACTAAAAGATATAGTATAGGATTATGTCCTTAGCAAGTAGGAAGCGCTATTTAGAGAGTGTAAAGCCGCTAAAGTACCGGACTATATCGATAATCAAGATGCTATTCGAGACTTCTTAGATACGCTACCGTTATCGGACGATACGTTTATTATATAGCACTTAAGGGACCTTAAAGAGAACAAAGAATTACTTACGTTCTATACGGTTATAGCTGCATATCGTACTCGACGACGTACGATCGTATAAGTAAGCACTAGAAAGGGAGGTTTAAAGGTATTATTTGTAATATTGAATAATTAGGAAGAAGCCTTACCGACGACGACAACGTCTATATAGAATCGGAATAAGAAGGGACCGGCTAAATACGTATACGGGAAGGTTCACTAGTATAGTGAATACCCCTTTGTTAACCCTACTATAAGAACTATAGCTTTTTAGCCGAAAAAAGAGGAAGTTGATAAGGTCGAAGCGGAGATACTAAAGCTTAATAACCGTAAGCGAGTAAGGATAGAACAGCTAAGGTCGGAGGCATAAGAGACTCCTTAGCTATCTATACTAGCTATATCCTTCTTCTCCGATATACCGCAAGCCGATTATCCTTTATTAAACCGTTAGATACTAGACTCGGGAAGTATATATTATATATGCAACGATTATAAAGCGTTTGTAACGTTTAAGGCGACGAATAAATCCGTTAAAACTAGTAATAGTTATACGGACCTACTTAGAAGAGGTGACGTTATTATTATAATATAGAATAGATAAGGGAATCAGCTTAAACTACGTCTAAGAGATATCTAATACTCGCCTAAATTCTATACGAATCTGATATCTTATTCGAAGATTAGGAAGCTTAGATTCCGATAGGATAATAGTAAGGGAGTAATATATTATAAGGGATCTATTCCGACGAGGGTAATGCTCGAAGATTATAGCGGGCTATTCGCTCTTGCGAAACCGTTATAACAGGATCTCACGATAGCAACGCGCTATAGCGAGAAGCTATTAGTATTAGAAGCGAAAGCTAATATTTAGTATCGACGTTTAGGGTATACTTACTAAGGAAAAGTCGAGAAGCTACCGGAGCTTGTCGAGGGTGTCAAGATAATACCGGACTCGAAATCTGAAGATAATCCTGAACGATGCGAGGTCTATTAGCAAGCAAAGGCAAAGCGTTAAATATCTAGACGACTAAATAGAAAAGTGTATAGCAGATTCGGCCGAGTACACTTTAACCTTATCTAAATCACACCTAGTTATAATAGGGATCGCTAGATCATATATTTCTATCTTAATAGTATTCGATTGCACGTTGTATACACGTATTAGAAGAAGAATGAATACTAGGAAGCTATCAGGAAGTTCTATACACTCGCGAAGATATAATAGAACCTTCCGATAAAGGCCTTTCGATATAATTATAAACGCTCCGTAGGAAGAGTAGTTGAGGAACACCTCGAGGATATAGGATTCGTTATTGAATAGAGTATTATAGGCATACTAGAATAGAACTCTTTTAGTGAACGCTCTAGGGGGGTGATAACAACCGGTATAAGAGCACTCTTGCTTAATACTAAGCTGCCGAAGGATCTATAGCTAGAAATAGCTCGTTATATAGCTTATATATTAAATAGATCGCCTACTAAAATGCTAGACGGGAAGTGGATTATACCGTGGTAGGAAGCTTATACCTAGATTAACTCCGAATTATCGCAGACACGCCTAAACCTTACAAATTTAAGGCTATACGGATACCGTACGTATATCAAGAGACAGAGTATTCCGTATAGTAATAAGATAGCACTGAGAATAGAGACTAGTTATATAGTTAGCTATACCGTATCGAATATCTAGCGTATTTAGATACCGTAAAGAGGACTCGTACGGGACGCGAGAGATATTGTATTTAATAAGAAGGTCTTCTATAATAAGAAGCAGGATACCGTTAAGCCTATAGATATATTAGAACGACTTCCTATTTTAGAAATTGATAAAGCTGAAGAGGATAAGGATAAAGCATTAAAGCTAATAGAGATATCTGATATCTAGGAGATACAAACTAAGCAAACTAATTCTAGTTTAACTAATTAGGAGGTAGGATTTAGTTATAGTAAACGCTCGTAGCAAATAGGCCGAGAGCGTACGCTAGAAGAGCAACTTATATACGACCTTACGGCCTTACTCCTAATACCTTAATCTATTATCCACTATTCTTCTCTATCTCTAAATCCTTTAAATCTATCACAGCAAGCTATAGAAATATTATTAGTATTACTAGAACTACCGTAAACAATACTAGGAGCATTTTCCCTAACCGAAAACGAGCTAGAATCGACTAAGAACGATACTAAGCGAGCTCTAAGAGACATTATAGGAGATATAACCTTAGAAAACGTCGTGTAAGGAAGTAGGAAGCGAAGAGCACGCTTCGAGGATAACTTTGTTACTTATCTAGCTATCAACGATAATAGTAACGATAGAGATACACCTTAGACACTAGCTGCATTCGCTATAGCTCTTTATTAAAGCCGGATCGACTAACTAAGATACTACCGAGATAAGCTATTGCTAGAGCCTCGAGGATAGAAAGAGATAATAAACTATCTATTTAGAGACGGCTTCTTGCAAGCTATAAATAATAAAATCAAGATGCTAGAAGATAAAGGAACGTACAAGATCGTACGACGTCCGAGTAACACTAGGAAGCAGATTCTTCTATTAAAATAGGTATTTATATATAAATATAATAGCGATAGATATCTTGAGAAGCTGAAGGCTCGGATCTATATCCGTGGAGACCTTTAAACTATAACTACCGAGGAGAAGTACTTAGCTACACTAGCTATTCGAACTGCTAGGGTAGTACTCTCTCTTATTACAGCATTTAACCTTAATACTCGGTAATTTAACGCCGTTAACGTATTCTTAAATAGTCTACTCGATAAGGAAGTCTATACTAAGTTACCGGAAGGCTTTAGCCGCGTAGGGCTTAGTTAGAAGCTTAAGAAAGCACTCTACGGGCTACGCAAATCTCCTCGACTATAGTAGAAGGAAGCAAGTCGTAGAATAAAACAATATAGATTTAAAGTCGTGTAGGATAATCTTTGTATACTCGTCGACGACGGTATTATTATTATCTTCTATATTAATAACATAATTATCGTGAACTACCCTTTATAGCGAGAATAGGTAAAGAGAGTATACTAGGCACTCTACCGTTAATAGGAGCTCCGTGATATAGGAGAAGCTTCATAGTTCCTTAGGATTAGGATTATTCAAGATAGATCATAGAAGGCACTCTAGCTCTATCAAGATTCCTATATCTCCGCTATAGCTACCCGATATTATCTCACCGACGGTAGGAAGCCTACTATACCACTACCTACGTAAACGCTTACTAAATATATAGGAACAGCTAATTATTACAGAGTCAAAGAATACTAAGAGAAGATAGGAAGCGCCTAATACGCGATAATAATATCTAGACTAGATACCGCTAAAGCGACGGCTACACTCGCTTAATTCCTTAAGAACCCCGGACTAGAATACCTCGCCGCCGTGAACTAAGTTATTACATACCTCTATCACACTCGCTCTCTCGCTATCGTATACCGGCCACGCAACGACGCTAACTCGGAAGCTATACGCTTCGCTAGCGATATATTATTCGCCGACATATAGGATCGCAAGAGCTCGCAGGGGTATATCGGGACAATATTTAGAGAACTAGTTAACTAGAAGGCTAGCAAGCAAAAGACGGTAACAACTAGCACTACCGAAGTAGAACTGCTTGCTATATCAGAAGCCGCTCGTTTAATTGCGATATAGAAGCGCCTATACAAAGCAATTAGATTCGATCCTCAATATCTACTTACTATCACTTGTAATAACTAGCAGACGCTCGGACTATTAACGAAGGAGACGCCTCTCCTAAAGACCAAGCTCCGATATGTTGATATTCATCAGCACTAGTTAAGGCAGGAGGTTTAGGCACAACGTGTTACCGTTGGATAGGTCGAGTCGAAGGACATAATTGCTGATAGCCTTACTAAGAGCCTTCCCCGGCAGCGACATAAAGCATTCGTCAACCAGCTTAGGATAGAAGACATTGAAACGCTGTTGAAGATTTCCTAAATAGGAAATAGAGGTTGATTCGTAGAGACGCCGGAAATCGAAGATTTGGAAGATTGTAAAATCGCCTATCCCTAGGGGGTATATCGAGAAGGAAGACTACATAATACGGGCGAGACCCACATATCTCTATGCGCGTCAGGATATTACAGGGATACTCGATTTGCTACGTATTTTGTATGGTATCCCGGGTATACTCGGAACCCAGCGCCGTAACACGCTAGACAGCAAGGTAGGGGATATTCAACATTCCCCCGCCCATACACTTAGATAGTTCAGTCACCCAATACATCACTATATTGAGCATCTCGTTCCATTGGATCCTAGCTTTCCTAGCCGATACCGTATCCTACTATATTGACAAATATACCTAGTACCCATGTAGATCCACCTTGTATGTTTCGATCCAGCCTGCAAGACAGATAGGCACAGCGCCCACTCGATTGATCAGTCCATAGTTGGCTAAGTTTGCACTTCATAAAGTTAAAATTAAGATTATAAATATTATGGCCCATTTTATATAAACAAGATCATCAACCCTCATAGCTAGCGAACAAAGATGTGACTCGTCGAAGATTACAGGGCCGTTACAGTAAGAAAATAACTTGTTCTACGTATATCCCCATTCTTTCGTTTCAACAATCCAGTCTATATCTTATCTATGCAAAAGAATATTTCACTCGCCGCATCTTTCCATATCATTAACCCTGGGGCGTAATGGTGGATCTTTAAAAGGTCGGTCGGGGAATTTCAATGCCCTCCGTTGTTCGGCCATACTGTATTCCACCCAGGCGACTGATTGGCTTGAGGACCTTGAGGTCAATAACACTTTGCTCCTGATCAATAGCGTCCTCTCGGACCCAGAATCGCACGCCCTCGATGATCGCCAGCACACTTGCCTTCTTGCCTGGGACCGCCCGGCTCTCAAACTCTTTGGTCTCGACGAGCTTGCCCTCGATCGCCAGTATCGACTCCTTCACCCGCGCCGCTTTGACGACCGACGTGGGCGCTGGGGTCAGACCGGAGACGTCCCACTCCGAGTGGCCGTAGGGCGCGTTGATGGCCGTCGCGTTCGCCGCTTCGACAAAGTGCTCCGAAATGATGTTGATGACGCACTCCTGTGTCTCGTGCAGGTTATTCAGTGTATCCTTGGCCTTCTCGAGCGAGCCCACGAAGCCAACCACAAAGAGCGGGGGGTCATGGTTGATGACTTGCGCGTAGCTGAAGGGCGCGAGGTTCGTCGTGGAGCCGTCGGGAGACTGGGTGCTGATGAGTGCAATCGGCCGCGGCACCATGCCGGAGATCAGAAGCTTGTAGTTCGAAGCGACGGGGCGGCCATCGGCATGGGGGTCGATCTCGACGTGGTTCTTCTTGAGACTCTCCCCGCCGTCATTGGCCCCGTCGCCGTCTTTCCATGTGGGGTTTGGGGGTTTAGTGAAGATAACCTCGGCATCGCGGCGGAAGTCCGGGCGGGAGGCTTGGACCTTGTCGAAGTCGGAACCAACTTTGGACATTGTTGGTGTGCTGCTTAGAGACCGGGGAAACCTAAGGGAGCAAGACGGGTGACTAGGACAATCGAGAGGCGCGGCATATTAGCAAGATTGTTCAAGGGTGCCCCGCTAGGCTGTTGGTTGCTGCTAGGTCATGTCGGTCAGTCGCCACCATGACGGTGAAAATACTCACAGTGGATATTGTGCCAAGGATCTTCGAGTTGTTCGAAGCGCAGCTGCGAATAGCAGATGCATGGATGGATGATGGGTTGCGCATGCCGGTGTGTCTCCGGTTCTTATCGCATGGTTATCGACGTCAGTCCGGATGATTACGAAATGGCCCGGGGAATTACTATTTCCACGGCACTGTGTTTACTCCTGTTGCCACAGACCGGAGTCCTCCGTCCATCAGTGTGAAACATGCTGGGACAGAGTTTGTGCGTGGCAGTAATCCCGCCCTCCCGACGGCCGGCCCGTCCCCGGACAACTTCCTGGGCCCCGAAGGTCTGGAAAATAAACAAGCAGCAGGTTCCTCGGAGTCAAGCCGATTCCAGAGCAGTTCCAGAAATTCTTGAAATTTGGACACTGACCAAGCCCTCTGAAAACCCCAAAATCTCGGTTTATTTCTCGCCCGAAAAATGCGGGTAAATCCCCGGTAAAATGGTGAGTCGGAGATCAAGTGGATAAGCTTATTTTTTTTCCCACCAACACGAGGTCAATTTGTACGGAATAGACTGTTCACGGCAACTCGTGTCGAGAAGAGGTCTGCTAAATGGGACTGCTAAAAGGGAAGTTGGTGAAACACAGCGGATCATTTGGACTTTTATTATTGGGGTCTCTCGCCTCGCTCGCAGTCTGGGCAACTGGAACAATGGGGGATGGGGCCACACCGAACCCCATAAAATCCTGGGCCTGGAGCCCCCAGACTTCTGGACTTTTTCGGCCACCAGTCCCAAGGTTCGTATCCTCCCCCTCCATCCTCTCCTAAAGCCCACCCGATCCTATACTTCAAATTTGGAAACTGTCATTTTGTTCCGTACTTTTGCTCTCTCTTTCTGCTCTCGCCGTGAATACTCCGTGTAGCCTCTGTACAGAGCACAGCCTGGCCAATCCGCTCTCATGCCCCAAACTCCCCCACCCCCTCAAGCCAGGAGCTGGTCAATGGATCTACAGTGCACTGGGGGGCCACTTGGACCCCAAAAAGACCCACCAGGGCACTGATCCCATGACCATCAGATCTTGCCATGCCACGCCATGTTCCTAATCCTGGTGGAAGACAGTCGGATATCCCAAATTATGAAACGATGAGATATCACGGTTTCCAGTCAACAGTTCGACGGTCCTGCAGTAAACCTCACCGCGGACAGGATGATCATAGAGAGCGGAGGACAGGATAGGCACATCCATTGATCCTGACATTGGCCTACATCAGTCGGTATGTATCTCTGCCCCTACCATCATCATCCAAGCAAATAAACGCAAAGGAGACCATTGGAATGGGCGGTCAGGCGCATTCAGGATGGAAGATTGGAAACCGCACCACGAGCCCTATGTCATCATAATCATTTAGTAAGGACAATCATCAATAGCGTCTGCGAAAGGGGGAATCTTTCTCTCAGACGTGGTGGCGTTGTTATAGTTTGAGGCGAGCATCCTTCTACTACTCCATGGCCTACTATGATGTATGGACGTATACTGGTACCTCGTCCGGCTGGGACGACAGGGAGAATTCATAAGTCCTCGGTACCGACCGTTCGTAATTCTCTCCTCGAGTCGAGCTTCCATTTCTTTTCTTTTCTTTTCTTTTTCTTTTTCTTTTTTCTCCTTTTATCCACTTTTTTCCATTCTTGTTCCAGAGCCAGTAGTTCGAAAGATACTTATTAATATTAATAGGATAATTAGAAGGGACAGGTTGTGTTGCTCTCTTATCGTGGGCTCGCTCCCCTCTCCCTCATCCTCCTCAACTTCCCCCCTCCCTTCCTTCGGCCCTTTCGCAAGCTCGCCTCTATCCCTTCCGATTGGGCTCTAAGGCCCCCTTTTCCCCTCGAGGCCTCGTGCTCGTCTTTTTCCAACTCTCTGCCTCATGAAGTTTTCGCTCCCGCCATCCATCCTCCTCTCCCACGATCTGCCTTACCGTTTCATCTGTCCCATAGCCGTGCACGCCCTGGTTTGAAGCTCCGAGCCGATCGCCTTTCCCCGATCCCCCATCCCCCAGAACAGAAGAGGACTCAAAGGAACCGATGCCCAATGGGTCGTGATCACGGTTAAGTCCTTCGCTCGCAATGAGCCCCCCTTCTCCCAAAAAGAAGAGTGGCGGCGCTCCGTCTGGGCCTCGACAGATCCGGTTTGTCGCTACTGACGGTCAACCCCAAACCAAGCGCCGCCGAGTCAACGCCGCGTACGTACATCGAACATCACCCTTCAAATATATTGGCATGTACATGGGGATTCTAACGCAGTAGATTCACCTTAGTTGTCTCACCTGTCGCCGGCGCAAGATTCGTTGTTCGGGAGAACAGCCAGGTAGGAGGCTCCGCGGGATTGGCTTGCAACTCATACAAAGTCCTTGGCTGATGCACACCATCCACCACTAGTATGTAAGACCTGCTCAGACTACAAGCATGTCTGTCTCGGCTACACCGAGTCCACCGCGCACTTACGATCTCAGTCCGACTCGGCGTCGCGCGCCCCGGCAGTTCCCCCTCCCACAGACTCCAGCCAGCGCACCAACCGAGCGGTGGAGAGCTGTTCCCCGGAGCCCCCACCAGCACCTGTCATCACCCCCAAGGTCAACACCGAGAAGTCCCCGCAAGTCCCGAAGCAGACGGTCCCGAAAGATGGGTCTTCGAGAGATACAACGACGCGCACAAATAAAGAGTCGGATTCACTGGCTGCGGGCGACAGCCCAGAAAGTAGTACGTCAGCGCTGTGCGTGGACTGAAGTGGATTTGGCTGCGACTGCGAAACTGACTGGTCTCAATCTCGTGGAATAGGTCGCACTTCTATGAGCTCCAGTAACCGCACTCATGTTCCATACTTCAGATATTTCGGGCCAACAGCCATCGTGCCGGGCTTCAAGCAAATGGTGTGAACCTTTCTTGCTTCGATTGGAATTTCCGGGAAATATTTCTGACTCGTATATTCAAGGTTGTCCAAGTTCGAGGTTCGCGCAAGAGCAACCCATCCATGTCCTCCGGTAGGTCTTGCGGAGATTATATTGAGAACCCATTTCAACTCTAAGTCTTTTTTTGGTGCAGAGTCCCTCTCGCCGCTCCGAAGTCCAAAACCCTCCGACGTTCATGTCGGCCTTTCAGCTCCCACGGCAGATACCCGCGATACTCGTGACTCTAACACAATCCCATTCTACGACCGTGACGATGCTTTGGCCGTTCCAAATCTCGTTTATCATCTATGCGATCTGTTTTTTGCGCATCTCGGCTGCAATTTTCCTTTCCTCCAGCGAGACAGATTTCTCCAGGATCTGAAGGAAAAGAAGGTTGATACAATGTTGGTGGATGCGGTCTGCGCTTTGGCCGCACGATTTTCTCCTCATCCACTCCTCGGTCCGCCACAGGCACCACCGATTGATCGCTCGCAACCCCCCGTTGATATCAGGCTGTGGGACCGGGGCCTGCCTTTTGCACATCGAGCCATGAGTGCCCTTGTTGATTCATTGTCATGTCCGACTCTCTCTGCCGTTCAAGCGTGCCTTTTGTTGGCCTATGAACAATTTGGATCCAACCATGATAGTGGCCTATGGATGTACCTTGGAATTTCCATTCGCATGGCGCAGGATCTCGGACTTCAAAAACTTCAAGGATTAAAGCATAACTATGGCCAAAAAGGAGTAACTCCTAGTGAAGTGATGACCGGTCAGGCTGGGAAGTTACGAGAAGACCAGTATGACGACCTGGATATTTATCAAAGTCCGAAAACACACCCGCCTGCATTTGGCACCGAACGTGCAAGGGAACGGGAACGGGTGGACTCATTCTGGAGCATTTTTTTCCTCGACAGAGTCATTTCCTCCGGGACTGGTCGGCCGGTCACACTGCGTGATGAAGATATCGAGCTATGTTTTCCACTTCAGTCTGAATCGCAACTTCCGAACGGGTGGCCTGCGCCCTTTCCACCTCTCATCCGGATCATTCATCTCTATGGGCGAGTCACAGACCTGATCAATGGTATCCAGGACGTGAATCATGTCACTTCAGACACGCTCAAGAGACTGGCGGGAATGGAAAGCGATCTGACCGGTATTTATCAACGGCTATCACCCAAGCTTCACTTCAATGCTGCGAACTTCCAGGCATATGTAAAGGCCAAAGAAGGCACTAATTTCATTCTCTTGCACTTTGTATGAAGCTCTTCTTCTACGAATACTTCTTGAAAATTCTCTAACATATGGCAGTGGTTTCATACTCTAATTGTGCTTCTTCACCAGCCGACTCTCCTAAACTCCTTCGGTGGAACAATACAGCATCTGTATCCAAACAGTCGTGAATTATCAATGTCTTCAGCCAAGACCATCGCCGACATCCTCTCTTTCTCCGAACTTGTCGACGGAAAGAGCTTCATCGGCAACCCCTTCACAAGCCAGCCTATGTACATCGCGGCATGTGCTTTCCTGATGGAAAGCGCCCACTACTCATCACCTTCTTCAAGGTCCGCCTCTCCTCCGCCACAACCGCTTTTGACTAACCAGTCAAGTGGTTTCGTGATGCCAACAATGGAGTCATCGAATGGCTCGGAGCGCAAGTCTACTGCCAAGCATATTCTACTTGCATCCGCCGCGAAGGAGAACTACCAGCGCTGCTATAAGGCATTAAAAGCATTGAATACCTACTGGGAGGGCACGCGATATATCCTGACGGTTCTCGACCAAAAGGCCAAGGGTATTGTCGATCCACTTCTGTATACCGCCGAGGATATGGAGAACGCCGCGGAAATTTTGCCTGTCCAGACTTTTGGATCAGCTGGTTGGGGTGCGAGCAGGGCATCAGACTCTAACCCGGGCGCGGAAAGACCACCCGCTGTTGCAGACATACCTCCCGATGGAAAATGGTCTCCAAAGATTGACCCCAGTCAAGGTGAATATACCTTATATCGCGATGGCATTCTTATTTTTACTAATGGTCTGTTCCTTTGATAGCTATTGGATGGGCTTTGACTGGCGCCACGAACTCTTCGCAACCCAACCTGAGCTTGCTCTACCAAATGCCTTCAACTCACACTGATGCTGCTGACACGAACAAACCTGCCTATTCGTCTCAGTACAGCCATAGCTACCCAGCATTGCCTGTCCAAACAAATTCCGCACACACTCCCAACGCTTCCTTCCCGCAAGCCGTCCAACCAACTCGTGCACACGAGGAAAGTAGGAGAACGCCTCTAGCCACAGCCAATGCGAAGATCTCCCAAGTTCCGAGCTGCCCGATCGGTGCAGAATCTCCTTATTATCTGGGAACAAATTCTACTTATCCTGAGTCAAATGTTCGCATCTCTGCTGCAGCCCAATCCACCTACGGTCACGGTATTCCTTCTCCGATGGATGGACACCCCTCTGCTTATCCCTACCCCGTCTCCTCTGCAGCTGCAGTTCACCATACCAGAAATCCGCACATGGGCTCACATGGCGATCTGCATCCTAGCATGACCTCTCACACCGGGGGTATGATGATTGAAAGCCACGATGTTGACATGAATACCCTGCAGCAGCAGGAATCTTTCCCGTTCAATAATGGCGAGATCCTCCCCTGGTTAGAATACCTTCCGCAAGATGTTCTCAGCTTCTTTGGCGAATCCCAAAATTACCCCATTATGAGCCCCGACGACGCCACGCCCCGGCACCAATAATGCTTGACTGATTCTATGTCCTTGATTCCTTTTCTCGTATATATGTATTGATCTCCAGGCAACATTCCGCATTGTCTCTATGTATCGACATGATTGCTTTTGCCAGCTCTCTTGGATTTTCGCTTTCTCGGCTTGTGAGAATATTTGTATGACCGGCGTCTCGTGGTGGGAAATACCCTTGAGCACAATATAGATCGCCCGTCGAGGTTTTTTATCATTTTGTTTACCTTGTCTGGGATGTGCTTTCTAGGAGCGGCCAAACCATTCAGAGTTATCTAGCTCCTTTATTGAAACGTCGCGTATTCATTTGACCTTTTTTTGACACAATATCCTATCTCCAATCATTTCTCTTGATACATAAGCATAATCAAACGCATTCTAAACAGCAAACAAAGACGGCTTAAGATACTTTTGATGGCCTCAAGTCTTCCCCAATCAGGTCTGAAAATACCTCAAATATTTCTAATCACAGCCAGTATAAGATATATCTCATAAGTTTTATATCCAGCGAGTAAAAAAGACAATACTTTTTGAACCAATGTGGTAGGAATATGGTCTCGATTTAATTCTGAGGAAGTTTAGGATGATGTACCTGGACGAAATGAAATAAAAAATCATTATTTGAGTCACTCACCAAATAAGATGTTTTTGAAAAACCATCCAGGAGGCATGGCTAGGATTTTAGGACAAATATGCCTGAAGAGCTTTATGAGTATGATTTATAGCTGCCATCTTCAAAGCGGAGTATGTACCACTATCGGAGCAGTACGATAGTTGGTGCAAATAGGAGATGTTTCAAAAATGTGGTGAATGTAAATCCATATCCTTGGCTCTCACGGAAAACTCTTATTAGAGAGTTCACCGCAAATTCATGGCCCTCATTGGAATACGTGCTCGAGCTAGACCTTGATTCCCATGTACATCAAAATGCAAGCATGTAGTCCAGGCACTTTGAAATGGTTATGGGAGAAACCAGATAGTAATTTCTCCTCATCTTGTCAGCCTTATATGATTATTATCGAACACTCCGCGTCCATTATCTATTATCTTGTCTGGTATATATGCACTTGTGTACATATAGTCCTTGGCGGAGCCCAACGGGCGGTTGCCCGGAACAACGGGGCGGTGAGCAACTGTCAACACGCATCAGGCGAGTGCACTGCAGCAATGACATCGGGCATCATCACACGACCTCTTACACATTATTTTTCTTGTTTTGTCTTTTCGCTGCTCTATGTAACCTCCATGGCGAGTCTGAAGGATGACACTCGCCTCGACGCAGAGGTTCATGCCTCAGACCACATCTTAAGCCCTCAGCCCTATGCCCCTCCCAGCAAGGAGCTTCTGATGGCGTCCCTCGAGAAATCCCACCTGCCCAGTGAGGTCGAATCGACAATTGACGACGGCCAGATGTCAATGCAAAGCTATGAATACAACTCCTCCGGATCTTCAGCCCGGCACTCAACGAGCGACATCTTCGGCCGCGAAATGGATGACGAGTTGGATCAGCTGAAATCACGAGCATCCAGTCGCTCTTCATGGTCCTCTATTCCAGCGAGCGTTCTGATCCATCCCGTGGACCATCTCAAAGCCATCCCCTCGATGAATACGAGCATGAACATGAATACATTAGAAGAAGACGAGGCAAGCTTCGGCGGATTTGACGGCCCGCCGAGATCCATACGTACCATCCGACAACGCGAAGCAGCATTCCGTAAACCGAGCTCCGTGCGGGCAATGCAGATGCATACCGAAGATGAAGCAGATGAGGACGATTATATGACACTGCCGAGACGTCGGCCTGGCATGCGGTCGCCTGGCTCGTCGCCCCTCAAACGTTCACCCTATTATTCTCCCAACGCATCACCCAGCAAGCCGAAACCGAAGAAGGAATACCCGTTAGTGCTACTGCACTGCACGTTGCTCGCCCCCTCCCTTCCAGTTCCTAGTGCGTCGGAGCCCCAGAACCAGAAGATCGTTGAGGAAGTTCTGCCGTCACAATACTGGAAACGATGGCGGCGGCTCCAGGAGAAAGTCGGTTCGGGGGTCCTCCGTGACCGCGGCGTTCTGATCTCTCATCCCGAGGATTTGTACGATGTGCTGGAGGAGCGATTGCTGGAGAGCCTCGAGCTCCAGCGCGCACGCCTCCACCAAGGCCATTTCATCGCCCACGAAGACAGTGGCCCCGGCTCGGAGGGCGAGCTCTCTGATCACGGGGAGAGCGAGACGGATGGTGAGCAGGGTGACGAGTGTCCCGACTGCGGCGGGCGTGTCCTGCGACATGATGATATCAATCGCAAATGGGAAATTCGAGTCTTCGCAGCGAATGGATTGATGCGTGCCGGTGCATGGGCTGCAGCTTGGAAAGAGATGGAGAAAGTTGATGTCGAGGTTGGACTCTGGCTACCGTCGGATGTGCGACGTGCGTTGGAGAAACGACTTTCAGAGGAAGCCGTCACCACTTCTATGGAAGAATCTCCTTGTTCGCCAAAAGTGGATAGGCTGTCTGATCTGGATGTAGATCCACAGAGGCCTTTTGTTCAAACGCATTCCAGGAACTTGAGTGGCGTGAGCTCCTTTCAGCCAAGTAATTCTTCTACTAAACCAACCCTGGGGGAAGCTATACCTGATCATACAGAGGTAAAACAGCAGAAACCAGAGCATGAAATTGCTCTTGGAACTCTGCTCATCAATTATATCCGCGTCTTAGCCGGAGATAAGCGCAATATTGCTTTATTGGTCATGAGTATCCTGACAGTCTTCCTCGCTATTGGATCTCAAGCCCAGCAGCAGCCTCTTCTCCAGGTTATACAGTCGTTTGCTCCCAATCCAATTCAGACACTTCAAGCACCAATTCTGGATCGAGTTATGCCATCGCAGTCGACTATTTCGGTACCACCTTTCATACCAGCGACCGAAAGCTTAGTCGATAGCATCGTACCCACTTCGAGTACAGCTGTTTCAGCGTCAATACTTGGACAATCGGTTTTCTCTCGGGTAGAGGAGGCCCCAATACGCTCTGTCATAGCCGAACCTGAAATTGAACTGGTGGACCCTGAGCAGACTGTCTCATTCATTGCATCAGAGCCATCCGAGACAATCATTGAACACGGGCAGCAAGAAGAGTCCCAACCTAAGCAGCCCGAATCTATGGATCCCCCAGTCGAGCTTCGGGAAGAAGAGGCTCATCACACCGGACCAGAGCCAACGATGTTGTCTACCACATCAGAGCCATCCGATTTAGTCAGTGAACCTGAGCAATTGGAAGAGGCTGGGCTTGACGATCCCGATGCCCTGAATCCGCAAGCTGAGGCTCTTGAAAATGAGGCCCATCCTGCCCAGCCCGAGCCCGAGCCTGCCCCCGAGGAATAGGAGCAATGTATCAGCAAGATTTTCCCAAGGAATACACTCTCTCTGGAAGAGAACATACGAATATTTGATTTTATTTACGACTGGAACGACATGAGCTGAGACGTTTGATATTGATTGATGTGGAAGTGAATTTCTATTTTCTCTCGCTATTTACTTGGGGCGTGTGTCGATGTTATTTAGCCAGCTAGTCTCTCATTTGATTCCAATCTGATTATTTTGGAGGTATACATATACTAGCGTCGACAATTAGAAAGGAATCAGTATAGTATATGGTGCGAACAAATCTCTGCAATACCTTCCCAAACCATAACTCAATCTACCATCACGTGCCATTTGATTCTTCCGTGCTCTCAGTATGTTGCTTCTGCTCAGTTTTTGGTGAGGTGCCTTCGGATATATCCAAGTCTAGACCGGAATACAAATAGTTCTGCCCCCAAGCCTTTAGACAGGATTTAGGTTTTAGTTAGCAACTACCGTCTCTTATGAACTATATCCATTTGATCAAGTTATTGCTGCCAGTAAAAATAATTTCCAATTTCACTATCAACTGGCTGCTCAAACATAATTACCAAATCATTCAGTCCACAGCGCCTAGCGACGTCCTATCATATAAACAAGCACACGTGCCACAAAACCTCACGTACAAAGCTCTCAAAAGTCACACCACTTAAAACCATTTTTTGCCTGATCCTATTCTTAGTAACCGGAATCATACAGGTACTGCGGCGGAATTGTCGGCCAGACATCAACCCCATCCAACATCGCCAGCGCCATACCCCCGCTCTGATGAACCTGAATATGGCAGTGCATCAAAAAGGCGCCCGGATTCACAACCTGATATCGAATCACCAGCCATGTCGGGCCCATCACAGCCACCGGTGTCGGCGTGGTATCTCGGATCGGGGGATTGACTAGATTGAACGAGCCGGGGATGTCCTGCACGGCCGCCGCCACAGATGCATACCCAAACGTACCGGAGCCCTGGCCAATCACAAAATGCTTGTTCGAGTGCTTGTGGATCGGGTGCGCGGGCTGCAGCGGCTGGTCGACTTGCAGCACCAAGTCAACCCAGGAGCCGTTGGTGGTACGGATGATCAGGTCGCTTGGGATGGCGGTCTGGTTGAAGAGGAGTGGCTGGGACTCTTCGAGCTCGAGATCGTAGCTGCTGTTTCCGAGGGTCCAGCGGTACGACGCATTGTAGTGACCGATGGTGAGGAAGTAGGTTGCGTCGATGCTGGTGGCGGGTGTGATGGCGGGGAAGGGGATGATGGCAGTGTCGTTGGAGAAGACAGTGTTTGCGGTAGCGTTGCCGCCGGTCAGGTTGATCCAGGGGTTTGAGTCGCGATTGAGGTTATTCGGGGCTTTGTATTGCAGAATTGCGGTCGTGTTGAGGATCTGCTGGGGGCTGCCGCTCACCATGCGGATTGTATAGTTGCCGGTGGTCTGGTCGAGCGGGACAAGGACGGAGTAGCGGTTGGAATTGGGGATATTGATAGCATTCACGGCAACCGGCTCAACATATCGGCCGTCAATAGCATATATCCACATCGTATGCTCGTCGATGGAGAAGGTAAGGTGTAGCAGGCCGGCGGCGCTGGTCAAGTCCAGGCTCACGTATTGCTGGGATGGGTCGACGCTGACCACATGTTGGGGCCCTTGAGAGGGCGTACATCCGGAAAACATTGTGGGTGGAATGGCGGAGATATTATGGCGGAAATCTCCCTGTGCAGCTGTGAGTTCGGGAGGAAAGCATCTAGTGAGTGGGTTAGGGCACATTGGCTAGTGATATAGAACGTGAACTTACGCGATATCGGTCAGGTTCAAAGTCCCCAGGGCCGCTCTTTGGTTTGGCGTCGTCAACGCATTAATCTCATCTTGAGAAAAGCAAGTGATCGAGCCTTTGCCATTGATCAACAGAGAATTGGCACAGATCGAGTCAAGACCTGAAGCTTCCTCGGCACTCCAGATTTCTTCTGATGTCAGCAGACGCCAATCAGATAGTATAAGGGGGGTAGTCTGTTTCTCCGCCTCAATCATGGCCTGTAGCTGCGTGCTATTGCTAGTAATGAGGCTGAACGGTCTATCCTCCGAGCTGGAGGGCGTGATATAGATCGGGCCATATAGACCATCTTCCAGCTGGCCGCGATGATGGGCATGATAGAAATAGGCTCCGTATTGCTTGGCTGTCCAATGATATAGGAATGCATCGCCATCTTGTATGACCCGCTGGGATACTCCAGGAACCCCATCGGACCAAGGAGTTCCGATCTGCTCAATTCCTGAAAGTAAAACGAGTTTAGCTGAGTATATGAAGAGACCCTTATCAACATTGTGGTGAGCAGAGGTCACCCTTACCATGAAAGTGTACCGTGACATTGAATGGACAGCAATTGATGACCTCGAAATACACATCATTGCCCTGTTTCATTCGCAGTTCCGGTCCAGGGTATTGCCCATTGGTAAGGATCACCTCGCGTGTGACCCCTGCAACCGTGTAGTTTTCCCACGTTAGGTTGATCGTGAAATTCACCGTAGCAGCGAATGCCCGGTTTACAAGGAATAGAAATACAAGCAGTAAATTACCCATGGCGGTTGTCATGGTGACTATATAAATAACAAATCAGAGTATAGAGCAGAGCCTGTGTGGCACGATCCTGCTCATGGACTTCCATTGATTATATAGAAGGCCATGGGAGCCACAGAGATCCGCAGAGATCCTCTCATGAATGATCTGAATCATGATCCTGGCTAAGGTGTCCAATATACGCCCTGCGGTTGCTCGCATGGTGGGTATAGAGCTGCTGTCTGTTACCTGGCTGCTCGATCCATCAGAGCTGAGGAAGATCTGCTCCCCGACTTGTCGGTCGGGGACCATGGGATTTGACAGCGATAGCACACGGTGTGATCAGCCCGCTCGAATGCCGTTATACCTCAATATATTATACTAGGATCCTGCTACTGCCAAGCCAATCATAGGAGTGGGTGTTTTGGTGGCGTCGGCGCGGGATCTGATTACTCTACTCCGCCCATCTCGATCAGGGAAAGGGCCATTTGATGACAGAATGGCATTTCAGATGTCGGGCAGATCAATAGCTTGGTGAACGATGTAATTGGGTGAAAAAAAAGCAACACTGCACGGTGATGAAGGCTGAGGTTCTGCAGGCGAGGGTAGTTCGTCCAGCCCTAAAGGTTGCGCTCGAACGAACCTCGGCCCACGCGTAAGTGGTGAAGGAGTAACAAATCAGACATCAGAACAGCAACCTGCCTGATCCATGAACCCAATTCCAGACTGAGTATAGTATGTCTCGGCACTCTGCCGGTTAGATAGGCTGCCAATCAAGATAATAGGGTTCGACAGAATTAAAAAGTTGGTCGCGATCAGTATCGGATGGGGTATGAGTCAACCAACCAGTAGCCACCGGCACGAAAAGTCGGCAAAGCGCCATTTCGGAATTGGCTGAATCTCCACGTGTGTACGAAGGTGGATCAGGTACACGATCGCCAAAGCGAATAGGACGAGATGCTCAGAGGCCCCAAGCGTAAAACAGGGCGTGTGGGAAGGGTTCGATTCCAAACCCAACTACCCACGACGAGTATGAAGTGTGGAAGGAGAAGACAAATTACTGAAGTTTGAAACAAAGATTCATTTAGTATATCATTAAATAACCAAATTATTTATCCTGGCTCTGCCAATTTGACCATTATATCCGAAAGAACACGTGAAACTTTTACCAGTTCAAATCAAGCCGGCATGCATCGATGTAATATCCATCACAAAAATCAGAAACGCCCAGAATCATCGTGAAATGCACGTAGCCCAGATTGGGCAGCATCTGACGCAGGAGGACAGTCCTCTTGCGAACTAATCCCAGCCAATGGCACTGGAAGAGGCACTCCCAATACCGGCTGAGCCTGCGACGTTGGATCCAACCACACCTGCTTCCCCTTTCCTTCATACCCAACCGATACATCCAAAGAAACGTTGTCCATTTCGGGTGGTGTGAGATCACTGTAACTGTCGTTGAGGCGTTGCAGGAATTCCGGATCGAACCCCATCTGCACGAGAGGATCAGGTGCTCCTCCTGGTGCAGGTGCAGATGATGACGAGGCTGGGCCCGCAAAACTACTGCTCCAATCAGAGGCGAACGCAGGCACCCCGGCGGAGACCATCCCCGAACTACCAGCATAACTTCCAGATAGACTCCCGGGGCGACTGGCCGCAGCAGATGAGAAACCAGTTTCGGGGTAGGCGGGGCTTCGTAAACCGGGGCTAGAGACTGCGGGACTAGGAAGCGCGCCAGGACAGACCGTTCTAGCCAGAATGTTGGTTTCTCGGGGCGGGTGACGCAGACCACCTTGGACGGCGAAAGGGGGTTGCAGTCCAAGATCCGAGAATTGAATGGTATCGTTGTTCACTGTCGACGCAATTCTGGTCTCTCGTTTCAAGATAGCCAACCAAAGAGGATTATCGGCACAAGTCTGATTCCAAGGATCATCGCAACCGTAGATCACTCGACGAGCTTCTGCCTGCAGCATTTCGTCTGTCGGGATGATCCCTTGGGCAGTATGCTTGTGAATGTATGCAGTAAGTTCACGTGAGAGGCGAAGATAGCAATTGGCATCATCGGGTACATTCAGCTGCGGGGATGTTTCATCCCCTTGAGCCTGAGCAGTAGACCAAGGGTCGAGAGATCTCCACTCATAGTCAATGAGATACGGGGGGATGGCATTTTCGACGCGCTCTTGGATCCAAGGCTCGAAACCCCAATCACCTTGCCATTGAGCCATGCTGGCACCATTTTTGAAGTGTCCAGCAAGATGGTCGACTCGATCTTTCCAAGTGTGCAACACGGAAAAACAGAATCCACATCGAGATGTAATTTCGGTGATGCTACTTTGCCATTTCTCCATACAGGGTTGGAATTTGGTATTGTGCATCAGGCGAAGGTGCTGATTGAGATGATCTTTGCGATAGAAGGTCCTTTCATGGGGCGACTTCTCTTGACAATTGATATAGTTGTGGGTTTCCAAGTGCTCTCTATCAGGATTAGTGGCTGGGCAGAAGACACAGCGAAGTATACCATTCTCCTCGGTGACTCCCCCGTGAGGGGAACAGGTCCACTTCTCTAGTATGAGATGCATTGATTTTTCATGGCGTTGCCAATCATATTTCGCCGTGAAGGAATCAGTGCAGAAAGTACATTGGAAAGGACGAACGGCCTTAGCCTTCTGATGGTTGAAAGTATTGACAGGCAATGATGCTTTTCGACGGCGACGGCGTTCTTTACGATCCATTGAGCCGAAGGAAAGGGAGGATCTATGGGAGAATGCAGAAGCAAAAGAGAGGTCAGAAATAGATGACCGACTAGTATCCACGCTACTGGCCGAGGCACTATATCTTTTATGTTCTGAGCTTGCGTGGCTTGACTCATTGGTGCTGGACCCGGGGCGACGGGGCCTCACGTGACCGGATGGGGTCGGGCGTTGGCGCGGAGGTTCGAAGGGTGGATTGGCCAAGGCACGGTTAATATCACTGATCGTGGCCGGTTCGTTCTCTGGAGGGGAGTACTTCCAACGTTCAAGAGGGGTCATGAGCGCAGGATCCTTGGGGTGCGGGTTTGAACCGGGAATATCGACTGCTCCAGGGATGGGCGACTGAGTGCCAGAAGATGGGCGCACTTTGCCGCGCCGACGAGCATTGGCCAGCCAGTTGGAGATTTGAATACGTGACAAGCCGGTATTCTGCTTCAATTCATCCTTCTCCGTCTCGGTGGGATAGGGATTCTCGTTGTGATCGCGTAGCCAATTTTTCAGAATATTGACGGCCTTGCGAGGGAACCGACTGCTGCTGTTCTTCCGGGAGCGCGAGTCAGACTCGTCACCAAAGGCCCCATAGGAAACAGACTTCAATGCTCTCTTCCCGGTCAGACTGCCGGTCGGGATGTAAGCATTCTCTGACACAGGATGCAATGTTTGAAGAAATTTGCCCGGGACTTTGGCATGGGTGAAGCTGCATTCACGGTAGAGGGAGATGCAGCAGGTGCAACCATTCTGCATCACTCCTCGTTTGGCAATAAAACAGTCGAGGCCCATTCGTCGGCAAAAGTCACAAGGCTCCTGCGCTCGGAACATGGGGTAGACTCCGGTATCCTGATCGGGGCCGACAGCATCATCGATGTACTGGTCGGCGGCCTCCGGGATAGGACAGTCATCAGGAAAGGCCAGCGACGGGTCTTCAAGCAATGAGTCGAAATTGGCGGCCCGCTCTTCGGGATCATCAAATTCGAGATCAACCGAAGCGACATCGCTACAGTGATTCGACTCGTGGGCCGACGAGGCGCCTTCGAAATCAAAGTATTCCATAACGAGCGGGCACGGCGACACTGCCGTCAGAGGAACAAGGGCTCTGCGGGCACTCTGCGGGCACTCTGCGGGCACAGGCTTCGAAAAGATCAACTCCGAGGATTAAAAATCAAGAGGAGAATACCGAGTAAAATAACACGAGGAGCTTGGGGAGGACACGAAGAGTCGGTCTGGAAGGGAAAAAAAAAGCGTGTCCTTGGTCCGGGGTAGACGCAGGACTTGGGCGGCCCAGGGACGTCTGGGTCCAGCAAAGTGGCCCGAGGATCGCAGATTGGGACCGGTCGGGGGTGAATAATCAGCGTGTGGAGCGGAGCAGTGCTTTCCCCCCCCCTCCCCGAACTCGCTGGGGCCGCCAACTTGCGCCCCTCGTCTGATTCGAGCTGACCTCCGGCCGGGCACAGAGTAGATGGTGAATTTGAATTCCAGCTCAGTTCACTCCATCGGTCCCTCTCTTTCCCTTTGGTTGGTTGATGATATACGAAGGGTCAAGTACGAGGGACCTGGGTACGGGCGCTCCGAACAGGCCATGAGGCGCGAATGACTGATAAGCCGATCAGTTATAGAGGAATGCCATTGGATGGCGTGAATGACATGAATGCAATGCGAGAGTGGCTTCCCCCGGCTCCGGAGGCTCGTATAGACACGCGACGTCATCTTCGAAACCCACGAACCAAAGCACGGTGACGGGGTCCGGAGAAAGGGACGAGGTTCCGAGTGATCAGAAGACGATGCACTTTCCACGCCCTGCGGACGACAGCGTTAAACCCGTTTGGGTAAGGCCGCGCGCGGGCGGGGGCTTTTCACCAGCTTAGTTCGTCTTGGCTTCCTTCGCGCTCAGGATGCCTGGGATTATCTCGACTTCCATTCGCGGACTGCCCTTCTCGAAAGAGGTTCCTTCATGCTTTTTCTTTTTCTTTTATTTTTTTTTGGGGGGGGGGGGGGGGGGGGTTCTCTCGTCGCTGCTCCACGATCTACTCCTCATATGGCAGGTCTGATACAGACCCTGTTCGCGCGATATCGGAGTAGCAGTCCAAGAGAAAGAGAGCGACCATGTACATAAATATATGTTCCGATGTATCAACGGCTAACTAGAAGGAGCGATACTCCATTGTCTGCGCAGGACACCACTTCACGAGGCTTTTTCTCTTTTTTTTTTTTCTTTTTTTTCTTTCCTTTTTCGCCTAGCGATCGAAGATCAATCGCGGCTATCAGGATGCAGCACTTCGGCCCGAAGGTAGCCCGCCCATTCAAGGAATCACTCAGGTGCTCAAGGAGATCAATTGCAATGGCCTGTGTCCAAACTATTTCCATAGAAAATTCGAAGATTGCATTCTTTATATTGAAACTATTCCTGAACTCCCTCTCAGTAGTCTCTATCGATCCCATGGGTGGCCTTCACATACTCCAGTCATCAAATATCCGCCAAGATCGAAGTGAGTCAACGGCCTAGCCGCTCCAGGGATTCGGCACTGTCCCGAGAAGGCGCCCCTCCAGGCCCGATCCTAGCCGCTCTTCCAGAACCTGCCAGCAGAATCGCGAGAAAAGTCAGGGTTTGCATTCAATGATCATAGATTCTTGGGCATTTAAATAATCAAAAGTTAGGGATGCTTGATCCGTAATACCATCTATGAACATCTGCGGGCCCCTCTTTTCTTTGCCTTTTTTCATTTTTTCCCCCCTACCTTTTTTGGCCTTCTTCCAAGGCCGCCCTATACCATTCATGCATTTCGTGCACTTGTAAGATCTAAGATTTCCGCGAAGGACTAGATCTTTCCTAAGCGGCGTAAAAATAATTCTATGGCAATAAGGTTAATTAAGGAAAATTTAGTTTGGCTTTTACCTAGAATAGGGTTTAATTTTCTGGAGACCCCCGTCGACCTTCAAATCCAAACTATAGGATCGGGCTTCCACATCTTTCTTTTGATGGAAAACTCGTGACATGGAATAAATCTGTTAACTTCAGTCTAGTCGAGGTCAATTTTCACGAAGTGGCTTTGCATGATGTCTCTCATGATTCAATACCCCTGAGCTCATCTTGGTTATTAACATCATGAACACCCACCTACATCTTGAAGCATTCATTTATATATCTGCACTTGGATATAGCTATATGGACAACGTATACGTGTTTGTGGATAGAAGGTGCGATAAAGAATATGACTTACGCATGGAGTAATATTCACTTGGTCGGATCATATATATTTAGGTTCGTTAAACAACCGTGCATAGGACAATACGAAGGTAAGAAGAAAAAAAGAAAGAAAGGGAATAAAATGCGGCGATTTTTCTCCAGTCGATTTCATATACGCTTTTTGACTCAACCGCAAAACGTGCTCGTAGAGATATGTCATTAAGTTGTTCCTCCTTGAGGTAAAAAGCTCACAAATCCATTGATGATGGCTTGAATAGTTGATGGAACCCAGAACTTGCTTGATAAAGATATTTGATGATTTTCTGTTGCCTACTGTTGGTGTGATATCTGTTGGAAGGTAGGCCGAGGATGTAGAGGACGTCTTTTTGGACGGGATGTGTGTACTAATCACTAAATAGCATGTCACTACCCATTGCAGTTAAATGCTACAACGGTCTTAACAGAATTAAATCCAACTGCTTAGTAACGGGCGTGTGGCTTAATGGTAGAGCGCTCGCTTTGCATGCGAGAGGTCCGGTGTTCGATTCACCGTTCGTCCATCATTTTTTGTGGATTTGGATTTTTCCGCCCCCAAAAAGCTATGCAATCATCAAATCCAATATGTGATTGGAACGCTAACAACGGATTGATATTCTTTACACTTCATTTTCATATTAGTTGTGGCATTCTTCGACCTATCTGCTCCCCTAGCTTTTGTTAGGAAGCACAATCCAACATCTCGGCTCTCGTGTAGACTTGTAATCTCTCTCTCGTTCCAAACCACCGCTTGCTCACACATCCTTCAGTAAATCAAGAGTACTAGAATAGAATCTTTTCAAATCATCATAAAACATATCACCTGTATCGGATGCTAGCAAGTTGCCTGTTGTTGGTACAGTGATATTACTAGTGATAGTAGATCGTCTGCAAGTGGTAGGGGCTGATCACTGGTCGTTGAATGCATAATTTGAAAATTTCAAGCCACTTTGATATATTAAGTACGAATGATGTTTCAACTAAGAAAGAAATTCATGACAACTAATCATGGACCTCGCTATAAAATTATCGTGCGGTGTAGCCACCGTCAACAGGAAGGGATATCCCAGTAATCCAGCTCGCATCTTCACTTGCTAGGACGACAGCAGCGTTAGCAATATCGCTCGGCATGCCGGGGCCGTTGAATGGATGTTTTCGTTCCAAGTCCGTTAAAGAAGTCCCCCTCTCAGTCGTCTCCTTGAAAATTGCGGTTTGGGTATCTATCAATATAAGCCTCATCTACTGACTGAAGTTAGCGATTCAACTCACAGCCTGGACAAATGGCGTTAACATGAATTCTGGATGAAGCATAGTCTAGTGCTACTTGGCGAGTCAGACTACTGACAGCTCCCTTGGACGCGCAATAAGATGCTGTCAACGGTTAGTAAATATGGATTCGATAATTGACATGCTGAACATACGGTTGTATTGCCCTCCGATCAAGGCCATGATAGAAGATATATTGATGATCCAACCACGATCTCCGGACTGGTGAGGCTCTTGTGCAAGCATCTGTGCAGTAGCATATTTGCAGCCTAGAAAGACTGATTTCACATTTATTCTCATGGTTGTATCCCACAAGTCTTCGCTGGTCTCGTGGCATTTTGCACGGGGGTTCAGAGCTTCTAGACAAACGCCAGCATTGTTGACCATTCTTCCAAATTTAGTTTATATCTTTTGGGCACATGACAACTAAAACTTACATATCTAATCTTCCATATTCAGTTATGGCAGCTTTGACAAGGGCTTCCATTTCATGCGCAACGCCGACATCGGTGCGGATGAATATCGCATCTCCTCCATTCTGCTTGATTAAATCATGTGTATTGATGTCATTTTCTTCTATGCCTTCCAGGCGAGCGGAGGGTCTTAGATCCGCACAAACAACCTTGGCTCCTTCTCTGGCATACCTTAGAGATATAGCACGGCCAAGTCCCGAAGATGAGCCAGTCACAATACTAACTTTGTTGGACAGACGTGGGCTCATGATGAGAGAAGGGTACACTATATAGTGAACCAAGGTAAGGCTGGACCTGGAGATAATAGAAATGATAGAAAAGAGACAAGAATATAAAAAAGAGAAGAATTTGTCTGATTTTCTGCCTTCTGCGAGCGGGGTAGTCTCATATACATCGACCCTGAATCCCCCTGCAGACCGCCATTTCCCCACAACAAAAGATCTAAGCAATGAAACATTAGATTCTCTTATAGCGCACTCTTGATCGGGAAGCATATCACTCACACGGGGAAGCTCCGAGGAATCTCAGAGAGGGGTTGGCTTCATATTAGAGTATCGGAGTTCTGTCCACCGATCCGCCTGTCGATGTATAGGGTGTCTGTCAACCGGGCGGGGAAAGTAGTACCAAACCCCCATGGTCCACCAATCAAATATCATCTAAAGAATCCAGCATGCCTATGCTTTGGACTGAAAATGTGGCCTACAACATGTCAATTGGATTAATGCCACTCATATCCTAGTCGTGCTTTTCCTTGGCTGCGTTGCCGCGTTCTACATCAAGTTGCAAGTCCCAACCACAATCTGGTCTACTTCTTTTGGACTGGAATAGGTATCACTGCCGGATATCATCGCCTTTAGTCATAAAGATTATACGAGATGTGAGTTTTATTGCCACTGTCCCCCCAAAATTATACCTTGAACTACTGACCTATAGCTTGCTTGCTTCCGGTGTGGGGTGTCTACTTGTAGGCTTTGAATTTTTATGACATGTATCGCGCATTCGAAATGTTTTTAATACTACAGCACCTGAAAATAGTCGTATCTGATCTCATTTTGAGCTACTGGCCTTTCGAAATCAGATCATTGAATCTTCTCAGTAAAGGCAGCTTTGCTTTGTGATTGGCCAGTTTCATGCAAATCATGTGCTGATAAGTTCTGCACGTGTGATAGCGCAATCTGGGTTGAGATCCGCTCTTCTTCTTGACAAATCCAGTGTTTGCCATGGAGTCATATTTTCCGACGAAGAAAAAGCGGTTTCTACAGCAAGAAGATGGAGAGGCTGCACTGGGACAGTTTCAGCCATCAAGTGACTCCAACTCAGAACGGCTGGAAGAATCAACAGATATCAAACTTGCGATGTTGATGTCATTGTTCCCAGATAATAAGGCCGATGATCTTTTAGAACTTCTTGTTTCCTGTGGTGGTTCGGTTGATGCTACCTCGGCCTTACTCTTTAAAAATGATTTGGCTACAAAGACACCGTCAAAAAAGCGACCAGCACCTACTGACTTCACACCCGCCATTCAAACGTCTCTCTCATCACACATCCTCACTTCGGGAGGAACCAACTCGGCGAAACGAATTCTACCGACTAAAAAGGGAAAGACATTACATCTTTTCTTCCCGAAGGATGTTGCAGCCTACACGCCGTGTACAATAATACATAATTTCCTGCCTGTGGATGAGGCAAACGCACTTCTGACCGAGTTGCTGGATGAGTCGAAGCATTTTTCACGATATGAGTTTCAGCTTTTCAATCGAACTGTTCAAAGTCCTCATACCTCCAGCCTTTATGTCTCGACGCCAGAAGAATATCGCCAGCAGACGTCAGAATACACATATGGTGGCACATATCGGTCGGATGTTCGACAAGCCACTCCGCATTTACGGAAAGTATCGCGAAAGGTTCACCATGTTGTCAATGACGAAATCCAGAAACGCATAAAAAATATTAATACAGATGGGAAAAAGCTCAAATATCAGTCCTCGAAGGAGTGGCAGCCAAATGCAGCCTTTGTCAATTGCTACGATGGACCCGCTGAGAGCGTCGGCTTCCATTCAGACCAGCTCACTTATATTGGGCCACATCCAGTTATTGGAAGTCTAAGCTTGGGTGTGGAACGAGAATTCCGGGTGCGCCGAATCATTCCGCGAGATGAAGAAGACCAGGAGGAGGATGGAGAGGAAAAATTCAATACCTTGAAACCCAACGATCTCTCCAATAACGGCAAGGCCTATAAGGCATCCACTGCCCGGGCAGATGCGCAAGGGCAGATTTCCATTCATCTTCCTCACAATTCTCTATTGATTATGCACGCAGATATGCAGGAAGAATGGAAGCATGCGATCGCCCCGGCCAAAACAGTTTCCCCACATCCTATTGCAGGAACGCGACGAATCAACATTACGTATCGCTGGTATCGCGACACTTTGCATCCTAGATATACACCTAGGTGTAAATGTGGGCACCCCACCATTCTCAGATGTGCTCAACGAAAGCTAGAGACTCGAGGAAGGTATATGTGGATGTGCTATGCCGGTTATGCACCCGGGAAAGAGGGCTGTTCATTTTTCCAATGGGCTGAGTTTGATGACGACGGAGATCCAATTTGGACTCATAAAAGAAATGAAGCTGAGGTTACCTCGACATTGACCAATTTTGCGGCATCCCAATAGTTTATATCTGGACCCACTCAGAGCGTGCTCGTTTACGTTAATAGCAAACCGAATAAAAAGACCCTTGGCTGGACCGTACTTCTCCGCGACCCCCACTAAATCCCAGTAAAAATATCCCATGGGGTATTTGCAAAAATAAGACCAAGCTATGCGGAAGAATTCCACGATTTGATGGCCTAGTGAGTTCTTGTGATTGGGGCGAAGCGTACAACGGGCGGGGTATTCGGCCCTAAGGGAATGGAAATTGCCCCTCCCATTCCGCTTCCATAATTAGCGTTGCCAAAACACCCCACAATTCCAAGTCGCCTCTAGCCTCCTATCAGCTTGTAAGCAGTAGGAACACAAGCTGCAGGCCAAGGGAGCCACTGGCTCACAATCCAATGAAAAGGCGTACACGGTGTAACATCGGCAAGTTGAAACCTTCGTGCCTGGTGAGGTGAAACTAGGGCGGAACCTGCACCGCTAGCCTGTGTCATTAGGGCTATGCTTTAAAGTTGCGAGGCTCGCCGGATCTTCGTAGCGACTTTTTAGATTTCAATTTTCTGTATGACCCAAATATATCCCACAATGGCTTCAGATTTCCCAGACACCTACGACTATATTGTGTGTGGGTGAGTGAATTGTTTTATCATGCATTTTGGACGGCGGCTGACCTGGTGCAAGGGGTGGTACTGCCGGGTGTGTGGTTGCTGCTCGACTTGCGGAAAATCCCGAGATCAGGGTGCTTCTCCTCGAGGCGGGACAGCACAATAAAGATCTGGAAAATGTTCATATGGCAGGCGGGTGAGTTTCCTCCGAAATGAGCAACGAGAAGCGTTACTGAAAATGACATGAGATAGATGGTCAAACAACTTCGACGCGGAGACGGACTGGAATTTCATCACTCCTCCAATGGCTGGCGTCGACCATCGCCAAGTGAAATTGAGCCGTGGGCGATTTCTTGGAGGATGTAGTGGCTGCAATGGCACACTATGCATTCGTGGTTGCAAACAAGACTATGACGATTGGGATCTTGAGGGCTGGAGCGGCGATGAATTCTTCAGATATATGCGCAAGGTGAGAAATAAGCTCCAGTGATCAGCGGTGCGATATATGAAATGGAACAAAGACTTATTTCAAGCAGGCCGAAACATTCCATCCGAAACCATGGTTTCAAGCCGACAAGGAAAGCCATGGATATTCTGGACCCCTTCATACGGAACCGCATGATCTTGCGCCCATCTCACAGCTACTGATTGACTCGTTCGTCTCAGAAGGATTGCCATTGCACCATGACATGTTTAGCACCGGTGATGTTCCGCACGGATGTGGCCATGTGCCTCGTACTGTGTACGAGGGAATTCGGACAACCGGTGCTGATTTTGTTACCAAAAAGAATCATCGCCGAAACATCTTCATTAAGACAGACACCACTGTGGACAAAATTGTTTTCACAGGCCAGGATGACCAGATCCGTGCATCAGGTGTTGCAACTAAGTCTGCGGACGGCAAATTAGAAACTTATAATGCCTTGAAAGAGATTATCATCGCCAGCGGAGCGTATTGCAGCCCTGCAATTCTTCTTCGTTCGGGTATTGGACCAAGAGATGAATTAGAAAAACAGAATATCACTTGCACAGTGAATTTACCGGGTGTAGGGAAGAACCTAATGGATCATTTGGTAAGGCCACGTTATGCCGATTATATAATTATATTGGAAGAATACTAATGCTATTGTAGATTGTCTTCATTTTTTATGAGACCGAAAAAGCAGGATTAACAACCGATTACAATGTTTATCATGGCGATAACTTTGATAAGACGTACGCAGAATGGAAGGAAAAGAAAACCGGATTCCTGTCAACTTTCCCATTCGGGGCATTCGCCTTCGCCCGAATGGACGAGCGGTTGAAAGACGAACCATTGTGGAAGAATGCGCCTCGTCAACTTGGGCGAGACCCAATGGGTCTGACCCCAAAGCAACCCAACGTCGAGTTTTTCACAACAGAGTGCTATGGAGGACCGAAACAGTACGATCAGTTTCCAATTGACCAGAAACATGCCTTCTCGATAATAGCAGAGTTATTTGCGCCTAAGTCGCGAGGCTCTGTCACGCTGAAGTCCTCCAATCCTATGGAGAACCCCATAGTCGATTGCAACTACCTTGCCGATCCCATGGACATGTTGGTCTTGAGTGAAGCTTGTAGATTTGGAAATGAGATTGTAATGAAGGGCGCCGGTACGAAGGATATCGTCAAGGGTTCTTGGCCTCCAAACTTGAACCACCACACCTACAAGTCCCGAGAAGAGTGGGTTCCGTATGTCAAGGAACATGCAACTACCTGTAAGTCGAAAGGCATCAAGGATTGTGATTGAAAAGCTAACTCAATGAAGGCTACCATGCCGCAGGAACGTGCGCCATGGGTAAGGATGATAATAAAATGGCCGTCCTGGATGAGAAGTTGCAGGTCAGGGGAGTTGCTGGACTCCGGGTGGCTGACTGCAGCGTTATGCCAACGTTGCATGGAGGCCATACTCAAATGCCAGCATATGGAATCGGAGAGAAATGTGCCGATTTGATTAAGGAGACTTGGCGAAAATCTGGCAATATTTATAGTCGCATTTAAAATTGATCTAGCACCTCTTCACAGTTTATCATCTAGCCAAATTTGAATGCCAAATTTCGATTGAAGCAATTCATCGCTCAGTTTTAGTAGTTTAAAACCATGAGTCATAGAAACGACACGCAGGAAAACACAAGCTAGTAAGAATAAAAGAGAAAATCAAGGGAGAAAGAAAGAAACCGTCGAAAAGATCATGCACTTTCACTCCTAGTGGAAAGGTCACAGCTCGATTTACTTGCTTGTGAAAGTGTCATAAACCTGGCATCACTAGTCAACCGTGAGGAGCATGAAACTGTATCATCAACACGAGCAACAGTGAGATGAGATTCCACATGGATGTTATTGGGTGCTGGCAGTAGTGAGTGCCGATATTCAACACGGGCTTTTAGAATAGCCTGAGTGGTTTCACCAGAGTATTCCGCGATGAGTCCATTGATCTTTTCCAGTAAATCTTCGAAAATAGGCGAGTGAACAGGAGAGCCCCAGCGATCGCTAACCGAAGACAATTGCTGAAATGCCGGTGGCACTTCGATTTGAAGAGGGATGATCCAAGTTTCTCCAGGCCGAAGAGAGGTGAGCTGGAAACTTTCCATAAAGGAATGCATGTGGCATCCACTACCTGGGATTATGGAAAGCTTGAGGTCGAGAATAGATCCGGGACGTATACCGGTGCGCAATTGTCGAACGACTCTGGAAACATTGCGTATGAAATGTGATCCTCGAGGACAGGTATCATTCATACCCACATCATAAGCAATGTGCCACCCAGCTTGGAAATTTGCGAAGGTCAAGGGTAAGCAGGTTTGAGGAGTAATGGTATGAAAACCAATCGCCTGGTTCATCCAAGGTAGCGACAAGTGCGCAGGTGGAGTAGCAGAAACAAAAAACAACTGGCAAAATGCGGCTCTTGGGCAAGCCCCAAACATATCGGAAATTCGTCGAATGGCATTTCCAATATTTGGATATGTCATGATCAAATGTTGATACTGGGCGAATTTGTTTAGCGCACTTCGTATGGCGTCAAACGAATGGAATCCCAATGGTAGTAACTGCCCAACCCCGTGTTTTGCCTTGGGATCTATATACATCAATGCAACACGGTCGTGGTTTTGGACTAGATTGGATGCCAACACCGTAGAACCTAGAGTGATTTGTGTAAGGTAGTTGACAGAGGGCTGAGATCTGAACAGCTAATGAGTGCCAAGGAATATCAAATGATTTGAATGGAACTACATACAAGCTGTCAAGCAGTATAATAATATCGAGGGGAGCAAGACCAGAAGTTCCCGGGAATGGAATGGAGCCGACATCGACAGAGACATGTACTGATGTTGACAAAGACATCGGGCCCATGCCGATCTGTGATGAACTGGCTTTTGACTTGACATTAACAAAGGCGACCGGCAAGTCCAGTGGACAAAGGTAGTCGGAAATAGCATGGTCCGAATGAGATCCAAAGTCATGTCCAAGTTCTGGAGTAAGTGTTCGACGGTTAGATGATGCTCTTGTTGGGCTTGATGTTATGCACGGTTCGATGGAATCCCAGGACCCAGAGCTCCAACGAACGGCCAACCTCCGCACCAACCGATGGTTATTATGGTTGTGCTTGATTTTATGTTTTCGCTCTTCAAAACTGGATCCGAAATTCTGGAGTATAGTTAGCTAAATTATCGTAGAAAAGCATTCAAATCTGAGGGGTCGGTCACTTCGTCAAGAAACGGGTCTTCCGAGGAGCCATGATGATATACACAGGAGTCGCGGGAATCTTCAATTCCAAGGTTTCGAACCTTGACGACTTCGATTTGGTATTGACTATCACTTAAGGATGGGGTTCTTGTTGATGTTGCTGGCCCGAATGAGCCGTTGCTCACGCTTGCAGATAGAGAAGAGTGACGGCAGGGAATTTCAGGATATGATGCAATCGAACTCATGCTTGTAGTTTGTGACGGTCTCAGTCTCCTGATCGTGAGCGGTTCAAGCATTGTACTTTTCATTGCGAATAAAGTTACACATGCTCCCGACTGCGAACAGGTTCTGCGTATTCAAGAGGTGCTTCCGATGATTCGGTCAGACCGGTTCCAGTACCGCTTTCTAAGTCGGAGTGCAGTCTTTTCTTCCTGTGACGATATTCCGATCGATGAAAACAAGAAAGGCACCCAGGTTTAGTGAAGCGCACTCTGCAATGTTCCGAGCATGCAAGAACGATGGCCACAGTACCAAAGAGGACGACAATGGGAACCAAAACTAGGGAGATAATCAATGCAGAGCTTTTAAAATCCAAGGATAAAGTATTGGTCATCTTGTAGGGGTGGTGTAGCAATGCATGGCGAGAGTCAGTAAAGAGATTCGATAGCTTCAGTTCTTTAAACCCAAGCAAGATGAAGAGACGGCAGGAGCGATGCAAGTTGAAATTGGTAGTGGGTATAATATTTAAGGCAGGTATGGTCATCATTTATTATGTACATCCACCACCGACTCCATCAGCTCCTTCACCGAAGTCAAAGTCGTCGCATCCAGCCGTGAGAACCGTATCTGGTTTTGTGGTCAGTCCAAGCAGACCAAAGAGGGAAAAGGAGGGAAAGAGCAGAAAAGTGACGAATCAACTTACTATTTCATCAGCCCCTCCGCGAGCAGCGTTTCCAAAAATGATTGGATCCGAATGACTGGCTTCGATCTCATCTTGCACTCTTCGTGCCCAGATACCATCCCAATGCCAGTCCCCAGGGAGTCGAGCCTGGGGACATCCCCGTTTTAGATCACCAGGGCGGTTACCACCTCGTCGATGGGCTTTCCATGCGTGCCATGCTCCCGGGTTCCCGGCAGCTTCAACAGGTAACGAGTCCAGCACGTCTTCATCGTCGAAAGTCGATCGAATATAATGTAATATTTCCCAGACTGGAACAATTTTTCTTGGCTCTGCACACTGAAGTCCTGAAGGTACAGAAGAAATGCGAGGCTTCCCCTCATTATCCTCTGCATCCTGCTCTCGAACCTCTGCCTCATTTGTGTCGTTCTCTTGCGTCACAGGGATATCTGATGTTCGAACTTCTTCCGCAGGTATCGTGCGAGCGCTATTCCCGCTCACATTTCGAGATGAAATCCCTGAGGTAGTCCCATTTCGTTTGGTTCTGCCAAACCAATGCGGAAACCCATGTCGGAGGCTGAAGCCCCCTGGAGGAAGGCGTTCTTCGTCTGATGCACTGACGGGGTGGTCACTAGTCGAACTTGTGCTGAACGTATATGTTGTGAGAGGGACAATTAGGGGGTGAAAAACGTCGGTCGCAAATATCACGAGAGGTGGAAGATCAGGGTAGATGTCGGGAAAGCGGATTTGAAAGCGAAGGACAGCGGAGGCATAGGGCCCTGAGGGAGAAAGGAAGCTCGGAAATTAGTAAGAGGACAACAAAAAAGCGGCTGCGTCCACATATACCAGTGCGAACAAATATGACACCATTCCACAATGTCGGATCCCCCGGCGCAAGGCTCACATAGACTCCTGCCGGTGGTGCATGTTGCAGGCTTGCGCTAGACAGGGGAGATCGAGAATCAGCACGCGGGGCTTCCAGTCAGGTCAGGGTAGAAGAGGCATACAATTCGAGATGAAGCTGCTGTTTCCGGATGGAAGGAACACAAGGAAGCCTGGTTGTTGACATGTCACTGTTCACGAATCATTGAACAGGGAGGGTTCAGATGGCTCGGGGTTGTCCGAGAGTGCGGAGGACAAAACACGGAGTTGGCTTATCGCCAACCATATCTCTTATCGCGAGGATCAGATCTATAAACACCGCCGACCGCGAACCGATCTCGGAATCGGATCAGCCCCACTGAGTTCAGTCTGTATCTATCGTTGGACTATGGTTAACTCTCAGGCTTTGCTGTTGCTTCAGCGCTTATTAATGCAAATCTCTTGCTAACTGGTGCGAATATGACACTCAATCTCAATGAACACTTTAAACGGAAGTTCACCTTCATGACGAAATTAAATATATGCGAGCCCGTTGCTCAAAGATATTTGTATGCTACCTGTCTTTACGGCACTCGATATTATACTAGAAGATTGCAGATATGTCAATATAGATTCTTGGAACTCAACGCCTGTCTATCCGCAAAGCCAATCTATCCAGTTCTAATCCTGGTTTTAACAACCCCAAGTGCACCATACCTTCACCAACACCCTCATATATTCCCCCGGCAATACCTTCCACCCACCAGGCTGCAAGGTTACCCACTGCTGTTCCAACCCTGCCTTCATTGAGTTGGCAAACAGCTGAACCGAAGTTGACGCTGCTCTTGCCTAGCCCATCCGCTGCATCAAGTGTTGTTGTGACAATTCGTTCGGTAATTCGATGTGAACGTTCATATTCGTAGACTTGGCGCAAGAATAGCTTGAAATAGGGGAGGATAAACCGCAGAAGAAGAAAAAATTGGACAATAAGAGATGCAAGAAGCCGATGGAGGTATGATCTGGGCGGCGAGATGTCTCTTGGAGAAGGAGACCCTTCCTGATATGCAATCTGTGACGACGACGACGCTTCTATTGAAACTTTGACCGTTTCTGGTAGACGATGCTGTAGCATACGTGCTTCCTCCGTCGTTATATCGGAAGGCAATGCATCCAGCAGATACATCAGAGCATTGATATAGAGAGACCGAACTAGACGACCATCTGCGTGTGACTGCTGGGCTTCATACCCTGCATTTCGAAGTAGATTAAATGCTGTGAAGAAGGTAAAATACTTTCATTAGTGTTATTTCTTTTCCCGAAAAATCCTGCGACCGTCCGATACCTACCTGGTACCACTCGATTCCATCGCAGCCCAGAATTGGTCTCATAATTTGCTGAGCATCCCGTATCCTCTAGAGAGGGACTGTTAGACTCTCGTGATACAAATTCGAATGAGTCCAGGTCATCACTGGCCGTTGATGGCCGCTGTGGTTCGATAGCGGCTAGCTTCAAGTGTTGGCTGTTAAAAGGCAGGTGTGGTTCCGATGAAGAAACAAGGGCATTGTGTCGCAGAGCCCCGCTCAGCTCGTCATTGGTTACAGCCTTGTGCGCAGGGTAAATTCGGGACAACCGACGCCGAATGGAGGCTGGGATCGGGAGCATGGGGAGTCGTGAATACTCCATGGCGTATATCAGAAGTAATTTATGGCGGAGGGGTGATGCTTATCAGTCTTTCTCTCTGGGAACGAGTCATAAGGAAGGGTTATGAAAGTTGCGACTGATGAGATGATCTAACAGATAACGGTCAAGCTAAGAGAAAGCTCATGCATGCGCAAAGTCTCTTGTTTCACATGTCAGAGCCCGGCCGTCTGATATGCCGATAAGAGTGGGGTCAAAGCCACCCGGTCTTTGTTGAGTGAGAACAGGCATAGAAGCTCAAGTCCTATCAATACCCAAGTTCTTTCGCAGATTTCAAGGAAAAACTGTAGTAGGAAAGAGGTCAATCAAATGACCAGTAAAGTTAGCCAAAGTTACCCTGGAGATTTTCTTCTTTATTAAGTAGTCCCGACAAGCAGGTTACGGGTTGCATCGTGATACAATGAATAGATATTCAATGATATGACACGCAAGGAATTTTGCACTGTGGCAAAAACATTATTGAACTGAAAGTTAATTGTAAGACCTGGAAATCAGTTTGATTGGGCGAATATAACGTGAAACTTCCTATCTCTTTAATAAAATGTCATATTAAATAAGTAGTTTGAATTACAGAGGAAAATTAGGCCAAAGGTTAAAAAGTACACGTGAGAATTCAAGATCAAATTTTATCTCATATAGTTCCATTATAATAGCCTTCAAACATAGAGCTTCGTCTACGTATTGTAATTCAATTGTACCCATGAGGTCGCAGAAACACAAAGTCAGAAATAGGTGCCGAGAGATTCTTGTACCAACCAAGTCAAATAAGTGACTGCTCGAAGCTGACGGGAAGTTCTTCGCTGTCTAAATCAGAATAAATAAAAAGGTTATTTCCAGGGTTAGTTGGGGTTCTTGATCTCATTGATCATCCGCTTCAACGAATCTGGGGCATCATATTTATCGACGTGAATTTCCACGAGACGAAGGGGCGGATCTTTATCAAAATTATCTGCTGGTCCAAACTGGAAATCAGACAGAACCATCTCAAGCTCGGCCTTCGTCCTGACGCTGAATGTACGCAGAGTACCTGGCTCTGGGTTGAAAACTTGAGGGAGAAGTTGATAATCCCATGTTTGGATATCATTATAGCTCTTGTCCCACCCATGAACATAGCGCTCGATCGTGTAACCCTCGTTGCATATCACAAAGATGATCACTCCAAGCTTCTGTCGAATCATGGTACTCAATTCTTGGGCTGTCATTTGAAGGCTTCCATCTCCAGTAAACAGAATGGTTCTCTTTTTCCTCAATGGCTTGGTCTCTTGCTCTTGCTCGCGTACTGCGATTGCTGCTCCGACAGCGGCACCGAGTGCAAATCCAATAGAACACCATAGTAGCTGCACAAGTGATGTGGCACCACGAGGGTATTGAGACCATAAAGGACCAAATGCTGCTGTTCCTAGATCGAGAGAAAGGATATCATCCTCCTCAAGCCATGAGCTCATCCTTTCCCAAAGAAAGTCATGGGTTATCGCGTGGCTTGATTTCAATCTATTACCCAGAAGCTTCTGTACAGTTTCCTCCATATTCAGATCAGGTGGAGTTCCTGGGCTTTGTGGAGTGCCAAGACTCGAATTTTGTGGTGAATGTTCATTGCCTGAAGAAGATGATATAGAGTTTGATCTTATCAGAAAACTAGCGTCAGAGAGCCTTTCCAGAACTGAGTTCAGACAGATACCCTGGAACTCCCTATTCTCGAGTCTCACTGAATTTCTCTGGAGAGAGATGGTCTCTATACTTGAGAGATCGGATCTAAACCCCGCAGTGTTGATATCGGTAGGGCGTGACCCGATGAGAAGAACCAAGTCACTGGAGTGAAGTTGTTCAAGAGCTCCAGGTACGGAAACATTCCCTGAGAAAATTCCTCGGAAATTGGGAATATCTTCATTGACAATACCCTTAGCCATTGGGAACACAAAGCACGGCAGATTGGATTTTTCGACGAAAGCTCGAGTAGAATGCAAGTTCTGGTATCTGCCAGCAAGACTGTCAATCACAATCATTGGATTTTGAGCTGTCTGAAGACGCTCAAGGATTTTGTTTATGACAATATCTTGGTCCGCCGCCAGATCTGAGGGAGACTTTTCAAGAGCCAGAGTCTGAGCGAGGGACGATGAATCAACATCTTTCCCCACAAGATCCATTGGTAAGCCAATATAGACAGGCTTGCTAGAACGGTAACACTCAATGATTGTGTCGTCGATGAGTTTGGGTGCCTTCGCTGGATTGTCCAATATAGCCACTGCGCTGGAGATACGAGCGCTCATTTCCATGAATACATCATAGTCACCATTTCCCAATGTATGATGTATGGGGAGCTTGTTTTTCTTAGCAGTAGTCGACGGAAACCCGACGATGTGGATTACGGGGACTAATTCCGCTGTGGCACCAGCAAGCGCATTTAAAGCAGACAGCTCTCCAACGCCAAAGGTGGTAACGATCGCAGAGATACCCTTCACACGGGCGTACCCATCTGCTGCGTAACCTGTTTATGAAACGTTAGATATCGAGGCTTAAATGAGAAGCATTCGGATACATACCAGCATTAAGCTCGTTCACATTGCCGATCCAGTCAAGGCCACAATCCTCGAGGTAGTCTAGAGCCTGCAGATTAAAATCCCCTGGTACTCCAAAAACAGCTCGGATGTCAATCTGGTGGAGACGGCGGAAAAGATACTGCAATAAAATTTCGGTTAGTTTAGAGAAGATAGAATGACAGGGAAGCAAGATAGAGACCTCTGCAAGGTGCATTTTCAAACTGTATACCGTAGAAGATGATTCAAAGTTCAGAGCAAAGACATAAGTTGAAAGTCAAAAACAGATTATATATGTGTATCAAGTTGTAGAATAAATCTGTCTTCTACATTGCTATTTTTTGAACGATAAGATCCTGGGAGCCTTATTTATAATCGTTAAATGACTACGACGGGTGTTATTTCCGAAGAGAGTGAGACACATCACCCCTACGAAACGTCAACGATTTTCTTACCTACTATAGAAGGATGGATAGTACTTCGTCTATCATTACTAAATCATGTGGATGCAGCCATGAGGATACAGTATCATTGGTGGTCGTGATAATAGATCCTAATGTATTACCGAATTCAGGAACTTGCGGTCGGATCAACAGCGCATTACCGCAATCGAGTCAAGAGAATACGCCTTCAAAATTGCACATCTGATACACGTGCTTAGGGGAAAAATGTCATTTTATTCGGCAGTTCCGGTGATTATCCCGGATCAAGTACCATTTTGAACGATGTGCGTCTACATGGTTGGACGCTTAGGCAGATACGCAGATAGTACGGACATGGAGAATGATTCACAGCCTAGTTGGGGTAACACAAGAACTCTACCATTCTGCGCCTATGGCAAGAATGACGATGTAGTAGCGCCTAGTCTCAAGTTGCCGCCTCCTTGTTTGATTCTCCATGCATGTTATCTGACTTTGTCAAAGAAATGCCATAGCAGGTCGATCGAATGATGATGGAATCAAAGTTTACTATCGGGTAACCTGTCGGTGATTCTCACGGTGACAACATGGCGACAATTATGTTTTTCTAGGCATATTCGGGACTTGAGACGATCACCAGTTATCAGCTTTTACACCAACATATGTTTACAAAAGGATTTAGTGACAAGATTAGTGATGGTTATTGTATAGATTGCGTTTGGAACATAGCTTTCATCGACTATCCTGAAAACGTCATGCTTTGGATACTTGAGGTTCTTTCCCGGTGGGTTTCAGGATCAAAGGTATGAGAATGCTCTTGATATATTTTTTCATAATGCTTCCATTGATTACGTGCATTAAAAAAATATGTTTCCTCAAGCTACCCTCTGCAAAAGTCAGCTTCATGAGGTGACAAGGTTAAAGTTGACATATGTCCAACTAAATTCATTCGAGTCAACTCAATAGATATCCTTTGAGCTCATCGACAATCCTTTTTTCCGCGTCGATGTGCTTATCTTCCTCGGTGACAAATCGATCTTCTTCATACGCATGTTGAGGCCCAATCAAAAGCACTCCAGCTCAGACTCACAATTTAGAGAATCTAAAGAGCTAGTTTCTGTCGGACACATATAATGTAACGGCAATCTGCAACTTGCGACCACTACTCCCTATACTCAGCATAGAAAGGTTGAGGCGAGTCTCCAGGGCATCGACATGAGCCCCTTGCTGGCATTATAGTAGTTGGGTGTGCTTGCTTCTTTGGATCAAGCACTGCGTGTCGTGGCTTCAGTAGTTTCCAGCACTAGAGCAGACGCCAGCATTGCCACGACAGCTTATCTAGACTGCTGAGAATATATACTTTGTGTATCCTCATAGCCATCCTAGATCATTGCGACACTACAAAATTGGACCAAAGCTTAGTCTGTAATTATTAACTTCGGATTTCCAAGCTGTGCTAAGAAAATAACAAGTGAATTCATAACCAGTGTCCAAACTCATTAAAAGTGTTTCCAACAGAATCGAATGTGTCATGTACGTATATAGTTATGTATCATGTATTTACTTCATCGCAATCCAAATATGGCGCTAACCGCAATAGGCATGTGAGCTCTCTTCACCGAAGTAAACGTAAACATCGAGATTCACGGTTCAAGCACGAGGAACTACAGCACGTATACCATGCCTCAACTTCGACGCCAACCCAACCCCCACGACTACCTCGATGAAGGATCAACTGCCCCGGGTAGTCTCCGCGCCCAATTCCAGACCCCTCCATCGCGGCACACGCCCTCTAACCCAACCCAACGTCTCCCACCATCCACCGGTCCTCATGAATTGACACCAGAAGCTGTGCCCACCATGGTGCCCTCTGGCATGGCACTGAACCCATTCTCAATTTTTGGGCGACCACGACTAGACCAACGACCGCCGGAGACGGTAGAAGAGGAGGAGGAATTTGACGATGACTACGATCCGAATGTGCAGGACCTGGAGCAAGACGAATACGATGACGAGATGGTCCCAGAGGACCAGCTGGATGAAGAAGAAGGAGCTGACAACTCAGAAGAGCTGGAAGAAGACGAGATAGAGGAAGATCTTGAGGATCAGCTCGAAGAAGAAGGTGACGATGAAGAGATGCACGACCGAGGTACGAACCCTCCTCCTCCCCCCAAGCTCCGTACTGACTTCATCAAACCAGAAAAATCGCCCTCCCCGCTCCCTCCCAACCTCCGAGAAATCTCCTCCCTCGCATCGTGGACCGTGTCCACCTCCAAGCCCGGCTGCGGCGTCGCCGCCCTGCGGCACCCCTCTCCATCGCAGTACTGGCAGTCCGACGGCCCGCAACCTCACACTTTGACCCTACACTTCTTCAAACTAGTTGCCGTCGTGCGAATCCGCGTCTATCTAGACTTCGAGCTCGACGAGAGCTACACGCCGACGAAAATGATCTTCCTCGCCGGCATGGGTGGGAATGACCTCGTCGAGTTCGCAACTTGGGAAGGCGACGGGCCCTGCGGCTGGGTTGACGTGCCACTCGAAGGCGTCGGCGGCCGCAATGGCGGCTGGGTGAGAGATGACGCCGAGCGCCAGAGACGTCGCTCCCACACCGCGCGCCGCCAGCTCGCACCTGAACACCGTCTGCAGACGCCGCATAACCCGGATGACGAGAACGAGGCCTGGGATACAGCCAACGAGGACGAAGCTGGCAGCGAGGAGGAGCCCGGGGCCACCGAGGATTCGTATGCAGGAAACGTACTTAAGGCGATGGTGATCCAGATGCGTGTGATGGAGAACCACCAGAACGGCAAGGATACGCATGTCCGTGGCTTCCAGGTGTTCGCGTGCGACAATAGCCGCCGCCACTTGGGCGTTGCGCCCTCCGCGTCCGCAGATGGTCGGCACAGGCGGCATAGTGCGCGTCAGTCTCTGCGTGGTAGTGTACCTGATGTACCTCGAGACCGCATGGGCAGCGAGGATCTAGATGCTAATCGACTTATCTCATCCTCTGGCCTCCACGAGCCGGACTGGATGGGAGAGCCGGTGATTCGGTGATTGCATTAAGCATGAAAAGCATATGAATGGCGTTGTGTTTTTTTTTTGGTGGAGTTTATGAATAGCTTCTAGATACCCAGTTTTGTTTGCACGGCGGCAATTGATTCAAGACGGCGGCTTGTTACGTCTTTAACAAAGATTTGCAAGAAGATCGGTATTCTGAACAGAGCGTCAAGGCGAGGAGGTCCTTGCATGATCATTAAAAAATTCCGAAAGGGTATTCAATTTTTGTTTTCTACATCATTATATCTCATAAAATCGCCCGCGAAAGGGACGAAGAGCTGCCGCGTTCTATTTACTTGAGCAGCTTCTCAAGCTCGACAGCGACAGCATCACCGACCTCGGCGGTGGTGGCCTTGCCACCGATGTCACCGGTGCGAACACCAGCCTCGATAACATTGCTGACGGCCTTCTCGATGATGCGGGCATCGTCGATCATGCCGAAGGAGTACTGCAGCATCATGGCAACGGAGAGGATAGCGGCAACGGGGTTGACGATACCCTGACCGGCAATATCGGGGGCAGAGCCTGCAAATGCCAATTAGTTGTGATTTTTCAGACAGTGAGGATCCCGAGGGACGAGGAATAGAACACATACCGTGGATGGGCTCGTAGATACCGTTGACACGGCTCTTACCATCAGGAATACCGCTCAGGCTGGCACTGGGCAACAGGCCAAGGGAGCCAGGAATAACACTGGCCTCATCACTGATGATATCACCGAACAAGTTGCTGGTGACGACGATACCGTTCAGCTGGCGGGGGTTCTTGACCATGATCATGGCCGCGGAGTCGATAAGCTGGTGGTTGATGGAGACCTGGGGGAACTCCTTGGCCATAACCTCAGTGACAACCTTGCGCCACAGACGGCTGGTAGCCAGCACGTTGGCCTTATCCAAGCTCCACACGGGGAGAGGTGGGTTGTGCTGGAGGGCGAGGTTGGCAGCGAGGCGGGTGATGCGCTCGATCTCAGCGCGCGAGTAGGGCTCGGTGTCCATAGCGAAGCCAGAGCCATCGTCCTCCTTGCGGTCACCGAAGTAAATACCGCCTGTCAGCTCACGGATGATGTTGAAGTCGACGCCCCGGCACACTTCGGCCTTGAGCGGGGAGCTCTCGACCAGCGAAGGCGCGGCGAAGTTGCAAGGCCGCAGGTTTCCGAATGTGCCCATCTCCTTGCGCAGACGCAGGATACCCTGCTCGGGACGAACGGCGCCAGTACCCCATTTCTAATTATGTCAGGGACGATGGGTCAGTATGAGCCGGACTGGCTTTCGGAGGCAATCAAACGTACCGGTCCGCCGATAGCACCCAGAAGGACAGCGTCAGCGTTCTTAGCAGCCTCGAGGGCTTCGTCGGTCAAAGGAGTACCAGTGGCATCGATAGAGGCCTTGTCATCAGGTTAGCTACCAAGCGCTTCTTGATTGCTCGGTGTCCAGCACTTACGCCGCCGAGCAGGTGGTCCTGCAAGTTGAAGGTGACATCACGGTTCTTCTCGATGACCTTGAGGATCTAGATAAGACTACGTTAGGATCTGGTTTCTGAGTTCTCAATTCCAGTAGCAAGCAATTGATTCATACCTTAATGGCCTCGGCCGTAACCTATTGTTTTCGCTTGGCGTTAGCCATATGATTACAAGTCCAATGGATCTCACAAGCCCCTCCAGGACAGCAGGAGCAACAGGGATTGAATACATACCTCGGGACCGCAGTGGTCCCCACCAAAGACAACGACATTAAAGGAAGGCATTTTGAATGAAAGCACAGGATGTCAATTGGAGGTCACTCGATTGGTTCTCGAGGGGAGCTTTAAAAAAGGTGGGATGCGGGTGAAAGTCAACCCCGCCAGCTCCGAGATCGGCGAACCCGCCCATTCCGCAACAATACAGCCCCGGTTCGGACAGCGGCCCACGGCTTTTTAGGTAAATCGGAAATGGGTGACGTTTCTACGGCTACTTGCGGCCCGAGCCATCAGATTGGAGAGAGCTAGAATCTTACACACATGATGGATCAAAGGAACATGCATTAAATGATGTATGAAAAGCGGCATTAAGGATATAGGCCGAGAAGGCACAATGAGAGAAGCAGAGCGAAATAAAGAAATACGACAGGGTGGGAGGAACAGGAATGAGGGAAGAGAGAGAGAAAAAAATAAGAGAATCAGAAACAACACAACCCGGTGTGTGCTATACAAGATCCCAGGATTCCAGACCATTCCTGGTGACCTCTACCTATCCCAGGACGCCCATCACACATAGGTGTCAAACCATCAAATCAATCAACCATTCCGCCGAGTTCGACAGGGCAACTGCACCTCGCGCTATCGACCAAAAAGACCCACATGTAAATCACAGACCGACCGAAGCTCCAAAGACATGCATGACCCGAGAGTTACTCGGGAAAAGACGAAAGGGAAAAGCATCCCAGCCAGCTGCGGCAGCCGGCAGGGAATAAGTGACCTGCGCATTGTCCGGCATCCGAAGTAGATGATCCTACTTCTGACGGCTAGCGCGCCGGGCCTGGACATCGCCCTCTGCCAACCACCGGCTGGCATTCACCAGCTGGATCACGTTGACGATCTGCTTGAACAGCATGACCGGGGCTGAGATCCCCGTAATCACCCACGGCCAGAAGCTGTCAATCTTGTTGGCGCGGGCCATCTCAAGGGCGCCAGCGCTCCAGGGGCTGGCGAAAAGGCTGCTGGGCACGGGGTTCGCGGGGTTGCCGGGCTGCACCGAGGAGGGCTGGGCGTCCCCAATGGGCTGCAGGAGCGAAGGCGAAAGGATGGGTGAGGAGAAGGAGAGCAGGTAGAGACCGATGAAAAACAGCTCGTTAAGAGCACAGCAAATAAAGAGGACAACCTGGACGAGACAAAACGGACTGGGGTCAGCATTAGGTGTTCGGAGGATCGGACAGACAGGTCGCATTGGCGCCATACCTTGCTGTGGTAGTATTGGTACAGGATCCAGCTGCGGCTGGAATCGATCTTCTTATGGCTCTGGTCGGAGCCGCCCATGCTCAGGGTGGCGTACATGTGCATATAGTGACTGGCCATGTCCAGGCAGATCAGGCCCTGGAAGATGATGGCCCATCGCGGCCAGGCAGAGCTCAGGAAGACGATCAGACAGGAGGTGGTGCAGCGATCCGTCACCATGTCCAATACCGCACCAAACGTGGTCGACTGGTTGAAGTACCGCGCCGCATATCCATCCAATGCATCAAGTAGACACGACACGCTATAGAGAAGGGAGCAAGTTCTGGGGTGGAGGGGCATGTAGTAAAGAGATGCGATCGCGAGGACAACACGGAAATAGCCTATAATGTGGTGTTAAAAGCGTTGCCATGCGATTGTGGGAGAGTGAAGTCAAATGCCAGATCGGGGATCACTCATGCACGCAGCGGCTGAGTCGTCAACGCCGCTAGGGGAGTCTTACCAATGAGGTTTGGAGCGAACAGAAAGATGTTCTCCCTAGGCTCTTCTCGTAAGGCCGACCGGGACCGTTTCTTTGAGGGTGTCCGCTTGGACTTGGATGGAGTCGACACATTGCCATTGCCGGTGGAGAGATCTTCGCTGTCCTCCCCGGGCACCGCGAGGGCAGCCTTCTGTCGTCGTGTCCGGGCACTCATGGTTCAGCAGGTCCAGCAGGTCCAGCAGGTTGAGCAAGTCGAGCAGGTCGATTATTCGAGGACACGACAGGGACGAAGATAAGAATGATGATAAGGAAAGAAACCAGGGCGGACCGGATCGGAGAGTAAATAATCGCTAAGTTAAGGATAGGGGCAGAAGGAGAAAAATCGTCCCGAGGCGATAAGCGTGATAAGCTCCACGCGTCGCGTATGGAACCGGCCACGCAAGACCACTATGAAGATCAAGGTCAGAAAAAGGCTAGGAAGAGGCGAGAGGAGGATCTCGAATCAGGCTGAGGAGCGGTGGAATCGTCAAAGGAGAGTTGCCCAAGGGAGGCTGAGGCTTAGAAAAGATAATGATGTGTTTTGGACGGGTCGCTCGGAACCTTGGAAGCTTTCCCCACGCGGGAAGCATCCGGCCGTGGTTTTTCGGTCGAATTTACTCCGTTCCCGTACCCGGGACCGGAGACACAGCTGCAAGGCGGTTGTTCGGCATATTACATATCTAGTTAGTTCTCTGAAACAATCAAGTGAATCCTTGGGATCTTTCTTGAAACATGTTGAGCAGTGGCCTCTAGGAAAATAAGAGGCGTCTCATTATTTCGAGAATTAGTAGTAGAAGGACGCAAGACAGCAGAATCTCCGATATTGGAGGTGTCCAGAGGCAGATTATGATATAATGCAGTAGTTGAAGGGCCAAGGGAGCATAAAATCCATGGAAGTACTGTATGGAGAGTGTTGAGTCAAGTGACAGAAAAGTGAAATGCCAGATGAAACAAGTAGTATCATTGTATGGGAAGATGTACATGGCGGCTACCAGTGGATGCGGTTTCATAAAAGCAAAAAAAAAGAAGACAGAACAAAAGAGAGAGACAAGAAATGTCTCCCAGAAAAACCCACCATTCAGCTAAGCAACCGCTCAATTATGTGCAAAAAAAAAAGAGATCCAGATGGACTATATACAGACAAGACAGGATTTATAATAGTCAGAGAACATCACGTCCGTGACCTGCGCGGATCAGTGGATTCCTGTCGCCGCCACTCGCGAGACTCCTTAGTTCCAAGGCTGCCGACACCGCCTTCCAGGCGACGCTCCCATCCTCCCAGTCGAATGACCAGGCAGGTGGCATTGTCACCTTCCTTGGTCACCTCAGTGGCAAAGCTGACCACATCGCGGGCGCCCTGCTCCGGAGTGCGGGCTTCTTTGACGATGTCAACGATCTCCTGATCCAGTAGAGTGCCGCTAATGCCATCCGAGACCATCACCAGGAACGAGAATTCGGCGGGGCCCATTTCCACGCGCCGTAGCTCGGGCTCCGCAGAGACACCAATGCGCTTGGATTGAACATCGCCGAAGGCACGGGTGTTGGCTAGCCCACTCATGCGTTCCTCGCCGAAGGAGTCAGTCACGAACGTGGCTGCATATCGTCGCAGTCGGCCGGCTTCAATGGGAGATGATGGGTGGTGGTTGGAAGTAAGCGGAATAGCTTCACCACTAGTGGTGGAGCAGAGTAGGACCCTCGTGTCGCCTACGTGGGACACCAGCAGACTGGACGGACCGATGGGGTGCCAGAACGGCGTCGGGGTGGGGGTGGAGATCATAGCAATACTTCCAGTACTACCTCCCTTGAAGCGCGAGCGGCCACCAATCTTCGGGGTCCGGGTCAAACTAGGGCTATGAAGGATTTCATCTTCGTTAAGAGGTTTTTCGGCCTGGACCATATCATCATCGCGTTTGGCTGCTTGCGCTTTGACAAAATCCAGGTCTGCGCGCAGGAAAGCATACTCCATGATTTCTTCGATGGAGACGTATCCTGTGGGCGCAGCACCGTCGGCGGAGTTGTCGGACCCGTAATAGGAAAAATGCGGCGGCTTGAATCGTTTGAAATAGCCGCCAACTAGCCGCCTCCAATTTTGGACGAGGTTCTTTTCCAGGTCTCCAATTCGGCGTCGATCGGCCTCCTGCATCACTGGCAATGATGCCGTTGCCGCAGTTGGCATTTCACCGTTCGCCTGCAGCTGGTTTGTCCGAAGACTGGACCGAAGCTCAAATTCAGCCGCGGCATTTTGGATGTATTCGTGCAGATTGTCCTGCAGGAATGAGCTGCACTCCGACCCGCCATGCCCGTCAAATATGCCAAAGTAAAAGACTTGCGGATCCCCGCTCGCTGTCTCCGCCGCGCGCGCGGAGCGAGCCTGGGTCGCCGGATTCCGGCTGCGATTAATTGTAAGTGACGCTGGGGGTCGCTTCGCAAAGGCAGGGACATCGATCACGCCAGCTTGGTAGGTATCTTCATTGTAAGGGCGAGTGCCGCGAGCAGTGACGGCTCCAAAGTGGTGTTTAGCGCTGCGCAATGGAATTCGAACGACAGTTGTCTCTCGATCTACCAGGTTCTGGAACGAAGTTGGTGACTGTGGGGTATCTCCGGTATGTGGTATTGAAGCTGAGCGAGGGAGTTTATGAAAAGGAGAGGTTGGCCCTCGGGGATCCGGATGAAGCGAAGAGGAGGGCAGATGTGTAACAAAGTAGTCGCGAAACTGCGGGCGCTTTCGTGGGATCAAATTCTCATGCTGTGGCGCAGCTTCGGTGCTATATTTGTGTAACGTTTGAGGACGGAGGACGTCTGTTGGGAGAGAAGTATCGGTGTTAGCTGCGAGCTTTAAGTCCACGGGGTTGGCGCTCAGCGGATCTTCAGGAAACGCAGACGAGTCCGCCGGCATATTGGAATTTGACGTACTGTAACTGCTGGCCGAGGTCCAGACTCGGCCTGTTACTCGCCTCGCTGAAGGGAAAATCATGAACGGCCCATTGATCTCGGAGAAGGGTGGTGGAGGAAGAATGTAGTGAAAGCACAACTCGGCGTGGGGGACACTTCCTGGGTCCGAGCGTCGGCAGATAAGGCGACGGCCGCCGGCAGATCCATCCCGCGGGTGCATTGCGGCTTCAGATGCCCGGGGTTATTTTTAGAGACCCAACAGCGGCAGGTATGCTTAATGTTGTCGAAGTATAAAACCAGCGTAGCAGAATAAAACATCTAAGCGATATAGCATTGGCTACTTAAAGTTGGTAATTCGCACATATAGCGGAGTTCTGCGAGTACAAGAACACCGAGCCGGGCTCCGATATTAGGATACGAAATAGCTTAGAACTATTGGCAGTACGATGAACGTTGAATTGAGAAATAAAAGTTCCATTGATAACACCTAGGGCTCCTCTTTAATCGAGTTCGAAGGACATACGCTCCTAAAGACACAAAATCATTTCGAGTAGCGGGACCTTCGGAATGGCCCGGACGTAGTAAATGCACGCAAGGCAAAGATTGGCACCTACCAGGAGCAGAATCATCCAGAAAGCCTAAATAACAAAAAAGACACCAAAAGGATCTGCCTGAAAGAATGTGCCATGTTAGAGAACAGCGTAACAAGACCCATGAAGGTTGGGGGGGAGTGAGTCCGGCGTAGTTAAATAGCCTTCGTGCGCGAGAAGAGACTACTATAGACGGCATCAACGACGGGCTGGGCGGTGATCTGCTTGCCGCCAAAGAAACGGCCGTTAAGGCCCTTGATGGCGTTCTCGCCTCCTTGGACGCGTTCGAACTTCAGGTAGATGTCGCCTTGAGAGTTCGGATCTAGCGAGATGTGAACAACACGGCCATATTTTTCTTCACACTCGGAGCGGACATCATCCTCCATCTCTTTAATCCAAGCTTCACCAGATTCCCTGTTTCCTTTGTTAGTTTTAAAGGTATAATAAAGGCGAGAAGGGGCCATGACGGAGTGTAGCTTACTCGGAAGGATCAAACATGTTGCGAAGCATGACGCACCGACTTGCCATATTCACATTGACAGGCAGCGGTTTGGTCTCAGTCTTGGGTCGGAGCGGCTTCTGCTGTTCGTCGGCAGAGGGCTCAGGTTCATCTGTTCGTGCAAGTTTCCTCATCAACGCGTCTCTACTGTAATTGTTGAAGTTCACACCAGCCACATCTGTATCGTCGAGGGCACTAGCACCAGTGCCCTTTTCATTCTCACGTCCACCTGCACGATCGAAATTGTTCGAGCCACCAGCTTGAACACCACGGCCTCCGTGACCGGAAAATGAGGAGCCCTGGAAATTTGGTTGGTTCGCAGACGGGCCCTGCAGACGACTCGCATTCGAATCGGGGGTGAACTTATCATTGCCAAGGCCCACACGAATGGCCCGACCAGCGAGATCAAATCCATTCATTTTCTCCAAAGCCTCGCGGGCTTGATTAGGGTCTCGGAACCTAGATTTTGTGTCAGTTTTGAATGTCATGGGCCGCAAAGGTAACGAAGGGATGATCTTACTGCACAAATGCATAGCCTTTGCTCCGTCCGGTTTCATCCTTTTGCAATTGCACGAACTCGAGTTCGCCAAACGGTTCGAAGACATTCTGGAGGTCATTTTCAGTGATGCTGAAATGAACGTTACCCACATAAAGTCTGTGAAACGGTGCGGAGTGTGCGGGGCCAGAGCTGGCTTCAGGGTTACGGGCCTGGCGGTTCTTCTCCGCCTCGGTCAATTGAGCGATGATTGGAATGCCTAGAAGTTTTTGGCCGGTGAGCTGAATAGCGGCGGGCACGGACTCCTCGCTCTTGAATTCGACGTAGCCGACACTATGATACGTACGTTAGATGAGAATTCAAAAAAGGGACCGAAGAAGGGGTTTGAATATCAGGACGAGACACGTACCCTTTGGATCGTCCACTAACCCGATCCTTAACAATCTGAGCTTCCTTCACGGGGCCCACCTTTTCGAAGAAGGCCATTAACTCCTTAGTTCTCAGGCGCGCGGCAAGTTGTTGCACAAAGATAGTCCGTTTATCGCGCTCATCTTCATTAAGCTCCGGGGACTTGCTGGAGCTGCGACCGCCTGGGCTGCGGCGGCGGGCTTCACGATCGCTGCGGCGAGGACGTCTGTCATAATCACGATCTCTGCGAGAGGGGCGGTAGTGGCGATCGTCGACAGGAGAGTGCGAGCGACTGCGAGCACGTCCTCCACCGCGGTAAAAATCGCCACTAGAGCGGTAATCATCGCGATCGCGACGGGCGCGACGGCGATCACTCTCACGACTCCGGCTTCTCTTCCGGCTTCTATGGCTTCCGTTAGCACTGCCATGTTCGCTCCGTGGGCTTTTCATGTCCTCATCGCCTTCAGCGTCTCGGTGACGGTCTCGGCTCCGATCCCGGCGTCGCCGTCTGTCGCGGGAACGATCACGGTCGTGTCGGTCAGAAGGGTCGGCTCGAGAACGATCATCACGATCCTCTGACTTGGGGGGTGCTTCGGCAGGGGCAGCCGTAGACTCCAGAAGAGCCTCTACGTCAAGTCCTGACATCTTGAATGATAGCTTATGTCGCTGGTCGTGGTTTAAGTGGTACTCTGGGAAGAGGGTTAAACCACTTGAGATGCGGTCAGAATGCGAAAGACAAGCCAAATCCGGATACCGAACCCTTCTTTCAAAAGAAAACTTTCAGATTGGGAAGAAAGAGAGAATACAATGATTGAGATGTCGGTAAAGATCCACTGTCGTCAGATCGGCTGGAAGATGAGGAGAATCGACATGTTCTGGACAGATGCATTGATGTGAGGTTCTGGGTCGACCACGTGATATATAGGTTTTTCTAGCCTCAGGCAGGATAATTTGCCACGCTGTGAAAACCCAGCTTGAACCATCTAGAGTTTTTGAGAGGCCCAATTTTAAGGGCCAAGTGAAATCACTATTTTTGAGGGATTCAATGTTAAGATTGGATGTTTTGTTCATTATGATTAAGAGGCCATGTACACTGATAAGTGATGTTTGAAGAAGAATAAATTAATTGACCTCCCGATGGCCTTGCCATACATAGCCATGGGAAGTCACCTATACATGAATCAGGGCATAAAAAGATATCCGAAACTCCGTAATTGCCAGCATGGAGGCAAACATGTACAAGCTTGAGACGGCACTCTCGTCCTCAAAGCAAGACCTCGGCGTGATTTCATGACAAACAGCCACCAATGTGGAAGCTTTTGTTTCCAAAGAGGTGGATGGTTCTGGGCGTTTCACTGGGCTTTGGCACCCTTAGGAGATGGTGTCTCCAGCTCAGTGCCAAAAACGCGATCCCAGAATCGGCTAGTGACGCCAAATCCGTTCTCAAAATCCGCATAGTGATGTTGAAGGTGGTATTTCTTGAGCTCCTTGTAGTACAAAGGAAGGCTAAGCGTGGATATTAGAACGACTATTGCAGGAACTGGTGGGTGCAGGCAGGGGAACTTACTTGCGGTGGTGGAGGAAATAGTGGGTCAAATCATAGCAAGTATAGCCAAAGACACCTCCACAGAAGACCAAAACAGCTGCAAACCAGTTGTAGAAAAAGACAGCGTGGGCCAGCTTCCAGAATGGTGCGGCCAGGACCACGAAAAGCGTCGGGGGCATAACAAGTCGGTAACGATCCATGGGAAGGTAGTGATGAATACCATGAAGCAAAAAGTGAAGCGTCAAGCCAACTCGATTGTCCGGAAGCCACCTAGCAGAAGTATCTGTTAGCATCGATCGGATCAAGTTGATAGACATCACAAAGGGAAAACACCTACTTGTCAACGTGGAACAGGAAGCGATGCATGAGATACTCAATCAGAGTCCAGAGACAGACACCGCCGATCCAGTACGCGGCCGCAGCAGAGTTATCTCCCAGGCCTCCAGCGCCGACCATCGTGCCGTATGCAACCAGTGGGAGCCACATGATAGGCACCACATACCATGCAGTCTTACTGAGAGGCTCGAGGAAGTTGCCAAAGAGAGGCGCAGAGGCGCCGCCCTTGTAATGGCGGGGTCGGTGAATCTGCTCCAGGTAGAACTCCTTGGAGAAATTACTGTACCAAAGCTGAGGGAAAAGTGGCTTGTTGAGGTCCAGAAACTTGTGGGTTTTGAAGTCCTGATTGTAATCCGTGTCAACGGACAAATCCTCCTCCCGCGACATTCCGGTGCTCTGGTAAACTGGAGAGGATCCGGTCTCAGTGGCGTCGACACCAGATGATTTCGCCTTGCCGGAGGCATCTGAGGAGACAAAGCCAACATGATATTCCATGAGAATCTCATAAGCAGCCTCGGAGTGCTCATGAGAAATTTCATCCTTCATGATTTCCGCCACATCCTTTCCTGCATGGTCCAAAATCAAGTCGCCGCCACCGGGATGATCCTCCACAAACTCGGTAACATCGTACACGTTGCGACCGATGGTGATATAACATGATTTGGCGTTGTTATGCGACTCGACCTCGGCGGGTGTAAAGGTGGGCAGGACCCGTCCCGGCATTTTGGCGAGTTTCGAAGGATCGGATTCACGAGAAAAAGGCAAAACAACACGATGAGTGCAATACAGCGCAGATCGTATAATTTCGCGAGGCTGATGCGTAGGGAAGTGTAGGTGAGTGAGGGTTGGCTGCGACAGGATGCATGCGCCGGAGGTACGCGGTAATAAATTATTGAGGGATTCAGGGGAGGGCGTGGCGTGACAGTTGGGGTTTCCGCCCCGGCAAAAACGGGCAGAATTTCAGGAACACAACTCCGAGAAAATTCAGGTCAGGCAATTTATTGGAAGGTCTCCTGATTGATTACGAGAGAAATCAGGCCATAAGATGAGGCTTGACATCGATCAGACAGTGATAAACCGTTAAAATGGAAGCCCTTGGCTAAGTGAAAGTCCCTGAACGTGGAGCACCATAATTCGATAATCTTATCTAATCGGCCTAGAAACTGCGAGAGCGTCGTGGTTAATTGGATGTAGTTGGGGCGGTTTGAGAGTTACTCGGGCTGTTGATGAAATTGAGAGGAGTAAAGAATGCTGTCCATTAGCTTTCGGACCCCTCGATTTTTGGAGTGGTTTTCTGCTCGAGACTCATGTCTAGCCTGGATTGATCATGTCCTGATCGGGGCCAACATGAGATTTATCCATGGAAACGGGGATCTGTTCTAGTTGGCCGGTTTGCAACCCGGGTCTTCCTCGGACATTGGCATCTCCCTTTCTTCTGATTGCCTCTCGATCCACAGACCTCTATGTAGATCGGGTTTGTTACTTTATCTACGCAGACTAGAGAGTCTATGGACCACACAGACAAAGTCAAGAGCGGGTGACTCGCCCAAGCTCCTGGCCTCATTCAGTTAGTTAGCGTGGCCCCCAATTTGACCTCCCCCTAGTGAACCTGGCTACTTGATGAAAGCTTGGCGCGCCAGTGGCGCAGGGGCAAACATCTTTCGCGGTTCGATATCACCAAAGCCTTGACCTTGACGGAATGCGATAATCTAAGACCCTGTCCCGGCATTTCTCAAATAACTACTAATAACTAGTCTCGATCTGTCAATCAACATCGGGGCTCTCTCTAGGGAAACAAAACAGGCGCTCCATCAGTTATCCTGCATACTCAACCCTTTGCTGCCAGTTCCATCGAGGTGCCATTTGTTGTATACGTTGCGCCGCAGATGCCCAGACGGACCCGTCAGCCTTCATACTGCGTATCCTGCCGGGACGAATGGTCTTGCCAACTTCGGTGGATCACCAAGCACTGGGAGGCCGTCACGTGCGGCTCGATGGGCAACGGCTTTGGCCCTGTTTACCCAAGTTTGTCGAAACCACAACCGTTGATGATTTGCAGCCCAACAGACCCGGCGCTTTGGTTATTTAACTGGTGACCTCGCATTTTGGTGCTGCCTCTACACTGAGATACACACCACTTGACTGTTCTATATGTCCTGCCCAGCGGGACGATCCGTTCGATAATCCGAAGCTGCTGTGGGACCGCCCCTCTCATCCCAGAATGCAGATAGCCCCCCAAACCAGAAAATCTTATTCCATACCACACTGGATAGGCGCTGACGAGGCCGAATCCCGCTAGTGCCGACTGTTCATCGGGATTCTCACCCTATTGTCTAGATCCTTCGGCGGGAGGGAGAAGAAGCTAAAGAGACCCAACGGCGGGCCTAGTAGGCCCAATAGGCCGAGCAAAACAGGCAAGCGCTCGGCGGTTCTTCCGATCGCATCCTTTGCCAGCTCCCCACAACGCAACAATGCACGCATCAACAACGCAGCATGCCCCGTTTTCCGAAAAGGCTCTGAAAGGGATCTTTGGGACAGAATTGCAGAGACATTCTTAAGGTACTCTTAAGGAATTTTTAAGGAATTCTTCGGGCATTGAAAAAGTGTCAGGGTTTATGCATCGCACTAGCGTCTCCCCCCGAGTGGAGAAAATTATTGAAGCCCCGCTGGGGCTGCCAGCTTGATCATTAAAGAACGACGCCAGTCTCTCCACATCTTCCCCTTCCCCTTATCCATTCTTCCACACGACTCCCTGCACCACCGGCTCAACGATGGCAGACTCTGATCGCGTCCCGAAAACCCCAATCTTGGAGTATATCGAGAATCTGGCATCAGTCAAGAAGGGTCTTCCATTCGGCCAACCTGTTTGCGTGCTGCCCTCACACAATGTCACCGACTCCGCGACCCTCCTGCAACTCGCTGCGGAAGTTGGTCCTCACATTGCGGTATTTCAGCTGCAAGCGGAGACCATTGATGACTGGTCCGACGATACCATCGAGCAATTGATATACTATGCGAAAAAGTATGGGTTCATTCTCTGGGAAGGGAGCCGAGCCCTTAATTCTACCGTCAACTTTATGGGTCGATCGTCCGCCGATTGGGAGACACGAAAAACTCTAGCCGACATGGTCAAGGTGAAATATACGAATGGGCCAGTCAAGGTGGCACGATGGGCGAATTTAGCAACTTCATGGGCTCCTGGGGTCGCATTGGAGGAACAGGAGAAGGACTTGTTGATCCCTACCCTTCGGAAAGCCGCGCGCGAGGCTGTCGCAACAACCGCGAAGACCATTGAAACCGAGATCTCGGTAGCGAATGGCGGCAGCCTTCCTGAGGAAGTGGAAGCTGCCATGTCACCGCCCACTGCCAATGGTTGGCATGAGTTCAGCTCCAATAATCTTGGCTACGCCTTGCGAAAGTCATCAACTATTTCAGTAACCGAGTCCACCACCCCAGAGCCGCATATCCAACCCGAGGATGGGATCCCAGCTCCTCCTTTGCTGTCTAGGGGGTTAAGTATCTGCCTACCAAGCGCCATCGAAACTGCCTTTACATTCGAGTTCCGGCAAAGCACAATCATGGCAGCATGTGCGAATCATGATTTTGTGGTTGGTCTTCTAACCAGTGAGCCGTTTTTCACTAATTATTGTGGAAATTATTTATTTGAACTGGCTTTACAAGATGGCTATGGGACGCCACACAAGGGCCAAAACCTCCTCGAATCATCACCTTATCTGGAGAAGAAACTTTCATTCTGCTTATTCTCTCTCATTCCTCCTGAAATATCTGTTAAATATGAATCAGATCCTCTACGCAGCATGGAAGGGAATTCGTCACTCGATGAAACTCCGGCAAGCGTCACTAAGTTGCGATACATTGTCAGCCAGGCGCTAAAGATGCGTGACGCAAACCGCAAAGAGAACGCAAACCACGAAAATGACCTGCAAATGTCATTAGGGCCTACTATACTGCATGTTCCGATCGTGGTCTTGTGATTGAGCCCCTGTTTTTGTTTCTGTTCTCTGCCAACGACGTGGATGCTCATGACAATGATCAAAACTCATATCGACCATGGATCCATTGCATGATATATATATAAAAAGTATGCCATATGCTTATAGATTCCCCTTGATTTAGACCTGTGGTTCTTCTGGCGCAAATGTCACTTTTATCATACCCATAACTTTGAAAGCATTTGGATGACGATATGTCGCCTCCTTACAGCCAGACTTGTGACCCACAAAACCATGTACATATCAAACATTCTCAGGTATTACTTCGAGAGTAAATAGAAAAAAAGCTCAGTTCGACGTTTACTGACAAGATAACTTCCAATCTAGTCCGTACAAACCGGCTCATAGGATCACAAGGTCTTGTGCCATATAATTTAGGCAACAAACTACCCACGTGCCATTGATTAGTCACAATTGGCCATCGCGGAGCTTGTTAGAGCGGGTGCTGCCCGCTGACGACTTTCTCAATTGTCAAGAACCAGCATACTAATTTCAAGATCTTTCCGTTTCAAAGTGTCTTTCTCATCACTGCATGCCTTCCATTCTTCATTGCCTGTGGTGCATGATTGCAATGATTATTCATCCAAACGCAATCGAAGCACCATAACTCCCCCAGTACGACAAGAACAAACTTCCAATATCAAAACGGACCAATCTAGTCAGAGAGACAGAGAGAATTTAGGGACATCTCTATGCTCCGGTCTTAATCCATGTTCCTTGGTTAGGGACGTTGGCATATAGCCGCATAATCTTGCCCACGGAGTTAAAACGAGCGTGCTGAAGAGTGATAATGGGCTCGGACTACCCTCCTCTGGCAAGACCAGGCATTATTAGACATGCTCGCAGACATTCATTGACAAATGCGCCAACTACAGGGCTGCTTTTATCCACAAAAGACCCCAATCACTTCCGAAATAGCAGTCCAAAGGCGCCAATAGTCGTCTCAACCGAGGGAGATGTGATTCTTAAATACACTAACCCATCGTCAACAGAGAGTTGTCATTGGAAAGTGGAAAGTAATCTCCTGATGCGCAACAGTCCCTACTTCCGAGCCTTGATGGACCCCAACAAGTTTTCCGAAGGGAGGTTTCTTGCGCAGGTGAAGAAAGAGCCGTCCACGCAGGATGCTCTGCCAATAGTGGTGATGCCAGCAAGCCAATTCACCGAAATGTGCGGTACAGATGCCCTGGAGCTATTTCTGCAAATCCTGTGCCTGGATTCCGTGGATTTCTTTGATTTTGATGAGCTGAAGGAGTTTGATTGGAGGAGACTCTTCCTTCGAAATCTGAAAACGCAGTCTCCATCTCTCATATCGAGACTAATAGAAGTCGCGGACCTGTACAATTCCCCTCATTTCATACGTGAAACACTCAAAAAAGTTGGTTATATGTTTGGCAGGAGTAAACCTCAGCTGGGCAAATTTAGTCCGACCATTTTGAAAGCAAGCGAAGATCGTATTCGTCAAACTCTCGTTGTGGCAGAATTTCTGGGAGAATACCATATCACAAAGATCATGACACATACGCTAGTGGTTATTGGATCTAAGTATTGGACTGATGGAACGAATGTGCCGACCAGTCCATATTTTCGTTGGCAATACCTGCCGCATGGATTAGAAGGTACGTGGCTCACATTCTTGAATAAGAACGCGAGAGTACAACGTGAGTAACGTTATCCATAATCTTTCAGAGGAGATCTACTTCAGGCGACAGTGTGTTTTGAACACCATTACCGACCTTCAGGCATACTTTCTTCGCGCTTACGGAGCACTCGAAGAAATTGATGAGCCAAAAGAAACCAAACCTCCATCCCTCGGCGTAGCATTTATTACATCACACCAACACCGCCATTTTCAATGCCGGGGAGGGTTTGGGAATGCCAGCCAATGCGACCTATTCCACTTGGGACAAATGACGCGTTTCTTTGCATTGCGCGCAAAGACTATATTCATCGGATCAACATTGATTGATCCAGACTTTGGCTTGAGTAGTGATGAAGATGAAGAAGATGAAAAGGGTCGATCTATATCTGGCCCAGCATCGGATATCACCGCCCTTGTTGCATCTCTAAAGCAGTATCCAGATTACCAGATCGATCTTAACCACCAGGGTTGTGGCGTGAGACGTCGCTTACTTCCTGTGCTGGATGGGATTGAGAGATTTATCCTGGATAGTCGTGGCCTTCTTGGGGTGAACCTCCATGAATGGGAAAATGTATCTTTGCGTCCGTCTATCGCCTGGTCGAATCGGAACAGCCAAGCAGACCATAAGGTTGATATTCGATTTGCCAAAATCACGGCTGTACAGTTCCCATCTCAAGCCGCTTCTCCCGCTCGGCAATTCACCCAGGAAGAAGATGCGTGGTTATTATTTACAGCCAAGAAGCGAAACTGGGAGTCATAATAGTTCCTCTTATCCGGCTTCTCAGGTTGTCCCTATAATGTGATGGCATGCCGCGTCATAGCCAAATTTTGTCCAGGATGAACTTTTATTCCGCTTTCCCAAATACCAAGCCGGCGATTATGGACACCTTTGGGAGGGGGAATGAACCGACCGTTCTGGGCCCTGGTATCGATCCAAGGAAAGATCTCAGTTCCTTGATACACGTTCTGGTTTTCCAACTCCTGGATATAACCTTGTCTAAATTACGGATGAGTGATCGTTGTTTTGGCCGTCAGGGACATATCTTTGTTCTATGGCAGATTGCCAAATATTTGTATATATCCTGTATAGTATGAAAACACTTATAGATTGGGAAAAATTTCGAGCAGTCTGACAAGCAGTATGAGCCAGAATATCAAATGCAAGAATGAAGAATGAGCTGTTGTAAGTAAACAATCTCCATTCAAGGTAGTCTCATAATAAACACGAACTTTTTGCTTGCCCTCTGATTTTACATTTTGAAGCATGGAAGAGGCAGAAAGAAGCAGCAGGAGTTCCATAGCATGACAATTTCTGAAACCATTCAATCCATTTCATAGCATAATGTACCATTTTGAACCCATTCTTTCCTTCTTTCAATTTTCTCCTTTGTATCAATTCTTTTTCTGCGTCGATTAAAGAGCCAGAATCAGAATGTTCAGCATACAGGGTCACCCCAGAAGTAACCCATGTCAAGATCTAAATTCGGTCCTGATGGGAAGAAGGATCCAGTAATCTGACCGGTTGCTGGATCACATGGAAAATATTCATCATAAGAGCTCTTCCCAGACAGTGATTTATCTGGTTTCATGAAAGAATCCAGTAGGTCGGGAGGATCAAGATCACCTGACATGGACAACTCAAGAGGACTTCCGGATTGCTTCAGCGGAGACCCTGTGATAGAGTCCATATCTGCAGCAATGGTGTCAACCACAGCCGGAGAGTCGGTCGGCAAAACCGCTGAAGGATCGAATGATATATCATCCACCGTCAGATCATCCCCCATCGTAGCAGAATTGACCGTATCAGCACCGTCAAAGAGAGATGCTGTAGATGATTCCTCGTTATTAGAGAGCTCATTAACGTCAATCCCCACATGGGGGGCCAGTTGACGCAAGAATCCATCGCAAAGTTTATGTGCCCTCTCTGATGCCATGCTTGCCTTGGAGAGTGTCAGCAACCAGTCGAGAGCCTTCCTGGCAGCCTTAGAAACCATATTCGCTTTTTCAGGAACATGCTGAGAATGGAACGAAAGCTCAAGTAAGAGTACTGTCGTCGCTTGCATGAGGTAGTGGAGAGAGCACCACCACGGAGAGATCCGGTTCAGTAGCGCTGCATCTGGATTGTCCGGGAATAGTGTCAACATGTGGCACGCAGATTCGACGCACTCTGCTCCAGTCTTGCTGCAGAATTCATGTGTTTTGTCATCCTCAAGTGCCGATGGATCAAGTCGACAGAGACATGGACGAGTAATGCCTATTTTAGTACTATAGAAGAAAAATGCGAGGCCCATCCGCTGACCCAGAGGGCATTGGGATGTCTGTGTTGACGTGAAATCATAGGCGGACGGCAAGTTCATGAACCACGAGTCAATCTCGAGCATGAGGCTTTGGATAGCGAACTCAGTACTGGCCCATGGTGACTGTAGTGATTCGGGACTATACAGCTTGATAGTCATCCGTTTGGCGATAGTTGCCATGGATGTCAGTTGCAGAAAGTACAGCGACATGCATGGCGGTAGGCTCTTCAAGTATTCTGCCTGGCTAATCTTTGAATCGCATTCCACGGAGATGTCGTTATTATCAGGCTCTGTGGATGAATCAAGACTCGTAGAATTACCACCAACTGGGACCTGATCCAGAGGACTGGATGTTCCGCGTCTGGAAGTGCTGATTATCTGTGCCACTTCCTTCTTCTGAAAATCGCTTTCATCGAATGGAACAGGGAGTGGTGTTGTACAGGAGCTATCGATGATACAAGACGGCCGGCCGGTTATAACAGTGAGGAGATGTTCGGTGGTGTAAAGCGACCACCACACACGGTACCGGATCTCCTTCGAAGTGTCTGAAGTGCATTCCCCGACATTGCGAAGATGTAGTCCCAGGGCCAATGCCCCTCGAACAGCACTTCCACACAGTTTCCAAGCTCTGGTCAGCATGAGTTGTCAGTATATATCTGTCTAACGGGTACTTCGGAGATCACTGGTGTAAAAATACCGGTTGACATGTCCAGATGCAAGCATATAGAAACACGCAAGTCCTTCAACTTGAAGCTGTTGTAGATCCGGATGATGGAAGAGCTGATCCTCTAAGCTGAGAGCTCTGGCCCGTGAAAAATACAGCTGATGGGTATTCTCATCTTCCTTACAATCTGCGCTGGTCAGCTGTCCGTATTTAGATGCAATGGCAAAGATTAGGTTGAGTATGGCGAGCCATTTGTTTCCTGGCTTCAGGGAGGGTTGACTGAAGAAGACCTGGAATTGCGAGACGAATGTCGAGATACCAATAATTGGAAAGGATGGATGCACAGAAGTGAGATAAGCATTGAGTAGCTTTGTTGCTGTTTCGCGCGAGGGTACTCCATATGCATCGACCTGCTCTGTGGTAGGAACATCCAGATCATCAACATAGTAGTTAGAAGACGCCACTAGTAGATTACTGGTATCCTCAGGCTGCGGAGTCAAGGTAGGGGATGGAAGGCCATGATCTTCGTCCGCATTTGACAGATTTGAAGACCAGTCATCACATTTTTGGTTCACCTCTTTGCTCAGCCTTTGCAGCCAAGCAATCTCTGAACTCTTCCCAATGTACCCGGTCGCACGTGCAATTTCATCTCTATTGAAATCTTCCTCTGTGTGGTCGACTTGGTTCACAGTGGCGACAGACGAGGGTTGAGACGGTGGTTCCGATCCTGAGCGCCTGTGACTTTTCTTTTCGGCCAAAGAGGAATTTACATCGGGATTCAATGATAACTCGGAGGCCGACTCCTAAGAAAGCGTGTCAGAAATAAACTGTGAATTTAGGACGGACAGCTTTCCTTACCGCTGCCAAGGCAATATTGACAAGTTGTTCATCTGAGACACCGAATCGGTTGCTCAGCTTCTTGATTACATCCTCGTATGCTTGAACTTTTGCCGATAGACTGGCCAATTGTCTGTTGCAAGGGAAGATATGTCAAATTTGGTCACCGAAAGGACAATCAAGGAGCGGTCACTGCTAACCGTTTTGACTTTTCTCGTTTACCATCCGTATAACAACATATAATGCCAGCTTCACGGCAATTGCGACATCCGGACTTATCACCGGTGCATTTTGTCTTCCTTTGACGGCAAGATTCACAAGCTCGACGAACATGTCGACGGTGGAACCGGCCGGGAGATGTGAAAGCGGATTCTGCACCTTCAGCAAGGCGCGGAATAGCCATCTTCCTACTACCTAATTCTGACTCGGCTTTTTGAAGAGAAGGCAAGGGGTTATCCTATATACGTCCGATTAGATGTAAATTCTGCAACAAATGAGGACATGAAACATACCACACTGGATAACTGACTGCATGTCTCTGCATCAGCACATGATAGCTTGAATAGGCTTTGTTGCTTTGTCCATGGCGGAAAATGGATGCTCATAATGAAAATCAGGTGCTTGTGATAGTTGAAGATATGCCTTCAAATTATATCCATGTATTAGATGACTGAATAGGATATCCAACTATCCCAAACTTCTAGGGGCTTATTTACCTCGAGAGTTCAGTAGGTGTTTTCTTTTTGACAGAAATTCAACGTCTCCAGGTAAAAGCGTATAGGATTCAGGACATAGATTGGGTTATAAAATCTTGATGCAAGGTTCGACCTATGAAACAGATGGAACATTGCGTGCCAGTACCGGCAATTCAATCACGATTATCTGGGTCTGGAAAAGCGCAAGAGTCTATCTAAAGTCATTGCATACTCGATATTTGGTAATGACGATGCCAACATTCTGCTGCAGCGCTCAGTCTGCACATTGGCCACCGAGGATATTCAAGCAAACTGAAAGAAGCGGCCTTGCCCCAAATGACTCGCAAAGTTGGTTGAGGCGATTTTGAGGTCTTTTCTGAGAAGATTACACGTTATGTTTGGTTGATTAATTAGCTTGTTTGCCATCAACCAGCAACGATGGTGCCGTTGCATCAGATTATGAGCGGGGACTCCGAGGCATTGGTCAAACCACTGGTTCGTGGCCCCAGAGTACCCAGTGTTTTGCTTGTAATTCAATCGGTTTTAACAACCGACAGGTTCTATACTCCGAAGGGGGAGGGGCATAGCTGTTTGGCCTTCGTGTGGAAAAAGATCTGAATTCCATAGAGCACCATGCTTTCTGCATAAGTAATCCACATAGGAACACAAAGAATTGGCCCTTTTGAGTCATTTCGATATTCTTACGTTAATACTGAAAGATCAATTAGGTTTATATTGGGTTTAAATATGAAATCTATTGGCTAGAAACCTAGGTAGAGAGCGATGGCCCTTTAAGGGCATAAAGAACGTGCTCTATGACTAACATTGGCAGACGCGCTAAAAGGCCTAGACCCCAGGGATAAAGTCAATCTGACGTTTTCCTAGTGGTGGCGGCAGTTTTAGTTGTGCCCTCGGTTGAGCCTACATAAACCACGTATGATTTGATCAAAAAGGAAAGCGAAGTGCAAGGATCCATGGTGGAGAAGCGAGGTACGGAAAGCTTGACGGCAGCCTCGAGTCATGTCATGCAAGCATCTTGATCCAGTTTCCTTTGACTTTGCTCTCATCAACAGTCGCTCTGGGTATCCGTTGTCCATAATACTGACGTCGTAGATTACGCGTGAATGATTACGCCCAGAGTCCGCGCTGTGCAGACGGGGGCCGCGGAGGGCCGCAACTTCGATTGAGGATTAAGGCTCACTGCTAAGGCTTTGGTAAAACCAGGAGTATGAATTTTGGGTTGAAAATCTAGGACACGCCCCTGGAATGGGTGGAAGTCATGGCCTGAAAAAAAAATGAAAACAGGGAGGCTTATAACACGATCTTAGAAGCAACATGGAGGAAAAGAAAGAAATGCCAGAGAACAAAGCCACGATCCGAACGTCATTAGTTTTCGACTCTATACAATCCAAACATCAAATCACTCAATCAAGTAGTTCTCCGCAACGCTGCGAATGTCCTTGGAGAAGCCAGTGCTCTCGCCTTCCATCTCTAGAAGTGACGCATTCAGAACATCCACATCGACAAACGGCTTGGTCTTAGTGAAGCGAACGCTCATCGGGAAGAACTCATTCTCATCACCGTCGCCGGTAGACTCGAACTCGAAGCTACCGGAGGCGTTGGACTCGTCAACAGCACCGAGGTTCCAGTCAAGGCTATCGCCAGAGACCTCATACACCGCATCGAAGCTGGAGACCGCAGGTTCGTTTGCGCCATAGGGAATGGTGACAACGACGTCGCGCAGACTATCGGAGCCAGTGAGCTCGTACTCGACTGTCACAGTAGTCGAGTCAGACCCCTTATTAACCCAGACGGTGAAAGTGATGGGAAGAATCTCAGCGTTGTCAGTCGAGCTGGCCACACGCCACCGCAGGACACCGATCGAGTTGTTGGCAGGGAAGCGCTTAGAGGTATCCTTGAGTTGGATTACAGAGTCATTGGTGAAGAGGGCTTTGTCGACATTGGGGTGAGTGCGGAATTGGGCACCATGAGTAGGAACAGCCTGAAGATCGAGGCGCAACTTGGTGAAGGACGGGTCTGTGATGCGTAGCTGAAGGTCACCCTTGACTTCGAATGACTTCAAGGCACCCTCTCGAGTAAGAGTAGCGGAGATCGTCTCAGCAACAGTGACATGTACGGGCTCGCGGTCCGCAGTGAGCGACTCCCGCGCAGATGTGGGCTCCTGTACTGGAGTCGAAGCTTGTGGGGTGACAAGGGGGCTGGATTCCTCAACCTCGGGGCCCAGATCACCCCGGACCTTCTCGTAAATGTCCGTGGCCTTAGATTTCTTGCCGAGCTGCATACCCTTGCCGCGGGTCGGGAGAGGCCTAGATAGGACGCGATTCATCAGCAACGGAACACTCCCTGAGAGCAGCTTGAAACCTCAATACTCAGGTAAGAGGCAACGTACTTAGCAAACGTCTTCTTCTTCTCGGCCTCATAAGAATCGTAGGTATCGGGCACCGACGGACGGGCAGGAGGTGTGTAGACGGGGTAGGACGGTGGCCGTGAGGGAACGCCACGGCCTGTGCGGGCAGCTTCCTTGCGCTGCATCTCCAATTGTTTCGCCTTTCTCTTGCGCTCTTCACTAGCCTCCAATTCTTTGTTCTATAGACGACTGTCAGCCTGGAGATCAACTGAAACACACCGATTTCGCAACGTACTCGCTCGATGATCTCTTGGATACGCTCTTCATGACTCTCCATTTCCAAGAATGTCTTGATCTGCGATAAGGAGAGGTTCTCTCGGTAGCCCAATGTCACCAACTCGTCGAATGCGCTCAGTAACTCAAAAGCATTGCGGAGGATCTCTCGTTCGTCCAGGCTCTTGCAAATACTTGTGGTCACTTGAGCGAAAAGGTGCAGACTGTCGATATCTTGGAGGATATTTGATTGCCGGTTGGTAATCAAGACAATGTACAATTCATCTAATGGCTGATAGACGAAGCGCACGTTGTCCTGTTCGACGGTCGTGTGCTGAGTACCCGAATCAGCCAGCTTGGGGAATGAGGCAAGCAAAGCTTCAATGCGCGACCGAGCAATTTCGCGAAACTGTCGCGAGAGGACGGCTTTCCCTCCGCGAGTGCAAATCGATGCTGCAAGGACGACCTGGGGGTGGGATGAACAGTCAGTTGCCTGGCTCCCTCATAACAATCACCGGAGGGGAGAGGAAATTTGACAATACCATGGCGATCCAGTCAATAGCAAAGACTTCAGGTATTATTCAAGAAAAAGGATTGTCTGGTTCAAGGAGGGTGGTCTCTGCAAGCCTCGAACCCCCTGTCGTGATGTTGATGGTCAAGTCGCCGGCGGGCAAGCTACTCTGTTCTCTTTGGCCGTGGCCCGTGCACGCCACGCCCCCCTTCGCTTAGTCTTCAGTCTTCAGGCAGACTTCACATTTTCCTTCCACACTCAACGACTCGCGCCCTCTTCGCGAAGAGGCGTTCTTTTCTCATTTAATTCGATCCTTTCTAATACCTTTCTTCCATAATATCCCCAAATAACTTCCCTCTGGCTCATTTTCTGGATCTTTTCTCATCGTGCTCTCACGACACTTCCGGCGCGCCACCACCAACCTTGCAACATATATCGGTAACCTTCACCAGTTGACGCGTTTTATGCCATGACAACAACTTCCTCTCTATTTCCTCCCACCATGGAGGTCCCTGTGAACGAAGACTCGATGGAAATGGCCTCTCCATACCAAGGGCACGCCGATGACTTTGATATCGATATTGATCTGATGGAAGATCATGTCTCCAACATGGACAGCGATATGATGGGGGCAGATGAATATCCTAACACTTCCCAGCCATCCGTACTCAACGGGGTAAATGACGATGCGGACATGGCCGATGAGCCTTCCGAAGGCTCGATGGTTGATGCCGACAACTTCGCCGACGATGATCACGACATCGATGTGCAGTACGACGAAGAGCCATACGAAGCTGAAATGTTGGAGGGCAATCAAGTCGAAGGCATCGAAGAACCTCTTCCAACGATCCAAATTGAAGTTCAACCGACTCAGGATGCCGAAACGGCCCCGTCCAGCAACACTCCCCTAGAATCGAGCGAGACCTCACACCAACCCCCTGAGCAGATCCTACAGAATATCGATGTCACTGCGGAGACGATACAGTCCATACCGCCGGTTGAGATGGCAAGCCAGGACCCCCAGACGACCATCCAGCATTCTTCCTTGGAGCAGAACGAAGCTGAGAGTAGCCAGCTCGAGGAGTCTTTACCGAACGAAAATGTTGAATCAAAGGCCATAGATGCCCAACCTATACCCGAGGAAAACCTAGCCAAATTGGAAAACGTTGCTCAAAATGACGAAGAGAGCAATGAGCAAGCTGATGATCTCAGTCAGAGTGTTGAGCCCTCTTATGGTAAGACCGAAGAAGGCCACGTTGAGCATGATGACGCTCATGAATCGTATGAAGCCGAAGGCCAGAGCCATGACAACGATGATGGGTCTCTCCACTCAATCAAGGTGATCTACCAGGACAATGAGATCTCGCTCTTCCCTCCCATGGAAGGCGATTCCTCCGAGACATTCTTTCTCCATGACGAAGATTTGGCATATGATCATTTCGATAAGTTGTTCAGCTCTCTTCGCGAGGTGCTCCTGGATAATGTTGCCGAGAATGAGATCCTCGTAATTGATATCGATTCGCTTGGTATTCAATTAACAGAGGTAATAACATCATCATTTTCAAGTTCTCTATTTGACCCTCATGCTAATGTATCTATCTAGGACTCTTCGTACACATCCAAAATTACCCTGCATCAGATTCTGGACATCTATCTTCGACTTTGCCATAACGATGGCACAGATGAACCCGAGGCTTTTTATCTCAGCCTTAGCAGCAGATTGACCGTTAGCTCAGAGCTTGCCGATCTTGATAGTGCGGCTAGAGAAGGGAAAGGGCTGTCTCAGATTCACCCGTGGGCAGAGTATGACGACGCGGAAGATGATTCAAATGGCCAGGGGCCGGAGCAGCCCACCGAGGAAATTCAGTCACATCAGTCTGTTCCTGAAGTAGAGGAATCCCATGGAGAACACCAGCCAGTGGGAGAATCGCTCACTGAGAAGAACACTGTGGTTGATAAAGATGCTCAGCCTGAACATACCGAGTCGCTTCATGACTCTGTTGCTCTCGACAATGATGCTCGAGCCGAGCCAGAGCCCAATGCCATTGAGGCGGGACAAGGAGTAGAGTATCAAATCCAGGAGCAAACTCAGCATCTGGAAGGAAGCGTGCAGGATGACGCAGAACAATCCAAGGAGCATTATGACTCCAAAGCTCACAAGACAGAATCGACCGGCACTATTGCACCCATTTCGGATCCTATGGGAGCCAACGAATCTATCCCGAACCCACCACTTGATACCTTTGATACCGTTGACAATACTTTGGATCAACATGAAAGAAACGCTCAGGATGAAATCGCTACCGGGGGTAATGAATTTGGAAATGATAAAGCTGCCAACCCTGATGAATTTGATGGCCAGGAGGAGCACAATGAGCCCGAAGATGAGTTCGGTGATGACGATGAGGCACCTGCCTCTGAACCCGAGGATGAAACCTATGCCGTTGATCTGACGTCCACTCATCATCCCGAAGAAACTTCGGATGAACATAGTGCCGTACCTGAAGAGGATGGTTCCGTCGATGGCTTGCAAGATGATTTCGATCTGGAATCCAATGATCAGTCGGAATCGACCGTGAAGCATGTGCTCCAAGAGGAATTTGCAGACCAAGAGCGAACACCTGAGCCCGAGGATGATTTGCTTGGTATTGCTGAAGATGTAATGCAGACCCCTGCTAAAGATGGCCCGGACGATCTCGACCCAATCGAGAGCGTAGACTTGGAGCAAGAGTTTGAGGGATTTGAAGGCGCCGCAGTCGACGGAGACGATCATGAGGACGATTATGACGACAACTATCCTGTTTTGGAGATCACGGATGCTATTGAGCTGGGTGAAACAGATGCTCCTCTTACTGACTCCGGCACTCATGACAACCCATCCACCAAACGATCCCGTGAAGAGGAGGAAGAGTGGGAAATTGAAGACACTACGTCTCCCGATACCAAGCGTCGCCGACCTTCGTAAAACTTGCCTTCCCCTTGACCTCATTTTACCACGGTTCTCACAGCCTCCGTTTTCCACGATGGCTACCTGCCCCGACATACTCTCAGATCTTCGGAACCCGCTGGTGGGATTATTTCGATACGATCTCCCCACGTTCACGACATATTTCCCCCTCTCCATACTAACCCTGACCCTTCACAGCAACGGTATCGGCCCGTGGGTACTGTTCTTTTAATCAACAATGAGCTTCGCCAGGTATGTTCCCATCATTCTTCTCCCTCGCCTGGACCTAGATGAATGGCCGTCTCGTTTTTTCTTCTACATTTCTCTTTAAGAGGGCAAACCCTTGCAATCAAAGCTGGGTCTTCCACCACCTGACACCGCTTCGATTTCCCATTTTTTCTGGCTTCCCATCCCCCATGTTTGTGTATGTTATCGCATATCGTCTACTTTCAACCCCTGCGTGATACCATTTTGCGATCTCCCCACCTAAAAAAGGTTGTTATCGGCGTCGATGGGAGTTGTTTGTTTTTTTGAGTCGGACTTGGCGCCCTCTCTTGCCCTTTCCCAGTTTGCATTCTACACATTCTTAGGTTACGAAAAGAGTATTTTATTTGAAAGCTTAGATCTTGATTTTGTTTTACTCATACCTCTTCGTACCCACACCTCGTACCTACTGAGTAGATCTGAATGCACATTATGTCCTGTTGAGCTGTGACATAAAAAGTGGGTCGAACACCGTTCCGCATCTACCGTGACGGTAGAAGTTGCCTCAGACGAGGGCAGTCAGAAAATTCACCGGCCGATGGGGATGGACGTTCCAGATGGCATTCACAAGTTTGCATATCATCTCCATCCAACAGTAAAAACGGAGGGTTGGCCTGGCAGAGCTTTTTCGAATTAGATCATAAAGCGCCTCCTACGTTCCCAAGCCACGGCCGCTCCTCTGATCTCGCCAAGGCTAAGGCAATACTGGATACAAGGCAAATAGGCTCCTGGGAGTGAAGCTCTCCGAGAATCCTCTATCATCTAGACGTACCATTTAGTTGTACCCTAATCACCAGAAATCACAAAGTTGGTCTGGCGGTAGGCCATCCTAGTTTAGTGTTGCCTGAAATTAGGGGGCGCCCAGAGTGTGTGTGGGCGATTAAGCTTCCGGCATATATCCACTCCGGTGCGGTTTTCTGCACTGCCAGTGCGTCACAATATCTCGCAAGCTGGTCCTTGGAAATAGAGCGCTTCCTCAGGGCGGGGAATAGCTCGGTCTTGGTGTTAATTAAGGGATGCCGACGGAAATAGGAACGGAGCGGAGCGCCGAGTGTTATTATTCTCCCGTTCGCGTATCATATGCGGCCTCGGCGAGGGCCTGTCGATCTGCGCCGTAATTATGCAGTGGACACGATGGCATTGCTGAGTTATGTGTCTGCCGGGGTGGATCGGGGAGTGAGACGCCGTGCTAGGCTGGGGACGAGAGTCGTTCCGTTCATAGAATCCTGGTCATTCTGTCCTTTCCCTACAGTAGCGAACTAGAGCACCCAACAGCTACACCAGCACCGAAAGGAAGGCGGCTATGACACTGGCTCATTAAAGGCGCGCCTTGGAATGGCGGGTGGAGCCCTCGTCACTATGTATAGACACGCCGCTTGCGGTTGGACAGTGCGGTCGATATGAAACGACGATCGCCGCCACTGGGAACACTTCAGGGTCCAGGCATTGAATTCGTGCCGATGAAAGGCGCGCGATCCCGATACACTTGCATCTAGCGATGGCATGTCTCTGCTCCGAGGGGAATCGCATTGCCGGATCATGATTCCTGGGGTAATGAAGTATACAAGGTTGCCGCCTTATACTTCCCGACACACCATTGCCACCAGACAACCCGTGAATCCCAGGCGCTTGTCGAACCAACAGAATGGATAGAATAGACACCATAGCATTCAATAAATACTGCGAGTCCCTGCTAGTATCCTATAATTCCCTGCTCCAATTTTTTTTTCAAGCCAAAAACACCAGCAACCGAAGTTTCTAAAGTCCCCAAGGGCCGGCTGCTCAGCCTGTTACCTCTTACGCGTCCCGATCGGCCCAGTCTCGAAACGGAACCCCACCGCACGCAGGCACCAAACACATCGGAGACTGTAACTTTCTCTCTTCTTGGCCCCTTCTCCTCTCCTATCCTTCTGATCCTCGTTCTACTGATTGCCTGTGCATCTTTCTCCTCTCCGGCAGACATCCTCGGGCTGGCTCGTTGTTCTGGCGCCGCACTCGTTCGCCCTCGCTACTCCTCAGCTGATCCCCGACCTTCCCGCCCTCAGCTCAACCCTTCGTTTACCCGAGTCGCTCATTTTCGTCCTCCTCCACTTCCTCCTCCTCCTCCCCTCCCCGGATATCCATTGCTGGCACTGGAGCTCTTTCCACCGTAGGAGCTGTCCGCTCCTCGACCGACCGTAACCATGCTTTCCGACAAGTACGCTTCTGCGAGCCCTCTTCCCCTCCTTCCCAGCGCTAAGAGGCTGTGGACAAGGTGGCCAAAACCGAGTGCTAACCAGGATGCGCATTGTGTAATAGATACATCGGGCTAATATTAGCCATCCTGTCCACGATGGCCATTGGTACGCACGCCCGTCTGGTTCGAAACCCGTCTGGGCCGACCTGCTAACCTGCGTCGCTAGGGACGAGTTTCGTCATCACGAAAAAGGTCCGTTTGCTCCACCTGGAATCAACCGATCGGAGGAAACAAGGCCCCGGAAACCTCGACAGAGCGCAAGCGCTAGCAACAACTGGGGTGCGACTCCGTCATTCGAAAGCAGTACTGACCCGTCGCAATACAGGGCTTGATGCACGCCTCCGAACAACATGGCTTTGAAGGCGAGGGATTCTCATATTTGAAGAGCCCGATCTGGTGGGGAGGAATTGTCATGTGTAAGCACCCGCGACACGAGAATGATGGCACTCGACAGATGGAGATGACTGACGAACAACATCTAGTGGGCATTGGAGAAATTTGTAACTTTTCTGCGTATGCATTTGCGCCCGCGATCCTGGTGACGCCCCTTGGTGCACTCAGCGTGCTGATCGGGTAAGCGACCATCTTCTTTCCATGATGCGCAACAAATGATTAACGATTCGCAGCGCGGTACTGGGCTCATATTTTTTGAACGAGCGATTGGGCACCTTGGGCAAATTGGGTTGCGCGATGTGTCTCCTCGGCTCCGTTGTGATTGTGCTCCATGCGCCTCCCGACAAACCGGTGGATCGCATTGATGAGATCCTTGCATATGCTGTCAAGCCAGGTAGATTCCCAAAAATGGCCGCGAATGAATGTTTGGACTGTCGCGCTGACTCGGCTTTAGGATTCCTTCTTTACTGCTTGGCGGTGGCTATCTTCTCGAGCGTCATGATCTATCGGGTTGCGCCCGTGCATGGAAAAAAGAACCCTCTGATTTTCATCTCAATCTGCTCAACTGTGGGATCGGTCTCCGTCATGTCTATTAAGGCATTTGGCATCGCAGTCAAGCTGACCCTTGGCGGCAACAACCAATTCACCCACGCTTCCACTTATGTTTTCGCCATTGTTACCGGCTTCTGCATTCTCACTCAAATGAACTACTTCAACAAGGCACTGAACTCTTTCTCAACATCCATGTACGTTGATCGTTCTATGAACCGTTTCGTTTTAAGTCCTGATGCTAATTTGACTTCTTTTCCAGTGTCAACCCACTCTACTACGTGACCTTCACGACTGCCACCCTCTGCGCCTCCTTTATCCTCTTCCAAGGCTTCAACACCACCGATGCAGTCAACACCATTTCCCTACTCTGCGGGTTTCTCATCATCTTCACCGGAGTGTATCTCCTCAACCTTTCCCGTCATGACCCGGACGGCCGGAGCATGGTCAACAGCAAGCTTGACGAAGAGGGCGTGCCAACCGATGGTATCGCAGGATATCAGACACGGCGATCGATGCAATCACGTCGCAGCTCTTCCAGCATCGCCTACATCAACGGGCACGGTGACCGGGAGGGCCTCATCCATTCATATGACATCGAAAACAACCAGGGAATTAACTTGGATGACCTGGCCGAAGAGAGCGACGGCGAGCCGGGCCCGACATATGGGCACAATGATGAACGAGATCGCACTGCACTGCATACGAAGCGGAACAGCCAGGTCTGATCCGATCAAGTCTCCCGGGCGTGGCTGGAAGAAAGTCTAGCACTCCCTCCTTCTCACGAGATTATTGCCGCCACGCTTTCTACCTACTCCCTATCCCCCTTTCCCCGACTTCCTTTTTTTCTATCTCTTCCCTCCCGAGCTACCAGCTGTCCTGGCTTCTCCATTGCGTCTCCCCCGAGCCCCTGTATTTTTATTGTTTCCTCCAAAATGCCCGAGACGGATTGACACTTGGGCAAATTATCATACCAGGCACTGGACATGCCCGTATGAAATGATTGGATATGACCCTGGGTTCTCAAATTTCTTTGTTTGTGATTTTTCGGTCCGCGGCGAGAGAGGCATCATTGTATATACCGTCTGTTTATGGAAATTTTCTCTTTTTTTTTTCGCCCGATGTCTTCTCGCCATACCTTTTGTCTCAACCTTTGATGGATTACGTATCAATTTTTTTTCTATCTATCTTCCCTGATAGAATCCCGAACTGATTTGAAGAATGTTGCAGTGTCCTGTTGCTGACAGATATAGAAAACCATTTGAGTGTTATACTTTAGGTATCCATAGCTAATTGCACCGAACCAGACCTTTTTTTCGTCTTCAGATGTGGTTCTCTATTCATTCATTTGTTTTCCGATATCTAGAAGCAGATAAGAGCCATAAGCGACTAACAAGTCAACATGAGATTTTCGGTACCCGGTCGGTCTAGATTGAGCCCCAACATCGTAATTTTGATAATAGGTGAGTGTCCTGCTCCAATTGGCTCTGGCTCGTTATTGAGGTTCAGAGTGCGAGGTACTGCTTTCCGTTTCCCATAACACGGTCTCGCCAGCGCATATCTAAGAGTGGTACCCTGACGCCTAGAGTAGCTGGTTGGATCCGATCATGGTGAAGCTCTATCTTTGAATGCCGTTAGTTTTTGAATCGAGATGATAACAACACCTTGGGCTTCGATGAGTGTCTGATCCGAAATGGCGCGCTGAGCAATTGCAATGTACCGCCTGCAAATTTTGTGGGGTTGGGACTAGCTATAGAGGACTAGGTATGCAATGGACGATCGATGGTATTGAAGTAAAAATCCCTTAAATTGCCCGGACCGGACGCTATTTATGACATTTTGAATGTTCCAACCAAACAGCGGCCTCGATCCCGGCAATAATAGCTGACCAAGGCGTGACATGTCGTTCAACACTGCTATCGATCCCATTGAGGTATTGGTCTACCAGAAGACGAATCAATCAGGCAGTATCATAGAAATATTCCCAATTACCAACCGGCCAGTCTTACAGAATTCAACATCATCCTGGAAGATTTCATATGTCAGTCAAATCAAGTGCCAACCTAAGTTCCAGTGTTCTTTGACTACATGAATGTGCTAAGTGTCGGATTCTACAATTTTTTTTCGGACCGATAGGCTACTAATCAGAGAGTCAAAAAGAGCTGAGGATATTCAACGGCATCGGTAGCCGTGCACACAAGCATAAGTCATGTTTCATTCATGCAAGCATTCCTTGCAATGACAGTGTTCGCCCAGGCTGACCCTCGGATCAAACCAGGCAAGATAGCTTACGGGCAATTAGACCTAGTCCACATACAATACTTCGATGACATCCGTGGAAATCAAGAACCTCGGAAATTTTCTTGACGTAGAACATGCTACTTTGCGACGCTGGGCCTTCCGGGGGATGAGACCAGCCCCTTGGCAGGGACTGCTAAATACCAAGTTTGTCAATAGTCACGCTAGAAGGAATGGCACCAAGGCACATATAAATCCATCTAATGGTGCTATGCCCGAAGAATGTCTATCGCTATGGCCTGGCTTATGGATTGAGTCCAGTTTAGGCTCATCGCTTAGCATCGTGCGTGTTTAAGACCTCGGGTGGGATCGCAATTTCGCTAGATCATTGTGAAGGACGTGGAGGGACATGCAATCAGAGCTATTATATTTATTGCAGATATGACACCGGATCTTGATGATTTTGCCAATACATATTGCCCTATAACATGGGAGTGTGGTTCCCGAACCGATATAGTTCGAGTATTGGGCACTGACTGTGATCACGATTTCGATGTGGGGCGGGGATTGACCCGATGATGTAGTCGCTGGTCAGCTGTTGTGGAAAGCTTTGCATCCGACAAGCAACGACAGCACTGGGGGAGTCGAGGTAGTCGGAAAGTTCTTGGGCCGTGTTTTGACTCATAGCAAAGGAGAAGAAGAAAAAAACGGCCTGGGTCTTAGGTTTCCCGGCCTTCTTTGCACCCGCAGTCCCAACACCAAGGTACAACCATACCCGCGATGCCGGCCTTGCTGCGAAAATTGGCTATCGTCGCGGCAGTCGACGGGCTGATTCTGCACGCACACAGCGCCAACGGGCCTCGTCATAGTCCCGGAAGCAACAATGAGGCTTCGTCAATTCGGATCGACTATAAGACGAACAAGATCACCGCGCTGCCCGCTGCAGACGCGGAGTCGCTAGAGGGGCGGGATGTGCTGGAGACATACGGCTTAGTCGGTAAGTGATGAAATGGGGCTAGACACAGGGCTGTTGCGCAACAGACGAATCCTGACTGTCTTACTGGATAGGTCTCTTATCTGTCGCGTCTTTCTCGTTCCTTGTCTCCATTACGCAGCGCCAGCAAGTCGCCCAGATCCAAGACCACCCGATCTACGCGGTGGCCAATATTGCTATCATCCCCATCTCCTCGCAGGCCGATGCCGCCCATGCGATCACGCAGGCCCGTAAAGAGGTCTCCCAGGGCGAGCCCGAACTCGACTCGCCCGATGAAGAAGAGGTACCAGGCACTACCACCGAAGCCGTGGAGGCGGAGATTCAGAGTGCGCCAGTCTCGCCGGTCCGCGAGCCGCTCCATGCGCGAGGCCCTAGTGTCAGCAGTATCGCTGAGGACGTGATTGGGAAGCGGATGCGCTTCGGGCGATTCGCGACGAATTGGCTTTCTCGCAAGAACTTGGGGTTACCGCGGCCCGGCGCGCTGGAACAAGAGCTTCCGGAGTCTCCATTTGACGATTCACCACGGTTATCGGTTGATACTCTGGATATCTCGGATAAGGCGACAGAGGCTTCTGTGCCGGAGGAAGTCCAGGCTGCGCAGGCTGATACTAATCGCCCTCGCTCCGACCAGGCGGCGGAGCTATTGCCGAAGTTGTTGCGGTATACCAAACTCTTGTTTGCGTCGCATAATTTCTTCTTTGCATACGATTATGATATTACGCGATCATTCAATACCCAGGAAGCGCGAAATGGACATCTGCCTCTCCACAAAGTTGTGGACCCATTGGTATGCTCTAATCATGCACTTGCTGGCAAATGAACAGTATTCAGATATCTGTTTACGGCCATTACTAATTTGATTCTAGTATTTTTGGAATAATCATCTCATGACAGCATTCATTGAGAGCGGAGCTCATGGTTTTGTATTACCCTTGTTACAGGGCTTTGTTGGCCAACGGGAGTTCATCGTGGCTGCTCCCGAACAGAAGAAATCCAACGATTCTTCTGTGGAGCAGCAAGTTGAAGGCCGCATTCTTGGGGAAACTCAGGAGGTTGAGGGTGTCGAGACAAAGGTTCCCAAGCATAACTTCCTTTTGACACTCATCTCGCGGCGCTCGGTCAATCGGCCTGGGGTTCGCTATCTGCGTCGCGGCGTGGATGATGAAGGAAATACTGCCAACACTGTCGAAACAGAACAGATTCTCTCAACTCCGGAATGGGATTCCTCGCATAATGTCTACTCATATCTGCAGGTCCGAGGATCCATTCCTCTGTATTTCTCGCAAACCCCCTACTCCTTCAAGCCTTTGCCGATCCTGCACCATTCCGCCGAGACGAACCAGCTCGCTTTTGGGAGACATTTCCGAGAACTGAGCCGGCGATATGGCAAAATTCAGGCTGTCTCCTTGATTGACAAGCATGCCGGGGAATTGAAACTGGGCGAACAATACGAGAGATACACTGGTGCCTTCAACGAGACTGGTGGTATCGATGGCGTGCCTCTACGCTTGGAGTGGTTTGATTTCCACAGTGAATGTCGCGGCATGAAATTTGAGAACGTATCCCGCTTAGTTGATCGCGTCACGGATACTTTGGATGAGTTCGGGTATACCACGATCAAAGATGGTACCTCGTTGCATCAACAAACAGGTATTGTGCGGACGAACTGTATGGACTGTCTCGACCGGACAGGGGTCGCACAGTGCGCGTTTGGGCAGTGGGCGCTAGAACGTCAACTACAAAATGAGGGGATCAGCATCGATCTCGGGGGCGATTCTTCAACGCAATGGTTCAATACTCTCTGGGCTGATAATGGCGATGCTATCTCTAAGCAATACTCGTCTACTGCTGCGCTTAAGGGAGACTATACTCGCACTCGCAAGCGAGACTACCGCGGCGCTCTCAATGACCTCGGGCTTACTCTCTCGCGGTATTATAACAACATCGTCAACGACTTCTTTTCACAGGCCTGCATTGACTATCTCCTCGGCAATGTCTCGACCCAGGTTTTCGACGAATTTGCCCTCGAGCTTCAAACCACCGACCCCGGCATCTCGGTCCAGAAGATTCGACAGAATGCCATTGACACGAGCTGCAAAATCGTCATCAGCAGCCCCTCTGAAGAATTTCTCGGCGGCTGGACCATGCTCACGCCACGGCAACCAAACACGCTCCGTACCCTCCCCTTCGAAGAGTCGGTGCTGCTGTTAACTGATGCAGCTGTGTATAGCTGCCGCTTTGATTGGGAAACCGACAAAGTGCTCTCCTTTGAGCGCATCGATCTCCGCTCCATCTCCCGCATTCACTATGGCACATACATCACCTCCATCATGACGGACAGTCAAGCCAATGAGGGCAGCAACGTGGGTTTGGTGATCGTCTACCGTGACGGCGACGCGAACGCCCTCCGAGTTAATACGCGCTCGCTGCAAACCAACGTGCGTCCTGCGGCGCTGGAGGCGACAACCAGCTCCAACGGTGAATGGGATCTGGTATCTTGGCTGCGCGGCACTAAACGTGCAACAACGCGGTTTGTCGCGTTCAAATCCATGCCGCTTTCAAATGCAATCTCCAGTCCACGACTCGGACCTGGCGCTGGGGCCGGGCTTGCGGCGGGCAGTGGGAACGTGCGCGAGCTCGACCGAGTGCGATCGATCTGTCAGGATATTGAACGTGCACTTCTGGCCGGAGATGGACAAAATATCGACGCGGCGTCTGTGGTGGAGCAATCGGATATTATCTCACTAGCAGATGCGAAGAAGCGGACAGGCATTTTGGAGTATCTAGTATACGATATCAAGAAGATGGTCTGGGCTTGATGGATGGCCAGGCCTCAACCATGGGGATGTCTTTAGCCTGGCTCGGCCTGGTATACCTTGCACATACTACGCATAAGTATCGCAGCACAACACACATAATCGACTTGCAACATTGATTCTTTCCTTTGCCATCTTCTCTTATTCCCGATCCGCAGAGTTACTTCATGAAAGATTGCTTTCCTACCTTGGCTTCTTAGCGCCGGCTGTCTTTGCCAACAGTCAGGCTATTAGTCACTCTCATATAGCAGCACCTATACATAGCCGCCTATCATATCCCACGTGACTCCTGATGGAGCTGTCCAACTATTATTATCTCCTGAACCACATAGGGCCGCAGTGTTCTTAACGTTTACCTAGTGCGGGGAGCGGGAACAATAGTCGACGCACGTACCGTAACCCTGATTCTTTTTGGTAACCTTAAAAATGTGCGAGGTTACTCTTCTAGCATCAGTAGATGAAATAATCCTCCAGTCGGGCTCTCCCAGATGTCAAGGTCATGTTTCGAAGTTCCGATAATAGGCCCCATTTATGGGAGGCCGAGGATTCTGCAGGACTATATATATACAGCCTGGGGCATCTGTTGCCTCCCTTACCCACAAGCTCCAGATTCTGGACATAGCTCTGGCTTGTGCCCCTCTATGTACTCTCTTCTTCTCTTGTTTCCACCGCAAAGGCCGATCTCTTCTGCTCTCTATGCACTGGCCTTAATTGCTTCTTGAATCTATAGATTGTTCTTTTGCGCCTGCGCCTCTGGCAGATTGTTGGTAGTTGACCGCCTTTGAAACCGCCTGTTGTTCTGCCGGTCCAACGCCTGACTTCAAAAAAAAAGGAAAAAAAGGAACCAGCAAACCTCCCGTCAAAGGCAGAGAAGCCCCGATCGACTGGATTTTGTTTTCATCCCCTCTACTTCACCGGCTTCAACCATTTATTCCAACCTCGGATTCCTCCTCTCAGTGTTGGGTTTTCATACGCCGACACTCCAGGACCGAACGGCTTTGTGCCTCTCCGCCAAATTCGAAGGGGGAAGGTCCCGTTCCCACATTCTTGGCGGGGCTCCCTGTGTGCCACACGCACTTTTGCTGCTCCCACGGTCGCAGCTAGTCGACTTTAGCATTGCTTCAAGATGGATTGGACTCCCACGGACGAGGGATTGAGCCAGCTGGCTTGCTACCTGAGAGACTCTCTCAATGGCACGCAGCCCGACCTCCGAAGACATGCCGAACAGGTACGTTGATCCTCGCTTTTGAGATCGTTCTCGCTTTGGGTGTTTCCGCTGCACTTCTCCCCCCCCTCCTCCCCTCGAAAAGGGAACCTCACCCCCTCTGCTCCATGCACCTCGGCTTAGAAGAATAAATAAATTCATAATGGCTGACCGGCGCCTGGCTGAATGGGAATTAGATGCTGAGTCAAGCGACTGCAAATCCGGACTATGCCAACTACATTACATACCTATTCGCCGCATCGCAGGTCCCTGCCGCGGTCGCCCAGGCTGGCATTGATCCGACTACTTACAATGTCGTGCGGTTCTCTGCCGCCATGAACCTGAAGATCAAACTTGTCATGGCCTACAACACCCTTTCCCCGGCCAGCATTAACTACATTCGCTCTTCCGCCCTGGTCGCCCTGCGGGATGCGGACCGCCAGGTCCAAAGGGGTGCCGGCACTATCATCACGGAACTGGTGCAAAAAGGTGGAATCTTGGCCTGGCCCGATGTGTTACCGGAGTTGTTGTCCCTTGTGGGCAATGCGACCGGTGATGTCTCGATTCCAACCCAGGAAGCCGCCATGGCTGCTCTGTTCAAGGTCTGTGAGGATAACCGCCGCACTCTGGACCGAGATTACAACGGACAGCGCCCACTCGATGTGATCATCCCGAAATTGCTCGAGTTTACCACCCGTGAGAGCCCTCGGGTTCGCGCGCTCGCTATCAACAGCATTCATATCTTCCTTCCGCAGCAACCCCAGGCCTTGATGGGCTCCCTCGACGTGTTCCTGTCGCAACTGTTTAACCTGTCGGGTGATTCCGACACCGAGGTTCGCAAGATGGTCTGCCAGTCCTTCTCACAGCTCGTCGAGTTTGCACCGGAGAAGCTTATCCCTCACATGGAGGGGCTGGTTAACTACATCATAATACAGCAGCAGAACCTGGAGGACCCGGAGCTTGCGCTTGATGCCGCCGAGTTTTGGATCGTTGCTGGGGAGCAGGATCTTTTGCAGCAACCGCTTGCTCCTTACATGTCGAAAATCATCCCTGTTTTACTACGCAATATGATCTATGATGAGGACGATGTTATTCGCTTGATGGGTGAAGTGGATGATGCGGATGCCGAGGACCGCGCCGAGGATCTGAAGCCTCAGTTCGCCAAGACTAAGGGTGCGCGCCTAGATTTGTCGAAACCGGGCGACCAAGCTGCCAATGGCCAGAAGCAGCAGCAGCAGGCTGAGCAGGAGGAGGGCGAAGATGATCTCAGCGAGGGTGAGATTGAAGATTCGGAGTTTGGTGATGACCCTGAGGGCGAGTGGACCCTTAGGAAGTGCTCTGCTGCCGCACTAGATGTTTTCTCGAGTGTGTACCACGACCCCATTTTTGAGGTCATTCTGCCCTATTTGAAGGAAACTCTTCGCCATGAACAGTGGCCCAACCGTGAAGCCGCCGTCCTTACCCTGGGCGCCGTTGCAGATGGCTGTATGAATGCAGTCACTCCCCATCTTCCTGAGCTGGTACCCTACCTTATCTCGCTACTCAATGACCCCCAGCCCGTGGTTCGACAAATTACCTGCTGGTGCTTGGGACGGTACTCGGAGTGGGCGTCACACCTGCGTGAGCTTAACCAGAGACAGCAATTTTTCGAGCCAATGATGGAGGGTATCCTCCACCGGATGCTAGACAACAACAAAAAGGTGCAAGAAGCCGCTGCGTCAGCGTTTGCCAGCTTGGAGGAGAAGTCGGATGACAACCTGATTCCGTACTGCGAGCCTATCCTTCGTCAATTTGTTCAGTGCTTCGGAAAATACAAAGACCGCAACATGTACATCCTCTACGACTGTATCCAGACGCTAGCTGAGTGCGTCATGACAGAACTGGCCAAACCGCACCTTGTGAACATCCTGATGCCTGCTTTGATCGATCGATACAATCAGGTCAACGACCAGTCCCGAGAGCTTTTCCCCCTCCTTGAGTGCCTTGGGTATGTTGCAGCCGCCTATGGAGACGCCTTTGCGCCCTTCGCTGCTCCCCTGTTCCAGCGCTGCACCAAGATCATCTATCAGAATCTCGAGGAGTTTGTCGCGTCACAAAACAACGAAGCCATCGAGGAGCCCGACAAGGATTTCCTGGTCACCAGTCTGGACCTTCTTAGTGCAATTATTCAGGCCATTGACCCGCAAAAGAGTGGCGAGCTAGTTGCCAACTCACAGCCTGGATTCTTCGACCTGCTCTGTTACTGCATGCAGGACCCCAACTATGAAGTTCGCCAGTCCTCCTATGCTTTGCTGGGAGACTGCGCAATCAGCATTTTCCCTCAATTGGAGTCCTTCATCCCCAACATCATGCCAACTCTGATTAAGCAGCTCAATCTGGACAGCATTCGGGACGATGACCGCCACACCGCATTCAGCGTGTTGAACAATGCCTGCTGGTCTTGCGGTGAGATCGCCGTGAATGAGAAAGCACCCCTTTCTCCCTATATAGAAAAGCTATACGAGGGGCTCCTGTCCATTGTCAACAACGAGGAGATTATTGATTCGGTCAACGAAAATGCAGCCATGGCTCTGGGCCGACTTGGTCTCTGTTGCGCGGACTCGATGGCGCCGCACCTCGGCGAGTACGCGAAGCCCTTCCTTACGTCAATGGAAAAGATCGACTTCACGCGTGAGAAGGCATCCGCTTTCCTGGGGTTCAACAATGTGGTTATGAAGAATCCCCATGCCATGGAGGCTAGCCTCGTGGACTTTTTCAACTCTATCTCCTCATTTCCGGCCAAGACGCTATCACAGGACGAATACCGGGACATCAAGAATTCATTCCAGCAGGTTTGTGTCTCCACCTCTTTTTACCTTGTCCTTTTACTTTTTCTAATGCATTGAACAGGTCCTGCAAGGCTACAAAAACATGATACCCAACTTCGACTCCTTCCTCTCCCAACTTTCACCTCAGGTGGCCCAGAAGTTGCGTTCAGCCTACCAGCTCTAAACCACATGCATCGCTCTTGAACTTTCCCCGATTTCACCTTGCACCGACCTCCCATCCTCCCCTTATTTCCCCTTGAATGATAGAATTGATGTGCAATGACATGACGTCTCCATGAATGACGACGCAACCCAGTACACACCATGCATTCATCCCATTCTTAAATATCCTCACGGGACGCCAAATCCTTCCCTTTGGCTTGTGGGTAAGAGCGAAGCCATTTCTCGCGGCTTGACGCTCATACCACCGTCTTTCTGGATCTAGCGTTTTGATTAGCTCTCATTCTATCTTCTTCTCTATGCTTTCATTATGCTCTCTCTCTCCATTATGGGATTGCTTTATCTCTCTCTCACTTGACCTAGAAAAAGGTGGACTTCGCAGGGGCCCGGTTCAAAAGTATGGGCATTAGGTCATGATTAATGCGAGATGTAGGCTTTTCACCCCTGGGCGTTTTTCTTATCTGCTTTTACATCCTTTGCGTGCTTGTTTCTTTCTCTGCATATTCTTATCACTCTTCGCAGCGGTATATGGGAGGCGGGGGGAGCAAAAGCTGGAGGGCCTCAAAAGATGTGATCTGACTGTTCATCTACCTTATATTTGATGATTGCCATGAGCATGACTCTGATTTTATGACGCTTGCAGTCCGTTTCTCCCGCCTTTTCTCCCCTTGTATCTGCATTTCTTTTGCATGTCGATGTCAACCGGGGCCGGTTCCTATCTGCTATTTTGATTCCAGCGTTGCGTTGTGTTTTCCTTAGATAGATAGATTAGATACCTAGGTAGATACTCTCATGAACGCCTTCATGATCCGTATACTTCCCTCGTCGGTCACTTCACCGTGCCCCGAAAGTTAGACTTACCATCCTCCTGCCTTTGTTAGAATAGTGCCGTTCTCCGTTTATGCTCTGCTGTCTTTCCCCTCGGTTGCAACGTCAATAAACCTGGATATTTTTGGATCATGACGATCGGCCCATCGCTCACTCGACCACCAAGCGACGATACCTCAACCCATCCCCTCGAGCACCCTCTCACCAGTGCGAGCGCAAGCATTCGTCCCTGGGGGGCCCACTCGACACCTCACGGACGGGATCTTCGTTTCGCTTATTTGACGCCCTGCGAGCCTGAGCTTAACTGACGCCCCCGACGATTGGCTGCCCAGAATACTTCCGGGACTACCAAGACGCGAGCCTTTCCTTTTCGCGCTTCTTTCCACGAAATTAGACTGCGCTGTTGTCCTGCTGGAGGTCCTTGAGTCTTGGCCCTTGCCTAGGCATGATGAGGCGATGACCTGGGCCCTGCGCTTATCCTAATTCATCTCATCCACCTCCCCTCGCCAACTGTAGAATCTCCGTCTCAGCCGCCTATCGCACGGGCACCGGTGTAATCCGCGTGCCCCCAGTCAGACCGTCAGACCGCTTCGCCCAGGGTTCTGCCGAGGTCCAACGATGAGGATCGGGCACAGACACGATCGCTCGCCATCCTGGCCTGGCGCGAGCTCGTTTTCGCGGAATGCTGCTCCTTTCCCTCCGCTTCTTCATTGCTCGCAATCCACACTCGCCCTAAAATGGCATGCAGACTGGGGCTATTCGGGGCACCCTGCCGGATATCCTCCTGACCCACTCTCGTTTCCTCTCGGGCCCGTGCTATACCCCAACAGGCCGCATCCCACGAGCTGACCGGCGCTCTTCAGTCGACTGGGGCACCGGGCGACGGTCAGAATCATATTCAGAGGGGGCGTACCGACGTTTCATTCTCAGCCTCACCTGCAGTGTTGATGCAATGTGCCCTAGGCTGACAGGAAGAAACTTGGATACTAATCGAACTTTACTACTTTACAGAGAACGGAGTTCGGAGTCTCTCGATTCACACCCGCCTTGGCTGCCGCCTCATATCAGGCGCTCATTGGTACTTGAACTTGAACTTGAACTGGTCAAGATTGGATCATTCTACCCTTCCGAAATTACGGAATTTCTATCCCCGAAGATTACCCTCATTACGCCGAAGCGAGAGGTGACCGACCCTGTCGAGTTACCAGATTAGGATACTGTAGGAGTTCCCCGAACATCTGTCGAGCCAGACCAGATAAGGTCATTTTCTTCAAGAATCCATCTCCTCTCATACTGTCATTTTATTTTGGAAACGGCTGTCACTGCGTATTTCCCATCAACTAGCCAACCCCGAAGCACCCCCCTCACTTCCAAGAGAGCTCCTCCCTTTACTTCCATCCTCGTTACCGTAGCTCCCTCCCCTTCTAGAAACAATCCATGAACCGCAGATGCCCATCCTCATTCTTGATACAATCCGCCAAGTTCACGCAATCTTCGTGATGCGCCCCGTCGCCGTCGCCCAATTGTGCATGCAGAATCGGTTGCGACGGTTGGCCCTCCATCTCGAGGTGGACGTCCGACGCCGCGTCAGAGAAGTTCTCCGCGCTCCAGGCGAATTTCCCTATGAGAGGCCCTGTGTTAATAATTTCTTGCTGCGGATGCTTTTCTAGTGTTTGCAAGGGGTGGGGCGAGAGGGAGGTGGCAACCGCGACTGGGACTGGAAGTATAAGATCTCGGACCCGCGGAGAAGCGTAGAGACCGCGCAGTCACCAACCATCACCATCTCCCACATGAAAACCAGTGTAATATATGCAGGGTCTAGCCACCACGAGGCAGACAGCTGAAAGCCATGAACGCGAAGCAAAAAAGCAAAACGCAAACCTGCAGGAAAAAGACGAAAGGCAAATTCCAATTGCAGCAGCTTACCCTTCTTGGTGCCAAGGAACTCATTCAAGTCCAGTTCGGAATATATAGCTTCTCCGGAGGGCCGGCGACAGTATGCGCAGAGGACATGTCCATTCTTGAGATGGATGTCCATGGATGACTTGTGGAAGCCCATCTTGCATGTGCAAAAGAGAGGACGCAGGTGGGAAGAAAAAGGTCGGGTTCTTTTTTTCGAGGTGGAGGCTTAGTCGGTTGTGTATGCTTCGTAGTCTTGGTATACAATCCCGATTGCAGCAAGCCGCCGCCTTTTCTCCTTTTTTCTGTAATGTTCTCGTGGCGGTTACAGCCCTGTTATTCAGGGGGCAATGCAGTCTTCAGAAGCAAGCGCTCCCTATCAGATATGGAATCGTGAATTCAAAAGTAATTTAAAGCAGGAACGGATGAACGTGATAAGGAAATATCACGTTGAAAATATCCCGGTACCAGCAGAACGGGAACACTAGGGTCGGTCTGGGCGTATCGATCCTAATGCTGCATCCAAGAGCATGGGTGAAAAGACAAGAGAAGAAAAAATTAAATGGTAGAAGCGCAATAGGAAAGAATAGAATTCAAAAAAGGGAAATAAAAGAAATAGATACATAGACAAGCTAAGGAAATCATTCCCAGTGTGTGAGTCCTGGATGACATCGGTATGAGGCTGCATGAGAGGCGGTGGCTCTGCCATCATGCTGGCCTCATGATGATGAGAGACCGGGGCCTTTGCCCTTGCCCTACCACCCGCGACCCATCTCCTTCATCTCAAAAGTCGATCTTAGACAGCCAGCATTTTTGAAACCTAGCACCGCCCAGCATGTTCTGCCTGGGGGTGAAGGCACGAAGGTCATCATGACTTCATGTACAGGGAGATGGGGCCCCCCAAGGCTCCGGCGGAAACGGTAGAATAAAACTACAGGACGGTTCGATTTTGAACTGGCTAGGGTTTTCTTTTTTTGTCTTTTATTTTTTCTCAGCCTCAGCTCTTGAAAGTGTGTCTATCGGTCAGAAGGGGCTATAAGGTGGTGCTGAAGGTTGGGCAACAGGGGGAGAAAAAGCCCTCGCTTCAGGACCCCCAGCCGCTTCCATCGTGGCCCCAGTGGATGATAGGGTGCAGAGGTGGCTTGGACAAGAAGGTTGACGCTAACGACTTTATTTAACTCGCGACATCTTTTCGGAGACTGGCGACGGGGCACGGGGTCGATCGGGAGAATATACTTTGACGGGATGCTATTCCTAGATGTCAACCGTCCTAGTGCAGGCGAACTAACGGGACTCCAAGAGTTAAGCTGATTTAGGCCACTTTCTTCAAGGAAAACACGGTCTCGTTCGCTGCGTTGCTGGGTAGACGGAATACATGTAGAGATATTCTCCCATCCAGCCATTCCGGCAGCCTGGAAGATCAATCAATATATAGATCTACTACAATGTACACATACTACATAGCCATCTCACCGACGTTGGTCGAGCGGTATGGCGATGGAAACCGACGATACTCTGGAGGTACACCGAGTTAGCCTCAGGCCTCATGTCCGTTGATCGACGGACCATATCCATCTAGGATGATGAGTCGAACCTCTGTCCCGCTCCTGTCGGTGCCTCATCGTCTAGACCCGGGGCATTGGTCGAGCCAATGGTGCTGGATGGGCTCGAGAGGATCGACCAAAGAGAAAATAAAAAAGAAAAGAGAAATAGCATAGTCTAACGCTAGCACATCACACTAATACTAACCAGGCGAGAAGAGAACTCCCTCTCCCCAACTTGTCAACTCCACGGAGAAGGAGAAAACACATGGATCTGGAGTCATCGGTCATAACTAGTGCCCCACGCGTCCAGGATAACACCATCTTGGCATCTTGGCATCTTGGCACTTTAAAGTTGCCTAGCGTAGGTCGCCGCCCATGGGCCGTGCTTTTTCTTGATGCGGACAAAAATACTTAGCATCCACGATGTCATGATTGCTGGTGGAGAGGGGGGGACCTCGAAAAGGATTCGAAACAATGGTTCATGGTTTTAAATTTGGTTCTGATTGATCTGTTTGCTCACCGGCCTGATCTGATGGACAGGACCCTGTGTTATGCGCGTTTGGGTCCGGGGTATCGCGTGTAACCCCGGGGAAGCGGGCGTTGATGTGCCTTGTATCTATTTCCGTCGCGACAGGACGGGAACCGCGACAGAAGTCCGCCCGACGCCCTGCAGTAGGACTGGATGTTGCTGTATCGACACCTCGGTCTGCCTGCCAATTGGATGGAGTGATTTCGAGACTCTGCAAGCAGAGTCCTCGAGTCCGCAGAAGGGGGGGGGTTCCAGTTAGTGCAAGAAGTGGAAACCGACGGCCATTCATTCGTCCGAGGATATTGGGCGAGCGCGAGTGCGGGATGAGGTGTCCCAGAGGGGGAGGACCCAGCGCGAAATGTTCCCTCGTTGAGCGGACGTAAGGAGAAAAGCACCGAAAGAAGAGATACGTTGGGAGCAGGGGAGGGAGCAAGTTTCCAGAGTGGATTAGAGAGCTCCGATCACGGACGATCCGGGAAATCTCCGCTTTCATAGCTTGTTCGAAGCTCAGGGTTGGGGGATAGGAGACCCATGTCCATTGCTGTCTAGTGGTGTCCATCCATGTCCCATCCATGTCCCATCTATGCCCCCCATCCCGCTCCTCGGGCGTGTGACGAGGCTAAAGCGGGTTGGGAGGAATAAAGTTGGCATGGCAGGACGGGACTTTGGCCCCCAAACGCTGCCAAAGTCCTTGCATTCCGCGCTAGCCCCGTTTGGCGCTATGTTGCGAGAAGCGAGACGCGACTATCCCCAAAGGAGGACGGGTTCCACGCTAAAGAAAAAGAAAAGACGATCTGGAGAAGAGCTTTGATTGGGTGGTTAGCATAAGCAACCAATGTGTGTGTGTGTGTGACGGGGGCAAGGTCGTCTCTCAGATCTAGTTTGATTCTAGTCGGTATCGTAGTGTTGAAGAAAATTAAGAAAATTCAGAAAATTAAGAAGTCCCATGACGGCGTATTGTCAAGTGTCGAGCTTCAAAATTGCAATTTGCCCCTCGCAGCTGGTCGATGATTGATGGTCGATGGTCGATGGTCTGTTGAGACTGTAGATTCAAGATCGACTCCCGAAACGTCCCCCGAGCAAGTCCGGGCGCACCGCCCACGGGTTTTCCAGCGGGATTTTCCGCCCTAAGGCCCGGAAGGGAAGGTAGCGTATTCGGCAGTGGGTGAAACTAACCTCATACAAGTTTGGGATTTAGAATTTAGGAATTTAGGAATTTAGGATTGAGGATTGAGGATTGAGCATTATCATTACCCACTACCTGCCACCGAATAAGGCAACTAGCTAGTCAGCGAGTCGGGTTTGCTTAGTGAGTCGTAGGTGAGGTGGGGTAGTTCTTGCGAGGCATCAAGTATAGAGTATAGAGCGTGGAGTTACTATAGCTTCATATCTCCATTGCCGCTAGAAACTTGCCCTCACCATGAGATATAATTACAGTTCAAGACAATGTAATGACTCCTTTGTTCCTTTTTTCTTTTCTTTTTCTTTTTCTTTTTCTTCCCCCCCCCAATCGTGGCTGCCCCAGTGTCTCCGTCCTTCGAAAGGGGTGTGGCACGCTGTGAGACTTTGAGGATCGCCAGGCTACAAAAAATGCTGCGGACGATCGTGGAGCCACGTGTGATGGCAGGGATTCTGCGTGAAGAGCATTCTACGGACTGGCCGGGGTCGTACAGAGAGTCCCGACAGGAAATCGGGGGACAGAAATGCAGGCAAGAACTAAGCGTGAGATCGAGGTACGACGGTTACAGAGACCGCAGGTTCGAACGCTCGAAGGCTCTAGGAAGCAAGGAGGGTATTTTTTGGGTTCCCCCCTTTTTGCAGAGACCACAGGGTAAAGACAACAGTGTCAAGGTGGCTGAGTGCGGTCCTGTTGTGTGATCTGACTGGTGGGCCGCGGGTGTCAGGATACACCGACATCTGACTGCAGGGATACCTGTTTCATCCCCCAGAAAACGTGGTAGTCAGGATTCCAACTGGCGGTCACTGCAGCTGCAGCGTGACCCTATCTGTAGGCATCCCTGATACCGGAAACCATGCTGGACTCGGGGAGACCAGGGAAGTATCCCAGCAGGCAGGCATACAAGTATAGAGGAGGAAGTGGTGCCAAGAGGGTAGTCGGCAGAGGAGAATCATAAACCAATAGGTCGATATCTCAGGACTTCTGAAATGAATAAAGCAGTAGGTAAGACTATGACCGTATTTATGTCTAGAATGATATACAGGACAAAATTTGAGATCTCCGTCGAAGGAGACTTCTTCGTAGACCATTAAAATAGTCTCTAGTACTTGCACCTCCTCATCGACCAACGCGAACACCGGGCACTAAAGCTATCTACGAGCCGGGAAAACACACTCCTACGACACCAATGTCAATTTCATTTGTGGTATTATCTACATCTCGTCCTCTTAACTTGATCCTCTTGTTCATCTCGCTCTCATGTGGCCTAACGTGGCGTAGCGTGGCCTAACGTGGCCTAACGTGGGTCAAACGTGACCGAACGTGTGACCCTGCAGGTCTCTCGCTCTTCCCCGGTCTCGACTTCATGGACCTCACCTCATCTGCCTTGTCGTCCAATCCCTGCCCTTTTTCCTCTTCGAGTTCCCGACTTCGCCCTATCCTCCCCCTTTCTGCTCTCTCTCACGGCTGCCCCCTCCCCCCTAGTTTCCCTGTCCACGGTGGTCCTAGTTCCTTTCTGTTCCAGCCTACTGGTAAGCTTCAAGGGAAATGGGTTTCCGCCCCCCGGGCCTGCTCCCCCGTCCGATCGGGGGTAGCAGAGAATGACGAGGACAGTGGGACGAACCCGAGCGACTGGGACATTCTTTTCCACCCGCTTACCGCAATGCTGCAGAATCGTCATCATGCCATTTCTTGTTGACTTTTACACCCCCCCCCCCCTATCCCCGTCTCTTCCAGCTGGCAAGGGGGAGGGGGTGGGGGAGGACTTGTCAGGAATCTGAGAACCCTTGACCAGGAATATGGAGGCAATGCTGCAATAACCCGAAACGCTGCGTCTTCGGTTGTCATTACCGAGTTCAGTTCAGCGCAATCTCACGTTCGCACGGGTAGAAACGGCGCCCGCCTGTCAGGCGAACCAGAGTCCATGAAAACCAGCCGCTCTTAAGCCCCTCCCCCCACCTCCCTTTCCTAGTGGATACCCTCACTAGACCAACTGGGGTTGGACCAGGATAGAGAACTGGGACCACCAGGCCCACGCCCGTCAAGGATGCGTCTGGGATAGCGTCGATGATTGACTGCCCCTTTACCCAACCGGGTATACGGTGCTGGCTTGGCTCTTGACGGTTTTCGATCCACAATCCAGGGTCCTCAGATCGCAGAGCCTTGCTAGGCAAAACATGGTCGATCGATGGGACATTCTCGGTGCATACCACCTCCAATCAAACTGGGATCGTCGTTGCTTTTTTGCTTTTATTACCCTTTGCGGATTTCTTCCTTTTTTTCCATTTTAATTCTGCGAAAGGAACAGCAACAGAGAGGAGCTTCTGCTTTGTCGCGCTTCATTTGAGCCCTTTACCACTCTCTCTTTTCTGCTATTCAGGGCGGCCCCTGCATCGACTCGGTTGAGGCGCCAGGACACTCTCCTCTCATGGAGTTCCCAAGATCGAGGCCATGGCCGCGAAATAAGGACTCACCCCCCCCCCCCCCCCCTCCAAAAAAAAAAAAAAAAGGCCAACAGAAACGTCTACCCAAGAAAGAAAAAGCAAGCGGAAACATCAGCGACCCGTTTAGGCTTTTGTGCCACCCGATTTCCTTTGCCCAATACCCCTTTCCTGTTCCCCTGGTCTGACCATTTGACCCAACCACCCTCATCCACGTCCACTCTAATGCGTCACGCAAATAATACTGTGTGGTGGAAGCCCAGCAACCTAGCCCACCTGTTCCGGCCGTAGAACTATCCGTGACCCTCTTGGGCTATCCAAGCTATCCAGATGCAGTTGCCGTCGGCTTGGCTGTCCCAGGAAATCATTCACTCCACTCATCTCCAACCTCCATCCTCTGACCGTGGCCCATGAACCAACCCACCTTCCCCAGAGAAGGAAGTTGTTGGATGGATTATGGAGGGTTCCCACGGGAAGACGCCTCCAGGTGAGATCTGGGATCGAACCCAGGACATTCCTTGGGCCCCGCGCGGGTGATGGTCATGCTCGCCTATCCCAGCCGTTTCTCCCTACGAATGTTGGGACTTCGCACTGCTCACACCCAACCAGAGGCTCGCCCGAAAACGAGAGCTCACATGCCGCCCAGTGGAACCCTGCAGCACGCAGTATCCAATGTCTCCAGTTTATCCAGTCCATCCAGTCCATCGGCCCCGACAGGCGCAACTCAAAACCCAACTCCCCCTGGTTCGGGCCTAAACCTTTGGAGGCAGCTGTATATGCCCCCTCAAATTAGAGTCCGTGGTACGCCCTCGCGCTTTTTTTGTGGCCCGTGGGCCCCCCAAAACGACGCCATGTGGTCCTCTTGCGGCCTGCTGGCCTGGTTCCCGTCCTTTGCCTCACATCGCCCCGCGAGCTGAGAGGGTCATCCTAGACGCCCCTGCAGAGGCTCAAAATCTCGATCGTCACTGGGGACAAAAATGAAAAAAATAAAAAATAAAATAAAGAAAAAGCGAAAGCCAAATTTCTCACCAAAATACCATCCTCGGCGAGGTGTGGCCCTGCTATCATTCTAAAACAATATTTATTATTATTCTTATTTCGTCTGGCCATATAATATTCGGATTTTTAAACCGAAAACCCCGAATTACCATGGAAAATGAGAAAATCGGATGATCCCCCCCCCCTTGGAATTAATCTTATTCTTAATCTTCTGAGTTGTGGCAGCCATCTGGACTACGCGGACCCTTCTTATGCCTCTGATTATCCTCCGTCCGATCCATCGACTCTAGCAGATCGGTCTTTTTACCCAGGTGGACGGACAGGAGAAGCGCGGTGATCAACGGCTCCCGATTCCTCTGACACCCTCCCAACTTGCCCCTACTTAACTTGTCTCGACTCTTCTCCCTCAACTTTCTTTCCCCGGACTTCCTACTATTGCTGTTGAACGCTGTTGAGAACTGCTGGTGCCGCGGAGTGATATCGATCCCCGTGGACTGCACCCCCACCACCATAACCATTGCTGACTGCGACTCGAACCGCATTTCCATAATTCCTACGATCATCACTATCCCGTTGATCTGCCCCCTTTGGACTTGGACGAACCCGAGGACCCTGTTCTTTTTTTATCGATCCTCGTTCTTCGCATTTGGGGCTCTGGGCTTCTCCAAACCCGCCGACTCGTATTTCCCACGTGCGGGACCCCCATTCTCGTACATCATTTGCCCATTTCCTACATTAACGGTACCTCGACATTCCTCACCTTTGCCCCCAAGTTATTTTTGGACTATCAACTTCTTGACCTCTACACTTGTCGACTGCTTGACTCCTTGACTTCATTTCCTTCCTGACTATTTGACCCCTTCTCAATCCTCTCCCAACTCAGAGCACAATATCACACTTTCTTCTACCACCCCACCTCGTTGCAGATCTTCCGTTGGCATATCCAGGCTCTCCACGTTGCCTTTCTCCCTGACAGAGACCATCGTCCTGCCTCCCTTCCTCTCACATCCTGATCCTCACCTCTCTTCACTTACCCTTTCCTACTTTCCCCTCACCATCCATACAGAGTCACCATGGCCGGCCCCGGTGGTGGTCCCCCGCGCAAGAGCCATACCAAGTCGAGGAATGGGTGTAAGACCTGCAAGCGCAGACACATCCGCTGTGATGAGACATTTCCACAATGGTATGCTATTTTCACCATGTCCCTACATCCCAGTATCCAGTATACTCTCCCCTCTCCAGAAGCTGCAGACTCTAACCGCAGACTCTTCTTCTAGCCGCAATTGCACTAAGCACAACTGCCGCTGTGACTACCAAGATATGGCCGCTCCGCAAGGTAGCCCGCCTGCCTCTCGGCGTGGCCCCGATCTACTGATGTCTCCGGACATAGAGATAGAGATTGAGAATTGGCATCGATCGGGCATCACTCCATATCCGGAGCTAGTAGGGTGTCCTCCAACAAGCTGGTCAGGCTTGTCGCGTTCCGATCTACGCCTCATTCATCACATTGTCGGTCTCTCAATTGACCTCCATCGGCGTGGTCTGAGTAACTGCACAATTTGGGCACAGATGCTACCCAGGTAAGAATGTTGTTAAGCAGTTCATAGGCGAGTCGAGAAAACGTGCCATAGTGCTGACTGTGAATGCTAGTAGTTTTCTAGGCCTTGCTTTATCAAATGACTTTGTGATGAGCGCAATTCTTGCGCTCTCTGCCTTCCACCTGGCATTCCTTACACGGGATCAGGAAACTAAACAGCTGGCGCTACATCACAAAGCCACTGCTTTCAAAGGCCTCCGGACCGCATTAGGTTACGCAATTGCAACGCCCTCTAAAATTAACTCGGAAGCCATCCTTGCAGCTTCGATCTTACTCTCCTGGCAAGCAACCGAGTAGTAAGTACCTCCGACCAGCGATATGATAACTATATCCACTAACTAAATTGCCATTCAGCCCAAGTTGGGTTTCGTTGCAACAAGGGATTTCCACTGTTCTTGAGACCATGTATCCCATTTGGAAGCAGGAGTCTGAGATTGCCCAGTTTGTCGAAAACCAGCGCGCCCAGAGCGCATCTGATTATTCGATGTCGTTTGACGAGGATCTCAGCCAGCTGGATCAAACAATGCATGCACTTCAGGTGGCGCAAAAGCGCGTGTCACATAACGGAGAGCACTTCCAGCGCCTGGGCGAGCTCATTGATTTTGTGCAACAATTTCGAACAGACTTTCCTACCCTGACCTCAGAGCAGGCCTTTGATCGCATCCAGATATTGCGCCAATGGCTTTTCTGGCTGCCACCATCGCTTCTCCGTAACGGTGAACCCGAGTTGAACGCTCTCGCAGTTCTCGCACAGTTCTTTGCTGTCGGCATGACCCTAGACCGCTTCTATCCTGATATGGGCGGTGCCTACCTAGGCGCTTTATCAATTGGTCCTATCGAGGAGATGTACCGTATCCTGGCCGCACATAACGCCACGGATCCTTTCAGTGCCGAGTTACGACTTGCTATCAGTCTGATGGATTTACCACGCCATGCTGTCTCGCAATATCGTAACCGTCTCGCATGGTCGCCCAGGCCTTCAATCGAACACTACTCGCCCGGTTCCGCCAGCCCCTACCACGCACTTCACGACTACTCTCTCCCCCCATCCTCTTCGCCTGCCTCTGCCTCTCCCTCCTACGCCGCCTACACACCACCGCTCCAGTCACCACCAGCTGTGACAGTCGCCGGATCACCCTTCACACTCACCGATAGCTACGTCACGGCCGCGCCTTCTCATACTCTCTACCCTCCATCTCCACAACTACTCGACTCCCACGAAACACAATTGGGCCTGTCTGATCTCAACCAGGCTGGCTCTATCCCTCATACATCTGCTTTCACACCTCCTTATGGCAGCGATGTCCTCTGTGCCGATCTCCCACGTGCAGATAGCGCACTTGGATTGAATATGGAGGTATATCCGCCACCACATACGTTTGAGCTGTCTGGCTTGGTCGTCCCCGAGACCTGCTGGACATGATAAAGATCAGTCTCTGGCTGGAAAAAAAAAGAGAAACAGGAAAACAGGACCATCTCTTCTGGTTTCCACTGAAATTACGAAGTCAATGAGTCTAATCGATTCTATATTTTTTATTTGAGATTCAGGAAACTCCCACCTCATCATTTTCATCCTCATATCCCGCTGGGCTCTGTTTCTATACTGATGTCTCTCTCATTTCTTTCTTTCTTTTCATGTTTCTTTTGAATCTTCTGATCTCAAGCATGAGCGTTGGTACGGCCTGAGTTGTGCAACCCAGAAGGTAATGACTCTAAGTGATATATACCCCGGACCGAAAATAGGGCTTTCCCCGGTCCCAATTTTTTTTTTTTCGTTGGCATGATTGCGGGCGATCTGTATGGTTATGTTTGTACCTTTTTGGGAGTTTTCTTGCATATGTCTGTTTGATTTTTATTGTCTTGGTTTGCCTTGAGAAATTTGTGTCCCTAAGAGGAATTTAGAACTTTGGAACTTTGGAGTTTGGAATCATGGCCTGCAAATTTATCTGGGAATGAAACTTTCAATCTTCTTGACCTCTCTGTCTTTGAATAATCCATTCAGTAGCTCGGCTCGATTCTATGGATTGACGGAACCTAGGACCCCCCAAAGAAAGTCTGACTTCATTTCCACTTCGACTTACTTGCGATGTGGCTGCACTACCAGCCCCATCTTTTCATCCTCTCGAGAATCACTCTAAACATAGAAACTAAGAAGGATCTCTAGTTGATTTCCCTCGCTCCTCGCCTGCTGCATTCTACTGACCACCCCAACCACCCATACCAAGACCACTACCTGCTCAAAGCGGACCCGATCGCCAGGAACGATGCTATTCCTGTACTCCAAGAATAGACAGCGCGCGAGGGTGGAAAGGCCCATGACTGTGACCCGCACAAGTCCATCAAGAATAAACTATACCGTTCTCCACCACCCCCTTTGGCCACGATTCACCAACCAGCACCGCCAACTATGCATCATCACCAGAAAGTTAGAGCCTTTCCCCTTACTCCATCTTCAGCTTTTCACTCCAGCCCTTCAGCCCAACCTAAAGAGGGTACGACCCACAAGGCCCTACCGGGCCCATCTCGTATTCGGCAGATCGAACATGCACCCCAGCGGCCCCCTCTATTGTCGCATGGCACGCAGGGATAAGAGTGGCACAATGTATCCCATGCTGACGGTACGTCGGCGTCACCGAGTACGGACGCCTTCCCAATTCCATCTAAGATGCCCATTCCCGAATCGATGGACTCGTTTCAGAGTGGTCACACAGGGGCGGGGGACCTGCTCATGCGACTGTTACAGGTGGAGGCCATGCAGTATCAAGTATGTGCGTGCTTCTCCACCACCAGAGCCGAACCGCAACCCTTCTTTTAGCGTGGCCAAGGCGGGTGTTTGGTTGGTTGGAAGTCGGGGATCGGCAGTGGGAGAGGGCTAGCGAAGAATGAGAGTGAAAGTGATCGGCCCGCCTCGTGTTTTCTCTTCTATATTTGGCACAAGTGCCTATTTAGTTCAATGGATCATATTAGATCATTCCGGGTAATAACTCCTGGCTTGGCACCAGAGGAGCACATTGTATACCTATCGGGGATGACTTAAACAACAGTACTTCGTATCAAGTAATATATCTCATGAACTAATGACCAGTGAGTTCTACACCTTGGACACTAGGCTAAGTGATAATTTACAGCTTTATATCTCAAAGACAATGGAGTGAGGCTTGCAGTAGCGTAGCATTCTTGAAGGGAAATCAAAGCTCTCCATAATATCTTCAATAATTCCAACCTTCTGTGGTTCAAATCCAAATCTTCCAATCAGATCGCTATGTGATTTTGAGATACGAAGTTGCAACGGAAGGCGAACGCCGACAATTGCCCAGACTCTACCTTGCGTTGACTCCGTACATACTCGTCAGCCCTATTTTCGGGTCGTGTTCCATTTTCGTGCATACTAGGGTCGATCTTCGGAGGTTCATTGTTGACTCTAATCTATTATCTTAATTTTCACCCTGTTTAATGATACTATTCTGGGCTTTTGGATTTATATTTGGATTTGTAAGAGCGGGGACGACCGCGAGGGAGGCATGCTACACTAGGTTAGTTTGAGTTTATTCTTTGGACGGAGGGATGGGGAACGAGCCTTCTTACCCTCCCTTCCTAATCGGCTTGCGTCTACAATAGCACACATCCTCGATCGGGCAATTTTATTGAGATTTCAACCGTGTACGGTATGTTTCCAGCTTGCAGGAAGGTTTGACATCACCTCATCTCCTCCGACGTGAGGGTGGGTTTATTTTTGGGTCGTTGATTCGGAGGGGAGGGTACAGGAAAGAAATGAGATAGTTGCCAAGGAAGCAGTCTTGTTTTCGTTTTATGTTCGGATTTCGTTTCTTTTCCTTTTGACTTCTTTCTTTGCTTCATTCTTCGCTTCTTTTGCTTCACCTCTCTATTATCAATTGCCTCTCTTAATCTCAAGCCCTAGCTTGAAACTACATCTTGGAGGTATAACATCATAGAGTCGGGCTAAAGAGCGCCTGCCATCTTTTTAGGCACTTTGAGATACTTCTGAAGGACAGAAATGTAATTGCGACATTAATTTCATGGTATTGGTCAGGTTTATCCACCTGAACAGAGCTTGAGGTTGAGCCTTCTAGGAAGATCGCTTGTATAGAAAGCAAGATGTTGATGCTCTACCTTCAGCTTATTTCGCACCACGAGACAGCGTCTAGCTTAATATTATTTTTGAATACCAACTCAAAAAACTATAATCATCCGTATCTGTTAGTGACCTGAGTGTGAATACAAACAGCAATAATTTGCTGGCCCGCGCCTTTCATCGTTTGATCAGATCCTCCTGCTCACGTTTTCTGTTTCCGCTTCAAAATCGAGCTTCGCTCTTCATATGTTCATTTGGAAAATATATAGATTTTATTTCCTTGCACTTTTGGAATTTTATTTCCAGCCTTCTTCTCACTCTCGACAGCCCATCGACAAAAGTCGTGCTATATAGATCTGACGGCCCGTGATTGGCAACTTTCCACGTGACCTATGACATAAGTCCCACATGCCGGACAACGTGAAGGTAGGAAACCTACGCTGTTGACATCTTGAAGCTCTCGAAAAGGACGCCTCAGCCAGCATTACTCTCCCCAGATTCCCTAAACCTGGTCCGATAGGCTTCATAATACACAAAGCATTACCAAGTCATGGCTGATGCAGGTGGCTGGAGCACAATCGAGTCCGACGAGGTATATCACTCCTCACCGAGTTCTCCGCAGCTCCGACCCGCTAACAAGGTCCCAGGGTGTATTTACCTCTCTCATCGAGACGCTCGGCGTCCAAGAAGTACAATTTGAAGAGCTCATTTCTCTAGACGCAGACACTATACGGTCCCTCGGGTACACCTGCCCTCGTCTTTCTTTCCCCTCTCCTCCATCCCCAAATTCCATACCTTTCCTGCACCTCCAGACCAAGAAAAAAGAGGATCAAACTAACAGTACCTTTCTCCTCACACAGCCCCGTATACGGCGTAATCTTCCTCTTCAAATGGACCCGCGAAGCCGCCGGCGCCGGCGCCGAAGCCCCAATCGATGGAACATATGACGAGAATGCCACCTCGAACGACGTTTTCTTCGCAGCACAAACGATCCAAAATGCCTGCGGCACGCAAGCTATCCTCTCCGTGATTCTGAACCACGACACCAGCTCAGCTGCCCTGCCGCCTATCAACCTGGGCCCCGAGCTGAGCTCATTCAAAGACTTCACGGCCGGTTTCCCACCCGAGCTGCGCGGCGAGGCACTGTCTAATTCGGAAGCTATTCGGAGCGCGCACAACGCGTTTGCGCGGGCTAGTCCGTTCGCGGATGAGACGACACGACCGGCAGATGAGGAGGGCGGCGACGTGTACCACTTCATTGCGTACACAGCCGTGGGCGGGACGCTGTACGAGCTGGACGGGCTGCAGCCGCACCCGATTAGCCACGGCCCGTGTGCGGACGGGTCATTCCCGGAGCTGGTGAGCGATGTGCTACAGCGGCGAATTGCGCGGTATCCGGCCGGGGAGACGCATTTCAATTTGATGGCGGTGGTGCGGGACCCGCGGGGGGCGGCGCGGGAGATTGGAGATGCGGAGACGCTGGAGCGGGAGGAGAGGAAGCGTGCGGCGTGGCAGTGGGAGAATACACTGCGGCGATGGAATTTCGTCGGCTTTATTGGGGAGATAATGAAGGGCGTTGTGGGGATGAAGGAGGGGCAGGATGCGAGTGGGAAGGCGTATGAAGAGTGGGTGGAGGCGGCGAAGAAAGAAACCAGGAAGAAGTTGGAGATGCGGAGGTAGCTGGCGAGACTCGTCTGTTACTTATGGATCCTCTCGACAGTTATTGCTTTTTCTTTTCTTTCGGGTCGTGTTTGAATATTGATGTTATGCTACTGTCATGTCATGATATGGGAGGGTCTTGATTTGCGAAGACGACCATATCTACGAATCTGCTCAGATACCCTGGTGATAATAGAGCGGGAGCTACCCGGAAAATTTGAAAGGGAGAGAACATTTGGGAAACATAAATAAACGTATCATCAATCGGCCGCAGCCTTGTTCTATGCATCTTGGTAGTTATGTACGGGACGTCCACATCGTAACTTCATCGTGATGCACTCATTAATGCCATCAAGATCATTCATCAGCGCAATTCTCAAGTCAATCAATGGCTCAGTAGTCGAGCCGCCGCGCCCGGATATGCTCGACCATCGCGGGAGGGAGCTCATCCGCATTAACCAGATTCAGTGCCAGAAGATCAGACCAGAAGAATAGGACTCGGTCTTGGGCGTAGGCAAGATAATCGAAACCATCTTCCTCATCCATGTCCGTCTCAACCGGAGACATGTTGGCATGCTGGCTACTCCCATTGGAACCAAAATTCCCATTATCGGGAGATCCGTTGTTGGAGGCTGCGACCATCTTGGCAATGCCTTCCTCCATACCGGGGACTTTAGCCTGCACAATGCCCCATGCGGCCCACTGCGCCGAGCACATCACACGCCACAGACGAGTTTGGTGCATGAGATTCCGGACCTCCGACTCCAATTCGTCATCCCCACACTTATCTAGTGCCTGGGAGCTGTGAACTTCGGGTCCGTCGTCGAGATTTAGAGGGGTAATGGCGGTTGTAGGCCGGCCACCACGCATTGCGGGGGTGGCCAACGGGGAAGTAGGCCCCCCAGGAACAGCAGGGTGGTGAGTAAGATAGGTCGCCACAAAGCGATACTGTTCGTCGGGTGTGGGGTAGAAGCGAGTGTTACAAGCCCAGGAGCGCTCTTCGTCGTGGTAGTTGTAGCACCATTCGGTCTGTGGTGGTCAGCATAAACTCCGCCATCTTGAATATAAGAAACTCACGAAGTGGTTAGCAAATTCAAAGCCAGGGGTATTCGCTGAAGAGTATTCAAAATCAATAACAACCAACTGCTTGTGCTCGTTGGCTGGCAGGAGTAGAGGAGACTGTGTGGCAGGTTCCATGCGTAGTAGATTGCCATATTGGGTCTGGGAAAAATAAGCCTTTGTCGTCGATAGATCTAATCGCCAAAGAGATCAAACATACATCATTATGAGCGAAGACGAGCTGCTGTTTGATCTCGTCGATTCCCCCACAGCTAGCGATCAGCCATTTCCGATAGCTATCCACCGCCTTGCGGAATACAGCCCATGGCACACCGCAAACAAATCCGCGCAGGCGCCATGGTTCCAGAGCACTTTTCCTTTCGTTCTGTGGAGATTCAAGTTCCTTATCCAACCAAGAAGTCACTTGTTCGCAACGATCTACCCATTTATCCCAGTTGCTGAAAATCATTGGCCCGCCCTCTCGCTCCTCGTCTAGGAGATCCACGCCATCATGGAGCTCTCTCATCCGCTTCGCAATCTGCTTGGCAGTCTCGGGAATCCGAAGGTCCTTTGCGGTCAATGTACGAGCTTCAAAATACTCCTCAAAACGACCATTCAGAAAAGTGCCGAGCACACGCGGCCCAATGTTTTTGCGACCCAGGCGACGCAGAATCTGCAATTCTTTCTCACGGTCAATCAAATGATCCACCTGGGGGCCATAGATACGCAATAAAAGCTTTCTGCAAGATAAGTCAATTAATGGAGTCCAATGAAGCGGATTATGATTAGAAAAGCTTACGGTGGCGGCTTTCTCGACACCAATGAGGCAGATCCATTCTCGATTTTCGTGACAGGGAGATGTCTAGGTGGCTCCACCACGTACACGGCATTTGTCAAAGCGCCGCTCAGACGGATGACCTTAACGTCGCCCGCGGCCTCTGGTGGGACCTTACGCCAGCCCCGGAGCTGCATCGTGTGCGCAAGACGCAAAATCTCGGTCTTGAAAGTCAGCCAGGCTTCCTGATCCTTAGAACGTTTGGGACCATCAGTGGCATCCTCTTCTGCGGCGCCGCCCGTGTAGGCGAGCGTCTTGGAGTTGTCAAGAAAAGCTTCCACGCTAGGCACAGGGGCCTCAACATCAGTGTATTCGGAGTCCGATGCGGAGCCACGTCGGAGGCCCTTAGGTCGTCGGCGAGCTACTCGCTTGACAGTCGATACGGAGGCGGGTAGCGTACTTCCAGAGCTTGTCTTGGCATACTGAAGGAGGATTTTTTCCAACTTGTCGAGGGAGAAAGTGCTTTCGGAGCTCGAGCGAGATTCGTCTACCGGGCGCTCTGCGCACTCTACATTCGCGTTCGGGGCCTCTGAGACTTTGGAGGCCGCTTCTGCCCGACGAGCCTTGCGTGTCTGGCGTCTAGTTTTCTCGTGCTGTAGCCATTCTGACACCTGGTCGAAGAGGCTCAGTTGGGGATCCTCGTCGGGTTTGAAGGATTGCTCGGGTTGCTCTGAGTTGGAGGTATCCGGCTTCGAGCCTGATTGGGCGCTCACCGCGGCAGGCATGGACGTTGGGTTGATTGTTGGACGTGCGGTCACTTTTGCGACGGGGACTCGGTATTGCTTGAAGGCGGTCCCGTCGGGAGGGGAAGCAGGACCGGATCCACTCGTGTGCAAGACCTTCCGCAGAGAAGGGATATCCAATCCCGTCCCCGAAATAGGCGGAGAGTCTACCAGGGGGTTAGTAAAATTGAAGACAGCTCTCCAGGGAGATCTAAATCGAGAGAGGTGCATATGGAAGAAGGATGTCGACGTCACAGCTGGCACGCCACCCAATGGGAAACCCCAACGGGACACGCGACAGGTCGATTTGATACAGATACAACAGAGAGGGGGAAGGGGGGCGCAAACGGGAGAGAAGTCGGGTCGGGAAAACCCAGTGGGCTCTGGAATATACGAAATCGGAGTGGAGCTCAACACAGCCGAAGGAAAGAGGCCTACCTGCTACTTCGGGATCACGGCCAGCATGGTCCTCGGTGAATGAGGGCATGTGTTTTCAGACCGCCCGAGACGCCACCAGAAAAGTCTGGCGGAGTGTACCTTTAGGTAGGCGAAAGAAGACACGAGACTGGATTCAAAAGCGCCTTGGAATGATGGCAATTGAGTTGGAAAATCAAAGAATTGCAGCAGATCGAATCAACAACCGCGGAGGTGGGGGTGGGAAGGTCGCTTTTTTTGGAGCCCCAGAACAAAAAAGGGTGGGCAAGCGCACGGAACAGTCCCAGCGGATAGGGACAAGCTTGGTAGGCTCCAACTCTGAACCACGCGTGAAGGAGACCGAATGTGAAGGTCTTCTGGACTGACGACAATGACGGGTGCAGAAGAACAGTAAAACAGAAAGAAAAAGACGTCCTAGTCCTCCAAATTCAAAGTGGCGAGAGAAAAAGGCGCTTATCGGGGAGGCTCAGGTGACCTACTGGCCTGGCGGATCTGGCAGCAAACCCGGAGCCAACAGCGCCAGCGAAGCACAGTCCAGGTTTCATGCGCCGGAAATTGCGGTCTACTATCGCAGGCGAGCATATCGGCCAATGGCACTGCTCCGAGATAAGCTTGGCCATTCACGGGGGCTCGGGACGTGACGGGCGCAATCGGTGAACAGGCGAACAGGCGAGCAGGCGCGCCAGATTGGTAGTGCCCTCACGCGAGCATCTCGTGCCCCCGATTTCGAGGTCATACATCGTACCGATTCGCCATTGGGCTGGTCCCAGACAGGAGTATTGGGTGTTTCTTGGCTTCTATTGGTTTTCTCATTCCATAGTCGCATGTGGGGGGCTCGGGGTTTCTGGGTTGGTTCTCGGGGTGCTGGAGTCTATTGGGAGATAGCGGTCCGGACCAGGACGGGTCCCCTGGGTGATTGAGGTGGAGCCACCTCTAGAGCATTGTTGGGTACGGATTGAGTAGCCGAGGACAGAGGATATTTGGCATCCAGCGGAATCCATGTGGCACCCCTCGACTGCAAGAGCTGGACAAAGCATGAGAGGAGGGGAGATGCAGTAGACAAGACGTTAGGCTAGACATTGGCCATGTGGAGGGGCTCAAAATGACCGTATGATGCGGTATTGATGACACGCATTGCAGCCTAATTGTACAGGCTTTCAACACTGTCCTTGAACTTCGACTTTCCGTATTGCCCATCCTCTGTGCGAGTCGTACTAAGCATTCAATCCCCAATTCAATATTGCGACTTGGAGCCAGCAGCCTGTCGTCATTACCCGTCGACAGCCTCAAGCTGTGGATTTGGAAGCCTTACCTTGACTTGAGGGCTTCCCAACATTGAACCAATCGATCCGCAATCCCGAGCGATCATGCTTTTTCAAGAGCAGATTAAATCAGCGGAGAAATACCATTGGCATCAAATCATGTCTCAAAAAAGTTCCCTCAGAGTGCCCCCACTTCGCGAATTAAGAACATAATTCTTGCGTGAGGAAAGGCTGAACATGGTCTAGAGAAGAAGAGTCATGTGGTGGTGCTCAGGAAAGAGCAGAATCTCGCCTGGTCGGGGATGACGAGACCAAAAAGCTTCTAGAGTAGTCAAGGGGGTATAAGGTTTTCCTGGAGTGCGACGCTCAAGATCCAGCGGCTGTATACAGGTGAAACCTACTTAGGAACTATGTATATCCTCTGTCAGTACCGAGCCATTGTCCACTGATCTTAATGTGTAGGATACGAGGGTCCTGTGTAACATGGACTGGCAGTACAATGGACTCTCTCCTATAAGGGCTTTTCTGTCTTACTCAGTTCACTGGGGCGGAGCCAGATATTGCGAAATAGCCTCTATGATAGCCGCACTCTCTACACAATATTCGGGCGGTCCGACGCCTACTTTACCATCACCCACATCCCTTATCTAATAATATGACTAGCCGCTAAATTTCAACTTTCTAAATTTACGGACTGTATAGACTGGTCGACATTTGCCAAGAAGAACACTGGAGGTTGATTGATAAAGGATACTATATCTGCGGACTATGATGCCCTCTGTTAGGACATTAATATTCCAGTCAATTTCTTGAATTACGTAGAATAGTGTAATGTTGATACTGAAGGTTCGAGAAAGCAACGAAATAGTCTCGGCGGTGACAGATTGCTGGAAGTATAGCCCAAGTTCATTAGTAGTGCACTATTATACCATGGCAGAATAAGGGCCTACTGTTTCCTGCCGGTATTGAGAGTTGATAGTAGGTCGAGTAGGTCATTACTCACATTCCCGATTTGATACAGAATAGAAGGCCGTACATGGCAGCGGGTGATCTACTGGCGGCTGGCTGACCAAAGCTACAGGTGGAAAGAGGGCTGTTTCTGGCGCCAGATCGGTTGTCATTATCCTCATCAATTTCACAAAAGCTATTTTCAAGTTGTAAAAGCGCCAGAATCAATGCGAAGGTTCATTATCGGGTAACAGAATTTTCCGCTCAATGAATTGGATTCGTCCATCTTCACAGGCAAAATCACGAAGGCTGTAATGTAACCAAGTCTGCATTTGACCATCTTCATTCATTTCAGAGGAAACATTGAAATCCCAGACCCGATCCCGCTGACCTGGAAAGCTTCCAGGCTGAAGCAATAAAGCATTGATTTCTGACTCAGCCGGCGGTCTTATCATCGTCTGGTTCTCTTCCAATGCAACAAGAACTGCTACAACATAGGCCGCAGGTTCGCACATGAACAGTCCCTGGACTGGTGGAGCTTCCCAAAGTAGCCGGAGGGCCTGGCGACGTATTCGAGGGTATCTGCATTTGAGCGCCGTGATAAATAGTGGGAGGAAGACTCCCATTTCAAACATAAACGGCGGCTGTTTGTCATCTGGTCTGCGCGTAGCTGCGAGTGCAGTGGATGCGTGGACAAGGATTTGGCTAAATTCGAGCTCGTAGGAATCGTAAGCTGTCTGATCAAGGTCAAGGGTAGTTTGGACCTCGATCAAGACACTAAGGTACGTCATCAAAAGTAGAGCTTTTGCACCATCGATCTTTTTCGTCATTTCACCCGAGCCAAGTGTATGGGTTGGTTCAAGAGACATAAAAAGCCGATACCAATCATGAAGCCGTCTTTCTAGTTGCTCCTTTCTCGCCATAAGAACCGGCGAGTCATATTCATGGCTGCCAGTCACTTGATGCCAATGTTCTTTAGTTGCGGTGTTCAGACCTATCATTTCAGCAACAATTTCACACAGTACGTTCCTTGCCTCATCGATGGATGCAAATCTCTGGATAGGAATTGCCAGGTTAAGGCTGTCGCTATTTTCGCAAAATCCATGCCTTATGGAGGCCCAAGTACCCATCCGGCGAAAGATTGGTCTGATAATGGAGCCCAGTGGTGTTCGGTCTGTGCTCGCCATCAGTCGTAACCCTTGTTTGTATAGAGTTAAGGCAGCGTTCCGATTACCCTGCAGCAACTCGATAGCAATGAACAGAAGACAGCTGATCAATGAGACACCAATATCCGCTGTGCCTTGATCAATACGGGCTTGTAGAGTAGCCAGAGAGCGGGAATACCAGATCAATGCTTCATGGTGATACGCGTGTTGTATGGTCGCGGGGTCGTTGATGAGCCTGAATGGCGGCGTTTCTTGCACAGGGGGCCGCTCGTAAAGTGCACCGAGGGAGATTATTGCATCCCAGACTGCCGGTTCCATGCGACATATTTGTAGTACGCAGATTCTCCAGAAGGAAACATCGAGGTCTCCTGAAAGGGAGGGGCCTGCCTGATGGAAGTAATACTCAAATGCCCGTCGTTCTCTCAGTCCTGCTTGAGATTCTAGAACTGAAGAGAAAGTTCCAGCAAGAGACACTGATGGATTGCCAGAAGAAAAATTGAGCCCATTAAAGGTGCCAGTGCCCTTGGGAGCAGACGCAGTGCTATAAGAACACCGCCGCCCCGTGCTGGTGCATCGTGTGCAGCATGGCTTTTCCTCGCCACACCGGACGCGGCGAACTCTAAATCAAACATAGTTAGATGATACTATCCCTCCACTAAAGAGTAGCAATTCGTTCATGCTTGAAAGCTCCGTGGGATCGTAGAATGAGCACTGACTTGCAGGTGTCACATCCCGTTTTCGACTTGGTGCTGCCGATCCGGCCAGACCGTTTAGCGGGCGGAGGCATAGTCTAGAACAAGACCAAGAACCACCAATGTTTGCTCCAGCCTGCTTTAATTCATTACCGCATAGTGAAGACTGTGTCCATTGTGTGCATGAGCCGCATGTTGGAGAACAGGGAGGGCGGGGGAGTGACGGAGACTTCCCGGGTTAAGTCCGGTCCTCAAACTCCGCTCCGCGCGATTGATTGGCGCCAGGCGGTTGATGGCAGCAGGATCCCCTAACAGATGTCTTTGGCCCTTATATTCTAAATCCACATCATAAGCTACTACCATAGGAATTTTAATACATTAAAGACTTGCACATATTGTTTTATCTGAAGCACACTCCCCACCCTCCTCCAATCGGTACTGGTGCTATCTTAGGTCCAATAATTTATGCTGGAATGAAATGGGGACTCCCAAAACGAGCTTCAAATTATGGAAAAAGAGCCTTCTAGTAATCAAAGACATTCTGTTTTGCAGTCGATATTGAGAGAGTCGGTGAGCCTCTTGGCTCCGCAAAGTAGCAGAATACCAGACTACGGACTTCGTGCTGCTCATACCGACCGATACATGTGAGGATTCTCCTCCCTGGGTCTATATATTTTAAATCATTACATATCCTAGCCTTCGCATCAACCCTTCTAGTTCCCTCCGCTGGGTCACTGCAGCAGGGATAGACGAGCTATACGAATTGATTCCCCCAATCTCACCGAATCGGCAAGAAAGGCCCTGCCGATCCCCCGCCACAACTTCAGCCCCGACGCCAAGCACCCTTCGACCTAAACCGCGGCGATGTGGAGCAAGTGAGTGAGACATCGTCACTCGGATTCTGCAGGAAACAGGATCCCGGCTCCGGCGCTATAATTAGGGGTCTCCAGCTCCAGTGCACTGCAAACCTAACCCCCGAGTGCTGCCAGAACACTATAAAAACCCAGGTCATTTCTCGCTCGCATTACCTCTCACCATCTTGCCATACCCGGATTCCCAGTCCTCCTTTTTCCAAAACAAAATCTTCATACTACAAAGTCATCACAACTCCATTTAGGACAATGAAGCTCACCGGTGCCCTCCTCGCCTCTCTCGCAGCCAGCGCCGCCGCCTTCGACAAGTATCAGCGTATGTTTCACTTGGTTGAACCAAGAGGCCCAATTCAAATATAGTGGTACACTGCATGTGCTAATATTCCCTCACCAGCATGGGGTAAACGCGACTACGCCTGCGTCAACGTCTACCAAGGTATCCCAGACAACTCGACCGTGATCGCTGGCCAGACCGTCCACGTCCGGTTCAACCGACAGCCAACGACCCACTGTGCCGACCCGCTAGCCAAGTACCCGGGCGACAAATACAGCGTCTGGTTATACAACAATCCCGTGCGTAATCTGGATACCATCAAGTTCGACCAGCAGATCAAGCTGGTCGACGGTATCCCCGAGTCCGCTGGCGTAGTGGACGTCAAGATCCCCAAGAACCTGCCCAAAGTCAAAGACGGCTCGGTGTGGTACCTGCGCCTGGGGACTTCGCTGTCGACCGCGCCACAGGTGAGTTCTGCTTTCGTATACTCCGGAAGCCAGATAGGGTGGATACGCTAACGATGGATGGGTCTCGGGTAGATGCCTACTTTGTATAACGCGGCTGGGCCGTTCACTATCACTTGTGATTAGATGGGTGCGCGGGGAGAGAGCCAAGAGTGGCTGGACATGACATTCTTGTAGTTAGTAGTTACGGATAACCGAAATTGAGAGATGCCAATTGAAGTATATATTAGCATGCTATATCACGGTTTCGATATCTATTTTCCATCTGGCTTTCACAGCTTCTGGTTTCGGCTGAGGCCGGCGATGCATTCAATCTCGACATCCGTTCCCATGGGAAGTTCCTTGACGCAAACACACGTGCGCGCCTGATCATCTACATTAGCCATAGGGCAATGGAGAATCGTGGGATTTGATAGCAAAAATGAGATGTCTCGCTCGGGTGAAGATGGGCGACGGGGGACTGTGTGACTCACCGGCATCGGGGCCTCGAAGAATGAGGTATAGATTTCATTCACGGCGCTGAAGTCACTCATGCTGGTGAGAAAGATGTTGCACTTGACGACATTGTTCAGGCTGGTGCCTGCAGCCTCCAGCACAGCCCGCAAGTTGTCGAGGATTTGGCGCTATACGAGGGTTCAGTCAGCTGTGGCGGACAAAGATCGGGCTTCTGAAAAGGCCCATGCTTACGGTCCTGTCTTGAATTGAACCCTCGACAAGGGCTCCAGTCTTGGGATTGGCACCAATCTGGCCCGAACAGAAGACATAATCACCCATCACGATGGCCTGGGAGAGAAAGGGTGGTGGGGTCGGAGCATTTTCTGACTTGACGGCTACTTTGGGGAGAGACATTGTGCGAATTGTGTTTGAGTATCGGATTGGAGGACTGAGACTGGGTGGTTTGAATTTGCAGCGGGGTTTCTTATTAACAGTAGCCGTACAACAGAAAGGTGGAGTAGTAGAAACCTGAAGGTTCTGGAAATTAGTAATGCTTTCGTGGAGCCCTGGGCGGTTTCCGGTGAGGGGTTCGTGATAGGCAGTGGACAGGGTCTAGGGCGTGAAAGCTGCCCCGCGATTCCCCACCAATTCTGATGGCGGCTAGTAAGTTTCGGTGACTTACCAACCTTGAAAAGACGGAGAGAATGTTCGTATCCAAAATATAGTATCCCCTGGATTCAATCAGGAGATTGAGTTACCATATTGTCACCTGACACAGATGAAATTAGTTTCATTCTCGTGATCTGTTGTATCTATTTTGACTGTTCCGACTAAAAAACACTATCCCCGTGATATGTATCATTTTAATCTAGTCGTACATCCTCAATACTCCCCTATCCGCCTAACAGCTGGCTGGATTTGCTCCGGAGAATGCAATTTGGTCATCGACGGGTTGGCCTGTCAAACATGTTCTTTCCAGCTCACGTATATATGTTATCCTATGCTATTCCAGTTCGCATCACTTAACATTCTACACATAGCCCGGCGTGGCTCCACCAATCTTCATTTCTCAAGGCCAAATTTGTTTCAGCACAAATGGGCTGGAAATAACTCCCGTGGTTTGGAAAATTGAGTTGCTTATATGGCCATCAGTATTTGGAAACGATGTCCATTTTCTATCTTCGTGCAATGAAATCCAAGATTTCGAAATATTTCATGCAACTCAATAAGTTGGCGTCGCTCAATTCTTTGGTACTGATCAACGCTCAAGGTACCCGTTTATTTTTATTTTTTCTTAAGCCACTAATTCGTTGGTCGGGCGGTGATTAATTTGAACCCTATTGATCCAATGAAGCCTGCCAGAGACCCGATCAAGTGAAGTAAAAAAACTCCGATGGGGGTAATCGAAACCCCGGCTGCCGTGTGAGAGACGGCGATGTTAGCCACTACACCACATCGGATGACGTCATACCGGGCCCGCCAAAAAAGTGCATCAATATTTTGATTATCCTCAAGTTTAGCCATTTAGCTGAAGCCCCACTCTCTACTACCATGTCCATTCAAGGAGCACATCCAGTCCTTTGTGTAGCAGCAGACACTTTATGAAATCATCTTTCAGCTTCACATAGTGGTTTTACCCCAACCAAGTCACCATTTCGTTGCCAAGTCTGCCTGAGTTGGTCAGCAATTAGATTTTCAACAGACAATCACGAGTTTCTGTCTATGAACTTCACTTGGCAGGAGCGGGTGTGAGCATTTCCTGATGATGAAATTATCCAACATATTGTTGTAAGTTCAAATATCTCATTCAGGCTCCAGTCACAGCTATCAAAGAATCTGTATATGTCTCCTAGGTGAGTATCCCCACATCCTATTTAACCACATGTAGGTCCAGACTTAAGCCGCACGAACTTCCGTATTCTTCCACCGGGTGAGAGACGTGACTAGCGTGTCTACCGAGTTTATCCTTTTCAAAATTATTAGATGGAAGACAAAGCCATCCAAACTATAAACCGTCTATTGATCCAGTGATCACATGCACAGTATTCTGAAAGAGTTATGGAAACGGAGTATCAAGATTATATAGATCATCGAAAAGTCTACATATTCACTCTTAAATTAAAATACTTTGATTGCTAGGGGGACGCATCTCCAAGTATCGATTTACATGCTAGAAGTCTATAAATTTACTTTCACTATTCAAAGATTCACCCTGTACCCTGCGCCGTGGTCAGCCGACTCTTTGCCAGGACGAGTTGCGTCAAGTTCAAATTAACCGGACATTCGATCCCCAGCTCGCTCCCTCGTCGCAATATCCAGCCATTAATATATTCAATCTCTGTCGCGCGGCCCTTCCGTACATCCTCCCGCATGCTGCTCGAGTTGCCCGCAGTTTTCTCAATCGTATCCATCACCACCGCTTCCAGTGACGGAACCGAAAATCTATCCCGCTGGTCCGCTGACAGATCTCGCAGCTCAGGGAGATTCTGAAAAACCTGGGAGATCTCCGCGAGTAGACGCCGGATGAGCGGCTGCAGATCAGGATTCGCTTTGATGACCCCGTTACGCACGTCCAGTAACGCTGTCAAGGGATTCAGCACGCAGTTCGCGGCAAGCTTGAAGAGCTGGTCGTGAAGCAAATCCGCCCACGCGAGCTCTTCGCAGCGCAGGATCGGCGACTGTAACAGAGTTTCTAGAAGGAACTGGGGATCCGCATTTTGGGCGGCTGGCGGCTGAGCGTCGACCACACCGATGGCCGCACGGCCACCTCGGCCCGAGAGGATCGCTTCCGTCGGCGACCGGAGGTAGACGCCGTGGCGCATAATGCCAAACATGTACGTCGGGCGGCGGCTAGAGTCGATAAAGATGCGCTCATTCAGGTCCTCAATCTGGCCGAGGCCGTTCTGAAACAGGCACACCGTGGATTGTGGACCAAGGCGGTGTTGGATAGGCTGTAGCGCGGAGACCGTCGCCGAGGCTTTGACGGCAACAATTAGGTGGTGGATGGGCTCAGAGCTGGATGGGGTGAGCAGCTCGGCGTCAAAGCCACCTTGTTCGTCAAGAGGCCCGTCTTCGCCGACGCGAAGCCCAAGTTTCCATCCTTTTGAAGCGAATTCATCGTAGAGGTTCTTGCGATGAACTAGCAAGCGGACTGCAGGGGGGTTGGGGAGGGCGCGTATAGCATGCGCGATGAAGGAGCCGATGCTACCCAGCCCGAGTATGTGAATAGGCTGGGAGGAACGCGGCATTGCGATGATCAGGGAAGGTAAATCATAAAAAGAACGGTGGGCAGAGGATGGCTGCGATGGGTACGGGAATCGGACGCGCGGGATGCGGGATGCGGGGGAGCGGTCTATCGGCCCCGGGGTCAAGGATGAATCACAATAAGTAGTTCAAATCCATGGCGGCAGATGGGGTCTCGTAACCAAATCAAAATTTTCATGCCTGTATTCTATGCTCTATTTTTGTTTAGATCACCGAGTGGCACCAGTCGCTTATGGAATATTTTCGAATTTGACTTACTATTCGGAATCAGAATGGACTCGGACTCGCTAGGGGAAGATGAGGGCGATACCGAGCCAGACAAGGCTGGAACTGCCATTCAATGTCTGAAAATGGTCATATTCGTCACAAATTACTATTCTAGACAAAAGCAAAAAACTAGAATTATCTGAAAATTTGGAGTTTTGTTGGAACTTACCTAATCTTGATCCCCCGCTCACGGCTCCTGTGTCGCAAGGCAACCGATCTGCTTGCAACTCCTGTATGTTGGGCATTTAGACGCCGCCATAGTATATTTTTATCAACAGGCAGCCTGCTGCAAACATAAAACATCGACCAGAAGCCGAAAGATTGCGGCCTGTTGTCGTTTGGTGGGGTAGCATAGCAGCAGATCAACGTCTAGGTCTGATATATACTTCCAACAAACAACCCCATCGAGTAGAGCCAACACTTGGCAAACAGAGATTCTCAATCAGGGGTATTCCCAGGACATATACTATGATCCATTATTTGCGCGATAACCGTTGGTATTGGCATTCTAGGAGGAGATCGTGCGGTATAGTAAGTCAGAATATCGGAACAGCTACCCACTTCAAATAGGAAGAGGCCCCAATACACCATTGATGCATTCAGTCTTTTTCAAAGTGCGCAAAATCTCTCTTAGAGTGCGTAAAAAAAATGTCGCTATTTTCCAAAGGCATATTCAGTAGACGGAAGCAACAATCCGAGAAAAGTCCGGCCATTCTCAACCAAAAACCAGGTTCGACACTGCATCCATTCCTAGTCCCTCTTCCCTCCCGATCCCATAAAAGCTAATCCACTCAACACCAGCATCATCTTCAACAGTCTCAGATTTCTCGTCGAGCACTGCGGTACAATCTGATACGACCGCCACACAGAATTCACATGGTGTAATCAACGTCCGGATCCGACATTATAAGCCAACCCGTGATTGGGACGTTGAGATTTACCATAACGAGACGACGGCCCATTACACTGGTCGCGTTTCTAAGTCACCCCCAGAGGCACGTTGGCAAAGGGGGAGTTGCAATCTGGGTTGCTTTGAGTTCCGTCAGCAGCAGGCCGACCATATTCAAGCTCCATCTGACCTTTGGCCTCCAGGGAGACTTGATCTGGGCACCCAAAAGGCCACAATCCTAACGAACTTGGAGACTAGGGGAAACCGGAAATTGTGGGGATCTCGTAAGGCCATGTCACCGAAGAAGAAGACAGAGACAATAAATGGGAAGAGCCAAGTCTTTGAGAGGAGTACTGTCGTCCAGATGCCTACTGGTAAAGCTGACGGTGGAATGGAAGACCTAACTTGGGAGTGGACTCCGAATAATGATCAGCTATGCTTGGTCAGGTATTTCCAGAAGTATACCAAATGGGATAAAGTTGTGGTGGCTCGGCTTCGTGTTGGCCCTCTAAAATCCATGGGTGCCACTCTGACGGAAGAAAATTTGGTAAAGGCATCAGACTGCTGGCTAGAAATCCTTCCCAGTTCCACTTGGCATGGAAATCCAAAAGAACAAATTCTCATCATCATGATGAGCAGCATGGTCGCAAGACATTGGTTTGGGCCAACATGGAGCCAACTTGCACAGAAAGGCAGGAAGCAGCAACAAGCTAAAAGAAAGATGGACCAGCTTCAAGAGAGGCAAAGGAAAGAGAGGGAGCAGCTTGATAGAAAGCATAGGAAGCAGCGTGAAAAGTAGAAAAAACATCTGTGAAAACTTTGCTGGACATGTGTCCAAAGAAAAATGGTAATACGGGAAGATAATCATGGAATGATGCTGTCGTTCGGATAAAGAAGGCTTGTTCTAGAAGTTGACTCAGAAGATAGGAGAGCGACATCCTGAGCGGAGAAATACCATTCTACAGTCATGGTTGGTTGTGCTATGGAAAATGTTGCCCCGACTCTGAAAATGGAAGTGCTTCATTTTATCCAGAGTGAGCCTTGGGATCCGGAATCCTCCTATGAAAGCTCGGTCATTCCCTGGTTCCACCGTGAAACCCTGTGAAGCGCCCCTGCTAACTGTCTACATCTGAGAAGAGGCTGGCAATTAATTTGATTTACAGAAGCTGGAGTTGCATTTATACATTCCTTTCTTTTTTGCTTTCTTTCTTTCTTTCATATCATAGGGCTTATTATGCGGACGCTATACGTTGGGTGAATCAAACTTGTAATGGCAAGTCTAAGAAGCTGTTTCATCCCTCACGAGAAATATGCACTGCTACATCCTTTCCAGAACCAAAGATCTAATAAATGCTTGTTTGATTTTGTTTGTGCGCTTGAGATAGCTTGATGATGTGAGGTAATTGAAATAATAAACAAAGACATACAGCCGATAGCTATAGCTATACGCCTCTATGGATGCAGGCAGGATCATAAAGATGCAGATCGTAAAATATGCAGATCAGTCAACCGGTGAATACCAGGAATGAGTTGAGGCAAAGATCAAAGTTCGTGGAAGATGAATCATAAGAACAAAAATCAGGATTTAAGAAAGGGCCTATTTGTGATATGTCACGCTGAAGATCTGGTAGCCGAGACCGGGACCCTGCTGCATACCAGCCAGCTTGAGAGCACCGTTGTGGTCCACATCGATGTACTGGCCACTCTGGACATAACGTAGTGTATAGCCCAGACCATTACCGAGGAAGTTGATACGCACAGGCTCGGCGTCGTCGGCGTTGTCGACCAGTGCGCCGCGCGGGCCGAGCCAGCGGCCGTCGAGGGCGCTGGAGATGGTGAAGACTTCGCTCTCCTCGTCTTCGGTGTAGTGGATTACCCAGCGCTGGGACTTGGCGTCGTGTTTCTCGGTGGCCGGGCTGACGGTCACATAGTTGCGCTTGCCCGAGTTGGTCAGCGCCGAACCGCCCTTCTCAAGGACCAAGTATCGGCCCTCAGTCAGGTAGCCGACGACCTCCTTGTAGCCGTCCTCAAACCACAGGGCATCGGCAACGTCACTCTGCTCACCGTAGGGAACCGGAGGGCGTTGGGTCGTGTGGCGGGATTGGCACTGGGCCGAGCCGACGTAGTCACCATTGCTGTTGGTGACCGGGGTCTCCGCATCAGGGAGATTGGGAATAGAGTAATCGGGCTGATAGGGTCAGCAACAATGCATACAATCAAAATATACTGGAAGGAAATTCATCATACGTTGTCAAGATCCAGGGCGTTGACCAGGTTCGACATGTGCTGACGGCGCCAGGACACCATCTGGTCAGTCTGGATGCCTTGGTACCCACGGGCTGCAAGCCACTGCTCAACAAACAATATCTGCGAGTTGTGGTCGGCTCGCTCCGTAAAGACGCGATTACCACGAGTCCAGGGAGAGATCATGTAGAACGGAACACGGAATCCTACGGCAAAAGTAAATGAGAAAGGGATTTCCAGCGCTTTTTTCCAGGGCAACAGAAACAGTCAATCACATACCAGGTCCCACAAACACGTCGCCGAATAATTTCAAAGGGTCTTGCATCCATTCTCCCGGAGTATCCTTGGGGGAGTGGAACGGAGTGACATGATCACCAAAGCCACCAGTCTCTGCCAGTGAAGGATTAATAAATTGCCTTTTCGAGAAACAGAACATGTGCGACATGCTTCACTCACCATCAAAGCTAATCATTAAAAGAGTCGATGAATACTTGGGGCTGCTGGTAACGGCATCGACAACCTGTTTTTGCAGCCAACCACCATCCTTGGGCTGGTAGGGTGGGTGTTCTGATAGCTCCGTGGGACCAACGATGAAGCTGACCTCGGGCAGAGAACCATTGGCGGCGGCGGCATAAAAGGCATCCAGGCCGACGTAGGACATGCCTTTCTGCGCGAGGGGGGTGTTCTTGCCCGCTTTCTGATACTGTTGGAACCAGGCTAGGGGGTTGTCGTCAAAGTTGTTGGTGTCTTGATATAGCTGCCACGAGACTCCAGCCTCCTCGTAGAACTCATAGACAGTCTTCCACTTGAGGGGATAACAGTTGATACCATTGCTATCACAGCCTATCAAGCAGGTCAGCTATGCCAGAAAAAGAACAGTAAACGAAAAAAAATTAAAATAGACAGACGCGAGACATAAGAAAAGAGAAAGGAGCCGAATCCATACCGGGCACTTCATTGTTGTCGATATACACTCCGCCCTCATCGGACTGTTGGGGGCTGCCAGGGACATTTACAGAGCCGCTGACCAGGGTGACCCGGTTAGGATTGGTGGAAGTGATTTGAGATTCCTATTCCCCGGCGTGAGTTCTGACATGATCGACGAAAATGACCTTTCGCTATGTTGCTGCCGACTGCAACTTACCTGGTACATGTCGCCGGAGGTCCAGCCCTCAGCAATAGCAAATTGGACGGGGATATCGGCTCGCTTGAAATAACCCCAGCTCCATGGGGTGTTGTTGCGGGCCCAGTGGTTGTTCAGACCCTGGTTGAGGGCGGCCTGGTTATCCTGGTAGCCGTTGTCTCCAGCGGCCATACATTGAATGGCATCAGTCCAGTCGCCACCCTTGTAGCCCAGGTACCAAGGCAGTAAGGTCTTGGTTTCGGTGGACATGTCCGAGTCGACTTGTCTGGCGGATGGTCAGACCTCGTTCATTTTTGACGGGGTTTTCTGCTTCTCCTGCTTCTTTCTTCTTTGCACAGGCATTTTGGATTCTGCAAGTGGTCCACTTACTGGTACCAGACAGATTGACCGTCACTGTTGATTTGAACATTCGGGTCATTGAAGCCCCGCACGCCGGCCATCGTCCCGAAGTACTAGGTAATCCCGTTAGCTTTCATATTTGGGTAGTGTAAAAATTGATCAGCGAAACGGGAAGAAAAGTCATAGAAGACACATACTGTATCCCATGATCGGTTTTCCTGCATGAAGATGACGACATGTTCGATATCTTTCAGTGAGCCGGCCAAGGCGGGGGCCGCCCCGAGAAGCACCGCGAGGGCGGTGCCGTAGAGCAGCACCATCGTCTGAATTTAATGACTCTGTTCAGTGGGAAATGAAGCAAGCAATTCAAGGAGGAGTCAAGCGGAGGGAAGAAAAGAGAGAGGGAGAAAGAAAGAGTGTGTGATCCTAACAGGGAGTGAGGGGGAGGGAAGAAGGAGAAGGGAATCAGGGCTTAATAGCTTAAGAGCTTCAAAGTTTCAGAGCTTCAGGGTTCAGTGCAGCAAGGCTCGGCAAGATCCCGCAGGGGTGGGTGATCCACGAATGGACATGGTGTGGGCAGCGGTTTGCATCTACTTCGCGTACTTCCTAAAGAAGTAGCTCGCAGAGTGAAGTCGGCGTCTACGGAGGTTGGTGTTGGTAATGCCCGCACTTCGTGCCGGTGCTGGCAAGCTGGACCCGGTGGACATTCCGTCGATCCCTTGAATCCAATCTGCGCCGCGGGGAGCCCCACGTGAAGAGCCCTGGAGGCCGGAGGATATGCGAGGAGGGCTGCATGGTTGAACCATAGGGACTAAGGAACCCGTATGGATTATTAGACATAATCACAAAAATAATTAAGTCTATGAAGGAGAGGCACGGTTGCATGGAGAATGGAGAGCATCCGATACACATGGCTGCTATCTGGGTCTCTATAGGCGCGCTCCCGAGTCGAAGCCCAGTCGCGCGTGCATGGGGTGGAGTCCAACCAAGTAAAACAGGGTCTGGTCACTTGTTTGGCGTTGGCCCGGATTCTACTTAACCCCCGTGAAGTTGGGATGGATTGCATTTGCTAGGAGTCTGGTTGGGTGCTTATCCACCGCACGGAGAATAGCTGGTCAGTGGATGGCCGGTATCGTTGCATTTGTATAGTTCGGGAACACCCTGTAATGCCCGCACGTGGTCCCGTCCGCGTCGATGAGAAGCTGAGCAGCCGATTCTTTACCACCATCGTCGTGACCTTCCACGCGAATCCCCGCAGGGGCCTTGAGCTTAGTCTCCATTAGACTCAAAATTTAAGATTTAATTTGAGAGCGCCCTGACAGCGCGTGACTCCGTCCCTGTTCCCCGCCATCATATGCTTCATCTTCCGACTGTCACTGTGCTTCTCTGTTCGCTCTCTCGTGGCATTTCCTGCTTCCATTTTGTTTGATTCCATCGTCTCGTTCGTTCGCATTGCCCGCTAATTTTGGCACCAACTTCAAAAGTCCGCCCCCTCGACTCCACCCAACCAAGGGCCGGGACGCCCTCGGGCCAGGAACAGGGACCAGAAGACACTAAACCTTCTTACTCGAGAAAAGCCATAAGGTACAAGACCCAAGGCACAAAGTGAAACTCATTACGCGAAAAGACGATTAGTCTCGCCTGCCGGTCTTTGCCCGCTGCAAGGGGAGGTCAGTGTGACCAACACCGGATCAGCCTCGCATCGCCCTCTGGAGCGCCGGGATCCTTTATGGAGAGACTCTTGAATGCGCCCCAATGCTCCCGCCCCGATGACGCCGGCGTGATTTTACATATCTTGCTTCATCTTTCCTCTTTCTTCCCTCTCTCCCCCATGATCACAAGAGGGAGTGTAAAGACGGACCAATCCGCTCTCTAGAATGGAACGCCAGAGCAGTCGGCGCAGGCGACCTCCCCGCACGCCTGCGATGCAGGATCCAATGACCTCCGCACCGTCTCCAGAGTTCAACTCGTCCATACCACCGTCTTCGTCATGGTACTGGCCACGATATTCTCTCCGGATTAGGACATTGCTCGCGTGCCTCGTGCTCGGCCTCGGATCCCTGCTATACGCCAGCCTCGATCTGTTTGAGTCCCTGGCTGGCTGGGCCCCACCCCTCAAAGCCTTCCATCCCCAACTTCATCCCCAACTCCAAACGCTCGAGGCGCCCGCCACCCGCCCCCGCATCGAGCTGCACCCGCAGGATCATGTGTACCGCGCCCCTGTGACGCAATTTCTTGACTGGCGCATCTCTACGGGTGACCGCAGACCAGATGGTGTTTTAAAACAGGTTTATCTAATCAACGGTACGTCGCCCTTCATTTCCCACCGGCTTCCCCTCTTTCCTTTCTTCGGTTTACATACTTGCTCTTGAGAGAAAGAGGGGGACATGCAGAATAAGTAGATAAAGCTAACAAGAGGAGTAATCGTCCGGTCCCTGTAGATCTCTTCCCGGGTCCCACCATCGAGGCCCGCTCCGGTGATACTCTCATCATCACCGTCACCAATGCCTTATCGGAGGATTTCCTGGCCCTCCACTGGCATGGTCTCCATGTAGAGAGTGAGGCCCCCACTTCCAGTTTAAATGGTCCTCAATTCGAGTTCCCGATGATATTCATGTGTCTTCCTCTCTGCTTTTTGTTTGCCCCCTTGTGCTTCCTATAGCTCAGCATTACCTCATACTCGTCTAACAAAATGCAGATGCCATGGATGGAGCAGCCGGTGTTTCACAATGCCCCATCGCCCCTGGCCGTCGCTTCATCTATAATGTGACAATCCCAACTGACCAGAGCGGCACCTTCTGGTACCACGCGCATTCAGGCACCTCGCGTGCTGATGGATTGTATGGCGGGCTGGTGGTCCACGCCCCAGTGACCAAGTCCACCGTTCGCGGATTGATGTCGCGGGGTTCTGGCGATGCCCAGCGCTTCAAGTATGACAAGGAGCTCCTACTGCTAATCGGAGACTGGTACCATCGCCCAGGGAGGGATGTCTTGGCCTGGTATATGCTGCCTGGATCATTTGCAAATGAGGTGAGAAAATGCATCGAACGCATTTTGGGGGGAATCCTGCACCAAACCAAAGCATTGGGCTAATTATGGATTTCAGCCTGTTCCTGATTCATTGTTGGTCAATGGAGTCGGCCGATTCGAGTGCGCGATGGCAGTGCCCGCGCGTCCAGTGGATTGTATAGATCAACAGGCCAATTCGTCGTTTTTGGATCTAGACCCAGATACAGTCTACCGAATCCGAGTTGTCAACACAGGGTGCGTATACGTAGATACACCCCAAAGGGGCCGAATGAATGGCAGTAGCTAATACAAAACAATGACAGCGCGTTGGCAGGGCTTTCTCTTGTCTTTGACCAAGAATCTCTCGACCTCATCCAGGTAGACAGCATCGACGTTGCTCGTTCCGACGAACAGGATGCCAACTCGGCTGGTGTCCTATATCCCGGTCAACGTATGGACTTTGTTCTGCGCTCTTCGTCCCAGAAGCCAACACAAGGATCGTCAATGATGGTTCAGTTAGATAAAGAGTTAGTTCAATCTCTCCACACCGCGACTACCTCATGACATGACCAAAGTCAATTCGCTCGCTAAATCCCAATCTCCAGATGCTTCAAATACATCAACCCAGCACTGACACCAGACCAAACATTCCCCATCAAGTATCTCTCCTCATCTATCTCCAACAACACCGCCGCCATTTCACCTCCAATCCCGACCACTCGCAACACCCTCAGCCTCGACAAAATCCCTTCCTCGCCAACGATTCTCCAAGACCTCCCTGTAAAAGCAGATCAAACCCACCTCGTTTACACCAAAATTCAGAAAATGGCCCGCAACCACAACATCCCCGAAGGCTATTTCAACCAAACAACCTGGAAACCCCAATCACAACCCCTCGCTCCTCTCCGCACCCTCCCACGCACCGACTGGGACGTCCACCAACTTGCCCTGTCCACAGGGCCCTCCACCCCCTGGGTCGACTTCGTCATCAACAACCTCGACGAGGGCCCACACCCCTTCCACCTCCACGGCCACCACTTCTACATCCTCGCCGTGCACGCCGCCTCGTACGGCTGGGGCTCCTTCGACCCCTTCACGGACCCCTTCCCGCCGGGCCTCGAACCCGACCCTGCCGCCGACCTAGACTCGAACTTCCAGCCCTACGATCTGGCTCGCGCCGCGCTGCGCGATACAGTGCTCATTCCCAGCCGGGGCTACGCCGTGCTGCGCTTCCGCGCGGATAACCCGGGCGTATGGATGTTCCACTGTCATATCCTGTGGCACCTGGCCACGGGGATGGCGATGCTGGTCGATGTGCAGGGGGACATGGCCGGGTTGGTGGCGCATGAGGCTGGGGGCGCAATGTGTGTTTGAGGTTGAAAGGGCTAGGCGTAGACTAGTGGCCTACATCCTGGCTCAGCGTTGCCATGCGTGTCTCTCCAGAGAGAGGGGGAAGGGGAGAGGGGGGGGAGCTAGATCTCGAGAGGGGCCAGTGAAAAAACCGCATTTAGATACCGATAGAAACGCCACAGATATCTCTGCATCAACAAGAATGTATAGAAGATAGGGTACAGTACGATATTGACCACAAGAATTCCATGTTTTGGGTTCGAGGGGCATGGTATAGGGAGGTAAAAACGTGAAAGAAGCCCCCCCACCTAAGAATGTATATCCAACCACCGAGCCCCGGGCCAGTCAGTCATGTAAGAGAAAGTAACAAGAAAGGCAAGGTTATGAAAAAAAAATCTTATTCCCAAGCTCCAACGCCAATGCAAAGACCTCAAAACGCCCGATTTCGTAAAGTATCATCAACTCGACGTCCCATGAACCATTTTCGTTCCAAGGGCAGCGCCGGCTGGGAAAAAAAAAGAAAAGCGCAGGAGAAGGTCCACTAAAGAGTCTGTAGAGAAAAGAAAGAAAGAACGAAAGAGCCTTGCCTAGTATCGAGATTGGAGTGTTCACAATCTTGAGTTTGTAAATTTACAGTACAGAGGTAGAGGGAAAGGTGGAAAGAAATGTTGCGTGCTAGGTGGCCCATTCGACAACCTCGAGGGCACATACGACGAGGATGAGTGTGGATGGGAGGATCCTGGGAGCACGAGAGATTAGCCAACATCGGAATACGGATAAATACGCGAGGACTGTCACTCAACAGAGAGGAGAGGGCAACTAGAACGGGGTCCACATACCAGACAACATAGCTCTGGAATAGCAATCTCGACATTGCTCCCACATACACATTGTTGATTTGACAGATCTGCGCCAGCTGCAGCGCTGACGGCGCACCCGTAAGCAGGAAACAGACGATGATAAAAATGGGATCGTCCAGGATACTGATAGGCACGAACTTGGCTGTTAGGGCGAGCAGTGGCGCCATGACCAGAGTTGGGAGGAGCATGCGTGCGACCAGCGACGCGATGATCAGTTTGCGCTCGGCGTGGGGCGACTCCATGTCGGCCAAGTTCTCTTCAGAGAGGGTGTTGCGGGCGAGGTTGGCACCTAGGACGACTAGAATGAGCGGAACGGCGACCTGGGCGTTCTGGTCGACGGCGCGAGTGACACTGTTGCGGACGAAGGTGCCCTCGTCGAAAAAAGATGCTGCAGCGCCGGCACCGAGGCGACAATGATTGCGACGAGCATTGCCCATAGTGGTGGGTTCATGAAGTCCCATGTGCCACGGAGGAAAATGATAATACCATGTGAGATCGTGGAGAGCACTTTCTGGACATTCGAGGGTAGTCGGCTGTACAGCGCGCGGGTTTTCTTGTCCCAGGATTCGTGGAAAGCGCGGCGGCTGTTGCGAAGGGAGGCCTTGAATCGTTGGAAAAAGGTCTGTTCCACGTCTTCAGGGTATTGTGCGGTGCCTTCAACATCTGGGAAGGATAGGATATCGCCACGGGAGCTTTGTCGTGGCAGGAATGGACCTCGCGGAGGAGGTCCGAGAATAGATGGAGGTCTGTCGGAGTGTTGCTCTTCATGCTCTAGGACATCATGGTCTTGGGAGTGGATGGAGGTCACCTTATGGTACGGGTAGGCGCAGGTTGATACAGGAGTCTGGTCACCGGACTGGAACTCGCTGCCGCTGCTTGCAGTGCGGTGAAGGTCGTCGGAGCTTCGGGTGCGCACTAGCGGCTCATCGGGATCTGTCTGCTCTGGATTGTCACTATATCGGGCTTGACCTTGTTCAATGCGCGACTGGCCCGTCACTTGGCGCTCCTCTTCTTCTAGATAGCGGTCTTTCGGCGCGAGAAGAATGTGATATCCCCAGCTCCAGCGCACTAGCTGACCCAGCTGCTGGAAGATCAGCAGATAGAGGATGCCGCGCGCGGCAACTTCATCGTCGTTGTCGTTGGGAACGCGGTCCCAGTGCAGGCCTTGAAGGGTTTTAGAGAGAGACATGACGAGCGAAATAGGGAGGGAATTGGAGTTCCCAAAGACCTGTGCCCACCAGAGAGAGTATAGACATTAGCCATATTCCCAACTATTGCGCCTTATCAGAAATTATCAGAAAAGTCATTTCATACCGCCATCGCCGCCACAAAGTTGGCCTGGCGTTTCTTCAGCTGACAGCATCGGGACACCACAAAAGCGCATCCGTAGGAAACGCAGGTCTGGACGACAAAGATAACCGGGATGATGGCTAGGTCGGCCAAGGTTTCGGCAGTCAATTGCGAACCCAGCTTGATGAAAACTAGTTCAAGTTAGTGACCGCCGGCTCCTGTAGCTACACAGCCTAACTTCTGATCGAGGAGACCGGGGGAGGGAAGAGTCGGAGATGTGCGATGTGCGAGTGATTGGAGGGGGGGGGATCTTCTCGCCATACTTAGGCAGGGGGTGAACAAGGTGACGTTGAGATTCGCCACAAGCTTCTGCGCCTCTGCATCGAACATGCCCTGACGGGCCGCGATGTAGCCTGGCAAACTGACACAGACGACTTCCAGGACGGCCTCGAAGACCAAGAGTACGAGGTGAAAGAAGGACGGGTGGGAGGAATGGGCGCTGGGGCGGCTGGCGCCTGCCATGATCAGGCTATCGAGCGCCAACGGACTCTGTGAAGATAAGGCATTGCTGTGGACGGACCGGGGCAGGGCGAACACGGCCATCGAGGGGGCTGCAGAGAAGGGAGATGAGGAGAGAAGAAGGTTCCCGGGGAAGGGAGGAGGAGGCGACTCGATCAAGTGAATGATGATGGGGGGCGAGGGTTGGCATTCGAGCCAAGCGTCGCCGCGACCAGGGTTCGCGCCTGGCACCTTGTCTACGTTGGCTTCACCAGTCTACTGTCTATCTGTTACGAGGGGCTGTGGCTCGTATCGTCTCACCCATCATCTTGGCGGGTTCTGACACCATCTGGTGGCCGTGTTATAGACCGGACGTGGCGGTTGCAGGTGCAGCAGCTATTTGGGAATTCGGAGCTTGCGATGATCGTCGATCCCTGTTTTGGCAGCGCCTATCGAATCCGGGTTCTGAGCGGGACAGATCAGAGGGTCTTGGCCCAACCGGGCAGCTCCTCGCAGAGCAGCCTTCCGTCACAGCTACTGGAATTGGTTGCACGATGGCTGCTGTGCCCGCTTTCTGGACTTTCTGGGGACATCCAAGGATCCGCAGTGACGCAAGCGCCTGGCCATTATCGCCAGCAAATCAGTGCGGGTCGCGAGCACACGTTTGGCGCTGCGCCGGAAAAGTGGGCCCTCGCAGCGGACTTGGCGCTGATGATGATTAGTGGTGGTGAACTGGTCGGGCGTTCAATATGGAGATCGTCGACAGACGGAATCAGACCGATTAGTTGATATCCTGGCAAGAGATATTATAATGTACATCGGCTAAGTGCAGCGCATACTAACGCTTGGGAGGAGGACAGAAGAATATACTTGACAGCTGACACCGGTAACTGCAATTGCAGCTACAACTACAACCTACAACCAGTAGGTCATCAACAATAAACAAGGAAGAAATATATTGTATTACTTTTAGCAGGGGCACAATGCCCGGAATTATCAAAACGACCAACCTCATGCAACGGGATCACCGGGTTGAGACCAGGCCGGATGCAAACAACAAAATGGTATAGTACAGCAAATAACCCGCTTGCCAAACGAAGACAAGAGGGCCAAGCAAAAGATCAAGGGAAGGAGGAGGGCAAAAAGCACAGGAAACAAAGCAATGGAACCTTGCTGTACACCCAGATAGCATCATCGCAATGAATCTGGTCGAGTCCATGGGAAAGGGCAAAACAAAGGCACACTCGGGGATATAGAGTCACTAGTTCGACGCGTACCCAACAAAGCCCAGCTTCTCACCCATCTTGATACGCTGGCCCTTTTCGATACTCCACGTCCAACCGTCAGGTCGTTCCTTCTCCGGCCAGCCAGCATCGATGGATTTCCGAGATCCAAGCGGCGCCTCGAACACCAGCACAACCGTACTGCCCAGTTGGAATCCACCCATCTCCTCGCCGCGGCGGAGGGGATGCCCCCAAGCGTACGACTTGCGTGGTGGTAGGTCGCCTCCACGAAGCCGGGATTAGGCTCGCCCCGCTTAGCAGCCAACGCCGCCGCCAAGTCCGCCGCCGTATCCGTCAACAAGCTGTTGGTGCGCAGCTCCGAGTCAAAGTTGATTTTGATCGAGCCCACGTTGGTCGCACCGACTGGGATGTAACTGAAGAAACCCCAGCGCCAGCGGCCCAACAACGCCACTCGCTCGTTCAAGGTGAACAGACCCGGCAGGGTGCGTTGAAGGTATGGAGACACCGAGTACAACTCGCCGGCAAAATGACGGCGGCTCTCCACAACCCAGGCTGTGGGAGAGTGAAACCGGTGGTAATCACCAGGGGCTAGGTAGATCACACAGTAGAACAACGCATGGTTGGCGGCTGATTTCGGCGCGAACCAACTGGTTCCGTCCCCGCGGGCCAACTCTTCTTGCACCTGGACTTCCGATGTGGTCTTCGAGGCAGTGGACGCGTCAATCGAGGCCCGGCGCTGGGCAGGTTGTTCTGCATTGCCGGACAGCAATGTCGGAAGCGTATAATGAATGCCGTTCATGGTTGCAAATTCTTCGTCGGCTTTCATGTTCTCCACATCCTTCTGATTGGTTTCGGACGCTGGGTCACTCAACCGGTTGCTGTGATCGGCGTGCGCCGGGGTAGCGGCACCTAGGAGAGCATCTAGGCTGTATGTCATGCCCTTCACCTGCTCAACCTCGCCTCGCTCAATCATTCCAAACTGGAGAATCCGGCCATCGGAGGGCGATAGAAGGGCGCGAGGGTCCGGGTCGAGAGGTCGGACGCCGGGTTTTAACTTGCGATAGAAGAACGCAGCAAGATTCGGGTACGTGTGGAGATCAGGCTCGGCGACCTCGTGCAAGTTGACGCCAAAGACCCATGAGTAGAGTTTGAATCCCGGCACACGGAAATAGTATGGCAACTCGATCTCGTTAAATCGACCCCACAATCGCGAGATGGCCTTCAGGGGTAAGGTCGACATGATCTGGACTTGCCAGGGGCCCGAGGGCACAACGCGAGGGCGACGTGGTGGCCGGGCCCCATTTTCCCAATCTTCCCCGATGGCCTCTTGCGAGATACGATCACGCTCCGCACGTTGTGATTTATAGAAGTGTAGAACTCCCAACAGGCCGATGCCAAGTCCAACAGGGATTGGGTACCATTCCACCTTGGTATTGCGCAGCGCAAACCGTAGTCGAGACCCAAATCCGCCGCGGGTATTGCCTTCATGGGTTCCATCTTTATGGTATTGTCTCCAGGATTTTGAAGAAAAATGGCGCACGCTGGCCTTGTGACGGGCGGTTGCCCTGAACGAAAGGACCTCCATCGACGCAGCACCCCCAGTCACAGGGGCGGCGGGATGGCAAGGAATCAACGTCAAGTAGTTAAAAAGGCGCTTGGCCATAGTGGCCTTCAATCCATTAGAAGCTTCGTAGTGAGAGGGACTGGTTCACCTCCTTGAAGCTTCCAAAAAGAACGTTTTTCGTGAACCCAGATCGGGAAATGAGTTTAGGCCGACTCACCGCCCTCGAGATTCCGCCCGCAATACACACGGCCCGGCAGAACGGGGGACCACACGTGGAGTCGAGCAGGTCGTAGATGTTAGCTTCAACCTCTCACTCCACATTTTTTGACCGGAGGGTGATTGTTTTTGAATGAGCTCACCGAAAGCTTGTATATTTATAAGCCTGCACAATATCATTTACGGCTTCTAACCCTCTAACGCATTTGTCGCCGGCGCTGGCGTGGATCGCGTGCTTATCGATCCAGTCTTGGCTTGGTGCCAGATGTCCAGATCGAACATTAAGGCCAGCAATCCCCAGGGTGCTCATTGAGCATTTCAAACGCTTCAAACGCTTCAAACTGGAGTTGTTGCTACAGGCAACATTGTGAAGCTCAGATTTATCTACCTCAGATCGGCTTCCCCCGTTCTTGCAACTTTCCGTTATGGCCGCGCTCTCATAACCTTCACGCAACTCATCCTCATTCACAACAACGATGGCGAGCAATGAGCCTGGAATAGTGAGCACCCATGGGGATACTCCTTTGATTACAGTACATGTCTTATGCCCGTCGCTTCCTTCTCCAAATCGTTTCACTTTCACCGACATCCCACTCTCAGCAACAGTCGCACAGTTACGTGCGCGCATCACGGACACACTTCCAAACCACCCCCGCCTTCGTCACAGAGGCTCATATTCCGCGGAAAGCCTCTGTTGAATGATAACTTGACTCTCAGCAGTATCTTTGGTCCTATTGAGGTATGTGAATGGCGTGGGTGAAATCGGAGCACCACGACCCCCTCCGCGAGTAGTGCGTGACTGTCCTCTAACATAAGTTTGTTCCAGGAATCTGTGCACACAATTCACCTTGTACTGCCTCCCTCTCCTACCTCCGCCGCACCTTCAATTTCCAATCCCACTGCGCAGAGAGCGCTGAACACGGTTGAGACGGGAAACGCTTTCCGCTCAACAGGCCACCAGGTTATTCCTGACCCTGCAACTGAGGGACTCCGACTCCGTGGCCAAATGGCTTCCAACACAAACCCGGAAGATGACCTGCATGGTGTTTCTGCCAACTTTCGTCGCCACATGCACGCTCTCGCAGAGCAGCACCATGGAGTCCAAGTTCCATCTAATGCCCCGGGCCAGGAACCCTATTCGCAACTAAACGAATTCCGGCCCGCCCAGGAACGGTTTTTCCAGCATGAAGGACCTGGTGTTCTCTACCAACGCCATGTAGTGACATCAATTCCTTCAAATGAATCATTTGCATATGACCAAATTCAGCCCATGGGACCTTCTCGTGGCATGGACCATAACAACTATGATGGACGTTCCCACCACCACGGACCCTTTACTGAACCGGCATCAAGCAATGGCCATGTCCCTGCCTCTACGACCTCCCGCAGTCGCAATCGACCAAGCGACTGCTTTGATCCGTTGTATCCTGTCCATCACCCAACTGATCCTCCAAGTGATCCTCCCGCACCTCCTTCAAACCCAGCACACTACAGAACAGCACGCCATGATCTCTCTCGTCCTGAGTTTTCAAACTCTTCGCAGCCTTCTTCAAACCCCGGCTTTCCCAGCGAGAACACTCCTCCGGTTCTGGATACAGGTTCAGCAGCGCCTTCCCCTGGGGCAGCCCTTGGGATAGACCTTGCCAATATTCGAGAATTTGATGAGTTGCGGGTGCAAGTTGAGGAAGCTGAGCGCCTCGTTCATCATGGAATATCACCTTCGTCTGAGGTCATGTTCCGCGTACGAACTCGGCTCCAGGCTCTTTTCCGTGAGACACACAGTTCTCCAAGACAGAATGCTAATTTTGGCATGGCTGTAAACGATCTACTCAATCGCACCTTTGAGATCTTTCGTCTTGTCGATCGCCTGGCGATCCATCCACCGTCGATGCCAGCATTCGCTCTACCTTCTTCCATGCAGCAGGTCTTTTTGGCTACTGCCCCAGATGGCCGTCAGAGCTTGATTATGCCTCCAGGGGTTAACACCATGCCTACTACCACTCACTATCCATCTGCACTACAGCACCAGGCCTCGACTAATACTTCCGACGGAAACCATGGAGCTCATCCTCAAGGTCACCAGCTCAACCAAGATCCAGCTGCAGCCCAGAACCTTGTTCGCCAGGCACTGATCAACCAGCAGCGTCGGCGTGACGCCGAGAACATCCCCCCAGAGCGACTTCTTCGACGAATCTGGCTTTTCATTCGGCTTTACTTTGTTTGCTACATGATCAGTGGATCTGGTACCTGGATGCGCGTTCTTCTCGTCACGGGTGCTGTTATTGTCGCTTTGCTGTCCGACACTCAGATTCCCGAGCAGCTCCGGGCCATTCTTGTGGCCCCCATTCAGCGTCATCTGGAAGGCCTTGCCCACGTCGGTGGACCTGCGGAGCGTGGAGCACAGGCTGGAACAGAGCAGAATGCCGGCGACCGCCGCGCGAATACCTTCTCCGGAGAGCTCTGGCATCATCTTCGCCGCGCTGAGCGATCCATTGTCCTTCTGCTGGCAAGTCTTGTGCCAGGAATTGGCGAGCGACAGGTCGAGGCCCGCAATGCGGCCGAGGCCGAAGAACGCCGGCGTCGGGAGGAGGAAGAGGAGCGCATTCGGAGCGAGCAACGGGAGCAGGAACAGGCTCAGCAGGAAGAGACCCAGGGCGTGACCCAGCAGGAGATGGGTGCTGGGGAGCTCAGTGGCCCTGGTGAGCAGGCGATTCAGGCTGCCCCGTCTGCCCTGTAAATGGGCAGATTCCAACCATACATACATAATGACCGGCTCATTTCGATACCCCGAACCAGCGTTTACGTGAAGCTCAGCCATAGCATGATATTATCCTCGGTTTGATATCATCTCTGCCGGTCATCTATGTCTTCTACTTTCTAGCGATGGCGTTGTTCCGTTTATTTTCGTCTTTTCAAAATTTCGAGCATTCCCATTACCCTTATGGTCTCCAGCATGTTTGAGTACTTGCACCCAGGTCCATCTTTGCCCTCATTATTATTATCACTTTATCTTTTATCCACATCGAAGATATCTTCTTAGGTAGCTGGCAAAATGATTTCAGTTTCCATCTCAATTCAAGGTCAACGTAAAACAATAGGAGACAATTCAACATTATTCATCAATTGAGTCTATTATGCTTGTATTGCTGCTTTGTTCTGCGTATTCGTATGTCCAGAGTTTTTCAATCCGTCATCGAATTGCTTGACGGAATTCATCAACGATTTTTTCTTCAGATTGACTGATAGCCGAAAGATTAATTATCACAAGATGGCATTGGAACCTTTGGTTTTAGACTGGCCTTCAGTCCTAGGATGTCCACAAAACCAACGTCTGTGCAAAGATTCTTCAAAGATGGTGTACATTAAGATACTCTAATAAGATTGGTGTACATTAAGATACTCTAATAAGATCAGTTTTCTGTTCAGATCTTTCTTCCCTAGTAAAAGTCTATATTGAAGATGCATTCTAATTAAATCGTATGACACTGAAATATTCTAATAATCAAGTGTTGAGTATCCAATCTTGAGAAAGCAGAAGCATCACCTATTCAAACTTTGTCCTCCAGTGTTTAAGCAAGAAGTCATTCTTGAAGAAGTCCAAATCTCAACTCTGTCACGAACTGAGACAGAATAGAAGGGACAGAATGCATTGATGGCAGTCTTATTGCCAAAGCAACCATGAAAAGTACGAGTGCTAGCACAAAACTTAACAGTGTGTTTTTCACCCTCTGATGCTTCTCAACTGCCTGTGCCTGCAACTTTTGCGGGTTAATGTGGTACAATCACCAATGTATTTATGTTGAGGAACGGGTAAACATGGAACTTACTCCGTAAATCCAATCATCCGTGCGGTTCCAGTAGTGTGTGTCGAGCCACATGAAGTAGGAGCTCCATGGATAGACGAACCAATTCTTTTTTGTTTTGGAGTCGATAAAATACTACAAGAAACTGTGTGAGAAAGACATTGCATCAACACACATGGTGGAATGTTCGGCCGCTTACACTGCCACATGAGGTGTTGAAAATGGTCTGAGCAAGGGAGTCGTGCAGTTGACGGTTATAGGTTTCCTCCTTGTCGTATTTGACTTCCACAAATGAAGAGCGATCATTGACCACCGGCTCGATGACCTTGATAACAAGATTGGAAAAACTAGATTCTTGTGAGGAGGTATAACATTAATGTGGGGGCGTTCGGGGGTGGTTGACACACTTTTCAATGGAGTAAATTGCGGACGTGTGGCCTTTACCTGAGTTGGGGCCCAGTATGTAAAAGAAATTGGGAAATTTTGACATCGCAATAGACTTGTAGGCCTCTTTGTAACCAAATTTCTTCCAATGCTCTTCTCGGCTGTACCCTTCTCGGCCTCTTATATCAACATCGAACTGTGTGAGCGAGAACCCAGTTGCAAGGAGCTTAATTGAAGATGATTTTAGCTTCTATGTACTAAGGAAAATCATATCGCAATGATCAACTTAGCGGAATTGACCTACTATTATATCCGCGGGATATTCCTGTCCTGACTTGGTCAAAACTGACTTGGATTGAAGAGAAATGACGGCGTCATCTGTGAGGTGGATGTTGTTTTGTTGCAGACAACGAACATATTTGAGATTATCGAATATACGACGCTATTTTAATAAAAGTAAGATTCAGTCTGTGATCTGCTGTCAGAATGGTAACTTACTTTGCATCCCATGTCGTATGTTGGTATAAGAAGCGGCCAATATTTCTCTTTCAAAAAGCATCAGCATATTAGAATCAAACTTTTGGGTTGTAGATAGCTCATGGGGCTTACCGGGTGCTGTTCTAAGAATGTAATCCTTGCTCCTTTCTGCTGATTGATTTCTTGCCTTGGAGCCGGTTGCACTGATATTGAATCTAGCAGACGTGCTCTCGAGATAAAAAAATACAATCATTCTGAGGATCCAAAGAGCACCTGGCATGTAGCGGAACATAAGCTTCCAGTAACTATTAATGTCTATATTCTCATTTTGCACATAATGCTGTGGTGTCTGCACTTGTAAGCAACCACGCCTATATTATATCGTTTCGAAATTATAATGCTTACCCGGATAAATTGGCGGATACTCCTCGCTTGATCAAAAATTGCCGGTATGAGCTGAGCCGCGGAACCTGGACTTGTTTAGCATAGCGTTGATCAATGAATAATATATTGATAAACCTTACACCCGTTGCCCACAACAACCACATCTTTGTCCTCGAGATTTATATCCTCTTTCCACCTCGCGGTATGAACAATATCACCTTCGAACACATCGACTCCCGGAACTTCAAATTTATTGGGATTAACCAGCCCACCGACAGCAGATATAAGAATTTTGCATTCCTGATAAAATGATTCACCGGTTGACAGATTCCTCAACTTGACTAGCCAGGTGTTTGTCAAGTCTTGCCAATAAGCTCCTTCCCATTCAGTATTTGGGACAATATGACGGGGAATGTCAAATTTTTTGGCAACATTATTGAAGTAGTCTAGGACTTCTGGCTGGGAGGGGAAGGCTTTCGAAAAATCGGGATTTGGGCAAAAGGAGAGGCTGTAAAAGACAGCTGGAATATCAACAGCGCATCCTGGATCTTTTTCATTTTTGGGAGGTCAGTCTAATTGAAGCTTCCGAGATACTATAATTCACCTACATTTGTTCGCCCACCAAGTCCCCCCTGGCGCTGCATAACGATCATAGATAATATAGTCGTAGCAATTAAGTTTAAGCTGAAGCTGGCATGCCATAGTTAGTCCGGAAAACCCGGCTCCAATGATCATCACCTTCGTAGGGGGCTTTGTAATGGTAAAATCCATGAGGGACGATACGAGTTTGAATCCGATAACTTGAGTAAGACTTGATCTGACTGCAGTTTCCTCAATAACACGCAGAGTTAAAACCCAAATTTATATCATTGCTAGGTCGATATTATCTTGGAGAGGGAAGAGTACTAGGAGGGAATACTAGTTACAAAGATGTGCGAATTCTTTGTAGGGCTACACATGCTTATCTCGTCCCTAATTAGCAACTTCTTTCTGTGCCGATCAAGTTTACTTGATAAAATCTATCGAATCATATTATTTGAGAAGAACAACGCGGTATTTGGAATGTTGATACTTTCTGGATCAAGATTTGTGTGCAGAAGAAGCGGTTGAATGATTACAATCTGGCTACTTACTTCAACGACTAATGCATGTAGCTGGATTCAGAACTTTGTCAAAACCTAGTTGAGCACAATACATGGCTGACACATATAGCCCCTTAATCACGCATAAAGTGGCCAGAGGGGTGAAGAATCGCACACCGAGTGAGCTATATTTCTGTTGCTTAAAGGCTCTCTGAATTCATTCAATTCAATGATTCACAAGTCAATAACAATACATATTCTTGATAATTCTGCAATGATGTTACACTACTCTGCCTACATGGCTTACCTTCTTTTTACCTTTGTGATGCTTATTATTTCGTTTCGATATCAAACGAGGTCGGTCATGAAGGATATCTCTTTCATTGTTGCATCTATTATTGTGGATATTTTCCTACATTTCCATTGGTTGCAGTTTATTCAAATAATATCAGTCCTGCTTTTTGTGGGAGTTCCTGCTATTATTTTGGCTTGGATTGCGCTGATCACATGTGTTCAACGGAACTTGATCCTGTGGTCAGAAAACGGAATGGACACCCAAGACACTCTGTTAGGCAGACCTCTTCTTTTTCCGAGTCAGTTGACACATGCAAGGATGTTTCCAGAGAGATATCATTACGGGATTGACTACTTCCTTGTTGGCATTCCTGTCGGACTTTGTGGCCGCGCTGGAGCGATAATTTCGATTGACAGCTATGAGTCAAATCCAGACCATCTATCAAAAGAAACCCTAAGGTCCAAGTTATTATCGTTTTCTCGAAGTTTAATCTGGTTCAGAATCAACCCGGGTCAATACCTCCACCGTGGCGAAAGTCATCTAAGTCTGCGTTCGAAGTTGGAGCATTTTTTGATAGAAGAGGTATGTTCGAATTATCATGATAATTATCGAGCGCTAAGCTTCGCAGGGTGAGAACCCAAAGAAATATCCATACGCCTATCTTATCAGCATTCCTCAGTTTTTCTGGTGGACCAAGAGTCCAATCTCGTATTGGTATCTCTACTCTTCCACCAAAGAGCTCAGCGCGATGATTATGGAAATCAACAACTCATACGGCGAAAAGAAGAACTCGTTCTTTCGACTTCATAAAGAAGTGAATTCATCATTCCCAACCGCGAAAGCTTGCACCGAATTCAGCACTATACAAGCAAGAAGTAGTAGTGGAACCAAAGCTGTTAAATTTGTGTCGTCAGCTCCCTCCGCAAAATATTATAAGGGCACCTGGGAGAAAGACATATTTGCATCCCCATTTGAGAAGGTTGAGGGTGGTTTTACCCTCCGATTTATGGATCCTCTCGACCCTCAACCAGAAAAGGGCGGCCCACTACATTCCAACATGACTCTGATGAGCACATCAGGCAAACCAAAAATATCCAGTCGTTTGTTTTCGCAAGCTCCGCCGTTGGATCCTCTCTTAGCATCAAGCTGGGACGTAACCAAGTGTCTTCTGCGCTGGTCTTTTGTCATCCCATCGTCAATTGGTCGAATTGTAGTGGAGGCTCTTCGCATTCGCTTCAGAGGCAACATGCCTTACTTGAACAAGCCTGATGTGAAACCGAACAATATCCCACGCAATGCTTCGGAAACCGAGAGGTATTACCACATCTTCATTATGTATGTCTGGATCCTCTAACGGCTTTGTGTATAGAGTTCTAGAAGGTTTCTTTCGTCTATTCCTATTCCATCTAGTTGAATCTTGTCAGATTCCGTTGACAGTGATTTATACACCTGCCAAATCACTGCATCTTCATCCCATTTTTATGCATTCCTCAGCCAAGATGTTGACTTCGGCTCCCCCTCCCACTCTTTTGATTCAACCTCTTACACCTCAGTTTTACACCAATATTCTCAATTACGAAGACATCAAAGTGGGGCTTGCTTGTGAAATAGAAGACAAGCCTCAAGTATCCGATCCAATATCCAAGCGTTTGTGGGTCTCTGATTCCATTCTGTTAAATAATTTCATATCCTCAGCAGAGGGATCTTCTTCATTCCAAAAGCAGGCCAAACCACAGCCTGATTCAGCTGATTCCGATATGCTGGGTCTAGCTGCAGGCTATCTTGTGCCACGAAGAAATTCAAAATCCATGTCATTCATGGATTCATTCATACGTGCCTCCTGTTCGGCTCGCCAGCGTCGAAAATATAAAGCGGCACGCATTCACCGCTATCTGACAGAACGCTTTGCATTGGGTTCATACAGATTGGCTTCCGTTTATGGATTCTTGCTGCAAATTGCAGTAATGCAGGTGGCCTGGAGAAGTCTGCGACAGATGCTGTATTACCCAAATCCGTTGTGTCGGGAAAACTTTCTGGTTGCTTCAGGGGTATTTTTTCTAGGGGTCCGAGCGTGGTCGATACTGACTGATAGCCTGTACTGAACTATAGTTTGGAATAGCATGGATTGAAAGTTTATAGGGTTAAAATATTTCCATTCTTGGTTGTATGCATAACATGTGCGATATCGGAGGAAGTCGAACCGACCGACTTTGAGGTCTTAAACAGGTCCGTCCTATCGACCCTTGTGTGTACTGGTCAGCGCCTCGGCTCAAAGCTCTAGCAATCATTCATTTTTCTTAATCAACTTTCCATTTTCGTACTCTTAGCATTACAATTCTAGATCCGTACCTTTAGTTTAGTTCTTATCGAGTTGGGCTTTCTTCAACCAACGTTTTCTTTTAGTTGCACTTTGAACTTATAGGAAATATTATTTTATACTCAAAGTACCATTCGGATCTTCTTTAGACCCACCACTCAAGAAGAATACGAGTCTGCCAAGCCATTCTCAGTATGAGTGTGCGAATCACGTCACATTGACCCCATCATGGCTGTGCACATAGGGGTACGCCACCTTTTTTGGGCCCGACAGCAAATATTGAAATCATTCGACAAACTCAGAATCCGTAGCGTTAGTATATTTATTTGGTTCTCCATAATGCGATGCGCTCAATGGCATTATGGTAGTTAGTTAGTTTTCCTGCGGCCTATGCCTTTAATCACTATGACCGAAATCGCGGGCCTCGTTTTGGGAACGGCGGCGCTGTGGGAGAATCTTTGACGTCGTCGAATCTGGGCGGCGTCATGGCATGGATTATGAACTTCTGTGTGTTAAGCTGGAGGTGGAGCGGATCCGATTATTCAATTGGGGCGATTCGATTGGCTTGTCTGACTACATCAATGAGAGCAACACTGAAACCGCAGACACAAATCGAGTCTCCCGTGAGTTGAGACTAGACGTACGATTGCGGAGGGAAGAGGTAAACCAAACGGTGCTACGTCTGCTCGGATGTACCCAGCACTTGTTTCAGGATTTAGAGCGGGTGCAGAGCGTGTACGGTTTGCGACCAGCTACGCCTTTTCCTGAAACAGAAGACGGCTCTCCTGGTGCTGGTAGCTCGAATGCTCTTAGTGCAGTGTTTGCGAAAAGCTATGAGGGTCTCAAGCGGAATGCACGCGAAAGGCACAAGATCACTACTGTGGCGCGTCGTATGAAGTGGGCAATACACGACAAGAAAAAGTTTCAGGACATGGTATCAGAGATCCGAGGTTTCAACGACAGGAGAGTTTGTTCCCAGTATCAAAAAAAAGATCGCGGAAGTCATGCGAGTGGATGTCCAAGCCAGCGATAATGTCGATGAATTGCAGTTGCTGCAATATGCGACCATTGGTGATCACACCGACATCTCTGATGTGGCCAGCGCTCGGCTTGAAGAGTTGGCTATGTCAAACACCGCACGAACTGAGCTGCTGAGTGAGCAACTGGATTCGTTTACGGTGGACGATCTGGATGAAGAGAACTGGGAAGATGTGGAATATATTCGGCGCGAAGATGATAATATCACTATCACTGCCGGGGATCCCGCCATCGCAGTGGCGGAGAAAAGGTGGAATGGGGTCGAGCAATTTGTCAACAGAAAACGGTGGCCGGAGCGCTTCATTTGCAACTTATTGGGCCGTATCAGCATATAACACAAGTGACTGCACCCTGCTACTGGGGAATCAGAAACGGCGTGATATCTGGGTCGATCTGGAGAAAGGATTCGTGGCGAGCGCGCATGCGACATTCGGTGAGAACCCTCTGCTTGTTATATTGAGATCTTGACGGAATTATGAATCGGGTTGATTTAGACTCAGCAGGTATCAGACGCCTACTACAAGAAGAGGTATAAAAAACGACAGCGGCGAGATGAATACGGCTTTGAGGACAACTCTGAAGAAGACGGCGTGCTGTTTGATCTTGAGAGCTATCCCAAATATGAAAATGTGCACACGGGGACGATCACTGTCGAAGGATTTGGTCTGGAGGCATGGGAATTCGAAGAATTGCATAACGATAGGAATAATACCATTATGGTGAATTATTCTGATCCGGGCTGTATCCCTGCGAGAAAACTGCTGCGGAGGATCGATGAACTGCAAACAAGCTCTGCAAAGTTAGGTTGGAACCCGCCTCAAGACCACGAAGACCTCAAGGAATTTATCGACGACACGGGTTTGTCTTATGCCAACACAACGAATGAATACAAAAGAAGCACTCTGGTATACTCCAATTTGTTCAGTTTTCTCAATCGCACTGATGCTTTGGTCGATTTCCGTTCCACGTCGACCGTCAACACAGTATGGAATGAGGGCTCCGAAGGGAAGGGAGGGAAGTTTTGGAACCTGCTATGGCAAATCGTCGTGGCCAAGGAGTTGATCCGACGCTTCGAAGTCGATAAAACAGTCGGCTGTACCTTCAACTTTACCGGTCGAATCCTGGCCTCGATGATCATCGCTGATCAATGGCTCCAGAACATTGAGATTGGGCTGTCCGAAATGAAGATTCAACCGAAAGATATCAAACAACCGGAAACCGACGAGCTTAAAGCCAAAGCTGAAGACTTTAAGCGACAAGGCGGCGATGCGATGGCGAAGAAGGATTACCACAAAGCCATTTATTCCTACACTGAGGCTATCCGGATCGACCCGAGTAGCTCCGTGTATTGAGCCAATCGATCCGCGGCTAATCTGTCCCTGGGAAACTGTGATCACAGTCTTGAAGACGCTTATATCGCGATTCGCCTGGATGTCAAATACGCCAAAGCGTGGTCCCGTGTTGGACTCGCGGCAGTTAAACTTGGGAGGACCAAGCTGCCGTCGAGGCATACGAGAATGCCATAGCCCTTGCTGGACAAGGTGCGACAGCTGGAATGCGCCAGGGCTTGCAAGATGCCAGAGAAGCCAACACGGCGAATATGAATGCGATCAATAAGGAGAAAGATCTGTCCAAGAAGGAAGTCTTCCGCAAGGAGTTCATTGAGCAGGACTTCGAGATTGCGGCGAAGACTGTGTAAATACATTCACTGTGCCACAAGCAACAAGTCGAAGGCCTCATTCTTTTCGCAGAACCCATAAGATGACCTTGGGTCAACGAAGTTCGTGACTATGCTGAAGAACCTTATAGCAAGTTGCGGAGCGGCCAGCTTACCCCAAGGCATTTGCAAGACTGGCTCTTTAGTTTGATCCTGCCAGGCAAATGGTTCAGCTTCAAGATAATGAGCACTCTCATACTCTGCACGCCATCATTGAGTGAGACGCTCGGCGTCGCACCCTATTATAACTGCGGTCTCAGCCTTCCGAAGAGATCATACTGGCGGATCCGCACAGTTCTCGGCCGTGTACTCGGGTGTCAGACCGGCGTCAGCTCGCTTTTGGCTGGCTTGGACCCTGTCCACCTGCGGAGTTTCTTCAGACTGGTTGGAGCGACGAGGACAACTTTGACCCATCGAAGCCACGGCACATCAATTTGAAAGCACGGGCCGTCACGCCGATCGCGCATAAGGGCTGGATAAACGATATAAATATCGTTACCGGTGACGACTACGAAGATATCAAGTATGAAGGCGAAAAAGAGCTCGGGCCATGGATGGAAGAGATGAAGAACCAGGATAACTGGGTTGTGCTAGAGCCACCTGGGCGTCAGGTTAGCACTTGCGACCTCATCAATATCCAACGGAAGCGCGACCTTTCCTCAAAACCGTAAACCTTGAGCCGGACGCGAAAGCTGTCTACCGTGCTCAACTCACCTTCACTCTTGACGACACTCCAAGCGAAATTATCACCTACAAACTATATACAAACCCGGTCTTTGTCGTCCCGCCGCCATGCCAACCATGTCCATGCGGCGTTGCGCATGAAGTTCGCCGGCGCGAGCTGCCGTGCTATCAGGAGCGCAACATATGGACTATCGAGAGGCTAAAGGAGCACACGGCTGAGGACGACCCGGAACGTGGTGGGGTGATGGTGATCAATGCCACAGGGCGGGGTGCCGAGACGCTGGCTCGTGCCTGATGTAGCGAGAGAGGCAAGAATGCGGTTATTCGGTATTCTGGGGGACCATGTTTTGTCTGTGCAGTGGAGGCTGCGAGTCGAGGTGGGCTGGGGATCAAAGTGTTGATTTGGGTAAGCGGAGAGCCTTCAAGGCCTATATGAATCGGCCTTTCTAGCTAGATACTAACACCATGCCCTGGCAAATCTACCTCTCTCTCCCGACACGCATCTTGCTGGAGCATGAGCAGATCCTCTTGTCAGATTATCATATAGTGCGCAATAATGCAATAATCGCTGCTAGGCTTATTGTCACTATATGATCATGGTAAAAAATAGACTGGGACTGGCTTATACACCTTAACCAGCAACGCAATATTGAACTTTCTCGTCGATGGGTGATTTTAGAGGTTAATTTATACATGATCTACTATAGGATGCCGTCTATATCGAAGGGTCTATCTAATCGTCCATCCAGTCATCCATCCAATAATCCATCAAACTGTCTTTTTTATTCTCCGATCCACCTTGATGCGCACAAACGCGGCTAAAAGAGTCGCAGCGGTGGCCATGGAGCCCGCATAAAAAATTGCTGGTCGATATGCGCCAATGCCGCCTTCCTGACCTCCCGAGGCATTGAGAATGTAACCAGCAATAGGCGCCCCCTGTAATCAAATTGCGCAGTTAGCCTTGATAGTAGCAGCAACAAACTCGGCATGACCATTTTATTTACCATAAGATATCCTCCAAGCCAACCGCTCACAATCATGCTTACCGCAACGGAAACTCTTGCGGAACCAAACACGTTTCCAACAACAGTCGGCATCGTAGAGAAGAAGCCCCCATTCGCCGAGCCATTAATCACCACAAATGCAATCAAGGGCCCAATGGAACTGGACACGGGCCACAGCACGAAAATGCTCAAGGCGCTCAGTAGCAGCGACAGGAACAGCGTATTCAGTGATCCTAATTTATCACAAGCAAATCCGCATGACAATCGCCCGATTGCAGAGCTGAAATTAAACGCTGCTACCAAGCCTGCGCCCGCACTGGACGGGAGGCCAAGACTGTTGGTATAAAGTGGCAAGAAAAATGCCGGCACAAAAAGAGGGAACGTGCCAATGGCGCCTGTCGCGAATAGAACGGCGAAGCGGACGTCCTTGAACAGTGCCCATTCAACCATCTTGGCAGGCTTGATCGGAGCTCGTTCTTTGATGAAATACGCAGCTGGTAGGCCTGTACCGATGATGAGAAATCCAAGAATCCGGAACGTCCACGCAATTCCAACACTTTGAATCAGGGCGTCTAGAATGAAACTGATCACTGTGCCTCCGAGCCCACCACCAGCATAGACAATGCCATTGGCGATGCCGCGCTTGGCTTTGAAGTATTGTGCCGGAGTCACTGATACAACCTGATGAAGAATGTTAACCGGAAAAGCCTAAAAGTTCGTTTTGGAAGCCACAGGTTTACCATAAAGCATAGACTGGTCCCGATCCCACCAACAAACCCCCAGGTCATAAACAGGCCGGCCACACTCTTCGTCGCAAACCCACTGAGAATACTTCCCAGTCCGAGCAGGAAAATACCCGTGAGTGCGGTAACTTGTGCTCCAATTTTTCGAATTACGGTCGCATTGGGCACAGCGAGTAGCGAAATACAGGCGGGACAGAGGGAACCCACAAATGCTAATGTCGAGGACGAGTAGCCCATTTCATCGACTAGCGCAGCCTGCATGACTCCCCATGTATAGGAAGCGCCGACAAACCACCATGTCACAACAGCACACGCAAAAATAAGGACCCATCCATACCCACCATCTGGAACCTGAGAGTCCGCGATAAGTGACTGCTGCATCACTTCATCGGGCTCCAGTTGAGACTCTGGGGCCGAGGCGACCGGGTTGCGCTGCCGTTCCTCATTCCAACTCTGGCCCAGAGTGGGGAGCTCGACTGCCGTGGTAGGTAGGGTGTGGTTGAGGGTCGCCATACTCCTACTGGTTGCAATTCCACTTGCAGGAATGGTTATAGGATGAAGCTGCTAATTCTTCAAATAGTAAAACCTCGGAGAATTTAAATATTTGCATTAATAAGCTTTAATTGACCCCGAATTATCCACTCATTTTCGTCCTTCGTCATTGACAAGGCGTGCACGTGACCGCGGCTATACTCGGCACCCCGAAGGGTTTTCCAGGATCTTAAGCTTATGTCGAGGAAGATGCAGCCACTGAATACCACGAGGACCCACATATTCCTCTGTGCGTCTTGACATGACAGGGATACTCGATTCTCTGCCCGTTTTGTAGGGTATCACAGGTTTACGCGGAACCCAGCGCCGTAACACGCTAGTCAGCGAGGTAGGAGATATCTAACCCCCCCCCCCCCCCCTGCCAGCTAGTTTACTTCGTTGAACATCATCGCATTGGGCATCGCATTCCATTAGATCCCACCTTTACAAGCCGATACAGTATCCTACTATTTTGACAGCTTAAGCTCATGTATATAACACAGAAACCTCGTTTGGCTATATGGGCGCCTAACCCTAATATCGTATGACTACTGCTGCATAGCCTCAAACCTAGACAATCATGCAATTTTCTACCTGCATTCGGATAAGACTTCAATTCCTAAGCTCTCAATATTTCACACTGCAATCTACATCCGGTCTGGTTCGTAATGTTTGAAAAGATAACTAAAAGATAGCAACGGCATTCGGAGGACTTGCAACTCCTCCAGGGACCTATCAAAATTCTAGTCAGATCCAGCACTTGAACGACGTTTAGATGAGATCACTCACCTTGATCGGAACACTGGTCAAGAAGAATGAATACCGGCCCAGCCTGCGCGCAGTACGAGCCAATTCTTCTAGGTCAAACATCTCGCCTAAAGGAAGACCCCAACCAGCCAACGCCCATTGATGAATTGATATGTCCGGGTGATTATGCGGCCCATCCACAGGTCCACGCTCAAAGCTTGGCGAATCACTGGCGACGGCGGCGAATCGAGACTCCCACAGCCAGCGCAATGATTCTTCTGTTGCCTCCAACCCCAAGAGTCCTCCTGGGCGTCGATCTGGATATCTTTGCTTCTCTTCGTCTGTCAAAGCATTGTAGGCTACTGTGAACCCCACTCGCAAAAACAAGATATCCCCTTGGTGGATCTCTATGCGTTGTTCCTTGATGATAGCCTTGATGTCTTCAAGCAAAATTGCACCGGACTGAAGTGCTTTGGCTTCACGCCCATTGCGGGTAGCCCATTCAGCCCAGTCGAGCAAGATACCGCGACCGATAATACCCCCTCTAATCACCCATTCTGAACAAGGTGATCAGCCGTTTCCAATCTATGATCTTACACACAAAAACTCACGGTCAATTCCAATTTTCGAGCTATCTTGGAAGTCTTCTTGAAAATGGCCATTGTAGAACCGTCGAGCAGATTTGTATCCTGTTCTGATTAGATTTGATCACAGAGTAAGATTTGTTTATCTGTTTATCTTACCAAAATGCCGAAATCCATCCCATTGCGTACTACTCTGAGTGTTGAGATATACCTCGTCATCATTCATAGGCACATCCGCGTGAGGTATGATACGATGTTCAAAACGCTTCCGGCCATCCGTAGGGAACATGGGCTTATCGAAGGGCCAATCCAAAGAGATGCGAATTCCTCGCTGGATTTCTCTGGCTGACGCAGCGACGACTTCGGGAGTCAAAAGATTCAACATACCTAGCTGGTCATCTCTCCCCCATAGACCCCATGCATTCCCCGGTGGGCCGCTAGGGTCGAGAGGAAGCTCGTTGAATTCGGGCCATCGCTTAAAATCCATACTCCGGACCGTAAAATTGAAATTGAGTGGTGATAAATCGACCAAAGCTCAGAATGTTTTATGGTTCCTTAACTGCTGTCTCCAGTTACATGTAAAAGATAGCAGGCCGGAGTCATTTGTGACTAGTACAGGCAAATCGTTTATCCTGTGGGAAAAGCTTTCAGCGCCGGTTAGATCGGAGTTAAAACAGACTAAGTAGGGTTCACCGATAAAATGAAGTATCCACAGAATAATTTGACCTCTGGGGGCCACGACATAAAAATTTTGGTAATTACAGAATAATCCAGTGAAGAATGGCTTTTTGGCCGGAGCTTTCAGTCTTTGAGGCGATATGTATTAGCCTTGCTGCTGGGAAAATTGGCTTTGCACTTCCCCGATCAACTTCTCCCATGTGGTTGAGTTTCTGGGCTCTATAAGCCAATGCAAATAGAAAAGTTGCAATTTTAAGCTGTAAATTGCTTTATACCTCTAATCACCATATAACAAGCAATACTCGAGACAGTCACCTCCACTGTATGAAGAAGCCAAGGGTAAGCTTTCATCCCCCTGTACCAACAGTATGGCTTCAATTGGATCCTTCGCCCCCAAATTTCATCGCGCAACCCCGCATATCCCCGCCCCCGCCCCCGGATTGATTCATCTGTGAGACCAAATTTTCGGGGGTAGATTCCGAGGGAAATTTTTAATTATTTTCGTAGAAGCTTCTTTGGGCCCTGTCATTAGACGCTAGAAGAGATTTGCATTGACCAAACTATTACTCTCCACAGGATTCCTATTCATCATCCCCCCTCACTGAACTACCATAGTCTCATGACTCCAGGGCGGAAAAGCGTAGAGCCTGGACGATTTTACTCGACTTATAAGATGCCTGAATATTGGATCTAGATGTACACCTTTCAGTTATATTTTCCCGTTTTCTCCTACACGAGATTATAGGTTCTGTTAACCATCCTCACACGCAATGCAGTTGCTGCGTGGAAAGAGCGCCAGCTGGGGGATTACAGTCTCCTGTGGTGCGGGTTTCTTCCTTTTCGGTTATGACCAAGGTATGCCATCCTTCTCATCTTCGTAGAGTCAACGAAAATATGTTCCTGACTCATGACTTCTCATGCCTCATGGAGCTGACTTTGTTCAAGGTGTCTTTGGTGGTATTCTGACAAATCAGAACTTTCTTGGTACCTTCAACAATCCAGATTCCACAATACAAGGTCAAATCACATCCCCCTATTACCTTGGAGCTATGTTTGGCGCCCTTTTCTCGCGAGTTATCGGCGACCGTATCGGGCGTCGGCGAGCAATCATCTTAGGATGTATCTTCTTGACTATCGGTGGGGCGTTGCAGGCGTCCGCAAGCACTTTGGCTCATATGATCGTTGGTCGTATTGTGGGTGGATTTGGAACTGGTCTGAATACCACTGCAATTCCCATGTGGCAGGTCGAAACTTCGAAGCAGCACCATCGTGGTAGATTAGTCATTATGGAACTGGTGCTTAATATTTTTGGCATTGCAGTGACCAGTTGGATGAACTATGGTTTCACATGGCTTCCCAACAACTCTGTCTCGTGGCGATTTCCCTTGGCATTCCAATCGTTCTGGGCAATTGTGACATTGGCTCTTACACAGATTATGCCAGAATCCCCTCGCTGGCTAGTGCTTCGAGGTCGTCTAGATGAGGCCCAAAGCGTCCTGGCTCGTTTGGTTGATAAAAGCCCTTCTGATCCAGAGGTTGCAGAGGCCTTGCAAGTCCTGTTTGACACTGTCAATCACGAAAAAGAAGCAGAAACTGCCTCATTGCGAGATTTGCTGAAGAACGATCGGTCACAGACTTTGAGACGTATCTGTCTGGGTGCGGGACTCGGCTTGATGCAGCAAGCTTGTGGTGTCAACATCATTGCCAATTACCTACCAGTAGTACTCACTCGATCGATCGGTTTCAGTGACCGGTTGTCCCTTGTGATATCAGCGGTCTACAATCACGCTCTCATGATGTGGGCATGCACTTGTATGCTGGCAATCGACTCTGTCGGTCGTCGACCTCTGTTGCTTATAGGCGCTGCTGGTCAAGGTATTGCCTTTATCATGATCGCTGTTGGAATCAAAATTGGAACATATTCGACCTCAATTCTGAGTGTCGTTTTCATATTTGTCTATAACTTCTTCTTCGGCATAAGCTATCTCCATATCCCTTGGCTTTACCCAGCAGAGATCAATTCTCAGTCGATGCGCAACGTTGGAACCTCAATATCTACAACAACAAACTGGCTATTTGTGTATATTGTTGTTTTAGTGACGCCTATTGGTATGGAAAATCTTGGCTGGAGCTTTTATTTGATGTTCGGCATCTTCAATCTTGCGTTCCTTCCATTTATCTGGTTGTTCTATATAGAAACGTCTCGGCTTTCGCTTGAACAGATCGATCGAGTGTTCGAGATTCAATTTGAAGGAGGCAATAATATGACGTTCAAGGCTGCAAGACAACAGGTTCTACTCGAGACTGAGCTGGCTGGGGGCGGCGGCAGAGATTTTGTTGTCAACACAATGGATATGAAGGACTCGGTGACAGTTAGAGAGTCTATAAAATGATATGCAGAGTTCTTTAGTAAAATGAAGACATTTCATATCTATTGAAATGGGGAACATGCCCACTCTGCGAGCACCCTGATTCGTGGATTGAATATTGCGTACAGTCATTACAGATATACGTAGTTTTCTCTTGATACGAATTCAAAATACCCCAAAAGCCTTGAACTTAGAAATGGAAAACGTCATAAGAGATCGAAGTATATAGTGCAATGATGAAGAAAGAAGATCAAGGAGAAGAACGATGCAATTGTCGCCAGCCCTGAGAAAAAAATCAGAATATTGAATCCGAGAGAATCAAGTCTCACAACAGACGCATGATGATAACAGAGGTAATTCATATAACTTCTAATTTCATGCCGAAAGGCTCTCTAGATTCACAATTTCGTCACAGGTCTACTCGGCTCCGTCGACGAGGGTACCAAAGAAGCCGCCATCGGGCCAGTATCGAACGACTCCTCGCCGTTGAAATGCCTTTCCAGGGAAAAAGAAAAGTCAGCATTGACAACAAGAAGGGTCCAAAAACAAGAAGGTCGAGGAAACCGGCTAGATCTTACCATCCACGCTCTGCTCCACCACTCAAAAAGGTACAATCCCCATTCGCAACACACTCCCATCCACCCCCGACTCCTCGTCCCTCCCAGGCAGGAACACCCTCGGCACGCACGAACTGGGTCCCCTCAGCCAGCAGCTCTTTAGGGCCATTTTGATCCCTTCCACTCACAATAACTCTCCGCTTGAACGTACTAAGGCCGGCCGTGAACACGTTAAAGTCCTCCTCAGAGCTATCAACGGGCATACGGCCTGTCAAAGCACGGCCCATAGCAATCAGAGGTGCAGCGTGCGCGCAAATTAAGATCGATTTGCTGGTGCGCTGCATAGCGGGGATATCGGCCTCAAGGGCAGTGACCTCAGCGTCCACGTCGGCGATGATACCTTCTAGTGCAGTAGCCACACGGTTGTGCAATTGTGCGATGGTCTCGCCTCGCGTGGAGGGGTGCAGGAGCGGAATGTACTTTGTTTCCGGGGCCAAGGGGATTAGTGTGGGGAAATGAGCTTGCATGGTGCTTGGGGTGGGGTGAGAGGGGTGGTCAAAGAAGGTTGTTGGACCAAACCATTCTCTATTTGAGGCTTTTAGTCTTCTGAGACCAGTATCATGAAAGGTCATATAGAACGGCCTGGGAAACTGTTGCACGCCTAGAGGTGGGGTGTGGATTCATACCCTAGTCCATTCTCAATTCTAACATCGAGGTCTGCTGCTTGTTCTATTCGGCCCTTATGATCTCGTGGGATGGCAGTATTCGACGTGGACGCCGTTCTTTCATGTTGTTTTTTGAGTTCCTCCACCGAAGGCTGAATAGTTTGCAGACAGCGATAGAACGGGCTCGAGTAAACTCGAAAGGGCTTTGGGTGAAAGTCCGGGCTACCAATATGAGCAGCAAGTTCATGCGACTGGCGCACCCCATGGGAGGTGAGCGCTGGATCTGCGGGATTGCCCGTTGGGGTTGGGAATTGCGACTTGTAGGTGCCAGTGTTCAGGTCAATCGTCCAGTTGAGACGATGCTATTCATAATTAGCCATAGAGCAGGGCAAGCCCGGCTCGGCTCGAAGAACTTACCCCATGGCGAGTCAAATATATTGTATCCAGCGGCATGGTTAGTACAAGGAATGCAAGAGGCCGTCAACTCGCGGGGAAATACAGGGCAGAACAGGGGACAAAGGCGGGCGGTGAAGGTGGACCTCGGCCCGGCTTGGACAGGTACGCTTGTCTTTACGGTTACGGATAAACAAAACTGAAGATTGCAGACCAGCATCGCCTGACATTCAGAGAGGAACCATGTACTCTGCACGCTATCACGCCGAGGGTATACGCCGCTACTCTAGATTACATTCCCAGGGTCCAGCCCAAGCGACATGCGAAAACCAGTCAAAACAACAACTTTTTCGATTGAGTTTTTTTAAGACTCCGTCTAGTAGAAGAAGCCGAGGAGCTTGCCAGCGACGTGCTTGCGACGAGCCTCCTCGTGGTCCATGATACCGGCGGAGGTGGTCAGGACGACGTAGCCGAACTGACGGGAGGGAAGGAGCTGGGTGGCCCACTTCTCGAGGTCACGGAGCTGGACGGGGTAGCGGGGGTTGATGACACCGCACTTGTTCAGGCTGAAGAAGGTTGTTAGAATAAGTCTCTGTATGCGGGATGAATAGTGAGAACGTACCGGCCGTTCAGCTGGATGACGATCTTGCCGGAACGGTGGTCATCGACCTCCTCGAACTCGCCAATGTAGCCTGAAAAAAGTTGGATGTCAGCAATGTTGCGAAGATTTAAAAGTCGCCAAATACTGAAACAAAAGCGCTTTGGAAACATGTAAGATCTCCGCTAAGGGGTCAATCTATCGGGTACTTAAAAGACAAACGTCGTGGGATGATTGAGACCGTCCGCCTAGTTATCAACCCGAAAGCACAGAAAGCAAAAGGAAAAGCCAGAAAAAATGAACAAATGAAAATGAAAACATGGAAAAAAAGAGAGGTTGACGACGTATTATCAAATCTAGCGCAACGTACCGTGCTTCTGCATGACAGTGAGGAACTTGACGATGACCTTGGAGGAGGGGCGGATCAGGACTTGGCGCTTGCCAGCCTTCTCGGCGTTGTTCATGGCGTTGAGGGCATCGTTGAGGACGGAAGTCTTGACCATTTTGGCGGTTAGAGAGTCGAGATTCTCAAATCGATCGAAGAGAGAGGATATGAGGTATCTGTTCGACGAAACGTAACAGAACCCCGGCTCGACTGAGGCATACGTCCTCCACCACAGAACAACTTCACATTAAAAGTGCTTGCAGTGGAGAATGCATTGCCTCAAGCTCGAACAGGGTGTTCAATTACGCGTTAAGTCAGCCACCACTAGTCTTCGAGCGCAAAGAGTGCCCCTTCCTTGGAAAAAGGAGTTCTTCAGCCCGTGCCGGATGGGAGATGCGTATCATCCTGCACACTGCGCTGCAACCAAGGGAAAGGAACCCAAAGAACAGACAATGGCAGGACGATTGCTCACCCAGACTAGCTGAGAGGCTGGTGAGGGGATAGGGCGTACATACCTCGAGAGGTTGATCCGTCGGTATAGCGGGTTGTCGAAGGTGAAAAATTGCGGCGGTCAGCAAAAGTTTGGTAGGTGTCTGCTGACTGTGCGCGCTTAGGGTTTATATTCCTTCCAGCCCTTATCGGTCCGTAGGTCACGTGGAGATGGTGAATATGTTTGTTGTTGCCTCAGGCATTAAATAGCCCATGCCGTATATTTGGAAGTCCCGTGACTTGTAGCCCTCCAGTTCCGTCTACAAAAACTCTAGTGTGAATGCTGTATACACTTGTTTCATCCTTCATATAGTCCGACAGATGTGATTTATGTATACAAGTTGTGTCCAACGGAGGATGATTGTGCTAATGGGGAGTTGCGAGGAGGTTTGAGAGGTCAGAATATACGAGGACGAGGATAGGAAGGAACACTTTTTCATGACAATGACTCTTTCTGGAAAAGGGGCGTTGCATGATTCTGGGGAAGTACATGACTGGGAATACATGAATGTTTGCGGTAAATGGGGGAGAGGATACATGAATTCTTTGGGCTACATGAGTTTCGATGCTATAGGGATGCGAAGGGGTCTTGTCTAATTAAAAGCAAGGTAGAAAATCGGTGAAGAAAAGGGTGTAAAAAAGGAAGTTGTATCGAGAACAAGCAGACAATGGGCCATGAGGGAGCTGCGGTAGGGGAGGGGGGAGGGGGATTCGTTTGACGTTGTCATCAAGGAAAGTAGCACAAGGGGGAGGGGGTGCTCGTAACGGGGTAATGGGGGGTGCCAAAGAGAAGATGATCATAGGGAATGAAGAAGGGTAGAAGGGGGAATCTCATTTTCCAGTTCTGGAGAAGGGGGAGTTGGAAAAGGGACATTGCATACGACCAGTTGGAACTAGCCGCCACACGTATAGGGTCCTCGCTGGCCATCAAAGATAAGAAGTCGATAATAGGAAGCCGAGTTTGCCCATGGCCTCCAAGCATACCGGATATCTGGGCCGCTTGATTCCCCAGTTCCTCACAGTCCACATTCTAGAGGAATTTTGCTTCTCGCTAGAACGAAAAGTGTGGTGGCGATGGCTATCTCCTCGTCGATAGGATGAAAACACCCGGCTGGGAATTTATGCCGCACTAGTGCCCATGTTGATCTGGCGCTTCACCTGCTCACGAGTCCAGCGGGCAGTCTCGATAGTCCGCGGGCTGTACTGGCGAGTGGTGCGGGTCTCCCGAACCAAAGTAGTAACCCAGTCGTTGCGGAAGAAAGGTGCAAGCTCGCCGTTGGGGAATGCATCCGCAAGATCACCCAGAACACCCATGGAGGAGCGCATGAGGCCCTCGCTGCGGTTGCCCTCCTGGGAGATAATGTGAAGCAACTGGAAGATAGACTCTACGAAGGGCTGAATTTGTGTGACTGGGATAATATTAGTAATGTTGTATTCAGGAGACAGGGCAAATTTCAACATACTCTGAGGCTTGCCCTTGTAGGAGAGCAGAATGCCGCCCCAAGCGTCCATGATACCCTCCCGCAGAGAAACAATGTAGTCTACCATATCGTAGGGCAGATCGGAGCTAGTAGTAACGGAAGAGGCCTGTTGAAGGACACCACCAACGACAGTGAGATAGGTGTCGAAACTAGTACCGATAGCCTGGGCGATATCACCAAAGGTCTCCAGAATGGCCGGCTTGAGCTGGTTTGTAGCGGTCTATGTCGATGGTCAGTATGTACGCGATTCAAAATTAGGTTAAAGGAGTTGTACATACCCGGAGGATGTTGAGGAGAAGGTTCATGAAAGTGTCGCAATAAGGCTGCACCTTCTCATTAAGAGCACGGGCAATATCACTGACAAGGCCAATAGCCATGGCACAGAGACCAGGCTCCTCCTGGTTACCGAGCGCATTGTACAAGAAGGGGCTGAAAGACTCCATGTACTTGATGAACTCCTCATCTAGGGCATTGGCAATGGCACCGACAGTGGCGAAGACAACATCCGGGACGCTGGATTTGGGACCAAGGGTGGAGAGAACCTGGAGAAGGACCTGCATGATCCGGTCGCTTTGGGGCTTGATTTCAGTCTCAAACCGTTGGACAATAGCCTAAGAAATTGTTAGGTTTTCGATTCTTCGAAAGTACAAGTTGATAGCCAAGGTACGTACCAAGATGACACTAATCAAGCTAGTCTGCATCTCCTCGAGGAGAATGCGATCCTCGGTGTTAACAACCTGCTGTTGCATAGGGACGGTCTGCTCCAGACGCTGGATGATCACATCTGAGAGAGTGGCGACCATTGGCAAGCTGTCATTGGCAGAGTTCAAAACGAAGGAGTTGAGAACTTCGTAACCAGCGGTACGGAGCTGGTTATCGGCATCCTGTCTGTTTGAGAAGTTAGTGGCAGATTCCGGCTAAAGAAATACACTTCAGTCTGCAAAACATACCGCTCAGTGACCTGAAGGAGAGACTTGATGCTGTCTTCAAAGTGCTTCGACAGAGGGTTGGTCTGGGAACCAGGATCACCGGCGAAACGGTCCGCAACGTTCATAAGAGCCCAGCAGCAAGAGCTGGCAATCTTGGGACTGCTAGCGAGACCATTGAACAGGCACGAGATCAGGGGTTGGAGGTGAACATCAGGGTCGAGGACCTCGGGGCAGCAGTCGCAAACGCGGCCCAGAGCGTAAGCAGTGGAATCCCGAACCGGGACAGAGGCATCCTCCATCATGCCAAGCAGAACAGGCAGAGCCTGCTTAATCAACGGCTCCAGAACACGGGGTTCAGGGCCCTCCATGATACCGCCGAAAGCAGCGACGGCGGCATCGCGGCGGTGCCAGTCCTCGTTGCGAATGTTCTCCTCGACGAATGTGACAACAGGCTGGATCACATCGCCCTGAACGCATTGGGCATAGAGCTGCAGAGCCTGGTAGGCAGCCCGCGAGACATTGTATTCGTTATCATCAGCATCCTCGTCCTGGCGGCACATCGATTGCAATAGAACAGGGATCACTTCGCGAGTAGCAACGCGAGCGAAGCCAAAGAATGGACGTGCGTCACCACCATCTTGCTGAGCCTATGAAAAGAAGTAAGGTTAGTGGGGAAGGTCTCCAAGCTATCATCTCAGCGCAACCAAAGGGAAGAACATACCTCGGCGTTGTCATCTTCAATAGCAATTTCTTCTTCACAGACAGTGCACCAGAACTCAATAGCCAGCTTGGCAACATCCTCTTCCTCACTCTTCATGCCCATGATGCTGAGGCCAAACAGGGCTTTCTCCATGTAGAAGCGCATCTTCTCGTAGTAGGATCCCATGATACGGTTCAGACAGGCGAAGGCACCAGCTTGCACACGGACCTCCTCAGCCTGAGTGGCCTCGCAAACGACCTGCATGATGTAATTCCGCTCTCCCTCATTGTCCATGTTCGAGCGCACGAAATCCACGGCGTCGCTGAGGGCGGCAATAGCGGCATAACGAACGTCCATGTTTGGCTCCTCGCGGCGCGCACCCTGCACGACGGCAGTGAGGATAGCATTAGAGTGAGCAGTCAAGCTGGCACGAAGGTCGGGATCTTGGGACTCGCAAATGAAGCCAATGGTGGCCAGCGATGACTGTTTCAGGGCGTCGGATCCATTCGCCACGTTCTGCACAAGGATGTTCATAAGGTCGGTCCACTCATTCCGGGGCAATTCGATCGCAGCAATCGAAACGATCAGAGTGGCGGCGGCATTCCCAGCTCGGGTATTAGTTGAATGCAAGGTCTTGAGCGCGAGCTCCTTGACCTGTGCCTTGGTCTCGGGTTGAATCTGTTGAACCCATCGCCCTTGCACTTCACGCAGTTTGGCCTGGTCTCGGAAGGTAAAAGCGTTCTTTAGGGCAATACCAGCAGCGACACGGATATGGGGTGGGCTGTCCTCGTTGGCGAGTTCCTGGCCCAAGGTGACAAGGTAGGTAGCCTAGAGGGAAAAATCACAGGGTTAGCGGGGTTGTTCGGAACGGCTGTAGGAGCGCTCTCCATCACATGAGATCGACATCAATCAAAAGATAGACGAGGGAAGGAGATTACATACGAAGTCAACCTCCGCCGCGTGGGCGAGCTGTTGCTCAGCATTGGTACGTTCCGCCGCATCTGCCGAAAAAAAGGAAAAGAGACGGTCAGCGAAGGGGGAACTACCACACAAGTTGCGATCGTCACGATCTCCAAGGGAGACTTGAGGTCGTCCCGATCGAACGAAAAGAATAGCACTTACCTGGCGACAGGGTGCTCTGCAACACCTGGCGAGCATCCATGATGTCTGGTCAAGGAAACGCAGATGATGGTAGATGTGGGGGGAGAGGAGGGAGAAAAGAGAAGGAGAAAAAAAGGAAAGGGCGGGAAATAAAAGAAGCAGGCCCCTCTAGAAACCGAACAATCAACTGAAGGGGTCACAGGCACACAAATCACAGGCAGCAGGCGGCGTGGATGCAGTGGATGGACGAAGCCTGAAGTCGTGGTAGAGGGAGTGGGAAAGGACGGGGTGTTTTTGTGGATATGACGAGCATGCACCCAGGTCTTCCCGCGACGAGTCACCGAGAGAGAAAGGTGCCTTCCGTGCACGCTCGAGAAGGAAAATCAAAGGTAAAACAAGGAAACCGACGACTGAGAAGGGTCAGGCGGTCGTTGGAAGGTGTCTTGGAAGGGCAGAAGGGAGATTTGATGGTCGAAAAAGAACAGAAGGACCATGAACTTCAACGGAGGCTGATTGGCGCGGGGGCCTCAGGCCGCACGTGAGTTGCAGCCTGAGGCATCACTATTTTGCTTTTTGGGCGCTTTGGGATTTCAAGGGGGTTTACAGGTAGACAGAGTGAAAAGTACGCCAAAAAAAAACTAGGGGAGAACTAGTCAAATCCTGCGACATCTTGCAGCCTCCGGAGCATCTCTCGGGACTTCTCATCTTTTGTTCTCTCCGTTTGAGCGGCCGTTGCTCTTCTAGTCGAGCTAAGGGAGAAGGGGGGCAAAATCGCATGCCCCTCCCTTTTGCTTGTTTTGGTTTTCCTCAAAGTGGCCGCCCACACAGTCCAGCGCGCGGCCCCGGCGACAGGCGTCTGTGAGCCCTGCCTACCCACAAACGCACACATTCGCGCTACTGGCGAACTATTTTTTTTTTTTGACAGTGGAGATCTGGACACTTGACATGCCAGATAGCAATGGTTCCTGCATGTACATGCTCCATAGATATAGCGCTTGTTAGGACTTCCCCTCAATACCGGGCCTTGAAGGAGAATTTTGATCCGTGATGCGTCCCTCCTCGGACGGGGTGGCCACTTTGACACAGGCACTCCGTACGCTATGGCCTCTTCTCATAACATGAATAGAACAAGGGCGATAGTGTGGGCGAAATTTGCTTGGGTGTCGAGTACTGCATCTAGAAGGTCTGTAGTGCCATCCATGTGGAGACCGGTCGATGCGCACGGAACTCAGCGGCAGCTATACTCCAGATTATATATCTCTGTACCGACGTGATAGATACTCCTGTTGAAGTACGACAAAACTCTACGTTCACAAGGCAATTTTTCTATAGTTCAGGTAGTAGCTTTCTTGACTCGCTCCGTGCCGTGGAGATAGAAAGACAATACGTCTCAAGTACAGTATTGTTGACTATCGCAGTAATGCCGACAGATGTCACGAATCTCTTTTCCAAGCATATTTCAATCTGATATCATGCCCTCGGCAGATGAAGCATTGATCTGGAGTGCTTCGGCCTTCCCAGTATTCAGTTTATCCAAGAAAATCAAAGAATCCGGGTGTTTTGCTTCCATAACCCGCGTCTGTATACCTACACCTTCTGTCAACAACTCGATGGCTTTAGAATCTTGCCCCATCGCTTTCCAGATACAGGCTAATTTGTGCTTACTTAGCAAAGTATGATGATGCTCTGGGCCCAGGACGCGCTTTCGGGTAGCGAGAACCTGGGTTTCGAGTACCTCGGCCTCGTGTTGTCGACCCTGGCTCACATAGTTTGACGCCAGGTTGCCCATCATCAGCAACATATGGGGATGCTCTGGGCCAAAGATCCTCTTATCAGTCTCCAGAACTTGTAATTCAAGGTCCTCGGCCTCTTTACATCGCCGCAATTTGTGGTATATCACGGCTAGGTTGTTCATTGCTTGAGAAGTGGCTGGGTTCTCTGCCGCCAACCCCCTCATATGAGTCGCAACACCCTTGCAGAGATTTTTGGCTGCCTCCAATTTTCCTAAACTCATATATGTCATAGATAGATTTGCCATGATCATCAGAGTTTCATGATGCTCCGCACCAAGTACCTTCTTGTGGCCGTCAAGAGCTTCCAACTGCAAAACCTCAGCCTCTTTCCATCGTCCTTGTCTGTAGTACACAGAGGCTAGATTGATCATGGCGACCTGTGTATCCAGATTCTCCAAGCCAAGCACTATCTTACGGGTTTGAACAACTTGACTGGCCAGTCTTTCCGCTTCCTCCAATTTGCCCTGGTCGTGATACGTCATTGAAAGGACAGCCATTGTCCACAGTGTTTGAGAGTGATCTTCGCCTAGAACCCTCTTTTTGGTCTCCAGCGTTTGTACCCCAAGGGCTTTCGCCTTATCCAATTGACCTTGGCGGCGATATAAGTCAGCTAGGTTGGATTCCGTGCTTAAGGTACTTGGTTTCTCTGGGCCGGATAATCTTTTCTGGATCTCCCGCAATTTTTCTCTGATTTGAACAGCCATGCCCAATTGACCCTGCATATGATAAAAAACCGCCAAGCTTGACATGGTAATTATAGTTTCCGGGTGCTCTGCGCCTAACACCCTTGTTCAATCTCGAGGACTTGTTTCCCTATACTTTCCGCTTCCTGCCACCGGCATTCTTTCGCATACGCTGTAATTAATAACGATAAGATTCTGAGCGTGTCCTCATGCTCTGGGCCTAGAATCTCGCTCCGAATTTTCTTTGACGCCTCGATCATATGCGTCATATCCGTAAAATGGAACGTTTCTTTTGCATAAAGGCTTGCAAGTTCGAGAAGGGTAGCCCATATAGTCACAGAAAATTCCGATTTTGGTCGCTGACAATGAGACTTTTATATGGGGAAAATATGATTCACATGTCGCCCACTTTTCATGATTTGCAATTAGGTCGCAATCAGGCTCGGTGACAGCACTGAACTTGACGCCAAGGTTGTTTATGAATTGCATATTCCCAATCTCAGTTTTCCCGTGGATCGCGAGCCATCTTTGCGTGGCCAATTGTACCAACCTATGCATTTGAAATGTTGTCCCATTTGAGTCTTTAGAGACAAATGAATAGTCCCTGAGCATCATGATATCGTCTTCAAAGCCGTCTTTATTGGAATCTTCCACATCGAACTCATCGTCGTTTATCATGATCATTAGGGCCATTCTCAAACTCGATAACCTCGTCAATCATTTCATTCAAGGATGGATTCTGTAAGATGTCGGTCTCATGGCGATTCTGAAGGTTGATAAAACATCGACTCTGGAGTAAGGCCTCTGGAATTCTATGTCGGTCGAAAAAGCTCATGAGGCCAAGCAAGTCTGCTGCGGATGGTCTTGTTTGCCGTATCAGATCGAATGATAATTGCCAAGTAGTCAGGATGGAATTGCTCGCTTCTAGGTCTCTATGTGGATGACCAGCTTCATAGTCAAGAAGTTTTACTTTTCTGTGGTCGCTTCTCTGGAAATCGCCAAGGTATTGTGTTACCGAGGATCGGGGTGCTCTTTGCTTCATGTAAGCTGCGGCTTGTACCATCGCGAGAGACAAGAAATTTAGTTCCTTTGCGAGTTTGACAATATCATCCTTAGATTCCTCCTTGGCCAGATTCCCAAGCTTTATCTCCAGTAGAGTCAGTGCCTGAGACTCCGTCATTGGCTCAATAGAAATCAGATCTGCCTCGTTCATAACAAAATTTGTACCAACACGCCTACTTCATTGGTCATGATAATAGACCCATTCGAACTATGTGGCAGAAATGCCAAAAATGGCTGCTGGCTGGTTGTTTGATCGGATTTTACTGACACCGACGCATGCAAGATGTGCTCGTCATCGACGTTGTCTAGAATGAGAATCCACCGTTTCCTCTCATCTTGAAGCCAGTTCAAAACAGGGTCAGTATATCGGCTTGAGGATCTTGTCGACCCGGAATACGAGCCCAATTTGCAATCTCTCGGTAGCTCTGCTGAAAACGGGCAGTGCTACTCGCGTAGACCCAAAAGACCCATGTGTCGGAAAATTTGTCTCGGAGGCGATAACAAAGTTCAATGGCAAGTTGAGATTTTCTTGTTATAAATTAGTACCGGGAAGAATGCCTGAGATCATACATAGCTTTCAGCACATACCCGACGCCGCCTAAACCAACGAAGGCTATTCTCAAGGTCGGCACGGGCGACCCGAAGCATTTCTCCTGGATCCTATCAAGTAAGCCACCGCGATCGATGAAGTCTGGGTCTCGAGTAAATGGAACTGTGGATACAGGAGCTGGAGGAGTTTCAGGGCGTGCTTGAAGCCAACTAGCCTTTTTCAGTCTACACCCTCTACGGGACTACTTGCCTGGAGGAAGATGGAAATGACTGGTGATCGAGCCGAAGTTGGATCCAACTTGCATGCCAGAGTTGATAGATCTTTCAAAGGAGATCATGGACTCCATAATGGCTGACTCGTTGGTTCGTGTTTGAAAAAGCAAAACAGAACTCCGCCAGACATCTCGGGGGTGTTTTTGTTTTTGGATCGAAGCAGCCGACAGCGCCTCACCATCAGGTGACTGCAAAGCCCCGCGCGAAACAGAAATTGAATGGGAATTTGAGTTCTAGGTTTTACTGATTGCAATGATTGACTGGGACAGAGGAGGCGTTCCGAGAGGACAGTGACTGGAGGAGAGAGATTACTTCAGAAACCGAGAACCTGATGATCTATAGCCACCTTGTCGAAAGCGAGTGATGGCACAGTGTAGCAGAGAAGGGATTCGCTAGTCAAAGATGGGTTGATTCCAGTGCATACCAATTAAAGGACAAGATTGAGGAGGAGAAAGTGTAAGATGTCGTACTGGAAAAAATGCCGAAGAGGTTCGACTTTCATTGGATGAGAAAAAACAAACCTATCCGTAGTTGATCATCAAGAGAGCCTGGCACCAAGAATCCATATGTAACAAATAGCCTGTATACTTTAAGCTTTCAGACTCTTTCATTCTCTAACCTAATCTTCCCCCATTTCTTCTTCTAGCTCATCATCTTCGTATTCCTCTTCCATGGCGGCATCCAGATCCAACACATCGTAGCGCATCGCATCTCCATACAGTACACAGATGGCCCGACGACCTTTTCGTCCGTTCACATCGACATGCAGTGGTCGCGATTTCGGGCCGGATACTGCAAAGGCATGTTTTACTATGCCTGCCTCACACAGCGAGGAAATATCCAATTGTGTAGGCTGGACGGTGGGTTTGGAAGTCGTGGGGTGCCGGTCACATTCGATGAAGTCTAACAAAAGTGGACTTGATTCGGGCTTATCTGCTGGTAGTTGAGCTGATGTAGGCTGGAAATTAAGGTTAAGAAGGAAAGACGAGACTAAGCACCGAGTTAGTGACTAAGGTTGGGATCACAGGCGAGCGGAACAAAGACATACCACCATCAGAGTAAAGGATCATGAGGGTGTCATCTTCGACAAGCTGTAGTTGTCGGACCTCGCCTTTTTCAAACGTGATGGCGGCGATAGACGTTGTGCGTGTTGAGCTGACTCCATTGATGGAATTTAGCACGACACGGTAGATGTAAACTATACCATACTCGTAAGCATCCAGAATTGTACGAACAAATTAAAACAAAGAGAACAAACCTAATGACTTTGATGTAATCGATCTAGTCACCACATAAATTGAGCATGGTGCTCCCTCTTCGCCGTCCTTTAATTGGTCAACATTTGACACCATGAATTCTGCCCGCCATACATTGAGAAACTTACCTCATAACAAAGCTTCAAATCAACGACCCCCTGATCGCAATCCTCATGAAGTGTAAGCGGCGAACGGTGTAAAATACCTCTCCTTTGCGTCAGTGCAATCTTCGCGAAGACATTCTCAAACTGGACACCCAGTCTCCTGGTCAAATCATTCAACTTCGGTGCATCGACCGTCGTTCCGTCGCCTCCCTCAGCCTGCACCTGTTTCTGTTGTCGAAGCAGAGACTTAAACATATCATAAAAGGACCGGTCATGGCCATCTGGGAGCCACTTATCTGTGACAGGAGTCGGCATTTGCGGGACACCGATCATTGGCAGCTGGCGGATGAAATTACGTAGCACGCTTTGTCGCAGGGCGCCGGTTATGTACTTCACGGTGGGTGGTACGTCAAAGAGATCGCGTTTCTCAAGCAGCTCATCCAAAGTTTGGGAGAGGGGTTCACTGTTGAGAATCATGATTTCGTGGCGGAGCCAGCGCGAAAAAGCGCTGAATTGCTCGAGTTCCTCATTGGCGTGATTGAGAATGCGGTGGGCGAGGAGGTGCAGGCAGTCGAGGGTTTCGACAATCGCGTTCAGCTTGGATGTTTCCAGGCCCAGGACATCACTGAGTTTGTGGAATTTGGACAGCCCAACTAATCGGCTAAGAAGTACTTGGCTCCGCTCGAGAGCTGGAAGAAGACACTCATGGGTCAGCCGGCGGATGCTTTCGTAGCCACCTGAGACAGCCTTATCCCATCGTTTGTGGCCCTGTGGTATCGATGTATCAGTAGCAATTCAATAAATAAATCCCGTATAGACCCACTCGTTCTCCAACAATGTCGACCAAGAATTCTCTTATTGGCTCGAAACAGTGACCTGTAACAACCAGATGGTAGATGGCCGTGACAAAATCGCATTGGCACTGCTCTTGCAGGTCTTGATTAATACTCCGTAGGAACCGTGCCGGCAATTCTTGGGCATTCTTCCATTCCATTTCAATCTGCCGTTGGACTTGTCCAATATATCGAAGCAGGTTCTGAAGTTGGGTCGTTTTCGACGCCAGTAAAGACAAGTAATGTCCAGACTTGGTGATAAATCGAAGGTCCAAGGTGAAAAGATCCATAGGGGCATTTTTGGGGTCCGACTTAGGTAGTGCTAGCAATGCGTGCGTTGAGCTCAACGGATGGGACGTGTGACGGAGGATACGACAGGACTCGACCACCCCTCTTGACGCGCCAACCGGGAATGAGCCGATCTCAAAACAATCGAAGATCCGCAGGTGCACGGAACCATCGTCAAAACCAACAAAAAGCACGTCCACGGAGTCGCTTGTATCTTTGGCGGAGGAGTGGAAGATGGCATCAATTGACGTCCGAGAACTGAACAAGTCATCTTCCGCGCCAGTGGCAGGTAAAGTAGCCAGCTTTGGTAAGGAGCTTTCGATGTCGAGTAAAGCGAGTTCTCTCGGGAGATCTGATTTGAGAATCGCTGCGGCTTTGGATGGGTGGACACCCGGCGCCAGGAGGTCTTCCATCGAGACCTGACCAGCCGACTCGTGAAGGTGCTTCTGAGCAGCTTTGCTATCAGTAAAATTGATACCCCAGCCCAAACAAGTGATTTTAGGCGATTGCTGCTCATCTGGGCTATCCGCGCCATCACCCTGCCCTTCGTATGCTTGGTAATGGTGGACGGTCTTGCCACTGTACGCGCTGATAATGCGCACGGAGCCATCACCACACGCGACGGCGAGCAGACGACCTAGCAAGAAAGTCAGTTATGGTCTAGAGACGATGCCAGATCTCGAACGCCCATTCTCCTCAGATGGGATGACATGGCACAGTGATTCATCCTCCGGTTCACGGTAGCAGTAGATAGTAGATGCATTACACTTACCATTCCCTTTCCAGGCAAGGGCCCTCACTTCGCCATCCTCCTCCTCTTCACCAAGGTATGGATCGCCCCCGAACGAGCCCCCGAAAACCCGTTGACCGTTTAGACGAAAGACACGTAGTTCTTCATCCTCAGTGGCCAATGCGATCAGGTCCATCGATGGACAGTACGCCAGGGTGCTGGGTTTACATTTTCCCGGCAGGGACTTCTCCCCGACCGGAGTGAGCTGCGGGCGGTCTTCCGCCATTGTTTGAAAATTATGCCCAGGAGGAGGTCATTCAGTCCATCCTTCGTATTGCTTTTGGCGGTAGAAGTGTGCGACCTCAGCCTTATCTTGAAAGCCGGGGTTTCCTTGGACGTGAAGTGTTGATTGAGGTGGATCGCGGGTTCTTGGCGCGTGTGTTTTTGTGCGGGTACGGGTGCGACCGCGACGAGAGGAACAAACAGTCGACGGGGGAGCATTTCGCGAATGCAAGCAAATTGTTCTTTTCTTGATTTGATGGCCAGTGACAAGAAGGATCAACTACAGATGATGTACTTCACATGTTGTCTTAGAGTCACCAAGAACTGCTCGATAGCCGAATATTCTTACTTTCACCGTGAGATCTCCAGTCATGAATCATTTGCTTTTATTGTACAGCATCACTTGATGGATTATCTTTTTCTATTCATCAATCGACTGCAAGAAGACTACAACCTCGCGACCATTGGCCGCCCCTCTGTCTAAGAATAGTGGGATTTTACTTCAAGGCCCCCCATAGAGGGCGATCCAACGGCGGCCAAACCAGCACAGTTCGACAAATCAATGTATTCCGCTTCACTGCCTAAGCGAATAAGCACATTTGACTAGGCCACTCCAGGCAAATTGAAAAATTGAACCAACTAGCTGAAGGTCGATTTTCCGGTTGCTGCAGGCTAAGGTTCTGTCGGTCTTTATCTAGCTAGCGCATATGATAAAAGAATCTCGTCTGCTTAGTGCTTATGGGCATGAAAAGGGTTCAAAAACGCCTCCAGGCCTCCCTTATCCCATATTCTTCAACCTGGGCCATAAACGTTAAACCTCACACCATCTGTTGCATAAAGTGCCTGAAAACAGACACAATGCGCTTCCTGAGCGATGACCTTGTTATTGACCGGACCAACCGAGTCCCTATGCAAATCCTAGGAGCCGGGCTCCCACGCTGCGCGACTAGCTCCGTCCAGGCAGCCCTCGAGTCCCAAAACATTGGCCTCGCTCCTTGCATGCATTTTGCCCATGTTGCACCACACGCTGACCGCAGTGACATCCTGCTAGCGGCATTGCAAGAGAATGACACGGCGCGGCGCCACAAGCTGCTCTTCAAGCTGTTTGACGGCTTTCAATCTACGACTGACTTCCCCGGCGCCTTGTTTATGGACGACCTCATGGACATGTATCCGAACGCCAAGATCGTGCTGAACAAGCGGCCCGGTGGTGGCCCCAAGTGGGAGCAGTCAATCAAAGTGCTTACCTGGTCTGGATCCCCCGTTTATCGGGCCATCTGCTTCCTGTGGAAGACGGATCGCAACCTGTATAAGATCTGGCATCTTTTTTTGGAACGCAGCAAAAGCACACTGGGCTTGGCTGATGACGAACTTCTGACAGCGAAGCATTACGATGCGCATAATTCCTGGATTCATGCCGAAGCAGCTAAGCGCGGTCGGAAGGTCTTTGAATTTGAGCCTCGAGATGGATGGGAGCCATTGTGTGCGGCTCTTGGCAAGAATGCGCCGAAGGATGAGCCATTTCCTCATCGTAATGATGCTTCGGAGGTTCGAATGGTACAGTATATTCTGCATGCCCGGGGATTGGTCTCTTGGCTGGCCCTAGGTGGTGCGGTATATGGTGTAGTGAGGTGGTTTGCAAAGGAAAAGTTGTTTTAAAGTATGATTCTGAACTATGGTCAGCTTTACAAAAAGAAATATAGGGACATGTGAAATCAAGGCCGAAAATGACAGCTTTTGGCGCCTCCAACGACTGCTTTTCCACGCGTAGCTTTGGGCGGCGATCCGCCCGTTGACCGCCTGTTAGATCATCAAAGGAAGAAATGGGAATATGCAGCGCGTGACAATCAATAGGCGATACACCACAATATGCACCAGCACCTGGCAACTTCCATGGGTTATGGTTGATCAAGCATTGAGGTAGAGACAACGAAAGAATAGTCTACAAATTCAGAGAGCACAAATGAGTAGAAAAAGAAACTGATGAATACTTCGATAGAGAAACACGGGCTATCGGGAGACCTATACCATGGCGACACCTTGATGCAATTTAGACTACTAGAATATGCTCATTTATGGAGAGGGCATACATGCGAAATTTCCATGATCTATCAAGAGTCGATGCTCAATATTCAATATATGGTATTGAAATGAGCGGAGAAGAATAGATGAGATTAAACCTCCCAGATCACACTATTTTAGCACGTCTTGACTGACCAGTGGGCTTGAACAACAGTCGACCCAGACAGAATAGGAAAATGATAGTACAAAAGGAACGAAAAGAAAATTTAGAATAATTGCGAATATTTTCAAAAGGCTCCAAAGATACTACCGTATTGGCTCCCCGGAGACTTTCTCAAAATACTCCAGCCCGTCTTCGGATGCACCCATTTCCCTGAGTTTCTGGAGAATGATGTCCCTTTGCATAGTATATCTCCAGATGTGCTCCTGATGTTCCCTCTCAGCTTCTCCCCAAGCCTCTGTGGCCTTTTGATACATGGCAGTTGCCTCATCAAATATACGGGTAGAATCCAGATGTCTGTTGAACGCTCTTGAATAAGCCTCGCTCTCGGCTTTCAATCTATCCTTCAAATATTGGATATCGGCATCACGAGAAGTTGAAGTCGTTGTAGGATTATTTTCTCGGGATGTTTGGACTATCATGTCAAGGGAGGCGTAGTGAGGCATAGTACCAGATACTATAGCAAAGAATTAGCCTGGTACTATGGAATATTGACTGGTCGGCCAGACTGGTACCTACCTGATGATCAGCACTGTAGGAAGATGGGGAAGACAGAATGGATATCCAACAAAAGGCACACTTGAAGTCTACTTCCCCTTTTCAAAGAAACCCTGTCACCCAACAAACCTTTATCAACTTAGGAAGATGGAAGATTTTCGTCAAGTGAGCTTTTTCTCAACTAGCACACCCAAAAGTCCAAGTCACGATTTGGGCATATGATATGATAAGCGCCCGTCTACCGACCCAAAGAATCAAAAGACACAAGAGGACAAAGCGCCCTGCGATGAATGGTAAATATATGCGGTCCTTACAACACAAGACATCATGTTAGATAGTTGGTGTTCTACCTTCGCGCGCGCTAATGGGAGAAAGGTTGGTATTTCAGGGAGGCAGTCATCGCCACTTAAGTGCTAACCAACAAAGAGCGGTCATCACCATCATTTCTTTCACAAAATAAGCCCAACCGATTGGCTAGATTTCCATCCCGGCGCTTTGTCTCAGTGCGAGATCCTGACGCCAACTCCCGGGCCCATGGACAAAGGAAAATGCTCTCGTCGAACAGCTACTCCACTCAAATAGTGTTTATTTGAAAAGGGGAAGAAGAACTTGATTAATCGTTCTTGATAAACTCGTATATCTGTTATAGCGATCGGACAGCGCTCCATAACACCTCTAATCTATCTTATATAATACAAAGCCATTTTACCCCCGCGAGCCAGCGCGGCAGGAAAAAAGTAAAAAGTAAATGAAAAAAAGCTACATAGGAGGAGATAAACTGCCCCCTAAAATGGCTCTCCGTCCATCTCAGCCTGGATCATGTTCTTCAAGTAGCTCAGCTCGTCCATCAGCTCCTGCATGGTGTTCTTGCCGCGGAGTGACGCGTTGCTAAGGCGCTCTCGCAATTCCCGACTGGTCGTATCACTACGATCGGTGTCAGACAGCCGCTGCAGCTCTGGGAGAAGAATGGGTGAGCCGTCACGGCTTTGCGAGAGCGAGAGGGCTTCCATCGACTCGAGAGCGCTGAAAAGGGCAGCGTGGCGTTTGGGGTTGCTTTCGACTTCGGCCATGTGGTCGATCCCTAGGCCCGGGGAAGAGAGGGAGAGGGTGAGTTCGGGGACGGCCATGCCCATGTTCCAGGGAAGGATGTCGCCAGCGGAGGAGTTGGGGGAGGAGGGTTTCGAGTGGACGGTGAGATGGGGCGTGTTGGGGTCAGTGTTGGTTGCGGCGTCGTTGGCCTGGGAGAGATCGGGCGTTTTCCAGTCGTCCTCTGCTGAGGACTCGTGGGATTCCTGATCAAATGTGGAGCCGGATATCATGGACTCGGGCGAGTTGTCCTCCGTCTCGGTATCAGTATCAGTGCTCCACTCCGAGAAGCGGCTGCGTTCAACGATGAATCGCGAGTTTGTGGAGTCATCAGCTGTTGTGGTGGTGAAGCTGGAGAAATGGCTCTGCATTACTTCCGCATCCATCGCCTTATCTCGCTCGTCGATAGCACGCACGGCTTCATCCATCACGGAGGAAGGTGTGTTGGGGAGGGTAGGAAGCCTCTTCTCGTGGACATCGACTCCCTTGGGTGTAATATCCCCAGAGGTCGCCAGCGTCAGAGCCTCTCGAAGTGCCTGCGTTTCATCGACAGTTCCCAAAGTGGGTCCAGCCGCAGCACCGCGCGATGCGCTGGGCTTACGGTGATGGGGCCGTGTCTGCACTGTCAGAAGGTTTCGGGCTTGTGGGCCATCTCCTCCATTGGCCTTGAGTGCGCGACGAGATTGGATTGTCGATGCAGGCATTTCGGGCTGGTGCTGTACAGAAGATACGGCGCCTGTGTTGATGCTAATTCCAGGAAGATTGCGGTGCTGAGTAGTGGCAGCATTCCGCTGCTGCAGTACTCCATTAACAGTGTTGGACCTTGAAGGCATCTCTACCCAGGTGTGTTTTTCGACCTCCTGGACAGGTCGGAAGGCAGGGCGAAGTGCCCGGGACCGGGGAGGAGAGACGGAGCGTGCATCCTTTGAGTGATATCTGCGCGTGGCACTATTCGGTTGAGACGCACTGCGATGAACTATCCCATTAATGGGAGAGATGCTGCTCGGATTGGAAGTAGTGGCATGAGGCACGGAGGTCTGAAGGCGCGCTAGGTTTGGCTTTGGCGGCTTCCGCGGGTTCATGAACTTGTCTTCCGGGTTCATCGTACGGTGTTCGGACTTCTGCGAGCTATTGCTGTTCGAACGAACATGAGACCGACTGTCCGGCAATATGATAGGCACGTTCAGCACATTCACCGGCTGCCCTGGAAGCAGAGGGCATTTAGTGGTGACGGGCTCCGCTTGATTAAAGTATTCCACGTCCTCATCTAACAGATACTATTTCAGTTAGCATGGTGGCTCGAGAGGGGAGACACGAGCGAACTTACATAATACCAATAAGTCTGTCCCATCTTCAGACCCCCAGAACGCCATTGGACTTTATCACCCGGGGGTCCATCGCCGATGATATCCGTAAAAGTATGGCATCCACGCCAGTGACCCGGGCCGACACGCTTATCTCTCTCCATCGCATAGGGCCTGGAGAAGTTGTCCCATGATCCAAGCAGCTTCACCGAGCGGATCTCGGGGTTTGTTACCCTATATCGGTATTAGTACTTAGTTGATCGCATTTAAGTCGGGGTGGGACGATGAGGGTCCACTCACAGCAAGAAAGTCATCAGGGTGGTTGATGTCATCGCAAGGCCGCCAGCGCTCGATATAAAAGAAAAAGAGATCTCCAGAAAGAAGCAAAATCAAAAGCAAAGCTGAACAAGCCCGCAGATGCAATAGAGAAACAGGCTGATGCAAAGCCAGTCAATAGCACAATCAGGGCGATGCAAAATCAACAGAATGCTTACAACGAAGGGACGCAGAAATCAAACAAGACGCAAACCCCGCCAATATAATACACAATTAAATGCCCAAAAAAAATGCAAGGAGCAGCGACAAAAAGAAAGAAAAACACGACCAGTCGAGGATTTGAGCAAGCCAACAACCAAAAAAAAAAACCAACTTGGAGATATCAGCAAGACCTTAGAGCTAATATAAAACTGCAGATAGACGCAGCGTCGAGAAGGCAGCCTAGACAATAAACAAGAGGCGTTTCTATAATTACCTCGAACAGCCGACGCGCAGCCCTGCAGCGCTGTGCCTGTTTCAGAAAGGCCAGTGACAGGTCCAAGAATAAGACAGTGGTACTGGATTCGTTTCAGTTTGGAAAAGGAGAGCAATCAGCGTCCCATATAGCCCGAAGTGGAACCTGACACGAGGGGGAAATTGGGGGTTTGGCCCGGGGGAGGATGGCGAAACGGAGTCGAGGAAATGCTTGAGGAATTGCAAGATGCCGTTGGGCTATTTCTAGGCGTATGATCCAGGCACACTGCAGAGCGACAAGAGTGGCCAATCGGGCGGGAGGGGTTCACCACGAAGCGCCGGCACGGTTCCTGTGTCCACGGCCCCGGCGCTTCGACGACCGGGTTGGGTTGGTGAGGTGGCTGTTCGGGGGCGAGTTGGAGATTGGTTATTTGGTTTTATTTGATCGGTCTCGTGGGTGATCGGATTGGTGAGGGAGGCAGATTGGAATAGTATATCGTCGAGAGAGAAGAGGAGAGGAGAAGAATCCGGGAGGTTTTTTTGCGTGGGCGATGATCGGCGCTGCGGGGAATTCGATGATGATATTTCAATGCCGATCCACGGGAAAGAAAAATAGGTGATCGGAGCAGACGGAGGTGGAGCAGGGGGGCGTTCAACAAGTCCCTACTACTGTAGCGGTCAATCGAGCCGGGCGAATCAGGGAAATAGGTCAACAGGGTTGCGATGAGCCAGAGCAGCTCCGACCAGCCTAACGGATATGCGGGACTGCATAGAGTCGGTTGGGGGAGACCGGCTGGATCAGGCAGAGCCATTCACAGAGTCATCGCCGAATCACCATCCTCCCAAGAGCTCATCACCATGATTTTCCCTAAGTCATGGCAGATTATCATCTTCGGTGGCTGGCGAACTTGTCCCCCTTCCGTTCCGTGGTTCGTCGATCTCCACGCTGCAAGGCACCGCGTCCCCGTTGGGCGACGGGGGGCAGCCGATGGAGCCCGCGGATATGATTTGACGGACCTATTGAAGGCAGATACTAAATAGTGTATGTGATCGGAGTGCTCAGACCATGAAGTACCCCTGCAAGTCATCAGCTTGGATCCAGTCAAATCCCAGTACGAAGCCCCCCTCAGCAAGGGCCGGTGGAATCCAGTGGTCCTAGTGGACCTTCTCCCCTTGAAGCCTTGACGGATGCCAAGTGTCTGCGGGCGCGTCTTGATTGGTGTGCCTGGAGGGGCGGGCTCTCCACCCCGGCGGCTTCTGAAATTTGATGGCGTCTGCAGGTGATAGGTCGGTTTCACGTTTCAGCTGCTACGAGAGCTGGAGCTGGAGGTGCTGCAAAGATGTGGGCATCGTCGTCGTGTCGCGAGGGCTGGGCTTATGGTGACAGGGAATACGAGGTGCAACGAGAAACGAGAAAGGGGAGAATTGAAGCGGTGAAGAAGCGAGTAGAAAGGAAGCATGTTCCGAGTGGTCATTGACGGTGTTTACAATTGCTCTCATGGAGAGCCCGAATCCCTAAACACTCAAAATGCAACCTTCGAAACCAAAAAGACCTATGAAAACAACCCCAGGACATGCCCAACCCAAAACACCAGTTTCAATGCCCAATCCAAAACTCCCTGAACCCTGACATGTCATCATTCGTGAGAACCCAGCAATCCCGAAAACAAAGCAACCTCGCAAGAAAACAAAAGCCCCCACCCCCAATGAATCCGAATTACGACACAATTGGAAAATCAGACAGGAAATAAAGATAAAATGTACAAGAAGAAAGAAAGAAAAGAAAAGAAAGAAAAGAAAAACAAGAGAGAAAGAGAAAGAGAGAGTGCGCGCTCTCTCTAAATCCGTCGTCGGTCATACTTCTTATTGACCGCCCCCAGAACACACTTCAAGATGCCATCGGCATCCAAGCCCCCGCCAAACTTCCCCTGCCAGGGCACGGTATCGACGATATCCCGCATTTTCTCGTCTTGGCACCATTTCCCAAGATCATCGTCTAGCTCCTGCAGATATCGGCGCACGTCTTCGTCGTCTCCGATCTGGAAGAGCTGAATGCCGACCTGCCACGGCAGCGCCGCACACCGGGGCCCGTCCAACTGCCGCGCCACCTGCACGATCACACTCTCGGCATCATCTGTGAACTCGCCGTCCGTGATGACGATGATGTTGACCGGTTTGACGTACATGGACGGATCCGGCAGTGGATACTCCGCAGCGGCTTGCATTCGCTCCACGCGGCGCAGGTAAGGCGTCAGGATCTCGAGGAGGCGGCGGCCGACGGGGGTGGACCCGCGCGGCATCACGCTGCGGAAGATGTTCTGGACGGTGGCGGCGGTGGTGACGTTTTTATAGGCGCCGGTCTGGGTGTCCATACCAGCCCGCCGGTGATTGAGGAAGTAGATGTCGATGCCGTCGGCGTCGTGCTGGGTGCAGATGGGAGCGATGGCGGCGATGGCGGCTTCGGCTTCGCGCCAGCGGGCACCACTCATGCTGGAGCTGTCGTCGACAAGGAAAATCGTGTCGAAGTCCTTCAGAAAGGCGTAGCGCGAGTCGTTCTCGCCGAGGGAGCCGTCTGAGGTGTTGGGGGCTGTCCAGTGCAGGGAGTCGTAGGCGGGAGGGTCCCACAGGCTGATACCGGAGGCTCGCTTGGAGGACTTGGAGGACTTCGTCGATTTGGTGGAGGAGCGAGAGAGCGAGCGACGGATGGAGCCCAGGAAGGAGCTGTGGCGGCGGGGGGGTTTGGACTGAGAGTTTCCCATCGTGGGCGTGATGATGGTCGGGATGGCTGCCGGCGGCGATGGAGGCGCAGACGGGCAACCTGGAGTGATGGCCCGGGCAGACTCACGGGTCTGATGGCTACTTAGGCGGCTGGTGGGGAAGGACGACCACAGTGGTGGTGGACATGTCTTCTCCAAGAAGGGCATGGCGAAAGAGATGGACGGGGAGGAAGCGAAGTGCGCTTGGATGCTCGTCTCTCTAGTCTGGTTGGATAATCCGGTTGATTCTGGATGATGCAAGTCCGATGCAATGAGGTCGAGAGGGATCTATTGGATACCTATAACATGTCTATAAGGTTCCTCTAGTCCGTGGTAGCTTGTCTAGCTGGCCTAGCTTGTCAAAGTCAGATCGCGTAGACTTTGGAGAGTATCCAGGGATCGTAGATCGTAGATCGCGGAGCGTAGGTTAGCGACTATAGCGAGGAGGGAGGCGATGGAGATGGTCGATCGAAGATCCTAGGTCGCGGGCCTTGGAGACGGATGGTGTCGATTATGGGGAGAGATACCTTCTCGAAAGGGAAAGCGCTCTTCTTATACCGGCATAACGGCCCTGTTGGATCCTTCGAACCCGAGTCTGCACAGGGCTCGGTAAGGCGGGTTTCACGCTGTTGGAAAGGGCTCAAAGCCTGCGCAGCCCAGTCAACCGCCCAACCGCCAGCATGACAAGTCAAAGAATCGCCCTATGGCACCCCTCCAAAAGGGACTAACAAGCGGGGTAGCGCCATCTACGCGCTCCCTCAAGGCAGATTTGGCCCGATCCTGGGTCATTGGGACAGGAGGGGCTATGTACATAATGAAAGGAGGGGGGGTCCCTGATGGAGTCATCTAGCGGAGACAATGGATCGCCTGGCTAGGGCTAGCCAGAATCGGTCAAGAGAAATAGGGTTTGGGAACTTTGGAAGGGGCTCTTGGAAAGAAAGGGTTTTGCCAGCAAAGAAGAGCAACAATGCGCCTACCAAAGAGCCGGCGGTGGCGGAGGATGCGAGTGTTGGGGTCAAGCTTCGCCGCAGGGCTGAGCACCCAAAGCCCCGCTAACCCCCCCCCCGAAGCCCCTTCAAACCACCCTCCAGCACCGCCCCACTCCAACCAGGCGAATCGCAGACGCACGCATCCCCCTGTCGCAAGCCATTGACCAATCATTATAGAAAAATTCAGGGGAGGAGACGATCAAACGTCGCGACGTGATGACTAGCATATGATGTCGTATTGGAACAATGAAATACAACGAGAGCCTCTCCCTTGGGTCATCACCAGGGTTTAGCATGACACCCCCGTGAAGGAGAGCAAAACGCGAGCCCCAAGAGCCCGGAGAGCCAATTGGGGCGAGGCGGACTACTAGCTGGCGGAGTCGCCGAAAGAACTCGAAGGATTTGAAAGGATCATGGCCGAGGAGCCCGACGTCTTTATGCCTTATTATATGCCTTATTATCGCCCAGTTCTGCGCCCCAACTCCCTTTTTCGCTGGGGCCGGCACCCACCCAGACTCCAGATAAACAATGAAACTACAAGTGCCACGATCGTGGGAGGATCCAACAACCCGAACCGAGTGGGTCGATCCCAGCCGAAGCCCCAGGGAAACAAACCGGCGGTGTCGTGTTGTGCCTTCTAGAAGGGCAGGAGGAAGGACGAAAAATCAGACTGGAGGTAAAAATAGAACCAACAATGGCTCCATCTACAGACTGGTATAACTTCAAGCTCGGGGGCAGAAAACAAATTTTCTCCTTAGATGGAATTTTCAATAAGAGGAGGCTGATTGCACAGGTCCCCTCCTTCCCCCCTTGTTTTGGCTTTCTTTATTCTGTCCCTCTTGCTCGCCGAAGGATTCAAATCCCGGTCTCTTGCTCGCAGAGCGCCCAATCCAGATCGAGGTAGGGTAGCAGTGCCTGGACGCACATGAAATTTAATTCGAAACAAATCTTGTGAAAGGTGTTCCATAGAGACACAGAAGATATTTGACGTCATTAAGAGGAGGGGGGAAGTGGTCATGATCGTTATGCTGTCCGAGCAACTCTCTACCGCGCCATCCCCAGGAGTCCGTCGAGAGTCCGTCACAGCCTCGCGCCCGGGCGCAGAGGGTAGAAACTATACAAGCACCGAAGGAATTAAATACAAGAAACCCAAAGGACCTAAGGGGAAAATGAAACTGGTCAAAAGGGGGGGCAGAGCCGAACGGGCAATAAATCGCTGCCATCAAGGATTCGCATCCGTCGAGGTAGGAATATATCGGATGTCGAGGTCAAGAAGGGACGTGGGCTTGCTCGCGGGCGACGCCGACGGCGAGGCAGACTGCTCCTCGACCACGGGGTCTTGCTTCTCCTCGTCGATCACAGAATGGATCATACCCGGGTTATACGCCACAATATCCATCAAGGCAAGAGCCTGGTCAAACCCATACGAATGACCCACCATCTTCAGGCACTGCACCACCCAACGGCGTAGCGCATGGCCAGCATTCTCTGTGATGCCAGCCAAGAACAGTGGCCAGAGCAGCATCAGCCCGCCGATGTAGCTCTCCGGGGGTGGGAAGTGAGGAGACCCGTCTTTTTGGGTCGCACCCAGATGATAGGGCACACTGCGGCAGATATCGACCGCGAGGCGGCGCATCGTAGCACGTAGGGCTTTGCAGTGCAGCCGCAGCTCGTCGGACCGGGCCCCAGGTGAGGAAGAGTTGGACATCTTCCAGATATGCGAGAGAATGATCTCGCTGACGAGGATCCGGGCACACCGGTATTGGTTCCAGGTGCTGGTGACCCAGAGATTAGGATAATTATGGTATTGGTCATCGTAAGGGGCCAACCCGCGGCATCGTTCTTGGAACATGAAATCGTAAGGTGACTTGGTATGGGTCTCGTAGGTGAATTCGGGGGGAGGGCGGCCAGCCAGCCAATCAGATCGGCCTCGATGCTGGATGCTGCAGCAATGATTTCTCCTTCGTCCGTTAATATCTTTGCCTCCATATCCGCCCGAAGGTTCGACAGCCGGCCGATGATGATGATGAGGCGATTGCTATGTGCCTCACCTGGCCGCAAGAACATGGCGAATTTGGTACACTCTAATAATGAATTGGGGACTCGAGAGTCCCGTTGGATGCAGCTGATGATCTGAGTAGACATGGTGAATTAGCTTGCGTGACGGTGGCCAGGTAAATACACAGAGTTGAGAGAGGGAATCGTACAACTTGATATCGCAGATGTAGAAAAAGACGGAGGCCGACTTCAGTTTTAAGCTGATCGGTGCCCCTCAAGTCGAGCAGAGCAGTTGCACCCGTGATGTGATTAGTCCAGAGATCGATATCTTGTGGGGATCTCGAAGTGACTACCTAATGAGGAACAGTGGCCAGTGGCCAATGGTCAGATCATGCATTCTCGGGAATCCCTCCACCTTTTTCTCTTGCAGCAGAACCGGGACAGAGAATGGGCTTGGCAAAAATAACGTCTTACTTCATAAATGGCAAGCAGAACGACTGCCCCCAGGGTTTGATTTGATTTGGCCTCCTCCACATCGGCAAGGGCCGCGTTGAGGAGTTTAAGCGCCAATACGTATTCATCCTGTGCTGTGCGTGCCAAAGAGGTGATTTTCCGAACTCGGCATAACATAGCGGACGCCACAGCTATTATACTGGATTGCATGGCCTTCGCACTGGCCGAGCCACCGGCCTGGGAGATGAAGTTGGTGACAAAGTCACTCATCCAAACGGTACCGGGTACCGCATTGGAGCGGAGAAAATAGGATATGGCCTCTTCCTTGGACGGTTCGAAGAGTGGTTGGATTTCCATTGGAAGCTGGTAGAGCTGCTTCGAGGCATAGCTATGCAGTGGACCCAAGTTAAAATCGAAGCTGCTCGGTTCCACCGCTGCCGTAAGCTCAAGCGCCAAGGTCCTATCTGGGGATACGTTGCGATTCAGACGCCCTGGTGGCCTTTTCTGGTTAGAAGCATGGCGAGAAGTCGAGGGATTAGACGTGTTAGCCTCCGCTTTCTGCACAACTGATTTGCTCTCGTCGCGGAACATTAGTGATAGCTGGTCCCGATATCCGGGGCAGTCCCGCTTGGCCCGAACACATTGGGAACAAGCCGGTCGGGCCTGGTCGCACCGAATCTTTCTAGTCCGACACTGCCCACAGCCTTTGCTGGGCTTTCCGCAGTAAACCATGTTGTTGTAAGGGTTGCTTTCATCAATCAAGCTGACTTCGACCGGCCTTTTTCAAGCCCAGGTTGATGTCGAATGGATTGATAAGAGTCGGGACGTGCCGAGCAAGCGGCGCAGCACCTCGCCGAATGCGCCTGTTCCGGTCTAGCGTCCACTGTTGTGGATCCGCGCTAACCTAATGGGGTATGCATTGCGATCCTCTGCGCCCAAAATCCGCAAAGTGCGAAAGCGTTTTGGAAAGAAGTAGTTGGACTCAAGAGGTGGATTTGCGGGTGTAAGAAAGAACGGTCTTTAATAGGTCTAATGATGGCTGGTGCCTGATGAGCCAGTTTTCCCCCTATAGTTGAGCCCCCAGGACTTTAAGCCAAAGCTTGTCCAAATGGAGTCACTTTCGCGATGGAACCAAGCACCACTGCAGAAGCACAGCCACAGGTGTCTGCCAAATCTCTGCCAAAAGAGTATGCACGATGCATGTAGAAAATATATAGAAGAGCAGTTCCAACGTCTCTTGCAACGGATATACTCAGCAAATAGCCTTTTCGACAATTTATATATATTCCCTGCATCTCCAACATCAACATATTCCCTTCCATTCTACACCAGCGACAGAGTGTTTCACCCCGAAAAATGACCATCACGTACCGCCATGGCCTCTCGATCCTCGAATTGATTATCTATGTGCCATCATTGTTTCTTTCCGTCTTTCTCGTCACCCGTCATGGCCTCCGCACCAATAGCGGCTTTCTCTTCCTCACCATCTTCGCCCTTACGCGCATCGTGGGCGCATGCTGCGACCTAGCCACAATTGACCACTGGTCCACCGGCCTCTACATCGCGTCAGCGATCTGTAGTTCGATTGGCCTGTCTCCTTTAATGATGGCATGCTCCGGGCTTCTATCTCGAGCGTAAGTATCTTTTTGAATCCTAAGAGGACCCTCACATACTAATTTTGTCTCCTGCAGCAATCTGTCCATCCAAAACACCACCGGCAAGACCTGCCTCCCTCCTCTTTCTTTCCGGGGATTTCGTATACTCACCGTCGTGGCTATGGCTCTCAGCATTGCCGGTCTCACTAGCAACATGACCGCCGAAGGCCTGGCCCACCCTGACGTCAAGGTCAAGGTCGGCATGATCTTGTATATCGTCTGCTGGGTCGTGATGGTACTCCTTCTCGCTATCCTGTCAATACGCCGCTCTTCCATTGAGCGTGGCGAGAAGCGTACTCTTCTGGCTGTGGCATTGGCGAGCCCCTTCATTTTCGTGCGTCTGATGTACGCGGTCTGCATCTGGTTCTTGCATGACTCGAAATTCAGCTTGCTAGATGGCAATGTCACCGTGCAGCTTGTGATGTCGGTCCTCGAGGAGTTTGCTGTCGTTTTCATTCTTCTTGGCGTAGGCCTGACTCTTCGTGTTCGAAGCCAGCAGCCATCTTCAGGAAGTGAAGGAGCAGCTTTGTCCGACTATACTTCCGAGTATCGGACGAAGCCCTAACTTTGCGGATTGATAGAGAGGAAATTCTGAAACAATTCTGAAACATTCTTGATTTCTTTTGTTCTTTTCCCGCTGAATCTTCTTCTGTTGCATTTTGTATTGGAGTATGCGGCTCATCTAACTATATAGAATTGGCTTTTTCCCTAATGTATATTTGATATCTTCTAATCATGTTCCTCTGTCCCAGTCTCAGACGACGATGAAATTGACGCCGTGAAATTCATATTAAAATACCCTCCACGATTAGGATATTGTCTCTAGATTCTGACTTTGGGATGATTCTTTCAGGGCATTATGCATGCTCGAAATCCGTGAGATATACCACGATTTGAGCCTAGATATCATGTGACTGCATACACCAAGAAATGGCCCATAGGTAGGCAAACATGCGCAAATAATTGCTGCTCCCAGTTCGACTCCAGTCCACTCCATGGAGGCCTCCAAATCACCTTCAATAGACACAATCAGTCCAAATAAAAGGAAAATTAAGGGGACAAATTTCGCAAACTCACGCATCTTTCCTGTTGTGGGATTCCAGGTATAGTATGCTCTTAAAGCACAAATAATGCAGGCACTGATTGTGAGTCAGTCTCAGTAAGTTGCTCCATACCTTCATCGGGCTATCATGGTCCCATAGGTTGTCCAGTTTAAGTACATACAATAATCCTAGTGAGAAAATTGCGGTCACGCCAGCTCGCTTTACGACAGAGAGCTTCAATCGCTGAACCATGAAGATTGGGGGAATCAAAATCATCAGATCAAGTATAATATTCTCAATTTCGGTGATAAAGACCAATTTCAGCGGGTTGTTACACGTATCGTAGACAGACCAGTGGGAGTTCCCGGGCGAACATTGAAAGATCGGGTAAATAAGCCCAATGAGTCCATAACAGGAGCAGAGCCCAATAAATACCCAATTCATCCGAATAAATGCTGGAACTTTGAATATACGGCGATAGAAACACAGGACCGAAATCTTGGTCAGTGTAGTACAAAGGACGAATAACATTCCTTGGGCAAATTGAGACCGCTGCGGGGATCGGAACCCTGTTAATGTACTATCGACAGCATTCAGTTGGAAGATTCAACTGACCTTTCTATTCCGATCTTGTGGAAGAAGCTTATGTGGTGGAGCCGGCGTCATTGTTTCTGTGAAGTCTAAGGCGATCAATTTGATTAGGTGCCATCCCAAAGAAGAGCGAGGCGGGCAATCAAACCATAAATAAAAATGCCTTGGTATCCGTAGGAGCAGGCTGCACCCAGAAGAAGAAGTATATCCTCCACCAAAAGACGGCGATATGTTTTCCACCGAGCCCAGACACGGAGAACCAAGGCCACCAGAACCATTATCATCATCGCCACCGTGAGTTTTAATAGTTTAGATATATATGGTCCATGACTGGGTTCAGTCATACTGGATGAATGGGAGGTAGGCATAAAGCCCAAACTAGAATTAGCGAGGGGAGGCCATTCTAGCTCGAGGTGTTCTTAAGGTTTGCATCTACATTTTAAGCTTCGACTCGACTCTAAAGCAAGGAACTAGAGAGGGGGGTCCCTTTATCAATTACTTTGAACGGAATTTGTCAGATCGGTAGAAAAAGAAAAAAAACCACAGACATGAGATTTGCAGAAAATCAAGTTGCATATAGCCATTGTGGTAGTTGTTTTCAAGCCCAAGAAGCTCCCATCAAAGGCAGTATCGGCGACGCTAGAAATCTGAGACCAGAAGATTATCTTAAGGCTTGATATTGATCTTATTATACTCCAATTGTCAGAAGGGAGACCGGAAATCATGCAATCTTGTGATGCTGGGACTCAAATGATAGCCTTAGGCATCCAAAGTTCTGCGACGCGTCGGTAAGGGCGGATTTAGGCCCCCCGCGCTGAATGCAGCATGCCCCTATCTTTAATGTCAGTCGATTGAGTATTCAACACACTAGACTGAATTTGTCAAGCCAGAGGGGGAATATCGTTGGAAAAAATGAAGAGCCTAGCCAGTTGCTTCCACGAAGTAGTGATCTTTCATAGGAGCCATCATTCAATGCCACTACCAAGGTGTCAACGACCGCTTTACCTGAGACGCTGTAACACTCCACGCGGAGACAAAAAAAAATCCTATGGAATCATCGTCTCTGCATACGCGCTTACAGCCAAGAAATGCGTGGTTGCTAAGTACGAATGAGCGAGAGATATCATTTGCATTGAGGAATACGCAGGGCGGGGAGTGGGTCTTTCCCGGCCACTCTGTGGCGGATGAGGCTCGCGAGAGTAGCCCGCCAGGCCAGTCGGGTCGCTCATAGTAGATCTGATGCCCACAGACTGGCTTACACGCACAAATCTGGGTCGGCGTGAGTTGAACATAGTATGCCGGCTCTGACCAGAACTCTCCAGGACAATGATGTGAACCTATATGGAAATGGGCACATTCATTGAAGGATACATCACAAAAAAAAAACAGAACTCGGTCGGTCTTGTTCAAGAATTGAGATTTTCGTTGCATGAAGTTGATATGAATGCCGGTCAACTCGCCATAAATGCGAGTAATGCGTTGATTCTTTTACGGATGACAAACCGAGAAACACAGAATAGAACCGGGTGGACAGTCTTTGAAACATGAAGCTATTCAGAGGATACTGCTGAGGGGCGGAGGCCAAAAGTCGCGTGGTACTCTTTGATGAGATTCTCATTTGGAATAGCGCGGTGTCGCATGAGGGACTCAGTTTTACTAATTCCCATGACGCTACAGCTTCATGGAATTATGGCAATCATTATATACTATGGACCACAGGGTCGATGAAAAAATCGAGGGAGGAAAGTCGAATTAAGGTCTCAGCTCATTTTTCTTGCATTTTTCAGTTACCCATATGCTGCATAATGCAAGCGCTACACCGCAATAATGCCCTGTTTTTGAAGCGGTGGCAGCAACGTCGAATAGGCGACTAAGCATCGATATGTTGCTCGCGTTTTCGTTTCCCAGTAGCGTGCCCATTAGAATCAGAATCGACAATTGGAGTCCCTTCACTCCCATAATCCACCCATTCGCTGACCTCCCATTCTATTGAGGTCGATTGATCGTCACTCATTCCCATACCACGTCGTGAGCGCATCAAACGACCCAAACGACTTCCTTCTACCATCTCTTCAAACCAAGGAATTCCACCGGCGGTACCATGCCGAAAGCTTCGAGAGCTATCTGTGTTCTGAATAGAAGGAACGACAATGGAAGAAGGAGCATTGTCTGGCGCTAATACAGCATCAGACGGGTGGGATAGCTCGGTAGGATGCGGTGCATCATCAATCTCTTCTGGAAGGAGCTCTAGATCCTCCAAGGCTCGCTGATCTTCACCCGATAAGCTACCTACCGAGACCGACATGAAACTAGCCTCTTCTTCGGGCTCCTCAGTCCAGAAAGTCAGTGGCGTTCCGCAAAACCCACAGAAGATCCGCCGTGTCTGTGGCGCATGATGGGGGGTAAAAATGCGACGGATAGAGCTATGGGTTTCATCCGGGAAGAAAGAGAGAGTATACGAGTGGTACCAATCAAGAGGCACCCGCAGCCATGCCGTTAATGGTGTCCCGTGCAACCGGCCTTGTGACTAATTAGCGCTGCTGTATAGTACGCACGAGAGTCGGATATAGACTTACGATTGTCTCTGCTGCTGTCAAAGTACACCTGAGCGTGATCAGTCACATCATCAGGGATTTGGATTCTGTACTGGTTGCGCCCACAGGAGCATGATCCATGCAATGGCTCGTGGGCCATGGTGGTACAGTTGTACAAGGCACGATGGGAGCTGCTGGGATCGCCACTGATCTGGGAGTGTGTACGGGGGTCGTAGGGATGGATATTTCTGACGAGGATGCTTGAATTGGCGGGATCAGCGTAGGAGAAAGTCTTCTTCATATGCTTGCGCAGATTGAAGAGGGAAAAAAAGATGAAGCAGGAAAGAGGGTGGAGCCTCTCTATGACGTTGGAAGCTTGCCAAGGCCCAAGTTCCCGACTTGGGTTTCTCCGCATTGGCCTTATCGGCCCTATCGGTTTCCTTCCTCTCCAACCCTCCTCTCATCTCGGCCTCCGCACTGTCGGTTTCGACCTTTTTTCGACCCTGGATTCCCAGCCGAGCGACACCCACGAAACCCACGAAGAGAGAACCCTTGCACCCGAGATCCAAGCCTCCGTTCTTATAGCGTCATTCCGAACCTCCGCCCTCTACTAGCTCACCTCATTCTTCCGAACCCCTCCAACCTCGGCGCAAGATGAACCCCGACGGCGATGACGACAGGTCATCATCCACGCCAACTGCAGCATCCAAGTCCATCTCGAGTCAGGATAAAGAGAAGCCTCGTCTGACCGATCAGGAGAAGAAGAACAATCATATCGCGTCGGAACAAAAGCGTCGTGCGGCCATTCGGGAAGGCTTTGATCGCCTGACAGAATTGGTACCGGGACTAGAGGGACAAGGCCGCAGCGAAAGCATTGTTCTTCAGAAGACTGTGGAGTTTATTCATCTGAAACTCCAGGAGCGCCACAATCTCATTGCCGAGATTGAAAGTAAAGGTGGTCGAGTGGATGAGTCCATGCGGCCATCATGAGCTTTGCATGGCTTGCTGGTCACACTATCTCTATTATCTATTCTTCATTTGCATCTTCCCACGCGTTGCCTTTGTCTATCCATTATGATGGCGTGCGGTCCCCCCGTGGGGTATGCCGAGGTTCGGCAGCCCATCCTTTGAGGCCATCACGAAAATGAAATCATAAGTTCCTCACGAATCTCTTTCGAGCAACCCTCTCATCATCAATTATCCCTCTTGAAATTGAGGACATGAATGCTAGCTAGGATCTTGCCTGGTGGTTTCCTTCGTTTGACACAATCCCAGGCTGAAGTGACATCCTTCCCGGCTATGACACTACGTCTGATTGACCGAACCCCGCGGCTGCACCCTCTCCAGTTTTCGGTGGAACTTCTGGGGGCTTCATGTTTTACTAGGGTTCGGTGATCCCTTCGCTTGTTCGTTTATCTTTGTCTTCTTTGTATATCTTGAACCTTCCGTTCTCGCTGGGGCTTTTTCCTGGGAATCAGAATGTAGGCTATCTGTATGGCTGTGATGCTACCAGGGGCGTTTTATACTGGTCGGCCTTTTTTAAGCAATTCATTGAACTATCATTCGCAACTTCCAATCCTCCTAGTGCCATTCTGCCCTGAATTCAGGGGCCCGTCTGTGGGTTCTGTTTGCCCGAGGCTCATCTTAAGGCGGATCACGTGGAGTCATTGTCTTGAAGCGGCCGTTGATTGGACATCAAACTGCGGGGAAAAAGGTGGGCGACGTATGAACGTGGCGCAATAATATGAGGTATGGGACGCCGCTATTGACTCTTTTGAGACTAAGTGAAGCTATAACCAGAAGCGAGGACAATGGCCATCCAATCCGCCTCTCCCCTCTGTCATCTCTATGTTGCCTATTGGTACGGTAAGAAAATGTACCTGAGATTCCCGCATATCCACCTGTACCTCGTGAAGAGGATACCGATAACCTCACATATTTATAATTACCATATATCACACTGAAGTTGGACATTTAATATGCCCATAATGCCATGTATGTTTATTTTTGCTGTGCCGAAATGCTTATAGGCTGCCATCTCAATCCCAAGCCACGAAGTCAGCTCAAGCTAGATACCTGTCTGCAAGAGCTTTAACCAAGCCCGAAAAGGCACACCGCCATTTCAACTCAATAAGTTTAATCTTGCGTATCATAGATCAGTCCTGGAAACCTGATCGTAGATCAACATAGACAATAGATACATTCTAGTGCATATTCTCCTGTCTTTGAGATCGTGACATTGTCAAGCCAGCCGCTTTTCGCTGATTTGAATAAAGCGGCGCGATCATTTATTCCACGTTACCCCGAGAAGTAAATGTAGCTTGCTTCTAGTGCATAAGAGCTAACCACCATAGTATTATCCTTATGGATGCTGAAATGGAAGTGGGCTGAAAACTCACGGCGTGGGAGTACTACTCCTCTATTTATATTTGTTCTCCGAAACAGCATTAAGGTAGCGGTCAAACCGAAGTCGGTTTTACGAGATCATATGATTTTCCCTTGGACTGAAAAATCATGTCAATTATTTTACATTTGTCAATAAACCCTTGGTTGAGTATTAAGCATAACGCCCGGCCAATCAGAAATATTCTCAGCGGAGACCGCATCGGGATAGCTAAGCCCGCCCTCGGAGCAAATCAACGCCCAACCCGCGTCCAAAAACTTCCGCAACTCCAAACCACCCAATTTCTTTCCTCTTTCTCCATCACACCACCTCATTCACACGCCATGTCCGACTCAAAAGAAGCTCTCCTCGCCCATGGGAATGAAAAAGCCTCGGTCGACCCCCCACCAGCCTACGATGACACCCCTAAGCCAATTCGCGGGGCACCACTCCCCCGCCCACCGCCGCTCGCCCTGCCAATCCTCAACGAACTCCGCACCAAACGCGTGGTCCTTGCTTCCCAATCCCCACGGCGCCGCCAAATTATCTCCTACCTCGGTCTGCCCAACATTGAAATCATCCCCTCAAACGCCGACGAAGACCTACCGAAATCGCTCGGCCCGTTTGAGTACGTGCTGGCCACAGCAACGAAGAAAGCGCAGGCCGTGTACGCACAGGAGATCGACAGTGCCAAGGGTGAGCCTGCGCTGATCCTCGCAGCGGACACCATCGTGGTCGACCCGCTGGCGGGCACGATCCTGGAGAAGCCACGCTCGGAGGCGCACCACGTCAGCATGCTTCGAACACTGCGCGACGCACGCGAGCACAAGGTGTACACGGCGCTGGTAGCGATGGCCCCTCTTGCGAGTGCGCGGCAGCCCGGATATGCGATGGAGACGGTGGTCGAGGAGACGGGGGTGCTCTTCGACGGCAACCTCTCGGATGAGTTGATCCTGGCGTATGTCCGTACGCGCGAGGGTGCAGACAAGGCCGGAGGTTACGGGCTGCAGGGTCTGGGGTCTATCCTAGTGGAAGGGATCCAGGGCAGTGCGGACAATGTCATTGGGTTGCCGCTGAAGGCGACGTTGAAGCTGATTGAAAGTGTGATGGCTAAAGCGGATGATGAGGACCGCTTGCCGGATGACCCGGTGCTGGAGGCAGAGGATGAGGAGTCGGAATGAGTGATTTCCTCTGGATATATTGATATGAAACAAAATTCTGGGCATGGTAATAATGCCCTTCCCCTGTCAAAGCGGGTTCTTTGCAGATAGATCACCGATTTATTTAGTTTATCTCACATATCTGTGGAAACAGAAAATTTATGATTATCAAAAGAAAAAAAAATCACCAGTATTCAGTTACTCCGAGGAACGCGGGCAAGAGAAATAATAGTTCAGCACCGAGGTGGTCGGGCATAACAAATGAAACAAGATTTCGACATATACATAGGCAGCAAGCCTGGGACCAGAAACAAAAAAAGAACCTTTTTCAAAAGATGACTCCGCTTATGCGTTCCAGATACGGCGCAGGGCCTCGGTGACACCCACATCGTTCGTCTCAAACTCGTACAGACCGACCGCGGTAGTCAGGGTGAAAGCGCGAAGGAGCCAGTTGCATAGCGAGTTGAACTTGGGTACACGCTGGGGGCGGAAGTAATCGATGATGGCAGCCCTGATAGACTGTTAGAGTTTGTGCAGTGACACTTATTCGGATGGTGGTATCTTACTGGAAACCGATGTGCGAGTGAGCAACGAGAAGAGAGCAGAGGATGGCATCCATAACGGGGTTAAGGGAGCCGGCGGCGAAAGGAGCGATGCTGAGGGGGATCAGGCCAACGCAAACAGCTCTATTAACGTTGATATTGACTCTATTAGCTTCCTGCTAGTTCCGGGTATAGGTAGGGCTGGATAACGAACCTCTCGAAAGTCCAGTGGTAGCTGCCCTCAGACGGGTGAGGCTTAGGAACGGGAACGGGGTCGTTCACTATGGCAGTGGGGTCAATACAGGATGCAATGGCAATCACATCAGACCTCAAATCCTCGCAAGCTTCCACCAGGAGTCCACAGGAGACGCATAGAGAATATAAGGTCCGAATCCGAGGCTAGGAGCAGGAGAGAAGAAGGGACGTGAAAAGATTTGGGTACTCAAGACATACTGGTTCCCTGGATCGCCTCTGTTATTCCGACGACTGTTAGCACACACATCCACCAATACCAGGAACCATATACAATCGGGACAATGTCCGGCCCGACCGCGATGGAGGACTTTCGACTCACGAGGCAACGGGGGCAGGATTTGCTTGCGGGCGGAGGCGTGGAAAGCCACGACCTGCGAAACGCCAACATTCTGGCGCAGGAAGGGTGACCGGGTGGTCGCAAGAGTCTGCCGGAGGACTGACGGGCGCGCAAACGAAGCCATTGTGACGGGTTGAGTGGAGAGAGGGACGAAGAGATTCAACTCGCACAAGGATGAAGTTCAAGTTGGGACCTCGGGAGTCCGATCGGTATGTCATCCTATTGCGGGTCAGGTGATTGGTCGACGGCTTTCCACCCAGCCGAAATTGGCCGATGCCCGCAGCATCTTAAATGTTTAGCCCGGCAGTTATTGAGACAGGGATTTGAGGGATTCGGGGGATTCGGGGAGCCGACAAACTCCTATTTACATCTACACTGTTTGTTGCAAGCTCCCTAAACAGTATTTTTGGATAAAAAAAGGCATTTATGAACTTGTCAAATTCGTTCGCCGATTGGATCAATATTGCTTCCATCCATTAACAGAATGTGATAGCCGAGAGCTCCCGAGAGGAACTCATTCGCTGAAGTTATGATGGGCATCTCATTATTTTGATTAATTCGTTCCTATTCTTTCCACGTTTCCTTTAATATCAACCATTCAAAGCACTATGCTTAGAACTTCAGCACAGCCTTGCCCTTGTTCTTGCCATAGAAGATTCCAACCAGACCCTCGGCAGCGTTGTCCATGCCGACAGTCTCATGGATAAGCACCTTGAACGAGCCTTCCTTAATCCACTTCTGCACGCGCTCCTGGTGCTCCTTGGTATAGATGTCACCCATGCCAGGGTCGCCGACGATGAAACCGCGCATGGTCACACGCTTGACAAGGACGTTATGGATGTTCTTGATGGGGTAAGGAGCGGAGTTGTATTGCGAGATCAGACCGCAGACAACAATGCGGCCGAAGTTCTTCATCGCGTCCAGGGCAGCCTCGAGGTGCTCGCCGCCAACGTTCTCGTAGTAGATGTCAAGGCCCTCGGGGGCGAGGCGGGCCAGCGCCTCTGCGGGCTTCTCGGTCTTGTAGTTGAAACCGCCGTCGAAGCCAAGCTCCTTGGTGATGTACTCGAGCTTCTCATCTGAACCGACGGAGCCAATCACACGCAGACCCTCGTGCTTGGCGAGCTGGCCGACCAGTTGGCCGACAGCACCACTGGCGGCGGAGACGAAGATGGTCTCGCCCTTCTTGGGCTTACCGATCTCGTACAGCGAGGAGTACGCAGTCAGACCAGGCATGCCGAGCGGGCCCAAGAAGACGCGGATGTCTTCAATGCCAAGAGGGTTCTCCAGCTTGCGGATGCGCACGAGCTGCTTGCCCTCCAGCGCGATGTACTCCTGGATTGGGACATGGCCGATCACCAACTCGCCCTCCTTGTAAGTGGCGTTGTTCGAGCGGATGACCTTGGCGATGCTGGCACTTTCAATGGCTTGGTTGAGAGTGAACGCCGGGGCGTAGGACTTGACCTCGGCGGGCCGCATGCGACCGCGCATGTAAGGATCGTAGCTGGTATAGAGAGATTGGAGGACAACGCCGTCGGCGGGGGCAGCGACATCAGCACCATAGGAAGCAGCCTCGACCACCAGATCCTGCCCGGGGACGGGGTATCCCTGAGGGATCTGCTTAAAGATAAGAGCCTTGTTAGTCATGCCGTCGGTCGTAGTTCTCCGGTGAGTTGACGAAAAGAGGAGGCGGAGGTGAGTTCGGTGACGGTGTTAGACTGTCAGAAGTGTGAGTTGAGTGGGGTTGTAGTGATAGCAATACAGAATCGATTTGAACGATCTGTCGTGATTGTCTGATTTTATAGAAAGAGCTTGTATTACCTTGAGGTGGGGGGTAACGAGGAACCGAGGCAAAATCCCAGATTCGATCTCAATTAGCAAGCAAATTTGCCTTTTGCCGATGGGTCTCGGAGAAGATTCTCGAGAAGGTCATAGCAACCAGTCCACTTGTACGGAGTAGGATCTTCTTCAAGGTGCTGACGGGTCCACTATCCTGCACTGTTCAAGTGGGTTCATCGGAGCATAGATCGCATTATTAATGACAGAGATGAGCCCATTCTCTGCGTTAATCTCTGGAGCCGAGTCTTCCTAAAATGCCGAGGTTCAAGGGTCCAAACTGTGCTGCCATCTATAACGCTGGAAAGCCTGTCATGACGGCGACTTTTGAGACTTTTAGAGTGGGGCAATTCTGTTGTGGTGGAGCTCGGATGAATTGAAGACCAACAGGCCGACGGATGGCCGCCTTTCTGGGCAGGAGGACCGATCAGAACCGATTAGGACCGCTCAGAAATCGCCAAGTTACACCAGATCGCAATGCTAACGTCATGATCCATAATCTGGAAAATCCCCGTCCAAAAACCCTAACCTTGATTTCTCAGCACGGAGCTGGTTACCGATTCCGGACGAGGGGGTGCAACGGACGGACCGCTCTATGGATCCGGGCGTGTTGGAGATTCGATTGCCGGTGGCTCACGTGCTGAACAGGGCAACAAACTCTCAGTAGAAGATAGGAAGGAAGCCAGGACTAAATAAGATAACGTTTCTACAAGGGGAAAGATTTAAACAAGTATAAGACGCAGAGGGCCACAGTTCTTTCTCAACCGGGGAAGAATTACAGTTCTCGGCCGGAAGCGGATTTAGAAGAGAGGGGCAGTCAAACAACCAGAAAAATATTTCATAGATTGTCTATTTTTCTAAATAGGGAAATAAGCTTCTTTTTAAGCTTCGTTGAATATTCCAATCTAAAACAGATTGAAACAAACAGGGCAAGGTTGGAAAAGTAAACTAGGGCGCGAATATTGGGCGCAAATTGTTAGTTAACGTATTTCACTAGCGTTCCGGTCACACTAGCATTCCGGTCACTACACCAACCACTACTTTTTGAAAACACTATTTTTCCACCACAACACTAGATATTTGATTCAACTATCTAGTATTACATTGATTAATCTTATGCCCTATATTCCCACATCCGGAACACCGAAACACACGCTTGGTAGTAGGCTCAGCGCCTATAGTAGGCTGCTGAGCAAGCTCTGCATCATCGTTTTGAATAGCTTCAACGCTTGCTGGCAGCGTTGAAACTAGTGATATAGATTCGCCGACCGTAGGATCTTGCTGCCTAGATATCCGGCGATTGGAACGTGTGCGTTTTTGACGCTTCTTCTCGTTGAATCTATATAGTTGCCGAATCTCTTCCGCTTGTAAAACAGTGTTATGAAACGCTAGTTCAGCACCTTTGACTAATTGATCTAGCGCACGCTCTGTAGGGCTTCCTGGCGACCGCGAGCGCTTGCGTAGTAGAGCTTTGATAGATGAAGCTTGCTTGCTAAGCTGCTTGATCGTATATGGCGTAGTAGGCACGAAAGCGCTACTCCTACTACTAGGCCTACTAGTAGTAGGTGTAGGTGTTCGAAGCGATATATTAAGCTTTGATAGGACTCGGTCGGTATCTAGCGGAACTAGGCCGGCGCTGGCGAAGCTTGATTGTATAGTGCTAGGTAGGAAGGCTTCCTGGCGTGCTAGGGCGTAGGATTCTAGGAAGTCGAGCTTATCAATATGGTTATAGCCGAAGCGGGTTTGGGCCTTAGTTAAGCGACCGTATGAGCGTTTGAGGATAGCAAAACATCCTATATCTAGCGGTTGTAGAAGATGCGATGAATGCGGTGGCATACAAAGTGGTATAACGTTGTTTTGCTGGCAGATTTGGTCGAATTGTGGTGTTAGATAACTACCATGACTATCTAGTATCAACAAGCGATATTTGCCTTGCGTACGACTAGTAGTCGCTGGTATAAATAGCTTCTCTAGCCAACGTAGGCCTATATCATCAGTAGTCCAACCGTTCGGTGATATTTCAATTCGCTAATCACTAGGAAGGTTATTAAACTAGCTTTCAATATAAACCTTCCCTTTGAATACTATACACGGCGGAAGCGAGTAGCCGGTTGCCGATATAGATTCAATTGTAGTTACCCACTCTCTATTTCCCGGTTGTAGAAGAGCTTTCCGACCGTAGAATTCCTTCCGTGTAACGACTCTACAAGTCGATATTAAGCCTATTGCAAAGCCGGTTTTATCAAAGTTATAGATATCGCTAGGAAGGATACCGTTATCGTTGATTGTTGATTCAACAAGCCTAAACCACGCGCGTAGGGTTGCTAGGTCTTCGTTTTAGGCACGTTGATAGTCGTAGCGCCTAGAGAATCGTGTGCAAAGCTCAGATCGACGTTTAATATAGCGTGTTACCTAATTAATACCGATCGAAGAAGATTGGTTATCACCACGCGTTGCTAGTAGAAGATTTGCTATATCTTTAATATGCGAAGGCCTAGGGGAAGCACCACGCGTATCAAGCGATAGTATCCACTGGCAAAGCGAATCCTCTTCTTCTTGTGTTAATTTCGATGTTGCTGAGCGTTTTTCTTGCTGATATGGAACACCCTTAGATCGATCGTATAGCGTTGAATATGGCACGTTATAAACGGCTGCTGCTTTGCGTATAGATAGGGTAGGATCCTTTTGAATAGCATCAATTGCTAATAGGATCCTACCCTCCCTAGCTGGCGATTTTGAGCGTTGTTCAGAACGTTTTGGTGGCATGGTGTGTAGTGGAAGATAGTAGGTGACGCGTGGGATGCGCGTTTTGGATGGGGTGACCGGAATGCTAGTGTGACCGGAACGCTAGTGAAATACGTTAGTTAACGTGTTTCACTAGTGAGTCGCCACCACTAGTGAGTCGCCACCCTCACCACCTACTACTTTTTGAAAACACTATTTTTCCACCAAAACGCCATATATTTAATTCAACTATTTACTAGGGCACCGAGTAATCTTATGACCTATATTCCCACATCCAGAACATTGAAATACACGCTTAGTAGTAGGCCTAGAGACCTTAGTAGGCTGCTGAGGAAGCTCTGCATCATCGTTTTGAATAGCTTCAACGCTTGCTGGCAACGTTGAATCTAGAGATATAGATTCGCCGACCGTAGGATCTTGCTGCCTAGATATCTGGCGATTAGACCGTGTGCGTTTTTGACGCTTCTTCTCGTTGAATCTATATAGTTGCCGAATCTCCTCCGCTTGTAAAACAGTGTTGTGAAACGCTAGTTCAGCACCTTTGATTAATTGATCTAGCGCTCTCTCTGTAGGGCTTCCTGGCGACTATGAGCGCCTATATAGTAGAGCTTTGATAGATGAAGCTTGCTTGCTAAGCTGCTTAATCGTATGTGGCGTAGTAGGCACGAAAGCGCTACTCCTACTACTAGGCCTACTAGTAGTAGGTGTAGGTGTTCGAAGCGATATATTAAGCTTCGATAGGACTCGGTCGGCATCTAGCGGAACTAGGCCGGCGCTGGCGAAGCTTGATTGTATAGTGCTAGGTAGGAAGGCTTCCTGGCGTGCTAGGGTATAGGATTCTAGGAAGTCGAGCTTGTCGATATGGTTATATCCTAGGCGAGCTTGGGCCTCGATTAAGCGACCGTATGAGCGCTTTAGGATAGCAAAACATCCTATATCTAGCGGCTGTAGAAGATGTGACGAATGCGGCGGCATACAGAGTGGTATAACGTTATTTTGCTGGCAGATTTGGTCGAATTGTGGTGTTAGATGGCTTCCATGACCGTCTAATATTAACAACCGATATTTGCCTTGCGTACGACTAGTAGTCGCTGGAATAAAGAGCTTTTCTAGCCAGCGTAGGCCTATATCGTCGGTAGTCCAACCGTTCGGTGATACTTCGATTCGCCAGTCTTTCGGTAGGTTATCAAACCAGCTAGCAATATAAACCTTCCCTTTGAATACTATACACGGCGGAAGCGAGTAGCCGGTTGCTGATATAGATTCAATTGCTGTTACCCACTCCCGATTTCCAGGTTGTAGTAGAGGCTTCCGACCGTATAGATCCTTCCGTGTAACGATTCTAGTAGTAGATATCAAGCCTATTGCAAAGCCTGTTTCATCAAAGTTATAGATATCGTTAGGAAGGATCCCGTTTTCATCAATTGTACGCTCTACTAGTCTAAACTACGCGCGTAGACTAGTAGGATCTTCGTTTTGCGCACGTTGATAGTCGTAGCGTCTAGAGAAGCGTGTGCAAAGCTCTGGTCGACGTTTAATATAGCGTGTTACCCAGTTAACACCTATATTAGGAGGTAGGAGAGGAGGGAAGATATCACCACGCGCTACTAGTAGAAGATTTGCCATATCTTTAATATGCGAAGGCCTAGGGGAAGCACCACGCGTATCAAGCGATAGGATCCACTGGCAAAGCGAATCCTCTTCTTCTTGTGTCAGTTTAAGACGTGGTGATCGTGTATCCTGGCGATAAAGCTTGCCAGCAAGCCTATCGCGTAGTGTTGACCGAGGCACGCTATATAGCGCTGCGGCTTGCGCAGTTGAGCTTACTGAGCCATTTTGAATAGCTTTGATAGCGAGTAGTATCCTACCCTCCCTATCTGGCGATTTAGAGCGCTTTTGGGAACGTTTTGGTGGCATGGTAGGTGGTGGAAGGTGGTAGGTAGAAGATAGGGACGCGTTTTTTGATGGGGTGGCGACTCACTAGTGGTGGCGACTCACTAGTGAAACACGTTACCCTCACAGCGTGCTTACGTCAGTAGTTTAGCTTAACTAACTTATCAGGACCTCTACTGAGGGAATAGGAATATCATCTTTACATCTCACACCCTCGCTTGCACCACAAATAAAGGGAAACATGAAGGATCTCAGGATACTTTCTATATCTAACCACCGTCTAAAGCCTGCACCGAGTTTTATTAGATCAAAATCGGCTCTATCAAGCATTATCAGGTCTAAGTAGGTTGTGATAAGTGATAAGTTTCCGCAAAGCCGAATTTAGTTGATAAACAATCACTTTCAGCTCTTCTGTGACCATAATTGAATAGAACCGTGGATTTCTTTTTCAACCTTTTACACTCTTGAAGCTGTTATAGACTATGATAACATTGGTGACTGTTATATTTGTAACATCATTCGCTACATTGAGCCTATCAAACTCCAGTCCCACATCTGCAATACGATGAGCAACTTCATCTTCTGTCACGACTAATTGTGGATCCATTGGACCACTGTTGTTCCAACAATATAACAGCATATTTGTTCTTGCGGGAAACTCGATACTGTAGGTTCCGCAGGATCCAAATCGGTCGTATTGGCTAGGAGATGCTCTTGCGGAAGGATCTCCATCAGGACTTGAATTGAGCTATTCCCTGGCTTCCAGCAGGATTGTTCAAAATTTCGGCATCCTCTACCGTGAGGTATTTTCCATAGCTAAAAAAGAAGTATTCCAACGTTTTCTCCCGTTGGTAACTGATATATCATAATTCTTCAAGCAAAGAGTTAGACTGCATTGGGTCACATTTTGAACACAATGCCATTCCTTGGGTCTTCACCAGGCTGAGTCCGATTGAAATCGAATTTAGAGCTAGTATGAGCGACTTTGACCACAGGAAACGGCACCCCTTTGTATCTCGTGTCCACAGAATCAAGGTCACTGGAAACCTGCCAGGCAGTTTCGGAAGAAAAACCCATCTTCTGGGTTTTTGTGCCCGCCTATACTTTCGTCAATGCATCAGCCCGTTTGACTGTTTCCTGGTATGTTGTGTCAACCGCCTCATTGACAGCGACATTGGTATCGGAAGATGTGCTCAGCTCAAGTACCACGCTACAGGATCCTTTGCCAGAGGCTGGATATCCACTCAGCATTGGCTCATGACACTTGAGCGTGGCCTTTGATATGATATCTGAACATCGACTGCAGAGTCCCACAGATTGAAACGTAAGAAATGTACAGTTACCGGATGGGCAAACTGGGTCAAAAGAAAAGTTTGATTTCCAGACCCCTAGATATATTGCGGTCTCGAGGTCATTCAGGCCAGGAAGTGTAGGGGAATAGTATCGCAATTGTGGTCCATGTGCACCGGGGTCTCTTTGGTCTGTTCGGTGGTATAGCTCACCAGCTGTTGAATAAATGGATCAAAAGCCAACGTGCAGATGATAACTATCGCACCAATCGAATACAAAGATCGGCCTTGATGCTGTAAGAATATTAGCAGTGAACCTAGGGGCCCACGGGTAGCGCTATCAAATGTCTGTATATTCAGCAATTGCCGAGTGATCGGTCCCTGGATCCATATCCATTCAGTTGACTGGTGGCCTCACCCTCAACAAACAAATCCATTGATGATTTGCACGCGATGGCAAAAAATGAAATCATTATATTCAGCGAGAGTCCGTGTACCATTTCCGGTTGCTCTTTTGTATTGTATGCAAAGAGAACACTGCATATTGCGAGAAAACAGCCAAGCGCAAAGACCATGAGAGAAATTTCGCATATCCAAGTATCAAAAGTTAGCCGTTGCCACCATTTCGGTCGCCTTCTGTCGATATCGTGTTTTGTTGGTCGTTGGGGGTTGGTCCGGTTGGTCCGAGAGAATATCATGTCTTAGCTAGTGTTCGAAATGACTGAGTTCTCCAATTCCATTAAACAAGCGTGGGCCGCAAGAAATTTGAACCTGAGTACCGACTAGTGATTCTGTCCAAGAAAAGACCAACGATTGAAGTACGCCAAGGGAGATAGTTGTGCAAAGGGGACATCCCAAAATTCAAGTTCCATCCAAGGCCCTTCCAAGCTTACGCGCAAAAGACATATCTAGGTATGCATACATATTTGCTATATTATGACTAGCAAGACCTTAGGATACTGATGGAGAAAGGGGGAGTCGGGGGCGAGGGCGATCGGAAAATGTAAGCACCCCTTATAGTTCTACTCTGATATAGTCAAGCCCATTTTGAGAATGAACACATGATATTATTATAGTCAAAGAGACACTTGTTAGAAAGCCATCTGGCTAGTTGCTAGTAGGCAGCTGTCTTGGCATAAGTTGTAATGACTCACTATAGGATCCTAGGGATTATTATTTCATTCTCGCAAGGAGCGACATCTTTATTGTGAAATCGCATTTGAACATGTTCCTACTATGAAAATATTTTCCAGAAAGCGTCTATGGTATGCTGAGCGATCAAGAGAAACGACAGTCAGAGAGGTAAACGCCGATAACAGATTTGATACAAAGCAAACCTATCTCACAAATTGATTGAGTTTGAAAAGCTTTCCGGAATATGGATGGAATACGTCGCCGCTACAAGGAAAAGGCAAGTTGATTATAAATAAAAGTATCGGTTTCATATCGAGTTGAGTGAATTGGGTCATTATCTCTGGTTTTATCGATAATGGCTGAGAAATACTTGATCAAGATGTGAGCCCAAACTTGGAAATACTCTTATTTATAATCATACGAACAATATTTACTGCCACTACACTAGAAGGTCCCTAGAAGATATTGAATCACTCTGGGACTAATATCACGTACTTATATCCTCAAGCGACTTCCATATCTTATATAACGCTGAATTATTCCCTGAGTTATACCTAGATATGTACGCTGCGGAATCATATAAATACTCCACAAAGCATAGTCTCTTTCTATGATGCGCCCCCCGGGGAGGGGGGGGGGGGGGGGACTTGCAGGTTCTGTACATGGGCTGCTAGTTGAGCGAGCTCCTACTGTTGCTGATATGGACGTCGCATTCTCCTCGGCTCAAAGAGCCTTGAACTACCCAATGCTCCCGCGCTGACCAGCCGGGCTTTGGCTAGCAAATCCCGGATTCGGGGTGCCATTCGAGCGCATAGAAATTTCGTTCCGCCTTTCGAGCAACCGTATTGTACTAACTGTTTCAATGGCCAGCTATTGCTCTATATTTTCAGCTCCTAAATCTGGCAGACCGTATGCCAGCGCATCTCGCCTGGTCTGGACAGGACCAGACGCAGGGGCAGACCGCGTGAGGCTGTGATGGCACCTGCAGGAACAGAAACGTGGGGCGAGTGGCGCACACTCGGATGGTTCCTGCCAAGACGGGCCGAGCCGACATACCTGGTACATTACAATACATACAATACGAAACGTATTGGATGAGAGGAGCGTAAATACGGTGTATCACAGGGCTAGAACTTCAAGGGCTGGCTTTCATTCAACGGTATGGAGTACTTCATGACTCTATGCAAGACAAGGCTAGCGTCATTATATAACTCATTCTTGGTATGGCGCAATGAAAGCCTAGTTTGCACTGAGATGTACGCATTGTAAGCTTCAAGGCCTGCCCATCAATCAATCTAATAATATTTGACCTAGAACGATAAATGACCCCCGTGTACTATCTGTTAAACCTGAGTGAAATTATTGCTGAGACTAAAGCCAAAGAAAGAGAGAAAGAAAAAAGTATCATTCAACGCAACAGTTCTTTACTACAATACAAGCACCCCGTCATTTAACCCGGGCCACGACGTCCCGGGGGGCCATGCGGTCTTGGTTTGTCAAAGTCAGGAGGTCCCGGAGGCCCGTGGGGCCCGTGGGGTCCTGGTCCATGCCGTCCTGGCTCATGGAAGCCGGGAGGGCCACAGTCATCAGGAGGGCCCGGAGGGCCGTGGGGCCCACGAGGACCTGGAGGGCCTGGAGGACCATGATGGCTAGGATGACCCGGCGGACCACGGGCCCCCCGAGGAGCCCCAACACCGTCGAAAAACTCAGAGGGACCTTGCCCAGAGGGCTTACCAGGAGCAGGAGAGAAGCTTGTCGGGGAATCCGGTGTGGGCAATGACTGGGGAAGACGAGTAGGGGACTGGTTGGGAGAGGACGCCTGCGGGGAAGTAGGCCCAGGGGAAGGATTGGCTGCAGGGGAGCTGGTTCGAGGGGTCTGGACAGAAGTGGGAGTGTCCGAAGTGGACATGGGCTCACTTGATGGAGCCTGGGGAAGATCGGGCACTGGGTTAAGGGCAGTGGTTGGGAGGGTAGCTGGGACAGAAGCAGGAACCGGGTTTGAGCTGGCAGCGGGAGCTGGAGCCGGAACTGGAGCTGTATCCGGAGTAGGAGACAGGGCTGCAGCGCTAGGGGGTGTGAGGGGAGCAGTAGTAGGCAGTTTTGGGGCCGATGGGGCAACAGGAAGCTTGGGAACTGGAGCAGCAGGAAGCTTAGGAACCGAAGCAACAGGTGGAGCCGAAGGAACAGGAGGAAGCTTGGGAGCCACTGGAGCAGCTCGAGACACGTCTGGTGCTGCGACAGCATGAGATGATGGTACTTGGGAAGGTCGAGTTGACGGAGGACCAAGAGCTGGAGCCGGTGCGAAAGAAGGAATCGAGGGAATGCCCGGGCGCGGCAGCGGCAGCGGCAGCGGGCCCGTAGGCGGGGCCGGCAGCCCAGAGGAGGGTGGAAGCGGGCTCGCGACCGCACCCATAGTTGGAACCACAGGGGCTGCCGGGAGGTCCTCACAGGAGTCGTGGGCGTTGGGCGGGCGCAGCCAGCCGCCGTCAGCGCGGATACGCTCCAGGGTGTCCCAATGCTGGCGGGCGTGGCTGGCGGCGACGTCGGCAGCCACGCGGGCCACGCGTTCACTCGCTACAGCGGCATCGATCTGCTGCTGCAGCTTGCGGGTCTCGTCACTGCGTGCTGTGAGGCTACGGTCTAGTCGGTCTGCGCGGGCCTGCTGGACCGCAACGTCGCTTTGAGCCTGGCGGAATTTGGCCTCTGCATCTTGCAGCGCTGTACGGGCCTGCTGCAGTTCCGTTTGAGTACTGCCTGCCTGCGTCTGTAGGGAGGCATACGCGGATAATGCAGCGCCCAGCTGCGCGAGAGCGTCGTCGCGCGCGGCAGTGGTCGAGGCAACAGTGCCCTTCAACTCTGCAACAACTGCCTGCAGCTGCGCGATACGGGGGTCCTCCTGGGCGCTCCCGGCCAAGAGCTCGGCCAGCTCTGCGCGCTGCTGCTGGATGACCTGGTCATTACCGTCCAGCAATTGCAAAATCTGGTCGTAGGCCGTCTGCCATGCTACAAGCTGCCTTGCCAGCTCCTCTTTGGAGTGCTCCAGGCCTGTCTTGGACGCAGTCAGGTCGTTCAACTCGCTCGTCAGCTCTGCCTCGCGGGCTTCGGCATCATTAGCGCGGCGCGTCTCTGTCTGCACGTCCTGCTGTAATCGGGCGCGATCAGCATCAAGAGTTCGGTTTGTGTCGGTCAGGTTATAGAGCTGCTCCGTGAGAGTGCGAATGCGATCATCGAGAGTTTTCCTGTCATTCTCCCAAGTGCCCACGAGGGTTCCGCGGTCGCCGGAGATCTATTTTGTCAGATGATAGCCTCAAAACAAGATAGAAATGACCATTTACCTGGTGCGCCTGTAGCGCCATCCATCCAAGGCGCTCGACAAAGGCGTCCGTCCAGGCCACCAGCTCCCCCAGCTCCTCCGGGAATGGCAGCATCTCTGGGGCGTCGGGAAAGAGTGGCGGGCGAACATGTCTCTGGCAATCGAAGCTCCGCGCCACAAGAGGATCCCCGGGTAGTGCCCGGGCCTGGTCGAGGTCGAGGGATGCCGGAATTTGGCTTGGAGGCTTGGGAATTGTAGGTATCATAGGGGCTGTTCCAGGCACCCTTGGACCTACTCCGGGCAGCGTAGGCAACTTGCCGTTCGGGGCATCCGCCCTGGAGGGCAAAGTCACCGGCGGCTTCCTGGGTGTCGTAGCATTTGGCTCCTCCGGTCTGGGAGTTTCGTCAGCAGGAGTCTTGCGCTTGCGGTCTCGGGAGTCTGACGTTTCGAGAGCTCGGGGGTCTCCAAAGGAAGGCATGATGATGCGATATCACACACACGCACGCATGTATACACACGTAAACATGTATGTTCACTTCCATATGGTAGACTGCAAGCCCATTTAAACTACGCTGCAGGCCCCACACGTCGGCAACACTTGCCTTGGCAAAAGCTTCGCATCGTCCTGGCAGGCGCATGCGTGTACAATGGCGAGCTGAAACTCGCAATTTGGGGAGTTGTTTCGCGATGATACCCATACGATGAAATACAAATACACGAAATGGAACGCCACCACAGCTCGGCGTCACCGAACTATTGCTTGTCCATAAGGCTGATTTGTTAGTCGTGGCCGCCGGAGGATTTTCATTCTAGTTCTATCACAATTCAGGAGCCAATGTCTCAGAGAGACACTCACTTTTGGAGATAAGAGATAATCCGTGGAGATTATTAGCGAGGCTCTTTTATCCAGACATGACAATAACCAGTGGCTAGAATAGAATGTTTTTGGTTTCTACGGACTTTCCGGCCGAGACCCACACGGCCAATTATGGTATATTCTGCCCGCCGAAAGCTTTAGTTAGCACTACGACTGTCGGGAAGCCCCGGTCTTATCTTGTGGTAATTGTGAAGTAATAGATCTATAATATTGCTAGATGTACACCTTGGTGATGGTGAGGCCACAGAGGAGTGAAAATGGAAATTAGTGCATCTATACACACACGTATAGCTATCAGGCTATTTCCTGCCATGCGTTTCTAGTAGGCGGTGAGGCCGGTGAAGTAGGGCTAAGGAGGGAGGGAGCAAGAACATTGGCTATTAATCACTGTAGACGTCTGTGATATATGCATTCTACTCAGATCATCTGAAAACGCCACTACATACAAATATACTACGAATCTTACACGCTGACCATAACCTCCGGAGGCCGGAGGAAATACTCGTCCATATCATCAATGTACTCCTTCGGCGGCGCACAACAGTCTACCAGATCCCCCCAGCCCGCGTTGGGCTGCATCGTCGGCGCGTGCTGCGTTCCAAACGCTGGCTGGTCTGCCACGATCTGCGCAAATGCCGAGAGCGCGGTTGCGAGATTCACTGCAGTTCCTCCCTGGTGCCACGTTTGCTGTATCGAGGCGAAGGGGTCTGTTTCTGTCTGCTGGGGAGTGCTCAAGGGCTTCAGGGTCTGCGGCTCAATCTCTGAAAGGGACAGATCACCTGTTAGCTCGGAGGTACGACCAAAGAAGTCTGCTGTCAGTTCGGGGAGCTTGTCTGGCGATAGAACTGGTTCTGGCGGTACCAAGCGCACGCCCATGGTGTGTTCGATCGTCTGGTTGTCCGACGGCTGCAGCTGGCTCGTTTTGTCCTCGGAGTCTGTAAATGTCAGCACCAACCATCATAGTAGGATATATAAACCCGTATGCACTTACATTGACCCCAAATGGACGCAGGAATCATCTTGGTGAGCTTCTGCATCTGGAAATGGGCTCCCGGATCAGGAGTGATAGTGAAGTCAATAGTCGAAGTGATGGTCGACTCTGTGAGCTGCATTGGCCGGCTGTAGATAGACTTGCTGCCTGTCATCTCGTCCATACCGGCAAATGTAGCCGTGTTAATGGGCAAACGGCTATAGACGGCCATCGCGAGTGTTCCTGCACGAACCTTGGATACGGCTGTCTTTGACTTCGTAGTGTCGGGAACGAGACCGCCCTCAATAGCCAAGATGTGGTCGTTAGCACCTGGCGAGCCCTTGGCCAGCATATCCCAGAATGCTTCCAGTGTCACGGGCGGTGGCGGTGGATCGGACGCGCCGAAGGAGACCTCGAAGCTCATCACCCAGAAGCTAAAATGTGCCGTACCGGCCATCGCGGGACCGTGCAGATCCAGGTCCGCCCCGAGGCTAAGACTGAGCTTCTTGGTTAGCCGCCAGACCTTGAGCTCGTAGCTGACACTCGCCATGACACCGACGCTGGCATTGTAGTGGAAGGGCTCAAACTCGACGAGGAAATCTGCGTGGGCGTCAAAATGTGCCGACAGCTTGTCTAGGGCAAATAACACCTCCAGTTTGCCCCCGAACATGACCGCCGCGGGTGTGATGGCAAAATAAGCCTCGCCGGTGATGTTGATATGCTTGTCAAATTCCCAGGAAATGCTCAGCCGCTGCGGGTTCGGGTAGTGTGCCGGCCGCACGAAGGCCCCGTTGAAGCCACCGACTGTAAAACACATGTCGCCCGGATGGGCAGACCCGCTGCCCCAGACGCATAGAGCAAAGCCGCCCTGTGGATGACAGGCGTGGCTCAACAGGAAAGACCGTGAGCTGATTGTGCCCTGCACCAGCAGTGTGCTGTGTCCAAAGTCCAGCGTCGCTGACAGCCCGAAATCTAGCAGGGCAAATGCCTTATCCGCCGAGGCTGTTTGTGGTACAATCGCAGTTGCATCACCAAGGAGAGTTAGCACGACGTCATCCGACGTTAGTTGCAGCGCCAGCACTGCCGTGACGTCGATGACCTCGAAGGCACGCATCTTGAGCCCGGCCGCCAACCACAGGGCGCCCGACTGGGGCACGATAGTGCCGCTGTCGGTGAAATCTGCCAGCGTCTTCAGCGGGTCGCTGGCGCCCTCGCTGGACATGGTCAAGAAGGGGAAGTTAGTGACCTCTTCAGGCTTGGGCATGTTGACAAAGGAGTGGTAGCCGAACCCGCCGGAGATACCGCGCAGCTCGGCGAATTCAAACTGCATCAGCGGGCCTGTCAGGGCGCCAAATACGAAGAATGAATCGAGAGAATCATTACTGCCGCCGTCCTTCGGCTTGGCCTCGCTGTAGGCGCCCACAGCGGCAAAGTTGTACTTGGAAAGGCCGATTATCACGCCTCCAGCAAAGGTGGTTGTCTGCGTTGTATCAGAGACTGAGTTCTGCCGCACGAACATGCCTGCAATATGCACCGGATTGCGGTCATATGCGATGGCCAGCCCGTCAAGCGACCAGCTCGGCTCGACGCTGGCGAGACCCGGCAGCTGGGCGTGTGTCAGATCAAAGTGCAGCGCGAAGCCCGTCAGCGACATCTCGATGGGCCCGAGTTTTAGCGTGGCGTTCAGATGGACGGTTAGTGTGTGGCCAGTCATCTGGAGGCCGACGTTCGTGATCGTCAAGGCTTTGCTTTTCTTCGTGATTGCCACTTTTTCGGATGCAGGAGATGTGGATATATCTTGCGCTGAGTCGGTCGGGTCTCCTTCCGATGCTTGAGCCTGATCCTCTACTGCGTCTTTCCCTGAGTGCTTGGTCGAAACTTCCGCTGTATCTTTTGTGTCGTCTTCCGTGTGTTTTGCATCCTCCGTTGCTGGCTTCCCACCAAACACATAGTCAAGTACCACAACTGGCTGACCATCCTTGTTCATTGAGATGGTAAAATGGAATCCCTTCCGTAAGACTATAGTGCTTGACTCGGTCTGCTTGGTGGCCCGGTATTGCAGTTCATTGCCATCCTCATCGAACAGCAAGGCGTTGAGCTGGTTTACGTCGCCCAAGGTGAGGTCCGCACTCGTCCAGAGAAAAGCGACTTGGTCGAACGGCTGCGGTAAGGGGCCAATTAGTGGCACATCACGGACATGTGGGAACTCGTGGATAGAGATGCGCAATAGTCGTTTCGGGGACGCATTGCCGGCTGCGATCTGCGTGAGGTCGATGTGCAGAGACTCCAGGCGAATTTCGAGCCCGAAGACGAGCTGCCCGGCATGTTCAGAGCTACTGGGCGCCCGACCGATGACCAGGGTAATAGCATCATCTTCCAGTTCTGAGAGAGGCACCTCAATGTTCGCCACATAAGGCGGCAGTGCCTCCTCGACACTATCTCCTAATAACTCCTCCAGCAGATCTCCCACTGTAGTACACTGACCAGCAATCTGGCAGGCGCTACTGCGCAGACTTGCCAGCAGTGTCCAGCTGCCTGTGCTCGTGTGCGTCAGCGTGAAGTTTAGCAGCAATCCCCCGAGCAGCAAGTAGCCCTCGACAGTCAAGACGCGCGGACCGGTCCCAAGCGTGTACGTGACGTCCAGTGATGGCAGACTGACAGCAGGCATCATGGCAACAATTGCTGCCCGTGAATTGGCAGGAAGTAGCGCTGCCAAATGCGCAAACTGCAGATTCTTTGCTGTCGCAGCCAGCGCCCACTCACCACCTGCGTAGGTGGCACTTACGCCTAGCTGGGCGGGCAGAAGACCCACGGCGTGTAGCTGCACGATCGCCGCAACGCTGAACTGCAACGAGTCTGCCTGCCCCGGGGTGTAGCGTGCCGAGATCTGCAGCACGGTGTCTTCTGTGAATGGAAGCTCCGGGGGGCCGTCATGGTCCGTCTCCTCGGCGACGCTGCGCGACTGCACGGCCGTCAAGAAGGAGATCTCGGTGGTACCCAGGGTAATCTCGAGCACTTTCAGCTCCTCTGGCAACCAGTGCGGCCAGTGCGCGATTGATATGGAGGGGTGTAGATGTGCGAGGCTGAGGGTTGGACGCGTGGCAGACGATACCGGAAGGAGAATGGCATGGCTCTCCTGTGCCGGATTGAGGCTGTACGCTAAGGGCATCTTGGGTGTGTCTGGACTAATGCCCGCTGGTGTAGACCAGAAGCGGCCAGTGAGCTTGATGGTACGATCGACGACGGACCACTGAAAGCTGAAGATGAAAGCTGACTCTGTGCCGGGGGGAACGCCGAATGGTGTCTCAACTTCGAGCACGACACTGATGTATTGCAGCTTGGAGTGCGCCAGCGTCAGCGAAATTTCACGCCAGTGCACTCTATCAATGCTGAAATTCCCGTTGCCGGCGATGTGGGTGTTGAGATGCTCAGTGAGCGCTCCGAAGCCTTCCTTGACGCCCGGGATGGCGAGCTTCTGTTCCAGATGGTTGACGAACATGTCAATCATCTGGGTAAAGCCGAGAGCTCCCTCATTCTGCAAAGTGAATGTCGTACCGTTATGCCCGAGGAAGACAAAAAGGTCTAGCTCAGCGCTGCCATTGGAAGTTGTGAAGGTGATGGATCCGGCCAGGAAGATCTCACCAGTAATCCTAGCCTCTGCACCCAGTACGCTGAATTTCTGTATCTTCTTGACAGTCGCAGTCATCGTCATGGCGCTGTGCTCGGGTAAATACGCCATCAGGGCTGCAGGAACCTCCGGCAGAGCAAACTCGAGCCGCAACACGAGCTGGCGCTCTTTCGCAAACACCCATAACCCATTGCGCGAGAAGGAAGCTGGGTTCGACTCTCGCAGTTGTACGGGGACGACACGCAGCAGAGCAAGCGCCCAGGGGGAGACATACACGCCAGCCAAGTCGATGAGCGTCCCCACGCACACGGATTGCGCTGGCGAGGAGTCGGCAACGGCGAAGAGCAGGCCAGCCTCATGGTCGAACAACTGTATACCAGACTGTACGTCCACTAAAGCGCCGAACTGGCGTTGGATGAGATCTACTGCCGTGGAAAAGTGCAGGGACAGAGAAGGAGGTCCGTCGGTATGCGCCCCCGGGATGACAAGATCGCATTCGAGCCCTGTCACGACGACGCGGCTGGGATCTGCCGCGGAGCGGGTTCCCGCAAGAGTGACAGCTGGACTGCGTATAAACTTAGCCAGCCAGATGGCGGTGGTGTCTGTTGCAGCGAGGGCTGCCGTGAAGGCTCCCGATGCTGTTCCAAGTGGCTGCGGCAGCTGCCAGGAAGACACAGCATCAAGATACGCCACGCCAGGAGCGCCTTCCGCCAGCGCAAGCTCATTCGTGTCGTCGCCCGGACGAGATTTGATGGCAGCCATGATGATGGGCTATTTGCATCTACTACATGGTGTATGCTCTGTATATACTTCAGAGCGGCCCCGGAAGAATAGTCCATGGCAACTATAAGCGAGAAGATACCGCTAGAAGTACCGCTAGTATCGCCGCTAAAGTACCGCTAGTATTACCGCTAATAGGACCGCTAGTAATCACCGTATCTGTGTCGGAAATACCCGTCATGAAGCATATAATATGCGCAGGACTCGGGATGCTTAAGTAGTAGAGCTCTCCCTGAGGGGAGAGAGGTGGAGGAAGGGGTAGACGGCCACTGCACGCACTTTCGGCGCAAAATGAGCGAAATAATGGTCGACGAGTCCCCCGCGAGAGATTTGAGCAAGCTCGAGATCGGCCAGTACTCCGTCGAGAGCTTCCAGGTGCCGGTCCCCGCGGGCGACTGCTCGATCCACCTGCTGGTAAAGGACCCGCCTGAGTCGACGAACAAGTATTGGGATAAGTTTGATCCTAGCCAGCATGACCTCACGGATGCAACTGGCCTGGGGTATGTGCGCGGCCTGGAGAGACTTGGTACTATTGAGCGGGGCACGATCCTCCGCGCAGTGCTTGTTGATGGGGGCTATGACGGCGACCGACTCAGTGGTGGAAAGGCAGCCAACGCCATCAGGACAGTCATCAAAACCATTGAAACAGACTTTAACATGACATCCCTCAAGTTCGATGCATGGGTGGTCACCCATTGGGACCGCGACCACTATTGCGGCACGCTCCAGATGCTGGTGGACGACCTGACCGATCAGTATCTGTTGCAGAGCATGAACCCGACGGCTACGGGCGCGAAAGACGAACAGCGCATTAAATCGACGTATTTTAAGTACGAGGCTGGGGAGCCGACCACAATAATGTATTGCCCCGTCTTCGAGTTGACGGACGAGCAGAAGGAAGAGAAGGAGGAGAAGCAGAAGAAGAAAGAGGAGAAGCAGAAGGAGAAGGAGCAAGCGAAGGCGAAAGCGAAAGAGGCCAAGCAGGCCAAGCAGGGGAAGCAGGGGAAGCAGGCGATGCAGGCGATGCAGGCGACGAAGGTGACGGAGAGCCCAAGCACGGTGGTGTCAGACTCGCCACACTGGCGACTCCGACGATCCGAGCCAGAGAAACAGCCAGAGAACCAGATCCAGGTTGAAAAAACGGGGCAGGCCAACTTTGTCGACGTGATGGTGGCCTTCAGGGACGTGCCGGAGCCGAATCGAGGCGCGCGGACTGACGGGGAAGACGAGGAAGACGGGGAAGACGGGGAAGAGGCGGAAAGCGAGGACGAGGAGAAGAGGAAAAAGAAAAAGGGAGGGAAGAAGCAGCAGCAGAAGGAAGACAAATCCAAGGGTTCCAAGTTGGAGCAGAAAGTGAAGACCAAAAAGACGGCGCAAGAGCAAAAGGATGCGGCCCTCAAGCACATCTATCGCTCGCTGAATCGATCGCTCACCAAGAATCCCGTGGACGCGCATTGGCAGCCGCGCATCTGCAAAATCGTCGCGGGCTGGGACCAGCTGCGCGGAAGGGACTTCTTCTCCGGCGAGTCGAAGATCGATAACGACGTGGCTTCCATTCCATTCAAGGACCTGGTGAAAGGCATCGCCGGGACACCGGCCTTCCTCTGTGTTGGCGCCGAGGGATACTTGTTGAACAAGGCGCGGGAGAATCAGAACCAGCGGCGTGAGACGCACAAAAAGACCGTCGCCGCGGCCAAGAATAACAGGAAAGCAGCCCAAAATGAGCGTCCACCGGAAACGGCAAAGCCCTGGACGGCGAACGGGGATACGTGGGAGAATTACATCTCGATCATGTCGCTGATCGTGTGGCCGCCCAGCCCGCGGAACGGGGAGAACGGCCGCATCTCGTACTTCTGCGGCGGCGACGCCAACGCCGTGTCCGAGAAGGAGCTCGCCGAATGGTTGGACGGGTATTCCGTGGCGGTCCTCAAAGCCTCGCATCACGGCGCCCACACGGCCACCCCCCGGAGCTGCTCAAGAAGCTGCATCCAGACAAGGTGCTGCTACCGGCAGGCTACGAGTATGGACATCCCAGTGAGTCGGACCCGGTCGAGCCCTCCCCCCTGCTCAGCGACAACTGCGAAATACTCCAAATACTAAATACTCGAACAGATTGGACCGTCATGGCGCTGCTGTTCGCCTATTGGCAATATAACGTCGCCCGACTGGAAGGCCAGCCCGATGCACTGACCAAAATCGAGAAGCTCGCCCTGCCTCTGCGCTTCCCCTACTACCTGGAAAGTCGCAATTACAAGCGCAAAGACAGTTCCACGCTGCTGAGGCAGGTGGACTTGAATCCCAGCAACGTGCCGAACTATACGGACCTCTTCGACAAGTTCAAAAAGTCATCAATGGAGACAAGCAGCCCGCAGCTGACCCAATGGATGAACCAAACGTACAATGAGGGCTTTTTCCGCGAATTGAACGTTGCCGACGCGATCATTCTGTGCAAGAAGATCGCTGGCGTTGCTGACAAGGCTGGCAAAGCTGACAAACTGGCGGACGTCAAGTTCCTTGAAGGGCAAACTAAAGACGAGGGGTGGCTGAAGCAGTTAAATTCAGATGTTGAAGAATTCAAAGGAATATTGACTGGCAAGACTAAAAAGAAGGAAAAACGGAAAAAGAAAGATGACTCGGAGTCCAAGAAAAAGCCCAAGAAAAAGCCCAATTTCGACGAAGAGGTCAACGAGTTCCGCGACCTGCGCATCCAACAGTATCTGGCCATCATGATGCTGAAAGAATATTGGGGATTCATCTCTAGCATGGACGCGAACTATGGACGCAAGCAGCTCGGAAAACCAGGCTACAAGCAGCCGCGGTACCTGTGGACGCGCTCGTGCGACAATACATTGCTCGATGGGCGTGTCGTCCCTTTTGTATCCAATCAGGAAGGTTTACCCATCCGAGAGGAGCCCACCACAAATCCGAATGGCAGCGTGACTATGCAGATGAATATCGAGGTTCCCAGCATTTCCCCTCTGTCCCAGGAGCAGGCTGCCGACGAGGGCCAGCAAATTCAAGCCAAAAACTTGTCGGATTTCATAGATGCGAATCTTTCCATCGTGATTGATGAATTCGATTGGTCTGACGAAATTCGGAGCGAGGGTGACTACAGCGAATCGGAGACCGAGGAAGACAGCAAAGAGGCGAGTCTTATCAGTGGCCGTCGCGGATGGGTTGGGGGAAAAGACATTTCGAAAACTCGCGTGGTCGAACGGGGCGAAACTGAGCGCTTAGCAGTACGGACACGTAAATTTCGATAGTCATCACCAGGCAAGAATTCCTCTGAAAACTAGTGATCGGAAGGAAATGTCTTTTAAGGGCAAGGCAGATGAATAGACTGAGTAGGACAAAGTATTTAGTGAAAATTCAGTCTGCTCCCAAGGTATTTTCAAATGATTATTACACTATACAGATTGCCTTGAGTATAAGGCGAGGTATTGTGAGCGATGAGGAACCTGAATCTCCATACGTATGCTTAAACTACTTTTAACCGAGATCAGACGAGAGTGTCTATCTGAGATCAAACCTATATATTTGACTTAAGACGAGATTCTCATTCTATATATTGCACTGCATATGGGAAAATGTGCTTGCATTGGCCTTTCGAATACAAGTACCAACAAATAACCTTGGGTGAAGTATACACGAATTTAGGTTTTGGTTGTGATTATATTGGTTCTGAGGATGAACTCTATTATCAAACATATCATTCGTGATCTCAACTGCATCCACATATCCCGTAGTAGAACCATACTGGGAAGCTTCTCAGCATGCTACGTATTGTACCAGCAAGGATTTAATCCCTTTCTGAACATACTGGTCTAGCTAATGGGACATTGACTACAAAAACAGAAGTATCCTCTCGAAAACTGATTATTCTGATTTTGTAGATCGATAGCTGTCAATATGGCTAACACTAGCCCTTAACTCAGGATGGTCAGGGTTCAGGCTTATCAGCCTACCCATTCACACTGCTCCTTTGTCACAGCGACCACCGAGTGCACTGTCCCCGCGGCCTCAAAGACGCCCTCCTCAGAATCCCGCCGGTACTCCTCCTCAACCAGAAGGAGTGTTCGTTCACAGGCGAGAGGGTTGATCGCCATGCCGTACAGCACAAAGCTCAGCTGTGGATGCTGCACCAGCCGCAATGGGCGCTTGTCGCGCATCGGCGTAATGGTCACGGAGAGGAAGTCCTGATCGTGCTCATCAGCGGCGTCTGCAACTGTCCAGCTCCCGTCCAGGTTGACGCGGTGTCGTTTGCCTGTCGTAACGCGCGAGGCGAGCGTCCAGCACCGGCCGGGGCCGACCATCGTCATGTGCGGTCGTGTCGTCACGGGGAGTAGTAGGTTGGTATTGATCTGCCCCATAGGTATGTGCACTGTCAAAGCTGCCAGGAAGATGTCCTGGCGCACTGTCTGGATTGCCGTGATCCCGACAAGGACGTCGAGTGTAATCGACGACCGTCTCGGACCTCCTGCAGGAAAGTGCCGCTGTGGCTGCGGCAACAGCGGCGAGCAGACCTTGGCTAGCTGCGATGTCGTCAGGGGCAATAGGTTGTTGTACGAGGCCGCGTTCTCGGGCACTGTCGGCACAGCCGCCCCGAGGGCCGCCGTGCGGAGCGCCGGCAGCGGCCTTCCATTATCTATACTCTGTACGGGGGAGAACCCCGGCAGCAGAGACGGCCGCAGCTTCCGCTGGGGGAGTTTGGCTGCCTCGGGCGCTGTGGCTTCCGGAGTGGCCTCAGCATCGTTACTTGGTAGGTTTGCCGGCGAGTTGCCGCTACCGGCTGTTTCGTGCTGGTCATAGCTCAGCTGCAGCATCAGTAGCTCGTCGTTGAACTGCACGCCAATGTACGCAGCCGTGGCCTCGGGCTGCTCACCGCGAAATTCATCCGTCAAAACGGCTGTATTTACTGCATGACACGCCTGGACAAAAGCTCCCATGTCAAGGCATCGCGTCTGCCAGTTATAGATATTCGGCAGGTCGATGGGCTCAAACCAGGGCGCGTCGGGCTTGTTGGGCGGCCGCGGCTGGCACTCAAAGCGAGCGGTACCGCCGGGTGCAGTCCACCGGGCGACATTGAGGGCACGCTCAATGCGTTCAGCGGCAGCGGGCTTGCCAAACAGCTTGAATGACAGCTTTAGTTCGTGAGTATTGAGCTGATCGCCGACCGAGAACCGCTGGTGGTGGAATGGCTGAGAGATGATGATGCCTGCTACCGTGTCCGGCGCCACGAGGGCCCCTGGGGTCTGCGACTGGAAGTAGATGAGACTGTCCTCGGCCAGTGCTGTGAAGACTCCCGGCGTTTGGTCCTGTTCCTGCATCACGTCAGTGACCCGCCGTCGGAACTGCTGGATGCGCAGGTTCGGATAGGCGTGAACTAGTGAACTGCGCAGGACCAACCCCCAGCGCGGGCGCCACGCGAGCAGCGGCGATGCGGCAGGGAGTGCTTTTTGCATGCGCTGGACGTAGACATCGAGGCTTGTACGAATCTCGTGCTTGACCGGGTCGTCTACGAGCGTGGAATGGTTTGCAATGCTAAGGGCACCATCGATCAGCGCGTCGGTCCAATTCTCGTCGATATAAAACGTGCGTAGGGCTTCGATGGGTAGTACAGCCGGGTCTGGAAACAAGTAGATGTATGGAATCCCCTGCAGCGCACGCTTGGCCTTGATCCATCGTAGTATGGTAGCCCAATGTGCCGATACGATCGTCGGTGCTGCTGCAGAACTGCCACCCAGCTCATAGTCAGCCATTGCGTTTGCCATGGTAGCCAGCCACGTCCGCACACGGCCCTGCAGGGCATCCAACATAACCGCCGCCCCCGCAGGCGCTGATCTCGGCGCCGCCCGCTCAGCCAGGGCATCTAGGGCGGTAGTCGTCCAACGCTGGACCCCAGCGTAGATATCCGTGGGCACTGGGGGAGTCGGCGCCGGCGTTGGGCCACTTTCTTGACTCCCAAGGGTTGCAAAGGTCTGCTGAGTCTTGGTCGCACCTCCATCGACGGCCTTGGCAGAGATATCGCCGCGCAGCCGCATTATAGCCGCCGTGAAGGCCTTGTCTGCAATTGCTAGGCTGCGGCCGAGCTCCCAGGCGACGCTGTAGCTGATGTCCATAATCCCCGCGAGAGCGTCTAGCTGCTGGAGGCCGCGGCCGCTGGTCGTGGGCGGGCAACGGCCTGGCGACACCCACTGTGGCGTTAGCGGTCCTCGATACAGCGTCGTGGTTGTCTCGCCGCTCATTATATGATGGCGCATAATCGTATATCCTTGCTCTAAACGGCCTGCTAGCCACGTCGCGGAGCTATCGCCGCCCGTGGTCAGTCGGTCAATTACCGGCGAGGGGCGTCGCAGCGGCTGCTTGCTGACGTTCAGCGCCTGCAGGATGTCATGGTAACTGACTGGGTCCGTAGGAGCTGCGCGGTATGTCCATGAATAGAGCGACACCAGAGCGATCTGTTCGACGACTGATGCTAATGGGCGCTCATCGAGGTTGTCTATAATCCCGTCGAGCGAGACAAGATGCACATAAGCAACCTGCGGTGCACCGCTGTCATGAACAGGCGCTGTACGGTGTGAGAAGATGACGCTGAAGGGCTCTGTGCTGCTGCCGATGGTTACCTCGCGTACATGGGCGCAGTATGTGAAGTGCTCCAACGGGACAGCCGTGTCCGGCTGCCGGGGCTGCTGAGGCAACAACGTCTCAAAAGTGTCTTTGCTCAGCACAATGTATGAGGCCGTATCATCGGCCGAAAATGACTCGTGGACGCCCAAATTGGGACAGCGCAGGTGTGAGCCGTCCGCACGATCCGCCTCGGCCAGTGCAGTGACAGAGTTCGTAAGGCTACGTGTCGCCGAGCCTTTTGGCAATGTCGGAGTTGTCGTTTCGACTGTCTTCCCCGGTAGAGATGTGAGAAGCAGTTCATCACTGCTGAAAACCAGCAGTGCCAGCCACGGAGGCCGCCCACTGGGTGCATCCTTGGCCTTCGTTGGGCGGCGCTCCCAGGGGAGATGGGGGTCATTGAACACGATATGCGGCAGGACGCGGGGTGCCTCAGAGGCACCTTCATGGGGATAGAATGAATGGACGTCTTCCGCTGGCAAGGCAAATCGTGGTGCATCCACTGTGAAGGCTGATTTGGTCACCTTCTGCAGATTCTGGTCGCCGCACTTGATGGTCTGCGTAGCGGCCAGCACGTATGGTTCATCCTGTGCAACGAGGCCGGGTGCATAGGACGAGAACAGGCGCATCGATCCTGTCGCAGGGGGATCGGCTGCATCAAGCCCGTCGGGGCTATCATTGTCAGCCATTATGGAGAAGGCGCAATGTCTGCTGCCCCGAATACTGGTATTCGTGTCCGATTATATATGATTTAGGGCTAGGTGGGTACAGTACAGTACAGTACAGTACAAGGTGGCGTTGCCGTACTGGATAGTATCGTATTCTATTACCTTACAGTACCGTACGGACGGCAAAGTCCACCCGATTTAGATATCCAGACTTGCGTCTATGTGAATGAGCTGAATCCTGGTGTCTACACGAAGATAAAGGCGGGTCTAGAACCAGGTCCACAGGCATATCTTAAGGGAATGCCGATCAGCCGTGTTCTTTCCCAGGCTGCCCTCAACAATGTCGTCCACTGCAAAACCCTTGGCTGTATGTATTCCATTGCAGGTCGACGCCTTTGTGCTCAACGAGCCCGTATGCGCCGGCGAGTACGCCCGGATTGCACCTTTTTCATTGCCTGAGTATGGTGCCCTCGGGCCTGGTGCACGCCTAGAGCACGATGTGATCCCGCATCTTGACCTGCACGCTGCCGCACCCGCCAGCATCAACTCTCGCCTCGCCGATCTGGCCTCAGGGACGCCGCGCCGCGACCGACTAGGTGTTTACCTACATTGGACAGTACCCAGGCCCTTCCGTGCCAGTGTTACTTCGTCAATCCCGGGCACTGATCAGCATAATGGCAAGCGCGAGCAGCGCGGTGTGCCAGAAGGATCCGATGTGAGCCCCCCCTCCCCAGATGGAGTATCTTGAGTGATGGCATTTGACGATGAATAGTTTCTCGCAGTCCCAGATCGCTGGGTGGTCATCCGGCGTCTGGTACATAGCACGTCTGCGCCACCAGATATGAGTCGGCTGTGTGGTTTTGTTGTCGAGAGCAACCGCGTGCGCCGACTGGACCGCGACGAGCTGGACCAGCTAGATCTTGACACTGAGGCAGCGCCCTTTATCGATCGCGACAGTGGCACCCACGCCCAGCACGGCGTGCTGCTGGGTGCTAAGTACCCCCTGCAGGATTGGGCTGAGGTGCCCGAGAACCAGTACCACTCACCGCTGACCATTGCCGACGCCGCCAACCCGTTGTTCGCCGACTTCCAGCATCACTGTATGAATGTGTTCGCTATTCACGACGACCTGTCCTATTTTGACGAAGCGAGAAACGCCTGGCGCACCCTAGATGACGCTACCGTCTCGTATCTTGTCGTCGGTTTCCACGCCGAGTCACAGTATGACCCGTTGGCAGCCAGCAAGGCGGCTTCCAACCGGGCCTTGCTAGACAGCCACCGAATGACGCTATCTCAGCTCGCTGTTGTAGACGCCTCGAATATCCCGGAAAACCCTTGGCTTGACGAGGCGCCGGCAAAGAAGCATCGCGTGCGCTCGCTATGCCACGGCATCGTCGCGCCGCTGCGCTGGTCAAAAAGCGAGCCACCTGGGCGTGTTCCGGCGGACGAGGCCGCACAGCACTTTACCCGCCAACAGCCCATCGCCATCGGGACGGACCTGATAGATGCCTTGACAGCCTCGGTCACCGCGCCGGCGGATGCTTCAACGGCAGACCCGGCGCAAGCGGAGGCCTTTAAGCACCTCGAGACGCTAGCAACGGACCCCGGGGATGATGGCCAGGAGACAAGTGCCGCGGCGCAGACGCGCTCTAACCAATTTAAACCGGCACCCGGCGGTCATATCTGGACATGGAAGAAGCCTGCGGATGAAGTCAAAGATGAGGCACCCGAAGCTGAAACTCCAGCCACCCCAGACGAGTCAATGGGAGTTCAAACCCCTGGGTCTGAAGGTGTGATGTCGCGTGTTGCCTCAGGAGCTGCCGCCCCGGAAGAACAACCCCTGGCAACTACTCCTACTACAGCATCAACAGCTCCTGCAGGTTCTCCGGCCTCATCCGCTAAAACCGCTAAAGCTCCTACCAGTCCGGATACCAACACGAAGCTAAAGCTACGCCAGCTCAACGCCATCCAGGCTTTGTACGATAGCGCCCTACGGCACTCGGCACTGCTACAACACCAGCTCTTCTGCGAATGGTGGAAGGCGCGTGCTGCCGGCTATGGCGACCCCGGCGAGGACGATCCTGATAGTGCCCCTGATGATGGCTTCGATAGTATGCAGCGCTGGTATGCGGCCAACCTGTCTGCGACGCGCAGCCGTGTCCGTGATATCCTCACGAAGATATTTATATTGCGGCACCGTGGCGACCCGGCGGACGCAGACCATGATGGCCTGGTGCACGGGCTTGCGTACCAGCTTGCAGAGCCAAATTTGGCTACAGCGCATAAGATGCCGTGCGGACGCTTTTTCAGCGCCCGGGATCCCACTGTGTTATTGCGGGGGCTGGAATCGAGCTGGCCAGAGGACTTTACCAAGGATACTATGGAAGTACAGCTCAACACGCAACTCATACAGTCAATGGCTAAGACAGCCGCCACGACTAAAGAGGACGATGACGACGATGACGACTGGCCGGCTTTTAGATCGCAGTTGACCAGCCTGCCGCAGTGGGTGTACGCCTGTGTTGAAGACCTACAGCGAGGCAACTGGCAGCGGCGACAGCTGCAGTGGCAGCCTGCTACCAGCGAGCAGGCATGGTTTCCTCTATTCATCGAATGGGAGGCCGACTACTTCCATATTCCTTACCATCACTGGGCTCTTAAGGAAACCGCCAACGGCACTGTTCGTTACGCTATCCGGGGCGACGTTGATCTAACCGACGCCGCCTCGGGGGTGGCTATACGCTCAACGCGTCGCGGGCTCAGTGGTCGTAGCAACATCCTGCCGGAGGGCCCACGCGCGCTGACGACGCTGGTCAATCAGGTCTTCCAGCGCGCACACCCGGACACACTAGCGCTAGAAGAAGAGGGGCGGAACGCAGTCCGTACCGCCGTGGCCGCCATGACGGACCTGCTCTCCTCCGAGCTAGAGGGTATCACCGACCACCTGCTGACTCTTGTGCGCGGTACACACTCCACACCCGCGGCCATTGACTCGACCGCGGTCTCCCGCTGGCTGGGATTGCTCTTCCCTCAGCTGGCCCCCGAAGACCACGCCGTAGTGCTGGGGTTCCTGGCTACAGGTACAGGCGCAGACGTGACGCCGTACACAGCTCTGCTACCCGTGCAGGGAGTGGGCATGGCGCAAGGGCATGCCGCATCGGGCCTCTTTCGACCTGTTACGCACGGCCAAGTGCGCTTCACGAAGTTCAATATTGTCGACAAGTTTGGCCAGGTCGTGTGTGCCTTTGACCCGCGGCCGGGCCAGCCCCTACGCCCGCTCTACCCGAGCGTCAGCGAGGATCTCGCCTGCCAGCGTAACGCTATGCTACCGGGCCGTTTCTTCGCCAATGCCGCCGAGGCTGAACCCGAAGGGCGCTGTCAGTTCTTCCAGTTAGGCCCACGCATCAACCAGGATGCGCGCTTCAATGCGGCTTTTGTCGTGCGCGAGGAGACGTCCACGGTGCGCGCCTGGCGTCCACTGACTGCCTGGGAGAACCCTATTTGGGGCTGGCTAGTTTGTAACTTCCAAGATGATAGCCTGCAGGTTTTCGAGGGTGACGGCACCCTGGCCGGCGAAATCCTTGTCGGCGCCAGCCCCAAGGGTCGCTGGTTGCATCCTCAGCTAGGGGGAGCGAGCCACATCACTCCCACCGTGCGCAATCAAGACCTAGCGGCCCTGATGGAGCGCCTGGCCGGGTCAAGTGCCTTTCTGCACCAGGTCTGGGACATGGTTGTCGAGGCCAACGAGAGCATTCACCACGCGCCCGACACGCTGGCGGACTTTCTCCCCGCGCTAGTCGGGCGCCCGCTGGCGCTGGTCTCAATGGGCTGGTCCTTGGAGCTGGCCACGGCGCCGATGCGCGACCAGACGGACACCGGCGGGCCTACAGATGATCTTCTGGGGTACGCCTTCGAGCTCAAGCTAGGTGACAGGCGCAGTATGCACGATGGTCTAGTTGCGTACATCCCAGAGGATGTTAACCTGACCACCGAGGGGTCTAATTTTGCCTTCGACCGCGTCTACACCCGGTATGGTCTTGACATAGAGCCTCGCCAAGGCCGGCGAGCCCGTGAAGACGGTGGCGAGCCCGGATCAATGCCCCCGGGCAGCCAGGTCGTGCCGGCAAAAATGCTCTCCTTCCAACCATACTGGATTGATCCGACAGACTACCGTATGGACCAGGCAGATCAGTTCATGGCGGCGCATAACCGCAAGCTACAGGTCTTTGCAGCGCTCATTGATCCCTCCCAGAGCGTGCACGGCTTCTCCGGTATCTTACCCACAACGACACTCACCGTGCCTCCCGCGGCTTTGCAGGACGCCCTGAAGCAGATTGGGACGTTCCTCCGTGTTGGGCCGTTGCTGATCCCTGGGGAACTGCCTGTCACGCCCGCTGCCGCAGTAGATTCGACGGTCACACCGTCTGCTGCTGTCCTCCCCCTTGACGCCCCTGCCGAGGGATCGTGGACTTGGATGCAGCCGCTCAAGTCGGAGAATTCAGGTAGCCGCCAATTCTCGCTGACTCCAGCGTCCAAGCTGTTTGCAGTGCCGGATGGGCCGCAGACAGTGGTAGAGGGGTATCTGAAGCTGGATACTGTGAATAGCCCTGATCAATGAGATCTAGAGCACATAAATCTCCTTTGTACGGGCAGAATACTGGTAAAAATAGACTCTCTGTCAAGTATTTTGGCTGATATACAATTATTCATCGCAAACCTTCTTTATGCGAGTTCTAAAGGAGGACCCAAATAGTAAGTCAAGTATGGACCACTAGAGCAAAGTGTAAGCGTCTGCTTCAAAACATCATACATTTGTTGTTTTTTTCATCACACGATCAATCACATCACTTATGCAACTTTGTCATGTTTCCCCTTCACCTTGACATCTAGCATCTCATAGAACTTACCTTTTCGCCGGGCCCTTCTCGGCCTCTAGACCTCATCGTTGTCCAGCTTTCTCCCCAATGAAGGTGGGATCCGATAGGATGCGATATTCAATGTGATGATATCTAAAGAATTAGCGTGTTAGGGAATCGGGTGAATCTGGATATTAGGACGTATAGCGGAATGCGTGGGGTCCTCCTGCTATTCGGCGGCTTCTTCCTCTCGACAGATTTCGATTGGCTTTCCGGGATCTTCAACTATTGAGTGCGTAACCCTCTTTTTCATGACTCGCCTGTATTCAGGGCCAGCGATTATCTAGCGACTAGGAGGAGGTCAAGTAGAAAATAAATGCCTCATTTCGGCGGAATTATTCGTAGCATGTAGGAGTCATCAGTACAAAAGGCCGGCTAAAACGTAATATTATATCTTATTCATATACTTACCGTGATCGAGCTTAAAAACTTAGAAACATGAGGATATCTAATGATACGAAATAAACCTCTTCCTCGCCCATGACAAATCTCATAAGATAGCGATGCTGCTATCGGCACCTTAGGCCTTGCCAGCCAGAACCCCCGCGGCCTTGGAAATAAAGTAATCCCTGCCCTTAACCATCTTCACCAGGAAGCTGAACGGGGTCATGCCGAACAATTGTCCGGTACCACCGCTCGAGCCCACAGGCACAACCATCATAACACTCTGGCCTTGATCATAAGACGTTCGCTCCCCCGAGCCTAGAATGTCTGCTGTGATATTGGCGGCCACTACCTTGGCCTGTTCATTGGCCTTGAAAGAGAGGCGCATGCTGTTGTTGTTGATATCCCCAGCGGCGTAGATCGGTAAGGGTTGTTCGGCCTCAACCCGCAGCTCTTTATCGACCTTGACCCAGCCGTCCTGATCCAAGAAATCTGCAGGGATGAAGCTGTTGTTCGGAATGGCACCCGTGGTCGGGATGTACAGGTCAGCCGAGAGTTGCGTACCATTGTCCAATGACACGGTCCAGGCGTTGGCCCCATCGGCCTCGGCCCCGATAATCTTGGTGGAGGCGATGATTTCGATACCCTTCTGCCTCAACTGTTTCTCTCCTGCCGCGCTACCGGAGGGTTTGAGCGTTGAGAGGACGCGATCCGTCGCAGAGACCAAGGTGATGGTTGCTTTGCTGCCGCTCTCCTGCATCGCTTCGGCGAGCTCACCCGCGAGCTCCACTCCAACAGGGCCCGCCCCACCGATGACAATCTGCTTTGCACTGGCAATTTTTTGCTGGGCGGCCTCCACGACCTCTTGCATATCGTCACGGTTCGAGGGCTTGAATGGAATCGAGATACCAGTGATATCGCCAGTTGTGGAAGCGGTGGTACTTCCAGAAGCGATCACAAGATAATCGTATGACAGAGACTGGGGATTTCCGCTGCCATTGACGGCAACAGACACTGTTTTGGCGGCAACATCAATGCCCGTCGCATTCCCGGCGATGAATTCGAACTTCTCGGTAGAGTACTGAGCGAAATTATCCTTGATGGGGATGAGGTACTGATCGGCCTTGAATGCCGTTGGCTTCGCAAGGATCCGTGGCGCGGCGATGTTCCAATAAAATTTGGGAGAAGGGTTGATGAGCACAACCTTGACATCGGCAGTTCCTTGAAGCAAGGAATGGGCAACGCCCACGCCAGCGGATGCAGCACCGATAACTACAACGTTGGTAGGAGCCATATCGGAATACAAGGCAGTGGAAAGGAGAAGCAGAAAGGGATAAAAAGCTCGATCTGGGGGCCGTCGACGATCTTATAAGATTAGTCTGGGCCCCTCATAGCCAGACCCAGCACTGAGCCTAGCTTCACTGCAAAATTGATTTTGCTTTTCCCCATTGATTACTTGATGCATCCTCTGGTCCCTGCGGGGGGTGTTCGTTTGTCAGCTCATCCATGAGAAAAAGACGTGCTTAGCAATCTTTGGCGCGTTTTAACATTTCTTTGGCACGGAGCGTGAGACTTCCGAACTCCGATTCCGCTGACTCAGGTCCATTTAGGGGAGATGATGATGTTCGGATAGGGCTACATTAAAGCAGCGGCGATCGACAGTTTTAACCTGCATGGTGAGGATCATAATGGATATTTAAGGACTGACGGGGGCTAGATGATCATGGAACGCCTGGAGCAACATCAGAAGGTGATGAAGGAGAGTTCGCACAGAATCCTCGTACTCCTAGCCTGAGGCATAAAGGCCCAGGTCCTATCGATAAGGATCATGTGACCCAAAATTTCGTTTTGGTTTTCCTGTTGCGCGCCGATGGCAAACTTGTCTCTTTACCAGTTATCACTTTTGCCCATCAAATTTCTTCATCACAATGCTTGGTGCTGTTCGCCGTTTTGGCGTCACCCAGGCTCTGCGGGCATCTGCCCCGCGCGCGCTGTCCATAGGTTGGGCGTCGCAATTGCTCAAATGGCAGCCTCCGACCAGCCGATCCCCTGTCCTGAGCCGTGCGCTTCACACCACATTTCCTGCTCTGAATGCCGCAGCCTCGGGAGTTGCTGCGGAAATTCAGACATCAAGTGAGTCGGAGCTTGTCACGGAGTTCGAAGATTTGAAGACAAAGGGGTTGATTGATCCCTTCATCATCCGCAACATCACTGAACGGATGGGCTTGAAGACGATGACTGAGGTGCAGAGCCAAACCATCAATCAAATGCTTAGTGGCGAGGATGTGTAAGTTGTTATGCATTCAATACAAACTCATTGACAGAATCCCCTCTGGCTAACACCTGGCTCTGACTCCTAGCCTGGCTCAAGCGAAGACTGGAACCGGCAAGACTCTTGCTTTCCTTCTCCCTACCCTGCAGAACATTCTCAGCGATCCTACACTGCAAAAGAAGCCTTCCAGCAGAAAGTTTCAGTCTCATGGAAGAAACCGTTCTTTTGTGGGCTCTTCCGATATTCGCGCCCTCATCATCTCTCCTACACGTGAGCTTGCTGAGCAGATCGCCGCTGAGGCAATCAAAGTCGCCCAGGGAACGGGTCTAGTCGTACAAACTGCCGTCGGTGGCACTCATAAACGATCTGGTTTGATGAGAATCCAACGAGATGGCTGCCACCTGCTTGTCGGTACTCCTGGCCGCATCAAGGACATTTTGTCGGACCCCAGCAGCGGTGTCTCAGCCCCCAAACTGAACACCCTAATTCTAGATGAGGCCGATCGCCTGCTAGACCAGGGTTTTGCCCCTGAGATTGCGCAAATCCAGGATCTCCTTCCCGATCCTTTCAAGGTGGACCGCCAGACTCTGATGCTCTCAGCCACCGTCCCAAAAGAAGTAATGACGATGGTGAAGCGAACTATGAAGCCGGGCTTCAAGTTTGTTAAGACTATCCGAGAAGATGAGGTTCCTACTCATCTTCGGGTGCCCCAGAAGGCTGTCTTTCTTCGTGGATATGAAAATGCCCTCCCTGCTGTTCTCGAGCTGGCCAAGAACTACCAGGCCCTACAGGCAGTCGATGAAACCATGCGTCCATTCAAGGCCATGGTTTATTTCAACTCCACAAATGAAGTCAACCTTGCTGCTGAGGCCTTCTGGGCTCTGCGTAGCGATTCAGCTGATGGACGCAGCCGATCGCCTCTAGGTCGCCTGCGCGTTCTGCAAATCCATTCGCGTCTGACCCAGGCGCAGCGAACGAACAGTGCGAACAACTTCCGCCGTGCTAGTGAAGCTATCCTGTTTTCTTCGGATGTCACCGCCCGTGGTATGGATTTCCCCGACGTCACTCACGTCATCCAGGTTGGTGTGCCCCGAGACCGGGAGACCTACATTCATCGCATTGGCCGTACTGGTCGTGCCAATAAGTCCGGCGAGGGCTGGGTTTTCCTGCATGATGGCGAATACGATTTCTTCCAGCAGAAAATGGGTGATCTGCCCATAAATGAAGACAGCAAGTCCCTTCCAGCTGCTATGGAGAACATGTCCCGTGACTTGCAGGACGCCTCTCCCGCCGTGGCTGAGACTATCACTCAGATCAAGGATGCAATGAACGAACTTTCCCCGATCCTGCGTGAGACTACATACCGTTCCCAACTGGGTACGCTTACTTCGAGCTTCTCCAGCCGACGCACCGCAGTCCAGGCCCTCAATAGCCTAGCCATTAACGGCTACTGCCTGTCTGAGCCTCCGACCGTGAAGGCCAGCATTGCTCGCAATCTCGGAATTGACCGTGTCAAGGAGCTGAGAATCGAAGATGGACCTCGCCGTAATCTTGACCCCTTGAATTCGGTTCGGAGGGGACGTGATTTCGATCGCCGTGGCGGCAGTTCTAACCGTGGCTCCAGTTCCAACCGTGGCGGGTTCTCTCGCTTCGGCGAGGGTCGCGGTTCCAGTCGCAACGGTAGCCTCTACGGTGCTCGTTCTAATTACTAAGTTGCTAAGTTATGAAGAGACCGGCGGGGAGTTTGCTGGTACTGATTGACTGGTTCACCCATTTGAATTTTCATTTCTGCTGGATTGAGCCCTACTCTGGGCAAGACAAGAACATCGATAGAGTTGATAGAGTTGTACCATCCTTGCATCGGGCGGCGTTCTTTGTATCTTCATTCTTGACTGTACTATACAACCCATCTCTTTCTCTTTCTCGGCTTCTCACCTCATGTTTTATCAACCTTGCTACTTTGGAACATATTGACACTTTAATGAAGAACAAACTCAAATGATTTTTTATTATCATCTCTTCGTGGATTTGGTATCTAGCATAAAATAGGTTCATCGGGGACAACAATTTCGCACACTTGAAACCCATGCGCAACAGGTTTGATTCTCTAATAAAGAGTCCCTTCGACCTTTTTGACACTGATACGAATAGAGCGATCGTGAACGCTTTCAATCGCCTTCAATTGTCTTTCTATATGCGAACCGTAAAAAACTACAAGCAGACTCCTCCAAGTAAGAATCTAATAACAGCAAGTATCACATTTGTGTTGGTTATCTGTTCTATCTAGCTCTCTAATATCCATGATTTCACGAAGTTTCTACCATCAATAAGGATATAGTATGTAACTTAAATCTGGCAAGTGGGGTTGAGTCCACGGGGAAGCACTTTTGATCTATAAAATGTCCAATTTTTGGGGGAATAAGTAACACGTCACTCGTGAGAAACAAGGTTATCGAGAAAATCGAGAGCGGACGTGATTCAATCACGACTCCCCAATGTACTGTGTGCAAGGAATAACAAAAAATAATGAGCAAAAAGTAAAAAAGGCAAAGAGATCTACCGCTGGTAGACACTTAAAATCATCCTCAATATCCAGCGTGCATACCTTTACTCGCGGGCAATCATGTGCTCTCGGGCAGGGCCAGTGCCGATCCACTTGACCGGAACGCCGCCGATTTCGCGCTCAATGAACTCGATGTAGGCGCGAGCGTTGGCAGGAAGGTCCTCATAGCGGGTGACACCCATGGTGTTGCACTTCCATCCAGGCAGAGTGACATACTCGACCTTGATCTTCTCGACAACGTTGGGGTCCGCAGGGAACGAGCATGTGGTACGCTTACCGTCAGGCAGGACGTAGGCGACACCAACCTTGATCTCATCGAAGTCATCCAGAACGTCGAGCTTGGTCAGGTTGAGCGCGGTGTAGTGGTTGATAGCGTGCGAGTAGCGGCACAGGACCAAATCCAGCCAGCCACAACGGCGGCGACGGCCAGTGGTGACACCGAATTCACGGCCCACGCTCTGCAGCTTGTCACCATCCTCGTTGAGCTGCTCACTCGGGAATGGGCCAGAACCGACCCGGGTAGTGTAGGCCTTTACAACACCAATGACGTTCTTGATGCTAGACGGGTTCAAGGCAAGAGCCTGCACGGCGCCACCCAAGCCCGTTGATGAAGAGGTCACAAATGGGTATGTGCCGTGGTCCAGGTCCAGCATCAAGGCATTGGCACCCTCGACGAGTATGTTGGGTGAGTTCTTGTGCTCTTGCAAGAACTCGAGCTGGTCAACGATGTAGGGCTTGAGCATGGTACGGTATTCCTACCCAGATGGGGTGGTCAGTCCACGTTCTGAAATATGGTGATGCTCACTCGCTACACCCTACAACTTACCTTGAACCGCGCAATCTCCTCCTCAACATCGTAAGAGATGTCACCGAAGCGGGCACGGTACGAAGTGTTCAAGGCGCGAAGTTTGCGCTCAAAGGTCTCCTCGTCCAACACCTCGCCGACACGCACACCGCGGCGGGCGGCCTTGTCACTGTAGCAGGGACCGATGCCCTTACCGGTGGTGCCGACCTTACGGCCACCGAGACCAGCCTCCTCCAGACCATCAACAACGGAGTGCAGGTCAAAGCAGACGTGTGCGCGATCGGAGACGAAAATGCGCTTGCCAGCAGAAGAGAGGCCCTTCTCCTCGAGCGACTTGAGCTCCTTAAAGAAGCTAGGGACGTGGAAAACGGTGCCGGCGCCGATCAGGTTGATACATGAGGGAGAAACGAGGCCGGAGGGGAGGATATGGAAATCGTAGGTGACGTTCTCGTGAACAATGGTGTGACCGGCATCTAATTCAATCGCACAAAACGAAGTGGTTAAGAACTCTGGCGGGGAACTCGGAGGGAGAGAGGTCCAAAAGGCATATTTAACTTACTGTGGCCACCAGCAGCACGGCAGCAAAGAGTCGCCTGCTGCGACAGCATATCCGTGATCTTTCCCTTTCCTTTTTCGCATCAGCGCTGGTCCTTCAGTTGCGGAGTTCGCACGCGGCTCAGCCTACCTTCATCTCCCCATTGACTTCCTAAAACGATGGATACCATGATGTTATCGCCCGGTAAAGAGGGTTCTCGATTGTGACACGCGGAATTGAAGTCGATTGGCGATCAATTGGTCGTAGTGGCGGGGGATTGTAGAAGAAGAGAAGTACGTCCGGCTTCGGATGGCGGGGCAAAGATCTGAATCGGGTCAGTCTCGGTGTGGCTTCTGGCAACGCAATGCGCGATCGGCTTCGGTCAAGAAAGCAAATAACCATACCAAGCGTCAAGTCAAATGATTTGCTAATTGCGGTATAAAGAGAAGCAGCAGAATTGTCTTCGGTTTGAATCGAGTGACTCACGCTGGCGACTGTAATTTTTTTCCGGCGTAACATTGGTATCGGCAGTACACGTTTCCCGCGGGGTTGGTGTTTTAATGCCTTGTTGCCTTGTTGCCTTTCTGCCTCAGGCTTTAAGGCTAAGGATTTTTGACTAAAAGCCATCAATATTCATATACAGCACTATTTAGTATTGTCCATTGTAGAATCGAAGAATCATGAGCCCGAATTATATTTATGAGATGCAAAGCATATTCAGGGTATTAACCGAATAGACACCATGCCCAACATGCAGAAACAATCCACTGCGACTAAAACACCCAAAAATCAGACATCCTCTCCGCGGACCCCATGCATCCAACGCCGCGTTTCCCAATGAGTCATAAAAATAATATAAAGGCATGTGGTAGATCATTTATGCCACTTTGCCTCCATTGCGGATCCACTCCCGTAGCCGCCCGAGGTCAAGAATACACTCACGATGCAGCTCACACGCCACTTCCCAATGTTTCCGAACTTGAATATCTTCCTCAATACCTCGAAGGTAGGCACTAAACCCGCCCTTGGCACTGCCTGGGACTAGGCTTTCATCGCTCGCCTTCGGATCTATATCGTCTTGGATTTCACTGGTGTCCTCATCCTCATCGCCGTCGCCACCAGAGCCATTCATCTTCAGGCGACCCGTGTCGCCCACAGCGCTGATCCAGCCGGGTGCAAGTCCTGTCTGAATTGCTTCCTGGCGAGTATTGAAGTGAAGTAACATGCGGCGGTTGAAGGCATTCCACTCGTGCATGTAGGTGCTCATGGCTGATACATACCAGTTCCACTTTTCTCGGGGAAGATAGAACTGTTGCGATCCAGGTCCAATGGGAACAGCAGTAGGCGCCCAAGGGCGCTTGGGAGGGTTTGGTAAGTCAAGTGACCGTGGGCGAATATCACGCTTAGTTGTAGTCTGCTGCTTCGCGCGTGACTCGAAAGGTAGTGTAGCGTGAACATCCTTGAGATTCTCGATGCCACTGTTGTTGGTTGTGGTAAATGGGGCGGTATTCCGGAGGTTTTCAAGATCAAAAAGCGGATTTCGAGTTTCTGCGCTGGCGGTATTGCTTTCTGTGCGCGAAGGAGGCTGTGACTTCTGCGCATTTGCAAATGTATTTTCTGCATTGTGCGCAAAAAGGTCTGGATAACTGGTATTCCGAGAACCACTAGCAGCAGAGGCATACTCAGATTTAGAGGTGGTAGATCGTGGCATGGAAGACACCTCATCATCAATATCCATGTCCATGGGTTCCGGGTTTAGCGGCGCCGACTGCTCAGGCTCAGTAGGTGTGCTTTTGCCGTCGACAGTTGCCTGGGCCTCTTCCGCCTCGGTTGTGACCTTCGTGGGCTGGGGAGTACTTCTTATTCTGGTGGCTGGTCGTGAGTGCTTCTTTGGAGACGGTGGAGTATTGCCCGCATTTTGGGTTTTGTCTGTCTGTGAAAAATCCCAAGAGAGATTGTTGAGTTTTGCAGCCCAGTGATCTGCCGAGAATTTGGCTTGTGCAAATGGTGCAGGTGCTGGCCGGTCTGAAGATGTCGTATCAAATGAGCTCACACCAGGTGGGTTTGCCGATGATGAAGGCGGCGGTGCCGAATCGGCCTGGGTTGTTGTTCGGCTTCGATCCCGGGTAGTGGGCGATCTGCGAAATGTGGTTCGTTCTTTGGAGGCAGCTCCAAGGAAATCGAAGGTATTTAAGTGTTCTCTCCAGTCATCCGCAGAGAACTTTTTGTGTAGACTATGAGAGCTGCGACGCGCGAATTCGGCCGGCTGTGGTCCAGTCGCGTTCTGGGAAGCATCGGTTCTGCGAAAAAAAAGATAAGATGACGAGCAGCCACGGTACGGAAAAAGAAATACATACTTAGAGGTAGATGTCTGTTGCTCGGGACGATAAGAGCCTCTGGCAAATGCGGCACTATCCGAATTGTGACCTTTATTACGAGCGTTGTCAGCAGTCAAGTCATTGAATGTGGGAACTCGACGAGCTCTTCAGTATCCTCGCACAGGCCATCCTTTATGAGTACTCAGCTGAGTAGGACAATCCTTACCTGTGCCTAGGTCATGATCTTCTTGTTCATAGAAGCCATTGAATTTCTGATTGGGACGAAGTCGACTTTTTGGTACAGCCTTGGGGCGGGGCGGCTCTTCTTCGATTTCGTCATCCAGATCACTAGAGGTTGAAGAGAATGAATAGGAACGATCCCGTCGGGTCTTGGGGCTGGCACTGCGATGACGTTCCGGCTGTGAAGGATTGGGGCTAGATGGATTTGTTCGTGCACTCGAGGTATGATATGAGCCCGAAGGTGTGCGTACGGTCGATGATCGACCTAGTCCAGAGCTTGTGAAAAACGTCTTCTCGCCTCCTGTCCTAGCATAGCGACTACTACTCCGTTCAAATTCCTGGGGAAGTGGAGGCTCGGGGGCCGCAGGTTTCCTCGCGGTTGGCGAAGGTGCAGGGTCAAAATACATGCTGCTAGGTCTTTCGCTCCGGTTATTTGTATATGACGAAGTATTACGGGCTGGTGGCTCATCCCCGTCAGCGGCTCCGGGAGCAAACCCATATCTCTTCTTAGCCGAGTTCGGACTTGAGGGGCTCTGAGTCTTCGAGTTTTCACGGTAAGTCTTTTCATAAGCGGACTTAGGACGCTGGTTTCCAAAAGGCGTATTATGCTGTCTTGGGGCTCCTCCAGATTGAGGGCCAGATCCTCGAGAATTAGGTGTTCTCATGTTATGGAAACCTTTGAACGCATCGGCCCGTGTCTGTTCCTCGTCCTGTGAATGTTGCCACTGACTCGCGCCTGCTCTCGCATGCGCACCATATCTGTTGGCGCCTGCAGAGGCTCCATTCATATATGGATAAGGACGACTCGGAAATGGATATCTCGCTGGTTTAGGGGCAGTAAAGGAAGTCGGTGGAGGTTTGCGCTGACTGCTTGGTTCGTAGAATTTACCATACCCGGCACGGAGGCGATCTTTGTCATAATCTAGCCGTCTTTTTGGATCGCTGAGGATTTCATTAGCAGCCTGGATGAGCTGGAATTTGGCGTTGAACTCCGTTTCCCGCCCGGGATTTCTATCAGGGTGGTATTTGAGAGCTAGGTAAGGCGCATCAGTCATGGCATTTCTAAAAGTCCTCGATGATATATCACTTGCTCAAGCTCACCTAGTTTCCGAAATTGTTTTTTGATATCCTCCGCTTCCGCGCTGGGTTGCAGGCCCAGGTCGGCATAGTAGTCCTTACGGACATCCGCTTTCACCATGTTGATCTCCTTATTGCGGTGGAACTATGGGTGTGAAAGGTCTTCAATGGCATAATCGACAGTCGCGTAGAAAATTGCTGGTCTCCAAAATGGTCATCCAAAAAGGAATCGGCGTGAATTGTCGAATCAAAATTGTGTCGAAAGAAGGGAACAGGACGTATGTATATGGCCAGAAGGCCCTCTCCCACACTTCGAGTCTTCCAGTCTCAAAATCCTTGTCGCAAACCGACCCCTAGTTGTCTCGGAAGTGGCAAGCTTCGTAAAGACCGGAAAGGAAGTCTTTAGAGGGGTATATGGCGGGAGTCAGATGTTTGCAAGGCCCGTGTTCCGACAGGGCTGAGCGGATCTCAGCCTAGCTAAAACAGGTGAAAAGTTCGGTCGTCGAGGTCGCGCGGACAGGGTCAAACGCTGTATTCGGTCGGCAGCTTTCACAGCGGATGTGGAGCCGGGTGGAGGAACGTTGGTTCGAGGTTACGATGGTTGCGATCAGAAATCCCAGATCGTGAGATCGTAGGCACCTGATGAGGCAGAAGTCAGGCAGGGTTGGGTCCAAGCGCAGATAGCGCGGAATCTCTGGGCGGAGCAACCAACCGGATTCAACAACACGTCGCGGTGAGCCAGTCACCCACTGACAAGGTTTATGTGTTGGCGCTTGAGGGAAAAAAAGCGGAAGTGGAGTTGTTTGTTTTGGCGCGGATGAACTGGGTTTCTGCCCAAGGCATTCACGAGGTTCTAGGCCGCCCATCCATTCATTGGTCTCCTCACATCCAAACTATTAGCCATGCATGCACCGATGAGCCGGAATTGGAGATGCTGTGCATCCCCAAGGGGTTTTACTGACTTTTAATGGAGGCAGAAAGGCATTAGCAGTGTCATTTTTATTGGATCAGTTATCATTTATAGGGGAAGAAGGCGGAGAATATAGATCCTTGATTGAATCAGAGTGAAGGAAACAGAAAGAAATACATAAATTACAGACGAGAAGATGCAGTGTAAATATTTCGTCCCGACATTTAAAATCCAAAAGCGCGTCTGAAGAGAGATAGGTCACTATGCCCGTCTTGCCGCTATTATCAAACTCATGATTCAAAATTATGTCGGCCCAGAGACTAAGCCCGGCCCAGCAATTCGGTAAAATTTCTGATTCCCTGTCGTGAATAATGTTCAATACAATGGTACGCGCCTCCAAAGTAAACACTTAGGTGTCTACAAATCGTCACATCGATACCACATTGCCTTTACAACCATGCATCTTACTTCCTTTTCTAGCCTAGGAATGAATTCTGAAGAAAGGCTTTTAATACCACGACAGCTCGAAAAGATTCTTCTTTTGCAAAAGTCTTCTAAAAAACATGGCACCAACCCAGGAGCACGGCATCGTTTCGGTGGCAATCAAATCAACGGAATCAACATGGATCAATAACATGAACCTGAATTCATAATGAGTGACTAGCGGTGGCGCAGGAGGAGCAGGACGACAAGTCAAAGAAGTGGCTGAAGGAGAAGCTGCAGAGTTCGAAGGAAGAGGAAAATAAGGGGAGTAAGATTGTAGTATATATACAGTCAGGCATAATCTTTAGCAGGTTTCTTACTTCCCTTAATTGTGCGTACTTTCTCAAAATTCCCTTCACGTTATTCATCTATTCATGATCCCCTCACTTCTTTTGGATTTTTCGCCCTCTGACCGAAAAAATCCGACCATTGATTGCTAGATCACAATTCGAATAAATTCTCCTTGCTGCATAGTACTTGGAGTTTCCATCTGAAAATTGATATGTCATTTCAGGCGAGTTCAATCTCATATCTCGGAAAAGCCGGATGTGGGTATCCTCGTGGTTGCTCTTGTCGTCAGCCCTATCCACTTCCTTGTGTGCAACGCGCAATCAACCCGATGATCTGCAAGCCTATGTCCTCGGGTGCACAGTTCTCTTGTTACCTATAGAAGGGATTTACTAGGCATTTGAGGCATTCCATGCCATGGTTAGTACCGTTCTGTGTCTATAAGCTCCTACGTCATAGTTTATTAACTTGATGTAGGGTGAAAAACCAAGGAGACTTGAATCTTTGTTTCAGCAGGACGGGAGATGATCTCTTAAATGGACACCTCCTTTCTCTAGTTCCCAACGCCCGACCCGTTCCTGATATCCCGCGCTTCCTATAATTTCCTATAATAATTCCTTCTTTAGTTAAAAAAAGAGGCGCATAAAAGTCCACTATGAAAACCTTGCAGCTCATTAAGGTTCTCTCAGCACTTGCTTGGGCAGTTGAAGGGGTGGTTTCTGATACAGCCAACTCCCATTCCAGCACTGCCCCTTATCTTGCGAACGGATATCGTGAGTGAATAGACAGCCTTTCTTTCTTTCTTTCTCTTTCCGAATGGAAACTAATGTTAAATGTTTAGTAAATCTCGGAATTGCGAGTGAAGCGTATACAAAAGCCAAAGAATTTGTGGCACAACTCAACAATACCGAGAAGATTTCTATCGTAAAGGCAAGCAGCTTCAAGCATTCAAATATTTCCTGGGAGGCATATGAAAATACCGACGGAGTATCTGGCTTGAACTTCTACTATTACGTCTCTGCCTTTCCAATGGGAAACGCCCTGACACAAACCTGGAACAGGGATCTCATTTCAGCTCAGTTCAAGGCGGTCGGGGAAGAATATCGTGCTATAGGATATAATTTGGTTGATGGAGCGCTCCTTGGTCCACTAGGCCGTGTCCCCGAAGGTATGCGCAAATAAAAATCATGACTCCGAACAGCAACGCTCACTACTAGACAGGAGGTCGACAGAATGAGGCATTCTCCCCTGATCCATATCTCTCCGCTATAAGCTCTGCTGAAGGCATTCGGGGACAAAATTCTGCCGGTGTTGTTGCAGGGATCAGGCACTTCCTACTTTATGAACAAGAGACTAACAGGAGCTCTGCCATGGGTGGCTCGACATCAGCAGTGTACTCCTCAAATCCCGATGACAAAACCTTGCATGAAGTCTACATGTGGCCATGGGCAGACGCTATCAATGCGGGCTCGATGGCCGTTATGTGTGCCATGAACCGAGTGAACGCAACCCATTCTTGTGAAAATAAGGAGCTTTTGATGGATAAATTGAAGACCCAGCTCGGTTTCCCTGGATTTGTCTATCCAGACGAATCTGCTCAATTTAGCAGCTACGGTTCGGCTAACGCTGGTCTCGATTATTCACCCTATGCAGAGAACCTATGGACCGAATCCACGCTGTCAGCCGGTCTTGCAAATGGTAGTCTGACAGTAGATCGATTGGATGATATGGCTGTGCGCTCAGTACTGCCTTACTACTTTGTTCATCTTGACAAGGAAACTCTCCCTACAGTGTCAACGGATTATACTGCCTACCGTGATGTGCGTGGTAACCATAGCAGTCTAATTCGCAAGGTTGGCGGAGAAGCGATCAGTCTGCTTAAGAATAACAACAAGAATGGCCGTGGGCTTCCACTCAACAAACCGCGCTCTATATCACTCTATGGGGCACATGCTGGCCCATCCATGGCTGGTAAGAACAATCTTGTTCTTGGAACTAATTACATGTATCAATTAACTTACAATATCTTTCAGGCCCTAACCATGAGTGGTCGGTTTCGGGGACAGACTCCGATATTTATCAAGGCCATCTCGCTACTGGTGGTGGATCTGGCCAAACATCACTTCCCTACCTAATCACTCCGTTCAACTCTCTCACCAATCGCGCAGTTCAAGACAATTCCATGATTTGGTGGATATTGAACAATAGTAAGTCTTCGGGATATGACGGCCTAAAACACAAACTAATAATCCCGTACAGCTTATACAGATGATTCGGGTAGCGGCGGTTTCTCCATCGCGGGCGGCACAGGCACTGGAACAGCCCCTTCATTCGCGAACTATGCAGATGCATCAAACGTCTGTCTTTGTTTTATCAACTCTTGGTCTGGAGAGGGAGCCGATCGAAACTCCCTCTCGAATGAAGCCCAGGACACGATGGTCAAGAGTGTTGCGTCAAATTGCAATAACACCATTGTCATTGTAAATGTCTCGGGGCCTCGCGTTCTGGATGCCTGGATCGAGCATGAAAACGTTACAGCTGTACTTTATTCTGGACTTCTGGGTCAGGAATCAGGAAATGCAATTGCAGACGTCCTTTACGGTGATGTGAACCCCAGCGGAAAATTGATTCACACGATCGCCAAGAACGAGTCGAACTACCCAACTTCCGTTTGCATGACCGCGAATTGCCTATTCAAAGAAGGGGTGAATATTGACTATCGTTGGTTCGACGAGAAGAACATCGAGCCTCGGTACCCGTTTGGCCATGGCCTGAGCTATACGCACTTCAAGTATGGCGAGGTGAGCGCTCAGATCACAAATCACTCGGCGATTGCGTCCAAGTATCCTACTGGAAGACTGGGCCTTGGTGGGCAGGAAGATCTATTCAATGAGATTGTTAAAGTAACCACTTCCGTGAGAAATGTTGGATCGTTGAAAGGCGCCGAGGTGGCCCAGTTGTATGTCAGTTTCCCCAAGGAGGCTAAACAGCCGGTTCGAATCCTGCGTGGCTTCGAAAAGTCGACAATTGCCGCAGATGAGACGGCTCAAATCCAATTTTCTCTCCGACGTCGTGATCTCAGCTACTGGGATGTGGCGGCACAGAAATGGGCTATTGCTCGAGGACAATACACGTTCTCCGTGGGATCCAGCTCTCGTGATCTCCGTGGAAACAGCACTTTGACACTATGATACCCACCAAGAGGCATGGCTGAATAGATGTTGACGCAATACATATACATAGAACATTCCCCTAATGATGATGGATGGAGACTTCTACAAGTGATCGCTGGGAATTATTTTGATTGTAGCCAGGCGGTAGATCTGCCAAAGTGATAGGATAGCCGTACTACTGTTCCTCTCTTAAAGATGACAGAGAATGTCTCTTTTAGGCAAATTCCCCTCTCGCGGCGGGATGCTGTTCTCAAAGCCCAAACCATAATCTGTTTCCTTGGTAGTCTAGCCCTGAAGGATCTTCGCTCTAATTACCTTAAAAAATGCGGGGAAACGCAGTCTTTCTGCAACATGTGTCATATTTCAAACTAGTCCCTTGCCCCATCTGGCGTCGCCAAGCCGTCTTAGCTTCTTGTAGTGTTACGCCCATTGATTCAGCCTGATTTTCCGGTTTGGATTTCTTCACGGCTAATCTCCAAGCTTGAGATAATCTGCTTTAATACTCGAATGGAGACCACGATGGATCTCTCATTAGGCAAAACCCTCTTCGGTCGAAAGGAACTTGTGTGCCAAACTTCCAGATATGTGCTACAACGAAGATTTAGGACAAGTTCCTTTGTAATTTTTATCCAGATATGGAACTGGAGTGCTACTATAAATAATGGGTCATGATCTCCACTCTCTTCAAGAATCCTATCTCTTAGTTTCATATAAAGCCCCACCAAGAGAATATTGTGACCTCTGGTCTCTAGTGATATTGAATTCATTTCTTCATTTCTATTTTTCATCATACTATCCAACACTTCTCTATTGGCACCATGCTCTCTAAACTGTTGGCATTGTCTACCCTTCTTGGAGGAACTTTCTCCATCCCGCTTGATGCTGCTGTTGAAAAGCGCAGCTGTCCTGGAGTTCATGTTTTCGGCGCGCGCGAGACAACTGCGTCTGCAGGTTATGGGTCATCCATTACTGTCGTCAACGAGGTTTTGAGCGCATATTCTGGCTCTACAGCTGAAGCTATCAGCTATCCGGCCTGTGGTGGTCAATCGTCGTGTGGAAGCGTGAGCTACTCTAGCTCCGTCATCCAGGGAATTCAGGCGGTTGCATCGGCTGTCAACTCCTTCAACTCGCAGTGTCCAGACACTAAGCTCGTCCTGGTCGGATACTCTCAGGTAAGTGATGCTACTCTGTTCATATCTGAAAGCAAGGCATAGTAAATCCTAACGTTCATGGCGTTCGTTCAAGGGCGGTGAAATCATGGATGCTGCCTTGTGCGGTGGTGGTGACCCCAACCAAGGATATACTAATACAGCTGTCTTGCTGTCATCATCTGCTGTGAACATGGTCAAGGCCGCCATTTTCATGGGCGACCCCATGTTCAGGGCTGGCTTGTCGTATGATGTTGGAACGTGCACTGCCGGAGGGGTACAGCCATCCCATCCTCTCGCATCAGGAATCTTCAACTGACATTCGAGTAGTTTGACGAACGTGCTGCCGGCTTTAGCTGCCCATCAGCTAGCAAGATTCAGTCCTACTGCGATGCCTCGGATCCGTATTGCTGCAATGGTAGCAACGCCGCAACTCACCAAGGTTATGGGGCCGAGTACGGCGCACAGGCCTTAACCTTTATTAAAAGCAAATTATCTGCTTAATCGATGAAATAGGCTAGAAGAAGCAGCGGTGACACGGAGTTGAGAAATTAGCTACGGTCATTATAAGTCAGTAGAACGAGCTCTTAGGGTTCGTTGCAAAATGGACCAAAATTTGCAGGAATTTTCTTCATATCATAACGAGGAGAGCAGATGCTAGTCGAGTATATTATAAGACGATCTCTTCATGTTTGTTGAGTCAATTGTAGAGTTGTAAATGCGAAGTATTTATGAACCATTAATTTAGAATAAATTAAAGTATCGTGATACGCGGGAACACTATTGGGATTAGAGCACAAGTACTAAAGGGGGAGACGAGATACGTACAATGCTAAGCATATATAGTGCCAAGAAAATGCAGGACTCCCGCCAGGCGGTAGACCCCAGATTATGTCATCCATATTCTTCCACGTTCACCGCCCGGGGAACTTTTTTTTTCTGCTGTTGATTTCTTTTTGGCCGATCAAGCGGGAAGTTGCTGGGGATTCGATCAATACCTCTCCTTTCAATTTTTGATTTTTGGAGCTATAGAGTCTGTCCAGGCTCTTCTATACCCATAGACGGCAGGGCCGGGATTCACAATGGCTCCCAACATGTCCAAGCGGAGCGCCGCCAAGGACGACGATTTCGTTCTTACGCTGTCCGACGACGAAGATATTTCCCGATTCGAGGATGATAACGACAGTGCCGACGAGGCCGCGCCATCGGCCGATACCAAGAAGCGCAAGCGCGAGGTCGAAGCCCCCAAGAGCAAGAACAAGAAGCAAAAGCAACAGACCAAGAATGTGAAAGGCAAGAAGGGCAAGGCGGAACCTGTCGTCGAAGATGAGTCTGGGGAGGAAGAAGAGGACGACGAGGAGGAGTATGCGGCCGAGGACGATGGCATGCTGAACCCGGACTTCGAGTTTGACGTTGGTGGTCTTGCAAACCAGGGTGTGACCGAGGGCTTCGACGGCTGGGGCTTGGATGAGAGCAAGCAGAATAGCAAAGGCGGGGATAAGAAAGCCGTCGACATTGACGATATTATCTCGCGGAGAAAGGCCAAGCAAGAGGCCGCGGCGAAGAAGAAGCAAAAGAAGGCCGACGCCCAGAAGGAGGAGGAGAGCGCATCTGACGAGGACAACGCTGAATCCGATGGCGGCATGGAGGTCGACTTCGACGATGATGAGCTCGTCGCTGACGATGCTTTTGGCATGGGCGCTGACGGCGAGGACGAAAGCGAGGCTGAAGGCCCTGAAGTCGGTTCTGGCCCCGATGACAGCGAGGAAGAGGAGGACGACCAAGACGACGAGGACGACGATGCTGCGTCCGACAATGACTCCGTGGCTACCCCTGTCGGCCACCCCGACGACATTGGCTCCGACCAGGAGGACCAATCTGATGCTGAGAGTGAGGTAGATGCGGAGGAAGCTGAGAAGCGGAAGGCCTTCTTTGCCCCCGAGGAGAAGACCGACGATAAAGCTGCGGCCGTGAAAAGTACATTCCAAGACTTCAACCTTTCTCGTCCAATTCTTCGCGGATTGGCCTCTGTGGGCTTTTCCGACCCAACTCCTATTCAGCGGAAGACCATTCCAGTGGCACTTCTCGGTAAAGATATCGTTGGTAGCGCCGTGACAGGTTCCGGAAAGACAGGTGCCTTCGTCGTTCCCATTCTCGAACGTCTCCTCTTCCGTCCTCGCAAGGTGCCCACCAGCCGTGTTGCCATTCTTATGCCTACTCGTGAATTGGCGGTACAATGTTACAATGTCGCCGTCAAGCTGGCCACCTTCACCGATATCACATTCTGTCAGCTTGTCGGTGGTTTCAGCCTCCGCGAGCAGGAAAACGTGCTCAAGAAGCGACCGGATGTGATCATCGCCACCCCCGGTCGTTTCATTGATCACATGCGCAACTCGCCGAGCTTCACCGTGGATACCCTGGAGATCCTGGTTCTTGATGAAGCCGATCGAATGCTGGAGGATGGATTCGCGGACGAGCTGAACGAGATTTTGACTACGATTCCCAAGTCCCGGCAAACGATGCTGTTCTCTGCCACCATGACCGACACTGTGGACAAGCTTATCCGCGTTGGTCTCAATCGCCCCGTTCGATTGATGGTGGATTCAAAGAAGCAGACCGCCGTGACGCTGACCCAGGAGTTCGTCCGTCTGCGCCCTGGTCGCGAAGACAAGCGCCTGGGATACCTCCTACACCTATGCAAGGAGCTTTATACCAAGCGCGTGATTATCTTCTTCCGACAGAAGAAGGAAGCGCATCGGGTCCGCATCATCTTCGGGCTGTTGGGCTTGAAGGCGGCCGAATTGCACGGTAGCATGAGTCAAGAGCAGGTAAGCTATGGAATTTCTCCTCAATTTTCCTCTCTCTCTTCCTTCCATTAACTACATTTCGGTACTAATGCTATGAATCCAGCGTATCAAAAGCGTTGAGAACTTCCGAGACGGTAATGTGGCGTTCCTGCTGGCCACCGACCTGGCGTCGCGTGGTCTGGATATTAAGGGCGTGGAGACCGTCATCAACTACGAAGCCCCACAGAGCCACGAGATCTATCTACATCGTGTCGGTCGTACGGCGCGTGCTGGTCGCTCGGGTTGTGCCTGCACCATTGCCGCCGAGCCCGACCGGAAAGTGGTCAAAGCTGCCGTCAAGGCCGGTAAGGCGCAGGGGGCAAAGATTGTCAGCCGGGTGGTAGAAATCGCGATCGCCGACGATTGGGCACAAAAGGCCGAGGATATGGCGGACGAGATTGAGGAGATTCTAGAGGAGGAGAAGATGGAGAAGCAGATGGCGCAGGCGGAGATGCAGGTCAACAAGAGTGAAAACCTGATGAAACACGGCGCCGAGATTATGGCGCGGCCGAAACGCACCTGGTTTGAGACAGAGCAGCAGAAGCGGGCGGCGCGCAAGCTGGGAGCCAGCGAGTTGAACGGGGCTGACAGCAAGAAGAAAGATAAAGTCAAGCTCAGCAACAAGGATAAGAAGCGATTGGATGATGCGAAGTCGAGACACGAGGGGAATATCGGGTGGAAAAAGGGAAGGTCGGAGCGCGATGCTCCGAAGCCGAAGAAGGGGAAGAAGGGGAAGAAATAAGCGCAGCCCAGCGGTTTAACGTTTGTTAGTTGCGCGTCAGGAGGCTTGAGAGGCGTGAGAGGCTTGAGGGACTTCTTTCCTACCGGACTGTATTGCACAGAGGCGTTTTGATGACTCGTTTTTTTTTCTACTTGCTTTATTTTCTTTGGTGGATTCTTCCAGTCCTGCTATCGTGTTATGTTGACTAGTGTTCCCTGAGCAGAGAAATAGAGGACCGAACTGTGTATAGAGTCGAACTAGGGCAAGACCCTCAGGCTGGTATCGCCCGAGCACCTCGTGATAGAACACGCCGAGTCACGTTTTGCTCGTCTTCCAACTTCTAGTGCGCCTTCTAGAATCGCTCTATTTTCCCCCTTTGGCCGTTTTGCCACACATCCTGCATCGTACATCCTGCAGTTTGCAGTCTAGCACCATCTGCAGCCTCGCGGAGCGCTCGCCCATTCGCCTGTTTCAGCTGCAAGGTTCCTGGGTCTCCACTTTTCCCATGATGCTCGTCCGTCGTGGGTGGAGTATTGTGTACTACTCCGTCAGAGGAACCAGCGCCCAACGCATCCGGACTTTGGGGCTCGAATCGGTTCCATTGGCCGGAGATGCGCGCCTCCCCCGATGCTTGATTCGTCCGTCGTCAAGATTCCCCAAGCTGACAATGAAGAATCTTTCTTGAAACTGCTGTGCTTATAGTACGTGTATTGGACGAGAATCGATCAATCGGACAGCCCTGATCCGTCCGTTAACCAATCCTCCACGACCGGAGCCCGCCCGGTCCACCTCAACGACCACGCGAAAAAAGGGCCAAACGTTAAACTCGAGCTCCCCGCGATTCCAGGCGAAAAGTGCCCCACGTCAGAGGAGAAAACGAGTCTGGCGGGCCCAAAGTTTCGCCGAGTCCCCCTCTTGCCCACCCCAAACGAAAACGACCAAACGTACGAAGAACTGACGAGCCCCCAAAAAATTCTCGCCTGCTCTCTTCGTCCCTCTCCCAATGGGGGTCGCGTGTCCCCTTGCCAATCCTCGTTGAACCTGTTTTCCATGGTGGTCGAGGGATCCGGTATGGCCGAGGTGCCACTCAAGACCACTCTACCGCGCAAGAGCGCCTTCTCGTGCGAGGCCTGTCGCAAACGCAAGGTGGGCAGGTCCATCGGGCAGCTTCCGAGCTTCCCATCGCTACGATAGGCGGAGCTCTCCTCTTCTCCGCGAACCCCGAGGCTGACGAATGTTGGTACCTGACAGGTTAAGTGTAACGGAGCTAGTCCGTCGTGCTCGCGATGCGCCGCGCGAGGTGAACCCTGCGTGTATAGCTTGTGAGTTCCCACGTGAATCCTACTCGCATGCCAAGGTGCCCTACAAACGCCTCTGGACAACCCAAAGCAACGGACCACACCCTCCCCCAATCATGACTGTTGTGCCGATCGTGACGGGTGGCTAACTGCTGCATCTCCCCCTCCCCCCACTCGGGCCGGGTTGATGAAATATAGAGCCCCGACCTTATCCTATACCAAACAGCTTGAATCTCGAGTCGCTCAGTTGGAAGATGCCCTGTCCAAGCTGCGAGGCCAGCAGGGCGAGGGGGAAGTCCGCAAGGTGAGCTCGCCGGCCTCGGTGGCGGAATCAAGCTCGAGTGCCGGGCGCAGAATCAAGAGCGAGCCGGACGACACCCTCGATCTGACCAGGGATTTCGACGGATTAAATGTGGAAAATGACGGTCGAATTTCATTCCACGGCCCGACAAGTTTGTTCCAACTTCCTAGTGGTATGAGTAACGAGACCGCGTCTAGTTCGCATTTTGCGCAGGAGCTGGAGGCGCGCAAGGAACGTCTGATCACCAGTGCATGGCGGGAACGCGCATTCGAGCAGATGGCTGCCATGCCGGTTAGCATCTATCCTGTCCGCCCAGGGAACATGCAGTAGTCACTGACTGGTCCTTCAGGAACCCTTTCAATACCTGCTGGATTCGCATTGGTGCTGGATCCAGCCTTTGTTCAACTTCGTCTATCGCCCAGCCTTTACCCGTTCGTCTTATTCCCCTCCATACGCAGGGTCCCACGGCTGAGGCATGCATGAATTGGTAATTAATATGACTGATTAAACTATAGGGGATATGAAAATCCATGGTCCTTATTACTCTGATGTCCTCCTGAACGCCGTTCTCTCCCATTCCGTGCGGTGGTGCAAAGCTGAGCCCCAGGTTGGCCCGCTTCTAGACTCCTTCGAGGGAGGAGCACAATTTTATCAGCGTGCCGTGTCGGGCCTTTTTGATTCGCTTAAAGTTGGCTATGCGACCGTTCCAACAATCCAGACTCTACTTCTCCTAAGCGCACAGGAATGCGGTCGCGGCAATCGAACACAGGCCTGGCTATATAGCGGCATGGCATTTCGGGTATTGGATGACCTAGGCATCTCGATTGACAGTCGCAAATTCCCCGGCGCAGCGCAGCTGAGTGATGAGGATGTTGAGATCCGCAATCGACTCTTCTGGAGTTGCTACTTCTGGGACAAGGTGGTGTCATTATACTTTGGTCGGGCGCCGACAATGCAACACTCGCGTGTCAGCCCACCACGTATGCTACGTAAGGCTTGTTCGGTTCCTGGCTTTATCTCGGTGACTGTACTAAACCTCTTGATAGTGGACGATACCTCGGAGATCGAAATCTGGACCCCTCATGGTGTGAGCTTTCCCGATGGAGCCCACTACCCTCCCACACAGGCACGCTCCACGTCTTGTTTCATTCAAATGTGTGGTCTGGCCGAAATATTAAATCAGATCTTGATCCATATCTATGACCCGGTGCGCCGAAGTACGGAGACCGAATTTTTTGATTGTGTCCAGGAGCAAGCCAAGAACTTGAGTGACTGGTGGGATGGGCTTCCCGACTATTTGAAACTTGTGGCCACCGACCTACCATCATACTCGCCGCCCAGCCACATCACAACCCTGAAGTTAGTCTGCCAAGTTTCTCTCGATTTAAAGGCTCTTCCTAACCTAATTTTATTAGCTGTCTATATCATACGATAAACATCTTGCTACATCGACCTATTCTCTGCTCTCGCGGCGTGCTGAAGACCCGACAAGAAGCACCCGACACAAGCCATCTGTTTCAGTGCATGGCATCCGCAACAACTATACTGTCTCTATTCGATCTCTACTGCCGCACATTTGGAGACAGTCACGTTGTCCTCTCTCTTGCCTACAGCATCTATACTGCCGCGTCGATTTTCCTCCTTGAGATTCAGGCCTTGAAATACGCCGCACCAGGGACACTAGACAAGCTAAAGTTCTGCATCTTTGCCCTGGAGCGGGTCAAGATCTCTAATCCTGTCATCACAACCGCTCTCAATCTTGTCTATCAAGAGTTGCAGAAGCTCCAGATCGACATCCACGCTATGCCTGCCCCACCTCTGGACAGCGAGAAACAAAGTCATCAACACCCGCCCCAACCCTCCCATCCGGGCCAGCAAAGCCAATCTCCCCCTCTTAGCAACAACCCTTCCCGCCACGTTTCCCCAGGCCAGCAACACCGACGACAACACAGCCGAATAGCCACGGCTACACAACCAGGTCCCACAGGGCCCAACACTACCGACTCTATGATGCCTGGCTACAGCGCCTTCCCGCCACAGTCGGTCGCTAGCTTCGACCTGTCGCAGATAGGCGATATGCCTCAGATGCCACCCACCCATCTTCTAGGCGGCATGCCCAATGCTGTGATGGCCGTCGATGATCCAGGCTCCTATGAGATAACGCCAGAGGTCTTCGAGGCGTTTTCGTATGCGCAGCCAATCTCGGCCAACATGACGTCTCCATTCGAAACAAATTGGGCTGGCCAGGGCCAGTGATGAAAAGCATCTTGTTTTTTTTTTCTCTCTTTCCCTATTCGTTCTTGATATTTTTTGGTATTGATGATTCCCAAATAGTACCTAAGCGTTCACATAGTATTTTCACTATGAAGCCAAAAGTAAAGCGTGGCGTTTGTCATTGTGGAGGGTCTATAGATTATCGAATGGCTGACTTCAACCAAGTCTTCAAGTTTATTCTTTTCAATGTACAACCCGCTTGTCATCCTGCAGAGCTGTCCACTAGTTAGCATATGCCAAACGAAGGGCAAGCCCTATCTGTTCATTTCATTCTCCTCCTCACAGACAAATGTTTTTCTCTGCATGTATAGCACAAAGTCGACTTTGATAATGCAGAATGAGATGCAAATTCCAAGATACTTGACCAGCTCCCCTGTTGATGGTCGGGAACGGACTCCCAGTGTTCTCAGACGTTGATTTTACTTTCTAGGATGATATAACCAATGGGCACCTTTTGAAGTTCTACTTCATTGAAAGGTCACTCGACCGTCTCCGTCACGAGTGCGCTGGGTTTAAACCACACTCCGTATCTTTTATGGTGATTTTTTCTCATCTCTATCAATCTCACCATCCCTGGGCGCAAATTCGGCCACTATAGCTGGAGTCTAAGTTACTCAGCGGTTCGATGAACCCGAGGGACCGATACGTCCTCAAAGCCAGCTTGTGCCGGGCATAACGAAACTGAGCATGACGGAATTCTCACATGGAGTTACCCAGAAAGAGACAAACAATAACGAGCAGAAAATAGTGAGAAGGTATAACCCTTCCTGGTTATTGCTAGCTCTTATATTCACGAACCAAAAACTCCGCCAAGGTGGTTGTACATAGACTCAAGCTTAAAACAGAAGAGGAGATATGGAATTTCGATGAGGGTTGTTCTTGACATGAGAATTCACTCATCGCCAAGCAAAATTTTCAGTGAAATGTGAAGGAGTGTGATGACTGACGTAGCTGAAACACCATATATACCAAGGGAACAAGCCAGCTTGGTTGTAAGTCTTGCAATACATTTTCCACAGGTGGCCAAAAATGCAACTTTATTAAATACAATGTGTAAGAGAAGGAGAATTGTACACCGCACAGCCGCCATAACGTATATGAATAGGGAAATAGACATGCTGCGAGAAAATGTGCGAAGTTAAAATAGATCTCAAGAAATAAGGGGTATCCGTAGAAAAGACGAGGAATGAGAAGAAAAGACAGGATCTGTCAGTCGGTCTTGGGCGAGACCCTATGTTCCTGGCCATGAGATGTAATGTTTTCTGCAGACTCCGAAGAATCATCGGTATATTTGGGCCGTGCGCGCCAACGTAGGTACCATGGGCCATCGAACAACTCATCCATACGCTCGATCGGCACGCCGGCAGTCTCAGGCATCCAGACACCCAGGATGATAAGACCCAGGGCACAGATGATGGCCCAGAAGAGGTACGCGCCCCAGATATTGAGGGACGCGAACATATTAGGCGTCACTCGCACAACAGCAAACTGGAAAAACCAGTGTAAGCCCATGCTAATGGCATAGCTCACGTTACGAATCCGTGTTGGGAAGATCTCTGTGCCATAGAGATAGGGAATTGTGCAGAGACCAACGGACCAGCCGACGGCATACACGAAGACTGAGGCAATAGCTGCATCGGAGGCTGAGTTGTTTCCCTTGGAGCCGGGTTGCAGGCCCATATATATGGCCATGTAGATATGCGCTGCCAATTGTAGGGCAAGGCCAGTGAGGGCGCAACGCCGCCGACCAAAGAGGTCAATCAGGCCCCAAGTAAAGGCCATTGTGAAGACCAGCTTCACAATTCCATAGGCGCCCGATGAGATCAGTGATTGTGAGGAACCGGTCACGCCGGCATAGTTGAAGATATTAGTCACATAATAGGTGATGCCATTCCCGCCGGTCCATTGCGCGATTGTTTGCATGGTCATCAGCAACCAGAAGCGCTGGCGATAGTTGGAATTCGATTGCGACTCCTTGAAGGCCCCCCAATGCGAGATAGACTTCAAGGCTGCTCGCTCCCGCGCCTGTTGGTCGATTTCCTCAAACTCGGCCTTGATGCTCTCATCGCCAATTTCTTTGCCTCGTAGGCGCGCGAGCACTTCTTTCCCTTCTTCGTGACACTGCAATGATGCAAGGTACCGGGGGTTTCGGGACAGAGGAAGGAAAGACCGAAGGCGATACCGACAGGGATTAGAGGAATGGCTTGAACTAGTCGATATTGGGTTCGCGTGGCGGCCATGTGGATGCTGGCGCCATAGTTGATAAAGAAGCCTATGAGCACGACGATTAGAAAACAAAGACTCGGGCACTGTTATTGCCATTGGAAATTCGACTTACCCATCGCCAGCACGGCGAGCAGAATGACCATGTACATTCCTACTGCGAGGCCTCGCGTCGCCTTGGGCGCGATCTCGGACAGGTACAGGGGCGATGTGACCGTCAGCAAGCCGGCGCCTAGGCCGGCGAAAATGCGGGCGAATAGCAGCAGGCCATACACCCCCGAAGAAAAAATCTGTATGAATGTTCCGATCGCCCACACCAAACAGGCCAATCGCCAAGACACCAAGCGTCCCAGGCGATCATTCAGATCCAAACCTGCTAGGGCACCAAATGCTGCACCTAGCACATTAAAGGAAGTGATGTTGGCCTTGCGATTGGTTAATCCCGTGGGGTCGTTCTTCCAGTTGGCTTCAAGAAGATTAAAGTCGACCATGAACGACGGCAACTTCACACTGGCGCTGTACCCGCCCTCATCATAACCTAGCCATTAAACAGAATTTATGAGCAAGCTTGTCTTTGTCTTTGTTTTTATTTTATTTTATTTTTTGGCCTTCTTTTCCGCGGTTGAAGCTTCAGTGCCAGGGCCGAACGTACCTTTGGGAATACTACCACACGCGATCACGAAGATTACTAGTGCATAGTATGGACTGGTCTTCCACCGGGCAGGGTCCAGCCATCGCATGATTGCGAGGGACCAGGAGGATTCCACTAGCTCGTCAGATATCTAGTCAGATAGCTCAAGAGTGGAGGCCAGAAAATCCGGGGTAAGGGGTCAGCGGAAGAGCCGGCAAGTGAGTGGGTTGAAGGAGGAGCGAGGTGGATTAGGATTGAAGAGGGAGGCGAAAGAGGCGCTCGGCATCCCGTTTTTTTTGAACTTGCGCTCGGTCAACGTCCGACGTCTGCTCGGCCCTTCCCCTCTCTTTTCGTCCAAATATTAAGCCTGCCCAGAGTTTCCCCTCCTCTCGATCGTCATGAGCGCTGCATCTCAATGCATCTCGGCAATCCCGAAGCATGTGTATTTGCACTAGGTTCGTTCATCCGCCTGCGCTGGACGGTGTGTTCCCGCAGCCCTGTTGCCGACTCCATACTTCTTCACGTCGGATCGCGCCGCGGAAACCCAACCCCAACCCACTTTCCACTTTGTGGCTCTGGCTCCGCTGAACGGCAAACCCTGACCCCCTGGAGTGGCTCCGTGACACGCGGTGCCTGGCAAAAGGACACGGCAGATGAGAGAAAAAGTACAAAGCCCCGAGAATGTGACCAGATCATACTGTCCACGCCTTCGCGGTGAGCCAAATTGATAGGCGTAACAGCTGGCTTTCCCGGACTCTTTCCGTCCCTTGTGCTCCTTCGACACCACCCCAACTCCCTGCTATAGGCCGACGTGATCAAAGCCAGCAGTGGGTCAGATCTGATACCCTGTAACCGTGTGGGAGCACGGCACACGGCAAAATTTTTTCCAGATAGCCCCAAATTCCTTGCTTTTCAGGCCAGGGAGTCCCATAACAACGGACGTTGACCGACGCAGGCGGCATGATACCAGTCAGGGCTGCCCTCAGGGTAAGTCCCAGCATCGGAGCCTGCCAATTTGTGAGTTGCATCCTGGAATGGCTTCATGCCTGACTTTTCTTTCTCTGCTCGGTCCTTTTCACCCGGCCTTGATCTCTTGATCGTTTACAGAACGATTACTAGATCGGTTCTTGTTTACAATGCTGACCTCTAGTCAGCCCTGTTCCAATGTTCTAGGAGGCTCGCCGCGACTATCTCTCGCGGCCGTACCCTCCACTCGGATTGACCAACGTGCAATCCATGCTGTCACTGCCAGTGTCACGGCCAGTGCCAGCCAGCCCTTGAGACAAAGAATCCCTCCCCGTTCATGGGATAGCCATATGCACGTCGTGGAGCCGCAACGATTTCCCGTCTGCCCAAGTGCAGTCTATCAGCCAGAGGTTCATACACTTGCCGATGCCCTTAGCTTCGAGTCGGCTTTAGGGGTTGAGAACCTTGTTTTTGTTCAACCTTCTATCTATGGAACTGACAACTCCTGCCTACTGGCTGCCCTGGAGAAGCTCGGCGGTGCTCGTGGACGTGCAGTGGTAGTTGTTGACCCCGAAAATATCCAGCAAGAGACCCTGGACCACTGGCATACCCTCGGCGTCCGTGGTCTCCGAGTCAACTTGCAATCAGTTGGCAAGGTGATGGATCAAACCGAGCTCGAAGAGACTCTCCTTCAACATGCCAAGATAGCACGGACCCGAAATTGGATCCTCGAGGTTTATGTTCCTCTCAAGATGATCCCCATGTTGGAATCTGTCGTCCCCCGTCTCGGCGTGTTCCTTTGTATCGACCATTTCGGAAGCCCCGAGCTGTCGTCTCTCTCATGGACCACCGACAACCAACCCTTCGACCCCTATACCCTACCCGGCTTCAGCTCGCTGATTTCCCTGTTGCGTGCCGGCAATACCTACATCAAATTGTCTGCGCCTTACCGCCTCACCAAAGACCAACAGATGCGTGATCTGAAGGCGATGGCTCAAGAGTTCCTTGCGGCAGCGCCGCATCGCGTCATCTATGCCACAGACTGGCCCCATACACGTTTTACTGGTGTCGATATCAGTCCATTTACCGAATGGTGCTTGGACATGTGCGCCCATGATCCCGAGCTGGCGGAGAAATTGTTTCGGAGTAACACCGAGCAGATGCTGAAGATTGGTCATGACTGATGGTGTGGGCTGTTTCTTTCTCTTTTCAACTCTTGTCTCATCCCTCATCCCAGGAGGTGAAGATGTACATAGCATTTTCTGCATGGGCATATGGTGTCTACATTCTGGCGTTTGGTTATCATGATATCCTTTTCCTTTTACCTGCTCTGACAGGAATCCAGACTATTTTTTCCTTTTCCTTTTCTTTTTACTTTCCATTATTTCTGATATCTACCTTTCCTTTCAACCGAGCACATTGAGTGATTTCGCAGAGTCCCATCGTACTGTAGAACATTCTATTATCGTTGACATTACATTGTCGGATTGCAGAGATGCAAGGATCATTTCTGTATCATCTTGATATTTCTAGTATGTATTCCCCGATGTCTACAGAAGGGACAATATTGACATCGCGCAAGTTCGCATCCAGCATCCGGGGATTGGTCGTGAAACAAATCGTCTTCCACCATTCACATGACCTCGAGTTCACCGTGCCAAAACTTAAACGTCGGCCGCATCCTGGAAAATAACGTGCGAAGTGCAAATCTTCTTCTGCGCCTGTAGAGTCGGAAGAAAAAAAAAAAAGAGATGATTAGCACTGTGCGTGAATGCTATCCGGGACCTGAGGGCACTCACAATCGTGTAGCAGCAAGCCGGGCGTGACTGGTCTTCGCAGAGTTGGGGCTCGGTCAACTGAACGCCTGAGACAGTCGTGATTAGTATACTGATGAGCATGGAAGTTTGCGGTCACGCGAATTGTCCAAGACACTTACAATCCTCAGCCTCGTTGGCCTTGGGATTGTGTCGCGCGGCCTTGAGGTCGCGGCAACAGTAGGGGTACTGCATCATGCCCGTCTTGTCGGCGGCAAACTTGCACGACATGTTGATCTTCTTTGCGGACGATTCCACGGCCAGGGTAGCCAAGAGGCCCACGATGAAAGTTGTGACGCGCATAGTGAGACAGGCAGCCCAATATTCACGCGTGACTAAAGAAGAGGTTGCGAAGTGTAAAAGGTCGACCGGACTTTGGGGTTATCTCGGTTGATGTACTATGTATATCGTCTCTAGGGTTAGAAGAGGGCGTTTACTAGGGCCGTGCAGGGCTTGACGCAGGAGTCGCCGAGAGGGATTCAAAATACCTTGCACCATGGACAGGGCAGGGCAATTTCCTGGTTTCCAAACAGGCGTGGAGACGATGAATCCGGGTGGTGATTGGGTGATTCTCGAGGGGTTCTTTAATCCCCTTACATTCTCGAGGTTCATGAATGTGAGTGTGGTAAACAAGGGCCGCGTGTGCCTGTTGCCAGGGATGCGCCAATTTAGTTGTGATTCCGCGAGAATGGCACGGACTCGTGCCGTCATAGACTTTATTTCTCAGTTGCTTGGACGGGTTGTATTAGAGGATCTGGAAGTTGTTGAAAACTCCATGCTAATCTTCATTCATCGCGATCGTGTCCAACTAGTCAACTGGCCAATCGATCAAAAGGACGTCGGTAGAGAATAGAGGCCATTTGACCAGCCCCTGCGTTTTCAGAAACCTCCCCTGGATCTGAAACAAATACTGATGAATCAATAAAAAAACATAATTAAATCAAACTAAACCTCGACGCATCCCAAGGCTGCTGACAACTTGCGCTACTGTTGGTGGTCCGGCCTTTCCTGCAGGTCCCTGGTCACGTGGCTACTGAAGGACGTAGCACCCGCAATACGAGGGCTCCTTTGCATGAACGGGGTATGGGGTAAGAGTCAACAAGAAATCGTGATATAGACCCCTCTCGGCTTTCTCCAAGCAGCGGTGTGCCGTTCCCTACGGGCAACCCCCGAGAGGAGACGTTCGCTCAGCCCCGTCCACGTCGCCTGATCGACGATCCAATCCGCGTCCAACCCGCCATCATGTGATGGCCCGTTTGTTGAGGCCCAACGATTAGATAAGCGCCGTTGCGTCTGGAGATTGGATGCGCCATAAACACCCCCTCTTGCCCTTCTGCGATCCCCCTCATGTCTCCCCTCTCTGTTGGTCCTTTGTTCTGGTCTTTCTACATTACCTCGACAACTGAACCATGAAGAAGCGCACATCCGTTGAGAACCCCGCCGACATGGATCGCAGTGTCTACATCCCACTCTGCATCTGCCTGATCTCCTTCGCCGTCATCGCATACTCCCACTAGTGATCTACTTGTGTTGTCCGGAACCACCAGAGACACTCCCCTTCAACTCCCAGAGAACCAAAGGACCGGGTACAGAGTTGTGCCAGATTAGATCCTGGATGCTCCGATATCACATAGTCCAACTGGCCTTCTTCCGGCCTGCCTCAGTTCCTACGATCGAGTCTCAACCCTCCTTCAACCCCACCCGGCCTCCGACGCACGTCTCCACAGCCACAGACCCGTCTACGATGCGCGACGTACAATCAATCGAGCCGTGTTACTAGGAATAGCTCATCCAATGAGCGATATCCAGTGCCTTCTTGTGTCCTTGCTCTCGTCCCCTTGTGTGGACTACTTGTCGCCTCGACATTAGCGCCAAGAATATCAGCCCAGCGACACTCACAAGAGGAGCGCTGTCTTCACCTCCCTCCCTTGAAGCCAGATCTAAGAGACGATTACTTCCATAAAGTCAAGCTCGTGATTCATCAAACCAAACTCTCCCCATCCGATAAGTGACCAGCTAGGCGTGCGCATGTATACACCGCACGTGTTACTTCTCGGTTTCTCCATCTACCAATCAACGACTGAACCCTATGTTGTACCAAGCGTATACCCAGGAGTCTTAAATCACGAAGATTAAATGGTATAATCTTGGTGACAACTTTGACACAATTATCGCATCAATCACATGTTGGTCGAGAACCTTCACAGGGCTGGATCTTGATTCTCGACCAGTGACATCAGTCTCTGTCCCTTATTTCTCATTCCTTTACTTTCCTTTCCTTTACGTTTCTCTTTTCTTTGACAGACATATGGCATATTTAGTATCTATTCCGGTTATGGGAACAAATTGCCAGCAGTGAATCGAGCGTCACCATCTAAATGGAATTCCCATTCTTAATCCATGAAACGAAATGTCTTCTGTTCATTATCCTGTTTCGTTTCAATAATCATTTTGATCATTCGATATAAATAATAATAAAACCTAAGTTTCTTCTCGAATATATACCCCAGATGACATCAAATTATCAACCAGGCATAGGAGCGTCATCCGTGGTGGCCGGCCGATTCCGTGCTCATGCATGATTTGTCATCACGTGTTCTCGGCCTGGACTGGGCTCCGCCAGGAGGTTGCTTGGTGCCGGGCCTTTGGGCGGGCGTATCAAACCCCGATATCGTAATCGTCACCATATTTTGTCAGCTCTTTTCTTACTTCCCCCTCCTTCCTGTACATACCCCTCCCCCTCCTCTCCATGCTCTCTCGCTCCCTCCGTACCTCTTCATCCCGGATCAGCTTTCGCAGCTCTGTCCTGGCCCGGTGCCCCGCAAGCAGAAACATCCATTCTGGTCCTCGGCCGGTTCTAAAGCAAACCCTGGCGTCCATCAACCACTCGTTCTCCACGACACCAATTACCCTCGGTTCTCGTCTCTCTTCGATCACCCGGCACTTCTCTTCTTCTCCTGTACAAGACAGCCAAACTCCGTCCACAATGGCTCCAGTTGAGGTTCAACAATTTGATTATATTGTCCTGGGTGGTGGTAGTGGAGGCAGTGGCAGCGCTCGCCGCGCCGCGGGCTGGTATGGCAAGAAAACCCTTATTGTTGAGAGCGGACGGTCCGGTGGTACTTGCGTGAATGTTGGGTGAGTCTCAATTCTCCAGGAGCATAGACTTCGTATCATAAAGGCGTCGAAACCCAGTGCTAAGACTGCAACATCTAGATGTGTCCCCAAAAAAATGACCTGGAACTTTGCGACAATCCAAGAAACCCTCGAGGCCGGCAAACACTACGGTTACGATATCCCCGAGAACATCAAGGTTGACTACACCCACTTCAAGAACACCCGCGATGCCGTCATTAAGAACCTGAACGGCGCTTATGAGCGCAACTGGAACCGTGAAGGCATTGATCTCGTCCACGGCCGCGCCCGCTTCGTCGAGCCCAAGGTCATCGAGGTGACCCTTGCTGAAGGTGGCACTGCTCGCTACACCGCGCCGCACATTCTGATTGCTACCGGCGGCCGGCCCAATCTCCCTACCGTGCCCGGCGCCGAGCACGGAATCACCAGCGACGGCTTCTTTGAGCTGGAGGAGCTTCCCCCCAAGGTCGCTGTTGTCGGTGCTGGCTATATTGCCGTCGAATTGGCTGGTGTGATGAACGCTTCCAATGTCGAGACCCATATGTTCATCCGTGGTGAACATTTCCTCCGCAAGTTCGACCCCATGATTCAGAAGACTATGACTGATCGGTACGAGGCCGCCGGTGTCAAGCTTCATCGCAAGCACCCCGGCTTCAAGGAGATCCAGCTCATTCGTGACGGCAAGGGCAAGGACAGACTGATCAAGTTGATTGGCAACGACGGCTCCGAGCTTGAAGTTAATGAACTTCTCTGGGCTGTGGGCCGCGCCCCTGAGGTTGAGGACCTGCAACTGGATATTCCCGGTATCAAGCTGAACCCTAGCGGTCACGTCATCGTTGATGAGTACCAGAACACTACCGTTGAGGGCGTCTATGCCCTTGGCGATGTCACCGGCCAGGCCGAACTGACCCCAGGTATGTATCCCCCGTCTGCTGCATAGGCTAGATCATGCATTCACACTCTATTAGTTGCCATTGCCGCTGGTCGCCAACTTGGAAGCCGCCTCTTCGGCCCTCCTGAGCTCAAGACCGCCAAGCTTTCATACGAGAACATCCCTACCGTCGTTTTCTCCCATCCGGAAGTCGGCTCGATTGGTCTCACCGAGCCCGAGGCTCGCCAGCAGTACGGCGACGACAAGATCAAGGTATACCACACCAAGTTCACCGCCATGTACTACAGCGTCATGCCGGCCGATGAAAAGGCCAAGAACCCGACTGAGATGAAGATCATCTGCGCCGGTCCCCAAGAGAAGGTTGTCGGTTTGCACATCCTTGGTCTCGGAGTCGGCGAGATGCTCCAGGGCTTCGGTGTTGCTGTGAAGATGGGTGCTACCAAGCAGGACTTTGATAGCTGTGTCGCTATTCACCCGACTAGCGCCGAAGAGCTTGTTACCATGCGGTAGATCTGATTAGAATATTAGCGCATATAAGTACTGATCAATATTGGTCCAGAACATTCAGTTCCTTGGTATTGGTATACGAGAATGTAAACCTGAAATGTAAATGGAGGTTTGAAGCTCACTGAAATTTTCTGGACCTCTAGTAAGGTCAACTCCCGTTTGCTACGCATCATGATGAGCGCCTCTAGAATTATTGGCCCGTAATCTATGATAGATACTGGAAGAGGCTTTTTCCGCTGCATCTTTGGTTTATGTTTCATTTTAAGAATCTGAGATGTACTTCATTAAGGATAGTGAAATCTGGCTCCATGTAGAATAATAGAAAATGTCTTTCTCCTATTCAGAACTTTGAGGTCTTTTTTCCATCATCATTCCATGGCCGTCTGTTTCACAATATGCTGTTCAATTCAGTTTCAATTTTTGATCAAGTGCAAGCAAGATGAATGTTAAACATCATCTTGAAATTCAAAGGACACCGTCCAATCTTCGGGAAGCTGAATCGATCGGCCGATACAGTGGACATCCAGACTGCAAAGTACGTTAGTAATGAATAGTACGGGTGAGAGAGTTAAAATCTAGAACCAGACTTACAGATGACCAAACTTGACCCGACTACCCTCCAACACGCCCCATTCCTTGAAGCCGAAATTGTTCTTCATCCACCCCGCGATCCAAGTGTATTTGCCTATGGATGAGGCTGGGTAGGTGATTCTGCATGTGATTGCCGTGAGAGTACGTGGGTTTGGGTCAGGAACATGGGATGGCTTCGGTCGGAACAGCATGGTTGTCTGCCGGATATAGTTTCTGTCCACTGCTGCCAGGATCTGATCAACCAGAGCTTCCCCATATCCATTGCGCTTCTCTTCCGGCCGCACGAATATATATAGATCACCTGTGAACACGTCCGCATCGCTGGCTGACAGGAGCGTGACATATGCGAAGCCCATGATTCTCTCCTTCTCCGGTGCCACCAACCAGTCCTTGCCCACAACAGGCTCAGGCCGGGGGTCGGCAACGACAATCATGGGCAGGTTTTGAGTGCGAATGGTCTGGATTATGGCCCGTATGCCTTCTACACTGGTAGGATTGGCGTCTGAGCTCAGAGGTGACCTAGCCGCATACCAGTTGAAGATGGAGAGGATACCGCTCGCATCATCGAGTTCAGCAGGCCGCAGGTAAACAACACAAGGGCGATTCTCTTGCATCACCTGGGGGCTTTCTAGAACAGGCATCGTGATGGGAGAAGGCAACCCGAGCTTTCTTGCCTGTTGGATTGCTTTGATGGCTGCTTTGTTCTCTCTGGTCTTTCTCCAGTGCAAGCGCATATTATATGATAGACTCTCAGACGTCTCATGCCAGTGCAAATTTGTTTTTTCATGACACATGTCACGCGGAGTTGGCAGGTGCTTCTCATTCATGATCATCATCGACAGCCCGCCATCTGGCACAGCAGACCCATCAAAGAACGCGACGTGAAAAATGTCGACAATCTGACAACGCGCAGGCACTTGATCCAACCATTCTAACATCCTGGCATACCCTTCTCTTTGGAGGCAACTCAAATCTTCGGAGGTAATATCCCAGAATGCTTCGAATTCAGGCTGCTCATAAGCTTGTGGATTGCTGACTCGAGTTGGAAATCTCATTGATTCACATATGTAGCCTGGCGGTTTGGTTGTTACCAGGCTCATCATCCTTCTCGTGTCAAGTAAAGGGTAAATTGCAGGGGATTCGGTGTAGGCATCCCATTGCGAGAGAAACTTTGGCGTTCCGATTCTCTTGAGCCTCCAGTTATCATCAGGGGTAAGCTCTTCATACCCAGCATCCGGAATAAAGTCAGGTGGATTAAGAGACCACGCCTCAGGGGGCTCAACGCCATCAGCAAGGCGTGGCTGTTCGAGCATGCGATAATCAATCGAATTTGAATTACTTCCTGGCCCCAGCCTTGCCCGTGGCAGAACATACCAGCTTGCGCATTCTTCCATAATCTCCCGAGTCTTGTCGATGCCCTCGAGATACTCCGGTTGCCGTTGCTGTGCAGCTACCCGCATTACACGTCCGACCTCCTCGGCGATAGAAAGTGCCTGCTCCCAAGTCAAATCTTTCGGAACGAAAAACCTTTTTGTCTGGTCATACATGGTTGACTGGGTCTCTAGGCGCTTTTTCGACAGGGACTTGTTCTGTGAGTCTGAGGAGTCAGGTTCACCGTTAGTAATGGCATTCAAGGCCACCGGGACCTCATAAGTCACCAGCACTGAAGGGTGGAGAAATTTCTCTTGGTTTAGGTCAAATGTAACCCTTCTCCGATTATATTTGTCTCTCAAAAGTTGATCACCGTCCACCTTTCTTTCCTGGTCCCCTCTCGCTGACATAATGTTTCCAAGAGGCTGTTCGGTGCGGCCGACTGTCTGGATTACCATGTTAGTACATACTGAGCTTATGAGCAACTGCTTGACTCACTGGACAAATAGGAAGGCCTTCAGGGATCTGTGTTTTGGCCTGCATGACCTCGTTCACATCTGAACTGAGAACTTTCTGGTCGGACAGTGCTTCAGAACTGCCAATCTGCAAGGCTGTGACCGATTTCTGGAAACGGGAATCAAAACTTGGAGAAGAGGCAGTAGTGAACGACGCTTTCGCATCAGGTATACTAAAGGCTTCTGGCAAGACGCCCCTGTTTTTGCTGTTGTCGATGTTGCTTTCATCGTCATCCACCATGTGGTCCACCACTTCATTTGTGCTGGGCTTAAACCATCCGAATGGGCTGTTCGGGTTAGCCACACATGCATTGTCCCAAATATCTTCCCATGAGAAATTAAATGGCCAGATCCCTTTTTCCTGTTTCTCGATCCCCTGAGGGTGGGTCTCCAGCCCTGATGAGATGTTTCCTGCTCGGTTCTGATTCCTTCTCGACAGGGACTGATCAGACTCTGAACCAAGTCGCTGGCGCTCAACAATTTGTCTCGCTGGGTTTCGGTAACTTGGGCCCATGGCACGGGTAGTTTGATCTGGTCTTCGGTTGGCATTCGGACGTTTGCTGGGTTCGTCAAGACAGGCCTCAGCGTACTTGCCCTGCACGGCTGCAGATCTAGCATTGACCTGTGGTTCTATCATATTGCTGACCATAAGAGAATCTGCAATCATTTTGGTCTCTCAATATCATTCACGAAGTCTGTTTTGTATCAGTCTATTGCCACATCATAGAGGAGGCTTACTGTCTGAAACAATTCGGTGCTTGCCTGATATTGTAGGACCAAATAAGAGTCAATAAGAAGAAAAGGGTGGAGGGATAATGAACAAGATGATTTCGCCTGACAGGTTCTGCTGCGCGGATCAAGAGTCTTAGGCGTCTTCGACTGAAGTCAGAGCTGGGCGAGGTGTTGAGGAAAGAGAGCGCTCGATAGGTGATAGTTCCTATCTATTCCACCCCCGACCTTCGCCCGACTGGAGCTTGTGTGGTAAATAGTCTTCCTTGGTCTTTGTTCGACTTCGAATCTTGTCGATCGGCCAGCTTCTGTGCTCCAGCGTATGTGAATTTCCCCGGCGAGGGCGTAGTGTTATTCGAACGAGAACACGTTCAGCGGCCGATTTGTGCGCGTCCCAGGTCAAGTGACTCTTCAATAGATTGGATTATATACGTGATCAGATAATCACAGCCTACCAGGATGAAGTATAGCAATCTCGTTCCATGACTCAATGAAACCTCTTGCTCTCCCTCTCGGTTGACAACCTACGGTTGTTCACGGATTAAAGCGATCTGAGAAATTTCATATAGAATAGCTAAAGATCATTCGATTATATTGCTTGGGCCTTTCATGCAATTCATTTTCTTGAAAGTCTTTAAAGTCGCTCTCTGCGAGGCCTTTAAGCAGCGTAGTTTTCCCGAAAGTGAACCTGGCTCAGCAGTACCGGGTTCGAATGAATCAAGTTAAATCAAATTGATCAATAGAAAGAGTGTCCAGTAGTAAATCTAGTAGTTAATTCATTGATTCTGGCACTTTATTCGGGTTTGCTGGGGTCTTTCCTTGTAGTGATGCAGTGCATGCGCGAAAGCATCACCAGGCGATCTGGACCGCCGTCCAGCCCACACGAACTTTTCTCCTCTCCAACTGCCAGACAATCCTTCGCCGTTCCGCCGTTTCTAGGACACAATGTTATCCATACTTCGGAAAGCGCGTCTCAAGGACAAGGAGATGCGAATATTAATGCTGTAGGAAGATTCGATTCCATCTGGGAAAGTTCCCATTCCAACTGACATGAGGGCGAACTGACAGTGGCTTGGATAATGCCGGGAAAACGACCATCGTGAAACGAATTATGAACGAGGATGTCACCACTGTGAGCCCTACGCTAGGGTTTATCATCAAAACTATTGATTTTATGGGGTATGTAGCCATCCTATCTGCCATGGCCGGTGGTGGCTAACATTAAACCGGACTAACAACGCATAGATACAAACTCAACATTTGTGAGCCACACCGTGCCCCGAATGGGTCATGACAGGACTGACCAGGACTAGGGGATGTGGGAGGCCAAAAGACCCTCCGCTCCTACTGGAAAAATTACTTTGAAAAGACCGACACGCTGGTCTGGGTGGTAGATGCGACCGATCGCCTGCGTGTGGACGACTGTCGCCAGGAGCTGGCTGGACTGCTCCTGGAAGAGGTACGTTCCTGTCCCCCCCCCACCGCCCGAACCCGCACTGACTTGGCCCAGCGCTTGATGGGAGCCAGTCTCCTGGTCTTCTTGAACAAGACTGATGTGGAACATTGCATGACGGAGGAGGAGGTGTGCGAGGTGAGTGAACCATATCTCCTGCAGTGTCCTCGCTGTCCTCAAAGCGGGGTGACATGAAATTTCTCCCCTGGACGAGTGGATGAATGGACTGATGCATTCCTATTCCAGCGCCTGGCCTTAAATTCAATCAAAACCCATAAATGGATCATTCTGCCGTGCAGTGCAATGACTGGGAAAAACCTGACTGAAGGATTGGAATGGGTGGTACAGGATGCAAAAGACCGACTCTTCCTATACTAGAGAATCCATCCACCAAAGGACTGTTTTTTGCCCTACGTCATACCCGGACGAGGATTGTCCTGATGAATCCTGTTCCGTTCCCTTGACCTGAACATACCAGAATGTCTTAAAACTGGACTTCCAGACTGAAGCCCGGTCTCTGTTCTTACCATGTTTATTGCTGCTCAGCCCGTGGTCTATTGGGCATGGCTCTGACTCTGGTGGTGCAACGTTCTGTGGCTCTTTTGTTCTGGCCATATTGTGTCGAACTGAAGAATGCCATTCGATTTTGAACTTGACAGGTGACAAGAAACTTCTCTGTCGTGTACCACCGGCGGAAGTGAGGCCCCGCAGAGTGCCACTGGCGTTCTACATTGATTCTGAGGTCCGTTCGGGTTGGTGGTTCCCGACCGCGGCAACGTGCATCGTCGCCGAAAAAAAATATATACATCCAATTTCGAACCAACCCCATGTCCATCCCACTTTTCTATATTTAACCAGACTATGTATTTTAATCGAGGGAGATCAAAACCCAAGGTTGATTCATGGCCTGGACGTTGATAGTTTAAGAAAAGCACGAAGAAAGGGGAGGAATATGATCCTGGGTTGGCCAATCGCGGGCTGCAAGGTACATACTACATAGGCTCTAAAGCTATCAAACTGATAGGTCATGAACCACGAACCGATGGGTCAGAGCAATGCGATCTGTCCCGTGAAATTGGGTTCTTGGGCCACAAAAAAAGGGGCCCGACAGAAAAATCGTCATGGTGGCCCAGCGCTAGAGCCATGGGTCCTGGTCTGTCTTTTCCAGAGCCGAAAACCTGCGGGGCGGAAACCTGGAAGCGATCCGCTCCACCTCAACCTTGTAAACAAACATTGCCCTGGAACGCGGCAACCGGACGCTGGACGCTAGACGCTGGATGCTGGACGCGAGACGTCGACAATTGTAGTCTGAACTAGATCGTGAGAGGATGGGCTTGCAGAATGCCGCAACTTCGGACCAAGCGAAATGGGGATAAAAATAAAAAAAGGGTAAGATGTGCGTCGCTGATCGGAGGAGCCAATGACTTGCGATGGATCGTGTCCATCCCCATTTAATTTAAGCAGGGCGGAGAACACCAGAGTCACCACACCACAGCCTCAGCCTCGGACCTTCTTCTTTCCCACTACCTTCAACCTCATCCTTCCTTCTCCCCATTCTCTGGCTGCTTTGATTCGGTCCTTTGGGGGCATCCCGAGAATGACGGTCCCCACCAATCCTGACGGGTCGGAAGATGTGAATGACTTCCTGCTGCGCATCCGGGAACTCGGCGAGCGCCGCGACAAGGAAGATGAGGAGCGCACCAAGAAGCTGGAGGAGGAGATCTTGCAGGGCCGCAAGGAAAGACAGGCCCGCCGAGCCGGTATATCTTCCAACATCCCCTTCCCCCTCCGGTTCTTCGACAAGACGCGGCTTCGGGGCTAGCTGAGGGCCCATCCGCCCCGCGCTGACCAGCCCACCTGTCGTGGAACCCCTCCAAACATCCCCCGGGGATGAGAGTTGCTGATATCCATATCCCTACAGAGCGAGCCCGATCCATTGCCGGCTCCCCTACGCTTCATGCCTCAAGGCTAAGTGTTTCCTCCATCGGCCAAACCCCCTCCATCGACCCTCCGGAGCAGCTCGAACCGACGCTACAGACACAAGATCCCGAAACCCCGGGCGGAACGAAGTCAAGCCAAGACCTAGCGCCCTTGGATTCTGGAGAGAAGAGACGTGGGTCGGTTCAGGACATAGATATGGACTCTCCCTCACGAGCGTCGCCCTTGTCGCGAAGCCGAGCGGGGACTCTGTCATGGCAACAGCGGCCATCTTCGCGAGATTTTGGCAGCAGATCTCCCGGGTCGACATCTCCAACCCGCTCCAGCCATTTGAGAAATGCTTCCACAGCATCTACCGACAATCAGTTGTCCCGAGCCCATATTGCTCAGTCGCTGTCAAGGGATCCGTCCTGGTTCCGTCAGACACCTGAACCAGGATCAAGTTCGCCAGTATATCGAAAGCCCGAGGAACGAACTGAGAGTGTCTCAGACCTCGGAACGACTCGTGGACTACCGGGGATCAGTCGTGAGTCAACAGCGGAGCCTGATCGGAAAGATGAGGTGGAGGCGAGGTCACCATCTCCGCCGAGAACAGCCTCGACGCTGGGTGATAGTAATTTCAGCAATCGATATTCAAGCGTGTCATCGGTGTCTCCCGCTACTGGGCTCGGATCGCCCGTCACATTGTCAGAGGCTCCAAAACTGGACCCGTCGCAGACCGAGTCGTTGGAAGACTCTCTGCCGCCTTCACCGACTCAGCGGCGCCTGTCTCCCGAACGGGCTCGGTCAACATCACCCACAAAGGGCCTTGGCGGATTTGTTCAGAGTGCGATGATGAGGCGGTCAGACAGTGTATCGAAACGATGGAGCGCGCAACTCCCCCAGGGACTCAGCCGCAGCAATTCTATCATTTCCAACCGCAGTAGCATGGCCGGTCCAAGTCTCACCGCTAGCGTCAGTGATATGACACCGGTAACGGCCACGCGACTGGGGAGGGACACCTCACCGCTGCCTTCACAGCGCCCGACTTCGAGCCATAGTGAGGCAACAGTGCACCCACCGGAGGCATCTGAGAGACCTACCACCCCCTCTGGTCCTAGAAACGAGTCACGTCTGGAAGGCAGCCCTAGCAGACCGCCATTATACGGCCATTCTCGTTCCACCAGTTCAATGACCGCTGACAGCCAAATTGCCGATACGCCAGCAAGCCCATTCACTTCGAGAACCATGGACCCCAAGCGATGGAGTCCCACCAAGGCTTCCTGGCTGGAGAGTGCACTCAACAGACCCGAGTCCCCGCGGACTCAGAGACCCCCACCTCCACAACCTTCATGGCAGCGAGATCGTCAATCGCGGGGCAGTGTGGACATGGGTCGCTTCAAAGAGGTAACTCCCGTCGGTTTGATGCGAACACCTCCTCCTGGTGGCCACTTCAAAAAACCGAGTATTTCCGGGACCCCTTCGGTGTTGGGCAGCCCATCTGTGACCCGATCCAAAGAATCAGCGCATGAGCCCCCTGTGCCCGCCAAAGCCGAAGCCGAAGCTGACGCCGAGTCCCAACTCCCCAAAGCCGATTCTACTGAGGAAAAGCCTAAGCTAGAAGAAGAGTTAGAGCAAGATGAGCCAACGAAAGAAGAGCCCAAGGAGGACGGTTCCAAGGAAGACGATCTCCAGGAAGCCGATGCGAACACTGCAGTTTTCTCTCCTATGGTTGAGCCTGAGCCAGAACATGAGCCTCAAGCGGCACCAGAAGAACCCGAAGCAACTCCAGAGCCTGAGCCAACTCGCAAAGCACCTCCACCCGCCCTAAATCCCAAAGTGAACTTCTCACGTCCTACACGGGAGCCCCTGTCCCCCAGACAGCCAAAGTCTCAGTCTAATGTCATTGACTTCAGAGCAAACCTGCGCAAACGTGAGGTAGCAAAGGACGCTGGGCCAGAGCAAGAACCCGAATTCAAGAACGTTTTCGGCAAGCTGAAAAAGACCGAGACTCGCAACTATGTCGCGCCAGATGAACTCAAAAGCAATATTCTGCGGGGAAAGGCTGCTTTGAATATTACTGGAGGCCCCAAGAAAACCCAGCGCGTGGATGAATTCAAGGAGAGTCTCGTGAAGCAAAAAGAGGCCATGAAGGCGGGTGGAGGATCTATCCGACGAAACACTGCTGGGGAGAAAGATTACCCCGAGAAACCGATTGCTGCTGTCCCTGAAGCTATTGCCAAGCGCCAACTCATGAACAAGACAAATACAGGCAACATTGAGCGAGCCGACGAGCAGGTTTCTGCCGTTCTCAACGATTTCAGCCCGACAAAGACGACATCTCCAGACCAGCCACCTCTGCCTCCCGTACCTGTCACTGAGAAGCTTGTTGAGAACAATGAAGAAACCCAAAATTCCCTTCCTGCCCCGAATCTCGATATAACAGGCACTACAACGGAGTCAATACCCACCAGCGAAGAAGAGAGTCGAAAGCTTGAAGAGCAAGCTCCCCCAGAGCGTGCGGTCATTCAGGCCAAAGAGTCAGCTAGTTCGCTTCGTGGCTTGCCATCCGCGAGGCGGGCAGTAGCAGCTTCTGCGCCCCCTCCAAGCTTCGCCGCGAAAGGAAAGCTTGCAGGTCGAATTAACCCGGCTCTTGCAGGTTTTCTCTCTCGTGGACCGCCAGCTTCAACGGAGAGCAGCAAGAACGAGCCGGCGACGTCCGTTTCCCAAGATAGCTCATCTGCATCGCCTTCCACTCCGCTTACCCATATGACGAAAGGTCGCGCCCGAGGTCCTAAGAGAAGGATGCCCAAGGGGCCCGCAGCTGTCCCATCTGCTCAAGATACTATGGAGGTTGGTGCCGTTTCATCTCCTGACATCAACCCCTCGCAGGCTGCTCCTGAGCAAGTGATTCCACTGGAATCTCCCTCGGAGAGCCTGACGAAAGAAATCTTGGTTCCCGATGCTGAAAATGCTCAAATAGAGAGCCCCGTCGCCAAGCAGCCCACAGGAGTAATGTCCAGCTTACAGGACGCCCTCAACTCCGGATTGCTACAAAGGCTGAGGAACATTTCTCCGATTCCTGCGAAAGAGTCTATTGTCATTTCACCCAGCGAGAAAGAGAATGTAAATCGTGGGTTCGAGTCGCCTGTGTCCATCAGGCCCTTAAGTAGGCCACCTGTACCGCCAAAGCCAAATGCGTCACCATCGGTGTCGTCTTCGCCGTCGCCGTCGCCGTCGCCAATGACTCCAACGGGGAAATCTCCATGGAGTCAGCAACGCTATGCATCGCCCTCGTCACCATCACCTCTTCGGACAAGCTTTAGAGAAAATCAAATGGAAAAGCCAGCAACCCCTCCCCCAAAACCTGTTCCTGGAGTGACAGTCGCGACTTCCTCTCCACAGTCCAAGGAACTCCCTTCGCCACCTATTCCTGTAAAGCGGGCAAACGTCTCCCTCGCCAAACCTCCCGATGCACATCGATTGTCGCGGAAGATGTCTGCACCTTCACTGGTTGCACAAGCGGCGGAAGCCAGAGATGTTATTGGTTCATTCTTTAAGGCTTTCCCCAACCCCCGAGATCGGATGGACATTGACCCACAACTGATGTTGACCGGCAAAGCTGATGCTGCCAAGATCAGAACGATGAAGCGCCAAATCTGGGAACTGACAGGTGATGGAAAGCGACAGGAACTTCCTGTCAACCAGGAGTATGTTCTGTATGAAGGAAGCATGTACCTCTGTGTGCATATATTCGAAGCTCAAGGCAGCAACAATGCCGAGGTATACTTGTGGTGCGGTGACGATGTGTCAGAAGCGGCCCTAGACGATGCAATGCTGTTCACCCGGAAAGTTGCTCGTGAAAATAGCTGTAAGCTTGAGATCGTGCGCCAAGGCAAGGAACCCGTCAGATTCATACAAGCTCTCGGTGGCATCATCATCACCCGCCGCGGATCCAGCTCGCGCTCCAACTCCTCCGCTTTGTACATGCTCTGCGGCCGAAAACACCTTGGGCAGATGGCTTTCGATGAGGTTGACTACTCACTGCGCAATCTATGCTCTGGCTTTCCCTTCGTGATCTCCGCGCCCTTCGGAAAATTGTATCTCTGGAAGGGCAGAGGCAGTGGCCCCGAGGAAACTGGCGCAGCTCGCCTGATCAGTATGGATCTTGGTCTGACCGGCGAGTTCGAAGAGGTGGATGAAGGCCGGGAGCCAGAGACTTTCTTTGAGGATTTTGCATACTCTCGAGAGACCAATCCGCTTATGACTTCAGAATACTGGAAGCTCAAGCCAAAGTATGACCATTTCCGAACTCGGCTTCTCCGTGTCGATCATGAACTTGCTCAGCCTCCACGCTTCTGGATGCGCCGCCCTGGCTCCGGGTCCCCAGTTGTCCGACCGAATGACAGCGTCCAAGAAATCGAGCCCTTCTGCTCTAAAGACTTGACCGAAAAGGACGTATATGTTCTGGATACGTTCTTTGAAATCTATGTGTAAGTTTTGGCGTCCCCATCTTGATTTGATTTCATATCAGTAAGACTGACCTCCATCGCAGTATTGTTGGCGATCAAGCCTCGCAGAAATCGGCAGACTTTGCCTCGGCAGTTGTGTTCGCTCACGAGTACGGCATCCTGGCTGCTTCCCTCCAAGACCGCCCATTCATTCCGAAGAGTTTTGTTGCTCTGGGCGGTATCCCAGATCGGTGTCAAAGCGCTTTCCGTAAGTGGGACTCACGCTCTCTACACGCACCATGCGTTTTCCCTCTCGATGTGGCAATCGAAGCTCTCCGTTCCCAGGAGAGGAGAGATTGATCGTCATGCCATGCATCATATTCTTGTGTTTTCTCATTCGCATTTCGTTTCTACTCCTTTCCGTTTGTTTGTTGTTCTATTTCCTTTCTCTGTGCATATTTCGGTCTGTAGAGCATTCGTGGGAGGACGGGGGAGTCTTTCATCTTGTCTTTTTTGGGTGTGCAATTCCCTAGAGGAGCATGGCGGGAGCATCTGGGATGTACATCTACTACTAAATACACTTGCAATACATCATTTTCAAAAAGTCTGCCGATAACCTATATGTTAACTCCTTATGATAAACATTCAAAATGAAATGATCTTCTCGGCCGACCCATTTAGTAGTTCTATTTCCAAGGTCGCGATCTAGAGGCTGTGGGATATTCACCAACCCTGTCGATTGGCTGACTCCCCATATGAGGAAACAGTCGTTCTCTTCCTTCAATACGCTTCGCCACGATATTATCTTCGATAGCTAATTGAACACCGGAATTTCCATCTTCCATTGACTCCTTCCACTTCCGACTACCCATTGAGCCTATTTAATGTATACGTCGGCGTCAAATCCAATCATCTAAGAAGTGTAGAACCACCAAAACTTGCTCTTCAGACATTTGAGAGTTATTCTAAAATACCTCCATCCATTATAACCAAACCAGATACCTTGAAACGTGATTTTCCTAAAAACAGTATATTGAAATGACCGAGGGCACCCAGCCCGGGGAAACAGCCAAGGAAGGAAGAAACAAGCGTGTATTTCAATCTAAATCGAAAGCTAAAATCTGAGTGACATCCGGAACCTACTCATCCATCCAATCCTCGTGTTCTGCCCTAAAGGTGTTGGCTGCAATCCAGCGCGTACGACCGCTAGGCTTATGAATTGGTCCAAACGAGTTTTCTCTGTTACCGAAACATACAAGGACACAATCTCAATAATGCGCGGACTCATGAACACAGCGCCTTTTTTGGTGCCGTTGACAAATACACTGATGACCGGACTTGAAAACTATGGTATCTCCACGAATAATGGAGTGGACTTTGAAATATCGCATGGTGTCTTGATCATGCAATTGTATGGCACGTTGCCAGCATAAAAAGGTAGTCCTTAGGTGGTCCAGTTCCCGAATGTCATCTGATTCAGATCTCAGGGTGTCATAACCGCTGATCGGCCCGCAACTTGTACGCCAAACCTTCCGAGCAAATATACTCGCTCCAAGTTGCTCAGATTGCCCAGGTGATGACTAAATATGCTCAAGTCCACAGCTACCAACTGTAGAAAAATATGATGGCCCGTTTTGATTTTCAACACATTATCAAGGGCATATAAAATAGACTCGGATTAGCTCATGTATGAAATCCAAGGCATTTTGAGTGACCACTTTGCATCATGATTTAGACTATTCAATTACTGAATGATTTCCCAGTTCATATAAAGCCTTTGTCAGTGGGTCCAGAGGTTGAAGGATCTATCAGTCTTAATCTTCAATGGTTTGGAAACTCGATGACTGAACCAGAGAGATGCGCACACCTTCCAGGCCCATTGATGTAGCGATATCGTCCATCCAGTCACTTGTGGGAGGTTGAGATGCCTCTGGTATCAGCCTAGATTCAATCATCAGACTCAGTTCCCCCAACGACTGTGGTGGAACAGTCGAAGATAAGAGAGAAAGATTGTCGCGACCCTCACATAAGGAAGGTCTTCTTGGACTTCGCATCGACCCCATGATATCCAGAATTTCTGTCTCTGCAGCGGGCCGCTGAGACGGATTCAACAGAATAACGAGATAATTGAGCAGCAACAGGCCAGACCGTATACCATGGATGGTGAGATCGGCGAACTTATGGAAGAAAACGTGTGGGATGGGCCCAACGAAATCGGCATATGATGCAAAGCCTGCCCGTACGGTCGATGCTGATATAACAAACTCTGTATAGATACCCTTCATAGCCGTACGCGTGGCAACTATTTTACGCAGCAATGCCGGACGCTCGTGGTTCTGCGCAGATGCTGCCAAGCCAGGCATTTCTCGAAGACGCTTGACGAATCCCGGAAGCTTGACGACTTCCCGGAACGCGCGCTCGGCTATATCCTCTAGAGCCGATGAATTGGCATTCTTGGCATTCTTGGCGGCGAGACATTCATTTAACTGCTGCCATTCTGGTTGCTCTAAAAAGCACTCTTCGCCTGATACCAAGGCAGCGGTCACAATCGTGTTCCGACAAGCCATATACAAATTGCAGCCAAAGCCATCTGCATGTGCGCCCGGGCCCCGGAGCTGCATGAGTGTGCGTAGCCCCCGTGCATGATGTTTCCACCCTTCGATGGACGTGTAGGCATGCATCTCGAACACGCCGAGGATGATCACCGTCGACAAGGCTTCGTCTGACTTTGCGGCGCGCGGGTCGCTCAGAATTATTGACAAGCCTCGAAGGGAACGGAGATAACACATACGCCCTTCGTCCATATAGCGGGCATCGTTATGAAGGCTGCCTAGATATATCGTAGTCATACAACGCACTGCCCAGTCAAAGCAGGAGACATTTTGACTATATTTACTATGACGCTGGGAAATATAGTCTATCCAGGTCATTGGAACTCGGGATTCGGTGGCTTTGAAGTAGCAAGGAAACGAGGCCATCACGAAGCTCAGAGCCAGCTGTGGTTGCTGCAGCGCGACGGCTCTTCCTACTAGCGACTGGGACACCCGTTCATCAAAGGGCATGTAGATCAGGGAATCATTCGCCGCGCACAGGGTGAAAGAGGATTCAGACTGTGCGGATGTAGTGTCATAAGTAATTTCTGACTTTTTCAAAGCCTTGGGGGCTCGCACAACCTTATGGCAGGAGCCGGCATGTTGGCGTCGTTCATAGTTGTCTTCTACCCATTCGTCTGTCTGAAGGCAAATGAAATGTTGTCAACAGCCGCCGATAGTTACAGATTCGCGATTCGAGATCAGCCGGAGAGGGATTGATGGTCATAGATCTGACACGGGTCTCCTGAAACTAAATATCAAGTGGGAACCTACCTGAGATGAGGTTTTGGTACTGGCAGAATGCAAGTCACGGATCATCTCCTCTATCAAAGGGAATGGGCAGTGAAATGGGGTACCAAGTGAAGTTCTCTAGTCCAAGTTTCGTCTCAAGAGGAACATCAGCACTGGTGGGACAACCTTGGAGCCACAATTAGTCGATTTAAACCGGGTGAGGCTGATAGCTATCTATGTTAACCAGTTTCAATGATCCGTGCGGAGGCATTCGTTCTCGATAGTGTTGCTCGGTCTTGCCAGGGGGTTTAATTTGGGCATTCCATGTGATGTAGGAGTACGATTGCAGAGAATCAGAAACAAAGACATTGTGAAGGATCGGACGAGACTTTGCAACCGGGGGCGAAGGCCACTCTGGCTAGTCCCTGCCTCATCACGTGCATGTTCCAGAAAAAGATACGAGACGACGCTCGTTACGCTTCTCGGGCGTCGTCCGCGCGCAACAGGAACGAGGATCACGTGTCCGAGGGCATCACGTGGGTAACCCTGGGCTGAGGAGTAGAAGAAGAGGAAAGAAGGAAGAATGGACCTGAAGATTGAGAATGGCATGTCGTATGTCGCTGGAGCCCACCTCAGTGAGAGTTCATGGGCTCTGAAACCAATGATATTCTTTCTTTGCTTCTTCTCAGGAAGAGAATTCAATCTCATTGGGAGATGGTCGTGGGGGGGAACATAATTCGGAGACAATCCATCAAGCTTGCTCAAAAAGCCCTCGAATGGAATGGAGAGAAGTGAAGCCGGGTTGAAAATGTCGAATGGGCAAGGTGGATGCAATCAAGGTGCAGCTTTCACTATATCGAGCCTCAAACAATTACAATTGGAATTTGAGGATTCGTGCGTTGAAGAAAGCGAGACTGGGCCAATCACCGCCATCATATGTGCTCCAGAGTTTTGAAGAGGAGCAAATGGCAGTGGTATATTGGTGACACCTTTGAGAATCAGCATTTTATCCTGGTTTCTTCTTGTCGGAGATAATGACAACTTATATAGTTCTGCCTATCAAAGGCCTATTATATACTGTCCTGCCCCATTGCACTTCGTACCCGTCGAGGGTCGACAGTGACAAGGGCATTCAGGCTGATCTTGAGGAGGACTAACAAGAAGAAGCGGGCACCAGTCTAGTGGAGTATCGATGGAAAGCAGTCGTGTTGTCTTACGGAGATAAATCTATCGGCCTCGGCGCTACTGCGCAAGATGGCAGCAATGCTCGGGGGCGAAGGACGACCGGAGAGTCAAGGAAATCGAACAATCGCATTCCCAATTCAGAGGTCAGATTTCAAAACATTATCACCAGCTGAATAGATCACAATTTCAATTGGGTGCAATGTGATCGGATCGAGGAAGTGAAGGGAAAAGTGGAGGTGGGGAAGTCTCGGACTTTGCAGTGGGCCGAGCTCTGAAGAGATGCTGGATCGCATGTCGCCATCTCGACACTTTTCCTCGTCCGCCCGATTTATTCCCTTTCCCCCTTTCTCCCCCACCACTTTCCGACTCCCGACCGTCCCGAACAATAGACGATGTGATGGGCACCATGCCGTGATTCTCCCTTCCAAAAACGTATTCCATATCAGACCATGGACTCTTCCATTCTCCGTGAGCTGTCCAAGCTCGACCCCGCGGTTCCGTTCCGCGCGACCTCGGACCACCTGCATCACACCTGGGCCAAAACTTTCTTCTCGCGGCCAGAGCTCTACATTCGACCCCAGTCGATCCCCGAAATCCAGCAGCTGGTCACCCTGGCCCGTCGTTGTCGCCGCCGCCTCGTCACCGTCGGCAGCGCTCACTCTCCCTCCGACCTCACCTGTACCTCATCCTGGCAGGTCAACCTGGATGAATTCAATCGCATTCTGCACATCGATCCCGAGACCCGTTCCGTCACCGTCGAGGCCGGTATCCGATTGAGCGAGCTCGGGAGACGACTGGAGGAGCATGGTTTGACCCTCGCGAACCTGGGCAGTATCGATAGCCAGTCAATAGCGGGTGTGATCGCGACAGGGACACACGGCAGCTCGCTCCGTCACGGCCTGCTGTCAGAATGTATTGAGGCTCTGACTCTGGTGCTGTCCAATGGGCAGCTGGTGCGCTGCAGCCCGGCCAATAATCCAGACCTCTTCCGCGCCGCGCTGGTCTCGCTGGGTGCACTGGGGATCGTGGTCGAGGTGACCTTCAAGGCCAGACCGAAGTTCAAGATCGCCTGGCACCAGGAACGATATACCTTGTCTCGTGTGTTGGCTGAGTGGTCCACCGGCCTATGGACCTCCCATGAATTTGTGCGTGTCTGGTGGTTGCCCTATGAGAAGGGGGCCATCGTCTGGCGGGCCGATCAGACCGATCTCCCGCTGCACGCCCCGCCCAGGAACTTCTATGGCGACTGGTTCGGATACCACGTCTACCACAACCTGCTGGCGCTGTCCTCCCACTTCCCTCGTATTCTGCCGTGGGTTGAGTGGTTCGTCTTTGGAATGCAGTATGGCTTCCGAGCAGGCTCCACGATGACCGAGGCTGTCGAGCCTGCGCGCACCGGTCTGCTGATGAACTGCCTGTACTCACAGTTTGTGAACGAGTGGGCTCTGCCCCTCGAAAAGGGCCCCGAGGCGATCACCCGGCTATCGGCGTGGTTGCATGGAGACATGAAGACCGCGGGTATTCCCTTCTCGTCCAAGGGCCTCTGGGTTCACTGCCCCGTCGAAGTCCGCGTGTCGGATTCGAGCAAGAACCCTAACCCACGACCCTTCCTCGACCCCACCTGCCAGGACGGACCGACGCTCTACCTCAACGCGACGCTCTACCGTCCGTATCTCCGAGACCCACCCTGTCGCAAACGGTACTACGAGGCCTTCGAGTGGCTCATGCGGGACATGGGCGCCCGGCCACACTGGGCCAAAAACTTTAACACCCTGGACTCAACAGAACTACATCGCCTATACAAGACAGACATGGATGCGTGGCTGAAGGTGCGGCAAGAGGTTGACCCGGAGGGCATGTTCCTGGGCGAATGGCATTACCGCAACCTGCCCCTGGCCGGGCCATCTGACTCGACTGACAGGCTGCCATTGCTAGAGCGCGAGGAGCAGCGTCACAAAACCAGCATCAGCGGCGCGGGTGACGGGCTTGAATGGGTGGGCGATCGCCCATGGCATCGTGCCTCTGCGCCACTGTTCGCCTCCGAGTCTAAGCCGGCCGATCTGCCGGCCGACCAGTCAGCGCCTAGTCCGCCAACCACGGCGACCAGCGAGGAGAGTTTTGATTTGCTTGCCAAAGGTGAAGCGAGCATTCTGCTTCATGGCGCGTGATGTCTCTTTCCAAACCATATAGGGGAAAAAGGTGGGGGATTTGAGCGGAAGAGACAGACATCGGGCTCCCACGGGAGCCCTACGAGGCCCTATAACTGGAGTGGTCGGGTGAGTGGACGGACGGGTTGCGTGCCTGAGAGGACAACAATCATATTTTGAAATTCTCAAATGTCCTGCTGATCTGACATGGATATTGCAGCGATGTTTCAAGCGTCGATTGGATCGTGGGAGTGGACTATTGATGCAGGGTGAATCACCCCCTCCTTCAGTTTGCGCGTGAGGGGGGCTTTTTTCATTCATCTTCACTTTCTCGAGTTGTTATTGCCTCGGGTGAACTTGAACCTGACCTTGAACCTTACCGGTTGGGCCTCGAAGTCGCCGTTCATGGACACCCAATCACAGCTGGTGCTCGGGGCGAGTCTTCGGGGAGAAGGGAGCATCGATCCCAAAGTGGAAACAACTATACGGGCGAATCTTCGGGTACTCAAAAATCAGACAAGCATAATGAAAAAAATACATGACAAGAAAGTCGGTTCCTCGGGGACTCTTTCCATTCTCCCCCCTCTCTATATCCTCGCTCCTTATACGTCTAAGAGTCTCTGTGAGACTCCCTATAGCACGCCGAACTATTTAGATCTGGTCGTTCGATCGCAATCTGGATTATTCACCCTGGTTTCCTATGGGCCTTGCGGCCCTTTACAATCGGAAATGGGGAGGGATTTAAAATGTCGCTAGGAAATAAACCGGCTTGGGTGCCGATACCTTGTAGACTACAATAGACCGCGACAAACTGCTAGACCGTATACAGATGGGGATTCCTACATCGGCGCTGGGCGCCACAGGGCGCATTTTTGGGCCGGCGCTATAATGTGTATGGTCGCGCTGGTCTTTCGTGCTGTCTATTCTATTATTTCTAATCCCTCGCTATATCCCCGTTTCAGGTGTGCCGCACCCGTTGGATCTCCCCGATCGTTCAGGGCGAATATGACCAACCCATATTACCCGGGATGGCTTGCGACACGGGTGGACTTCTGTTCCGCGAGTCAGTCTCTCGTGTCTTGCTTCTCGCCACGACCATCCTGGGTTTCCAGCTGAAAAGAGAGCGAGTGAGAAAGAGAGAGCGCGCCCTGCTGTCTGAGAACCCGCGGCAGCTTTCCCAAGCCGGGCTCTCGAACCTCCCCGAGCAGTGAGTTCGAGCCGGGGTTCAGAAACAATGGATCAAGCAGAGGCGATCAATGCCCATGGCCCGTTACACGTCGGGATGCGTAGGGAAAGCCCTGGGAGCAACCGATCCTGAATGCAAGATGTCAGATGCGAGGTGCACAGCACCGAGCCAGAAAGCAGAGAATCTGCGATCCACGGTCGATCGGCCCGTTTGGATATAGAAGATGTCTCTTGCTCTCCGTTTGGAGGCAGTTGTATGCCGTGGCAAAGGCACTGAAGGTACTAGATATGCTAGATATGCTAGACATGTGGGATATACAGGGTATACAGGGTATACTGGGCTCTGCACCTGTAACAAACAGGTACGCTTAAGGATGACAGATCTAAAGTATCGGAATCACGTCCATCCTTGAGACTCGGAGGCTGGGAGAAAGTATAGGAAACTGTGAATTGGACGAGTAAGGAAAGACTGGTTGATCTGCGCAAACTCTCCGTCTCCGATTGACTACTGCTTATTATTTTTTTTCTACTTCCGACTTGACCACTTCTTCCTTCTCCACGCTCACCTCAGACGGGCTTGCTCCCCGATTTCTCTCTCTTGCACTCTTCTTTTCTCTGGAGAAAGGGAAGAACCGGACAGGTTCCGAGAGAGAGAGAAGCCTGATCTTCCCCAGCTTCATCTTCTCGGCCACTTATCTTGACCTACTGATCGCCTCACGGCTCCCCCCTGCAGACCGAATGGCAACCCCCCGTCCCCCGTGGTCGTCTTCCAGGATCACCCATGGCCAAGGGCATATCACCTCGTACCACGTTTCGGTGCATTAACTGCAAGGATGTCAGGTGATATGCCTGTCGAAAAGACGTACACCGCTTGCTTTCCGCATGGGCCACGCTTCCAGCATGGAGAGACAGGAGTCAATACCCAGGGTCCTGGTTGGCCATACACAGCAAACGAAAAAAAATAAAAATAAAAAATAAATCCACCCAGTGCATCTTTCACAGCCGCCAGGATTGCACGTGTTGGCCCTGGGAGCACCATCGATCAAAACACCGCACACCGCAGCCATCGACAGTGTGACAAAGATGACAAGATGGCATACTCCCCGTTACGCATCGCGATTGCCTGTGCCCGCACGGACTAATCAACCCCCCCCCCCCAGCCGCACCCCCCAATCATCCTTCCTTCAATGCTCCGCCAATCACCAATCATTGTCATCACTTGTTTCCTTCCTCAAGGGAGGGGAAGAGGAGAGACCAGTAGAGGGGTTGTGGGCTTTGACCCTGTACCTTTTCTTTCCCTCGCTGCCCAAAGGATTCAAGACACCAGAGATCCAGCAGCAGGGGCTGTGAAGGATGGTCATGCCCGGATGGCAAGTGGGATCCACTGGCGGCTCGGACCGTGTTCATCTAGCGTGGCTCACGTTAGTGTGTCCCAGCCAAAGCTCGAGGTGCGTGCATTGCTGAAGAATGGTTGTGGAAAATTGCTGGGGAGCTAGCTAGGTAAGGCTCATCATCACGCCCATCACCCTTTGCCAAGCTCAACGGATAATCGAAAGGTTCCCGAGTCCCAACGCCCAACCCTGGGCCCCCATGGGCTGTTCGGTTCCACTCGCCTATTGACGCGCGGGGATCCCTGCGTAGTACCTCCCACAGCCACAGACATGTTGCGAGACACTCAAACGGCCGCCCCCGGTTGGCATTCGGATAGACCGCTCCACGTCACCCCCTCCCCAGGTATCTATACTGTCCTTCGCAGTCGCCCCGGGGGGGGGCGTGACCCATCGGTGCTGATGCGGGGCGAGGACGAGGTTGTGAGGTGGTAGGGGACGAGTGGGTTGGCCCTGGCTTCGATTTTGCACCACAGATTCATCAATGAAAAGCAATGCAATCAAGTCCCTGCGGGCTGAGCTCTGTGGCTGCTGGTGGATTTTGATCCTGAATTCCATATCACCCACCCCACCTGCTCTATTCATCCTTCTCTCCTTCTGCCTGGCCAAAGCTCTCTGGCCTTGCTTTTTTCTCTTTCTCCCTTTCTCTGACTCGGGTCCATTCCTTTCCAAAAGTGTCTCCTCCTTGTTTGACATCTGATCCTTTCTTCCGTCTGTTCATTCCTTTTGAATTCCTCTTCGGCGCGTGGTGTGCGCGTGTTCGGGTGCCTGCGCTGGTCTCCGCAGGAAAATAGCCAACCATGTCCTGGCAGCCAAAGCTTCGGCCCAAGGGCTTCCCACACAGCATCGATGACTTTACCGTAGCTTCACTGTCGGAGCTGGAACATCGCTCGAGGACAGGCGAGGATAAGCGCGACCAGCGCGTCTTCAGGGTCAAGCGGAAGCATGTCCTCAAGGCGTGTGATCGGTGTCGCGTGAAGAAGACAAAGGTTTGTCTTGCAGATTGCCATTCCAACAAAGACGCTAGTTTATACTTACATATTTTCTTTGTAGTGTGATGGGAAGCAACCATGCAATCGCTGCTCAGTATACAATCATCCATGTCTTTTCAGGGAGAGGAAAGCCACGCAGACCAAAGTCTACTCGCGGGGGTGAGTGCCCATATGTTGGCTATTTGGCATATAAGAAGGAACAAACTGACATGAATGCTGTTTTGGCACCAGATTTGTGGAGATGCTCGAATCACATCATTCCCTTGTCGTCAAGGCATTGCAGAAGCTCTACAAGTTCTGCGTGAACAACGAAGGTTTTCCTGGGGAGCCTCTCGCAGAAGCCCCGGACGGACACCCATTGACCCATGCCATCCTCGACCGGCTAGGTTTGATCAAGCAAGCCGAAGAGAATGCCGACGAGCCAGACGAGGACTCCGAAGACCTGCGGTATCTTCGGCTTCTCTCCACTTCCACCGAATGCAGTGCCACGGCAGAGCCATCTCCTGAACCCGCCACTCCACCGGAACCCTCACCCACTACAATTTCCCGCTCATCGATTTGCAATTCACTTCCAACCCCAATGACGAGCCGTAATAATTCCGCCTGGCATTGGGATATGCAGTCTGTTCAGCCGGCGAATTACTACCCCGATCCGAACTATCAGGACATGATTCCCTTGCAGCGGTCCTCACTTAGTGCTACCGACCTAGGCTCTGGCGATATTTCACCACACATCGAAATTCCGGCAGGGACCTCTGTACCGCACGGCCCCCATCCACATGAACAGCAATCCTTTGCGTACTTCCTGGATGGGAGTTGCAATACTGGCCCGGATGGGCAGCCGAGCGCCAAGACCACGGCAAGACTACATACTGGGATCATGCCTGAGACACATACCCACCAGATGGGCATTTTGCCCAGTGACATGTTGGGCGAATTTCAGTTCCAAGCTCAGGAAACCCCATATTACCCTGGTTTCACTCCGGGCTGGACGTTCCCTGCAGCTTAGTTCGGCTTAGATCGGGGATGGTGAAGTTACTGAACTCGGGCCTGTGCGAGTGGATGGGTGGGTGGATTTTTTTTTAACTTCCTATTTTCTCTTTTCTTTCTTCATATCTTTTGGTGACGGCTGCTGCGCTGCGCAGCATTTCAGCCTTTTTTCTCAATTCTGATCTATATTCCCCCTTTCATCTGGGATGTCTCCCTGATTTTTTCCTGATATCCCCATCCCCCGTTCTGGACTTGCTGCATGGCAGGGAAATGACAAGGGTCACTGAAGATCCCTATACCTCTCGATAATTCCACGTTATACTACGTTGGAGCTCAGAGGGACCCCAATATGCAGAATCACGGGTGTTTTTCCTTTTCGAGTGCAATGCACGAAAGTAGCAATTTTACACATTGGATTGGTGTTTGGGACCCTGAAAGGTTGCTTTGGATTGTTATCTTTTTCTGCCCTTTCTTTCTTCTCTTTTTCGCCCTTCCTGCCTATATTCCACTCCGTTTTCTCCCCTTCCATTCTGGTATCTAGCTACAGATACGAGACATGCGCGATCTAAATTTAGGCACTCTTCTGTTTTCTCCCCAGGTTCAAATCAGGTAGACTGTTTATAGATGGGATTGTACTTATACAGGAAGAGAGAGGAGGGGCCGGGGATATTGGGGGAGGGGGTGTTCGGGACATTCAAACATTCAAACTATACGCAGCCACAATAACATTGGGTGGAATCCCTCAGCATCAGCGCTGAGATCAAAGTGAGAAAGGTTTTTTTTTTTATTTCTGCTCCAATGTAAACTTCATCAATTCACGGCTCGAGCATGTTTTCAAGTTCCACATTCAAAACGCCATGCCAGAGCTCCAAATAGCCTAAATCACGCTAAACCCTTGCCTGCATCCCGCCCGGCTCCAGAAATAGCCCATGGACAAGTGCCTCCCCAGGCCTCAGGACCCAACGCCCAAAGTACAGGATCAGATAAGTACGCATCGCCCTACATCCTGTACATGTGTATCGCCTCCCACCCCCCGTCTCCCTTCCTCGAGAACAAGACCCGCACAGAGCCCAACCTACACTACACCCCTGCATCATCCCAGGCAGCACAATGCGCGCCACCGGTCAGTGCGCTCGTCTTGCCGTTCGTGCGCGGCGTCGTACAGCCTGCGGCGTAAAGACCTGACGCTGCGGGCAGGGATGCGGGAGGACAGATCCTAAACCCGCGCGGGAGCGAGCCGAATGGCCAGGTTTGGTGGGTGGGGAGGGAGATGCAGGATGTGGTTTGAGGGGGAGTTTGTGGGAGGATAAATCAAGTTTTGTACTCCCTTTGGAGGTTTCTATTTCTGAGTGGGTTGTTGGTATGGAACATGGGACATGGGAGCCGAGGGGAAGGCTCTGTGCAGCGTGGAGAAAAGGGTGGAAGAGGATGAAGAGGGAGTAAAAGAGGGCAGACAGACAGAGAAAGAAACAGATGCAAAAGGAGACATGAAAATGGAAGATGACAGCCCGAAGATACACCCGATGAGAAATGGAAGAGTTTCGTGCAATGGCAAACCGGGAGAGCTTTCTGTGACCAGGTAGAAAGCCATGGTAGAAAATAGAAAGGAGAAAAAAAAGATAATGATCAAAAAAGAGACGAAGATCCCAGATCGGAGCTAATCAATCAGACTAGCGTCACACCAGTCCCGAGTACAATCCATCAATCAATACACGCTGGACGTGATCAATCCTCATCCTCCGTCTCTGTGTTGGTGTCGCTGGTATCGCCTACGTCGCCATCAGTGTCACTCTCATCACTAGAGTCCTCGGATGCCTTCCGCGTCTTCTTTGGCGGTTGGCCAGTTTTGAGCGCGTGCATCTGGCCGGCGATGGAGTCTAGAAACAAGGAATTTGATCAGCATTTGGCCCAAAGGGATGCAAAGTAAAGAAATGGAAAAGAAAGATAGACAGGAGGGGTAAAAGCTAAGATGCGCGCAGTAATGAAGTAGATAGGCACTTACCCTCATCCGGTTCGCTGATATCGTCGTCCTCCTCCAGTGCGGCCGCCTTGGCAGGATCGTCGATGTGCAAGGTGATTTCCATCTTAGTGTCCAGGCCCAAGTAGCTATCGCAAACCATGTGCATGACGAAAGTGAAGTCGCCGACCTGGGGAGGTGCTTGGAACTGCATCTTAAGCGTTTGCACATTGAATGTAGGCTTGCCGGCCTCGTCGAGGATCGGCTTATCGAAGGTGGTGAAGGTGAACGGCGGTACGGCCATCTTGCCCTGCTTGGCGTCGGCCAGGAAAATGTGCCAGCGCGGGGAGTGATCACGGGCGAAGTAGGGAGCGTGCGCGAGCGGTGGCTGGACAGTCTCGACCTTGGTCTCAACCTTCTTGCCGTCGACGAGCTTGGTTGCGCGGTTCTTCGCCGGCTTGCGGCCCATCAGAGCATCTAGATCTTCCTCATCTGGGTCGATGTCCTCCAGGTCCAGCTCGTTCACAGCCGGCGCTTCGGTGCATCCAGGAGGGATGAACCGTGCCTTCACGACCAGTTGTACCAGACTGCTTGGGGTGATGACCTTCTCGCCCATGACCTTAAAGAACGCCTTAGAAACTTCCAAGGCAGGCAATTGCCGTGCCACCGAGACGGCGTCGGTGTATTGCTTTTCAGACAGAAGACCGGCACCCACTGTAAGCTTGCGGCGTTCCTCTTCGGTCATTTTCATGAACTTCTGCACGCTGAAGTGCTCCTTGGCATGTTCGCCCTCCACAGACTTGACGACAGCCTCAGTGAAGTTAGGTAGCTGCAAAAGTGGCGAAGAACCGGGGGCCACAGCCTGGATCAAATTTTGAGAAGTTTGGAATGCACCGATAATCGGTCGGAGGTTACCAAATGCCAAAGAGATCGAATTGAACGCTTCTTCCAGAGATAGGGCCATCGGGGCAACTTCATATTTCTCTGCAGATTCCAATTAACTTCAAGTCTCCCTTTTGAAGGATCGAACTACTTTCAACTTACCAGAGTCAAGTGTCTCATCGCCCAGATCAATGCGACCCAGATAAGCCCAGAGCAAAGCCAGGGCCTTCCGACGGGACGAGTTGTCCATTTGCTTAAGAGTCTCGCGGTCCTTGGCAGAAAGAAAAGTTGATTCCTCAGCCAGAACTCTCTTCTCCAGTTTTGCGAGGCCTGATTCAGCACGAGCACCCTTGAGCATCTCGTTGAATTCCTCCCCCGAGGACAGCGCATTGATGATGCCACCATCCGTGATATCTTCCTTGTATTCGCGGAAGATGTTGCCAGCGCTGGCAACAAGAACCCGCTCCTTGGTGTACCGCTGCGAGCCATACCACCACTTGCCGACAATATAAGGCAATAGAACACCCAGCAGGGCACCGTAAACCAGAAGAACGTACTTTCCATTGCCCTCCATCACAATGAGCTTGGGGAGCGCAATACCGATGCTGAAACTCTGCTTTCCGTCGGGGTGACCATATTGAAGGTAGTTGTTGCGGATTTCCTCGTCGGTCAACGCCTTGTACGCCTTGGTAAGCTCCACGAAGCGCTGGTTGAGCGTGTCCATGGTTTCATTCTTGGCGGGGTCGGGGCGAATTTTGTCGGGGTGATAAATGAGCGAGAGACGCTTGAAGTGTCGGGAAATAGCTTTTTCATCAGCACTCTGTGTTTTTTTTCAACTGTCAGTCTGGATTTTCTCGTATTGTCGGTGCTGGCAGCTTCAAGACTCTTGGACTGCAACAAAAGATTCCCACACAACATACCCGTGAGACGCCCAAAATTTCATATGGATCATATACTTTAGCGACCGATCGAGCGGTCACCATGATCAAATACACCATCCATGCCATGACAATGTAGCCGATGATTACTGTGACGATGCGCTTGATGCGGCGCTCCTTGCGCAGTCGCTTGCGCTTCTGCGCCTCGACGAGGTCCGCATGCTGGGGTTTAAAGTCGGATATGATACGAGGGGCAGTGTTTTCCAACTCTTTGAGAGTCCTCAAGTCAGTATTCTGGTACAAGACGCGTCCAATGTCCAGGACCGAGGTGATCTGCAGAGTCTCACCTTTGCTTGGGCGGAGGAGGTTGTAGGTGAGTGGAAGAGTGACCAAGCCGCTCAAGGTCAAGATGAAGAAGGGGAAGAATTGTCCCTATTGATACAGAATGCGTGCATGGTCAGTCTATCTGGTATCTCATCCGAGTGTAGCAGAAATCCATTCGTACCTGTTCATCATAGGTGTAGTCTGATGACATCCTGCGGCGAGTTTAGGGCGACAGCGGTGGCCACCGCGGAATTGAAAGATCGTGAGATGCAGGGCTGGAGGGCCTCAAGGAATAGGCACAAGAGAGAAAATCAAAAGGAAAAGTATGAGACCTAAACAAATTGCACTGGCTGCATGGCCCTCAAGGAATAAAGGAGCGTGGAGAGTATCGCACTTCCTGATCTGGTGATGACCGTGTCCTCAGCGAAGCCCACCGCCTGCCCAGAATGGCGGGCAGGATACCCTGGGCGAAGGCGGTGAACAGAGGACAACATTGCGATTTCCTGATCGGGCGCTAGCTTGCGTATTATTAAAGGGTCTGGTGGACTACCCTATGGTCACGTGCCTGAGATGATCTATCTGATCGAGTGATTTCCGTGGTTTCAACTCGAGTCGAACACAGCAGGAGCGCGTTCGATTAAGGTGATGTAGATATTAGCGCGGAAAATAAGCAACGATTGTTATTTCAAAGGAAAGGTCAATATATGAGAGTAGCAGATAAAGTTTTGGACTGGGAATCTTCAGATGATTTTCCTCTCTTCTGGAAATTTACTACCGCCCGGGTTAGTGGTCTAGGGCAAGGAGAGGAAAGAGTTTCTACGAGAGTACCTGCCAAATCACACCGAGACTCGTAATTTCTAGCTGGATCTTTTCGCATTGCGTAAGTGTACAAAAGTTGAATGAGAGATTATCCATTAATAAATTTCTTGGAGTTTTTGTGTATTGAACATGATAGATTGGGCATACGGAGCAAGTGAGCTATTGGACCAATGAAATTCCACTTTAGGTGCAATAAGTAGCGCTGTTACTTCAAATTACCAGAATAATAATGATGGCAAAATCATGGAAGAGAAGTTGCAGACAGGAAAGATTCAATATAATCCAAGATGGGGCAAGATGCCAAGTAATATTTCGTGTAAATTTTTGTACAGGCTATACGGGCCCTGATTATGAACAGGTCCTCAATATATTCCCTATAAACTGGAGAGAAGTGAAGAATGTAATCCGTCGAATGTCTTCTTTTGCTCCAGTATATCCGCTGCCTCGCTGCCACTTTGCTATGACGAAGCTCAGGTGACAGAACAAGATCCGCGTTCAGGAGATGGGAAAAGCCGTCGCAAACTGCCCTCGCCAGTCCTAGCGGGAACTCAAGCACCCCACTGAGTCATCATCGACCGAGACGACTCAAAGTGAGATACGAACTCAACCACTCCAGGGCTTGGCGGGACAAGGGCGCGGGTGACTCATCCAAGTCGGGGACGCAAAATCCGTCAACCAGGATCCACATGGCCGGGTCAAAGGGGACCAATCCGATCGCCTCCAGGGAGACATCTTCATTGCTTCAAGTCGGGGACCCGGGGGGTCCATGGGATCTGGCGTTCTAATCGGGCTTGTCGGGCTCTCGGCGGGTGGGAATCGGCGGAGGAACTCTGAGAGATTCCTGTGGCCGCATTCGACGGTAGATTTTTTTTCGAGTGTGGTTGTTGCATGAAAATCATAAATCATTGCAGAAGAAAATCATCATCGGTTTTTTTTGAGGAATTTTTATGGGGATTTCCGGCTGGTCAGAGAGAGCGTTCAATCTCCCAGCGTACTGTGTCTTGATCTAGGCAGAGTTAGACAAAGACGATGAATCACCAAAGAGTTGGTAGAAACATCGGGTCACTCACGAATCAATATAGTCGAGCCCACCAAAGTACTCCAGCATGCGGTAGCAGAGGCTCACGTCATCGCCCGGCTCGCCGCCGAACAATCGACATCGCTGTGCCTCGAATCCCTCCCCATCCCACTGCGATGTAGTTTCAGGGATCTTCCAGTCCGTAGACCCATAGTGCCAAGTTGGGGCGGAGGCTGCCAGAACCGGAGATCCAGGTGAAATGCATGCAGTGGCGGAACTTGGATGGACGCAAGAGGTTGGTTGAGGGCTCCAGATTGTTGCTATCACTGCCACAGGAGATCCAGGAGGCGGAATTACAGCAGTCAAGGCAGCTGCAGAGGCTTCGTCAATGGAATTGGCACGGTGTGAACGGGGACGAGTACGGCGTCGGTTATGTCGCTGGCCCATTCTCTTCCCGAGATGCTAGGAGAGGAAGACGGGGTTTCTCTGACGGAGGCAAACAAAGAACTTTTGGGTTTAAAGATGGAGGGGAGTGACCATCACCCCCTTGAAAAGGAAGGACGAGATGAGGTAGCGGATCTTGAAGTGTCAGGGGGGAGGGAGTTCTTTATACAAGGTGCCTGATTGCCCTTTGGGTACCCCAGGAGTATGAGTCGGCGGCAAGTGAGTCACTAGTCACGTAAAAGAAAAAAACAGGCCGACCCACAGTGGAACCACCGTGATTCCGGCAGATCACCTTCTGATCACCTCTGGATCACCTTATGGTTTTCAAAAATGGCGCCAAACCCTGGCGCTAGCGCTTGCGCAAGGCGTGATCAGAGTCATTCTGCGACCCCAACCCATCGCGTGATTTTAGACTTATAAAGTCATAACTTCCTTGGGTATATAGCCAAGAAACGAGGTGCTCGCAACATTGGATGAGGTGCTCGCCTATTCTGCTTTGTTCTGGTCATGACGAATTCTTCAGATTCCTAAGTTTTATTCTTTTTTTTTCACCCTTTTACGATGGGGCCTAGAATGCCTGAAACAGGCTGTGCGCAAGAGAGAAAAAAATGACGCCAGGGCGGAATCTCGGCCAGTCGGGCTCTGACAGCTGCGTGGCTCCGATGCCGGGCAGACTCCATTTTTATTGGCGCCGGGCGCCCTTGGGGGTCCACCATGACGAGAGGTGGGGTGTGATTGGGTCGGATTTAGGGGGCGCCTTGGGGGTTTCGGGGGTGTTGAAGGGGGGTGCCGTGCGGACCGAACGGAGATCACATCAGGCAACGAAAAGAGAAAGAAAAAAAGGGAAAAGTATTTCAATGCACGTTTGGTATTTGATCCGGTTCTAGTCGGTTCTATGTTGTTTTCTCAAGATAAAAAAGAAAAAATAAGCAAAAAACGCAACTAGAAGCAAGCGTCTGGACAAGCCAAAATCAGCACCCAAGGAATCTCGGGGAAGCAGCCCCAACTCCGACCAACAAAACCCTAACAAGCCAACCATCGCATCACCAACTACAACCTAACAACTAAACCAACAGGCACAGCTAATAATAGCCAACAGGGTCAGAGTGGAAAGAGTTAACAAAGTCTCCTACCATGGTCATCAAAAAGGCCTATACCATCCAAGCTCACACACCTTCGCTACTAATTACAGTAACCTAAAAAGGGAAGAGAAGGGCGAAAACAAAAAGAGTAAAGAGTATAGACGATGGCTCATTTCTTTGAGTCGGTGAATTCCAGAATGGTGATATGAATAGAATTGACATTTCTATTAGCGCCCATACCAACCAGTGAATCCTTGAGAGTTCACGCTTCTCAATCAATTTGCAAATCCTCCCACTCCATACTTGCAGGGCCCAAAATCACCTCTCCAATGTTCCAATAATTTGAACACTCCCATGTCTTGACTTCCAATCGTGCCTGTTCCCGTGGTCTACGTGGTCTAGAACTACACATTCCAGGCAGTCGTGCCACCTGTCCCCAATTGGCCCCAATAGACACATTCCAAGACCCTCGCATGCCGTTGCCTTGCCGTCCGTGACTTGCATCTAGGCCGTGTCTCTAGACAGCCTCCCGTGCCCTTCGCTCATTTTCTCCCCTCTTTTTCTCTAGCTGAATTGTCAATCTCTGTTTGTGATTTCGACAGCGCTAGCCTAGAATGCTCACGGGCATCTTCTTAGGGATCTATAAAGTAGCCTTCTTTCACCTCCAGAAGAGGAATCAATCGCTCTTTTGCCTCCCCCTTTCTCAGCGCCGATCCTACCTGTGTGGACCACGTTCATGACATTGTCCATTGCACATTCCATTATTCCACGACTTGAAACAGGCTCGACACGTGGACCCTGTCACAGAAATGCGAACATCTTGATCTCAATACTTTCCCTAGCAGGAGCCTCCACTGTATCCGGGTCCACAAATGCTGTGTGAGGCACTGTCATGCCACCCACTTCTGCTTGCTGGCTATCAAATTGCTTGAAAATGAGGGCCTCCTGCGGTTGCTGGCCACCCAGATAGTACCACTGCTGGCCCGGGTTGAACGCATATTTACCCAGTTCATTCCACCTATCAGGCAGTAACAACCGATTTGCAATCCGGTCTTGCTGCCAATCCAGTGTGCGCCAGTCACAGACAGCCAGCGGGTCGCGCTGCACCGTCTTCAGGGGTCGCCAGACGTTGATGATCAGCACCCGCCCGCCTATCAAGCGAGCCCGCTCGGTGTCATCCCTAATCACCGATGACAGCTGCTGGAGGGCTCCCGCAGGGGTAAAATCGGAGTGCACACTGTGAGCAGGTGCACGGTTATCAGCCAACAGGGCCGCATCCGCCGTGAAGCAGCGCACCCGGTGAGCAAAGGTGATTGTTCGTGTGGCGCCCGTTCTGACATCCAGGGATAGTTAGCGAATAGCAAACAGCACAGTCAATAGGTGGATATCAGCCCACAAAAATGACAGCTCTCTCTCAACGCATGCATGTGCACTTACACTTTCCGCACTAGCTCCTCTGTTTTAGGAATGATGACAGACTCTACGCGTGCTGGGTCGGCCGCACCTTCAATCTCGGGCAGGTCATGCCACACAAACTGAAACCCATTCTGGTCCAAACAGAATTCAGCCTCCTGGCCTCGAACATCTTGCACCTGGACTTGGTGTTTCTGGTCTGGTGCTGTGATCGCCATCATGCAGTCTTTCGGTGAGGCTTTTGTGAAATCCACCACCAGCTGTTGGTCGGGCATCCGGTTCCAGAAAACCAGCTCTGTCTGAACATTTTTAGATATAGCAGCTGCCATGGTGTTCAAGTAATAGCAGAGTAACGAGGAAATATATAGAATGCTCCACTATAGTGAGCACTGCCAAAGAAATACAGCCCCATGTAGCCCGGGGGAGGCCAGGATATTTGAGTCGTGTCGATCTGCAGCAATAAGGAGTACCGGCATGCCTACTATCCGATGCATTGACATAAATCAGTGGGTTTTGCCTGTACATTGCACCACATAGGCTTCGTTGATTGAAAATCATTCCCCTTCTGATACGTGTAAGATGTGTCCCGTTTTCCCCTATGGGTATGGAGTACGAATACGAAGCCGAAGCCGAGCGATCGACGTTGTTCGTATGCGTTCCCACTTTCTGTCTCTTCCGAGTCAATTCATGGCCATTCTAACCTCAACCAATCAGGGATTTGACCCAGTAGCTCCAGGCTTCTTCCTCTACTCTCATTTATCATCAATGCCATCGCATGCTGCGGGCTTTTTTTCGAACCTTGGCATGGATGCTTTGGTTTTCGATACCGAGTGCGATGGCTGTAGTAGTTTTCGCGTTGGCCTTTTTTCTGAACGTTCTTATGTATTGCATAGGGTTTGGAAAATCTGTACTTGCGGAAATGTTTAATAACGGTATCGATCTTGAAATGTGGGAGCGATCTGCGCTACAGATCTACGTGCCGGTCATAGATAATCAGCCCATACAGCTGTATAGATACCCCGAAATCAATGCCGATATATGGGGAGTTCTCGAGACCGAGATGCCATCGTAGGGAGAGTGGCTAGAGGCTGATCATCAAAAGGGACTTTTGACGTTGAGTGGAGGATTTTGCAAAAATCTGCAGATGCCCTTGGTCAATCGATTCTGTTTGTCGAGTAAATGAGCCGTTCTGTTGGTTTTCACTGACTTATGACCATCATCCCTCTAAAGCTATCCTAGATGATTCCGTATCATACATATCATCATACGAGGCCTTGGTTCTTCCAAGCGCTGCTTGTTTAATGTTGCCTGAGTAGTAGATCAAACTGACATCCCCTTGTAGAAGAGTACCCTTGATGGAATATTTGGTGTTTTCTCTCCACGTCAAGAGTGGAGTTTGAGGTTGATTCTAGAGCTAATCCTATGAGAATCGAAAGTAAAGGTACTATAACAATCAGTCAATATGGTGATCTGCTCTTCTACTCAGCCTCTGTGTCTTCACATCGGCCGCATTCCCTGACTGTGTCTTCGTAGCTTTCTCTTCAGCTCCGCCCGCTTGATTTCCTTGCGAGCCGTGGAGGTAGAGGGATTAGGCCCATTCAGAGTCGTATTGTAGATAGCACTGCTATCGAGTACTTCAAAAACGATCGTGCTGTTTCCCTCGCGGTAGTCGCTTGTTGGGGTACCCACAGTGTGGTAGCCGCCGTGCTGCGTAACCTTCCTTTTTCCAGTCGCGATATCCTTCTTCCCGAGCGCTCTCTCAAAGAACTCCAGGGCAGCTAGGGGCTGGTAGAATGGGACTTCATGACCCGACTCGTAAATTCGCACAAAGGCGTACAGGTCGCTTTGCCGAACTTGGCCATGGACAATTCCATCTGACGTGGTTAGATTCACGAATCCCGCCTTCTTGTAACCCGGAGCGTCGATTTCTTCTGCGACAACTTGTCCACCAAGCCAATTGCAGTTAAAGTCACTAGTATCCAAATTAGTCACGATTCCACAGCTCTTAGATAAAACAGAGCTTACGCATCCCCGAAATACATCACGACCTGCACACCCGCCTCCAATAGCTTCTTCATATCCTCGATCGTATGAGACTCACGGTCATCATCTCCTGTGCTGCTGAATCCGTTTCCGACCGTATAGGAATATTCGGAAAAGTTTTGGTATGCACCAATTGCCGCTTGAACCTTGGGGCTATTGAGGTAATCCACGTAGAATTCGTAGGGAAATGGGTCGGGGGTCAATTCGCGCATATCGTACTCATCGCGTCCAGAGTAGTTATCATACATCGATTCCACTTTATTGGCGCAAAAACTATCTGCTGCCGCGCAGATGTCATTTCGGCCTGTAGCATAGCACTCCAGCGTCTGGTCGACACAGTTGCCCTTGCCATAGAGGTTGTTATACCATTCTGCCTTCACCGAAGCGTTGTATGGGTCATAATCATATGTGTTACCGGGGTAAACGGAGAAGTTATAGTAGGCTTGATATTGGATCAGAGGGTCGAACCAGCCATTTCCGATGAGAACTGTCTCAAGCTCAATATTGATGGCACCGGGGATCTTTTTCGAGTTCTGCTCCAGGAAATACTCTGTTCAAAGTTAGCCTTTCTTCGACTATGCATCTCCAAGAACTCAACTCTTACCGTTGAACACGGGGCCATAGTGGCCTCCATAACTCTCCGTAGCAAAATTGAAACCATTCCTTGAGTACTGTGGGAAAGCTCCCATGAACCCTTGCAAAGTCTTCCACATGTTTGGGGCCGCTCCTGCTGTCGAGTTGGGGACCAAGGCTATATCCGACTTGGAGTACGTGCCGCATGTACCGTAAGACTCGGCATAATCAGGACATGTCTCATCTGGCAATTGAATAATATTACCGTCAGAATCCTGATATGCTGGAACAGGAATCGTATATGATAATCCAACCGTAGTCGGCTGGTCAATGAAAAGCTGATGCATTACAGTGAAATTAGTCGAGTTCATGGCCCAGCATGGCATATGAAACTCACCATATTGCTCACGTTACTCCACGAATAAGGGTTGTTGTACACATTGCCGTCATAATCAACTCCGCATGGGCCAAGCTCTTGGAATAATCCAATCATTGAAGATGACCCCGGTCCTCCGTTTATCCAGACAGTGAGAGGGGCCTAAATTGGATGTTGGTCACAGCTCTGTTTAAAGTGTTTTAAAACGCATGAAAACATACATCTTTAGGGTTTCCATTTCGAGTCTCAAAAAACCACCTATATATGTCAGCCGATTGAAACTAGACCGGAAATGCTGGCTTAGTCACTATACGCGATCAAAGCAGAATGTTGATTTTGGCTCGTGTGCTCTTTCGAAGATTGAAACTGAATACATCACCATGCAATGTATCAGGCAAAAATGCTTACCAGAAAATGTGCTGATTATCATCAACATCGGCATAGCCGGAATAGCTCTTGACACTTGCGTCTTGCTCGCAGATTCCAGCCGGAACCTCTTTGTATCGGACATTAATACCAGCATGACCTTCCTTCTTGATCAAATCGGTCGGTGCCGGCACAAATTGAGCTGCAGCATACTGCGCGAACAAAACCGCTGCTACCGACACACTCGTATAGGGCCCCATTTTACCCAATGAAAATTCGATCAGACTGACCAGGCGAGGAGCCCAGGCCCTTTACTGATCTTAAATAAAAACAAACAAAGGACAACCCCGCACGGTTGGGGATCGATCGGCGATTCTATATACCTCCCGTGCATCTCGCTAGGATCAATCCGGAAGGTAGGATCCATAGATTACTCACCGACCTCAACTGCGCCAATTGGACCAGGAAATAATGGGCCTTATCTATGATCCTTTTTCGTCCAATGTAGAAATGACCCCGACGGATCTCCGACTTCTTCGTCAGCCACTCAATATTACCCCTGAACTACAATAGTATTACCTCTTTCCATCTGGTTGAGAATTCTTCCGGCTGTCCTGGATGAATATCAACATCTAAATCAAGCATCTCCAGCCGAATTCTTATTGGAAGATTTACCGCTCCTGCTAAGCTATGTAGCTACTGGGGTAAGGTGGGAATCCCAAACAAGTTTTAGAAACAAGAATCGACCACTATACCCGATAAATGGCAGTCTTTTATCGCACAGGTCCAATCCAAAATCAGGTTTTGTTCGAGAGGGCTCCTGAGACTGGTCTATGGTGCTCATCCCATCGCTCATTGGCGATTTCAAGTTTAATTAGTGGGGGCCCCTGGTAATCTACAGGATTTCCCCTCATGCCCCCCCCCCCCCCCGGCTCCTCTGAGATCCTGTCTTAGCATTCTGTCAGATCTGTATAGGTACAGGGCATTTTTACGCAGCAACGCCAATGCGAGCACTGATATGTGAGTGCCGTTGTGACAGAGTCAGAAGATGTAAAGGTGGTCATATTGGTTATCCTCTAAACTAGCTGAGAAGGTGCCATAGGGTCAGGTGGCCTGGCTTGGAGGGTAACAGCCGTATTAGACAAACTTTTATGATATTATTTGTGAGATAAATTATGCCGCTAACTATTAATCATTTTCTCGTATTTATTGACTATGATACATGTGTATGCATTACGATCATCTCCCAGCGATATTTGAGAAAGGTTTGTCCGCTTATATTTCCCAAGGTCACCCTCAAAATACTAGTATTAACAGGAACCTGGAATCTAAGTTTGAATCATATTAATACAATTATTTTGAAGGGTTATATATACATACACCTAGCATGTTCTTCTATTCGAGCATAGATTGTCTTTCTTAAAATAATAATAATAATAATAATAATAATAATAAACGATGCTTTCCCGTACTTCATCGGGCAAATCAAGTTATCCTTCCTTACGTACGTATTATGCCGTCGGCTACAGTAACCGCTCCCCCGCTTCCCGCCACGAAAAAAAAATCCAGAGAATCAACGATCGCCGATCCACTTCAACCCCTCCATTCTGCTTTCGACTGAGTGCCTACCTTCTCCGGCAAACAAGATCTTCAATATGAGTGACGACGGGAACAGAGTCATAGCAGAGGACGGGGATAAGGTCTCCATCCACTACACGGGCTGGCTCCACGATCCGAAAAGCGCCGATAAGAAGGGCAAGCAGTAAGCTGCACATTACCCCGATGACCGGTGAGGTCGGTATTTGATTTCTGTGGAAACTGACCTAGATCAATAGATTTGATTCTTCGAGGGCGCCTAAGCGTGGCCCTTTGCCCTTCACGCTGGGGGCAGGTCAAGTCATCACAGGTAACCTCTTCATGCTGATTCTATGGGAGGACTCTTATGTTTATTTCTATATCGTTTGGGCTTGCCAATCTTACCACGAACTGGATCGCTAATGTTGTTTGACAAGGCTGGGATAATGCAATCAGGGGCATGGCCGTGGGTGAAACGAAGACAAGATTAGTTATCGAACCGTCAGTTTTCTCCTGGCGAACAAGGCAATTTGAGAATCTACTAACGTTCACTTCTAGGAATGATGCCTATGGCACTGAGTATGTTGAAACGAACTATCTGAATAGTTCTTAATATCGCCACCTCGAGATGTTCTAACATTATCCTTCTACACAGGCGGAAGGGCAAAATTCCACCAAACTCTAGGCTCATCTTGTAAGTCCATCATTATGCAAAATCAATGTCCCCTTTGTTCAAGAACTGAATGATTCACAGTGATATCGAGGTCACGGAGGTCACCAAGGGGAAGAAGTGATTTGATTGAATTGGCGGCCATGCTACTGGTTCTGCAAGATGGAACTAAAGTGAATAAATCAAAGTTAGGAAGGCAATGACTTTTCGTTCCTTTCTTTATTGATTTCAATACAGGGTTCTGATTGTAAAATTGAAAAAAGAAACTAGCCATAATCGTTTTCTGGGAGCTGAAAACGGCTACGCTTCCACCCTTCCTTCCCAGTTGGCGTAGAAACGCGAAAGAACGAGAGCAAGAGTAAATACACGTTTGATTCAATTCGAACTGCTATTTTGTTGATTTTTCAGATAGAGGTATTCGAGAAAAAAAATGCAGTGTATCGATAATAATAAACAAAATAATAGTAGTAAAAAAGTAAATGAATGAGAATGTGATGATGATGGATGGATTGAATGAAGTAGGCAAAATGACAAAAATGAAATGCCTCCAAGCCGATTCGAACGACTGACCTTTGCATTACTAGTGCAACGCTCTACCAACTGAGCTATGGAGGCTTCAGTTGATATGTGGGCCTGAGAACTTGACTATATAAATGTTACCCACTAAGTTTATCTTGAGTAATCATCCTCTTATGGACTGGACCGATATTTTGGAGTTCTCTTCTGTTGTGTCAAGCTTAGCTCTTACAACATTGGCTTGAAGCTATGAGTGGTGACTCGTCATATAACCATCGCTCGTGGGAGAAAGGTAAATTGATCCCTTTAGGTGGTAGATGTAATCCGAATATATATAATATAACCTACTATGATTGACTATGTCCAATGGGCTTATCCTCGACCCTCTCAACGAGAATACGAATATATCCCCCCCCCCCCCAAAAACCAAATCCCTACCTTTTCCTATCGAAGGTTGAAATCCGGGTCAACATAGACAAAAAAAAAGCACCGAAATACGACCAACTTGGATGGGTGAGATTGGCTGCTTCAGTAGGAGAAGCTGTAGTAAATACATTACACCCATGACCCGAGGTTGCATATACGACTCCTCCATCTGTATGACAGCCACTGATACCATCAAGAAGACTAATCCGAGATACCCATAGGGTGTTCCATTTATAATATGATATACCTATTGACCCTGAATATCTACCCTTTGCATGGAAGCTTGAATTATGGCAAGCATTTCTTCTCCCTTGGGAGCAGTTGTGAGGTTTTCATAGCCATTCGCGGTTACCAAAATATCATCTTCGATGCGCACACCACCGATATGGACATACTTCTCAGCAACATCAAAGTCAATGTATCGAGCGAGTGGTTGCTTGCGAGCATTCGCGAGAGCCAGAGATGAAAAGTAGAGGCCCGGCTCCACGGTCACGACCATACCTTCCTCCAACAATGGAGCAGACATTGTGCAGGGTGCAAGACACACCGCAGGATTTAGAACGGCCCCGTATTGGTCGTGATCAAAGTCGGGATGCAGCGCCATGATGGAGGATTCTGATACATCGTGTACTTCGAGGCCAACGTGATGGCCAAGACCGTGGGGGAAAAGACCTTCGATGCACCCGATGCACGAATCTCAGAATGGGAGCCGCCTTTCAAAACCCCCAAGGCGAGGAGCCCATCAATGGCGATATCGTGAGCCAAATCATGCAGAGATAAGAAGCGAGTGCCCCGTCGAATTCTTTTAATACACTCCTCTTGCATAAGCTCAACTAGATGATAGATGTCCGCAGTGTATTTGCTGGGCCACTGACTAGATAGAGGGAATGTTCGTGTCACGTCGCTGGCATAGCAGTTCCACTCTGCGCCAGCATCCAGACAGACAAGAGGCTTTTTACTGAGAGATTCATTATTTCGGGCGTAATGTAGAACCGCCGCGTTCGGCCCCGACGCCGCGATAATCTGATATGCCTGATTCCGAGCTCCGTGTGAGATGCAAGTATCAAGGAATAGGCCTTCAATCTGGGACTCATTAGACATCTCGGTAATACTCTCCAGAATTTTCCGGTGCGCAAGCCCAGAGACTTTATTAGCCTGGCGGATCATGCGAATTTCATGTTCATCCTTGACACCCCGCGCGGCATCCATAGCTGGCATAAGCTGCTTAGTGTCTAGCGGGAGCTCTGCAGGCAACCCTGTGGGAGTCTCCGATTCATGTACCATGTAAAGCAAGCTGTTCTGGACCCGTTCGATCAACCATGATTCTAACTCTGCCCTGAGAGATGACTGATATAGAACTCGATCGACATCATAGCGATCCTGCGCATCCTCACGCGATAAAGTTGGGCCCATCCAGATCGCTTGATGAAGGTCGAAATCCGGCACATACAGGGTCAAGGTATCAAATCCAACATCGTACGTGAGAGTGCAGTCAGGCTCATCCACGCCACTAAGGTAGTAGAAATATCGACGTTGTCGGAACGGGCGTGATTGGTCCGAGTCGCGCCAGTTGATTGTGGGCTGACCGGCGAGAAATATCAAGCCGTGGGAAATTCCGAGTTTGCGGGCAACTTTGCGGGCATGTTGTTTGGCTGGGGAGGCACAAGGAAACAATCCGGATCAGCTTCGCGTCGATAAGATCGGACGGTCGGGCTTCCGCAGACCAGGAAAGGCGGATTGCTGGAGGGCGCCAAAGGAGTCGCGATAGTTGGTTGACCTTGCGGAATGCCCCTGAACCTGGGCGAAAAGGAGGTGAGACGTACCTGGGTATTTATCGCAGGAGGTGCCTGAGACAGCAAGACGAATCCGATAGGCGTCAACGGAGTTGATGATGACATCGACTCCAGGCGGGCCTGCCAAGGAGTCGAGGGAAGCGCCGGAGGGCTTCGCACGCATTGTCTGATTACGGCACAAGAAATGAACACTAAATGCCAAATGAGAGGGGTCGCCCCGAGCCACGCAAGGAGCCACGAGGAGAAGAGGGAGGGGGAAAAGGGCGAGAGGCGAGAGGAGAGTGGAGAGAAGGAGGCTTATCCTGAGTAGGGATGGCCCGTCTGTACGACCCCCTCGGATACCGCCATTCCAGATGACAGGTTCAGTATGGGTCCCAGGGCGCGGGCTGCACCAACGAACTTAGAGAGAAGGACACATCCGATCCACGATCCTGGGTCTGCAGGAGGAAAAGGAGTCCAAATTCAATGGACTGGACCTTGCAGGTAGCGCGCGCCCAAGAGTAGATAAATCGGTTGGAGTCACATCGTTGGGTTGGGAAAGTGGTAAGTTGTGCCGGAAGCGTCTTAGATAACCCCGGGCGCTTTTATCCGCCCGCGCCCACTTGATCTCACTTGATCTGCTTCGACCATCACCGCCTCAACCGCCTTCTCTCTCTCTCTCTCTTGATCTCCCCCTCTACCCTCCTCGCACATTCTCTTCCTCTCTTTTTGGCATAGATCGTGGTGACTATATCGCCTCTCTCATTCTTCGTCAGTCAATGAACGATGCAGAGCCTTGAGGCATCGGGCCCCGATGCGCTCGCTGGCCTTCCCTCTACGCTGAGAACGGTGATAGGCGGCAGCCCGACGTCACCGCTCGGGCTCGCCGTCACTGAGACCGTCCCAACCGTGGTCCAAACCGCATCCTCCCTGTCTCGACAACAGATACAAGAGAATTTACAGCATGTCATTTCAAGTCTTTCCTCCGACGATGGTGGTGAACGCCTTCTTGCCGCCGGTGGCAACTCGTCCGGCTCGACCGGGAAAGGCATCTTAATCGGTATTCTCTCTGCTTTTGGCTCGGCGGCTGTTGCATTCATCGTCCTTGCGATTTTCTTTTTCTTCAAATATACTCGCCGCGGGCGCATAATGCTCGACCGCATTGGTCGTCCGGGTGAATATGATGACGAACAAGCATTTGCGCGCGAAGAGGAGGCAGCGTTGGAGACGATGGATGATCTGACACGGTCAGAATACCTGCGAGCAAAAGGTAAACACTTTCTTCTGGCCTGGAATATTGCGGGCCTTGGGTTACCTTGTTGTTCTTACTGATCTTTTTCATGTAGCATTTGTCCAAGCCAATCCCCCAGAGTCCATGCAAACCGATATCTCGTTATCACAGTTCCTTGCCATCCAAGAGAAGGGCGTCTCCGCATGGGAATTTCAGCCCGAACTCGAAATCGCCAACTGTTTCGTGGAAGGTCGTACAGAGATCGAGTTTTTCGATTCTGAATGTAGTGTCCAGACCAATCTGCCCATTCCCAAGCAGAATGAGGTCTACTACTGGGAAGCCAAGATCTACGATAAGCCCGAGTCCACAATGATTGGTGTCGGTCTTACCACCAAGCCATATCCTCTTTTCCGAATGCCTGGTATGTTACTAATATTCCGTTCCAGCATGAGTGATGACTGGGGGAGTTGGTTCGGTCCGCTAATTGCTCTAGGCTTCCACAAAACCTCCGTTGCCTATCAATCATCTGGCCATCGCCGACACAACCAGCCATTCATCCCGACTTCATATGGTCCTCCACTTCTCCAAGGCGATGTGATCGGCGTCGGTTACCGCCCGCGATCAGGTACAATATTCTTTACCCGCAACGGCAAGAAGCTTGAAGATGTCGTCCACAACTACCGCACTCAAAACCTGTTCCCCACGGTTGGCGCCAACGGTCCCTGCAGCGTCCACGTTAATTTCGGCCAAATGGGGTTTGTGTTCATTGAGGCTAATGTGAAGAAATGGGGTCTGGCCCCCATGACGGGCAGCCTCGCACCGCCGCCACCGTATGGAAGCGAGCAAGGCAGTATTTTGTTGGAGTCAGGCCGAGAAAGCGCGGCTCAGATTTCACAGCGGGTCTATCAGACTCACACTGCAAGAAGCTCCAGTGTCGGGATTTCGCCGGCGGTCAGCCCCGGTCCAATTCGATCGCCAACCGATATCTCCCTTGCTCAACTCGCTCATATTCCTTCTAACGAAGATGCTGGCGAGGGCTCCAGCCGTATTGCGGTCGACGAAGCTCCCTTGCCTGGGGAGCCAGATGAGCATGGGATTCTTCCTCCAGAGTATTCCAGCCCGGGAAGCAGCCGCAGAGGAAGCGATGCGTCTTTAGAATTTCCCCCATCTCGTGCCTCTGCACAAGCCAGGCCCCCTCCGGATAACTCGGCCGAGCCGGACTCTCAAAACTTGCCGAGTTATCAAGCCGTGATTGATCGAGAATTGAATGATTATCATTAAAGCAACACCTCAACTCGCCCAACACCCCGCCTTTTTTTTTGATATGTCCTCGCTTTGAACATAAATACCCTGGCATGGTCTATCCAATGGTTTTGAACAGGACTTAACTCTCACTCAAATTATCACTTCTTTGACGTTCTTACTAGCGAGTCCACGGATGGCGTTACAGCAACTTGGGAGGACTGGTTGATAGGATTTATCTTTTTGTCTTCTTTTTTTCTCTCCCCGGAATTTTTCTTTTTGGTCTGGAATGGAGTGGGTTTCATGTTGTCAATGGACCATGTAATCCATGGAATCCAAACGAAGTCATGTGTAAGGGCTGCAGTCTCTGTCTTTTTCTTCTTCTTTGTTGTCTCTCCATCTTTCGCTCTCTCCTGCTCTTGTTATATCCCCGTTGTCGTAAGCAGGCCTGTACATTGTGTCATCTACCGCGCGTTCCTATACTCCAGAGAAGTCTCTGCTACCCACGCATTTAGCACTAGCAACTATTCAATCTTGCTATAATGCTGTCCTGGCTTCCCAAGGGTTCAGATTGAGGTTGGGATCAAATACCAAAATGTAGCAGATGGATAATGAAATGCGTAAGCCCCAAGATGGCCGAATTTGTTGGCGTTATCAGACTGGCTGGTACCAAATGGAAATGATCCGGCCAAAGGACTGTCAACCCTATCGGAGGCTCCAGAACAGCCCACAGCAGGAGTTCTTCAGGCGGAACGGCACGTCATTGATCGACTATCGATAGCCCCGATAGCCCCGATACCATGCCCCTTCTTATCGGCTCCGCACTCTTTGTTCCTGCGCCCCCTCCCACTTTGTCCATGAAATAGCTCCTAAAACATCTCTCTCCCGGAGGAGCATTTCCTTCCGCCAGGACTCAGAAGCGATGCCGCCGGCGTTCTCCGGAGTAAGCAACAGTGGCTGACTTTGGGCTCCATGCGCACATTGGGGTGGATGCGCCAAGGCCAGCCCCCAAGTGCCCCGGAGCTCTTTGATCGCTGTCCATCCTCCGCATATTTATCTTCTGCGCCTTCCCCGTGAGTCTCAAACCTCTACGAGATTGCCTCAGAGACAGCTAGATAGCTAATTGAATCGTGTGTTTTACAAGGGCCCGTGGCGTATCAGTCGTTGTGTTAGAAAGCCCCCGCGGAATCACACAGCTGTGCGCGAATCGCTTGGGCCGCTCCAGATCGCATTGCCCTGATATTAATCCGGGCGCCATATATCCAGCTGGCTTGCTGCAGGACAGGAAGACTCTACCGACGTGCAAATAAAGTCTCACCCCGTGCTCTTCTCCAATCAGTGCCAAGCTTCCTGGGTTTCGCCTGCAGTAGTGCCTTGTCCTACGCTGCACCGGGCGCCTCACGGTAGTACAAACCGGGGAAGGTCCACCACGAGTGGGGTTCTTTCAGGTGGTAGGAGACTTTTATCTGCACCTTCAAACCTACCTTGCAAACTACGGAGCCGGTATTACACTCCAGAGAGTCCTTGCTTCCTTCTGCATTAAGCACGCGACACCGCCGGCTCCCCCTCGTTGCTGCCGCAATCTCCTCGACTCTTACACATTTCCGGCACACATACACAGGTATCCGAGCTGCAACCTTTCTTTTGAAGCAGTCCAGATCACAACTTTTTCTTGGTTTGGTGCACCTGGCCTTGGCCTCACTGTCGGTGTTAGCCGCCCGTTCTGACTGATCTGTTGCCGTTCGACCAATCGACAAGCGCTATTCCCGTGAGACAGACAGTTAGAGGTTTTGAAGTTGTTGAAACTTGACTCTTGTTGAGATTCAGACGCCAAAAAACCCTCGGCCATTTTCTGAGCCGACCATTTGAGGGCTAGATTTCCACAAGCCGTGTTTCAAACAACCATCAAAACGTCGACATGCCGGAAACGACGAAAGATAAGGCGGCTTTCGAAGTCATTGTTTTGGTGAGTATGTCCATTGCCCGCTACCACCCGCATGGGTCATGTGGAGAACGAACTGTCAGGGATCAGCAATCATTACCCCTCCCCCCGCCTCTGGCTCTTGTTTCCCAATGCTCAGCAATGTGGCGCTAGTTCCGGGTCCTGGCAGATAGAGCCCTGCATGTTGAATGGATAGGATTGTTGACTCTATTTAGGGGCCAAATGGAGGACCACGTGAGGATAACGTCACTGGGCTTCTTGTGCGCTCGACGGCCTTGAATTGGTCCCCTGGTTCAGTTGTTGCCGTTGATGCAGGAACTCTCCTTGCAGGCATTATCCGACTGCTGAACCAAGCTGTCCCGAAGGCGGTGGACCATAAGATAGTGAATGGACCTTTCAGTGGCCTGGAGCTGCCATTCAAAACCGCAGAGGCAAATGCAGCCTATATCTTCCGAGACATTATTGGCGCCGTTCTTATCACACATCCCCACCTGGACCATATATCGGGGCTGGCGATAAACACACCAATCCTGGAGGCGGGAAACGGGCCGAAGCCCGTGGCAGCTCTGCCCTCAGTTCTAGCCGCTATCAAGAACCATATGTTTAACGATATTATTTGGCCTAATTTGTCCGATGAAGATGGGGGTGCTGGTTTACTCACTTACCAGCGCTTGGTTGAAGGCGGGAATAGCAGACTTGGTAGTGCAGGGACCCGAGGATATGTTCGTGCTTGCAACGGTCTGTTGACCAAATGCCTGAGCGTCAGTCATGGCCGAAGCAAGCAACGTTACCACGCTGAAAGCGGCGCACACCATGGAACTGGAAGTGCTGTGTTTGACCAATACATGCTCCAACACCGGGGCTCTTTAGACCAGTCTGATGGAAGGTAAGAGAAGACCCGATGTCAATTTCTTTTGAAGAAGACGACAAGTCGCTAATTCCTAGCCAGCTCTCCACGTATCGGGTCTAGCGGCGCATCGAACGAACCTGCTATGGCAACCGTTGAGAGTTCCGCTTTCTTCCTCCAAGATAACAGCACTGGCAATGAGATCATTGTTTTTGGAGACGTCGAGCCGGATACAGTGGCACTTGAACCCCACAACAGGCTCGTCTGGAAGGCCGCGGCTCCCAAAGTCGCGGCCGGTACATTGCGCGCTATCTTCATTGAATGCTCGTACAATGATAGCATCGATGATGCCTTTCTATACGGCCACCTCTGCCCACGACACCTGATCGCTGAATTGAAAGTCCTGGCTGATAAGGTCATGGATGTGCGCGATGGAATAGCTGAACGTAAACCAGAGCCCAACTCCAACAGCACGGAAACGAGCCCGTCAACAAAAAGAGCCCAAAGTGCTACTGGAGCTCGAGTATCTTTTTCCGACTCTCTTGTGCTAAGCGAAGAATTGGACCAACCAGACCCAGCCCGCTGGGCCAAAGAGATCCATCCACCACTGAATTGCCTTTCTGTCTACATTATTCATGTCAAGGAGACCCTTTCTGACGGTCCGCCTCCAGGCGAACGCATTATTAAGGAGCTCCAGGCTCACAGTAGAGAAGCACATCTGGGGTGTGATTTCTTCCTTCCAAGTACGACTGAACCTATCTGGATTTGATGCACGGAAGGGTTGACGGTGGCTCTTTTTCATTATTACTTTTGTTTTTATTTTCCATTGCCCCTTTTGATGGAATTACGGCGGTCTTTTGTTTTTACAGCTTATCATGGGACCATGAGTAGGAGCAGGGGTTAGAAGGCGGCTGGATTCGTTAGGGAGTTTTCTCATTTCAAAGTTTATGATCACCTGGAGGGAATCTATGCTTCAGCAACTCACGAAGGCTTTCTGGTATTGAAAGTCACTCACGTAGCAAATTTAATTAACCCATTACTGTAGTCAAGCTATTGATGCTCTCATTGATACCTTGTACTTCAGCATTGCGAAAGCATCTCTAAACAAGGCGAGCCCCAAAGAACATCTCTTCAAATTAACCGAGAATATATCAAGAAGGGCACTGGATAATACTAAGCTGAACAGCGACCAATAATTAACTTGTAAGATAAAATGTTCATAATGTACATTATCAAGCAATTTGACCCTCCTGAGCTCTCGCAATGACGTCTTCCCAAATTGAGTCATTGGCAGAGGGTGCACGTAGCCCTGTAGACACATTTTCTTCATTTCCGGCCGGGGCTTTGTTGGCGGGCAAGTCCAAGATCCCTTCACCGTCACGAGCAAAATCAATCAAGTCCTCTTCTGTGCCCCATTCGCCCATCGCCATCACACCAATTGGAACACCACTATCCTTGGCATACCCTGCAGGGCAACTGATAGATGGACACCCGGTGAAGTTGGCGAGCCAGACATACTCCATGTTTCGGACAGATGTTGCACCGTCAGACAGGCCGCGTGAAAGGTCTCCTTCGCCGCTGATATGCCAGCCCGGCAGCGGGGTCGTCGGCGAGAAAATAATCAGCCCGGGATATGTTTCGAACAGGTGTGCTAGGTGCTGCATGAGCAGGTTGCGCAGGCGTTGGGATGCGAGGAAGTCCTGGGCATTGATTTGGTACGTGCCCAAAGACACGAAGACCTTGTTTGGAGCCGTCAAGTGCCGGATCTGACGGGCATCTACGCCGGAGGCGATCTCGGCCATGATGGTGAGCACGTGTGCGCGCTGGCCTTCGGGGACATAAGGGATCGTTATATTCACTATTTCGTATCCCCGCTGGCGGTAGTATTCGAGGGCATTGTCGAAGACAGAGCGTACGGCGGGCTCAGCACGGTCGATCCAGTCGCTAAAAATACCGATAGTTTTGGCTCGCTGCCGGTCAGAGGGTAAAGGGATTGGTTGGGGAAACTGGGAGGATATCGGATCCTGCGAGGCGGGGGCTGGAGTGGCCATTATGCGATAGGCGAGAGCGAGATCATCTATATTAGAAGCCATGGGGCCGAGGACACCAACACTTGGTGCAAGACTTAGAGAAGGGGCGCCAGAGACGCGGCCGTGAGTAGTCTTGAGACCCCAGATACCGCAAAATGAGGACGGGATTCGAATTGAGCCGCCGCCGTCAGCCCCGAGTGCAATGGGTACCAGGCCTGCGCCAACAGCATAGCCAGAGCCCCCCGAGGAGCCGCCACAGTAGTAGGTCTTGTTGTGGGGGTTTCGAGGAGTTCCGTAGTTCGGATTGTTGTTGTTCGTGTCTGCAATTATAATGAGCGTTTTTGACACCGGCAGAGAAGCAACAAAGTCAATTGGACTTACCAAGACCGAGTTCATGCATGGTCGTTTTACCAATTATAATCGCACCAGCATTCTGCCATTGCTGTACACACCACGAAGTTTCATCGCTCCCATTCTTGAAATCCAATTTCGTGCCTAGCGTGCGCTTATACCCTGTAATATGGACTTCATCCTTGATCGCAACAATAATCCCGTCAAGTGGACCCAGTGGTTGGCCCTTTTTAAACCGCTCCGTGGATGCTTCAGCAGCTGCGCGGATGATATCGACCTGCGACTCGAGGAAAGCAGTGGAGTGTTTCCCTGGGGGCTTGATGTCACGCCGGACAAGAGGCAGCAATGTCTCTACAACTCTGGTCGGCGTCAAGTCCTTGGAAAGATATAGTGCATGATAGTCGGCTGACGTATAATATCCACTTCTTCCTTTCCTCTTTGCGACGACAGGGGTCGGTATGTCGCTGGGTGTCAGCTCCACGGGAATCACAGTAGGATCATAGCGACCGGCATATTGAAGGATTTGAGGAATTTCGCGAATCACACCGAAGCCAGCAGTGCGCCAGAAATGGCTCTGAATGAATCCAATATTATGAATTCTAGACCATGCGTGTATAGGTTAGTGGACGAACACGGTTTGGCTTTGGATAAGCTCCGTCGCAACTCACAAGGTTGCGCCAATTGCCAAAGCCGTGCCTCGGAAGACAGGAATGGACTGGGTCTCATTATTGTATGGCACAACAGGACCCTCCTGGGCCTGGGGATAGTTTAGAAATGAACGACTGTCGGAACCCATTCTCATTGCTAGGGAGCTTGCGCAATGCGGAGTTGGAAGGTGTTTTGGGGCGGTGATATCACTCAGCCGCGGCTCACGCTTACACGTGGGGGTCAGCTGATACCCTTGATTCTCCACAGGCTCAAATACAGCATAAATTGTGATAAAAAAAAAAAAAAAAAAGAAAAAGATTCACATTAGTTGTTGCAAATTACTATACGCTCCTATGTAATTCTTTTCAGTCGATGCGAAGTCTATCGGAATACTTCAGATAAAAGGAAAGAATATAGGTGGTATTGGAGGAGAGTAAAAAGCCATAGACTTTTGGTACATACATTTCTAAGCTTGATTGCTCTTCGAAAATTGACTACAATTACAGGCGCAACTTGAAATTAGTTTTTACCATTACCAGGGCTAGACCAGTCAATATGGCAGCATATACTACCAGAATAGCCATGGCTTGCGGTGTGTTCATGTCCAAGGTTGGCACGCTCAAGTTCACCGCCCCAGTCAAGAGGTTGGCTACCAAGAAGATGCCCAGACCGCCATGATTAAAGGCATGAAGAATGCGACTGGTCGCGAAAGCTGCACCCTCATTTTCGCCATCCTTGCCAGTCGCCCGGTGAACATTGGGGAAGAAAAGAGTTTCAATCAGGCAAAATAGAAAAATCTGTGCACTGTTGAAGGCCGAAACCCACAGGACATAAGGCATATTGGCCAGCCGACGAGAAACTAAGATGTTGGCACCGTACCCCATCGCATAAGTGGAGTTGAAATAAAATAGAGTTGACCAGAACAACACTTGCAACACCAAACTAACCAGCACAGATTTGCGTGCCTGCTGGGGAGACTTGGTGGGTGATGTCCCGCGGGGGATGACACGGGTGCCAACTCCTCGACCGGCCAGAAAGATGGCCAAATACCCCAGGAACGAGAATATACCTTCACGATTCTTGGAAAACAAGTCGGGCCCACGCGGCGACACCAGAATATAGGTTTTGAGATCGGTTGACTCGAGGGCCACCTGATAGGCGACCGAAATAAGCAGAGCCAGAGCTTCATAAGAAGGAATCAATGCAGTTAGGGTATCAAAAATCTCCACAAAGGGCGGCAACAAGCCCAAGGTAAAGAAGAAGTTCCAGTGTACGCCGTATTCGGTCACATGCTCGGCGTAATCCAAGCCCTTGACGCTCCAGAGCCGGATCAGACCCAGCACTAGGAGGGGAATTGAATGGCGTAGAGAGCCAAGGAGTCTTCCTCCTAGGGATACCTTTGACGATTTAGAAAGGCGACTTTTTAGGACTGCCCGCGCAGACACTACGCCCGCCGAGAAGACGAACGAGCCCACGCCGAGATCCATCAACGAAGTCCCCCAATTCTCCACTTTGGCGAACCGGCGCGGGAACGCTCGGAAATCGACTGCAAGAATAGCCACACAGGTGACAACCATCATAGCTGAGCGATATGTCGTCAAGAAAGGGTGAATAGGCAGGGTTTCGACCTGGTCTTGGACCTGATCATTGCGGGCAGATACCTTGCGGGGCGGCTTGGCTTTTTGCGAGGTTCGTGAGCTTGGCTGTGTGAGGTAGAGGAGAACGGCCGGGGTGATCAGGAAAATGTTGAGGAGGACCGGTGCTGAAGAATAGGCGGTCGTTGCAAATAGAATTGCAAGTACATTGAGAATGAAATCAGTCAACAAGGCGGCTGGGCCGTAAGGAGTAAAGAAACCGAGCCGGGACTGAAGCGCAGACCACAGCAGAACCGATGCCTAGATTCAGGGAATATTGGGTGAGTTATGCTCACGGTGGATAGGTCTTTTGCGGGGGAGTGCAATCTTACCGACGCGACAAAAGAGACCGCGTTGATGTCCGCGATATTGCTTCCCGATAGGTTCGACACAAAGGCCTCCTTCCGAGCTTTATAGCTCGGGTCCATTTTGAGAAAGGCTGTTTTTGTTTTGAACAAGTTCACGCCAATTATGATAATTCCATCAAGAATCTAAACGACCAGTGGTCCGAAGGACAATTGAGCGGGGAATTGACGAGGGCGGAGAAATCCAAAGCTCCGCGTTGAGCTGGCGGACACGGTGGCAGTCACCTGACGATCTCCGATTTGCTGTTGTTGACTCCGGTCTGTGATGTCCACGGGATGTTCAAATTCTCTTCACAGAGATCATGAACACCACAAATAATTCTCATAAATCCCGATGGGATGACCCAAGAGGCCAAAAGAGAAGTGAATACCAACAATGAAAGCTTTGCGAGGGTTGGCCGAGCTCGGTGATCTATACGGAATACTGCGGGCCAACCGGGCAGATAAGACGATCCAAAACTCGGCCGGAGATGATCTGTGCCGATCCGAGGCAACTGTTTTATGCAACAGCTACATCGCCTACATCTTTTACATCTTTACTGTATCATTTTGATTCCGGGCAAGGCTGGCACTTTGTCCATGCTTCGCGGATCGGACGATTATCCAGGAGAAGCGGACAATGCGCTTCCGGGCCAGCCTTCTGGTTGGCGTCGGTCACCCCGGACATTGCACCCCACCATTTGACGAGCCGCCCCATGCAGAGGCTACTGCAGCATCGAGTGTCCAAGCCAAGGTGGGTGTTATCGAAGTCTGCAGTGTCCACGGCCCTTCTCTTCGCCCCCAGTAGGCGGACCAAAGAACCAATCGAATCTCCCCCAAGCCACCGTCTATCCACCAAACAAATCGTCTGGCTAGCGAGACGGACCTCACAAGGCTGTAGGGTGTCAGATCGAAATGGCCCAATTACTGTACTGTAATTGGCCCCAGCAGGCCCCAGTCATGGAGAAAATGCCGTGCCAAGCGGGTTCTATAGACATTGTTTGGCAGCTTTAGCCCTCGTGCCGGTGATTCTTAGTGGGCATTGACCGTGGCCTGCTCGGATCCATTCCGGATAGCCCGCCAGAATGATCTACCAAAGGGAGTTTTCTACCTGGACTGTAGCCACTCTCGTTGCACAGCCAAGTTGTCCGTCCGAGATCGTCATTTACTCCGTGTGTTATCGGTATCAGGCCCGCAGTCATGGGGTTGTGTGCTAAGTCGATGTGATGGCCGTTTCCGACCATCTTGAGACAGGATAAGGGGGATCCTTTAGAGAAGAGAGGGGGAAGAAAGAGACCAACCAGCCTTGCAGGATTGCTGTCAACACCAACTTCTCAGTCAGCACCGGCGCCTAGTCAGGATCATTTAAGCTATTTGCAGACGTAGGGAGACATCTTGTGTGGGGGTAGACATGTGGTCTATAGCACGGCGTGTACAGCCGGCAGAAACTTTCCAGTGAAGTTCTTCACAGTCTTAGCTATGTTGGATTTGTTGGGATGATGTTTCAGTAAAAAGCCACGTCGATAGATCTGGATGCGATCCACTGCCAACAGTATAGATTGGAGACGGGTGTTTTCGGTATCGGGAGAATTGTTCATCTTCGATACAACTACTTTTCTTCGTTGCCAGCACAAATTCTTGCGGTTACAGGATATGGGATCCCACTGATCTGATCTAGTCCAGGGACCGGCGCTATCGGGGTTTGAAGGCCTGGGGGCCAAAAAAGCAACGGGCCCTCTCTGGTCAGTATGGTGTACAATATGCACCTCCATGTCCACGAGGCCCACGCTGGTTTGGAATTAAAGCAATCGAGAGCAAATGGCCAGGGAGAAGAGTCCAGGAATGCACATTTTTTATGTCAAGCCCGTGGTGACGAGGGATCGAGCGTTCCCATCGGATCGAACCACACACCCTCCCCTGACACACGAATCGGGAGAATCGGGACGGGAGCCTCGTAGCCGCCAACCTTTTTTTGTCCCCCACTTTTGCCCAGGAACTAATCAGAGCCGATCAAAAAAAGGCGAGCCGGGATGGTGGAAGCGCCGGCCAACAGAAGGGGTGTAGACGAGGACCATATTACCAACATTCGAACCTGCAGAGCGATGGGACAGCCGTCGACCGAGCTCCACTTGGGCCAGCCGTCCCTATCAGGCCGCCATCGAGCGAGTTACACGACTAGATTGCGTCCCTTTGCGCGCCGAAACTGGGTCTTTGCATGGGTCGATGCCCACCACCCGGGAAGCCAGCGGGCCTAGCAGCCAACGGAATCGGCTCCTCGACCCCAAAGAAAGAAAAAGGACGCTATGTCCATAGCTTCTGGGTCCCCACAAGGTTCGTGCAGATCTCGCTGCTCATTGGTCCGCTCAGAAACCAGTGCTCAGCCGTTGGATGTGCCGCATCGAGGTGTCCTTTGGGGGGTCTGGGTCTGGGTCTGATGCAAGCGACGATCCGGAGAAGGGCAGGCAATGTCCTAGTCCGCGGTGACGGGAGACCTTATTTAAAGCCTCGTATCCCCAGTCAGACGGGGAACTCAGCACTTTGAGGCACATCGAGACACATCGAGACACATCGAGACACTCGTTCGATTAAGTTCAGGGACGGAGCCACCTACCGGGTATCTGGCTGGGTAGTTCATTAGTTCATCCTGGGCCCACGATCTGGCTGTCTAGGATTTGCACCCGACCTTTCTTTGCCCTTGTCTCGCGCCCCCTCCTTCCCCCTTCGGCTCGGTGATATAGGGGGCCATCTGTCGGCCATCTGGCAGCTCTGGTTCTTCTGGAAATCTCTTCTTTTGGGTTGTTTTCCGGTCAGGAGAGCCCCGGCTCTCCCTCGATGCTGCGTTCTCCGTCTTTGGTGGCCTGTACAGGATCCATGGTCACCACCAACGCGGTATTTGCGAGACAGAATTGGGTCCCGGAGAGCCGGGCGGTCGTGCACCATCCGGGGTCTGGCCTGGCAGCCCCTAAAGATAAGGAGACCATGACGAGTCGGGATGGAGGTCTACCCAAGAAGCGGGAGTCGCGTTCAGGGACTCGAAAGGTTTCATCTCTCTCTGCGGAGCAGCTGGAACGGAAACGAGCAAACGATCGAGAGGCCCAGCGGTCCATCCGCCAGCGAACAAAGGAGCATATCGAGCAGTTGGAGAATCAAGTCAACACCCTTCGGGCACAGGTGGCCGAGATGCGACCAAAGAGCGAACGTTTCGATGAGCTGCTCCGGCAGAATACCGCTTTACAAGACGAGGTCGGTCGGTTGAAGCGACAACTGGGGCCCTTTGCGGGTCGTCCCATGTTCACGGCCAGTAGCGAACAGATCGGAGCTCCCTTTCGAGGCGGATGGCCCTTGGATGACAGTTCCAGCAACGCAGGCTCAAGTCTCCCTGCAACAAGCTCCATCCTCCCTTCACAGCTCGCTGGGCCGTCCCATCTCGCATCAAGCCTTCCCAGAGCTCCATCGGCGGTATCGGGCTCTAGTCAATCATCTCATCAGCATGACTGGCCCACTTCGTACACGACTACTCGGTCCCCGTCTCTCGGCGAGTCCTCCGATCCTGAGTTCTCCACCCGGATGGAATCGTATGTGATCGACGGACAGTTGCAGAGAGGTTCGCGCTTGGTTTCACAACAGCATATCCCCGTCGCAACCCCTCAGATCAACTTCGCAGGCTGCCCTAGTCCGGGTCAGACCGCCTCCAATCCTTCCTTCTCCCAGCTCTACTCTGTGAGTCAACATCCCCAGGGACAACCAGATGGCCTGGCTTCATCTGCGCAGCCACTTGTAGACCAGTCCGTGGCGGGCTTTCTCTCTGCACATCAACCTATGTCCATATCCATGTCCATGTCAGGCGCGAGCGCGTCTAGCCAGCCGCCACCGGGTCAACCCTACCCGTCGCAGGCACCAACATACCAGAATCCGACCTATTCTTTCCCATAGGGACACCAATCGTGATATCGAGCCTGCTGGAGAGGAATGCACCATAGACCCCTAAAAAGGTACGGGGAAAGGAGCGTGATGCCCCTCAGAAGGAAAACGAAACTCAACGCTGCGGGCCAAACAGATCTGTATAGAGTTAAACCGCAGACCCCACACGGTACGTTCGTAGACGAGGACACATCACTGGCACTCGTGGAAGTGGTGACTAACATCACTTTCCTTCAGACCAACGTGTGTGGTGCGGAGAATGTCCTGCTCAAAGCCGAAAGAAAAGCAATCAAGGTCGATTATGCAGGATTGGCAAGAAGGAAAAAAGACCCGGCCCGCTGGCTCAGCCGCCGTCAGCCGTCTTGCAGTCCCCACACGCCGAAGCCTATACCGAGTACGAACCCCCCACAGAAGGATAGGACCTCCTTACAGTCTTCAATCCAGACAGTTGTAGGTGCGAAATGAGGACGTCATTTGCACTCAACCTGACTGAGGCCATGTGGCATCTCAATTGCCGGGGAGTCGATGGGAAAGAGGACAGTCAGCATCTCAGGCTTACCCATCCTCTTTGGAATGTCACAGCAGCTTCAATACGCCTCACTACAAAGGGCTGGTAATATCAGTCTGAAACGTGTTGTACAAGGATACCACAGGATCTGAAGAATATAACGCGGCCTCTGAGGCAGTACGGAAACTCTCAAAATAAAGGATTTTCGTCAATCCCTTTATTGGTGTCTTGTACTCCCAGAAGCTTGCGAACTGTACAGTACATCGTGGGTGCGTGGCAACCCAAATTTATCGCAAAGAACCCAAAAAAAGAGAAAAGAAACAATGCTTCAAATATAATGCCAGGTCGTCATCTCTAGTTAGTGTATTGCTTCTGTAGCAGCTTGGCAATAGTCTGTAACTGAATGTTGCTGGTACCCTCGTAGATCGCGCCAATTTTGCTGTCGCGGAACATCTTCTCCGCAATGCCCTCGCGCACGAAACCCATGCCGCCCATCCACTCCACCGCAGAGCCGGCAACCCGGCCGGCAACCTGGGAAGCGTACAGCTTGGCCATGGCAGCGTCCTGCACAAAGTCCTGACCCGCCTCCTTCTTGCGCGCGGCGTTGTAGACGAGAGCCCGGGCTGCGGAAATCTCGGTGTAAGCCTGCGCAATCTGGTGCTGCATGCCCTGGAAGTTGCCGATCAACTGGCCGAACTGCTTGCGGTCGTTCCAGACGTAGCTGTTCTCGTTAGTGGATTGTGGGTGGTTGTTTCCCTCAAATTCAGAATCCAACTTACCGGGCAGCGTGCTCCCAGGCACCAAGGGCCAGGCCGGTCATCTGCGCAGCAATACCGATACGGCCCTCGTTCAAGATATTGATGGCATACTTGTAGCCCTGGCCTTCCTCACCCAGGAGGTTGCTCTTGGGGATGACAACGTCGTCAAAGTTGAGCACGCAGGTGCTGCTAGCCCGGATACCGAGCTTCTTCTCCTTCTTGGCAATCGAAAAGCCCGGAGTACCCTTCTCGACAACGAACGCGGTGATGCCTTTGTATCCGGCGCTGGGGTTCAGGTTGGCGAACACGAGGAAAATACCCGACTCCATGGCGTTAGTGATCCACATCTTTGAGCCATTGAGCTTATACCCATCAGCGGTCTTCTCGGCCTTAGTCTGCAGCGCAAACGCGTCCGAGCCAGAGACAGGTTCCGACAGACAGAACGAGCCAACGGTACCGGTGCTCAGCTTGGGCAGCCAGGTGCGGTGAGACTGGGCGTCGCCGTATTTCATGATGGCGGTGTTGACCAGGGTGTTGTGAACGTCGACCATGACGCTGACACTGGGGTCAACCCGGGCTAGCTCCTCGATCGCAACGATCGCCGCGGTGAAGTTCATGCCTGCGCCGCCGAACTCCTCAGGGATCTCGATGCCCATAATGCCCTGCTCAAAGAGCTGCTCCACCACGGCGGGGTCCATGGTTTCGGCTTCGTCCATGTCGCGGACCTTTGGGCCGATCTGCTCTTGGGCAAACTTGGAGACAGCGTCGGCCATCATCGACTCGGTCTCGGATAGAAGGGAGATCGGGGTCGGAGTGAGGCTAGAGAGGTCGGCATCCCGCCGGCGGGAAGTAGTCGAGAAAGTATAAGCGCTAGGAGACGGGATGATCGGGTTAGTATGTGAAAGGAGTCTCTGACGGCGTATTCAACATTCCCACTGCTGTTGGGACGATACCTCTGAACTGGGCGGATGGCAGCTACCCGCTTGGAGGCCAGACGGGCCGAGGGAGCAGTGCGCGACAAGGGTCGCAAGGCACGGGAGATGGAGGCCATTGCGCCTAGAATGAGGGGTGCAGTAGAGAGGGGAAAGGCTGTTGTGTGCAAATGAAAAAGCAGACGAAGAGACGAGGGAACGTGAATGTGAATGTGAAGGCCGTTAAATCACAAGGGAACTGAGCTGCAGATGAGCCTCGGTTAGCGGCGGCCCTGGGGATTCGCGGGGCCGTACAAAAGTGGGGCCTATGGGATTCCCGATAACCTAGGCTTTCTCCCATCAGTGTTTACTGCCTACTGCTTACAGTCTAGGGATGCACAATGGCTGAGAAGGGGCTAGAAAAGTTTGGAAATATGTGATATGCTTACTATGTACTAGAAACTACAGTGTTTCTTTTGCCTCTAAAACTTGGATCTTTTAAGGTCTGCCTATCTCTTCTGTCCACAAAATCCATTCCAGTTATGCCCTTCATGCCGAGGCAGTCTTGATTTGGATTCGGCACAAGTTCATGAATTGAGAATTAGAAATCTACCTACTGGAGAAAGACTGAATGTACTTTGTAGTCAAAATAAAGAGTTTTTTAAAGTGTCAACAGTTGATGCAGACCTATCAGAGATTGATCGGCCGGGCACTAGGCCTCTTCGTCAACGGAGATATTAGAGTCCAAGAAAAGCTTAGCATCGATAATCCCACCAAGATGCAGTTTTAATTTGCTCCTGAAACGGAGATTACAAAGACTATGGAACACTCAAGGCCCGGCAGTGCCCCAAATTCGGAATACGATAATCCGTTAGAACTTGATGACAATTACATATCATTTTCTCATAAAGTTTGACGATAGAATGGAGACTTGCGGTTTCTATTACCTAAATCAATCGCGAGTCCGAGAAACCGATATCATTGAATCCTTCTGTTGACTCTACGGGCGTTTTTGAAGGTCACTTGGTGCGTCAACATGATGAACATAGTGGCAAAGTTGGTCGGAGTCTTTGTCCGACACATTAAGATTTCCTCCAGGATAGGAGTTTCTTCATCTTCTGAACCCTTTTTGCAAAGCTGTACAAATTATGCCTTCCAGTTCAGCGCTCTCCGAGTACACATTCAAAAATTTGGGTCCTCTCATCACTACCTGGAAAGCGCCTCCAAGCTGTGCAACTGCGACCGACCACGTTAAAATAGGCTCTAGTGCCGATGTGAGTGAGATCTATTGGGATAGCAACTGCACACATGCAGAATACAACTGTATCCCGACAGGGACCTCTGCCAAACGGTCATCTATAACAGGCTCAAATCCTGCAAATCTTTGGCAGGAGTCATACTTCTCGCCCGGACTCTATTGTCCAAGCGGATGGACCACTGCTGGTATTGCATCGCGTGATGGAGCAAACCCAGTAAACTCATCGGGTGCCTTTGTTCCCACGCCGGCAATCTCAACGAGCCTGGAATATCCTATCATCAACCCGCCTGCAAATGTATTGATGCAGATTTTGGATCCGAGTGAGACGGCCGCACTATGTTGTCCAAGGTAGTGAACTGCTGAAGAATTACAACCTACAAATGTCATGTTCATCGCGTAACTGAATTTTATAGTTCTATGACAGCGAACTCGAACATTGGATGCTGCTCCACTCTTCCCGAGTACAAAATATCAACAGGTTGCAAGAACATTATTCCAAATGAAGATTTGGCGAATATCACGAGGACTTTCTGGTATTATGGGGTCACTGCAGTCGGTGAGGTCAAGAATCTCGTCTCTACAGCACCTATAACAAGTACCAGCTACATCACTTGGCACGCGAACGCGACCTCACAGCTTCAAGCCTATTCTGTCGTGCCGATAGTGACGCTTGTACATCAGACTTCCGATGTAAAGGCTGCAGGAACAGGGCCCGCATCAACTGATTCAGAGGCTACAGGTAATTCGGCAAAGAGGACAGCTCTCGTTCCCAATGTTTGGGATGGCATTGGTGCTATTTTTGCCATCGCTTTGTTGGGGATAGCCCTTGGTGCTGTCATAATTTTGCCTGTGTAGGGTGGCTGTGTTATCAGAAACTTGGGTACAAGAAAAGCCATTCGCCATGATAAATATCGAGAAACATGAGATCATAATTATATGCTACTCCATCTTCCATCTCCTAGATATACCCGGCCCTCGCGATGATATTCCACCAAATATTTCATCTGCCGTAACCCATCGAAAACTTCAACCAGAGCAGAAAGCGCCACCATCGTCCAACCTCGATAGATACCCCGATAGTCCCCAGTACCATCAAATTCTTGATCCAAATTCATGCATGTCACGTAGGGTGCATCTCCAAACCTCGAGTCCGGAAAATTCTCCTCTATTACTTTGACCCAACATAGGCTGAAGTTGGCATCTTTCTCAGTCATAGAAGACATGTCAAGTACACCCGTTAAGTGGGCAAGCACACCGTCATCTACCATCAGGCAGGCCCTCATTCTACTCGGTAATTCGGTAGCCGGAATTGCTAGTGAAACTTTGTATTCCCGAAACGCTTCACGAACACCATCTTCGTCGAGATTGCCGTACTTACTTTGGGAGCTGAATACTCTAGAGGCATATGTATTCTCCAAAAGGTGAATCTGATCTTCGGGGCCAGTGAGTGTTCTATGAAGTGATCGACTGACAGCATCGTTCAGGCATCGTAAGAAGACTGGAAGAAGATGTTTGTTTGCTGGCGTATATGAGGTGCGGTATACGATCGGACCCCAGGTGGTAACCAAAAAATCTCGTGTTGGACCTGGAGGCAGTGATCTAAGGCCTGGAAATGATCCAAGCCGGTAGACCTCTTGCTGAAGAAATATATCGGCTGGAGAAGTAAAATGTTCTGTCTCGGCCATGGCAGTTGTCACATTGAGAGTTCAACTGATTTCTATTTAGATGAGCCTCTAAAATTCGCAATGGAATTTTTTAAAAAATACCTGGGCTATATTGATAGATGACAAGTGATAAAGGATCATAGATCATCGTGGTTTGGAGACAGTTTCGAAGACATCCTATTATATGGCGTCATATCAATCATTCAATCATCTAGAATGCAGAGGCGAATTATCTTTCCTATGGTTCCGAGAACATGGCGAACCAGTATCTATCAAGAAGCTGGAATGGAAGGCCCAGAAGCAGTGATGAGACTGCAATGGGCTCTACCCGTCCAATCGGGCGTTTAAAGGCGCCCGGATATTGACGTCAACGATACTTCTGAGCATGTACCAGTATTTGATCCCAACAATTTGTCCGTTGATAATTATTTCAACTCTCAGGAATATTTATAGATATTTTCACTGCAATTGTTTGCACTATCTAGTCTATTAGTTGAAATCAATTTGGTTCGGCGATGCAGTCAGTATAAGTCATGGCAGCCCATTACCGCGATCGAAATGATGCTACCTCCAATGCTAATTTGCTCAACGGCTCACTTCTACTCTATAATAAACTATAAATCCTAGTCTTTAAAATCATGCAGTTATTCGTTTGAATGTCTTGTTGCTGCTGATATTCTACTCTATTCCGGGTCATTCATGTTGCTGTCCTTTTTTGCAAAAAACAGATTGACCGCAAAAATATTCAGATAACATAATGGCAAAGATAATAAAATTGATAAGTTAATAATATTTTATATAATGCAACAAAACATAGCAGACTACAGATGATTGTTAACCAAGCTCAGTACTCTGTCGCTCTTTAGTTTTGCGGGGGGAAGGCGGCGGACGATAAAGGGGCCATGTTCCTGATAAGCAGGGGTCGGAGACCAAAAACCGACCTCGGCCCATTTCGTATTTGATCTCCCCGCAATCCCGATATCCTTCGGACCGTTTCACAACGCTCAACACGACGTGCCAGGGCTATGACGGCGTACGCTATCTAGTTAGCGCATGTGATATCCTATCCTAGATTGGTTTGGTGTTCTCTCATTCAATCTCAGCAGCTGTTGCTCTCAGCTTCTAGTGATCGGTATCGACCGATCGGCCTCTCACTATGCTCCACTTCCGCACACAGGGATTCAACGGTTGCGCAGTCAAGTACTCCCCCTTCTTCGACAATCGCTTGGCTGTTGCAAGTGCGGCCAATTTTGGTCTGGTCGGCAATGGCAGACTCTTCATTCTAGAGCTGACCCCTAATGGAATCGTGCCAGTGAAATGGTATGTGCAACTGTTTTGGAAATCCTGCTCTCCAAGGAGGACCCTCTACCTTCTCATTCTTTAAGCTGTTATTCAAAGAGCTGACCCAACATCTCACTTACAGGTTCACCACACAAGACTCCCTTTACGACTTGGCCTGGTCGGAAATCCACGAAAACCAAGTTCTCACGGCATCCGGTGACGGCAGCATCAAATTATTCGACACCACAGCCAATGACTTCCCCATTCAGAACTGGAAAGAACATGGTCGAGAAGTATTCAGCGTTAACTGGAATCTTGTCGCCAAAGACCGCTTCTGCTCCAGTAGCTGGGATGGCACTGTGCGGATATGGTCGCCACATCGCCAACAGTCCCTCCTCACGCTCCCGACTCACAGCTGCACTTACTCTGCAGCATTCTGTCCTCATAACCCTGACTTGATTTCATGTGTTACATCGGATTCATATGTTCGCGTCTTTGACCTGCGTACTCCAGCCTCTGCTTCAAATCACCTTACTCTTCAGATACCCATCCATGCCTCACCGGCACCCCCTGCAATTCCCGGACAACCAGGCATTCCACCGGCGGCGACTCCACCAGCTGAAGCGCTCACACATGACTGGAACAAATATCGCCCGACTGTTCTCGCTACCGCTGGTGTTGATCGGGCTATCCGCACCTTCGATATCCGGGCTCCGCAACAGGGCCCAATGGCCACAATGCTTGGCCATGACTATGCGGTTCGAAAGCTGGCCTGGTCGCCGCATCTTTCGAATGTTCTTCTCAGTGCTAGCTATGACATGACTTGCCGTGTATGGAGTGACCGGTCAGATGCGAGCTCGGTTGGTGATGTGGATCTCATGCGTTCTGGTCCGGCGGGTCCGGTTGTCGGCATGGAGCTAGGACGGATGGGCCGACACACAGAGTTCGTCACCGGCGTCGACTGGTGTTTGTTTGGAAGCGAAGGCTGGTGTGCGAGTGTTGGATGGGATGAGAGTCTCTATGTATGGGATGTGAGAGGCACCATGACATGAGGAATGTTTCCCAAGTTTTAGCATTCATGTATTCATTTCTCTATGATTATGGCAAATATTTGGATTTATTCTCCTATGTCGGGAAGGATGGGCTAGGTTGCGGCATTGAAAGTTAATGTAATTACTTTTTTTACGGAAATGCCACGGGAGCGAGAAGATATTGTAAAATGGATACCTTGTATAGAACAGCAGATCTGTCGCCTGCTATAGAAAAGCAAACAGTTACAAGTAAATACGTCGAGTCATTTCATTTCGTGAATTTTATGCCTGAAGGCCACTGGATAGCACATGGACATGGGGCAATCTATGAACAAAGGACTTGTGAGTCAGAGCCTCTCATACCATAATCAGTCCAATATATAATACCACGCCAATGGCAATAGGAAAATCACCAGCGGTATCACACTATCACTTGGAATAAGGGAAATTGGAAATCTGCACGCCCAAAGCTCTCTGCGGACAACAGAATATCCAGACAGTGGAATCCATTTCGCAGCACAGTTGCTCTCCGCCTTTGCACGTGGTAAATAGATGAAAAAAGAGCTATTACGCCAGGCGCTTCTCGGTCTTGAGCTGCTCCTGCTTCCGCACCTCTGCAATTTCTTCCTTGGTTGCGTTCGAGGCCACATAAACCTGGTTGAATGGATTCTCTTCGCTCTTCTCAAACTCCTTGCGGCAGAGATCAACACGCTGGTTTCGTCGCAGGCCAGGATTCTCTTCCTCGATCTCAGGCAGTCGTCGTGCCTCAAATGCTGCATAGGCGGCCTTGAATCGCCGTTCCGGGTGTTTCTCAATCTTGGAGCTATCCTTGCTGGTCAAGGAGAGGGCATCCAGCGCATTGTCAATACCGGAGGCATTGAGTTCTGACACCTTGGGCGACCAGTCCTTCGAGGATCCGCTCTTTGGCGTTCCGCTCTTTGGTGAATCGTCGAGTTGTGAAAGATCGAGACCACGAGTCTTCTTCTGTGCGGTCTTTGCGCCGGCACCCTTGCCCTTGGATGGCTGAGATGCTTCCTCTTCTTCAAGCAACTTGGCATTGAGAGCCTTCCTTTCAAGCTCTGCAGCCCTTTTGTTTGCAGCATCCTCCCTGTGGGAAAATGAGATCCTATTAGCTTCGTGGCTCCAACTGGGGTTCTCAAACAAGCTCACTTCTTAGACTTATTCTTAGCTCCCTTGGACCAATCAGCATCAGCCTCAGCTTCTCGCTCTTGTTCCTCCGCGGCCTTCTTTTTGGCGGCATTTGCGGCTTTCTGTATCAATAGTCAACGCGTGCAATCGCGTTAGTGACGGCAGTAGCGGGGGCGGGGTTGATACATACACGAGCATTGCCCGCCGCCTGCTTGGAGTTTCCTCCTTCGGCCTTCTTTCCTCCCATTTTTGAGAATTGATAGAGCTCAAATTGGAATACTGAGCGAGCGCCAAAAAGGGAATGTATGAGGAAGAAAAAAAATAGTGCGGATTGCTCTGCTCGATGATCCGATCCGCAAGACGATTATGCCGGCTTCCGACCTAGGCGGTGTCGGTTTGACTAATCTCAGAGATCAAGATTAGGCATCATGTGGGATATTCTATGGGGTTCTGGCGGCATGGCCGAAGTAGAAGAGAGAAAAAAAAATAGACGTAAACAACTTCAATGCTAGTGCTTTTTCACCACTTGATCAACTTCGACCGATTAGCGAACTAGTAGTCAACTAGTTAACTAGTCAGCTAAAGTTTGGCCGTTTGTGCCTGATAACCCAGGTGTCTACCTGGATCCGGTGCCCTGACGCTTTGTCAGGACGGACAAGGCGGTTTCAGCTTGCTCTTTCCAGCTTCCAGCTCCCATCATCGACTCTCCTTTGCTCACAGACCCCAGAATGGCCTCAACATAGCCCCAAAGCTTGATCATTAGGCGTCTCATCTGTTTTATTCGCATCTAATTTACCCAAGGGCCCCTTCCCACCTCATTACGCAAGTTAGCAACGAAGCCACCTCCGCTCCGGATCGTACCTCGCTCTACATCTGCGACAATGACCCGACTTCTGCATGCTTTTCAGCTTTTTGGACTTTTGCTCCTAATAAGCACAGTTGTGGCTGAACATACATCCAACTGGGCCGTGCTGGTTTCAACTTCACGGTTCTGGTTTAATTACCGCCACCTTGCCAATGTCCTCTCTTTGTACCGAACCGTCAAGCGACTCGGCATCCCCGACTCCCAGATCATCCTGATGCTCCCCGATGATATGGCCTGTAATCCTCGAAATGCGTTCCCCGGAACCGTGTACAGTAATGCAGACCGCGCGGTGGACTTGTACGGTGACAACATTGAAGTGGATTACAGGGGCTACGAAGTCACTGTGGAGAACTTCATCCGGCTCTTGACAGATCGCCTGGATGAAGACGTACCGCGCAGCAAGCGCCTGGGTTCCGATGCTGGTAGCAATGTATTGGTATATATGACTGGCCATGGAGGAGACCAGTTCTTGAAATTCCAGGACGCCGAGGAGATCGGCGCGTGGGATCTGGCCGATGCTTTCGGACAAATGTGGGAAAAGAAACGCTACCACGAGCTGCTCTTCATGATCGATACCTGCCAGGCCAATACCATGTATACCCATTTTTATTCGCCTAATATTGTCGCCACCGGCTCCAGCGAACTCGACCAATCCTCCTATTCCCACCATGCTGACAACGATGTTGGCGTTGCTGTGATTGACCGTTGGACCTACTATGTACTCGAATTCCTTGAGACTCAGGTGACGAGTGCTAACTCCAAGTTGACCTTGGGAGATTTGTTCGACTCCTACGACATGTCGAAGATCCACTCTCAACCCGGCGTGCGTTGGGACTTGTTTCCCGGTGGCGAGCCTGAAGGTCGCCTGCGTACTGTCGTCGATTTCTTTGGCAATGTGCAGAATGTCGAGGTTGAGAATGCCAACGCGACGGAGCCAGGATCGCTGAAGGAAGATCTTACCGAGATCGCAAGACTGGTCGAGAAGTGGCGCAAGCGCGATGAAGAGTATTCTGCCGTAATAGGCAATTCTTCCCAGTTTCGGGGCGAAGACCCACACTCACAAACTGTCCACCTGGCTCCTAAAAAGACGGTTGGTCCTTCTCGAATGGCGGATGATAGTAGCTGGGGCAAGCGGCTGGTTGGCTTGTCTGTCGTGGGCGCGTGTACCGCCATCTGGGTTGCTGGGTCAATCCTGGGCCGTTCAAAGATCTAAAGCCCATTGGCGCACAGCCTCTCTTTCCTTTCAATTCCGTCTCTACCATTTCTTCTTTGTACATATATAGCATGCAAGGCGTTTAGCGTGAATAGTAATCTACGACATTTCCCAATCTTGTGGGATTAATGCTTCTTCCATCCGCTAGCTTACTCCGGCCACCGCAGCCATTCTATTCTCACCTGCCGGAGCCATTTCAGGTGATTCAACAGAGGCCATGGGTGTCATACAAGCTGTCTGGCAAGGGTTTCCGAATTTGTTTATATCCTTCTACGCGTCCACATCTGCTGGTCTTCCCGGAATTTCTCAGTGCTGGGGCCGCTCTGCAATGGTTCAGTCATAATGTATGCTATGAGTTTGTCATCCTCAATAAAGCAGCGGTGGCCAGGCCAGAGCTTTCCACTACTGTCAACCGACTGGAAGCAACTTAAATTTTTAGCGGCCGACTTCCTAGTCTACTTGCGGGCGGACGGGCCGGGACACTCGTAATGATATCGAGGACACTCGATATAACAAGACTACAAAGAGCTTGAATGCGAATTATGACCTGCTGGACATGCATGTGGCAATGGGCGACCTTTTGAATAGGTTGGCACCGCTCTGAATCAAAGGCTCGGTGGCCTGTCTTCGGTTGCTGTATTACCATTTCGCCTTGCATGAAGAGGATGCTGTGATTCTCGATGCCAGCAAGATATCCCAGGTCGTGCAGAAGAAGGCCGATATATCGAAAGGACCCTTGCCGGCGGAGGTAGTGCAGAAGATTGATTTGCTGTGGGACCAGGTCCACTAGGTGGTAGCCCTGGACACCGTCCCAGGAAAGATTCACGTATATTCGATGTTCAAAAGCACTGCAGATTTCACCACTTGTAATCGATGAGATTGTTTCGCATCTTCATGCTGTTCAGTTATAAATGAGCCGGTCCTTATTGGTCACCACAAATGGATGTACCGTGTATAGTCGCGACACCCGAAGAACCCATAAAGCTCATATCGAGAACCGTAAAGTCCCCTGAAGAATACCAGAGATAGAGTGGGATCCACATGGAAAAACAAATCCCACACACAAATAATTACAAAAGAAGGAAAGATGAGAAACGTAGGGAGCCGGAGGAGCAAATACTCGTCTTTGTCGAGGCGACGGGGAATGAAAGCCTCAGGCACGTGCCCGACGCGTCGCGCTCTCTTCCCCCAAAACCGCAAAACCGGGGCCAGTCTCGGATGAAGCACGAAACTACCACGGATTGCTTGCCTGCTACTTCTGCGCTTACTTCTATTCTTATTCATATTCTTGTTCGCATGCATTTCTAATACCCTTCCCCCCCCTCGTAGCTGGCCATGTATCTTCCACGGCAGCTCATCTCGCACCTATACCTACAACTCCTCCGATCCCACCATCCGCTCTCTCCGCCAGTCCTGATTCTCGTGGCTCTCGAACCGGACGCGCTGTGTGCTTGTCGAATTCTAACCGCCCTACTAAAACGCGATTATATCCCTCATAAAATTCAACCTGTTGCCGGATATGGCGACCTGGCGCGTGCGGGACAGGAATTGGTTCGGCCTATGCAGACCACAAATGGCGGCAGCGGAGGTGTTGTTGTATGCCTGGGTGTAGGTGGTTTGGTTGATCTGGGAGAGATCCTTGCCTTGAATCAGCCAGAGGATGAGGTGGAAGAAATGGGAGGCGTCGAGATTTGGGTCTTCGACGCGCGCCGGCCGTGGAACCTAGGGAACGTCTTCGGCGGACTGGCTGGAATGACGCAGGCGATGGCCGAGATTGATGTCAATGCGCAACGGCGCGGACGGGGAGTGGACAAAGGCTGCATTACCCCTGCCTACAGGTCGAAGAACGGCGGTATCATCGTGTTTGACGACGGTGATATCGAAGAAGACCTCATCAACGAACGAGAGGCATATCACGCGCTTCTCGAGATGCCTGAGGTAGACGATGACGATGCGAGTGACGATGGGTCTATAATGGATGATGATGACATGCAAAACGGTTCCAAGAAGCGCAAATCGTGGTCAGGACGTGAGGATGAGGACGAGTCTGAAGATGAGGATGGCCCTCCTCGACAACGGAAACGAAGTAATTCGGTATGAGTTGCCTCTCAGTAATACCGCGCCAAATATTAACATGCATGCTAGGGCTCATCTATAATGTCATCCCCAAGTCATCGACGACGGGCTGCAATCAATTCTTCAAATTCATCGCGCTCCGGCACTCCAACCGACTCTCCTTCCCCCACCGAGCCAGCACAATCGTCGGCCCGATCCTTGAAACGGCGTTTGGTGCGATTGAAGAAGAAACACGAGGCCGTGTTGCAGACTTATTACTCGGCAGGAACTTCATATTCGGAGCCAATCTCGTCATTAATCTACTCTCTAGCATCAGAACTTGGTCGCGAAGATAATGATCTCCTCTGGCTAGCAATTGTCGGCGTATCTAGCTTAGAGCTAAGTGGACGAACCATGACTGGTGTCAGTATCTCAAATACATCAGAATCTGGAGGATCTGCAGGCTGGGGCGGACAACGAGGAGAACACATTCGTCAAATCCTCCGAGATGAAGTACACCGTCTGAACCCGCCTGATCCCATGGAACGGGATCGTGATATCAGAGGAGAGATCAATGGGGTCATCCCAACAACCGCAAGGTCTCCTACGGACACATCGATTCGACTCTCGCCCGAGCCGCGCTTCTTACTCGTCCGACACTGGTCACTCTACGATAGCATGTTGCACAGCCCATATCTGGCGCCCCGACTTCACGTCTGGACGGAAAATGGCCGCAAGCGCCTGCACAAGCTCCTAGCCAAGATGGGTGTTAGTCTAAGCCAATGTCACCAGAATTACACACATATGGATATGGAACTGAAACGGGTTCTGCGGGGACGACTTCTCAAGTATGCACCTATGTACGGTCTGGATGGTCTGGTCCCTCCAGAACCTACCGGTGGACATGCAACTTCCAGAGAAGGCTGGGGATTTGTTCGTTGCTGGGGCTGGAAGGCATGCCTGTCTGCTACCGATGTCGGTGTCATTATCGGTGCCATGCTTGAAGTCGGACCACACGAAGCCTCGGGATCCTGGGATGCTAAACATCTTCCACGGCCCCGAGGGTCAAATGAGGAAGCGGAAAGCAGCGTTGTCATTGGGGAATCTGATCTGGCAAGCCTTCTGCCGCGATTTTGGAGTGCATACGACGCACTTTCGCTGACGTCTGATTCGCCTACACTTCTGACGGAATCTCTGCCTTTAGCCCAGCACCTTCATCGCGCTATTCTCCGCACTGGAACGTCTTTGCTATCCAAACATCAAATTCGTCACCTACGAGCATTCCGCATTGCGGTCGTCAAAGATGGGCCGGATGTGAAACTTTTCACTAATCCTGGTGCTTTAACAAAGCTAGCCCTTTGGATTGCCGAGGCAATTCGGATACAAGAACGCGAAAAGGGGGACTCGGTCAAAATCGGACGGAAGAGGGCAGCTGGTACTCCTCTCGTTCTTGCTGGACTTGACGAGGACCGGGATTTGTATGTCGTGGTAGGTACTGGTGGTGGCGGCGGTGTCGTTGACTTTGCTGCTATGTCGAAACGGCAGGAAGAGCGACGAAAGAAGAGAGAAGCGAAGGAAATAAAACAAAAGGAGAGGGAAGAGCGGCGGGCCAGGCGCGCTGCGGAGCGAGCGGAACGAGAGGACGATGATGGTGAAGAAGAAGATTCCGAAGAGTCCGAGTCATCGTCCGAATCCGAGTCTGAGGACGAGGATCCTCGAGGGAAAAAGCACCTGTTGCGCAATCGATTCGGCATTGCGTTCCAAGAAGTAGTCCAAGAGACTAACGCGCGTGTCCGTATCGACAGCTTCGACCATTGCGTCGTCGAGGTGCAAAAGGACGATTTGGGTGGCTTCTTGGAAGCGTTGAGCTTCCGCAGCGTTGTGGGCTGAACGCCTTCCCAACCACATTCACGCAGCCTACGACTTGACATCTTGCACTGTTTTACACGTTTAGGGAGACACGGGACGGACAGCTCTTGGGATTGGAAGGCGAGGGAACTGGATTCTGGTGAAGGGACTTCATGATGAATGAGCTGTGCATTGTATTTGTTCCTTGTTACAAGCATTCACGTCCGTCCATCCACGATCATCTTACATCTTGCATCCGAGGTCTCTGCACTGGGCTATGGCGTTCGGAGTATTTTATGCTTTTGCTTTCTGATTCCTATCATGGATTTAGTATATTCGATAGCCATCTGAACCATGAATTTACTTGCTGCATCGGCCTTCTCTGCGGCCGACTCGGCCCTCCCCGCACCCCGCATTTCGCGCCGGTTTCCCGATTCCCCGACTTCCGAGCTTCTCCCATTAACAATAATAAGCTACTCTCCCCGGTTGATTGATCTGCCCTTCTTTCTTAATCGTTGGGAGGTCAATTCGTCGCAATGTTGCCCCGGGAGCATCCAACGCTTCCTCGCGAGAGCACCCTCGCCCAACTCCCCGCCGAATTCCCCACCGACACCCAGGACCAAATCTCCCAGCTCCTCTCCACCCCTTCCATCAATCGACTTGTTGTGCTCGACGATGATCCAACAGGCACCCAGACATGCCATGACATCTCAGTGCTAACGGTCTGGGACTCTTCGACCCTGATTACTGAGTTCCAGACCAAGTCACCCGGCTTCTTTATTCTTACCAACTCGCGCGCTCTTCCCCCCATAGAAGCCGAGATACTTATTCGAACGATATGCAAGAACGTTTTGGAGGCCGCCAAAGACACAGGGAACAGAGTCGACATTGTTCTACGAGGCGATAGCACCTTACGAGGCCATTTTCCGCTCGAGCCCGATGTCGCCGAGTCCGTCTTCGGCCCCGCTGATGCCATCGTCCTAGCACCCTTCTTCTTCCAAGGCGGACGCTTTACAATCAACGACGTCCATTACGTTGCGGAGGGTGACAATCTAGTTCCAGCAGGTGCAACCCAATTTGCGAAGGATGCAACGTTTGGGTACAAAAGCTCGAATTTACGAGACTATGTGCTCGAAAAAGCCCCTGGGCGCTTCTCCGAGGCCCAATTGTATTCGGTTACAATTGACGAAATCCGGCACGGAGGGCCCGAGGCTGTTTGTGAAAAATTGCTTGTCATGCCTGCCGGCAGCGTCGTCATCGTAAACGCAGCCGCCGAGTCTGATATGCACGTCTTCGTTGCCGGATTATTGCTGGGTATGATTTTGGCTCCAAGCCTCCTCCTTCCCAAAGAGTGTCATGTCTAACAGAGATCCCAGCCGAGTCTCAGGGTAAACATTTCCTCTACCGCACTGGTGCAGCGTTCGTCTCGACCAGACTGGGCATTCGTTCCAAGGCGCCCATCTCTGCAGCGGAGCTGCAGCTCCCTCCCCACGCCAAACGGGCGGTTTGATTGTAGCGGGGTCCTATGTGCCCAAAACAACAGCCCAACTGAAAGTTCTGACCGAGACTCGAGGCGCCGCAGGGCAGCTCGCAATCATTGAATTGAAAGTCGAGGATCTAATCGCATCACCGGAGACGGCTTCACAGACGGTGCAGCAGCTCGTCAGGGATACAGAGGCTCACCTCAAAGCCGGAAAAGATACCCTTGTGATGACGAGCCGGAAGCTCATCACTGGTGCTGATGAGCTGTCCTCATTGCAGATCGGCTCTGTCGTTGCAGATGCGTTGGTCAGTGTTTTGCAACGGATCGAGGTGCGTCCGCGGTACATTGTTGCCAAGGTATGGTTGATTATTCCTTTATCCTCGGTATTCGGACGATTTCAATGCTGATGCTGGTTCTAGGGTGGTATCACTTCTTCTGATGCTGCGACCAAGGGCTTGAATGTTAAGCGGGCTACGATTGTCGGCCAGGCAGCTCCAGGCGTGCCGCTATGGCGATGTGATGAGCCGACTTCTCGCCACCGTGGTGTGCCTTTTGTGGTCTTTCCTGGTAATGTGGGCGGGGAAACAACGCTGTGCGAATTGGTGGAAGGGTGGAGTTAGGTACTAGGTAAAATGCACTGCTATGGGCGCATAGCTTTTATTTTTCTTTGATCTTCTTTCCCCTCCTAAGAGTGAGGAAAGATGAATTGTTATATAGAAAATAAAAAGTTCAGATCCAGACTATATGTTACGTAGCATGGCTCCCTCATGCGGAGAGCAGTTTTATCTACAAAGACAAAAAGCTTTACAAACATTATCAAGCAGGTAAAGTATTCCTATTCCTGTCGCTGATAGATAAACTAAACCTGTCGGTCCATGATGATACATCACGCATAGCTCATTACACGTCCCAGTGATACCGCTCAGGTCCACCAGAAACTGACACTGATGCCAGCTCGCAGACCACGAACATAGTGCCACCACCCAACAGGAATGTACAGGGATTCACCCTCATGTAGAACAGTCTCAACGTAATCCGCTTGCATGAAGCCAGGCCACATTGCATCCCAGTGATCATGTTCTGCAGGGGAAAGCTCGATAGCAGCAACGTCAACCTTGGAGGTGTTGGACATGTCGATGAGTTTTTTGGCGGGCTCACTCTCTGGTTCAGAACCAACTTCTGCACGGTCATTAGGATCTTTAGAGACAACCCATTCCTTTCCACGAGGATGGATTTTGGAGGCGGGAGTATGAGGAGAGTAAAGGCGGATGTATTTCGTCCCCACCACCTGTACGAGGATGTTGTGGTATGGGTCGTGATGGAGAGGTGAAATAGTCCAAGAGGGACCAACCCAGGTATTGATGATTGGGTCTTCAGGATACGGCAAGTATGGATCGTCTTCGGAGGAGCTGTCGTCCACGGGAGCTGGAGAAGCGTCCTTCGAATCGGACGGATGTTGTTCTCCCGATGCCTCCCGGGCCTTGGACTTTGCTGCTTCGCTTTCGCGCTTCTTGGCCAAGTACACAGGTGTTCCTCGCTCCGGAGCTGGAGGACTAATATAGCAGTAGTCTGGGATGCCGATGTCCTTACGGAGCGCCGGAATCTGGGTGAGGAGGTCATGTTGCGCCATGTATCCCGTCTCTTCACCAGAACTCAATTCGTCCTTCCGCCCAGAGCCCAGGTCGAGCTCTCCGTGCCAGATGTAGTCATTCACGAAGTCTTTGAACTCCATGATTTTCTGTCCCCAGCCCTCATCGGTATATGACCTGCCCACCTCCACAGGGACAAGCCGATGACCGTGGAACGTGCGATCCCACCAGTAATCGCGTGAGGTCCACGGCCGTGTCGTAAAGGCAGGCCAGTGGCCCACAGTGTCGGTAATCACGAGTGGCTGGCGAACATCATTGATGTGGTCCTGGATCGAATCGAACGACGGGGCCGATATGCGGGGGATTGGATGCGTGAGGCGGGGCTCGGGCACGGCGTTCGAAGGGAAGAGGGGTTGCGAGGTCTTTCGGCGCTTGGGGGAAGGTGGTGAGCATGTCTCAGGAGACTCATTGGAGCACTGACAGTCTGTGGCCGCTTGCAGAGTTTCCAGCAAAGTCTCGATGAGCTTCTCCCGTAGAGGCGCCCCAGTCATAATCAACGCCTTGTCCAGGACATGAATGACGTTTCGCAACCAAGGGACACTTGCAACAATTTTGACATTTGCTTGGGCTTCCTTGACTTCTTGGATGAGCTGTGAAACATTTATGTTATGATCTGCCGTCTGCCGGGTTTTGAGGCTCAGGTCGCAGTTGCGGATTATGGTGAAACATGCCGACACGATTGACGCGTCTGCGAACAGACGTCGCCAGCAGATATCCACATCTTTGAAGGGAAACACGTGCAACTTCTCGTCTGCACGCTTGAGAACCTTCTCAGTGTCATTAAAAAGGAAGGCTTGAAGCTCCTCGCCGCATCGGAGGATCGGATCGTCGGGTGAGGGTTGGGCGATGTTCGTCAGCGCGTCGGCCACAACGGCAGAGAGAGTCATGGCTGCACGGAGAGGAACCACCAAGCTACAAGGACGACAAAGCAGCACAGACCGATGATAAGTGGCGAAAACAACAGCGCAGATTCAAGACAAGCTAAGAGAGCGAGTGGTTCTCAAGAGGAAGATGGGATCGTGGGGCATGGGCTCCAGATCTGCTCTCAGTTTGCAGCCGATGGGTGTTTGATGCTAAAACGCACGCCCGCAAGGAGTGAATGCGACGCTTTCCACTTTTAACTCTTACTAGTGATTTCGAAGTCCAGAGAGTCATAGACGGTAAAAGTCACCGACTAAAGATATTTGTATGCATGATATGGTACATTGTGGTGTGTTCGTAGGGATATTGCTAATATACAGAATCTACTCCTCTTATGACAATAGACGCTTTTACTCCAGGTATTGCATCACCAGCTTTGGAATGCGTGAAACACCCTGCCCTTTGATGGCACTGACTGGAACTGCGATGACTCTCTCTTTCCATCCATCGGGATGCCCAGATGGGTGCTTCACGGAGCCTTTCTCGACGGCAGACAGGTATTCTTGCAGAGCACGGTACTGGTCTTGGGTATTGTCAAGGTCGGCCTTTGTAGCAATGACAAACCAAGGTTTGGTGTGCATGGGCGGCATTTTGAGGAATGGTAAAGAACCGGATGATTGGAAAGTGAGCGTCTGCCCATCTCCTTCCTCAGTCGAAGGGTCGAGACCCATTATCTGGTTTTGCCGCCCATCCAGTTCAGGGAGACCTATTCCCGACGGATCCCAGTCAACCACACCATTCGTCTCCTCTGCCCCAGTGGGTTCTGGATCCAGGTTGCGCAGCCGTTCATACTCCCCAAGCTCATGCCACAGCTTCTGTAACTCGTGTACTGGGTCTCCGGCACTAAGGTCCAGGACAAAAGCCAAGATACCCGCGCGGTCGATGTGTCGCAGGAATCCAAGACCGAGCCCACGGTCCAGATGGGCATCTTCCACTAAACCAGGGATATCTGCGATAGTAAAATGAGTGCGCCGGGTTTTGCTTTTGGACTCCACGAGTGGTCGGCCTTTATGGTCATCAACAATTACCGTCCCGATATGAGGAGATAAGGTGGTAAATTCCCAATTTCCAATCCGTGTGCGACTGTTCGTCAAGGATCGCAGAAGGGTGCTCTTGCCCGCATTGGGCTTTCCAACTAAGCCAACATCTGCAAGAAGCTTGAGCTCAAAGTCGAGTTCCAATTTCATTCCTCCTTCACCACGAGATGCGAACTTGGGTCGACCCATATTCCGCGTCATAAAGTGCGGGTTGCCCAACCCGCCTGCGCCACCTGCGGCGAGAAGCATTGGCTTATCCATAGGTTGTGAAAGGTCGAGGTAGATAGGTGCCTTTGGCTCCATCGCCGCAATACCCTGACGCCGCGGTTTGATCCGAGGGAAATTCACAGTCAAGAAATCAGACGGGTTCGCACCGGGATAGAGAACCCAGCGGTCATGCCGAATAGGGGTGAATTCAATTTCATCCTCATCAACTGGCTCCTCTCGGGCCTTCCGCCGGCGGGCAAACTCCTCTGCGACGGGGTCATGTCGCTCAACTTCACGTACCACCGTCCCAACAGGAACTTGAATGAGCACATCATCGCCCCGCTTCCCGCCCTTGCTCTTGCCTTGTCCATTTTTGCCTCTTCCTGCTTTGATGATTCCCCTGCGCGCAAGTTTATGGAGACTGGTCAAGCCCTCGACGGCCTGGATGTAGAGACTTCCTCCGCTGCCGCCATCGCCGCCGTTCGGAGGACCTTCCTCGATGTATTTCTCACGCAGGAATGAAACACATCCATTGCCCCCGGCACCGGCAAACATAGTAACATGGCATTTGTCTTGAAAGATAAAGCGCGAATAATCATCCGGTGAGGGGTTCAGGTATGACAGGTCTGGGGATTCGTCTTGCTGAGCGTTGTCATGGGATCGCAACGTGCTAGGGCTGACGCGGGTACTCTGCCACCTTTGACAGATGATACTTTTGCGTCTTTGCTGAGGAAGAATAATTGAGGCGGCGCCTGGTCGCCGAGCGAGGAGGGATCGTAAAGGGAGGCGTATGCAAGCTTGCTGGTATGCCATGATGCTGCGTATTAACTGATTATCGCGTGCTCATTCTCGGAGATATGCTGCTTCCCAAAGTCAAATTAGCTCCAAAGCATATTTTCACTCTCCGAAAATGTATTCCACCTGCGTTTCACAATAAGTAAATCGATCCTGGCCAAGTATTCAAGAAGGTAGAGCATGATTCGAGTTCAACTGTCGTGGATTTCTTTCTCGATAAGGATCACGTGTAGATAAGATAGCTATACAGAACGGAACCAGCCTCATGCTCTCTCTACAAATCATGATATGTTGTTGCTCAGCATATCCCATATGACCTGATTATTCTTGAAAGGCTGGTTCTTCGTGTTCGTGTCAGAAACAAGGCAATCCACCATATTCCACTGTGATCCGCATTGCCTTGGCTTATTCGGGCCAATCCAGACCGAAGAACAGCGTCTTCCCGTTCGCCCACCACCCATTGTATCCCTGTCCCAATTAATTTGAAATCCAGGTCGGAAATTGAATTTCCAGGTAGCCAGGCAGCCAGGTAGCCCAATAGTGACCGCCCCTAATAGGAGCTGCATGGTGCCGTCGTGGCTACCGGAGGCCCAATGAGTCGACATGGGCTTTGTTAGCATTCGGGGATCTTGTCCGCTGTTCTTCCCGCTGCGGCTTCGCCAGCCCAGCTGTTCATCAAAGCAAACATGCAGCATGCGTGCAACGGCGTCCACGCTGACGTTGATGCCGGCTGACTCTCATTGCTTTTTCTCAGATGTTTGTCCTCAAGCGTGCTTTGCGTGGCGTGAAGGTAACGACTATATTTCGACTATATTTCGACTATATTTCGACTATATTCCAACCACTACCCAGAATGTAAGTATCATGGTAGATAACTTATCCAACAAGGTTTGGAACAGCCGGCACATCGCAGATAAAAAGGCAACTTGATCATAGGGAACCAAGATTGTGCTCCTCGACTCCCGATTGAAAAAGGTACTTTTGCTGAATCCTTCGGCATTTCCCCTTCCTCTCGGCCCGTCGCAGATTGCCAATGGAAGCCGCCAATGCACAGAATGTTGGATGGGGCCGCCAGCCAACCTTGTATACTTGACATTGAATGGGCCATACGATTGCTGAACCCCTGCTCTTGCGGTCTGGATCTAGGTGGCCTACATGTCGAGCCTACGCCTGTGTAGCGGGGCCATATGAATAATGGAGGCTTATTTGGTTGATCAAGCTACGCAAACAATATCTAGACGATGATGTAGTAGGCTGGCCAAATCCTGGCACTGATGTCTGATGTGACATGGTCGCAGGTTGAGCACGGATTCTCTGTTTCTGCAAAAACCTGGTTGGCATGACTTGGCATGTAACCAGCCGCAGGATTTGCCTGTCGCCTTGTTGCTCAATGGAGCGAATGATATGCATCATTGCGAAATCCCAAATGCAGATCACACTAGTCCTTAGGGATACCTGTCAATACTGGGAGACGTGATGAACACCATGCAAATGCAGCTTCCAAGGAAGCTGCTGAGCTGCTGATGACGGTGAGATAGCCATATCCTGACTCATTGCATGAACATATTGTGGATCGTGCCCATTAGATCTTGTATACTGATAGCACCACCATTCGGTCTGGCACATGGATGAAGAGCAGATCACAAGCTCAGTCGTATCTGCGGGTATGGATTTGGAATTCACTGTCAGCAACTCAGGATAATCATTGTGCAACTTCTACATACCATGAATAACCATGGATAAGGCAGTGATTGGGCCCCCGGTTCTGCATGGCTGTTCAGTCCATCACAAGTAGTGAGCAAGCTGTGATTGCCCATCACATCTCTGTGGCGCTTCTGTCATGGTACAAACTGGTGGCGCTGACCTTGAAATGAACAATATAGCAAAAGTACTGTACATGAAACTCCCAAATGTATAGGGCACCGTGTATACCCTTGAGTTGCTTACTGGCCCCTGCCCCTATCCTTCTGGCCTTCTGGGTTTTTGGGAATTTTCAAGGAACGTGATTTTGAAATGGAATACTTCAAAAACAAGGCAAGTTTTGGAAGGTCGATGAAGTATTAATATATATTGTATTTGGCTGAGAAGTAAAACCGTATATTAAGTTCAAAGAGATGACCTAGGCACTTGGAGATGTAGATATATAGTTGAGCCTACACGTCGGTAAGCTTAATGTTCATTGAATCTAACCTTCCGTAAAAACATTTATCTACATATCTAGTATCGAACCCGAAAAAAGAGATAGAATTTCCCACAGTATATACGGCGTATCTATACCAATTGTCCGTAAGTCTCAGTGTCGTCCTGCACTGCCTCCAAATCCTCTTCGCTTTATCCCCTTGAGCCCAACAGGCGCTCGCATATGTATCGTGTCAGCTTTGAAGGATTCTCGTAGTGACCCTGCCCCCTTCCCTGCAATAATATTACATGTCTACAATTGGCTCTCCAGCCGGCTGACCGGACTGAACAGCCAACAGTGACCGCGCACACGTGATCTCACCAGAAGCTGCCATGATCGACAACGGACTTGTTTGCTACGCAGGGGGAAATGTTACCTATCATCTTTTCAAAAGTCCCTCACAGTCACTAAAGCACTAAAGGCTGCTCGATTTCCAAGGCTCCCGATCGTGAGGCCTGATTCGTTTCCCTCAAAGGCCCAGATTCCCGTCCCGTCCAACCCGTCAACCCTGTCAATTGGCCCTCCTCGCACCCGGGGGAGGACGGGCATGCAAAAATTACAAAGTACAGCCACCGCTCAATTTAAAAAAGGTACCTGTCAACTTCGGTGGATCCCAAAGTACTCGGTACAGAAAGTGCGCAAACCAGGATTTTTGCTGCAACGGACGGGACTCGCAGGAACAGGAACCCATCGACCTTTGGAAAACTGGAGGACAAAAGGACCGCGGAGGTTCCGTCGCTCATGACGGACAGGATCCAGTGACGATCTGCAAACGAGGCCCAGTACGCGGCACGCGGTCCGGCGAACTTGCCCTTCACATGGATGCACTATATGCACCGTATTGGACCCCGGAGTCCAGTTGCAAGGAGAAACGGGCCCTAAATTGCGACCTACGAGCCAGCCATCTCCGTCCACCTCTTCAGATGCTTTCCGTCTTCTCGGTCTTCGCGGTCTCGCTCGTCGCGTCGCCCCTTCTGTGGCGAACAGGGTCAAAATGATGGCGCCGGGAGTGGAGCTCCCGTCTCAACGTCCCGCTTCCCAAACAGAACGAAAAAGACGACATGCTCACATGACTACGGAGGGATTCAATAGCGTGGAAAATCGTTGCAAGGGCCCCAAACAGAGACTGGTGCAGCCAGTGAGCAAGGCCGGGGGGTAGATGTTTCTTACCCGTCACCGCGGCACCGGATCCTGCATTCCGATGGGGCGTTGCCACTGGCGGGGGAGCAGGGGAATCTTCCAGTTGGTCGGGGGCCCCGTCACGCCCAACCGGATGAAACGACCGGGGGGAAGGGATATGTTGCGGTCAAAAGGACGGCAACACCGTCATCGACACTTCCGGTGGATCGAAAGTCTCGTTCCTAGCTTTGTTACAGAGTATTAGTCTATACAACGTATACACAATGGACTCCCGTACAATACGACCTGCTTTCGACTGGGTCCGATCGGCTTCCTTAAGAGCTGAGATTGTCGTTCCATGGGCCAGGCTGGTGCTTCCGACGCTCCCCTGGCGGCTACGGCCCCAGCTGAACCACCACTCTCCACTCGAATGAAATCCACAGCGATCTGCCGGCCTTCATTGGAGCGCGGATGTCAACAAGAAGTTCCCGATCCAAAAGGTTTGGATTGAGCGGTCTTTTGGTACGCGCTAACACAAAAGGTCGTTTTTATCGAACTAAAAAACCGATCTCCTCTCCCAAACAAGATTGACACGCAATTTGGGGCGGGAGAAAGTTACAGACCGCAATATGCAAAAAATCTCTCCCCCGTACTCTGGTACATCGTCGTTAAGCGAGCCGCGGAAATAGGAACGGAGGGTGGAAGAAGGAAATCTGACCGGCCAAATCCCCCGGCCTCAACAGAAAATTACCGTGACGGGGCTAAGTGAACCCTCCCCCCTCCCCCCCAAAGACAGTAATAATCCTCCGTCTTTCTGGCGCGAGGATCTTCCGATCATAAGGTACCTCGGTATTTTTGCTAGTACGCTTCAGAAGTACGCCTGTCAGCTTCATGCAACCTAACTCGATTTCGGGACCATCAATAGTACCAATTGGCCCCGAGATGACGCGCAAAACTCCAGACCTCCAGGTCTAGATCGTTACTCTCCAGGGTTGGCCCTTTTGGTATGTATTCCCAACAGGTAAAGACAAGGGAAAAAAAAAGGAAAAAAAAAAATTGAGGACCTGTCAACACTTCCGTAGTCGCGATCCACTTCCGTGTGCGACTTGCTGGTTCTGGGGTCGCTCGTTAGGAAGATCGTAGCGATGCTTCCCTACTGGACTGCCATGCTGCCATGATGAGGACAAACTGCGGACGCCAGAATATGGCTGTGCAATCATCAGTGGGTGGTGGCACGGCAAATCTCTTCCGCAATTTTTCGATTCGTATCCCATGTCGAGGCGTCCTAAGATCGTGTCTGGTGCAGGTCGGGGGGATGACGCCGTCAGGATCCAGATCATTCTGTATCCCTCGACGTACTACTCTCTCGCTCCCTCAGGCGCTCCCCCGCCCCCCACCCCGCGGACAACACAACCGACCCGCTCGACGGCGGCAGCAGCCTCTTCACCGATAAACTTCGAATTGTCTCGATCGATCGGGAGGCGCGGGAAGTTACGAATAACTCGATTATACATCGCAAATCGCGGCACTCCCGGCAGTAAGCCATTGGCCCAGCAGGTAGACTCCCAGCCGGAACCAAACAATACCCTGCGGAACCTGCAGCCCCCCGAATCGGGAGTCGAGAACCGCGATCGATTGCCAGCATACACCTGAAAACAAAGGAATCGAGAGATCGACCTGCCTGCATGGCGAATGAGCAATGACCATGCAGAGGTATCCC